CCTTGCCACATATTCAGCATCATAGGCAGACTTGTCCATCATCGTGAAATGCTCTATCAATTGATCAATGTTCGCATTCTCATCGAGAGCGTCTCCCCCAGGCAATTGGACCATCGCAGCCCAAGTCCCTCGTATCTCTTTTGCGAGCTCGGAACGATTGCGGATTGGTCGCTGAGACCCGATGAGGTCGCCAGTCTCAGTGTTTGTATGCGCATTGTAGATGTCTATTCGACGACCAAATGCAGCCGCAACGACCTGGCAAATCTGAGTCTTCCCGCAACCTGTCTCGCCCACCAGGAGAACAGGTTCATTATTCTTCAACGCTTCGGATACAAGGACAAACAGTCTCCGCATTGCCAAAGTCCACACGATTGCACCAGACTGTCGAGCAGCTTCTGGGACTGCTGGCAAACCATATAGCGCATTTTCGTCAATGCTAACTTTCATGGTCTTTTCGATGGTTTTCTTAACCACAGCGCGCTCTGCCGGATCTCTCACTCGCTCAGCCAAGAGCATGAAGCCGTGATATGCCAGCTGGTGCTTATCGTCCACCGCTCTCGAAGCCCAGCGGAATAGATCTCTGAGCGTTGCAAAGCTGTTCCGTTGCTCGAACAACCTCGAAGACTGCCTTTGCAATGAAAGCTGCTTGTACACATTGACAACCAGAGTGCAAAAAGACGGCGCGATTTGGGACCGTTCGCGCAGAATAATCTCAAGCTCATCCTCGGGGATATCGTCAAAACGAAGTTCGAGAAAACGATTTCGGAATGCTCGGGAAAGACGTTTCCGTCCGCCATAAAGTCCAGCAGGATTTTGTGTGGCGAACAGCATGAAGTTCGGATGAGGACGAACTATCTCCTGAGACTCTGGTATCAATAGCTCTCTATTGTCATCAAGCAGACGATTGAGAGCTTCAAGAACATCGCTTGGGGCCAAATTCAGTTCGTCCAACACGATCCAATCACCTCGACGAAGGGCATCCACGAGGACTCCTTCTCGATATTGGAGCTTCCCATCAGCGTCAGACACATAGCTGCCCAGGTACTCTTGTAAGTCGGTGTGCTCGTGATTGTTGATTCTAACGAACTTGTTACCAGATAGCTTTGCGAGATACTCCACCATGCTAGTCTTGCCGGCGGAGGTCGGGCCCTGCAACAGGATTGGAAAGCGGCGCATCGAGGCCGCTCGAGCTAGATTCAGCAAGTTGCGCTCCACCGACGGCGTCCTGATGTAGTGAGACTGAAAGTCAGGGCTCATCGGCCCCTTTTTGACTAGATGATGCCGGAAAGCGATGTATTCGTCACCGTCAAAGGGCATTTTGGGCTGCTGAATCAGGAAAGACTTCTTATTCTTGACGTTTGAGAGTAGGTGCTTGTCCAGGAATGGCAGAGCCAGACTTTCCGATGCCCTACTTAGCACTGTGAAGAAGCTCATCGCGAAGCCTTCGTACATAGCTCGTCTCAGTCCATGGCTTGCGCTGTGCTGCGAAACGTACAGCAGGCAACGGACGAGTGATCGGATGCTGAAATGGGGGGCATCGCCTGCTCCGTCGGTCAATTTGTGCTCCTGGTTCAGCTTCCTCAAATCGAGGTACGCTCTTGCCAGGTCTAGAGCAGCTCGTTTATCGTTGTCAAGCTGAGTGCCCAGGTACGTTTGAATGATCTTTGTCAGATCCTGCGCGTTGTTATCCCCAGATGGGACGTACAATTCTGTGAAACGAGATCGTAATCCAGGCGCTAGGTCTTTCTTCCCAGCGTCGGTAGCTGGGTTCATTGCAGCAAAAAGTCTGAAGTTAGGATGCGCAACAACTGATTCGATGCTGCCAGCTTCAGCAAGAAGAAGAGATGGTTTTTCATCGTCGCCATTGTGCAGGAGGCTGACGATATGGTCCAGAGTATCTGCCGACGCGAGGTTGATTTCGTCAAGAAGGACCCATTCACCTTGTCGCACTGCTTGGACCAGTCGACCTTCTACAAATGCGAAGGTGTGATTCTTGTCGCCATGATCGATCTGTGAGCGGATCTTATTCAAGGACTCAGCAAAGTCTGCCCATCTACTCCGCAAGGCCTCATGTCTGGGGTTCGCAAGCTTTCGCTTCTTGTTCGCGTGTACATCACTACCGGCTTTTGGAGACTCCGGGGCTGTTTTCAGTGACCCAGCGGCCATCTGAATTGCTTCGTGCCATAGCATTGTCAGCCTTGACCAATTTTGCTTTATGACGGCTTTGGTGATCGCGATCTGGAATTTCTCATTTCGTTTGCTCGAGAAAGTGTCGTCAAACAGTGTGTTGAATTGCTCAACAAGGGGCAAGACAAGAGAACGAGTGGTCACCGGCTTCAAGCCACCCAGGAGATCACTGACTTCGCTCTGTTGTGAGAGATTCACGACGGTGAGCTTCTGACCCACTAGGTTTGCAATGTGCTGGACCAAAGTGGTTTTACCCACTCCGGTCTCACCGACCAGAAGACATGGCTCTGAACAGCTAGCGCTGGCTGCGATCCGGTCAAGCGTTCGCTGAGCGTACTTGGTAAGTGCGAAAGGTGTTCGCTGAGATTGACGACGACGACGACTGACCACCTTGGCAAGAGCACTTCGACCAATCTGAATTTCCGATTCCCTGTCCGAGACTTGAATGACCCCCTCATCCAAGCAATGGCGCATTTGCTGCGGTGATATGTTCATCATCCGGGCGACTGATGTGGCGACTAACTCGTGGAGCGCGTCTTCATTTAGGTAACCGGCATAACAGTCGACCGCATCTTTGAAGATATCGAACTTTGTCGTCTCAGCTAAAGGCCTTGATGGCGACACAAAGTCTTGTGACGGAAGCCTCTTGATGATTCTTCGAGTCCAATTGAGCAGGTCTCGTATTGAGGGTATCCGAGTCTGGAGGCTCTTGAAAGCAGGATTTTCTCTATACAAGGCACAAACTTCTTCGTGAACTTGCAGAACCGTAGGAATGAACACCTCAGCCTTGGGATACCTCGAGCGTAGAAGCACCTCAATTTCAGGCTGCGTGAAATTGACCACACCAACCGCAGACCACAGTCGAGGATTTAACAGCCAGGAGTGACGTGAAGAGCTGGATATAGGAGAGCGTCCAGTTGCTTTCAGAGTGGCAAGAATGCGGAAGCCATCTTTGGGCCGGATGGTCTCCTTGCGATTGGGTAGAAACAGTTCGCCATTCTCAAGGATAGGTCGCAGTACACCCATGACCTCAGCCGGAGCCCGATCAATATCCTCTATCAGTACCCATCTTCCCTGTTGTATCGCCTTTGTCAGGATTCCTGCCTGCCAGGTGAAAGACGTGCCATCAGGAGACGACGTGTAAATTCCTAACAGGGTCTTTGCATCCGTCTGCTCGTTCAGATGCAAGGTGATCATTGTGGATAGCTTGTTGAGCAGCCTGGCAGCTTCATGTACAAGCGCAGTCTTCCCCGAGCCTGGGGCCCCAGAGAGTATGACAGGTTTTCTTTCTCGTAGGCACTGGCCGAGTTGTTGTAGATTCTGCTTGGCGGTCGCCGTGAGCACAAAAGTAGTGGCAGTGGTGTCTAGGTGCATTGATCGAGGAAGTAGTATGCCGCCAAGATCAGCCGTGCCGGGGTTGAGGTTGCTGGCATCCAAAATTCGTATCTCAGACGGTGCCGACGCTTGGTGACAGCGAGTTTCCACATCGGTTACTGTCCTCGACATTTCCTTCCATCTCTTTTCCTCCCAAAGCTTGAGGAGCCGATAGTCAATGCATCTGCCCTCCCAATCTCCCAGAATTGCGTCCGTGCCCACATACTTCTCGACCATCTGCTCAGAGAAAGCGTCCGCCAAATGCACAACGCTGCAGAAACATTGAACGGCTAAGTACCGCATCGTCGAAGAGTGGTGGCGAAGGAACGATGCAAAAAAGGCAGGAACGACAGTCTCGGCAAGGATGTCGCGGTCGAAGGAAAGAAGGCGAAACAACGCCACTAAAAACGAGGACAATTCTTGTTCGTCCAGTTGCAACGATCCACGATCAAGCCCACCCGGTCGTCTGAGCGCTGGTAGAGATACCAACAGTTGTCTGACATGATGGCGGAAATATGTGGCGTATGGGAGAATTCGGGCCAGGCTGGAAATGCAAGGTACAATTTCACGTAGATTTGGTGAAGAAGGAAGATCGCTCGTCCAGCGAGCAACAAGTTCGGGGTAAAGAGGTCTGTAGAGTGGAAAGAGGACATCTCCATATTGCGGTCTCTGCGCGGCATCGGCAAGGGCGTTGAGATATTGAGATTCTCTTGATTGAAGTATGATCGACCGAAGTTCTAAGGGAAGTCGTGCATCCTCGGTGAGTTGCGCATCAGCCCATGAGCAGTATACTGCTATATCTTCCATGGCTTTTGAATCTGATGCGTCTGCAAATATGACACTCCCTCACGAGAAAGGTTTCGCCCGTTGTGTCTAGAAAAATGGAATGAAGGCGTTCAATTGCCTCTACATCGTCCATCTTGGCAATTTTTTCTAAAGAAAATAAATCCGATGTCACGGGTGTGGCGTCAACACTGGGCCGGCTGTGGCGCAAGGCCGCGCGAGGCTGCGCGAGGCTGTGCGAGGCTACGCAAGGCTCAGGTGCACAGTCCAATCACTAGCGTACTCAAGAAGGATACTCGGTATCATACTCCGAATTACTAGGATGAAGTCTTCTCAATGGGACCTATGCAAGTATCATTAAAAGCCTTATCAAAGTCGATAAATCTTCATATGAGAATAGGATTAATCAGCCAGAAAGAGTTCACCTTTGGCAGTACTATGCATGTGCATCTAGTAATCTATAGAAGGGTATTGGTCTTACAAGACAGCAGGCAGACGCTCGAAAAGAATTTCTCATCGCTGTATCATGCGCCATCTTGCACCAGTCGCTCATCAAATCGGGGAAAAACTGGCGGTCCAAAATCCTTCAACGTCCACAACGCAAAAAAAATCGGTGAAATTCTGGTACACATAACAGGATCGTGTCGTAAACCTCATTATTCTTCAGTCAAAGCATCATCCGCTACCTCCCTCCACTCCCTTGACTGCTCTGTGAGTCGTTTGACACCAGGCACTCGATCAGCCCATATAGACTCCGAGGCTGTGCGGAACGTGTAGGCTCGCTGGGAAGAGATGACTCCAATGGCCTGCAGGACGGCTTTGCGAGAGTCCCGGGAGAATACTGCCGGGTGGTTGATCCACTCCAGGCTGGTTTCGATATCGGCATCGAGAGCGTTCATCGTTGCTTGGTCGACTCCATTGGTACGTGCAATAGGCGTGCTGACATCGGAGTGCGGGCTGTGGTCACGGTTTCGTTCTGGGGTATCAGCTCGAGGGCTGTGGCTCTTGGCCGGCGGAGTATGCCTCTTGTTATGAGTTGCGCCCGGAGGAAGAGGAGGAAGGCCTCCCTTTCCTAACCCTTTAAGGATTGTTCGGGTCTCGTTCAGAAGGTGGTGTGCCCGCTCATGCTGGCCGCGAGCCACGAGGGTCAACGCGCGACTCAACATGTCGGAGGTCAACAACTCCATACGCCGCTGTACGATCATCGGGTGTGGAGGAATAGGTGGGGACGAAGGCCGGCTGCCGGTTGACCGAACTCTCGGGTTAGCTGGTAGCATAGTGATTGCCAATAAAGATGGTCGCGGGAGCTGCATTATCGTTCCCTCGCGCAGGAGATCCCCGTAAGATAAATCGGCTTGGAGCAGCGGGAGCTCTTCCACGCTTTGCACCCGTTGGTCCTCGACGTCGAGAGAACCGCCCAACGCTTCCAGACCAGACACGATTGACTCCCACGGATCTTGAGGAGCAGGATCCTGTGTCGAAGTATCTGGGTCAATGACCAGTTGTACTAGAACGTCACGTTTATCACCAAAGTGGAGATCTCCCAGAGTGGCTTCGGCATCCCTTCCAGTGGCTCGCTTGGTCGTTTGTAAAGCACCATGGATCTTAACGAACTTGGCCGGAGAACCCTCGGGTAATCTAAGCTTCAGCTTGACGTTTTGATGGGACATCGACTGAAGAGTGCCAAGGACACCGGCAGCACATTCCCTAAGCATCATCCAATCCTTCACGTATAGATATGATGCTTTGGTGCGAGTCGAGAGCTCAATCATGCTCTCTGGCTTATGGGTCAAACCAAGACCAAAAGAGTGGATTCCCACCCTGTCAAGGTTAGTAACGAAATGGATCAAGGGATGGTGGAAAACTCACTTGGCAGCTTCAGCTCTTTGTACGACGAAATCAACGCTCTCGGTATCAGAGGTGGAAGAGTCGCTGATCAGAATAATAGTCGAGATTGGGTTCGCAGCTTTTCGTTGCATCAGCAGGTCCATAGCAACGTTTGCACCTTCAACAACGTCGGCACGCAAGCTCTTCTGTCCAACGGGTCGGATCGAGTTGAGGACTTTGTTCCATCCGGACCACGTTTTGGTTGTCATTCCAACCACGGGAACACCGCCACCGCTTGAGCCGAATGTAACCAGACCCATGCGGTCACGGTCGCCCAGATTGGAAACCAAGAAACGCAGGGTATCCCGCAGGAGCTGTATCTTCAAGCCTTGCATGGAAGAAGACACAGGAATAACCACGACAACATCAATGGGAACGTGTAGCGATGGTGGAACCCTTCGATCGACAACTGGCTTGTGACCAGAGTAATCAGTGGCAGCGGTGGTGGCAGACTTCGGTCCTCCATAAGATGATGCAACGGAGGGTACGCGTCGAACAGTCCTGTTTTGCCGACCATATTCCTCCTCATCTGTACCAGAGGTATCCTGGTCATAGTCGGATTGATAGCGCGAGAACGAATCGGTGTTGTTCAGATCTTGGAGAGCGCGTTGCCATAGTTCGAGCTTGTCTCTTTCCTCGAACTGGAGATGGAAAGTTGGCAGCTCTGCCACAGACAGGTTCAAAGTAAGGATGTTCTCGTCCAGGGAAGCATGAACCTGCCTCAGGTGTTTCCTGATAAGGATTGAGCCTTTTAAAGTGCATCTGGTCAACCTCTTGCCCGACTCGAGCGTGACAGGAGGTTGAGCGTTCTTTTTCTCTTTGACGCAAATCAGCATTTCGCCAAATAAGTAGCACTCCAGCTCCTGCCACGAATGTCGGTCCTTTCCCACGCGGATCACACCGTGCAACCGCAGGTTTCCAAAACGGGAGAATTCCAGACCGTGCCAGTGGTCAACCCGGATCTTTAGCTCATCGGTGAGCCCGTCAAGGACTTCGGGCGACTCATAGTTCAGTGGGGGTCGTTGGCCGCGTAATTTTGGAACCGTGGGAATACCAATCCCGGAATCTGTAGGAAGGGGCGGGACAGGCGGTGTTGTCTGTCCTTCATCGAAATGTGCTGGCCACTTGAATTCCGGTACCTCAATTGACACCAAACAGGTCAAACTCTGCTGTTGCCTCGACCGTGAGAGCGTGGGGAATTCGCTGCGTACAGTCACGATCGGAGTGGGTATCATTTGTTTCGTGTCTTTCGGTTGCGTGACTGCGACAGTGGTCTCCATAGCGTGCAGATCATAATCGTGTTTTCGCGAATGGCCGTGGTCATTGCTGAGCTCCGTCGAGGAGGCTTTTCCACCACTGTCGTTGCGTGTATGATTGATAGACTGATTGATAGATTCGGAAGTCGCATGGTTGACAGACCCAGAGGTACGTCCATGTCCGATGCCGAGTCGTTCTATTCGCATCCTTTGGCTATCTCGGCTGTCTCTGTTTGGATTCTCACGGCTGGGTCGAGCAGGAACCTCACGGGTGCTTCGATCATCGTCTTCCACCGTCGGTGCCTCCTTGTTCCATGGCATTGGAGTATTTTGCGAGCTTCTTGGCGAGGCTGCATCCTTGTGTGCAACAGCTCGGACCATGTTACTCAGCTTGCCTGGGCAAAGTTAGCATCAACCCCGATAGAGACATCTGGGCGGAACCAACTCAAATCCAATATACTCCCCCCACGAAAAGAGTCTAGACCTAAGGGAGCGTCGCATGTTGGGCAGTACTGCGAGTCGGAATCTCGTATGTACTCATAGAAGCAAGCCTCATGAGCGACATGGCCGCAGGAAAACTGCAGGACCCTTTCTCCTCTTAAGGTATGTTCCAAGAGCTCGTCACAAGCAGCGCATGCCCCGCCAACAAATGTTCTTTCTCGTCTTGAACGCGCGCGGTCGGAGTGGAGCATGCCTGCCATAGGATGGCCGGCTCCTGGGACGCTTGCAGTAGGTGAAGGAGGAGCTCGTTGATCTCTGGTGCGCGGTCGGCTACCGTTGGGCGTATGCGGCCTGCCCAAGGTGCCCGAGCTGATGCTCGATTGTTTGTACGTACTCGTAGCGGCGCCGCTCATGGAAGAGCCTGAGCGAGGAGGATAGCCCTCAAAGCGAGGTCGCGAGTGGTGGTCTGGAAAATGTAACACCATTTGTCAGTAAGTGATCTTCGTGCCTGAAACACTGTCTCTGCGCAAAAGGGTTTGGAATGCTTTATGTCGAGGGAGGTCTTACACTGCGCCGTGTTTGAGTCGTTTATGCTTGACCGAGACCTGGATCCAGGACGATTAAGCAGTCCCAGGTCGTAGAGGTTCTCGGTTGTCTCTCGAGACACCGCGCCGCTATGAAAGGAGCGGTCGTGTTTGGGCATGGGCGAGATGCCCGGAAGGCGGTGCTCTTTGTTAGGTGCAGTAGCGTGTGGGTAGCAATCTCATCAGAGTCCAAGGATCAAGACGATCCTAGAAGTGCTAGGACTCAAAAACCACGTGGAGACGACCTTCCACTCTTAAACTCTCAGTGGATTCTCGGGTAGACGGGGATGCAAGAGGCCAACATTAAAGGGAGAGGGTCGCAGTGGAATGAAAGGCTAGACTGTTAGCCTGGATGCTGCTCGAAGTTACGTAGTAGGAGCGATGTTTGCAAGCGGCAGTAGACAAGTTAATATGACTGAATACTAAGACAGACCCGTCGTCCGGATTGTAGACCTGGGAAGAGACATTCGACTCTTGTGTAGGTTCAACACCCTAACACTCCTCGAGTTTGGGTTGGGGGTCTTTTTGATGTCGTCCCCAAGCCTTTCCCAGACCTAGAGGGACGATCCATGGTGACCGGCGCGGTGGATGCATGGAATGGCGCACACCAGGCTGGATTTGCTGACTGGCGGCTCGTCTCTTTTGCTGCCGTCAATTGTGGGAGAATTGCTAGCCAGTGGGCGCCCAGTGGATCAGATCAGGATTGACCTTGATCGCTCAGAAAAACAGTGTGATGGAAGGCATCTTCAGCAGGGAGAGAGACCAGGGTGGCCGATGGTGTTGCACTCGCCGCTTGGAGCTTTGCCCTTGATGGAAAGGCGTCATGCTCGCGCGATGGGGGCCCGCATAGGCGTAAAAGACAAATGCGTCAGTACCACTCCCGGAGGTTGTTCTCCTAGCCGTGTCCACTTGGAGCAGCAGGTCTGCGTGCTTAGCTCGGCAGAGGATCAGCGTTGAGGCCGCCTCTTCAGGGAAGTCTAGGACTAGGGACAAATGGTGAGCAAGTCAGAGCAGAGTGCGGGCTAAGTTTTAGACACTGCTTGCAGTGCTTGGAAAAGGAAAAGTTTTCTTTGATCCGATATGCCCCTGGCAGGCTGGCACTGACGGCCGTGGAGAGACATGTGTCAAACTCGTGCCATGACTGCGGGAGTCCAGGTACCGCAGCTTCTTTGTGCTAACATTGTGATGGTTGTGGACCAAATTATATATACATATTTTTGGCTTGAATTCCTCCGTTGGAAGAATGTCAAGCTGGTGCCATCGAGCCTAGCTGCCAACATGTCAGTATCCAAGCCTCGGTTCAGAAGGAATTCCAATCTTGGGAAATGAGAGAATCGGCAGCAAACATTCGCTTGTTGGCTTTGGTTTCAGTTTGAAATCTGGCCGCTTCAACAAAGTCAACCTGTAGATCAATAGCATTCTTCTCATCGGCTTGTGGCTGGCGAATCTGATCGAGTCCTGTCCTACAGAACAAGTCAGATATTGCTCGTTCAGACTGGAAGGTTAGCAAAGACGGCTCGTCCTCTCAGAGTGTATGGAGCGACGGAGATCTGCAGCTTGTATGCATGGGAATTCATCCTAACCTTGATGCCGTCATTCTGTATCAGCAACCGACGGACACTGATCTACAAGCCAGAATACGAGGTTGAATTCAAAGGTTACAGTTACTGGAGAATATCCATGTTCATGTCGCACCAGGAACCAGGCACCTCCATGTTATCCGGCGGGTGTGTAGCACAAAATCAGGAGGCCGATGAGTACCTCGTTTCTTCCCATTCCAAGTGACACCTTCTATGCGTCCAAAAGGTGACTGGTGACGTGATTCGGCAGCGCAACAAGTGCTGTCCTTTCGGCTGCTGCAAGCCGGACGTTTTGCCAGCAGGGATCTGTGTGCTCCAGGTACACACCCTTCGCAAGTGGCTGCTTTTTGGGAGGGCCAGCCACATTGTTCATAGCCCACCAGATCCTGCAGGCCCGCATCCAGAGGACGGCTCGAATCCGCTGTTCCAAGGAAACATCCTCTACTCAAAACACCCAAGTCGACTTTGTTACCAACTGCTTGCCAGTTGTAACGAGGTTGGGCCTTACAAGACGATTGACGGCACGGTCGATTTTGATGAAAGGGTCTGAAACCTACTCATCGCTGCAAATTTGCCCGCATGCTTGCCAGTTGTCAGGTGTCAACTATCCGTGGTCCCGCGGGCCAAAGTGTCCGACAAGCAGGGTCCTGTCACCTGTGCGTACAGTAAGTACAGTACCTGGAAGGTGGCCTGTCGTGCCTGTCTTAACCCGCAGTGCCCGCTGTCAACACAGCTTGTGTTAGCGTTCTCGTGCCGTTCTTCAACCCGTGTCCTCGGTTCCTCGTGCCTTTCCGTAGTTCGAAGACACCCTTGCACTGCTCGGCCTAGGGCCTCTCTCTGCACGGGGAACGATAACTTAACTTAATGGCATCCGAGAGAACCATTTCAAATCTTCTGGCTGTTTCATGTTGGCTAGTGATGAAGCTCTAAGGACTTGAAGTTGTCCAGGTCTCAGTATTTACATTTCCGAGGTCCACGGTTTCAGCCAACCCGGGTGCATAGGGTTCAGTGACGAGAAAGGTGTCTATCCGCACGTGGGAGTTAGGACATGCAAGCCGCACCAAAAGAACCATGAACCAGCAATCTCTTGGCCCAAATAACTTACCTGAAACGCTCGCTTGGCCAGAGATACTCTCGCCAACGTTCTCTGCTCCAGTGATTCATGGCGGCCGGTTTGTGGCGCTTGCGAGACCACCCATTTCATTGCCGTGTCATGATAATGATGGGCCACACGCTCCTGACGAGCAACCACCTTGTTGAGAAGACGGCGTGGAGGCCTTCGTCATCATCGTTGGTTATCTTCGGTCGTTGTACGTCAAACCTGCAGTGATCGACAACAGATCGAGCACATGACAATGTACCCAATGCACCGGACACGAGACTCCTTTGAAGTGGCTTTAAAATCATCCGAACCAGTGGTCCTCAATTGCCCTCGCAGGAGTCAAGACTAAACCCACATTGCATATCAGAAGCGTCTCGGAGCATGATCCGAAGAGAATCGGAGCTTTTGGAACCACATACAAATGAAGTTTTGTTCCCACATCGTATGACTTGACGGGAAGACCTGTTCCAACAACGATCTTATGCCATGAATAGTAAATGCATGTTGATGCGTTGACTAAGGAATCATTACGAAGTGGCTGTCGGCATTCGTCACCCATGTGCCACCCTCTCGCGCGTATTGAGCCTCTGCGTCCGAAGCAGGGCACCAAGACCACTGCTATGGGACCGACCATGACCAATAACGGCCCCCTTTTGTCGTCCAACATCGGAGACAGCGCTGACCTTGAAAGAAGTTTGTTTTGCGGGGGTTGATTCTCTGGCCCCCTGTTCCCAGGAAGGTAGCAGGCCTGGGAAAGATGTTTTTTTCCTGGGAACAAACTCATCAGACCAGCTTTAGCAGTTGGATGTTGACTTCGTAGCGAAAAGGTCATGATACTAGTCCTGCTGGCCCAAACCAGTTCACCATTCGGAGTCGTCGCATCAGACCTTTGGGCTAGCGGGTGTCCAGCGGCCTACTGCACGTTACTACTGTGGTATGTATTCTCTCGCATCCGCTAGAAGCCGGGGAAAGACAGGTGCAAGCACCTGCAAGCACTTGTAAGCACCTAGCGTCTCGTGGCTTCCGCGTGAGGTAGATCATTGCTCTTTTCAGGTTGCCATTGCCGCGACTTGTGTATTTACCTGCCCCTTCTCTCCCATGTCCATGTGAACAGAGAATGAATGCCGAGAGTGAGGTCGGCGCGGTGGCGGTCTGCTACTGCAGCACTTCTTCGAAATGAAACATCCAGACAAGAACAGTTAGCTCGGCAAGCGGCTTGAGGAGTTGATCCCAGCAGCTAAGTTTGCTTTCGAGCATGCTAGTCGGAGCGCAGCCGAATTTCTGGATCTTGATGGGCATTTGGGGCCGACCAAAGGAGGCCAATTAGGCCCACTCTGTAGATGTACTCCAAAGCTGGAGGCTTCCTGCCAATGATGCAAGAACTTGTACATGGTACAGCATTCAAACCTTCTGTGGACAACGTAAATCCTCGTGTAAATTTCAGCCTCTTGACGTCTTGACGACACTTTTGGCAAGAAAACCCGCGTCTGCGGGTATGAAGATCATTCATGAGCTCCCGGAATACCGCTTGTCTTTGTTCTCCAGACTTTTGGGTTCGCTGATCACTTTCACCAAGCGAGATGATCGCCAGGAGACCGCAATAAACTGCCGAGAAGAGCCTGTCATGGCGTGCGCGGTCTGGCTATAGTATCTTAATTTCCCCCACCGCTATGCGAGGGCCTCGTGCTGGGCCAAAAGGGCCAAATCTCAAGGCCCCGAGTATGCGAGCGACATAATTGCATCATTGCCTCGTGCTCGCACTCGTGGGCAGTCAGTGGGTGAATACCCATAATATCTGCTCGTCTCGTAGCCGATATTCTAGGCTCTGTTCTATCAATCTTTAGCACTGCCGCGATGCCCGGGGAGACGACCTGGCCCCTTGCCACGTTCCTTACTGTCCAACTCATGCATTCATTGCATTGGTGCCTGAGTCCTTTGGCAGCTGTCTGCTTGCTCACCAGTAGATGCTACCATCAGTAGAAGAAAACGGTCACATTTCGGCAGCAGTCGCTTGGAAATATGGAGAGTCACTCACGATAGCGATTGCCATGTGCAATTTCGCAGTTTGCCTGATTTGGTTGCTCCCTGTCCCAGCGACATGTCTGATCCATGCTCACCGGCCAGAAACAGCCTTACCACATTCATGTGGCATTTCCGTGTTCGTATAACTGTCAATAAGCCGCGTTCATGACACGATCAGGGCGAGAGGAAGGTTTCGAACGTTGTAAAATGAATGCTACCTTGGTGTTTCACGCTGATCGAGGTGGTCTGATTCCTGGTAAAGAAGTCCTCTCGCTTCGTCGGGCGCATCGTCCTCACCACCCTCTTCCCGAAGTATTCCAGCGCCAGCAACAAACCCATCGCCCTTTTGCTCATCTCCTGATGCGGACAGAATCCACCAGACGTCCTTTTTAGTAAGGAACCCTCGAAAGGCACCCCTATCAACGAAAAGGAGGTATCGTAGACCAAGCTTCTGGAACATATGCACTGCCAATTGAAATGAGCTATGCACATTGAGAGTGATCGGGGTCTGATCCATCCATGGTCGCAAGTCTATGCCACGGCCAGCAACGACATCAGCATGGTAGGTAAAGTAGCATGGCGTTCGAAGATTGGCATTTCCAGAGCTATGAGGGGTATTCGCTGGTCCCAGAGCCCGGTCCAATGCATAGGAGAGCTCTGTCCTGGATATGTACCCCAGAAAAGTGTTATCTCGTGGTGACTGTCGAGATAGAGGCACATGAGCATTATCGTCGGACGTTCCTCGCTTGAACGCCACCACTGGAAAGCCACGAAAGGAAGTCGTGCGAAGGATCTTCTGCAGCTCCTCAATCGTATGAGGGCGACCAGCATCCAGGCATGTCATCTCCTCCATCTTCGTCATGATGTTGGAGACGGCCACATGAGGCATATTGGGATCATCTTTATTGTCCAGATATGGGTACTCATTGAAATGGATCCAGGACTCATAGATGCCACGTTTTGAGAATGCGTCTCCAATCCACTTCGCAAGCATGACCCCAATCATGATTGGCAGGACGTACGTGAGTGCGCCTGTCAGCTCGAACATGATGACCACAATGGATACAGTCATCCGTGTGACGCCGGCCAATGCTGAAGCTGCACCCACGATGGCGTATGTCCCAGGGGTGATACAAGGTACATCGGGTTCACATGCTGCAAACAGCAACGAGGTCGAGAAGTGTTTTTGTAACAGTTGCACCAGAACTCCAAGGGCCCTGCCATAGAGCGCTCCGATTGCGAGGGATGGCAGTATTATACCAGCCGGGATCTGTGCACCGAAAGTGATGCTGGCGAGGAGGAATCCGAGAAAAGAGGCAGCGATCAATAGCCATGACATTGACAAGGCTCCAGCAGTCGTAGCTTTACAGAGACCAAAGATGTCGTTGTTGCCGATGGTAGCACATTCCGCGAACAGGTAGTAAACCAACTCTGACAGCTGAGCTCGCATAAAAGTGTTTGGGAAATTGACCAGTGCCGAAATCACCGCAATGATCAAGACTTCGAGAAGAGGCCTCTCCCGAAGTGGGTAAATGGATGACTTCCTCAGACGTGCGATCAACATGTTCAATTGTATGAACATGCCGCCGTACACACCGCCAATGACACCAAGGAGGATAAATGGTATGATTTCGAAGCTGTGCCACCCTGTCGTGTACGTGACTTGATACAGGACGATTTTCCCGGTATGAAATGGGTCTAAGGCATGAAGGGTGACTGCAGCAACCATGGCGCAGACGAATGATTGCCACATCGTTTTGTCCGGGAAGTAGTATGACAACTGCTCGAGAGAGAACAGTACGCCACCAATAGGTGATCCAAAGGCAACAGATATGCCCGAAGCCGCCGCCGCTGACAAAATCTCTCGTTTGCGCGCTTCGTTTTGGCTGAGAGACTCGAATGGTTTCATTATGATGTTGGCACAGCAGCATGCAAGGTGGACAAAAGGGCCTTCTTTACCGAGCCACATGCCTGATGCAACTGCAAGGCACTGAACAGTGTTAATAGAGGTGTGCTAAACAACTTTGCGGGATTCGACTCACCAGCCCTAAAGACTTCGTGATCAAAGTCCAACCTCCAAGAAAGCGCCTGATGACAAAGCCTCCAAGTAGAGTCTTGATTTCCGGAATCCCGCTGTGTCGGGCATAAATAGAGTAATGTTGTACAAGAACGGCAGCGGACACCGCAAAGAGAATCTGTAAATCCATGTCAGTATAGCAAGCAACTCATGAGAGCATTTTGGCAACGTACTGAGAACGCAATGAAGAAAATGTAATTTATAATATAGCCACCACCCGGGGATCGAACACCCAAAGCAGATGGCCACGGAGTCCAGTCTTGACACTGAGAGAAGTCGTCGTGACCCCAACAGCAAAACTGCTTGTTCAGATAGAACTGTCCACCACCAGTGCCCTTCTTGCAATAGCCTGTCTTCAGGTCTCCTAACCAGTCGGAGGCGATGTTGATGATGGCCGCAACGCAGCCAACGGAAATGCCACTCGCGACGAGGACCACCCAGACGTGACTTGCATCAAACAACTGTCGCAGCTGCCCCGTAAATCCTGAGTTGAGTGCGACTAGTCTCTTCAACCGCTGTCTCTCTTTCGTGTATTCGTAGATCCAGTCAATTGCAGTCAAATCGTCGTACCCGACTCGTCGTCCTGGTCCTTCGACATACCAATCGGGGGCGCCATCTTCTTTCTGATCTTGTCCATCAGTAGCATGGTGACCGACCGGGGCATATGTATCACTCCGTCCTGCTCCGTCTCGAGCTGAGGTCGACCGTCCAGGGAGGTCTGAGCGTATGGGATCGGATGTCGAAGAGGTTGACGCGCCTAGACTGGTTGATTCGGACGACGTCCATTGCCGCGGCTTCTGGGAACTATCAAACTGCAGTCAGAACATCATGGTCATACCAAACAGTGGCGGCGCATACTTCGTGGAGATATCAGCAGCGTCTTCTACAGAGAACGAGTCCGGGTCCGGTAGGCTACTGTTGTCAGGCCGTGACTTGGCCATGGCTGGCGATGCGATGTCTCCTCGCGTCTAGCGGCGGTGGCATCATCGGTCAAGAATAGGACGGACAATCGTTGAGGTCAAGATCTCCATCGCATGTGCTGAAGTATAAGCCGATGTCTCCAGAGATGTAAACAGGAAGACACGAAGCCGCTATTGGCGGACTGCAGCAGTGCAGATGCCAAAAAGGCCCCTTGGCTTTTACTCCGCAGCCTTGGGAATTGCGGGCGACATTCAAAAATATATTCGTTCCACGTCAAGTTACCAAAATACAGCCTTGAGCCTCTGTTAACTGAGGCATCACCACCAAATTTACCAACATGTCTCTCACAATACCTCAGGCCTCCCAGGCTGGGCTCTTCAAGCCCGGCTACAATAGCTACGACGCTGAAGATGGCGCCGTCATTCGCAATGTATGAACCCACATACGGATCTTGATCAGAACAAGCTCTAACAGAACATAGATCGATGCCTGCAGAACGATAGCTCAAACAGTACAGACTTCTCTAGGTCCCTATGGCCGCAACAAAATAGTCATCAACCACCTATCAAAAATGGTCCTGACCTCAGACGCCGCTACCATCCTCCGCGAACTGGACGTTGTGCACCCCGCAGCTAAATTGTTAGTGATGGCGAGTCAACAACAAGAGGCTGAGATGGGCGATGGGACGAACATGGTCATAGTACTGGCAGGAGAGCTGCTGAAGAAGGCAGAAGAATTAATACGAATGGGGCTCAAGACCAGCGACATCGTATCCGGATACGAAAAGGCACAAACGTATGCGCTCAAATCCCTACAAGATCTCGAAGTCGACCGTCTTTCAGAGCTGCGCTCGGTCGATGAACTCTGCAAAGCGCTACGCACAGTGGTCGCAGCCAAACAATCCGGATCAGAAGACGTCGTGTCACGATTGATCGCTGAAGCCGTTCTGGCAGTGCTGCCCAAGAACCCCGCCAACTTCAATGTGGACAACATCCGAGTGGTCAAAATCATGGGAGGCGACCTGTCTTCATCAAAAGTAGTCAAGGGTATGGTGCTCGGTCGCGAACCAGACGGCACGGTCAAGCGAGCAAAGAACGCCAAAGTCGGGGTTTTCTCATGTCCCATTGACACTTCACAAACGGAGACAAAAGGCACAGTTCTTCTGAAGAACGCAAAAGAGATGATGGATTTCTCGAAGGGCGAAGAGACCCAGCTCGAAGCAGCCATCAAGGAATTATACGACAGCGGACTGAGAGTTGTCGTGGCAGGTTCAACAATAGGCGAGCTGGCACTGCACTACCTCAACCGTATGGGCATTTTAGTCATCAAGATCCTTTCGAAATTCGAGCTGCGCAGACTCTGCCGTGTCTGCGGAGCCACGCCTCTCGCTCGTCTCGGAGCACCAATGCCAGACGAGATGGGCAGTATCGACATCGTCGAAACCACCGAAATCGGCGGCGACCGGGTCACCGTTTTCCGGCAAGAGTCTGATTCCGCCGTGACGCGCACAGCCACCATTGTTCTCCGTGGAGCCACGCAGAACCACCTGGATGACGTCGAGCGCGCCATCGACGACGGCGTCAACGTGATCAAAGCAGTCACCAAGGATCCGCGACTTGTCCCCGGCGCAGGTGCCACCGAGATGCAGCTTGTCGAACGCATCGGTCACTATGCAGACAAGACGCCCGGCTTGCCGCAGTACGCGATCCGGAAATACGCCGAGGCGTTCGAAGTGATTCCACGCACACTCGCCGAGAGCGCAGGGCTCGACGCAACAGAAGTGCTCGCCCGCCTGTACACCGCACACCAACAACGCCTGAACACAAGCGAAGTCAAACGCCGCAAAGCAAAGGAAGAAAGCGACGGTGATGAAGAAGACGATGAGGAAGAAGAAGAAGGCACGTCAGAAGAAACATCCGAGTCCGAGGAGCCGTACTGGACAACGGGTGTGGACCTCGAGGGCACAGACTCTACAGGCCTGCTCGATGCTCTGGAGGAGCAGATTCTCGATCTCATGGTGACCAAAAGCTGGGCTATCCGATTGGCGACAGAGGCGGCCAGGACAGTCTTGAGTGTCGACCAAATCATCGTGGCTCGGCAGGCTGGTGGGCCGAAGCCACCTGGGCCAAATCCAAACTGGGACGAGGACTAGAGCATAGATTTTGTGACAAAGTGGGGAAAAAGGGTCTGTTTTATGAAAAGAGCCATGATTCGCAAGGTGACCTGTCGAACTCAGGGGCGGGCGACAGCTGATGTCAAAGGCAGAGGTACTCTGACCAGAAGCCCCACCTAAAATGTCCGGGGTCAACCAGGGAGATGCCTCGAGACATATTGGCTCTGAGGATTTAGGGCACTTGAGGTGGGCCTCCGAACACAGCCTTATACGATGTTGATGGCAAAGCACTATCACATCGTTCGTCGGTGCGGCGAGGTCCAGGGCCATAGGCTACGATAGACAGTCAGCCAGGACAAACGTTGATAGAAGACAAGTGAAGAAAGGTGTTTAGACAATGCAAATTCTCGCCAAAGAAAGTTACGTGGTGGAGCGCATAGTCACATTCCATTTGTGTGCTACAGTTCTATCTAGGCCTTTGCGCTTGAAGTTCTCTAGGACTCCTGCTTACTATCCGTGATTCGCAAGGTCAACACTGGTAAGGCAGGTAAGTAATAAGTTGCTCGTGTGTGAACGTACTACAGTCGTTCGTCATGTTATGCTGACATGTCCTTAAGAGCAGAAAGACCAAGTTGCACATGAATTCAAGCTCGATAAGCGCTGACGTCTGCGCTTGACCCCGAACACTTTCGATCTCAAGTAGTGCAAAACCATCTGATTTTCCAGACAGACGTAGATGTGGGATGAGTCCGGCGGTCATGTCGTGTTTGCGTGACGAGGTCTGTGGTCGTCTTCGCTACAGCGATGAATAGAATGGAAGTTCCATCTGACTTAACGTTGTTCAGCAGCCTTTGACGTCCAATATTTCCTTCCAGTTGGTGAGGTCCGAGTTACTCTTTGGTTTGGCGAGGGTCCGAACGACATTCCAGGGGGCAGCACAGCAGCGGTGAGCGAGGTTCCAGGTGGGAGTCGAGTTGGTAGCGGTAGATCAGCTTCAGCAGCGGCCCGCGCGGTGGGAAACCCAACTTGCAATACCAGATGGCGTGGATTTGTGCTGGCTTGGACTGTCCTTGTATGCTTGTGTTGTAAGGTCTGCTGCCGTTTTCGATCTGGCATGATCCCAGATGAGGTTTCAGTTGACAGCCGCGGAATACCGTGATCAACAGCCCATCCTGTACTGAGTCCATGAGAGCTCGCAGGCCGTCTGGATGATGCCATACCCATTTCCCCGTCGAAATCATCCTACGAATTGAGGGAAGAGAAGCCACCAGTATTCTCACGTCGCGTAGCCCGTTTGTAGGCATCCATAGCGACTGTGTACTCCCTCATTTGGTCTTGGTATCTGTCGTCCCAAAGTTTCCTATTTTCAGGACTCAATCCGTCCCACTCAGCCTGGATCCTCTCAGGTATCTGTTCAGGAGGATACTGATCTGCCTCTAGCTGCGGTCTCATATGCGCAGTGAACTGAATGTAGGGCGTTTCTGGACGCTCCGGCCGTGGAGGAATAAGAGACCGTCCCATACCGTTGGTGTCGATACTAGTGGAAGGCAAACTTGGAGGTCGTGCAGGGTATGTGCCCGTGTAAGGCTGGACTGGATGCTGATTCACTGCAATGGGTGAAGATTCTTCATAACGAGATTCTCCCGCAGTTGGAGGTTGATAGCTCGGTGTGACAGCGGCTTGCGGAGTGCCGGAAGAGACACGGAAGGTGGATGTCAACGTTGATGCATCGTGAGGTGCCGGTGGGGAGAAGGAATTTGCTGGTGCGATACTTGGTAGTGGTGATGGTTGATAGACATTAGAGGCGGATTCTCCAGGAGCAGTGTTCATGATTGTTTCACGGTAGTTGTTGTTTACTCGTCTTCGTCTTTCCGGTCTTTCTAGGGGCTGCGTGCGGTGAGCGCGTGCTGTTGGGAGCAGGGGCCATCCTCACCTCGGGTTCATCTTCATCACTCTCTTCAGAACTGTCGTCTAAGAGTGCTTCTCCGTCAGGCCTGGATCCGAGCAATTCCTGAGTGATTGCGCTGCCGGCAAGTTCAGCCAGGCTTGCGCCTCCGTTTGCTTGGACTCCGATCTTTTCGAGTTGTTCTGGTGTGAGCTTCTTGGCTGGAGTGCTCATGATGTCGTTGAGGTGGTTGAGGAGGATGGCGCGCAGGAGGCGCATTTTCTGGACATGTTCTGACTCCTGGATGATCCTCTTGCGAGTGGAATCATTGTTGGCTTCTATCTCGGCAAGGCGCCGCTTGAGCTGGATGCACTTCTTCCTGTAGGCTAGCTCTTGCGTAGGTGCGAGGGGTGCGTTGCGGTGCAGGGGGACGTCGCTGGCGGGAGGAAAGGTCGGTTCTTTCGAGGTGTCCATTATGTTCAAGGTATCATAGGGAGATGTGAGTCTGGTACGGGATGAATCTAAACGTGTAGGCTTGATTGTCGAAGAGGTGTTAAGTTGTGAGCTCGCGGTCTGTGAAATCTGCCCAAAGATCGCGTCAGATGGAGAAGTACAAGTAGCCTCTCAGCCGTTGGGGAAGGTCTAACCGAGCACGTGATGGGCTATTTTGTTTGTTTTGAGAGTACTGGATGAGGATGGGAACTATTCTGGTCGTTATTGAGCAATATACAGTGTGCAACCTCTTCTCTAGCAATTCATGACCTATCGTCTACGCAACGACACATGCTGGAACAATCTGTCCGTTACTCAACAAATGCCTAACAAAGCAGACCCTTGCACGGCGACCGGAATCAACATGGCTAAATGCCTGCGTCGAGCTAGCATGACCTGACGATCCGAATGCAACTTCTTCTCCACTTGTCACCGGCGCAGAATGAAGTATTGAACTGGATGTTTGGCTCAGGGAACCATCCAGATGTATGCCTTCATCAAGCGTTTGATGTGGTGCCCCAGGCACCTTCCTCAAAGGGATACACTTCAACCCATACAACAGACATTTTACAAAACGGATACAGCCAGATTTGAGAGTTTGCCCATTCCAGCGCCACGTCTCATGTGTTGAGCACCATTGCTCCAATCCATTCATCCGATCCCAATGAGAAGTAACATGGACATATGAGGAGTGAAAGCATGTGTCAGGGACCGAACCACTTGAACCCACTGCATCCATCTCAAGCCCGCCCTGTATGGGCCTCATATGCTACAGCCACTAGCATCCTCATGCAGCATGACGGTGCCCTTTCGTGTGCATTAGGTACACCATATGACAGCCGTCGTACCATGGCTGTGTCCCTCCAGCTGAGGGTAGTATGCAAGTCACGAAACACCTCGCATCCAGACTTACGGAGACGGTTGGTCCAGATATAGTTGTGGCTTCGGCTTTCTGACGCGGCTCGGCTGTCCTCGCCTACCCCTGAAAGCTTGGGTGTTCTGATATGACAGCCGCGGAGAGGACTTTGCACCGTTTTGCACCGTGATGATATGGCAGACGTCAAAACGTGCTACCAACGCCACAAGATCAACTCCGCAGGCGTGTTTTGACCTCTTCAATCTTCAGAGCGTCATTTTTACAAGGCAGGTTGAGTGTGCTCTGTAGAATTGCAGGAATATGAGGCACAGGGATGCGCGTGAGTGAATCTCATTGTGGCTGCTGATTTTCGAGAGCTGATGCCACACATGGGACGGCAGGAAAGTCAAAGCCGCAGTGGCTTGCATATTGCATATTGCATGCCGAAGGAGGATGGTTCCCCGCGCGCACTACTCACGCATGCAAGTCGACTGATGAGGCTCTGTCATTTCGATCAAATGGTGATAAACCTGACGACCACCTCGATGGCACTTTGGGCACATCATTGGGCCTTGCAACGTGCCGCATGAACATGAGGGCAAAGACGTAGGTTACTCTTTCCAGAAAGAGGCTTATCATTCAAGATTGAGAAGGGGGCCATTTCATGCGGGAGCTTCCTTGATGCCGGTGTTGCCGGCACAAATACCCCAACGCAGGCACGTTTCTGTGGTGTCATTGCTAGGATCAGCCATGGTCGAGATGGCAAAATGTACGATTTTCATCCGGATTGGAAAAACTAAATGTTTTCCAGAAGCCAATCATGCGAACAGAAGGAGATTTCAGTCGCCGGCCTTCTCAGGGGCCGCGCCAAGGATGCCCAGTCAAGAGGGAGCGAGATCACGCTAAGGAGTACAATCCTGGCTCCTCGCGTGCCCTTGGTCAATGTCCTTGCCGCCTTCACACCAAACAGTGCCCCAACATCACGACAGCATCCCCAAATTTGTATATTCCTCCGACCAGGGCACGCGCTCTGCGCAATATTCGGTCATGGCCAGGTTCTGCATTGGCTATATCCAGCATGCAGACTAAGACCATCTGTACCAACGGCTGGGGAAACACGATATGCCTCATACCCAGGTGGGTGGTCTGGAACGCCATGCATATCACAGCATTTGGTGCTCATATAATGTTTGTTTTTGCTCCTGCCCTTCTCCTCTGCCCTGAAAACGACAATTTGTCCTTCGTTATCTGTATGAATAGTCTTCCCAGCGCTTGTTTTGCACAATTGTTTGCTGTTCTAGCCGCTCTCATCTTTCTGGGTGACCGGACACAAGCTGCTCCTATCGAGCATTGACTTAACCCATCAATCATGAGTATCACAAACCCCAATCAGTTCCACGGGGAATTTCTACCCCACAACTCCTTGACAGGAGAGATTTACCGCCTGAATATTGCATTCATTGCCGTCACTTCCGCATTCATCGCAGTACGATTGATCGTACGGGGCTTCGTCGTCAAGCATGTCGCTGCTGACGATTATCTGATGGTGGCCGCTGGCCTGTTTGCCACCGCGTTCTCTACAATGGCCATCGTTGGTAAGTCACCTCTGGAACGCATTGTCTTTATCTGGATGCTGAATAAAACAGGAGTAAGATACGGGCTCGGGAGACACGTATGGGATATACCACAGAATGCAGAATATGTTGAGAAGATCAAGAAGACAATCCAGGTGAGTCAGCTTGTGCAAACCAGGAGATGACGGCTGACAACATCAGACTCTTTGGATATGTCAGGTCATGTATGTGACGGCTCTCATGCTGGTCAAGCTATCCATCGTTGTCTCCTATCTTCGGGTCTTTCCCACCACTATCTTCCGACGGACCATGTACGCCCTCAGTGGAGCAATCGCCGGTGTGTGGCTCTGTTCTATCATCGTCACCATTTTCCAGTGCAAGCCAGTACGAGGGGCATGGGACTTCACACTGCCCAGGAATTGTCTGAGAATCGTCGACTTCTATTATTTCACGACCGCCTTCTCGATCTTCACAGATTTCTTGCTGTGTACGTTACCGTTGCCCGTATTCTGGAGACTCAACGTCCCCAAGAGACAGAAGTACGTGGTATCAATGCTCTTCGGGATCGGATTGTTCGCAACCGTGGCGTCAGCGCTGCGCATCAGTGTCCTTCAAGGAGTCGAGAGCCTCGACGTCACTCAGGGATCTGTTGCAACGATGAAGTGGTCCGTGGTCGAGGTCGGGACGGGCATCATTTGCGCCTGTATACCTTGCTTGAAGCCACTTTTCAAGAACTGGCTGCCTGACAAGACCACGATCAACAGATCCGGCGCCCGAGAGAAACTGAGGCCCACACACACTCCCCGCGTTAGTACACCATACTCGGAAGCTCACGAGCTTACAAAGCCTACTGAAGGCTGGAAGACGTTCAATCCCCCAGAACCCAGGATTAAGGGGGAGCCTGTTGTGACTATGCAGAATTTTGTTTAGACGACACCTTTCACCGAGAAGGAGGGTTGAGGGCTCGGAAGGTCCTTCTGTCATGTACAACATTTCTATGTATAGACTTTTTCTCAGCGCGCAAGCGCCTGGACATGAAGGTACGGGAATGGAGGACCCAGGACACTATCGCCCGGGCCCACTGTCCAGGTTTATCAACGTTATCTGCCATGCCTGCACCACGATCTCTGCTGCTGCTCAACTGCCCTGCAATATGCATGGCGGAACGGGAGATGGCAACAACATATATCACGAATTTACGCACTAGGCAGGCTGGACCTTCCATTGTGTGAACTACCCCTTCCTGAAGCATAGACAGTGGTTGGGTCACTGGTCTTACTGAAACACCCATGGCAGTGTGGCAGTTTTGCAGGTTTCGTGTAGCTTCTTCATTCTCCTTTGTAAATGCTGTCATTCTATCCGGCGGACCAGATGAAGGAGATATCATGTCTCACCTTTCTCATTGTGGCATGAGCGTGCGATGTACATAGCGTCAAAAGACAGTACTATGTCATGCGGCTCTGATATTCAATCGAGAGCTTTCTTGGTGAAGATGTATCACTAGATGTCGATGAGTTCCAGCCATTATTACCCGGACATGCATTTACGGTCCCAGCGAGTCCTTGATATCGCACTCATCTCCGTCCGGACAGACATTTGTCCGTCCAAGGCCCTTATCCTTTGGTCCAGTCGGTCCACCAACGTACTTCGCCTCCCCAAATACATCGACCTGGCCAGGAGCAGAATCAGGAAGTTGACTGTCACCCCACTGTCCGTTGGAGTTCAACCAGCCCACAGGGTCAACACCATTATACGCCGTGAACACCCCAGTACTATTGTCGTAGCTGTAAAGGTACGCTGAAGCCAAAGGATCCCAGTAAGGGACCATGCTTGTCTCGTCAGTAAGTGGACCGACGTCGGTGTTGAAGTCCGGAATCGTATGATCATGCGGACCGGGGATGGCGTAATTCGCGTGCGTGCCGTTGGCAACATACGTGACGGGTGGTACGCCATCCGGGCCCTTGACAGTAGCATTGTACGTGAAGGCCTCGCCGCCGCTGTACTGCGAGTACCAGACGGCCTGCGGGGTGCCGTTGACGAAACGCACCATATTGTGTTCCCAGTCACCGAGATGGTCTCCGAACTCGAGAGCAGAGTCGTTGAACACCCAGTTGCCCTGATTGTAGGCGTAAAAGTAGAAGTAAAACGCATCAAGAGTATCGTTGGGTTTAGAGACCGTGACGACCGCCATCGGCACAATCCCAGGGGTGGTGCCGTTGGATTCAGGCTGAACACCGCGGCACCAGGGTGGCAGAGCTTCGATGCCTTCGTCCGAGGTCAGATACACGCCTGTTCCGGAGTCGTTGAATGCATTTAGATTGTCGAGGTTTGACAGCGTCAAAGGCGCAGGAGGCGTGAGGACTGTCCCGTTGCTGTCTTCCGGCTTGGTATGGGTTGTTTGAGCTCCAATGTCGCTTGGGAAGTAGATTTCTGTTGAATCTAGATATGCCACCGGTGCTTTTGACGAAGGTCAGCTGTTGATTCTTCCCGTCTCGGTGTGCTTTGGAAAGTACCATATTGACGCACGAAGTCAGGCACATCTTGTTTGTGGACGCCGCCCTGGGCAGCTACCTTTTGAACATGCGTAAGAGCAGTGCATGACGAGAAACTGAGAGAGGATAACAGGAGGAGCGAATGAATGGTCAACATCTTGGATATGTTCGTGAATGTCATGACGACTTCTGGCATCCGTGGGAACAACCTAGATATATAGATACAGTGCCAATTGAATAACATGCAACGGGGCAAATTGGGATGTTTGTGAATCTCGCTACTTGACCAGATGACAAGTTAGGAGTGACTGCTGCAATCCTTGTTCATGCGAGTTTCCCAGTTTGTGAAGGAAAGCAAGATGATCGTAAGAGAGACTGGCACGAGGGGTCATCTTGTGGCCTCGCTGGCTTTGATCGAGCAGGCTGAACGACGTGCCTAGATACTAACCTGGGGGAGATCTCTGGAGCTTCATCCTTGGTCAATCGAAAGTACACGCCGGAGATGGCTTCTTTCTTGCGTCTGGGATTCGTCATCGAAGCAATCTCCGACGTGACCACCAATCAAGCTGTGGTGAAAGAATGGTCAGGAGAGGTCAATCTGGAGGTGTGGAGGATCATCTCAAACATAAAATCAACGTGCATCCCAGAGTCGATGTAATTCGCAGAAGTTTCAGGGGAACACAGGAAAAAGGGTCGGGCGATATTTACCAGGTATGTTGCACTGCAGGCCATGGAGAAATTCCTTGGCACTAGTGTTCACGAAACGTCCGATGAGTTCAGATGTTGACGAATATGGATGAACAATGCAGCTCTACACAGTGAGTGTTGTGATGAGGTTGACTTGGTCTTCTGTCCAGCTCTGAAACAGCCAGAGCCAACCCGTTGGCTGGAGTGCCCCGAGAGCAAGAGCGAACAAACAGCAGAGAACAAGTGGACGGCACCTAGCAACTTTGCTTGAAAGACTTCAATTCTTGATGCGTATGTACAACATGTGTCGATCAGACACACGTGCCTGTCCTGTTCCACTCCGGATCGAATGACCATTTCCCACCTACCCCAAGTAATCTAGATGAGTGTCTTCTTGCCGAAAACCATGCGGACCATGCCGTAGACGGAAAATGACAGACTGCCGACCAACATGGCGTAATATGGGTAGAGGAAGTAACCACTTCGAGATGTCTGCAGGAAACAAGAGTTAGCTAAATCCTTAACCACGAGGTCATATCAATTGCGGCAAATCCTCAGGACTCCAGATCCGGTTGTGCGCCGCTACTCCCGGTTGCGAGTCGAGTACAAGCGCTCTCATGGTCAGGCAAATTGTGTGTTGATGCGATCGTGCCGAGATACACGATTTGACATCGTTCGGCAGGATGTCAATGCGGCTCCTGCGGAAATGGTCGCCATTGACACATGGAGGTACAGAAGCCGATAAGAGTACCCCACGCCATTAGCCGGCCGGATGCGCATCCTGCGGTTCTGGTGTCGAGATGATAGATTGCCCCGGCGTCACTTTGACCGTGTGGCATTCAGATTCCAAGTCGTGCATCTCAGTGTATGTTGATGTTGCAAGGGCCGTCACGAGAGTGGCAGTCGGTTCGTATAATCGCCATGGCCACCAAAACCAGCAACAAATCTTGACACTTTTCCAGTGGAACGCCATATACAGGGTGGAAAGCCCATATTGCTCGAAATAACAAAAATGTGACTAACCTTCCACCATTGTCGCTTGCCGTCATGGGTCTGGAACAGGCGCTGGTAGTAGGGGACTCGATTTTCGCGCATGACAAGCCTGTTGTGATACAAACGTCAGCTCTCCGTAACGGTCAAGTACTGTGCTTTCAACGTATAGTTGGTAGAAACCGGTGCCCCGAGGACGGCACCGATCAGACCACTGACCCTTTGAACTGTGCTGGTGATTGTCTGAACAACTGGGCTCGAGTAGCCTGCATCATGCGGGCAGCTGTAGGGGTGACCATATTGTCGACTCGGCGGATGGGAGGCTCAGATCGAATTATTGCGAGACAGGAAGCTTCGTAAGTTCCAAAATCATTGAATCGAGGTCGGCATTGAATGAGATGCGACCGCAGCTACTTGCCAAGCCTGGAGGAAGCTATAACCTAGTCACGTGATCGTCATTATGTTTTGTTCTTGAAATATCTCCTGACATCTTCTTCATTGTTCCTCACGCGCATTGGTCAATTTCAGATCCTGTACCTTCCATCGAATGTGAAAACCGATGCTGGCCTCAAGTGTTATTTGAGGGCTTCTGGACGCTTGTTGTGCTCTCCACTGCATGCGCCTAGCGTGTGGGAGTCTTGTTCGATGGCCTAGAACATCATGCCGTCGAGCATTCTTGCTTGAGGCACAATATCATCAGTATTCATCTAGATATCATCAGACTGACCGCGATTCCATCGACCGTCCACGATGGCTGTATGCTCTCAGGCGTGGCATCTCGACTTTGCCCGCAGGCCCGGCAGACCGTCCATCAGGAGGTCTGGTGGTGACTTCACAACCATACGCCAATCTCGACCATGAATCAGACAGAGCAGAATGGGAGATCCTACTTGATGATGCGATTCCTTTTGGCATTCGAACCAAGGAGCAGCTCTGTTTCGAAGCAGATGTCGGACACCAGGCAGACATCGGCTCGCGTCTTGTTGACAAACTAGCGTGGCGACAAGACATCGAATTATGGCATGTTCTGCTCAGGGCGCAAGCCCTCATGAACGGACACGAAGGTATCAAGGTCATCTGGAAAGCGGCGAATCACCGTGGAAAGGCGGTTCGGTTCAACAACAAGGACCCTCGGGTCAATGCACTCTGGTCCACCTTTCTTTCGGCTGGTAGCGTCGATGCTCAGTTCCTTTCAACACTTTGCAAGATGTCCTTGCGTTCCAACATTGACCGCCCTGCTTTGTTTGCTGAGATAGTGGGCGCTGCACTCGAAGGAAATCACCCTGAGAGGGCTCCCAGACTCGCGTCCTGGTTTGTGCCTCCACAGTCTACCCGGTATAGAGGGCGGGAAGACCTATTAGGTGCGTTTCCCGCAGCGTGTCAATCAGACAGCGCTGGTGCATTGAAAGAATTCTGCAAGGTCTACGATGTCGTCCCGTCAACACACATCTACACCGAAGTCATTTCGGCGCTATGGGAACAAGAGCGGCCTTCCGACGCATTCGAGGTGCATTCACATCTGGTCTCCAGAGGTGACCTACCTCCTCAGTTTGAGCTGCTCGCGCCGTTTATCAGTCACCTAGCAGCACATAACAAACCTCTCGGCAGCTTCTTAAGCCCTCTCAATGCTGCAGGAGCTTCATTCGAGGCTCAAGCGCATCGGTTATGGGACAGAGAAAGGAGCAGATTTAACGGGCTACCGACCGAGTCCCTGAACATTGTCGCGAGCCATACTTTGGGCGTGAAGCCGAAGAAACTCAGCGATGACTTTGTTGCGCGAGCATTTGCTACACGAGCTTTTTCATTTGATTTTGCTGTCAATAGTCTAAGATTGATTGGACTTATCGAAGTTGGCCCACTCGCTGTTCGGCAACTGGCATTGACTGCACCTGATCTTTCCACGTTGCGGCTCAGGTTCGAGAGGTTGGCTGAGCTCGAAATCGACACTGGCTCTTCAGCATTTGTTCAAACTGTCAAAACCGTGTGCAACGCTGGACGTTGGGAGATGGTTCAAACACTGGTGAATAATGACCTTCATCATGAGGTGTTTGAGGATTCAGCGTTACTCGAACGGCTTTTGACCGAATACTGCCAAACACGAGATTGGCCTCAGATCAACCGGACACTGACGATTTTGTGCCGGGGAGAAATGAATGACAAAGCCCAGGCTCGTTCAGCTACACTGCTCTTCAAGTCAATGCTGCGCATCCGAGATTTGAACGGTGCTTTAAAAGCACTGAATAGTCTCCGAGCACTGGGAGAGGACGTAAGTCGGGCTTCACCACGGCTCACAGGGATGATACTCCAATGCATGTGCCTGGACAAAGTAAATCGAACACATGGGAACGATCTGATTGCGTCCTTGACCGGATTGATGCAGGATATGATATCTACCGGGTCAAGCTTTCCGGTAAAATACTGGCGAGGGCCACTACGGGCATTAGGTCAAATGGGTCGCATCAACGAACTCGAATGTCTGATTTACTGGATTGCTGAATGGTATAAGCCGAGAGGATTGTACGAACGGGTCTACATGGGAGTCCCCTCCCAACGGTCTCTGAATGACTTCTTTGGAGAGACCTTCCAGAAGTTTATCATGTTGTGGTGTTTCAAGGCCCGTAAGGGCACGCGCATGGTTCATCCGGAGCAATCTATGCGATGGACACGCATTCTGAAGAAACTCCGTGACCACTACAATATTCCGGTGAATGAATACGCCGTTCGCTGGATCTTTATCCGTCGTCTTCGGCTGATATTTGGGACGGAGATGCGCCTCAAACATCGTAGCTGGATACAACGCTACCACACCGTCACCCTTGATCGATACTGGAACTTATACGACAAGATGTGGGATGCGAGACCAAAGGACAAGGTGAAATACTGCGACAGGATGGAGGTTGTACTTCATGGCGGCACGCGAAGAACAGGTAGACGGCGCCGAATGATCACATTTCGGTCACCTGAACAAGAACGTGGGCAGCGATACCTGAACAGTGATATTGTCATGTATAGAGACTTGTTCAATGCGACGTGGGAGGACTATCAGAAACAATAGATTGATCTTGTTGAATGACTCAATCGGATGTGAGGGAATAGTAGTGAATATACTCTGTACAATGAATCGGAAATGAAACTCTAATCACTAAACCGGCGTCAGTTTTTCCCAAATCACGAACTTTCTTGTGCAGGACCATCTCACAGACTCCCGCCGCTTTTATTACCCAGCAACGACTTGTCTTCGGATATTCCCGGCGCTAACGCTATAGAGACTAGTCCCCTAGATTCACATCTCCTAAGATCCAGACTGGTAAGTCTCAACCATCTCTTCATCAAACCCCTCGTGTCAGTCAAAACATGGCGAGTTTTGCGCCCCTGAGAGAGCTCGAGAACCAACAGCGGCCTCCGCGCCGGCTGGACAAGGTCTATGGCAAAAAAAACAGAGTCAAGGCGCCTACACGCGCGATGCATTTTGATCTATTCGGCGGAGGCGATGAGAATGAGATCGTCAAGAAGATGGATGAACTGACGGTTCAAGACGATACAGAAGAGACTGAGCCACCTTCCAAAGCAACCTCCTCGCCACGTGAAGAGCGACCTGCAAGAGAATCCTCTCGGCCAACTCAAGAGAAACCAACGACACAGAAACCACGGCGACGGCGTCGGCTTCAGCGACGAAAACCAGTAACATCCAAAATCATGTCGGTCAGTTTGTCGCCAGTCATTTCGTACTGCTCCATCGCCTGCTAACTTCCATCCCAGGATCTCACGGAAGATGACTTCACAATGCTCAATTCTCTACTCGGGTTAGCAAAACAAAAGAACATACGCAGCTTTGCGGAGTACGGCGAAGACCTGGAACAGAAATACAACTGCACGAAGCTCGGTGAAGGTGGATACGGCGAGGTTTTTGAAATCAAATCCAAAGATCCTGACAGTGCGACCGATATCGAAAGAGATCAAGGCGTGGTACTCAAAATCGTCCCATTTTCCCCGGAAGAAGAACACTCGCTTGATTATGACACAGCCCAGCTACCAGCCGTCATCCGAGAAGCCCAACTCTCGTTACAGTTGGATAGCTTGCATGGCTTTGTTCGTTGCAGAGGAATTAGCGTTGTCAGTGGTAAATACCCTGACATACTTCTTGATGCTTTCCACACATTCAGAGACGAACACCCAGAAGACACAGAAAACGACGATCCGGATGGTTTTCCAGAAGACCAAACATTCGTGATCATCGAAATGAACCACGCAGGAAGATCAATCGCAAAGATCAAAACACCATCAGCTTTTCAAGCTTTTGACATCTTTTGGCAAACAGTCATCATACTCGCCAATGCGGAGGAGAAACTTGAGTTCGAGCACAGAGACTTGCACATCGGCAATATCTGCTTCAAGCCACAAGTGAGAGATGGCCCTACCGACCTCGATGTGGAAAGAATCACCGACCCGGGCAATGACCCAGAAGTGGCGCTTGGCTTGTCAAACCTCCAAGTCACCATCATCGACTACACCCTTGCTCGAGCCAAGATTGGCGAAGAGGTCCTCTTCGATCCCATTGCAGATTGGGAGGAGGACAGGCTCAACACGGGGCCAGAGATCGACTTGCTCCAGTTCGCCACGTACAGAAAGGTACGTGACTGGGCCAAAGAAGTCCAGGCGGAGGTCCTGGCCAACGTTGAGGGAACCGAGGTGGACAAGTACGCCCGGTTCCTCCCAAAGACCAACGTTGTGTGGTTGTCGTACCTGGTGCGGGCCTTGTTGTTGCGGCGTGGTCTGGCCAAGTCGACCACCCTGGGGAACGACAGCCAGTCTGCTGCAGGGAGGCTGCAGTCGCTCTTATGGAGTGGGTTGGAGGCGGTCGCCGACATTGTCGGCAAAGCCTTCCCGCTGATCCCAGAGAGCGCTGCAGGCCTCCTTGAGACTGCGCTGTCCTCGGGGTGGTTGACGACGGCGGACGTAGAAGCCTTTAGGGCTAGAATGGAGGAGTTGTGAGTGGGGGGAGGGGCGTTCTTTGTTTTGTTTGAGCATAGCGACGGCGTTCACGTGAGTGAACGACCCGCCATCAATGATGGCAATGACACTGCTTACAATCGGCCTGTTTTTCATGAATTTTCATGTTGACTTGTGAACCTAACGTGCGCCGTCGATCCTGACAGTCGTTGGAGATTTTAGGTCGGACGTCGTCCGTGGCCTGAATCGCGATTCTCCGTATTGTCTACGGTGAGACATTTCATCTTATGTCAGTCGCATGTGGTTGACCTCAGGTCGCTCCTGCGCATGAACGACGTGACCCTTCCCGATCAAACCGACGTGTCTTGCGATCAGAAAGGATCACGATACTATCTTTGTGGAAGGATGACACCGTAAATTCATCGGACTTTGACGGCTTGCCCGTCTTTCTCTATGCACGCATCTGCCCAACAACCACAGCAAGCATTTGAACTTCAAGAACTGTCCAAAATGGGCTGGATCAAGAGCTTGTTCCGTCCTCGGCAGGAGTACGAGCCTTTACAGAACGATGCCGACCAAGATGACACAAGCATACAAGATGAGGCGGAAGATGAGACAAAGGAGGCAGCATTCTCATGGGCAGAATATGCCATCTTCCTGCTGCTGGGTATCGCGATGCTATGGGCATGGTAATATTGCTCTGGCCAGGATTTTACAAGGCGGCAACATACTAACCAGGCCGCAGGAACATGTTCCTAGCAGCAGCACCTTACTTTCAGTTGCGTTTCCGTACGAGTCGATGGATCCTTGACCATTTTCAGGCTGCCGAGATCTCAGTATCGACTGTCACGAACCTCTCGTCGATGATAACATTGACGAAACTTCAGAAGGGGGCATCATATCCGAGAAGAATATCCGCGTCGTTGGTCCTCAATACACTCATCTTTGGAGTCCTGTCTATATCGACATTGGTCAAAGTTCCCGCAGGCGTTTACTTTGGATTCCTCCTCGTGGCCATCTTCTTCGCCAGCTTCTCGACTGGACTTATTCAGAATGGGCTCTTCTCGTTCGCGTCCGGGTTCGGGAGAAGCGAATATACTCAGGCTATTATGACGGGCCAGGCTGTTGCGGGAGTGCTCCCGCCGCTGGCACAGATCATCTCGGTTCTGGCCGTATCTGCGAAGCATCCCGATGGTGCAGGGAGTACAGACGCGTCTCCGACGTCAGCGTTGATATACTTCCTGACTGCGACTGCTATCTCCATTCTAGCATTGCTGGCTTTCTTCTATCTACTGCCCAGGCATCACCATCACAACAGCCTGAAGGCAGCGGCCAAGTCCTCTGCAAACGGGACGTCAGAAGGCGACGTGCTCACAGACGATGTCAGAGTTACGGGAAGCGGCGATGACGACGTCGAGCCCGAAGAACGTCCTTCGGTGTCACTGACGACACTGTTCCTCAAGATGCCCTTCCTCTGTGCAGCAGTCTTTATCTGCTTTGGAGTTACAATGGTCTTTCCCGTCTTCACAGCCTCGATCCGATCTGTGCGTGGTATCGACTCTGCGATCTTCATTCCCACCGCCTTCCTGCTGTGGAACATTGGCGACCTCTTGGGCCGACTGTCGACGCTGTGGAAGAGGATATCATTGACACATTACCCTTTCGCTCTCTTCTGTCTAGCTATGGCAAGACTCCTATTCATCCCGTTGTACTTCTTGTGCAACATCAAGGGCAAAGGAGCCGTGGTCAGCAGCGATTTCTTCTACCTGGTCATTGTGCAGTTTCTGTTCGGGTTCTCAAACGGCTACCTTGGAAGCGAATGCATGATGGGTGCCGGAGAATGGGTTGCCCCCGAAGAGCGTGAAGCCGCTGGTGGCTTCATGGGACTCATGCTTGTTAGTGGTCTCACGGTCGGCAGTCTCCTGAGCTTCTTGCTTGGAGATGTATGAGAGGATCCGGATGTGTCACACTCAAAGATTTTCTCCAAATTGGTTCGCATCGACGGTGCAACGTTGGGACCATTTTCTAAGACATGTACGATTTGGCACTGAGGCTGAGTCTCAACTCTCGACTCTCGAACCTAGAGTGTACGCAGCCTTGCGGGGACGAAAGATTGCATCACGTTTTGACGGTTTATTTCTGGACGCGTTGGGCATTGGCCGCGGCTGGAAGTTGACATGCACAAATCATTACCTGCTCCAAGCTCAAATGATCTTCTATACAAGCATTGACCCTTGCGGGATGGTCTAATGACGTTATGCATTGCAAACCCCTGAGTACAGCAGAATCGCTGTACACATTGGCAGAGTAGCCACGACTGTGGTACTGTCCCACCGGCGAACCAGAATCTCGCGCAGCTTGAAGAGACATGGGGACGACGGAAACCTCATTATGAGCAAGCACTCAACAATGACTTCGAGGGCAGGATTGCGGATGGTGGGAACGGGAGGATAGCCTCGTGGCTGACTTATCTGCGATTTTAGAGTAATGGGGGCCGCATCGTGACTGGCAGCTGAGTTCCGCTGTGATTGCGACAGGCTGTCAATGACATATTGGATGCATCTGTTAGGCCTTATTTTCACGCAGCACCCGGAGTACTTGCTTCTTCTTCAGAGAATCCAGAAGTAAGAATACCATGTTCAATGTTGAGCTGATGGGTGCCCTATCTTGTCGTTCCTTTAGTTCTTCGATAATAAGGCCAGTCTGGATCTCATCTCCATGGAGGCCGTCATGGGAATGGGAATGAATTCAGCTGCGGGCATTTGATATCTAGAAGAGGATTAGCCACGGAGATTTAGTCGCCGATGACCGACTCCGTAGCGTGACTTGATGGCACTTCTGTTTGGTTCCAGTCCGGGCGCTAAAAGTCTTTTAGAGCCTCGGAAGGTCGTTCTCGTACCCTTTTTTCGTGTTGTTGATCCGCACCTGCAAGGGGCGCAGTCTGAAACTCAACCAGGCCCCCCTTCGCGAAATCACCCATCACATCCATCAGGGCTTCCCTCTCCGAAGTCACAACACTGCAAGACAGCAGCTGACATGCACATCGTCCGGGGCGGATGACATGGTAATACTACGATACCTCTCACGAATGAAGAGCAGGCAGAAGAAGCATGTCCTGATACAGATTCAAGTCTCCTGAATGAAGCGATGAACTCAGGAGACGGCCTACCAAGAATACAACGCGTCCTGATCGAGTTGAACCTTGCCAAAAGGACACCAAACAAGTGTTCCCCGTCTTCTCTTCCATCCACTAATCCAATCACCGCCCAAGCTGTCACGCCTTGGTGGCACCTTGTGGGATGGCGCCTTTACAGTTTTTTCTATTCTCGAGCCTGACAAAATTGTCAAGATTCGCTTCTCCACCAATCAATCCACCATCTTGAGCCTGCGTTTCAGAAAGATGCAAGCCGTCGGCCAATAGTGCGCCTCGTCACTCTCAGCTTCAGTTTGTCTATTCTCCGTCGCGGTCCGCTGGCGTTGTGCCATTTGACTCGATTGCGCAGGCCTGACCTTGATCAAAGCACCCAAAACTCCATCGTCACCTCTGACCTGGTCCGCGCGTGTCACCTCAATTGTTCCGATTCTCCCCCCCAAGTTGCGGGCATATCCCCAGCTCGTTCAGTCCTTGCATATCATTTCATAACCTCAAACAAGTGCTTACGACGACATCTTCCTCCTTCTCTCAGCTCCTTCAGTCCCATATACTCCTCGCACAACTCCTCTTGCTCGAATACTAGTACCTCCCAGACACACTTCGAATCCTTACCTCGTCGATCCTCTTCTCTCCCACGCGACTGTGACCTTGACCGACATTCACTTTCGCTGTTCGCTGGACGAAGACGCCATACAAACCTTGAAGACCCCTGATACGCTCTTTCTCGAATCCTAAGAAACAAAAGTCACCAAACAACATGTCTCAGCCTCGAACACCCACCCTCATCACTTTCCTCTTGGCCGTCCTACCCTCTACAACATTCGCCCTGCCCATATCTCACCTTCTTAAACGCGAACTGTCGACTGGCGCAAAAGCTGGTCTCGGCATCGGTATCGCCGTTGCAGCACTCTTTGCCGTTCTGCTCATAGTCTTTGTCGCCATTCACATTCGCCGTTCTCGACACCTGGCACAGCTCAACAAGGAACGTGCCATCCTCGCTGGCGAGAAGAACCAAGACGGATCCGACAAGCCAGACAAGTTTGCACCCGAGCCCGTTCAATCATCCATCCCTCGACGAAACAAGTCTGTCAAAGACCGTCTGATGGGACCCTTGTATCGAGGCAGCACGATTGATCTCGAGCCAGTCCCCAAGGCTGCTACACGGGGAGGAAACCGGACCAGCACGTTCAGCACATTCTCGTTGGAAGGCCTACCAAGACCCTGGACGCGAGGTGAAAACTCGCCCAGGCCCAGTTTCAGCAGCAAGCGTGCCACAAGAATGATGATGATGATGTAAACACGACGTCGAGTCGTGTTTGTTCTGCGTCATTATTGGCTCGCCTGTGTGCCGTGTTTGATTTTATACAGTCGACAGTGAATACGGAAAAGCATTTGCTGTGCGAGTTATACCCACTGATTTGGCTTTTTGTGTTTTGATGTTGCATCCGGCGCTGTTAGGAGCTTAGGAGTAATGCTTAGGGGGAAGGTCTCGGACTGTTAAATATGTTGGTGGCCCACGTCGATATTGCACAAGGGTAGCCGGCAGGAGGCAGGGTATTGTATGGAAGGTCACATTGCCATTATATGGTTCCATGGAACTCGCTCTGTGGAAGTGAGGAGGTCTGAGACATACCATTATCAACATGTCGGTGTTGGCATGCAGCCATCTTATTTCTACCCATCAGACAAGTCACAGATAACAAAATTATTTAACAAGACATATCAAAGACATCTTCATGTAACGGGTTGAGCTGATCCTATGTTTCGTGCGTTTTGGGAAGCGTGTCTGATCTTGGAGGACGTCTTGCCGTACAAACTGGGAAAGGGAAATTCTGTCCGACCCCCAGCAATCCAAGTTGGCGAAATGATTAGTTACTCGATTCAGGGACAACTCCATTGGCGATCTTTGCAGCATTGGAACAACTAAGAAAGTTTTCAACAACTATAGCGATAATAGTCGGAATATCGTGGGAACTGGAGTCTCCGCTTCATAGACAGAGACAAGAACGGGGTGCTTTCGACGACATCTCCATGTTGGGAAACCTATCCATGCGGGAACGTGGGAACTCTATATTTTATATTCCTTGACCGACACTTGTCTTCGTGACCGTTCGTGCCTTTAGATACGACGCCTTCCATTTGATTGATATAGATTTTCGACATAGATATCGTTCCTCATTGCGGGTGGTCTCTTGCTTTCTTTCCGGCCGGATTTGAGATTTGATTGCTTGCCCTGATATCCAACGAATGGGCACTTGGTCAGATAGATTCTGCCTTTGCTCTACATCCCTTCCCACGACCAAACCTCACAGCAGAGTGTATATCTCGCTCACATTTCGCCAGCATGCCCAGTCCAAAACTAAGAGTTGCGGTCGCCGGCCTCGGGCGTATGGGTGCCCGCCACGCAACGCACTTCCACAATCTCACACCCCGAGCCGAATTGGTCGCCGCCTCATCACCAGAAGCACACGAGCTAGCGTGGGCCGAGAAGAACCTCGACGGTGTAAGGACGTACCTCGACTACGACGACATGTTGGACCAGGAGTGCGCGAAGGGTTTACAGGCCGTGGTCATTGCAAGCGCGACTGCCGTACATTCCGAGCAGGCGATCAAAGCTATCAAGCGCGGATTGCACGTCCTTTGCGAGAAACCATTGAGTACTGGCGTTGAGAAATCTCAAGCCGTCGTCGACGCATACCGGAAATCCCTAACAACGTTCCCCTCGCAAAAAGTCATCTGTGGCTTCTCACGGCGTTTCGACGCCTCGTACCGTGACGCCTACGAGAAATTGCAGACCGGGATGATTGGCGTGCCGTCGGTGTTTCGGAGTCAGACGTGCGATAAACTTGATCCCTCGGGATTTTTCGTCGCGTACGCGCAATTCTCGGGCGGGATCTTTGTCGATTGTTCGATTCACGATATCGATCTGGCGCTGTGGTTTTTCGGGGAGGACTCGCGGGTCAAGAGCGTTAGTGCTATTGGGATTACTGCTGTTGAGCCGGACTTGAGAAAGCACAATGATCGCGACAATGCGTTGGGGCTGGTCGAGTTTTATGGTGGCAAGATTGCGCAACTGTTTTGCTCGAGAATGATGGCTGCTGGGCAGGAGGATTGTAAGTCTTGTTCTCTTTCCCTTCCTCACACTGTGGGCTCGAATGTTCTGCCTTTATGGGTGCGTGTGAGAGTGTGGGATACTAACGTGATGTGATAGCCACTGAGATCACTGGTACAAAGGGCAAATTGGCCATCAATACGCAGCCGGCGTCGAATTTGGTCAACATTTATGAATCCAGTGGGATCAGGAGGGAGATTGCGCCCCATTACTACGGACGGTTTCGCGATGCGTTTATTGCTGAGGCCAATGACTTCACCGCTTGTTGTCTTGACGATACGGCGCCACCTATGAAGCTCGAGGGGGCTGTGAATGCCGTGCGCATTGGCGTTGCTTTGCAAGAAGCCTTGATTTCGGGGAAGAAGATTGAGTTTGATGAGCAGGGGAATCGAATTGATCAGGCATTGAAGGATCAGGTTCGAGCTCGATTGTAGGTGACTGGCCTGAGCAGTCGAACATGCACCGTCGTTGGGATTATAGAGATGGGTGCTACGACATTTAGAAAGATAAACCGATAAATGGACCATGGTTGAAAGGGCAATGCATGTTGATAGATTATGTACCTAGATCTTTGCCTTTGCAGCTGTGCCTACTCTCTTCCTATGCACGTAGCTGATGGCTTTGAACTTCTCTAAAGCTTCACCCCATAGTTCCGACCTGAGCAATCCGTAGACACCCATTGTAGCTCGAGGAGCGATGCTGGCTGCAAACTCGATGGCCCGCTGTCTCATTTTCTCCGGTGGAGCGATCTCATCGACAATGCCGTCCTTCAAGGCACCCTCGCCGGTCCACTTGTGCGCTTCGAGCAGCATCTTCCGCGCGATCTGCGGATGTAGCTTGAGCCGAGGTAACGCGCCGATGCCGTCGAAATGCAGACCTAGATTCACGGGTGGCATGCTGATGAAGCCTCTTTTGCTGTTCATGATACGGTAGTCGCAGGACAAACTGAACGGGCATGCGCCGCCGAAGGTGTGTCCTGTGATCAGGGCAATGGTCGGATAAGGATAGTCAACCAGCGTAGCGAGAAGAGGGTAGAAGCCATCGGCGTTGGCGAAAATGTTTCTATCGGACTCGTCGAGCTCGAGACCTGTACACCAGAATTTGTCGGAGAAGGAGGATATGATGACGGCGCCTGGAGAGTCGGGCTTGATCAACTCGGTCTCGATGTACCGTAGGGCAGAGATGATTGTCTGAGCAAAGGCCACGTTCAGGCGGTTCTCCTCTGGTTTGTTCATGGTGATGATATGTACCCCGGGCGCTGAGGCCGGGGATTCTATGGTAAGGTTGGGGAAGTTGGGAGCCATGCTGGTAAGCCTTCGATGGCAGTCGATAAGGCTGAGATATATCGAGTCTCTTCTCAACTTCCGGATTTGCGCTCGATGTTTCACTGAGCTTGGTTTTCTGCTTGACCTTTGCTATGTTGCAAGTTGGCTCGACTGCGAAATGGGTTCAGAGATCGCTTGGTGCCAATGGTCAAAGGTTGGAGCCGAAAGAGCGTGCGGGGAACGATACTCCAGATTGACAGAGACACATCTTAACCTCGGTCAATTCGCCTACGATGAACTTACCATCTTTATGTTCGGAACCAATTCAAATCTGCTTCCAGTAGTCGGTTCCCAACGAGCGACAAAGTATCGAGCAAAAAATCGAATAGAAGAGCGGATGATGGACTGGAAGAGCAATAAGTCAATCACCACGTGACTGAGTGACCTAGAGCATTGACTATCCCAAATATGGATTAGAACAAGGCTTAGTTTTAACGTGCCCCTGACCAGGAACTTCACGTATTCTACCACTCGTAAAAGCGGTCAAGCATTAACGCCTTGGTCATATCATCGAAAACAATGGCAACACTTGCTGGACCTCTTCTGTCGGCATCCAATATCTCGACGGTCAATGTGTGCATTAATGTATAGCGTCAACTGTTTTCTAGTCTGCGGCAGCTCATACTTTAAGCTCAACGCCTATGCATATCCGGCGCGTAAGAAGACACCGTCACGCCTTCCTGCAGGGCTCATTGTCTCTATCCGGAAGGCAGGAGACATTGCCACTACTCAACACGTACCTTGGCATCCGGGGTGCTCCCATTCCATCATTGATGTCGGCGTCACCGAGGATCTCACTCTGTGACGGGTTTCAATCTCCAACAGAGCCGCCCACCAAGTCGTCATCTGTTGCACAGACAGGACTACAAGCTTCGGTTGATGCAGCTTAGCAATGTTGCAAACAATCTGGCATTAATTCAACAATCATGCGGACTCCAGCTGGACCATCTTCAACCATTTTGCACAACGGACTACCTTTTGGAAACAAGCTCAGCCACGGTTCAACGGTCCCGACCCGGTGATGTCCCGTCCTGCTTGATGGTTGCTGCAGCCGCCGATCAAGCTGTTGCTATTCGCACCAAATATACTAATAGCGGTCACGAGTGAACCTTACCGACGTCCGTTTTCGCCGCAAGTCCTCAATAGCCTCAGAAAGCTGGCTAGCTTCGCGCTGAGCCTTCTCGATGCTGGCTCTGAATCTGTTGCCTTCACGCTCCCACCGTGCAATATTGTCTCTTTCCCTCTGCAACCTCCTTCTTTTCACCGCAATCTCCTGACAGGTCCTACAGTCCTCATTCACGTTTACCAGACTCTCATGATCAAGAAGTTTGGCGCCGCAAGTCTCACCCATACGGTGCTGCCGTGGACAGCGTTGTTTCATGTTGCCCCATTTCCAGTCTCCGCAACGGTAGTCTACCCTTGCATAGTAACACATACTTTCGCAGTGTGTTAGCAGCAAGACTCTTGTGGTGGCATGCTATGGCCCCGGCCTCACCTTTGTTGCCGTATCGCTAATTGACCGAAGGTCTCTTGTCAGCTGGGATCGACCGTGTCACAGATCCATCCATGCGAAACTTACTTGGAGGGTGACGTCGCTCTCAAGGTCCTGGCGTGTCAACAGATTAGACTCTACCAGGCTAGACAGGCGCTGAAGCTTACTTTTCAGTCTTAGGATCCCTCAGTGGTGCGTCCGCGTATACAGTTCCGCAGTGAGTACCCTTTATGCTGGTCTTGACGTGGAGAAAGACTTTGTGAGACGCCCTCGCACACCTCTGACGGCAGCTTCACTTCATATCTTTCGCTGACCGAGACCGTCGCTCCCAGTATAGGACCATTTCATCCGTTCGACTCCGCAATTACTGGCGTAAAGTGGAAACGTGTACGTCTCCACGACCATTCGAAACTGGAACCTGTTCGATCGACATAATGTCGCCAGTGACGATCCACTCTAGTACCACTCTGGTACGTCTTCCGCTGTTACCTCGCGTTATCTAACGATCACCCTGGCTGAGTCTTCGTTGTCAATGTGGCAAACTTTTGAAGGTATCGCTAATGCATCTGGCAAGAGCACAAGACTCGAAATCATCGACAGTTCGATTCGTAACATCGTCAGCCTTCCCCAATCATCGCTTGCATCTCCCTCGCCGAATAAGCAATGAGTGTCGGTTGCATTGCGTGAGGGCGTCGGCGAAGAACCTCTTGAAGACTGCCACATCTGTTGCGGCTTGCTATGGACCCGCAAAGTGAAGCTGCCCTAGATATCAAGCTGCTACGGAAAGAGAGAAATTCTCCAAATGCCGGACAAGAACCGACTCGACAGAAAAACGCAGCTCTAATGCTGACAATTGGCAGGAGCTACTGTTTTCTCTCGCATGTATGGACGTCATTCAAGACGGCATTGGCAAGAATAATTGTTGCCTGTTTCCAATGCAGGACTTCGGCCTGCCCAGCCCCCTATTCAATGTTTATATGGCCTCCAGGTCGCATAAGGCTTCGACACATGCCTCGAAACAAGACGCCTCGATGGCCTCCTTCGCCATACGGCCATGCACAAGGACTACACATAAACAACTGCCAAAATGGAGCCGTCAGTCCTCAAATGGGACCCGATAATGGTGGAGCGGGTAAGATTATCGTTGATCAGCTAACAACTCGAATCCACCGCGCCCGGGGGCCTACGAAAAGGTGTTTCTCACCGGAAGGCTCAGTCATTTGCAAGCCATAAGACGGGGCAGCCTCAGGCGTGGCTCCAATGATGCTCGCGGTCAACCGTAATCGAGCCCGGACTATGTCTCCGACAGTCTGTGGCGAGTAGAATGGTCATAGCTCCCGAGCCTTTTTGACCCTTTCTTCAACATGGTTGAGTCCAGTCTCTGATTGCGGGTCCGTGTTCGAAGAGCTGACCTTCGAGCGCTGTCATGTCCTTGTGCAGGACAAAACCTCCGAACGCGTTGATCCTGAATGGTATCGGGACGAACTACCTCGCTACTAGCACGATTTGCTGTGGAACATAGTGAGCTGGCTTGTCAACATTGGTGGCCACCCTCCGTCATTCAAAAACCGACCAGCCCTCACATGGATGGCGCATGCACGCTAGCCAGACCCAACTCCATTGCTGATGGTGCATGATGGCGTTTCCGAGGTTGAGATTAGAAGCAGCAACCAGCAACCAGCACTCTGGGTGTACAGCAATGCACCTCATCAGCGTCCCTGGACGTGTGCCGGGATCACTCGGCACCGTATTAGCGGTCCGTTGCAATGCTACCGGATTCCATCGCTTGCACTTTACGATGCATCCTTCAGCATAAGCCTAGTGTCATTGTTCAAGGATGTGCAGCTCCCCACCCCCAGGCCGCGTGGTTTCTCCGAAAGCCATTCTTGGATCTACGCAAGCTTCAGCCTAGGTTCATCAAGATGAAACTTCCTTCTACGCTCCTAACAGTGACTGTCAATAACAGTCCTACCGAGCGTCTGTTCTGCCTCAATCCATTACGGTCCTTCTGTCATGCGCCTCAACGGGAGCTCAGCAGATACGAGCCCGGTCGACCTTAGTTGGAGCTAGATGCCAAGCTGATGGTTCCTGCAACATGATGTATCTAGCTCCCAAGGAGGAGTTGAACTGGAGCCACCTGCATGATGGGTGTATGACGGTAGCCATCCTCTGCTCCACCTCACCTATCGTTCCACTCCCCTCCTGGTTTTGTATGGCTAGGAGGCGGCTGGTACGCAGGTTTGCATCAGAAGGCCTGTCTGCTGATGCACCTTCGCAAGGATTTCTTATCAAAGGAACGCTTTCTGTTGTCTGCTGGAAACACTGCTGCCTAAGGCTACCCCAGCATGCCACATCCCATTCACGTCAGTATCTGCGGCCCGGTCCATGCCTCAAACCTCGACTAATCCAGAGATCGGCTTTGTTGTCTGTACGTGATGAGCTCTACTCCTGGTCCTCAGAAGGATGCGGCTCTGCGGCTCGAATATGCCCCGTTTCTTGGACCTGAGACTTGAGGAGAGGGAGTCAAGTGAGGTCCCCGTCTGCTTTTCCGAGGGCTGCTCTCACTCTTCGAGGACTCCATGGCGAGCAACTGGCACGCTTCCACAAACTCCAATATATCTCCATGATATCGCGTTCGCGGTCAACTATGATGCTTCCGCAGCTCTACTCACTGTTCTTGTCGTTCTCATACTCATCAATGGGTATATTCCAGGCACTATGTTTTTTGCTAGATGGGTTCGCTTTTCCAGCCTTGTACGCTAGCTTGAGACAGTGATTATGAGCCCGCTCTGGGGCCTGACGCTCTTTGAGTTCTTTCCTTGGAGTGTTCTCTGCTCTTCGCTCCGTCTTGAGGTTGCTCCTGTGCGGCCATCCTAGCTGAATACTGTGCGTTCTGGCGGTCACGCGACTGATCTACATACCTGCCACGCGAATCGTGATTTGGGTCCGAGTAAGTACTCACGATACCAGCGGTGCATTAGACTTCGAACGGCGGAAACCAAGAAAGAGTATCTTGACGGAAAGCAGTCCTACCAACACAAGAAGACACGTAGGAAAAGCTTGCAGACAATAAGAACACATTCGGTGAAACAAGCCGACGAGAAGAAACCATACTATCATGACCATAAAGAAGCTTGGTAACTGGACTCTTGGTCAACTGTTTTGTTTTTATACACGAGGCCTTCAACAGTGCAGGCAAGGTACAGAGGTTATTCAGTTCTATCTTCCGTATTATGTTTACAACAGCTTCTGTCTACTTTCTGGCCAGATTTTTATGCAAGACATGCTCCTTCATACCCAACGCAGCAACAGCAGCGAGCACAGCTAATCCAAGCCCTGCGATGAATGCACCTCTCAATGCGTCCATATAGATTCCATTGATGACATCTCTGCTCCACCCAGCAGGTAGATGTTTGACGCCCTCTAGACTGTTTCTGATCTTCCTGATGACATCTTCACTGCCTGGCATGTCACCATATTCGTCGCGAAGCTCCTTGGTAAGAATGTTTTGAAACACGGCGCTTGCGATTGTGATGCCAATGGTCGACCCCGTCGATCGGAAGGCGTAGCTTGCCGCCGTGATGACGGCCTGGTGCTGATGGTCGACAGCGCTGATCATGGCGACCAAGGTGATGGTCAACATCGCTCCGTAGCCCAATCCCAGTGGGCTCACATACACGTACGTCGCCCACGCGGGGGTATCGTACTGGAATGTACACAGCAGTGCGGCACCAACAACGAAAATGGTCATGATGGCGACCATCATCCAGTAATAGCGGCCTGTGGACCGCATGATATATCCGACCCCCAAGCTCCCGACTGACGTCGCGGCGGCGAACGGAATGACGCGTAGACCAGCCGAAGTCGAGCTCAGACCGCGGATCTGCAGGTACAATGGGACATAGTAGAGTGCGAGAAATGCGGACATGGTCGAGAACCAGTTTGCCAGACAGCTGAAGAGGACGGTTCGGGTCTTTGCGATGAGCGCGACAGGCAAGACCGGTTCTGGGATCCAACGCTCATGAGACTCAAGGTACATGAACACCGCGAGGATGACGAGCGATAGAACCAGCGATGTGATGATCAGCGGGTGCGACCAGGGCAATTGGTTCCCGCCGGTATTCAAGCCCAGCAGGAACAACACCAGCGACGCGACGAGCAGTGATGAGCCCAGGAAGTCGATCCGTCGTAGCGCCGGTTTCGTGCTCGGGTTGACGGGGATATCGACCAGGAACCAGACCAGTACAGCGGAGACCACAATGAAGGGCACTTGCAGCAGGAAGGCCCAGCGCCAGGATAACCGGTCGGCCAACAACCCGCCGAACACGCCGCCGGAACCCATGCCCAGACCAAAAACCAAGTTGCCGTAGCCCTGCCACAGACCACGCCTCCTCAACGGGATCAGGTCGGACGTGACGAACGTGCTGATACAAGACAGGCCGCCGCCGCCAATACCAGCAATCACGCGCCCCGCAATGATGGTCGAGGCGTTGGGCGCGAGACCGCATATCAGTGTGCCGACGGCGAAGAAGATGTTAGAGAATAAAAGACCCCAACGTCGCGAAAAGATGTCGGTAAGTTTGCCTGAGAGCGGTTGACATGCTGAATTGGCGATGAGGTAGCCTGTTGCCAGCCACGACAGAAGGCTGAGGGAGTCGAAACTCGAGGATATTGGCGCCGTCAATGTTGCGACAATGGTCGTGTCTAGTGCGGCGAAAAAGACACCGATCCATATTGCGACCATGATGGCGACGAGTTTCTTGGTGCTGGGCTCTTCGGCCAGCGCGGTTTCGTCGGCGGCTGGGTCCTCTTCTGGCGAAGGTTGTGTGTTTTCCGGGTCGACGGGTTGGCCATTGCCACGGCCATTTTGCTGGGTCTGGCCTAGGAGGGGACTTGTTTCGGAGGCATCCTCCTCGATTGGCTGAGGTGATAAGACTTTTATGGCCATAGTGAGGACAGGTGCGTTGCAAATGCGTCGTCGGCTCCGAAGTAAATTGGCAGCGCTAGGTGTGTAAACGAAGGTATATATACTGATAGCTAGAAAAAGAAGTTTTCGTCAAATGTACGTACGATATTCGTGATATCGAGTGGGTTTGTGGTGGAGTTTCTGTCTATCGAGCATGATTGGACGATCGACCATGTTATCGCCAAACTTCAAGATATATAAGGAGCTGCGAGCGTGATTGTGGAAGCACAGCTTACGGTGATGGAAACAATACGTCAAGCGAGCGAGAGTTGATTACTTTTAATGGGAGACATATCAATCCCTGAGTGCTTCGATATCTACAACCTCCTTGACCGCCTCGGTGGTGAGCACATACGGACTGTCCTCCTGCACACAGACACTGTCTTCAATACGGATTCCCATGTTCCTAAAATGCTTCGGCCATCGCTCGTCGTCTGGCACATAAATCCCTGGTTCAATGGTGATACAGTGCCCCTCTTGTAGTACAGTCTTCCTGGTGTATCCAATGCTGTCATGCACGTCAAGGCCGATGTAATGGCTCAAGTGGTGCGGGAACAGCTTCTCGATCGCTTTCGAGGACATGTCGAACCCAATCTGCTTCAGTTCCTTCGACAGATGATCCTCCGCAATGCTGTGCAGCTTGTCGAGTGACATATTGGCGCTCCCGCGACACAGCGAGATCAATGACCTCTGCATGTTCAGGACCGCCTGATACAAATCCCTTTGAGGATCTGTAAACTTGCCACTGACCGGCCACGTTCTCGTAATGTCGGCAATGTAGCCACCGTACTTTCCGCCGCCGTCAACCAATACCAATTCATCGTCTTGCAAGATGTCGTCGTTTCGCACATAGTGTATTCCTAGCGCATTTTGGCCTCCAGCCACGACAGGCTCGAATGCGGTGGTGTCGCACCCATTAGCGACAAATCGATACCGCAGGTATGCATCCAGCTCTTTCTCCCGTGTCCATGCTTTTCGCATGGCTTCAGTATGTGCTCGCCCAGAGGCTTTTCCAGCTCTCCGCAACACCTCAATTTCTGCGGGACTCTTGAAGGCTCGAAGGTCGTTCATCACCGGTCGCAGTCGGCTGATCTTGTTCGACTGCAGAAGCTCAGCAAACTCTGTCGTCTTGCGGGATTGCCCATACAGAAAACGACGCAGAGCCGAGGTATTTGGGTCTGGGTTGGTAATATCCGTGTAGACTTGTGATGCCGCACCCACCAACTCAGGCAGAATGTGTTTGATTCCGCTTATATTGCCTGTCTCATCTGCATTGAACACGTCTCGTGCGGCTTGAATGCCTGATCTTGCACCATCCCAGATCTCGGCTTTGGGATCCTTGTCCCGCACATATAGGTGGAATGTATGATCTGTGCCAGAGGCATCTTTTCCGATGACGGCCAGTGCTTCTGGTTCATTGAAACCGGTCAGATAGAAAAAGTCGGGGTCTTGGTGGAATTCGTAGAAGACGCTTCCTGAGCGGAACACTATGTCGGAGGCGGCGACGATCGCGATAGCCTTGGCTGGTAAGGCTGCTGCAAGCTTCGTGCGACGATCTGCATACTCCTGAGCCGTAATACCGGGAGTCAACTCGCCTGGCTGAAGGAGGTGCGGATGCGTCTCATGCACAGGCTGGCCGAACGACAAATCGCCTGCACTGACACTCAGGCTGTTGTAGTTGCGCAGTGCGGGCCGCGGGCAACTGCATTGCAAGCTGCGAACCAACGATCTGACGCCATCATTTGCATGCTTGAGCGTCTGCCATATTGTCCTCCGCATCGACATGCTCGAGGACGAGATGACAGCGCAAGTGTTGCAGCAATGATGGAATTGAGTTTCTGAAGGGCGTGAACGCCGAGCGCACTTCTCCAGGCGAGAGATAGAGGGACCGCATAGACCTGCCCACTATGGAAGGCTTGACCAATATCCACTCACCTGTCAGGCCTTTGTAACAAGGCATATAGCATTGGATTGACTCATATCTTGGTTTATATGAACCCAAATATCACGATTGAGGAGACTGAGAACAAGAACAGTTGACTTTCTACATCACTACTGATCACAGCAGCCGCAGCCATGGTGCAAGATCTGGTATACCCAAAAAAGAAACAAAACACCTTGAACAGGTACAATAGCAGAGGTAAAGAAGGCGTACACCAGTAGACCTGTCGATTCTGACAATTCGCAGGAACATACGACTTGAGCACCATCCACCATATCATCAACTCTATTTCAGTGCTCCATGTCTCCTTTGCACCAAGCCCGGAGGACCCCTTCCCAGTCATCTTACCAATGATTGGGGTCATGGGCTCATTTGAATATCCTTCTGCTGATCTCAACGAGCCTCTCGACTGTTATCTGCACGGCTATGTCAGTTCAAGACTCATGCGCCTGGCCCGAGAATCCGGAAATGGTCTGCCAGTCTGCATCGCCGCAACAAAAGTAGATGGCTTGGTTTTGTCATTGACCCCGAATTCGCACAGCTACAATTATCGTTCTGCCGTTCTGCAAGGATATGCAAAATTCGTCGAGACCGACCAGGAGAAGTTGTATGCGATGCAGAAAATCACCGACAAGGTGGTGGAAGGCCGCTGGGATCACACCCGAGTCCCACCAGACAACGTTGAAATGACCTCAACGACCATCTTGAGGGTAAGTATCGAGACCGGCAGTGGCAAGATACGGCAGGGCGGTCCTCATGATGAGCCCAAGGACGAGAACAGAACCGACATCACAGAGAAGGTCTGGACCGGTGTGGTGCCAGTGTATGAGACACTTGATGCACCTGTACCAAGCGCGACCAACAAGGTCAATTCACTACCAGAGTACATCCAGAAGTACGTGCAGAAGGTGACTTCGGAGAATCGTGAGCACGCTCATGAGGCGGTAAAGGAGCCGTGATAGATAGATGGGCGGAAAACAATAGTGTTCTCAATCGTTACCTAGCATTGGGCAGTCAGTCGTCATTACTTTGCATCAAATCAGACGCTCCTAGTCCATGTTATTGAATTTGTAAGAAATGTGTGTGCTGGCAAGTTTGGTGATGGCGAAATGATCTCGCTTAAAGCCTGAAAAAGCAAGGCTGAGCCGTTGCTGGGCCAACACATTTCCGCCGGACTATGACATTATTCGGAAAACCTGGAGAAGAATCACGTACCACGAGCCAAATTGCAGAGAGATCACCGTGCAAAACCACTTACCGGCCCGTTCCTGATATGCCTTGACCGACAGTGATATGAAAATCCTCCACCATAATTTGCATGCCGAAACCTCGTCGCGAGTCCACGGCGAGGGCCGACACACGCCCAGACTCAGCATTTGATCGACCTCCACGTACTACCCGAGCCACGCAACCACGACCCGCTTCTCCATCGTACGATGACGACGAGCCACGCACACCGAAAAGAGCACCGAAGGAGAAGGCAAAGTCTTCGCCTCGAGTCGAATCACCATCACCAGACAAAAGACACCGTCGTGTAAGTGACCGACACCGCAGTGCAAGCGGAGTGAAGAAGGAGAGAGACCGAGCAAAGTACAGTTCGGGTACCTCGACAAATAGTGCTAGCCAGCTATTGAGTGCCGACGCATTATCGAAGTTGAATGCATACAACTCAAAAATCGAGTTTCAGGAAAAGTACGATGAGCGCAAGCGGAAGAAGAAAGAGTACAAGAATCTCAAAGGCGCTGAAGTATCGCAGCAGCGGCGGAAGAAGAATCGAAATGTCAGCGGTGCCATTCTAGAAGAAGGAAGAGCGAGGGACAGACAGAAACGGCCTCACAGAAGAGGAGGAGGAGGTGGGTCTTACGAGAAAGGCTATGAGGTGCACAAACAGACAGATGGCCAAAGACGACCCAGGAAGAAATTCTGGTGGTTGTTGGGTGTGCTCGTGGTATTGCTTGTCATCATCATCGCTGTAGCGGTAGTGGTGAGCAAGAATAGCAAGAAGTCGAGCAGCTCTTCTAATTCATCTTCCAGCACGACGTCAGACTTCGGATCAGACCCAAGCAATACATGCAGCTCAAGTTCCGTGCCTGCCAGCGCGAAAGGGACGTACACCGACATTTCCGCATGGTTGGACACTGCCGACTTCAACTGCACCTACACTGACGGCACGGTCGGCGGTCTGTCGCTCATGGGACTCAATTCCACCTGGGATGATTCGACACAAGCCAATGACAATGTGCCGGCTCTGAACAAGGCATGGAGTTACGGAGACATGCCCATACGTGGAGTCAACTTGGGAGGCTGGCTTGATCTCGAACCCTTCATCACGCCCTCCTTGTTCGACTATCCTTCCTCTGATGGCATTGTCGATGAGTGGACGCTTACACAGAAACTCAACACATCCGCTCAACGCATTCTCGAAACTCACTACTCGACATTCATCACGAAACAGAGCTTCATTGATATCCAGAATGCTGGCCTCGACCATGTCAGGATACCGTACCCATACTGGGCAGTCACGACTTATGAGGGCGATCCATATGTCCCCAAGGTCGCCTGGCGATATCTGCTTCGAGGAATTGAATATGCCAGGCAAAATGGTCTGAGAGTTAATCTGGATTTGCACTCCGTGCCTGGAAGTCAGAATGGATGGGCTCACAGTGGTCACCAAGGCGATATTGATTGGGCTAGTGGAACTGACGGTGCGACCAACGCTCAAAGATCGCTGGACATCCACAACCAGCTGTCTCAGTTCTTTGCACAAGATCGATACAAGAACGTTGTGACAATCTATGGCTTGGTCAACGAACCAAAAATGCTTGTCATACCTGTCGATGATGTGCTCGACTGGAATGAAAAGGCCATCAAGATCATCCGCGATAACGGGATCACGCAGAAAATTGTGTTTGGAGACGGCTTTCTCAGCCTGACTGACTGGGACGACATCTTTCACGCCGTAGACGAGAACCTCGTCATGGATACACACCAGTATCAGATCTTCAATACGGGTCAGCTCAACCTCACGCATCAGAACAAGATCAATCTTGCGTGTTCCGGCTGGACCGGATTGATGGTAGCGGCCAACAATAATCAGACTGGGTGGGGGCCGATTTTGGACGGTGAATGGTCCCAAGCCGACACCGACTGTGCGCCCTATCTGAACAATGTCGGCGTCGGTTCCCGCTGGGAAGGGACGCTCAATACCGGAGATGCAGAGACTTCGGTCTTGACACAAACCTGCCCAACACCACCATGCTCTTGTGATCAAGCGAACGCTGACCCGAGCAAGTACAGCTCTGCATACAAGCAATTCCTGCAAATGTACGCAGAAGCACAGATGCATAGCTTTGAACAGGCATGGGGCTGGTTCTATTGGACTTGGAAGACGGAAAGTGCTGTACAGTGGAGTTGGGAGTTGGGTCTCGCGGCTGGCATTTTGCCCGAGAAGGCGTATTCACCATCGTTCAAGTGCGATTCTACTGTTCCTGACTTTAGCGACCTGCCCGAAAGTTATTGATGAGATTAGCGATAGCGTGCATTGTCAGAGTCTGGGGATCATTTGAGCGTAATGAGGTTTCCGAGCATCAACGCATAAATGGATGTCGAGTATAATGAACATAGAAAGGTAATAGATCTTACCTACCTCTCAGGGGTTAACAACGCCTCTCTCGTTGTAACACGAACATAGTCTCCCCTAAAATGCTCGAATCTGCCGTCAAATTTGACGCCTCACGAAGTAGGTGCCGTCAACACGTTGAGCAGATGCATTTGCCCTGAGGGTGGTGTCCCATTGCTATCGTTGTGACAGTGACACTTGGTTCCGGTCGGACTCACCTATGCTCTTGTCCATCCATATCATTCCCCCGGCAGAGGCCACTCGAGCGACAAAGATATGGAGCTTGGGCATGGCGGTATTCATTTGTACCTTGTTATCGATGCTGGGACCAGCTCGTCTTTACTGCCTCACCTCCGCTTTCAGAGCATAAACACCTGCGCATTGCCGAACGAGTATTCCCCTCAGCAACCATTCACATCTTGCCTCTCTCCATTCTTCGCACGCACACTGGCATTGAACATTCGAACTTGTATCAGCTCATACTCCCAGTCGAAACTCGAGCGGCCAAGATGAACAACACCTTGGATCCAGGCGGGGAAGGCGCCTTGCTGGAACGTGTGCGTCGTGCTTTCCTCAACAAGGCCTTCATGAGAGACGCACGACAAATCTGCATGGGCATCGACGGGAACATTTACCAATTGGTGCAATTTCCAGGCGTACCAGTCGTTCGCATGCCAGATGATAATCCAGCAGCCTTGCATTTTCTCCAATCGTTCTCTGCGAATCTTCAAGCGCACGTACCGACATCGACGACTGGAGGCCGGCCGGCGTCGAGTCAAGCAACGACCACCGACTTACCTCGCGCAGGCAACGCTGTAGCGCATCGGCGACCATTTCAAGGCCTCAACGCGGCTGACCTCAATGCGGCTGCAATCCTTCAAGGTCTCAATGCGGGCAACTCCCAGAAAATCGTGCTTGAAAGATTGATCTTACAGAAGGATGCTAGATACCCGGTGTTTTTCCAGGACGTGTTCGATGCCGATCAATGCAGCAAACTTCTTTTTCTGGCCTTGCACCCGGTTCCTTTTGAAACGATAGCATATGTGTTGCGCCTTGAAAATGATGGGGAAGTCCGAGACAAGGAGAGTTTGGCTAGACTTGGAAACATCATCGCACATTACCTACCACAAATCATGAGGCAGGAAGCAGCTCTGAAGCCAGACGCAGAAACGATGGTGTCAGACCTATTAAGTCGTGCTGAGTCTGGTGTCTGGATGCCTAGCATTCTTCAGCATGCAACAGACTACATCAACACTTCAACAATGGATGCTGACAGTGGTTCGAAAGAGCGTCGAAAGTATGCGAGGGAAAGAACAGTTCTTCGAGAGTGGCGGGAAACGATACTTCCAACAATACTTCCTGTTCTTCCTGATGACGTCGATCTAGCCGCAATCACGCGGCACCTAGAGATTGAACATCAGGTACAGGCCGCATTGGCGAGAGAAGAGGCTGATGAGAAGGGGCTGTGCAAATTGGGATATCGCAAGACCGATCCTGAGGGCCAGAAGGCTATGATGTTGCATCGGCTGGTGTTCCTTGCAAAGGCAGACAATTGGCGTGGTCTTCTTAAGATCAATGGTATCATCGAATAGGAATGTGACGGAAGGAGCCGAGGCCTAGGTCGACAGGCTCTTGAAGGGGCTGTTCACTTCGACGTCAGGGACTTGTCGATATTGTCGATCGGTGTCTGTGAGTGCTTGGTCTTCACGATTGGTAGAATGATGGCTTTGGGAGGACGATACCTCCACTCACTGTGAATGAGAGAGTAAGATGACGATCAATGATCCTGTCGTGCTTGTGATGATGAGAAGGAACAAAGATAGTAAACAAAGACGTCACTTCCACCTAAATTCGCAGTGGTGTCTCAATACGGAAGGATGGACCGCTGCTTTACATCGTAAAAGCGGCGGGTCCTTATGGACGACGCTGTATTGTCCTAGCATTGTGCTACTTCCCAGTGTCAGGCAAACATGTCTTTAGAAGCCCGTCCATCATGAAGAACGTCACAAGGACCAAAGGTTCCAGATAGAGACAGAGTCATTGCCGACGATGTCTTCACCAGGTCTGTCTACCAGGCTTCCACGTTCTACATCGCAGAACGACCAACAGCCGGACATCAACACCGATCTCGCCGGCACTGCTGAGCACGACAATGACGACGAACAAGAGAATGAAGCCTGTCAAGGGGATCTGCCCATGAGCATGACCGCGAGTGTGATCCTGACGAACCTGCCTAGAGATGCGAGCCAGGCTCTCAAGGACGTCGAGGAGATCGATGACCGGAAGGTATCCGTGCGGTTCCAACCCATTGGATCGGCGCCGATCTTGAAGCAGCGGGTGTTCAAGATCAATGCATCATCCAAGTTCAGCGTGGTGTTGAATTTCTTGCGGAAGAAGTTGGGCGTCAAGGACGGCGACGGGGTGTTTCTCTATGTCAACAGCGTCTTCGCACCAGGCTTGGACGAGGGTGTGGGGAATTTGTTCAGGGTATGTGAAGTCGTGTCCATGAATCTGTCTACATGTCTAGGATGTTGGATGAAAGGTGGTGAAACGACAATGCTAATGCTTTGTTGCGCTGTCTAGTGTTTCAAGACGGATGAGCAATTGATCGTCAGTTATTCTACAACGCCTGCTTTTGGTTGAACCAGCCCTCAAGATTCAGCGGAATTCCGTGCGCCACGCCATGCTAGAATGCACAAATGTCCGCTACCGCCAGCGGCTCATGCCGTTCGCTGAAGATGCAGCACTAAACCGTCCACAGTACACCAATCGTGGCATAGGTCATGGTTAGCCAGTTTTGATGGCCGCCTTGAAGGCTTCCGTCACCTTGCTGTCGCTCTTGTACACATACTGAGCAGCCGGGTAACTTCGGTCGGCAACCTCATCCTTGTACTGCTTGATGGCTGCTGTGCCGGCCTCCCATATCGAGCCGTACCTCTTGACAAACTTGGGCATGAATGCGTCGGGACCTCTAACCCCAAGCATGTCAATCTGGACCAGGACCTGTCCGCTAGTCTTGTTTCCGGCGCCGATGCCAATTGTGGGGATGCTCAAAGCATTGGTGACTTCTTCTGCAATGTCTGGCGGGACACATTCCAACACGACCATGAACGCACCTGCATCTTGCACTGCCTGGGCGTCTTTATACAGCGACATGGCCTTCTCGACGGTATTGCCTTGGACACGGAACCCTCCTAAGGCGTGCTGGCGCTGCGGGGTGAGGCCGATGTGCGCGCACACGGAGATACCGGCAGTTGTGATCTTTTTGATTTGAGGAGCCATTTCTGCACCACCCTCAAGTTTGATACTCTGCATTCTTCCTTCTTTGACCATGCGTATGGCGCTGGCGAGTGCCTGTTCGGGGCTGATCTCGTAGGATCCCATGGGGAGGTCACCGACGGTGAAGGAGCGGTTGGCGGCGCGGCTAACGGCTCGGGCTGACATGATCATTTCATCGAGGGTGACCTCAGATGTGTCGTCCATGCCGAGGGACACCATGGCCAGTGAGTCGCCGACCAACACCATATCCATTCCGGCTTCTTGTGCCATCAGCGCTGAGGGGAAGTTGTGTGCTGTCAACATGGTTATGGGTTTCTTGTCTGCATACATCTTCTGCAATGTCTGTATGGTGACGGGTTTCACGCCCTTGGCGAGCAGAGAGGGTGCGCTGGGAGCATGTGAACTCCATCGTATCTGAAGATTCGGTCGACTTGCGAGAGGAATGATTGCTGCAGGAGGAGTGTTGTGGAAGAGTGGTCGTGTGAGGGCAGAGGAGCGGCATGCGCAGGCCATTAGAGCCATGTTTCTTCAGCCAGGCTGGGTCGCAGAAGTACGAGAAACGAAACAACGATAGAAGGGAAGTAGTGTTTTGAGGTCCGTCTGAGTCATCTCCGAAGATCAGGAACAAGGCAGCTGAAGGGGAAAAAGTGGTTGTTTTATTGTTTCGTCGTGCTCAGTTCTTTATGCGTATATCTGAGAAATGGTGTTGACCTTGGAGAGCAGCCTCGGTGTTGACATTTAGTGTTCTGCTAGGCACCCCGGACCAAACGGTCATGGAATGCAGAGTACCGCCTATTGCCGCCGGAATCCGAGAAGGACTCACTAACACGCTTTGAGTTTAGGCATCCCTTGGTGAGCCGAGGCGTTCATCATTTCACAAGCAGTTTTGTGTTCTATCTGCTGTGCTGTTTGAGCAATTGTACCAGCACTTTCCACTTGTGTCCGGGTTATTTGCAGCGATAGGAAGTATTCGTTGCTATTCCTTGACTCGTCATGGTGGTCGACGTCCCCGTCCACCGCGTCTTCTCGCTGTCCCAAAAGCTTTCGCAGGCTGGACGCATGGGCGACACTCTGCATTCACTCCTACCTCTAAACTCTCAGCCTGGACCCCGGGCGTTCTAACTTACACACATTCTACTCCGCAGGAGATGCCCGTGATAGAGGAGATGACCGCCATCCATAGGTATTCGAGGCCTGCTAAGTATTGTGTCCTGATGTCGAAGCTGTACATAAAGCAGGTTATAAGCACTAAAACCTAGAGCTTACATCATTTCGTTCATGCATCATGCCCAGTGTCACGATTCCTGCCCGCACAGGGGACTATGTCGCCCTCAAGTCTGGTCAACGACTCAAGCTGATCAACCCACACGGCACCCAAGTCATTGACTTTTGGGCCTTTGTCTTTCCCAGTGCTAATTCAACTACTGGTGGTGACAGCACTACACCGACGAGCTTTATCCGGTCATCGTCCAGTACAGAAGCCACTGGGAATACTACGAGTCAGCATTCGTCTACGCCATTTCCATTCACGTCCGGCGTTCAATACTTTGCAGCCTCACGCACACGCAGCATTCTTTCCAAACTCATACCTGGCACCAAGGATGTGCTGTACACCAACAAATCCGTGCCTCTGTTCACGTTGCTCGAGGACACCACGTCCGGCGTCCACGACACGCTGTTCGGATGTTGCGACCGCTTCCGCATGCACAACTTAGGCCATCCGGATTTTGAGCATGCAAGTTGTGCGGAGAACATGCATCTTGCGCTGCGACGGGCCGCTGCTCAGGGCGTCTTTAAACCCGGCAGCATCTCAGACGAGTGGACGCCAGATCCATTAAACGTCTTCATGAACGTGCCGATCACCACGGGCTTGGATCGGGATTCTGGAGGTGGGAAGATCGAGTGCATCCCGCCCAAGAGTAAGGCGGGCGAGTACATTGTACTAAGGGCAGAAATTGACTGTGTGGCCGTGATGAGTGCTTGTCCAAATGACTTGATAGTGGGAGTCAACGCGGGAAAGTGCCTGAGTGTGGAATATGAGGTGTTAGATACGTAGACCTACGCTCTTTCGGATAGAACTGGGGTATTCGTACACTTCCTGATCCGAGCCAGGATTCGAATCTTTCTATGCTCTTACAGGTGATTACAATCTTTTAACACATACTAGGTACTGGCAGTATTTAGAACAGCGAAATGCAATGGACTGACGACTTGCAGTTCTAGTGCCCACGCGATCAGGGTGACTGTTGGTGTCAGCCACTTGCACAACTCGAGCCGGAACAAACCCCCACGGGTCCATCGCCTGCAGACACAAAGACCTTAACCTCGACTTCCTTCCTTCCTTCCATAGACTCTTTCAACACCCTCACTACCTAATACGATTATTCACTTGTACCGCCCTGATTCACCTACATCCTGAGAATCTCGAGCCTCAGCCAGACCAGGACCAAGCCTTTACCGAGAGAGCCGACTCTCATTCCCACATCGCTTGTCGACTCCGAGAGTCCGTGATCCAGTCTCTTCCAAATTCACCTTGCCATTGCCACCACACTAGCACGTTTGTCTCGTGTTTCTCTTTGCATTGAGAGACGCCCATTCGACCGAACAGTCCCTGCCATAGCGCATTTCGAGTTTCTACGTACATTGCCTGGGACACTCCACATACGTTTTGGACTGGGCGAGTCAAGATGAGTAGTCCGAAGCGGCGGATAGAGACCGATGTCATGAAGCTCATGATGAGCGACTATGAAGTGACATTGGTCAACGACAACATGCAGGAATTCTATGTGATCTTCAAAGGGCCTACAGAAAGTAAGAGCACGGTTTTTTCTATGACAAATGATGCACTGATCCGGCTTAAAGTTGACGGGGACTGACGCGTGATTCTGTGTCTATAGCACCCTTTGCGGAAGGGAAATGGAAAGTCCACGTTGAGTTACCGGATCAATACCCCTACAAGTCACCCTCGATTGGTTTCGTCAACAAGATATTCCACCCCAACATTGATGAAGGGTACGTCTAGGCGCGTTGTGGACATGAAAGACACATCAATGCTGATGAGTATTGGGCAGGTCGGGTTCGGTGTGCTTGGACGTCATCAACCAGACGTGGTCACCCATGTTCGACATGATCAACATCTTTGAAGTCTTCCTTCCGCAACTCTTGAGATACCCGAATCCTACCGATCCGCTGAACGGAGAGGCTGCCGCACTCCTGATGAGAGAACCAAGGAGCTACGATGCAAGGGTCAAAGGTAGGTTGGTAGATCCTGACTACATGCAGGAGTACTGATCGATCTCGAAGAATACATAGCTCAATATGCGACGAATATCCACGACGATGCCGATGAAGACGAAGGCGAAACGGATGGCGAACTAAGTGAAGTTGAAGACTTCGACAGTGATGGCGAGGATGAACCTGCTGGTGCGATGGAAGATGTATGATCTAGATACTTTGGCGATTACGGCTGTCTTACAAGGGGTTTCATTTGGTGCTCGGAGTTGACCATGGGAATGGGAACGGAAAGGAACTAGGGTCACGCATGTAGGATTTCGTTAAGGGATTGTCATGCTCCATTTTTGTGCTCAACGAGTAGACTCGTCTCAACTCATATTTATGATATATCTCATTTTCTTACAGCATCGAAACCACATAAACTAATTCAGTGCAACGAGTATTGGGAGAAGCGGGTGCGTGCATTGACCCGGTGCGTCATTTGGGACTATCGTTGCGCAAGACTCCAATAGTCTCATGCTCAGGTTTCCCAGCCACGCGACCTTGAACTGCACCCTCTTTACTCCATACCTTGTCCCACTCTAGGCACCACCAAGTATTGAAACGCTAAATGACTCGAGGATCATGCTGAGTGCTTGTCAGGGCGCTGTCACATAATATAGCTCGCCATCAACCACGAATCCCGTGCATATCTCAACGTCTACCTCTTGAAGTATCCCCGCCTATGCCGTGATGGCTCAGTCGCTAGATGCACTACCACCAGAGGTGCTTCTCAGTGTGTTCTCATATCTGGATGTCTCAGACTTACTACAAGTAAGTCGCACATGTCTTGCGCTCCGCGATCTCGCCTGCGACCCTCTACTGCATCACGAGCGCCTACACCATGCCTCCTATATCTTGTCGATCGCACTGCCACGACGACCACTGAAGTCCACCATAAGTCCACCCAATTCTTGGATCTGGCTGAGCAGAACCAATGTCCTGTCTCGTCAGATAAGCAAGAGCCTCATTCGAATACGTTTGAGTCACAACCTGGAGCACAGGCCGAGTCCGCGAGACTTGGTTGAGAGAGCGATCCTTCCGTCTACCTGCAGCACTTACTCGTCTCCTGTTTCTCCAGCACTGATACAGTCGCAACAAGCAATACTGAGGAGAAGGTTGAAGGATGGCCTGGGGCGAAAATTGAACATGAGGCCTAGCATGGACAGCCTGGTGTCACTCAACATCATGCCAGAAGAGTGTCTGCGCCGAAGTGTCTCACCTGCGATTGTGGCTACGCGGCGGAAGGTGATAAGGGAAAGCTTGAAAGATGGTCTACGTGCTTGGGTGGAAGGCCGGGCGTTGCAGGCCCAGAGAAAGAAGGCGGACGAGGTGGAGGCTGCTGAAAAGCATACGGTCAAGAATCTCGTGCGAAGGTATGCGGCGAGGAAACTTGCCGTAGAGCGGGCAGAGAACGTTGATGCCGTGAATCTGGAAAAGAGAAAGGCGCATGCCAGATGGGGCAGGGAGGTCGAGGTGGCCAGGAAGGACGAAGAGAGGAGAGCTGCGGCGCATGGCTCTTGCGCCCACCCCACCAGAGCACATGTTTTGGGCTTGAAGAAGTTCTGGGAAGGCGTTATTCGGGCGGCTGCCGCTGGATGAAGTTATCCATATCGGTCAGTGGGTGAAATTGTTCATTCCTGTGTGATTTTGACGATAATGCGCGTTGTATGGATCAAGCATGGTGTATGGCGTTTGTAGCTCTTGATCGTCCTCGGTATCCAACATGGGTGATTGTATCATTGCCAACGAGTCTGTCTGTTCCACATGCTCACCGTACCTCGTCAAAATTGGTGCCTAACATCATTCGTTGCCGCTGAGATACCTGGATTCTCCTGTGACTTTCAATGCGGGGAACAGGGTTCCTAGTAGACTTGCTGCAAGGCTGTGAAAGGACGTTGCCTTGACGATGATATCATGTGAACAGCCGCCGTCGCCGTCGCCGCCGCCCACTCTGATAATAATCCAGTACCACGGTCAAGTTGAACATTTGCGCACACAACAAAAGTCTTCGTAGGTATAACAGGCAGTGCAGAGGTAAGTGTCGGATCCTTTGGTTGTGATGCCGGCTTGTTCAATTTTGACGAAATGACTTTTAGGCAGGAGACACCATTGCGAGGCTTGAGTTACCAAGAACTTCTCAGGCGCAGCGTGACCACGAGTCCTCCAGCACAGATAGCCTACGCAGAAAGATCAAAAGAGCACAAAACATCGGCGGAAGAGAGCGCATCTTTTCATATCGACTCTTCGCGTCTCGGAAATTCTCCAGGTTGTCCCGACAACGATAGCGCGTTTGCGTTTGCGACTTTACAATGTCCTGTGGTGGTGCATGCGGGGCCATTCACTCATCCTCGAAATCGCAATCCTGAAACCATTCCTCATATACCGAGCCAGAAGTACCTCTTTGGTCCGCCTGAGTCCCATGTTCAGCCCGATGCAGGTTTAAAGTCATCCACGTCCTTCGACGTCACATTCCCTTTCGACATGGTTAGAGAACAAGCGCCGGCACGAGATCCTCTTCAGCCCACTATGGCGAACGCTGTGCCTCCCTCCAAACCCCAAGCAAAAGAGAAGGGCCCAAATCTTATCAATAACAGTGTCTCTCAGCAACTATATCCAACCTTACAAAACCCACCTGCGATTGAGCCTCAGTTCGGCAAGCCTACAGCACTAGGAGCCTCTCCACAACCGTACTCAAAGACACAACCTCTTACGAGACTGATCGCAAATGTATCAGCTCCGCGACAAGTAAGCGGCAGTCACGGAGACAAATACTCAAACCTTTTTGTTGCATCGACAAAGCCATCGTACAGACCGGAGCTGCACAAGCCGCATATTGTCGCCAACCCACTGCAAGCGCTTCGAGACAGCCAGCAAGGGCCAAGTCAACCCAAATCGACGGCTTCATCACGGCCCCGACATTCCGATGACGATGTTTTCGAGATACCCAAGCCTGTAAACTTCCCCAGTTGGCAGCCGAAACCCGTCGCCCCTCCCACGTTTTCCTCTCAGCAATCCACAAACCCTTACTTCAGACCTCAGAATGTCGTTGACCTCACTTTCGATCGTCCAACTCAGCCTGCATATCGCGAACCATTCCAACAAGAGCAATATGCTGCCTCGGACCCTTACATGTACATGGACTCGGGAAAGGCCAACGAGGATCTGAAAGCGTTACTCGAAGGTGCTTTTGAGGATGAAGAAGATAAGCCACGGACGCGCAGAAGAAAGAGGCAGCAGGATGCTAAGGTGGAAGAACTCTCTGAGAAGATGAACAATATGACAGTCAAGAATGAGCAATCAACAGACAAGGATGACGATGCGGCCGGGGAAGACGCAGATGACGAGGATGATGGAACAGTCCCTGGACTCAAGGTCAAGCTTCTACCTCATCAGATTGAGGGCGTTAGCTGGATGACCGACAAAGAAACCGGCACGAAGAAGACTCGAGGTGTGCTGCCAAAGGGAGGAATTTTAGCAGATGACATGGGTCTTGGAAAAACGATACAGTCAATTGCCCTCCTGCTTATCAATCCCAAACCCAGTGCTGAAGAGCTCGCCAAGAGCAAACGCAAATTACCAGAAGGACTCGGCAAAGGTACGCTTGTTGTTGCACCTCTTGCGCTGATCAAGCAATGGGAGGGAGAGATCAAAGATCGTGTCGAAGCAGACCACGCCTTGAGTGTATGTGTCCATCATGGACCAGGCAGAACGAAGAACTATAAAGACCTGAAGAAGTACGATGTCGTTATTACAACTTACCAAACTCTGTCATCGGAGCACGCAGGATCGGAAGGCTCTTTGAAGGTTGGATGTTTTGGTATTCATTGGTACAGAGTCATCCTAGACGAGGCCCACTCGATCAAGAATCGAAATGCAAAGGCAACAAAGGCCGCTTGTGCACTCAACGCGGAATACCGATGGTGCTTGACCGGAACGCCAATGCAGAACAATCTCGACGAATTGCAGAGTCTGATTCACTTCCTCCAGATCAAGCCATATGACGACTTGAATCAATGGCGGGAGCAGATCACGAAACCCATGAACAATGGTCGAGGTGGACTTGCACTTAGGAGGTTGCAAGTATATCTGAAGGCCTTTATGAAACGAAGAACGAAAGATGTTCTCAAGGAACAAGGTACAGGAAAGCCAGGCGCCACAGGAAAGGCACCTGGTTTCAAGATCGTGGCTAGGACCGTTGAGAAGGTGCAAGCAGAATTTACTGTACAAGAACGTGAATTCTATCAGCGTCTGGAGTCAAGAACCGACCGAAGTCTTGAGATGATGATGGCGGGCAACAAGATGAGCTATGCATCTGCATTGGTGCTTTTGATGCGTCTTCGACAAGCGTGTAACCACCCCAAGCTCACTGGAAGTGATTTGAGCAACGAAACCGATGCATCAAACGGCACTCAGACACCGAGTCGAAAGAAGGCAAGTGTTGAGGATGATATGGACAGTATCGCGAACATGCTTGGCGGGTTGAGCGTCGAGACCAAGAGATGCGACGTTTGTCAGATTGAGCTGAGTGCCAAAGAGGCCTCTAACGGAGCCATTCGTTGTGCCGAGTGTGAAGCGGATCTGGAAGAGCAGAACTTGCAAGTCAAAGAAAAGCGGAGAGCCAAGAAAGAGAAGAGAATCAAGCAAGAACGACAAGCGATTCGAGCGCAGCGGAAAGAAGCTCGACGCGTTATCGAGGACAGCGATGATGAAGACGCTTCAGCCCCAGATGAAGAGGAGGAGGCTTCCTCCGTTGACGATGATGATGAGTACTCATCTGACGAATCCGATTCTCAGGAACCTGCACTACTGCAGTCCACAAAGATTCGACATCTCGTTTCAATCTTGAAGGCCGACTCTCACCAGCACAAGTACATTGTCTTCTCCTTCTTCACATCCATGCTCGACCTGATCGAACCATTTCTCAAGGAGAACCGCATTCGCTTCGCACGATATGATGGCAAGATGCGGAACGATGCGCGAGAAGCAAGCCTCCACTCATTGAAGACGGATCCCTCAACGCGGGTCTTGCTGTGTTCACTTCGTGCCGGCAGTCTCGGACTCAATCTGACCGCAGCCAGCCGCGTGGTTATTCTGGAGCCATTCTGGAATCCGTTCGTAGAGGAGCAGGCGATTGACCGTGTGCACCGACTGAATCAGACGCAGGACGTCAAGGTATACAAGCTTACGGTCAAGGGCACGGTGGAAGAGCGGATCTTGGATTTGCAAGAGAAGAAGCGGGAACTGGCAAACGCGACGATCGAAGGCAAGAAGGGTGCGATGAAGTTGACGTTGCAAGATATGCTGAAGCTGTTTGGACGCGATGCAGAGAGCGACCACCCCATTGAGGTGGACTCTCTCGGGATCGGGCAGAGAAGTAAAGGCTTGTTGGATTCAAGCGGGTCGAGGGTGGCTCCACAGAGTGCATCGACGTCGTCAGCAGGTGGTGGTCATGGCAGTGGTGGTCGCGAGAGGGAGAGGGAGCAAGTTCGAGTCAGTGACGGTACGAAGAACCCACGCAAGGAGCACGAGATCTATGGCAGGAGATGGTGATCTCAGGATCGTGCCATGATTTGGATATGCTTTTGAGTACGTCTATTGGGTTTGACGCAATGAACCTTGCTCAAACCATGTCGAATGAAGAACTTCTTGACTTCGGACCACTGGGACTGCACCACATGCGTGTTTGCTACGAGGCGTGTAGCGTCATCTGGTGGGCGGAATCCTGCAAAGTGTTCTACATACCTAACAACGCACGAGGCCAGCTTTCTCTGCTTATCCTTCGTCGACTTTGCCGCCATTCGAGATACAGTCAATCATCTTCATAGTCATCGTTCAGCGGGTGGCTGGATTCATCACACAATCCCTACCTGAACATAGGCCACTCTCATCATGTTCATGTGAGATTCGAGTGCCCTCCGTCCGATAAGGACAAATTAGCTCCTACCATAAAGTCTATCAGAGACGCCTCTCGGTAGTATACGGTTGACTTTCGAAAGCCAACCCTAAACCTGATTTCATGTACCCAAGTAGGTATTAGGTTATTGAGACGGCATTGCCGGTGATTGATGATGAGGGACCCAGAGTTCTCTGTCATGTACCTCTATCTTGCGAGATCATTTAAAGCTTTACAAGGCTGAAATCCTCGTATATTGACAATGGAGCTGACCATAAGAGGCCGCGTGTGGCCGCGTCAGAAGTTGCACGTCCCGGGAAACACCCTCTACTCCTCCGAAGGAACGTCAATCTCAGAAGCGAGGACATAGGCGTGGAAGTGGCGTAGAAGGCTAGAAGAGTTCGAGAATGTTTCGGCATTTGACGAATGCGTCAAAGCGCGGTCCGAGCTTGCAGCGTTACTTGCGGTTAATATACAAACACGACGATGAAGGAAGAAACCGGGAAGACCGAGATGAGCAGCTCGGTAAGAGCGATGCCGCAAGCAGCCATCATACTACAGTATGCAAGAATAAGAGTTGAGAATTGAAGAATACTCAGAAGGTCGGTTCCGATGATGGATAATGAAAATGCCTCACACCGAGATAGTTATACGGCAAAGCTCACATTCGCATCTGTTCGTCAACAAACTTTCCACTTTTCAACAGGCGCCACGGCCAGCCACGTTCCGTCCCTTCATCAATCCATTTCGACGATGCTTGTTCAAAGTTGCCTAACTTGCCGTAAGCACGGCCGCAGGGTGTTTTCGAATACTAGAAAACAAACTAAAAGGGGAACTTTCTGCAACCCAGGTCTAGTGGCACATGTTTCAGTCCCGGATGAAGTTGGAACCAGCCTCACGCGACATGGCAGATAATAATGGTTACGGCCAGACACATCCCTGCTTGCAGCCTGCAGGAAAAAACCAGACCAGGAAAACCAAAAAGCAAAAAACGTGGCAGCCACAAAATCACATTGCACCCCTCGTGGCTTTTTCCTGGCGTTTGCTCTATGCCCATTTGGATGAATCCCTCCGAAGTTAGAAGAAGCCACTAGCCGTCGGAGAAGGCCTTCGGACTCAGCGGAGCCCATGCGAAGCCTGACAGAACGAGGCTTGCTGTAACCAAGTCCCGTGCGCAGAGAGGACTGCAGCGGGCGTTCGGAAGGCGAAAAAAACGGCGGAAGTGAGCGATGGTATGGTCGCTAGGTGAGAAAGAGTCTATCAAACATGAAGATATGTTCAGGATACGATTCATCCACGAAGCAAACCGACGGATTCCAATACTACCAAGCACTCGTATTCCAGCAGCCTGATCGGATATGGCGGAACCCGTTCACAGTTCCGTCTACAGGAGAGGCAAGACCCAGCAGGCACAGGTTGGGTAGGCTGCCTACAGTACGATACCAAGGACATGGGCGGCAACCTTCACAAACAAGTACCGCCTACGTGGGTAAGTCCGGTGTGTGAAGTGTGGGTGACTCGATGATGTGCGTGGGGAGTTGACACCCCAGCGCAGCCCAGGGCAACACTTTACGTTGGATACTATGGATAGCGGCACAACCTGCAGCTTCACCAATTGTGCACGCTAAGCAGATGGCCAGTAGGCGTTGAGCCAGTAAGCAAAATCATGCAGGACGGGCAGGAGATCAATGCAAGAGCTAAGGACGAAACGTGGCCAAAGCAAGATCTAACCTGAAGACGTACAACGGCCGGAGACCAAATTGACCAATCTCTGCAATCGATGCACCAGGTCGTCTCTGCTTGGTGCCAGTTGATCATGCTGCCAAAGCGTCATCGATTTGTGCTTTGGTGTTTGCAACTCCACGAAATGGAATCAATTTCCACAACAACCCACTGCACGGCTCTGCTTCCATGCCATCAGTAAACGTCTCGATGACCAAGCCACAGGCTGTTTGGTTGGGCGAGCAAATAACAGGAAAGAGACGGTGTTCGGAGGGGCCGCAATTCGCATCCCCCTGTCGGCCCGGAACTCGTAGGGGCAAGTGGTGGCAGCCATGTGCTCGGGCTGAGATGAAAGCCCCCCGTCACATTACCTAGGTAGTGTCCCGTCACAGGCGTCAAAGGCGTCTTCGAGAAAAATCCATTTCATGCCCAGTTAGGGGTTAGTTGGCGGTTCAGCTCCCTCCCTCCCACACCCAGTGTCTGAGGATGATGAGTAGGTACCTAGGCACTGGCCATGACCACCAACTAGATCATCACCAACACGAACGTCTAAACTAACTCCTGATGCCTTTCCTTCCTCTTCTGTCTTTCTTAGCCTTGTACTAGCCTGTTGTAGACCGACCTTCAGCCGGGCTTTGCCTACAAAGCTCCCAACGTCAAAAGCAAGACTGTCTGTGCACCACCATCGTCAAAACCACGCACCTACCGACCCCGGCTCTGCGGAGGGGAAACTCCGAACAAATCTCAATGCCCCTGCCCATCAGCCCTTGAGGATTGATGCCGCTAAAACATCCAGGCCCCCCCCTTGCAACCTTCGCCTCCGCCTTTCTAGAGCCAGACAAAACCTGCAGTTCTTTTTTTATTTTGTTTCCAGTTAAAAGAACCCCCAAAGCCAGACTGACGGACCCTGACGGCATCCATTCTTCTTCGAGTCTGTTTCTACGATTCAATCCCTTTCCCATGATCTCCTGAGTGATACGACTGCCTCAGACTAACCTCTTTTCTTTTACCACTTCGAACCAATCTATCTCTCATTCACTTGGGAAAAGCAAGGCTCCTTTACCTGCTACGACGATCTTGGCTTCGACCTTGTCTACGGTATCCTACTGCGACTCCAGGTCCGGCGTGTCCAGTCATCATATCTCACCCCTAACGGCAGTTGGGCCATTCCTGCCTTATCTACAAGTTTCGATCTGCAGCTATCACTCTTTCATTGGTGCCTCGGTTCAACAACCACTTGGATCACCCTGCTGTCATGTGTCTTGTGTAGTTCTTTGAATTGGTCAAAGGTCTAACGTTGGGTTGCGCAACACTCCACCTCATATCTTCACCGCTACCCTGGACTTCCCGTCCGTCCATTACCTGGAAATAGCATATCTCTTACGACACATTTGCTCTTCTTCAATCATACGAGAATTCTGGGCTCACTCCAAAGAGCTTCAGCGCCGGCGGCCAGCACATATGTCACAGTTATCGTCAACGAGACAGCACGAGTGAACACTTGGATATTTCTGTATTCAATTGTGCCGCCCAATGGGTAATTCCCAGGGAAAGCCAGTTGTCTTGACTGATGAAGGTACATTCCCTTGTCTGAGTGGTATACACAAGACATGCGGCTAACACATCTCCACAGTCAATCTCAACCACTTTCGACTTTTGAGGGTGGTGGGCAAGGGTGCCTTTGGAAAAGTCCGTATCGTCGAGCGCAAAGACTCGGGGTTGACTTTTGCCCTCAAGTACATCCGGAAGGATGAAGGTATGTTTCCTGTGCGCTGTCTGCTTTGCAGCATGATATATTGACTCGTGTCAGTGGTCCGCTCCGAAAGCGTACGCAACATCATCCGAGAACGGCGAATGCTGGAACACCTAAGTCACCCATTTTTATGCAATCTACGATACAGTTTTCAGGACGTCGAATACCTCTACCTTGTCGTGGATCTTATGAACGGAGGTGATCTTCGGTTTCATATCCAACGAAAAACCTTTACCGAGGATACCATCCGCTTCTGGATGGCAGAATTGGCATGCGCTCTACGATACATTCACAGCCAAGGTATTGTACACCGTGATGTCAAGCCAGACAATGTGCTGCTTGATTCCGAAGGTCATGTTCACCTGGCAGACTTCAATGTCGCATCGGACTTCAAGCCCGGCAAACCGCTGACATCAAAGTCGGGTACCTTGGCTTATCTAGCACCAGAGGTATTCAGAGGGACGGGCTACTACAGTGAGGTCGATTGGTGGTCGCTAGGAGTCACGATGTACGAATCCGTGTATGGGAAAAGGCCCTTTGAGGGAAAGACCTACGACGACCTCGCCGAATCCATTTGTGCAGCCAACCCAAAATATTTCATCACCAAACCGCCCGTATCGATGTCCTGCCTCCACGCAATGACCTCGTTGATCGAAAAGGACCGGCGGAAAAGAATTGGCGCTACCGGTTTCGACACATTCATCTCTCATCCATTCTTCCAGAGCATCAATTTTGAGTTGCTAGAAAGGAAGCAGATACCACCTATATTTATCCCGTCCAGCGAGAAAACGAACTTCGACGCAACATACGACCTTGAAGAACTGCTTTTGGAGGAGGCACCACTCGAGGCGCGGGCTAGGAAGCAAAAGCCTAGAGCCGAATTGCGCACCGATGCTACGACTCGAGAGATACGGGAAGACGAGCTGCATCGCATGATTGAGACTATGTTTGAACCTTTTGATTATACCCTTGCAAGTTATGAATTGTAAGTACCAGGCACGACGAAGAGGAGACCGGGATCACTGACAGACACCAGGAACGCAGCATCCGCAGTGGCTGGCACGGTGCCAGACGAACATGAACATTTAGATACGACACAACACGATTCCCAATCCGTACCGACGTCACCGGACGGTTCACCACCGTTGTCGCCGAATACCATGCCAACAGCTTTCCATGCAGAAGAGTCATTCCCTCCGTTGGACAAATTGAGGGCAGCGCTGCCCCAAACGCAAACACAAACACACGTCCGGCCCGCTTCCTCTTCGAAGTCGTTTAGTCGTCCCATTCCGCCTCAAAGACCAATCGCAGCTCAACGGCAGCCGAGCAAAGGAGGTGGTGTGCAAATGGTCCTGGATGAAACAGGGAGCTGGTCGAACCTGGCTGACCAAACTCCCCCAGTCCCGGATCTTCACGGTGGTGAGATGCATGGGAAAGACATAAAAGGCAGTGGCAGCATGCTAGGATTCTTGAGCAGGAAGAAGGGTCGCGATCGAAGTCCCAAACCAAAGGAAGCTGGCGTCATTGGAAAGATTGGAGCCAGGCATATCATCAGCTGAAGTGGAGGAGAGCGACGCGAGAAGGGATCTACATTCTTCAAAATACAGTCAAGCTGTTGAAGAAATTCACCAGTCAACACCACGACTGTTCTGGTCAGGCATTGCATTTCTGCACAGCGAGTCTTAGCAACCATTTCATGATACACAGAATGTGTGCAAGACATTCAGCATTGGGGTCAGGTTTGGGAGGCATAACATTCTGGTTGCAATTTTGTACCAATATCATCAAGTATGAAATCCACGATAATTAAAGAGATGTAATTTTACAAAGACCCAGAACCGTATTGATAAATGATAATCCCACTGCGCAACCATCTCCATGATAACAATGCTAGTCTCGATTGAATCTAACAATGTGGGGATGGAGGTTACCTGGTGCTTTGGTGTTGATGTTGTTTGGTTTTGGGAAGCCACCCAGAGCCGTGGTTGCCAGGCGCAAAGGTCAATGGAGAAGCTTGGGCTTAGTGTGGCTAAAGATCCCAACTAGCACCCGAACAGCTAGTTATTCTCCGCCAATAACAGCCAAACGTCAACACGACCTACACACCCAATCCTCTACTCACTCACACTACCACTACTCTCTGTTCTGTCGTGCCCTCTTTTTGTTTTTCGTTGCTGGTTGCTGTCAGGTTCTTCAAGCCCACTGCTCGTCCTTTTGCACATATTCATTATCCAGGACGTCGAACCATGCTCAACTAATAGTCCTCCTCGAGGGTCGACAGACAAGCAGCAGCACGCGTCGCGTGGTTCCTGTCGAAATACCCCTCCCCTGCCATCCCCGACCGTCTTTACCATAACCACGGCCAACAAACGCCCTGTCATATCCTTATGAATGGCAGCTGCTGTATTCATACCTCCTTCACCCCATGATCCTTTCTCCAAAATGTCAAACATCTCCCGTCGAGTCCCTTTGGCCAGCATCTCGAACGCCACAAATTCTCCACACCGTCCTCTCAGCAACAGCGGCTCCAAAAGACCGCGTAGTCTGGCAAATGTTTCCCAACAGGAAAATGAACCTCCTCAGAAGCGCTTGGCTGTGGAAAAACATGCTCGAGATTCTCACACCCCGGCCACGCCGCATCGGCAGGCGCAGCCGACCATGGCCGAAGGGCGCGTCTTTGAACGAGGCAATGGCGAGTCAGGCACCACGGCCTTCCAGAGGAGGCTGGTCGCTGCTCGAGACAAAAGCGCCGGGCTTCGTGTGACCAAAAACGTGGAAGATCCTGGGAAAGAAGACACCATCCGTACCTGGCAAAGGCATTATAGAAAACTGTTTCCCAGTTACCGTTTCTACTTTGACGGGGTGTCGGACGAGGCTCGATCACGCTTCCTCCGACAGATCACGGCTCTTGGAGCGGTATGTTTTTGTTGCTGACAATTTGAGGCACGTTACTAACTAGTTGTTAGAAGGAGGAAAAGTTCTTTTCCAAAGCCGTTACGCACATCATCACGTCTCGCAATATCCCAGCGGACTCAGCAAGGAACAATGACTCGACACAACATCCGCCCGTGGACGACCAACCCCAGACTATCAACCCTTCGCTCCTAGAGAAGAATCCACGTGGACACGTGACGGCACCACTACGACGCGATGGCATGAACCAAATGGACATTCTTGTTCGAGGAAGAGAGATGGGAATGAAGATATGGGCTGCAGAGAAGCTTCAAAGAGTACTCACATCGATACTCGAAGATGCCGGTCACGCAACTCACGGTCGTGGGAGCACTCATCAGGGTCGGAATCAACATGAAGACTTGGGACAAGTACTGAAGAGCGAGAAGCTGTCGGCATATTCGGAAAGAGAACAACCCTTTTTGTCTCTCGTAGGTTTCAAAGGTCCTTTCATCTACGTCCATGACATGGATGAGAAGTACCGCCCTACTGTGGTCAGAGAATACCCCAAGGTATCCAGGCGTTCAGAAGGAGAGTGGCCGCAATTCCGTTCTGCTAGCGTTGGGAAATGTCCCTTTGTGGAGGATCCAGCCATGAGAAGGGAAATTGAACAAGAACAGCGAACAAGGGCCAGAATGATTGGCTTACAACAGCAACAGCAGCAGGCCGTGGAACCACAGATGCCTCGAACAAGATCACACGGGACTGGTACTGACGCGGGCAAAGTTGATCCTCCACGTCGCACGAGTCCAAGAAAAGCACTGCAGGTTGTCCACAATACCGCCAACCTCCCAGTTGACATGGACGTGGAACTCAAGGACACAAAGGCACACCACCATACACACGAACGACAACCTTCCTTCCCTCCAATGCCCGAGAAACCGGCTTTTGAGTTTGTCCGCCCACCTCAAATAAATCTGATACGGGAACCTGCAGCGTCCGGGATTCAAAGGTCGAATTTGACTTCAGCCATCCAGTCACAGATGATCTCTTCCACGGCCGCCACCGGGGTGAAAGCCGGAACAAGCAAGGAGGTCCATCATCAGCTCAAACGTCAAGTTCTCGAGCGTACACATACGGGCAGTCTGTCAGTTGGTTCTATACCGTCATCACATCGCATGAATGATCTTGCCGGCGCATTGAAGAATGTTCGGGCACCTGCTCCACAGCGAGCGGCCAAAGCCAAAGCACAAGAAAAGTTGGGCGGAATCCAAGAAGAAGCAGATCCGCATGCCGATGATATCGCGGCAGAGCGAGCTGCACAAAACACGCGAAGGAAGAAGGCCGTGAAAAGAGACCCTAAGCCAGGATACTGCGAAAATTGTCGTGACAAATATGATGATTTTGAAGAGGTAAGCAGTCTGTACTCCTGTACGGTTGACCGCGCTAACTCGTCTTAGCATATTATTTCACGCAAGCATCGAAAGTTTGCCATGACACAAACGAACTGGACTGAGCTCGACGCCCTACTGGCCAAGTTGCAAAGTCCATGAGACGATACAGCATTTGTGGAGTTCACTGGGGGGTGAGCGGGATTCTGCTCACATGGAGATCGACAGCACGAAAACAGCATTTTCACTCGCTTTACAGTACAAGCATTACCAGGTCTTGCATCTTAGCGACGAGCATGTTATACTTTGGAAGCATCAGCAGTGCCAAAAACCTCTACACAAAAGCAAAAGAAGGCAGGTCATGATGGGTTACCATGGGGTTGGGGCCTCGATCTGTTCCAAAATTATCTAATTCAGCCGGCCATTCTCTACGATACAAAAGGCGGCAGCGACTAGACAAAGAAGATGAAGGGGGGAAAGGGAGCAGCGGAAAAAGTCGCCGCCCGAGTGCTCGTTGATGAAGCATAAGCATTTTTTGATATTGAGCCATCAGTTGTTATATCGCAATGAGTGGCAATTGAGCGATGGTGTTGATTGCATTGAGCGTTACATTGTGTCGTTGTTGCGAAGCTTCCGATAGGATCACTGTAATGGAACTCTCACTTGAGGCGTCTATTGTTGATTGTCCAAGCACTCTCTACTAAGTTAGCCTTCAAGCCTGGACAATTGAGGTTGTTGGTGAAGCATTTCATTTTATTCTATCTTCTGCCTGAAGACGGACGGCGGACCGAAGCCGCGAGAGGTTGCCGGAAACGGCATGCCAAATTACCGCATTCGGATGAGCGCTCGAGTATTGATGACCCAACAGGCAAGGTTATAACTATTTACGAAAGTTCTACTCTTTTGAGATCGACAAAGGTGCCTTGCCTAGTTATCGAGCTGGCCCATCGAGAGAAGTGACATTTCTCCCAGAAAGGTAGGGTACATTGCTTTATTGGGGAACCAGCGGCTATCTCACGACCCATCAAGTCGAAAACTACTTCGAAAGGTTTGAAAAACTTCTGAATGGATGAAAGGCAAAAGTGCCCTGGAGGCAGGCTACGTACGTCCTTAGGCAAGAGAGGCGGACTGCCTGAAGCGGTATAGAGAGTTACCGCAACGGGCGTCTGGCCAGGTATTTCGTGACCCAGCGGACAAAGAAGTACTGAAATACTACTACTTTACTGAAACCGCCAAAGGCAAGAAGAGGTGTATTCCCTGAAGCGGTATAGAGACTTACCGTAATGGGAGTGTGATCACTTTATTCATGACCCATCAGGAAAGAACTACTGAAAAAGTACTACTTTGCTGAATCGACAAAGGTGCCTTGAGTGAACAGACCTCCTGCCTGGGAAAGGGAAGGAGGACTACCATTTCGGGAGTATTCGAGCGTTTCGTGACACAGCAGTCGAAAAACTACTGAAAAACTACTACTTTTCTGAGTCGACAAAGGCGATATCTGCCTGCCCGAAGCCTGGTCTGCTACCGAGACGACCCCGTGCGAGAAAGGATATTTTCCTGAAAAGGTAGCCGGGATCGCTACATTGGGAGTTCGCTGAGTGTTTCATGATACAGCACTGGGAAAACTACTGAAAAAGTTCTTCTTTTTCGGACGACGATACAAGGCGGCGTTGATGTAAAGAAGATGATATGTTTCCTCAAAGGGCATGAAGAATTCCCGAAAGGGGTTACGACAATATATTCATGACCCATCAGACGAAAAACTACTAGAAAAGTTCTACTTTTCTGACATGGACAAACGCAAAGGCGCCTCAAGCGAGTAGTGCGCTGAGTGGTACCGCCAGATTTCCCAGAATGGCATGAGGAGTTGCTGGATTAGGAATGTGGCACCGCGTTTCATTACACAGCAGTGCCAAATTAACTAGTAAACCTCTGGTTCAGTTCGGCACCTAAAGACGCCTTTCAAAGCTTCTCTCCCTTGAGTGGAACCATCATTTACGAAGTCAAAAGGAGACCTGACAAAGAACGACTCATATGTCGGCGGTCGATGAAAACGTCAAATATGTTTACATTGCGGTGTCAAGAATGGGTGCGCTACTGTCGATGTTGACAAAGGACTGCTTTTTGTGGACAAAGGATTCGGGCAGACTCGACAGCTCACCGATTCTGATGCTTTGCTCCTCTGTCCTCACAAAAGCAACAAAAAGATGGCTAAGTTACCCGCATCCGGACTCATTGTCACGTACACCTCAAATCTCCTTCCTTTGTCGTGGAGTGCTGAGTCGAAATGGAAGACTGTACGCTTCTCGACTCGATCTGCTCGAGTGTCCCCTTTCCATTGATTTGCTCATTTCACACTTTTAGTTTTGCGTTCCTTGCGCGTGAGAGATATACACTACAGCAGAACTCGCAGCTACCACAACTCGATCTTGCGCACAGTTGTCATCGAGCTTTGTACACCATCTGTGGCTCTCGCGATCAGCCCTTACCTCAGCATGGTACTCTTCCCCGTCGTACAAGCGGGAGGTCGGGCTTACGAGCCCGCACCTTGGACTCGCGACCGGAGCAAAGTGCAAAGACGGATAAATCGATGGCGACTAAAGAGGTGGTTTGACAGACAGGCCGAAGCGTTCGCCTTGTCGAAAGCCAGAGTCAAGGAGGACGACGATGCCGACTGGGAGTGTACAGATATGCTTGGCCGTGGCGCCTTTGGGATGGTCGGCCAATGGTCCAAATACGACAGTCGAGGAAATGTTGTTGATACTATTGCCATCAAACAAGCCGACATCGACACGTACCGGGAGGTCGCGGCGGATGGAAGCCCGACGTTACCCTGGGAAGCATTGATCATGAGAGGTCTCGCTCAGAACGGGTGCAACAACTCAACTGAATTGCGTGGTCTCAAGTTCTACACCGCTGAGTCTCCAATGAAGTGGAGATATTACCTCGAGTACTACAAGTATGGGTCTTTGCATAGTCTGGTTGAATCTTACAAGGACTGGAATAGGAGACATCCTGGGCGACCGTATGTATTCATTCCAGTGAGGAGGTGAGATGTGCTGACGAGATTCCACAGGGAACGCATTCCGGAGGCGTTCATATGGCAGGCGCTTCATGGCCTTGCATTAGCTGCGTACCACATGTGGACGGTGCGCTTTGACGATATCGTGATACCCGGCAGAGATCCATATGTCTTGCACCTGGATTTGAAGCATGAAAATGGTGAGTAACGAGCCTTCCTTTGACAAGGCAACATGGATGTTCTGACGGCAGTGTAGTCCTCCTAGGCGATCCGCGCCCCGATAGAACGAAGATGCAGTATCCTACGCTCAAGGTGGGAGATTGGGGCATGGCCGAGTACACGTCCAGGGACGATCCGAACAACAGCCGGAAATACAGAAACTATGGTACAATCATTTGGATGCCTCCGGTAAGTATTCTGGCTGTGGCAAGGACTTCTGCGGACTTCACGTTGACTCTGCTCACAGGAACAACGCGACCGCGGCAGGTATGGCTCGAATTGGCGGCACAGAGTCCTGGGAACGTCCGAATCTCCTTACAGCATCGCGCATGTGATTTGGCAAGTGGGCGCCAATATCTACGGCCTGATGACCATGGATTTGTACAACGAGCAGCTCGATAAGATGGTCGACCGGTGCGAGAGGTCGGAACATGAGCTGCGTGGTTGTGGATACTCGCCATTTGGGCCCGGCGGGTATCGAAGCAGCCATTACTCGTCGAAGTTGACCAAGTTGGTCGAAGATTGTCTTAGGTTGGATCCGCATTTGAGACCTAGTCCGAGTGAGTTGGGACAACGGGCGTCGGACGGAATGCAGCCGTATACTGATAGGTATCTGAGGACGGGGAAGTTGGACGTCTTGAGACTCAATATGAATTGATAGATATGTTTGGGAGATTTCAGTAACGATACAGCCCGACAGTATTGACGTACTTGATCGATCCCTTGTATTCGGCGGTAGTATGCTAGTACGATTCCGCGCATTCGTTTGTCAGCATGACCACGCAGATAGCGGTCTGTTTCCTGGCAAGCATGCCACAGACAGCTGTCGCCTTTGACGAATATGGTGCTGTGTGTCCGGAGAGCTTCTGTGTCCGGGAATGATCTCCAAACATGAGCCACTACGGCTTGCATGAACAATAGATAGGCTTTCCCGCGCCTAAATTCGAGGACTCGTATCCGGTGCGATGTTTGGAAAGAAAGCGCCGCGACCAGGGATTGACAATGGACGATGTCATTAGATTCGGTAGTGGACGGCTCCGCAGCGTTGCATTCCCCCATACAGACCTGTTGGCAAGGGAACATGATTTCTGCGGCTTCCGTGAAGCGCCAAGGGTATATCGAAAACCCCTGCCGGACGTCGAGAGCAAAGTAAAAGTTCATGCAGTTGTCACCTTTGCCGCGAAACCATTTCCACGGAGTGGGTGACTTGTTCGTCATAGGGGAAGCTGAGTCTGAAAGATCGCTTTTCAAATCTCTCGAGTTGTCAAACAGGCCGTCAAGCAAGTCGCCCAGCTTTGTATAATCCCACGCTTCCGCACATTCACAACGCTCTCCTGCGAAGATCAAACTACCTGGAAAGACCTGGAAACGCAAAGGGCCATTGACAGGAAGTTCCAGTGTTTCTATGACAGTCATAAATATGACTTGACCATTTCGGGCTGAAATTGTTGGTCCCAGAAATGCACCTGGAAGGCGAGTACCAGTGACGGTACATGCCATTTCGCAAATTTCCCTGGAAGTCATCCAAAAGCCTTCGAGGTCGGTCTTAGTATCTGACAGGACAGAGAGTACTTCTTCAAAAAGGCTAGGTAGCCGTAACCGTGCTGCCACCATCGTGTCGATGTGGAGGTTGGTGTAATCATCGTACGCATTGTCAATGGTGGAGAGTGCTAGTAGGTCGATGAAGAGTCCAGCGGCTTGTGAAAGTGCATCTAGTGGCATGTTGCTCCAGAATAGTTCTGATCGATCGAGCACACACCCAATGTCCAGGTCATGTTTAGTCTCGAGCAGTCGCTCAAAAAGGCCGACCACTTCTTCGACAGGCCTGAAAGCCTTCATGCCACCACGATCATCGATGGATTTGTTGCCAAGATAAATGTGTGGAACTAGCTTACTTGCCATCAGCACCATGGCCTGGCTCACATGATCTAAGCCGTGCACATCCCGCAAAATTTGCAAGCGGTGCTGTAAGTATGGTTTTAGCGACACCATTCCAGACCAACGGTTGGAGGCAGACACGTCGGAAGCAGATCGACTTTCCCACAAGAGGCTCTCTTGGCCTTTGCTGGCTCGGAAAGTCTGTATGAGCCATGTCTCAGAACGTATCTGCGTGATGTGGAGCATAATTCTGCTTCCTGCTTGGATAAGTTCGCATCGTTCCGAATTTGTACACTCGAAAGGACCCCGGGGGGCAGGGCGAAGGGAAGGAGGTGTGCCGGTGCACCACCTGATCAGGCCTATCACCCAGATGGCAAAGTCAGCTGGGATCTGAAATATGGCAAAGACTGCCTCTCCCAATCGTTCGATCTCAGCCATGGCTCTCATCATTTTCGCAATTTCCGTCGCCGAAGGGCATGCATTGCAGGGTAAGTAGCTAGGATCTTTGGCAGCTACCCCAATCTTTTCTTTCCATAAAGGTACCTGAGGTTTCCTGATACGTCCAGCACCGGAAACGACGGGGCTTTGTAAGTTTTTCGGATCTGTGCCACGTCTGAGCATCTCCCACACATTAGTGTCCCTTACGATACGCTCAAAGAAGGATACATACTGTGGACGTCGAGGTCGACGTGGCAGTTTGCTCATCGTGCAAGCCGGAGTCATTGGTGTGACTAAGGTAGTCTGAAAGACAAAGTTTCTCCATGATTTCGCCTGGCGAGTAAATTAGAGTACTCCAACCGAGTAGCAAGTCGGCGAACCCTGAACATTTCAGTTTCGGCTCAAGTATTTCGAATAGTTGTTTCAGTTGTCCAATGGTAGGCAGCATCTGATCTTTGGGAGCAAACTCCTTCAGAAGCGTGTGCAGCGTCTGAGCAGCATCGAAATTGAGACCTGTAGTAAGCAAGGTAGCTGCTAGGCCGAGAAAGCGGGCTGAATGTGCATCAGCGTAGGGTGACAACAAGAGCTGTGCCGGAGCGACAACATACTTCCTGCGTCCGTCGATGCCAAATAGTCAGCAGAATCGCCAGCCATATACCCAATACTGGCACCCAGACTCTTCAAGATATATGAAGTATGTTTGCGCCGTCCAGCCTGCTCCATTTTCACCCTTGTCTCCGGACACATTGCCAATTGTGCGCCGAGTTTTTCGCATGCCAGGAGGGCCAAAGGCTGGACATTATCACTCGTGCATGCGCGCAGTAGGTCCGTACCGATACTGACGACCTTACCGACACCTGTATCGACGCTCCAAGAGAAATTAAGTCGAGAAGGTTGAGGCTGAAGATCACTCATGATGGTGCTGACACGACAGTCCACTGACGTACCTCCACAAGGGAAGCGCGGTGCAGATTTAGATTGGGTATTGGCGACTTAATCACAAACACCAAGTGCCAGTTAGTCGTGCTTCAAGTTGAAGTTTTCAAGTAGGAATCGTGGTGTCAGTGGAGGACCACAGGACGTTCCCCTCATTCACCTGTATATGCAGATGGTCGAAAAGGCTGCCACCAGTGCCCAAATGGCGATGCATCGGCACAGACGGGGTGGTGAAGCCCATTGGCCGCCATCATGTATGGCTGCGGAGCAGGCCAGCGTGTTGGGGCAAAGCATGACCTCGCCTACAACCGCACTATTTGTGCTGCTGACTTACTGTGAGTAGGTGTTGGGCCATGGTCCTCTTACCTCTCATAGGCAAAACAAGAATGTCAACAATATGGGCGTTTGGGTGATGAGGTTGAAATGAGATTTGAGTTAAAAACTAGATGGTACACCATTTCTCCGCAAAGTATGTAAATCCCGCCAAGGCTGGAACTTCTGGTTCAGAGGTTCTGTGAGGCGCATTCGTAGAGTTGACGTTTGCCTTTCACTTGATCTGCAACTTCCGTCTCACTCGCGCAGTCAGAGATCATCTTTCCTGCGGCAGATCCACTGTCCTTGACTGGCCTTGCGTTGCTCTTTCCTTCAACAGCTTCACTGCTCGTCGAAGGACTGACATGGCTGGTGTACCACCTTCTTCATTTCCTTGAGCTGGATCTCGAGTCCTACTATTCTTTCGCCGCCTGGTTATCCCCAGTCCAGATATAGACTCATCGTTTATCCCTTACTCCAACGATCGAATTACGAGTCTACGCTATGGAAGAAGCAAAGACGCTCATCCGGACGACCGTCCGCACCTTCTTTACCCACCCAAAGCAGATTCTCATCGTGGACGCCCTCATGCTTCACTCGGTCCTACAAATGGACGACCTCACAGTTCTCGTTGCTGCGCAGCCTAAGGATATTCGAAGTCTTATGAACCCTCTTCGTGCCGCCCGCCTTGTTCAGAGTCATTCCCGAATGGAAGTCAGAGTTGGATCTCAACGCGGAAGTCCCAGAGAATACTACTACTGTCCATTCCATCCGGCAATTGATGCCATCAAATACCGCATCGCGAGATTACGTAAGAAGGTGGAGGCTCTATATCAGCAGGACGAAACAAAAAGGAAAGACTGGCGGTGCCCACGCTGTAAAGCCGAGTATGACGATCTGGAGATCTTAGACAAGGCTGGACCCGAGGGCTTCTACTGCGACCGCTGCAGTGGCATACTGGAGCAAAATGTGCAGGCAGCGCAAGATCGAGGCAATCACGAAAAGATCCGACGCCTGAACGACCAGCTTAAGAAATTCGACAACATGATTCTCAAGATCGACAGGAAGGACGTTCCAGAGAACGACTTCGCCTCGGCCTGGGACAGGAAGAAAGACGTTCCCCGAGAACGTGGTGGGAAGGAGCAGAACCAATACGTTGAACTCAAGCGGGACAACAAGAACTTGAAGCGTGGGCCGGAGATGGTCAAGGCCGAGAACTTGGCAATCAACCTCACCAGTGGTGCAGAGCATGACCGAGAAGAAGCCGAACGTAAAGAGGAAAGAAGAAAGCTACTGGCCAAGCAGAACCAATTGCCTGAGTGGCACACGAGCAGTGCGATTGGAGCCGCAGCTGGCAGTGCTGCGGGTATGAAGACAGAAGATACAGATACGAACGGTTATATCCCCAAGAAGGAAGAGGACGACGAGGAAAAGAAACCTGATCTTGGAGCAGGCAATGCAACCACGATGCTTCAGGATGAAGTTGCGGCTTATATGGCCGAGATGGAGCGCGAGAGGCAAGAGGCGGAGATCCGTGCTAAAGAGGAGGACGAGGACGAAGACGAAGATCTGGAGTTCGAGGATGTTGACGTCGCTGGCACCAGCAATGTAGGCACGCCAGCGAGTGCACTCGATTCGAAGCCCATCAACGGCGTGAAAAGAGAGTTTGACGAAGAGAGCGGACCGAGCAGCGATGCTAATACTCCGGCGAGTTTTGGCGCAGACTGGAGTCGGGACAGTAAGAGGGTGAAATTTGAGAATGGTGCTTCCAACTCGAACGGCGATGCTAAGAACGAGCTGGACGTCAAACCGGAGCCGGAGGGCGATTCGGAAGAGGACGAGGATTTCGAGGACGCCATGTAACACACATAGGAGGCTTAGGAAGACTCCGCCCAGCGTGACTTTGGGATCGGAGGGCACCATGGACAAGGAGTTCTGGGTCATTAAGCATCAGGGATACTTTCCAAAAGCGAGGCGTTGAGGTCGGGGGCCGCTACTTGGAAGGTATCAAGGTACGACAGGCACCTGCTTATTCGCGGATGGGAGTTAGGAATAAAGATCAAGGTATGTTTAGACACGCCAGGGCTTCCTTTTAAGAACAAGCGAGCCATGTCATGATTTACTGATGCGTTGTACCCCTCTTCTTCTCAGCCTTCTTGTCCGTTTAGCATCCAGGCGCAGGTCCGCTTACAAGTGTCAGCTCGGGACATCCTGCGGCAGCACCTATTGACAGCCCATTTTGAATCCGGAAGCATTCATTAGATTTATACGCCATATACAGCGCTGGACAATACTATACAATGCTAACAGCTCCTTGCCTGCCATCCATCACGAGCCTCCATGGTATCGCCCTTGTTGGAGAATTGCTGCACTCGTGCGCCATGTATCGAGAAGGAAACCCCCTCTGTCGCCAGGGCAATTCCTGATTGGATCCACCTTGTCCTGTCCCCTGTGTATTGGTCGTACGGTGTTGTATCATCGTAGAAGACGGAATCTGCCCGCTCCGCCTCAACATAGCCTTCCTGGCAGCCCCCATCCCAGCATAATCGGTCGGGATAGGGAACCCGTCCCTTACCAGGCCGCATTTCTCTCAAGTTGGCCTCACTCTCTCCTCGTCTCAGTCGCTTGCTGGACGACCGTGAACATACCCGAGCGTTCTTTCCTCACACTCGTGACGTCAAAGCAGTCCTTGTTATTTAGCCATTATCTCGTTGCAAATTTCCACCCATCTATTTCCCAAAGATCAACCTCAGAATCCATCCACCAACCCAATATATCAGGAGCATGGCAACGATGAGAATCCCGGCTAACTTCAGTATCGCCATCTTATCGCCCTGTTTTGCCATGCGCGTCATGCGTCCCGCCGACCCGCGGATACTCGTGCTCATATTACTGAAGACTTCATTGGTGTTGTCCAGTGTCTCTTGAGAGCGCGCATTGTCGTAGATGTCCAGCGTGATGTGTTTGAGGGCGGAGGTCTTCTGGGACAGTGATGAGAGGAGGGCATTGTTCTGTCTACATCGTTCAAGAGTGGTTAGCAAGATCTCTTGAGGGGCAGGGGAATAGATTAGGGGTAACAGGGCCGACTTACTCTTCGCGAGCGTAGGCGTCCGACATGGTGCCTGATAGTAATATTTACTTGATATTCAGGATGACGATGTCCGCGGTGGATGCTCTGGATGCCGTGCTCGGATTGAAGTCCAAGAGTCTGGCAGACTGAATTCACAGGAGATGATGACCTGTAGCGACGATGGTGGGAATCGGTGGGAGCGTGTGTTGCTGTGCGGTCTGCAGTCGTGCGCAGGTCGCTTGCTAGGACAAGGCAGAATGGTTTGCGAAAGGTCAGGAGTGTATGCGGTCACGGAGTATTTGGGTTTGGGCACAAAGAACAGACAGTTGACGTTGCGTGTGTTGGAGATGTGGAGGCGGAGGAACCGGCAAGATCAGGCGCAGCCTCGTTCGCAGCCACTAACAAAAAAGCCGTAGGCGAGGCTGAAAGGATTGGCTTTCACTTTTAGATGCATCACAATATCACATTGTAAGTGATGATTAGTAGATCTCGTACATCATCGAATCGCTAGAGTCTGCCTTCACAATGAAGAAGCTCCTCAACGAAAGTTGGCATTTGCAACGCCCGCAGCATGGAGTAAGTGGCAATATATTGAAATTACCACATATCGTTGTCAGAAAATGATATACCCATCAGAACTCCCGTCCACCCGCTATGCTATAAGGAAAGAGGAGGTGGCTCGACTCTTATGGGGCCGTGGTCAGGAGAAGATAGTCCCCTTCAAGAGACAAAATCTTTCGGACACAATGAAAGCAAAATCCCTCTGCCCCATTGAGCCCATATAGAGGTATCACCACATATCATCGTCATCGTCGTCGTCCAGCTGAGATCCGTATTGTCCCTGCTGAGGCTGATGGTACTGGTTGTACCCACCATTATATGATGATCCGCCGTTACTTTCAGTCGAGTGCTTGCTGCCTCTTGACATCGGGCGTTGACCAGCGCCGCCTTCATACTCATATCCAGACGAATCACCGCGATCCGCTTGAGCACCGTATTGTTGTTGCTCATGCGATTGCTGCTGCTGCTGCTGCTGTTGTGCTTGTTGCTGCTGATTAAATTGTTAGCCCAACATTCCTCGAATTGAATTCAAACATAAGAAACTCACCTGTTGATATCTCTGGTATTGCGCGAATTCCTCCGGCTGCTGGTCTTTTTGCTGTTGTTTCCGTTGCTGCTTTGCGCTCGTAGGCAGATTCATCTGCGGATGCATCTGTTGAACTTTCGCCAAATAGCTGTACATGAAATTGCTCAATAATACTTGCGAATAGAGGGCGCGACGTGGGTTGGCCAGTTTGATATGTGCCATGCGATAGATTGCTCTTTCTTCCAGGATGGAGAATCGTGTCCAATTATAGTCAACGTCGGGCGTGAGTTCTCGGTAAGGTGGTTCGGGTGATAGAGCGCGTTCAATCCTCTTCTTCAAGTTGCTCTCCTTGTCCCCTTTGGCTTTCTTTCCTCCAAAAATCGAAGAAAACAGGCCCTCCTTCTCTTTCTTCGTATCGTTGCCAAATGACTTCCGCTGACTTTCCTTCTTACGCTCCTCTTCAAGTTTCAGGCCATCCCGATCGAGTACGATGCTCTCACGACCTTTGCCGGATCCGTCGATCGATGTTTGGAGAACATCCAGTCGAGTGTTATCGTGCTGTTGGGGTGGTTTGGAGATCTTGGCTTTAGGCTTTTCAGCCTTTTCCTTTTCCTTTTCTTTTTCTCCTTCTTCTTTGCCCAAAAGCCAGCTCCAACTGGACTTTTTACTGTCGTCCTTCTTTTTGTGGTCCGCCCGTTTGTCCACGGTGAGTGTGGGTATGAAAGATAGGTTACTCGTGTTGGTGTCATTGCCCGGAAGAGGTGAAGGTTGTTCAAGGGTTTGCGTGGGTTTCGGCTGAGGCGGCATGAAATTCGAGGGCGCTGATGGGCGTGGATTAACATTAGGCAGAGAGCCTTTGGAAGGCATGGGAGGTCTCTGGGGAGAGACCTTCCTGGCTTTATCCTCTCTCGACGACACTCGCTCGGGATGTCGCAGGGGTGGTTGTGAAGGTGATTGTCCTGTCTGTATCGGAGACGCTCGCTGCGGCTGGGCAGCTATCCGAGGCTCTTCTGGTGGTGGGACTTCCACAATCTGCGGTACAGGTCTTGGTTCGGTTGGTGTACTGGGATTTAGGAGGGGTTTAGAGGTGGGTAACTGCCTCTGCATCTCTGGCATGCTAGACGTGCTCACTCTTCTCGTAACATCATCTTCGCTAAAGATGGAGTCAAAAGTGGACGGCACCGATGAACTAAAACTGGCCGACGATGAAGACACTTCACGGCCGGCTGGTCTCGAAAAGTTCGTCTTCGCCGCAACATTCTTTGAATTGGTGGCCGAGCTTGAGGGGTCGTTCAACGTCTGAGCGAGGTTTGAAACGTCCATGGATGCAAAGCTTGGGATAGGAGGAATCGCGGGTACGCCAGATTCTGGGGATTCAGGCCTGCTCCCAGAAGGACTCTCACTCGCCGCTTTTCTCGCCGCTCTTTGCGCATAAGTGCTTCTGTCTGCCCCTCGGCCCTTTACGCTGCCGCCGCGTCTGTAAGTTGTCCTTGTTGATCGCTTGAGACTGGAGCCCGGAACAGATGGCAAGATGATGTCTCCGGCGTCGTCCTCAACTGGTTCGTCCAAACTCACTCTTGACAGACCTACAGTGTTAGCCACCAAGGATTCTAGTTCCTGCAAGTTCGGATCCTGAGGTGTTGTCCGTCGCGATTGGGACTTCTTCCTCTCCAATCGATCAGCCCCATCCTCATACCCAACGGAACTATTGATTTGTCGGGATAACATCGATTTCTTGCGACGTAGGCTACTGCTTCCTCCATCGCTAGTCAATGAATTTGACCTCGAAGATGATGGTGATCCCAAAGTTGACAGCTCGCCTGATCTTCGTCTTATCTGTTCCGCCTTGCTTTCAAGGAAGGTCTTGAACTCTTTGGGGGCTAGTTCTGGATGCAGACGAGCGGGCACCCAGAACAGTCTTGATGAATCATCTTCACTCGAGTCCGACTCAGGCGCACTGGGCATCCCGGCGGCATTGAGTTGGGGTAAATCAGGATCATCGGTTGCGCCCACACTCATTGACATCCGCCTCAAAGCTTGTAGATTGCTCAACTCTTGCGCCAACCCGGCGGGACTGGACTCGTAGTCAATATCGTTCAGGGGAAAGGGAGAAATAGCTGTGTCCGATGGCGAACGTTCTCTTGTCCCTGTTGGTGATGATAGCGGCGAACCATTACGATCCCAAGGGTGACCCTGTATGGATGGGCCTCGTGAGAGCCCGTTTGATTGTGTGACAGCATTATTGTTCGAAACCTCTCCGCCGGGCATTGGCTTCCGCTGTGAAGGGACTTTTCTTGGAGATCTCTCGTCTGCCCTGCGTGTCTCGTGCGCTAGCCTTTGAGTATGTGAAGTTGCATGTTCTTGCGCGTATGTTCTGGGGTTTCGAGGGCCGGATTCGACATCGTCATCGTAGAGGTAACCGATGGTTTCGGTGACATGATGGCTATCATCGCTTATCGACAAGTGTGGAAGATGCCCTCTCCGGGCTGCGAAGCTCGCGCCCGTGTCTCTAGGTCGCGTTGAACTCTGCAAAGGTCATCGTGTCAGTTATACCGGACCCCTAGCATGCCATGTGTGAAAGATATGCTTGGACTGCGCACACGCATCCACCACTACTTTACAATATTCTTCTCCAACACCGCAGCGAATGGTCAAGGAATCATGACATAGACGAACCTGCATGGGTCGGATCAGCGGCTTTCGAGCCAAAGTCGACACTCTCTGTCCAGAATAGCGTGTGGAACGACAGGTAACAGCTTTCCTCCTGGCCCGCCTCCTGCGCGCGATGGCCGGTCGGTTGCTGCTCCTGAAGGAACTCTTGTGATCATCGGATTCGGTCGGCTAAAGTATCTCGAAAGGGGATATCCGTGACGGGAGGCAGCAGGCAGGGTGTTTGCGGTTGAATGACGACCGGTCATAGAATTTAGGACGTGGAGAGAGCGTGTGCCATGTATGCCATACACCAGAAGAATCGGTCTTCTGGGATGTCAAGGGAGTGCTCCGTGCTAAAACAGGCTCGTCGTGATATCCAGCACTGGAGCCGCGCTGGTGTGGCCAATGAAACTTTATCAACCCCTGCTCCGAGGTGTCGGGGTTTAGGGTCTTGGTGGTGCCGTAACTTCTGAGGGTGGGGGCGCTGCATCCAAGTCAAATTGGCACCAATTGACAGATCTCATAGCATTGCTGTAGTAGGCTCACATACTGGGACGAGATGATGATTTACGATACGGAGTGATATGAGAAAAGCTGCATATATCGACGGGCGTCGTTGCTTTTTTATACCGTCAACACATTATCTGCAACTTCGTCTATTTATCAATGCTCATGCTACGTAGATGTTTCATTCCCCTTTCATGAACTGGCACTTGAGTTTGCATAGTAAGCCATCAACCCCATGGGTTGTCAAATGGGTCCGATGCAGCTCCAAATCCACTACCACCGGATTTGGCCGGAGGCGCCACGGGTGTTTGAGTCGTCGATGCTGATGTCCATCCTCCAAAGTCCTCATCGGCCGTCACGGTTGGTTGCTGTGCCGGCTTGCTGCTGGATGATATTGGCTCTCCCCATCCACCGGAGATGTCGTTAGGAGTGATGTGTGTGGGCGGTTTCCCCAAATCGACCGTTGGCGGCGCCGGCTTCGCAGGAGCTGGTTCGGGTGCTCCCCACGGGCTGTCATTGCTAGATCCCCATGGATCAAACGTTGCTGCATTACCTTGAGGGTTTGCAGAAGTTTTGAATGCTTGAGCTGCTGGCTGAGGTGCAGGTTTTGGTGCGGACACCGTCGGTGAGGATAGATTGAAGGCCGAGGTCAGATTTGCTGTGCTAGCCGGTGGTGAAGAAACGGTCGCCGGAGCTGGTTTCGGTGGTGAAGCGGGAGTCGAGCTGGCAAACCCTCCAAAATCATCGGCTGCAAACAGATCCACAGGAATGGAAGCACCAGCTGGCTTCGGTGCTGCTGCTGGTGTCTGCGTGGCTGGTTGCTGAGTAAAGGCAAAATCTAATCCGTTAGATGCCGCTGGCGACATGACTGAAGGTTTTGGCGCAGGAGGTTTGGATGGCAAACTGTCAAAGAAACCACCACCGCTAAGAGGAGGCGGAGAAGTAATTTGTGGTGCCGAGGGTGCAGCTTTCGGTGGTTGGGAACTGGTGAGGCTGCCAAATGCAGAGAAGTTGGAAGATGTCTGTGCTGGCGGCGGAGGTGACTTGGCTGTAGTTGTGCTGGGAAAGCTCAGTCCGCCGAACGCATCCGCCAGACCACCAAAAGCATCCTGCTTAGGGGCTGAAGGTGCTGCCATGGCGCCAAACGAAGGCTCACGGTTGTGTTGCGGTTGCTGTGCAGGCTGCGGCTTGGGCGCACTTGCGTACAATGACAAGATCGAACTTTTCAGATCGCCTCTGGTGTTGGTCGATTGCAAAGGATTGGACGCCGCACTTGAAGGTCGGCCCATACCAGCCGCTGATGTGCTTCCAAAGAAATCCAAGCTCAACAGGGAATCTTGCGGTTTGCCTGCTGGTCTGGAGGCTGGAGTTGGAGCTGGAGGAGCAGTCCTCGTCGGCCTCGTCCCGACGATGTCCGCCGTGCTTGGCCTCACAGGGGAAGGAGGGGTGAAGTCGTCGAACAGATTAACATTTGCTGCTGGACGAGACTGCGCTTGTGGTTGTGCAGGAGCCTGACGTTGTGACGCTGATCTCTCGATTTTGGCCTTTTCTTGCACAATGTTCAGGGGCATGTTATCGTCACCGTCGGCATCTAGTGTGGATGGATCAGGCATCGGGCCATCCATTACCCATCTCTTGGATTCATATTTGGTGCGTATAAAGTTCTCGATCTTTGCTTCGGAAGGGCTGTGTCCAGGCGCCAGTTTCGCCTCCCAATACTTGTTGGCTCTTGTATTGCCCCATTTGAGGATATTTTGTAGTTGTTCATCGGTCCAGGCGTCTAGGTCAACTGATTTGACTCGGCTAATGTGGGTGCCCATGCCTCGATGTATGCCGGAACATCGGATACAGACGAAGACGCCCAGATTCCAGCTTGCCCATCGTGGATGTTTATTTCTTTTGCAGTCGGCACAGACTTTGTTGCCTTCAAGTTTGACTAGGGCTTTGAGGGTTTGTGCATTCTGTGCCGCCCTGTCAGCGGGAGGTCGTCGTGACATAGGATATTTGTTGGGTGGTCGTGCAACGTAATGTAACGTAGTTGGGGCTGCGGCAAGAGGGTAGCTTTCAAGGTGTTAGATATGAACACGTTTCCGGTGCAGGATATTGGAGGCTCGTGTGCTCGTTGAGGCCAGGAGTATAACTTGAAAGACTCCCTACACAACACAGACGTCAAATGCTGTGGAGGACTCGGGGGCGCGACGGGAGACGGCTCCAATCTTGGCGCCTACAATTTTACCTAAGCACGCCGATCGTCGAAGTCATCTATCTCGACACTACCTGTAGGCAACTCAGGTCAATTCAAAGTACTGCTGTATTCAACCATCTTGCGAACGACTTCTACTTCGTTTCGACTTATTGCTCGACCGTGTTGCCGAACAGGTGATCCCTCACTCTGTACTCCATACAACCAAGTCGTAACGGAAACGGCACGGCGCTAAGAGAGATAGCGGTGGATGTGCATAATACCTTGAGAGTTTCCCCATCCAAGGTATGACGTAGATACAACATTCGGTACCTAGGTAGGGGCTAAATTGAAGGTGATTCCTTGACCACTCTTGCTCAGATCGTTTGACGTTGTCGTACTTATGCGAAACATGGGCCGCAGTCACTGCATTGAGCGCGGCGGTTTCGAGGACTGATTGAAGAGCCCAGTTCCACGCGCCGCAACAGCATGGTAGCGAAAGCGACAGACGACAGCAAGCGACCCATAGAGAGCTCCACTCCATCATTGGAGGCCACTAGAGACTCGGTGGTCGTGGTCAACAGTGATAGTGCTCAGGCATTGGAAAAACAGAGAAAGAAGCGCCACGCGCCAAAAGTTCGCACTGGTTGCAAAACCTGCAAGTGAGTGCACTGGCACATATATGCCTCCACTATGATTGCGGTCCTTGCATTCCTACTCACTATATTATTCCTTCCCAGGAAGCGGCGAGTCAAATGTGATGAACGGAAGCCGTTGTGCTACCAATGTAGTCGGAGAGGGATCGCTTGTCTGGGATATGAACCTGTACAAACCTGGATCTTTGAACTTCCTGGACCGACACTAGAAGTCGAGGAATCACAGTCTTCAGCGCAGGAAGCGTCTGATTCAGCAACGTCTGATGATGCGAAGAAGAGCAATTTGTCAGCTCCCACCAGTCTGGCTCCTCTCGTCCCATTCCGCAGCGCTGCAGAAGCACGATCATTTCAATATTTCGAATGCAAGACTGGCCCATTTCTTGCAACAGCCGTCGCTTACCCGAAACCGCTATTGAACACCATGTTAGGCTCCGCTTGGCAATGCGCAGCAAGCAGAGACCTCCTCATTGCTGTTGCGATAACTGATGAGTTCCGGTCGAACAATGTCGAATTTCTGCCCGGTGAAGGAGGGATTGTTTCCACTGCAAATTCAACAAGATATTATGCGACAGCCATGGGCCTCATGGCTAGGGAGCAATACCCGATCCCTGACCTGTTGATCGCTAGTATTCTTGCATGGATATACGACCTTGGCCATCGTCGCACAGAAGCTGCTCGGATACATCTCAATTCAGCCCTAGCGATTGCAGACACCAATACGGCGCGACCCAACTCTGATGAGTGTCGTCCTGAGGATGATGATCTCATCAAGACGGTCATCAAACCCGCCCTTGATGGGAATCAGAATTTCCACGACTCAACCAGCGCTCTCGCTTCTGGTTGGACAGATGATACAGCATCTGGACCAACATTGAAAGTGCCAGAAAAATTCTCATCGATGACTAAAGCTGTCCAGTCGTGTAGAAGATGCTTCGACTTGCTCCATGCCGGCCTGATACCACCAAAGAATGCTGCGGAGTTCGGACGGGGTTGGTTGCAGAGCGTCAGGAAATATGGTGCGCAAGGTGCTGTATCACCAATGCAGAGATGGGCACTATATATCCTTTACGCCGCCTTGAGTACTTTCATCGAAACCTTATACCTTGATCTGACGGGAATTGCGGCGCAAATTAGGTGGAACTACATCATTGGCCAAATGGAAAAAATATTTGATGCAGAACATTTTCCAGGTTTCACCGAAGTATTGAACCTCCTCATCCAGGTCATGGCCTGGAGCTGCGAACACGAACAGCCCATCAGTCGTGCGAGGCGCTTGATTCGGCGAACCGAAAGAGAGCATTCTCGGGACGAAGATTCTGGCTCTTCTTGAATGGACGCTGTCATCTTCGGACTGGTCTTTGGCCGGACGAGGATTATAACCCTGACACGAAACTAGCACCTCACCAAGACGGCCAAGAGGTTCTTTCGTATCGCCAGATTGACACGACGAATCGACTATTGCGAACTTGCTTATATCAGCCCTTCCTGTGGCTCAGTCATTCGCTCGCCTTTACCACGAGCTGGTTCTCGGCGGCACATACATGTAGGTATAACCGGAAACATGGAGACAAGCTCCTCGCCATGCTCTGCCAAACAGCCCTGTGTGTGCCAACCCTCACGGGACAAGTATAGCAAGCGGCAATGTTGAACGAGTTCGGCTCCCTCGACTACGACTCTCACTCCTTCACTAGTGGTAGGCACTACTCGGCTCTTGAATCGCCTCTGTGGGTTAGAGTGGCAGACAATCCCCCTACCATACATGCCTCATGCGGGGATTCGCATGACCCCTAGGTCACCTATATACGCCAAGATATACCAAGACTGTAAGCTTATACGCGGATTCGAAGGAGTCCAAGCCTGGCAACAATAAGCTGTCGAACGGAAGAGGCAGTTCCTGACCTGGAGCTGCCACGCCGAACGCTTACAATGTTGTTTGGTGGCACGCACGTTCTTCACTTTGTTACTGCTCAATTTCATGCAAATGCATCTCTTCGCAGACGACCTGACAGACGTCCTGGTCTGTTACCACCGAGAAGAGGAGCAGCACGGTGGGGTCAAAAAGTAAGCGACCGGACTGACCCATCCTGGCCTGCCCATACCATCTCACGAGGCTGAGTCTGGGGATAATTACCTTACACCGATGTCAGCCATTATCCACTTCATCTCGTTTGGACTTTCTACAATATTGTCAAAAACCGTGTTCGACATCCGTCAGGTCTGATATATGCTTACCAAAGCAATTCTTTTATCAGCGTCCACTACAACATTACTGTAATCAAAAAGCATGGGTCCGTCGTCTCAGCTGAGCAGCGGTCTGCACAGGATTTTTACACCGAGGTCTTTTGGAAGTCAGGTATTCGAATCCAACGTCGCCGTCCTTGGTCACAACGTGGTAGCGCATCAACCCCATACTATAAATGCAGATTGGCCCGTAATATCCAACATTAGACGGATATTTCTGGATCTTCATACATGGTGCAGTCCACGCAGTGGGCCGGCAGGAGTCCTTCAAGTCTTTTGCTATAAACACTGGCGCAGGGCTTCTACCTGAAAGATCATCTTGTCATCCAAAACCACATTCTCTTACAGGAAGTTGCGTCGAATTCAAGACATTTCATCCCTTGTCCAGTCAAAATCATCCACAATGGCTCAAAGCAACGCTGAGGCGGGCTCTTCCTTTGACCCAAGCGCTATCTCTGGCGAGATACAGTCTGTCCACTCAGACGAGGGCACCACCATCGACACCAACGAGTACAACAGCTTCCTCGAGTTTCTTCAACGACTGGCCCACTCGGGCGTCGACGTCTCGCACGACCCCAATTTGGAGACTGCAATGACCGACCTCGACAATGCCGTCAATTCGGTCGCGACACCTAGCGGCGCTGTGTTTAGCGATCCAGAAGTGACGAGCTGTGTGAAACAGCTCGCCTCCGAGGGTCACTGTACCAACCTCTTTGCTTTCCTCTCACAAATGCACCAGGACTCGGTGGATTTCACGCACGACCCTGAACTCCAAAGCACCATGAACAATATCTCTGTTCAAATCCCAAGCCACCATTCGTCGAGTTTTCCTGGGATCGGGCCCGAGGTGGCTGAACTATAGATGGACATTTCTGGAAGAGGCAAAATCTGAACAATGAGGTTTTCCAGACATAGCGGTGGCAATGGCGCGATTCAGTGTGTGGTGCATATATCCAGCCTCGCTATTGTATCTCAACACATTTCTCATCAGACGACCAATGCCACTCTCCTTCGTTGCCAAGCAATCAGTCACAAATGATCTTGAACACCAAACCATTCAGTGGCTGCGATATAGAGTGATTTCAAAGGCACAGCAGGCATGAGACGGGTGTTTGACATAGATGAGCGACTTACGTCTTATTGATGGTATTCATAAAGTATATACATAGGCACCACGGCAGTACTCGTACGAGCAACTGCCACTATCACTCATTGCCTCCAGATTCTCACGGAGGATTAAACCTCTTATTTGGCTTGCCCGATACCCGCCGACGGATCATCCTTATCATGAAACTTCAAACTGATGCTATTGACACAATGTCTCTCATCAGTCGGCGTGGGGTATCCCTCTCCTTTAAAAACGTGGCCGAGATGACCCCCGCAGTTTGAACAAACGATCTCAGTCCGCTCCATGCCAAAGGTGCGGTCTGTATGCCGCGTCACGGCGCCAGGGATACTGTCGAAGTACGCTGGCCATCCGCAGCCAGATTTAAACTTGTGATCCGCCTTGTACAGCGGAGCGTTGCAGCCGGCGCAGGTGTAGACGCCGGAGGTCGGCTGGTGCTTGTCGTACTCGCCGGCGAAGGGAGCTTCGGTGCCTTTTTCTCGGAGGACGCGGAATTGTTCTGCCCAACCAATGTCAGTAAACCACTTCTTGCTATGGACCTTTTTGCAAAGATCTCCAAGACGAACCTTTGTTCAAGACCGCCTGCCACTCGTCGTCTGAGCGTCCGTCTGGGTACGACATCTTTTCTGAAGAAGAAGTTGAGAACAGAGAGCCTAGGAGTGGTATCGATGGCATAGATCTGTAGACAGTGGCGCGGTGAAAGAGCGATACGTTGGAAGTACCCCGCAGAGGTTGTAGTCGTGCTGTGGCGTTGCCGAGTGTGTATAGTGTGCGGACGATGTTGGGAAACGACGGAAAGCGCATATGGAAGTCGAAGATAACTGCGAGTTATATGGAGTTCTGGCTGTGAAGGGATGAATCAAATAGAAAGATAGTGAAGTCGTCTTGTACGAGTATTTGCATTATTGTCGCTAACTGTGTCTGCGCCTGCAACTCGAAAAACGCAATGATGCAATTGATGACGGATCTTGGGGTAGAAGGCTTATGTCATTGGTCAGACTAGAGGACTGGTTGTGGAAGCATTTTATGGGTTGCGAGGCTGAGGCTGAAGCATTTGGAATGTAGCTTCATTTCTGATGCGGGATTTGACGACTCTTTACTTTCTTCTTCACTCGCGTATATGTAGACACAGATTATGGGTGTCCGGTCTTCCAAGTCGACATTCAACGTCGACTCTTGCCAGTCACGATTAGCTCACCATGACCAATCTCTATTCTCCACCCCTCTCGAATAAGCATCTTGCTAACCGCAGGCCCTATCCTGGGAGCATGATTTTTACTGTGAGTGCCGACTCCGGTCACTATCCTGAAGCCGGCTCTGGCAGGGCCACCTCCTCCCGAGGCGTATTTCGCATCTCCGAGGCTACTCCACCAGCTCTGTGTCTGAGAATTGGCAATGCGCACAGCATCTTGAACACTCACTCCGTGCAAGTCGAGCACATTTGAGGAGGACTGGCGCGTTACAAGAGTGTCTGCTTCTGCAGCTTTGAGCTCTTTGGCTGCCATTGCCCGTTCGCGACCGAGCTCCGCGTGATATGCTGCAACTCCACCATATAGTCTATCAGACTTGCTTTTCTTGTGCGCAGCTGAAGCTTGATCGAAGCTCTGGTTCGCTGCTGCTCTGTAGATTGCAGCGGACGCTCTACCAGGGCCCGCCATGACAATGGTCCGGCTGGTCCTATTTGATGACTCGAAGGGCGTGTTTTCCTTTAGATCAACAGGTGCGTACTGCGCATACATTCGGCCTGAGCTTTCGTCTGTGACTGGTGCTGTCATAGCTTCTAGCAGCTCGTACGCAGCAGACGGAATCTTTCGAGCTAGTATCAGAACGCCGTACAACTGCGACTTTGGCACATGGTGAAATTGCGACTGAAACTCGGAGATCTGCAATTCCATAAGGGGATCCACTTCTTGCAGGCGACCACACTCCGTACCTTCCTTCACTGCCAAAGCACGGATAGTTGACGCCAGTCGTGCCCCATGCTCGTGGTAAGTTGATCTTACCATTTGAGGATGCAGGCTTGTTCTTGAACAGATGAAGTCGACGTCTTGACTCATGGTGGACCACACGTTCGCAGGCGCATATTCACCCTGCTGGGTCGGAGAGGAGACAGAGCTTGCTCGTGATGACTCATTCGTCCTAGCCTTCTTCTTCCTTCTACCCTTGCGAGGCTCCTGCACTCCTTCCACAAATGCGTCGATGCTTTTGAGGACCGGCACATCTTCGGCAGGTTCTGGTTCATATCCATGGTTGAGAAATGACAAGTTCAGCAACTCGTCCGTAGCCGTATCTAAAGCGCCACCATGACTTTCGAGAATACTGGCCAGTTCACGCCTTGGTATATCGGGGAAGATGTTCAGCAGCCAATCTGTCTTCTGGTCCAATGTCGAACTATCCAGATCGTGGCCAAGGCTCTCTGAATCTTTCCATCCTAGGTCGGAAAGACCTATTGTGATACTCGTAACGCCGTTGGACAAGCTATCCTCCGGGCTTGATCGCGAAGTTTCCGTGGCATCTCGTGCACGTGATAGGCCTCCTGTGCCTGACGGGTCGAACTCGGTGTCCGCTTGTTCCAAAGCACTACCTTTCAGGCTGTCAAGGATTGCGCTCAAGGCATCTCGATCTCGTGGAAGCTCATATTCTGAACAGATTGCATAGAATAGCGGTTCATCTAGGGGAGGGCAATAAGCCGCTCGGAGTTTCTGCAAGGTGTTAGAAACCACTTCACAATGCGCAGGAAGGACGTTCCCACCTCTGTCTCTGATGTGGAAATGTCCATGTCTTCAGCCTCGCATTCTTCGACATTTTTATGTTATGTTCAATCGTTTCGTTGAGTAAGTCAGGGCAAATTCAGTTTTGCAGATTGCTGCAGACTTGAGGCACATTTGTGGTTGCGTTGAGGACCGTTGGAAACCACAAAAATCAGGACAACCATCGAAGCATCATCAAAATTGTTAGTCGCGTTGAAGCCGAAAGGTGCGTCATTGAATGCTTAAAAAGCGGCCCGCTGGGGCCTGGGCTGCCTGAAGGCTGACTTCAAGGGCGTCCTCAAATTGTGGCACAGCCTTACACACTGACAAGTTACCTGGTAGGTAACATGCGGGTACTAGGCCTCCCATGGTCACGCAATCTGACCGCCAGAGCAATCACAATGGCCTGCATGGTCTACTGACTACTAGTACTTGAAAGGCAAGTCGCTCTCCTGGTCTGCCTCGATATAAAAGGCCCAATCCCGCTCGGAATTTCCATCTCTCCTCATCACACTCAGTCACGTCTGTGGAGGTCTCCAATTACTCATCCTTCATTTACCGCCATCTGCGGATGCAGCCTGCAAACTGGCAATCATGTAAGTTACGTGCCCAAGTCAGGATGCTGCTGGAGCAGGCGTCCTGCAAACTGTCTCTACCCGCAGAATGAAGAATGGATGGAAATACAATCATGCCGTCTTACCTCGGTCCAAGTATGATCGGAGAGAAATTAGTCCGAGACGGCTAGGCTGGCGTCACGATGCTGCCTTTATTATGGGGGCGCTTGTTATTTTGATTTGGATATTTGCTTGCTGCCATCGCCAACATTCAGACCGTCACCGCAACGATACGGAGAACTTCTACCATATTCTAGTCAACGAGAAGCTGTAGCCAACATGGTCTACACGGTCACAGTCCCTGACAACTATGGGTGAGTCCCTGCCAATTCGACCACCTGCACCAAGAGCTAACGTGACAGCTACGTCGTTTTGGTCGCCCTGGGCTTAACACCAGTCATGGCATTTGGGCAAGGCCTCGTTTCGGGGTCCTTGCGGAAGCCTGCAAAGGTGCCGTATCCCAATCCTTATGCCAGCGAGCAACAGGCGAAGGAGAACCAAGCAGCACATAAGTTCAACTGCTCCCAACGCTCCCACGGCAACCTCCTGGAGAATATGCCTCAGACGATGATCTTCATGCTCTTCGCTGGCCTGGAATATCCGACAGCGGCTGCCGCACTTGGAGTTGGCTGGTTAGTGTTCAGGGCTATCTATGCGTATGGATACATTCAAAGTTCGAAGCCGCAAGGAAAAGGGAGGCTGAACGGCAGCTGGTTCTGGTTGATGCAGGGTGGTCTCTGGGCTTTGTGCTGCGCTACTGCCTTAAAGATGATCTGAGAAGGCACGCCCCCGAAGCATCAAGCAAGTAATCGATCAGTTCTCTCAGTACAAGGGTAGCATTAGACGAATTGAGCTTGCTGCAGAATCTCCCTGTGATAACGAATAGCTTCCCTTGAAATCCTGAGTCATGTCTGACCGCACCATGTAAATTCACGAATCAAACTCCGACAAAACCATCAAATTCATCCCACCATGCACTCCGACTGCTTGTGACTCATGATTGCTTATGACTCCATTGAGCATTTCCTAGTTCTTCGTTGTACATAATCTCGAGGCCGGACTACTCCTCAAATATGGCGGACGCAAACACTTCACTCGCGCAGGACACTGCCAATCTGCACCTTGACGAGGTCACGGGCGAAAAAGTCTCCAAGAGCGAATTGAAGAAGAGACAGAAGCAGAGACAATTGGAAGAAAAGAAGAAGGAGAAGGCCGCGGCTGCACCTCCCAAGCCCGAGAAGAAGACCACAAGCGCCGAAATGGACGAGAGCAACCTCAACCCCAATGTCAGCATACCTCTTCCGCATTTTGAGTTGCATACTGATTCTTCGTACAGCAATACTTCGAAATCCGAAGCGGCCGGATCAACCGACTACGAGAGACCAAGAATCCGAACCCGTACCCTCACAAGTTCCACATCAACACCAACTTGAGCCAGTTCGTCGAAGAATATGCCGACCTCAAGCCCGGCGAGCACAAGAAGGAGGTTGAGATACGGGTCGCAGGCCGAGTATACACCAAGCGAGCAGCTGGCGCTAAGCTAGTCTTCTACGACATCAGAGGAGGCGGCGCAAAGGTCCAAATCATGTGTCAAGCACAGGAAGCCTCCGGCGACGTCCCTTTCGAAGCCCAGCATGAACACCTTCGACGAGGAGACATAATCGGCATCGTAGGCTATCCAGGTCGAACAGCACCAAAGAACCGTCCGAATGAGGGCGAGCTCTCCGTCTTCGCACAGCAGGTCATCCTTCTTACACCTTGTCTACACCAGATCCCCTCCGAGCATTTCGGTCTGCAGGACGTCGAAACCCGGTTCCGCCAACGCTACCTCGATCTGATTATCAACGACCGGTCGCGCAAAATCCTCCTCACAAGGTCCAAGATTGTCTCGTACATCCGACGCTATTTTGACTCCCATGGCTTTGTGGAGGTCGAAACTCCTATGATGAATTCGATCGCTGGCGGCGCCACGGCCAAGCCATTCGTCACACATATTAACGAGTACGACACCGACATGTTCATGCGTATCGCTCCAGAGCTTTATCTCAAGATGTTAGTCGTGGGCGGTATCGAAAAGGTCTACGAGTTGGGCAAGCAATTCCGCAACGAAGGCGCCGATCTGACTCACAACCCCGAGTTCACCACCTGCGAGTTTTACGAGGCTTACGCCGACGTCTACGACGTCATGGACCGGACAGAAGAGCTCGTCTCCGGCCTTGTCAAGGAAGTCACAGGAGGGCACAAGACGACATTCCATACACAGACGGGAGAGGTGTACGATGTCGACTGGTCCACTCCGTGGAAGCGCGTGGAAATGATTCCTGCACTTGAAGAAGCGACTGGCGAGAAGTTCCCACCTGGCGACCAATTGCACACAGCGGAAACGAACGAGTTCTTCAAGCGTCTCCTGAAGAAGGTCAATGTGACATGTTCACCACCCGAGACCAATGCGCGCATGCTCGACAAGCTGGTTGGCGAGTTCATCGAAGAAAAGTGTATCAACCCGACCTTCATCACTGGCCATCCGCAAATGATGTCACCTTTGGCCAAGTACCACCGTTCTCAAGCGGGTATCTGCGAGCGTTTCGAGGCTTTCGTTTGCAAGAAGGAGATTGTGAATGCGTACACTGAATTGAACGATCCCTTCGATCAACGCCTACGGTTCGAAGAGCAAGCACGCCAGAAGGCCCAGGGTGACGACGAAGCCCAGATGGTGGACGAGAACTTCTGCACAAGTCTCGAGTTCGGCCTGCCGCCAACAGGAGGCTGGGGTATGGGTATTGATCGAATAGTCATGTTTTTGACCGACAACTACACAATTCGTGAGGTGTTGGCCTTCCCGTTCATGAAGGAGGATAAGGACAAGGAGAAGAAACTGGCTGCGGAGGTTGTTGGAATCGAGCCCATGCCAGAGGAGGAAATCTGTAAGTGCCACAGGGACATTACTGTTGTTACAGCATACTAATTGCGTGCACAGCACATTGATGAGTTTTCGACACGACTTCAGGCAGGGTTCGAAGAGGCCCGAAATGACTATGTTGTGCAAGGTGTCAAGCTGGGATGATGAGTGCTATACGTCTCAGTGCGACTTGTCGAATGAACCCGACGTGCTTATGGGTGGAATATGCGAGCCGCATATAGACTGTGATGGCACATGAAAGTGGCTCGCATCTATGTTTGAGACGAGGAGCAATAGCGTGACGACAATCGGTACATGGCACTGTATCTTACGCCTTGCCTAGCACATGTCGAAGAGCACCGACTTGACGGGTGGTAAGAATCGATGTGGAGTATCCGACTCTTGCTGATAAGCAAGTCCTCAATGTGTAGACGATTGATAGACACTGATTGAGCGCAAGAATTTTCACAGGCGCAGATGATCCTTGTTACTCTCGGGTGTCGTGAATTGAGATGTATTCCATCTAATGCTGTTTATACATTTCACTGTGCGTGGCGCGATCTATCTATTATCCTCTGTACTGTACACCGACAATGTTATAATATATCAAGAATTAGACGGGTTCTCTCTTGCCAGTGTCCTCGTTTCTTGCTCGCAACTGTGCATGCAGTCCTCCCTCCGCGTTTGCACCGAGCATCAACCCTATCGCAACCACTGCGGGCATAACACTCGCTGCCAGAACAGTACCAGTACCAGCACCGACGGTGGACGGTATCGTATGGCCAACCTGCGCACGTTGACCGACGCTACCACCAGCCGCAAGATGCGCCTGCGCCCTGCGCGCTAATATCTTCGCCGCCTGTGAGGGGAACCATACCCGACTTCCCAGGACGACAGTCCAGGTCAATAGGGCCAGACTGCCAGCTTGATGCGCGCTCGCCAAGCCCGTGGGCACAAGGTATAAGAGTGTCGAGATGCCCAAAATAACCTGCAGCCAGACGAAGCCAACAACGCCGTGCACGCCCTTCTGTGCGGCACGCGGAAGCACATTCTTCATGGCGCCGGTGCGAGAAAACGCGAACAATGCCATGACAGCTGTGAACGTCGTGGTAGCCAAGATCCGATGGTCGAGCTGCACCGTGCTCGGATTCTCGAGCATGTTGCGCCACCACAGGTCCTTTCCCTCTGGATCGCGCGAGTAGAATTTGTCGAACAGCTCACTCTTCGGCGGCGTCAAGCCCAGACCCATGAAAGGAAACTCATTGTAAATCAAGCCTGCATCCAACCCGGCCACAAGACCGCCCGACATGGCCGTGATAAACACCAAACCCGCGAGCATCGCCACAGAGCGCTTAAACGGCCTCAAAGCCGGGTTCTTCAACGTCTTCAAGATCCCATCAGCTGCTCCGGGCGTAGTAACAATCTCGTTGGTGCGCAAGATGTCCAATCCATTCCACAGCATGGCGAGGTAGCAGATGAACGCGGCACCCAAGTGCGCGGTCAATCTGTACTGCGAGACGCGCGGGTGCGACCCCGGCGCGAACAAGTCGTCCTTCAATCCCGACTTGACCATCCACCAACCTATAAAGCCCTGGAAGCCGATCAACCCAGCAATGCCGAGCAGCCTCCACGCCATGGGCCGCGAGACTTGTTTCCGTGTGACGAAGTATACAGCAGGCAAAACGAAGCTGAGGCCGATGAAGCGGCCCCAGAGCCGGTGGATCCATTCCATCCAGTATATCGACTTGAACTCCTCGAGCGTCATGCGCGAGTTGAGCAGGTGGAATTCCGGGCTGTCGCGGTATTTGGCGAACTCGGACTCCCAGTCGGCTTGGGACATGGGAGGTAAAGAGCCGGTGACTGGTTTCCATTCCGTTATACTCAGACTAAAGACGTGCCGTTAGTATACGATCGACTGATACCATCACTCGTGATGATCGAAGCATGTAGACGTACCCTGACTCCGTGAGTCTTGTGAGACCTCCAAAGACTACAATGCCAAACACGCTTGTGGCGCTGCCGAGTAGCCAGTACGCCACGGCCTTCGATGATGTCTCTGGGAACCACGACCTCTTGTGTTGACCTTCATCTTTCGTACCATCTCTTGAGCTGTTCTCGGAGTCTGAAAATACACTCTCCTCTACAACTTGCGTGGCTCTCGTCCGTGCGGATGCGGAAAATGCGCGAGGTGTTTGGTGCTGAGTAGAGGCTTGTGTGCTTCGGTTCAGGATCTTGGACTGAATGGGGCTGAAAGCCTGCCGTCGCTGTATCGACGTGAAAGAGCCCGCATGAAAGGTTCGGCTATGGATTGTCGATGTTGCACGATTGCTGGTACTCAAGTTCGCATCCAGTGCTCGTTGCAGTGCGGAGCCATGTCGTCGACCGCTACAGTCGAAGAAGCGCTTCGACAAAGCCGGCGCCGCTTCACGAAGAGCCCGCGTGAAACATGACATTGGCAGCATCGCTAGACCATGAGCGCTGGGTGCTGCTGAGTGCAAGAGACGTAGAAAACGTTCGAGAACTCAAAAAGTCCGGTATTCATCGACCCTGGAGACCGGCGTCGACCAATCGGAGAAGGTGAAACACAAACATTTGTTACTTTTAGGATTTAATACGCATCATCACGCCACTCCAGAGTCTACAATCACATTTCTCGAATTTGTGAAGGGTCAATCAAGATGGTGTGACATTCCAGTACGCAGTCTAGCTAGTAGGTCATTGTTCGTGGCATGAGGCAAAGTGAAAACGGATTAGCAGGATCACTCGCTCAATAGTGATCCAAAATATCATCCAAGCCACTATCCTGTCTCGGTGGTGGAGCTCTGTCTCTTGAATAATTTGCGGTGTAGCCCGGAGGCCCTGCCCGACTGAAAGGGGTATAAGTTCGTGGTAACTCGTGGGCGCCACGACTTGTGGCACTCGGTGGTAGAGAAGACTGAGGTGACATTGACCGTGGTTCTGCGGTGTATGGTATGTAGTTGGCCGACGTTGAATTTTGTAAACGGGACACCGTTGGAACTGAGGCGGGTGTCATGGATCGCAGAGGAGCGACGCCGCTAGGAGTGAGTGGGCGCCTTCCACCTACTGGTGTCATTGCCCGCTGCGCGACACCATTTGGCGTAAATGGTCTTTCTGGAGAACCCCGAGTTGGAGTCTGTGATCGAAATTGTGGCCCTGGTAGTGGAGAATTCCGACCTCTCTCGTCGGAAATGTTCGGGAAAGCGGGATTGACTGCAGCAGGTGTCCGGCTTCGATCATCAGGATACGGAGGGGCGCTGGTATTGTCGTAGGGTTGTCTGGAGCGCGAGTTGACTGACATACTGGTACCAGGACGTGGCAAAGGGTCCATCTGATAGCCTCCAGGCCCATTGCGAATACTTTGTGCAGTTCCAGGTCGAGGGAGAGCTGGACTGAATGGTCTTGGAGCAGGTTGGACACTTCCCGTCATGCTTCGGTTGACAACAGGATTGCCGTACCACGGACCAGCTTTTTCGGGACCATATGGTTGCGCTTGATGAGAGCTGACACCCATCTCACCAGCCGAGCCTAAAAGTGGAGCATTTGATTGATAGCTGTCCCATGACACGGCTGATTCGTGAGTTAGGGTACGTGTTGGCATCGGTGGACGAGCTGAAATGTTTGGCAATGTAGGAAGTGAGTCGTTGCTGTTGTTTCCCGTACTCGGTCGGGAAGAGTATTCAGGAAGAGTCGTCATCGTGGTCTGTCTCGAGAGGCCATCAAATGGATCGATTTCGTCGGTGCTGATGTTAGGCAGCGTAGGTTGCTTTTTGATGTCTCGTCCATCCCGAGCAGCCTTTGCTTCTTCTCGAGCTCGAAGCTGGTTTTCTCTCTTCAAAGCTTTGTCGACTTTGACCCTAACAATCCTTTCCATACGTCGATTAATCTTGGTTCGGCAATAACCTGACAAGCCACCAGCGTCACTGGGTATGTGATGCCATAGGAACACTAGGTACAGAATGATTGAGACAATAAGACTGAGGACCGAGATCACCCAGATGAGAAATGTCCATAGCATGCCAAAAAGAACGACGGCCTGCAGATGATTGGAACTGGCCAGGATGCCAACATTCACAAAGAATTGCACCACCGCAGAGTGGCCGTCATCCGGAGCGTTTGCCCCCGTAGGGATCAGCTTTAGCCTCAAGACCGAGTACAAGGTAACTGCGTTAACGCCTTGTCGTGGACCTTCGGCCAAGACGATTCGTAGGAACGCCTCAAAGGAGAAGTAGGCGAACAACGCAACGTAATCGGCACCTTTTCGACTTTTCGTCAACTCGGCAAAGACAAGGAAACGCTTCCATCCTCGTGACTGTCCCCATCGTATGGATTGTACTCGCACCGCCAGCGGGTCAAGATAACTTTTAGCAACTCCACCCTGTCTCATCACTCTGATTGCGCGCAGCCATCGATAGGCAAGCAGCACAAATGAGAGTATGATACACCCGGCGAAGATCCACCGAGAGATGGTCAAGGGAATAACTGGCTTGATCTGACCCGCCCATCGATCGAAGACGAGGAGGTTGATGGCTGTAAATGTGTCGACAGCGTAGACGGAGATTGAGACAACAAGCATAACAAGTAGGTATCCATATGCGAAAGGTGCCCAGCACGAAGAGGATTTGAAATCGTTAAGGTTCTGTATGATCTGTTAGATCCGTCTGCGTTGAGATCTCAAGCGTGCGAAACATACTATGTATTCCCATTTCTGTTCAGCTTTCAGTTCGCCAAACTTTTCTCTTTCACCGCCGCAGCAACCCATGATGAAAAGGGTGTATGTGTTGCTGATACTCAACAGGGTGTGGCTGCAACCAGGCAGTGGGTGTTGAGGATATGAACGAGAGGCAGGCCGTTTTGCGTGGCCGGTGTAGAATGCGGAGGTGGTTGACGGTCCAGGTTGGTAGTTGTTGTGGCACGGCTCAGCCGATGGTCAGAGACAAAGAGATCCAGCTCAAGCTGCCCAGCATTCGAGACCTTTGTTTTCGCGGGCTTTATGGCATTGCTCCCAAGTAAGAAGGCTGGTAAAGAACGGACTGGGGCGCAGGTGAACCGAGCGCGTGAGAACAAAAAGAATGGTGACAAAATGAGTGAATAAGAGAGTGAATGGACCCTGTCTGATTGACAAGAATTGATACAACAATTGCAAAGGATGGTGATTGAAGGCCGAGTCGGTCGGTAGGGTTGATGGTTGAGAAGGGCGACAAGGAACAGAAGCCAGGGGAGTCGGCGAGGTCGGGTGGTAAGATTGGTGTCAATCGTCGTGACATGGACGGAAACGGAACCTTTGGAAACTAAAGGCTCCGGAGCCACAACAGGACCGCCCCTTCCCAAACAACGCTATGCCTACAGCGGTCGAAACTCCAGGTACTAGCCCGAAACCACGGGCCCCTGAATCCCTGACAACATCCTAAAACACGCTTCAGATCAACACGGCGGCTTTTGACTGGGCGACAGATTCTCGAACTCTCCGCGTCAGATCGACTCATGCAGGAACCCGTGCGCGATTTGAGCTAACAGTGAATGGATCCTATCTACGATGTTTCTCACCATATCCGCTTTGCTACCATCTCATAGCGCTGGACTTTGTCAAATGCTTCAACACCATGCCCTTTTTCCTTTTCTCTCTGCTGCTTCTGCCTTTCCCTTTCGTCTCTTTCACGAAGTGCTCGTAGCCCGGCCGGGTCGTCCTCATAGATCCAGCGTCGTTTGTCTTCATCGACCTCGACGACACCCCAGCCGCCAACACGACGCCCACCTTCCACCTGGTGAACCGCGCTCTTTTCGCGTAGCTTCATCGAATGATAACGTGACCTTGCGAACGCTAACAGAAGCATGCCAAGGACGAGCTTGCAGGCTAGTAGTATCAGGAAAAAGAGGAGAAAAACGAGCAGAGTCGTCATGTGCGTGACAATGCTGGATTTCATGATCACATTCGGTATGGATCTGATGATATCGTCCACTGTTCTTGAGATCGCCGTTCCCGTCGTTATTGGAAGTGTCGATCGCACTGCCGAGTAGTCTTCGTGGATACTTGCCAGGCTGGTTGATGAACTGGGTGAACTTGACGGCACCCAGGCTGCCATGAACATTTGATAGGTTTGTACGCTTGCTCGGATGAAGAGGCAACTTAACGGTATCACCGGAAGCCCCAAGCGTTTTGTAAGGTTCTGCTCGCCAAATGCGTTTGTGTAGTAGTCTTTGGCCAGGACGTCAAGGAAGCGATCATAGATAGCAGGCCGAGTGTTGTTGAATTTACTGATATAGGCATGTTTCAGCCAGTCCACCAGCATCTCCGACCCGAGCACCACGAGGAAGGGTCCCAGTACTTGGCTGACAGCAGGTGCAAACGACGTTATCGACTCCACCATTGTAGGCAGTAAAGTGAAAGCACTAGGAAGGATCGAGCTTGCTGACCTTGGCGGAAAGGCGGCAGTCAACGGTATGCTGCCGTTGCTTGTAGTTGTTGCTGACGCAGTCGCAGATGATGCAGCTGTGAAGGCGGCTAGACCTCTATTGAGACCGCCCGTTTCGACGATATTGCGGGCTGCAATGATGATAAGCATGTGCCACAGTTGAAATCGTTCAACAACATCGGCGCAGGTCAGTTGGAAAAGGTTTTCCTTCTCGAACTTCTTGAACACAGTCCCCTTGATCTCCACGAATTGATTAGACATTAGTAATGTGATCAGCGCATTCGAGTACGAGTTGACGGCCACATTAAGTGTAACGACCTGGTAAAATAGTGCTGTGGCGTGAATAACGCAGTAGACGAGCGCAAGGACAAACAGCCAGAAAGGCCGTAATATTTTGCTGTGGCCATCTGCTTTGCGCTCAAGAGTCTCCCGAGAGAACAGACACTCAAGCACGTCCTGTCCTATGGCTGAGAAGAGACGATCGCACACCTCTAGGATATTGTAAATGACGTAAAGCTTGATGGCAGCTTGCCCTCTAACCCAGTGGTACATCCGGCTCGCATCGAGTCTCAGGAGGATTAAACAGGTGCTGATGATCAAGAGACCTTTCAGCATATCTGCCTTGTCATCTGGTAGCAAAGTTGATGGAACAGACTTTGTCCGCTGATGATATCGCGTGCGACCATGCAGAGGGTTGTGAGAAGGCCGGGTGTCAGGCGCATTGGGACCGGAAGTCTTGCGAGTCGAATTAGGTGGGAGACTGCCGCGACGCCGCGTCCACATCCGGCCGGCACCATTGTAGACAAAGTTCGAAACGAAATTGACCTCGGTTGCAAAATTGATTCCCCAGGATTTGGTGAGGAGATAGAAGGACTTTAACAACCTGAGCGGCAGTATGGTGAATATGTATAGCCACGAGTCGAGACATGCAACAGTCCCAAACCAGAGCACACTCTCAAGGTGAGGAGGAAGGAGAAGGAAGTTCAATAACCTTTCAGTCTTTGCCCGGGAAGATTCGTATGGGAAGTCACTGTTGGCGGAGCGATGGATGTAGAGTGGGGACGGCCGTTGCGAGGATAGCTCAAGCTGCAGGTATGTAGGAATTGAGACTGGCGGTAGAGGAATGGATGCTGGCATCGGAGAGGGCAGCGGACGGCCCGAAGAGGAATATCTCCTTCCGTCGTTTCCTTCGAAGCGCGACGAAGCCTCCGGCAGCTTGAGGGAAGGTCGTATCTTCTCAGACTTATGTGGGGACTGAGGGTTTCTGGCTGATGTTGGAGTCGACACAGCTCGCTGGGGAGCCCAAGGCCGTGATTTAGGGCTGCTTGAGGACTCCAAGGGCCGATTGCCAGTTTCAATTGTGAGGTTCCGTGCTTTCTTCTGGTCCTCGCCAATTGGCGGACCTAGAATGGGAGAGTTGGTAAATGGTGTCGTGTGGAAGCTATCTTTTTCGAACTTGACCTGTCCGCTATATTTGTCTGATGCTGGATCAATGTTGTAAGCACTGGGTCGCTTGCAAGACTCCTGCTGTGACCCCTCTGAGTCGACAGGGCGAAGGGGTAACGATTCGGGAGACGAGGTAAGGTCCTGCAGTCTGTCCACGGAAAGTTTGAGCACATTCTCCAGCTTAGACCCCGTCGTTGCAGCGTCCGCCCTGGTGGCCTTCGGGGTGGACATTATCCTGGGACTGACACTTTTGTCAACTTCGAGACTACTTATCGAGCCATTTGAAAGTGAGACCGGTGGCCTTGCTTGTGCCCCGGCAGTCGTAGTATGTTCGTTGACTCCAGAATGTGGCTGGGTTCCCTCGAGATGATCATTCAACTCCTCCTCTTCCACCTTGTATGACATTTGATCCATCTCTTGCAGGCGAGACCTGGGATCTGAGATCACTGGTTTTGGAGGACCCTCCGTGGGAAAAAGTGCTCTGTCCGGTGTAGCTGGCACATGAACATGCTCTCGTTCCGGAACATCGTCGTAGTTGTTACGTATCAAAAGGGAGCGACCGTGGTGGCTATTGTCACCGTTCGGGACTGAAGCAAGAATGGGGCCGTCCATGTTGGAAGGAACAGGTAAGGAGTGAGCCAGTGGCCATAATGGTTCATGCCAGATATGTCATAGAGACACGCAAGTCATTCAGGTGGTCCCCCATCGAGAAACACGGTTCTGGCCATCACGTTGCAAAGAGTTGAGGACTTCGAAGTTGGAACAGTCTGCGTGGTGGGCAATGAATGCTTTGGGTCGACCAATATTATGAACTGCGGCATCCCTGAGGACTGGCAAGGCTGGCATGTCGCTCGAGGCTGACGCGATAACGATAACGGACTTCGGCAATGGGGCCTTCCGCCACAGTCGATCACCTGCCTGCCAACTTTCAACATTTTATTCAGATGACATCTTATACTAAGAAGAAGTCTACAACCTCATGTGTAACTACCCATTAAGATTCAACTGCGTGGATATCAGCACAGCATTAAGGCACTCTGGTCGAAGACGCAACTCATGGCCGTCTCAAGTCTTTGCTGATATGTCATGAAAGAACGACCATAACCCGAGGTTCCGAACTCTCCCCTCCACCGCCTGTGTAGACTCATTTCCAAATGGATCAAGAACGATTCCCTGGCTGGAATGCTCCCAGAAATGATCCTAGGAATGACCTGCAAGGCCTGGCTGGTGGCTACGAAACTCCTTCCTCCAACCCTGAAATCAACACAACTGCTTGGAGCGAACAGAACCATGTTGCATCTCCTACGCCGTCATCTCAGTACATTGCGGAAACATCAGCTTCAGGCATTGTCAGATCACCACTCCAGCAAGCCACAAATAGTGCACCAACCTCTCGACCTCTTTCACAGCGGAGAGCAGCGTCTGCAAGCCAGGTCTCGGCTCTGAACTATGCAGACCCAGGACTTTCCACAGCCTCATTTGAAGCCCCTCTACGGTCTATCTTCGTGTCGGGTCCACCAACGGCTTCCATATCAGCCAACACTGCCTTGGCCTCGCTCAGTGCTGGAGTCTCCTCCAGTACTTCTGGATCATTTGCTGCTCTTACCCACGCCGGTGGCAGTCGACGCAACCATGTGCGGATAGGAGATCTCACGCCGTCTCAATCTCCAGCCGCGGCGAGTAGCCGGCAGCCGTTGATTGACCCGGAGAAAGACGTCGACGATCCCACGACAAGTGCGACCAGCAACGCTTACGATGTTGCTGCGGGAAACACTTCGGCGGCTCTCTCTCGCCTGTTTGTCACGAGTGATGTGGTAACTCCTAGTCTATCTCGTGGACCCTCGCACATGCGAACTCTGTCCAGTGTCGACCGTAGTTTGGCCGACAGGTCAACATTGACAGGACATCTTTTCCATTACGGTTTCGAGGAAGGTCGTCACTCGGATATCACAATATACGCCTTTGGTCAGGCATACAGGCTTCACAAGCTGCTGCTCGATCGTGTTCCATTCTTCGCATCCGCATTCTCAGGCTCGTGGGCAGAAAGCACTGCCAAAGAAATGAGAATTCTGCCAGAGGATATAGATTCTAATATCACCAAGAAAGCTTTCGAGCTTGCCTTGAAGAGGATTTATGGGACTCAAATTCCGATGCAGGAGGAGGGCGAAGCCATTGGACTGTTTGCAACAGCCTGTTGGCTCGACATGCCTGATCTCGTGGATTCTTGCGTCGATTCCATTCTTCGGCAGATGCATCCTTCCAACCTGCATAGTCTGATCAAACTCGTGACTAACAACTATTACGGCAAGGCTGGGGATCGCATACTGGCTTCTGCCAAGGCCATGCTTTGCAGAGAAGGCTGGGAGATGCCGTATGAGTATTGGGACGAGATCCCCGCGGAGATCATCCGTGAGATCGTCGGCGGCGATCCTTTCTTTATCCCTGGAGAATGGGATCGCTGGTACCTCGCGGTGAAAGTCTTGAATCGCCGACTCAGAGCGAAGGCTGTGGAAGGTGGCCTTGTGTCGCCTGGAGGACGCTATCTTCATCCGAAACCTGGCAGTCTGCGGTTTTTCGCCGTGAGGTTCGATGCACCCTACAGAATAGCCGGCCAGAATCGTTATGTTTCGGAAAAAGACGAGCCGTGGATTGCACTGTACACAGCACCGGAAATTGCACCTTTGCTGGTGCTGCTGGATGAAGGTATTCACTATGTGCATTTGCGGTTTGAACAGTTGCAGCAGATTCGCTCGCATCGAGACATCCTGGGAGTGCCCATTCTCCCAGAAAAGGTGATTTCTGACGCATTGTGGATGTCGATGGAACTTCGTCAAAAAGTGCTCAATGCAAAACCAGGCGAGGTCGAGCTTGGATTGAGTGAGATTGCCGAAGAATATTACGAAGAAGATGAACCTGCTGCGGAACAACTCACGCAGTCCAGTAAAGGGAAATCTCGGGAGCAAGAATCCCGGAGCGCGGATGAAAGTGGCCAGGACATGGAATCCGGTTCATGGGACGGCAACGGCAAGGCTCGAAAGTTCTGGATTCCTAGCAACGACGTGTCCTGCGTCATGGGTGGGACACGCGAAGCATGCGGAGCTTTGAACTCCACCAGTGGTGCAGAATGGACTACACATGCAGCCAGATTATCCGCAAGTCTGGAGCCGACGGATGTTGCGTGGGCTCTCGACTTCAACACCGGAAACGTGGTTGAGAGTGGGAGACCACCATCGAGAAGCTATTCACCAGAGTCGGCTCCACATTACAGCTACTATCCACCTTTCCGCTTCTCAGCTGAATTCCCAAACCCGAGGTCTCTTAAGGAAAAGAAGCGTGTGTACTCACAGACCGTATGGTATGCCGGTTCCATGTGGAATCTGTACATCCAAAGGGTCAACAACCCCAAAAATCAGCAGCTTGGTATTTACCTGCACCGTGCCAAAGATAAGGATCCGAATGAGGACCCCCTTGCCCAGTTCATCCCTGCTACAGTCGACGACCGCATCGGTCAACTCGAACGGGAAATGCTTCTTCGGAAGAACGAGCGTCGAAATCAAAGCTGGCGGGCAAACGAAGCTGCCCGAGCGTCGCTGGTGGAACGGGACGAAGACACTGCTTCGACCGACTTTGACTCGGCAAACCTTCGTGCCAATGACGGAGAAACTCAGTCGTCGATTCGTGGGGCAGGTGCATCAGCAGCTATGTTCAAGACATCGCAAAGTCCTAGTACCGCGGGCGCAAATACTGGCGAATACTTTCCACCTGGGGCACAGATGCTGGACGAAGACGAGGAAGACGAGGATTTGATACGGCGAAACCGCAAATACAACGTCTCCGCTATGCCACCTTATATGGATACTCGGCCCACCATCAGGACCTACTTCAAGATATACTCGCCGAGCAAGGCGGGTCGACTCCTCAGTATCTATGAGAGCGCGCCTGATAAGTTCGACGTGAGCAAGAGTTGGGGGTGGAAGAGCAGCCAGATGCAGCTCGATGATGGTATGGGTGGGTACGATGTCACGAAGACCAGCAAAGAAGGCAAATTGAGATATATGGTGGTTATCGGGAATATTTGAGTACCTGCTGTACTTTGCTGCTGTTCAAAACATTTGGGTTGGGCCGATGATATTCCTAGCTCGACACTTTGCCCCATGAGATATGATCGTTCCACATGCATGAGCAGCAATTGAAGTATAATGATTTACGATCTTATGATTCGATTATGCCATTTCCTCTTCCAGCCTTTCCACAAGGGGCGCCCCAAACGTTTCGCTCTCACCCTACCGTGGTCTATTCTGAAGAACTATATTGCAACACTGTCCATGGCAAGCAGACTCGGGACATGGTCTCTTCGCCCAGAAGATCGGTTGACAAAGCCATCCTCCAGGTGCTGACTTAGTCACGCCCAAACAGGACTCGAATGTTGAAATAAACATGCAATCGGACTGTACTCCGTGTTCCGAACAAAGAACGGATGAGTCAGGATCGATCGTATTACGGAAAATGTAAAGCTGTCAGACAGCAAGGGAACCGTGGTGAAATGGATCATCCGAAATTGTCTTTTGTCGGTCATTAAAAGAATTTCCATATGAAGCTTCGCCGAACTATTCCCACGTTCCACTTCTCTCTCATTGCTGAGTCATTCCAGCCAGCCAATACCCACGTCATATCAGAGGAATTTGATTGCCGAAGAGTGACGTTGTCGGTTGTCGACATCGTGGAGCCTCAGGGTCCCCAGAAAAGTTCTGTAAAGCACTGAATATGGCTGAAACTCGTACAACGAATAAATGCCATTGGACGAGGGGCATGCACTTGATTTCAAAGCTCTCGCACGTCTGGGATCTCCATCCGTACCATCCATTGTCCCTGAGGTAAGGCTTTTCTCGAGAAATATTCTAGAAATCACGATAAGGACCACCTGTGAATAAATACTTACCACTACCCTCCCTTCCCTTACCTCTTAAGTCCTACTCATTCATCATTCGCCTCCGATACACATTGGCACCACCAGCTACATATTCCTCACTGTTATTTTCGACGCTTCTCGAATATTGACCTCTCCCCCATTGGCTACCAAGTCAACCTCAACCCAAGAACTTTACCACAATGGGTTCCACCGAGCAGAAGCCTGTCATCTTCAACAAAGCTGCTGAGGGTATCTCCTATTTCACTCCAGCACAGATCCCACCGGCTGGCACTGCTAAGGACCCACAACCTGAGGGCCATCCTATCCCGAAAATCTTCCAGCCTCTCAAGATTCGTGGCGTCACCTTTCCCAACCGCATCTGGCTCTCGCCACTCTGTCAGTACAGCGCGCAGAATGGCTACCTTACAGACTGGCACCTCACGCATTTAGGCGGAATCATCCAGCGTGGACCTGGTCTTACCTTGGTTGAAGCCACTGGAGTCACACCGGAAGGTCGCATCACTCCCGAGGACAGCGGTCTCTGGGAGGATGGTCAGATGGCTCCGCTCAAGCGGATTGTTGAATTCGCGCACAGCCAGAACCAGAAGATCGGTATCCAGCTGGGCCATGCCGGTCGCAAGGCCAGCACTGTTGCTCCGTGGTTGAGTTTGGGGGATACTGCTCAGAAAGAAGCTAACGGCTGGCCGGATGAGTGCTTGGCTCCAAGCGCCATCGCTTTTCAGTCATCCTTCCCACACCCCAATGCTTTGACGCTCGAAGGTATCCAAAGAATCAAGGATGCTTTCGTAGCCGCCGTCAAGCGAGCTGTCGAAGTCGGCTTTGATGTCATCGAAATCCACAATGCTCACGGTTACCTCCTCCATGAGTTCCTCAGCCCGGTCAGCAACAAGAGGACCGATAAATATGGTGGTTCTTTCGAGAATCGGACAAGGCTGACAAGAGAAATTGTCGAGGCCACGCGTGCTGTCATTCCAGAAAGCATGCCTCTGTTCCTCAGAATCAGCGCCGACGACTGGCTAAAGGAAGTACCTGAACCTGAATTCGCCGAGAGCTGGACTATCGAGGACACAGTGAAGCTCGCACCGATCCTTGCGGAGTTGGGTGTCGATTTGCTGGACGTTAGTTCTGGTGGCATCCACCCCAAGCAACACATCCACGGCGGTCCAGGTTATCAAGCACCATTTTCCAAGGCGGTCAAGGACAAGGTTGGTGATTCTCTCCTGGTCACTGTCGTCGGCTCCATCACATCTGGTCATCAGGCCGAGGAGATTGCCCAATCTGGCGTCGATGGCGTGTTTGTTGGACGATATTTCCAGAAGAACCCTGGTCTGGTTTGGACTTTTGCCGAGGATTTGGGTACGGAGATTCACATCGCGAACCAGATCTCTTGGGGATTCGGAGGTCGCGCCGGCGGTAAGGGACACCAGAAGAAGTAAGCGTTAGGTGGAAAACGGTGCATTATGAATTGAATTCCTTCTGTTGTGATCTGAGCGATGGCGTTTTACAAACAAGGTCTCCATGAGGGCAGATGGGCGGCTAGCAGAGAACTTTGATCGCAGCATATAGACCTACTATGAATCAGATTCCTATTGGTGTCATTTTGAAGTTGAGCAACGCTGCGAGGTTCCGTGTCGTATACAACGCCGCATTTGGGTTTACGATGGACAACGGTGGAGGTCAGTGGTTGGTGTTTGTGTTATGCATCGACTTTCCAGGTTGATTGCAGATGCTCCTGAGGTGACCTGCGAAACATGTGACAGATTTGACAAAGTTCGCAGGTCGTAGAATGGCTTTCCGTAGGGCTCTGAGCGCTTGTGAAATTCAATATAGATAGCTTGCAATGAAACGAAACGGGACAGCAAACTTGCCCTCCTGATTCTGAGATGGCTACAATGGTATATTGATAATGTTAGAATTTTTTACAGGGATACCAGGGCTTATTGGACGTCGCGACCCCGTATTGGCGGAGATTATATCTGCTTGAGTATGAAGGTGGACATCCTTGACAACTGGCGGAATTGAGAAGGCTTCTTCCGCCAGGCTGTGTGGAGCGGGCCGCAACACAGATTTTCCTATGGAGTCAGTTACGGAGAAGATGAGTTAGCAGCCAATCTTTCAGTGAAGCTGCCGTGGATGTTTGAATCCAATGGCTTCAATGACACACTTGAGTGCAGAAGTCTCCGGGCGCTCAACGGCGCTCCAGTGGCTGTGCTGTAGACTAAATATGGTCCGTAAATGCCTTTTTGACAGGAAACTTGTGATTGGGCGTCATTGGAAAGGCGCTTTGATCTTTTGTTGATGAAGGCGCCTCAAGTGTTTCAGAACATCCATGGATTGTTGATTGTGGAGCAATCAAATTGGTTCACATTCTCAAGGGCTTGATAGCTTGACGTCAATTCCACACATATAGACCGTGGAACAGGTTTTTGGCTTTGACAACAAAAATAACAATAAACACAGATGGCGACTCACTGGCAAGTGTTTCTATCCCGTCTTTAGAGTTGACCAAAGGCACGGTCGAGACACGTGGAGGTGGCAGTGCTTTTCTGTCAAACAACGGGCGAGTCCTGGCTATGATCGGCTGAAGATCAATGGGCGAGATCGTCGTACGGAAATATGGACAAGATGGAATTGTTATCGATTAAACTACGGAGGACGTGAACGGGTCACCAAAAGCTAGAGCCGCGGAGGTCAGTAGCACGAGTAACTTACCTACCTTGAAGCGCACCATCGAGTGGAGATTGCTGGACCAGGCATGACCAGGGCATCGTGACAGTGCAAACTGTGAATAATAGGACAGCAGGACAGCAGGTCGGCAGATGACAGTTTTGGACTCGGTGATTGATGATGATGTGAGAGGCTGCAGAATGGTCACCGGTAGTCGCGTCGACAATACAATCATTGAGAGATGATAAGACATATTGACCCAGACACCCCAGATTGCTGCCATAGGTGGTGGACCAGCAAGGCAAGTCTAGGTCTGTATGACTGGGTGAAGCTCCAAGATTTGTGGCTCTCTGGGCTCCCAAGTTCTGCCTGCTCCAACGTGCCATGGGAGTCTATCGTTCCTTGATATGCAGTGCCCTGAGTTTGATCTTTAGACAGGAAAACAAAGTCTTGTTATAGAAAAATATAGCGTATACAATTTTGAACAGCAGGAAGCAGCTATGCTAGAAAACAGTACTATCATATATCCGATTGATAGTAATAGTATGAGAATGCGAGTTCCTTGAGTCGTTGTCCAGCTAGTTAAGCTATCCCTGCTCGGGCTGCGGTGTGCTGATGCTGTGCTGTGATCTGCTGTGATGTGAATTGGGGACTTACTCTTCCCTTCTTCTCTTTCACCACAACAATTGGCCAACCACTTTCACAACGGATCTTTTGACCATGCTTCTTACTGCTTTCTCTGTCTATCGACGGACCAACTGTGCATACCTTTGACAGCTCATGGTCCGCGCGTCTGTCCCCGGTTAAGCGCCACCCACGACTGTCTTCCTCCTGCTCGCCATCCGGCGCGACTCTGGGGCGTGGTTGGCTCGCAGGCTCAACTTGCCCGCTCCCTCTCAAGTGCCAACTTCAACGCACTCACAACTCTCAAAAGATGAACTCCGACAACAACCCCGACTCCTCTATCACAGCCAAACGACGTCGAGCAACATTGACAAAGAACCCTCCACCGTCAGCGTTCCCCTCCAAGCAACCTTCACTCCGTAACGCACAGTCGTCGGCCGCCCTCCAACGAGCCCCGTCAGCGCCCACTGCATATCAGACCGCAGCCTCACAGTCCGCTCGCGACTTCCACAACCGATCACAATCTACTGCGTACGGATCCTCCTCTTCATCGCTCGAACACATCAGCGCAAGTCCTTCGCCCATCATTCCCCACAACGACTTCTTCTCTCCATCAAGTGACAGATACCTGCCCCCGCAGCAGTACCCTCCGAGTCCGCAAACCTCAGATGACCGTCACCACGATCTCATAGGCGCCCCCTTCGACGCCAGCGGTCTTCTTTCATCATTGCAAGCCACTGGCATAAACAGAGACCAAAATGCTGTGATGCAGTCCTCACAACTTCCGCAATTGACTCGCAACCATACTAGTCCCGACTCGCGCTTCCCCATGGAAGGCAGTATGCGCTCGTATGGATCTGGGATTGGTATGATGGAGGTCACTCCGCCAAAGTCAGAAAATGGCACCTTAAGTCCCAAGCGCTTCTCTGGTGACAGCCAGAAGCCATCGGGACCATTTCGCAAGAAGAGCGGCTTTTCAAGCTTCATGAACAACATGCTAGGGTCTCCAAGAACGATCAAGATTTCGGCGCCCGAAAATCCCATGCACATGATTCATGTGGGATACGACAACCAGACTGGGCAGTTTACGGTGAGTAGGGCAAGCTCTGCATTGACATTTTACGCAATCGTGCTTGTCCTGTACTCGGCGGCTAATTCATGGATAACAGGGACTTCCTGCAGATTGGCAGAGAATACTGGCAGACAGCGGTATCTCCAAAAATGAGCAAGATCAGAATCCGCAGATGATGATGAACATCGTCGAAACATACAAGACCAATTTTGGGGGAACTGATGAGGCAGTTTGGGAAAAGTTCGACCATGCCAAATTGTCCGACTCACCTCAGAGTAGTGCGAGCAGCTATCACAGCCCGACGCCGACAGTAGGTTCACCGAACCTCGGTGTCAACCCAGCCGCATACTCGCCAATTGCTGGTGTCCTGTCTCCACCTGCAAGCCCCCGATTTCCTCAGAATCACGAAGGCAGCTTCGAAAACCCTAGAGCTGCACCGCCCATACCACGAGGCCTAGTCGGCAGTCCAGTTGGATTCAAACCCGGCCAATCTCCCACTCTCATGATGCCGAATCGGCCAGCGCCGAAGCCGCCTCAATCTAATGTACGTGATCTTGCCCCAGCTCGGGCTGCGCCGCCTCCTCCTTTCAAGCATGATCTGCCACAGCGGCCTGTTGCAGAGTCGCCATTACCGCAAACCCCTGCAGAGAAACAATTATCTGCATCACCATACATTCCTCAGGGCGAAGCACTAAGTCGTACTGAATCTCGAACGACTGGTGCCACTCCCCCTCGACCTCAGCAGACGGTTCAGTCTGCGACTCAATATCAGCAACAGCAAGAGCATGCGATGGCATTAGCACAAGAGGCTATACAGAGTAAGCAGCTTGATCGGAGTCGAAGCCAGCGTCAAATCGCTCAAGGAGCGCCAGAGGTTCCACCCAAGATTCTTCCTCAGAAGATTAGCCCCCATATCCCTCAGACTCAATTTGCTGAAGCGGCAGACTCACCTGATCTGCAAGGACAGCCACAGTTGGCTAAGGTTGGACCTGTACCTGGTCCCAGGCCCCGAGCAAAGCGACAGCAAAGCAACATTATTGATGTTACGGCTCGACTGAAAGCCATCTGCAGTCCAGGTAACCCAACAACAAAGTACAATAACCTCAACAAGATCGGCCAAGGTGCTTCTGGAGGCGTATACACCGCATATGAGGTCGGGACTAGGAGGTGTGTCGCAATCAAGCAGATGAACCTAGAACAGCAACCGAAGAAGGACCTCATCATCAACGAGATCATCGTTATGAAAGACAGCAAGCACAAGAACATTGTCAACTTCATTGATAGTTACTTGCATGATGGCGACCTTTGGGTCGTGATGGAGTACATGCAGGGCGGGTCCCTTACTGATGTGGTGACTTTCAATGTCATGAGTGAAGCCCAAATTGCAGCCGTCTGCAGAGAGGTGAGCAATACTCCCCCATCAGGAAAACGTCATGTACTAACTGTCTTAGACATTATACGGATTGCAACACTTGCATTCGAAGAACGTCATTCATCGTGACATCAAATCCGACAACATCCTGCTGTCTGAAAGAGGAGACATCAAGCTTACGGATTTCGGATTCTGCGCTCAAATCAATGATAGCCAGAATAAACGGACGACTATGGTCGGCACTCCATATTGGATGGCTCCAGAAGTGGTCACTCGCAAAGAATACGGTCGAAAGGTTGATATTTGGAGCTTGGGTATCATGGCCATCGAAATGATTGAGGGAGAGCCACCTTATCTGACAGAATCGCCCCTGAGAGCCTTGTATCTGATCGCCAAATACGGCACACCACGCATCAAGGACGAGCAAGCGCTCTCACCTATCTTCCGCGACTTCCTCCATTTCGCGTTGAAGGTGGAGCCGGAGAAGCGAGCAAGTGCTCATGATTTGCTCCACGTAAGTGCATTTGTTTTCATTGGTGTGGACCTACCTGACGTTGTGTACAGCATCCTTTCATGCATAATTGTGCCCAGCTTACCAGTCTCGCTCCTCTTGTGCGTTCAGCTCGAGAAAGCAGGGCTGCAGAAAAGGCCCACAGAGGCAACTAGGAGTCGTCTCACGGTCGTCTGATGTACAACTAATGCCAAAAATACGCCTGGCGCACTATAGGCACGATTCAAACCGATATAGGTTTGGCCTACACAATAACACTCTCCGAAGTCCACCTGTGTGCCACGAAAGCATCTCATATGCATCGGCACACCCGAAAACACTTCGGAATTGAAAGGAGCCTATTACACAATCAGGCTCTAGCATGGACGGCTACACGTGTTATGTGACAATGATGGCACGATTGTTTTCTTATGGATACTCGTCCTTCTCGTTGGTTGTTGAGCGCATGGACATCATTATCGAAGAGCTTTCACATCGGGGGGAAGCACTTATGACTAAATGACGGAACTGGAGTTCGGTCGGATAGGACCTGGAATAGGAGCGGACTGGACTGTCTCGTGACATGTCTTTTCCCTGTCAGCACAGAAACTGTGCAAGTCAATATCTAGAGGTCTAGAGTCTTTCCAGGATGAGCAGGAGTGTGACGTGCGCGTGTAACAGCGCCGCATCCAAGATATGTGAGCTGAGATAGCTGGCCGGAATCGGAAAATGTGGTTCGGTTTGATAACGAGGACATTTCCAGAAGACTGTTTGATAGTCAAGGTGAAGATCTCGAGGCTGACCTGCGTAATGTTATGTGTGGCTGTGTTGAGCTTGTCGGTGGCTCATGTCGAACCTTCTTTTCTCCAACCCGCCATGCCTTTGCGTCACTCGACACGACTCCAGATTCATCAACTAGGCTGCGCTGATTGTTCACTTCAACTTTGCAACATCGCTTCTCTCTCACACAATCATATAATCGCACAGTTTGCTCCTCTACTACTCTGTGTATCGTTGCTATCGTTCACTCTCTCTGCAAGTCTACTTACAGCTCGCCTTGACCATCATGTTCCGGGCGCAGCAGAACATATTCGACGATGCCGTTGGTAAGCTGGATGCACTGCTTCGACATGATCCAGACTGACTTTCCTGTAGCGAAAGCGACCGACGAAAACCTGACCTCGGAGAACTGGGAACTCATACTCGATGTCTGCGACAAAGTGTCGTCTAGCGACAGCGGAGCCAAAGATGTCGTGGCCGCGATGATTAAGAGAATGGCCCATCGCAATGCCAACGTACAGTTGTATACGCTTGAGCTCGCCAACGCGCTGGCTCAGAACTGTGGTGTTGCTATGCACAGAGAGCTGGCTTCGAGGAGTTTCACAGACGCTCTGCTCCGATTAGCGAACGACAGGGTAAGGCCGGATCTTACAGTGCGGTCTGAATGGTCCTGACGTGCATAGAATACACATCAACAAGTTAAATCGAAGATCCTCGAGCGGATGGAACAATGGAGCAAGGACTTTGCCAACAACACAGAATTGGGTATTATGGAACAGGCATACTTGAGATTAAAGGCCCAGAGTGAGTTGACCTTGCAAGAGCAAGGTTATTGCAGCCATTGACGCATTATAGATCCAAACCTACAACCGCCACAGGCGCCTGTCAAGAAACAGATCACCGAGTTTGATCGGCAAAAGGAGGAGGAAGAACTGCAGATGGCTCTCAAACTATCGATCCAAGACAAGTCCACGGGACCATCAGCGAGTCAGCCATCTGCTGCTGCTGCGGCGGCCGAGTTGTCCGCACAACCAGCGTCCTCAGCACAACAAGCACCTCCACAACCGGTACCTTCGGGTACAACAGCTGCAACTGTTTCACGGGTACGAGCACTATTTGACTTTCAACCCTCGGAGCCAGGTGAACTACAGTTCCGGAAGGGTGATGTGATCGCAGTATTGGAGTCGGTGTACAAAGACTGGTGGAAAGGATCGCTTCGTGGTCAGACGGGCATCTTCCCACTCAACTATGTCGAGAAACTACAAGATCCGACACCAGACGAATTGCAGCAAGAGGCACGAATAGAGGCCGAGGTTTTTGGACAAATCAAGAACGTCGAGAAATTGCTGGCACTTTTGAGCACAAGTACAACCGACATGAATCCCAGAGACAACGAAGAGATCACGGAGCTGTATCACAGCACGTTATCCATCAGACCGAAGTTGATTGAGTTGATTGGGAAATACACCCAAAAGAAAGGTATGGAAGAAGGTGGGCAAATTTGGTGGATAGGGTGCTGACTTACGACGCAGATGATTTCCAGCAATTGAACGAGAAATTCATCAAAGCGCGACGAGACTACGAAGCACTACTTGAAAGCTCGATGGCTCAACCGACACAAGCATACGCCCGTCCAGGCCCGGCAGCTTACGGATATGGAGGGACCGCACCACCCCAGCAAGGCTATCCGCCACAGAGATTTTATACTCCTGGTGAGTATTATCACACAGGGAATGTGGTTCGCGAAGTCTAAATGCTTTCTCCCAGATGGACAACCACCGAACAATGCTATGCCTTACTCTCAACCACAACAACAACCCTTCCAGCCTCCGTACCCCGTAGCCTCGCCGGCTCCGCAGAGCCAGACGCCAGCCAACCAGCCTCCACCGGATGCCTACCCTTCGTATCCAACAGCGCCTGCTCGTCGACAGTCCCAGCCCGAGCCATACGCGCCGTATGCTCCTCAGAACTCGACCGCACCTCCACCAACGTCGGATGGCCGGCCCTATCCCGGTGTGCAACCACCGAACATCGCCCACCTCCAATATCAGGACGACGGCTATTCGGCGTCAAATTACTCCACAGACGACCTGCACCATCAAGTTATGTCACCCCCTCCCCAACAGCAGGCTCCGCCTACTCAACAGACCTACATCCCACCCACCAACCCTAGCTACCCTCCGCCGTCAGCCCCGTCTCAGCAACCATACGAGTATCCGTCGTCGCAGGTGAAACCAGCCGCGCCTAGTCATGGACCTCCTCCCGTTCCTGGCGTGGGTCCACCGAATCCAGCAGACCGGCCTGTCACACCTCTAGCGCAATCATCACCGTATCCTACCTTCTCGCCTGGTCATTCGCTTCCACAGCAGCAGTACCAGGCTTATAATCAACGGCCAACGAGTATGGCGGCGCCAGCTCCAGGCGTCGGTGGAGGCGGGCCGGCAAGTTATTACAGGTAGAATCTGGCTAAGTCGACTTCGCAAGAGGAAGATCCAATGGACCTTGACTTGACAGAGCATTGGGCAGCTTCGGCACCGAGGCATGGCACAATTCATGCGTTGGGCGCCAAAATGGCTACTTCGGCTTTGCAGGAGGAAGATCCCAAGGTCTTCGAAGCGACGGATCGTGATTCAACTTTGGCACAGCGGCACGGCACGACTGATGATCAGGGAGACGAAAAGGCTCAAACGATTCCGCAGGGGAAAGGCCCCGAGGCTCGTGACTCAGGGGATGGTGGTTCACTCTGGAACGGGGCCATGGCACGACTCATGGATTGGCGATCGAAAGCTGAACGACCCACGACTGATGCATTGGACGTCAAACGCTTCAGGACCACGCCTGTGAAACGACCTCGTCGTTACCGAAGGATTGGAGGTTTGAGCCTTGATGAGGATTTAGTATGAACCTCCTTTTAGCATGTTCAACATGATTTAGCACACGCTGCTGCTGGCATCGTAATAGAACGAACGAAATGACTGACCGTACTGGCAAGGTCGGGTCAATCAGAACCAAATAAACAAGTTTGGACCTGGAATTGTATAGTCGAGGATTCTTGTTGCTGCGTGGCTGGGCGCAAGATGACATATTTCCATCTAGTAAATCTGCAAACGCAATTGCACGCTTCTTTGCCGGATCAAATTGGCTCAACCCGGCACCATTGCTTTATTTGCAGCGCGTACTCGTTCGAGCGAAACCCAACACAAGGGTGGCTCCTGATTACTGTGCGAATTTCACAGGAACCAGCTTCAACAACGCCGCCCAAATCCCATCTCTTTTTCTGCTATTTCCGGAGCTCAAATTTATTTGCTGCTGTCCTGACTCTGCATGTAGGTATATCCGAAGTAGGCGGCCGCAGCACCGACCAGTAGGACGGCATACATGGCGACTCCCATGCCAGGACCATCAGATCGGCCTCCAGGTCCAGCGGCAATCTTGTCGGTAGCGCCGGTCTTGGGGGCTGGGTCTCCAGGACCTCGTTTCAGTTCTCCGACCAAAAGACCTTCGAGGATCTCGCGGGCTTCATCCGAGTGACCGACATCCTCGAAGGCTTCGGTTGCGTCCTGACCGCCGACGTCGAGAAGGACTTCCTCACCACCACTACGACAAGGTTAGCTATCTGGTATCCTGCACGCTTTCTTGAGGCCCAATTGTTGCGAGGGTAATCGGAAAAGTATCTGGAATCAATGTGGGGCAATGAAGGGTGGGGGAGAAGTAGAAGTGATTGTGCGGTTTGGGAGTAGGAAGGATGGGGAGAGAACGTACGGATGCTCGTCGACGAAGGATGTGGTGTTGTAGACCTTGTCGTGGATGACGAGGTACAGATCTTTCTTGCTGTTGTGTGTCTTCACCTCGTCGAAGCTGAGTGATTGAGACATGGCGGTGGTTGGGTAAGATTTGGGGAAGGTGTTTGTTGTGATTCGGGGAAGCTCGAGTGTGATATAGGTCGATGGAGGGTAATCCTGTCGAAGGAAGAGGGATTGCTTGAAGCTCGTGTGTTTGTAGCGGGAGCGCAGTCAGAAAAGAGAAAGTGGTTCGAGGGTTGATCAAATCAATTTAGGTGAAGTCGGTGTCGGGGAAAGGTGCAGGTTTGTCCAATCAAGGCAATGGGGGAACCAAGTCTGAGAAGGAAGAAGGCAAGCGACATGAAATGATGAAAATAACGGGCGATTTCGGTGGGGCTGTCCTCACAAGGACGAAGCTGCGTAGAGGTACTACATGGTAATTGAAGACGCTCCGATTCGCTGTTGACGATGGAACAGCCTGGCTGACAACCGTGTCCACCGAACTTTGATGCCACAGGTGCCGCGCTCAATTCCGCTTGTCGTGATATCTTTCCGTAAACCGTAAAATAACACTGGGGGGTGTTGTCCTTTTCAGGTTCTGTTTCGCGGTATCTTCGGACCCATTTACGGGTGCTGTTGGATACTTGATCTCTAAAGTCGGACTGTCTTTTAGCTGCGCTACGCGTTCTTCGTGCTCTTCACGTGCTTTCACTTTACTGTTGCGATCACACTTTTTGTTAATTCGCGACTCCGCCCCGCACCACGACACCGGCTGTACGAATGACGATGTCAAAACCTGTCGCGCGACGACATGACGTCTCATATTGTATATGACAATGTATCGCGCACGCAAGCGAATCAAGACAATGACAGCGACGAGACGCCAAAGTTGTTTTCCGGTCAGACACTATGGTTTTCGCACGCCGTACCGCAGCGACAGTGGTTGATGGAGAATGCCCGACTCAATGGTGCTACCATCGTCAATAGAGATGTTGATGCCAACATCAAGCTTGTCGACCATGCCAGGAAGAACCAAGCCCCTGGGACGCACTCCTACAAATATGTCGAATCGTCCATACGGAATGGTGTACTCGAGAACCTGGCGGACCATGCGGTAGGAGTTTCTACGAGAGTTGCCCGACCAGTAGGTAGCACTGTGACTGCTCCAAGAGGCGGGAGAGTTGCGTACACCGAGGAAGATGACCAGTTTCTTTGGAATTGGATGAAACCATTCGAGGACAATGGCGGCGTGTACAAGGGTAACGAGATCTACAAGCAGATCGAGGAAGTGAACCCGAGACACACCTTCCAGAGTTGGCGAGATAGATGGATAAAGAGCACCAGGTTCCAGAAGAGACAGCTCACGAATACCGCGCAGTCGGAGGAGCGAAGACCTCACCTAGCAGATGACGATGCTGAGCGGTCAACGCAGAGCCCTACACCAGAACCGGCACAAGCACCATTGCGGTCGTCGCCGTCGGGTAAGAGAAAGCGTGGACCGGACGATGGTGGAGAGCGTGTCCGCCCTAAAATACAGCCAACACGTGCTACCAGATCGCTAGAAGCACGAAACCATCAGAACGTGGACGATCCTGTTCCGCCAGTAACGGCTGCAGAGCAGGACACTGCGGGAGAAGCACGTCAGGCCGTTCCACTTGCCAACGCTCAGGCCGCGCAAGCTGAACTCGGAGCCGAACAAGTGGAAGTCCAGGGTGAAGAGGACGACACAGAGCTGTTAGGCTTATCGCCATCAAACGTGGGAGGCGGCTTCAACATCAAAGAGTATAAAGCGCTTTACCGCATGGTTCCTGAACTTACCGACGCGGTTTCCGACGAGTTTCAGGGACTTTGGAAAGAACTGGCGGCATCGCCTGAGTACCCTGGCCACAAACCTGACCAATGGAAGTATTTCTTTGAGTATCGAGTGGTACCTGATTATTGTAGAAACAAGAAGTTGAAGCTGGAGGAAGTCGCTCCTTATATGTGCGCACGACAGGAGAGCAATCTGGCTGGAGAGCAGCACAGCGGTCGCGACAAGGATGGGCACGACAACGATGATGAGAAGGAGGAGAACCAGCAGGACCAGGATGAGCTCTCAGAAGCTAGAACAACTCCCGGGTTGATGATGTGCACGAATTGTTATACCAATAACAGTGAGAGATGGAGACATGATAGAGAAGGGAAGCCTTTGTGCAACGAATGCGCCGTCTTCTTGAGAACGCATGGAGTTCCCAGATCATCAACAATGGGGCTCGGCGCGTTTGCTGAACAAGCAGAAACTTCCGGAAAACGTCCACAAACACCCTCGCGACAGATCAGCCCTAAAAATTTCACCATCACTCCAATTGTCGGATCTGTTCAATTGTCTCCAATACTTCTTCCGGCTGAACCCAGCGTGGCTGAAGCTGTGTATGCACGAACTCCGCCGCCGAAATCTCCCTCGTTCCAGCCCGAGTCACCAACATTGAGTCGACCACCAGAACCGAATTCATCAAGGAAGAGAGGTGCTGGACGAGGTTCTCAATCGCAGTCGCAGTCGCAGTCGCTCTCACAGCCAGTGTCAATACGAGAGCTGAATCCACCAAGCACACAAAGTCATACCCAAACCGGCTCAGAAGCCCATCCATCGGAAATGGGCGAGGCTCAATCCAAGGAAGTCCAACCAGAAGAACAATTGGATGCGAAATCGCAAAATCCGATTACTGCTGTGCCGTCATTTCGTGCCACAACAGGCACGCGGCCTAGAAAAACACTTCAAGATGATCCTGACAATCTGGATGTCCAACAAGACTCGTCTCTGAGTACAGATATAGGCCCTCCTCGCGAACCGCCTGTCATACCCTCCACTGAGTCGGAAGATGAGTTCACCTTTCCACCTTACCCCCTTCTGGGAAATATGTCTATGGGTGATCCACGTTTTCTTCCACAAAGTTCCTCGTCGGAGTCTGAAGATCACGATGATGAGGGGATTGAAGAAGAGGAAGATAGCGTGGTGATAAAGCAAGAAAAAGCCGCGACTCCAGACCACGAATCTTCACCAGATTTTGGAAGCAGAGCGAACATAGTACGTCAACAAGCAGCTGAGGAGCCGCAACCAACCCGGAAGCGGCAGAGAGAAAACTCTGTAGCTACAGGTGGTCAGGGAGTCTTGCAAGAGTCGAGACGCAACGCTTCACCAGAGATACCAATGGAAAGACTCGCATCAGGCTCGCAACCAATGGATAACTGGGAGACGGCCCCAGAAGAGCAACAACAGGGAACGCACAAGGAACGTCGCCTGTCAACGCAAGCGCTCTTCGACCGTCCGAACACTCACTATGCACTGGATCTCGGCCTCGAGATCCCGGATCCTGAGGGTGGCTGGGATAGCATTCTTGGTCCTGGAGCTGCAAACGATCCTGAGTATGAAGACTCTGGCGCCGTTGCACTAGATGTCAACACAGCGCGCAACAAACAGCCAGCTATTCCTGCACGAGAGTCCAGGGAGGATGGAGGAAGCCTGCCTGAGGACACCAATCGTGTTCGTCCATCGTCTACAGCAAGATCTACAGACCTTGTCGAGCTTCAAGTGGCGCAGCAAACCGCAGAGGACGACAGTATTACGGATCAATGGTTAGCCCACGAAGAGTCCCTGTATCCCAACGAACCCAACTTGCGACCGATCTGCATCAAAGCGCTCGAATGCACCAGTATCAACTTTGAGCGAGCAACAGATGTCGTTGAAATCATGCTGGACGAACTGAAGCGCAAGCGCCGCCGCACTTCGCGCTCCGGCTTCATTGCTGTAAACGAGGTCGAGATCCCGGATGATATGCCTGGTGTTTGGACTGACGAGGACGATCGACTTCTCCTGAGTCGGGATAAGAAAGATGTCCTGCGCATGATAGCCAAGCATGGTCGCCCGAATTGTGATGCGCGCTTCGATTTTTGGATTGAGTATGTGGAGAACTGATGGCGTTGGCATGGTTTTGGGACGACCCTGTTGGTTCTGGTCTGGCACGGGGACAAGTTGACGACAATATGACGAAAGAGAGATACCCTTATTGTACAAGTATTGAGATTAAGCGGCTTCGCGCCCAAGAACGAAAGGTCAGCCTTGCGAGTGTACCAGCAGGAAAGAAGCTGGCATGGAGAGCATAGTTTAGTATGTTCAATTCTTTTTCATTATCAAGCCAACATGGCTTCTATCAGCACTGTGAGACTTCCGTAGGTGAGACACGTCGCGGTCTTGCTCCTTCAATTGCCACGAGCAAAATGGCGCATCACAAGAGTGAGCAGACGTGGTAGGTAAGCTCTCAATAGCGTGCTCAACCCAAAGTCAAGCCCCTTTTTGAAGCTCCTGTCCTGCGTAGTATCTCGGCGAAAACATCGTAAAACATCGTTTCCTTGCACGCCTTCTTGCTGGAAATCGAGCTGACCGTCCCAATATCTTCCAGCGCCATGCTACATCCCAAAAATCAATGAAGAGCACTGCCGATGTGCCAATGCCTGAAAATGATTGATGTACATTCCGGGCGAAAAGAAGCAAGCAAGAAAGGGCCATTCATCAGCTAGGGTCCTGGGTTAGCTGCCTGGGTAAGGGTAATCATCCGGGTCTGGGGATCAGGCGTACTTGAATTTGAGATGGTCCTCGTAAAACTTCAGCATCGGCCTAGGGCAATGTCTGTAGATCTGTTCGTTGCTAACTTTGGTGCGCTTCCCGTTCTTGAAGAGGACGAAGGCCATTAGACCTCCGGAGTCCGTTCGTTCGATAGTATCGATCTTCACGACTTCACTCTCCCAGTTCTCCTTATTTGGCACCCATTCCGAGATCTCCTCCTCGGCGGCTGCAGCGGGCGCGGCGTTATTTCTTCTTCGGCGCTTCGGTTCTGGAGCTTCCTCGGTGGATGACTGTCTTCGTAATGATTGTTTGGATTTGGCCTTTTTAAGAGCAGTGGGTGGGCCACCGATCTTCTTGTGGTAGTCGGCCAGGATTTTTCTAGCATCACTGTAAAGCGCTGTCAGTTGTTCTGTCCCTGGGAGGTGTGGCCGTGACCAGCGTGCTAGACTTACGGCAGAAGATTGTCCTCCGGTTCCAACGTATTCTGGGTTTCTGGGTAACCCTGCCACTTGATCTGATAGAACAGCTGTTTCCTCCGGAACTCGTGACCTCGGATTGCTTCGACGACGTATACCTCTCCTTCGGCCTCATCGTCTGAGTCTTCTGTGCCAGCTTTGTCGCCGTTCTCGGCCTCGTCCTCATCATCGTCCTCAGCTTGTTTCGCGTCGTCGTGTAGCTCGCCGTTCAATTGTTGTTTGGCTTCCGTGTCGGCGGGGATGTCGTCGCCATGGTTGATGTCGCCGACTTCACTTTCATCGTCAGAGATTAAGTCGTCTATGGTCGCGTTAGTAGCTGGTTAACGTGAATGCGACAAAGCGCTGAAGCGGATTGCGCGACAAACCCACCTTCTTGCAAGTTGGGCATGACGAAGATCTTGGACCTAGTCAATCTAACGTGATTGTCGCGCAAGTGTGATAGTCGTTAAGCTGCCTTGTCTCGATCAAAACTAAAGTTGAATGTGAAGTGAATTGGAGGTTGGCGGACGGCACTCTGCGCGTGAACCCAAACGCGGAGAAAGGCTGAAGTTCGCGACAGAAGGTGCGATTGAGCCCCTGTCACGCCGCTTTTATCACCACTCGTCCTCGCTTTAATCCTGTGTTATAGTATTTAGTACAGCATATCGTGAAATAGCTGGGACTTCTTCAATATCTAGATGGAATGGCTTTATATATCTCCTCTCTGGTCCTACTCGGCGCCACTCCTCAAGCGCAGGCGAATCTGGTCCTTCTGGCGCCCTATCATTTTGGTCGGGGTCGCAGCCCCTCAACTATGTCAATCATGACCTTCTGCTGCTCACCACAGTCGGCGTCTTCTTGAGGAACGATTGCTGCTCAGGCATAAGATCGGGTGTAGCAGTCGCAGTCTCGAAGACTTGGCCTCGAGTCTCGCCCTTGCGGACAGTTGAATACCTCTTCCGACGGTGAATGAGGCAGAACATCGCTCCGGCAATGATAGCTAAAGCGGGGACACCAAGACCTACAGAGAGACCGATGATAAGCGGCTTCTGATCCTTCCCAGTAGTGCCACTTTCGCGTCCACTAGCACCGACTCCCCCGGTCGACGTGGCAGTAGGCGGCGGCGGCGGCGAGTAAGAACTCGGGGGACCAGAGGTTGCAACAAGGTCTTGGCTCGTAGACCCGAAGGTGGACCTGCTAACTGACGCCTGCGCCGTTGCTGATCCCGTTGTGATGAACGTGGAGGCGGTGGTGATCGTGATCTGATCGGAGACGGGGCAATTTATGACCCCGGTCGCATTGCACGACACTATGGTATATACTTTTGTAGTGGTGGTGCCAATGCTCGCGTCGTCGTTGTCGATCAGGCGCGCCCTGATTGCTGCAGCAGAGGAAGTTGTCGAAGCGCTGGTTAGTGTAGCGCATGCAGTCGTGAGTGTTGTGTACCAGAGTGGCGTTTCCGTCTGAGGCGCTGGGCCCCACGTGTGGTTATCCCAAGCGACTGTGGCACCGGCTTGAGCACCAAGTGCTATGGTAAAGGCTTCGACCAGCGCCACATCGCAGTTCTCGTTATCGCTATCAGCAGTGCCTGTAGTAGTGAATTTGGCAATGTTGGCATAAATGCCCGCTCCTAATCCAGCTGAGCCGTCGAAGATTGGCTCGTAGTCGATATCAAGGCCAACGCCGGCATGGATGCCAACACGCAAGGTGCCATTAAGCTCGAAGTCCTCTCCGCCAACACTGACATTGAGGAATTCGAACATGCCACCGTCTCTAGGAAGAAGTTGTCAGTCTGTGTTCTCTTCTTGTTGAGTGAATTTGTCTCACATAGTAACCTCACCGACATCATTCTCGAACATGCCGATGTTGATAGCAGCGCTGTCAACCTTAATATGCACTCCACTGATGATATCAATGTCTTCACTAGAGCTAAGGACAAGGTCCACAGTGAGAAAAGCGCCAATGGAAAAGTCGTCGCCATCAAATTTCGCATCAAGGCCAACGCCCGGAGGACTATATGTAAACAGGTTGAGTGTATATTTCGACTCCGCCGAGAGCACGGTGTCCAGCTCCATGTACAACTCTAGGTCATCAAATAGATACTGTAGCTGGTAGTCAAAGTCTTCCGAGCTGGGGAGGCTGACATCGGTGAAGTCAATGTTCGTGAAATTTGAGTTGTCCTCGATGAAGGCTTTGAGGGCGTCCTCTGCATCGTCTACGAAGCTGGTGACAGTCTGCTTTACAGTAGCTTCAAGTTGTGTTGTATTGATATCGGCGCTGTACGTATAGCTGCCCGTGACTTTGCCGGCTATGTAGCATGTACGACAGGTGATCCGCATATCCAACTCACTCCTTTCCGAGGAAGGGACAGCGTTAGTTACAATGAGGAGCCTGATAGCACGGAGATGCTCATAGGATATCATGGTACTCACATAGGAAATAGCACTTCTCCATCATCCCATTGGTGATCGAGAGCCTTGCTGAAGAGCTGTTCGGTCGTTGCACGTCGAAGCATTCGTCCACCCACAGTGTTTACCAAGCCAGCAGCAGGGTATGTTCCGTCTAAGTGACCGGGTGCGGGTGTCGCAGAAGCGGAAATCAGGCTGAACGCCCATGCAACGAGATACAGACAGAAATGGTGAAGCATGTTGGATAATTTGAGCGATAAGGCTGGCAACCTCTCAGTGCAGCAGTCAAAACCAAATTCGCAATATAAACAATATACGAAACTTCCCTGGAACTCTGGGCCATGAGGTCTTTATAGCTTCTTACCTGACGTTTCAAGATCTGAAGATGTCCTCTTTTGGTCATGAACTCGTAGGACATGGCAAGAAGCAGTGCCTAGGGTAAATGGTTAGGTCTGCAACGCATATAGCCCCCAATACAGTCTCGAGGCTTGCAGGTTGGCGTGGCCGAGACTCCGTAGCATGCATACAACGCAGCCACCAAGGCAGACCACACAAGATAGTCATATTTCAGATGCAGCGTGGACCGTGCGTAACAGGGAAGGGAACCTTCCAGCCCGATGTTTGCATTTTCTTCTCCAGAGAGCTTTCGGCTTTGAACGCTTGAAGGATCTAAAAACCTCGTCAGGAAAAGCACAATCGATTCAACGTACTTGACGATATAGCGCAAAAGGGACATGAGACCTAAGTTTAGATGTTGGTGTATGGTCAACCACGGTAAGGCTGAGAAAGACCGGTGTTCGATGATGGTTTAGAATAAAGCAAGTGCAAGGGTGTAAAGTCATAGACAGGGTACTGCTCGGTTCGTCCAAGCCACGGGGAATGTGATAGTTTGAGGCTGCGAGCCCTAGATATGACTTCCTAGACCGGCGTGCATCGAGCCAAGCTGGTTGTGGCTGTGTCTTCAAGTTCCGTCATAGAGTCCTTGATAGACGACTTGAAAGTATTGGTTGTTCACTTAGTAAGAGTGCGCAGCACTCTGAGCATGGACAACTGCTGTTGTGCTGTGGTCAGTGAAGAGTCTGGCCAGATGATGTGGCAATGAGACCCTGGAGGTTTGACCACCCCGGTGCAGTATGCATGGGGCCAGCAAGGGGCCAGCAGGGCTGGTCACTACGACGAATATAGTCCTCCTCCAAACATGGAGGGTCGTGTATTTCGAAATCGTCTCTATCACCCGGAAGCCAGACAATACGTCGTCCTCCCTGCTGGCTGCATATGAGGATATATTTAGAAGAACCTGACTTACGATTCCGACATGAGGCTGGACAGAAGATGGAACAGGTTAGAAGGAGTGCCATGAACACTAAAGGCAACTGACCCGACTCTCTTGGCATTCGACCGCGTCGGTCGTGTCTCCTCATAATTTGGAGAAGCCTAAGTGAAACTTCTGGCCTAGAAACACGAGGACGAGAAAGTCCAAGCCAAAATCCAGCACCGAAGACGACAGTATTGCGCGGAGGATCAACATCTGAAAGCCTCAAAGGAGGAGGACACTACTGCGCTACGCGAGGCACTCCGCCATGGCTATGCAATTGGATTTGTCGCAGGCTCAGATTGTCAAAGATGAAAACGGAAGACCATTTATTGTCGTCCGCGACCAAGGGTCGAAGAAACGAACACATGGCACCGACGCTGTGAAGCAGCACATATTGTCCGCGAGAACTGTTGCCAGCATCGTCAGAACCTCACTAGGTCCGCGCGGACTCGATAAGATCCTCATCTCACCCGATGGAGACATTCAAATAACGAACGATGGGCGCACAATCATGTCCGAGATGGAACTGACAAATCCAATCGCGAAATTGATGGTCGAATTGTCAAAGTCACAAGATGAAGAGATAGGAGATGGAACTACAGGTGTGGTTGTGCTGGCCGCTGCACTGCTGGATCAGGCCGCGGACCTTATCGACAAGGGCATTCATCCTATCCGAATTGCGGACGGCTACGACCAGGCATGTGAGCTTGCGGTTGCACACTTAGACAAGATCAGTGACGAGATTCATTTTTCGAAAGAAGAGCAAGATAATCTGATGAAGGTCGCCAAAACATGTCTAGGCAGCAAGATTGTCAGCAAAGCACACGACCAGTTTGCGAAGATTGCGGTTGACGCTGTGATGTCGGTGGCAGATCTGGAACGAAAAGATGTGGACTTCGAGCTGATCAAGGTTGACGGCAAGGCTGGTGGATCTATAGAAGACTCCCTGCTCGTCAAGGGCGTCATCGTCGACAAGGACTTCTCACATCCCCAAATGCCAAGTGAGGTGAAAGACGCAAAGCTGGCTATCCTCACCTGTGCCTTTGAGCCTCCCAAACCAAAGACCAAGCACAAGCTTGACATCTCGACCGTCGAAGAGTTCCGAAAACTACAGCAGTACGAGCAGAACAAGTTTGTGGAAATGATTGACATGATCAAAGCAACTGGCGCCAACCTCGTAATTTGTCAATGGGGTTTCGACGACGAAGCCAACCACCTGCTTCTACAAAACCAATTACCGGCTGTACGATGGGTCGGCGGTCCCGAGATCGAGTTAATAGCAATTGCCACGAACGGAAGAATTGTGCCACGATTCGAGGATCTGAGTGCAGAGAAACTAGGCAAAGCAGGCGTCGTCAGAGAGATGACGTTCGGCACTACGCGAGAGAAGATGCTCGTGATTGAGGAGTGCGCCAACACACGAGCCGTCACCATCTTCGTCAGAGGAAGCAACAAGATGATCATCGACGAGGCCAAGCGATCGTTACACGACGCCATCTGCGTGGTTCGCAACCTTGTCAGAGATAACAGAATCGTCTATGGTGGAGGTGCAGCCGAAATTGCTTGCTCAATTGCCGTGGAGGACGCAGCCAGCAAGTCACCAGGGCTCGAACAGTACGCCATGAGAGCGTTTGCCGATGCTCTTGACGCTGTGCCCATGGCTTTGGCAGAAAACTCTGGTCTAAGTCCAATCGAAACCCTCGCAGCCGTCAAGTCTCGACAAGTAAAGGAGGATAACTCACGGTTGGGCGTCGATTGCATGCAGACTGGTAGCAACGGTATGACTTCCCTTGGATCTTCTCTTCCGAGCTATGCTAATTCCATAACAGATATGCGAGACCACTTCGTTATCGACCCTTTGATTGGAAAGCGCTCACAATTACTTCTGGCTACGCAATTGTGCCGGATGGTGTTGAAAATAAACAACGTGATCGTGGCAGGAAGTGATGAAAATGATTTCTAGAGGCGTCCAACTCCAGCATCAGCATCGGACGGCGTTTGCACCGAAGAAAAGCGTGCGTGGGAAAAAGAAAATCATGATTCTGTATGAACAGATACCCGGTCTCGAACGTGGGATAGAATTGAAGATATCAAATGTCCCTTGGACGACCTTTGTGTCCAGACTTGCTTGCGATTTTCCTCGTTCTCGTGTCTGGCCCGCGGTTAAACTGTTGCTTTCTTCGCACCCCACGACCGTCGTATAGGAGAAGCACGTACGGAGATGGAGCACATGGTTTCGCTACAAGACAACGGAGATAGAATATATGGACAATCGGACTTTAGGTGGACATTCCCACAAGGCTGCAAGGATCGCTCAGTATGATTGGGCAACACAGCGTAAGCGACTTGCATAAAATGCCCACCGCGATGATTCAACATCAGTTTCACAGCTCGGCCTGTCCAGTCGTTGATCAACCAGCCTGGCATGACCGTTTATCGAACCAAGGCTTCCACAATATGCCATTTGTCAGGTGTATCGTAATTCTCTCGCTCTCTCAGACCCGGCTCGACGAAAACGAGTGACTACGAGGTCAGGACATTCTCACCATGTTTTCGGTATGGCGAGTACGAACATGAGCGTACAGTCTACAATAGTTGTCCAACGGCGCCTGGCCCGAGAAGCACGGAGCAAAGAAGACGACTGGGCCGGCCTATCCGAAATCAGAGCGAGAAAGAGGATCCAAAACCGACTTAATCAGCGGTCGTACCGTATGTGCTGCCCGCCCAGAGATGAAGTCCGCTCTATATACCACGTAGACAAGCTAACAATGAGCCAGGCCGTAGGCGTGCCGAGCAGCGCGAAGCACAGCGTGCGAGGAGAGGGTCACTTGCTCGCATCAACCAGAAAACCCACCCAATCACCGTTGCTCCTCGCCCAACACAAACCCAGACCCAGACCCAGACCCAGACTGTCGTGCGCGACTGTCCGCTTATCTACGGGTTCTGCTTCTCCGAACCGAAAGCCTTGGTTCATCGCCCTCCTGTTGATACCAAACTCCTGATTCCTACTCGGCGTCCCAAGCAAATAGATGCCCCCTTCGGAGGCTGCGCGACCATCTTCCTCGACCATGACGTCCGACGAGTTCACCATTATGCCTGCTCAGTCCTCTGGCCCAGCTTCGGACATCATATCCTGTCGACGGACGAGACCCTAACGTCCGCATTCTTCCGGCTCAGCATGACCGACGAATTGCTTCTGAATACATTCGTATGGACAGCAGCGCTCGAAATGTCGCTGCACGACTTGCCCCCAACGACGACACACAAGAACAACGCCGTGATGCTATCGTGTCAGACGAGAGCGATTAAAATGGTTCGTGAGCACATCGACCAGGGCAGCGTCACGGATGCGCTGATCTTCGCTGTGCTGGCGCTTGCAATCAGTGATGCTGAACCAGTACCCGTGCTGCAGGAGGAGTCCGAGTACGGCGGCTTTGATCCGCCTCTCCGCTCGCTGGGCTGGCTCGAGTACTTATCCCGCTTGCGCTGGACACAGTCGCACATGGATGCGCTAGAACGTCTGGTTGAGGCGCGAGGGGGGTTGGAGAAGATCGAAACGCCTGGCATCGCGGAACAAATCCAGTCAACCGACGTCTTGCACTCAAGTCTGTCATTATCGAGACCTACCTTTGCTCTTGGCTCTTTATACCGCCACGTCCTAGAACACCAAGTCAAACTGGTACGGCCGCCACGGGAGCGTGCTGCATGCTTCGATGTCGTCGATGACAACTTCAAGGACCTATTGCTCGACATGCGCATGTATTGTCGACTTTTGGAGAGATCTGGCCTTGCCGCGGATGAGAACATTGCTACTTGGGAGACCAATGTCTCCCGTAATCTGATACAATTTCGGTTATTGCTGCTGTCAAAGGCCGACGGCATTGCCGAGTTGTGTCGCCTCGCTGCGCTTATTTTCAGTTACGGCGCCATATACCCTCTTGCCCGTTCTGAGTCGTTGAAGCTGCTGGCTAGACAGCTGAAAACCGCTGTCAGCGAAACAATGACAGTAATGCATGAGGCAACCGAGTTGATGCTCTGGGTTTGCGTGATAGGTGGCATGGCCACCGCCGACACAGAGGACGAGTCATACTTTGTGACCGTGCTCAAGCTGCTATTCAGCCGATTGGGAGTGGGCAGTTTTGCACAATTGAAGGAAGTCTTGCAACGATACATATGGCTGCCCAGTGCCTGCGACTCCGGCGCACTCGCTCTCGCGAATCGAGTAGAGCCAGCCCGATTTGGAGATGGAGTCTGAGTCGAGACAACGGTCTTCTAGACCCCAAGTCCTTTGCACAGAATGGCCACCTGTGGCTCTGTCAAGTCCCAGACTTTTGTTGACTCGCTGATGGGGCTCACTGGGAGAGCAGATTGTTTGAGAATGTAGAATAGCGACAGCCTTACCAATGTGCAAAGAAAGTGTAACGTCTGTGAACCCTGAGTCCTCTTACCGTCACCGGAATATGACACCGCTTCTCCAAAGTTTAGCTTTCCTAGACATGTCGATCAGCATACCTCGAAACCAGCCCTGTGACGTGGCAATTGCATCTCGGGCAATGAATGGCGATTCTCAACAAGATTGTCCAAGGTTTGTCGCGATGGGGAGTGCGCCTCTTCCCGTGACGCAACCAGGAAAGTACGGGAATTGGAGCCATGGCCATGAAAGCCATCTGGAATGTGCATGGGGTAACCCCGGCCACCTTTTCTATAAGATTCAATAATGTGATTTCGCCGCATCCGGGGAAACGCTGGATATTGTCTAGCCTCGAAGGTCTGTGTAGTGAGTACGTCAGCTCAACGGTATGTGCAGCGACGGACTGTTTCCTCTTGAACCTCATTGGTATGTCACTCCTCAAGATATCGTTGAAGCAGTAGGAGACTCTTGATCACAATCACATGTTTCTCGAAGGGTCGGACATGGCATCAACTAGACCAGTCACCATGGATCGGACGCGGGTATCGGGGATCGAGTCAGTGAGCGAGATGAAGACAGCCTTGCATCAAATGGGGAAGACAATGATTGCCTCCATGATTTCCCGATCGAGGTTGAATGACTGGTGAAATCTTTGACGTCTGGCAGATGCATCAACTATAACGTCAGGGGTTCCGAAAAAGCCATAATTGTCGGATGTACCTGGGCCTCATTAGTAAAGACCTAGAAAGGCCCGGTTCGAAAGTGACAGCTGTCTGTTCGGGATGAGGACGAAAGCGACCGCGTCGGAGGCTGCCAATGCCTAAGTCTGCGCCTATAAGCGGCCATGTGAGAAGCATTCTGATCCTCGTGATAGCACTTGACCCGGCGTAATGGTCCATGGACTCGTCGCAAGTGCAAAACGATGAATAGGTCATTCTTAGACTTTTAACGGTTGCATATCCGGAGATATACTGCTGATGTAAATTAGGTGGGCATTTGCAGGCACGTTGGACAAAAGATCATAGCGTATGGATTGCTCGAAGCGGTCGTTTCGCCGTCAGATGATGTATACGATGCATACTACTGTATGAACCCTGCAACCCACAGCTGTCAAAGCCTGTACGGCATATGGCAAAAACGTTCCGCCCGTCGGCGCTTGACTTTAATCAGCCGTTGGTGTGTGCCAGCCTGATTGCTGGGGAGCCTCAGTAAGCGATTGGCCTCGGTCAGGGGTGGTCAATCTTGGGGAGTGTGGGAGGTTCAAGATCACGGGACAAGACCACTTGCACCCCAAAGAGCGGTACCGTCCATTCTTCACACTTATGGAAGTGTTAAACCGGTGGTATATGCCTGTTCAAGTCCGATGTCAGGTATCTTTGAATCCGGTGACGCTAGCTTAAAGGTTGTGGCCCATGCTACCCTCCTCTTGAAGAGTGACAGAATTGCCAGACCGGCTGTACTTGCAGAGAGGATCAATGGCTGACTCGATGGTAATAGTCGCCTAAAGACCGTTGTCAGGTTCAGGGATGCCCAAGGATCTTGATTTCTGTAACAAGAGAAGTACGCATTTGGGCACATTTGGGGAGTAACGGCGGACGAGTCGAAGGATAATTATTTCCGTTGCGATTTACCGAATCGAAGCAACCCCCTTTACCGCAAGTGTCCCCCCCAGTAACTTGACCTGGTCTCTATGGACGCCTTTTCAGCCACGACATGCGTTTGCAGGGGAATTGGGCGCTTTCAGTGCCGATCGTGGGATGCGTTTGAGAGACGTGGGAGGAGTAAGCAAACGTTACGGTGTGGCTTGTGAACGGCTATTGTGAGCTTCCAGGGACCGAGGTGCCACCGAAGCATAGAAGGCTGTGCTTCAATGCTTGCGTGGCTTTGTTAGACAATAAAACAATAGAGGATCGACGACGTTGAACAATGGATACCTGCGTACTACCTGGATACTACCACCACGATCGGTCTGCATCCAGATTTGGGTGAAGATCCGGCGGTGCCAGAGTGTTGGGGCGAGTTCAGATAGCCGGATGTACAAGGTGGGTTTTGGTTTCAGGTTCGTAGAGGTAGCGGTGGCACGATGGGTAAACGCTGTCAGTAGTACAGAGTAGTTAGTGTAACTGTGCTGAACATGCCAGTGCCAGTGAGACAACAAAGCAATTGAGTATGTGATGAGTGAGTGGCCGGGAAAGAGTGTCAGCTGGACAGAACAAAAGGTTTTAGCAATTGCAGAAGTTGCACGTGGACGCCTTTAGTTCCACGGGGAAGGCGGAAGTCGCCTGAACCGACGAATTCCGTCATCAAGCCAAACAAACGATATGATGGCAAAGGAGCTCAGAGTTTTTTTCTTTTTCGCCTATGAGAGTACTCAGCTTTCTTTTCGAGTCAGCTGGCTCGACAGTAATCAAATCATCGTATAATGAGCCTTGAAGTCTTGGGGGATGAGTGATGCGTTGTAACTGTAGTATTGAATACTGGCAGTCAAGTGTCAAGATCAAGGTCTAGGTGTGTGGCTGATGATGAAAGCGAACAACACACAGACCAAGCATGTGATCAATGTCCTGTCCCTATAACCACAGCAGCTGTTACTACCTACTTGGTAGTAATGTTCCCACATGTCACGGGGTTGGAAGTGGCCGTTGGGTCAAACGCAGCACCTAGCGATAGCGTGGGATTACAGGTCGACTTCGTGCTTCTGTTTCCGAGGAATACCGAATACCTAGTTGTCAAAGAGTGCTCAACACAGTCTCCCGTTCTCGATGCCTGGCTGCAAACACTCTCTGGGACGGCGTATGGAACTATTTTATCACCCTCTGCCCAAGTGCCCATTCATCCTGTCAGGAAGGTGCTCTGGGACATCTTTGAGCGACTATTGGTTTGTGGGGCTTATCCAACGAGAGTCGATTCGATTATTATTCCCCAAAAAGCAAATAATCCACCTGGGTTTCTGGGTGATGGATGGGTGGATTGTTAGTTAAAAAAGTCAGCTAAATAGCCAGGAGCAGTCCAATAATGCCACTAAGGGTGTCATTTCAAATGCAATTCACTGGCACCTTTACGGCATACCCGTTAGCAGCCTTGGACTCCTCCCGCCTTTTCTTCCCCAAACCTAGGACGGTAAATCGGTCGGTCTCTGCGGCAAACGGATTCTTCGCTCCTTGTCTCGAACCATGCAAAGCGCCAATCCTCAAGCCTCCCCCCGGTCCCTGAAAATGCTAAGTTAGTATCCGATGACCTCCCCTGCTCGCTTTTTCGTGCCCTGTGCTCCTCCCCCCATGCCCTGGCCCTTTCTCGCCCACCTGCTTTCGTCGTTCCCCCTAGTTAATACTGGGCCTCCCCATTCACACCTTCCACTTCAATTATACCCAACACACACTCACCACACCACACTCTCGTTATCCTCCCCATAGAGTCCATGGCTCACACCCTCTTCTTTCAGGCACGACGCTTTACACCCGCTCGACCCATCGATCTGGTGTCCACGTTGACTCTCTGACAATTGCTGGCATCCATCCCTTCGCCTAAAAACACGTTCCCAACTGATCGGGTCGATCACTCGAATTGCGTCACAAGTCGATCAAACCCTTTTCCCATCTTCGCGGGCAATCGTCGTCAAGCGCAGCAGTTCCTCCTACTTGAGGAGACCGTTGGACCTCCCTTGCCATTCTGTCCACCTCACACCGAGAAGAGTTCCACCGCATCGATGACCGCCATGATGCCGTGGCGCGCGGTGCCCGAGGTCCTGAAGTTGGACGCCAACAAAATGCACGAAATCGACCCTTCAAACGCCGTCAGCTTAAAAGCAATGTGGACAATGTTCTCCAAATGCTCAGATACAATCCGAGAGGGTCATCGCTATGAAAACATGAGTTGGCGAGTCTGGTCGAGAGAATCTTTATGCGTAACTCCCGCCGCATCCCCACCGACCACGTCCCGCGTACCGTCGTTATCGAATTCCTTTTCATCAGACGTCAGCTTGAGTGAGAAATGTCTCGTACCGAGGTCGACATCATTTGGCCAGGAAGATTGCGCTAGTTCGCTATCCAAGTCGAAGCACCTGACCTCGGACACCTTGGAAAAAATAATGGTCACGATACAAGAAAAGTCAGAAATATGTCCACTATCTCCTTCTATCGAAGCTAGTTTACCGGCACTTGCTGCTCAGCCCGAGCCAACCCCCGCCGCCAAAGCTGATACCGAGAAAGAATCTCGGCCTCTACATGATTCGACCGACTCTTGTATTTCCAACACTACCAGCGCCACCATCAGTACCACTGCTCGTAAGAGTGAGCACCGTGACTCCGATACCTCTGTGTCTTCCGACGGTCTCATCCGATCAGGATCTGTTGTACATGGCTTCTCCCCTGCCGCGTCCTCATTCCGTTCACGCAAAACGGACAACATGCCGCCTCCAGTGACCTCGAAACTGATTCCCAAACCTGCGATCAAGCCCGGTATGTTTACTCTTGGCGGATCCTCCGAAGACGAGTCGTCTTTCGAACAAAGAGTGCTCTCGCATAAACCGGCCCCTATGAAAAGCTCGTTGTCTCAGAGTCTGAGTAAGACCAACCTGACGGTCAACGGCCAGTCTAAACTCCCCTCAAAGCGAACCTCATTCAAGGATGTAGTCGCGGAACGCAGAATACAGGAAGACGCCGAGAACGATGAGGGCGCCATTGAAAGCAGTGACGAAGAGGATGATACGGACGAGGTTATGGAATCAGCCATTGACGAAGACGAGGAAGAAGACGGCGATGAATGGGAAGACTCGAATTCAGATGACGGTAAGGTGGTGCAAGAACCTCATCTCTTCCGCCGCGTCGACAGTCGTCCCGATTTGGTATCGCGTCGATCCATGTTGACTCTAGCACTCAACAAGTCTCAAACTGGACTGAATCACGCATATTCTCAACCTGCAATACATCGGAATCGAGCACTATCAAGTCACGCTGAGCCCATGGCAGCTTCACCCGAGGAAGAGGATGGAATGATGATGCAGAGCTCTGGTCGGCGTCCTATTGAGATCCCCCCTCCAAGTGCCTCTGGCAAGACGCTGGCACACTCCCCACGTACAACAAGACGCAACATGCTGTCGACTGAACTGACCGAATCCCTACGCAAGAATCTACTCTGGGAGAGGCAGCAAAAATCCCAGACTGCAAATGCTTTCTTAAAGAGAAGCAGAAACGCCCAGAGTATGGCAAATCTACAATCTCATACGCTACCGAATGCGGCACCTCAGCAACCACCACCCCTGCTGCAGGAAACATCAAAGAACAACTCCTGGAACCACTATTTTGATAACCCTTGGGAGTACCATGCCAAAGGCTGGTAAAAGTACCATGGTCTGTTTTGTGTTTGTATTTGAATCTTGTTTTGCTTTTATTGTCTGCGTTCTGAGCGGGTTAATGTCTATGTACGTGTGTTACGACCTCACAGCCTGGTTTCTGGACCGGTGGCAGGGCAAAAATTCGGAAAAGGGATGGTGGGCCTTGCCCCATCCCGGATAATATGGGGCTATCTCGGGACTTGTCGCAGACTTCATCTCGGGGGATGACCGGCGGGTGGCGGTTCAAAAGCGAGAAAGATGTCTGTGTTTGATGCATTTAATATGGAGTCCATCCACGACTGTACCTCGGAGCAATCCGAGTTGTTGGAGAGGACTGCAGCTCTGATTGCAGATATCATATGACCATGATCCAAATCTGTACTATAAGAGTTAGTTGAAGGGTGAAAGTATGACCATGTATCAATAGTATCGAGTCCACAATGAAATACCAAGTACTCACGGACTTGTTGTCGGAAAATAATCCCTCTCAGTCCTCTTGATTTTCTGGAGTATTTATTGAATGGCAAGTAGCATGATTGGTTACGGATCATAGCGCGTAGGGCTTCTGAGTGGGCGGGTGGGCACGACTCACGAGCACAAACCGTACGGAGTACTCCATACATGAAGAAGTGTTCATGTGAGCAAATACTATTGACCATAGGTGTTCGTGTCTGCCTCGTCCACTCAGGTAATGTTAACCTACCTGAGAGGACTGTGGCGCCCAAACCCGCCGTTCTCAAACTTCGCAGCTTTCTGGAAGGTCAGCAGGCAGGAAGATTCATTCGGGGCCTACTGTAGTCCTCTTCGGGGCGTGGAGCTTAACTGGTGTTTTGGGAGGAAAAGAACGGGTCGTCCGATGGATCCCACGTACTGTGTAGGTACGGAGCACTGTAGTCCGAGACCTGAAGATGGATTCTTCCATTCTGAAATCGGTAATTCACGGGCTGGGACGAGTAGGGCGGGGCGATACTTTTAGACGTTTAGCCGTGACCTGCAGTGGTGCTAAAAGGCGAAAGAAGTGAGGCTAGAACTAGAACCCGTGGTTTGGGTATTCCGTGTGGAGTAGCTTTAGGGCATACCGTAGTAGGTACCTACTTTGACAGGTAGGTACCTCGATTGGTTTTTGATGGCCCGCAGACTAACTACGGGGGATGGAGGAAGTTGGAAGAAATTTAAATTGTCGTGTCCGTGTGACACTTTCAAAGGCTGGGCCGTTTGGATGGCGTGACACTGACTTGTCAGCACTCAGGAGGTCCAGAAGAAGCTTGATGGGGACCTACTGCGGTAATACTGCTTATAGTGCAAAGTATGGAACACCAGGAATTGACGCGACAGGCTACAGGTCAGTGAGTTGAAGTAATGTATAGATAAGGAGAGCTAGGCCGGTCGAGAATTGAGATGCTTGATGAAAAGATTGTTTTTCGTTACTATTGGCCTTACTAGGAGGCGATGAATAACATGGATCTCGTGGACGCTCAGTCTTGCATGGCCACCCGATACAATGCAACGATGCTGGGATGAGGCATGTAAATTTGAAGTCGGGTTGTTGGTGCTGAGTGAGCAGTGGGCATGTTGAAGTCTATATATTGATTTCGCTCGACGTCGGTTTATGGGGCCGATGGGCCGGAGGCCGTAGGATAGCCTGGGGAAGGCAATGATGAGAGACGGATGCTACGGGCTATAGCGTTGCTGATGCAGGATATGCGTTAGCCTACGAGAACGGCCGGCTCATCAAGAGGGTATACGCAGGGTTTGTGAAGTTGTGAGATCGTCGAGAGGTAAACAGATAGGGCGCATCGAAGCCTAGACGGAGACTCTTGCCCGACCGCGACTCATGGAAGTGCGGAGGAAATTCGCTTGGATATCAACGTAAGCAGAGTGCCGTTCTAGAAGGACTTCCGGCCCAAGCCGTAGGTCAGACGCTGGTTCTCAAGAGTCACGATAAGATTGTAAGCGGTCTGGAACTTTTTTGGCGACACTAAGAAATCCACCATGTTGGTCTCTTCTGTGGCTTGGGTTGCGACTGCTGTGCTGTGGAGCTACCATGGTATAGTACCAGGCAGTATGTCTTGTGACTGCGGGCACTTGCTGTGAGCATAGGGAGCCAGCAAATTACCTGGCACAGTGATATGACTTGCAGAAAGCATGTGTCTGTATGCTTGGGACTGTGGGATTCATGTGTGTCACCGAGTATACGCGGCGAGGCTCCAAGCCCCTGGCCCGTTCTGGCCATGCCGCCCGTTGTTCCTTGTTATATGGCCGTAAAAGGCATACCAGAAGATCCGGCAACACCAGTCATTACACAGAGTATCGCTGTTGTGCTGTGAAGGTAACTAATGCCATGGCAGGATGCCGTTGACGGGAACACGCGTATATTCAAAAATAGGCCATATTGTGACCTGTGTTCTGAAACCAGTACAAGTAATTGACAAATAGTGATAGGCTCGGGGCATGGACACCGAGATGCAGAAGCGAAAATGGCAAATGTCAGTCACGGTACCTGCCTCCCGTAACGTAGTGTAACCAAAAGACAACAAATCTGCAAGGGCCTGCTTACCCCATATTATCCAATATGGTCGAAATAGGTCAAAGCAGAAGGAACAAGTCAATCGATCTGGGCCTCGGACAAGTATGAGTATTCGTGGTGCTTACGAAAACTGCGGCGACCGAGAGACACATCGCAAATGAAGACTTGAGCACGGTCTTAGAATTGTGGTTCTATCCCCCACTGGGGAGCAAACGGTCATCACGGCAGTTGATATTTTCGTGTCTTGTTGATATTTTCTCGTCTCGTGCGCAAAGCCCCTTGTCTCCAGTGTGCTGCGCAATCAATGGGGGCGATGCGAGAGGCGAGAAAGCATCGAGAAGATGCGGATCAGGAGTCGACGGATTGTAAAGACGTCCGCTGTTCCAGACCTTGCTGAAGTGTACTGTTGTCTCCGAAGTCAAGTATAAGTTAGTGGGTCACTTCCCTTGGTCCAGGCAGTCGCCGTCACGAGTTCAACTGAAGCTTCCTCAACGTTACCCCGGAAATTATTGACCTAGAAACTCGCCCGAGATCTTGCCCAAGGATCCGTTAGCCCATCTCACTGATATTGTTCTCGTGATGCAAAACGAGTCTCAGCTCGCCAGACTTCTTCCGACTTATACTCGTATTGCGCGGAGAATGACCGAGCGTGGTGGATCATTTGCTCCAACCACCAATATGGCTCGGTAAAAGCAATATTTCGGGTGTCTTCGTCTCTATCAGGCGGAAAGGACCTCGGTCCGAATGTATAGATACAACAAGTGTAGCAGCCCAGTTTCGATATATCGTGCTCGTGACAGGTTTTGCAGGTGGTTGCGGATGTCAATACTCTTTGTGCTACCTGGCTATGCGATTGTTGAGACGAGGCTGGATTATGCATACTTAGCCGTTGTCATAGTTCTTCTGGAGAACTGGGGAGGGCTCCCAACCTGAAGGTCAGCCAATGCGCCTGCTCGGCAGTTATTGCAATCTTCAACCGGAAATATTCTTCCATCCTGAACATCATCCGGAGTGTGCCAGAACCGTGAACCAATAGTGCGACGCACCACTCAGTGCGATCATCCTAGGATGAGCAGGAGCAGGATGGTGTGGAGAAAGACGGTGAGTGCAGGAAGAGAAAGAAAGAAGAAAGGCCTCCCATGCCTCCGTTACTCCGCAAGAAAAAGCAGGGCAGCAGGTGCAGCTGATCTGTGCCCCAAATGTTCTGACCTCATATTTTTTGCGGGGGAGTCACTTGTGTCCACCATTAGTCAAAGTGAATGCAAATGTACGCCCATATCGCATCTTACAGGTCAAGCAGGGAATCTTCAAGAACTTACGAGGTCGTATTCGTTCATTTCTGCTGTTCTCGTGGCATCGCGGTGCCACCTTTGTGAAAGCTAACTCGTACCTACTGGCAATGCATGGGTAGAAAAGGCCCTTTTACGAGAACTGGCTAGTTTCAACGGCTGAGACGTTGAGTGGCGTCACATCAGCTGGGACATCACCAGTGGGGATGATCTTCGCATCTGTTATCCGGCAGAAATCGAGGCTGCATACGACCAATTCAAGAGTTTGCTTGTGTTCTGCAGAGCACCTGACTGAAGAGATCAACAGGGCCACGACTCGAACATAACCAACGAAGCTTCCGAGGATTGATCATGGGACTATGGCTCTTTCGCAGCAGGCAGAAAACTCTTTGCTTGTCGTGTGCAGTCCAATCTCGGGCCTGCTTTCGGTCTCCTGGGAGGACAACTCCCAATGTGTAATAGCACGATGGAGGCTGGGACATGAAACCTGAAGCTTCTTTGCACGGCGCATATGCCGTTGATCAGTTGAGTGGTAATGGTTTGATCCAACCGGTCTACAGGTCGCCTGCCTAACAAGCTGCGGCTGGCATTGCAAACCAGTTCCCGTTTGATGTTTCTTCACAATTGTTACCGCCATGGAGTACCACCAAAAAATGCTAGCAAGGGTGACCCAGCAGTTCCCTGAACATGTCAAGGGGCTGTTCTCAGTGTTCTGCCCCATCTTCACTCCGCTTTGGGGAAGCCGGCAAATGCAGTGTCACTGGGGTCATTAGAAGCCGGTCCGGCACCGCGGACACGGAAGAGCTTGAGAACTGCACGTGGGAATCAGGAACTTTAACCATTTCGAGTCTTCCGCGCCAGAAGACGCAAAACGTCCGACGATCAAACAAAACCGTCCCCAGAAGCAGGATTGGCAGCAAGCGAGATTGCTGTGTAGACTGCGACGGAACATGGAAAATGGATCTCCGGACAATGCTAGTCAGGAACGGAAGGAGTCATCCAGCAATTCGGTCATGACTCAAGATGCTCCTGTTTAGCCTGAACGCCAGACTACGACGGTGAACGGCATCAAGCAAACAACAGGCAGGTGTCTGCTTCAATTCGGTGAAACTGTATGTGCCCAATGTGCACCACTTCCGCTGCTACGCCCAACACAGCATCTGCTGCGAAGCCAGTGTGATCTTGGGGATTGGTGAGCACATCCCGATATGCACATGACGAGCCCCATAAAACCCAGTCAACAGTGGTATGCTAAATTCGCAGCGACTTGAAGTATCTTAATGTTTGCGTCGGCTTGATATGCCAACGCATGAGTTGGTTGATAAGGTCTGGCGACTTTCATGTGACATTTAAGGAGCAGAGCACCACAACCATTACCGGTCAGAATTACTATGGAGAGCCAGGCACGCCGCCACATGTTCCGAGCAGGCTGCCTCTCGAAAAGACAATATCCCTTGCAAGCATGTGGAGAGGGCTAGGTGCTTTGCACCCAACTGTGGTGCCTGCTGGAGATATCCTGCCATCGCATATGCTTTGGGCGCCGCGACTGATGAGGCAAATATCGCAACAATGCATTGTGCAATGTCTCGAGATGTCCAGTGTCCTTGTTGGTTGTTTGGGGGATCGACAATCAGGCGGTCAAGTCAATGAGATCTACCTACCGCAACGCGCAGAAAGAGATCAGACGACATGCCCGAAGGATCGAGCGGGCGTTCCCTCCGGCGGCCGAGCCTGGCTACATGCAGTGTGCTTGAGACTGCTATTCGGCTACCGCAAATGGGGCGAAACAGATCCGGTCACCGCGACCTCCAGCAACTAGGATGCCTGTCTGGATGTTCCGGGTCACGGAGCGAGTTGCTTGATACACGGATAAGCATAAGAAACAAGGAAAAGATGAGCTCCGAGAAGCCAGGCTTCAATGCGTGTGGACTGTGGCGTGATAAGTGGTGAAGTACCGGACCATTTGGCTATGTCGAAGTAGGCAGGTCCTTTGCATTCAAGGGAGGAATTAGCGTCAAACAACGCATTATCTAGTTCCAGCCTTGGAGGTTGCAGTATCTTCGCCGAGAAGCCATGATTGCTGTATCAACGCTATCTGCACCTAGCGCGGACATCCATTGATACCGAGTTAATGGTTTCAGTATTGGTGGAGTGGGGGAACATAAAGCTTGCTCATCCACGTGGGATATTTTTACGTGAGGGCATACTGGCTTATGATGGAATGTGTTATCAAAAGATAAACATGTGGCAGGCGAAGCGTGAGGGTGTGCCACCTAACGAGGAGAGTACATCATCAGGAGAGGCTGTACAAACGTGGTGATGGTGGCTTGAAGCGTAGAAAGGATTCTTCCATGCGTTTATTGTGCAAACGAGTAATCCGTACTCAACCAACGAGCAGTCACCATGAATAGGTGTTTCGAGGGGTCCGACCCTATACCGCTGAGGTTAATGCTTACACCCAGGAATTACCCCGTGGGCAGGGCGATCAAACTGATTGATTAATTGCTTATTGAAGTGTTTCAAAGATAGATGTTTGGGGGCGCTTAGGCTTAGAAAGGGCTGGTAGGCCCGGCGGCTTGCTGTAACCGCTGTAGCGTTCCAAGATACTTAGCGAAGGAAACCTGGTACGTGTGAGGATACCCAGTGAGTCGGCCACGTTCTGCCACCAAGCACCCGGATTTTGTGCTATGGTAAAGTATTCGGTTTGCGACGTGTAATGGCAGACACATCTTACAAGAAAATAACCCCACGTTACAGGCCATTATTTACTAGCAGAGAAAAAGAAAGATCAGCAACAACGAACCCGCGCAAGTCATGGCCCAGGCTTGTGATCAACACCTTGGAGAAGCTTATCTCCCGTCTCGAGTCAGGATGAAAGATCTCTGCAGCTCTCAAGAGAGCCTCGCACTGCCTCGTGCGTCCATGATGATGTCACCAGTGCTGTTGCGAGAAGTCGAAATGGGTGCAATTCCTGGAAAGAACGAGTATGTGAGAGAGCGCGCTTTCTCCACTGTCACATTTTTCACTCTCCGGCATCTAGCTCTAGCACGATCGATACCCGAAGTATGAACCGATGACAATGGGAATAGCTGGGTCGAAATTCCTGGAAAGTTTGAGTGAAAGTTGCATCAAAATGAGCCTCACTGACAATGGCCGCATATCGTTGCCCCAAGAAGCCTCCAATAGCCGTCAAGTCGTCTCGATGTAGGGATCGGCGTTTGCCCCAAGGGGTCATTTGACCTCCAACAAATACCTTCTCGCTCCTTCTTTCGCCCACGATCTTCCCATTTACGAATCGTACTTTGCTTTTGCTCATCTTTGACACCAACGTCTCTCAGCAAGGGTCTACTGGCCGTATCAGCAACCATGTCTTCACATTATATCAGTCATTGTGACAGCGGCATACAACCGCCAACTTAGTCTACAAGTCACCAGTTCAGGGGCAGAATGAGCGATTCCGATCGTCAAAAGTGTCAATACCCTGAATATCGTTGCCAACTCATCACTCACAGGTCACTTGACAATTTCTTGCAGGGTCGGGTGAAAAGCCTCAGGTCCAGGTTTGCCTTGCTTGGAGGGCGGCTTCGCCTCGCTTGTTCGGACCTCCGGTCCACCCAGAGCACTCGCCCCCCATCTTTTGTTTGACAAGGCGCTTGTGTGTTGGACAATACTTACGAGATACGTCCGACTGGTGATATACACTCAGGCTGAGTCCTCCTCGAAGAAGCAGGATTCACTCCGGGCGGCCTTGCTTGTCCCTGCTGATGTGTCCGCTTTCCTTGGGCGCATTATTGGCCAAGTTCTCGCATATGCAACCACTCAAATGCAGTGCTGACCAGGCTGATCTCAATCGGCGCACAAATAACAGCTTGTCTGATGGGAGGTGCATTGTAGACTTCAAGATATCCCAGCATGAATGATGGACTTGATTCCCAGCGTCTGCTTATGCACACCGTACTCTCAGGCTGTGGAAGTCCTGGTCACTTCTAGATCGGATTCATAGTTGCTGAGACATTCCTCGAGATTTGACTCTGAGCAATCTCACGACAGTCAAACAACCCACCTCCCACCGCTTAAGGCATCGAGATCTATGTTTGACTTCAGATCACAAGGTGGTGTATCGAGTTTGGACCAGTGACTGAGCGCGCATCGCGCTTTGACATGGCGTTATGTCTACAAGGTACCCCGGACTTCCCTCAGGATATGCTTGGCACAGAATGAATTGTTCGCCACAGCTGAGAGCAGTATACGTTGTGCGTGCGAGTCATCGGCGTGTATCTCTGTCTGTTGAATTGTCCAGTGTTTGAGCCGGCGTCGACGCAAGGCCAACTTTGATGGTATAGGCACAAGGCTGAACGGCAATAGGAGTATTCAAAACAGGCGGTTCACGTGACCATGAGGCTTCCTTGGCGCCGACTCTCTTGCCGCAACTTCAGTCGTAGAACAACAACCAGTGTACTTACTCATCTACGCTCATCGCACCAGGAATCAGGGGCTTTAAACGTGCCTGGAACGCTTCTCTGACCTGTGACTTATCTTGAATTACTTTTTGAGAGACATCTTCGCCAAAGCATGGCCTCGATCATGCCAAACCCGACTACTAATGATGCTATGAGTCAACCTGACCCATCGCCACCACAGATTTCAGCTTCTTCAACTTCAGGTGGTGCAAAGACTCAAACCAGAGTTTGCCGATTCTATAATACTTCCAGAGGTAAGTCTCCACGTCAAAGGTCGGATTGCAATTCTGCACTGCCGCCTATGTATGCATGTTGCCCATACCAGGTACCATACGAGTGTCCAAATCTCAGGCATTTCCAAGCACGATGCTGTCAATGGTGGATGACCTCCGAGAACATGCGGTCTATCAGCCGAATGCTAACCTTTCATTGCCCGAATGTAGGCTGTCGTGCTGGAACACAATGCCCTTTCCACCATGTTGAACCCAAAGAAGGATCCAAGTCTACCAAAGTGCAACATGAGGGTGAACTACCTAAAGCCTCAACCACGTCTTCTGCCGCGGAGGACTTGCATCTTCCCCAACGGCCAAAGCCCACTGGCTCAAGACCACCTCCCCGTCAAAAGCCAGTATCACAGCTACAACAAACTGATCCACGCGAATTTCAAATCGGACAGCTCATGAGGAGATATTCACCCACACGCAAAGATGCCGAAAACGATACACTCCTAGCTCTTACCATGACTCCATCGGACCCAGACTTTCCCTTTGAGCTCGAAGGGCTCCATTGCACCTTGACAATTCCTAATTCATGGCCTCAGGAAGGCAAACCCTCCTTACGAGTCACCAACACTGAGATGCCCCGGGGTTATCAGATCAATGTTGAAAAGGGATATGATACTCTGCTGGCGCAATCTCCGCGTAAAACGCTGTTGGCCTTGATGAACGATTTGGACAGAAACCTCGAAAGATTTTTGACTTCGGAAAAGGCTCAGACTATCAAAATCATGGCGAATGTCGAAAAGAAAGAGAAACCTTCTCAAGCTATACCAGAAGTGGTGCCATTTATTGCACAAATACCTGTTGCGCGCGCTCCACCCGCCCCATCCTGGACTGCGCAGCAAAAGGCCGACGCTCAAACGAAGAGGCAATCAGAAATCCGGCAACTCGAAGCTCGTATGGGTCGACTGCCAAACTTCTCCAAAAATGCTGATGCAACTTTCTTCAATATTCCGGTACAGATTCCAAAGCCTGGTAGATTGCCTGCGGATCTGCAGCCACTCAAAGAGGTTGCTATGAGGGTGCCCAAGCTGTATAACTTGGAGCCCTGCACAGTTCAACTGAAAGGGATAAGTGGTTCGGAGACGGAAAACGTTCAGTTCTCATTCGAGAAACATGCTCGCGAAAACCCGAATCTGACACTCATGGCACATATCAACCACTTGATCCAGAATATACATGTCATGGTGTTGGAAGGGCCCGAAAAATCAGCACCCCCGCCACCACCCTTGGCGGTCCCTCGGTCCAACTTCGAGCAAGCTATCATAGCCGGTGCAGATGAAGTTGGAAAAGAGGAGGGTATGGTTTTGGACGAAGAACGTCCTCACGTCAGGCTGGTATCTCGCCCACCTGAATGGGATCAACATGATGATTCGGACGGATCGTCAGAGACATCATACGACTCAGACGACTACACAGAGTCGGAGAGTGAGGATGAAGAGAATGAGACCAACGACGGTGGTGGTGCCGCCCTACCTGCCACGTCAGCCCCAGCTGACAAGGGCATTCATCTCTCCTTCCCGGACCTAGAATTGTATAATATCGAACTCTTGACGCTCACCTCACTGTCTATCTCAGTCAAGTGCCTTCGGTGCAAAACACCACTTGACATCCACAACATCAAAGCAAGCAACCAGGCTCAATCGACCGTGAGCACCCGTACAGAATCTTGTCCCAAGTGCACCACGCCCTTCACGGTGTCCTTTGCGCCGGAGCACATGCACGCCAACTCATCCCGCGCGGGTACCGTCGATATCACTGGCTGCACCATCACCGACCTTCTGCCCAGCGTCTTCCAGCCCACCTGCTCGTCATGCTCGGCGACCTTCCCAGTCCCGCCGGGCATGATATCGGTGCGCAGTGACAAGCCAATTCAAGTCTGCCGCTCATGCCATGCCAAAATGAGCTTCACAATCCCCGAGGTGAAATTTCTACGAGTATCGCACCACGCTGCTGCTCTTCCTCTACGTCGTCCCAAGAAGGAGAACCTTGGTATCTCGGCCGGCACGCCCTTACCAAATAAAGGCACCTGTCAGCACTATAGGCACAGTTATCGATGGTTCCGTTTCGGATGCTGCGGGAGAGTATATCCGTGCGATCGGTGTCACGATGCCGCGGAGTCCCACATTAACGAGCATGCTGACCGCATGGTCTGTGGGTGGTGCAGTCGCGAGCAACGATTTCGGTCGGAGGACTGTGCGCTTTGTGGGAGGAGTGTGATGCGGCGGCGCAGAGCGACCGGCGGGTTTTGGGAGGGCGGTCAAGGTACGCGGGAGAAGAGGTTAATGAGCAGGAAGGACAAGCATAAGTACAAGCGTCCTCCGGGAAGTGCGGTGGGGAAGAAGGCGGACGGGAAGTGAGTGACCGCAAGTAAACTCTCACATTGTCTGCCTGCTGCAGCCAATCCATTAGGCTTCGTACAGCTGGGTTCAAAAGCTCATACTGGCATTCCTCAGATCGTAGGGTCGGCACGTCGTAGGAGCGATAGGTCCATCGCTAATCACCCACCACCGGATTCGCTTTACTCTTTCCCTATGACAAGTTCGATATGTCCTTTGCAGTCTCATCCTGCATCTCCGCTGTACCTGTCCGTCTGCCGTATGTGAGATTCTTGATAGGACCTGATCTGCCATGCAGTCACCCGTTGTCACCATGGGGGGATCTCCTGAATGAGCAAGTCCCCATCCTTCCCCCTTCTACCTGCACTCCATCAGTGCAAACATGCACCCTGGCTACATGCCGCAAGGACGCTTCCAGTTTCACTTCACTGGCTCCTTTGCAAGAGTGTTAAGTGCTAAGTATCAAACACACAGGAAACCGTCAACAATCACACAGCCGGTGTAGTGCAGTGGTCAGCACGTTTCGTTGGGGGCAAACCAGAACGCGGTTTAGATAAGAGCTGAAAGGCTTGGGTCTATTCTGTGAATATGGCAGCTGACGACCGAAGAAACCTCAGTTCAAATCCGAGCACCGGCATTATCTTCTTTTGCTGTCCTTCAAAGAGCTTTTCTTTTTGTCATGGCTCTTGCTCCTCGTCGTTGGTCGTAGTATTATGCTCGTCGAGGCTGGGCGAGGCTGACACTCCTTAATGGACCGGGATATTGCCGGAGTTTCATTAGATAGCATGAACTTGCTGGGTCGAACAACACCATGCAATTCATATCGAAGCAGGGCGAAAGAAAGCAAGCGATTTTCTTGTTTTTGGATGTGTTTGATTGCTATCTAAGCTGCCACGCAGCTGTGCGACCTCTCGCAACGTGCATAAAACTCATGCTTCTTTCGTTGCGTCGCCTTGTCTCCTTTTCTCTCATCTCCAGGAAAACCAACCCAACCGAGACACCCCATTCCCCTAAAGGCTCTGTGGAAGCTGCACATCCAAGTCGTGCGTGAGGTCAAAATGGCGCCTCATCGACGACTTGTTCTTGATGCCCTTGTGGTGAGCCTCCTTGTGGGCCGGGCAGAGCAAGCAACGCCACGGAAACTCCGCTCCGGGCATATGGTTCCACTGTCTGTTTCCCGGGCCGGCAGTGGCAGCGTTGGAGGGGCCAGGAGCGACGGACGAACTGGCTGTGCCAGCATCATTGTCGTCGTCGTCCTCGGTCGCCCAGTCCTCCTCCTCCGCCGCACTGCCTCCCTCGCCCTCCATGTCCACATCGTTGTCGTTGTCGTCATCTGAGTCCGAGGACTCCTCGCCCGAAGCGCCGTCTTCCAGGACCTTCAATGCCCACATGACATTGGTGAGATGGGCCCAAGCCTTATCGGCATCGGCGGTGGTCTGAGCCTCTGCTCCCTTGCCGGCCGCCCGGCGGAAACTCTCCAAGAGAGCGGCGCGATTGTCCTCCTCCGAGGCGACCGTCCTCACCTCGGTGTTGATGATTGTTTGAGGAGCGACAACGACAACACCAGGCCGAGCCAGCCCCGCATCTCTTAACCGCAGCTGCGCCGTCCACATCGAACCGTAGAGGTCGTTGTCTAGGGTGAGCGACGAGACAAGCAACTCGTAGTTGCATTCTTGGATCTGGTTGATACCAGAGGAGTTTTCAATCGCAGACGTCAATATCTTCTCGAACATTTCGTGGCGGATGTATGGCTCAAGGCCCGCGTATTGTTTAGCTCTAACGATGACTTGAGCAAGGCCCGCCCAGTAGGCATCGCGGACGCTTCGGAGTGAGACGGCTTGGCTCAGTCTCACCTCGTCTAACGCGGTGCTGACGCCATGGCGAACTGCGGCAACGAGGCTATTGTAGTCGGACATTTCGAAGTCACGAACGAGGACGCCTTGGGCGTTGGTGAATAGTCTCCCGTGGAGGTCCAAACAGGCTGAGTAATGCGTTTGCGAGTAGTCTGGAACCTCGAAAGCAATGCACTTGGTATGGTCGTCGAGGAAGATGCGGATGAGGAGAAGGTCATTGTCGAAACTGTGAAAAATGACAGTCGAATCTCCATAACGGTAATCCAGACCGCCTTGCTGCTGCTGTTGTGCGTCCATGTTGGGTGCGGCAGACTGATCCTCTTGGCGAAGTGAAGATGCTGGACGTGCGGAAGCCATGTGGTCGTGGGAGACGCGGTGGTCTCAAGAGTGGTGCTTCACAAGTGGATCAACAACAATGAGAGTGAGCAGTCAGGAATCGCCAGTCTTCCAAGCTGGTGAGTAACTAGTTGGTGTCTTTTCTTTCGAGCAAGGAAAGGTCGTTGAAACTGCCTGTCAATCCTGTGTCAAGACAAGGAAGGCGACTTCAGGTGAGCTGGAGTTGCGCCGCCGCGATCGAATTTGAGATCTGTCAGTCTGTTGCTTGAGGAGCAAGAGTTGCGAGGCGATCAGATACGCCGTGGTCCCAGAGACTCCTTCCAGAGTGACCTGGGGTCTTAAGAAGAGAAGAAAGGCTCGTCGTGGTCTTGTACAAGCATTTGCGGACGAACTTTGGATGGTGGTGTTGGCGGGTATGAAAGTAAACAAAGACGGTGAGGTTCAGAGAGTGGTGAAAAGATTTTCTCGTCACCGAGGCGGAGCGTTGATACATAGCGGCGGTGATGTACAGAGAACCGTTGAGCCAGGAAGTTGCGTTGACAGCGCTGAGGAGCGGAAGAGTGCTATAACAGATTTGTCCAGCGAATCGCGAGTGTCTCAACGGCGACGGAGTAGACACACGCATTCCGCACAGGCCTGTCGTTCCTTGAACAGTTGAACAATACCGCGATGGACGTCCGACAAGCTACATATCGACAAAGAGATGCAGCGTCCATGCAGGGCCAAAAGGGGGCTGTTCAGCCTCGCGACACATGTCTACGGGCATGCGAGAACTGAGACGACCAATGAAAGACGACATGCCAACATCTGCTGGTATCGAACAAAGAGACCGTTGGTTAGTCCACCCGGTATTTCCTGTGAGTAAGCAATGCGCGCTTGTTGTTATTGTTGATGCTAAGAGAAGCCACTCCGGTGGTATACTCAGAGTGACGCATTCAGGTAGCCGGACTGTTCGATCGAATCCTTCACGAGACTCTGGACTGATAAGACAGAGTATCACCCCGGCCCGTAATCTGACAAGAGTCTAGTTGTCCATCCGAGACGTCCATGGGACGCTTGCTAGTATGAGCTCCAACCCAGCAGCAGCTCATCTGGCATGGTCTCAGTGGTTTGGATGCGTCTGATCTTGGGGCTGTAAGAAACGATCGGCTCGACAGCCGAGGAAACATCGGATCCTACCAGCCACGCCACCTGACCCAGACGTCGACGATCTTGTTGGGCGTCTGCGTGCTTGAATCCACAACGAGGTACCACCCAAACATTGCAAGTGTGATGCAAGCATGGTTGGGCCACAAGCGCAGCTTCTGTCCATATGTCAATGGAAGCTCACGATCCGACTGCTTGTTCTCGAAGCCTAGAATGCCATGTTCTTGACTGATCCGACTAACAATGATACGGTCTCCTTTGCCGATTTGGTATCCTTTTGGCATGTTCCAGGGACTGACGACGGCCCATCCTGGGTAATCTTTGCAGGGTTCTCGAGCTAAAGCAAGTCCTCCTGCCGAGATAAGAGCTTCTGGCTGTTCGGTGCGCGTGGGGTATATGGAGCAAACCTCGGCAATGACAGATGCAGCAATGAGATCGTGAGGATCAGAGGAAAGGTGACGACTACTAGCAGCTACCTGCTGTATGTCGAATATCGGATAAACTCCAGCATGAATCTCGAGCTCAAGGTTTGATCTTGTCAGCTCCAACGTGTCTTTCAGAGCAGTTGCGGAGCTGGTTGAACTTGATATCGATGGCAGTAAGTTCTGAAGTGACAGCGCGGTAGGTGATGCACCAACAGACACGACCAGCGGCGACTGATGCTTCGATTTGAAGTGTCGAGAAGCTTCGCGGCAGACATCAATCTCTGTCTTGAGCATATCCATCGCATGATCAGGTGAGGAACCACCATAGCTGAGACTGTTGTGCGAATAAAACCCAAAGAGACGGAGGTAGCCTTCTTCCTCGGCACCGGCGATTTGCTCAATGAGTGCCTTCATCTCTGGCGATCCGGGACCGAGTCCTGCTCGGTGATAGCCCGAGTCAGTTTTTATGAAAACAGACGCGGCAAATCCAGCGATCTGTCGGAAAGCCTTCAATGACTCGAGCTGTCCTGGATTATCAATCATTGTCGTGATGGATCCGTCACCTAGCTCACGCCCTACAGCGGCCAGTCGATGAACGTGGGAAGGACCCAAAGGCACGCCATAGAGGACATTGACCTTAGCATTGCGTTGTTTGTAGTCCGAGAGTAAAGGGACCAATTGCTCGGCTTCGATTACCGTGGACACGATCAACCGCACGTCTTTGCACTCATTGCCGACTTGGAGTCTGGTGATCTCTAAGGTCTTATGAGTCTTGACATGAGCACGAAAACTGACGTCGAGTTGCTCCACGGCATCAAGCATGGCCTGGCAATTCGCTTTCACTTTTGCCACGTCAATGACTGCTGCAGGCACAGGAACGTCGTGGAGGGATTGACCCTGGTACGACTGGATTAAGTCATCCCTCGGCGAGAGGGGGAACTCTGCAGGAGACATGGCTATCGTAACCTCGAACGACTCTCTGGGTCGTTGTCTGCCCTTGTCTATTGATGTCGCAGCTAATATATCTGGTTTGTAGGGCGAAGTCGTCGATGAGTCAATGAAACGTTGCTTTGGAAAGAGCTTTCCAGATATCCACCGGCATCATCCCGCCAGAGATCAGCTGTGGAAGTTGCTACGGTACCTTAGGTGATCCTAGGCCGCCGGCTACCGCTCCGGAAGGGCCCAACTTTAAGCAGACACGAGGGCCAGAGAGTTTGAGACGAAGGTTTTTCTCAAACAATGCGATTTCTTGTCGTGCCAGAAGCTCCGCTGGATGGAAGCATATCGGGGTGGGAATTCTTTTGAGAAGAAACCCCCCCCAAGGTGATGATGCCTACAGTTGTTGTGAGATACAGCACAGTCCTAAAACAGACGGGCACAGCATGCCTGTACTGTGATAACTCTTGAGTGCTTCAAGACGCCCCCAAAGAATTTGATTTGAATGACATTTTCGGGGATATTCACGGTGCCACCAAATCCACGGGGTGTTTCACCATACGCCCATTCTCCAATCCCATTCCCGGCTGTCTCCGTTAGAGCTTCCCCTAAGTTAGCTCTTTGATAGACGAGCTCCCCACGCCCGTCGTGCTACTCCCTATGGCTAGCTTGCACTTCTGCCACCATGTTGCCTGCAGAAGTCCTGAAACGATGCTAAACAGATCGACGGACTCTCCATAGGCTCCAATCATGGAGCCCGTCCACGAGGTGATTCCGTAAAGTCAACGGACTTGCAGTGTGCTTACCATTCATTTCACGCTTCTCACCAACAGATTGCGTTGCCCACCTCGCTTGACCGTGGTCGTTGACTTTGCAGGGTACCACAAAGACAATCTGTAGCGCGAGCACAACATCAATCCCTGGCAACTATTCTGCTGGCTTACTGTCACTGAGCGTGGATTCTTCTCACCTCACTTCTTCATTTTCTTTTCACAGTTTCTCCTGAGTTCAGGCACCCAGCTAATGTCCGGAGTACATTGCACCGACTGCAGTCCATGACTGATACGCGTATCACGCTCATACACCCTTCTCTTTGCAAAATTCACGGACTTTGGCCCCAATCGCACGAAGGTCCTGCGGTGTATAGGGCGCTCAGAACCGGTAGCACACACCACCGACTCGTTCCCCTATACTCTCTGGTCTTTCGCGAACGAGTTTCCATAGGGAAGAAATACGTGGACACACAGGTTTGAGTAAGAGGTGGAAGCCCACACGGAGTGACAAGATATCCAGTGGATGGAATATGCTCCAAACATGAACGTGAAACCGGGCTACACGTGCTGTGTTGTGACGAAGTCTACTAGATTTGCCAGACCACTTCTGCATCGCACGCGGTAACATGTCTGAGAAAAGTAGGCATGGAACTCCGACGCTCGTACGGCCGCCGAATCATCCTGTGCCGCAGCTTCAGAAGCCGTTCGAGGAATCAATGCTGGAGTCCATCAATGACCAAGCAGACCAAGATGTACCGCTAGATGCCATGACAAGAAGGACCATACTTCTTGACTCGCCAACCTACCAGCGCGTCATTGCAGGAAGATGGAAGCAAAAGTCTGGAGAGAAATATCATCCGTTATGGAAGCTAGTGGCTCAGATGTCCTTTGGAATGCATCTCTTAGCAGAGAACATGGCAGTTTCCGAAGAGGAGGTCATGCGCATATTGCAATCCCACGTCGACGACATTGACGGCTTCCTGGAGCGAACAACGGAGGATTTCGATTCGGCCCAGAGCGACATTCATGAACGAACGCGTTGTCTCAAGCTGCCGCTCGCACACGGCGATGTCTTCGATCACATGTTGGAGGACCGCGCCTTCCGGGCATCTATTCTGGAAGGCAATGAAAAGATCGACCATGTCATCAGCCGGACCAAGCGGTCAGCCAAGGACGCCCTGAATGATGTTCAGAAGGGTTTTGATGCAACAAATGTCCTAGAGAAATATCTGTCTAAACTCAACTCAACCTGGAAGAGGCGCTCGTCTGAACACGAAGCTGTGCTTGTTGCTATGCTGGGGAATGTGGAAGGGTGGCGCCGAGCTTTCCTGGAACTACACTTGCAGGGCAACAAGCTGGCGGGATCGCTCAAGAAGCTCTCTGAGGTTGTCGCAGAAATGCAAGACAGGGCGGCTGCTGTGAGCAGAAATATTGTGGCCAAGGCTCAAAAAACAAAGCATATCAGCTCACAACAAGGCGGCCGCGGTACGTCCCGAACAACTTCCATCAATGATCAGAAGCCCCTTCCCGTTGAACCGGGACGGCGCCATCCCACAAAGAATGCATCGCGCAGCACTCATGTTGCAGGCTCAACGAGCCGCCCAGACACTGGACACAGGTCAGGCCGCCCAATCGCGTCGCACGCGCCATCTTCATACCATCGGTCGCTCCACTCCTCTGCTTCGAAGAAAGATCCTGGAGCCGAACCAAGCGGACAATCGCTTTCACTGGAGGCGAAGGCTCTTGAAGAATCGCGTGCCAGTCAAAATACACAACATCTTCCCAAAATTGGCGGTCTGCTCATTCAATCTGCAGGCGACGCACCCATAGAACTGCCTGCAGATGTGCCAGAAGACTTACTGCGGCAAGCTCCAGTCTCAACCATGAACCGACTAAGTTTGACTCTTGGTCTGAAAGCAAAGGACAATGGGGATCACCGGATCTCCAGCATTTATTTTCCTCGAGCGTTGGGCGACCTTTTAAAGTCGCCGGAAATGTCAGATCTTCTGTCGACGCCTCAATCGAACAATATCAAGGGTACCCAGATACGTGCGGTCGCGTCGCCTGTAGTTATATCTGCAAAGCAAACAGACTACTTTACTTCACACGAGAAGAGCCCTTCGATTGGCGTTGCCACGCCTAGTACCAGTAGCCGCCGGCGGACGAACTCGACCAAGACGTCCACTGTCAACAGCAAATCATCCGGGCGCTCTTTCATGGTAGGGTCGGCCGCCGGGACGAGGCGTTCATCTGGTCCAAACGTGGCGTTCACTTCTCACCGTTCGGTGATGGCGATGGCGTCTCCGCCTGCGGAACTTCCTGCTTCCGGACGAGAGGAGCAATCGTCCTCAAAGTCAAGAAAGACCTCCCGGCCTTCGAGTTTGGGGGAGCCAGGGCCGGAGTTGACAGACGGTGCCACTACGCGATCAGCCTCTGTGTCAGACCCAATGATGCTGGTTGACACATCCATCATCACTATCTCCCATGATCCAGCCCCCTTTGCAGAAGAGAAGCCCGAGGCAGCAGAGGAGCAACAGGTTCCTGAAAGTCCGGAGGACGTTGACGAACGCCAGGGCCACGACACTGCCGTGGCAGACGTAGCAAGGATTCCGAAGTCCGAAAGAGGCACGGCTATTGAGACCGATTATCCCAAGACTGAGGTAGCTAATGCCAAAGAAGACGACCTGGGTCAGCTTGTCAGCCCCAACGAGGACGCAGCAGATCCGCAGATCCAATACGTAGCCGAATTGGAAGCGGCTGTTCCGGCCCCGTTGAGACCTGTCCGTAAAGACCATGGTCCTGCAGAGTTGGAAGCACCACAGCAAACGTTCAATCTGCCACCGAGACCGACAGCCGAGCCAAAGAGTGCTGAGGAGGTTGTCCACCGGGCCAAGACACAGCAACCGGAAGACTTCTTCAAGTTGCCTACCGAGGTCACGATTAAACCAGGTTTGAAACCAATGGACTTTAGCGACTCGAGTGGTGAAGAACCAATACGACCTTTGAGATTGAAGCTTGCGAAGAAAGATGGCAAACTCGTGCCTGTGCAGATTAATGGATCCAGAGGATCGAATGAGTCTGGCGGCTCTGAATCAAAGTCGCGGATAGATGTCGTGGCAGATATCATCGAGACAATGTCTCACACACCACCAGGCTCGCCGGTTCATGAGAGGTCTCTCTCCTCAACTTCGTCCAATTCGGCGCAACGATGGTCACGTCGGTCCTCGCGCCTGGGACCTCCCGAACAAGCACCAGCGCCTCCTGGCCCATCGGGACGACCTATGGTCAGTCCCGATTTTGCGGCTGCAGGCGAATTCCAGGGCGAACGTAAGCACAAGACGAGAAGCAGCAACGCAAGCAAGAGTAGCTGGAAGGCTTTCTTCCTCCACGGCGCCTCCAAATCTATGCAACGTCCTGATCTGCCTGCTGCACCTTTGGCTGGGCAGTCCAGTCTGCGACCATCGAGCTCGGAGAAGGACATGATGACGACGTCCGGGAAAGATGTGCTCTGGTTCAAAGGAGAAAATGACAAGAGTGTCAACGTCTCGTCTGCCTGAATTCGACCTTCCTCTTTGGGATGCTGTTGTTTAGCACGGCGTGATTATGGGTTTGAGATTTCACGTCAGCGATATGTCAATTTAGCAGTGCAGTCAGCTTATAACGGCTCTTTGTAATGCGAAATTTAAAGAAGCCCATCATTTCCATCGAGTCCTGCCGTGTACAGGCACGGATAGATTCCGTTGTTTGTGGTGCGTGAGACCACACCAGTCAGATCGATTTCGGCCTCGGTGAGCGTCAAGATCAATACCAAGACGTCAATAGGTAGACAGCCCACAACAATTGGTTCTAAGGGGTGTGAAGTCAATTCTGTGCCACGTTGGTCTCCCGGCTCCTGAAAGCTGGAGCACCGTGAACGATGCGGGCATTTTTGAATTTCCAATTGCCTTGTGCTGCCATAGATTGCCTTGCAGCTGACTTACCATAGCTGTACGATCATTTGTATCGCTGTGTATGGTTGGACGGCTGGCAAGGCAGATTGTTTGGTGGGGGTGGTTCATGATGGGCGTACTAAGTATTGCTTAGCAGCGAGTGCAGGTTGCAGTGAGTGGTCAGTGGGCGCAGTCTATCATGTACTGTACAGTAATATTCGAGGAGCACCACAGTTGTTAGAGTTGAGCATTCGTGATCTGCTGGACAGTGCTAAGGTAGTCAGGCCATGCGCCCAAAGCGGGGTGGCCAGTGGTGGGTGCTCTGGGCACTGGGCAGAGTAAAGAAAAAACACGGTGCGCAGTGATTTGCTTCTCTTGATTGGGCACGCTGTGACCCTATCTATGATCGCTCTGGACTATGGCCTTTCTAGTGCATCATCTCCACAATCCATACTGTGTATGTTGTAGCCAGGCAATGCTCGAGCCATCCTCACTTTGCCTTCATTTGCAGCATCTCAGAGGCTAGTTGACTCTAGCTTGTGATCTGGCTTTTCCATCTTGCACCTCTGGCTCTGACTTCATCGTCGACGGCATCTCACTATCCTCAGTCGCGACATCGTCTCGGGTCCTTCGGTCGCGCGGCCGACATCCTCTGGGTACACGAACAATCTCACACCACCGACGCCTGTTCACATCGAACGATCCAGTCAACGAACGGCAATGTATAGCGACTTACCCAGCCTCGGTGCCTAAAACCCATGTACATTTGACGAGTTATCGAATTCATCCCGCCGCTCCGCTTGGTTGTTCTATGCGTTGGGGCAACACAGCAATAGCACCCGCCGCTGCGACACGGTGGACTCGGCCTAAGGTGTGCGGATTAGCATGGTAATTGTAATACAAGGCGCAAGACGCGAGAACACGAACACAGTGCGGGACCATGAGTTGAAGAGCGCGTACGAAAGTGGACATATTGTCAGAAGATATACAGCAGTGCTGCAGCAAGGGAAAGGTAGGCATCATGTCCACCACATTTAGTCCGTCGTCCTGAGTGGTAGTGGTTTGCACTGTGTCTGATTGATCCTGCCCATGTTAATGAACGAGGCATCTGCCAACGCTGAGTGCTCGCGTCGTCGTTTGGCACAATCAATGGGCTTGAATATAAACAGGACCCCGGGCCCTGGGCTCACAGACATGGTTGCTCACCGGAGACATTCAGGGAACGCACGACGCATTGATTGAGCGATTGCTGACATTCGTTTTGCAGTCCGAAATCACCGATCTCCCTCGATCCAGATCCCCCATCGGGCTGCGTAACGCAGTCTCTCAAGCCACGTCCCAAGTCGCCTGGTACTTTATTCAAGATGGGTTTATTTGGCAGTAGCAATGGCACCAGTGCCTCTCGAAAACAGCCGGCTGCTCAGCAACCAAATGCCGCTGATATCGCTCCTTGGATGAATACGTCCCCGGACGATGATGACGACGAGATAGCGCCATGGGAGCGCGACCCGCAAGCACACCTCGCAGGCAACCGGCCGGTCAATCAGTCACATCCCAACGATCCTGTTGGCCGTGACATGCAGGGCTTAGAGCCTGCGAGGACGAACCTGTCAGAATACTTTGATTATGCGGGAGGAGATGCCCGTCGGCCATCCACAGCAAGTGCCATGACCGTCAGTAGTGTGGGCTCGCGTGGCAGCTTTTCCAATGGACGATACCATAAGAGCTTGAAAGGGTTCTTCGGAGACGACCCGTCAGACTCACGTAAAGGATCAACGGGAAATCTGCAGGAGCCAGGGTCTTCGTCAGAGAAATCGGCCGCGCGGAGCAATTCTATACAGACGCAGAATAATGTCGAGGACCGACCTAAGACTCCGGGACCACCTCCTTCCAGTGACGTGACGCCTTGGGCTTACCAAAATTTCGAAGACGTTTCCAATTTTGGGTCGGCGCCCATACGGCAGGAGCAACGTGCAGAGACTCTCGCGCCTGGGAGTTCGACACTGTCATCTGGTCGACGGGGGCTCCTTCACCGGCATACGAGAAGTAAAGAAGACCCTCCCAAAGGCCCAACACCTCCTTCCTCTGTCCCTGTCAGACCTGCCACCAGTCGAGAGAACTCATCCGGTAATTTGAGCTACTTCCGCAGCACGCCTCAGACCAGTACACCCATGAGCTCCTCGACAGCACTGACGCGCAACGCGAGCCCGGCCCCTATGTCTCGCAAAGAGGCGTCCTCACATCCAGAAAAGAGGTCAATTTTCTCGAAACTCAAGCCGCGCCACAAAGAGAAACAGGCGCCCCCACCAGAGCCGGCTCGCACGACCGCTGAGCCCACAAGAATACCGGAAGAACAGAACAGGTTGAGAGCACTGTCAACAAAACCATCAATTTCCGACATTGCCGACAACAAGAGAGGTCGAGAAACGAGCATTGCATCAGTGGACAGCGCTTCTACGATTAAAGCGTCTGATCCTTCTCCCAAGCTTGATCGCTCGTACACAGGCTCATCGAAATCTAGCAGGTTCACACGTCATGGCCGACATCGAGTACCTAGCCTACCAAGCGAGACGCCCGAGAAGACGCGATCACCAAATCAACAGGCACCAACGCAAGCGGGCGTGTTTAGTCTAGACACCAACTTCGATGACATGTCAGATATCATCTCCAGACCGCAACAGCCGAGGACGCCCGGCGAGACTGGGGTATGGATGGGCAAGGCTGCCGCCACGCCGGCTGCCGAGATATCTGCTCCAGTATGGGATGCGCCTGACAGTTGGGCGGTCAAAGGACAAGAGGACGAAGTCCTAGACAATTTACCGGAGGCCAACGAAGACGGTCTTCCAGCCATACAGGAAGAAGACGGCGTGTCCTACTTTATGCGCGTTTTCAGGTCAGATGGTACATTTGCAACTCTGTCCATGTCCATCAATGCCACTGTTGGGGAGGTATTGGCATCTCTGGTAAAGAAGTCCGTGCTTCACGATTCGGTAGACAACTATCATCTGTTGATGCGCAAGCACCAGCTGTCCAGGCAGCTGGGTGTTGCGGAGCGACCCGTGGCAATGCAGAAAAAGCTTCTGCAGCTTGCAGGCTACACAGAACGAGATCGTATGGAGGACGTGGGACGAGAAGACAACAGCTACCTCATACGGTTTACGTTCACCCACGAAAAGCAAACAGGTTTCGGAAGTGGTCTTGACAATGATCCTACATTCAGCAAGATGCAAAAGTTCAGCCATGTTGACCTCCAAGCAAAGTCCTTGGTAACCATTCCCATCATCCTCTATACCAAAGCTGCCGAGATCATCTCTATCAACTTATCCCGCAACCTGGCTTTGAAAGTGCCGAAGGATTTTATCACGGCATGTATCAATCTGCGGGAAATCAAGTTCACCGGCAACGAGGCCTGGAGGCTTCCCCCAAGTTTGGCATGGGCAAGCCGTTTGACTGTGCTTGATGTTTCTAACAATCGGCTGGAACAAATAGACCACGCTGAATTGCATAGGCTGATGGCACTTGTGAGCCTCAAGCTCGCAAACAACCGACTGTCTCAATTACCGCATTCTTTCGCTCACTTCCGCCAGCTTCGCAGTCTCAACCTGTCCTCCAACAACTTCACCTACTTCCCAGAGCATATCTGCAACCTCAAATCCTTGGTTGACCTTGACATAAGCTTCAATAAGCTCTCGTCCTTGCCTGGAATCTCTCGCCTGACGACCCTGGAGCGTTTGTGGGTAACAAACAACGACTTGAAAGGCGGTTTCAAAGAAAGCTTTGCAGGCTTGGTCAACCTCAAAGAGATTGATGCGCGATTCAACGGCATCACCAGTATTGATAATCTTACGAAACTTCCTAATCTTGAGCAACTCTTGGTTGGGCACAACAACATTACGACGTTCAAAGGCTCATTTCCTAAGCTTCGTGTACTGGTTCTTGATCATTGCCCAGTCACTTCATTTGAACTCGACCAACCAGTCCTGACGTTGACGAGCCTTAATATTGCTTCGGCCAAACTTGTTGAGTTCAAGGAGATCATGTTTAATTTCATGCCAAACCTGCAAAAACTGAACCTGGACAAGAATCATCTCTCGACCATGTCACCACAAATCGGACGGTTATCCAAACTGGAATTTCTAAGCATGGCCAAAAATCCCTTGAACGTTGTCCCGCCATCCATTGGAAGCCTCTTGGAACTCAAGTTCTTGAACCTCAGAGAGTGCAACGTGAAGAGCTTACCAGCCGAGATCTGGTACTGCCGAAGATTGGAAACACTCAACGTTTCCTCTAATGTTCTGGAAACGTTCCCTAAGCAGAATGCCGGCCCGCCTCCAAACGATCCTAGCCAGACTTCAGCCACGACCCCAGGTTTGTCCAACTCGCCAAGCTTTGAAGACTTGGGCAAACTTGAAGACTTCCAAGCTCGACGTCCTAGTCAAGCTTCAGCGGGGATGATGAGCATTGGAAGTTCACCGGGTAGTATGCGGAAAAATTCGGTTGCTTCAATCCAACCCTACCGAAAACAGTCTACAATATCAAGGACGAATACAGAGTACTCTATGAGCACCGCAACACGGAAGGATTCCAATCTGTCGCAAGCACGACTTCAGAACACATTTGCTGGGTCACTTCGATATCTGTACCTTGCTGACAATCGAATTGAAGACGATGTGTTCCGTGAGCTAGCGCTCCTGCCAGAACTCCGGGTCCTCAACTTATCCTACAACGAGCTGGACGATTTCCCTCAAGGCGTCCTACGGCGTTGGCCACAATTAAGTGAGCTCTATGTCTCTGGTAATCAGCTCACCTCCCTGCCATCGGATGACTTGGAGGAAAGCAGTAACCTCAGGGTGCTACATCTGAATGCAAATCGTTTTCAGGTGCTGCCTGCTGAGCTTTGCAATGTCCACAAATTGTCCACACTGGATGTTGGGAGCAACTCACTTAAATACAATGTCTCAAACTGGCCATATGACTGGAATTGGAATCGAAACACAAACCTCAAATATCTCAATTTCTCTGCCAACAAACGTTTGGAGATCAAGCCTGCCGCCCATCAAAACCAGACACAATTCAATGCGATGAATCGCACTAACGATGCAACTGATCTCACGAGTTTCAACACATTAAAATACCTTCGGATCTTGGGTCTCATGGACGTGACATTGCTGACGAACACAATACCGGACGACAATGAAGATCGTCGTGTGCGAACATCTGCCTCGTTGGTAGGAACATTGCTGTATGGTATGGCAGACACGTTGGGTAAGAACGAACATCTGTCGATACTGGATCTTCTCAAACCGAATTTCAGAGGCCATGATGGCGAGATCCTAATAGGGATGTTTGATGGTCAAACTATGTCGAGTAGTGGCTCCAGGGTTGCAAAATACCTGCACGAGAACTTCTCTGCTGTCTTTTATGAGGAGTGCAAGAAGGCCGAAGCAGGGAACGACACGCCTATCGACGCGCTTAGAAGGACTTTCCTGGCAATTAACAAAGACATGGCGAATTTTGCTAGCAGCGGCTATGACACCAAAGAACACAGAATGATCAATGGACACCGAGGCTCCTCGGTAGCCAACACTCTTGGGCCGGATGACTTGAACTCGGGCGCTGTTGCTGCGGTCTTGTACATTGTTGGTCAAGAACTACATGTGGCCAACGTCGGTGACCTTGAGGCGATATTGATCCAGTCCAACGGTCAACACCGTCAGCTCACAAGAAAACACGACCCAGCAGAACCGAGTGAGCGTGAAAGAATCCGCGAAGCGGGTGGGTATGTCTCGCGCCAGGGTAAATTGAATGAGGTTCTGGAGGTTAGTCGGGCGTTTGGCTATTACAATCACATGCCATCGATCATCGCTGCGCCTCACACTTTCACCTGCGTAGTGAACGACTCTGATGAGCTGATTGTGATGGCAAGCAAGGAGTTCTGGGACTATGTCACAGTGGATGTGGCGGTCGATGCAGCCCGTGCCGAGAAGAACGATTTGATGCTTGCGGCACAGAAGTTGAGAGACCTTGCAATGGCCTTCGGCGCCCGGGACAAGATCATGGTGATGGTTCTAGGTATCTCCGAGCTAAGAAAGAGAAGCAATCATCGGTTCCGTGGCACAAGCCTTAGTATGGCAAAGGAGCTTAGGCTTGATGAAGGGGCCATATTCCCCAGCTCACGCAAGGCTCGACGGAAAGGTGAGACTCTTGTCGGTGATTCTCGACTCGCCAGACTCGAAGAACCGGAAGCTCCCGTTGGAGAAGTGGCAATTGTTTTCACAGATATCAAGAACTCGACCGCATTGTGGGAGATTCTGCCTGTTCCCATGAGATCCGCAATCATGATGCACAACGAGCTTATGCGACGACAACTTCGGATCATTGGCGGTTACGAAGTGAAAACCGAAGGTGACGCTTTCATGGTGTCCTTCCCAACCGTCACGTCGGCACTGCTCTGGTGTTTCAGCTGTCAAAGCCATCTTTTGGAGTTGCCTTGGCCGCAAGAGATTCTGGAAACGGTTCATTGCCAGGAGAAGTTCGATGCCGACCAGAATCTCATCTATCGCGGACTTTCAGTGCGGATGGGTATTCATTGGGGCCAACCAGTGTGCGACCTCGACCCGATTACGCGAAGAATGGATTATTTCGGACCCATGGTGAACAAGGCTGCCCGGGTATCTGCAGTGGCAGATGGTGGACAGATCGCCGTCAGCAGCGACTTCATTGCAGAGGTCCAGAGGACTCTCGAAACGTGTGCGGAGGACGACCGACGCGACTCTGCGGGCTCCGACGAGACTGTGAACGATGATCCACTATTCTCTCAGATTCGTCGGGAGCTTCGTCAGTTGAGCAGTCAGGGGTTTGAGGTCAAAGACCTCGGAGAGACCAAGTTAAAAGGTCTTGAAAATCCTGAGTACTTGTACTTGATGTACCCGCACTCTTTGGCGGGTCGACTATCGGTTCCTCCCGGCGCCGACACAAAGGTTCAATTGGGTACCACTGCTCCGGCGGCAAGCGAGGACAAAACACAACCTGGAACGTTGAGCAAAGACAGTCAACTGAAAGATCTGCAGCTCGATCAAGTTTGGATACTTTGGGATGTTGCTCTGAGGTTGGAGATGCTGTGCAGTTGTCTCGAAGCTCCACAACAAGCGATTGGTCTTCATAAGCCAGAACTGAGTCTGCTTACGAGGATGAAGGAGAAAGGTGGTGTGCAAAGCGATGGCTTCATGATGAATCTGCTTGAACACCAAGTTACAAGAGTAGAGGTAAGTGCTAATACCTGCGTGCTACAGATTGTCTTGCTAATATGTCAACTCCAGGCTTGCGCAACCACTTTGCAACTTCGCCATATGCTACAGCCTCTCAAGCAGGGCGTTGCACTCGTCGACCAGGCCAGGCCTATTGCCGAAGTCTTGAAAGAGATATCTACAGCTCTTACAGAGGCCAGAGCAGCCCAGGCCGGGTTTGAGACACCTGATACCGCTGACGGGACAGAGTCGGAGTAACATTCTTGCCTGCTTCGCTTGAGCTTGCTTGAGGACTCCCTGGCTTCTTCAACAATCCCGAAGATAATGACGTGGTGTAAAAGGAGGATAGGTAAGACCGATCGGTCTTATAATGGGCATGAACATTGTGTCCAACGGATTTACTTACGAACAGGGTTACTTTGGTACTATTCATATGAATATCTAGGTTGGCGTGGAACAGTGCCGGACTTGGAAACGTCAGCGACGCCGTTATGAACAACTGGGACGGTTTTGGAGCGATTTTGCAGCCCATATTTTGAAAAAGAAATTATGCACATAGTTTACCAAGGGATGTCTCTTATGAAGGAGGAGGAATAGGTCTTACTGGGCACTTGCAAATATGGTACAGCAGCTTTGGGATGGATTCTACCTTGATATGTGACGGTTTTACAGGACGATGGTCTAGCTTTTGACCATTGGGCATCTTGGACATAAGTTAACTGAATGATATGGACAGTGAGTACCATTTGCGACTCCGCAAACCTGGTGTAGTTTCCATTCTCGAGTGTGGTAGCATATACTATATGACAGATTGTCAGAAAGGCGAATGCACCGAAAATACCTCACGGTACTCGTCTCTTGATTCCCTTTGTGCTCAACACTTTCCTTATCTGGTCGGAGGACTTCGTTGATTTATTGACATTCAAGCGCTGTACGAGAAGCATGCAGATACAATGATCAGCGTTTTCAATGACAGCATAACAGTCCACTATATATATGGATCATGGACCCAGAGCGTACGTTTCCCCGAACAATACTCCGAACCGTGGAACCACAGCAGGAATCATGACGATGCAGCTGTGCCTTTTCCATTTGAATCCGTCACCGCATTTGGACGCTTTACATCGATTTCTCAGCGAGGTGCAAGGAAGTGCTATCAAGTATATTCGCGACCGGTTGGCTACTTCCCGAAAGGAGATGCAAGTATACCTCTTATGAAATGGTTGTATGATTAGGGCAAGCACGATCATTCTTGGTGGACAGTGCTCGTATCTGTCGACGAGCAGACACTCGATTTTCTGCTTGCATTCATACTCTCGCCTACGTCCGAATCACCCCCCGTCAAAGATAGTTGTACAAATGAAGGGCTACCATTTTGAAAGCAAGCCTGTGGCACACGCTGATGCTATCGTCGCGGGACCTCATTATCGGTTCACAGTCCTAACAGACCGTCTTATCCGGTATGAATGGGCCCACGACGGCAAGTTCGAAGATCGTGCCTCGACATTCGCCATCAACCGAGACTTTCCGGTACCCAAGTTCCAAAAGATCGAACGGGAGGATGAGGTCGAGATCATTAACGAACATTTCCACCTGAGTTACGACAAGAAGAGATTCAGCCCCAGCGGCCTCCTGTGCAGCTTCTCCGCCAAGATCACTCTTTGGGGTGCACAATGGAGATTCGAGGACGCAGCTACTCAGGGTGACAACCTCGGAGGGACTGCCAGGACATTGGATGGGTGCGATGGTGGTTGTGACATGGGCAAGGGGGTGCTAGCTCGGGACGGATTCGCTGCCATCGACGATAGTAAGTCCATGTTGTTCGACGATAAAGGATTTGTCGCTGGGCGACTTCCCGGCGACCGGATTGATGGCTACCTGTTCTGTCACGGCCACGACTACAAGGGAGCTATACGAGAACTGTACGCACTGAGTGGGAATCAACCTCTGCTCCCAAGATGGTCCTTTGGCAATTGGTGGAGTCGATATTACAAATACCATCAGGATGACTATGTCAAGTTGATGGATGAATTCCACCAGAAAGAAATACCTTTGTCTGTTGCGGTGGTTGATATGGATTGGCATCTTGTGAACGATGACCGCGTCCCTCATGCTGGCTGGACCGGTTATACTTGGGACGACAAGTTGTTCCCAGACCCCGGAATGTTTGGGCGAGAGATACACAATCGCAAGCTAAAGATCACGCTGAACGACCATCCGCACGTGGGCATCCATCATCATGAGGATTCCTACCAGGAGATGGCAGACTTCTTGGGCCACGACACCTCCAACAAGAATCCGATACTGTTTGATCCGACCACCCCCAAGTTCATGGAAGCCTACCTCAGTATCCTGCATCGAAACGTCGAAAAGGTCGCTTGCGATTTCTGGTGGATTGATTGGCAGCAGGGCGCTCACACGAAGGTGCCAGGCATTGACCCTCTGTGGCTCCTTAACCACTTTCACTTCATCGACAATGCACTCGACGGAAAGCGCCCCATCATTTTCTCCCGCTACGCAGGGCCGGGGAGCCATCGTTATCCAGTCGGATTCTCAGGCGATACCGTCACAAGTTGGGCTTCTCTGGAGTTTCAACCACAATTCACTGCAACAGCTTCCAATATCGGTTACGGTTGGTGGAGCCATGATATTGGTGGGCACTTTGGTGGTAGTCGCGACGATGAGCTTGTGACCCGATGGGTGCAATTCGGCGTCTTCAGCCCCATGATGCGGTTACACTCTGGTGATTCTCGTTGGACATCGAAGGAGCCTTGGCTGTATCGCAAGGAGAGTGAGGTGGTTATTGAGAAATTCATGCGCCTACGTCACCGCATGATACCATATCTCTACACACGCAACGTGCTGGCATCAACCGAGAACGAGCCACTCATTCAGCCCATGTACTGGCTGTTCCCCAAGAGAGGTGAGGCATATGAGGTGCCTAATCAATATTTCTTTGGGCCCCAGTTGATCGTCGCACCAATTGTCAAGCCGAGGGACAAGCGCACCAACCTGGGCTGGGTCAAGACGTGGCTGCCACCTATGCATCGACACGTGGATATCTTCACTGGAACCGTCTATGATGGTGATAGGGAGTTGAACATGTACCGGACCCTAGCCGAGATACCAGTGCTTGCGCATGAAGGCAGTATCATAGCGCTTGATGCCAATCCGGCGCCTGGTAACGGCGGTCTCAATCCTGAGAAATTCGAGGTCTTGGTTGTCGTAGGGCGCAACGGTCAGACGAGTGTCCTCGAAGATCCTGCCGACGACTCGGAGCAAGTCAAGAAGGAATCACCCGCGAGTGGAGAGCGTGGAAGTCTGCTCCAGTACAACCAGGAGAAGGGCGAATTGACGGCGCATGTCACCGGGCGGACGTGGACATTCCGCTTCCTGGCCATCACTGAAATTCCGAAAGACTTGAAGGTGTCGATCGATGGCACAGATCGCACAAAAGACGCCGAAGTGGTGATTGAGAAATTCCCGGCGACGCCCTCAATGCTGGTTCACGTGCCGTATGTGCCGGACGTGGAGAAGCCTACGATCACAATCTGTCTTGGTCCGGACCCACAACTAAGCGTGCTCGATCACCGTGCGCGCATCGAGAAGATGTTGCTGGATTACCAGACCGAGTTTGACATCAAGGACCGGATCTGGAGTATTGTGGATGATCGGACGAGCGGGATCAACGTCAAGATTGGCAAGCTGTTAAGTTTGAGCGTGGATGAGCGCTTGACAGAGCCCGTGGCTGAATTGTTGCTTAGCGATGCGAGGGGAGCGCATTTGTAGGCCGTTATTCAGGTCTTGAGTGATGCATGGGGAGGTTGTGGGACAGGATGCGTCGGAAGACGCGCAGTGCCTGGAATATAATCATTGGAGAGTGATCCCGAACAAAACATCAAGGTGTGATCGTGGTTGCGGAAAAAGACAGCTAATGCTGCAAGGTAATAGTACTGTTATTGGTATAGACATTAAAAGTATTAGATGTATCGTCGGACATATCTTTCATCCGGAGATATGGATATGTGGTATTCATCCTGTCACAAGATCGGCTGGAATAATCATAGTTTGCTTCCATCACCCAGTCTGCCAAACACTTTCTCGTGCAACCACTCGCCGATATGCCGATTACACTCCTCTGGCTTCTGCCATAGGGCCCAATGACCAGCATCGACCTCTTTTCTGGTCAAATTGGGGATGCGTTCGCCCATTTTCGCGGCCATGAACGGTTTCAGCGCCTGGTCCTTGGTGGCCAGGACGAACAAGACGGGCTGGTGAATGGTGTTGTCTCGTGTGGCCTGTTGGGGAGATTTCTTGCCATTGTCGAAGAAATCGCGCCACTCGTTCATAAAGTTCTCTTCACGGTTGCGGTACCAGTTCAGCGGGCCGTTGATGCCGTGCCTCGCGTACTCGTCGACGTAGTACTCCATCTCCTCGTCTGTGAGCAATCTGTTCTTGCCGACGCGCGGTTGGGCAGCGAGGTCGACGCCCTTTTCGGCGGTGAAGCCTACTTGTCCTTGAGGTGTGCGTGCGCCGTAGAGGTTATGCAGGAATTGACGGATTTCGGACTTTGATTGGACGGCGGCTTCGATCGCGCCTGATGCAAAGTGCTGTTGGTATGCGAAGTTGGGGAGTTTAGACTGGACGAGGATGCCTAGGGGTGTGTAATTGGGCGATGGGCGTTGGAAGGGCGTGCAGATGCTGAAGAGGGCGGTTATTAGGGACGGGTAGTATTGGGCTACGCGGTAGACGATGGCGCCGCCCCAGTCGTGGCCGCCGAGGATAATGCTGGAGAGGGATAGTTGGGCGGCGAGTGTCGCGATGTCGTCGGATATACGTTTGTAGGTGTATGCGGAGATTGTGTGGAGGGGGGAATCGGTCCGGCCGTAGCCCATACAGTCGAGGGCTAAGACGTCGAGGCCTAGGGATGTCAGGAAGGGGATTTGGTAACGCCAGCCCATTGATATGTCGGGGAAGCCGTGGATGAGGAAGATGGTGCCGCGCTTGGGAGTTGAGGGGGAGGCAGGGCTGAAGATGTACCCGTAGGTGTGGCCGTTGAGGTGTGCAGACCGGTAGGAGATGCGCGGGTCATTGTATGGTTTGATTTTGTCGACTGTCATGGTGGTTGATTGGGTACTCTTGTTGACTGGAGAAGGAGTTGATGAGAGAGTGGCACGAAGCTCGACTGGGGTTCACTCTACGTGTGTGGGTTGAGTTCTTGATTGAGGTATAGCTGTGTAGTGTGTTTCTTGTGACATCCTATACGCAGGATTGTCCTTTGAGGTAGCTTCTACTTGGAGTAACGAAGCAGGTAGATGCCCGTCAGCTAGGTCAGTTATCCTGTCTTCATCGAGTTCAAAGCAGTAAGTGGTGGTGGTACTTCCTCAATGCAGCACGGTCTGTAAAGGGCATATATGATACTCAGCTGAGCCGAGGCAACTGATAACATTTTGATACCTCAGTTTTGCGGGGGATAAAAGAGCCACAAGACCTTGCCACTTAGCCGGCGCATAGCCGCAAATCATTCCCTTCACAATATTCGAGATACCTTTGTTGCAATGCTTCATACATTGAAAGCTCATAAAAAATGAAGTGGGTCGATGAAAAGTACCGTTACAATTCAAGCGGCACTACGTACGACGGTACGCCGATACTTTGCAGAGGCCACAGCATTCATCACGAGCGAGATCCGATAAGTACAAAATGTCGCTATGCAGCCACATTTGATATCAATACCCTTGCACGCCCCCTGGAATGGCGTGATGGCAGGGCCAAATGAGCAATCCCGCCAACCTGCCTATCAGTGCCAACTCATGACGGCTCATCGCCTTTCCCTCAGCCTGATCTGACACACACCAAGTCCCAGGGTGATGATGTGATAGACGCGTCTGCCATCATATTGTACCTGGATTGTCAATTGTTTTCCAGCTTGGCTTTTGTCAGCAGCTACCTGCCAAAACACGCGGATATGGATTATTCCTGACCCGTTACTCCCGATGTATCGCAGGGGTTGCCATTTGAGCTTTGTTGGTATATCTCAAGTCCGTCCCCCTTAACTCGTGCCTATATCAGTATGTTGAGATTGGATGACTTTAGTGGAGCACCCTGAGCTCGATACCGATACCTTCGAGATGCGTGACCTTGAAGAGACCTCTCCGTTACTGTCGCCAGCCACTTCTCATGATGCACTACCACAGATAGAGGAGCAGCAGCAGCAATTAGTCGCCGCTGAGCGCAAGATCGACAACGATGTCCTCCCAGAAACGTCCACGGCTGGCCGTAACATTGGCTGGGCTTCTGCATACGTGCTGGTTATTTCGAGGGTCATCGGATCTGGCATATTTGCCATGCCAGGCACGATTGTACAGAATGTCGGCAGCCCTGGATTGGCCCTGATACTTTGGGTCGTCGGAGCCTTCGTCGCATGGGCTGGTCTCGCAATCGATATGGAGTATGGATGTATGCTTCCTCGATCCGGTGGTGTCAAGGTTTATCTGGAGTACACCTATCGGAAACCACGCTTCTTGACATCAACATTGGTCGCCGTGCAGGCTGTTCTGCTCGGGTTCACTGCAAGCAATTGCATTGTCTTCGCCAAGTACACTCTTTTCGCCGCTGATGTACATCCGAATGACCTAAACACCAAACTCCTTGCTGTCGGACTGCTGACGTGGATCACGATCGTGCACAGTTGCTTCTACAAGACCGGAATCTGGATTCAAAACATTCTAGGTTGGCTCAAGATAGGCTTGATCATCTTCATGATCCTGACAGGTCTCTTTGTGGTGCTCTTTCGCCCGCGGCCGGCGCCTGCGCCGGACCAAACACCTTCGACTATGGCCTGGGATGACCTTTGGGATGGCTCGGTCTGGGGCTGGAATAACTTGTCAACAGCATTCTTCAAGATCCTTTACTCATACGCTGGATTGAACAATGTCAACAATGTCCTCAACGAAGTCAAGAACCCCGTGCGGACTCTCAAATCTGTTGGGCCTATCGCGCTCCTGACTGCTTGCGTCATGTATATTCTGGTCAATATTGCATATCTTGCTGTGGTCCCCCTGGAAGAGGTTAGACGAAGCAGAGAGCTAATTGCGGCTCTCTTTTTCGAACGAGTCTTTGGAGCTGGATTTGGCAATATATTTCTGCCACTGGCTATTGCGCTAAGCGCTGCCGGGAATGTCATGGTGGTGACTTTTGCGCTGGTATGTTTGCTCCCAGCTTGCGATTGTCCACTAACAAAGACCAGGCAAGGGTTAATCAAGAGGTCGCAAGGCAAGGGTTTCTCCCTTGGGCCGGGCTTCTGGCATCCTCGAAACCATTCGGCTCACCCATGGGCGGCTTGATAGTGCACTATGTGCCGTCAGTGCTGGTCATCGTTCTGCCTCCTTCAACTACAGTCTACTCTTTCATTGCGGATGTGGAAGGCTACGCAGGCCAGTTCTTCGCTCTTGCGGTGGCTGCCGGTCTAATCATTCTTCGTTATAAGAAGCCAGACCTCCACCGACCTTTCCGAGCCTGGATACCCGCTGTGTGGCTCAGAATCTCGCTTTGCTTTTTCTTGATCGCAGCACCTCTGTTTCCACCTAAGAAAGGGACATCCGACGTCAACTTCTTTTATGCAACTTATGCACTGGTCGGCATCTCCATGTAAGTCTCCTTTCAGCTTCATCCACCTGACCTAGAAGTGCTGACAATGCTAGCCTGGTGTTTGGAGTTGCTTATTGGTTCATTTGGACCAAAGCATTACCATGGTATCGGGGCTATAGATTGGAGGAAGAGGCTGATGTCCTCGGGGACGGTACAACCATCACCAAACTTGTACGCAAGAATATATAATCAGCTCATTGGGATTGATAAGCATTTCATAGAGTGATTGGAGGACAGTGAAATGATGCTTGATGTTCTGCAATTGTGTCAACACAACATACAGGGCCCTGGGCACGTCATCCCATGGCCCTGCGTTCTATTGGCCTCGGCATATCGTATACACCTCCCCCATGACTTACCCCACACGTATGTATAGACATCACGACTGAGGGCTTTGATATGGCGTGCTGTCTGACAAATCAGAAATGTATACGGGCACACTGCGGGCGTGCCTCATAAGTAGGATGCGCCTCCCTTGAGTCGTCCTTACTCGGGCCAGACACCAGCACTTCAAACCTCACAATGGCATCAGCAGCAGTTCAACAGCCTAGCGGCGGCCACTCGACTTCGTTCGAGCCCGTAACGACTCAATTGAAGGGCTCCCCAGCGGCTCCTCAGCAAGAGAAGCATCATGTCCAGACGTCATTGAATTACTACAAGGATCCTGGTGACGGCAGCCCCCCTGCTCCAAGTTACATTGGCAAGCCGGAGACGTATGAGAGACCATACGACGCACTGGATGTGACCGTCCATGACATTCGAGGGGAAGAGAAGAATTATACCCTTGACAAGAACGGATTCGAGGTCTTCCGCCGGGAGAGCGTAGAGAAGGACTTTGTCGACGACGAGCAGATCAAGGCTCAGTACTACCCGGAGATTGAGCAGCTGTTGAAGGACGCGTGAGTATCATCATATCCCGTGCCTTCTGAAGACTTACTAACGACTGTCAGGACCGGTGCCTCTCGCGTCTTCATCTTTGATCACACCATCCGTCGTGCCCCCAAAGACCGCGCTCAACAGGGTATCAACCTGCGGGGCCCCGTCAACCGGGTCCATATCGATCAGAGCTACACCGCGGCCAAGAGCCGTGTCCCCCACCACCTACCTGAAGAGGCTGAGAAGTTGCTCTCTACTCGATACCAGATCATCAATGTCTGGCGACCGATCAAGAAGATCTTGAAAGATCCGCTCACAGTCGCTGATGCTCACTCGGTGCCGGAGACAGACCTCGTCCCTGTTGGCTTGATCTATCCTGACCGCCGTGGCGAGACATTGACGGTTCGACCTAACCCTGAGCATAAGTGGTATTACCTGTATGGACAGAGCCCCGAGGAAGCTCTTCTGATCAAGTGCTTTGACTCGAAGCTCGATGGAAGGGCCAGGAGAGTGCCTCACACTGCGTTTGTCAATCCAGAGACGGTGAATGAGTATTCACGAGAGAGTATCGAGGTCAGGTGCTTGGTTTTCCACGAGGACCAGCCTGCCGAGTGAGGCCCGATGACTTAGCTTACCTATGGCTTTCTTCTAGTCTGTCTTTCAATATGATCATATGTCCTTGAAGTTCCTGGGCTGTACGAGTATGGCAGAGGAGATACGAGTAGTATGAGTATGATAATTTCATTGCCTCGCTTAGCTGCTGAATCTCGTCACAGGGGAGAGCACGCCACAGCACAGGGAGCACAGCCATGCACTATGACGAATCTGGCTGTGGCAGTGCGGAGAATGCCGTCTTGCCGTGTCACTCCAACCCCGCGTGTTAGATAGAGTCAAGAAGTCCTAGTAAACTGTAAGGCCCGCCGCGCGCCTTGGAGGGCAGGCTGTGCAAACTACACGCAGGTACCAGCGAATATTCGAGCTTGCGCCATATAATTGCACTCGATCTTCTCCTGGCACACCTACAAAAAGACCACGTATAACTAATCACGAAGAGGCCCTCCACTTCTCGCTCTGACTTGCTTCTTTCCATATCACTTCATCCGTGTTCAACAAACTGCAGATGTCATACGGTCCACCTCAAGGTCAGCCTCCGTACGGAGGATATCCTCCTCAAGGGCAAGGCTACGGCTATCCTCCACAAGGGCCACCGCAACAGGGCGGCTACCCTCCACCTCAAGGAGGATATCCTCCTCAACAAGGTGGCTTCGGCGGTCCCCCACAACAGTTCGGAGGGCCTCCAGGTGGTTATGGCGGACCTCCGCCAGGCGGATATCCTCCGCAGCAGTACCAGCCTCCTCCAGCGATGCCGTCGCCCGGCTACGACCCCCGAGTCCAAATACAGGGCGATGCCTCGCGCGACGCGGATGCGCTTCGCCAGGCAATGAAAGGCTTCGGCACGAACGAGAGCGTCCTTATCCAGATCCTCTCGAAACCAGATCCCTTGCAAATGAACCTATTGAGAACCACCTACAACCAACGCCATCGTCGCGACCTAGAAAAAGACATCAAATCAGAAACATCGAGATACTTTGAGAAAGGGCTGGTTGCGCTCGTCAGAGGGCCCCTCATGGACGACGTGCACAATCTTCATGAGGCAATCAAGGGTTTGGGAACAAAAGAATCCGTGCTCAATGACGTCCTACTTGGCCGGTCGAATGCCGATATGCGGGCGATAAAACAAGCATACCATGAGGCCTACAAGCACTCCCTTGAGGCGGATGTCAAGGGCGACTTGTCGATGAAGACGGAGAGACTATTTGTGATGGTCATGGCTGCCACAAGAAACGAAGAGTCCGCGCCTGTGATACCTACCGAACTGGACCGCGATTCCATCGAGCTGCATCGAGCTATGGACGCTCGCGTCGGCACCGACCAAGCCACAGTCTGCAGCATCCTGTCCAAGAGGAGCGATGGACAGATTAGGGCGCTTGCCCATCACTGGCAGCAGAAGTACCATAAGAGCTTGGAAGATGTCATTAAGTCCGAATTCTCGGGACACATGCAGGACGCACTGCTCCTCGTTGTGCGCAGAGCATGCGATCGTGCCATGTCGGATGCGACGCAACTGGAGGATGCTATGGCTGGGATGGGGACCAAAGATTGCCTCCTTGTACAACGTGTGGTTCGTGCACACTGGGACCGGGCTCATATGGATCAGGTCAAGCGTGCATACCACCATCGGTATAAGAGAGATCTGGTTCAGCGGGTCAGAGGGGAGACCAGCGGTGACTACCAGGCGTTGATGGTCGCTTGCTTGTCCTGAGAGGGTCATGGGTACCATTCTCTTCGGGTCGGGAAGATCCTGTGTTCTTGTTTTAGATATTCATGCCTCACGGCTGGCCGATGGAACAGGATGCCAAAGGCATGGATTTTGGGGCGATTTGACGGAAGTTCTTGTTTGAACCACATTATACTTAGGGAACCATAGGTTGTGAGGAGCTCGGTGTTTTCCGATGCTCAATATACACATTAAGAAACTCGCTCTTGCCCTGATTTGGATGTCTGACACGGTAGGAAGTGCCGAGCAAGATCGACCTTCGCGCTTTACAGGTGCGAACAATTTCACTACCTCCTTCTGGAGTTGAAGATCGGTTACCAACTAATCATCTTGAGATGCGAGTAGCTGAAGTCCGCCTCCATCTCATGAAGCCGGTTCAAGACACCCTTTGGGGTAATACTCCGGGTTTCGTTGATACCGACGTCAACATCGGGCTGAAGGCGTCTCATCAGCCTGACTCAGCCATATGGATGCCTTCGTCTGGGAAACCTCCCAGATCCTATTGGCTTCTGCAAGGGATGCTCGTCGATAATAGCCCAATTCGAGATGCGAATCTCGGGCAATCCGATCTACACACGACATGAAATCGGTATTTGAAGACGTTTCAGTGCATCTAACTTACTGTGTTAGGATGATCGCCCCGGACCAGACCTGTTCACAGAACAGCACCTTTGCCTCTTATTTCTCGTGGCTATTACTAAATCCCTATGGCTTGGACGGTGATACTGCAACTCGTTCACTGCACCTTCTCTCGCCATCAACGTGGTTCTACAGTGGCTGCGATCGGTCCAGTCTGTGGAAATGTCGTCCCAGAAACAGGGTATAGCCTTGGGGAAGTATACCTGATATGCCTACCCACAATCCCGGGTTGCTGTTCGTAAACAAGACCTCCAGGTCAAAATCTCTTACGAACAGCAGAGATGACATCGAGGGTCTGCGCGAGATTCAGCAACATGCTCAGAAGTCACGCGATTATGAGAAGGAGAAAAAGCGGAGGGGAAGGCTGAGAACATCTAAGCTGCCGATTGGATGGGCATCTATCTCGTCGGCGTCGACCAGGACCCTCACCGTGGGCCATCCTCGTGTTCCGGCGGACACACCAGCTATCAAGAAGGACGACGAAGTCGAGGAAAACCGGAACCTGGTCGACCTCTGTCCCAAAGAGGACGCGAAGCATGACACACCGAATGTAACAACCATCACTCCATCCGGGGCCACTGTCGAACCATTCAGTCAATTCCAGATTTCGATGAACACCGAGAAGTACCGCATCCTGGAGTATTTTGCCCAGAGGTACTTTCCCGCAGTCACAAGATTGGATGTGCCTCAATTCATGGGCCGTCCAGAGTCCCGATCTCCCAACCCGGCGACTCTATGGGTCCGCAACGCTCTGATTGACGAGGTACATTTTCTTGCTCTTTTAGCAGCAGCGAGTTCTCGCTTGAAGTACGTGTAGCGGTCTCATTTTGCTCACCTAGAACTACCGGAACAGTTGGCAGACGCAGCACTCCGCCATACGAGGCATTATCTGGAACAAGGCCGACCCGTCGGCCAGGAGCTGATACAAACCATCCTGTGCTTGTGGGCGGTCGAGAGTTACAGGCGGAACTGGGACGGCGTCGATGGCCACAGGAAAATGCTCTTGCACCTGACGGACACGTACCTGGGCGGTTTCCAGAACCTTGAGCCTTACACACAACGTATGCTGTGGTTCGCTGATCGCTTCCAGGCTGCTGCGACCGTAACACCCCCGGTCATTGAGGAAAGATGGGAAACCGAGGATCTTACACCTCAACAGTACACAAGTGTGATAACCGCTATCCGTGAGCATGGCAGGCGACCAATGGCATTGGGATTCATCCAAGTAAGCGAGATCTTCAGCGCAGACTTTTAGAAGGTTGTCTGGAGGATCGTAGAGCTTTGCTCTGTGGTGCAATGCTGATGGATTGGTGCGTCGGTTCAGGCACTCATACCTCACCACGACTGGGCCGTTGGTAGAGGCTGGGCTATTTCGGACGAGTTGATCAGTCTCGAGGACGATCCGCTCCTACATCCGTCTGTTCGATGCAGGAGACTCCAGGACTGTATCAGGCGGGCCTTGATCGCGTGGCTAGCGTTTGTACCGGCTAGCGCAAATCATTCACCCGACCCGCGAGAGATCAGCTCTCCCGTCGTACGAGCAGCAATCGACGCAAGACCTTTGCGAGCTCGACTTGCAGGTATAACAGAAAGCCACAGCGAGCAATCTCCATCTCGATGCGAACAGCTCCTAGTGTTCTGGATGGCGGCGCTGGGAGCGGTAGCGAGTGAACTGGTGGAAAATCAAGAATGGTTTGCGCTTCACTTCCAAGCATTTGCCCGACAATTGGAGATATACACCTGGGAAGATTTCATGCCCATCAACGAACGGTTTTTGTTGCTGGAGTATCTGCAGCCGGCAAATTGCACGAAATTGACTTGGCTGCTGCAACGTGCTGCATATGCAAAAGTGGGCGACTGAGCGGTTTCCAGCAAGCATGCACCAACATTACCATCGCTACTCCTTGCTTGTAGCGTGGCTATTTCTAGGTCGTCAGAAACAGTCGACGTTGGAAACTCAAGTTCAACGATGCTATGTGGAGAACTCGGTCATTTCGGTCTGCGACTTCAATTGCTTCGCTAACGGTACCTGGGCAACGTAAGAGAGACTTCGTAAGCTGTGTTGATTGAAGTCAACTGGAGCAGATGTTGCGAACTGCAATCTCTCGTGCTGATGGAACTGCACAGAGGATGCGATTGTGCTACGTTAGGGAAACTGTGAATGAACAACTCTCGTGTGGTGTTACGACAAGGCTGAACAACACGGCTGTAACCGTCGAGCAGGGCCGCTTCCGGTCTTCAATGCCACCGGAACACACATATGAGTCAATGGCAAACTCGGCTCCGACTCCGATGCCTCGGAACCCCCAGACGCAATTGTGGACAAGACCTCATTTCCCCGTTGTCGGAAGATCTCGGGAGAGGCTAGAATTGGCCATAATTGCTTCCGGGCTTTTCGGCTACGCTTCGGAATGACTCGCGGGATGTCAAAGTGGGAGACAGAGTTCACACCTGGCCGAAAGGAACGAGACCTCAAATGCGAGGTTCAAGGCCTCTGGGTAAGGATACCGGGCGAGTTGAGAGGCCATGAAGAGAGTGATTGATACTGATGATGACCCAAGGTGGAACAATAAGCGGAACTTTTAAACCGCGGCTCTTGAGCACATGCCTTGGCCAGAAGTTGCATCACTCTGTTTCTCCCTTTTCCACAACAATTCCCCGCAGCCCATCATCGAGATGCAGCAAGGAGAGAGGATTCAAAGGTCAAACCCTCCACATGCGTCAAAATGCGGCCAAAGAACACCCCACTGCTACGAATCAACTGACCCGAAAGCGATATTCAAGCCGGCAGTCCATGCTTCTTCTAGCCTTGCTTGTACCTAGAAAGGAACGATGCGCATCCCGCACGTCGGCGTCCACTCAGCTTGTACCTCGGCGGAAAGGGACAAAAGCCAGCCCAGAAAATCTTCCCAGATGCCATTCATTCTAGACGCGTGCCTCACCTCACTTTCTTCGGACTGGATCGGCCGTGAGTCGGTAGTCATAAACTGGTTACTCGTCGCTTCAAAAGTGTGATCTGACCCTCAGTTGTTTCTTACGAAGCTCGCTTACGATCCTTTCTGGCTTTGATCGTCCTCACTCTCCGCTCTCTACTCACTTACCATTGGCGTCACTCGTCCTCAACGGCAGTGTTTCCTTTCTACCGAGTCTGTGCTAGTACAGAGTGTACTCTGTCCTACATCGCGCTGTATACTCCTATACTCCTGCGAAGCGTTTCTATAAAGCTGCGTCTACACAAATCGGTTTGTGAGCGAACGAGGCACCAATTGTCTATGCGATCGTCTCTTGCCAGAGAGCATCGAGGTATCTTATAGTTGGTGCGAAAAGAGGGAATACCTGGAGAGCGACAGTCAGACTACAAGATGTCTGCGAAAAGCGTGAAGGGCGAGCAGGGCAAGAAGCCAGCCAGCGCTGCCGTCAACTTGATCGCTGGTGGAGGTGCCGGCATGATGGAAGCCCTGGTGTGTCACCCGCTGGATACGATCAAAGTGAGAATGCAGTTGTCCAGAAGAGGACGGACACCAGGAACAAAGAAGCGGGGCTTCGTCGCGACAGGGCGAGACATTGTGAAGAGAGAGACAGCATTCGGTCTATACAAGGGTCTGGGCGCCGTTCTTACTGGTATTGTCCCGAAGATGGCTATCCGATTCACCTCCTACGAGTGGTACAAGCAGTTCCTGGCAAACGAGAACGGGGTTGTGACCTCGCAGGCGACATTCCTAGGTACGTTGCACCATCTCGAAGATCCTGCCTGTGTGCTAACCCAAGGGAACAGCTGGTTTAGGCGCTGGCGTGACAGAAGCCGTGGCTGTAGTGACACCCATGGAAGTCGTCAAGATCCGAATGCAGGCTCAATACCACAGTTTATCCGATCCCCTTGACGTTCCTAAGTACCGGAGCGCTCCTCACGCTCTGTTGACCGTGCTACGAGAAGAAGGATTTGGCGCTCTATACCGCGGTGTATCGTTGACGGCGCTGCGACAAGGCACAAACCAGGCGGTCAATTTCACGGCGTATACGGAGTTTAAGGCGGCGCTGCAGAAAGCGCAGCCAGAGTATCAGGGCAAGAACTTGCCGAGTTGGCAGACGACTATTATAGGTTTGATTTCGGGAGCCATGGGTCCCTTTTCCAATGCGCCCATCGACACCATCAAGACGCGGTTACAAAAGACGCCGGCGGAACCGGGCCAGACGGCCATTCAGAGGATCACACTCATAACGAGGGATATGTTCAGGCAGGAGGGACCCAGAGCGTTTTATAAAGGTATCACGCCCCGGGTGATGCGGGTCGCGCCTGGTCAAGCCGTGACTTTCACGGTATATGAATACCTCAAGAAGCATATTGAGGACAGTAACTTTTTGAACTTTGGAGGTGGGCAGTATGAGGAATGAGCACCCAATTGCACCAAGTATATCCTGAGACCTGAGGAGATGAGATGGAGCAAGGTGAATGAGGACATGGACATGACCATGGTGCACATGTCGTTTTTCGCATTTTCTTGGAGCGAGACAAAACAAAAGCATCGGTCTTTGTTTGCGTCAGATACCATGCCTTTTTATATTGTACATAGTCGGCTCCGCGGTCGGGAGTAAGAGCACAGCATCACCCTCAGGGTATATGGCCTCTATTAAAGAACAATCAACCTTGCAGAAAGTCTAGAGCACTGCATCGTGTGAGAACTCTTGCCATCGAGGCTTCTGGTGAGTGGTGAGGGGCGCAGCGCGTTTCGTTGTCAGGCAACGGACCCCACAAGTCGTCAGCGGTATGAACACGCCGCAGATACATGCTGGAACTCGCTTCTCAAACGCCCAGCATAGAGCTCAAGCCACTAGTACAGAGGAGTTCGAGGGCAAGAGAACGCTGCTGGATGTAGTGTCTCCTGGAACGACTAACGAGCAAAATCACCCATTCCGCTCTCCGCCAACACTTCCCGTTCCCGTGGCCGTTGAGACAGACTTGACTTCCTGGTCACCGCCAACACCACTCAACAAGCTACAGGACATTGCACAATGCAGTCCGGAATCACAGGTGAGCACTTCATCTCGCACAGGCCGCGCGTGTGTGAGAAAGCAAGTAGCTGACTGCTGAACAGCGTCCGCGGAATTGCACAATGCCTTCACCAAGTTCACATCAGACGACGCCCAGTTCTGTTTACCCATAACGATCACCTCCGAGTCCCTCACCCCTCTACCGTCGATCGCTTTCTCGTCTTCGACCTTCTCAAAGGCACTGTCCAGTCTCGACAGCCTCCTCACCCCAACTATCCCCCTGTACTTGTTGCTTCGGAAAGCGCCGTCTCAAAGAGAGCTAATTGCAGTGACATACATACCCTCCCGAGCACCGGTCCGGCAGAAGACGCTGTTTGCATCGACCCGAGCCACGCTCATCCGCGAACTTGGGTCAGAGAAGTTCGCCGAGACAGTCTTTTTGACGGAAAGGGAAGAGATCCTCGATCCAGCGCAATGGGATGAGCGTGCGGGCACGAGCACGACCACTAGCACGGCAGGATCCCATGCGCATACGGGGCTATTGAGCACGGAAGAGCGGGAATTACAAGCCGTCAAACGTGCCGAGGAAGAGGAACGACATGGCACTCGGGGTAGAGACCTGATGGGCCAGGGTGGTAGTGGTGCACAATACGCATCTGGTGGTGCGGGCGGCGCTGGTAAAGGAATACAGATGAAAGTTACGGATGACGCGAAGAGTGCGATTGCCGGTCTGGCCAGCGCGGGTGCAGGCACGGTAGTGCAATTAGGAATTGAGATCAGTACGGAGACGTTGACGCTGTCGGACAGCAAGGCTGGTGTGAGTGCTGGGGCTGTTGTCGGGCTGATACCTTCTGACCGGCCGAGTTATACGTTTTACAGCGTGGAGAATGGGGCGGTGTTTATCTATGTGTGTCCTGGGACGAGTAAGGTCAAGGAACGCATGGTGTATGCGAGCTCGAGAAGGGGGTTGTTGCATGTTGCGGAAATGGAGGGCGTGAAGGTGCTGAAACGGTTGGAGGCTGGCGGGCCGGATGAGCTTGGTGGTGGACGGATCGAGGATGAGGTCAAGAGCCTGGCTGGTGATGGGGGACTTGGTGCGGAAGGTGATGGAGATGCTGAATCGGCGCCTGCGTCGGGCACGGCGACGCCGAGAGGCGCATTCGCGAGACCGAAAAGGCCGGGACGGCGGTAGGCGAGACGATATCTCAGAGTGAGTGGTGGTGAGATGAGTTAGTACCTAGGTGTTGCATTGAGGTTCTACGGAAGGAGACTCGGCGCTGGAACTGAGCACGATTATCACGCAGAGCATAGTGATACGAGGTGTTGGCATGTATCCATGTCCTGAAAAAGGGCTCATGGCAGTGCAAAAAAGAATGCAATCATTGATACAGCGTGGACATGCAATGTGAAATCTGATCTTGCATTGCTGGATCTCACACATCTCTTCCGTCTTCTGACAGGCACCGAGAAATTTGGCATCGAGGAGGGCTCCCCTGAAAGTGCCCTTCGCCTACTGCAGCGTCCTTCTTTATTCTCTTCCTTCTTCCTCGCAATGGGAAGCGATGCCCCAGTCGTTTGATAGCCGTAATTCCGTCATGCCTTGTCTTTTCAGGAAGAAAGTCCTCAGCAGTGCCGTAGCGGCAAAGTCTCCGAAACATCGAGCCATTTTTACCATGATGTCCTGCCAGGCTTTGTTGTGAGGCGCCCGAGGACGAATGATAGACTAGAGTCGTGGCGAACAGGCGATCTTCTCGTAGCACTTTGCTTCGTGGTGGTCGAAATTTCGCCGGACGGGGCTGTGTCATTTTGCCTCACCAAAGGTTCAGGAGGCTCAGTTCAGGTTGTGGTGGCCGACACGTATCTCGCGCAAAAGACGCTCTCGTTGTCTCTGTTTTGAGTCCTGCGAGATTTTGGACGTGACCTCGATCCAGGCGAACGAACTCAACAGGCAGCGCATGGTAATAGGTCAATATATCTCCTCCAAATATGTTGGTATCAGTATTGTTGTTGATTTCTGAAATTCTTCTTCTGGTAGAACAAATCCGTCCTCGATGAACCCAGATTGATAATCTTCGGACACCCGTCGCGGTCTTTCTCCAGCCTTGTGCATTCGAAACAGTAGAAGGCATCACTGATTCCCTCGCCTCCGCAGACGATGCACTTGTTCTGGTAGTTGCCAAATGCGCACTCGTCGCAGATGCGGGCTAGGGTCGTCGGTCGGACGTAGGAGTCACAGACGGGGCATTTGCCATCGCACTTGTCGCAGAGGCGGCCGAGGGAGATGCCTGGTGCTTTGCGGCACATGACGAGATCGGGATGATGGCGAGACATTTTGAGATGAGGTTGGTGTGGTTGAGGAAGGACGGGGACGGATTCGTGTGTGGAGGTTTTCGCTGATGAAGTTGAGAAGAGTGTTGCGACTGCGAGAGGGGTTGATATGTTGCAGATGAGTGGAATGTAATCAAGAAGGTGGAAGAAGATGGAAAAGAGGCAGCATGAATTTGTATTTCTCCGCAGAAAAAGCACGTGCCTCGACCCAGATTTGCGGAGGTTAGACAAGTTCTGTGCCTTGCAATCCGATGTCAGACCTGCGGAATGCATAGCGGAGCGACTTGACAACTCCTTACATCCTACTGCGTTCAGGAGCACCCTGACCATGATCTCCTCGGCCGTTGTCATCCCCGATGAACCACAGCCTCTGAACGGGTCATCAGATCAACCTACTTCGCTCAAACGTCGACAATCTTCGGCCTCTCTATCTCCAGAAACGAATAAACGGCCACGACTCGATGCGCATGGCGCCGACAACGTCGCAAACTCTCCTCCTCCCTCATCACGTACTGCTGGCTCTCCCACGACTCGAAATGGCGCAGAGGCAACGTCTTCTCCACGGCAACCGGAGGCCGGCCGTCGCAAGTCTTCCCAGACTGTCGAGCAAGACAAATCGCGCAATCGCCGCTTGTTCGGCGCTTTGTTAGGGACCTTATCGCAACCTTCGCGGCCGTCGAAATCAGCCACAGGGTCTACGGTACCCGCGCGCAACTCGCGGCGCGAAGAGATCGAGAACCGGCAGAGAGATCGGCTGAAGCGGGAGAATGAGGAAGTGGCAGAGCTTGCGCGGAGCAAGAAGGAGGAGCTAGATCGTGTCCGTCGAAGTGAACAGCTACGGTGGGACGAGCAGGGTATGAGGATCAGGCATGGAAATCAACGGGCAAATGCGCGGTTTCTTCGGACGAACGTGGAACCCAGACTGGTAAGCAGGAAAACATCCTCCCTAAGACGATCAAGACTAACTCTTGGAACAGTACTACAAGCCTTGGGAACTGCGCGAGAAGGAGGAAGATACCATCAAAAGACAGATCGAAGAAGTCGAGGATACGATCCGTCGGGAATTGGACGAGTTCGAAGCGAAGCGAGCTCGTGGACAGCCAGAGGCCTCGGGAGAGTCCAGAAGTCCACAAACGCGGCGAGACCAGGACACGGAAATGAATGACGATCAGTCTCTTCGGACGGATCATGCGCAGGAGGGTCAGGATGACAGCGGTCTTGACAGCCAGACTGTCTCGAAACGAGACGAACAGCAGCCCACAGACGGAGCAGACCAGCCAGAACCGAGTCAAGAGGTCCGAATGACAGAGCCTAAGCAAGAAGCTGAGGACACCACCCTTAGACCTGTCAGTAAGGATGATGATCATGGTGGAGAAGAGCTCGAGCTCGGCCAGGAAGATGATGTGATTTACTGAGTGTAGGCGCCATTTCTTCGCTTTCAGATCAGTCATATCAATCTATATGATGGAGAGGGTCTGGTGTACTCATGGGAAGCCAACTACCTGCCAGATCAAAGGGGGCCGTAGCCTTGCCCTAGAGTGTATTCCCATATCAAATCACGTGCACCGGAGGTTGTTATGTCATTTCTCCGATGCTCCGACCGTCATCATCTTCATCTCGAAATCGTCTTATTCACTTCTCGGAATGTTATTTTCTTTCTTCATTCCCAAATCCTTGATCATGTCTCTGTGCATATGACCGACTCTCTAGTCTTTTCATGCCACTCTTTTAGCCGTCGTTCTTCTTTTGCTTTCACGTTCTCCTCAGCATTCTGCTCTGTATACTCCGGTTTTTGACTTTGGTTCCTGTGAAAGCGTCGATCTAGACAAGCTTGGCAGGTACATTCCAATGAGATAATACCACCGCTGAACCCTTGCTATACTACAATATGGACCCCGAACCGAACACGATCACGGATACAGCGGCACCCACAACCATTAATGTACTGACCCTGAATTGCTGGGGACTCAAATTCCTCTCCAAGTACCGTACGGAACGATTGTCCGAAATTGGCAACCGCATAGCCAGTTACACACCACAACTCGATATCGTTGGTCTGCAAGAATGCTGGACATTCGGCGACTATTTGGCCATTCGAGAGCGCACCCAACACATACTACCGTATGCCAAATTCTACCATTCGGGCTCATTTGGAGGAGGTCTAGCCTACCTCAGTCGCTGGCCGATCACGGACTCGTCAATGTTTCGTTACCCCCTCAATGGTCGCCCAACAGCCTTCTTCAGAGGTGACTGGTACGTTGGTAAAGGTGTGGCATGTGCTACCATCCGCCTACCAGACAGCAAATGTGTCGAAGTCTTCAACACTCATCTACACGCCCCTTACGAAAGAGAACCAAACGACAGCTACATATGTCATCGTACGGCACAAGCATGGGAGATTGCCAAACTTATGCGTGCTGCGTCACAGCGAGGCAGTCTGGTTCTGGGACTGGGAGATTTCAACATGGTACCGTTGAGTTTTGCCCATGTGCTGATTGAAAGTCGAGGTGGCGTGAAAGACGTATGGAGAGTCATCAAGCCCGGCAGCAGTGTTGGGAAGAGCAATCATCCACCAGAGATTGAGCGCAGAAAGCGAATGAACGAGGATCCGGTCTCAGACGTGGACAGCTGTCTGCGGGACCATGGCCATACCTGCGATTCCGTTCTCAATACCTGGCGCTGGAACCAGGAAGACCAGAAACGCTTGGAGAAAGGCACAAACCGGCACATTCTAGGGACTGACGCCGACCCTAACTCGTACCGACTCGACTACATCTTCTTCAATGGCATTGGGAAGGGCTGGAAAGTCGCTGACGTGAAAGTGGTGCTCACCGAAAGACATCCAGAGTTGTTGTGTTCGTTGAGTGACCATTTCGCGGTGCATGCGACGATAGAGAGATCTCAGACGCATCCACCGACGCCGACGGGTATCGAAGCACATGCTGCCATGCACGATGCAAGCACGGAGGACCCCAAAGCTGAGCTGGTCAACTTCGCGGCTAAGGACTTCGATACCGTATTATCCAACCAGCCGACTTATCAGTATGTTGGAAAGGACTTCTACCAAGATATACTCGCCACGATACACAAGTACAATCTCCGAGAGAGGAAGCAGCGCCGCTGGAGGTGTTTGCATTTCCTTGGTTCCGCTCTCGTCTCGATTGGCTGTTTCGTTGCGGTCTGGTGGTTGCCCAACTATGTCTCGTTCATATTGATCCTCTTGAGCAGTCTCGGACTCATGGCTGGAACTGTGGACGGGCTCATAGGCTTGCTTTTTGTCGGCTCGGAGTTGAGAGCTCTTGCCGAATTCGAATGGGAGGTTCGAAATGCACTGCAGCTTGCTGGTGGTCCAGTACAGGCTGACCGGGCACTGAAAGACTGGTATGACTGATCTGGATTCAGAAGGAGCGATCGCGAAGCATGGCGCAAGTCTCTACCCGGCGATCGCGCAATTTGCACTGGCGTGTGTCGTCCTGGGAAGCGCCCGTTCAGACGTGGCGCTTGCAAAGCCACGTACAAGTCATGCCTCGTGGCCTATTGAGCAGAAGGATTTGAAAGTCGTCGAAGACCAGCAAGCAAAACTTTGCGGAAGAATCCGAAACAGACACCGACACCGATAAAAGTTGGGACACTTGATGAAAAGGCTGTGGTGTTGTTGTGTTGGTCGTTTCAGCAAGGCCGATCGTGATCTGGGTTGTCCTCGCAACTTATAAAGCCCAACTCCCGCCCACCCCGATCACCTCAACCACCTCAACATTTCCACCCACCTTTCCACCATCACGCCTCATATTGCTATAATTTGCCCTGGAAATTGGTCGCGTAGCTATATTTGACCAGCTGACGCGTTGTGGAAAGTTTGCGACAATTTCATCACAAGGTACGTACATTTCCTTTGCAATCCTTATCTGCTTTGCCGTCGGGCACCGCGACCACCTGCGCTGCCTTCCTATCACCTCATTCAACCTGTTCTGTTCGATTGCATGAGTCACTCTCTGTCGCGAATATAGAAAGTTGTATTCTCCATCATCTCATCTGTCACTGGCGTTAGTGCATCCAACTGTGTGCCTATCTCACCCCATCTCATACGCGGAAAACCGATCAACATCTACGTTACCACACATGCTGACGTTGCGCTCTTCCCAGAACCCCATACATATCTGATCTCTCAGATCCCTCACCAACACAGAACATCTGATATATCGCTGCAATGGCCCAAACACGTGGCGCAACCGGAAACGCTAAACCCCGAGTCTTCGAGACCGTCTCTACCGAACCTACGCGCAAGCGCAACGCGACTGGCACATCCAAGACCAAAGCCAAGGCTACGGGTGGCGTGACCAAGAAGCGCGCTCCAGCTGCAAAGAAGAGCAAGCCTACAATTAAGGATAAGGTGGCGGGCGCAGTTGAAAAGGCTACCGGCGCGGTCGAGGGGAAACCGGACAAGAAGGCGGCTGGCACGAAGAAGATGAACGGCACCAGTGGGAAGAAGGTGACTGCTGCATAAGCAGGTCACACCTAGTTTCTCTCGCCAGCGTCATCATTACGATTGCTATTGCTGTGCCTTTGTTCTGCGACATTTCTGGATCTCTACATGAGTACGTGGAAAGGCACGGCTAGGCTCTGCGGCGCGAGACCTTGATGCCCGAAGCGCATCCTATATACTTGGCCATCTGAGGCCTACATACGAAATGCCCACAAGTGTGCTTGGAACTATTTGCCATGTGCCTTTTGCCTAAGGATCTGTGAGCTTATTCGTCCAATTTCCGGTGTTTTGACCTCGATACTCCCATCCTGTGATACCTAAGCGATATCTTATGCCGTGAATTGCATTCCCAGGCCCAGCCCATCACGACCCCTTGAGCCTGTTTCCAGGAACAGTGGCACAGTCTGGCCGCTGTAGCTGGTCAGGTCCAAGTAGATACCATTCTTGTTGTCATTCCGGAGTCCTTCACACATTAACGATATAGTGTTGGCTTTTGTCACAAGAGAGGCCATCAGCTCTACTGTACAGTGCTGATGTTTTGCTTCGAGGCTTCCGCTGTTGTGAACCAGCTTGACATCGAACTTGTGTGTCTTCGATATGCTCCCTGTCAGACAGTGCCACTTTTTGGTGGAAACAGGCGCCCTGTAACGAGACCATCTCCCTTGACATTCTTCAGGTGGGTCCAGCACCGTATCCGAAAGACTGGGTTTCGCCAGTGGGAAACATTACATCGTCTTGCATGAAATCGATATATGTTGGCCATTCCAGCTCGTTGAGTGGCAACCCGGGCAAAGAGAAGACATCCGTGGAGGCCAACCTCGGCACTCCACCAGGGTTGAAGGCATCACTTGCCCCGACTACATCGTCTGTCATTCGTGTCTTGTTGGACGCTAGTCGTCCACGTAAGTCGGAGATGAAGCGTGGCGCATGCGACCTCGCTGGCTTGCGGGCTTCCCATGCCTTGATGGTCAAACTGGCAATCGCAAAACGTAACGGGCTGGATTTGTTGGGGTGATCCCATGAGCTGTGCTTCTCACGATTTTCCGAGTGCTGGGCGAGCTGTTCCCAGGCTCTGTCTGCCAATTCGCCGCTCGTCCTCGTACGCAAACCGCATAACAAGTAAAGATAGGCTGGAAATGGGGGATTCGTCAGGGCATACCAGACAAACTTCTGAATAGTTTCCGTTGCCAGCATCGCGTTATGAAGTTCCATCACCCTCAAGCTGGCGGCAAAGACGCTGTCTTGCTCATTCTGAGGCAGTTGACGTCGAGAACCCGGTGGTACTCGTGGACTGAAGAGCCCCGAGCGTAGTTTCGATACTTCCAATCGCGCCAGCAGACTCGAGAAAGAGTGTACCGGAGCGGACGAGTCACAGTGTTGCAGATACTGGCTTTCAAGGTGGCGCTCAAAGGCATCGATAGCCTTGTCTTTCGTGCGCGTCGGCGAATCCAATATCGCCTGGAGTTTTCCGGTGAATTCGAAGATTTGGCATCGCAGAGAGACGAATATCATCTCGGTCGACCTTTCAGACTCCACAGGACCATCCCGCATGCCTTCGAAAAGGTCGCTGTCATTCACGTTGAGCGGAGGATTCGTGCTCCAAGAGTAGGAAGGTGGCGGGCAACCAGAGATCTCGGCAACCCGATGGTCGATAAGTAAGAGCTGCCACCATAGCCGTCGACGCATTTCGGTCTCGAAAGGAGGAAGTCCAAAGCTGTTGCCATCGTTGTTGAGACCTATTCGCTGTGCAATGCGCATGGCTATACCGGCCAGGCAGAAGAGAGAGCGTGGGTCGGAAGCACCCTGGCAATTTGAGAGCTAGACACAATGTCAGTAGTATACGACGTGCTAACGAGCCCATTTCCTGTAAAAGTGGCACCGTCTGATGGCTATAGCTGGTCAGGTTCAAATAGATACCGTTCTTATTGTCGGCCCGGAGTCCTTCACATACAACGGTATAGGGTTAGCCTTTGACATGGGGAAGGCCATCGGCCCTACCGTATAAACCTAACAGCTTGGAAAGAAGGAAGTCGCCGTCGCGAACCTGTCGGACCTCATACTTCCGGTGCTTATGTACGCCCTGTCAAACGGTGCCATTCTTACTGGGAATAGGCTCGCTAGATACTCTGAAAATATCTTACCAGGTATAAGGTAAACGCTTGTAGGGTAACGAGATCAGAGGAGCCCAGTAGACCCGCATTGGTCAGAGCTTGCCGCGCTCCTGCATGATATTGCGCCAGAAGAAGCTCTCTTTCACTTCCGAAGAAGGCATTGCATTCTTCAGTCGTGATTGATGCAATCGCCATGGAGTATATAGCGAACATCAAGGCTTCCATATTTGCTGGAACCCGTGCGAGATCTGCGGAGGCATCGAGAATCTGTTGTTGGACGCTTGGTGCATGAAGTATCTTGACCAACGGATTGACGTTGTCGGGGAAGATCTGCCATAATCTGAAGGTATCTAATGGCGATGGGTGAAAGGCTGCTAAGCCTTGTTTCCCGTGCTCTCCAAAGACAAGATCATAACCATCGGCTGCGGTCTTTCGACTATCAAATGATCTTGTCATGGGCTCCTGGAGTAGGTCATCGTCAGAAGAATCTCGAAGGATCTCTTCTGCTTCACGATACTGGTCATCGAGAAGACTGCCGCTGGTAGGAGTTGTCAGTCAGAGTATCCAACAGGCCTGTTCCCGGAAAAGTGGCACTGTCTGAACGCTGTTGCTCCTCGGCTTCAACACGATATTGTTCTTTGTTGTCATCGTGGAGCCTTTCGGACACAACGATATGGCGTGAGTCTTTGATAAGGTCGAAGGTCATCAGCTCTACCGTGCACTCACACTAGCTTGCAGCCAGAGCGCCCAACGCTGCGAACTTGTCGAACCTTGAATTTATCCTCGATGTACTCCTACCAGACAGTGCCAATTTTTCCGGGAATTGGCTCATCAACTGGAACTGCGACTCACCTCTTGAACGTCCTCGCCGACCTCTCAACGGAGGGTATCGCTGTTAAATAGGGTGTGCTGGCCTGAGCCGAGTCATTTGCAGATCCAGTATCTGTGGTTCCATGACCCACGGCCTCAGGATCAAGCCCGTTTTCTTGAAAATAGGCTTCATATCTGCGCAGGCGTTCAAGTAGTTCAGCTTCAGCGAATCGCTTTTTGCGCTTTCGCGGCGTACCCGGAGCGAGGCATTCCACATGAGCTTTCACACAATTCGAACATGGCTCATTCCGATCGCATTTGACCTTGCGCCGTTGACATTGGAGACACGGATGTCGTCGAGGGTGCGGAACGGTTGACTTTTGACTCCCCGAAAGTGGTGCTGGAGATGTTGTTGATGAGTCAGCCGTAAGTGGTGTGGAGGTCGACATTGTTGTACGGCAGCGGTGGGCATTTGAATGGAACCGTGTCTTGTCATCTTCTCGCAGATGCGCCTGTACAACAGTGAAGTGATAGCGTTTCGGCCTGGAGAATGGAGATTCAACGTCGGCAAGTACTTCTTCCGTGAAGTTCCCCGTCCTGAACAAGCGCGGTAGGAATGTCGATAACAATGACACCCTCTCGGCAACTTGGTTCTTCCGAAGGGCATCTTCTACAGACTCGCAACCTCTCGATGGAGTGTTCGTAGGCCTCCAAGGTACGGTACGGTATAAGAATGTCATCCCTTCGTCATGCCGTGTCTTTCACCCATTTCCTCACTTTTTAGACAAGTCCCCTTCATCCCCAGCATCACATGAACCTCCGTCCGTCCTTTACTGGCCCAGTCATGGCGTCCCCAGACGATGAGCTCGCTCAAAATGCTTCAAGCGTGGTCAATACCACCAGCGATGCCGAGAGAGTCGACGATGGACCATCACCTTCACAAGAACAGTCTCCAGAGGATGAGACAGAATATCCCAGTGGCATGGCCGTCGTACTGATCATGGCCTCGGTATGGCTCGCGTTCTTCCTTGTGGCGTTGGTATGTATTGGAACATCATGTCTCCTCCACCTGCATATCTGGTTAATCCACTGATCTTACCTCGCAGGACCGAACAATCCTTGCCACGGCCATTCCTCGTATCACGGATCAGTTCAGTTCTCTTGACGACGTCGGCTGGTATGCCAGCGCATACATGCTCACTGGCTGCTCTGCCCAGCTACTTTACGGTCGAATCTACAAGTTTTACTCGACCAAATGGGTGTTCCTGGCCTCTGTTAGCTTGTCCGAGCTCGGCTCTCTTGTCTGCGGCACTGCTCCTAACTCTATCGCTCTCATCATTGGCCGCGCTATCGCTGGGATTGGTGCCGCTGGTATCTTCTCCGGCGGTATGATGGTCATGATCCATACCGTACCTTTGCATAAGAGACCAGTATACGCAGGCATCTTCGGAGCAACCTTTGGAATTGCCAGCGTTGTTGGCCCCCTACTCGGCGGAGCTTTCACGCAGAAATTGACATGGAGATGTACGTTCTAGAAACTCATGCCGCAAACGGATGCTAACATCTGAGAAGGGTGCTTCTACATCAACCTACCTATCGGCGGTGTGGCCATAGCTGTCGCCACTATCATGATGAAGTTACCAGGACAGAAAGACAAATTATCTCTCAAACAACAATTTGCTCAGCTCGACCCTCTCGGCACAATCGTCTTCCTGCCCAGCATAGTCTGCCTCCTACTAGCACTTCAATGGGGAGGCACGACCTACGCCTGGAGCTCTGCCCGCATCATCGCCCTGCTTGTCGTATTCTCCGTCACCGTTGTCGCCTTTGCAGCCATCCAGATATGGAAGAAGGACGCAGCAATGGTACCACCTCACATCTTGACTCAACGCACGATCGCCTCGGGAGCGTGGTTCACACTCACCTGCACAGCGTCAATGACACTGATGGTATACTTCCTCCCGATCTGGTTTCAAGCCGTCAAAGGCTCTTCGGCGCTCCATTCGGGCATCCAGCTACTCCCATTAGTCCTTTCGGTGCTGGTCGCCAGTATCATCGCCGGCAAACTGACACAGCGGATCGGATACTACGTACCAGCCATGTTCTTCGCATCCATTGTCGCACCCATTGGTGCTGGAATGCTCACCACGCTGCGTCCTGATAGTAACCACTCAACATGGATCGGCTACCAAGTGCTATATGGTCTTGGACTGGGTGCAAGCGTACAGGCAGCATTGATCGCTGCGCAAGCTGCCCTACCCAAGTCCGACGTCGCCATTGGCACGGCAATCATCAATTTCTCGCAGCAGTTCGGCGGCGCATTGTTTGTCTCCGTGGGAGAGAATCTGTTCTTGAACAATCTTGCTTCCGGACTCAAGAGCCTTCCTGGACTGGATGTGACGAAGATCGTGAATACTGGCGCTACGGAGCTGCGGGATGCTGTGCCAGCACAGTATCTACCTCAAGTCTTGTCGGCGTATAACCATGCGTTGATGAAGACGATGACTGTGGCAGCCGCTATGAGTGCGCTTTCGATATTAGGTACGGCGTGCATCGAATGGAGAAACATCAAAAAGAGTAAGAAGGACCAGAAGGGCGACAAGCAGCCAACAGAGATGCCCAGCTCAACACCTGTGGAGAAGACTGAGAACGATGCGAGCAATGTATGATAGCAAACCCACCAAGGCATCCGATTTCGGGGTCATCAGGTTAGACCAGGAGAAACTCTACTAAGTACGCCTACAGCCTCTTCGCTCAATGGCTTTGTCATGATAAGATTTCATTTGTTACTATCTGTTGTGATGGAGCCCTTCAGGTCTTCCAAGACTCTCATGTCTCTTAGCCATCGATCATGCGGTAAACCCAAGTGCTTCGCTGCTTCAATGCCTTTTGTGTAGGTGCCTTGACCAGGTACCCTTCCCGTTCCCATTACCATGGGGTGCAATGCCTGCTGATGTACATTCTTGTTCGTTACTTCGTTCCGTTCGCTCGTGTCTGGCCAATAATCTTTAACCCGTACAATCCTGTTCGATTTCTTCAATCATCCAGGCTGTCACGTCTATCACGTCTGAATCCACCTGCCTTTGCCTGACCGCTCAGGCCTGGGATGTGATGAGTGTAGCTCTTTGTATGTTGGCTCTGAAGATCAAAATCCAATGGTTGAGCGAAAGAGCCAGGGACGGTGCGGATAGGTCGTTGGGAACTAGCGTTCTTGTTGGGTGAATGATATCGTGGTGGACGAGCGCCAGCTGGTTGGGAAGTTGGGGCTCTGAATGTGTCTTCTTGACCGTAAGAGAAGTCACGACGAGTCTGGCGTTTGTCAGGACTGGCCTGACGAGAGCTTTGACGGTTGCTGTTGCTGTTCGTCTCGCTACCAGAACGTTCGGTCTGGGAGTAGTTGCTGCCGTAGAATTGAGCATCAGAATTTGTGTTCAGCCCTCCGACCTTTGCTGGTTTCTCATGGCGGTAGGCGCGAACATCGTTGTCATGACCTCCTTCCCAGCCAGCTTGATGAACCTCGCGAAGTTTTCGTTCTTTGGCAGTCTCCTTCACGCCCTTGTTCTTTTTGGATTGCTTCTCTTTGACAATTGGTGCTTCTGAAGACAGGTCGGTCATGGTGTCGGGTATGGTGGCAGTGTCCTTGTCTGAATAGCCATCACCAACGACACTGCCGCCACCAAGGATAGTGCTCTTTGTGGCATTACTCAGTGTGGTTCCATTGGGCCCTTTTCGTCTCAGGACTGTTGACTTGTACTCATCCCAATCGTTCTTCTGCCACTTGAAGCCACCGTTCTTAGCCCAAAAGAAGAACCAGATGGCACCAAGTACTAGAGAGGCTCCAATGATGGCGATTAGTGCTTGAATTCCCTTCATATTGATTTCATTTGGTGCGATCGAGCCCGAGGCTGGGTTGAATGACTGAGTAGCCGAGGCTTCCCTGGCGGCGAGGGCTTTGAATGTGTCCGAGGGCGAAATGATCGATGTTGCATCGTCTCTACGACGGATGTTGGAGTAGACCTCACTTCTCTTTTCGAGCAAAGTACCTTTTACTGCCTTGGGCAAGGAGGAGCGGGCGTCGAGTTCGAGTGAGGAGTACTTGAGGTCAGGGACGTTGAAGTAGGAGGTGGATAATGTGACTGGAGCCATGATGGCAAGAAAGAGCACAGAGCTCCGGTACCAAAGCTCTGATCACCGGTCTGAGGTGTTTGTGGGAACCGCACGGATGAGATTGTGGAAGGTGAAGAAATGGTCGTTCCGTCGAATTGAACTGCACGGAGCACCTTTTCTAGAGATTGAGTATTTTTGGCAGCTTGTCAGATTTTGAGATGAAGACAAGTTGATAATGAGATACTCACATGAAAAGCCAGCAGAAATACCGTAGGCAATTATGCGTTGGTTGGTCTTGCAATTTGATGGAGGCTGGAGGTTGCGGTGGCTGGAGGAATGAATTGTAAGCGCGATGCAAGTGAGACTGAATCACCCAAAAAAGTGACGTAGATTTATTTACTTTATTTGGAGAAATTCCCATCACCACGACAACGCCTTTTTCTTTTATCATCATCAATGGAGATATCTATCATACTGCTTCAGGTACTCTTCAAGGCTCACTTGCTCATGCTTGTATCCCAATCGCTGTGCCCGAGGTGATACGAATGGCATGTTGCTCGCCATGAGCATTGGCAATTCACCTGCTCCGGCCTCTTCGAGCTTGACACTTTTGGCTTCGGGGCTGGAAATGACGCCCTCGGCATGCAATGATCTTGCGAATGCTCCTGAGGCTGTTTTCCAGGGCATCTCCTGGCCGCCAATAATGAAACACCTTTCATACACGGAGCCCTGAGGACTGTCTTCTTGCAGGGCCAGTCCCAGGAGCAGAAGCATGAAAGGTGTGATGGCCTTGACATGGAGGCAGTTGAAGATCGCGCTCCCCTCTCCAACATATGGCACGAATCCGAGCTCTTTGGCCTTTTCCCGGAAAACCAGCTGAATTACTCCAAGTGCCGGAACCGGGCCAGCAGCTTCACCATAAATGCCTGATGGGAAGACGACATAAGTTCCGATTTGGCTGTCTTTGCCTGCATTGAGGACGCTGTGAATGGTTAGCGCCCCGTTGCTAAGTCACTCTGTCAGCATGCTCACACAGTGTCTGGGCCACCATTGAGCATCTCTGGATTGATGATTTTCATGTCTTCGGGGTCATCGTCCTTTGCATGATTTAGCCTGTCTGTTCACACCTCACTTTGTCACTGTTAAAACTTACGCTCCAGACTTTTGCGTCGGCATGAAAAGCCCCATCAGTCCATCTCTTGTCCACAAAGTTTCCTGTCCCGCTCATATGGATGAGCGACCTCTTCCTGCCGTTTGGTTGCTGCTTCAATCCCTCAACGATGGCTTCACACAGAGGCACATCCCACGACGAGCCAACGTTTATGACAATATCGTGGGTCTTCGCCAGCGCCACGATTTTGTCTGTCTCGTCAAATGTGCCATGCACGACTTTGTCTACCTTGGCTGTCTCGTATAGGTATACATCCAAGTTCTTGTTGCGAAGGAAGACGGTAATGGGCAGGTCCGGATAGTGGTCGCGCAGTGCGAGCACAAGGTGAGCTGAAGATTAAGTCAGTCACTGATGTTGCATGGCCTGGCATAGACAACTCACAGCCGACAAGGCCACTGGCTCCAAAAAGTAAGATGGAAGGCATTTGAATAGTGGGAAATAATATCACAGACTGTCATGTGTGTTGGCCAAGTACTAGAATTGCAGACTTTGAAAAAACTTGGTCAAGTGCGCAATTACCTTGCATCAGGAAGAAGAAGTGACCATCTTATATCGCTAGCTGATCATATGGTCCGTAAACCTGCTGCAGATGCTGAGGAGTGCAATGTCTGCGGACCTCAGCTTCGCTCCGCAAAGGTCAGAGTCTCATAAGCAACTGTGCAACAGTCCAATCTGTACTGGAACCCTCAACCGCCTGTTCCTTGTAACAACCACAACTGAAGCACATACGCGACCTGCTCTCTATCGAAATCACGCACAGCATGCATGGCCTCGCATTGACCCCTAGCTGTAATTGGTAATTTCCAATCTTCCAGCTGGGTCAGCACAGCGTTATGAGAAGGCATGATTCTTTTGGGCATTGCACATGATTGGCTTTCTCCAGAATTACCATATCCGGCGAATGCTTCTTGACGTATATAGCAATACACCGCAAACTACTTTTCCCGGCCATGTCTTCTGAAAGACTTCAATTCACAGACTACGCTCCTTGTAGGTCCAGTGCTTCACCTGCCACACAACCATCGTAATCCCCCCTCGCTCCATGTTCAGTTCACCGTACAGATCAACTTGCCCATAGTCTGGTTCGACTCGAGCAGTTTATGCGCCTCCTGGATGTCCTCCATGTCAAACACCTTCTCGATAATGACCTTGAACTCTCCACTGATGAACTTGGGCACCGCATGCTCCTCCAACATATCCCTCAGCCGCTGCTGGTACTTTTCATCACGACTGCGCAAGGTTGTCCCCTCGAATCGAACCCTCTTACGCAGGAAGCGACTGATGTCAACGTCACCTTTGACCACGGCGCCGCCCAGCGTGCCAAGGTTGACGATATGTCCGTCTTTCGCCGCCGCATCGAGATTCTGATTGAAATAGCTGGCGCCGACAAAGTCCACGATCAAATCCACGCCCTTGCCGTCCGTGTACTTGAGCAGCGCCTCGGACCAGTCACCCTCCTTGTAGCTGAACCCTTCGGTCGCGCCGAGTTTCTTGACAAAATCGATTTTCTCCCGCGTACTGGCCGTCACATAGACTGCTGACGCTTTATCCGCTTTCGCGAGCTGAATGCCAGCGATGCTCACGCTACTGGCGCCGGCGTGCCAGAGCACGCTCATACCGGGCTTGAACTCGCCGACAAGATATAATGCTTGAGTTGCCGTGATCCACGTCTCAGGAATGCCCGCGGCCTCCTCCCAGCTGAGTTCTTTGGGCTTGTGCACGAGCATGTGCGTGCTGACAGCGATGTACTCGGCGTAAGCGCCCCCATAGGCCAGACCAAACACTTCGTCGCCAACCTTGAAGCCGCGTTCGGGTTCAGACCCAAACGATTCAACGGTGCCTGAGAACTCGACGCCCATGATCGGCCCGGCCTGTGGAGGAAGAGGGTACTTGCCCTCACGTTGCAAGAGGTCCATGCGGTTGAGGCCAAATGCCTTGATCTTAACCAGCGCCTGGCTTCCCTTTGGCTCGGGCTTGGGGTATTTCGAGTCAATGAACAGCGCATCGATACCGCCTTTGCCGCCCTTGATGTCGATTGCTCGCATGGTTGCCATAACTGGTGTTGTTGCCTTGAAGAGTGTCTGCCTTGATGTCGAAAAGGTACGTCCTCTTGTCAACGATTGCGATTGATATACTGGTGAGAGTTTGTGTGCTAGTCGTGGAGAATAGCCGGGATCTACCCGAAGGCTGTGCGTGATTTCTAATGTCCTTCTGACAGGCCTTGATATCGCGAGATCTCGGAAAGAGGTCCTTGTCAGCTTCAGGGTTCCGGTGGGAAAAGCTTCTTTCAAGGCGTTTGTCGAGGAGCAAAGAGCCATGCAAAAAGCTTGAATGAACTTAACGGTAAATCGTTTAGTGAAAAATTATTCATGAATTCAAGTCTCGAGCCCGGAACATCGATTGCGCGAAGCTTGGTTCGTGGTACGGAGTATTCGGCACATTAGTAATGACGCAAGAACACAACTATCATGCCCTCATGCAGCGTCACCCCTATGCTCCCATAACCAGCAACAACTTAGTTATTCATACAACAGATTGACTAAGCATTCTGCAATCCACAACCCACAACCATACCAGCGTAGTTGTGTTGATGCCTCTCAGGTTTCGCCTGCGCCTTCAACGTATTGTAACTGTAACGCCTTCCCCCTAGTCGATATTGTATTGCTTGATCAAGTCAATCAATTTCTGTGATTCCAGCACATAGTTCAAAGGCGATGCCGAATTGACCTGGTATCGAACGCTAGCACAAAAGTCAGTCTATGATCACTCATGACCAATGGAAGCATGCTTACCGTTGCTGCTCCTGGAAATTGTCGAGTTTGGCCTTACACTTCCAGTTCCAGATCTTGCAGTTTGCTTCCGAGAACGTTTCTGTCAAGGCTTTTTCGTCCACCTCCTTCAGTTCCATCAATTCGTCAGCCGACTTGCCCATGATCATCCTTCCAGTCTCGTCGAAACAGCTGACCCACAACTGACCGGTATGATCACTAATGTTGACAGACATGATATACCGGTAGTCTGGTTTCGGGTGAGTCTTGTCGCATCGTTCGCATCGCCACTGACCAGGGTCGATCTCAACCACCTTCTTGTTACATCCTTCTGACAAGCATGCAGGGTAGCAGAAGTTGTCCTGTTTGATGTATTGTATCGATGCCTTGACAGAGAAGAAATCCGGGTTCTCGGACATTCCTAGCTGCTCTTCCTTGATTTCTGCAATGGTCTTGAAGGGGTCTTTCCGAGATCCGGCACCATTGACTGTCCCGGTCACATTGGCATGCGTGGCAAAGTTACCTGATCGACCTTGCTCGTCATACCAGCCTTTCAGTTTGTGTGCCTCAGGCATGTCGGGGTTGGGAGTGACGGAACCAGAACTAAGCAAGCTCAGACTTCGTCCACCAAAATCTGAGACCTTGACTCCTTTGAAGGCCACGACAGACTCTGGTGAAATGTCGAATGATGCAGCGACCTTACCCCAGACCGTTAATCGTACAGAATAGCCTGTATCATCCACAAGGGTGAGTTCTCGCTTGTCGTATGGTTTGCTTGTTGTTTTTGAGGTTATCTGCGATGTCTCACCAATGTCCTTCAAGACACCGATGACATCGACCGTTGAGTCCTTGTCCACAGCTTGCAGGTCCGAGATGCTGGTAAAGCTGTACCGAACTTGAGGAACGCCATCTTGCTCTTCAGCCTTTTCCACTGTGCTGTCTTTTTCGAAATGTAATTCGTAGTCATTTGGCAGGTTTGAGAACTGCTTCTTCGCGAATGTTACCCGGCAAGGACTCGAGATGTAATACACATTTCCCTCTTGGAACAAATCGTACAACTGGTCGCATTGATCGTTGAAACCGGTGGCTCGAATCTCACCGCTCTCGTCCAGGAGGTTGACGCTGAACAGCTTTCCCTCGCCGTTACGGTTGTGCCACGTCTTGATGTCTGACTTGCTTGTGCAACGAGCCTTGATCGTCCACTTGTTGGAATATGGGGAGATGGCTTCGATTGGATAGATGTTGGCATGAGCACCAGAGGACGAGGACGGCTTGGTATGGCTCGGCATGGGACGACTCTGTTTTTGAGGTTCTTGTTTGCCACCGTAGAAGCCATTGCTCGAGATGGCGGTTGGGAATGGCTTCTCTTCATCTTCTTGCTTCAACTCTAAGGGCTTAGGATCACCGAGTTTTTCGTGTTCGCCGAACTCTTCTAGGACTTTGATGTCGGTGACTATGAGGATCCTAATATCCATTATCAGTAGCCAATCTCGCGAGTCAGATCCCGTCACTTACCGCTTTGCCTTGACTTTGTTTGCAGAATAACTGAGGAGTTGAACAAGGACTCCCTTGCGCAGGATCTTCTCTTCGACCAGGTAGTTCTGGGCCACCGCCAACATAGTCTGGATATAGTTTTTCGTATCGCTGAAGATGACTCTGTGACGTTCTGGTCCTCCTGGTTGGGCGGCGATCGGCTTGATCTGGACGCATTGCATGACGGGTTGCTGAACACGTCCAGGTTTGTCTTCGAAAATGTCCATCAACGAGCCGGCATCAATGCGCTGCAGCGCAGCAGCAGGGTTAGAAGCCATGATCACCGAAAGTCTTGATTGTTGTGTGAACTGGCTTGGGTGTTGGTGGATGTTTTCGCTGAGTTGAATCTGTGGCAATGAGTTGCGCGCTGCCTACTTCACCCCGCCCGACAAAACGCGTCCAACTTTATTTTGACACGCGTAAATTGGTTGCGCTGCTTTAGATATCACGTTTCACCTCTGCACGCTGGGCATGGATGCTACCACCGTGGTACAAACAAGGTCACTCGGTGATTAGTCACATTAAACTATTCACAGGCACCAGTGCAATGAGTTCCTTGGCCGGCTCCAGGTGAGTAAGACTTCCAGATACACAAGTTCGATGCCCGAGTAAGACAAAGCGGCGTGACATGTCCCTGAAAGTAGACGTACCCAAACCAAACCTCACTCTTCCCAGCCTTCTAAGTTGTGATTATAGACTGTACATTTATCGTCTTCTGGTGACAATTTGATGCGCCTGCTACTCTACTCTTTCATAGTCCTACGCAAATCTCATACCTTGCAAAAGATAAAAGATGTCGGAACCTGACATAGCAACCAAGGCCCCAGAGTCCGATGCATTCGAGCCTTCGGCGATCTCAGATCAGGACTCCAGGGCTCAGACCGGTGCGAGCATGGGCGAACACTGTGTCACAGACAGACCAAACCCAGAGGGTCGCCAACCATCTGGTGAAATGTCCAAGTTCGGGGATGTCGACATCTACATCTCCAAGCCAGCAGACTACCCCAATGCTCCAGCAAAGCTCCTCCTCCTCCTTACTGCCGGAACAGGTGTGCATTCGATCAACAACCAAGTCCAGGCCGACATATTTGCGGAGCAAGGTTTCGTCGTGATTATGCCTGACCAGTTCAACGGCGATCCTGCACCAAATTCCAAGCCTGTCCCCACCCAAGAGGAGAACCCAGGCATTCTGGAACAGTTCAAGTTGAAAGCCGCAGAGACCGCCAAGTCCTTCATGGTTGACATGTGGCTGGCCAGGCAGACGCCCGAGAAGGTCATCCCAATTCTACTCAAAGTGATTGAGACGGCCAAGGATGAGTATGCTGACGCTGTGGCACATGGCGATGGTATCTACTGTGCCGGCTACTGCTTTGGCGGCAAGTACACCGTTTTGCTTGCAGGAGAGTATCCTGCTTTCGAAGGGCAAGCGGCCAAGGATGAAGAGGCTGGACCAGTCAAGAAGGGACCACTCATAAAAGCCGGTGCTCTCGCCCATGCAACGCTAGTGACTCGTGAAGACTTGAAAGCTGTCAAAGCACCGCTAACATTTGCGTGTGTCGGTAAGTCGCTACTTGTGCCTTATGGCCTAAATCTGTACTGACATCCAATAGAACACGATCCTTTGTTTCCTGCTGAGATTCTAGAGGAGGGCAAGAAGTTGTTCGCTTCCAGCAATATTGAGCATGAGATCAAGATTTACTCTGATGTCCCGCATGGTTTTGCTGTTTACGGCGACTATGATTCGGCATCTATCCGCGAGGCACAAGAGGAGGCTTTTCAGCAGATGCTCAAGTGGCTCCAGTCGCACTGAACCTGGAGTAGTCCTCCGAGCACGATTTCTCTAGAAGTACTCACGGCACATTTTGTGGCATGATAGCAGGATAGGCATTAACGACAAAACTCAAATGATACCCAAACACAACCCGAGATATGATGATCAACAATAACAAAGAATGTCGGGTGGAGAATACAGATAGTATTGGTTTGGGAAAGAGGCTCGCCTGGTAGAGCCTTCTACTCGGAACAGATCAACCGTGGTTCTATGGCAGCAGAACGCAGGGGGCCATTGTCGCTAATTGCACCAACAAAGCAACGTAATTGATTCTTCCACCGTCTGCAATATTCCAGCGCTCTGCGCTTTTTATGCTTGACCAGGTATCATCACTCATTTCTGCATCATCAACTGTACGAACTCATTGTCTGGGAAGTAATGTTAGTCTATGCTGTTTCCGTACGCATATTCACGAGTCTAGAAAGAAGGAACACTCACAATCAATGCGACCATCGCCATCCTGATCGGCCTCCCGGATCATTTCATCCACTTCATCGTCTGTGAGCTTTTCACCGATTGAGGTCATAACATGACGCAGTTCAGCGGCCGAAATGAAGCCGTTGTTGTCGCGGTCGAAGACTTTGAAAGCTTCTCGGATTTCCTCCTCAGAGTCGGTATCCTTCATCTTGCGAGCCATCATAGTGAGAAACTCTGCCAACTTGTGAGCCTATGCACAGCAAAATGCCCGCTGTCCATCTCGTACCAGGAAAATCAATTGTGCCATTGTTGTCCGCATCGACCTCGTTGATCATATCTTGTAGTTCCGACTCGGAAGGGTTCTGACCCAGCGACCTCATCACTGTACCCAACTCCTTCGTGGTGATTTGTCCTGCAGTCATGTGTCAATCGTCGTGTACCCTCGCAATCACTAGCTGACAGGCTCCCACGAAGCGCAACATACCATCGCCATCCTTGTCCTACACAAGTCGACATGTCAGCATTGAGACTCGAGGCGCATAGGGGCAGGGTACATACGAAGAGGGAAAACGCCTCCTTGAATTCGGAGACTTGTTCTTCGGTGAGAGAATCAGCCTGTAAACAAAGAAGATTAGCTGATGCACACGCAACGTAGGTTCCACATTCGCAGCCGCGTACTGAGCAAGGTCATGCGTACCATGTTTTTGAGTGAGGTGGTAGGGGGTTTATGTGTTGTGTGACGGCCCTTCAAAACAGTTACTGAGCGAGAGAGTCAAGAGGGTAAGTAGTAAGGTAGATTATAGTAGCTGAAGGCAGCGTAAGTTGAAATGCAGGTTGACAGTGGTTCTGCAACTTGGCCCCCCTTAGTTGACACGACTGACGACTGACGAAGTGGGATTGACTTCCCCGGATCATTAATTCGCCGGACCGCCGGCAACCATGGCCAGATCCGTGGTGCCTGTCGCGCGTCGAATGCTTGACAACGCCGATTCCATACTTTCTGTTTCCAGGCGCATACGGTGCACAGCATTGGCGCAAATTCAAACAGAGGCTGCGAGTTCTCAGCATGACAGTTCTTGCCTCTCGCACATCAATAGCGACCGATTCATGTATGTGAACTCGCCAACAACTACTACAGGGTCTGAAAGATGTGGAGAGACCGGACGAATCTGTGAATATCACCTTTCTACATGCTGGACCAAGTACTGATCATATGACAAGGTACATCTCATACCGACAGTCGTACTCTCATCATCCCGCGAAAAAGACAAAATACACAGGCTCCAATGGCTTCGCCGACCAGGGTTCGGAGGAAACCAGGGGTCTCATGTCCGCAGGGGCATATGACAATGAAGGAGATGCCGTGATTGAGATGGATCTGCTGCCGCCACGCTGGATGGATATACAAGAGGAGGTCAACGACGTGCTCAAGACCATCACCCTGAAAGCGGCCAAGCTGGAAAAGCTCCATTCCAAGCATGTCCTGCCCGGCTTCGACGACGAGGCAGTCAAACAACAAGAAGAACGAGAGATCGAGCGTTTGACGACAGAAATCACACGGAGCTTTCAAGAATGCCAGAAAGCAATCAAGCGTATTGAAATCATGGTACGAGACGCAAGGCAGGCGGGGACGTTGCAGAAGGGCGACGAGGTCATGGCACAGAACATCCAAGTGGCCCTGGCCTCTCGAGTTCAGGAAGTCAGCGCGACGTTCAGGAAGAAACAGAGCAACTATCTCAACAGTAAGACTTACACTCCTTTCAACAGAACAAATGCTGACATTAGCAGAACTTCGAGCCCTCGGCGGTTTTGAATCGCCGTTAGGTCGATCTTCGACTCCGGTACAGAACCCCTACTCAGATCCGGCTCTCATGGAATCCGACGCCGACAAGTCCTTCAGTCAGTCGACGCTACAACAGACCGCGCAGAAGCGCTTCAGGAGCAACGACACCGCGATAGCCCAGCGAGAACAAGAAATCAACGACATCGCCAAAGGTATCATCGAGTTGGCAGACATATTTCGTGACCTGCAAGGCATGGTCATCGACCAAGGCACAATGCTGGACCGGATAGACTACAACGTCGAACGGATGACAACGGACGTCAAGGGTGCCGAAAAGGAGCTCATCGTGGCCACGAATTACCAGCGGCGTAACACGAAGAGGAAGATCCTGCTCCTTCTTCTACTTTTGGTGATTGGAATGTTCGTTCTGCTTCTCATCAAGCCCAAGAAGCGATCAGTGGCTCCAGCTCCCGCGCCTTTCCCTCCAACAACGCCAGAGAATCCTCCATAATCTGATCACAATTTACCATAAGGAAACCACCTTCACCGATCACCAACCGTGACACCTTCACTCACCCTCTACCGAGACACCTCACCTAGGTGGGCGAAACTAATGCGACTCAGAGGCAGAGACTTAGACTAGGGCACATTTGCACGGGTCTCAGGCCTGAACATGGCCAGCCTTAGGTGTATTGGGACAGCGTAGCGCTATCACCTCTTCCATGCGTCTAGACAGGGTCATTGCAGCCACGTCACACGGCATGCCAGACGGCCGACAGACCCACGAGCGAGCGAGCAGTGGAGAAATGCACTCTGTCACGATTGCGGAGTGTAGGAAGCGCGCTTCAGGAAGAAGAAGGACATTTGTGCGAGTGGTGCTCCAGGATGAACCGGCGCCTGCAGTATCTGCACGTAGGTCTGTTCTTGATGAGTGTCGTCCGAGGGGACGGAGCCATGTGGCAAAATGGGGTGCTCTTATGCTCATAGCCGTGGTCACGTATACGCCCAGTTGCCACAAGATGAGTTGTGTGCTGCACTCATGGCTCAGGGAACCGAACATACATGAATATATGGAAGGTACTTCCCTCTCGTGTGTGTATTGCAAGGAGGAGAAATAGTTGAGACGGTACCACTATTGAAGACGCATATAATTGGGCATCGGCCCGGGCATCTAGACGCCTCACGGGCATGTAGACTAAAAGTTCTACAGCAATTGGTATCTAACAAATGCCAAAAAGTAACCTGCCACTATATCGCCGTTCGCAATGCACCACAAGGTTGTAACCTCAAGAAACAGCACCAGCCATGACGAGTGGTCTCACTCCCACCCTTTCCGTCTTCTTACTGCTCGCTCCAGGCACAGGTTGCTCCGACGCCGCCTTAGTATTGATCTTCAAGTCTCTCAGTCTGGCAGCAATATCAGCACTTTCGACAGCAGCGCCAAAGCCGACGACTTCGTCTTTCTGGAGGCCAGCAGAAGCAGGCAACTCGACGCATCGGGCGCCCAGTCTGCCCCTGATATCGTCAAAGAGAACCTCCATGGGCGCAATGTACGCGGTCTTGCTTCTGTCGCCCCACGCAAGCACATGTCCGCACAAGCCGCCCGAGACAGGATCGTAAACCCAGGCGCCGCTGTCACCGGGAATACCAAACCCGCCTTCGACACACCAGGATGTCGAGAAGGACTGGCGGCCATGAAGCTTGACGAGAGACATAGCTTGGGAGATGCGACCCTTCTTCAGACCCGAGGAGCGCCCGCGGCACTGAACCTGGAGACCGGAGAGTTTGGCCAGTGGCGTCACCGTTGTCAGAGGAGGTTGAGGTTGTTGTTGAGTGTTCGTGCTAGACCTCTTTACAAGACTGCCAGTCTGCTCAGGCACGGAATTCTCTATTTTCATTCTATCGTCGTGGATCCTGATTAGTGCCCAGTCGACTTCGTGTTTCATTTCGCCTCGGACCACGCGCCGGATGCCACTGCTCGCAAAGACGTACCCGAACGAATGGCTGGCGAGGTGATCGTCATCTCTGTCCTCCTCGCTGGGGAAGAAGTCCTCGTCGACATCGTCGATGGCTGGCTGGGTGACGCAGAAGTCATCGTCCGAGTATGGTGCAATGCCGATCTTGTCGCCTATAGAAGCTGCGTCATCGACGTCGTCGGAAGAAGAGGATGATGCATCGTCGCCAATGGACCCATCGTCCTCGTCCAGCTCCGGGGGAGAATCGTCTAGATACCAGAACTCGTTACCATCGGCGTCCATGATGGAGTAATCCGGTCGGATGGTGCTCGCGTCGCTCTCGCCGTCACTGCCCTCGAAATCTTCGTCGGAGATCTCAAGGTCTGACAAGCGTGCGAGGTCTTCTTCAGACTGCATGAACTGTACGTCGGCAGAAGAGTCGAATTGGCCTGGCAAGGTCCGGGTTGCTCCAGACCTTCTCGGCTGCTCTGTCTGCACGGCCTCATCTTCGTCCTCCTCGTCACTCGGCGCCTCAAGCATGTGGTGGACCGTCATTCCGAAAGGCTCACCATCCACCAGGATAGTACCCCCGAATGACACAGGGGGCAGGTGTTCGGAGTCCTTGAAAGCTCCGATGCTAGCCCCATTTGAAGGACATTTCTGGTACTTTTGTTCTCGTAACTTTCGTCGAGACCGTCCAGTTCCCTTGCTAGATCCATACCCAGACCGTTTGACACTTTTCCTGTTGCCGCTTCTCCTGACTTCACCGTTGAGAAGGACGACACCCCATCCTCTCTTGGGTTTGAAACTCTGTCTTAGAACATCACGGACTTTGTTTATCTGTGGACACTGCACACATATAGTCGTCTTCGCCTTTTCCGGAGTCGTGCCAAACATCATGAGACTTAGACTGCAGGAATCGGTGCAATCTTTCAGGGCCGTTTGTAGTATTCTGCCAAGCTTGGGCATCACTCGCGTGTTCCATTGATCTAGATCGTCCTGGGGAATATCAAGATGAGACCATTTGCGCATCTTTTCGTCGACTTGCGGGATTGCATCTTGGACTGCGTCTGCTTTGCGCTTTGAATTGGCCCGCTTCGGAAGTTCTGGTTTGGTCTCGGCTTTTGTAGGTCGGAACGCGCTCTTTGATCCTGCGTCAGGTGCTGACTCGGCTTTGTACATCTGTTCAATAAGTAGAATCTCGAAGACCTCGATGTCCTGTGGAGGCGGTGGACCTTCCTCGTCTAGTGCACAGCACTGTTGGAGGTCTTTGAGGATCTGCAAGAGGGCGGAACCTGCATCTTCATAGTTGTTCTGGTATTGCAGCGCGGTGGGAGCCTGCAGACACCTCTGGACGACACGCATATACTTGGTTCCACACCTAGAGGCCAGCTTAGGTACATAGACGCGCTGGACTCTATCCATCAAAACCTCTCGAGTATATCTTGGCTTCCACAGGCGTGAAAGAGGTGTCCAAAGTGCAATTTCCAACAGTAACAAGCCAAGACTGTAGATGTCATACGCCGGTACGACTTCAGAAGCGCGAACGTCGTGGTCCGGATGCCGGTAGATGGTTGAAGCAAAGGGTTCCTCTGCTTGTGATTGTGAAAGGAAGTCCTGGCATGACTGGAGAAGATAGGGAGATCTCATCTCCTTTGGTGCATTCGAGCTATGAATGTGATCGCCCGATCCCAAGACAAGAATGTTACTGCTGTTGATATGTTGATGGGTCTCACCATGGGCGAAGTACCCCATCATCGACAATGCTACGTTGTACGCGAGTCGAAAGCGGTCTTCGAGTGCGGGATGAGGAGAGCCTTGTCTGTCGCTCGCCGAGATCAAGGAACCTAGCGTCCGAAGTTGTTGCAGGCTTTGGGTATCATGCTCCTGTGGTAAGGCGTAAACCATTGCACACCGTGCTCCGGTAGGGTCAATGGTGAACCCGAGCAGTCGTAGATGACCACACCATGAGAGTGGCCTTTTCTCGCACAGTTTTCCACCAAGTTCATGGACTTCAAATACGTCGTCGGCACTCCCTACAACGTATAGTGGAGTATCAGCTGGTAGATAGTCCAACAAAACATGTTGTGCACCAGGGCGATAATATGCAAGCGATCTTTCTTTGACACTGGCCAAGGCTCCCGGAGGTTCATATGGCGGAGGATCAGCACGCTGGGCTGAAGATGCACTGAATTGCAGGTCGCCAAACTCGATATGAAGCGGGTGGTCGTAGACATGTGCATAGTCAAGATTGTCAGATGACTCGTGCGCGTGCTTCGCTCTTTTCGCCTGATCTTTCTCGTCACCCCTCCTTGTACCTTCAAGGGTGTACAGGAGATCGATGCACTCGGTCAGGCGATCAAGCTTGGCCCGGCGACTCTTGATCTCCTGACTAGTCCATTCACTTCGTTGCGTGACTGGACTGGACCCAGGATCTTTCAAGGATTTGACCGAGATATTCTTTTCATAACTGTCAGATCGTTCCAATCGTCCAAGCTGGAGTTCGTCATAGAGGCCTCTAATCTCGGACATGACACTGTCGACAACCTCGCCTAGTTCAGCTTGATCGATCATCTTATCGATTTTGACGTCTCCATGTTTGGACTGTGGAGAGCCCATGTCCCGCTCGGCCCAATGCAAGCCCCAGGCATACAATCTGTCTTGCTGAAGCTGGAAATCACGCCTCAAATCGCCGAATTCTGGCGAGTCGGCGACATTCGCAGCGGCTGGTGCAGCTTTGGCCCTCTCGAGAGACTTTTTGGTATCGGAATATAATCTCGAAAGCCGCTCAGTATTGGCGCTGAATTGGTGGAACATATTGAGCGTCGGCGCTGTTGTTGTTATTTGTTCACCGTGTTTCCTTCATATCTGCTCTGAGCCGTGGTAGAAGATGTATGGACCCAGACTGGAAGACTCTGTGCACGGCTCCTGTTTTACTTGATTGTTTTATGAATTGGGGCCGGAAGGAGGGCGGGGTGAGCGAAGGGCCGCGTATATCGAAGTCCGAGAAATCCTGGTGCCTGGTTCTATTCGAGGCAACGCCACAGCCACGCCCGGACTCTGGAACGAGGAAGCCTAGAGCCCACCAACAAGTTTACCTGTGACTGGCTCCAGCCACAGTTCTTTGCTCCTCAACCATCAAAGAAATACTGCTGCCTTGGGTTGAGTTCGGAACCACCAATTGACGTGTCATGAAGGCCCCAAAGGTGTGAACCTACCTGCTGGATACCTAGCAGGCAAGACTCCAGCACCTGCATATGTCAGATCACTTTGTTTACTGGCGTGATTGCATCTTACCTCAAGGTACATAGCAGGATTATTTTTCACGTAGCCACCGCCCCGATTGTGGCCTAGGAAAAAGGCAGGCATTACATCAAGAAACGAAGAGCCTACAAGAATTATAGAGTACGATGTTTGGTTGAGATGCAGATTCATTCAATTCTGTCTTCTGCTGTCACAGCTGACCATCTGTCTTGATGGTAGGTTCTATCAAAGGAGTACAATTCCATCATGAATGTTGCATCTCGTCTGAGCGATAAGACAAACGTCCCCAGTCAGCCCGTTTTGAATCAATCGAACTTGACTGCTTCGAATAGAGGACTCCAAGCGCCATTCTCAGACCGTAAGCTCCATAAAACCATAGCATGTTGTGATGTCACATTTCGAGGTGTAAGATACGTGTTAACGAGTCTAGCCACCGAAACCGTAGAGGGTTCTGCCTTGTCGCTTGAGAGCATAGACGACATCTAAGTCACTGTTAGTTTATGCGTCACATAATCTGCGCAGTTGGGAACTTACCAAGAGATGTGACGGTCTTTCTCTTTGCGTGCTCGGTGTAGGTGACAGCGTCACGAATGACGGATTCGAGGAAGGACTTGAGGACACCGCGGGTCTCTTCGTAAATCATGGCTGAGATACGCTTGACACCACCACGACGAGCGAGACGTCGGATGGCAGGCTTGGTGATACCCTGGATGTTGTCGCGAAGAATCTTTCGGTGACGCTTAGCGCCTCCCTTTCCGAGACCCTTTCCGCCTTTGCCACCTGTGAAGAATGCAAGTCAGTATGTTTTTGTGCGAAGATGAGGGGTGAGATATTGTTGTTGTGGTGTTGTTTGATGGAGGTGGCGTGCAATTTCTGACACGCGCAGCTGGGGCGACGACGAGGTACCGCAACCACTCATCACCAAGATAATTGGAAGTAAAACAGGTAGGAATAATACGTACGTCCAGTCATGTTTACTAAAGTGTTTGAGAGATGTAAAGTTGTAAGAAGGATGAATTGTTGATGGTTGAAGTTGACAGTTGATGATGAACGGCGTGAGTGGGGAGAGAGCAAGAAAGAGGAAAAGGAGAACTACAGAAGACGGAAGGCGAGAGGGTGAATATAACAAGAGGATAATTGGTGAGACTGATAGGTAGTTAATGGGGCTTGGCGGCATTCATGATCTGAGCACGGCAGAGGGAGGAAACCCAGGCAGAAAATAAGTCCGGATCAACTGCTTGAAAGCAACTCACAATCAGAGGTCCGAATTTCGCGTCTGTGATTGGCAGTGAGATGAGTGATATTGCTAGCGCAATATTTGAGTCACGTGCTGAGCACAGTAGATCGCACTATTTGGGGATCAGCTTGGGAGGGCCGTGCTGCTAACCGTGAACGGTCTAGACAGTTACGAGACATCATTCACCCAAACATCCCCAACCTTGTTGCATTCTTGAAAGCAGAAGCGAAAAAGAAACTTAGTTGAGCGTCGTTTGCCGTAGAGCTGCAAGAACAGACCTTGGGCCGGTGCTGGCTAGATCAGCAAAGGTCATTTGCATGTTTATGAGCTACTTTGAGTCTGCTCCAACAAACCTGCATTAAACGTACCTGAGTACTCGACTAAAGAAGACTACATGTGCCAGTGATGAATCTCTACGCTTACTGGTTTGTCGGCTCCAAGCCTGAACACATTACTTGGGGCAGACCAATCTCACGCTCGGAAGCTGCGGTCATGTAGGCAATTCCTGTTTGTGCAGTGAAATTCCGGCTCATTGAACAGATGTATGAGGATGAAAAGGCCTGAGAAACTCGCCGTCATTGTTTGTACATACCAGAAGAGTCATGTCTGCACCACCGCCTAAAACCCGGTATACCGCTGCTTGGGCTTGTAGTACTTGGTGTATCCGACGTAGCCACCACCAACAAGGCCACCAAATAACAGCACCTTGAAGAAAAACCATCCCCATCCGCCCTTCTTCTTGTCCGGTCTCCCTCGTCCGCTGGCTCTAGCAGCGGCGGCTTGAGCCCTGCCAGTGTTCGCGGCCACAGGGTTGTACAGGTTCCTCGTCTCGACGCTGACGATATCAAAATTGTCCGATAATTCGCCCGTATGTGCGCTGAAACCCAGGTACGCCGTATTCGGCATTTTCAAGGGTAACTCTGGAGTCGATTCCAAGCTGAAACAATCGATCCATGCGTCTGTCGACTTGTACTGTAATTGCAAGCTGAGCGACTTGTCTTGGAAATAAGTCAACTTCGCTTTCGTAGGAACCGAGGCACTACGCAGTCCTCGGGCCTATTCCGCAATTAGTCACACTGAACCGTCGCTATTCTTGCAGTATTGTCTCTCACCGAGCATCCGCCAATCTCATTCGCTTTCCCGTCATTGTCGGCATCGTACGTGGTCTTGCCATCGCCCAACATGCCCATCACATACGGAAACACCACACCAGGCCGGTTGTTTTTGTACGTGTCGAAGAAGATTCCCAGGCCCTCGAAGTTGTCGGCATGCCCGAACACAGATCCAGGCTGAGCCCGGTCTTTCGTAATCCACATCGCGAAGCCGTCGCCATGTAGATGTCCCTTTCCATGTATTGAGAATTCAAATTCGACCTCCCAATTCGTCGCCGTGAGCGGTATTCTCGAGAACAGCCAGCCAGACTGTGAGGGTGTATCAGACGCCAATCGAACGTACTGGTCGGTCCGTACGAGGGTGTCGCCACCAAAGTCGAACCACCGACTTGACATGTCAGAGTCGAGGTATGGAGGTGCTAAACTGTGTGTCCGCAGCTGCGCAAACGAGGTTCAGCCTGAGCGCTCGCACTACATTGTTGAGCAGACTCACCGGAATACTTTTCATTGACTGATCCGCCTCGACGGCGGCTCGCGTGCTGGCTGCACAAGCAGCCAGCAGCCATAGTGACGACCAGGCGCTGGACAGCCACATCTTTCAGGAGGCCCGACTTCAGGCGTAAAAGCGCGCAGCGGCGACCCTCGGAATGTACAATTCACTCACAAGAAGCACAAAAGAATCAGATGCAGGTAATGACACACGCTTGACAGGAAGGAAATGCATGAATGCAAGCAGGAGTACTTTTGGTCAAGGTAAAACAACGTGTCCAGTTACCTTTTGTTGCGGTGCGGAGAACGCAAGGCTAACGCCTGGCCGCATCTCTGACGCAGACGAAAACTTTTAGAGAGTCGACCTTCTTGCACTTTCTGAACACCATCGACCAGCATAACAGACATCCTCATCACAATTTGCACGACAATTCATCTTTGACCACGCGCCTCTGTACAAATATAAAGCCAGCCACAATCCAATCACCCCTCGTCAAACCACCACAATCCCGTCAACGCCCGCATCCAATTCATAAACCCAGCACACTACCCTCACAATGTCTTTCGGCGGCCTCTTCGGCGGCGGATCTAGCTCCAGCTCCAGCTCCTCATCATCCTCATCCGCACCGTCCACACCCTTCCCAGCACCGACCAGCAGCTCCGCCACCCTCCAACGCATCCAGAACGCCATCGCACAACAAGCAGCCGTCGCCAATGCGCGGTACCTCATCTCCAAAGTCAACGAGAACTGCTTCGCTCACTGTATAGCCACGCCCGGATCGAGTCTTTCCTCCGGGGAGCACAAGTGCCTGACGGCGTGTATGGAGAAGTACTTTGACTCCTGGAACGTGGTGAACAGGACGTACGTGACCCGCGTGCAGAAGGAGGGCGCATTGATGCACGCTTCGCCTTCGCAGGGGAAGGAGTTGTTCTAGAGAGTCTTACCACACCCTCGAGGGTCCGACCGCTGTGGCGGATCGTTGGCTGGCCGCTGGTTGAGAATAACTGGGCCCTAAGAAAAGGCAGTCTGTCAGAGCACATCGTTCTGCAGAGTTGTGGCACAAAATTTCAATGCAGCAAAGCTACAGAATACGCATGGTTCAGAACCGTGCTAATGTCAGCGCAAACTGCTGCGTCTACTTTGACAGATGAAAGCCGTTTCGGGTCTTGCTGGCGACAATGCCCTCTACTCAATGTGAGCGTTGGACACGCTCTAATCTAAGTGCGGCATGTTTGAGCGCTGATCTATCAAGCATATGAAGTCTCATACCTGGAGACGTTGCCTTCTCCTCTTGGGTGAAGTGGGCAAGTCTGCTGTGCTAGTATTGGTTGGCATGGAAATCTCTGCTCCTCGCTTGGACCATGGAGCCGAGACGGGAAGTGTATGATATCAAAACGTCGAGCTTGACCTGTATTATATAATTGGAACAAAGATCTTTCCAGCTCGTATCTGCCATGGTTCGTTGCCCCCGAACTGTATCCTAGACCCATGTGCTCTGCTGGGCGATGTTGCTCAAAACTCCGGCATAGAAGCTCCATGCATTTCTGTCTAACTCTAGCAAAAGTCAAGTACTAGAGTCAAAAAGAAAGAAGGAGACTTTTCAACAAGTACGTAATGTCAAAGTCGATTAGGGACAGCCCATCACGCTCAAATAACTGTGAGTCTGTATCTGATTGTAATCACCACTCGAACGACAGACTGCTTCCCTTTCCAACTCTCTTCTCGTCGTTTCATCATGAACTCTGGACACTGCTCGAGCCATTATAAGCCGCCCACGTGATAAGCATAGTTCTGGCGAACAAAGACATCAGGCTCCAACCTCCCACTCACTTGCGGCTACTGTAAACACTCAACATACACCCTTCGACCAATCCTGGAGTGCTTATCCAATGACTCCATCACGGCCTCAAGAAGGAGCGGGCCAAAAGGGTTCAATCTCACGTCTCAAATATGCTCTGTGCGTCGTGTGTCTGCTCGTCACTACAGCCTCGGCCACTGCGGCTGGCGTAGGCGTCTGCTTGGATGTCATTTGCATCTGAGGCAACTAGAAATCTGTGAAGAAGTGTCCGAATCTGGAATCAACGTCAGCTTGCAATCGTGGGATAACAGGACCAGTAACAACGTACGGGTCATCTGCTTTCTTTCCATATTCTTCGGTTTCCTCGGGATACTTGTCGAATTGACTGGCATCACCGGCTCCACCCTTGACCGGAGGCACATATGGTGCGTCAATGTCCTTCTTGACCAGCCTCTCCCAAGTTACCTCAGCGAACCAGGGGTGGTTCTTGATCTCGGCTGGACCACCGTGCAAGTTTCCCAACCGCTTTGTCAGATCAGACGTGATAAGTTGCACGAGCAGATCTTGTGCATCGTGGTGAATGTAAGGCGGATATTTGACCCGTCCCTTCAAGATGTTTTCGTAGATCTTCACAGGAGAGCCTCCATCCCAAAAGGGAGTGAACCCACACAGCATTTCAAAGATGAGGATCCCTAGAGACCACCTAGAACGTATCAATATTGGAATGGAATTTTTGGATGACCTCAACTTACCAGTCGACTGACTTGTTGTATCCCTTGGACGCTACGACCTCGGGCGCAAGGTAGTCAGGAGTACCACACAGTGTCCATGTAATATCGGGAACATCTTTGGCGAACCCGAAATCTGTGATCTTGATGTGCCCGTGTCGATCCAGTAACAAATTCTCTGGCTTCAGGTCACGATAAATGATGTTCTGTCCATGTAGATATTCGAGAGCCAGTGTCACTTCTGCAGCATAGAACTTGGCTACAGGGTTGGGAAAGCGCTAGGACATAGTCAGCTTCAGTGCAGTGGCCGAGTAGCTGTGGAGGCCATACCTGTGATTTTCGGAGCAAGCTGAAGAGCTCACCACCTTCGATAAAGTCCATTACCATGTATAGGGCTTTTGAGTCTTGGAATGTGCCCCAAAGAGTGATGAGAAATGGGTGTTTGACCCGGGACAGCATCTTTCTCTCATCATTTGTATGCTCAATCTGCTTCATCTTGACGACCTGAGCTTTTTTCAAGACTTTGACAGCGTAGAAGCGCTGATTGTGTTTCGACTGGACCAAGTGTACTCGTCCAAAAGACCCTGTTCCCAACGTCCTTTGGATTTGGAAGTCCGTCAAGGTATATTTCCCTTTAGTTTGTCTCAAGGAACCAGGGCCACCGACGTTGGCCATGTTGATGGGATCGCCGTTACTCTCGTTGGACCTGGTGGCCGGATCGGGAGAGGAGGTCACAGTGGTTGCGGTGGTTGCACTCGATTGAGTTGGTGCATTTGTGCCAGGCTGTGAGGGAATCGTGGAGGAGGAGGTATCGGTCTTCTGTGAAGATTTGTACTGGATAGGCTGGTTACTACCGGCGCTGTTGGCCGGTCTATCTTCTGAAGACTCTTTAGTCTTCTTTTTCTTAAGAAGACCTCCGAAGGTTGGCATCTGGCCGGTGGTGGGAAGCGCACGTTCCCGGAGAATGGAATGCTAAGAATGGCGTGTTTGACAAAGAAATTCGTGCACCCCTTCGATATGCTCGCCGGAGCCGGGGGTGAATTTGACGAGGGAAGGAGGGGCTTGCACACTTGGACTTGATCAGGCCAGGATCGATCGAGTGTTCGCTTGGTAGGCTAGGAAGCTGCAATGGGCAATGCAGCACGATAAGCTGTCAATCGACGAGTGGAGTTAACAATGCAGCAGTTAATCGAACTGGTCGATCATGTACCACATGCAAACACTTTGAACACCTCGAGCGTGCAATTCGAAGCTGGCAAATGTACCACAGAGAAGAAGGTGAACAAGGTAGGTGAGATTGAGAGCTTGACAGAGTAGATCTGTCAGTGAAGAGCTGTGACCGAGTGAAGACGATAGATGGCGTGGTGGTTGAGAGAGGGAACGGGCGCTTGATTGACAATGATCGGCGACCACAGTGACCACGGACCAGTTCAATTGAACAGGAGCCGTAGACGAAAGTTACGACCAGCACGAACCAGGTATAACACGCAGCGAATAAACGGGATTCACCTCGATCTCAACAGCACCATATTATCAGTGCTTTTCTGGCTGCTCACGGTAACACTCGACCCAAGAAGCGGGGGAAGCTCTCTCGTTGTCCACTCTGTTCAAGGTGGGATGCTTGTTGCTGGCTGAACCCACTCATACCTAGTAGGAGCTGCTTCAGCCACGTACGTAACAAAACGTGTCAGGGAGCATTTGATCGTAGATGTGACCCCTCCATTAAATCCATTTGTGCAACGGGCCGAGTATATAGCATCGGCTATCTTCGGGGTGATAAGTAGGGGTATATCGCTATGTATATTCACACAACAAACGGGCTTGCTTGTCTCTCATTCGTTCATTCTGTTCAAAAGGACTGAACTTAAGCTCGTGCCATCTTCATCTCCCGGGTTATCTCGTCCACTATTTCCTGGGCCTCACCAGCTGATCGCGCCTCAAGATCATATCGCTTCGTTTCCGTGGGCCTTCGACATGTAATCCGAACCAGCTTTGAGTGCTTGGTGCTGACTTTGCATCGAAGCACGTCACTGAATTGTATCGTCGTCGTTTTGGCGTTCGAGGTCGTGTCTGCGGGCATCATATGAAGCAGGTCTCCATCGAACACGAGCACCTTCTGGCTGCCTTGCGCAAAGGGTGCCAATTGTTTTCTTGTGACATAGTATTTCTTGAAGTTGCTAGCACTCTGTGACAGTTCCTGCTTCTGAAAAGGGTACTGCAGCTGGCCTTTTTTGCTTTTCGTTGGGCCTTGAATATCAAGCAGAAGTGGCGCATTGGGTGATGAGCTGCCTGGAGAGCCCGTCAATGTCGGCACTCCAGCTCCAAATCGTCTTCGCACAAGATCCAAATCAGACCGAGCTCCAAGAGCTTCGACCGTCCGATCCAATGGAGCGACAGTGTTTGTTCCTGCCACTTTCAGTACGAACTGTGCCTTTTCGAAACCCCATCGTTTGCAGACGTGGTCGAGTATCTCTGCAATGTAGCTGTCTGTCGAGACCTCCATAGTCATGGTTTGTGCAGACACATCGACATCAAAGTACTTTATCCTAATCGTCTTTGTCGTCCCCATGCGTGGTGTGGCTTGTGGCCCAACCGGGGCAGGTTGATCTGCTGGTGTGAGGGATGCATTGGCCAAAGCCGACGAAAAAGGCTGGCCTGCCAAAAGTATGCTTGTCTTGGATTGAGTGTGTTTAGGCGGAGGAGGGTGTTGCGGTTGCAATTGCGCTTTCGCGTTCGTGGGCTCTGGGGACATAGCCGATGCGACTGCCTCTTTAGTGGCCGGCGCAAACTGAGGTGTGTCTTTCTGGTTTGCTTCGGCTTGGGAAGACGATGCCTCCATCAGGGCGAACTCGTCAAATGGACGCTCCCGTGACCGACCTCTTCCACCTCGATTGTTGTTGTATGTGAAGTCTGTTATAGGACGTGTGCGAACAAGCGGCGGAAAGTCGTCGTCGACCTCACCGTCTTCAACCATGCGCAAGATCCACTTATTGACATTCAGATGTGGAGCAGTAAGGGCTGGCTCCAGCTTTTCCTCCTGGTACCTCCAAAGGCTATGTCCAATTGCCTCCGCCACAGTCACTGGGTTGCCATCCTTCGATACTCGGGCGAGTGGCATCTCGAAAGGCTCGTCAGCGTCTTGTGAGAAAGGTGCATAGATTTTTATCCAGAGTGGGTTCGGCGTGCCCTTCCCAGACAATGTGGCAAAGGCCTGGAGAGGGTTACTAGGAGCCTTCTTCTGCGCATTTAGCGCGCTCGAGAGCAGGCTTGTAGGCTGTATAAAACTGATGGGTCGAGGAGGAGGCAGTTCATGCAGGACGGGCAATGTTCTCTGCCTCCTGGGCGACTCAGGGACAGGGAGACGAGGTGCCGATCCAGAGCCAGATGTTGTCAGACTGCTCAGCATCATGGGTGGTGATGATGTGAGGTTGGGATCCTCTACAGATCTGAGTAGAGATGCAGAGTCGATGGTTTCACCCAACTCTGAAGACAAAGCTGAACCCACAGACTCGACGTCGGAGTCATCTTGCATGTCTTCCGTCGGCGCTGCATTTCCTTTGGTCCCGGTTTCATTGGACATGGGGGCAGATTTGGAGGTTTGACCTGCCTGCACCTTGCGTCGTTGGAAGTACGCAGGATCAACTTCGTTTTCAGACGACATATCACTACTTGTGGCAGTGTTAGCTCTTGCACGAGCTTTGACAGCCTCGACTGCTCCCAGTGAACCAGTTCTCTTCCTGGTGTTCATTGGTGGTTTCGGGGGCGAGGTTGTTACGATGTCAGGGGTGGCTCCTTTGACAGGGGATGAGTCTCCTCTATCGCGTGCAGGCATCTTTGCGAACCGGATCTGTTGAGCGGCACGTTGAGCACCTTCAGCCTCTTCTTCCGATTCATCTGTCAGGTCACTGCTGTCGTCTTCATCAACGTGTTCCTTTCTCCTCCGGCGTCTGGCGTTGAACGCTGGGCCGATAGTATCATTACTAATTCGACCCGTCACAAGCCCTCCTTCATCCTCCTCATCAGGGTTTGAATTCAGGAGTTGAAGATCTGCCCCATTTTGGAAATATTCAGTGTTTATAGATGTAGGTATTGGCGGAGAATATGTCCTTTGAACAGGTTCCGAGGTCCAGCCAGCAGCTCGGAACCCAGGCGAATTCAGGATTGAAGAATTGACATTGATTAATCGTTCTGCAACACCATCCTTAACGTTGGCAAGGTAAGAAGTCCGCAAGTACCATATGGCAAATCTGATTATCTTAGTTTAGCATAGCCTCAATACAAGATCCGCCGCAATGTGCTTGGAAAGAATTGAGATGGAACTTACTCTTCGTTCTGTAAAAGAGCCATCTTCCTAGGCTGTATGAACTCCAGCGCTATTTGTCTCGAATACCCGGCTGCCCTGGACTCTCAGAGGGCGATCAGACGCTCTGCGCCTCCTTCACGACCCTGAGTCTGAGTCATTGATGGCGAACTAGATTCGTTGAAAGTGAACGCTGCGCAGTAATGGGAAATGATGTGGTTCATGCAGTGATACACGGCACGGCAAGTTGTAAGAGTCGTATGAAGCCGATGGCAACGTCTGGAAATACCGGTGTTAATTTGATGCAGCCAAGTGGAGTTGCCAGTTGCCCGCATCATAGCCTTGTCGGCGGTGCCACACTGCACTTCTAGTACTCCGTACTGGGATGCACTGCTCTTGTGCCTATTTACGTGTGTGCTCAACCTCGTTCATTCTTCATCATTCTTCCCATCCGCCAGCTTCCCTCACTTCTGGACATTATGGCGTGTCCACACGTTCATTCAGGAGACCTCAGACCACCCAGACCTACCCAAAGCGTGTACCGAGAGGACTGCACGCAATGCTTTGACTCTACAGACGACCCCGCCGGCCTTGATGTCTGTCTACAGTGCTTCAACGGCGGATGTGCAGGGGAACGAAATCACTCTTTCTTACACCACTCGACGACCGGCCATCCTCTCGTATTGAACATCAAACGGACCAGAAAACAAGTGCAGCGGGATGAACCTCCGCCAAAAATCACAAAACTGGCGATTGCTGCTGAAACAGAGGAGGACAAATATGAGACAACTACTACGGTCAAATGTTATGCATGCCAATTGCAGGATGTGGACAAACACTCGGGCAATCTGCCTGCTGTCATACATGGCGTAATGAATGCCATGGCCTTTTCCCAAAAAGAGGAGGTGAAGGCGTGGGAACAAGAGTTTACACCTTGCGAACACACTCTCTGTCTCGAGCAGCACCCGAGCCGGCAGATCGAATCTCAAAACCTAGGTGGATGTTCCATGTGTGACTTGAAGGAGAATCTCTGGCTCTGCCTGGAATGTGGTAACCTGGGTTGTGGACGGGCACAATTTGGTGGCGTGGGTGGCAATTCACACGGTCTGGCGCACGCAACCGAGGCCAGTCACGCTGTTGCCGTCAAGCTTGGTTCGATCACGCCTGAAGGAAATGCGGATGTTTACTGTTATCAGTGCAACGAAGAGAGAATCGACACCGAGCTTGCGAAGCATCTGGCACATTGGGGTATCAACATTGCGGATCGGGAAAAGACTGAAAAGAGTCTCATGGAGATGCAAGTCGAGCAGAACCTCAAATGGGACTTTTCGATGACAACAGAGGATGGCAAAGAGCTTTCTCCTTTGTTTGGAGAGGGCTTTACCGGCCTCAAGAACCTTGGAAACAGTTGCTATCTCAACAGCACTGTACAATGTTTGTTCGCATTGCCAGAATTCCAACAACGTTACTATCATCCGGAGCAGCCTCCACCTTCGACCAACCTCCCTGCTGAAGATATTGAGACCCAACTGCGAAAATTAGCGGACGGCATCCTATCTGGTCGGTACTCTCATCCTGATAACATCGTACACGCGGCTCCGGACAGCCCTGAAGTTCCACATCAGAAGGGCCTCGCTCCTGCCATGTTCAAACACCTGGTTGGACGTGGCCATGAAGAGTTCTCAACAATGAGACAACAAGACGCTTTCGAATTCCTCCTGCACCTGTTCAAACTTATCAGCATTTCCAACACCTCCAATCCAAACGAAGACCCCATACGATCCTTCCGCTTTGCACTCGAGCAACGCTTGCAGTGCCTGAACTGCAAGCGAGTCAGATACCGGACAGATGAACAGGACAACATCTCGATACCTGTCCCTGTGCGGAGGAAACCCGCTTCCAATGGTGCCGATGCAACAACAGATGCGGATAAAAAGTCCGAGTTCGACCCGGTGTCGCTGGAAGAATGCTTGGACGTTTTTACCGCTCCAGTTGGCGTTGAGCTGAGTTGTCCGGCGTGCGGGTCAAAAGCTGGATTTTCCAAATCGTCCAAGTTCAAGACGTTTCCCAAAAACCTAGCAATCAATCCTCTCCGATTTGAAGTTATCAACTGGGTGCCGACCAAACTCGACATTCCTGTACAAGTCACGGACGACATAGACCTGAGCAAGTACAAATCGACAGGTCTCCTACCAGACGAGGAAGATTTACCTGAAGATGCAGATGTGGGAGGCTCGACTTCTGGCTCAACGTCATTTGTTCCAAATGAAGCTGCTTTGGCTCAGCTCGAGTCAATGGGATTCCCACTCGTGCGCTGCGAAAAGGCGCTCCATGCCACTGGCAACGCCGATGCCGAGGCGGCGATGACCTGGCTATTCTCGCATATGGAAGATCCTGACATCGACGAGCCTCTGAACCTTGGTAGTGGTGCTGCGGGTGGTTCAGGGGATGATGCGGACAAGATCGCCCAACTTGGCGACATGGGCATCAGTGCGCCTCAAGCCCGAAAGGCATTGCGAGAGTGCAACGGAGATGTCAACAGAGCTCTAGATTGGGTTTTCAGCCACCCAGATGATCTAGGCGACTTCAGTGAGGATGCATCTGAGCCGGCCAAGCCGAAAGAGCTTCCGGGGACAGAGCAATTGCCGGCAAAATTCGAGCTACAGAGCATCGTATGTCACAAGGGAGCCAGTGTCCATGCCGGTCACTATGTGGCGTTCGTACGGAAGTCCATTCCTGGGGAAGGCAAGGGGAAGCACTGGACCCTGTTTAACGACGAAAAGGTGGTCGAGGCGTTGGATGCTGAGGAGATGAAAAAGACGGCATACATCTATCTCTTCTCCCTGCTGCCTTGATGCCCAAAGCCTCTCTCGGAAGGGGTGGAACGCTTCTGCATGTCAAAGAAGCGGAAATGAATTATGACAACTAAAAAGATGATGGCTATTATTGACTTATCGGAGTTCTAGAAAACGGTCAACACTGCTCCCACAGCAGGTGAAGGGGCCGGCTAGCATAGACGAGCAACTCGCTCCTCGGTACCATCAAAAAGCATAGTAGCATACTGAAAACTTCCTTCCTACCTTGTCATATGCGCCCACCAACACTGTGTAGACCCCTGGCGACCACCCACCTGAAGATGCCCCGAGTCAAATGACGTATAGCTGGCAAGCCAAAAAAAATTGGGTTTCGGTGTGGCAGTTTGGCTCCATGTTGCTTTTGCGTGGGGTACAGGATCACCACCGCAACACCTTTTTGCGCACCTTGTGATCATACTGCCTACTCCATGAGTATGTCGTTGACCACAAGACCGACAGCTGTCCTTGAAATTCCTTATATCCTCGTCGGAACTGCTGTCCCTCCTCCACCTCGACTGCCTTGAGATTTCCGTTGCTTCACCACACCGACCACACCGACCGGATTCCTCCCCAACGTAGTCTCTCAAGCATGTTTTTCCTACTCCGCTACACGATTTACTTCCTTGTAGGCTACATAGCCACCGCCGCGATGTTGTTCGGTCTTTACACCTACCTGCCCAACCCTCCCCGAGTCCTCGGCTTCATTGCCCGCACCATGTCCGCCTACATGAGTCTGATTGTGTGCGCAGCCTACGGGACCATCGCCTCGGCTATACTCAAACCTCTGGGCCTAGAATATGCATACGCGCAGTGGAGCACAGGGAAGGTATTCAAATACTTAGGCATGTACACCATGGGGATCAAATTCGACATCTTGGGCAATGGTGTGGAGATCCTGAACAGCAACCGGCCCGCCGTGTTCATCATGAACCACCAAACCGAACTGGATGTCTTGCTCCTCGGCTGCATCTGGCCCCAGTACTGCTCCGTCACAGCAAAGAAATCTCTACGCAACATGCCATTCCTGGGCTGGTTCATGACTCTGTCTGGTACAGTCTTCATCGATCGCGTGGACAGAAGTCAAGCCATGAAGGCATTCGAGGGTGCTGCGACGGCAATGAAGGTGAAGAGACAGAGCGTCCTCATCTTTCCGGAGGGTACGAGGAGTTACTCCGCCGAGCCTATGCTGCTGCCTTTCAAGAAGGGAGCTTTTCATCTCGCGGTCCAGGCGGGCGTACCGATTGTTCCAGTGGTGGCAGAGAACTACAGCTCTGTATTGAATATCAAGGCTCGAAGATTTAACAGCGGAACCATTCGAGTGAAAGGTAAGATATATACGCTAGCGGCAGTCACGTCTGCTGGGACAACATAGCTGACACTGCCATCAGTACTCGATCCAATTTCTACCAAGGGTCTCACACCTGCCGATGTCGACAATCTAACACGAGATACGCGCGAGAAGATGCTGAACGCGATCGTAGCTATGGGACAGGACAAAGAATCGTTATCAGTCAACTCCAAGAAGGACTCGTAGGCTTTGAAGATTGGTCAACTCCCTTTCTTTCCATCGACATCGTCGCTCAGTTTCCGGCAAGATTTGTGGTAAACAGCATGAGGCTCACTGATCATGGCTTCTCCATGCCTCTCTCGTCACAGCATCGAGCCAGACCTCGGATGTTGCAGAGGAGCAAGCAACGTCTTGGAAACCCCCCTTTCCCAAGCTTATTTTTCAAGCTGGCTTGCAACACGAAATGAGTGACTGGACGATAGGCCACAAACTTCATCGCACCCAGCCTACTGACGACACGTCCATATTACCACTGTGGGACACGGTCCGGCCGTGCATGGCGAGACAGTCAAGCCAGCTCCACGTGAGTAAACACCATGGACGCCGTCTGGATCTTTTGGCGAGAATGTTTCAAAGAGTACCACATTTACTTGTGGTGACGAACGCGTGCCTGACGCCAATTACAAGGAGGATATTGGGCACTGGTTGCTGCAGGGCTATCACCTCTGGGATGAGGATGGTATGGGGATGGGATAGATGTTGACGAGCACTGCATGGTGGATGTTAGATACTAGATACCCACCCGGATACCCCTGCATCTCTATTTCTCTATAATCACGCGTCCGCATCCATCTATACCGCCTGGACACCTTCTTTCTTTATCCGACGCGCCATCCAAACCGCCTCATTCTCGTTGCGATCGCTCCGCCAGGCTGTCCGTCTTTCCACCGAATGTACAAATAGCCCGTCTGTGGCGTTTCTAAGGCTCAAATTCCTCAAACGGCCTGACCAATAACCCAGCCTGTCCCAAATGCTCCTTGACCTGTGCGACCGTATACTCTCCTCGATGGAACTATCGTTCGGAAGTTAGCAAGATTCCCAGCCAGAAGCACACTCAAGAATCGTGACTTTGACTTACCATTCCCGCACCAAGCGCAGCATCGACATCCGTCCGGCGAAACACCTCCTCAAAATGCCCCGGATTTCCGGCTCCAGAGCTCGCAATCACTGGAACGCCAACACTCTCCTTGACCATCCCGATCAACTCGAGATCGTACCCCGAATTCTGACCGTCTCGATCAATAGCATTCAAAAGAATTTCACCGGCACCCATGGCCTCGACAGCAGTGACCAGTTGCACCACGTCCAAATCGCGCGTTTCGCGACCTCCTTTGATCGTGCACGCGAACCATACATACTTCTTACCCTCGGCGTCCGGGAACTTAGTCTTGACTGTGACATGAGGCGTCTCGTTCGGGTCCTTCACATACACACGTTTAGGATCCACGCTGACCACCACGGCCTGCCGTCCGTACGCAGCGGAAATAGTCTCGATCCCAGTCTTGCCGGTCAACTCCTTCTTGTTGGCGTAGTACTCCTCCGCCGCGATCACAGCGTCGCTACCGATCGAGACTTTATCCGCGCCACTCGCGAAATACAGCTTCGCCACATCCAGAGCCGACACGTTCTTGCCCGTACTTGGATCGAGTGTATCGCGGATCCCACCCCCGATCGTAAGCGGGACGAACACTGTCTCGCTTGTCCGACGAAGAATTTCAAGCATTGGTAGATCGGCGACAGGACAGTCACGGAAACTCGTGATGTTGAGGAATGTCACTTCGTCGGCACCCTGGGTGTAATATTTGCGCGCCATGTCGACTGGCTTGCCTAGATTGCGGACTTGAGATCCGGCGGTCTTCTCGCGAACGTCGTATTGGTCGCCTTTCGTCACGACGAGGTCGCCGGTGTCGTTGGTTCGGACATCCAGACATGCGATTATGCGTCTTGTCAGGCCGTTGGTGCTGGCGTCGGAGGCGAACTTCGTGGGTAGCGACGTGCCAGGCTGAGATTTTAGGGTGGTCTCGGACCATACTTGGCCCTGAAGAAAAGCTTTGATGACTCGCAGGCCAGCGGCGCCTGATTTCTCTGGGTGGAATTGTGTGGCGAAGATGTTTCCGCGGCCGATGGCGCCTACGTATGTCTCATCGCCGTAGGTTGCGGTTGCCACGGTCCAGCCTTCTTTTTCGAGTTGGCCGGGCGTGTAGGGCGCCGCGTAGCTGTGCACGTAGTAGTATTTGCTTGTTGGGTTGAGGCCGTAGAAGCTTTTGGGCGAAGCATCGGATGATGATGTGGAGGCTTCTGTGTCATGGTGCAAGATCGAGGCGTCGTTCCAGCCTATGCATGGTACCGACTTTCGTGAGCCGTCTTTGTTCGACGGGCTGAAACGTCGGAGGTGTGTTGGGATGACGTTCAAGCCCTCAGTAGAAGGGGCTTCTTCGGATCCGGCGAACAGAGCTTGTAGGCCGACGCAGATGCCGAAGAAGGGCTTGCCAGATGAGATGTGTTCGTGGATGGCGGGGAGATAGCCTGCTGACTCGAGGGAGCTGAGGCAGTGGCCGAAATGGCCTACGCCAGGGAGTATGATTTTCTGTAGGATGGGTCAGAGAGTATGCCATAGGGAAATGTGACATGAGGCACATAAAAGAACTGTTGAAGGGGGGGCAATGTCTGGACGGGTGTAAGATGCTGCTGCAGCCACAAACAGGTCTCGGCGAAGTCCTTTCCAGGAAACAGACAGCTTCTGCAGCGGTAATAGTTGTGTGGAAGCACTGTCGACCCCCAATACCAATGCCATATACCTCGAAGCAGCTTTATCAATGCTCCCTCACCCAGAGCTCGGGGTTGAACAAAGCCAACAAAGAACCTCGCTAATGCTTACCTCTGCTGTTTTTACATCCTCAGGGCTCCTGATCCAGTCGACTTCATATCCACACTTCTCAATCGCGTTGACTAGCGAGCGGATGTTGCCCGCAACATAGTCGAGGAGGTGGACTTTTGGCATTGCGCTTCACTCTTGCTGTAACTTGAATTAAAGCTGATCAAGGGAGACACATGATTGTTGTATGATTGGTGTCGCCGTTCTTGGTGAGTTTCGAGAAAGTTCTTGCGGTGACAATAGTTTGGAGCGAGTCAACATTGATGTGTATCATGTTCTCTTGTAGTCCGAATTTATCTCATGAAGTTTTTAAAGCCAAATCCGGAAGTGAGTCATACACGCTATTGGTCAGCTTTGAACCTCATCTTACTGCTTGACTAGACCACGTCGACACTCGTTTACTAGCAAGCTGAGCAAGTATAATGAAACATTTATTGCTCTACACAATGCTTTGTCGATTTTTGACAAGTTTCCTTTGCACGTCGAAGCAATCCACGGCCTAACAGTGCCAGACGACACGATACGCCATACTCGTAGTTTTCGCCAACACCATTCATCAACTTTCATATCGCTATTGTACAAGTTCGAAGCGTTTCCATTGGTGCCCATCTAACGTTCATTACTGTGTCGTAGCTCGAATAGCTTGCAGTAACAACGCGAAAATCAAACCGCGTGCCACATGCTGTATCTGGAGGCAATCAAACACCCTCCCTAAAGCCTCACCACTGGCAGCTGCGCCCATGACGCTCGTGAGCGCCTGTGGCATTCCTCGCTCGACCAGTAATTTTCGAGCCTTGATCTTTAGCTTTTCCTTCTCCTCTAGTGTTAATTCTGCAGGCCATTTTGCCATCTCTTCAGGAGTCGGCAAGGTATTTTCTCTCATTTTGTTGATGTGGGCTGCTATACCCTTATCTGAGAAATTGGCCTCGATAACACTCTCTTGAAGCAGAACTCGGATTGATTCTAGTTGTGGGTTGTTCGGCCGGAGGAGGAATGTCCTTGCAGCGCCCAAGAGGGACATCCGGATAGACCAGGCGCCGGCCAGCGTATAAAGCTCGGTAAGGATTGCAAAGATTAACTCGATACATATTCGAGTCTCTTCCTCGGCAATGGGAGCATCATCTTTCTTAGGCCACCTTGACGACGGTTTGGCTACATCGGTGGTCTGCGGTGTCTTCGCTTCCTCCAGACTGATGACCGGTGCTGGGCTTGCTGGATGGGAAACAACCGTGTCCTGACGGGGCCGAGCAGGAGTTTCAAGTCTGGGCAGGGTTATTGGATGGTAGTCATCTGAGATGACGCTTGGGGGAGGGGGAAGTGCCCATCCTTCCTCTGATTGACGGCCCGCTTCATCAAGGGCGAGCGAGGACCTCGACCGTTGTGGACTCGAGATATCCGTACTCGGTCGAGTTGGAAGTGGTGGCGGCTTGACATCAATGCTGTCGGTACTCTCTCCCAATCCTTCCTGGCTATATCGGAAGTTCGATGTGCTTGAAGCAGTATTCGTTCGTGATAGTTGCTGCGAAGGCCTCCCGGGCTGCTTCTTCGGTCCGGCCACAGCACCGAATACTCCCTGTACACCCCCAAGCACAGCCTTGCCACCACCTGCGATTCCCTTGCCGCCTTGACCGAGCACGTTAATGAAATTCTTGCCCACATTCTCCAAAGCTGCACCACCCTGTACCAGAACATTTTTGCTTTGAGCAGGCGCTTTCTGAAGACCAGTCTCCTTGTCCAAAAACTTCTTCATCACCTCGGTCTCTGCCAATGATTCATATTTCACGCAAAATCGCAGAAACTTTTCCAGGCTCTGGATCAAGGAAACACTCGTCTGGCCTTTCCAGCCGGGTAGAGCCGGGTACAGTTGGCCAAACTCAGGCACACCGGTGATACGACCAATAGTCGTTAGAGTCTGATGAAGAGGCTCGAAATCAGCATATCTTCGAGTGACCATCCAGCCAGGAAAGCGCTGCGAAGCAGGCTCAATCTGAAGCAAATACTCGCTGTTGGGCTTTTGCCTCATAGTGACCTTTTCGTTCCCATCCCCTAGATCGAGGATTGTGATAGAAGCATTTTGCAAGGTCAGGGGTACCGCCATCATCACCTCTACCGGCGCAGGGGCGCTAGAAACAGGTTGTGGTGGGGTCAAGACGTTTTCGCCAAGCTGTTCAAACTGTGTGAATTGACCATGCTCCTTGCTCGGTGTGGCGGGTGCTGAACCTTTGTTTGAACTTGGTTCTGAGTGATGAACGGCGTTTCCATCGATATCGAAGACCAAGGACGCGTCCATAGATCGCTCCCCCTGCCTGTTTCGATCACTGTCAGAGGAGGTCGGAGTCGCCAGTCCTACGTCCGTGGTTGCCACAGAGCTGGTCTCCTCGTGTTCGATCGGAGGTAGACCGCGCTTGCGTCTTGCCTCATCTTCAGCGATCATCTCGTTAAGACGCTGTGCTTCTCGCATGGCTTCTTGCATAGCTTCCTCGGCCCTACTGACCCGCCTTCCATGCTTCTTGTCCGAGTCGGCTTCATCCCCGGTTTTAGACATGGCTCCGCTCATATCTTCCACTCCGGCGTCGATGGCGTTCATGATCTCCGGCTCCCCCTCCTCCAATAGATAGACAATCCAACCGTTGATCCATTCTGGCTTCGAACAAAGGTCAACGGTTGTTTCCAGTACTAGGCCCGCAAGGGTTTCGCGCAGAAATATCTTGACAGGAGGGCAATTGTAGGCCTTGGGATCAAGGAAATTCTGCAAAATGTCGTCTGCCACCAGCGCTAATTTGCGCTCTTGCTGTTCTTTGCTGAGGACATTGGCCAGATGACTTTCAGGTTGAAATTGCAAATATGTCTCGATGGCCGTCTCGGCATCGGAATTAGGAGAGGACTTCAGCGCGCTAGAGAGTTCATTCAGAAAGACAATAACAATAGAGGTTGAGTTTGACAAGAAGTCCAAAAACGGATCCGCAGTACGTTTGCGCGAGAGATGTCTCGAGAAGGATGTGATGAATTTCGTCAAGGTCTGTCGGCAGCTGGCAGGGAAGGATTGATCTTTTGGCAGGATCGGGCTATACCACCACTTGACGTAGTCTCTGATTACAGCATCGGTGAAGTTGGTAAGGGCGACACCAGTTTCTGGTGGGAAATCGGAATAATCTAATGTCTTCGTATTGTCGTTCAAGTCGGCGGTGGTCTCCAGAAAGACGTCGTCCTTTTCCTTGTCTGTTTTCCGTCTGTCCCGCCAGTCCAGTATCCTGTGAGCGACTTCTATACCCAGCTCTTTCTTGCGGCGGTTCGCATGGGTCTCATCTCCATCCGATCCTGCTCCTTGCTGACTTTCCCAGGTGGCATGGAGGACAATACCACCGACCGCGCCGATTAAAACCAGCCCGACGCGGCCCAGCACAAGGTAGGTAGAGGCGCATAACCCTACTGCGCATGCGCCAAGAGTCTCATTGCTGGCGTTCGCGAAGAAATGCAACGTCGCATCGATCACGGCGGAGGTAGTCAACGGTTTGGTGGTTGTCGGAGCTGAGGAGATAGGGCTGGACTCGGGCTGCGCGTCCTCAGGAGGCGCTTCCCCAGCATCATAATGTTCCTCCATGGCGGACATAATTCATCCTGAGCGTAGCAACAGCTGATAGACAGCAACTTCTCCCTTGATCACGCGTCGTCTTATGTCCTTTCATCCGCATAAGCAGTGGATGAGGATGCGATCGTAAAGCGTCGGACTAAGTCAGGTACGGACACTGTATGGGGTTTCCAGAATTCCGCATGCGGACCCCTGTCAAGAAAAAAGTTGCGTCTCCAAATACGTACCTCGTGGAGAAAATGGTCGAAGGGTCAAATCTGCGCAGTAAATCTTGCAATCCTCAAAACGTTTTCTGACATTCCAGACTTTCAGATCCTGTTCCCTGACAGATATACAAGATGCCGGATCAAGTTTGTGAAATATGTCATGAGCCACTCTTCATCGAGGTCGAGCCCGACAGCGAAGTTGAGGATAGCAAAACACCGGCGCAAGTTGAACGCGTGCCAGACGATGTCGAGCTCAGCTGTGGGTGTCATTATCACTGGTATGTATACTTACCATATTAAGGTCTATTCGTGATCTAATTTCTTCAGGGATTGCTTCCTAGAAGCATACAGCATCACACAATGTCCAAATTGCGCTGCAGACATCGCTACCATGGGCCCGCATAAACACCATCAGGTCCTGGTGACAGTCAAGAACGAGGGTGGTGTCCAGAAAGACTTTGATATCTTGCCAATCGGGATCGAAGAGTCCTATCTGCGGGCGTATCCTGAAGAGAGAAAAGGTCACGCCTACCTTGAGTTCTGCCGAGAGGGTGACATCGATGCGATCATCAATATGGTCAGAGACGTGGACGAAGGGGACGATGACGAGGAGGAAGATGAAGAGGACGCTGGCCATCAAAAGGACATACTGCGATATCTTGAGAAGGGCGATGACGGAAGCGGGCTGCACGTTGCCATCCGCCATCAAAAGCAAGAAGTGGCGTGGTTACTGCTGGCACTTGGCTCGCAACTGGCATGGGACAAATTTCCGGCCAATGTTCTCCAAGCAATGACGGCGCTGGGTTTGCAAAAGAGTGACAGAAGAGGTGACCCCGATATCCGCACTCTCAAGGACAGGACAGGTCGAACACCAGCAGAGCTGGCAGAAGAAGTCGGTGGTCCCTGGGTAGAATGGCTGAAGGAGGGTAGACTGAGCCCTTGACTGAAGGACTTATGACTTGACATGTTTGTCTCACACCAAAATTCTCTTTTCGACCACGGAAGCTGTACGCTAGAGATCTAAAGCATAGGTGTGAAGTTGTTCTCCGGTATCCGAGTGAATCATAGCACAATCGAGTATTTGATGCCTGATGCAAAGAAGAAGCCGGGTGTGGTCCTGGAAAAGGTCACGGCAGCCATTGCCAGCCTTTTATGGACGTTGTGTCGCAGCTGCGTTCCTTTTCAGGAGGACTTGCTGGGGGGCTGATCGCGAAGGATATACTTGGTATGAGTGCCATGCGCAACAACGCTCTTGTTCTCGCCCTCGCCTTTGTAGATTGTGACTGCGGTGAAACCCATGTTTCTTCCCACCCTGTTTGTCTTGCCCTCTATCGTCACGGTCTCGCCCAACTTGGCGCTTGACACGTAAGATACGTGAATATCTGTGCTCACACCCGTCTGCTCAAGTCCCGTGGTGGCAATAGCCATACCTCCTGCCCAGTCGACAATCGTTGCCGAAACAGAGCCATGGATACCACCTTTCGAGTTCAGGTGGTTGGGAGTGAGTTTGAGAGTCGCGACCATGGAGCCTTCCTCAGCACTGAGGAAGACGACATCCGAGAGCAGCATTTGGTACAAAGGCGAGCCCCGAGATATTCTCGCCCAACAAGCCTTGACGCTTTCGAGAGGGGTCTTCGTGGTGGCCATGACGATCGACCGGGCGAGCAACGGACTTCTGGAGCTGCAATAGAGGCAGACAAGGAAGAAGAACGAAGAAGCCCAGCTGAAGTGAGAGACTTTCAACGTAACGAAGGAATATAAAGGATCGAATAACAGTTGCTCACTTTAAGTTCCGGCTCCGCACACCGCCTAACTGACGCAAGCCCCGTGCCGGCAGAAAAAAAGTCACTGAATGGGAATCTCGGCGAAATTTTAGTGGCTCGATCCTTTCAAAGACTGAACCAGCGTTTCGTCTCCTTCTATCATCTTCCTGTTTAGAGGCACATTTTAGCAACGATGAGCAAACACAAACTCGATGAGGGCGCCCAATCGGCCAAGCAAGATAAGAAGCGCAGAAAGAAGGACAGAAAAGAAGCCCTTCGTGTGGAAGACATCACTCCAAGTTCAACGGATGCGACGGCCAATTCTACACCAGCACCAGACGCTGACGAGGAAGATGCTACTTACAAACCGGACCCATCTCTCGCGACTGTGTCACAGACTGAGATCGACGAATTCTTCAAGTCACAATCTGTTCAAATCGCCGACCCTCTGAAGAAGGACCTAAGACCCATCCTCGCCTTCTCCCACCTTCCCACAGAATTATCTGCCCAGTTCTCGACCATATTCTCTTCCTTCGAAAAGCCTTCTTCGATCCAATCGTCTGCATGGCCGTTCCTACTGTCCGGCCGAGACCTTGTCGGAGTGGCCGAGACAGGCAGCGGAAAGACAATCGCTTTCGGACTACCATTAGTTGTACGCCTCTCAACAATGAAGAAGAAGAAGGGTATACGAGCAGTCATTGTAGCGCCGACCCGAGAATTGGCGATCCAAGTTTTCGAACAGATCGACAAACTGTGCAAGACAGCCCATAAGTTGAAGTCGGTATGTGTGTATGGCGGAACCAACAAGGACGAACAGCGACGGAGTCTGCAAGGCGCAAATATCGTGGTCGCCACCCCGGGAAGACTGAAGGATTTCATGTCCGACGGCACTATCGACGTCTCCAAGACCCGATATCTGGTCCTTGACGAAGCCGACCGCATGCTCGACAAGGGATTCGAGGACGACATCAAGCACATCATATCGCAAATGCCGTCTTCCAGCAAACGGCAGACGGCCATGTTCACAGCAACCTGGCCCAAATCGATCCGCGAACTTGCCGCGACATTCATGAAGGAGCCCGTCAGGATCACGATCGGGCGCAACGATGCGGACGACTCAGGCGAGCTCCGCGCCAACACTCGGATTGTACAAAAAGTCGAAGTTCTCGATGGCGCCATGAAACAGCAACGTCTGTTGCAGCTGCTGAAGGAGCATACAGCCGGCAATAAACGCAATGACCGCATTCTGATATTCTGCTTGTACAAGAAGGAGGCTCAGCGGATAGAGAACTTCATTCATGGCCGCGGCTTCAACGTTGCCGGTATTCACGGTGACATGTCGCAGTCTGCTCGCATTGCCAGTCTCGAGTCATTCAAGTCTGGTAAGGTGACCCTGCTTGTCGCCACGGATGTTGCTGCAAGAGGTTTGGACATCCCGGAAGTCAAGCTCGTCATCAATGTGACATTTCCCCTAACGGCTGAGGATTATGTCCACCGCATTGGGCGTACCGGTCGTGCAGGCAAGGACGGGTTGGCCATTACACTTTTCACCGAGCAGGATAAACCGCTTGCTGGAGCCTTGATCAACGTCCTGAAGGCAGCGAAGCAGGATGTCCCTGAAGATCTGTTCAAGTTTGGTACGACTGTCAAGAAGAAGCAACATGACTCGTATGGCGCTTTTTACAGAGAAGCGGAGGATGGCAAGACCGCGACCAAAATCACTTTTGATGACTGATATGTTCAAGTACTGGGGATGACTTGGTTCGCGGTAGAGCTTGATGAAGTATGCATCTGACGGCGTTTGTTCAGTCCTGGGATGTGCGCAGCAAGGCGTTGTGGGACAATAGCTTCGAGCATCTGGATGAGAAAATCTCGCTCGGCAAAAAGACTAGAGTTGCAAAGTGTTAATGTTGCAAATTGCATATATCGATTTGAAAGTGGGATGCGCACTTACATTGTTGACCCCAATAGAACGATACTCGCTGTCTGAAAGCCCAGGAACTGACGATTGAGGTCGCCACTGTCGTGCGTAGGTCCGCCGAGATTCTGCAGTCTTGATGCAAGGACGACCAGCCCGGTAACAATAACAGAGGTAGATGCAGGCAGCGCCTCTGTCGCAACCTGCCTTGACAGGCCTGTTCCAGCTTTATCGTGTTCGAGCACCCACCTTCGCAGAAAGTCGAGACTCCAGAGGATCCGCAACGCCATGTTGACCATATTAGCTCCCACCAACCCTACAGCCCCGAGCTCGAATTTCTTCAGCATTGCCCATGCCCCGACCCCGTAGATCGCAGTGAAAAGCAGCATCCAGCCGGATTGGGCGCGAAGTTGTGCCGGCGTAGCCACAGACGTGACGAACGCGTCGAGAATGCCATTCACTGCCATTAGCGGAATGTAGTAGCAGTATGTGGCCAACAGCGAGGCGGTAGACGAAGTGTACCAGCCCGCACCAATGATGTGCTTGACAACAAGAGGCAAGATATACGGCGCGATGCTGACTAGCGGAAGAGCCATAAGAAGGTAGAAATGCAGCGTATTGGCCAGGTAGTGTAGAGCCTGACGAACATTGTCCTGCGAAGTCGCAGTATTTCCGGACTTTGGACTGTCCTCCGTAGTGGCAGGCACAGACAGGAGCCGACCGAATGTGTTCCTGCTGCTCTCCTCGACGGGTTGGAAGACTAATCGCGCCAGAAGACCGCCGTAGTTCGAGGCCAGAGCGAATGCGCCCTGGTCTGCTAGCGAGGAGAGGAATGACAGGATCAATGCGTCGCCTTGGGTGAGGAGTAACTTGAATATCGATTGCATGTACATCGTCGCAGCCAGGGAGAGGATCGCTCGATGGAAGAAATCTGAATAGTATGTTCCGCCAGCACCGTTCCCGGCAGGCGTGCCTTCCACTTTTCGTGGCGTCAGGCCGAAGTTTTCGTGTTTCGACAGGCGTACCACCGGGGCCAAGTACAGTGCGAACAGGACCAGAGCATAGGCTGCTTGTCCGACGGCAAAAGGTAGGATCGAGGGCGCAAGATCTCTTCTGTGACATAAGACGGCGACGATGCAGGCTGAAGAGCAGCGGGCCATGGCAGCGCTGGTCTCTGCGCGTGCTCGATCGGCGTATAGTGCTTTTTGCTGAATGACCACGAAGGACGGCTCGGCGAGGAGCTCAATCAGCGTGGCTACGGCGTAGATCTGGAAGGATGTGTCGAAATATGGACTGTCGACAACTTCGTTGGGCGCGCTCCGGACATATGAGTATCCAAAAGCAGTGGAGACGCCGAAGCCAAGCAGGACAGCAAGATACGACAGGTTGATAACTGTCTGCGTGGCCTTTCCTGGACCGTCCTTTCCAGTGGGACCCGGGGGGTTCGGCTTCCCATCTTCAGGGGCCGGTGGCTGTCGTTGTAGCGCAACTCGTAGGCTCTCCCTGGCAAAGTAAAGACTCGTGACTGACACTAGCTCCAGTTGCACTGCGATGCCGAGCAGCGATGGCGACAGGAAGCGGAGCAGGAATTGATTGCCGATGAATGTGAGTGCCCGTGACGCGACTTGTATCAGAATCAGCAATAAGGTGCCGCTCCCAGGCGGTCGAGGTTCAGCCTTGTCGGCCATGGCAGCTGTATTTGTGGTAGGGAGTTTCAATGCTGGCGGATTAAGTCGGAGAAGCTTCAGGGGCTTCCTGCGAACGTCGTCGGCTTCACGAGGCTATGCACAACCCAGGCAGCAGACAGCACCTTAGAGCATTCATATAGCAGAAAGTCAGGAGCCAAAGAAATGCGTTCAGAGATGTCAGTGAGTATGGTCCGAGTGAAGCACGCTGTGGAGCAGCTCCTCAATGCCACGTGGTTATGTCATGTTTGCCAAAAGTCGAGACGGCCTAATCCTCGATATGAGTGCAAACAGGCATTACTCACATTGGCCAGTTCTCTGTTATTGAAATACGCAATTTGATCGTTATGAGGCACTTAGTGTGCGAGTTGCCAGATGATGGACGCATGCTTGCACTGTCATGGGGAAGGCAAGGCTGGGGTAGTGTAGGAGAAAAGGATTTCCATTGAGTCTCCAGACTCGGCCGTCTGCCATGACCAGATGACCGCTCAAGCAGTTCCAGAAGCCTCTGTTGTGCTTTTTAGGACCCTTCAGATGCCTCATCTGGATGCATATTGCGCCTGCTCAATGCTGAAGGGCCCCGGGGCGATACAGAATCAATGTGAGCCTTTCTTCCAATCCCAACGGACGCCGCGACCTGATAGTACATAGAGACGGACTGTGGTAGCAAGGACCGCTTCACCCATTGCTCTATATTTCATCCACATCCATCTTTTCCACCACCACTAAACTGTCCGAGTCGCTTCCGGTACCGATCTCATGTACCGTCACATAGCGGCCGATCTCGTCCTTGGTGATCACCTTTTCATTCAAAACAGCAGTCGTGCCTCTTGCAAACTTGTAGTTGCGCTCTTTGTTGACACGATCATTCGGCCTGATGTAGTTGCGCAGTAACTGAGTTGGCTTGTCCTTCTCAATCACACACACGTCGACGTTACTTCCAGAGCCCAGATCGTTAAAGATACCGGCCTTGATGGCTTCTGAGCAGACCTTAATCGCCTCATCTCTTGTGCAGTGCGCTTTCCACGTTGATTCGAATACCGCCATGGCTGCTAACGATCCTGAGCCCATAGTCACGTAAGGAAGTTTGTCTGTTGATCCATGGGCGTGAACCGTGAACAATCCCACGCCCGTAGGGTCGACACCTGCTACAACCAGATATGCACCAATATGACCTTGGTAGCGGAATAGGTGTTGCTTCAGCATCGTCATAACCGTAACCACACGTGGAGTTCGGCCTGTAGATAGAGAATGAAGTTCGAGGTTGGAGGAAATCAGAGCGGTGGTGAACTCGGTATCTGCGGCAGTACCTGCGCCTGCGCACCAGATATTGGGAGAGATGAAATGTAGCTTCTCGCAATTCTGTTGGAAGATGATCAGTCAACAAACTCAACAGCAACAGTTGAGACATAGAACATACCTTGTCGGCGACGATAGGACCACTCGTTGCTCTTGTGTCTGCTGCAATCTAAGAGGCTAGCGTCAGCACTTCGAAGTTGTCATTGACAGGACATTGCTACATACCACAACTCCATTGTCATATATGCATCCTACAATGGTAGTACCGGTACTTGTCGCCTTTGGCAGAGGCACTCCTCGTGCATGCAGAGCGGCATTGCGGTTGTAGTTGCTGAAGTCGAAGCCGGGCATGATTACGGCGAAGGCGCGAGGCCTTGAATCGTGGTGAGGAGTACAAGTGAGGAGTTTCAGTACTCCAGAGTTCGAAGGTATAAAGGTCGAATATGGTTAACGAGAGTACGAAGGGACTGTCTGGAGAAGATGTTGAGCGGAGGGGTGGTGAGTTGACTGGAGTACGCAGGATGTTTGATGATGGACAGTAGCGAAGGCAGCTCTCTGATGCGCAACACTTTCCCCGGCTGCACCTGCGAGGCAAAGGACGCGCCGCCGCAAGGCTGGACTTGGCACCGACATATCGATCTAGCCGCTTTTAGACATCAAATGGTAATCGGCAACAACTCATCTCATTCAGCATTCTCACTCTTCTGCACATACACCCAAACAGTTACAATTATGATCTTCAGCGCCCTCTTCCTTCCAGCCAACGCTCGGCATCGTCAGGATTGATATCTCTGTCCAGCTCAATCTTGACCGACACAAGCTTCTCTGCTTACTCCTTACCCTTGTCATGGACCTGTGTCTCTCTCTAGGCATGTTTCCGTACAACTTCTTCCTGCTCTACCGCATTAGACTTCTCGCTCGAGAGTGCATGACCGTGAGTTTCTGCTTGTTCGTCCTGGACGGCAGCCTGTTCCAGCTCGGCTTTCTCTGCCTCGGTTGCTCCGTACCAGTGGACAGCAACCTGTTCGCCGAATTGAGCGTTGATGTCCTCCAAGCTCCGGCCCTTGGTCTCAGGACACATGAAGTAGACGAACGCGATATGACAAGCCGTGGGACAGATCAGGACAAAGAAAAACCGCCAAGAAACTTTGTTCAAACCAATCGGACCAGCCTGAGAACGTCAGTATAAGGTTGTCATAACAGGATCCCATGCTGGTTTGCCGTTAGTGACAGGCTAACATACCACAAGTACGATGACATCCGCGAGATATAGACCGGCCATGCCGACAGCCATACCCTGGCTACGAATGTGAGTTGGAAAGATCTCAGACCTGAGTGCTTGTTAGCGTGAGCTGCCTCATTTGGAAGAGGTTCGACTTACACATAAAGGAACTGAGTAGCATCAATGAATGTACTCCAGAAGGGGGTGATAAAGAGAAAGATGAAGAAAATTGCTGCGTGCTGGCCCGCTGTATTATTCGTTCCAAGGAATGCTGCTTGCAAAGCAACCTCACAGATCAGTGCGACAAGAATCCCCGTTAGCCCGATGAGTAAGAATCTGCGGCGTCCGAATCGTTCGACGAAGAAGGCACAGAATATATTGCCAGGAAACGTGGACGTGACCCAAAGGGAGCTCAGGAGTAACGGCCAATAGCCGCTCATCCCAAGACTGACGTACAGGAGGACACCTAAGACAATGTTAGGAATAGCTTCAAGAGAGCGGCGGTATACAAACCATAATTCGCAATGATGAGCACCCCAGTGAATTGGTTGTTCCACATGAGGAGGAAGGCCACCAGTGCACGTCGGCGGTTGGCCGGTGTCCGGAACACCTCAAATCGGGACGTTGACGACCTGATCTGCTGGTCAAGCTCCACCTGCTTCTTCATCTGATAGAACTCTTTGCGCGCGAGTGTGTCGTGCGGATCTCCCTTGGTTCTGTGCAGGCGTTTGAGAACCTCATGAGCTTCGTCAACTCGACCGTTCATCATAAGCCACCGCGGGCTGAATGGCAGCCATGGGGATCCGAGGAGCAGAAGCAGTGCTGGGGCCATCTGAAAGGCAATCGGGAATCGCCAGGGAAAGGAAGATGGTGAGCCGCCGCTGGAGATGAAGGATACACCAAACCCAATCCAGGCTGATAGCGAGTAACCCATGGCGAACATAACGCCGTGCATGGAGACCATGAATCCTCGAGATTCGGGAGTGGAAACTTCAGCTTGATACATAGGTATGCAAGTCACCAGGGCGCCAATGCCAAAGCCGTTGATCAAGCGGCCTACCAAAAACATCGCATTGTTGACAGCACCGGCACATATGGCAGCACCGACGACCAAAACGGCAGCCGCAACTTGGATAGTCTTCTTCCGACCAAGTTTGTCGGCCAGGTAGGCGCATGCTAACGCTCCGATAGCAGAACCGGCAGAGTTGACACCATTGAACGCCCCGATGTACTGAGCTGTGCGGCTATAGCCTGGTTCTCCTTGAGGAGCGAGGTGAAGGGACTCCTAGAAGCTAGGTTGGCCGATTGTAGAGCTGGTGAAAAATGAATGTCTTGTTACATGAGAGAACGGTTGCATATATCATACCCAATAATGGCCATACCATAAGAGCATGCTGTTGACCCTAATGCGACGTAGATGACAACAGCAAGGTTGAAAGCATTGGGGATGAGCTTCCCCATGGTGAGAGTGGAATGTGGCTCCAAAGGGACGAGAATTGATCAAGATATGGTGTGCCAAAACTTAATGCTGTCCTAAGTCTGAGAGCATCTTCAGGAAAGGGCGCAGAGGAATCGACAACCAGAACCACGACCGTCTTTATAGCTTCACGAAAGGACGTGCATGACAAACGCCCAGCTTCGAACTATCCAAATCAACTCCGACGTACTCCCACCCAACATCAATCACATGTCCGATACGCAAACTCTTGGTTCGGTCTCAGGACCGTTGAAGTCAATATGCGAGCTTCTCTTGAATGACTGGTTGACGACTGCATTGAGTTAGCACACCTGTCCAGATCCAGTTATTCGGACGACCAAGTCTCAAGTTCATGGCGTGCCTAGGCCCTGACACATCAAACTTCGAGCCATGCATGCTTGACTTGCGACAAGGATGAATATGAGGAGGCCTGGACGAACTGGGTACCAATAGGCTTTGCTGACCAGGGCCATCATGGTCGACAACCGCTTCCGCTTGACTAGTGATTGAGTCAAACAGGTCGAGAAAAGAGCAAAGGTCTGGGTTCTACTTGACATGGGTCCGATAGTAAGTAAGTTCTTCGTTGCCCGCTTGAAGATTGGTTGGTGCGGGGGTTGACCTCGAATCCCCAGACTTTGTGGAGACGTGGGACAAGGCCGGATCTCGAAACAGCTAAAAGCGCCTGTGCTTCACGTTTCGAGCGAGCCAACCAGCAAGCGCGGAGCAATTTCCACCGGAACGTCCCAGCGGGACACGAGCAGATATACGAGTTGGTTGAAAGTGCTGGAGTACTGTGATTGCATGCCGACGGCGTGTGGTGACTTTGTGTTAAGTTAGTCCATTCTCTGGAGCGGCTGCCCTCGTTTGTTTGCTCCACCGCGCTCTCGAAACCCTGTCAGTTCATTATAGGGGCAAAGATAACCGATCACGAATCATCCAGTAGATGGCAGCGGCGGCAGTGACTCGCCTGATCTGACACGACATTGAAGTGAGTGCTTAGCATGCTACCCGCGGTAAGGCCTCGTTTGGAAGCATGTCTCGATATAGGGGCATACTGCCTGGCGTCAGCCTTTGCTTAGACGTAAGACCTTCGAAGACAAATCTCGAGAAGCAAGCAGGGATCGGTAATGGTACGCCAGATGGTCAAAGCACTTCTCGAACAAGCGGATCTGGGGACTGTCAGTGATTTCTTGTGCTTCGGTATGGTCCCCCGGAACTCGTGCAGTACGCCAGGATTACTGGCTCATTGGTGCTGTCCCAGACGAAATTACAGTCAGGCCTCCATGCGAAAGGAGTTACTTGGGCATCAAACCAGTTATCTCGAACTCAATGATAGAGGACTGTAAATGGGCGCGGAAAAACTCAAATCGGGCAGACCTGAGTTCACCTCCGGTGGAAGCGAGTCAACGGCAAGGATGGGGACCCCGGACTTCGAGACATCCACGACACCCCAAGGGTACATTGAGTGACCATGCGCTGCTGCAAACTGTCAAAATTACAGCATATTAGCTCCATCCTTGGAAGTCTATCCAGGAACACGCGCTGATACGTACCTAGGTAGGTTATGTCTTGCATAACTGCAGAAATCTGGGGCAAGTTCGGATCATGATCTGCTGTACAGCTCATTGTTCCTCTGCGCCCCCACCTTACGCCTTTTCCGCCTCAGCGTCGACCCCGTTGTCGTTGGCATGATTGTAGTTTACCAGGCATCCCGAATGATACGGGGGTGGACTGTGTGCACTCATTGGATGCATAGCTTGCCTACTTGGAAATTCATATGTTTCTGTGGCACCGCGAGTCGTGTAGAATGCAGGATAAGGCAAAATCAGGAAAGTGGAGTCTGGCGTACTAGCAGCGTAGGGAGCGGGTAGCAGGATAGATCGAGGGAATCGAGGGTGTCGAAACGTTGCTGAAGTTCCGCGATCACAGTCGAAGATGGCGAGGATGCTGGGTACCACCAGAAACGGCTGAAGATCCTCTCCTGCGACTTCAACAGCTCCACTAGCTCGGTGGTCGACGGTACTTGTCGCGTGGTAACGTCGTCGTCATAGCCAAGATCAGCCCGGACTTCCACAAGGACGAAGATGGGAATTGTGGTTCAGAGATACTGGTGTCGGAACCGGAAAGGGGGTCGAAGGTGAGCATGAGCTTACTGTCTTCACGGTCTGATGTACCTGATTCCAGTACCGACGAAGGGCGCAACGAAAAGCTATCCAAGCATTCTCCTCCCTTTCTCCTCGTTGCCCGTATCTTCTCCGCGGAATCGGAGTCCCGATCTTCGACGTTATACCGACTTGTAAAGTCTTCGGTCCGCATCAGGTCGATGGAGTTTGGTCTAGCTTGACGCATATGGGGGTGGCTGATGGGGGATAGATGAAGGTAGCCGGGGTCAGGACGTGACCTAGTCGCCAAAGATGAGGAGGACGAATAATTTGCTGTGGGCAAAAATTTCCGAAGCGAAGGTAAGCCACCTGCAATGTAGACAACCCTCAGAAAGTGAAGGATGCAGTTCTGCTCGTCAAGGACTTCGTCATGGTCCAGCACCAGCTTACGAGCCACTAGTAGCCGGTACAATTTGACTACTACGCGAACCCACGAACCAAGACCTGAAGAAGGACGCGAACCGTGGAGCGTTAGGTCTCGGGACTTACGAAGTACCTCAAGCCATACAACCGTGTCCATTGAATCAATGGTCTCAAGACTTGGGAAACAGATACTCTCCATAATAGTACGCCACGCTAGGGTCTTCTCGTAGTTGCCGATAAAGTAGGCGTGACGGCGTAAGCGGTGGGCGTAGGTCTTGCTGTAGGAGAGACAACAGCTAGAGGTGAGCAAATACAGGTCCTCAAAAAGGTGGTCTTCGAGCGCTTCATCTGCGACATCCGGAAAGAGCTCGAGGAACGTCTCGGTCGTGAACGGGAAGAAGTTCTCCCCCAGTTCGAAGCACTTGGACTGTAGTGGTTGAAAGGCACCAAGATGTACCCACATCAGTCGAAGCGTGCCATCGCTGGGCGATCGTGTGCACATGACATTGTCAGGCCGATAGTCCGTGTAATTCAAGCCAGCTAGTTGCAGAGACAGGGTGAGGTAGTTTGCACTTCTTAGAAGCGTACACGCCTCGTCTACGGTGCTTGGTACGAGCTGCTGGAGATCCACGGGCTGCACCCTCGCACGCTCGTGCTCATTGAGACGACTAACGTCGAGGACCTTGTTGAGCGGATAGCCCGAGATGCGCTCCATGACGATGGCGCCGAACTCAAAATGACGTCGTAGGTGAGAGAGCCGCTGAGGGGTTACCGTATTGCAGGCAGTGGTAAGGATGGCCTGGCTGCGCGGACAAGGTACGTCGGGTAATGCATCGACCAGCTCGAACATCGACTTTTCGTGCAGGAACATATTTTGCGATACGATCCAGAAAAGGCCTCGCGCTCTTCTTCTGTCGGTGTATCCATGACGCCAGATTGCACTAGACGACGGAGACAGTCTTTGTCTGTAAAGATCTTCTGATATAGGTTCCCGACCAGCCACTCTCGTCCGTTCTCATTTCGCGGCAATTCCGAGGCAAGACCGGCACACCAATCAGGCAGACTCGAAAGTGGGCGTAGGATCTCGTGACGGAGCTGGTCGAACTGACCGCTACAGATGTACCGCAGCATGCGAGTGGCGTTAGCGGGCGTGAAGATTGAGAGACCAGAGGAGTCGAGAGGGAGGCTGCATTGTTCCCGGAGTCGAAAGGAGACGCGAGGATCGAATGCCTTGACAACAAACACATCATCGCCCGACAGACAGCTAACGGAGGCGATGAAGACATGTGCCATCGAGTTATCGAGGGTCGAGAGGTGTTGCACCATCACCTCATTACCATCATGGTCTTGGAAGCGGAGCTCACGAGCTTCGGAGCTCTGCTTATTGCGCCTTTCGAGAGCATCGAGCGACGGATCCGAAGTAGCCGTGGACGGCTCGAACAAACGGAACCACGTCGAGACATCAACGTGGGCACCTGGAGAGTTCTGCATCTGTGGGAGGCAGAAATGATCGGGAGGCTGCCACCGATGAACACGTTGGCCTACCTCTGGGATTGAGACGGATTTGCGATAGGAGCGTTTGGGAAATGGGTGAAAGTCCTAGAAATCATGAATTATGTATACGCGAGGAGGAGGACCGCGTTGCCCAGAGAAAGAAAGACTTTTGGATCCAGGTAAATACCTAACTTATCTGAGTGGAGTAGTCTGAATGATTCATATTCATGACACTTTCCTGGTACTGGACATGCGATGAGTTCAGTCATCTAGTTTTTTTTTACTGAAGATAGCAAACCCTGAGGACGCATCGAGTCGTGTTAGAAGGGACATGAATAGGTATTGATAGAAGCCAGGCTCCGCATGGCAGGACGCTACACTGATCCGAAGGCCTGATGGAATCCGACGCCGATCATTCTGTCCTTCAATAAATGTCTGGAGAGAGGGCTCTGTCAAAAGCCAACATCAGTCATGTTTCGCAGACTCGAAACGTTGGAAGAAGTCCCAAAGTACATGTGACGCTGTCAAAAGGAAGTGCTTGTCTTGCGGAAAGTAGTGGGCGGATTCGGGATATTATTTCTGGGGAGCATGGTCAGCGCAAAGACTTCACCATAGACATTTGATTCACCGTTGCCTTGGCATCACGACGCGCCAGACGCAGTTGAACCCCAGGCGCGACGGAGTTGTTGGAACTTTTGACCCGCAGGCGGAATATCGTCCCAACTTCGACCTGGCAAACAGACAACGCTTGTACAGCATTGCCAGTGCAGGACCATTGCTAGCTTTTCAATGACTAGTCTTCAAGATTGCTGACCGCAAGCGATCTCCCTCTCTCTGGAGGCCAACAGTACTCCCCCGTCACTCTTTCAACTTGCCCACTCCGACTCGGTCTCCATCAAACCCGCATGTTACTCCTTCTCCTCCTCCCGCCGAAGCAAGACCACCGCTCTCAGCCAGCCTTCCAAGACTGAGAATGGCCTTCAGTTTCGCGAATGCGGCATCCGGCTCTTCGGGGTTCGGTACACCAAATAACGCAAACGGAGGGTCAAATGTCAAAGACGGAGCAGAATTGCAGGAAATCCAGACGAACGAGTTAGGTTTCGCTGCTCTTAATGGCGAAGCCAAGCTCCGGCTACTGCCTACGCCATGGCCGTCCGATGCACTTCCTCCGCCAACCTCGTCGCTTCTCAGCATCGCTTCAACAAAAGGACTTCTAGCGGCCGCCGGTCCTGACGCTTTGTACATCACGTCTACCGAGAAAGTCAGAACAGCATTCCAGTCTCCAGACCCGGCAAAGGACGAGAAAACAAGACCGTATACAGCGGAGATCAAGATACCGCAGGCTCGTCTGTCGCAGGTTGTCTTCTCAGCAGATGACAGTGTCCTAGTAGTCTCTGGCGAACAAGATGGAGGAGTGGCAGCTTTTCAGGTTGACAGTCTCATCAAGGGTCGACTGGACCCTGCCGTGCAAATACCCACGAATGGCCAGAGCCTGCGCGCTCTTGTCCCGAATCCGGTCCCTGAATCCGCTGAACTCTTTGCGCTCATTACCACAACCGGCAATCTGATGCTGCTCGATCTGAAGGCCGGGTCAATGAGGTCAGGGAGCAATGGTGTCGTTCTGAAAGACGGCGCGAGTTGCTTGTCATGGAGCAACAGAGGTAAACAACTGGTCGTCGGGTTGGCAGACGGCACAGCAGTGCAAATGAAACCTGATGGGACAGTAGTGGCACAGATTCCGAAGTCCACGTCTATTCCACCAGCTGTACATGTCTCCGGAATCTCGTGGCTTGAGAACGACACATTCTTGGTGATCTACACACCCAATGACACCAGTGATGGTATTCAACCGTCAGATTACTATATCGTCAACCGAGAACCGAAAACCACAAATTATACCTTTCAGAAACTGCCCGAGGTACTGGCCCCCTTCGGTGTCGAACGACTGCCATCTACACATTTCATTTCCAGGCTGAGGAGTTTCCCACCCCAACTGCAAGATCTCCTCATAGTCACAGCCACAACAGCTACCGATGTCGGTCTGCTTTCAAAATCGGACAAACCACTATCGCAGGAGGATCCGATCACATCGGCTTTTACCTTCACGACGATAGAGGACGATACGCGTCGTGCCCAACTACCGTTGACCCCGGATATGCAAGATACCTCGCCCATAGGTATGGCTGTGGATTTATCCAGCACGGAGAAAGTTCCAAATCCCATTCCGTCCGAGGCGGAGATCCTCGAGACAGCAGGCCCTGTGCCTAGCTTGGTGGTATTGAACAACGAAGGGATACTGGTAGGATGGTGGATCATTTACAACGATTCAGTCCGTCAAGGGACCACTTTCCCTGGCCTCGCAGCTACACAAGCTGCTAGAGGATCCACCACCACAATCGAGCCTTCTTCCTCTACCACTACTCCAGCACAACCTAGCAAGTCTGAGCAGACGAGCAATACAAATCCCTTTGCACAACCTTCGGCGTCCAGCTTCCCTGCTTCAAATGCTCAACCCAACAACTCTGGATCAACAAGCACTGCAAGCCCCTTTCTCAAGTCCTCAACGCCAACTTTTGGTAATGCGTCTGCGCCGACTGGCTTCGGCGTGCCAAATGCTAAGCCATTTGGTACTTCATCACCAATTGCGGCCGACAAACCTTCATGGGCTTCTACTGGATTTGGTGTTGGTAGTAGTGCTGCATCGAGTGGCCCGGCCTTCGGAAAGCCATCTTTTGGCGCAGCGACACCCATTGGGGCAAAGCCAACCCCAACGTTTGGATCAGCTAATGCTCTTGGAAGTCGGATACCGACTTTAAGTCAGCCTTCGAGCATGAGCGGCACCACGACGTTTGGTCAGCCAAGTCCAGCTGGCGTTGGCTCATCTGCCAGTCCATTCGCCCGTTCTGGTGACGCATCCAACGCTTCAGGTTTTGCGTCGTTCTCCAAAGCGGGCGGCTTCTCTTCCTTTGCTAGTGGCAATGCGGACAAGAAAACTCAGAGTCCATTTGGTTCGGCAGGTGGAAAGAGTCTGTTTGGTGAACAACCGAAGAGCACTTTTGGCGCAGACAAGCCTACTGCATCACCATTTGCAGCGAGCAAGCCTGCTGATGGCCAAAGTACCTTCGGTAACGCTGGCGCTTTCAAAGTGCAATCATCATTTCACGGTGATGAAAGTGCCAAAGACGATCTTCCAAAGCCCAAAGAGTCGAGCGGGTTTGGTTTCGGCACCTCTCTCGGCGACATCCTGAACAAACCCAAAGGCGCATTGTCGCCTACACATGATAAGGAAGCTGACATGGACGACGACAGCCCCCTCAGCGAACCTGACTCAGAAAAAGAGGAGACCCCGGCCAGACCTTCGCAAAGCTCCTTTCAACCTCCACAGAGTTTAGTTACACCTCCTGCCACCCTCTCTCAGCCGAAGACTACACCTGCGCCGCCTGTCTCAAGTCTTTTCGGCCAAACTCCTCAAGACACTAAAACTCCACAGCCTCAGGCGACGACCCCAGCATGGTCCTTTGGGGCCAGGCCGTCTACAACACCAAAAGAGACACCAGCGCCCGCGCACGCGCCCATCTTCGGTACTAAAAGTGCTACGGATGAGACACCCGCTGCAGTTCAGAAGAGCGTGCCATTTAAGCCATTTGCTAACGTGCAGGAAGCGCCAAAGATTAAAGAAGAACTGCCAAGTGATGAAGAATCGGTCGATCTGAAAAACATACCGGAGGCACCTCTCCCGCCCGATCCTGAGAGCAAACCACGGTTTGCGTCCGGGGATGCTTCCGGGTCTTCACATGGCTCCAAAAGCTCGCCAGAAGATGCCCCATTACCGCCGGCCTTCCTTCCTGTTCCGAAAGCCGGCCACGACGAAGATGAGCAGCAGGAGTTGCCGAGTGATGAAGAGGATGAAGAGGATGAAGAAGAAGATGACTTCAGTTCCGATTTTGAAGGAAGTGCTGAAGATGTCACAGGCGAGCTTAGTCCCGAGGACGAAGCAACGGCCGAGCAACACGACCAAGTTCAGACCTCTCCTGAAAGTTCGTTCAAACCTGACGGCAGAAGTCCTGAAACGAGCCCCACTGGAGGTTTGTTCACCAAGGACACTTCGAAAGGGATTCCCCAGAAATCTGCTCGACCGCTATTTGGTGAGGTCGGTACTGCACCGGTCTTTGCTCCACCCAAACCGCAACAAAGTCCTCGCTCCCCGAGCCCAGTAAGGCATCTCTTGACAACAGAGGGGCTGAGGGTCGATCCATCCAGATCTGTCAGCGCACCAGCTCACCACAGCTCTATCGTGGACCAGAGAAAAGCCGAGTATCAAAAATCCGCGCTTGCTGCTCAAGCTGCGAAGACGAAGGAAGGGGAAGCAGTGAAAGAAAAGGCTCGACGCGAAGAGATTGCCCGCCAAAAGGCACAAGAGGAAGCTGAGCAGCTCCAGGCTCTTGAAGACGATGAAGACGAGAGACTACGACAGGAGCTTGAGCGACCGATCTCACCAACACAGGATCTGGATGACTTCATTACGTACCAGCCGAAACCGCAAGACGAAACCACGAAGACCGGAATTCCGGCACAAATTGAGAGACTCTACTCGGACGTCAACTCGATGGTTTACACTTTAGGCATCAATTGCCGCTCCTTGTCAGCCTTTTTGCAATACCAACAACCTGAAGCTACCAATAAGTCTTGGCCGTCAGTCTTGGAGTCCGAAACACCTATGGATGCTCTGAACGATGAGTGGCTCTTGACCGATATCTCACGACTTCACGAGGGACAGGCGGCGCTCTCCAAGCTCCTCGCCGAAAGCCAGGTTGACGATTTTGGTGGAAAAGTCCAACAGTGTCAAGCGCTCATTGGCCGCGACTTGTTTGAGCTGAGGACGAAGCTCACATCGATACGCAAGACCGTACATGCTCTATCCGCCTCCGACAGTGCCATTAGTGCGCCGCTATCTGCGGAACAGTCCTCTATCCAGCACGATCTCCGCAAGTCTTTCACTTCGGTCCAAACCAAGCTTGTCCAGGTCGAAGATTGTATTTCCATACTCCGAGCCAAGGTGGCTCAATCTGCGCCAACAGAAACAGGCAACAGACGTGATAGTATGATTGGGAGAACACCGTCACAGAAAAAGCCGACTGTTGAAGCTGTAACGAAGACGGTGGGGAAAATGATGTCAATGGCAGAGCAAAAGAGTGCAGATGTTGATCTTCTTGAGGCTCACCTGAAGCGATTGGACCTGTCCCTAGCATCTTCCAGTAACGGCAATGGCGATGTGGTGAACAACTCGATCACCGTGACAACACCACTGCGGCTCAGACGCTCAGTCGGTGGTAGCAGTCCATCGAGCATCTACCATACTCCAGATTCCAAGTTCGGCGGCAGCACTCGCTCTAATAAGAGCTTCAGGATAAGCCAGAATGGGGGACTCGCTTTGATATCAGCAGAGGACAAGGAGCGATGGCAGGCTCAAGCACACCGTCGCAAAGAGGCTGCAGACGTGTTGAAGAGTGTTCTTGAGCAAAAGCGGAGAAAAACAGCGGCTAAGCGATGAGACCGCTTTGTATGAGATTGGCAACCCACTTTTGAGTTATGAAGCCAGGTCTTTGGAAAAGACCTCTCAAAAGAAGTCGGTCCTTTGTGTTACCTAGCGTTATCGATGTATGAGATAGCAGAAACCGAATGACTGAGGCGCCGTGTGGAAGCACCAAATTAATTGTAGATGATCGATTAGTACCTAACTAGGTGACAAGGGGTGCAGGGCGCTGTGTCACGTGGAACATGGACCTCCTCTTGGCTGCCAGTGAAATGATCAAATCTCGCTCCTCCTTCCCCAAATTCCAAACGAAAGAAGGCGGTCGCGTTTTCAAGTTTGACAGAAAGTCTTGGTCAAACGAGGAGTATCCTTCGACTCGACTTCGTTGTTGCTCTTTGCCCTCTCCTTTCATCTTCTCTATCTCATTGTTGAGCACACCTGCCACCCAACCGTCGACATCATCTGCGGTTTCAGCGCTCATACTTCTCATACTCTTGTTGAACCCTGCCTGTCTGCAGTGTGGTGGCAGCTGTCAACACCAGGCCTGAGACCTCAAACCTCCCACGCCTCTTAATCCAATCCTTGCAACTGCACTACACTTGTCTTCTCTCTTGCTTCAAAGACACCTAGAAGCCATCCGAGTTAAGTGCAGATTCACCCTTTACCTGCTGGGATACGGAGATCGGGAATACCCTCAAGGCGTTGCTTTACTCCAACTTTCACCTCCTCTTCCTCCTCGTTCACCACCTTCCTACACCTACGACCACAACGTTGAAGAACATTTCTGCACCCGCCTGCATTCAGAGCCTGACCTCCTTTCCCTGCACCTCTTGCAAGGTTTCCAGAGCACGCAGCTTTCCTCAGTCTGTTACCACTCCCAGCACGAAAACTCCATCACCGTCCATTCACAAGTCTCCTTCGTCGCGTTTGGCACCAAGAATCCCCAGCCTGCACCAGCAAGTTTTCTTTCGACACCCCTGGTGTACATAAGAGCAAAAGAGAACAATAATAAAGACCTTGACCTGAATTTGTCCCTCTGGGTGTGATTTCCAAGTCACGCGACATGTCTGCATCACCCACGTCGACCACCGCAATGTCTTCAGCGAAGCGACCCCTGGAAGATCCCTCCTCCCCATCGGCCCCAACTGACCTACCAGAAGCAAAACGGCCAGCTCTTGATAAGGTGGTCAAGGAAGAAACTGCAGTGGAAGGCTCTCACTCAATCGACGGTGCTGTTGCTGAGAGCACAATACCCAGAGAAGAGCATGCTTTACCTGCACCAGTCACAAACGGAGCTACCGTATCACACGCAGAAGTCCCTGCTCTGCCAGCAGCAAATGGAGGTGCATCCTTGCCACCTGCAGATGCCCTGCCCCTTCCTTCTACAGCATCCCAGTCTGAGCGAGCTACGTCTCAGGCGCCTTCTACGACTCCACAGGATGAGACGAGCTGGATTCACATTCGTGCTGTAATTTCAAGCGCAGAGGCTGCAACCTGCATTGGAAAGGGTGGCGAGAACGTCACGCAGATTCGAAGACTTGCCGGTGCAAAATGTACCGTCAGTGACTATTCTCGCGGCGCTGTCGAACGGATTTTGACAGTTAGTGGGGCCCAAGACGCCGTTGCGAAGGCATTCGGTCTCATCATTCGCACTTTGAATAACGAACCGCTTGAAGCCCCCTCCACGGCGCAGTCCAAGACCTATCCCTTGCGACTACTCATTCCACATATCCTTATTGGGTCGATCATTGGCAAGTCTGGTGTTCGTATTCGAGAAATCCAGGAGGCTTCTGGAGCTCGACTGAATGCATCTGACACATGCTTGCCACTTTCCACTGAACGGTCCTTGGTGGTGTTGGGCGTTGCCGATGCTGTTCACATTGCTACATACTATGTAGCTGTGACGCTGGTCGAGCAGCTGACGGAACGATTCGGCGGTCCCGCTGCCTCGGCCTACGCAACCAGGAGTGGTGGTCCTGCTGGTGTCGTTCCTGGTGGCATGCAGGTGGTGCCATATGTACCTCAACCTGCCGGAGGTCAATATGGCCATCCTGACATGTACAAGAGACACAACACCCAGCCGCCTCAGCGTATGCCACCACAGCCTTATGGTGCTCCTCAAATGCACATGCCTCCTCAGCAACCATATGCTCCCAACGCCGCACCTTATGCGGCCACACCGCGCACGCCCAGTTATGGCGGCGCCATGCCTCCTCAGCCAGCGGCGGCGGCCTATGGACAAATGCCACCTCAACCAGGGCCACATGGCCAACCAGCACAACCAGCTCACGCCATTCCGGGCCAGCCCATCACACAGCAGATATTCATTCCCAACGACATGGTCGGAGCTATCATCGGCAAAGGCGGCGCCAAGATCAACGAAATTCGGCACCTCAGTGGCAGTGTCATCAAAATCAATGAACCTCAAGACAACAGCAATGAACGATTGGTCACTATCACCGGGACGCAAGAATGCAACCAAATGGCCTTGTACATGCTGTATTCGAGATTGGGTGAGTCCAAAACGTGAACAGTCACAGCTTCAAACGGGGACAGGCTAACAATGAATGTAGAAAGTGAAAAGCATCGCATTTAGGTCAACGACTCCGGATGTTGAGCCCGGTATTCTGCTAGGCTTCTTTGTGGAGGACGATACTTGATTCTTCGGGGAACAGGGGACTGCTGGAGCTGGGACGATATGATGAAGGTCAAAGTCGTTGCATCATGTTGCCATGATGGGACAGTGGATCGAGAATGAAAAGTAGTCGAGTGATTTTCAGCAGGCCGAATCAATCGTCCTGGGTCAGAGATGATAATTCCTCGGCCAAATTAATACTTGTATCATCATAGATTGCCTTATCAAAAATCCATTCGCCTTGCTTTCAAGCACCTCATTCTATGGGCACGTGTATTGTATATTCGCCGCCGAGTGCGGAAAACCACTGTCTGGCCCATTGTGGATCTTGACCGTTCAATTGGCTCAGCAGTTGCGGGGAAAAAGAATTGCTTGTGCTGCCGTCGTGGAGGCGAGGCCAAAAATTTCCGCAAATTCATTTATGGTGATTTGCTGAAACAGAAGAGTTTTCTCTTTACCATACTCGACGTTGCTCTTGCTTATTGATCTCGAAACTCAAACACCATGGCGTCGACACATCACCAGCAGCCCCCTTTCCGGGCCGAGCATATGGGATCCCTCCTCCGACCCCAGAAGCTGTTGGATGTAAGAGCGACTATCCGCGACAAGAACATCTCTCCCGAGGAAGCTGGACTTCCTGCCGTTGAGAAGGAAGCTGTTGCACAGATCGTCAAAACCCAGCGCGAGTTGGGGTTCAAGGGTGTGAACAGTGGAGAGTTTAACCGCACTCGGTTCTGGGGACTGTTCTGGGACGAGCTCGACGGAACGATACGTCTACAGGATGCAGAGGCCAGCATGTTCCGACTGTACCACCCGGACGTGGTCAGTCTGATTGAAAAGGACCGAAAGGTCATGCCTGGAGACTCTGTCATTGCTGGAAGCAAGATCCGCCACAATGGTACCGAGTCAAATCTCCATGAGCTCAAGCTGGTGCAAGCTTCTGTTCCCAAGGAGGAATGGGGCAACATCAAGCTTACCATGATTACACCTTCAGTAAGTGTTTGCGAACATACTGACTCGGGGTGGTTGTATGCATTGTTGTCCAACTGACTGTGGCTAACTCGTGGGTTTTTAGTGGTTCCACATGAGGTACAAGCAAGGCCGAGCATACAAGTCGGAAGCATACCAGAATGAAACCGAATACTTCACGGATGTCGCTGCCGCCTACTCACGAGAGTTGGAGGTTCTGTACGAAGCTGGTCTCCGAAATGTACAATTTGACGACCCCAACCTTGCTTGTGAGTATCAAAAAATCCCCTCTTGACGTTAAAGATGGAAACTGATTGTCATGACGCAAAGACTTCTGCTCCACTGCCTTCCGAAAAGGCTGGGAAGAAGACAAGGACAACGACGGCACGGTCGACGACCTTCTTGACTCCTATATCAAACTATACAATGACTCGATATCCAAATGCCCGGCAGACATGCACACGGGAGTCCATCTTTGCAGAGGCAATTTCATTGGAGGCAGACATTTCTCCGAGGGATCTTACGATATCATCGCCAAAAAGCTGTTCGAGAACCTCAACGTCAACACTTTCTATCTGGAATACGACACCCAGCGAGCAGGCGGCTTCGAGCCCCTCAAGTATCTGCCTAAGAACAAGAATGTCATCATCGGCTGTATCAGCACGAAGCTGCGGGAACTGGAGGACAAGGAGAAGGTGAAGGAGAGAATCTACAAGGCTGCCGATTCCATTGCGGAAGGATCTGGCCAGTCACAGAAAGAGGCATTGAAGAGAGTCGGTCTCAGTCCTCAGTGTGGTTTCAGTACCCATGAAAGCGGATATCCGCTGAGTGATGACGACCAGGCGGCCAAATTGACTTTGGTGCGAAAGATCGCCGATGAGGTCTGGGGAGAGCCTTGATCTGTGTAAGAAGTATGAGCACCCTAAGAGCTTGCATGAAAGAGTGAGTATGTTGTCCGCCAGTGGCTTTTCAACAAAAGCTGGATTAGACAAAATGATTGGTCGCTTCGATTGGGTTTCAACACGATATCCCACGGAGTGATAAATGGGATCGGGTTATCTTTATATATCTTACCAAGTACGGTATCCGAGCAGTGAATGAAAGCAATGATCACGATGATCGTGGATGGAGGGGATGGCAACGTTCACGAGGACAAGCCTATCCCTCTAAGAATCTCGGATGGATGCCGAGTATTGCCTCCCGGGAAGAGCTGCACCGAGCAAGACTTAAGCCGAGAGACGCCAATGCCTTGGCCCTACCCAAAGGATGTGACAGGACTTCGGTAACTGGACGGTTTTCCCCCAATCCCCGCTATTCATCTGCCCCAAGCACCTTCGCAACCTCTTGACCCCCACAAAGCTCTTCGGAATCATTCCATTCTTCAACCTGGCGGGAGAACTTGGTCGGACTTCGAGGCGACTGCTCAAGCCATATGGACATGACAAGACGTCTGCCATCTCTGCTACCTGGTCAAGCTGGGCAAGCTGAACCAACCACCTCATACCGTACGGTCGAAACGCCGTCTTTGGCCGTCGGCATATGAGTGATCATGTGGACGCCGTGCTTTCGTGACCTCCAGCTCCTTGTAAAATGGACAAGCATATCGCGGGGCGCCCCAGTCATTGACCGCTCCAGCTCGCCCCAAACATGGAGTCGTTGCTTACCACCCCGCGCGTTTCCATAGACGTGATCAACCCAAGGACTGCATGTTCGGCGCTTGAGCCGACGGGCGATGGGATATATCCACGGCTGATCACTCCTCTCGAGGACATCCCTTTCTCTTCCACTGTTCTTAGCTTCTGAGCGACCGGAGACCCCAGCGTGCTTCGCGACACCTAGGACTTCTTCTAAGGCTTCTAGGATAAGGACTACTGTCAAGATGGCAGGCTCAATCTGGTATACGTTGGGTATAAGTGTCTTTGCCGCGATAGGCACCTTCCTCTTTGTATGATCGCCCCTCTCCGACCGCTGGCGCACTTGCTCATGACGACCACAGGGTTTCGATACTGGCATTGCCACGACAAGTGCGTTTGAAAATCCATGCCCTGTAGCATCATCCCGCACCAGACTGACAGACGTGTTTAGCCATTGCACACGCCAGCTTTACTGACTACATGCACCATCCCAACAAAGGCTTGACTGGCGCGGTAAGCATGGCCTTATAGATCCTGTGGAGACACCGTCGACTAAGTGTTCTACCAGGTCGTATCCGTATATATCGCCGGCGAGGCTGTGGGAGCTCTCACCCAGACCTTCATCGGCGATAAACTCGGCCGCATCCGATTCATGCAGCTCATGTGCGTGGTCGTCACCATCGGCACTGTGATACAGACAGCGGCCGTCAACATGGGCATGTTCCTTGCTGGTCGTGTGTTGGCTGGATTCTCTGTTGGGTATGTATGCCATTGTCTCAAAGAGGGTCTGGAGTTGTCAAAAACTGACTATCTGGTCTCACAGCGGCCTCGTCGCCACAGTTCCCATCTACCTCAGCGAGATCTCTGCTCCTGCAAACCGAGGCCTCATCGGCGGCATCTCCGGTTGCGGTATCTCACTGGGAACAATGGTGTCCAATTGGGTAGGGTTCAGCTGCAGTTATGCGCCCTACGGTACGACGCAATGGCGCCTGCCACTCGGTGTTCAGATCCCTTGGGGTATCATCCTTTTCATCGGCCTAGCGACATTCATGCCCAATTCTCCGCGACAGTTGATTCGCAATGGCAAGATCGAAGAGGCACGTCTGCAGTTTATTCGCATTCGTCGCGATCTCTCGAGTCATGAAGTCCACGAAGAGTTCGCCCTCATGCGTGGCCAGATCGAGTTCGAGATGCACAGAGAGATCAAGTCCCTTGCCGAAGTCTTCAAGTTGTTCCGGCACAGAGCGCTGGTGTCGATTGGCGTACAGACTATGACGAGCTTGACTGGCGTGAATGTCATACAGTATTACCAGACCATTCTCTTCAAGTCTTTGGGAATCAGCAGCCACATGATCCTCGCTCTGGCCGCCGTTTACGGAACACTTGCCTTTCTATCGAATGTGCTCACCACGAGATTCCTTGCTGACCAGTGGGGTCGTCGTAAGATGATCCTGGCTGGATTGACGGGCATTATCATCATCGAGATCTATGCGTCTGTCATGCAGCTTGAGTTCCAGAACACGGAGAATAAAGTCGGCAAGGGGTTCGCGGTGCTGGGTATCTATCTGTTTGTCGTGACATACTATGGCATGTTGAACAGTACGACCTGGCTTTATGGAGCAGAGGTGTTGCCTATTGCTTTGCGCTCAAAGGTCATGGGTCTGGCCGCTGCGTCGCATTTTATCGTGAACGTCGGAAGTAAGTATCTTTCCCAACGGCATTGCCTCTTACAAGGCTTGTCAGGCTTCAAGACTCGGGCTGACTCTTCCTTCCGCCTCCAGTCACCGAAGCTGGTCCTTCAGGTATGTGATTACACAAACCAGTTTAGGTATTGTTCGGTTCGGTTGTGGCTCTAACAGATTTGTTAGCTTTCGCAACGATCAAACAGAATTACTACTACGTCTTCGTGGGGTGCTCGACGTTCTTCCTCGTCATGGCATACCTGTATTTCCCGTGAGTCTTTCCGGTTCTCCTCCCGAGCAAGGTTCTGCTGCTTGAGTAACGGTGATACTGACGATTGATCGCAGAGAGACAAAGCAGAAGACATTAGAGGAGATTGCGGCCGCGTTCGGCGACAAGGTCGTGTTGCTGGACGAAAACGAGGTTGTAGTCGAGGGGGCTGCTATGCAAGATAAAGTCGATGCTGTGCAGGTTGAGAGTGCGCCCACTGTGAAGGTTCAGCACACTTGAGCCTGGAGGTCGTTTGTCAGGAGGAACGGATGCATAAGAGGGTCGTGGTGGCGTGCGATGATTGAATGTCCACATGGTATGCAATGTGTCTTGCGTATGGGAGTAAACCCCTGCTACATAGGTGTCCTTTCTTCCGCCTATGATCTGCCCTGAATCACGCCACTCCGGTAGACTTGCATACCGGTAGACATTCTATAGAGCCTGATGAGCGCATACATATTGTGAGGATTTGTCTATCGACAGGTCCCAATGAAAGCGAGGATCTCCCTCGCTGTAATTTCAGGCTGCTCTTCAGGCACGAAATGACCACAGTCCTCGACGATGACAAGTTTGGACCTGGACTGGACCTCCGCCTCGGCTATGCCCAGAACAATCTTCATCGCCGAGCCCATGGCTTTCTCCCCGCCGATCGCGAGCACAGGCACGTCAATCTTGACCTGACTGAACTCGTCCACGTACTGTCTCGCACTTCCCGCAAAGGCGCGGTAGTAATTAAACCCGTTCGTCATGGCGCCAGGCTTGCTGTAACTCGCGACGTAGTGGTCGCGTTTCGCGCGCGTGATGCGCTCCGGGTGCACGCACTTGAGGTCGAAGAACCAGTCGAGCAGTTGGCGCTCTTTGCCTGCAGTCAAGATCTCGGGTAATTCGGGGAGAGCGTTGAATGAGAACTGCCATAGGCGGAGATTTGCTGCGTCGGGGAGCGGGTATTCGAGTGGGGGAAGTAGGCCTGGGATGCCGGCGTCGATGAATGTCACGCTCAGGAGCGACTTGGGGAATTGACATGCCCATGCGTATGCGATCCAGGCTCCAATGTCGTGTGCGATGAGGTGGTATTTGGTCTGGTCGCCTAGTTCGGCGCTCACGGTCGCGGCGAGGATATTGCTGATGGTCTTGGTCGTGTAGTCTTTCGGACTGGGCGCGGAAGAGCCCAGGCCTGGTGGGTCGAGGATCAGGACGTGGTGGTCTTGGGCGAGTAGTGGAAAGACTTCGGCGAAGGATTCTGCTGTTTGGGGCCAGCCTGCCAGACAGATGATGGGACCGCTGGTGCCCTTGTTGGCGCCGCCTGTTAGGGCGTGGATGCCGTTAGTGAGGGACTTGCTGGTATATGTCGGGTGGGACATCGTGAGTGGCAGATGAGTCTGTCTTCGATGTGTTTGTCATATTGGGATCTGGTGTGCTGGCTTTTATCGTGTTGAACGGTGAGTTATGAGTCATGTACTCGACACGGTCTGGAAGACGAGCTTTGTACGATCTGTGCATATTCAGCTGCTTGACAAGATCCACGATCTGCGCGGTGTGTTGCAAAGTTAGTAATTAATCATCCCTTTGGACTTGCGGGTTCTGCGGGTGTTGCGGAAAGTTTGCTGTCGAATTGTACGAAACGGCTCCACAGCCTCGTCGACTCCATACCTGCTTCATTTGCTCATATACCACGGGCCAAATTCAGATTTGCCCTCTTGGGAAGATTGTAAGTAACCCTACCCACTCACAAGCCATCGACCAATCTGCAGTCTTGAGTAAGGGTGCTTTCAGTGGGGACAAAATTATCAACCAAGATCCCAGAGCGGACGAATGACCAGGCTCGGCTTTGCCCAAATGCCAAATAGCTTTTGAGTGGCTTTTGAGCTGTTGAGAAGCTTGAGCATGTTGCTGCTGTTGGAGGTCGTAGTACGGTTGAATCGCTTATTGACTGGTTTCCACTTGGGGCTATCCGTTTGGGTGAACAGGTCAGACACTTCCGTGGATGGGCGCCATACACCATTCCATTACCAACATATCTTCTCTGCCTCAGGGCCTTCAAGCCGGGTGGTGGGATGTTGATCGTGTATGTCGCCGGGCGTCACTTCATTCGTGAACCTTACCTATATCACAATGGACGGCCAGATATGAATCTGGCCAAGTTCGCCGAGAGAGCTCTTGTGTACTGGTTTGGATGATCACACGAGCCTGTCGCCAGATGTGATGAAGTCTGAAAAGAAATGCATTTTCTGTACATACGGCCGCTCGGCAGCCGATAGCTCCTTACACGAACTTTCCTTGAAGCAATAACACCATATTGAGCTCCGTCTATTTTCCTTTCGAAACCACATCCTCAATCCTTTTTCGTGTCTCGTTGGCGGTCTCATCAGCCCAGTGCGTCGCCTCCTTCGCGATCCCTCTTGCTTGCCGGTATGTGTCCTTGGCAATGCTGCTAAGTTGAAGGTGTGTTTCTGCGACTGCGGGTACTCTCTTTTCATATTCCCAGATCAAATTAGACGTATTCTCCATGGTGACCGGAATCAAGAACCAGCCTGCCGTGATACCCACTGCCAATGGGAAGCTGGCTCTGATCAAGATATTCCGGTTGCGCGATACTATTGAGCCGGCAAGAGTAGCGACCAGAACGTAGATTGCTCCGGGTAGTAATTGCTCTCCAGTTTCGGCTTTTGGTGCTAAAGATGCAATGGTGTTGGCGAAGTTTGTTTCTTTCTTGAATGCCCACGTCAGGAAGTCGTTGACGGAGTTCTCGGCCAGGAGCGAATGGTGGTAGAGGAAGACCCTAGCATTCTTGACTTGCTCGGTCAATCGGTCTGTTGGGGTGGGAGAAGTCGGGTGTGGTTTGGAGTCCGTTGCTGGAGTTGATGGAATCGTGGGAGCTGTAGGTGTGGCAGGATATGATGAGTAAATGGGTTTCTTTTCTGGGAGCTGCGGAACGTTAGAAGACGTTGTCTGCGCGGGGGGGAAGTCGTACTTGTTCTTTCGAAGGAGCTTCTGCGAAAGCTGTTCGGACTTGCAGAGGTCCTTGAGTCGCCGCGGCGCCTCCGAGTACTACGAGCGCGGCTCGCCTCGACTAGACACTGTTAGCGATGGAGGATTGACCCTACTGAGGTTGCTTACAGCTCGCAGCATCTGTATACGCGCCATGTTGGCAGCAATTCAGGTGTTATCGCTGCTGGCGCAATCCGGGGGAACTTTCAAAAAGCATGCAACATGCAACTCGATTCTCCAATACGAGTAAATTGACTTAGAGCTGCTCGCGGAGAATCGGCCTTGGCCTACAGTAAACCGTGCCGCTTTAAAAAATCAGCTACACCTTGTTCTCACTACCAGGTACCTAGCACCCACCTCCACATACGCTTCATGTCACCCTCACCTCATCCTTTTCCGCAAGCAATCGAGGTAGTCGAGGTATCTGAAGATGTGAGTGCCGTTGACATGCACCCGTACCACCAAGGAATGTACCTAAGGAAGAGCAATATATGACGGTAGGGCCCAAGGCAGGTAGCGTTGAAATTCGAATTGTGCATGCACAAATAGTCGCAGCACAGGCAGCACCTGCTGGAATGTGTCAGCGTCTTTGTATTCAAGAAGCACCACAGAATACAATACAACACCTGAGTCTATCGCAGAGACCTCCAGAACACCGAGACCATACGACCACTCTGCCTTCAGTATGTATATTCCACAGTACACTGCTGCTGGGATCCTCAATAACCAGATCGGAATTGAGGGTCTCCAATTCGTCGAGCGTTTGCCCCTTCCAGCCATTAAAGAAGATGAAGTCCTGGTAAAGATCCACGCCGCGTCACTTAACTATAGCGACTTGATGATCGCAGCGGTAAGAGGTCCCCGCTGCTCCATAACCCTGGGGCCCTGAAGCAAGATCACGCCCAGGGCGGCCCTGGACTGACAATGGGCAAAAAGAGACTTGTTCTTGGATCGGATGGAGCTGGCGTGGTCGGAGCTGATTCAAAGTCACTTCTTTTCACCTGGGACAGTGTGTTTGTACACATTTGACCTGCGGGCTAGCAGAGGCCGATCTACCTGGGGTTGATGATGTGGGTGCATGCCTTGGTCAGACTGTGGACGGAACACTCCGGCAATATGGCGTCTTCCACGAAAAATCTCTGGTCAGCATGCCTTCCAACCTCACCTTTCTGGAGGCTGCCACATTGTCATGCTCTGGCCTGACAGCATGGAATGCCCTCTTTGGGCTTGAAGGCACGTTGCCAAGGACTGGGGGCACGATTGTGGTGCAGGGCGCTGGCGGTGCGTCGATTGCTGCTTTACAGGTGTGCTACACCGCATTGCAACCCACCTCATGCCTCAAATCTTCCAGCACTGCAAAGGACAGTCCTGACAAGACTTCTAGTTCTCACTTGCCGCAGGGGCCACTGTAATTGCGACCACCAGTACGGAAGAAAAGGCAAGCAAGCTGAAAGCCCTGGGCGCACACCATGTGGTCAACTATCGAGAAACACCTGATTGGAGTGAACGTGTTAAGGCCCTCACACCAAATGGCAAAGGCGCTGACATAGTTGTGGACGTCGGTGGAGCTTCTACCCTTCGACAGTCAATGGAAGCCGTTCGCCGCGACGGATTGATTGCAGCCACAGGAGTTTTCGGACAGGCACCAGACGGCAGGGTCTCATCGCTACTGGACTGTATATTCTGTTACTGCACTGTCCGTGGTTTCTTCCTAGGTTCCAGAAAACAGTTTGGCAACATGAATCGTTTTATTGAGACACATGACATCAAGCCTGTCTTGGACCAGAAAACATTTGAAATGGCTTCAGTAAAGGAAGCATTCACCTTTCTGCAAGAACAGAAGCACTTCTCGAAAATTGGTATCTCGCCTTATTAGAAAGAGGCAGGTCAGAGGATAAGGTGGATCGAGCGTCGATTGAATGAGAACTCCGTCAATGAAATGTGATAGAGACCGGTGGCCTGACTACTAAGCCAGCGATAATAGATAAAAGTGTTGCCACCCCTTTCGGCTTCCCAATTGAATCTTACCTTGCTCTGCTGCCTATTCCTTTCGAGACCTTCACCATTCTACACTACAAGAACTTTCAAAATGGCGCCGGAGGCATTGACATTGGAAGAGGGTCGAAGTCAGCGAGGTCAATATCGCATCTTCGCTCTCCTCTCAGTTCTGTATGCTGCCCTGTTCATCTCGGCTGTCAACACGACCATCATAACGACAGCTCTCCCAATAATCGCAAAACATTTCCATTCTACGACAGGTTATACTTGGGTTGGCGCTGCATATGTCCTGGCCGACACAGCATCTGGTCCAGTATGGACCAATTTTTCGGATATCTGGGGACGAAAGATTATCTTCCTCGTGGCCGTCGCCCTTTTCATGGTTAGCTCTCTGATATGCGGACTCTCGACAAGCATGGCCATGCTCATTGGAGGACGTGCGCTTCAAGGTGCTGCAGCTGGTGGCATAATGTTGTTGGTCACTGTTGTTATAAGCGACATGTTCGACATGAGGCGACGAACTCTCTACCTGGGCATTTGTGATGTTATATGGGCCATCTCAGGAGCTGTTGGTCCCATTATCGGAGGAGCTTTCGCCGAGTATACCTCGTGGAGGTGGATATGGTCAGTCAACGTTCCTCTTTAAGGCCCGAATGCAACGTTCACTAACGCGGGTCAGGTATACAAACCTTCCCATCACTGCTGTCACATTCCTCGTCGTGTGTCTTTTCATGGATGTGCACAACCCCAACACTCCAATATGGCGTGGTCTAAAGGCCGTCGATTGGCTAGGGAGCATGGCACTGCTGGCGGTCACGCTGATGACTCTCCTCGGCCTCAACTTTGGCGGTGAATCGACGGACTGGACATCTCCTAAAGTTCTTGTCCTGATCGTCGTCGGTGTGGCTCTTTCCACCGTTTTCTTCCTCGTTGAGGCCAAGTACGCCAAGTATCCCATCATGCCACTCCACGTCTTCAAAAACCGCTCCAATGCTGCAACAATTGCGGTCGGGGCTCTTCATGCATTTGTAAGTGTCTGGCTGCATTCATGCGACCGCCCTGCTAACTTTTTTGTAGGCAATGATGGGTCCAGAATATTATCTTTCCCTTTATTTTCAATCAGCCAAGCTAGCGCAGCCTCTGCGATCTGGTCTTCTAGGCCTTCCATTCGTGTTCTTGGAAGGTATAGGTGGCATTGTCAGTGGGCTGATGATTCATCGCACGGGTCGATACAATGCGCTGCTTTGGGTGGGCGCAGCTTCAATGACATTGGGCTTTGGGCTGTTGATCGACCTCAAATCCTCGACTGATCTTGTCAAGATAATCATTTACCAGTCAATCGGTGCACTGGGATCCGGAATACTCATTCAGCCACCGATGATTGCCATTCAAGCGAACGTGTCACAACAGGAGACTGCCGCAGCCACGACCACGCTAACATTCATGCGTGGACTGGCCCAGGCAGTGTCTATCGTTATTGGCGGTGTCGTTTTCCAGAGTTCTATGGATGCTAAACAAGCAGAGCTTCTGAAAGAAGGGGTTCCTCGTGACGTGGCAGGGATCTTCTCGGGGCAGGATGCGCAGGTCAATGTTGATCAGCTTCGGACGATGCATAATCTCGCCCAGCAGCATCTGGTGCAAGAAGCATACGCGGGGAGCTTGAGAAATGCCTGGATTCTATATGCAGCAGTCGCAGGACTTACAATTGTTGCCTCTTACTTTGTGGGAACGCATGCCCTTTCCACCGAACACGTCGAAACGAGGACAGGTCTTGAGGAGCGGGACAGCAAAAAGTAGTCAAGACAAGCTTTTATGCCGCCTATTCGCGAGTGTCGAAAAGATCGCTTCCTATGGCCCAGGAGGCCACCGTATCTAGGTGAACGTAGTCGCCCAATGCGTATACAAGGGTTGTTCTTCACAATGATGTAGAAGCCATTGGTGATGCTAAATAGGCCACTAACTCCAAGGCCTGAAGCTACTCGTAGTTGTGAGGGATTGGGGTGCGCCTAAGGCGGCGTCAACTTCGCCTATTCTGGATCGGCAAATCGACTCGCTTCACTTGAGTTTGCATTTGCATATGCACATCTCCGTCATCGTTGCAGCCGGGGTACGATAAACACAGTGAAGGAGTCGCTTTTTGGTGGGTGTTGCACAAGGAGTATACTCCTTGCGGCTGCCGCCCTCAATCGATTCCTGTTTCGTAACATGCACAAGGTCCTGCGGCGACAGCCATGGACTTGTGCCAAATGCCTCCGCAGGCAGCAAAGACTCAATTCGACGGCGACTGGTACGGCGGCGGCGCAAGAACGTCCCTTCGAATCTGCCTATATCCACGGCTCTCCTGCGCGACATGGCGATAACGCACAGTTGCGGGAACTCTTCAACAACAAAGGCAGCTGGCAGACGTCGGCAAAGAAGAGCTCGGGATTGATAGGGAATGCACATTTGACGACACCACAGGGCTTTCAGAAGTTTGCGGAAAGGTCGCTGGCACAGTGTAAAAGACTCGTGGAGAGAACATTGGCAGCTTCGACGCTCGAACAATACAGAGCCATCCCCAAAGACCTGGACCGACTTAGTGATCTGCTATGTCGGGTCATAGATCTCTCAGACTTCATTCGAAGTATTCATCCGAATGCAGCTGTTGCTGCAGCTGCTAGTGCCTCGTACTCGCTCATGTTCCAATACATGAACGAACTCAACACTACCACCGGGCTCAATACACAGCTGAAGAAGGCATTGAATATGTCCGAAGTCACATCGAACTGGAGCGATGAGGAGAAGATGGTTGCAAAACTGCTAATCAAGGATTTTGCAAAGTCTGGCATTGATCTACCCGACAAGCAGAGGCAACAATTCGTGTCTATATCGAACGACATCGCTCAGATAGGGACTGATTTTGTCAATCAAATGGAGCACGCAAGGGATCATATTGCCTTTTCAGCTCAACAATTGAACGGCGTGGATCCGACCTTGATCCGAGGCCTCAAGTCCTGGAGCAGAGCCCAGATCCCCGTCTACAGTCCAGCGTCGAAGATGATTCTGAATTCTGCAAATGACCCTTCGACGAGAAAGCAGATTTATGTTGCTGAAAGAACGGCGTCTCGACAGACTATTGCGAGACTGGAACAGCTTCTCCTTCGTCGCGCCGAACTTGCAAAGCTCACAGGATACGACAGTTTTGCACAGATGACGCTTGCGGACAAAATGGCCAAAACTCCGGCAGCTGTGAGTAATTTTCTAGAGTCTTTGAATGCAAACAACAGGCCGCAGGTACAGAAGGAGCTGGCACCACTACTAAAAATCAAGCGGAAATTGGATCAGGGTGCGAGTGCCATTGATCCTTGGGACCATAACTATCTCCTTGCCAAACTGGCCCAATCCGAAGCGAGGTCTGGCCCTCGAACCTCGAAATCTCGACTGCACGATAATGTCAGTTCTTACTTCGCTTTGGGACATGTAATGCAGGGTCTTTCGAATCTCTTCGAGTCATTGTATGGTGTTCGGCTTGTACCTAAAGAGGCGCAGCAAGGCGAGGTGTGGCATCCAGAGGTGAGGAGACTGGACGTGTACACGGATAAGCAAGAACATATCGCCACCATGTATTGCGACTTGTTTTCGCGTCCGGGGAAACTTCCGAATCCTGCCCACTTCACACTACTTTGCTCCAGGGAGATTTCGGAGGAAGAGGTTCGAGACTGCCAGGAAAGAGGCGAGCCACTGAACAACGGGATGCCGACATATCTCGGGACCAACGCCATATCCGGTGTGACTGCTCATCATCAGATTCCGGTCATTGCCTTGGTGTGTGGGTTTCCAGACCCTAGCTCGTCTACAGGACCCTCGCTTTTGTCACTGCATAGCGTCACTACCTTATTCCACGAGATGGGCCATGCCATTCACAGCATCTTGGGGCGGACATCTATGCAAGGCATCGCAGGGACACGATGTGCCACGGATTTTGCCGAATTGCCTTCTGTTCTCATGGAGTACTTTGCTACAGATCCCTCTGTTCTGAAAACGTTTGCGCGACACTGGCAGACCGATGCTGTCATTCCGGATGAGATGATTGCAGCTCTGGCGGAGGAAAGGACAAAACAAGCAGCTAGGACGGGTGCTTGGAACAACGAGAACCAGATCCTCATGGCTATCCTTGATCAGGTCTACCACTCGGACGGGCCTGTTGAGAGGCTCCCGATAGGACACTACAATTCTACAGATGTCTTTCATGACATGTGGAACAAGTACGGAAGCGTTTCTGAGCCCCGCGAGACCAGGTGGCAAGGCTTTTTCGGACATCTCTATGGATACGGCGCGACTTACTATTCGTATTTGTTCGACAGAGCGATAGCACGACAAGTATGGCGATCTGTGTTTAGAGACGGAGAGAATGGTGGCGCTCTTGACAGGTCGGCTGGCGAGCGATTCAAGCAGGAGGTTCTCCGCTGGGGAGGCGGAAGAGATCCATGGTTGTGTCTTGAAGGGCTTATGGGCGAGGGAAGGGGAGTGTTGGCGGAAGGTAAAGAGGAGGCTATGCTTGAGGTTGGTAAATGGGGTGTGGGAGCGTCGAGTGAAGGATCGATGTGAGTATGAAGATGTTGGATACATATTTCATCACACACTGTATGACCACTCCATTACAGGTAAATTCTATACTGAGCCTCGGAATTGTTGGAGCAATAAGCATGATGATTGACACCATTTACTTTTGCTTATTAGTATCATCAAGTCGTATACTACCATGTGTGCCAATTGAACGTGGATAGAATGCCCCTCTATTCTTAGGACGGGCGCCGCTACCACTTCCAATTCCGTAGTCGGCATATCTTTTTTTTCCACAACCCCGCGGCCAGATCTCTCTTTTCAGCACATTCCGAAACTGTCGCCCGACTCACAATCACTATTCCTTGCGCCGCTTCGTCTCATATATGCAAGTCGTCTGGGAGGCAGACACAGCGGCTTTTGCCAGCCGCAAAAGGGCTGCAAGGGCTTGCACGAAATGTCGCGCCGCAAAGAAGCGCTGTCATCATACTTTTCAGCGTGCACCCGAGCAACAAGCCGACTCGGACGGCCTCGATAGAGTGCTGCCCAATCTCACACATAAAGAACCCATCCGTTTTGTCGGTGATTTGAATCCCGAGTCGATACTGACAGACCTTTCTTCACGTTCGAAGGGTGCTGCGCGGATCAGTCGAGTTGGCACCTGGGTTGAACAATCGCGCCATCCATCACAAGGCGGACTTCCATCGGAAGACCTTGGGCCACCATTACGGTCTTGCAACAAGACTCCAATCAACGTAGAGAAATATGGCAAGTTCGAGGGTGGCCGCAGAGTCTTGACCGGCCATCAACGCAATTATTTGCAGGCCGTTGGAGCCTTCAGAGTCCTGCCAAAAGCCACCCAGGATGCGCTGATCACCACATATATCGCCTGTCTCGACGGGTTATTTCCCATTTTGAATGGCCCGAGACTGCTTCGCGACTGGACCGACGGCCGGTGTTCGATATTCCTAATTCAAGCCATCTGTCTGGTAACGTGCAAGACCGAGGAAGCAGCACCGTATCTGCGCCTATACGATGATGGACCACTGCTGGATCCCATACCGTTCGCGCGGAGTCTGCACACGGGCCTCGACGCAGCTATGAAGGCAGATCTGGAGCCCGATCGAATCACCAAAATCCAGATCCTAACGTTGATGCATCTTCACAACGATGGTCCAGGAGGTATCGAAGAGTCCTCACTACACTTATCTCAGGCTATTCACGATGCTTGGTCCGCCGGCTTGCATATTCTCACACCTGGCCGCACGCCAAAGGATCCATCGAGCATGCTCTGGTGGACAATATGGACTCTCGACAAGTTTAACGCCTGTCTTGGAGGCAGACCGATCATGATTGCCAATCGAGATATTGACATTGCCCGGCCACCGCTGGAGGATGGCCCCAAAAGCCAAGTAATCCACCTCTGGTTTCGACTGGGCGATCTCCTCGACGAAGTCATCGAGTTTTACAGACCAACCGCAGACCCCGACGCAACAGGATGGGAAACAGAATTCCCATCGTATTCTTTACTGTGCCAGGACATTGATCTTTCCCTCCTTCCAGACGGCGAGCAAAGTATGTTTGATTCTTCTCGCGTCTACCCCTACATCATCCCCAAAGCTAACATAAAACCACTCAGGCATCCTCGAACTATGCTACCACGTCATTGCCATTCTAACCTGCCGCACTGGCGGCCCAACCACAGCTTCATATGCTCGACGCATCTCCGCAGCCGATCGTATCCAACAACTTCTCTCCAACGGCCGACACGCACATATCCCTCCGATCCCTCTAGTCCCGTACGCTGTCGGTCTCTCATTGACCGTAGCATACCGTTCCATCCGAGACAGAGCCAACGTCGATCTAGACCGTGCACAAGCCGACATCGCCACACGATGCGAGACGCTCGAAATGCTCAGCACATACTGGTGGACCGCAGACGCCATGGCACGCCTCGGTCGCAAGGCACTCAAAAGTCTCCAACAACCCGGCATGCAAAAGCATTCTATCACCAACATCGCCAACGCCATGGACGCCGAGCTCGCAGTGTGTAAATTCGGTCCTTTCGAGCACAACTCCGCGCCGTCTACCAGTGATCCCAAACCCGGCAGTGGCAATGCACTGCATGTGCTGTCGGACGCTGCGGCCGCACACTCGACCACCGACTCTGGTCCGCATAGCAAACACGGCCAGACCGTGTCGTCTGTATCAACCTCGTCCCCTGCTTCCACTATGCACACGCAGGCACTGCCAGGAGGTCAAGCCTCGCACACGCAAACGCACCTGACCAATGCCCTTCCGTCCAACACTCATCATTTCCTCGCCACGCCCACGACCACAGATAACATGGGACCTGACATGACCGCACTCGACCAGTACCCTGCTGACCAATACCAATTCAACGACCTAGATAACCTGTTCGAAGGCTTCTTTGACCTCAGCATGCCGACCATATTCCAGGACCCGCTGTTCGACGGCGACGCTTTTATGAATGCCGACCTGGACTTTGGTGTCCCTGTCCCCACGACAGACCACAGCGGTAGCGGTGGTGGTTTCGGGCTGACGACGAATCTGGCCCCTCCGTCTGTGTCGCCCTAGGAAGGCCGGCCAGCACGGTAGAACAATGAGTACGAATAATCATTTGAACCACAAGACTAGAAGCGAGTGCATATGCAGTTGGGGAGTTCAGGCTATGGGCCCATGTGATTAAACGCTGAACGGAGGGAGGTTGGACGAGGAGTTTAATGTAAGAACGAATAATCGGTAGTAACCTCGATACTGTGTCGTCTGATCTATCAGACCGCAGGGGTCATTCCAAACAGCACATGGCGATGTTGGCACAAGGCATAAGCACAAATAGTAATATAGTACAGTGAAGTGATCATGAAAACTTCCTGTGTTGCCGATCAGTCTCTTACCGTTCTTACATCTTTCTGACACGATACGGTCTGGCAGGAGAAGAGGATGTTTTCAATTTTCCATTGTTTTATCACCGTGTACGTGAATTCTGCATCATCCCTACCCTATCCTTTGAGTCCCAATACAATAATTTACAATTCGTCGTGTTCCTGGGGACCACCGGTGTCCGTGTCCGCAAGGACCGTCGCAGCAGCATCAGCAGCCTCGCTGATGACACTCTTGACGGCTTCCTTGATACCGCTCTTGGCCGAATCCGTGGCGGTAGTTGCGGCAGGCGCGGCCTTAACCAGAGTGTCGCTGGCAGCGGATGAGACATCCTCCATCTCAACATCGTCATCCTTCTCCGCGCTCAAGCCGTCCACACCGTGCTTGCCGTTGTCACGAATGAAAGCAGCAATGTCCTCAAGCGTTCTTGAACCGGAATAGTCGATTGGCGAGTCTTTGGCACCGGCAGGAAAGAGCTTGATGGTGGGGAATCCAGCAATCTCGTCTGGAACGTCGTTTTGAGTGGCGTCGATCTTAGCCACAGTGACCTTGGAGGAGAACTCGGGAGAAGTGTAGAGTTCGGCCAACTTCTCGTAAGTAGGAGCAAGACTGTGGGTTCGTCAGTAAACCTTGCGACAACCAAAGAAACAGCGGCACTTACGCCTTGCAGTGACCACACCATGGTGCGTAGAACTCAACCAGGACATCCTTGGAATCGTCCAAAACAATATCCTTGTAAGAATGAGCAACCACAACTGTGACTGGTCCTTCTTGCTTCTCTGGGATAGGCTCAGACTTGATGCTGGGTGAAAGCTTGCCACCCACAAAGTCCTTGACGAAAGCACCGATCTTCTTCTCAGTAAGCGAGGTGCCTTCGAATGGATATTTCTCGTTCTTGACGGTCTCTTGAATGGCGAAGGCAGGGAATTTGTCGGTTGGCAGGTTCAAGTTGCCAGCGTGAGCGCCAAAAGCCTTTGCGTCAATGGTTGCAAAGTTCATTTGACCCTTGTACTTCTCGGCCACTGGTCTCAAGGTCTCGGCCAGCGAGTTACGCTCTTCAGGAGTTTCGGCGAAGATGTATGCGAGGGGGATACCGGCCTAGTACAGTTAGTCCACGTATTCATATGCTGTCGAGAATTGTACGTACGCCCATGTAGCTTGCGTAAGTCTCTGGACCAACCTCGCCCACTAGAGGAGTCGAGGCAGTCTTGATGAACTTGGTAATAGCCTCCTCGTCAAACTTCTCGTCGAAAGTAGCCTTGCCTTCATCAAAGTCCTTGTAGAGAACGATGGCGGGCTGTTTAACACCCTCAGCTTTTGCGACCGCAGCATCGTTGATTGCTCCGAAGATGTATTCGTCTCTCAGAGATTCTGAGAGGGCGGTGTAGGACTGATTCGAGGCTTTGTCGTCGGCAGAGATGTAGGCAACAACTACGACTTTGTCGGTGGTCTTGAACTCTTCTAGGGTATCGGATGTGAGGAGAGAAACAGCAGGTAGTTGCTGCTTGGTGAGGTATGAGATAATCCTGCTCGGATCAGTAAATTGCGGATAGAGGCACGAGCAATGCATGACTTACGCAGGTGCTTTTCGTGCGCCGGGATATGGTTTGATGTTGTCGAGTCCACGGAAGACCTTGACGGTAGGATAACCCTCTACGCCATATTCTTTGCATAGATCTCCCTCGGCTGTGCAGTCGACCTTGACCAAAGGAATGTTCTTCTCCTTGAGCGTGGTAGCAGCCTCCTCGTATTCTGGGGCGAGAGCCTTGCAGTGACCGCACCAAGGTGCGAAGAACTCTGCGAGGACTAGATCGTGTTCAGAGACGAACTCTTTGAAGGTATCGGCCTTCAGATCGTGAACGTCGCTTGCAGAGGCAAGGCCGGCAAGCGCAAGGCTGGCCGCAGCCAGGGAAGCAAAAGTTCGCATTGTGACCGATCGAGATGGACAGTAAGGGAAAGAAACGATCGGAGGTAACTCAGGAATGGAAGGAAAGATAAATGAGAGAGGGTGGAATCTTTTGATGGCTGGAATCAAGAGATGCTTCAGGGGAGTTCCTTCGGTTGCCACGATGACCTGCGGGCGGTAGTGACTGAGGATAGGTGTTCACTTGTCGGAGTCGACCCTCCGCGGCCCCCTTCAAAAGGTAAAAGTGGCCATTGCGGCTGCCCCTTTTAACTCATCTCCTGGATCTTGGGTCAGTATTCACAGCCTCAGTCTTAACGGTTCTATCACTGATCTACGATATCCTGAAGGCAGTCCAATTGCAAAATAAGCTACAACATTGGCGTAAGAGTCACCGAAGAACAAGATAAGTTGCTACAACGAAGAATAGACCATGTGGACGCCAGTGCTTGGCCGATAGGAATGACGGCTGTTGATATCTCGTTGTATAGTATTTATAAGCAAGGATCACTATAGAAGCCCAGGAGTCCAGCCACATGGCGACGTCCAATCTCAATCCTCCTCCTCGGAAAGAACTATTGTAGGTATCGTCGTATGTCGCATGTCATTTCCCTGACCCGTGCCATGCCCTTCCAACTCCAGCGCCATCTGATATGCATCGGCCTTGCCACGATCCACATCCACCAGCATCATCAATGGAAGAGGCAAAAAGATGAGGACCGCCAAAAACACAAACGCCGGTCGAATTTCTCCGTAGCGATCAGTAATGGCTCCAACAATGGCAGGTCCAAAAACGCTTGACCCCTTGTCTGTGATCGCATAAAGGGCGTAAAATGCTGCTTCAAACCCTGGCGGGATCAGCTCGCCGAAGAATGCTCGACAATAGGAGGACAAGCCGCCCAGAACAAAACCGTATATGGCTCCAAGGGGATACATCTCCCACGGTTGCTGTAGCCCAAACACTCCGTAGCGTCTAATGGCAGGGATGTATCCTAATAGGCCGTATAGGGGAATGATCTCAAACAAGCAAATGCATGCGATGATAGTTTGAGAGGCGCGCAGATTGAGTTTCCGAGAGAAGAAGCTCCAGTTGAACGCGCCAATGATCCCAGCGATGGTTCCGATGACGCTGATGAGGCCGAGTGCCTCTGTTTTCATTCCAAGAGAGGTTTTGGCGAAGAGCACTGCAGTCCCACTGACTGTGGCGATACTATCACTGAGCAAAAACCATGCAACCAGGAAGATGACGAGATCTTTGAGCTTCCTGGCTTGCCCAATGGTTTTGAAAAGTGACTTCCAGGCAAATGTAACATAGGCCACCCACGCATAGTGTCCCTTCAATGCATCCGGCAAAGGTGGGCCGGGTCGAGGTCGCAACCACATAGCCGCCGGGATACTGAAGGCGAACCACCAAAGCCCAACAACCATGAGGACAAGTCGCAGTGAGAAAGTGGTAGAACCCGTTGCGACAATGATAAGTATCCCAATGCATTGAACAAGCAAGCCTGCGATGTAACCAATCCCGATTCCATAGGATGATATCTTGGTAGATAACTTTAGTGCTGGTGAACTAGCCGCCGGAGAGCTTTCGGCTGGTGGAGTGAAATCAGGTCTGTTGCGAGGTAGCAGACTTGTCGTTGAGTTTGCCAAGTGATGATCTTCGTCCTCCTGATATTCTCGATTCTGAGCAAGACCTGGTTGCTCTGCTGGGCCATCGCCGACGTGGTCGTCGTTCCCATCGATCGAGGGATGGTGTCGCACCAGTAGGGGAAGAAAGGAGTTCAGCAAGACAAACGAGGCGCCAAAACAAGTATTGGCTATGATCGCAAAAAGGGCCCCGAGCAGGTAAACCTTGGGAATAACGCCAATGAATAGTGCTGTCGTGGTTGCGCCGGTGAATGCGAAGATGAGGAGAAATGTTTTGCGGAAGCGGCCGTGGTCGGCGGCGGCAGACATTGAGATGATGAGTAGGGCTTGAACGAGCACGCTGATGGAGAAGGTGTACATGGCGAAGCTAGCAGTGTTGATCTCGGCCCCCAAGAGGTAAATGACACACGGCGGAAGTTCGTTATGGGTGTGCTTTGGGGTGTCGAATATGCTCGCGTTTGGTGTCGTGCCATGCTCGGTCTGCCAGCCGGCACGACATGGCGTCGTCTTGTCTTTCAGAAGTACACCGTTCTCTCGGGCAAGCTGTTCGAGAGTTATGGGCAAGAAAGAGCCCATTGCGCAAATCACAAAAACTTCTGCCGCCCATCCGTAAGAGTACCAACCCCATAGCTCTTTCTGGCTGGTCGGCCTTGTATCTTCATCCGCGTATCTTGTCTCCGCTACCGTGTCTGAGAAGTCATCCATCTCGGAATCTGAGCGGCCCCAGAACGAGGCTTCGTCGTCTGCTTCGACCGAAGGGGTTGGTGAGATCAAGCTTGCTTTGGAAGAAGAGCTTTGGCGAAGCAACGGCGGACGTGGTGGTTGCGTCGTCGACTGCTGCGATTCTCCATATCGGGGAGCCTATAAGGAATAAGGGTTCAGTAAGGGTTAGGACATCATAAGCGTTGACATTGGAAGCTGATGCGCGCGACTGGCCGATGACAAGGAGTGAGAGTGCGCCGCGCATTGCGCGGGGAAGGTACAGTACCATTGTTTGGGGCTGCTCCAAACCCTTTTGGTGCTTGAACACATCTGTGCCCTTATCACCTGCTACCCTCCTTTATACACCCATGTCGAACCATGTTTCCTCCCTGTGAGATGCGCAAGAAGATCGCAAGGAAAGTCAGGATTTTCTCAACACACAAGACTCCAAGTTGCTCTCAACTTTTGCTGGGACCTAGCAGCAATCAAGTGGAGCTGGCACCACAGTTCGGCTGAAGCTATCCAGCGGAACGGCCCCTGGGTAAAAGCCAAAGGTTAGGTAAAGGACTAAGAGGAGCATCGAAGATCTGCGGAATGAGGGCATGATCCTTCTGACATTTTGTCTTTTATCTACGAGTACTTATCTTTTCATTGCCACTATTGCTTTCAGACTTGGACCGAAATGAGGTCCTCGAAGCACCGCATGACCTGTCATGATGCATCCGCCATATCGAGATAGGCTAGCACACGCGTTCACTGGCCTCACTTTGATCGAGCTAAAGAGTCAACAGGTGAGAATATCACACCCTCACATGCGCCTCGATACCTACCGTGGTCTGGTGTAGGTTGATGGCTTGCAGGAGATCACGATAGACCTTGAAACTCTGTCCAATCAGATCTGCAAGCCGGATATTTCCATTGTTGCTGTATCACTGGACACAGGTAGCTTGACCTTTGTACCTGGGAGATGCTCATTAAGGCGAACGGAGTGCGAATTGGGCGCTGTCCGTTGGTCAGTTGAGAACTGAGCGGCCGGTAGTCTATGACTTGTAGATCGATCATAACATAATGACTGCTCCTTGAACGGGGAACGAACGGGGCAGAAAGTGATCAGATGAGTATCGAAGGCGATTTCCGGAGCCTGCATGTCATGCCCGGTGAATTGCGTGCGCGCGGCAGAAGCCTTAAGTGTGACTTTGGTCTCCGTGGAGGAGCAGCTGATAGTGGAAGAGAGATCTGGCTAGTCACCATCACGTGCTCTTTGATATTCTGTGATACTGTCAGGTTCGTAGACCTTTAATCTTTTCTTCTATTTCATGCAAGTACCTCCTTGACCTCACAAGATCATCCTCATAACTCAGGTGCTGACCTTTTGGGCAATCCTGGTCACACCCTTGCAACACCGAGCAGTCTCTTCCCTTTACCTAACAGCGGAAGAAATTCAGCCTCCGTGTTGCCCATTCGTCCGCGAGGTTTGGGAGAGGATATTCATGACGAAACCAGGTAGTTGGGGGTGTGCTAAGAAAAACACCTACACTCGGGAGCCCTGAACGGTTGAAAGCAAGCCATCAGTCCAGTATATACGCAAATCGACGAGACTATACAAGCACTCCGGCTCTACGCAAGGCTCTATGCAAGGGTCAACATGTGGCACGGGTGGATTCTCCACTATCGTTTCCAACTTCCCACGCTTCCCAAGACCTCGAGAAAAACTATGCTCGGAAGTTTTCTTCGTCTGCTCTCATCCTCCAACTGTTGAAGAGGTGGCGTCCCGCGCTTGACAGTTCGGTTCCTACAACTTGACGTCCTTGCTAGGTATCCGTGAGCCTGGACTCTTACGCTTAGTCGTTCGGACATCTTGTCACCGATCTGCCGTCAGCAAAGCGGCCCAGAGCCATATCGGGGTGTTCTCGACGGTAGACATGCCGTAATGAGCCCTGAAAGAACATTCAGGTCAGTCCATTGCAGCAAATTTTGTGGGCCAAGGTATCGACTTTCGAGGATATCTGTGATTTCTGGCCTGGTGAAGAACGAAGTCCTTGTTTCAGGCACTGCTGCTGGCCACCATACACATAGCGCATCGGACGAGGCGGTGAAGTTTGCGAGATGTATGCTAGGACGAGGCTATCAGGTGAGCAAATCCTGGTAGATGTGGGTAGGTTCGTCTTGCATGCGCGGAGCCGAGAACGCGGAGAAACAGTATATATGCTCATTCGGCTTGCTTCTCGCTCTCCATGTCATTCGTCCCTCATCGTTGTTCTCAGTACTGTATTTGTGTTGTCCTTGAGCTGGGCTCGGCAGATTTTCTTAGAGTGGTCGTTGTTTTTTCTTTTCATGCATGGTATGAGAGACAACATGGTCATGGTATACTTTGCAGCGGCTGCATCAACGGTGGTGGGTCAACAGATCTCACAAGGCGGCAATGCAACGAATTTGGACGAGAAATATCTACTCTCCTGGTGTATACACGTGCCGAGCTCGGATTCAACGTTCGTGCGGTTCTATGGTATCATGAAGTCAAGCCGGCGGCCGTTTCACCTGATCAGATGCGCCGGGCTGCTACGAAGAGTCAGTACCTGCTTATGAAAGTAGGTGCAGATAGACAACTGAAATGGAAGTGAATGATCGTCGATCCGTCGAGCTTAGCTGGTCAGTCCAACGTTTCAACTCAGTCGACTTGAACAACATTCTTGATTGCGTGCATCCGTAGATCATTTTATTCTGCGAACAGGACTTGATGTTGAAAAGCAAGAAAGATCATTCTTGCGATGAGATCTGCATGTATTGGGTCATGTGATTAGGGCGTCCTTGGCGTCTCCGGCGGCGTCTCGTGCCGCTTCCTCCCTCTTGCCTGTCGCTTTCCGTTCTGCTTCAGGCTTTCATTCGTTTTCGGCTACCCTTTGCACCCAACCCTGGAGACCCCAGTCCAGCCAATCAGCCAGCAAATCTGCCTGCATTTACCGGCCTTGGAACCCTTGTTCGCTTACCTTACCCAGTGCCTAACCTTTTGACAGCCGACTTCCGATCACTGGCAGGAAGTGCAATCAGCAATCCCTTTGCAAACTCAACACCACTTCACAACAAACCCTTTACCACATTCCACGCTTATCGGACTGTCTACTTATTTCGGTTCGACGGTTGTTCGCTTGCCGCCTTATTACCTCAACCGTGCCATCCCTCCGACCCGATAAACATACCTCCCACCTTCTGCAAACGCACGCGGCGATCCAACCGCATTGTCGCTTTATCCCTTTTTCGCTACTCGCTCGGACACTGTCCTGCCTCCAGTGACTCCAGCACAGTCTCCAGCCCAACCGAGCCGAACATACTCCTCGCGCCTCCGACTTGCGGCCCTGTCGCGCCAACATCTGCGTGAATCTACGATTGGCTACACGGAGATTAGGGTGCTAAAGAGACTTGACAGAGGGGTAACAAAGGGCACACTCTCGATTGGCCACGACAGCGCGCTTTACAGTGTGCCGGCCATGCAGCGTCTGATGGTAGACTTCGTGTCAATATGAACGGGGACAGGCCCATGGTCAATGGAGCGCATATACAAAATGGCGTTCCACCGAACGTCGCAAATCCCGCCCCCGATGTCCACCAGATAAAGCAAGTAGGCCCCAACGAAAGCCGAGCGGCACCAGTTGAAGATGGATCCTCGGTCCAGGTCAATGGTCAACACAGTACGAGTCAACTATCAAACGGCGATCTGGTTCCTAGGGTCGCAAATGGTCTCGAACAGGCTCCTCAGGAGATACTGCGTTTGATTCCTAAAGACAACTACTTGCCGATGGCCGCCTTGATCAGCAGAGCCTCGCAATCATGTTGGACTGGTCTGACAAGGATGGTGGAACAATTGGCTGCCATTCATGTTCCAGAACAGAATCTAGATCAGACCAAGGCTTTGCCCAACTCGTTACCAAACAACCAGACCAAGGCAAATCTTGACAAGAAGGACCGCTTGCTGAGGTTCGCCAACGATCAGAAAGCCGATTTCATAAAACTACTGGTTCTCCTGGAATGGAGTAAAAACGTGGAGGAAGTCGGGAAGACTATTTCCATCAACTTTTGGTTAATGCGGCGTCGGCAGGCATATTGGAACACCATTTCCTCACTGGCTCTGCTAAAGCAAGAATCTGCCGGATTTCAAGTACCCAATCCTGATCTGGAAGTGGCTGCTGAGGTCCTGTCGAAAGGGAAGGTAGCAAAATTTCCCACGTTGGGCTACATTCCGCAGAAAGACCTTTCACCCAAACAGATATTACGACTGCTGGATCATCTCAACCATGCACTGAGTGTACGCCTGGCACTTTCTGACGACCTGCCCCCTCAACTGCGAAAATTTCACATTCACGATGGTCGCGTAACATTTGTGGTTTCGAACGAATTCGAGCTTGATGTGTCCATTTTAGACGAGAGCACCGATTCGCCATTTCGCATGGTGGACTTTCGGTTCGCCTTTTCACCAGCACCTCACATACCCGATGCTTTACACTCAGAGATTGAACGATACAGCAATTCCAATATTGATCGAGACGGTCTTCAAGGGTGCTATCTGTTCCTGCACGAACTGGTACTGTCCTACAAGTTGGCCGAATTCCACAAACAAGCACTTGAATTGTCTTGGAGTCAATGGGCAGGAAACCTCCGTGTTGAGATGATCCGCCGCAATCTAATTGTGCAATACTGGACGGAAAGACCGGCCAATAAGAGTTGGCTCGAAATCGGAATAGCTAGTGGGCGAGCTATCCCTAATATTGGTGCAGACGAGCCTCTGCCCTGTCTTGAAGTCAAGTGGATGTGTCGTGGTAAAAGAGCAGAATCCCTGCACTTGAGCTTGGATGAGTCCGTTCTGTGCTTCGAAGACATCCTCCGTCAGGTCATTGCGCAACATTCTACGCAAGTCCTTGATTCTGTCTACGACAAGTTGATACTCTCACCACTTTTCAGCAATGCTGAGCTGTCCCTAGAGCAGACTGTTTCGGACGAAGACCCGGAGGAGTGCATCCTGACAATGCAGCTGTCAAGAGTATCACATCTCCAACTCAAGGTAGATTCGGTCACGGGTCTACTTGTCATCAGTCCAGTAAGCGAAAGGAGTGAACGTTTGCAGTACGAGGTCAATCGAGTACAGAGCATCGCAGATGAGATTGGTTCGAAATTACTCAACTTCCGATGCAGTGTCATGGAAGCAGTAGTATTTGCGGGCATCGCAGGCACCCGATGGGAGGTCATGCGCGCCTTTAAATTCAACCAAGCAGAAACCAAGACACTGTTTGGCGGACCACAGGTCAGAATAAATCTGTTCCGACAGCCACAATGGGGCTTGGGGTTTTTCGTGGCATTCACACATGCGCAGAACGGCGACTACTTGTGGCTGCTGCAGCGATCTAGTATTGGCGGATTCACCTCTCAGGCCTCATTCCAGGTCCTTCGCACTCAAAGGATCGAAGTAAGAGAGGAGCTGTCTTCGGCGTGGTTTGAACGACTTGGACAATATGTGACTGGAGTGTTTTCTTTACAGCGAAACGCCGACTATCTTACACAACAGAAGATGAAATTCAATCTGCCACCATTCCCACCTTTTGGAATGAAGTACATCCTGCCAGAGTTGACTTTCGAATTCGACATGGCCACAACAGGCTTTTCAAGGCAGTCAGGGCCACCTGCCAGGCTGTCGAAAGCTTCATCACTGGAGGGTGGGAAAACAATCAAGATCCGCTTCGAGGGCATCAAGGGTAACGACGATCGCATCGAGACTATTGCCCGATTCCGACACAAAGCAAGTAGTGCTGCTTTACGATACTCAGATCATTTGACCAAAGTTAAGAACATGTTAATACCGGCCAACAATGTGACATTTGATTCTAGGAGTGGTATGGTCACCCTTCGGGTCGCGTCACCCGTTGCCGAGGTCGCAGTTCCTTACGTCGTTGAGCAAGCCACGAAGTATGAGAGAAATCTTGCTACATTTGAGCAGGTCCAGCGGCTGCCTGGTCTGACATTGCAGGTGAAGTTAAACGACACTTTTAAAGTCACCTACGCTCCTATGGGTCAAGAGACAGCCCTGGATGTCACTATGGTCTTCAGCGGCGGCTCCCATGAACCTGAGCTGTGGTTTCACCCTCCTGTCATCAATCCACATGTTCTGCTTACGCCCCAGTATGCGAGGCTGTTCCAGAACGCGCACATACCGTTTGCGGAGAGAGTCTGGAACTTTCTGACATCTCTAACATTGACGCTTCCCTTGTTAACCTTCTTGCATAAGCTGCAAAAAGAGCACGGAATCGTGCAAAAGGGATCACAGGCCATTCCACAAAGCAGTGAGACGGGCATTCGAGTCCATCTCCTGGTCAGAAGTGCCACAGCATTTGGCTTGCAATACTTTACGCCAGCTCGACGTGTACCACAAGATGTTGCGACAAACACGCAACCACATCTCCTAGCACGACTTGAGATCTTGCAACACATCAACTCGCTAAACAAGCCCATGTGGCTAGTACGAGCTGCGCTTGAGGATTTCCAGTCGTATTCAAGACCGTCATATTCTACACCATCGCTGCGGACAAAATTGCGCCAGGAGATTTTTGCCCGGGCCGATGCACAGTCAAAATGGCTTGCACTTGATAATGCTGCAGCATGTATGGCAGATCAACCGGAACACCTACTTCAAGCGGTCCACGATGTTATGTGCAGTTGGGCCAAACAGTCCATTGAGACCCAGGCACCGGGTGAGGATGTCAAGACCCAAAATGGTGGGCAGGAAAATCTGCCAAATGGTACGAACAAGCCAAAAGCATCTGGGAAGACGCCGGGCAACAGCAACGCCGTGCCGAATGGGTCTGCCAAACAACAACGACCCCTCAATGTCAATACTGGAAGGCCAGCAGTGGCTGGCAAAGCGCCTACCGGTCCTCTTAAAAACAAGGAGGTCATCACGTTGGACTAATAGTGCAGCCTTGTGGGTGAAACAGAGGTTGCAGAACGCCCTTGGTCAACTATGGCCTGTACAATGGTTTTGAGGCGTTTTTATTTTTATGATATGGGTTTGCCTGGAGGGTCAAGCCCGGGCTCGTGTGATTATGCAAAATACCCAAAGGTCGGGATGGTTTTGAATGTCAATGGGCAAGGCAGACTGGGTTATTGGCATGATGAAAACTTGCCAGTCTTGTGTTTGTGTAAATGATTAGACTTAATGCAGCCCTCGCTAGAAGAGGCTCAGTTATCTCTCCCCAGAGAATACGATAGTCACATTTATCCTGTTCCATAACAATGTCAGCTGTAAGTGGACTATTAGAGCCTCGTCAGGGGTTGATCAATATTGAGAGACACGAGGCTGAACAATAACTGTAAAGAAAGAAGCCGGGGTCACTCCGCCTTTTCCACTAAACGCGTATCGTGACGTCGTAGGCGATTGAGACGCGTCCCTTTTTCTCGAGGTACTCGCAGTTTAATGCAGTATCACCAGATAGCATTTTCATCTGGCATCCTAAACACCACTTCAATTCCTGCGATTGCGCATGCTACGAGTCGCTGTAGCTGCCTCACCTGTTCGCTCCAGCGTCTTAGTGTTTCCTCGATTAGCTACCAGTCGTTCATTATCTGCCGTCGGCATTAGAGCCATGTCTCTCAAGCGCAAGGATCCCCCGACCTCCACTCCCGACGCAAAGAAACCGAAAAAGAACGCGGACTTGACCTCCTTCTTCGGCCCTCCTAAAACCACGTCTAAATCTGCCGGTGGTAACAGTGCAGCAATATCATCGACGTCTACGAATGGAGGAGTAGTGGAGGACGCTTCACCCATCAAATTCGACAAGGACAAATGGGTTGCCAACCTGACAGATGAGCAAAGGAAACTTCTCAAACTTGAAATCGACACCTTAGATCCAAGCTGGCTAGCTCAATTGAAAGATGAAGTTGTGTCGCGCGAGTTCCTGGATCTCAAGCGGTTCCTACAGAAGGAGATTGACGCGGGACAGAAGATATACCCTCCTCTCGAGGATGTGTATAGTTGGTATGACTCCTCACCAACCCCATATCACACTATTTGACCCAACCCGTCCCTTTCGCCGGCGATACTAACAAAATGGTCATCTTAGGTCCCGCCACTGCCCCCTCCACAAAGTCCGCGTCGTCATCCTAGGTCAGGACCCATACCATGGTCACAATCAAGCCCACGGCCTTTGCTTCAGTGTCCGCCCACCAACACCAGCCCCGCCGTCTCTCAAAAACATATACACGGCGATAAAACGCGACTATCCCTCCTTTACACCCCCAGCCAAGAACTCAGGCTTACTCACGCCGTGGGCCGATCAGGGCGTCTTACTCCTCAACACCTGTCTAACGGTCCGCGCGGCCCAGGCCAATTCCCACGCCAATCACGGCTGGGAGAAGTTCACGCAAAAGGTCATCGACACCGTCGTCAAGACACGCACGCGAGGCGTCGTGTTTCTGGCGTGGGGAAGTCCAGCGCAGAAACGCTGCGATAGAATCAGCGGTGCAAAACATGTGGTGCTGAAGAGCGTGCATCCTTCGCCGCTCAGTGCTCACAAGGGATTTTTTGACTGTGGGCATTTCAAGAAGGCTAATGAGTGGCTGGAGAGTCGGTATGGGCCCGAAGGAGTGATTGATTGGAATTTGAATGTGCAGAAACCGATCAAAGCGCCGGATGTGCAGGAGCCTGTGAAAGTCACTGAGACGCAGGAAAAGAAGCCCGAAGAAGATGGCCCGGTGACAGAGTTGCCAGAGAAGAAGAGTGACGATGGTAAGGAGCACAAGATCGTCGAGCAGGACGAGTTTGCGGGCGAGGACGACGATGACGCCCTTGCTGCGCTGGACGAGGTGGTTAAGCTGGAAGCGGAGCAGGACAAGAAGGATACGTGAAGGAAAAGCGTGTTTCGAAGGTGGGTAGGACTTTCGGGCCCCTTCTTCGCAGGTCTTCTGGGGGGTAATGTACGAATAGTTCGTGTTTATCCATGGAATACCTATCTAATGACGGAGAAGTATATCCACTTCTACTTCTATGTCGTGATTCAAAGGCGCTTCTGTCCATGAAAGGCAGGCACCGTATGTGATTGTTCAATAGGCATAGGACTGCAGCTCGCCGGCAAGCCCGAGTCTTGAGTCTGTACCAGGATACTGGCAGGACTGGCAGGAATTTCGTATAGAACGCGAATAGCGACCCAGACTACCGTCGAAAAAAAGAGCCTCCTTCACGGGAGGTCAAATAGCCTCCTAGACTACCGTCAAAAAAAAGAGCCTCTTTCACTGAGGTCTAGTTGGCCTCCCAGGCTATCGGCAACCGGCCAACAAATTGAGGCTCTTTCCACGGGAGGTCAAATGTCCTCCAGTGAATGAGGCTCTTTTTGTTGACGGTAGTCTGCGGGAATGAGTAGACCTAACAGACATAGTCCAGATGCTATTACGCAAGTACTTCCATTCGTACTTAGCGTATGTCGTAGTTATAGCCGGCGAGCAGAACGTCATACTTTCCAAAAGATCTGGGGACCCGTTCGCAGTCCTGAAGCGACACGGGGTGCGGCCGGATTCGAAGCGGAAAGCCGGCCGTTAGGAAGACTTTGACATGGAGAAGGTCATACGCCCATCGAACAGGTTTTGCTTCCCATGGCGAGACCTGAGCAGGTTGGGATGGGCTGACGACTGAACTCAATCTGTATACCGGTCGGTGTCTATCCATACGTCGGTAAGCGGTCTCGAGGTGCAACGATGGTGGTCAAGTACTGTAGTTACTCCAGTCAGCTTTCAGGTATCATCGAGTCGGTATAGTGTTGATAACAGTTGGAAATCTTTTGCGATGGTGGGATTCGTTACTGCCAGTTCGGATATGTATCGTAGCATTCTGGTGCACCAGAGCTCGTGTCCGGCAGGGAGCACATCTCGTAGTCGATAGTCCGGAGAGTGTGCGAATGCATGGAAGAGAAATAGCTGCCCGAAAAACTGCCCAGCTGCGAAATACCCAACAGGCATAAAATTCTTCATGCTTGCACAGACTTCCCATGCGAATGGTGAGTCCATGGCAAATCGCAGTGACTTGGAACACATCTTCAAATCGGTCTCGCTGACAGAGGCCGGGTTTTGCAATGCTTTGTACAGAAAAGGCCGGCCCAAGTGGAAATTTGAAATCCGATAGCGAGCCTGCAGTAGTCCAACAACCACAGCATCAGCAGGATTGGCAAAAGCCTGTCCCGGATCGTCTTCGTCAAAGTGTAACGCCGGTGGAAGTTTTGCTCGCCATTCTTCGAGTTGGTGTGACAATTCATCGGCAAGTGTGAACGAAGGGTTGCTGAAGTACAACTCATCACGAACCCGCGTTAGGATGATTCGATGAGCTATCTGTGCAAGGAAATGATAATGGTAGAAGGAGTCGTCCGCGTTTCGAGATCGTGTGCTGTCAACGTAGGGATACGCCGTAAATTTTGGGAGCGGTACAACATCCTCGAACTCTTTCAATCCGCTGGAGGGTAGTTCCAACTCCTGGATGATCACGGTCTCCAGTATAAGCGTCGACCAGAACAGTCTTGATTGCATGTCAGCTGACCATTCATCGAGTGGTTCAGGCGGACATTTCCAGAAGGCTGCACAAGTTATTGCTGCGCGATTTGCCATCATCCACTCATCGACTGGTCGCATCACCTGCGCGTAGAAGACGGCTGAGGACAGGTAGTATTGACAGCTCTGGATGTCTCGGTCACACATGCAGAAGCCGACTCTTCTTCGCGCTTCGTTGAAGAAGCTCAATCCTGGAATCTCCTCGTCCATTATATGACGGATAAGCGGCGTAACGGAATCATGATCCGGAGTATTGAAGCCGCCTTGCTCAAAAGCTTTGAGACCCATGCATCCTAGCGCCATGATGTTCAAGACGAGAGACGACTCGATATCATAGCCGAAACCTTCACGAACCACGACAGCAAGAGTGCTGAGGAAGTAATGGTCCCGATCGACAAAAGGATAGACACGATTGAATGTCTCAAAATAAGCATTGGATAGTTCCTTTACGAAGGAGATACTCAGTGAGGACAACCAATCGCCAGTCGTCAGCGTCGCCTGCCCCCTGATGGTAGGCTGTAATGATGCTCGTCCGGACTCGAGATGTGTAGGATAAGTCGCGTTGAGGTTACGAATGGCAGCAGAAAGACTTGGTGACAGCGACTTTTGAATGCCAGGCCAGTGGATCGTCCTATGAGCGCTAAACGATATGACGGACCCGCTTGCTGGGGGATGGATCGCGCTCCTCACTAATGGGGGTTGAGGAGAGGCGCTCGATGGATGGAAGATAGCCGGGTCGATGTGGTAAGGACTGATGGTCGCACTTTTCAATTCGGCTTGATGAGTCTCATCAGGCAGGTGCTCGGAGGTCGTAGGGCGTGACAAATGTTCAATCTTGGATTCCATTCTTCGCAGGGTATTGAAAATCATGCTCATCGAGGTCTCATTTTTGGTGACTTTGCGTTGTACATAAATGCACTCGATGCCCAAGGTTCGGCAGAGGCTGCATGGATCATCCTCATCACATCGCGTCTTCTTTGCTCTGCACGCTTCACATGCCTGTAGAGTAAGTCAGCACGGTGTCAGGAATGTCAGGCTAGATGGGAGCTGTACCTGCCGCGCGATGAAACTGCGTTGCCTTTTGGCTGGTCTTGAGTCATCATCTTCCCTTATCGGGTCGGTGGTAGAGTCCTGCTCGGACATTGTCGCATCGATGATAAAGCTCTGTTGACATGGAGGAGAGCCCTGTTAGTAGACTCAGATTCTGTGTGCGCTGTCGTGATGCGACTTATAATATCATTGTTCACGGCAGGCGCGTTGGAAAATGCTTTTCATGGACACGGAAGAGACTGATCAACGATGATTGCCGGAATGATTAGGGAAGGCGCCAACAATTAAGCTTAAGGGACGCCATGCCTCAGAGAGCTAGCGCACGGGTGTTCTCCCCGCATCACAGCCTTGTCATCCCAAAATGCACCGGACAAGGCTAGCTACCTAGGTATATACATCTTTCGATTCTATTGGGAACACCGGAAAAAAGTGAGGATAACGACACTAAGACTGTGAAGCGTCTGTCGCGCAGGAGCCACGGCATTTTTGTCCGGCGCAATTGCTCTGCTGGGGTGTCAGTCGAGATCGGTACGACGGAAGGGGAAGGTCACGGCAACCTCATGGGAAACAGTACGAAGTAGTAGAAGACTGGCATGGGAAGCCTTTATCAACATGTGGTATTGAAAGTCTTCGATTGACTGGAAAGGTGGTTGCAACGTTCCACGGGAAGGGTGTCATGGTGCCACCATGAACAAGTGCCTACGAGATAAGAGATAAGCCATGCTCCAGCTTCTTCAGCCACACCTTTCCCTCCTTCTACCGGCAATGTCACCGTTGCAATTGCAATCATTCCCATCCGCAAATATCATGTTGAGATACCATCTTCTCTGCAACGCCGCTTATCGCCCTCTCATTGGCTAGGTGAGTATACTGTCAAGTACGACCAGGTGCAGTACCCCGCCTCTACCTCTACCGAAGCATCGTACAGACGGTATGATACTACACGATAATCTGCCGATACAGGTTACAGTGCTCACCGTCAGTTAATGTTCCCGAGTCTCAAGTCAATAACAAGCTCGATGTTCCTCAAGTTCAAAATTGCCAGTCATTTCATCCCTTCTGCTAATTTCTTGAGCGATCCAAACTTGACAAGATGCGTTCCTGTGCAACAAGGCTCACCGCCTTGCTAGCTGGGATCTCTGTCACTTCTATTGACGCCGTCAAGGTCAATCCTCTTCCAGCCCCGCAGTCAATAACATGGGGCTCATCGGGCCCTATCGAGGTCGCCAACAATATCACACTCATTACTCCGGCGAGCCAAATTGTCAATGATGCCTGGAATCGGGCTTGGACAACTATCACCACTTTAGAATGGGTGCCTCAAGCAGTTGAAGCTCCAATAGCCACATATGCGGCATTTCCTACTGGGGCAGCCTCGTCAAGTAAAGCCAGACGCGCATGTCCAGCTCTTACTCAGATCAGTCTCACCGTTTCTGACTACACTGCTGATCTGCAACAAGGCGTCGATGAATCCTATACTTTGAGCATAAGTCCCTACTCCCCAACAGTGAACATCACCGCTAGGACCGTGTGGGGTGCTCTTCACGCGTTCACGACATTACAGCAAATCATCATCTCTGATGGGCATGGAGGCCTCATGGTTGAGGAACCTGTCTACATCTCGGACTTCCCCAACTATCCTTATAGGGGAGCCATGATCGACACCGGACGCAATTTCATCAGTCTACCAAAAATCCTTGAGCAGATTGATGGTCTGACACTTTCAAAAATGAATGTTCTTCATTGGCACCTGGCGGACGCACAATCCTGGCCCGTTCAAATGCAGGTCTACCCACAGATGACGGAAGGTGCGTATTCACCACAAGAGACCTATTCGCACGGCGACATCCGCGGCGTCATCTCATATGCCCGCGCTCGTGGTGTTCGAATCATTCCTGAAACCGACATGCCAGGTCACGCAAGTCAAGGCTACGTATCGATCGATCCGAGCATCGTAGCCTGTGCAAACAGCTGGTGGTCCAACGATGTTTGGGCATACCACACAGCAGTGGAGCCTAATCCGGGTCAGCTCGATATACTGAATAACAAGACTTATGAAGTGGTGAGCAATGTCTTTGGGGAACTCGCAGGCCTATTTACGGACAATTTCTACCATGTAGGCGCAGACGAACTCCAAGAAGGCTGCTACAATTTTAGCACGGCTGTCCAGGAGTTCTTCGCTTCCAACTCGTCACGAACTTACAATGATCTTGTTCAAGTCTGGGTCGATCGGGCGATCCCAGTCTTCAGAGCAGCAGCCAACAAGACCTTGATGATGTGGGAGGACATCATCAATGCAACGCCGCATGCATGGACCCTGCCCCAGAACATTGTCCTTCAGACTTGGAACAATGGGCTCGAAAACATCCAGAATTTGACTGCCATGGGTTACGACATCGTGGTTTCCTCCGCCGACTTCTTCTACCTCGATTGCGGCTTTGGCGGATGGGTTACCAACGACCCCCGGTACAATGAAATGACCAACCCGAATGTTTCTGTTCCGAACTTCAACTTTTTAGGCAGTGGAGGCTCGTGGTGCGCCCCGTTTAAAACCTGGCAACGTATCTACGACTACGACTTTACGTTGAACCTCACAGCAGAACAGCAATCGCATGTCCTTGGGACTGAAGTACCTCTCTGGTCGGAACAAGTCGACGACACGGTCATCTCGAACAAGATGTGGCCGAGGGCGGCAGCAATGGCGGAGTTGGCCTGGTCTGGAAACAAGGATCCGGTCACTGGCATCAAACGGACGACCGAGATGACGCAGCGGATCCTCAACTTTCGTGAGTATCTCGTTGCAAATGGCGTGCAGGCGGCACCCTTGGTACCTAAATACTGTCTTCAGCATCCACATGCATGCGACCTGTACTACAACCAAACAGTACTCGCAGAATATGCGACAACTCAATGACACACCAATCTGTGTCCGAGTCATCATGTTTATTGGCGGAAGTCAGGAGACCAGTGTCTCCTATGTACATACAGATGCTTCATGTCACGGCCTAGCGAAGGAGACAATATGGCGTGTCCTCAATGGTGAGGCTCCGATAGCGGCGCACGTCAAGAGAAACTTCGGACGTTTTCGAGATGAGGATTTCGATCTCCAATAATATTCCTGCACAGTTTCCGAGGCAAGATAAACTCTCGTAACCGACGACCCCTCAAGGATTGTGGAGGCTTTTGATACTCCGGCATATTATATACATACTTGTACTGAATCTTGAGTAGGGAGCATAGTATGCATTTCACCGTTCGTTGAACACTTTCATCTTCATCAACCATTCTCATCAAAACGAATCGTGAAACCATGCCGCCAGGCTCTATCCTAGATTCCGCCGTGACCAATGGCCACCCTGCCTCCAATGGTACCAATGGGACTAACGGTGCCAATGGCACCACCAGCACAGAAAACATACCCGTAACAAGTATCCTCGTCGACTTCGTCGCCAACGCTTCTACCGACTATCTCACCTCTCCCATCCGCGACAGACTCAAAGAATACATCCTAGACTACATCGGCGTCTCTCTCGCCGCCAGCCAGTCCTCTGACTCAACTCAACCTATCCTCACCGCGATCAAAACCCTCGGCGGCACCACCGGAGGGTCAAGCACAGTCCTAGGACTGGGCAAATCCTTCACACCCCAATACGCAGGTCTGTTGAATGCCGCGCTCGGCCACTCCCTCGACTTCGACGACACATACGCCAAGGGCACACTCCACGCCGGCGTCACCGCAATAGCCGCTGGCCTCACTCAAGCTGAGATCCTTGGATCCTCGATTGATATGGATCGCTTCCTCTTAGCAGTTGCAATTGGCTACGAAATCACATGCCGTCTAGGCAAAGAACTCGGCAACGAAGCATACGCCCGTGGCTTTCATAACACGAGCACAGCAGGCATTTTCGGCGCCGTGGCGACTATCGCCGTGCTCAAAAACCTCCCGGCCACCACTCTAGCCAACGCCTGGGGTCTGGCCGGCAGCAAAGCGGCGGGATCAATGCAGTATCTCGCCAACGGCGCGTGGAATAAGCGTCTGCACCCTGGCTTCGCAGTGCACGATGCATTCGTCTGTGTTGCGCTCGCTGAGGCGGGAGTTCTCGGCGCAAAAGATATCCTCGAAGGTCCGATGGGTTTCTTGCACGCTTATAGTCCAAAATCTGACAAAGATCTGGCGTATTTGACGTCTGAGTTGGGGCAGAGGTGGGAGTTCCTCGAGACATCGCTCAAACCATTCCCCGCGTGCCGCATGACGCACGGGTTCATCGAGTACGCTACTACCCTTGGCCGAGATCGCGGTGTTGGCGCGGATGGTGTGAAGAGGATAACCCTGAGCTTGAGTCCCGCGAATGTAAGTGTCGTGGGGGCACGGATTGCGAATAAGATCCACCCTGAGAATATGGTTGACGCGCAGTTCTCGGCGTATTATACTACCGCGCATAGCTTTTTGTATGGGAGTGATGCTGCGGTGCGGGCGTATGAAGAGGACAGATTGGGGGATAAGGAGATATATGAGTTGTCGAATAAGATTGTGTGTGTTGGTGATGCTGGTATCAAGCACTTTGGGAGCAGGATTGAGGTGGAGTACAGTGATGGGAAGGTCGAGACGTTGGATATTCCGTATCCGCTGGGCGAGCCGCAGAGGCCGTTTACTAGGGATAGAGTCGAGAGTAAGTTCTTTGGGTTGGTCACGCCGGTCCTGGGAGAGAAAAGAGCTACGGCGATACGTGATGCTGTGGAGGATATTGAAAGTCATACTGTGACAAAACTGTTGGAGATGTTGTACTAAACTTAGGTATACTTGAAAACCGGGGTAGATACCATGCAGCATGTTTAATGCAAATCCATGACAGCACCTTCATCAGTGGTTTTGCGTTGGGAGACGAACCCTTGATGCCTTTGTTATGCCCATGCCACGTCTTGCCTCAAGCTGTCTCATACCCGAACAAGGGATATTGCAGGAACAGCGCAACTTGACTTTGATAGGCACTCACAGCCAGTTGAGGCTGGTAATGCGTCGTGTGACACCCTGACGATACATTCACGCCACTGAAGCGGTCCGCAATCCAGTCCAGCCAGACCTGCTGTCCAGCATATAACACCGGAACGTGGGTGACTCCTTCAAAGGTCGCATACTCCAACGACCTATCCGGATATGCTTGGCAAGTTGCGTTGACTGCAGCAGTCGTCCCATTTGGATCGACGGACGGGTCTGCCGTGCCTTGAAGGACCAGCATCGGCCCGGCGAAGGGTTTCCCACCGTTTGTCGTCAAATTATTCAACGCATCGAAATACCAGCTGCTAGTATTCCAGCCTTGTTGAACTAGTTCGGTCTGGCTGAGCAACTCCAATGCGACGGACTGGCACCCTTGTAAGCCTTGCAGCAGCTGTGCGGAGCGTACACCTTTGTCGTTCAGCCAGTCGGACAGTTGGAACGATGGAAAGACAGAGCTGACTCCCGTGCCGACTCTGACCAGTAGCGAGCCCAAGGTGGCACCGTTGTCTAGTGTACTGATATTGTGCGGCAGAATGGATGTGGTCGGTGAGCCGGCGATTGTGCCCAAGTAGCCTTGCACAGGATTTTCCGCCAGGATCTGGGCAGCTCCCCACGCTGCACCGCCGCCTTGAGAGTGGCCCATGATCACAAACTTCTTGCTTAGCGACGGCCAGGCTTGCTGTGCAGCTTGGACGGAGTAGATCAGGTCGTTTCCAGCGGCTGGACTGGCGAGGTATTGATGCGGGATGAATGTGCCGTTCGAGTCGTGATCCAGTCCTAAGCCGGCATAGTCTGGCGCGACGACCACATAGCCTTGCAGAGCGAGAATGAAGGGCGCGCTGTACTGGTACCACAAGTTCCTGATATGAGACGGTCCGCATTCACCCGCTCCAGCCTGACGTGCCATGGCCCCAAGCTACCACGGGTAGCCCGGAGACGTTGGCAAAACGGCGTGGAAGCCATGGCCACAGAACATATGCGGATGCGGGAATCGTGGTGCCATTGAGTGTCTTGGTCATGAAGAGCATTCGTGACAACGCGACATTAGGCGCTACCGTGTAGAAGGAGGTGTTGGTGTATTGCTCGACTTTGATGACAGAGCCAGCTGGGGCATGTGAGTCGTTGGAAGGGACATCGACGTAAAATGGATCGAGCTGAGTTGAGGAACCTGCCCAGTTGGAGCGTTCGAAGTTGACGGCTGTTAGGATTGCCACGGAGAATTCAGCGGACAGATTCGCCTGCGCGATGAGGGACTCGGCTTGTGAGGAGTTGAGATGACCATACGTTGCATTGAAGGTGGTATTCTGACTCTGAGCAACTGGAGCTTGTGCCTGGCATAGCGACAGGAGTGGCAGAAACCAGAAGGAAGCAAGAGCTGGGAAGACCATAGTGCGGGACTCGAGTCGAACTCGCTCTGAGTGAGTGCGTCGTCCTGAGATGGTCTTGTGCCATGTTTATATCCCCCTCTTTCTACCTAGTGACGTGTATTGACACTACGGTGGCCGTCGGTCGACATGCCGATGAGTTGACCAGCATGGAGAAAGATGGCATCCAGCATCCTACACCCTAGTGTGTTGAAATGTGCAGATCAACTTCCACTTGTTGCCGACCAGCCGACTGACTCCGCATGAGAGAAGGAGGTGGTTGTGGAGAGACTAAATGCGGAGTATCGGTGAAGAAAGAATCAAAGGGGAAGAGGATGGATAAATGATGTCGATGTCGATGTGGGAAATTTCCCCCATATGGATTAGATAAGCAACTTTGATATCGACACCATGCAAGTCTGTCACCGTTTCCATGACCGTTTCCCCGTTTTCAAGGCATGTCTGTCCCGTCTGCGATCAGACACCAGTGCAGGAGCATGGGCTACATCTCGAAACGCGCCCTCGACAATCTGATTCCAAACAAACTTCATGAGATCCGCTCCCATTGCTTCCACAATCAATATGACGCGCAAAACAATCCAGACGGCATTGTCGCCCTGGCCGTCGCGGAAAACAAACTCATGCGCGAAGAGATTGTTGACCATATCAATAAGCATATGAACATCAATCCCTGGCATCTGACCTATGGCCAAGGGCCGCAAGGTGATCCTGCCCTGCGAAAAGCTCTGGCCAGTGTCGTCCAAGAGGTCTTCACGCCGTCGACCGAGATCACCGAAAGCCACATCTGCATATGCAATGGGGCTGGCAGTGCAGTGGACAATCTATGCTTCTGCATGGGGGAGCCAGGAGATGGTGTCCTCGTCGGTCGACCGCTATATGTCGGCTTCTTTCCAGACACTGAAGCTCGAGCGAAGTAAGCACGTCGTTCCGTTCCTCCCGCCGTCCCGGAACTCACAGCGTCTGCTCGGGCACTTACGACTTATCCCAGAATCAAGCCTGTCCTCGTCGGCTTCGGAGATGTCAATCCCACATCCGCAGCCGCCGTGTCTGCTTACGAAGAGGCATTCCACCGTTCCAATGCCGCGGGAGTGACCATCCGCGCCATCCTGATCTCGAGCCCACATAATCCCCTCGGCCGCCCATACTCAAACGACTTTCTCATTGGTATACTGAAGCTTTGTTCCAAGCTCAACATTCACTTAATCTCGGATGAAGTCTACGCGAAGTCACACTTCCCGAGCAAAGATATCCCCGAGCCGCCGCCGTTCGTATCAGTCTTGTCCTTTCCCCTGAAGGAGTATATCGACCCATCCCTAGTACATGTCATATATGCCATGAGTAAGGACTTTTGCGCCAACGGAACGCGCATAGGGGCGCTCATATCCCCTTTCAATGTGCAGCTTATGAGATCGTTCCGTGCGGTCGCCAGCTTCACGAGGGCCTCGCAGCTTGCGGAGCACTCGTGGCTAAATCTCATCACGGACAAGCCATTTCTGGAAACGTACTTTCCTCTCTTTCAGTCTCGCATGACTGAAGCGTATGAATTCACAACGTCCTTTTTGAAAGAAAAGAACATTCCTTACAATGCGGCGAGCGTGACGAGTTTCATCTGGATCGACCTCTCGAGATACTTGCGTGAGGACAGCCTGGACGCTGAACTAGAGTTGAACTGGCGTATGGCACGGGGAGGTGTCTGGCTTGCAATGGGTGCCAGTTTTGCTAGTGAGAGGAATGGCAATTTCAGGTTGACCTTTGCCACACCGAGGGAGGAATTGGAACTCGGTCTCGAAAGGTACGTGGTGCGAGAGTGGGATCATTGCTAGGACTGGTTGAGAGCTGACCAGTGCATGAACAGATTGATGAAAGTCCTCAACGAGGTCGAACAAGAGACAAAGACCAAGCGATAGAACAAAACGTGAATTTACTGTGCCTGGCAAGGTGGTATCTCGAACGTTACCAGACACCCGACCAAAGCTCCTCCTGAGCAGCCATTTCATGCTACCACGATGTCGCCACTGCTATGACGATTGTCTTTCAGAGAAGTGATAACCACCACAAACGCAGCCTATTCCGAAGCCTTCATTGGCCATAAGCTATCCAAGAATTCTTCCGTTGCTTTCTGCAGAGACTGGCGCTGCTCAACACTCGCTCCTCGAAAGACATGATCAGCGCCTACGACTGGGTGAAAAGTGATAGGTACATTCGCTCGCTTCAGAGCACCCCCAAGCAAAGTACTCTGATGAAAGGGAACAAGGTGATCGTCTGTGCCGTGAGCGATGAAGAAGGGTGGCGTCGAGGCGGATACGTAGGTCATCGGATTCGCTCTCTTGACCTTGTCTGGATGCTCAGTGATATTTCCACCAATATACCTGGACTCGGGCGAGTTCGCGTGGTTGTGCATCTGACTTCCGGGCGGAGCGTGGTCGTCCATTTGGAGGAAATCTGTCGGCCCATAGTAGTCGACGACACCCTGCACAGCGCTTGAGACGTCGAGATATTCACCCACGTCGAATTCCTTGATATCTCCCGTTGCACCGATCATCGCCGCGAGATGGCCACCTGCTGATTCTCCCCATGCCACCACCCGGTCTGGATCCAGTCGATATCTTTCAGCATTGGCACGTAGCCAGCGAACGGCGGCCTTACAATCTTCAACTGCGGCAGGGGAAGTGGCATCTCCGCTGAGGCGATAGTCAAGGGACGCAATTGCATAGCCTCTGTCGCGCATGTGTTTCGGTATGAGTTCGGTTTCCTTGTTACCATACATGAATGCGCCGCCGTGGATGTAGACAATGACCGGACTTAAAGTGGTGCCTTTGGGAGGAAGGTAGAGGTCGAGTTTCTGTCTCTCATGGCCGTCGCGCACATAGGAGATGTTGTGGATTTCTTCGTATTCCATGATGGGATTCTTTCACGGTTGTCGAATAACTGTGATGGATGATCAGTCGAAAGGAGGAGTGGCAGTCAGTTCAGCTGGACTCAAGACAAGAAGACAACAAAAGGCTTCACATGGCGTTTCATGCTTCCCATTGTGTAACAACGAGGAGTACTGTGACAGGCCATTGTCAATGATAGTGTCGATGAGAGAAGGGACAGTGACATTGAGTTAGTGAAGAAATGAGGCAGTGACTGACTTCGTGAATCCTCCAGTCAATTCACTGCATTTGCGGGGAAGCCGCAACTTTCCTTTCCTTGCCGCGACGTCACACAAGTCAATTCAATTCAACTCACTTGAAATTCTCGCCAGTGATTTTCATATCAAGGAGAGTCTGTGACAGTGTCACTGATTCCACGCTCGACAGCCATCGTCTCGTTGAATGAGGTGATTTCGCACTCGGACATGGACATCAGAATGAAGCATCGGGCGCAGGAGCCGGTCATGTTGTGCCGCACACACCCACCTATTGACCTGCGTGCTGACGACCTTCTCGCTATGACAAGGCATGATACACAACGCCGTTGGGCGATGTGATATCGGATATGCAGATAACATGCCAGTGCTAAGGAAAGACACCAGCGAGCACACCGGAGCAGAGTGCACATATCGAGACATGGCAATCGAGGCAGGTGAGCAAGACCTGACGGTGCAGAGCCTGCCTTGATATCCTGCTCTTTCTCCCGGCAACTTACCGCTCAGTCACGATCTTGAGAAGACATGAATGGGAGACTTTCCAATGGCTGAAACAGTGTCTGAAGCGCATTTCACCGGTTGTGCATGATGCATATTTGGGGTTAGGCATCATCCTCGCTAAGCTGATACCGAGTTGCAGAACTCCAACCACCTCCCTGAATCGAGCAATGTGACGCTGCACCTCGTCCAGGCGCCGCTGTACAATCTTTCAAGCAGAATCCTCCAAGGATGGCAACGCTACTCTCGCATAATGTCGGCAGTCATTTCGGGATTTCTGTCGGATGCATCCACCCGTACGGGCGTCGCCTTGACCCGAGGCGAGTGTCCACCTTATGAGCATGGGTATTTTTCCAGAACTTTGCACACTTCCTTTGCGGAAAGCCTCCAGGCAGCGAGAGCTTCACACAGGGCGTTCCATATGTATTCGAGACTTTGCAGATGAGATCATTCGGTGCTGAAGAATCTCGCATCTGCTGCTGTGAGCTCCACTCTTAGGTCTCGTACCTACCATGCTGGGAGAACTCGCAACTCTCCCTTGAATTGCCCCTTTGTCCTGCTGAAGAGCCGCTTGTTGGTAAGCGAAGTCAGAAATTGATGTCTGGCCCCAATCATGTCCAGGATGCACTGATAAGGTGGCCTTCAACTAATGTACGCTGTGCATATGTGTGCATTGAGAATCTGCCAGATACTCGCCGTGCAAATCATGACTGATCTGAGAAGGTCCCAACTGCGCTGGTGGTGGGAATGGCGATTATCTATCGATGCCCAACTTGATCGTCTTCAGGATCCTACTTCCAGCAGGCCCATCATCCCGGGCGGTGGGAGCCACCCTAGAACGGATTATCACGACGGTAGGACCACCACGCTAGGCAACAGGCTAGCCTGCCCACGGGCCAGGGCCTAGGGGTCACTATTCTTCAACACTGATCCAGTCGTCGAACACCCGGAGAGAACTGTGGTACAATCCGTCGATTCCAGCACCGCTCTGCCATCTCAATCCGCTTCCGCATTCTCGAATTTCCAGCCACCAAAGACCTAATAGGTTCCGAGTGGATCATACTAAATTATGGCTACGGAACCAAAAAGTTTGCATCCTGGCGAGGAAGCCATCCCATCATTCCAGCGAATTGAAACCCTGAAACACGCGCCATTATGACAGCCTAAGCATCTCATCTCCAAGGCTCCGAGGCCAAAACCCCAGAGACCCAGAGAGTCAAACCCCGCAGGACATGGGTGCCTATGACTCCCCGACAACAAATCACCAAGTCCCCATGGTTACTTAAGAACAGCCTCGGGTTCAGCCATTTCGGGGAAGCTGCATGGGAGGTCTTTACCCGGCGTATTGAAACTCTTTGATTTCCTTCCTTCCATCTATCCTGTGTCACTCGACTGCATCCTCATCTCGAGAACGTGGCCAACTTCTCCTTGTGAGACGCTTCAGCGATCATGGCCGTCCACAAAAAGCATGCCGCGTCTCATTCGAGCAGCTACAACAGGCTGGTGACAGTGGCTGCAGCTTTCGGTTCCATGGTATGTTTTTGCACCTTGCGCACAAGTTGCCATGAGGCTTCTCAGCAGGAACTTTACTGATGATCATCGAAGACATATGGGTACTGCTCGGCCATTATTGGTAGCACAATCGGCCAACCGGGATGGTATCATTTCTTTGACCTGCCCGAGGAAGGCCAGCCAGGCTATGGAGGAAAAACTACTCATGCCATTGCGACAGCCAACGGTGTCTACAGCGCAGGCGGAGCAGTCGGATCTCTCTTTGTTATGTGGTCCGCCACTGCTCTCGGTCGCAAGCGAAGCATTCAGCTCGGCGCCATACTGGCAATCATCGGCGGTGCGTTCCAAGGTGGTGCTGCCGCACTCGCCATGTTTCAGGTCGGTCGAGTCATCTCAGGTCTAGGAATCGGCATTCTGGTTACGGCTTGCCCTATGTATCTCGCTGAGCTTGCGCCTCCCGAAAGTCGGGGTTGGCTCGTCGGTCATCACGCGATATTTCTGGTATTCGGATATATGCTTTCGGGCTGGCTTGGTTATGCATGTTACTTCGCAACAGACAAGAACGAATCTTTCGCCTGGAGATTTCCTCTGTGCATTCAGTCGCTGCCCCCGCTTGTCCTGATCATCACCTCGATATGGATTCCCCGATCACCTCGATGGTTGCTTCAACAAGGCAAAATCGAAGAAGCCTGGAAGGTCATTCAAGCGTTACGAAGGTCACCCGAAGATCCGGATGATCTGGTCGCCAGAGAAGAACTGTACCAGACTCGGGAACAACTCGCCCTTGATTCGGCCAAATTGAAAGCTACCGGCTATGGCCCATGGATGGCAGTCATCAAGAAGAAAAGCTACCGCAAACGAATGATCATCGGCTTCCTGACTCAATGGGGAGCCGAGTTTGCTGGGCCGTTGGTCATTGTGAGTATACCTCGATCTTGTCAACTCTTTGCGATCTCTGATAAACATTAGAACAACTATGCGGTCATTTTGTACACCAACCTCGGCCAAACAGGTTCCATGCCTCTTCTCTTGTCTGCTCTTTGGCTGACAACAGCCGGTATGCTTTGTGCGCAGTCAACTCACCACTTTCCATGCTGACACTTCGTGCAGGTTGCCTTTATAACCCTGGCGGTGCCTGGCTCCACGACAGGGTCAATTCCCGCCGCCTGATGTACATGATCGGTATCGCAGGCTGTCTAGTAACTACCTCGCTTCTATGCGCTATGCTCGCCACCTACAGCAGCACTACCAACAAGGGCGGCAACGCAGCCGGCGTGTTTTGTGTGTTCTTCTACCTCACCTTCCAAGGCACTTTCTGCGACACGACAATGTACCTGTACGTTTCCGAGATTTTCCCAACCGAGATCCGTCCCATCGGCATGGGCTTCTCCTTGTTTGGCCAATTCGCCGCCACGCTAATCCTGCTCCAAACCGCCCCCATCGGCTTCGTCACCATTGGCTGGAAGTACTACCTCATCATCGTCTGCTGGTGCATCGTCTACCTACCCATGATCTACTTCTTCTGGCCCGAGACGGCGCGCCTCTCGCTCGAAGAGATCTCCGCCAAATTCGGCGACGATGTCGCCGTGCATGTCAACGATGTGAGCGAAGAGCAGCGCCGCGAACTGGACGAGTTCCTCAAGTCAAAGGACATTGTGCACACGGAAGCGACCAGCAACACGACGCAAAATCAATCGCCGACCGAGATTGAGGAGAAGACGTCGTCGAAAGTGTAGTTACTCGGCAGCAGGTGAGACCTGGCGATGAATCCAAAAGTGATTGTAGCGGGAAAAGGTGCATGTTGAGCAAGTACGGTATATGATCCGCGCATGACTTCTCACAGGTGGTGAGAGAAGCCTAAGCACCCAATTTGGGTATATATTTAAATCTGGCAGAAGCAAGAGATTAGTATCAGATTGTCAACGGCATCTTCAAATGTTTCTTTGAATGACCTTCATCCTGAGTCTATGACTATAATCCTTGTTCTTCCCACAAGATAGCTAGTATGCGCAGCATCAAACTGTATGTCATGTTTATGAAAGAGTTCATGGGAAGAAGGCATCTCCTATAGCACCACTTTGTGTCATGATTGTATGAGAAGTAAAAACTGTGACATTAAAAGATGGCAATGCAGTTTGGCGGACTCGACACTCCGCCAGGCATATTGAACGGAGCGCTCGCAACAAAGAACTCCCACCGATTATGCTGTTTGCATAGCTGACTGAGGCCTTCGAGATCGAAAAGCTCGCCGATCGGCATGCCCCAACCAGCCAGCAAGTATTCGTGCATGAACAACCCCGGCACATCCTGTCCATCGGGTCGCGCATACGATTTCTTCGGCGGATACACCTCGAACGATATCGCGTCGCCAGCAACGGCCGCGAAGCCAGTATCCCAGATCCAGCGGATCATATCTTCTGTTCCTTCGACGCCGGCGTGTTGAGGGTTTGATGATTCAGCATAAGCCGTCTTATCGGCGACCGTCATCTTGGTGTCCCATTCCTGCGTGACGCCAATCCTCACAAACAGGATATCCCCACGCTGGAAACTGACGTTTTCCTCCTCCGCAATCTCCAACAGAGTAGACAATGGAATGGTATGGTCGCTGAACGTCGTGTACGAGATACCCTTTCGCTCCGCGTACGCGGCGTAGTCCAGCAGCACGCCCCGGCCGCATATGCCTTCCTTGGCCCAGAATTGCAGTCCGATCCGGTGGTTCGCCGGATCTCGGATCTCTTCCCTCGTCACTCCACCGTAAAAGACCCTTTTCTGGGGCTCCGTGTCGGTGGGACAAGGCTGGGAAAAATGTCGCAAGCCGTCCCATTGACTGCTCTGTTGTGGGTTGAATGTGAAAATATCGTCAAACGCTACGCCGTCGAGCAGGTCCACGATTTTGTGCTCGCATGGTAGGCGGTTGAAGTTGGCGATCTCCAGCTTTGTCAATTCCCAGCCGACCGTCACGCGACGACCTGTGCGTATGCATGATGCTGCGGCGGCGGCTACCACTTCAGGTGTCAGAAGTACAAGGCGGCCAAGGCCTTCCTCTGGGGACCCCGGAGCGCCAACCCAGACTTGTCGCTTGTTAGGAAGAGAATCGAACGGCGTCGAGTGCAGAGGGTCAATTTGAGCAGTGTCCTCGTCCTTGCCGCCCATTGATGCTATCGAACCGATGACAGGAGTCTATCGGCCAGCGAGGTATGCAGGGAAAGAATTTTGGAGAGGTACTGATATGGAAGTTGTAAGATGCCCGATTGGTCCAATTACTAAAGTGAGCGTAAGCCGTTCGTCTTTGCCGTGTTTGCCGTGGCAAATTTTGCGACAAGGCGTGACTGACTCGAAAAAGTGAGATAGTGAAATCGGAAGCGAATAGTGGTGAGATCGCAAACATTTGCTGTCAATCGATGGCGATTTCATCCATTGGTTTCCCAGTCGAACTTGCCGTCGCTCATCTGATCACAAACTCACAGAGACTTGCAGAGTCTGTGCTCCACTGTTCCCCGCGCTTCGACGTCCGAACTCCGGGCGTACCACAAGTTCAAGAGTCAATGTTATGGGGTTCATGAACAGCGTTTCGGACTTTTACACTATTCAGACCCGCAGCTTGAAGCTTGTGGTTATGTGAAAAAGAGGCGGTCACATGGAGAGAACCCGCGCTCCGGATTCCGGCAGGCTGGGGCATGTTGGGGTCAAGAAAAGAATTCATTGCCCGCAAACAGGACATGCATCGCTCGAGGTGGTGTGACCAAAGGACCATGTGTGGTGGGAAGGCCTCCGAGTCGACATGCTCAAGCTTGCGGCTGATGCGCCAAGTATGCTTCATTGCAATTCCAGGCATACTGACCCGGGTATCAGTTTCAACGGTCAGTCGTTCAGATCAAAGCCCTCCAATATGCGAATGAATTTCTTCGCGAGCCCCCAATATCGCAAATTCCGCAGCATCGTCTGAGCTTCATGACTGATAGCCTTGAGGCCTCCGTTGCCGTAAATATTGTGGACAAGACCTATGCTTGCAGGTCCCCCAACCTCGATCCATGTTGCGACTGCAGTCCTTTGACCGTCAATTCTGTTCGACAGGTCTAGGCGGACAGGACTGATGTGTGCATCTGGTGCGGGTTGAGGCCCAAACTTGATGAATGACAAGATGAACATGTAGCCCATGAAGACTCTCATGATCTCGCATGGTGCAGAGACCAAATATTCATTTGCCACAGAAACGATCTGGGCTGCATGCCATGCCAGATGGCGAGCTTTGTGGGGATTCTTTCCTAGTATCGAAGCGAGCCGACGTTTGGCGGGGAGTAAACTAGGGTCTGGCGGCTTTGAAGCGGAAGCTGATGTTCGAAAGATGTGCACAACAAGGTCCATGGCCTCCTCCGAGCTGTACAAGTGTGAATAGTGACAGATCAGGGACGCAAGGCTGTGATGTCTGGTCAGCTTGACGTGCTTTAGCAAACTGTGAGGTACTTACTTGTAATGTATCAACTCTGCAGTGGTGATCGGTGAATACATTGACTCGCAAATCGTAGTGAGTCCTTGCAGAAGCATGGCCTTGGTCTGTCTTTGAGCCGCAGACATAGAAGGTAATTTGAGATACTCTGGCGTCGACATTATGTCCAACTGTTTCAGGTCCCACAGAAGCCGACCTATGCTTTGTGCACAGAGTCTCTTACTCCAAGCAGGTAGATTTGGAGGCAATGTCTTGCTAGTCAGAAGACTGCGGAGGACCGTTGACGTCGGAGCACCCCGAGCTGTTGACGATAAGCGAGAGTACAGGGCCGCCCATGCTTGAGCAGAAGGTGCATCCCACAGAGGTTCAGCGCATGGCAGATGACTCGGTAGTTCTGGTAGATCAACTGCACCTCTCTTGGACGTCAGTGTGCAGAGGCTGCAGTCGTACTCGAAAACAGACCACGCGATGCGCTTCTCTTCCTCCTCAACCTTCCATTGCATCCATTCAGCGCCTACATTGTCAGCCGACAACACGTGCCTGGCGTCTTCCTTCTCAGGTTCGGCGCTGACACGACTTTTGAGAATGCCCATTCCTCGAAGACAGCCTATTAGTATGCCTCTGCTACAGTCGGCATTTTGATAAAGTCGTCTATTTCCGGACCCGAGAGAGTAAATCTGGTGAAGGCAACAAGCTATGAGGTAGGCCGGTTTGTAGAAGTTTGTGGTATCAGATCCTCCCTGACAGGGTCGTTAGCTCGGGTTCTCCATTGATCCTTGATGTGACACTTACCAGCCACGCGATCATCTGTATGCATATCTCGCTCATTGACGTTGATTGTTCAGTACCTTGTCGATCATCCGAGTACATGGCTCCAATACAGGCCATTGCCGCAAGGGTCACAGTCGGGATCTTGGCCATATTAAATGTTGGAATATGCACCAAAGGCAACACGGCATGGAATTCGCTAAAGTAGAGCTCCAAGGAGTTCTTCAACAGATCCATGGCAGATACCATGCTCACATCTTGAGACAGGTCGAGCTCGGGCAGTAGAGGATTAGACAACAATTGCACGAGACTCCGAATAGGGTCTCCACTATCAGCTGAAGTGGATGTGATGGTCCCCTGAAGGATATCTCGTAAAGGCGGTAGTCGATGCTTCTGTGGCTCGGGATTCCTCGTATGATCGAACGGCCATTGCTGAGCACTAGCTTGTGGTTCAATGATTTTGGCGGATGAATTGACGGGGTTCGGCGGCCTGGACGGCTGAACTCTGGCATCGCTGATGTTATTATTTCTTCCAAAGAACATTGGATCGGTTCCATTCATCATGGTAGACTGGTTTGGCATGAACTGCATATTGCCTGGAGAGTACATTTGGCCAATTGACTGGGCCGTAATGTCGCCATTGTTGGGAGAGTCAAGCTCTAGGTTGAGCCAGTCGACGCCTCCCTCCACCATGCCGATGATCCTTGGGCCGGGATTGGAAGGCACGAAGTTCATGTCGCCAGACAAGAATGCGCCATCATATCCCATGAATGATTGACTGTAATCAGTTGCAATATCGGTCGGACTCGTGTTCGGATACGAGGCCATGTCCAGAGACATCATATTTGAAACATTCGACTCCGAACCCGTGTGATAGAAGTGTGCGTCCTCGTTGAATGTCTGCACACCTGCAGATTTTTGGCCGTTGGTCTGCATATATACCGTGTTGGTCTGGACTAATGATATTTGAGGAGTAGGCTGATTTTGGTAGGCCGTCGGCGATTCGAATGTATTGTTCTGGCATATGCTCGAATCTTGAAATTGCTGGACGCTTTGGGAGTCCGTCTCGATCTTCTCTTCTTGCACTTCACCATCCACTGACGAATCATCATTTGCATATTCGCATGCAACAGATGACTTAGAGCAAGGCATGCATGGTTGCCCACGATCGCACTTCAATTTCTTCTTGACACAGCGAAAACAGGATTTTTGAGCAGATCTTTTTCGGGATATGTAGGCTTGGTGCGCCGTTCGAAGGTGTCGGAGAAGAACATCATTGCGAGAGAATTGACGCCCACATTCGGTGCAGGAGAAATGCTCGCGTCGAGCAGGTGGTAGGTGGGACTGGAGATGACGGGCTAAGTGGCTTGGGCGAGCGACAACGAGACCACACTCTTGACAACGGAGGATTCGAGGTTTCTTTGAATCGGTCTGAAAGAGAGGCCGTCAGTATGGATGGTCAAGCACACCGCCATCAAAGAGTGGACTGGAAGACTATGAGCATACCATGTCGGACGTTCGTGTCAATTGGTGAGCCGCGATATACAGAGGGGAAGATGCTGCTTCAGAGCGTCGACGAAATCATCCGCCTTCGATGATGATTGAAAGACATGTGCGTCGAGCGGCTTCTGCGCAATAGGGCATGCTCGTTCAACAAACATGTGAAGGGCAGAATACCATGTGGGATGCTCGGAAGAGATTCGTTCAGTGTAGATGTATGGACGGCTGATGAGCGTTCGCTTCGTGAGTTGGAGTTGGGTGTCAATGGGTGGATGGAATTGATGATGAGTGAGGGTTGGGCAGGAAAATGAAAAGAGGAGACGGAGATAGGGCTTGACGGGACCCCCATAATGTGAAATCTGGGGAAGGAGTCGATCTTGGTTTCGGGGCACTTTGTGAGACTTGCCGGCTGCACTTGACGTTTAGTCACCCCTAACTACCTTTATCAATTCGCACCTTTCCTGCCCAGGACATGTGCCTCTCTCATCTCTCCTCACGCCTGTCACTATGCGGCAATGATTACCTTGCACTGGTTGCTCATCAACGCTTTTGCAACACCACCTCGCCACTAAATCATGATATCATTTCGACAGGACTTGATCCTGGTCGCAGATGCAGTACCCCTCTGATCTGAGTGCGTGGGAGTATTGCGACACCGGTCAACAGCATCCTCATTCTCGTGCGATTCGAGTGCTTTTCTGTTCGATGAGAACATCAAATGAGTCTATCTCTACGGGTTCTTATCCAACGATGCTGATTCCCTATCTTTTATATCCCAGCTGTTCCTTGATTCTCCCCAGACGTTGATAGGGCGAACCACCACCTTCGTAGCCGGAGCGATCTTCACAAGTCCGGGCAACCTGAACGGTCAGGGCATCATGCTATACACCGCTAAGAGCAGCAGTAAGAGAGGGGAGTCCGAGAGCCTCTCCCTAATCAAACGGACGTTTGCGGGGATGGTGCCACAGAACAAAATCGAAGCCGAAGTCCGCTTGATGCCGGCAACGGCGCAACAACCTGCTTGACTCGTCGCCCTGCTTCTCCAATCATACACATCGGCCGCCGTCAACCTTAATACTTGGTCAGCATTTATCATTCCTCACTTCAGCAGATTTATTACCTCGAGGTTCACCCCCGTGATGAACTCTGCCTCATCACTTGCGAGGTAGCAGCAAGCATTTCCCACGTCGACGGGTGTGCAACCGCGACCCAGTGGGACAGTGGAAACAAATCCCGCTCGATTTTCCTCCGTATCCGGCTTACCAAGGAAAAGATGCGTCCTGCGTTCCACGTTAGTGGATTGCTGAATCATACGGAAAAGTCTCAATCAGCAAGATGATTGACTCACATTCCAGTGCTTCCAACAACTGGACAGACGGCGTTAAAGCGAATCTTCTGGGGCCCATATTCGACAGCCATAGTCTTCGTGGCATTACTGACTGCGGCTTTCGAGGCATTATACCACGTGAGGCCGGGTCGGGGTCGGATACCAGCCGTCGATGCTATGTTGATGAACACTCCAGGTCGTTTGTTGTCGAGAAAATAGGGCACGAGAACACTTGTCGAGAGGAATATCGACCGCACGTTGACGTCCATAACAAGGTCAAAGTCCTTGTCCGTGACTTCCATGGTCGGTTTGTTCTTGTAAGTTGCCCCAGCATTATTGACAATGATATCGAGCCCTCCGAAATGTTCTAGAGCGAATTTGAGCAGGTCGTTCCAGTGTTCCCGTTTTGTCACGTCCGCCACAGAGTACTCGCAGCCGAGCTCGCTAGCTACGGTCTGAGCAGCTTCACCAGATAGGTCGGCAATGATGACTTTGGCACCTTCCTGGGCAAACTTCGTGGCAATGCCTCGACCAAAACCAGAACCACCACCCGTCACTATCGCCACCTTATTTTCAAGCCTGCCGTGTGCCATGATGGGTATCTCAATTCTGAAGACTCGAACAGATGTCTCCGCGAATGCTGGTCATAAGCTTCGTGGTGCAGACGGCAGGCAAGAGGCACTCTTTCCAAAAGAGTCCGAAGTCGGCACCAAACATCTAGCTGTGCCAACCCAGGCCGTCCTCATCGGATATCGAAATCCATTCTGGACTGTGTTGCTTCGTCGGTTGGTTCGGGTTGGCGCCACTCAGGAGTTGGTGGTACCTCCGGAGGAGCCTGAAGGCTTTTGTAGTAGTGAGCGACAACATCTTCGCATCCCCACAGAGATAACTCCAAGGGCCCATACGGCTCACTAGGCCATGGGTCTGTGCCTTGGCTTACGCGCTGGCATACAGTACTACAGGTCATCTTCACGCGACAGTTCTCCTCCGTTCTCAAGTTGATTGACACACGATCCACCCTTTATGAATGGCAGGGAAAATCATCCCTCATTGACAATTACCAGAACTTATCGTCTCTTAATATTATGAAGTCTATATCTAATTATAACGTAGTGTATCCAGTCATGCGGGGGTCAACCTGAGGTTGCCACGCTTCACAGCTTGACTTCCTTCCAATCTCTGCCGACCGTTCGATGACTCGCCAGTGCCTCCTCACCAGTCTGGATCTTCGGTATGAGTCGCTTCGCTGAGCAGGTGTTTCGAGATCCCTTCCTGGCCGAGGCACGGCTTCCGTAATGGACATAAGTCGGCCCTCTGTCCTCGTCCGGCCGCAAGCTATGATCCCCATCATAGGTCCTGTCTCTCATGGTTGATCTCCTGCGAGACCCTCCGGTGGGCGGTGCTACGTCGGTGATACGAAAGCTACCATGGCCACCACCATGACCCTCCTCGTCCTCCTCAGGATCGCCTTGCTCACTTTCACCTTCGTCGATGAACGGTGAATTTGATCCATACGTTAGGATCTCTAGCGCTTCGAGTCGATGACCAACCACGTCTGCCAAACCATTAAGCATGTCGACTTCTTTTTCGCCAACTGCCATCATTGTCCATACATCAAACTTGCTGTTGACGTCCTTTCGTGCTGCTTCCTTCCGAGCCTCAACTTCCCGGGTATTGGGCAGGGCCAGTCCTGCAAAGTTGACCTTCGCCATGACACGGACGTGCTTTATCGACTTACTGTCGTCGCCCTGAATGTCGGTGCCTAGCTGCAGTTGGTCATGTTCGTGTAACTCACGAGCCTCTCCAGACCCAAGACGTTGCCCGTTGACGAACGTTCCACCTCTTGAACTTAGGTCCCTGATGTAGACTTGCCCAGTCTCTTTGTCCGCCCAGACTTCTGCGTGGCGCAGAGATACGCTTTTGGTGTTGAAGTTTCCGTCGGCACGCCTCGCCCGTGCTTCTCCAGATTGCCGGCCAAGCAGCAGCTTATTGGTACCGTCCTGAAGGAAGGGGACTTCAATCTGTTTCCGGTCAAACAAACCATTCATGGATTTTAGCTTCAGCAGTGCAATGTGGTGGCCGTAGACAGCACTTAGATTGAGGTTTGGAAATTCTTTGTCGACGATACCCTGCAGGGTTTGCATTTTTCCCTCGCCCTCTCTGAGCAATTCCGTGATCTTGTCGGAGACTTCATTGAGAGCGCTTTCACGTGCAGCTCGTACCAGCCGGCGTTGCACCTTATATCCTCGGGCACTCACGGTCGTTGCGGGCGCACTGATGTTTCTCACCCACCCAAACGCACTCCGACGCTGGACAAGGACATTTGCGCTGACATAGAAGCTTCTTGCGCTCTTGACTATGACCATCAGCCGCACCGAGGGAGGTAAGCCGCTCTTGCTCTTAGGCTCCTCGTACATCTTCCACTGAGCATGACGAGGGGACGGTAGAAAGCCATGAAAAAGCCTGGATCCCTTGAATGTGGTCTTATCTCCCCAGGTCAGGCCTACGTTGGCACTGATAGCACCTGCTGCTGGGCCCGGTGCTCCAACGTTGACGCCGACATTTTGGCCCGAGCTGACCTCATGGTCGGCCATATATACGAGGCTTGCTTCCGGGTCAATGCCCACAATAGCTGGGCCTGGACGGTTCGGATCGCGGCTATTGCTAGTAACCTGGATGTCAACGGCTGCTGAGCGAATACGCTTGGAGGGATCGAACGGCCGTGCAAAATCCAGTTTGAAGTGCAGCTGATACGCTTCTTTGCTATTGACGGTAACGAGTTCGCATCGGGTGACTTTGATGTCAAAATAGCAGTCGTGACTGTCGTGCCTTGCGAGGACATATGGCAGGTTGGAGTTGTCCTGATTGAGGGTGGTTGAAGATGATGCAGTCGAACTGCTCGAGCTACTATTACGCTTCGACATTGTTTGGTTTTTTTGTTAGATGGGTATGATCATTCAGAATCCCCTACCTGATGCCCAAGGGCTTATATCTTCAGCTCACATTGCAATACTCGTCCTGATGCATTTCCTCGCCCTTTAGACGAGTTCTGCAAACCTACCAAATCCGCGTTGTCTGTCCTGACTAGAGGGCATTTGCCTATGGCACATGGCACTGCCATCGGTTGCGCCAGACATTGGCTGCATAGAACTGTGATGACTACAGTGCATATGAATACGGAGTGGAGTTCGAATTCTTTGGACTTTGTGATAAGATAGACTTCTCTGGTAGGTAGCCAAGGCTAGCAAAAGATACCTAGGTATTGATTGGACTGGAAAGGGGGCGCAGCCCTGTCAGGGTGCGGCGCAATCACGGCGCAGCACCTTTTGGGCGGTCCCAGGCTTCAGACGACGACGAAAGTTCCAACTCAACGCCTGAGGACCCACGCTTTCCCTGGCGAGCCTTGTGGACTTACGTCCGTACAGTAGTTGAGTCATGAAGTAAATGGTGTTGTGATATCAATCCATTTTGGCGACTCAGGTACCTATGTATCAACTGTCCTCTTCTTACCCTCCACCAAAGTCATACGCTGAGTACAAAGTGACATTGCCATATACGATTCTCAACTATCGTCGTTCATCCTTTGGCTCTTTGACCTGGAAGGGACCGCCTCCATGTTCGGCGCCGGAAAGCTGACAGCCTCATATCGAGGCCGATGCCCTCGTTCACGGAAGAGCAGCGATTCTCTCCTCTTGCAACTTGTCCCAAGAACCAGAATGTCGCAACATCAGTCCGTGGGACCAATTACGGCCACACCCAAAGAACCCCATCCTTCATAATCCAGCAAGCCAGCTAGTCTTGACACTTAGACGGACATATGCACACACTAATGTCACCGACACGGTTATCCCCTCTCATCAAAGTAAGCCGAGGAGGGAAAAAAAGCGGGGAGAGCCACGGTAAGTTGACCGAGTACAAGTTGGAGATGCAGATGCTCTTCTAGCATTACCCGGAGGTGGGCTATGTAGGTATTTACCAATAATCGTTGGCTTATTCCTTTGTTCTCCATATCACAAAAGGAGCGGCTCTTTGCTGAAATGGGCGCTTCACGCACAGTCGTAAGGGCTGAAGAGGTGCAAAACCACAACAAGAAGGACGACATTTGGATTGTGGTAGAAGGGACGATTTATGATATCACCAGATTTGCACCAGAGCACCCCGGCGGCGCTGATAGTAAGCAACTCCTACCTATCTTCTTTTCAAACTGACTCAAAGGCAGTCATATACGCGTATGCCGGCCGAGATGCCACACAAGCTTATTCCGAGATCCATGATTCAAGTCTGATTAGAACCACCCTCAAGCCCGAGGAGGTCATAGGAGATTTGGACCCAACGACAAGTTTCCCGGAAGAACCAACGAGTTCTGGGGCAAGCTTGGCTCCCAAACCAGGAGAGAAGCCGCCATTGGAGACACTGCTCAATTTGAATGATTTCGAGGAAGCCGCCCAACATTCGATCTCGAAGAAGAACTGGGCATTCATCGCCGGGGCATCAAACGACAACATCACCCGAGATGCCAACAAGGATTTCTACCAGAAGATCTGGTTCAAGCCTCGCATTCTGAGAAATGTAGCCAAGGTGTCGACCAAAGGCACCATGATGGGCCTGAACGTTGAGTTGCCGGTTTGGGTCTCGCCAACGGGTATCGGCAAGGCTGGTGGTCCCGAAGGTGAGATAGCGGTGAGTAAAGGCTGTGCCGAGGCTGGAATCATTCAAATGGTAGGTTTACTCGTACTCGCCGTGCCATGACCCAAGGGCTCATGTGTGCAGATATCAACCAACGCGTCCTTCCCACTACTCGATATCCTCGCAGCAGCACCAGACTACCCCTTCTTCTTCCAGCTTTACATCAACAAGGACAGGAGGAAGACCGAGGAGCTGCTGAAAGTCGTCAACAGCAAGCCACAAATCAAGGCCCTTTTCGTAACGGTCGATCTTCCAGTCGTGTCGAAGCGCGAAGCCGACGAACGGGTGAAGAACGACACATTCATGGCGAGCGGTCTGAGCGGCACTCATTCGGCTGAGGATAAAAAGGGGTCTGGCTTGGCTCGGAGTGTGGGCTCCTTTATTGATCCTAGCTTCTGCTGGGATGATCTTGAGTGGTTACGACGACACACGAGACTGCCCATTGTGCTGAAGGGGATCCAGTCCGCTGCAGATGCCCGGATAGCAATGCACATGGGCTGTCAGGGGATAGTGGTCAGCAACCACGGCGGGCGTGCGTTAGATGGTGCACCTGCTGCTATAGTCGTCCTTTTGGAACTGCATAAGCAGTGTCCGGAAGTTTTCGATCACATGGAAATCTTCATCGACGGAGGCGTAAGGCGAGGCTCGGATATCCTGAAGGCCCTATGTCTCGGCGCAAGTGGGGTTGGGCTTGGTCGCCCATTCCTTTATGCGCTCAACTATGGTAAGGCTGGCGTGGATCAATTGATTAATAGTAAGTCTTCTTCGCAATTGCTCCTTCTGGAAGTTATGTCGCAAGCTAAAATCTTGGTGTTTACAGTTCTGAAAGACGAAGTGGTCACGGCAATGCAATTGGCTGGTCTGAAGAGTTTGGAGGAAGCGGACCCGGCGATGTTGAACACTGCTGAACTCGATCTGCTTATCTCCCAGGGCTCTAGCCATCCCTATGCGCGAAAGCACAGTGGCAAACGGCGGCAATTTCACCTTTGAAGACGTATGGAAGGCTTCGATCAAGAAAGTCTCAGCACTCCTATATTTTGAAGCTAGATCGTAACCTGATGGCAAGAAACCCCTCTTCCGACGTTGTCATGCAAATTCCCAGCCAAGGTCATGCTTGTAAATGTCCTTCTTGGTGATTCTCTCCTGCTACCAATCGCGGCATTGGGCAGTTCTTCAACATCGCAACCATCCTGCTCCCCCCCGAGCGCAAGTCCATGCTCACAAAACCAAATAGCATTCTCCGAAAATGAGAGATTTCCAGGAACAACCCGGTCTTTGCGTCCTCATTTGTCTCTGACGAACTCCTTGGGGTCGAAAGTACCGTCTATGAGCTGTCCAACAACTCTCTTGATCATGGTCCTCTGATCATCCAGCCGAGGCAAGGCCAGACATACTGGCCACCAGAACTTGCAGCTGCTGGCAAACCGCTCCATCGTCTCTTCAAACTTATCGGGCTTTCTTTTCGTGGCCATGGCTTCCTTGATCTGCCGATTTGCGTCCCGAGGATCGCAGCGACTGGTTCCGTCAACCATTTTGCGTACGTGGAATGCATACGGAGGTCCGCTGAAAGTCAAGGACTCGAGATGGAGACTAAGAAGATGTCGATAGTAGGTAGTCAGGGCACGTCGCCGTTCTAGTGGGGCTGGTAACCCGGCCTTCTGTTGCACCTCGTATGCCAGCACCCGCGCCTTCTTGGGCGGCATTGCTTCGGTGAACGTGGCGGGTTTCTCAGCATCAAGTCGCTCAGGTCCTGACGCCTGAGGATGAAACAGCCTAATAGCACCCTGATCCTCTGGAAGAGATAACGTTCGCTTGAGATAATCAGGTCGGGGCGTGGTCATTGAGGGCAAGGCCTGCTTCTCACTCTGTCGGTTACATTCACTTGGTCTTGGAATCTCATCAGAAGGTTGCTGGGAGACAGATGCGGTGGTGGTGGGTGTCTCAATGTCTGCAGCCGCTTGGTTATAGTCCTTTTGAACATCCGAGGCAGGTTGCTGTTCTGGTTGAAAATTAGCCATAGCGACTTTCTGTCCGGCCGTGGCCATCGGGTACTGGTGTTGTTCCCGTTCTTGTTTCACGATGCTCATTGCGGTCTGAGCTGTAGGGTTGTTCGATATTGGTTGTTCGGCCACGGTGTCTTGCACTTCGATCGGTCCATTGTCCTTCTCCGGCTCTTGCTTGGGATTGATCTCATCCTCATGATTGGTAAGATCAAGAGTAATTGTCTCAGGTTGCTTCCGTCGTTGAATCGCGGCAAGACGCTGTCTCAATTCGAGCCTTTTGCGATCGATGAGTAGCTGGCGCTCTTCAAGCTCAAGTAAGGTCACCTCATCTTGGATCTGCTGTTCGGTGTCCATTTTAATTGTGCCCAACTGCGCAGCGGTAGCGTGTCAATTCAAGGGTGACCGCCTCAATCAACAGGACATTGTTGCTAGGAGGAATATGGGAAAGGGTTTGACTTTGGCAATGTGTGAGATGTGCTGGAGCGAGGCAGCGTAGTGGTGCAGAGACCAAGTTCATTGAAAGAGCAAGAGAGTGACACGCAGGAACCGAAATGATGCAAAGTGAAGCCAAATCCACCCTTCAATAGCGGCATCACTCTTCGTGTGATGCTTCATTGGCTGTGGGCAGGGAGTGAACCTGAAACTGAAGTGAAGACAAGTCTCGCCTTGAGTGTTGGGAGTGCTCCTTCTTCAAGACTACCACTATATCTTGTGTGAGTAGCCGTCCTCCATGAGATTAAGTGCCTTAGCACCGTGTTTGTGATGGGCATACTCCATGCTCCTAAGCGCTCGCAGCGTCCTCTTCCTCAGGACCAGCCATGTGTCGCATTCCACTCGGCGTAGCTGACATTAGGATACACAGCCATGACCGGGTCGACGATCGGAATGTCTCCCTCGGCTTCATACGTGCCATCCCAACAGTACTTCTGCATGCACTTCTCGCACTGTGCCACCCTCGGTATACCAAGCTTAGCCGACGTCCTGTCAACAGCCGCACAACCCAGACATTGCACCCAGTCAGAGTCCAGAGTCGAGTTGCCCTGGGTCACCAGGTCCCAAGAGTTGACCAAGATCTCGTTCATTTGGACATCGCTGAATGTACTCGTGAACCATGTGTAGTTTGTGTACGCGCTGTAGGGTACGTTGGTCATGTACAGCACGATAGGGCTGGCAGTGCTGTTCGTGGTCGTGTATTGCGTGTCGCAACCGAAGAGGACTGGCTTTTGGGTATAATTGCGCTTGATGAACGTTGACGGTGGAGGGACCTCAGGGAATGGTAACCCGTGACGCCGAGCTTGTATGTAGGTGTTGTATATATTTGTGCCGTTGTTCCATTCATACGGGATGGTATCTCCATCGTCGTCCCATGATATGCTGCGGAGGCGTAAGCAGAAGTACTAAAAACGAGGTGAAGAGTACTCACATGAAGTCCACGTTCCGAGCTGGCTGTATCAACGGCCAGAAGGGAATCGATGGACCGGCTTCAGAACCATCGGCGAGGGTGAGGCCGGCCGGTTCCACACCACCGCTCATGCCCGGCATGCCTGAGAATGGGTTCGGGATCGTGGGAGAGGCTGCCTCGGTTTTGTTCAAACCGAAGTATTGCTGGAAGGCAGCATAAATGGCGTCGACAGTAGCCGTTGGAAAGTCCGCACGCTTTTTGAATTGTCGGGTGTTCTCGTTTGCTGGCAGAGATCGCTTCGGGAATGGGCAAGAGTACCATTGGACTCAGACTCTATAGTATAGTAATTCCAAGCAGACGCTGCAAGACCTAGGATGTAACTGTGAAGGTAAGCATTTGTAGACATGATGTGGTCTATATTCAACACACCTGGCCCTGTCATAGCCCACCACGCATGCTGAATGATTGCTCACTTGGCCATTGTGAATTTTGGTTCCCAGATACTCCATTGGTGTGAAGCCTGTAGCTGAGCCGTCTGTGCCTATCCAAGATCCAAACTCAAATGGTGTCATTTCGAACTGCAAAGTGTGTTAATAAGGTCCGCCTCTCCCTGTACTTGGGATAAATATGTGCCTTACCAGACTGGCGTTCGCATACGGAACCTTAAAGCCGTAGAATTCGATATCATCGTCCGTGAGTCTTGCTGCTTGGAACATAGGCATTGGCATTGAGTAGTTTCGCCAGTTTCTCAGATTCTGGACGCCAGAGAGTGTGACATTGATGCCTCCATGAGGAGGTGGTACAAATTCGTTTGCAAAGGCCCGACCAAGGTAATCACTTATGCTGATGTTGAAGCCGGCCTTGGACTTAGCATAGAGATCTTCGAAGATTTCGGTCGAGTTCTCGGCATATGTGGTGTTGCCGAGCGGGTTGAACAACCTGTCGATAGAAGTATGCAAGTCCGCTACCATGTCGTTGACCGTTGGAAAATTGTAGGTTGCCAGGGACATGTGTGGCCAAGATCCTCCAGACAGAGCGACAAAGTATGTCATACTTTGTAGCAAGCCGCCTGTACGTTGATCAATAGCATCGGGAAATCGCGAGTCGAAAGCACGGATGATGCCTGTGCCGGTCAACGAAGAAGAATACCCACCGCCGCTGATGGCCATGCCAATCAGAGGAGAACCCGAGTTGTTGTTAGGTCTGCTCCTGGACTCCTTGCCAAAGAGTAAGTCGAACTGGAAGACCCATCACTATATATACCGACCCTCGCAAGGATTTCCGGAGGAGGCGTCCTGGGGCCATATCCAACTACTGCTAGGCTGGAACACCCACCAAGACCAAATTTGGTATGTCGAAAGTGTCCATTATTGCTGCTGGTGACGCTCGTAGTCAACTTACGGACATCAATGGAAGCTGCGCACCGTGCGACAATTTTCTCATGTGGAGCTAGAACGAGGTTAACGTGAAGATCGACCCCCGTTGCTGGTACCTGCAGCCTCGTGGACCCGGGGAGGCCTCAGCCTAATTATTAGAGAGCCTTGTGGGGGACCCATTGAGATGCGGGACGCAAACTTCGCGTAGCACTCCGAATCTGGAAGTCCATTCGAGGAACAACATTCGCTCTTCAGCAAACATTGTTCTCCAGCCGGAAATGAATTTGACGGAAATTTCATCTCGTGCGCGAGGTAGCTCGTCATTAAGGCACAAAAACCTGGATGTGCCTCAGCCAACCTCGAGCGCACGTCGAAGACTTTGTGTGCACTGAATGCACACTGATGGGTATTCGGCAATGTACTGCCTAACACCACACAATCAAAACCTGCGTCAAGTTCACCCTGCTGGAGCTGGAGTTCAACAACCGGCTCTCCGGCCAATGATTGTCGCACACAAATGGAATGGGTGATCGCGAGTCTCGTGAAAGGTCTTCTGGCATCACCGTCACAATGCCAAAATCACTGGGTAATCGTGTAGCTCTGCGTTGCCAGAGACGGGGTGTCAGTATACAGAGTGACGTAAGACGCACGACTCACCAGAACTAGTAATCATTCGTGTACTGCCACTCTGTCAACAATGTATGCAGCGTACAATTGAAGTTGAAACATCGGCGTCAAAAAAGGAAGGGGGCACTCAGCCTCGTGCACCAACAGCCAATTAGAATTCACGCACTATTCCCCCTTCCACCTTGCGGTCAAGCGAATCTTCCACAGCCTCAATGATAGTAAAGTTTTGCAATCATAGCATTCCGACCAGGTTCTTCGCAATCTAGTCAACCTCGACTTAGCAAGCAAGAGAGGGATTGTCAGCCTCATGGATGTATGACAAATGCGTCCATGCAAGGCTGGCTTACTTGACGGAGATAGCGGTCTCAGTTGGCTTACTTTCATACCAACATATGGATCCTACAGGATTTTTCGTTCACGGAAAGCATCTGCGATTCAGAGGCAGTCAAATCGTCTGTGTCCATATAAAGGAGCACTTCTGGAAGCTTTGCAGTGTTATCGACAAGCCCACCGCTCATCTGTCCACTGGTTTACAATACTCTGAAGTCGATTGCCCGGAACGCAAGCCACTCGTACCTTTCTCCTATCGTCAAGGGAATGTCTCAAGCCACTCGTACCTTTCTCCTATCGTCAAGGGAATGTCTCAACCCAGGCGCATAGCCCTCATTGGCAGCACAGGCATGCTCGGAGCGGCAGTCGTGCAAGCCATTCTTGCGAGAAGAGACTTGTTCGACCTCACCATTCTCGCCAGAAGCAGTTCAGCCAGCAAGATTCCAGAAGGGGTCAGAACCATCGTCGTCAACTCTTACGACAATCCGGAGAGCGATGAGGCTCTAATCCAGGGACTAAGGGGTCACGATGTTCTCGTCTCAACCCTGAACTCAGCAGTAGCGGTAGAAGGTAAGGAAGTCTTCCGGACCAAGCTGAATGAGACTTGACGTTGTGTCGACAGTGGAGCCATAGTTGGTAGCAGCTGCCATTCGAGCCGGGGTCAAGCACTTCATGCCGTCTGAGTACACGCTCGATGTCACGCACCCCTCGGCCCGAGAATTGGGCGTGGGCAACTTCATCGGCGCAAGAGCAGCATGGGCAGACCGACTCACAGATAGCCTCCTCAGGCCAGATCACATACACGACACTCGTTACTGGCGGGTTGCTCGACTTCGGCCTCAAGATCGGAATGTTGGGCTTTGACCTTACGAATCAAACGGCCCGGCTCTATGACCATGGCCGGAACATCGTTACAGCATGCACAGTTCCCTTCGTTGCCGATGCCGTGGTCGTAGCCCTGCAGATGCCGTACGAACAGGTCAAGAACAAGCGGATAAGCGGTGCAGAGGTCGCATACACTGGCAAAGATCTTCTCCGCACCCTCGAGGTGGTGACTGGCGAGCAGTGGCGGGTTGAAGAGGTCAGCACCGAAAGTGCGAGACAAAAGGGAAAGGAGCTTCTGGTCGAAGGAAATGCAAGAGGTGCATACTTGAACTTCGCAACCGCCCTCAACTTTGATGGGTGCGGAGCAGCGAATTTGACCTCCGGCCTAGAATTCGGCAGTGGTTACAACCTTCAACGGCGAAGCCTCGACGAGATTGTTCGAGAAGCCGTGAGATCGATACAAGACTGGAAGAAGTGAGGATGAGGCACTGCTCCAATACTTTCGAGGCACAATGTTGGTCCCTGTGATGATTGGGAAGTGGTATGACCTTTGAATTTGTTCCTTAGATCATGGGTACGGAGTAGTGAGGGTAAACCTAGAACGAGTTCCCCAAGAGTTCCAAGGGTCAACCCCACCGTTTCCAGATCCGATGTACACGACCCCACATGAACGTCTGGGGATCATGATGGGTAAATACCGATCTCTTGCTTTAGATTTGTCAGTTGTTTTCGCATCGTTCATCTGCCGAGCCATTGATTTGATGATTCATAAGGAAGCTCATACGCTTTGAAGATTGTAGCTCCCCCATCAAATATTCTGTCCAGCACAATGTCGTCGACAACGAAGCCATGGGCGATCATCTCCGGGGCAGGTCCAAGTGGCTTGCTCCTCGGTCTTCTCCTGGCTAAAAAAGGGATTCCCATTCAGCTCGTCGACATGTCTTATGAGCTCGACAAGCAACCGCGAGCCACGCATTACGGCCCACCAGCAATGTACGAACTGCGTCGAGCAGGAGTAGCAGATGAGATGCGAGAACAAGGGTTTTTTCCCAATGGAGTTTCCTGGAGGAAAATCGACGGCACTTTCTTGGCAGGTATCAACGTGGAATTGACCAGCGACGATCCAGACCGTATGACGTGTCTGCCCCTCAACAAGCTCGGAAAGATCCTGTACGAACATATCAGTCGCGAACCCACTGCTACTGTTTCCTGGGGTCACAAAGTCGTTGGCCTCGGTCAGGATGATGACAAAGCGTGGGTCGACGTCGAGACTCCCCAAGGACCAAAGAAACTCGAGGCGGAGTACATCATTGGGTGCGATGGTGCCAACAGCCAGATCCGGCGGTCACTATTTGGCGATTTCGAGTTTCCTGGAAAGACTTGGGACGAGCAGATCGTCGCAACTAATGTGAGCGAGCATCGAACACGCATAACAATACGACATGGATGCTGACTTGTCCAGACATACTATGACTTTTCGCCGTACAATTGGGAGGATTCCAATTTCATTATCCACCCGGAGCACTATTACATGGCGGCCAAGATCGGCACTGACGGCCTTTACCGTATCACGTACGGCGAGAAGCCAGGGTTGACATTAGAACAGCTCAAGGAACGACAGCCTATGAAGTTTAAGGAGTTTCTACCAGGGCATCCCGACCCAAGCCAGTACAAGATCGTCAACTTCAGTCCATACAAGATCCACCAGAGGCTGGCGCCGAGCATGCGTGTCGGCCGATTCTGTCTTGCAGCAGATGCCGCTCACTGTAAGTCTTCTAGCACTACAAAGTCCTGCAATGACTAACGTTGTCACAGTATGTAACCCATTTGGCGGCATGGGTCTGACGGGCGGCATTGTCGATGTTGGTGGGCTGTACGACTGCCTCGCCGGCATTTATGAGGGTCTTGCGGATCCCTCCATTCTCGACAAGTACGCGGAAATCCGGGCACAAAAGTACAATGAGATCGTCAATCCGATATCGAGTGACAATATCGTCAGACTCAATGGTCAAGATCCCGACAAAGCATTGGAGAACGACGAATTCCTGAGAATGTGCAAGCGTGCCGAGACAGATCACGAATTCGCCAAACAGATGCAAGGCGGTGTCAATGCTCTGAAGCACGACTTCACGCAGTATTATAAAAAGAAGGGAACTCAGAACGGAAGTACGGAAAATGGTGACTTCCTCAAACAGCATCATCTTCCTCTTCAAGCAGCAGCCGCAGGAGGCGTGAACGCTTAAGTCTAGCAATAGTGTACTAAATACAAATTGTCTCACATGAGAATCTCAGTCATAGCATCTCTTGCGTTGCGTCAACAAGGTTGTCTTAGACTTTGATCTCCTGAATCTGCTGGTCATCTTCTGTGGTCTGCTCAACAGGAGCGAAGACCTTCCTGAACCGGAAATGTGCCACATCGCTGAGAGCCTCCGTAGTATTTCGCAAATTCTGCCTGACGAGCTGGCTAGTTGGCTGACTGAAGATAAGGTCGATTTCCTCCAAGGTCTTGTTCTTGGTTTCGGGCATGAACAGGACTTGATAGATCAAACCCAGAACGGCAATACCTCCGTAGAATCCCAGAGTCAGCCCAGTCTTGGTCATTACTCTCTGCATATCCGAGAAGAAATACGTGACAAGCCAGCTGCCGAAGAACAAATTGACATCGGTGGATTCCATGCCATAAGATCGCAGGTAGGTCGGGAAAACCTCGGAGGGGATGACCCAGGTGAGACAGGCATAGGAGCCGAAGAATCCGTTGTAAAGAATGATACCCGTGAGGTACAGACCCTCAGTCGCCCTGAACGAGGTCAATTGGTATGACACTCCAACGAAGAGCAGACCGATGAAAAAGCACGGCAGCATGGTGTTTGCCCAGAATCGGCGGCCAAACTTCTCCATGTAGAGGACTCCGGGGATGGTTCCGAGGAGCAAAGATCCTCCTCCAACAAGAGACATGAAGACCGACTGCTTCTTGTCGAAACCGATCTGCGACATAAGCGTCGACATGTAGTACATGATGGCGTTGATACCTAAGGAGCAGGCGTTAGGTAAACGGGTTGAATGAAGAGGAGAGGAAAGTAAAATACCTGTTAGCTGCCCAAGGGCGATCATGATATTGGCGTAGATAATTGAGCGACGAGCGCGAGGATTCGTGAAGAAATCCAGCCACACAAATCTCTTGCGCTTGCTGTCACCTTCATGGACCTCCGAGTCAAGGGCATGATGCATAATAAAGAACTCCTTGCGGTCTTCCTGCTTAGCGAGACCTCGGATGCGCTTCCACACGGCAAACGCTTCCAAGGTCTTTCCCTTGTGCATGAGCATACGGGGTGACTCAGGCATGAAAACCATACCGACCAACATGATCGTGGAGAACACCAGCGACGAACCAAGCATGTATCTCCAACCTCCCGAATGAACATTGACGAAGATGGCGGCAACAACGTAGCCAACGACCTCACCAAAGGCAATCATGAACTGATACAAGCTGACCAGGTTGCCACGGTACTTCTTCTCGACGGACTCGGCGACGTAAACAGGGACGGTACCTCCTTCAAGACCGAGACCCATGCCGAGGATCACTCTTGCGCCAACGATCATGCCAAAATTTATGGCACCGGCTTCCAGAGCACCTCCAATGGTGTACAGGATGAGCGCAACGATGATCGCCATTTTGCGACCAACCCATTCATTGAGAGGGCCTAGCATCAAGGCACCTCCGATGGCGCCCAGAGGCACAGCGGAGCTGGTCAAGCTGACTTGCGAGGTGTTGAGATGGAGATCATCTGGCATGTAAAGCAAGGCTCCTGATATAACACTTTGGTCGAGGCCAGAAAGCATGCCACCCATCGAGGCGAAACCAACCAGAAGCCAGGTAAAATGGCGTGGGTCGCTAAATGAGATTTGTGGATTGAGGAAAGTACCCTTGACTGGCGTTTGTTGCAAAGCCGCTTCGAACTCGGCGATCTCATCGTCCACGATAGCGTCTTCGACGGCGAGTTTCATCGCCTCAGCTTGACTAAGCCGGCGAGAAGCCATGGACAAGTTCCGTGGTGTGACCTTGTCATGTTCAAAATGATCAAGGCTTTGGGAGTCCTTGACTCCGTTGGTGGCGTAAGCTGCCATAGTGGGAGGCGAGATCAGGCAGTATGAGAAGGACTGATTTCTGAGTAGATGAGCTTGGACAGGCGAGCCCATCTTCCCCTCTATATGTACTCGAGCTGGAGTCTCCAGTGGAGGTTCCACGACTCCAGGACTTACTCATATGGTTCACAAACAACCCTGCACAGTGGTGGTTCGGTGAAAATCTCGGTCAGTCATGCAACGCTCTATCCAACGAAATGCCTGCTTGAAGACCCAGTATCGCGTGTTGCGGGGCTTACTGCAAAAGATCAATCATGTGCGTTATCAGAAGATGCATCTGTCGCATGTATTCGGCATATGATCGGCGCGGAGGAAGAGATTGTCGAAGCATTCATGAACTCTCCTCACCGGGCTGCCGCCCGTTGACAGGTTCTTCTAGGCGCTCAGATTGGTTAAGAATGTATTTAGCAGCGGGGTCGATAAGCCTTGTCGTCATATTTCCACCAGATGCCGCGGTCTCATTTCTCAGACCCCTGTTTATGAAAATCTTGCTACCTCGTCTCGAATTGCCGGTGTCGGCTATTGGACTGAAGAAACAAGCATCGTCATAACGTGGTACGAAGAGAATTCAGAAGACGCCTCTCGAGCCGCAAGAAGGGCGTGAGAGGCAACTTCACACGACCTCATCCTTTTGTAGCCTCAAACGCGCAGGTAGAAAACGTAGTGAGGGAGAGATGGCACAAAGAGCCGTCACCTGGAGGAAGCATCGTCTGGCGGGAAGCAAACTTGACAGTTAAGCGCAACAGTGGGCATCCTGGCGCCGTTCATCGGTCAGACAATGAGTGCTGTTCCTTCACATGAACGGCCCGGCAGATGTTTCAACTTCGATACTCCATAACAGTACAAACTTATCATTCCACCTTAAATCCACTTTCCACCACCGAGATAAAACCCTGCCGTTCCAAGTAGGATCCATCCATGATCACTGGACCCATGGGATTCGTCACAAGCGAGGTCTGGGTTCGATGGACAGCCTTATTCATCCCTACCGATCACAGTGCCGAATGCTTTGTGAATGGCTGGCGTTGCTGGCAAGTTCTATTGCTAGACTGAGGGCAGTACTCCACTTGTGTCTCTGTGGGCGGAAAAGGGCTTCTCCGATCACGAAGACCTTCATTGCCTAAGCGGCCGACATATTGCCCTCCAGATCTCGTTCAGAAATTGCTCTCACAGGCAAAGCTAGCCGCTTGTGCTGGATCACCGGACCCGGTATACTTCGATACTGACGGATATGGGCACAAATTCTGCGTACGAATGGTCCCATTGATGGCGAAAGCAGTGGCCGCTTCCAACACCCCTGGAGCTGTGCCATTTTCGACCCAACCCCTGAGAGCCGTCAAGATGTCAATAGGGATATACCCAAAGCCCCCTCCACAGTGCCCGACTCCAGGGGCAAAGAAGGCGCGATAAAAATCGCCAACCGTGGGATCGAGTGCCGCAACTTGATCATAGTAATGCATGGTGCCGTTAGGCATGATGAGGTTGTCGGCCAGGCCCTGCCATGTCAACATCTTGCCACCACGAGCTTTGAAAGCCGAAAGATCCGGGTCTGCCGTACCCATGACGGAGTCGTACTCCTGGTGAGACTGGTGAGTCAAGGCCGGGAACTGTGCGTAACTGATATTCGAAGTGTTATAGTTGGGATCCTTGAACAGGAAATTTCGATACCAGCTGTCCGAAATCTCGAAAGGTTGCGGAATCGTTGTGCCGTTGCTGAATGTCTCCGTTGGCGCCAACGAGCTGAAATTGGTACCAGGGAGGATGCCGTACCAGGCACTACTGCCGTTGGCCGTAAGAGGACCTTGCCAGATTTTCTTCACAACGGTCGCAGTTTTGTTCGAGAATTGTCTCTGACTCCCGTCACTGTCGCAGATGTAAGTCTTTCCGATCAGACTTGTAGGGTCAAAATTGCACAGTCCAGGAGCCGCAATGATGCCATCTTCGAGGCCGTCTAGGCCATCACATGCGGCAATGGTGGCGGCATTCACGGCGTCGAACTCGCATTGGGGAGGTGCGTAGCCTTCATTGTTCATCACAGTGAACGGCCATTGTTGCGCCGGAGTGAAGTCATTCCACTGTACGGCGGGCGCTGCAGCAACGATCCCGTCATAATCGTCAGGATACCTTTGAGCTTCCATCATGCCTTGTCTCCCACCTGTGGAGCAGCCTTGCCAGTACGAGAACTTTGGTGCAGATCCGTAGAAGCTTGTCGTCACTGCCTTCCCCAAGACAGCCATATCATGAACACTCCTTGAAGCGAAGTCCAGCAGCAGATACTGATTGACATTCCCGTCGCTGGCCAAAGCCCAGGAAGTAGCATCTCCCGAATCATTTGATCTGTGGCCGGCATCTGTCGAGACTGCAGCATATCCACGTTGGACTGCCGGTGCCAGAGACGACCACGACCCTGCTACATAGCCTCCACCTCCAATACCAAGAAATATGCCATTCCACCCGGTCACGGGAAGCCATACCTGATTCAGGACCAGGTCCCCTGTTCCAGGATGCGTAAGGCTGACATTGACTTGACAAAAGCTGACAGTAATGTTCTGAGCTGGCCAATTGTTGTTTTCTCCGGTGATATTGATCGAGTAATCGTTCACCATAGAGGCAGTCAGAGAAGTAACCAATGCTCCAGGGACGACTGGATTGGCGATCGCTACGCTTGTACACGAGTCAACCGTAGCGGCAGTGTGAGCCCAGTGGCTGATACAGATCAAGAGCCAGAGGTTCTTCATTTTGGCAATGTCTCCTCAAACAGCAACGTCCTACCATGTTTAGGGGCTCTTATACCAGCCCAAAGCGGAGAATCTCCGTGTCGACGTCAGTAGACTCATGGCCAACTCCTCACTCGGCAGAATGGTGCCGATGGCACTGTGCGATGTGAATGCGGGGAACGTGTCCACAGTTGTACAGCAGAAGTTGGACTCCTCGCTCGATGTATCCATGGTTGTCGTCTATTGACGGTAGCTGACAAAGAATTGCTGGCGAAAACTGAGGAGCTCGCGAAGCGTGAATTGTTCCTTGCCTGCATATCAGTTACGTCGCTAAGTTACCTAGTATGTTTCTGCCGAGGCATAATAATCAGATTGTTTTCATCAGAATGATTTCGCGGCAACACCTGATCTTGTGTTGAAGAGGAGATGCTCCCATTCGTGGCGGCTGCTTCGATCATGCCGTGGTTGTGCCTTCTCATTGGAGCTTATGTGAAGATTGTGAAGATTACCTTTTGAAGGGGGAGTGTCAGGCAACAGAAACAGAGTTGGCGAGTCTGACTCAACGACAGACGATGAAGCCTCTCCGTAACAGATGTTGTCAGAGGCGGAGGATTAGCCCATCGATGGAAGTGGGTGAATATAACCTATCTGGCAAGGCTGGCTCTCCAAGAAATGTCCAGGGACACGTTCTGATAAGTCATGTCAACAACTTGTGCCTAACTCCCTCCTGCTGCATTAATGTCACGCCACCATGGGACTGATAGTGCATACTGAGTTCAGTACTACTGTGCGAGCGATTCGAGCCGCCGAGGCATAATCGGGTGAACCATGAAATTGGCGAACACGTAGGTATTCAAAGGTGATCCGATAACTCCCACGTAATTCGGTCCGTCTACAACTTGGATACTTCCTGGTGACTGCATTATCGACCCATAGTGAGCCAGCTCCCAACTAATAAGATGCCGCCATAAGAGTACTACCATCGAGTAGAACGTCCCTAATCGCACGCTAATGCAGACCTCGTTTATCCAACAAGGCAGGTCAGCGGTGATATTGCCATGCTGCTAAATAGTGTACAGGCGAAGCCTTTTGACAGATGCTTGTTGAGTGGTTGCGAAATATGAATCAGGGGGCCAATAGTCTTCTGTCTCAGCAGACATGAAATTCGCGAAGACCACTTAAAGTGTTCTGAGTCTTCCACATGAGCGATATCGAAACAAGCGGAACCGGGAAGCCCGCCAGCCGTTGAAGGGAACAAAACGTCCTTATCAATCTCTCTGCGGGTTGACTTACAAGGCGATCCTAGCACGGTTCCCCAGCGCTGGCGCAACGTCACGGGTTGATTGCACCCTCTTGGACCTTCAGCTTTGTCAGGGCTGAGACCTTAAATGGCAGTCATACATCTATGAGTCCTGCCAGTAAGCCGCCTCTCGTATCGCTCTTAAGGTTGTGTGGATTATGCAGGGCCGCGACGCCCCTCGGGATGAAGTCGAATATCCCTTCATGACGGCCAATCCCAGCAGCAAGGAGCGAAAGAAATCGTTTGCACCTAAGGTTCGAAGTGGATGCATAACTTGCAAGTACGTACACTTCTCGCAGCCTCATGGGTTGCCTTCCCTCGGTGCGGTCACCAGTTCTCATCTCTTGACTTATCAGGCGAAGAAGAGTCAAATGCGACGAGCGTAAACCATGTTGCCGTCGATGTACTCAAGGTGGCCACTCCTGCCTCGGCTACGAGCCCGATCGAACCTGGCGTTTTGAGTCCGGCAGGTCAGTGGGGGCAACGGCCCCTATCTCGATGATCTTGCCATTCAACAACGCCGTAGAAGCTCGATCTTTCCAGTTCTTCCTCCTCAATACTGGACCCCTTCTAAGTCAATTCTCTCCGGAGCCTCAGAAGCTGCTGGAAGCCATCATAAGTTCTGCTTGGCATTGCAATGCGAGCAAAAACCTTCTCATCGCCCTGGGAATGACCGATGAATGTCGTTGGACCGATGCCCCATCGCTGCCGCAAGACAATGGTTGTGCTATCTCTTACAAGACAGCGACCAGGTTTTATGATGCTGCAGTAGGACTCATGGCCAGAGAGAAGTATTCCATCTCGGATGTCTTGATTGCCAGTATACTGGCCGCAGTCTTTGAATTAGCTCACGGCGAGATCCAATATGTTGGGCTACACCTTGATTCAGCAGTGAAAATTGTCCAGAGAGGTGAAGGAGATCCCAATCACGACAAGTCTCGGTCCTCGCCCGAAGCCAGCTTCCTTCGGATGATATACATACCTACTCTTGCTGCATGTCAAGAATTTCACCGCTCAAGGACAATATTTTCTTCTGGAAAGTTAACCGCACCAACCTGTGATCGTCAGGCCGTTACTATGTCCTCGACTTTACCCAGCGAGTTCTTGTCGTCGGCCGAAGCAGCTTGCTCCATGGGGAAATGCTTCGACTTGCTCCATGCTGGCAATCTGTCGCCGGCTGGGGCCGTCTTCTTCAGTCAAAACTGGCTAGAAAGGGCCCGGAGATTTCACGTCGACACGGCTGATCTTTCGGCACAGAGATGGGCGTTGTTCATCGTATATGGCACTATGGGCTCCTCGATCGAGGTAATATGTGGTGAGCTGACGGAAGCTGAGGCACAGACACGGTGGAACTTTATCAGCTGTCAAGTTGGGAAGATATCAAAACCTCCAGGCTTTGATGGTCTCGTTGAAGTCCTGACGTTGGTAAGCAAAGCTATGGGCTGGTATTGTAAGCGTAGCGAGCCCCTGAAAGCCGCAAGGCGAGTGCTGGAAGAGTTGCACAATCGTTGAAGATGTACTGGCATAGCTAGGGTTCGGCTCGTTTCACTCGTGCAACTGGCAGAAATGCAGCCTGAAGGTGTTTCCCAGCACGAGAAATGGGGTCAGGTTCCACTGCAGCAGGCAAAAGGCAATTGTAGCTGTACCCTGACCCGTGGCTGCGAGCAGGCCATCATGAAGCCATGCAATAGGGAAAGTTTTTGGTTACGCGGCCTTGAGGCCTCCAAGGTACTTATGGTGAGGTCACTATTTACTTCTCTTGACATTGGAGACCTGCGGTATTTATGGTACTGCAGGCGCCTAGGCATCCCGTACTCGACCACTCAGCCGAATACGATGAAGGCGGGCCTAGGTAGCCCTGGGTTACCCCGAATTGACGCTTCAGCCTGGTAACCCCTCTGGGGATGCACAGGCACCGTACATGATGGTCGTTGGCCTCCCTAGCCTACCAATAGCGTTACGACTTCAAGTCCTGTCGGTATGATTACCCTGAATACTGATACTGTATCTAGCCTCGTTGAATGAGTCACTTGTCACTTTTGCCCATGTATTGTGTCTGGAAGCCTACCATCCGACGTGGTCCAGCATAAAGTAATACAAGTAGGTCGCACTCGTACACATCTACCACAGTAAGCTGAGGTTATCCAGCTGAGGTTATCCGGCCTCTAGACGTGGGTTCTCACATGTTATGCGCGATTTGCGAGTACCACGGCAATCCGTTCAGGCGTCCCAGCCCCATCACGGCTGCCATCCTCATGCTTTTAAGTATGAAAGTAGATCATGCCGGATAGAGACCATGGTCTTCTCTTGGTACGGAGTACTTGATCATTTCTCAACAATCTTCGATTCCATTAACCGTTTCACGGGAGATTCCGTTCTCCGCATTTGCACTTGCTGGTACGGACGTAACATTTGAGGCCCAACGTCCGCATAAAAGCTTCTTAGATCTCAACACTGAGAAGTACGGACAGGCAAGTATCAATCCCTCTTTGCCGTCTTGGCCACGGCAGCTCTGCGCATCCAATGGCTCCCAATCGCCTGCGCATTGTTATTGTCGGTGGTGGTGTCGCTGGTCTAGCATTAGCAAGTGCACTGGAGAAGGCCGACATTGACTACGTACTCTTGGAAGGTCGTCCGGACATTGCTCCCTTCCTTGGAGCGTCCGTCGCTATCACAGCAAATGGTTTCCGAATCCTAGATCAGCTAGGATGTGCCGGTACCATCCAGAATGCCACAGTCCCTATGAGCTTCGTCCAAACCTGGGCCATGAGAGACGGAAGACTCGTCACGCAGTGGGAGTCGATGCTGGTCATCTTGAAACGGTATCGCTTCCTGATGCTTCATTAGTCATTGCCATGCTGATCGTTACCTGTAGAAACGGATATCCCTTTTCTTTCATGGATCGACATTTCCTTCTTAAGACCCTATACGACAACATCGAAGATAAGTCCAAAGTACTTCTGGGCAAGAAGGTTTCCAGAGTCGACCACAGCAAGCAAGGAATCTCCGTGCAGTGCAAAGATGGGACAACGTACACTGGTGACATTGCGATCGGCGCCGACGGTGTGTACAGCATTGTCCGCAACGAGATGTGGCGCCACATGGATATCGCGCAACCTGGCCTGCCCGCACAAGAGAGAAAGTGTAAGTCCGCAGTTACTGACATGCCGACAAACCCGCTGACGGCATTAGTGATGTCTGCAGAGTACAAGTGCATGTACGGGGTGTCACGACCTATTAAAGGCCACGAAGGTGACTGTGATCCTGCATACTTCCACCGATGTGTCGGTCAGGACATCTCCTCCATGTGGAGCACGGCTAATGACGGCCGAATATTTTGGTTCGTTTACGAGAAATTGGACAAGGTATATCATGTGCCCGATATCCCCAAGTTCACCGACCAAGACACTCTGGATCTGGCGCAACGTTGCGCCCCATTGTACCTTTCTGACAAGCTCAAGTTCTCCGACGTCTGGGAGAACCGAATCAAGTACATGTGTCTCCCGCTGGAAGAGGCCTTCTTCGAACATTGGAGTTATGGTCGCATCGCTTGCATCGGTGATACCGCGCACAAGTGGACGCCAAACCTGGGTGCCGGAGCAAACAATGCCATCGAGGATGCCGCCACAACCGCAAATGCGCTTCACATACTCTCCCAATCCAAAACACCTCCTGACCACAAGGCTATTGAAGCAGCACTATCAGGCATTCGCGAGCGCCGCAAGTTCAGAGCCGAGACAACGTCCAAGGCAACGAATATGACCACGAGACTGGATGCTACCAAGGGTCCCAGGGAGAGGTGGATGACGTACTATATGGTGCCTTGGTTCCTCAAGGAATACCTGATCAATCGACAATCGACGGGAGCCGTTGGTTCCGAAAAAGTGGACTACCTTCCAGATCCGCCCCAGTCACTGTCGGGGACACAGGCTTTCAACCATACCTATAGCTCCGGAAAGAAGCCTTCAATGCTTGGAAGAGTGATTCCAGCCTTGCCTCTCTTGCTCCTAGCATATTGTGCATCCACGATCTTTTCCAACATCATCCAGCATCCTGCGATGGGGACGACTTTTCGAAAAGTCCTGCCTTCAGGCCAGCTCGAGTTCAATGGCCAGACATGGAAACTACCAACCATGACTTCGCCGGTCAGCATCATGGTAACGTTCTTCTCACCTTCTCTCCTGAACGTCGATCCGGTGCAGAGACTCCAGATGATCACCTTCATAACCGACCTCGCACCACTATGGCTGATTTGGATCTTCGAAAGTCACCGTCCCGCCAACGTCATGACATGGGCCTGGCTGCCAGTGATATTCGGTGCCGCGTTCCAGCTCAAGGGTATAGGTATCGTGGGACCAATCTGGTTCTTCCTACATTATGTCCAGAGCCCACTCGGCAACTATTCGGCGCTGGACTGGCGAATGGTCAATATGGCAGCGGCCAAGACTGCTTTGGTCGCAGTCCTTGCAACGCTCGTCATACCCACGTTCGCCATGTACTTCTTGCCCGACCTTGATCAACGCCTGCAAGTCAATGTGGTTTGGCAGGTCTTCCCTATTGTGACTGTCATCTTCCACTACCTGCTACGAAAGCTCACTGTGTCGGATACCACGAGAATTGACCGACTGTACAATGTGCACGCCGACCTGCCGTATGTGCGATTCGCCGTGTACACCCTCTCAGTCATCTCAGCACTTACATTCAATTGGGTCCGCTTCACCTCGACGGCCTCCCTTGCGTCACTTATTCTCCCTAATTGGAATGTCATCAACGCATTGTTCCGTTCTGAGCCCGTCGATCTCGACTTTCCAGCAGCTACAAAGGTGTTTCTGCAGGTCGATGGGGTTGTGTGCTTTGGTGCCGCCTTTGTCTGGTTGGCGTTGCTGATTCATGATCTGAAGAAAGCGGAGATGACGAACACTGCCTGGTGGAAGATTGTGGCGTTTGCGGTTGGTGGCACGGTAGTGGCTGGCCCTGGCGCGGTGGTGGCGCTTGCATGGCTTCGGAGAGATGAAATACTCGCGACGAAGAAGACCAAGGGGTCTGTGGGTGACACTTACGTGGTCAACAAGTCAGGCCCTACAGCAAGTGAACTTGCTAGGCTCCAGAATTTCCTTAGCAAGAAATGAGGGGAGGTACTTGACTGCTACCTTAGATCTGCAGTCCTATCGACATCTTCGATAGGACCACTCCTTAGTATCTGTTAAGCCACGAAGCCTTAGCATAGTTCCTCCTATTATGTGTATCTACGCATTTGTTTGTGTTTCGAATCCGCTGAAGGGTGACGTTCTACAGTACCAGGTTTTGGTCATTGGCTGCATGCCTATGACCAGGCCGTTTTGGGCGTGGAAGACCGTAGGACTAACCCAAAATAGCGATCAAGCGCGCCCTTAAGTCTACAATGCTCCGCTGCGCTTTCAAACGTCACCGGGAAGGGCGCACTAGGGCCTCCAGTATATCAGAAGTACATGACTCAGAATAATGAGTACCATTTCAATCCCACCTCTGGACACAGATCTTATTCAGTGATTCCTACGAATAGCACCTATCAAGCAGTGACCACCAGTCAGGGCCAGCACTATTTCCACAATGGGCAAATTGCCCATCTTCGAACTTCCGAAGGTAGGCAAAATTATTCATCATCCGGGGGACAATGCATTCAGATAAGCTGACGCAATTTCCGGTCTACAGTACATCGATGAGAACGCAGTCCAGGCAAAGCATGTTCTTGCAGGCAGTGCTACTCCCAGTCTGTCGATCGAGGACCTCATAGCAATCTCTTCGGACCCAAATGCAACGGAGAAGGCGCTGAACTTCCGGTCTCTCAAGCTAGGCGGCGACTTACGCCAGGGCACTCCTGCCGTGCGGAACGCTATTGCAGGCCTCTACGACAAGGAAAAGGGTGTCTTACCAGAGCATATCATCACGGCTATCGGGACCACGGGCGCCAATCTGACCGTGTTCCAAGCTCTTCTCGGTGTCGGCGACCATGTCATATGCGTGTATCCCACCTATGGCCAACTTCCCGGTCTTCCCAAGGGCTTTCCCTGCGAGGTCTCGCGATGGGAGCTCGACGCCAGTAATGGCTGGAGACTTGATGTCGGAGAGCTCCGCAAACTGATCAGACCTGACACGAAGATGCTCGTGTTGAATAATCCCAACAACCCCACTGGCTCACATATTGACGTGGTCATGCAATCTCGGATACTCGAGATTGCTCGCGAGCACAACCTCATTGTGGTCGTGGATGAAATCTTCAGGCCACTGTTCCACGCTGTCCAAGGAGAAAAGATGGTCCCGTCGTTCGTGGAGCATGAGTACGGCAAAGTGGTCGTGACTGGGTCGATGAGCAAAGCATGGGGGCTGTCTGGGGTCAGAATAGGATGGATCGTATGTCGAGACGAGACTCTGTTCGAATTACTCGTGAATGCTCGTCAATATACCTTCCAGTCAGCGAGTGTCATTGACGAAGTCATCGCCACAGAAGTTCTGGGCGATCGGTGCCGGCCGGCCATACTCAAGAGACATCTCGAATATGCTCAGAAGAACCTGCAACTGTTGGAGGCATTCGTCAACGAGCACAGCGATACATTGTCGTGGAACAAACCAACTGCTGCTTCAACCGCGTTCATCCGGCTGTCTTCGAATGGTAAGCCCATGGACGATGTGGAGTTCTGTCGTGCGGTACTCCAGGAAGAAGGACTGCTATTCAGTCCCGGCAGTCTTTGCTTCGGGGACGAGAGACAGACAGCATTGCGAGGTTATGTGAGGGTTCATTTCACCCTAAAACCGGAGGCGATGGTCAAAGCATTGGAGGCCTGGGACAGGTTTCTTGCAAAGATGCGGCAGTCTCTCAAATAGGATTCGTGATAGGATTGACAGAGCTGGGCGAAGAAGGTGCAGGGAGACCCGTATTTCGTACACTGTTCGTATACCTGAGAGCTTCTTAACCTCAAGGTCGGACTTGTCGGCAAGCATGTGCCGTGGGGCGGCTTGCCAATTTCGACACCTACCAAATGCAGCAATGCAGCTTGACTCGTCCTTAACCTGATGCAAAATCAAGCCAGGCAAGCAGCGCCCTTGTCAAGTAGACAGGCATGTGCTGCGCAAGCCCTGCATGACCTTTAGATCGGCATTTCCGACAAAGAGATCAGTTCTGGCGACGAAGGCCTAGACGTTACAAGAACCGTCGCGGGAACTCTTCGTGGATGGCTCACTAGGCTATGCATTATCAGTAGCCACTTACCATCTCACAGGTGGTCGATTCAAGCATGATCGGAATCGAAAATGAAGTGCAGACAACAAGGTCTTTGTACTCATGCCGTCCTTGCAGGTCATTACTTCAGAGCACATCCCGTAATGTCTCTGGTAATGTGCAGACCAGCAGCTATACGTCTGATGGATGTCAGGTGCATCGTGGTCAAGGAAAGGCTTGATTCGTTGCCAGTGGCCCAGAAGTACGAGTGTGCCGTCCCTGATGTTGGACAACTCTTGGGCATCCACTGCTCAGGTAGCAGACTTTTCGCAGGCCTGGCCAAAAGTCCCTGCACATCGATCAACAAGCATCCAACCACTGGAATGCAAAATACACGAGTACGATGCCACCCAAGCACTCGGCCGTCTATCGGCACGTAAATCCGGGCCTGATCATTGTACGGTCCTGAGGCTTTGAGAGTCGATCGAAAGATGCAGATTAGCTTGACAGGCCATGGAGAAAATAGCCACCGGTTGACTCTTTGGGAAACTGCCAAGCGCCACAGTATTCAGCAGCAAGACGGATAGGAATCTAAAACAGGATCTGAACAGAAAGTTAGCAAGGCTAGCAATTTGCACTTGACGTGCCGGCTTGCCCAAAACCGCGATATAGCTTGAAGAGGAAATGGACAACATGTTCACGAATAGCAGGAGCTGGCCGCTAATTAGCCAGCTGCCAACCCTTTGGCTCCCCTACCGCAGCACAGCCCTACCACGCAGTAGGGGAGATTTCAGCAAGCCACGGGCGGATATCGTCGCCGATGCTCTTAGGCGACACGGCAGGTCTGGGGCTAGTGAGGCCTAGAGTCTGGGCAGATCTCTGCAAGCAGTATCGCCTAAAGACTGGCCAATCACCCCGAATGGATAACTGCCCAAGCCTGGCTCAGCCGCTATGGCGGTTCCAGACCAAACCCTCTTGGGAAACCGTTTGTTGTTTGCTGTCGATTTCGACGTCCAGCCTCGACCTGTTTAGTAAAGCATGATTCTGCGCGATCCCAATGAGCAGCTTCGAGACGCTGCATGTGGCCCGTATGCGGCTGCAACCCACATGCTGGTGTAAAGGCTATCCCGTCCCTCCGTTCAGCTTCAGCCAGCCTTATGGGACGGAATTGTCGGTATGTGCACTATGCCTGGGTGTCAAGTTCTTTTCTGACGGACAGGTATGAATATATATAACCCCTGAGATCGCAACCCTTGTGGCAATGGACGCCACAAGCATAAGCGAAGACTTCTCTTTCACACACATTGACATCCGCCCTTCATAATGGCAAACCCCATCAGAGATACCTCTGCTGGTCAATTACTACGAGCCGTCGGCTTCAAGTCATGGTTGGCATATCCTGAAGAACTTCCTAGCTTCGAACCTCAGCAGATGCCCGCCGTGCCAGAGACACTGCCCGTCACCAATATTGAAGACCTCGAGAAGACCCTATCCAAGATCGCCACCAAAGAGACCGCAAGCAACGGACTGACCTCCGAAAGCTCATCGGAGAAAGATGTCGGTGAAGCCATCGTTGTATCGTGGACTTCCAACGATAAGGACAACCCCCGCAACTGGTCCCAGGGAAAGAAGATGTATACCTTGACGCTGATCAACTTGTACACTTTCGTCGTCTACCTCACAGCCTCGATCATCACACCAACTGCAGAGTTCATCGTGAAGAGATACGACGTCTCCATTGTCATGGCAAGCCTTGGCCTGTCAATGTACGTCGTCGGATGTAAGTCGCCCTCCAAAGCCTGCACACAGACGTCTTGACTGACACTTCCTAGATGGCTTGGGACCAATGTTCTTCAGCCCACTGAGCGAGGTCGCCTGGATCGGGAGAAATCCACCGTACCTGTACTCGTTCATCGTCTTCTTCGCCATGTCGATCGCCTTGTGCTTCGTGGACAATTTCCCAGGTATCATCGTCCTACGTTTCCTGCAAGGATTCTTTGGCAGCCCGTGCCTCGCTAGCGGAGCGGCCTCGATTGAAGACGTCTATGACATCTACAGCGCTCCATACGGATATATCTTCTGGGTCGGCGCGATGTACTGTGGTCCAGCATTCGGGCCGCTGCTTGCCGGGTACGCCGTCGTGAGCAACTGGCGGTGGCCATTGTACGAGGTGGTTATAATGGCCAGCATTATTCTGATGTTCTTGCCGTTCCTGCCCGAGACGAACCCGAACACCATCCTTCTGAGTCGCGCCAAACGCCTCCGCAAGGCCACAGGCAACAAAATGTACTTGGCGGTCTCGGAACTGAAGCCGCTGCGATTCGGCGCCGCCTTGACGGAAGCCATGATCAAGCCGCTGGAGATCAGCGTCAAGGACCCTGCCATCGCATACGCATGTATCTATGGGGCCCTGGTGTACGCAACGTACTATTCCTTTTTCGAGGCGTTCCCGCTCGTTTACCTGGGAGTTTATCGCATGTCGCTCGGTGCCATGGGTCTCATCTTCGCCGGCCTGGTCATCGGGTGTGTTGTCGCCATCATCACTTACGCTGTGTACCTTCGCCATTACTTCATCCCGCGTTCCAGAAAGTACCACGAGCATCGGGGACACCCGGTCGAGCAAGAAGAGTGGCTGCGCCCAGGTCTGATCGGAGTCTGGGGTCTGCCGGTTGGCCTTCTGATTTTTGCATGGACGGCCCGAAGCGACATCCATTGGATTGTGCCAACCATTGGGATTCCAATTTTCGCGACCACGTCCTTCTGGACGTTTCAGAGTCTCGTGTGTTACGTTGCGCTTGCGTATCCTCGCTATGTCGCATCGTTGTTCGCAGCCAACGATTTCTGCAGGTCCATGACTGCTGCTGCCTTCGTGCAGTTCTCCAGACAAATGTATATGAACTTAGGGATTGGGAAAGGTGTCACACTCGTGGCGGGATTGTCGGTCATTGGTATCATCGGAATGCATGGATTATATTCCTTTGGGCCATACCTGAGAGCGAAGAGTAAATTCACCGGATAGAGTGATGGTGTGGTTTGAGGACGATGTCAATTATGTATGTTGCTATGATTGTTCATATCAATTCATTGCTAGCAGGCGCCTTGTACCGGATGATTAGCAAGGCGTACAGGAGATATGAGCAATGATAACGAAAGTAGAAATCAGCCTGGTCGTTTTTTCATCGCCTCTTCCGCGGCATTCAGTGAAAGCGTGCTTTTAACGTCTCGCGGTGAGAAGCATTCGGCGCAATAGAGTTGCTCGCGACAGTCCAGGGGCAATATGTGGTGCGAGCACATTGTCCAAGATAAATCCGATTCCCTTTCGTGGTATTGAGAAAATGTTAGATGTAAACCATTGGGAGGAAGCTGCATATAAGCCTGAAAACCGGCGCATCTAGACTTTCGGACAACGCACCAACTCACCGACTGTCCTCATTCCTTTATGGCCTGGTTCCCCGATTTTGTTTCGGCACAGACTTGCCGAGGACAGGAAGCAGATTTACCTGCTTAGTAGTTGTGTCACAATTGCGGTCGGACAGCCCATGTCACATGGCGCACGATCACAGACTTGGAGCTAGGACAGGAAGTCCGTAGGTGCCAAGCGCGCATACATGCGGCTTACATACCCGAGTACGGGAGAACGAGACGCTGCCCGTGCATATACTGGATCCGAACACTTGGTGTTCGTTGCATCCATTTTCGAAGCACGATCTTGACAAGAACATGGACCGATAGATGTTGGCTGGCATGATGACGTTGTAGAGTCCTTGGTGTTCTTTCCGGCCTTTGGTTCACCGCCGCAAGTAGTGTTGCGGGTCACCTGCTTGGCGGTTGGAGTGTTCAATTTTTGAGGCCTTTTCTCCACCGAACGTAGACCCCGAACACCCGCGAAGTCATTGCCCGCGCTGTATTTTGTTGGCGCGGAAGGACGGAGACCAAGCCCGCAAGCAGCCGAATTGCTGTTTGCTGCCCCTATTGGGACAAAATGTCCACTGGTGATGAGAGCAGAGTCAGCCCTCTCACGCCGCAGCGCACACAAGATGATCTTCGACATCGACAACATTTCTTGCCCATAGGAACAATATTCTTGCACCATCGTCTTTGGAACCATGGCCACGTCTGATAGCGTAGTTGTACTTTCCTCTAACGAACCTTCTGTCCATACATCTCAAAAGACCAGCGCGGACGGCCCAATACAAACGGGAGACAGTCGCCCACAAGATGGCAAGTCGGATTGCTTCGTCGCCCGACTTCGGCGACACCTCTCGAGTCCTATCGAGGTGACCATCTTCGCAGAGGTCGAACTCCTCATCCTCACCTTCTGCACCGGCATCCAAGATGTCACGACGTTCCCAGACTACCATTGCTTCGCCTCGAACCAGACTGGTAACACGGTCATGCTGGCGATGGCGGTGTTGTTGCCAGATGTAACACACAAGTTATTCGTGACTGCAAATATTGGAATGTCGTTGGGATGTTTTCTGTTGGCAGGATATGTGACGGGACAGTTGAGCCACATTATAGGGGCACGCTCTCGCGTCTGGATAGTGTTTTGCAACTTCTTCCAGACAGGATTGGTCTTCATCGCAGTGGCGCTGCAGTACACACACGGTGTGCATTTGGAGAGTCCGCATACTATGATCGTGATTGGACTGCTCGCCTTCGCATCTGGCAGCCAGGTAGTGCTGTCGAGGTCTTTGGCTATGACCGAGATAAGCACAGCCATGGCGACGGCTGCGTGGGTGGACCTTTTGATTGACAAGAATCTCCTTGCGGTACACAACCGTCCGAGGACACGACGAGCTAGCTTTCTTGCTGCCCTGGTGGCTGGTGGCTTCTTTGGTGCATACATCTATCGCGAGGTTGGCTCGGCATTTGCCATACTGATTTCGGCAGTCGGCAAACTGGTCGTGACGTTTCTGTTCTTGTTCAACGGAATGGAGAAGTCCCAGGGCAACACCAGCATTGTGTAGTAGTGTGTCTGAGATGTGAAAATGAACGACGAGATGTGAGCAATGTTATTTGAGGTGAAGGAGAATGCATAGTCAGGATCATGGCGACGGTATTGATATGTTTGATGATGATGGATTTTCTTAACGCGAGTGAGCAGGACGGCATTGGGTTTGAAATCGGTTTTCGTGAAGCAGGCACGATGAACTGCCATCTAGATGGTTAGAACATGCATAGCATAGGTATCGTCCCTTAGTATATGGTTAGCTAATGAGAGGTCGGAACTAGATCCCAGTTTCCACAGTTTCTGTGCGGTTGATTTGTTCGGCGTTCATATGTATGAAAGATCATCGTAAGTGCATAACATGACTGTGAAATAAGAAAGGAGAGAAGAAGTTTGAGGTTGTCAGAGAACGAGTAAGGATACAGACCTCCTCGAAGCACGCCATATCGACGGATTGGTGGCTTTGTGCTCGGCGGTAGTGGCTAGGGTGAACCATGAGTGCTAGATGCGCACCTCCGCATTTTTGTATGACGACATGTGCATCTTAGGCGACAAGCAGGTCTGAGAATTGACTGCGAGACTTATTACCAGCATATCGACCCGAGTGAAACACGGATTAGACACAAGCGGAAACCCTTCTGGGCAGGCTCACACTGCTGCGAGGAATTGACACCAACTTAGAACAATGTATCCGACGACGGTGCCGTGGCAACAATGACGGCTCTACCAAGGATACAGTTCCCCAGGTTTCTCATCGTGCAAGAACAATCCATTCTCCCCATCTCTCTTGCCTTCTGCAATAGTAAACAGACCATTCGCACTCTCATCCGGACTCTTTGCAATGCCCGCCTTCTCTTTGTCCTCTCGCTGCCCAGCCAGATCCGTGATCACATAGCCCGGACAGAAGGCAAACACCTTTACCTTACCCCTGTACTCCCAAGCATCACATGCCGCAAGCATATTCAGCGCCGCCTTATTGGTGCGATACGTCTTATAGGCCTCGTTATACGCAACATTCTCCGGATCGCCGCGCATCTGGATAGAGCCTAGCTGTGAGGAAACGTAGATCAAACGAGGTGTGCCTTTTGACTGAAGCAGAAGCGGTGCAAAGGCCTGCGTCACCATCGCCGGCGAGATTGCATTGGTTTCCAGGCAGTCGCGGAGGATGGAGCGAGAGAAGTCCATAGGACAGACACCAGCGTTGTTGACGAGAACGTCTAGGTGGCCGTGCTTGGCTCTGATATCTTCTACGGCCGCGGCGATGGAAGTGTCGGAGGTGACGTCAAGCTGAACCAGGGAGATAGAGCTGGATGCTTTCGTAGACGAAGAGTGGATAGACGCAATTGCTTTTTTGCCCTTCTCAAGAGAGCGACTGGCCATGATACAGTGGTAGTTCGGCTGGGCAGCAAAGAGCTGGCAAGTAGCAAGGCCGATGCCATTGTTACCACCCGTGACCAGAACCACGATAGACATGTTCGACTCACTGCTTGTAATCAAGAGCAAAAAAGAAGCCGAGTATTGCGGGGGGTTTACCTTGTACCTATTCAAAGGTTTCTAAGCGTTACATGTATTGAACGTTCACATTCACCATTCGGCCCGACTCCTACAGGGCCAAAGGTGTTGCAGTCATCCACAAAGTAAAAAAGAGGCACGGATTGTCGCAGAAAAGATGCTTTCGGACGAAACCGTCCGGAGAAGACTGCGGGGAGGTTGACACGCTATGTGAAGGATAGAAACCGACTGGGGCAAAAAGGGTCCTTGCGCATGGGATTGAGCACTTCGCAAACATGCTGCAAGCCGGATTGTCAAATTGTCCCAAACCTCATTTCTCTTCACGTAGTTCTTTCCTCAACTTCTCGATCTGGCGTTTTAAATTCCGCCAGAGGACGTAATCCTCCAAGTCTTTGTCCTTGAGCGCCGTTGCTATTTGGTCAGCACTCCCATCAGCAACCTCAAGAAGTTCCCAAGCTTCTTCCAGATCTTCCATTTCGTGCTTTTGCACAGCCTTATGCCTACCTTTGTCCTTCACGATGGACAGTAGAGCACTAACAAATGCTTCTTGGATATATGCAAACTGTCAAAACGTCAGAAAATTTGCCCGACAGCACAGCGGCAATATCAACAAGCATCACGCTGCATGATTAGGAAAAAACGAGCACTTACCGAGAACTTCTCAGTGATCTCCGCAACGGCTTCACATATCTCATCTGGAAATTCAACGTCCTTTTTGTCGCTCAACTTCCGCTGCCAGTACTTGCAGTACTGTACTCTTTGGTCATAACTCGGGTTGGGAAAGAAGAATTTCCGGTCAAAGCGTGAAGGACGGTTCGCGATACCCGGATCCAGACGGTCAAGGTGATTAGTGGACCCAATCATAAAGATCCCGTCGTTTGGAGATATGCCGTCGACTGCGTTCAAGAAGAAGCTGCGCACATTGTCTGTCACCACACTGTCAAGATCCTCAAAGACCAGATAGCACGGCGCTTCTTGGCGGGCCTTGCTGAAGATGGCCTCGATGCTGTACACGGACGGCACAAAGCTGATGAGTGTTTTGACGTACAGTGTTGGGACAGGGGACTTTCGCTCATGCAGTGAACGCATAGTTGCTTTGATGGAGATTGTCTTTCCATTGCCAGGAGGTCCGTAGAAGATGACGCCCCGCTTCCACGGCACACGAAGACGGTCGTACTGCTCTTGTGAGTCAAAGAAGCGCTCGACCGTGTCGAGGAGATCCAGTTTCATATCTTCGTCGAGAATTACATCCTCCCATCGCGACTTCTGCACGCTCTCGAATAGCAGTCGGTCCTTCATCCAGATACCTCGGTTGAACACCCACACTTCAGCATGAACCGTTGAACTCCATCTACCGGCTGCTATGGTAAGGGCCTGGACCGCCGCCTTGTCGCCCAAGATGTACTGATTGCGTGTTTGCGGATAGGCACTGACTCCGTCCCGTCCGATAGCGTAGTAGACCAGAAAAGACATGTCGTTCCACTTGTACAGGTAGGATCCAAAATGTGTTAGTTCAGCCAATTTACCATTGCTGCCACCAAGACGTCTGGCGGGCGGCAAGAAAATAGTCCACCTTAGTGAGTCGGGCCAGATCTTCTGGTCGGCGTCGTTTTGTCTGATCGTCTCGATTCCTGCATGTCCCGCTGCGGCGTAGGACTTCAGGTTGGCATAGGCATCGGGAACGACGGTGATGGGGACGCTCGGGTGCTCTTTCTGTATAGCATTGAATAAAGCGGCATCCGTGCTAACACGTGGTGCGGAAGCATTTTGGAAGAATGTCTTTGACACTTCGTTGGAGGCTTCTTTGGGAGCATTGATATACTCCGGGGTATCCATGGCGACCAACGATGAGATACTGGAGAACACCTGAAGCCAAGCGTTGAGAGTTCTGGCTATGAAGCAAGAGAAACATGCACCGATGTTCAAACTTGGCAACCGACATCTGAGGTAGCATTGTAGTGTTTAGGCATCAGTCAGTCGATGTGACGATCCCTCCTTAGGCGGGATGTTGATCTTCGAGGCTAAGAAGCCGACAAGCCGAGTACCCCCCAGCTTGCCGCTTTCAACTTTTGGGGGCCGAAATGCATCAGCTTGGGGTCAGCGTTGCTCCGCCCCGGGACGACAAATCGATGATTTCTTGTGACACTCCTTCCTTTCGCAGCTGATCACGTATCTGGTTGTCCAGCCACAAAGCTGTTGCCTTGATAACAGTTCCCTTCTTTTGTTGATATTCTGGCCAGAAACCACTTACGCTTGCGATGGTTTTATATGCCTGGTCAATCGAGTCTTCGAAGGCGCCATTGATTCTGGCACCTTCATGCGAGACCCGATAAATAATCTCAATCAGCACGCAGTGCAATAGTCCTAGCATGCGAAACCTGCTGCTGGCCTCCCCAATCGAGCCGTCGCCTTGGATTCCTGCCTCGAGGCAGTACAAGCATATACTCAACAGCACCCACAGCTGCGCCATGCGAATCGGATGATGTTGCTGCTCATGCATCACCGGATAGACAGCTCGCATGAGAATAGCTGATTGTGACAGAGCTTCCGAATATCGATTGGAGCTGAGTAGCCCAAGCAGCAGGAGGTGACGAAGTTGCGGCCACGGGTAACGATAAAGGGGCCAGACTGCTGTTCCAGCCAAGTCAGCCATGATGCTGTTGAGATCGTCAACCCGAGTTTGTTCCATTCCTGGATGCGACTCAATGTCCAGGAGCAATGCTATGGCGTCGCGCCCCACTCGAAGAGACTTGGAGGCCAGCAGGTTGCTTCCATTTTGATCTGAGAGCATGCTATTGGTCTGGTGGAGGTTGTCCCTTGTGGTGTTGGAACCTCTCGCGCAGAGATTGCACCAACATCTGAAGAAGTACCTTTCCATGAGCTCTCCTCGTCTATTCTCAAGAGGCAAGGTGTTGTCGACATATGACAGCGTGATCTCCTCATTCTTTGAGATATCCCGTAGCGCATGTATCGATATGCCGCCGGGCTCCGCGAAGCCTGGTTGCTGTGATGCCGGTAACACCTGGAATCGTACGAAGGCATTTGGGTCACAGGAATGATTCAGTAGAGCTGTACTTGGATGTAAGGCCAGGCCTAAGGGGTCAAGAGTTGGGCTTGTAAGCGTAAAGGCATTGACAGTCAGCTAAAAAAATATCAGTGTGCATAGCGTTAAGAGGGGCGTGAAGGTGGTCTTACTATGCAAATCAACCGTAAAATCAGTTCAAGGCTCTGCTCGGATCCGGAGTAGGACTTGGTCGCTTGCGCCATCAGCATGAGATCCTCCCAGCGCTCACCTCCTTCCTTGCGAAGCTGATCCAGGTGAGCTTCTAATGCAAGAAGCCGCACCCATTCACCCTCAGCCAGTTTTCCTGCCTCTTGCTGTTTCAGTAAGCGTACGATGCCCCGAACGTTAGTTGGGAGAATGCGTGGGTGCAGCCTTGCGAACAGTTTGCATTCCAGACGGTGATAAGCAGACCAGGCTTGTCTCTGGCATTTCTTCGATGGCATTAGCATGTGTTCGATTGGAAAACTGGGGAAGCAGTTCACCTGATCACAGAATCTGACTACTTTGCAACCACTGCACGTTTTCAAAGATCGGGCTTGTTCAAGGGAATAAGATGGCAAACCAGATTCTCCAGAAGTCCGAAAGCAAAAATAGCAGTGGGTAAGAAGTTCAGCTGTTTCCAGTGCCACTATGAGCGGCTTTGCAACATACATGAGCTGTGATTTCGCCTTGACATTTTTGCTGCAGAATGTAGCATTGCCACGGCCAGGGGTTCTCCTAGTGTACACGTTTGTATCTTGAAAGACTTGCTCTGGGACATCAGATGCCATTTCTGCGAAGAAATAATCTCGCCCGCAGACTCGACCTACGACCGCTGTGCAGCCACAGATTACCACTCGAGAAAGCAGCAGTAGTAACGTGTAGCTTTGTCAGATTCTGTTTCTCAAGATCGATCTGCTGCCAAGGGCAATAAAGACGCGAAATTATTACAGTAACAGCAAGTAACAAACCTTTTTAGACCGTGCATGCTTGGCATCCGGGGTGATCATTTTCTACCACTGCCAACGTCCTTCTGGGTGCCCTGATAAACCTTTACCACAACGCAGCACCGATTGTGATGAGCCTCGGATACCTCTCGCTCCCATCCGCTAAAGCGCACGATATGTAGCATGTTGGTCATGAAGTCTCAATCGTTACTCTATCATATCACTACTTTTGGACACCAAACAAAAGATTGTGCTCCAACCTTTTCGAAGCAGCTCAATCGCCTCCCCAATAAGCAATCATGTTGTCGTGCCACAACAGACCTTGCCTACCTAGTACCCTTCATCTCGAAAGCCACGAGATATATTGGCCAAAGAACAAGCGGTCCTTCTCTGAAGTCGAACTGAGGTTGCAATATTCAACAAGATAGGTAGGTACCGCTCGACGTCCGACATGCTCATCTGCACCCCGCCCAAGACTAGATGTCCAGGAACTGAGGACGAAACCCTTCGAAAAAATCTGAGGTATGGCGCATTGATTGAGATCTGCCACCATCAGTGGTTTTCTGCCGGGAACGTCTTCAATGATAAGTTTTGGCAATAATCGAGATCTTGGGATGCTATCATCAATTTCGTGACTGCAACTCCGTTGCAACGTTGATGTGTTGCAAGAACACGGGTACAGAACCAGATCCCTCAATTCGAGTGGCACCTTCCCCTGCGCGACCGGGTGCCAATGGCGGCCACGTCGAATGTACAGTTTTACGGCCGCGCAGTCATCGCCATCGCTATTCCATCATGATGCTGATGAGCATTGAGAGTGAGTGGACGTCGTACTGCCGCTCTCGGTGGAAGAGGCCGACGACGAGGAAGTAGACGAGGATGTCGATGGTGATGAGGTGAGATATCTGGGACGCGCACTTGAGGGCAGTATCAACAAGTCGGTAAGTGCTGAGCATATTTTACTCGACTCTGTGGACTGGCCCTGTTCTAACGACATGACCTCTAGGCTCATTGAATGTACTCTCTAGATGATTGCGAAGCTGCGGTGATGAGTGCAATGCCCCAGATCTTCAGGGAAGCCTCCATCATTATATCACTAGAGACCGGCTTTCTGAACAAAGTATGTACCACCTATGTTGGTCCCAATGCTACTTCCATCAGCCACAAAACCGTTTTCTCCCTGTTCATGGAACCAGACTTTGTCCGCAAGAGCTCGAGTAGCACGCAAAAATTCACATTCTTCATGGTCCACGCTCAATCAATCATGGAATTGAAGGCCTGTACAATCTTTGAACCCGGTGTTACGTTGCACCGCTGTGCTGGAAGTGGTCAAGAAGACGAAAGAGGTTCGAGCAGACAGAAGTCTAGCCCTGCCTCTTAGCCGTCATAAAGCTACAGCATGTTCCATGTGTTTGTTGAATGTCGAATTTTATCGTGTCCGTGCACGACAACCTCTAACCTTCTGCCCAGACAGGCTTGTTCAAGCATCTTACATTAACAGATCTGGTCGCAGAATTACAAAACCTGAAGTCTCCGACTCAAATACATCGAACTTTCGCGATGCAGAGCAACGCAGAAATGCTACACAGCTGGTGTATTTCACCGGGCTGTGCAGATGTGTCTTGCGTGGATAACCCCGTCTGCCCGGTCTGCCTGGCTACCTTTATCTGGACACAGAACCCAATGTCCGCAATTGATATGAGGACAGAGACCACTGGCGAGGTCACCTGTGCAAGTCAGAACAATTCGACCAGACAAGAGGTGTTTGCCGACAAAAGAACAGTGTAGCAAGAACTATAACATGCACACATCCATAGTCATTACTGCCCTTGTGGTCAGTCGTTGCGTCTGCGCCGCCACGATCCAGAACAACCACATTGAGCGCGATGTGTCTGCCATATCGGTCGACATCGCCGAAATGTTCTCGACGAAGATCAATTCCACCATACCTCTAGCAAGTCCTACAGACGGTCTGCTGTACGTGCCTGACAGATATCTCATGTACTCGGGCAACCCTGATTCGTGGCCGACAATGGACTCATGGCTGTCTTTTGAGAAGATGTGGTCACGCAACGAACCTTTCATTGGGCAAAGTTGCGCGAACAACGTCGAGTCAAATACCGCTGATGAGACCGCAACCATCCTGGCTGGCATCCATAAACCTCGAGTGGAGTTGACCGGAGATACATTCTAGCCGTCATGCTTCAAGAGTCAAACGGTTGTGTCCGCGTCCCGACTACTGTCTCTCAGGCACCCGTTCCCATCTCCAATCGTGGCCTCTTCCAAAGCTACAACTGCACCGGCACCTGCAATGACAACGGCAAGCTGGAAACTCCGTGTCCTTCGACCCGGATGATTCAAATGATGGTCGACGGGGTCGTGTCGCTGGACACTGATGACTCCTATGGACGGACTGGGAACGGTCTCGTCCAAGCCTTCAATCATATGAATGGGACCACCAAGGCCGCCCGGTATTACCGAGCAGCCCGCTGGTAAGACTCGGGCAAAATCACAGAGGACAACATGGATGACGCAGCCTATTCGACAAGATGCTATGCTTCTGATGTTGCCAACCGGTTGATGGGATGGACGACGGCTAAGCATGGCTGCCAGTTTGACGACTGAGTCATGTTAATGACTTTTCCGAGGAGGTGATCATCTAGTCGCTCGGTGTATTGTACCTATACCAACTACATATCAATTATCAAACATGTTGGAAGAATCTATACAGTACCTACCTGGGTAGTGCGGCCCCTGGAGTCCGTAAATTTGATGCAAATAGGCGGCGTCTTCCTCAGCGCCACAATTTCGGCGTCACTTACAGTACAGTATGGTGGCGGAATTGCACCGCCCACGATTTCTCCCCGGGCCGAGTTCTGGGGCGGGAGGCCGTGGATGGCTGTTGCCCAAACACCTCCGAGGCTTTTCAATTCAGTTAGTGGAGAACTTGCTGCTCCTTCTCCTCCACTTAACCCTGTTTGCTTGTCAAGGTGCGAATCTGCCCGATCACCACCTGCACTTCCGCAGCCTTGACGATCATTGTACCTGTGGCTTTTGTACAGCACACAATCCCTCAATCAAGACAAACGCAAGCTCTACTCGAAGCGCTTCTGTTGTTGACCAATCTTCTCCCTCAATCCAGGCAGCCGCAGTCATGGCATCACGACTCCTCATTCCCCGACTCTCCGCAGCCTCCAGAGCTCCCGTCACTTCTTTCGCGTCCAGATCCTTTCAGACATCTAGCAGACGGTTCGCAGAGCCAGTGGCAGTGCCAGTAAAAAGACCTGTCGGCGCATTCAGAGGAGGGTGAGTAGAGCTGTTCCGTCCCACTTGAGAGCTTGCGCTTGCCGCATGCAAGCTCATTGAGCAAGCACCGTGGCGCATGGAACGACAGCGACGGCTGACACGGAACTGGTATACAGACTCTTCGGCTTCCTTCTCGGTTCGACTCTCGCTGGCGCGTCGGTCTATTACTACATCCTGGAGGAATATAAGGTCTCGAACGAATTGTTGACAGAGGATATCTATGTACGTGCAATGCCGCGGCTGAGCTTCCCACATCCTCCTGAAGTGCTCTGAGATGTGTATCGTTGGAGACATACCATTCAAGCACTGCATAGGAAACAAGACGCCGTCCCGCGTGAGTGTACAAATGTGACTTTGCTAACATGAATATGCGCAGGCCCTACAAGCCGCAGTGCAACGAATTCATTCATACGTAACGGAACTGGAGAATAAGGTCTCGCAGATCAAGAAGTGAGGGATGCATCAGTGCCAAAAATAATAACGAGCGATGGAGAACTTGACATTTGTTTTTCTTTGAAGCGGAGTGCTACGGTGTCAGCTCTTGCTCGAGCAGCACATACGGTGGATCCAGATATCCTGTCTTCGAGTTAAGGCATGTGTAAAACAAAAACAATCAAAATGCTCTGTTACCTTTGCAAATCGATCTTGTGGAAGTGAGACGGTCCTTTCAGCACGACGGCTCCTGGCTGTACGCATTGTTGAAGCAGGATCTGCTGACGAGCATAGAATTGAAGCAAACCAAACATGCAGGATTGATGTTGGCGCATGGCCCGGAGTCTCATCTCGAGCTACAAGCAATGAACAGAGCGCGGCCGTTCCGAAAAATTGTGCAGATCGACATCGCTGTCCAATGGAGATACACTCTGCTCCGGCTCATGCCAGCTTCCGGGCTATTGGGGCAAGTGAAAGCAGCAGCAGCAGCAGCAGCTTTAGATGTGCTCCTGAAGCCCAACTGTTTGGCAACCACATTGCCATTTCCGTGCGTTTGACGTGCGCGCGTGCTCCGACAGCGCCCAAAGGTCTCTCCGTCTTGCTGAGGACCCTTAACTAGCCCCAAATTGTCTCCTGGAAACGAGTGTTGATACAGTGCCGAAGCCCGCGCATGAGTCTCTTGCTCTAATTGGTGGCAGTCACAAACAGAGAGTCGACCACAGACCTCCCCGAGTCTAACAATACAGGCCAGGTTTCAATCAAAACGAGTCAACCTCTTGTTCGGGTTTAGAGGCTGGTGTGGCTGTGAGACCTTGAGAAGTAGCAATGAGGCCAGAAAAATGGCTCAATCAACCAGGGCAATGATCGGCCATGTTGCGCGTGCTCGAATGACTGGCGAGGCTGTCCCCCAAAGATCGGACGGCTTTCGACGTCATGCCATTCACGGTGCGGAGTAGTACTGTACAGATGGCTGCTGGCTCATGTGCCCAATGTTAGCAGCCCGTGTCATTCTACTCATTGCATTGCATAGGTATGCTGCAAGGCCACCCTTCTGGCAACTGGCGATATGGGCGACTCGTCGACATCCAATTTCGTCGGTCATAAGTCATTGTTGGTGAAGCATCACAGCACCACTGGTCGACCATCGTGACCCTCAGCAGCATTATTCATGAGTCATTTTGGAGCTTTCCTGGGGACTTCAGTGCACGTGGTTGCCGGATTTTAGTAGAACAGGCAAAATGTCGCCCAAAGATGCGGGATATCGATGTAAAGAAGGGATGTGCAAGCGTTAGTCGCACAGCCGACAGATCGGCAGCGATCAGGATGACCATCTCCCCGTGGCCCATAATTTTAGGCACTGGATACCTGTACCTCGTGAAGAATCCCTCACAATCTACCCGTGTTCTCGAAGGATGATGATACCTGTGATGCCAATCAACGAATGTGCCGTCTCTCCCGAAACCCAGTCTGCAGTATCGCATTTCCTGCACAAGCTTTCTCAAGCTTTGGCGAAGCCTTTTAGTGCCTCATCGTCGATCAAACCTTAGCCGTGGCACTGTACCTGGGTTAGGACGTGATGTCGTTCGAGTTGCAGATTGTCGAAAGCGATCACGATGAGTACATACCCGATATAGAGGGGCAGCTATGGACTTGACTATTGTAGCATTCTTCGATCCTACTTAAAGCTCCTGTCCTGCTCGTGTACAATAGCATACTCAACAAGCAGCACACGCCTGAACATTTAAAGCAATACATAGTACACTGAAGAATCGAACACCAACATATTGTTCAAGACCATGTCTTCTGAACATCGCAAAGGCAGCGAAGACCGCAGAGGGAGCATGATTTCCAAGATGTTCCACAGAAAATCCCATGTCAACGTCGATGAGGTCGATGACACTTCCTCCCTCAATTCGACTACACCGTTGGTCCACAGCAAGCTCACGCCCAAAGAAAAGGAAGCAAAGAACAATATGGTCTATGAATTGACCCAGCAGCCCAATTTGACGAGCACCGAGGAGCGGACATCGTACGACGAACTGATGAGGAAGGCAAAGACCATGAGCCCCGAAGAATTCAAAGTCTACCTGAGCCAGCATCGGGAAGAGGTCGAGACATTGGGGAGGAATGATGGTGCCGGTATTCCGGGGTTGTTCTGGGTTTACAAAGATAACACGAGTACGCTATACCCAACTGATGCTGAAGGAGGTGTTTTACTGACTTGCTTGCTTACAGAGATGGGACCAATATGAGCTTCGAGTCTTGCAGTATTGTAGTTGTTGCTTGGTGTTTTGTTGGTGAGGGGGACAATGGGGTGAGTTGGTTGATTTTACGGCCTGGAAATGGATTGAAGGACAAAGACGCTTGCAAAGTCATCATCCTCTGGATTGCACAGAGCACATATTATATGATATTATGTCCATTTGTAGAATCGTATCCTGAAACTTGTTCGAGTTAATCCTCGATACTGGACTTTGCTTGCCTGAAGTCGATACATCATGGCGGCGCTAGATGAGGGTGCTTACCATCTCCCATTCTCCGGGGTTACAGTTGTAGCCACTGGGAGGTGAGCAGTGACAGACACCCGCGCGGCGCCTCGGATTCCAAGGGGCTATAAGATGCCTACAGTATCCAGTCCCGATCTCCAACTTATCTCGCTTCAGGTCATACGATTAGGAACCTGTGCATGACAACGCACGGTCTGACCATCATTTACAGAGGGTTCATGGCATCAGTCCTTCATCATTATGAAGTGCCGACAGCCCTCCAAGCCTTTTTTCCAGCAAACAGTGGCGTTGACTGACATGGAGCACCTCCACGATACAGCTTCGATCTCAAGCAAGTTAGAGATTGCTCGACAGCACCTCAGCAACTATACTGGTAGAGTTGATGGCTTTCCCCACGTCAAGGCCGAACTCCTCAATGTTATGTGTGAATGTTCCCGGGTTTTGGGAATCCAGACAATGCCACTTTTTGCTGGAAACAAGCTTGCCGGCCACATCCGTTTCTGCTCCATCTTGCCCTGTCAAGTGGTTCAGAGGTTTGACCGGCGTTACTTGGCCTTGCTTGGCTTCGTAGCCTCGCTGATCCGAATGGCCTTGTGGCTCGGTGGCTCGGTGGGTTTGGCGGTCCTGCGAGCCTGATCTCGCGTCAGCCTGGCCGATCACACGGAAGTCAACGTGAAGCATCCTCCGAGTATTGACCTTTTGTGTTCAGCACGCTCGTCATGCATCATTCACAACCGGACTGATTCATTGCCAACATTGGTACACAGCAAGGTACACAGCAAGAGCCGCATCCGTGCCGTTGTAGAGCTCCCTGTTGCCATCCTGGAAGCTGCAGAGTCCACGAAATCTGGCGGTGATTGGTAAGTCTCGGAGCCCATCTGCGGAGCGAAGTCGTCGCTAGCATCAGGCCTCATCTGACAATACCAACAAGATCAATAGTAACAGATGGAAGGCGACGTTAGGTTCCGAGTGCTCCGGCTTCCTCGGCAATCACGCATTCGAGATCTAATCTGATTCCTGCATCTCTTTGTTGTTCTCCCCATTGCGTCTTTGGGGAGCGTCGTTACCATGCGGTCCTCCCTGCTCTTTGCAGCACTCTTCCTGTCCTGGGTTGGTGCATTCTCTTTCAATACCTACGATCTGGGCTTCCACGGCCTCTATCCTCGTCAGCATTTCCATACTGTCGACTTTGAGCCGCCCGCGCCCAAGATAACAAGATGGGATTCCCGTTGCGACTCTGGGAACCTCCTCCTCACGCCGAGGGGTCCGTCGGTGAGAGGTTCTGCACGAGGTCCAGTCATGCTAGATGCGAGAGGCAACTTAATATGGATGGACAACGACAACTTTGAGCAGGCCATGAATTTGGACGTGCAGAGATACAAGGGCGAGGATTACTTGACCTTTTGGACGAAATCCAAGAAGACCCCTGATTCCAAGCATTCCCATAAATCATATGTGCTTGTAGGAAGGCCTCGCCATAATATATCTTTGAGCAAGCTGCTGACGTTTTAGCTCAACTCTTCCTACGAAGTTGCCCACAGGATACACCCGCACAGTAAAGGCCTCAAAGCAGACTCTCATGAATTTCGCCTCACCCCTCACGGGACAGCGCTCATCACGATATACTATAAACATAAAGCGGACTGTACAGATTTAGGTTTGGGCAAGACCTGCTGGATCCAGGATGGTGTCTTCCAAGAAATCGATATCGAGACGGGTGATTTGCTTTTTGAATGGCGGGCGACAAATCATATCCGAATGAGCGATGTATTCAGCAAGCCCTGCCGCAAAGACGGGTTTGGTAAATCCAAGAAGGACGCCTTCGACTTCTTCCACATCAACAGCGTCGACAAGATGGACTCTGGGGATTACCTGATCTCCGCTCGTTACAGCCACGCCGTGATGTGCATCAGTTCCAAAACAGGCGAGATCTTGTGGCAGCTAGGGGGCAAAAATGATAGCTTTGAAGATCTTGATCATGCAACCGATTTCGCCTGGCAGCACCACGCAAGATGGCTGGGTAATAAGACGATATCCCTCTTCGACAACCACGCTAACAGCGTCTTCCATGGTACCAATCAACATAGCAAGGGCATGATCATCCGACTCGACATGGAGAAGATGACTACCAGCCTCGTACAGAAATACGTCCATCCGGACAAAATTCTCAATGTATCTCAAGGCTCGGTCCAAGTGATTGCGAATAGCAGCAACGTGCTCGTCGGGTTCGGCAACTCACCAACCTATGTGGAGTACTCCGCGGGCGGCGAGGTACTTTGCAGCGCACACTTCGCGCCTCATCTCGCCTTTGAGCTCGTTGACTTTGGCTTGGTGAAGTCGTACCGCGTGTTCAAGAGTCCGTGGGTGGGCAGGCCGAAGACCCTGCCGGTCGCGAAAGTGAGAAAGAGCAAAGTGTACGTGAGCTGGAATGGAGCGACGGAAGTGACAAGCTGGAAGTTAGAAACGTCGAAGACGCGGGATGTAAAGGACGATGAGTTCGTGACGATCCAAGAGCTGGAGCGGGACGGATTTGAGACGAGTTTTGCGATCGATAAGAACCATCGATATGTCAGGGTCGCGGCATTGGACGCTGAGAAGGTTGTATTGGCACATTCTTCGGTGCTCAGGGCACCTTCGCCTTCATCTGTGAGTCCTACCCGACATCCCGCTTCTGTCTTTCCATGTTGACCCAGCCTAGATTGCAGTTCGGTTGATCCAAACTTTGTTCGTTTGTATGGTGGTCTTACTGCTCGGCTTCGCGGGCTTCATAACTCTGTACGCGAGGTCTCCTAGACTTCCAGGTCTTCCGCAATTTGGTGAACTATGCAAGGTTAGAGCCCGCTTACACAGGGCTGCGCAGGGCGATGGCGAGGACGAGAATTTTGAGACAGAGCCTTTGTTAATGGGTACGAGAGAGCCATGAGCGTCCCGTGTGCTGTCTTATGGTTAGAAAGCTCGACCGAGAGTCAAAAGCCTGTCTTCCTGTTGGGCCATAGAGTATGTGCTTGCTGCTGGGTTTTCTCTAGAACGTCTCACACGTCGCTTTATGGCCTGGCACTGACTTGCACCGTTCCAACAACTGGTTCGGAGATGCCCCAGTTCCACTCTTCATGAATATATATTGAAATTGGACCTAGGAATGACGGTGAAGGTGGCCAATGGTTTCAGGCACGTCCGAGAGCATCGAAGCCTACGCCAAGCGCGGGCCCCGCTATGAAATCCGGGGAACATAAACTTATTCTCGCTTCCACCTTTCCTGCATCCGAATCTACATCCATTCCAATTCAACCCGCTTAATACAATGCCCCTCATAGAAGAGCTACCCGTCACCGCAACTACCGCTCGTCCCTCTCACGGCTGGGCATACATTCCCGACACCGGCGCCTCCATCCCTGCAGTCCAACTCGGATCACGAAAGCGAGGTCGAGATGGCACTGCCGCAACGGCTCAAGCAGCACACAAGCTCTCCGCAAAGCAAGAGAAGGCAATACAACAGAGACTAAATGACTTGGGCAAGGAAAACTTCCGCGAGGCCAACATTCCCATACCGAAGCGCGAGGGTGGTAAGGGCAGAGACCGCAAAACAACCCAGAACGTCAGAAGGATTCTGGCCTACAGCCGGACCTTCCAGCACTATCTTGCGGACGAAGAAGCCGGCGTCAATGTCTATGGAGCAGCAGCCACTGCTGCCGCCGCAGCCGTTCCCACACATGTGCAAAAGACCGTGGAGTCGAAGAGACGAGGAGCAGTGGCTGCGGCCCCAGCCCAACCAGAGCAGAAAGCAACACCTACACCTCGACGGACAAACACCTCAAAGAAAGCCACACGTACGTCGATTAAGAGCGAAGCCGACGTGGAAATGACAGACGCACCGGCACCAGCGCCACCCGCAGAATCGTCGGAACCAACACCAACGACGTCGCAGCAACTACCCTTGGACCAGACGAAACAGGACCAGCCTGAAGTATCGTATGATCCAGCCCTCGACAAGGACCCTCTCCTCCGCACACGAGACCTGCCCAAAATGCCCTCCGACCGCGTCATGCAGGGTCTCCTCGCCGAGCCGCCACTCAGTTATACCGCGGCACGCGCGAAACCGCTCGAGGGCGCTGACAGTTCGACATTCGCCATCCGCACCGGGCGTAACGCGCTCGTCGCGAAGCCGCAGCGCTGGTTCTGCACCGTGTGCGGGTACTGGGGCAAAGTGCGGTGTAAGCGCGGATGTGGTGAGAGGGTGTGTGGGCTTTTGGAGTGCTGGAAGGCTCACGAGGGTGTTTGTTCGGTGGCTGCGTATTGAGCCGTCTTTACAGTACGTCCAGACATGGATTTTGCTGCGCTTGAGCGACATGGATGATTCTTTACCTTTGATACCCCATATACTGTATCGTATGAAAGTGGAAAGCGATGATGAATAGCCGTTGTAGATCAATTCAACTTTTTGTGCTCATATCTCACCAATTGGCTTACTATAAGTATCGATCGCCGGGCCGCTCTGCTCTTCTTTCGCTATGGGTATCATTGTAATCGTACAGTCATTTCTCTTGTCATGTTTTCGCAACAACCACTGGTAATCATGCACCTCTCCTCACACCACAAATTCCACACACGCCGACATCTCCAGCATTCAGATACACACTCGCACTATCTTTACACGCCTCGCTCTGACAGGACCAATGTCGCGGGTCTTTCTTCGGATCCAAGACATGAGCGCATGCCATGCACGTTGCATTCAAACGGGGGTTCTCGAGTGAGCATATTGGACATGCTACCAAGGTTTTTGAGCTTGTCGTGAAATTTTCAAAAGGGACAGGATGTGTATCGGCTTGGAGTTCATCGATAGACATTGACTTGGGACCCTTCGGCGCCTGGGCCGGGCTCTCCCTCTTTGCAGCCGTCGATGCTTCAGTTGACCGCCGATCCTCATTGTCATCGGCATTCTTCTTCTGGGGCATGTCGTCTATCGGTATGGGCTGGGTTGGTTGGGTTCTTGCCTCGTCATCCCTTGAGCCCGCATGTTGTACTGGCTTGAAGTATCGGTCCAACCCTTCAAGTTCCTCCATCTCACGCTTCACATTGGCATCGTCCGTGTCCTCGTCCTCACATATTCGAACCATACCGTGGCCCTGGCTGTCAAGTATCCTTTTCCCACTCCCGTCCGTAGCGTCTTCGAGATCTCCATCAGCGTCCTCATACTCTTCTTCCCCCGTTTCTTCATCCTGCTCCTTCAGTGTAGCCACCTCCTGCTTATTCGTCTCGAACCTAGCCAGGGCCGCAGCAACCCTCAATTCTCTCCCGCGCTTACTCTGCGCCACACGAGGCTTCCCCCCGATAGGACCTTTCCGACTGATCTCAAGATTGATACGTGCATTCTCATCCTCACCGAGCGCGACGCCGTTCTTGCCGAACTTCTTCTCGATTCGTCTCTCCTTCTTCTCTTTCCATGTCAATTCTTTCCCATCACCACCGGCCTTGCGCTTCCTCCTGCGACTTCGATACGTCCCGCCGCAAAGTGGCAAACCCTCCAATTCTTGGCTTGTCAGGACGTTATTGCCCATGACGGTGCTCATGTCGCTCAGAGTGCGCCCGCCACCCCAAAATCCTTCGCCGGTATACCCCTTTGCCCACAGACCTTTCATCTCTTCGGCGTAGATATTTCTTGCCTTCCAAAAACCTTTGCCATGGTTCATGTGCGTATTATGAGCGAGCTCGTGCATCATGACCATCTGTACCATGCGGAAGGGAACCCATCCGCCGTTCTTGCTGCGGAGGACCAACTGAATGATTTCACCATTGTTAAAGTTGCGGCCAATAAACTCCCGGTTAGGCTCGTATTCTTCTAGCGTAGTGACGGAGAGGTAGTGATTCTTCATGAGAGGCAAGCATTGCGCGGCGATTGCACGTAGGAATGTGTCGGCAAGATCATAGGAGGCTTGGTCTGAAGCCGGTCGCGGCAATGGCTTGATGAAGACGATGCGGTCATTGGGATGGGACGATTTTTGATGGTTGAGGCGGAGGGTGTTGAGAGGCATTGTCGTCGATTGTGGCTGTAACAGTATAAACTGGCACTTCGGCCATGGACAAGCAGATCCCGCCGGGAGGGTGTCAAGGACAGTAATGCAGGAACAAGACCTTAACTCGCAGCCGTGTCGCCACAATTACATGAAGTCTTTGGGACGTGCAGCGTGCAGAAAGTGGCGTCAATGCTGCAGGAATCCAGGGTCCGCGATCCGCAATCTGGGGAAGATCATCTGGCAATGAACCGAGGCTCAAAGGGCCAAAAGGTTGCTTTGGATATGTCCCCTCCAAAGTGCTGACAGCTTATTTACCGGTAAGAGGATATCTTGACCTCTTTCTATTTCACAATGCCAGAACGTACCGTCTTTTCCACGGTGCTAGACATTCATAGGTGAACAACCATCTAAGTATACTTCGACGACCGCCGTTACGATCATGGCCCATCTAACACCTTCGTCCTCAACCTCCGGCTTCTTCCAAGCTTTACCGACACTTCCACCACAATACACCTGGTCCGCCAGCGAGCAAGCCACGGGCAGTCAATCAGACGACAGAGTCCTTGCCCGAGTCCTCAATCTATATCTCCCCGATCCACCCACCCCCCAACTATCTAAACATTTCCATGACTTTTCACGACTGGTCCTACACCCATCAACCCTCCAACACACAGTCAACGCTGAAACGAACCAACCGACCCTCCATCCTCTCACCACATTCGGCGAAATCAACACTACGGACCCTCTACGCACGAGCGAAGGCTGGCGATCCCTCAAACACATCCAAACTCAAGCTGGAATCGTAGGCTATGGTTATCCTCAATACACCCTGCACCAGACTTTCAATCGACGCATCCACCAGTTCGCAACTCTCCACCTATGGCACGGCACTGCCGCCCTGGCAACCTGCCCGATGGCCATGACCGATGGCGCCGCCGTCCTCTTACGCCGACACCTCGACGACCCGGACCATGACCAACCAGGCCGCAAACAAACCCTCACCGAATCCTACCGGCGCCTTACCTCCCTCGACTCCTCCTACGCATGGACATCAGGCCAATGGATGACCGAACGCACAGGCGGCAGCGACGTCAGCAACACCGAGACCACAGCCCGACGTATGACACCATCCGAAATCCAATCCGACCTCTCCACCGACGCCCACGGTCTGCCCCTCGGCCCCTGGCTAATCAATGGCTTCAAATGGTTCTCATCCGCCACCGATGCCGACATGGCTGTCCTCCTCGCCCAAACATCCAAAGGTCTAAGTGCCTTTTACGCGCCTTTGCGCCGCCAGACACCTACTTTAAGTGGAAGTGGAAGCCAGATGAACGGCGTCCGACCCCAACGCCTCAAATCCAAACTCGGCACAAAAGGTCTTCCCACAGCCGAGCTCGAGATCAAAAACATGCGCGCCTTCCTCATCGGCACCGAAGGCCAAGGCGTCAAAGAGATCAGCTCCATCCTCAACATCACGCGCCTGCACACCGCGAGTGGAGGCGCAGGCTACCTCTCGCGCGGCCTCGCCGTGAGCCGCGCATACACTCAAGTCCGCGAGGTCCGGGGCGGCCTGTTGGCTGACAACCCACAGCACCTATCCTGGATGGCCACCGAAACCGTCAAGTACACCGCCAACACGAACCTCGTCTTCCTAGGTGTTGCGCTCCTCGGCGCAAGCGAACAAGGTGACGCTGCGCGGACACCTGCATCGTCAAGCATCATCCCCAAAGACAAAAATACAATTGATGTCCTTCTGCGAATATTGACACCCGTCATGAAAGCCCAAGTCACGTTGAACAGCGTATCGGGATTACAAGCGTGCATGGAGTCCCTGGGCGGCGTCGGATACTGCGAGAACAACGAGGACGGCGGCGTCATGAACATTGCGCGGCTATTTCGTGATGCTGCCGTCGGCCCTATCTGGGAGGGCACGACGAGCGTGATGGCCGAGGACGTTCTGAGAGTCATCAAAAATCCCAAGGTCAAGACTGACGTGCTCGATCAGGTCTTTGGGGAGTGGACGCGTGCTGCTCTGCAGGCAGTAAGATCAGAATTCCCTGCTGAGGTCACAATCGTTGAGAATCGCTATGCCGCCTTGAAGCAGATGGTTGGCGGTTTGAAGGCGCATGAGTTACATCGTCGCGGAAGGGAAGTTCTCGAGCATATCGAGGCCGTGGCCTGTGCGTGCTTGCTCATGTACGATGCATGCTTGGACAAGGACGAAGTCGCCATGGCTATTGCGAAGAGGTGGGTGAGGATGATCGCCCTGCCTTCCGATACTGTACAGGGAGGAAGCCTGGGTGCTTGGGAGAAGGAGGTCGAGCTGGATCGGCGAATCTTTCTCGGGTCGGATACTCTGCCTTCGACACGTGCACAGGCAAGACTCTGAATGTACAAGATACGGCAGCTGACAGGTTATGTTCTTAAGGACACAATTAGTCCATGGTCAACCTATTTGGAGGTCGGATGTCTCTACAGATGACATCTTTCAATCGACTAAGTCGCTCACTCTTCCAACAAAGCCAGCCAGTACGGACGTATTAGACACTGCAGGTCCTGTCACCGGACCAGGAGCTGTGACAGTCGGTACAACCAGAACCTGATCGCCTATACTAATCCATTCAACTGAACTGACAAATCGAAATTTGATTGTAATCTCCTTTGCTGACTTGGCATCTGAGTCAGACTCCCCGACATTACCAGTCTCACCGTCGCTGTCAAACGAAAATATCTCCGCATCCAGCGAGGAGGATCTTTCCTTTCCTTGTGCCTCGTCATCCAAGGCCACTGCAGTCACCTTGATAGCAGCTCGGAGACTGTTCACGTAGAGAATGGCATGACCGCCCAGGATCAGGGGTGGCGAGTTAGCTTGACCAAAGTCAGAGGCTGGGAAGGTTGCTGAAAACGAGTGATAGCCGGTCGGGGCACCCTTGGACTGCATCAATACCATCCCTTTTCGTGCTCTTTCCAATCCGAATGGTTCATTTCCCATGCCGACCCGGATCAGCTCAACTCCGATCGTGCCGGTCTCGCCTTGTCGCAGATGAGTCACTGGAAGGCGTAGATTACGCAGGGAGACGACCCTTATATGCAGGAAAATTGGTATCGTCTGCGCCTTGAATGCAGCTGCTCTCAAGCTCTCCCCTTGATACGACCGTGCCACTATGCCAGCAGTCTTCTCAGAGGGAGACTGTCCTGCACAATAGGACTTTGACCGCAGCATAGGCTGAGATCTGTGGGATGAAGGCAGGTCTAGGTCTTGCGCGAACGGTCCGAGGAACAGGACATCGCCAATCGAGAGTGTGCCCCGGGAAATATACCCACAAAGCACTATACCTTGTTTGTCAGGGCGGGTCTCAGCTTCCGAACTGTAGACTCGCGATGGTGGGATGCTGAAGACTTCATCCACATGAAAGATTGCTGAAGGTGTGGGGGATCCATGTGAAGGTGATGGCGTAGTTTGCCTGGAACTTGAATCAGGTAGAGAGCGAAGCAACGCGTGAAGCTTGCTTATACCTTGTCCGGTAACGGCGCTCGTCATGAGTATAGGTATACGTTTAGAGGATTCGCCGTCTTGTATGGACGAAATGAGTCGATCAATCTCGACTTGGTCTTTCGCCATAATGGACTGAAGTTCGGCCACGGATCCGCCTGCCTCCGACGTCGTTGATGGCCCAGGCGTGTTGCTCAACATGACGGGCGACCGGTGTGCAGCCTTCAAAGCAGTCAGCAGCTTTCCCAGTACTAGTCGCAAACCAGTCTTGTTAGCAAGATCCAGCTTGGTAATGACTATCATCAGGGGCAGCTCGAGCCGGAGACATAAATCAAGGTGACTAAGTGAAAGACTTGTTGCCTCGGATGTGAAACCAACCACAGAGGTGCCGCTTGTCAATGTGGGTGTTCTGCCTATGTCCTCCATATTATCATCAGCTGCCACGCAGAGTATGGTCCATGATGGTCTCCAGGAAATCAAGCTTCTAAAGCATGATTTGGCGAACCGAGGCAATCCAGGTGAATCGGAAAGAAAGACAAGGCGGTCTGCCAAATTATGGATATCTACCCATGATGAGACATTTCCCGACGCATAGTTGATGACAGGAGCTGAGAGCTCTCGATTGGCTCGATACCCAACAAGTTCCTGTGCTACGGAGCTCGTGATGCCCGAAGCAATTTCATGTCGATGTTTGAGCAATGAAAGTCGACTCTTTCCTCGGCCATTGTCTAGGGTGGACGTGGAAAGAGTACCCAATAGCGAAGACTTGCCAGCAGAAGTAGCTCCTACCAAGGTGAATCGGAGTTGCTCATTTGAAGCTTGTTCGGTAAGGCTGTCCTCCTGCGCCTCGGTGATGCCATAAGGGGGATCAAGAATCTGCTTCGGAACATCCTCGTCCACAGACCCACGCGAGTCGGGGTACACCAATACTTCTGCAACCCAGAGAGTATCTTTCTCCAGTTGTCCCTGGCCAGAGTCACTGTCAGCGTTTACCCATTCGCAATTCCCAACCGCAACCTTTCGCAGCATATTGGTGGTGCAGCCCAGACTGGCAGCCATGGCTCTCAGATTGTTCAAGCTCTCTTGAAGTTCTTCTTCCACCAAGCCAACCAATGTACCATCGTCCGCAACACCGATCTCATAGAGTGCACCTTGGCTTTCTTCCAGGCCTGGTAGAAGCTTCGCAGGACGATCCGGGACACCCTGTCTTGGTGTTGCTTCAGGAAGCACTGGCAGGACCAATTCCGCATTTGACGAGGAATGAAAGGGCGACGACTGTTGCAACCGCCACAGTAGTTGGGTTGTTAGCTGCTGGAGCCTCATTTGACGAGCTTGGCCAGATGGTTGACCCGAGGGACGATCAACTGCCGGAACTTCGAGAGACCGAGACGTGGGAGCGGCGGGCTGGGAGTTAAAGTAGTAGAGCCCCGAAGACGAAGATGCCGTCGAGCTGGAAACGAATTTCCGCCTTGGGCGTAGGAGCAGATGCAATTTGTACTCTGTGGGGCCATCCTGTCGTTCAGGTTCCAGTTTCTTGAGTCCCTGTGTATCTTGAAGCCTTTCTTGCACTGGAGTGCCCACGTTCTGCAAGGGTTGCGGAGTTGCTGTACCTGGGGTTGACCAAGGTGAATGGATTCGAGGCGGTTCGTCCTGATATGTGAAAATAGATGCCATGGTAGTTCCCTCCTCCAGAGTATAACGTAACCTCCTCTTTCAAAGACTCATATATAATGCCGCCGTAAAGAGAAACGTAAGGTTGACCCAGGTAAAGAGCGGGTGACGGTGTGGGAGTAGTACAGCAGCTGCGAGAGGCGAAGGCACATGGTTGCGGATTCGAGAACGGTCGTTGTTTCCTGAATTGTGTCGTATGTGCTTGTTTACTGAGGGCAAGTCGTACACATTGTGTGTATGAGTGTGTCAGGTGTAGAGGCAGAGTGGTGGCTTTCGAGTCCCCTTTGGCTTTGGGAGTGAGCGTGGTGTCGAGTCACCAACAGTGAAGTGAAGAGGGGCCGATGTATGACAAGACCATGTGACATCCCACGTGATCTGGGCGTCGTCGCTGTTATGTCTGCAAACAACGACTACCTGGTGCACAACTCCATCGAAAATGTCTAAGTCGACGTCGCGAGAGCCCTCTTCAGTCTGCTGAATGACAATTGGCCCACCTACTTCCTGTTCACAACGTGTTCAATCCCACTGTTGAACAAGGAATATGCATATTATCATTTAGACCTACTGATGTTCGGCAACGGTGATATGCCTGACGGGCAACGCTCTATCTAAGTTTTCGAGAAAAGTGTAGCAGTCGAGAAGAATGCTTTGACTTACATGTCCCGAGCAATTTCTTGCCTCCAATCGAACGTGCTGTCAAATAGACTTGACCTTGATAATCCGGGGTAAAAGGACGAGACCCGCTCGTGCCGCTGTGGGGTTGTGACTCGAGCCACTACAAGGGTAACCTGGGGTTCGGGCACAGTATAGATAGAGCCTGTTCGGTCATCTTTGGTGAAGACAACCCCTTGACCGGCAAGCTGCTGATATTTGACAACATCATCGCCAGAAATTGTCTCAGAGCCCCTTTGCTGGTCGATAATCATACATGGGGTCGCTTATCTAAGCTGAGCGCACGATTGCGAACAAGATCAAACGGTGAAAGATAAATCCAAGGGCGCAGAAAGAGAGAGCTGACGACGCAAAAAGCTTCGTGATTACTGGTCGTCTCGAAGCCCGTGATAAATGTATGGAGAAGGAGTTATATCACAGACTTGACCACAGCAAGCCGTCCCACGGAGGGCCCCGTCACGGGAAAGGGATTACTCAGTTGTATTCTTTGGTACATTGGGTATCTTGATATTTGCGTCGTGCAAATCCTTCGACGAATGACTTTCAAATAGCCAGAAAAGGAGTACACGTCTCTTGTGCAAGCCTGCTGTGGTATGTAGTTGACCAGCGGGCAACGCCAACCTCTTCTTTCTCATCTTCGGCCTGCAGATCAGGTCTGGTATGTATAGTGATATTTCAACCAATGATCATGGTCAATCCTTCATCACTTGTTCTTCTCCTCCCCTTCAGATATCTTTTCCCATTCGCTATCGGTGCTGATATATCCGGAGCTCTCGCCCAGGCTCCGCCGACGTCTCAACGCTTCGGTGCTACCAGCGGATAACGGTTCGAGATGCGTTTCAGATGACGGCTTAAGTCTTTCATGTGTTTGAGTCTGTCCGAGGGTAGCAGAAGTTGTCTTTGCCGTCACGGACTCATCAGGCGCGGAGGGCGGAGTGGTTTCGGTCTCCGTATCACTTGCGTTTTCTGTTTCAGGGCTCTTGGACCGCTTCTCCTTCGCTTGGTCCACCTGTTGAGCTTGTGCGAGCTCAGCAGCAAACCAGTTGATAGAATACCATAGTCCGCCACACAACCCAGACAGGATGACAAAGTGAATAGAGTAAGTCGCGATAAGCAGGATAAGAAGGAGGAATTGAAGGGCGGCAAAGGCGGCGTTTGTCGCAATTATGAGGGTCGGCGTTGGACCAGGTGTGAAGACCGAATTCCAAAGCTCTTCGAGGAACGAAGCCATGTTCGATGAGGGTAGCGCTCAGGAACGCCGTGGTATGGGTGAAGCAGTGGGAGAACAAGGGCTGAAGACACAACAGGATCCCCCACCACCCGGTTGTCCTCGTAGACCTTTAATACTCCCAATGCGAACCCTTGTCGCTTGCGATGACTCTGTAGGCAGCCGAGTACTCACAAGGGACAGGTGTTTGCATTGAATGGCTCAAAAGGAAGATGCAGACGTGGCATGTGAGGAGAGTGAAGTGAGTGCATGATAGATCAAAGGCCAAAATTCGCACGCAGGCGCCCAAGCCACCTGGACTTGCTGTTCGTCATAGCCTAGTGTAGCCCAAGTCATGTGCCTCGCATGTCCAGACAGAGCCTAGACCAGCCTTGCGATATGCCTCACCGTATTTTCCTCCACCCGGCCATTTTTCTTTCCTTTCCTTCACTCTGACAATGAAATATATCGTATTGATCTGATAGAACTCAACAAGTCTGAAATTGCAACGTCCATGGCGCTTTCTACAGAGTCGCTTTCTTCAGAAATCGCGCGTCTTCCTTGCCAACAACCTAACTACTACTAATACGGTATCGACGCAGTAGTCTCGCAATTCTTTCTCCCAAACGCTTGTTCCAATCTCGCCGTGGCAGATCAGCAGCCAACCCTTCTATATGTATTACTCCCCCCTGAGGTGTCTTTGAGTAGGGCGTTGTCCGCCGGGCGGTTGGCGCAAATGAGGTTGGTGGCGTGCAAATCATGTTACACCTGGCCACGGGAGCTGGGACAGGTACTTATGACGGCATCGTGCTGGTACCCGCAAGTGATGCCAAAGAGGAGGTACGGCGTCCTGTTTGAAGGCCTTATGGGTGACCGGTTGCCCAAAGCAGTGGAGCATCATGCGGACTGCGGCTCGTTACCTTGACTGCATCTGGCTACAAGCTGCTGGTCCTCGCTTAGATCGGGCCACATTACATCGGACCTCCACATTGACATCTCTTTCCGTGGTGTACTGCATGGCTAGTGTACCTTGTGATGATCCCCGAGCACAAGAATGAGGCCGTACCCTCTGAAGTACGAGAACTCGTCGTCGTTCCCAAGTCAGGCAAACTGGCATTACGACTTGGAGGTTGGTAAGACGGGCACCACGAGATACGTCGCCCGAGGCCGCCACATTCCTCTGTACCCAGGTGAGTCAGGTCTCAGACATAAACCAAGGCACCAGACGTTATGTTGCCGACTACGACACAAAACAACGGGGCCAACCCTCATCACGTGGATCAAGATCGGAGCTGGAGGTTGAAAAACACCGACGTCGTGCCTTGGCCTTTGGGGGCGAGATTGATCCAACACTTTCTCATCTTTTCAATCTCACTCGACCACTAGGGGGCCTTTCCCGAGCACTCCATAGGGTCAGTACGGAAGTCACTTCTCAAATCATTGTCGCCGCAGGTTTGCTGAACGCCAGCAGTTAGTCCGGCTGATCATATGCTGGGTCTTTTGTCTCATTCTCAACCAGGAGGGTGAACGATGTCTATTCTATGCGATGCGCAAGGTAGGATCAAACATGGGACCTGAACTCTACTTTGATACAACGAAGATCTTGCGCTATGGCCACCACAGTGTGCCACCCACTTTCCTCATCGAGTTATTGACGGCGTTTGCCATCTTCACCTCGAGGCTGACAGCTCCTGAGGGTCGGTCGTCATGTTTGTGCCAAATATTATGGTCAGCCTCCGTCGCAAGCACTTTTGAAGCTCAACCCACCAAACTTACGGTGCCCGCAAGTGCTTGCTTATTTGCTATTGACCTAGTGCCACCTTAAAGTTACCCGTTACGTGGGCTTATTCGCCGATACCACGTCCCAATTGACTGAAACACCGCGCGCCGATGCGGCACACGATCAGCTGGCATATGAGTGAGGCTGTGTCATTTCAAACCCCATTCTTTATGCTGCCAGCATTTACTATGGTATGAGGTGAGAAAAATGGTAATGTCCTCTAATGTGGTTCCATAGTCGGGCCCCACCGTTTTCACATTGAGTAAGTAAGCACTGCTGACTGTGGCTGAAATAGCTTCGTTCGTGGAAACAGAACCCCGGGCCTCTGCTCTCGGATGGCTATGGCATTGCCTTTATCCCAACGGCTCCCGGGGCGTTCTTCCTTTCAATACGTTCCTGACGCTACGATTATTACCATACTATATACTTTTTTGGTATCTCCTTGTCCCTGAACTGCAAGCTAGTCTTCAGATGCTTAGGCCCTGGAGAAAGCCACGAATCTAGGTCAGATTCTGCCTGAATGGACAGTCGCGCGACTACCTCTCGTCATACCTAACATACCGTTGTCACTGCCGCCTAACATTCGTCAACAACCACCTGGCCCCTCTAGTGTTCAGTCTCTAAACATCCCGGCGTCATCTTCACCTTGTTTCAATTCCTCTAGCTGTCCGAAAGTGGCTTTCCAGCCCTCCACAGCAGGCTCGAGCCACACCCACGGTTTGCAGCTTTCGGCATCGCTCAGCCCCCCATAGAGGACAGATTCTTGTATTGACCATAATCATGGACGTATGGAGAGCTATAGGGCTACAATAAGTATAGCCTGGGTTTGGTTCTTGAGAAGCGTTTATCCATCGAGTTCATTCCCGCTTTCGCTCATTACGCCCCCTCCCAACTCTGTGGTTACGGCCACCAGCTTTTCCCCGACTCGAGCAGCGCGACCGTCCCTCGCCGTGAGTTGAACATCAATCACCGGCCAATCATTTGATTACAGTTATCACGCCGAAGGCACTTCAATCAGCACTCTTGCGGATTTGCCAGCACAGGGGTAGAAGCATCACTATTTCGAGATCTTATTTGATCGGGGCGGGCCCGGGCCCTTTGAGGCACAACTACCGCCAACTTTCCGTCTCTTATCAATCAATAGCAACATCTTTCCAGACTTGATCGCCTCGAACAAGTGACAGATCCCGTCTCGAGCTTGCTCCAGCAGGCTCGAGCTGAAAGTCAGTCAACATTGCGAACCAAAGCTTGTCCCACTCGACTCATTCCATCTTGTCGGCCTCTTCCACGGCCACAGAACGGCCAGCCATTCGAGCCCACGGCGCGGGTTTCAGCAATAGTCGAGTTCCGAGCGCAAGTGGGCAAGGCGGTAGCAGTGCTGTCTCCTATCAGACTGGATATGATCCAGATAGATCAGATACGGCGCAAGACAGTGTTTGGCGGTTGCAAGAGGAGGGGGTTCGCCAGCAGAATCTTTTCCACTATCCGAATCACACTTACGCCTGGTCACCAAACCAACGACACCAACTTTCTTTAGCAGGCCTACAGTCGGCAGGAGCTCACGGAGGGACTGTGCAGGAACAAGGGTCGGTGGAACATCCACTGCCTGTTGTATTGGTTTACTGACCAGAAGGGCAGAATGGCGGCTCAAGTCATGCCGACTGCTTCGGTGCACTTTCATCCCAGCCAGATGTTTTATGGTGGTGATATGACCAGTTCCTATCAACGTAAGATGCCGATTGTCACAGGACACCTTGTGGCGCGCACTGATCGCATTGTAGACTTCGGCCATGTTCCCTCGAGAAACGTCTCACACGATCCTGAACCACCAGGACAACAACTACTGACGGTGTCGCATCCAAAAGCGCCTTCCGAGAGCTCCTACCGGAAGCAGCCCCCTCACTCTCCGCAACGAGCATTGGCGGCACCTGCAACGCGTGATCGGACGCCCATACGACATCAGAGGCCTAGCGTATCGCGAGGGCGCAGTCACAGCCGGAGTGAAATGCTCCTGGCCTATGCGACGGAGCAACAACAGAATCAACTCCATCAGTCACAATCACTACCTTCAATGTCGAGGATGCCGGCACAAGGCGCGTCGAATTTACCTCAAATGTACGGGATGTCTTCATACCACATGTCACCACCGTCAACGGGGTATCCTCAACAAGGAGGTTTCTTCGGCACTCCTGTTCCACCAAATGTTGCGCATCAAGAGACCACGGGCTATACAGTGCCTCAAAACGAGGGGGAAGCGCAGGGTTTCTATCCTGTGGGACGCACAGTCTCACATGGGTCGACGATAAGTCTACCACCTTCCGATTCTTCCAGTGCTCTTTACATGCACGGCCAAGCTGCTCATCCACAGCAGCCACTGCCTTCGATAGGAATGGCGATGCAGCCGTTCCCGCCTGTACCCTCGACGCTTGAGTCGACCCCGGCCGAGATTGAAATCATGCCATCAAGGCCCAAGCCTCAATGCTGGGATCACGGTTGTAACGGACGGCAATTTTCCACCTTCAGCAATCTTCTACGCCACCAAAGGGAGAAGTCTGGCAGTGCCGTGAAGGCGGTCTGTCCTCACTGCGGGACCGAATTCACGAGGACCACTGCCAGGAATGGACACATGTCCGGTGGTAAATGCAAAGGTAGACCCATTCTTGATACCTCAGGCCGAGTTTCAAAAGGCTGAAGAGGGCTCCAGATCAACTTTGATGCGACTGTATAACGAATTTATGACCACAAAAGAAAGCGCGGGAGATCTCTCGATTAGGTTGTTGCTCGCCTGATGACAACATCGCCACGAGGTTGACTCGGCTACGAGATCTGAGCTGCGGCGACCAGTGACGGCAATAAAGGACCCAGCCAGGCAACGTCATGCGAAGTCATGCCCATCTCGCCTCCATGATCTCGCCGTTTCACCAAAATACCTGCCCCACGGGAGAAGCAAACCCCAATGTTCTTGACTTTCTGTGGAAAGGGTTGATGCGATAAAGTTCGCTTCGGTACTGTATTTGGGTAGCTACAATGCTACGTCGTATATTTAGCGAGGACCCATTTCTCGTGGCGTGTTTCGGGTTCCGTACTTTTAAAAAGAAGGACGGCTACGACGAAATTTTCTGCCTTTGTCAGCAATGACCTGGAAAGGAAGACTCTCGCAACGCTCAGCCTAGCCGTCCAGGCGGCTGATGCGAAGCGTTTGGACATTCCCACGGTCAGGTACAAAGTGCCATGATCCGACTCGTTCCCGGCAGTACGTCGGAAAGGCCAGTTGACAGTGGCGTGGGCCGCAGCGCTACCCTGGTTCGAGGGCAGATTTGCCCGATGGCAGAGCCCCAGTCTTAAGAAGCATGATTGGGTGTTTCGGAATGAGATGGAAAATACTAGCTTGTGCAAGACCTTTTGTCAGCCACAAATAACTTACTAAAATACCAAAAGACAAGATCAATAATGCTGGTAGACTAACAGCAAATATCGCGTACGGGCCAGGCGAGGTCGATCCCCGGGTGCCTGGTTACGGACTACTCCGTGCTTTGCGAGGTGCGAGGCTGCCACTGTGGTCTGTCTTGGCCCACGTTATTCATTCAGTGTTCACTCACTACTACCTCCACCACTGCACAAAATATATACATCGGCCCAGCATGACAGTGTTGCGCTTCGCCTTTGGTCCTCCACAGCCTCCTGCTGTTCACTCGGAACTGCAATGTGTGGGTCGAGTGCACTAAGACATGCTCAGAATCGAACTGTCCAATCATGTTCAACCAAAGACGTTGTTGCGCTTCACGTCAGGACGGTCTACATCGCCGTCGTTGTTGGTCTTTGGACGTGTTTCTACGTCTTCTGGTGCAGCTTACGACCAGGACCAGGAATCGCGATCACACGCAGATCCATGCTGCGACGTTTCAAGGACGTTCTAGGAGGGAAAAATATGTATCAATCGTATCAGCTGAAAAGTACTGCACAGATCTATCTTGACAGATGCTGCTGCGGAAGTAGATGAACTCCAGAACATCAATCTTAGGATAGTTGCTGGGCACACTCTTCCAAAGTCAGGTACCCATCACCGTTGGTGTCGAACTTTTCGAACTTTTTAACCAAATAGATGTAATCCGCTGGATCCGTTGAGGTATCGGACTCGTCACTGACTATCCACACGAGCGCCCAACCCGCGAGAAGTTCGAGGATGGAGACCTTCCCGTCGTCACCGATGTCGAGAATATCGAACTTGGCCAGAACACAGTCCTCCGTGCTGGCTGTGGGCGAGCATGTCGCATTCGCAGATGCTGAGCCACCTTCCGCTAAATTGTTGCCTGAAGGTGCACCCGACCAGTCGGGCCAGGTGACGTCGCGTTTGCCCGAGTTATCAGGGCAATGATCCCAGGCGATGCAACCGTTGTCGCAGTTGCAGCAGAAGATGTTGCAAGGGCCGACACCGCAGCAGGAGTACGCATCCACCAGGTCTGTCGAACTGCAGCAGTCCAGATACGGACCGCAAGGGGTAGGGCCGCAACATTCCCCAATGGTGTTGACAATGAATGAGCCGAATGTCAGAGTCCCAAGCAGGAGGGTCGGAAATTTGAGAACATGTTCGTTGGTGGAGGTGAAACCGAATGAGAGGGATAAGAGTGGTTCGTGGTCGAAGCAAGTCGCAGCAAGGAGAGACTGTCCTATAATACCGGATTGAATGTAGAGAGGAATTCGAGGTAGGTTGAAACATACGCCTCTATAGACAGGGCGGATAGCTAACCCTGTCCTTTTATACCGCCAGACATAACAACCCGTAACACCCACCTTCGGATTGAGTTCGAGTGTGGAAATTCTCCAATCGAACGTGTTGTGTTGGCGGTATAGTATACAAGATCCGAGTCACAAAACTTGAATGGGGCGCACGTCAAGGCTGAACCTTGCATGATTCGAGACCACGCTGCCATGACTGACAACCAGTTCTTCTGGCACTCCGCTACTGGACAGCGTCAAGTGACGGACGGTAGGCCCCGTAGGATGTTCGTCGCCTGTCAATAGTTGCACTGACCTTTTGACAGCCTTCCCCAGAAACCTTGTTCATGTACCATGAGATCTCATGCCACGGCAATCCTACCAGGGTTCCGAGTTTCAACAGGAACGTCCACTTGAGATTAGGTTTGACAAGAGACTTCGGCTTACGATCAAAGTTGAATAGTGATAACTTGAAGGGTCCATGATTTCCGCCATGTGCGAGTAAGTCTTTGCTTCGCTGTCCGATTCAAAACGAGAACCACAAAAGCCGCAAACCACTCGCGCGGTGATGCATGAACCTGGCGATTCAATGTGTCACTTTGTTGGGACACGGACACGGGAAACGAGTCTGGTGCGAGGATGTCTCGTCATCAATTCTTTGCAGTGGCTACGGGACCAAGTTCAAATACAGAAAGGGTGCTGACTCAATTGTCGTCTCTACCGTGCTTTTCTCGACGTTCCGGGCCACCAGGTCAATGTTTTGCCTGCCATGTATCTTACCTTCATATGAAATCTGCTTGTGGGTACAGTTCCGGTTGGTATATGGGTGCAAGCAACGTCAGGACACCTGCTTAGTTGGTGGACCAAACCGGACTCATTCTGCGAAAGTCCCTAACGTACTTGACGCAGCTCGGCCACCGTACCGATATTCAGGGTCAAGGTCAGGTTCTGGTGCTTCATGCGGCACGGATCGTTTGAGCACACGGCAAAGACAAACTTGACACATGCCTTGACGTGCTGATGTGGCCATGGCTTACATGTCAAAAGGCTTGCCCCCAAATCATATCTCTTTTGGGGCTCTAGAGAAACACAGTCTCTCCGTGTCGGTTCGACTGGACATGGCTTGTACTGGAAAACCTGCGTTGACGTGCGGTCCGATTGTCCCAACTGGGAATGTCCCTAAGCTCGACGAGGGCGCGAAAGACTTTCTGTCAGATGCCGTCATGTCCGGGCATCTACGCTGCCTCGCGGTCAATGGCTTTTCCGGATCACTATTGCAACAAAAGCTTCACAGATTCGAAGTCGAAAAGAAGGAATCTCGATGCAATCTCAAGCCTAAGTCCTGGGAATGTCTGTTTGATGTTATTGCGACGACGGCTTTTCCACGAGGACCGCAGCTGTTTAGGAGTTTCGTCCGCAGGGCTGCCTGAACTTCGGGGCCCCCAAAAAGACCATAAGCACAGACATTGTTTGGATTGATGGGAGACCCTGGCCAGACAGTGCCTTAGGTGTCAATCTCCACATACCTAAATCCGTGTGCGTGATCACCTCTTTCGGCCTTTGGAGCACATCAGCACTTTACAGCTAGTGGGTGTCAAATGAAGAACGACCATCATCAAATGTGAGTAGGCTGTTCCTGTCGATCTGATTCATCATTAGGGCAGACATTGCCATGGCGCGGGTTCGGCATTGCTCTCGATGACGAGAGCTGACTGTTCTCCACTACAATGTCAGCAGCCGTGACTGCTCACATCGAATCAGGGCCGATTTGCAAAGGCAACTGCATTACGAGGAGATTCCGGCACTGCTCGGCCCTCCAAGGTCACCGAGGCTGGTATGAAAACCCCAGCAGAGCGCTTTCTACCCACGCTCGTGATAGGTAGTTGGACGGTATACACAGTCCTCCAGCTCTTGGACACCACGGGCAAGCGTTCAGTAGCAAGAAGAGCACTGACACGCCATGCTGGATTTCTGTCAGAACCCACATTGGAATCCGTATGAAAGAGGAAGCTCCCACTCAGCTTCGTCTACTCGCTCGCAGGGACACGGAAGCTGGAGCCGGCCTCGATTACGGGATAGATGTCGCCTGTTTTGGCCCCAAGAGGTGTCCTATCAACTTAGAGAGCCGAGCTTCTCAAAGAAGACAGTCAAGACACTTACTACTTGTAGTAGTCCATTGGCCTCTTCCACTATGAGATCCCCTATATGCAAGGTACCCAACTACCGCTTTTCAGAAGCCAGCCCTCTTTCAATGTCGATTGGAGCGGCCCCATAAAATACATTCGCCCTGGGAGGCGGCTACCCTTTTTCCTTGCTGTACGAGGTCGTAAAGCTCACCATCACCTACAGTCCGTCAAAAAGACCGATACAAACACTTGAAGAAGCGAGAGGCTGAATAGAAGTGGAGCTCAGAGGCGGCTCAGAATGCTTCCCTCTGTTGCGGTCTGCAAGTCCTCAGCTTGGGATGGGACCCATTCTGATGCGCATCCCTCGTAGCTTTGTGCCGACAAACCTCGATGATCACCAGAGTACGCCCTGACTTGGTGGATACGGACGCCGTACTGATACCGGAGTGAGTGAAAGTTCCTGATACAGCAATTCGGACACCTCACCGACTTCACATACCAGTACGGGTACCTGTTGCTATAGTCTAGGATGGTTTCGACCTGTTCTAGAGTGCAGCATCACGATCCGAGCAGCACTGAGGTCGACGCGACGACACCCGCCCGGAAAGACCTATAGTCTCTTCGAATACACTCGGGAAAACCATACGACCCTGAAACCACTCACGGCAAAGAGGTGAGTATTCCAGCTAGCGAAGCTGCTCTTTCCATATTTGCACCCTCGAGCTCTTCTTCCCAGCAACACCAGTCACCTCCTGAATATCATGATATCAAAACACCAAAAAAAACTTGTCCTCTCAGCAACGACCTTGGGATTCGAACTTCCTGCTTCTTGAGAGGGTCTCTCAGCAACGAACCCCTTAGTAGGGTTCGAACTTCCTGCTTTTCAAGAGAGTATCAAGTCAAACTCATCCCTTTGAGTGGGGCTTGGTTTTATGGCGGCTCAGGTTACTGAATCCTTGTTCCAGCATAGACTGAGCTTCACTCGCCCTCGGCCAACAGTCCCCGATTCATTCTATCGGCGGCTGATGCGTCTTGAGGCGGCTAATTGTGCAAGAGAAATTTGGGAGTTACAGATATATCGAGTCTATTTGTTTGTGCCGAGGGAGGTGAAGTGAAGTGAAGTGAAGTGATGTGAAGCGAAGCGAAGATATCGACCTGACCTGACTTGGCTTGACGGTATATACCAGGGCGGCCTTCTGGGTGACGAACATGCAGAGACACTTGCCATGTCTCTGTGCCACCGTATCTCGCTGCGTTGCATTCATGCACTATGGTGTCAGGAGGATGCTGGAGCTCCTGGAAACAGCATTAAGTCGTCTACAGACAAATGCAGCTTGTAAACATCTCTTTCATCGTAAAACGTTCATCATTCAGTGGCATATCTGCCCCTGGAAGCTTTGATCTTCCCGAAACTACGCTAAAATGACCATATGATATATTAGCTACAATTGTTGACCAAAGTCGTCGTCCCTTACAGCCTTCCACGCACCGCCTGGGACATCGTCATATCCGAAAACTCCTCCAGACAGCGGCGTTCCTCCAGTTTCAGGGTGATTACCAGACATCTCATGAAGCTGGCCAACTCCGGATATCGTGGCCCTAACTTCCATGTCACTTGTGTTCCGTCATCCTGGTCTCTTATCAGCCCGCTCTTCACCAGCGAGCACTGAACGTATCATAATTTCCCATGTCTGGCTTTGAAGATAGAGATCTTGTCATCGTAGAATAAGATCTCCCTCAACCGCCACGTCGGCTTGGGCATGTTTGAGCTTGTTCCTTCCTCACTTTCCCCATCGGTAATGTCTCCATCTGTATCTGACACCGCCTCAAAGTCGCTTGAATCATTCATGTCCCCATCCCCTTCGTCGTCAGAGTGGGACTGGACATGAGCATGGCCATGATGGGCATGTTGATTCAGGCCGTGATGTCCTGCATGGCCATGCCCTCCCGCAGCCTGGTCTGTTTCGACATCATCTCCTGAATGAGGGTTGCTGTTCGATGGGAATGGGCCCGCCAAGCTTGACCCCTTCCGTACATTGGCATATTCTAGGATCTCAAAACACTGATTCTGTATCCCCAGATAGCACAGTTCAAGTTCTGGCCTCAAGGCAACAATGTCAAGAACCTGCAATGCGGCCTCGCGGGAGTGGACCGTCCCGCTGATGTGCTCAGCAATATGAGGAATGTGTAACGATCGCAAGGAGGTCGCGTTAGGGAGTCGCCTCAGAAAGTGGTGCCAATCCTTATAGTCGATAGACATACTGAGCTCGCGAAGCTTCATCTTGCCACTTGTGATGCAGGTGATAAGCTCCCTATTGAAGACCCACCGCCGCCAGTTGGTGCCCGGGGTTTCGGGATCTTCCGACCTCAACGTGCTGTCGATGAGGAGCTTGGTCAGGCTTGATCGGTGTCGTCGGATCGCGCCTTTGTAGATCATGTCTATGGAGACTTGAGATTTGCAGATACTGTTATCCTGCAAGAAGAGCCATTCAAGGCTGTCTGGTGCAAGTGTATCTTTGATAAAGGCAATCAACGATGGTGAAACAGTATCAGTATGCAGTCGTCTCAATTTCAAGGGATAGTCCGAGGGAGCCAGCTCTGCAATGGTTGAAGTGCTCAGTTGTGGGTGCTGCATAGCGGCGTTGGATGAGACTCTGAATGCTGCAGAGGATACTCTTCTCCGACTGCTAGGGGTGAAGCGTTTTCGAAGTGCTTTCCACACTATTTCGTGGTTTCGACAGCCCAGAAGGGTAAGCGACGTCAGTCTTGACCAATCGATTGCCTTTGACAGCACAGTGATTGAAAGGTAGACTCTTTCCAGCTCGAGTGTGTCTAGCTGCAATCTACGGGATGAGTGATCCTCCTTGGCAGACTCTTGGAACAGATCGCCCATAATAGGAGGATGATTGTCGTTCGAAGCCGACATCTGGCTGTACGAAGCAGCCCGCTTAGCGCTAGAAGCAGACATTAGGTTCAGATCCTCCTCCTGAATACTAGAAGCAGACAACAGATCGCCGAGCTGATTGATGTCTGTAGCGCTGATTGCATTCTCGAGATCTTCCGCCTTGGCTGGTTCTGGGTTTCCTTCTAGCTCGACCTCCTCCTCGACGGATTGGGGTTGTGTCTCGAGTGTTGGGGCCATGTAGTTTTTCCTTTGCTGCGCGAAGGGATCGCAGAATCGATGAACCAAAATTCCAAGAATACCGCCTGGTCGAGGAGTCTGATCACCCAAACCGCCCATGAGGGGAGGTAGGACTGGCGTTCTATCTTCGGCGGGTCGAGCCCACATATCAAATTGTGCATGAGAGGCCATTCCAACCCGAAGTTCCCGGAGCTTGCCCAGTGATCTCTCGATGAGCACACTCATCTCCTCCGCATATGGCAACTCGTCGATGTCGAGCACACTTAAACTCTTGAGTGGAGGCAATATCGAGAATGTTGGGAACTCAACCCTGGGATAGGGAGGGATCTGAAATAGAGAATTCGCCGAGCCAACGAGTATGGACGGTAGGTTTGATGCTTGTGGACCAGAACTGGGACCAGCTACTGGAGGTGAAGCCAATGGACCTTGATCTTGGTTATCATGCCATCGGACCCATACTCTTTCAAGACGACATTCTTGTCCGTCATCACGATTGCCTAGGGAGGCCAGGGCCAGCCACACATCACGCAGAACACCTGTGGGCATGTCCCATATAAAAGCCTCGAGGTTGCGCATTCTTCCAACTGCAAGTGCGACAAGAGTTCCCAACATTTTTCCACCTTCCTTTGTGATGAGATATTCTTGGACCCAGTCTGCCGGTCCATTGCCTAGACTGAATTTTCGTGTGTATTGTGCAAAGTAATTCCCTCTTCGTATCTTTGGAGGCTTGGTGATGTCTTGAGAGACTGGATGGTTTCGGTGCCCACATTGTTCGCAGTGGTGGTGCGTCTGTTGCTGATAGGAAGCCTCGCCGAACACGTCCTGAGCCATGACCAAAGTCGCTAAGCCATAAGTAAGCGCATCGACTCCCATTCGATTCTCGAAGGTAGCGTTTGCGTCAGGCCAGACAATATCGAACCTGGAATAGATGTGAGGTATGACAAGCGCATGAAGGGCGGAGTGGGTTAAAGCGAGGGATGTAAGATCGTTTGTATGGGTGAGCTCTCTTAAGATTGCGTGTAAAATGTCCAAGGGCAGATCAAGGAGTCGTAGAGGTTGTTTCTGTGCTGTTATTGCATCCCATTCCGACTTCTTTCCCTGTAGATGCTTTGCCAAAAGAGTGTGTGGGGTGTCCTTCTTCGATTTCCCAGGTCGATCCTCCCTTTCCTGACTCGACTCCATTGTCATATGGTCTTCGTAGCAGTCGAGAGCGACGTTCAAAGGAATCATTGAGGTGGCAAGAAGATGTTGCCTTGACTCGGCGGCTCAGAGCGTAAGCTCTGAGCCAATGTGCTCTGTATCAGCTGGACATGAACCTGTGTTTGCGCGGGTCGAGTCTTGAGTGGTTGGAAATGGTGATTAAGTGAAGCGACCGGAGCAGATTGAGTCAAACGATTGAGGTGGGACAAGGAGTCTGGGTCACTTGACTTTGTAGGCGTAAGGAGTTCGATGTCGAGTAATAAACGGTAGGACTGCAATGCAGTATCATGAAGATGCACCCAAATAGATTCGTTGCGCGGTTAGATCGCTGAATGAGATGAAGGTTGGCCGGGAGCTGAAGACCCGCTAATGTCGACTGCGGTTTAGCCTCTGGGATTGCCCGCTAAGGGGAACCACTTTACGCGCTCCACGCTGCCCACCATTACCTGCAGGGGAAAGAACGAGGGGCTCACGGGGGGTTGTCACATCACTGTTTAGGGCAAGACCGTCTATCGATTAGGCACCTTATCTGATAGCTTCACGCCCGACACCACTGGGAGCTGAAAAGCAGCCCAGACTCAACCACAAAGGGAAACGAACCTTCACTCTTTGCACCCCGCGTGTGTGGCATTGTGAATTGCCGGCAGTTGCTACCTATCTAGGTAGGTAGGTACCTAGTATCTTGACCGCTTTACATTTCTTTGTGCCTGCGTCGTTGGGGTTGTTGTTACTTGCCGAAACAAGCACTTACCAAACGTGACTCCTCAACTTCTCAACTTCTTCCCTTTTCGCCTCCAATATCTTCCTTCTCTTCACACAACACAATCTGTGGATGGCCTAATTAGAACCCTCTTCCCCTACGCTCTGGCCTGCGAGCCTCAAGGCCAGCCTTCAATTCGCAGCACTTCATTGAACTGCTTCTGCCTACAACCTTGAGAGTTCGGTGCTTAGAAATACGACCTCCCCACCCTTCCTACGCCTACCTCAAGCTCCTGTCCACCACATCGTGCGAAAACCACAACGACACAATGGACAATACTCCGGACGAGATACTCCTCAAGATCTTCAGACGATTGGACTTCAAGAGTGTCGCCAATGTACGATTGGTTGATAAACGCATGGCCGAGGTCGGAGCTGAAGCTTTGGTCAAGAAAGTCCGTTTCCATTGCAGTCAAGAGTCGCTCCAACGTCTCAAGAATCTTGCTACACACAATGTCTTCCGGAAATATGTCGAAAGCGTCGTGTTCGAGGGCAACATCCTAGCAAATGTCGGCTGCATCCATACCTACACGTCTCATTACGACCTGGAACATCACAGTCAAGAGAGACCTCAACCACCTCCAAGAAATGCTACCGCCCGAGAGAAGAGACTATTCGAACGAAACCTCATCAAATTCCAGCGTGAGGTTGAGGACAAGTACGAGAAATACCGCACCTTTTACGACAATCAACAAAACCTGATCAAGTCCAATGCATATGCCGATTTCATTGACGCCAGCATTGCTTGTTTTCCCAAATTGACTAAGATTCAGCTATCCACTGTCGGAAGATGCAAGCATGTCTTATCGGAGAGATTCCTTGATACTTTTTCCATCGATTGCGCCATGCCAATTGAAAACGACACAAAACATACCAAGGAACAACTCAAGCACCTTCTCTTTCCTCAGGGCCACCCTGTCACCACCATCCGTGAACTGGCCGTTCATGTCCTAAGTCCGAAGTTCTTTTCCGATTCCATGCCACGAAAGACTATGCTCTGTGAAGCCTTCAGAAATCTTAGGGTTGTCGACATCAGTTTCCGTCTTGAACGAGACGATCGTTTCGATTTCACCATCATGAGTGCTGATCGATGTTATGGAGATTTGCGCAAAGGCTACCTTCGTGACGCCCTCGGTGCCGCGACAGAGTTGGAGAAGCTCACCATCAATTTTGAGGATTATGGTTTCCACGGGCCTTGTGCGGACATGAAGTACATTGTTGGGGACCATGTGTGGCCGAAACTTACCTACCTCGATCTCGATACGATGTCCTCGACTGAAGACTACCTCATCAGCATGCTTAATCGGCAATCATCGCTCAAGACCCTCAAGCTGGGCCTCATCACCCTTGAAGATGGTCTTTGGACACATGCAACACAGCGCATGCGAAAAGATCTGCATCTCGAAGATTTCATCGCCCATGGCATCCTGGAAGATCCGGTTCAAATGTACCCTATGCACTTCATTGACTCCGATGCATACATGGACGATTTCGACCGCCACAGCATGGCCGACGCTCTTGATGTCTATGTCACGGACGAGTGGGATGAACAGGATGAATACCATCCACTGGAAGACGATACCTTTGGTGATCCTGACGACTTGCGGGATGAATTCGGCCCCTTTACCGATGATGAGTTTGATGAAATGGACTCCATCATGTCAGACATGGATTGCAGCGACTAGAACGCCGATGTATCGCATGAGCCGACGACTTCTCAATTTCTACCTGTACACTAACATGACTTGCATTTTACGAGTGACGGACGACAGCAGATACCCCATTGAGCTTCCGTTTTTTCTATGGTTTTGTCATTGACGACTTCTTTCCTATTACCGGTTGTTGGGCTCAGTTTATTAGACTTCTTCGGCGAAAAGATCATACTTCATGGGAAAGGCTAAGGGACATTGTGTGATGAAAAGTGTCTTGTGCTGTATTCATAGCTAGACGAAAATGGCTTCAGATATCGAATCAATTCTACAAAGGTTCAGACAGACCTGTGTTGAAAGAGGGCGTCCTCCGAGTCTTCGTAGCCGGGTAATTGTCGGGTTGCCTCCCAAATATTATGTCTACTAATAATGATCTCATCCATGTTCTACAGCAGTGAGCAACACTGTCGCCCCTGCTTGTCGTGTTGTGTTTCAGTGACGCTGGTCTGTTGTCTAGCTACCGCTGTATCTTCTTTGGGTAGTCTCACAGCATGCGTCCTTGTTCTCGCCTGCTTGCGGCTCCCGCCACGCAACCATTCCGTCCCGGTCGACGCGCGCAAGCTGTCAATCTTCTTCCACCCATACCTCTGTATCGGAGACTGCTGCGAATTCATCGCAAAAAGTTGAGTCCGGAGGAACGCCTATTCGGGGATACATATCTCAAAGCTGAATTCCGCCGTCATCGGGACATTGAAAATCCTCTACACATCGTGGGATTCTTGACGGAATGGCAAAACTACGGGCAACAGTTGGAAGGTGAGGGTTGGAAAGAGGGAAAAATCGACATGGATCTGGTGGATAAAATGAGCGATCAACAGATTGGACAAATGTATGAGTTGATGGAGGCTATCCGCAAGCAAGGCAGGGACAGTGTGGACGAGGAAGAGGAAGGTCGGATACTCGATGCAATTGAGGAAGCTACAACAGGGAACAAAAAGCCGTCATGAGCCGGGAAAGAGATTGATGTCAGTCCAACAAGCCCAGTGACACTCCTCTGGCGTAGGATCCTGGTCTGCGCAGGCGAGTGAAGTGTGCTCACAAACAATGGCCCATCACTGTGGTGACATTGCCCTTGCAATTCCTGAAAACACTCCTGCCAAACGACAACACATATAAGGCACCTGGATCGTCAGACCCGTCCGGCCTCGCTGGAGGGACACCTACTTCATCAGTACATCGCGGAGGCACCTCAAGATTAGCACAATATCACAGCACCAATCCATCTGCGAGCACGGAACTCTCTACAAGCCTGCACCGTCACGGCGCCTGCAGCACAATATGTGTCAGGCAGAACTCAACAAGTCTTTCACCTGCCGTCATAAGTGGCTGACAATTGTCAGGAAATGCGAGGATGGAGGAGGGTTCAACGACAATCACCTTCACAAATATCGACCAGCGCGGTTGGGACTATTCCATCCAAAGTTCGCGTCAGCTGCTGCCAACACTTGTCCCAATTGCGACTTGAAGGGAGACTATGACACAAAGACGACTCGGATGATCCTTGACGATCCACGTGACAGAGGTACTCTCGGCAATGGATACACAATGACGGACGGATATGGAAGGCCTCTGCTAGTCTACAACTGGAACCAATATGCCGGCTACGGGTACACTTCGTGCGGTATGACCAGGACGTCGGCGCCGGCACAGATGCAAGATCCTGGCTGTGGATGTACCATTATGTGAGATGCGACTGGAGGAAAGATGAGTACGGCTCTACGACGGGCCAGCGAGATCAAGGCCGCAACAACCAGATGAATAACTTAGACAAGCAGCCATAAGACTAGGAGGGTTTGCTAGTGCTGAACACAAAAATATTATGTCAAAAGCATTCCACAGCGCACGGCGACTCCAACTTTCTTGTACATACTAGTCTCTGCGGTCGGAATACTTCCGTTCCCCTCACTCCGGGTTCGTGGCTTGAGGTCATAGCGCGGCCGACTTGGCCAGAAAGACTCGTGCGCCCTGCATTGATCGATTGGCAGTGTGAAACTTCAACGATCACGCAATCTGCCCACAGTATGGGGTCAACTTCCAAGCCTCTCACACGAGCCATTCTCTGCCTCGCAACGTCAACTCGCAGTGTCATTGCTTTGGAGATCGCTCTCGGCAGTACAAATTTAGCCTATGCAGTTGCCATATCAAGGTAAGTCTGGGTACAGGACTCGTCTTCGGCAACTTTGATATAATCTTTCATTTCTTCATTGCCATATTTTTATATCATCGTCCTTGTAATCTTCCAGACTTCGAGATATCTGAGAATCAGCCGACGAGGCGAGACACCGAAACGAACACCAATCACCACCATGGCACCAACAGCAGTTGAGTCGTCATCTGTTCCGACATCGGTTCCCTCCAAAGGTCAATCAACGACACCCAAACAAGTCGACACATCCATTTTCCCAGATGGCATCAAAACCTCAGGCCAACACCCACCTCTCTACGACCAACTGGCCCCGTACAGCGCATTTCCCCAAACCATCACTGGCCCAACAGTCTGGGCAGCCGACGACTACGCCAGCCACAGTGAACGATGGACGCACGTCTTCTCCGACGCCGAGATCCAAGAGCTGTCGACCGCGGCCGACAACTTTACCGCCAAAGGCCTGCCATTGACGGGCATAAACCCATCTAACTTCCCACTGCCCAACCTGTCCGCATCTCTCAAGGCGATGCGCAACGAATTGCTCAACGGCAAGGGTTTCATCCTGTACAAAGGCTTCCCCGTCGAGAAGTGGGGCAGCCACAAGTGCGCAATCGCCTACATGGGCCTGGGCACGTACATCGGGTATCCCGTCTCTCAGAACGGCCGCGGCCACATTCTGGGTCATGTCAAGGACTTGGGTGAGGACAGCACACAAATCGACAAAGTGCGCATCTACCGTACTAATGCCCGTCAATTCTTCCACGCCGACGACGCCGATGTTGTCGGGTTGCTATGCATCGCACGGGCCCAAGAAGGTGGTGAAAGCGACGTCGCCTGTATTCACGACGTCTGGAACATTTTGCAACAGGAGCACCCTGATGTCGCGGAGCTTTTGACCCAGCCAGTATGGTACTTTGACCGCAAGGGCGAAGTATCACAGGGCGAAGAGCCGTATATTCGCACTGCCGTCTTCTACCTCGAAACGCCCGAAGAAGGAAAAGAGCAGCGCGTCTATTGTAAATGGGATCCATACTATGTGCGGTCCCTCACCCGGTTCTCAGACAAAGGTGAGATCCCGCCGTTGTCAAAGGAGCAAGTGCATGCACTGGAGACGCTCGAGGCTGTGTGCAGCCGCGTCAAATTGCACATGATTCTTGAGGTTGGGGACATTCAGTTCGTCACGAATTCGCACATTTTGCACGCGAGAACCGCCTACAGAGATTATGCTCCGGAGAGCGGCATGCCCAGACGCCATCTGATGAGGCTGTGGTTGGCGACGCCGACGAGTGAGGGCGGGTGGAGGTTGCCATTCCATGATGCGGACGAGAAGAAACGGGGTGGTATTCAGGTTGACGATACGCCGCCTGTGGCGAGGTTGGATGCTGATTAGACTGCTCGACTGATGCCAACGTGACATGCGCAATAGGATGCAAGGGCATGCTCTTGATGTGATACAGTAGATGGTTTGGGAGTCCTGGAAATCATCTTTTTGAGCATCATTCATGAACAGAACAGTGCCTCAAACATCACGCATCAAACGGTCGTGATGCATCTGCTCTCATGTGCAAAGTCAAGACAAACTCCATCTCAGTATGTCAGTGTGCCCATTTTCTGTCGTCGTAACTTCATACATGCTTTCTCACCCCATCATGAACTGGCAACTTTATAAGCGCCCCCAGCCCCAACATCCAGCACACCGTCCTTGACCATCCCCGCCAGAAACTCCTTCAATTCCTCGTTACTAAACGGAAACCCGCCCGGTACCACGATGCCCAACATCATAGCGATCCTCGGCAACGGCATTTGTCCCTGGTTCGTCAACATACTCACGACAAACTGGTGATACATGGCCATTTTCGATTTCCGTTCCTCTTCCTCTGCCTCTCTCGCAGCCTGTGCGGCCGCAGCTTCTGCAGCAACGGCCGCTGCGTCGGGTCGTCCGCCGTGGTCGTCATTCATAATACTGTCCACGCCATCCGGTAGCGTCTCGAGAACAAAGTACGTGTCCTTCGCGCCACTGGCTTCGGCCAAAATGCGCTTCGACACCCAGAAGATACACGCGGACCGGACGAGCGTAGGCGACATGTTGAGCTCGGTGGCAAGGTCGGCCACTGTTCTTTTAACTTCGTTGGCTTCTCCTTGAAACGCGTAAATGATTGCAGCCTGCCAGGGAAGCACTTCGTCGTGGTATGTGCGGTCATCCAGCTCCAATTCGACTTCGACCTGTCCGATGGTATTGAGCCATGTGAGTTTGCGCGATTGTTTGAGTGCCTCGAATCCTATCTCGTAGCTCTCTTGTTGCTTGAGCACGATGTCGGGAACTGTGAAGGTCTGTTCGGGCATTGATGGCCAGAACAGCCTGGAGAGAATCTTCGTGTGCAATTCGATGTAAAGACTTCCCGCTTCTTGCCTCTCCGCCGCGGCGTCCATAGCCTGGGTGTCCATACCCCGGTCTTTGCGGACTACATTGTCGACTTTCCGAGAGTCGAGGACATCGCGTAGCATGACTTCACAGCCTTGCAGCGCAGACTCTCCAAAGCGGATCTTCAGATGCTCAAGCACTGAGATCTCCTGGTTAAAGTCCGGCTTGTTCTTCAGCAGACGATCTGCGAGTGTGTTTTGGAGTTCTTTGACGAAAATGTCTTTGCTGTCGAAGAGCGTGATTAGACTTCCAATCACGTCCGTGTTCTTGGATTTTATGTAGTCTGGCGCGGCGTCAATGGGGTCGGGCATCCATTCCATGTTGTTCCAGTCGAACTCGCTATCGTCGGTATTGCTGTCGTGTGCAGTGTGCGTGGACAACTCCACCGCGAGTTTCGTAAGGACTTCTGGATCTCCTGGTGCGGCCGTTCCGTCTTCCTGTCGAACAGAGTCACTTAGAAGCCCTGCCACAATGACTTTGACAGTATCATCGCGCTCGCGGAGGTAGCGCCGGAGCTTTCTGGTGACACGGTCCAGAAGCACGCCTTTCGGGTCGAGGACACAAAATGATCGAATGATGGAGATGTAGAGCTGAAGGATTTCCACAGTGGAGGCACCTGGGTGCAAGAGGCGGGTTTGAAGAGCGTTCGCGAAGTCGTGTGTCAGATATCCTCGCGTGGCGGGATTCGTCGTGAACCGTCGGAGGTCTTCTATAGCCGGAGCGGTCGCATCCCAATCCACAATTATCTCGAACAATTCGTCTACTCGAAGGGCTCCCAAGCGTGATGTGGCCATGTCTTTCCATCTCTTCACTTCCACCTCGGAGACATAGACGTCGGTACTCTCATCTAACGCACAGAGGATATTGCGGGTGAGTCTGGCAAACAGGTGCTCTACCCAGAAGTCAAGGTGAGCATGAAGCTCTTCCCGATAGATTTCTGCATAAGACCAGTTGACAAACTCGGTCATCAAGTCATTAAGAACAGCCGCCAGCAGACGTTTTACCGCTCCATATCCGATTGCTGTTCTCCACTGGCGAAGGTTGGTCCAGAGTGGCGATTGTGCCTCTCTAGCGGATTGTGCAGCATGATCGGCGTTGGTTGGCTGTCGAAACTGGCCCGCTGGAGGGCACGAATCGAAGTGACTGTGAAATGGCCCGCCCACATTTGGGAGCAATCTGTTCTGCCCGTAGACGAACGATTCGTCCCAGATGCCGAGTAGGACTGTCAACTGCGACGTCAAGTCTGACTTGATTGTTGGGATGATAGAGGTTGCTGTTGGAGCGAAGCGCTGACGATGTCTGGGTGGTTTGACACTGTTTGGCGAGAAGACTGAGGTCAAGACACTCCTCTGGGGCCGCATAACCTGGACGTCAGACATAGCGGCGGCATCTGGTCAACATCTTCATCGAATCTGCCCTTGTGAATTGGTTGCAGTGTTTGCTCATGCTGGTAATCTATTTACATCAAGACGCGAGATTGAGGAAACGCGATCAGGCATGCCAAGAGATTAGATACGATCTTCAATGTTGGTCTAAGCCGAAAGCAGTAGTATGTTTGGGAGTCGTAGAGATAGGACGACGTTGCGACTACATCTCATTTCTGTTCTTGACAAGGTATTCAATGTTCCACTTGTAGACGTGGCCAATTATTACCCCTGGCCTTGTGGGTCTTTTTGTCTCAAATATCTAATCCTCGAAGCAAGTCTTAGCGACATTGATTCGTTCCAGAAGAATCCTTCGGAAATCTTGACATTGCCCTGCCAGTCTTGTGGACTCGCTCGTGCTTTCAATAGTGTAAGGGCTAGAATCCAAGGTTGCGAGCCGGGATCAAACGTCGCTGCAAGCACAGTACCGACCCAGGTCATGAACTCCGCATTCCTTTCCGTTACCTCGATTACAACGGAGTTCAGATAGCGACAGTGGAGTTGCAGAAACGCATTCGACAGCCAGAACATGGCGCGAGTGTGGTCGGTGGAATAACAGAAGCCCAACATTCCGAGGACGAGCAGCTGCTCGATTAGCGTTAGTGTTGGCTGATGTAAGAATTCACCACACAGGGTGACGTATTGTGAATTCTGCGAGAGTTCATGTAATTCGTAAACGTCGCTCGCCTGCAAGGAATTCTTGATGTCTCGTTCCCAACTATTGATATCGGATACGAGTACAATGACTTGATGACTCAGCCCTCCAGACAGTGCCAAATCGGTAAGTCCTGGACTAAATCTGGCGATGGCAGTGCATAGTTCCGGATCGAAGGGATGCTCTGGGTAGGTGAACTTGCCGTCCTTAGGGACAAGGCTCTGGACACGGGACCAGACTGCGTGACGAGTTGCATAGAATGTCTGCCAACTGAGTGAGCACACAGGGCTGATTAGTCATGGTTCTTGTACGACGTCCTCCTCTGTGAAGGTTTGCACTCACGCAACTGATATTGTTCTGAGAAATCCTTCAAAGCCTGAATCCGTCAATCTCGTTCTCGAGAAACTGCTCCAAAGACTCACCTAAATTTTCAAAGCCCCCTCTGAGGCTCACAACTTGTTTGATACCTTGGGTATGCATATCAACAGCATCGTAGTTTCCTGACATTGCCTATGGACACATCCCCCATCATCAAATGATGAACAGAGTCGTTGGAAGGAGGGCAAAGACTCACCTCAAAGCCACACAAGTTGCTCAATGTTATGATGACAGCGTCACTGGATCTTTGCACATCATTGGCCAAGCGCTGACGCAGCATGGAAACGGTGCTCTGGTAGTATTTGAGAGACTCCGGAGGTCGTTGGCGAGTACCAGTTGCAGCAACGTTGACGGCCAAGGAGGACATCGTCATCATCGCGCTGAACACCATGCGGTCATGCAATATGAAAGGTATGTAATCGCGCAGGAGCGACAGGTCTTGACCGACTCCGAAGAAGTGAGGTCGCTGACAAGTAGACGCTGCGAAAGACTTCACGTCTATACATCCGTAAGGATTGTTGTCAGCTGAGGCTAGTCAAACATGATGAGAACTCATACAAAACTGGACGGTTCGATGGACAAAGTGGTTTGGCGAAACCGGATAGTCAGTGTGCGACAATTCAAATGAACTAGGATGGCCGAGCGGGGTTGTTCCAAAGGCACTTTTGGACGAGCTTTGTCGACGTAAGTGTGTTGGTCGTTTGCGCTGGGGTGGTCCTTCGTCCGCACTGCCTCTTTGCAACATCTTTGTCTTGGAGTCTTCCTCAGCTCCGAGCAGCGGTTTTGCCCACCGAGAGGATGTCCCCGCGCTCGGCTGAGTATGTGAACCGTTGCGCTGATACATGATCCCAAAGGGTCAGTCATGGTCAGCGTCGGTCTCAATAGCAGGCTGAACGGGAGAATCGCCGATGTATATAAGGTCAGAAACGAGCCAAGCGTAGTAGCGAACGGGTGCTTTGCTGGTGCACGGTTGAGCGCCGTTAATTAGACTTCCCCCAAGCCTAAGAACGAGATCCCTGAAGCATAACGGCCTTGCAGTGGTGCATGTTCCTGATCTCGTCAAAGAGCCGATATCGTTCACGCGGTGATGATTTCCGGTATTCTTCACTGGGTGGATACGAAACTACTGCCCCAGATGCTGGTGATGGTGATGCTGGAGATCGGCATATCTCCCTCCATTGTATGTATTCGGACGACCCTCCGAGACGGACAAAGCCGAAAGCATAGACTGGGCGGACCGAAGGTCGTTAAGCAGTCCTGGAATACGGGTGCAAAGCCCAAGATTGTATGCAACCGGGGCCGATCGAACGCAACGTGGAGGCTAGGGATACCCGATTAGTTATAGTGATCGAAGGGAACAGCAAAGATCGACTGTTGACGGTGTTGAGCGTGGCATCTCGCTTGATTACTAACTTAGCCCCCACGACATAGGGCGATCCCCGGCATGAAAACCCCCTGGAAGGTCTGGCCTGGAAGATGACCAATGGAAATCTTAACAAGGGACGATTTAGGCCTCAGTTCGTTCGGGGTAGGCGCTGGTGGCGGCAGGCGGAAATGTGAGAAGAAAATGCCGTTGGATCGATCGAAGCACACATCCAATCCACCGGATCTCTCGACAGACTTTGATGTTATTCAGCGTGCATCACAAGCGCTGTAGATCAGTTGTGGTGTAGTGCAAACGCCCCTTGGAGGCACATTCCGGGACGTAAACCTGATGTATGGACCGCTCCGTTGGACCTTGTGGAGGTGGCAAAAGCGCCCTGCAGGCTGTAGCCCTATCTTCAATCCACATCGTCTGGATATCCCAGTATGGGATGTGCAAGTATATTCGGAAGAAGGCAATGTAAGCAATAGGCATGGAAACATTGTTGTAGGGTTGATTGTGGCCCCGGGTCCCAATAATCCGCGTTAGATAGCGGATTATTGGGACCATGGGCCACAATCGAACTTTCCTCTTTTTCTAACAACATCTCAAATGAATAGTTCCAAGCGGACGCCATCTTCAGATCCAAAGTCACGACGGGTCAATGCTTGTAGACTCTGGCCATCCGAATGATCAACGGCCTATGACCGCCGAACAAGAGTATTAACGGGAACACACAAAGTTGATTCCAGACCGCGGAGCGCAATGTGCTGGTGAGAAAATGCTGCCCACACCATCGACATCCCACGTCTCCTACGACACAATCTACGAGCCTGCCGAAGACTCGTTCTTGTTTCTGGATACACTTTCATCGCCCTCAGAAACGGCATGGCTACAATCACGCCTTCACAGAGGACAAACACCACTGCTCGTCGAACTTGGCCCAGGGTCTGGCGTTATAATCGCTTTCCTGACCGCTCACGCTCGCACGATTTTTGGCACCGACATTCTCAGTCTGAGCGTCGATGTCAACGCCCAGGCATGCCTTGCTACCCGCACAACCGTGCAGAAGGCACTTGACGAAATCAAACAAGCCAGCACCAGTAGTAGCACTGGAAGCAGTGCCTATCTATCTTCCTTGAATGGTGACTTGACGACGCCGCTAAGGTCTGGTGAGGTGGATGTCCTGGTATTCAATCCGCCGTACGTGCCAACAGACAGTGTGCCTGCGTTTCTTTCCACCGGCCCGACCAGTGGAAAGATCACGTTCGAGGAGTCCTCGCATCTGCTCTCGCTGTCATATGCTGGAGGGGCTGACGGCATGGAAGTCACGAATCGGCTACTACAGGAGATTCCTACCATTCTCAGCCAGCGCGGAGTGGCGTACGTGCTTTTCTGTCGAGGCAATAAGCCCGAAGAAATCAAGGCTTGGATCAATGGTTGGGAAGCCACCGAGAATTGGAGCTGGCGCGCAGAAACAGTCGGAACGAGTGGAAAGACGGCTGGTTGGGAGAAGCTGGAAATTGTTCGAATCTGGAGAGAAGAGAGAACCTGAGGAAAGTCAAGTCGAATCAACCGGACGACATGCGGTACGAAACCATCACAGGCAGGTCAACATAATCACGCGGAAGAAAGCTTATTGGTCGACCGCGCTTGTTGCATATCGTCTATCAGAGGTCTAGGGGTCGTACACAGTCGCCTACGATGCCCAAGTGCACTGTCATAACAGGGTTCCGTCTCACATCGACACAGTCACGCCGCTACCAAGCCCTGCCTGGCTCCTTACATCAATAACCTAAACCGTATCCTTTGACACGGGAGAAGTGAAAAGGCTTATCATGCCTAAGGCTAAACTCGGCCCAGTCGTTTGTGAGCATGTTGTAGCTCCAGAAGCCCTTCCATTGCAACTTGTTGTTCTTGGTGGTGTGCTTTGACCGGGCTGATCCAGCATTCTTCAAAGACAAATGCATCGTGTACATGTATCGTGGACCTGCGCCCTCGGTCTCAATGTGCAGATCGCCGGGAGAAATTGCAGTTGGATTTGGCTGATCGATAGGCGTGGTTTCGGCAGTGGCGGGTTCCAAACTAGGATGGCAGAGACGCCATCGGCCACGGAGGGCTTGTTTCATGACATGCTGGGCCGCTGGAGGAGGGGCAGCTCCTGTTGACGTGGCCGCTGCTACAGCATTGATGGTTTTCTTTGTAGGTGCCGGTGTCGATTTGAGGAGACTTGCTGCTTCCTTCTTACCGCCGCGCACGTAGGTGAGATTTTCTGGCGTCAGATGGTTAACGACATCGATCGGCTCGTCGGTTGTCAGAAGGGAGATGCAGGTGCCGTCACGGAAGAAGCGAAGGTATCGATAGTATGTGACGACGTGGATGGGGTTGCTCCAGGTAAATGCACTAGCCGAAGCACCTCCGGGGCGAGTGTAGTTGACGGTGGAGATATAAACACCAGTAAAACGAATACGAGGGTAGCTGTGGAAGACGTCACGCCAGATGACCTCCTTGGGAAATGCACTTTCTCCCACCCGCGAAAGGGTCAGATCTTCGTCATCTTCATCCCCAATTTCGCGGAAGATGACTTCTCGGCTCTGTAAGTCGGTGACGAAGTTGTATTGTTGGGCGGCTAAACCAAATTCTCGTCCCAGAGCGACACGCTTCCAAATGTTGTTGTCGGTGAAGACGTGGTAAGCAAGCTTTTTGCAGACCAGAGACAGTCGGACAAAAACAGCAGGGTCGCGGATAGCAACATGTCGAATCAATTCCAACAATACTTCCGTAGGTACTTTCTGGATGCCGCACAGTGGAGGCTGCTCTCCTTCAATGATAGGAGGGACGCCTGGTATTTGTGATTCCGCGAAGCTGTTGATCAGTTCGTCTATAGTCAACTGTTCCGTGGATTCTTTCGATGAGTGGTGGGCGGTCGAAGGCACTGTGACTGGGACGCCAGACGGGTTTGGGTCGGTGGGTTTTGACTTTATGGGAAAGTGCTTCTGTCTGTAAGACTGGTCGACTTTTGCATCGAGTCGATAGGCTTTCCGGTAGTGTGAAACGCTGTCGCCCAGCTGACCCTGACGCTCTCTCTCAACGGCATGTTCAAAATGTTCAAGTGCACTTTTCGGCTCCTTTATTGATGGCTTGGGCGTGAATTCGTCATCATCGATACTCTGAATGCTGAGTGCTTCCACGTGCTGCGCCAAGTTTGAGCTGGCTTCGTGGGGTTTGTCGGAGCCAAGGTCGGTGTCACTGTGATGATCGGAGTCATCCTTGATATCTGATATTGGGTGGCGAGTTGGAGGTTTGTGTATCGGTCGCTCTAACCTTGCTTCACTCGGCCTCCTGGCTCTTTCCGGCTGTCGTGACTCTGTAGGCCTTTTCTCTGACTTCTTGGAGCGAGCTGTAACTTCTTCCTTCCATTGTTGGCGGAATCGCTCCAAGGCTGATGCTGATTCATCCATGGTATTCGATCTCCACGCGTTTTATGTCATGCCGTGACCAATCGATTTGCAGACGTCAAAGAAGAAAATTAGGTGCGAATCTAGAGACTGCTTAGGCTGTTCGGGGTTGTCAATCCGTCGTGCCACGTAAGAATGACTCGGGGTGCAGACGACGAACAAATGCTGGAGAAAGGACAATGACCCGTACTTACTCACACGGAGTGACCTGGGATGACTTTCTTATCGCCGGATGATAAAGCCGATATAAAGCCGGGATCCGCGCCCTTCTCAATCCAAAAAATACAAAGTGTCGATGTCATAAGTGCTTTCCCTCTCGCCTCCACGATACTTCTACAACACCCCGGGAGGTCGTGACTACTGTGCTTGGAGCTCTCATACGAGTTCTCGACAGTTCACAGCCATCGTGACCTCGGATGTCCTACTCCTTCACCGCCGACACCGCGCAAGCACTTGACCAGCATCGAGAATCCCACGAAGCGCTCGGTCATGATGCACAACGACTCTCACAGGGACAACGGCATGACAGAATACAGGTCGAGAAACCGGTTACAGGCAAGATGCCAGGCTCCGGTGACTTCGAGATTACAACCACGCAGCGTATGTTCTCGGCCACTTGGGGCAGCGTTCTGACTTCTCTACTTGGTATGGTGCACGATTCAGTCAATTCTCCGTCGAATGCTTACTGACTATGGCATAGTAACACCTCTCGATGTCGTCCGTGTACGGTTACAATCTCAGAACGCGCCATCACCCGCAAATCTATCCCGATTTGCCGCATACTCCACGAATTTTAAACAGTTACCTCCCGATCTAGGCATCAACTCATGTTGTCGAGAAGTATTTTGGGTGGGAAACAACGGTCAATTCTGTATCGCTGGGAATGGACCAACTCAGATCGCCTCAGCAGGCGCAGCAGAGTGCGCAGTGGAGGAGACACAGCGAAAGACCTTTAATTCGACCCTGGATGGATTGAAGAAGATCGCCAAGAACGAAGGGTACCTCACATTATGGCGAGGCCTCTCCCCGACATTGGTGATGGCAGTCCCTGCCAATGTCATCTACTTTACTGGTTACGACTGGCTTCGATACAGTAATGCCAGCCCGCTCCAAAAGATACCGAATGACGTCTACATACCACTCGTTGCAGGTTCGGCAGCTCGAATAGCAGCCGCGATCGCAGTCTCGCCGATTGAGATGTTTAGAACGAGAATGCAGGCGACTCCAGCTGGAACCACTGGCGTCTTCAAGGAGACTCTGCTTGGCCTACACCGCATGACTCAAACACAGGGCTACACTTCGCTTTGGCGAGGCCTCACGTTGACCATGTGGCGAGATGTCCCATTCTCTGCAATATATTGGTGGGGTTACGAAGCAATGCGAAATCGATTGACGGATGCACGCGAAGTGTCTAAGGGCAAACACCTTGACTCTCAGCGAGCGATGACAGGTGGCAGAGAAGCACAAGCAACTGAAAGCCACATGACGACCTTTGTCGACAGTTTTCTAGCTGGTGCAGGTTCTGGCGCCATCGCTGCCTTTGTAACGACACCTTTCGATGTGGGCAAGACTCGCCAACAGGTATATCACCACGCTGGTGACGATGCACCTTCGGTCGTAGCCGCCAAAGAAGCCGCCAAGAGTGGTAAACTGATACCCGAAGAAATGTCGATGCCCCGGTTCCTATACCACATCTTCAAGGAAGATGGTATGGGGGGGCTCTTTCGTGGCTGGGGAGCCCGATGTCTAAAGGTTGCTCCAGCCTGTGCTATAATGATCAGCAGTTATGAGGTCGGCAAGAAATGGGCAAGGAAAGTCAACGAGAAAAAGGCGCTGGGAAAGAGTGCAGATGTTTGATTATATCATGAGGTCGGGATGTGTTATGGCGCAGGTTGACCCCAAAATGTACCATTACGGCCAGTCCGGATTTCTATTTTGCATGGCAGAGCGCAGCATTTGTTGATGAGTTGGCTTGGACTGGGTGTTTTATAGAACTTGGTCAACTCTCCTCGTCATGTCAGCGCTAGCGCTGGAGAATGTATGAATCCTGATCATTCTACTCTTTGAGATGTCTAGTAGACTGGCTGTCTAGTAGGCATACATTTCTACTTCTTTGGGCTGGACTAAGAGCCCATACCCTTAGTCTGGTCCGCGCCTTGCACTGGTTCAACCCACTGGATGCGCTCGTTGGAATACAGCTCGCCGGTAGGTTTGGCCGAGTTCACGACACTCACATCATCCAGAACTCCCGCCTTGATGATTCTCATCCCGTCTTTGCCGCCGAACGAGTCTCCATACCTGAATAGGGTGGTTCCTTTTGATAGTCGGTTAGTTGCACGATCAATTATGGTTGAAGGATATGGAGAAGATGACTGCGTACCACATTCAGGACAAAAGTTACTGGTAATGGACTTCCCACTGTCGGCAGTCTTGGAGATCTCCTTTGGCGTGCCGCTGGTGACCTTAAACTCGCTGCTGGGCACGACGACATTGTAGCTGTACAGACCGCCAGAGATGTGGCGGCAGTCGGCGCAGTGGCAGAGCACCTGGTCACATAACATCAGATTACAGCGCGCAGGTAAGCTGGGGCTTGAACGACTAGGACTTACCGTCATGGCGGGCTCGCCTGAGTACTCAATCTTGAGGTTTCCGCAGAAACAGCTTCCTGTAGGCATGGTGGGCGGATTGTTTGGAGTAGGATAACAAGAATTCGTGTAGAGTCTTGGAGAAAAAGGTGGTTCCTGTCGATAGACTTACTGGGTGAGAATATACAAGTTGAATACTACATATCAACCACAGTAGTGGGGGAAACCTTTATATCTACCATGCCGTGGGTATCAATTAGCCTGGGCTCAGCTGGAACGACATCGTCATCGTCACCGACCTTAGCCCACCAAGACAGCCGATGAAAGTCTATCGCGTCGACTAAGAACTCCAAAAACACTGAAGCGGCCTCGGTGATCGCCTCCTTCCCGTGGAGAGATTGTTTGACGTGTGGATTCGGCCAATAAGGCCTTCGGCTGCGATGGCTGTCGAACGGATTTGGAATTTTGGGTCTCAATGTCGCTGCATTCTCCGCTTTCGTTGTGGAAGTATTGAGCCGCCGCAGGAGTTGGAGCAGAAGAAAGCCTCTCAAAAGTAACCTCGGGCTGTGAGTGGAGGTGCGCAAACTGCCTGCTGCTTTACGAGTAAAGCTTAGCATGGCAACAACATAGCGGCGACTCGATGTTTATCCACCTTCAATCGCGCATACTGTTCTGTCCGTAAGATCACGACGAACATGTCAGTCCACCTCGCGCAGACTTGATTTCAATGGGTTGGAGAGAGGTCGTTCTCCAATAATGAGAAATTGGCAGACGTCTCTCGTCTACGTGGGCACAAACGATATACATCCAAATGGCATGACATCGTATCCGCTATCATCAAGACGTACGTTGAATAACAAGTTCGTATTTCCTGAAGCCGAGCATTCACACCAGTAGTGAATACCCTCTTCACTTCAAGAAGCTCCCATTCGTCTTAGAAAGCTGCTCGTCATAATACCCCTGAAAAGCCAACCATCCCTTCTCATCCGTCCCGACCTGCGAGTACGAGAACTCAGCCTCCTCATCCGAAATGAGGATCCTCTTATGACCACTTCCCGCCTGCGCCGCATCAACAAGTAATTGCGCATGGCACGTCTTGTCCAGACTGATGAACCAGAAAGCCGCGGCGTCAACGGTCTTTGCGCACGTCAAGAGGCCGTGATTCTGCAGGATGACTGCTTTGCCATTTCCCAAAGCCTTGGCAATGCGTTTTCCCTCCTCGCGGTCAAGCACGACGCCGCCGAAGTTGTCGTACACAGCGTGTGACTTGTAAAAACGCAGAGAGTCCTGGGTCATCATATCGAGTTCACGGCCAAACACGCTGAATGCTTTCCCGTACACGCTGTGTGCGTGGCATGCTGCGTCCACGTCCGGTCGAGCCTTGTGGATCTCCGAGTGGATGGCGAAGGCAGCGGCGTTGATGGGTTCGTCGCCAATGACAACCTCGCCGTCTTCATTGACGAGGATCAGGTCCGATACGCTGATTTGGGAAAAGTGCATTGACAGAGGGTTCAGCCCTGGCATGTGTATCAGCATACTCTTCATGCAAGACGCGCAAAGTGACTGGGTGAGACGATTCTACTCCGACCTCGTCCTGCATGAATGAAACCTTGGAAGGGATGTATCGACAAAACTTACAAAAATGGTCCCTAAGTATCGGATCTCTGACACTGATGTGCCCTGCAACGCCTTCGTCGAAGCCTCTGTCTGCAAACACACGGAATGCCGCAGCCAAGTGCTGCTTGCGGTACAATCGCTCTTCTTCGAGTGAATCGAACTGGGGATATGCTCGTATCTTGAGTTTCTTGCCGGACGTGGTCATGCCCAGGGCGCCCACCGAGCGGTTCTCTTTGGATGACGCATCGTATACATCTAGAGCGGGTGCCATGTTTGCCTCGTTAGTGTTTTCAGCTAGTGTCTTTCAAGTCAGTCTGCCAGGTGGCGAAGCAGTATGATAAAGAAGGAAGAAGGGTTCCTCCGCAAAATGTCATCCTCGCTGATCTATTTGACCCGAAATCGCTCGTCGGTACGGGATGAGAAGTGCGGGGAAGTCCTCCAGCGATCAACTTCCGACGGCACAGATCTCGTTATGATTGGCAAACACTCCTCTGAAGTATGGCAAGATGGTCAGTGGTCGTTGGACAGACAAACGACTCGGTAGGAGAGTGACCGGCGAATCAATAAACAACAATGCAATTGGAGATTTTCTTCATGCAAAAGTGCCGTAAGTGTCAAGAGTGAGTATCTCATTGGAGTATAGTATACCATGTGTCTGATGAATATCTGGACGGCATTATATGAAAGAGTTAATGGCATAACTCTGGAATGTAATATCAGCCGATTATGAAAAGGTATCGGAGTAGGACCTAGGTACTCAATGAGTCCCAAACAAAGTCTACCACACTGTACAAAACACATGTGGCTTTGACCAATATAACGTCCGGCAAGTCGCTGGAACATCTTAAACGCCGACTCTGAAAATCACGCCCGCTGATGAATAATGCGTGGGTATCATGATGCACTCGAACATTGTTCGAAACAAATATCGTCCTCTGAACTGACCGATATTACGTCGGATCAACCTTCCTCCTCGCAAGAAGCCATGGCTGTTTTCCGGATTGGGCTCTCTGGCAGATTGGCGCTTGTAAATCGCTTGGACGGACTGCCCAAGGGACTGGCGACGTGCATCCTTTTCGATGGACTGTTGAGTGCGGAAACAGGAGGACTTCTCCTTGTAGGACTTGACAGTGGGCTGGCTTGTGCCAGACTTCGAGCGCGAGCATGCAATCTGCGCTCTTCCTCGCCATTCCAATCCTTGGTCAACTCTGCGCGGACTCCTCGACTCCATTGTCGGACGACGTCTTCAAATGCTGACCATACTGGATCGTCGTCCACAGCATTTGCCACAGCCATGACGTCCAGCCTGAGTCGCATTTCCCACCGCAACTCCGCTGCCTTCAGCCAGTATCGAATGTTATCAGCTCGCCGGTATGGCTTAGCCACATCCTCGTGGAAGCTCTTGATGTAGTCAAAATGTTTCTTGGATCTCTGAACTGCCGCATTATGCATCCGCACAAGATCTCTGCCGTCCCCAAGGTTCCGGAAGTAGGAGCGAGAATTGTCGAGAGTCTGCTCGGAAGATTTCCGACAGTGCCCGGCAAGAAGAAAATCAAGGAAGTTGATATCGCGCTCCTCGGCCCTGTTGACCCATCTCGAATCGTCCATCCAGTGCCAATCTCTCCTTTCGTTCCTTTCGGCTTCTTCCATTTTCGCTTCTTGATCAATCATCATGCCAACATCGCTGACCCAGATCAACACAGCCAATCTCTCGTCCTCTTTGAAACCCCCAGCGAAATTCCTTGATGCACATCGCTTCAAGACATCCAGCACGGAATGTAAATCTCGTCGCAACTCCTGATCGGACTTGATTGAATTCAGCTTTTGTGGATCTGGGTGTAGGGTATAGTACAGCCTGGCTGCACGAATGGCCTGTGTAGCAGTATCAAGCACATGCAGACCTTGTATTTCATAAAATCCTTGTGTTTGGTCTTCAGGGCTTTCGTTGGAGGAGCGTTCACAAGACTCGACAGCCTGCAATGCGTTCTCTAAGGCTTCCACCAATTCCTTTTTCATCGCTTTCTGATCTGGAGGTGGGGCAACAGTGTTCGGTCGATGACTGTACGTCGAGACTGTCGGTGGGAGCATCACATCTGGACCGTGTTCCTGAGCGGCTTCCCACATCGCTTGCCCCTCGTCATCTATGGGGGACTCGACGACCTCTTGGTTCATAGATAGTGACGATCTGGGTATATTGTATTCTCCATTCTGCTTCTTCTTTGCCATCTGACCTCCTTTGCCGTCCAACAACCCCGTCCTTGAGAAGTAGTACTGGAGATGTGCAATGGTGCCCAGGCTCATGACGCTTTCTCGTTTTACGGCCGAGTCGGAAAAGGTGCCACCACTCGGACGCACATATCCTCTGCGGCGTGGATTGCCTGTGGTTCGAGAAGCAGAAGACACGCTTGAGGATGAGGAGATATCTGAAGTAGATGAGATTCCTGAGCAGGACCGTAGACTGGAGGTATCTGAGACGGGAAGAAGGCTGGGAGAAGGTGACAGCGAAGGGGAAGATCTCGTCTTCGACGAAGGTGTCTCAGCGTCTGGATCCATCACGCAGCGTTCGAGAAGATCGCTATCGGAGAGGGAGTGACGATGAATCGAGGGCACAATTATATGTGTACAATATTTCGCGTAGCATGCAGGTAAAGAACGAAAAGTCGAGCTGACCGGCAGAATGCATCAATAAAATTCGGATGATGGTAACGAGGGCAGCTGTGGGTTTCGTGAAGCACAGGACAATCGCACGAAGCAACTGGAAGATGTGAAGCGATATGAAGCGAGGTGAAATTGGACGGAGGGCACTAAAGTTAGTGGGCACAGAGTCTCTCTAAAAGGGGGCAGTCACAGACGGATGAAACACGAGTCCCCATCAATTGGTATAGACTTCTATCATTGTGGGAAAATATCATTGTTTTGATGCCTCAATAATGGAGAACTCTTGATCCATCGATCTCTGAAAACGACAGCTGGCAGCTGATGAGAGGTCGTGGAAACCCACAGACTGGTAGAGAGATCCATTGTTGACACTTGAGCCGCGCCAGATTCAAGGGCAACAATCAACGCGCCTAGATTACGGGACGTTTTAGCTTAAGCTCGACCCTGTGGCGTCATACTCCCCGCATTACGATACTGATGATGGGAATGCCATTTTGATAGCCCAGCATTTTTTAATATAGAATTGCTCACAAGACCTTTTGAAGCTCTATAGGGTATCCTCCACAGCAACATTGGTAGTACCAAACACAACATCTTCACAGACGCAATCATGTCCTCCAGAATCGCCTTCACGGTACATGGTCGAGTACAGGGTGTGGGCTTCCGGTGAGCAGAATGTCGGGCACTGCAGCAGAACATGACATAACTAAATCATTCAGTGATTTCACCCGGCGGAAAGCTACAAGCTATGGCTTGACAGGATTCGTCAAGAACACATCAGACGACAAGGTTCGGCTCCCCTTTTCCATGCATTTATTAGACAACTTGCTGACACATGGACAGGTAGCGGGCGAGGCCCAAGGCGATGCAGAAGCACTCAAGAAGCTCAAAGCCGATCTGAACGATGGGCCTAGATCTGCTCATGTGGTCAAGGTAGAAGTCAAGGATATCGAAGCTAAAAGTGGCGAGAATGGATTTGATGCATGATACAAATCCACAAATGGCACACTTACTGCTGCTCAAGTCGAAGATCGATTGATGCTATGGTCCGCCGTCAAATCGGATTGAGGCCTCACCGAGCAACACCGACATTGCTGAAGTGTATGCATTCTGCGATGTGGCTTTTGCCATCAATACTGCAGGAAGGAAGACAGGCAACCGTGATGTCGCAGACCGTCGACATGTGGAACATGCGCGAATAAATGGTTCGACTATTGATATCGAAGAGGTCATGGATAGAAATCAGAATTCTCAGCCTCGTGGCTGCCAGATAGAAATCCCGAATTGTCCCGACGAACTCGCTCACATTGACCACTTTAAGCCGCAGGTCACACTGCAACACATCGGTTTTCCACACCCTCGAGTAATAACGCTCAGCCTCTAGAACCCGATGTTCGCCGAGCAGTCTATGGCGACCTATCGAAGACACTGGGAATTTTCGACGTACGGGCTGGAATCCACATGACCTCAAGGACGTAACCACACTGAACGTGCATCATCCATGTGCTTGCTGTTGCTCGGCTGGAAGATGTGTGTCCAATTGCCCATAACTTCTAGATTACTGATTATCTCAGTCATGGCTGAGAAGACGTGGTGTGATGAGATGAACGTGTGTATGCAGTCTCGATTGGGAAAGAATAATCTGCAGAATTCAGCAAAGTGCAACTTCAAAGACTGCATATGAGTGAGTAAGCATACCGGGAAGGTTAGTGAGGCTGTACGCCGCTACGGGGATCACTGATCCGAATGCAACCAACAATCGCAGGTGCCTTGGTTGGCTAAAGGGCCCTGGGTGGCCCTTGAAAGACTATCCATCGGACCTTTTGCAGTCTAGTTTCCGCCTCATAACACACTCTATTCTCAGACGAGAATCCCTGGTTGACACTTCAGGCACGGCCAGAAATTGCCGCGTCTATGTACAAAGGACTTTCTCGGAATGCACATGGCCTGGTCGCCTGGTGTGCTCCACGCTCGCACCCGTTTGTGCCCTTTGAAAGAATGATATAAACAGGCAGCGAATCCCTCCGTATGCAGTGTTGCCTCGTCCTTTTGCTAACCAAAGACCCCATACAAGACTTGTGACATTATTCTATATCGACCTCACACATCACAATGACGATGACCGCGCCGACGACCTTACTTACCCACACCTTGACTGCTAACATCTCAAGAGCAGCCAGCAAGAGCCTGTATTCATCAATTGCGACGACTGGTCTCAGGGCCAGCTATACCAGCATCCGTGCTCCCAGCTGCTCATCCCGGCGGAACTTCTCAAGCACTCGCAAGACTCAACTAGAGTTCTTCCCTCCCCCGAAAGACACACACAACATCAAAACAACGTCAGTCCACTCACCCTCGCTGATATCTGCCTACTGACTGTCAACAGTCCAGCATCATGGCCTCATCCAACAGCCAGCGAGCAACAACTGAAACAGATCGAGGTTGCTCATCGAGAACCACGGGGCTTTTCGGATTGGGCCGCATACAACATGGTTCGTGTTCTTCGATGGGGCACAGACTTAGCAACAGGATACCGCCATGATCCCAACAAACCATACGTGATGAATGAAAGGAAATGGCTCATCAGATTTATTTTCCTGGAGACGGTTGCTGGTGTACCTGGGATGGTGGCGGGAATGCTCAGACACTACCGAAGCCTCCGAAGAATGAAAAGAGACAATGGATGGTAAGCAGACTTCGACACATAGGTGCGTGACGATTCGGAAAAGTTGACAAGCTTCATAGGATCGAGACCATGCTTGAAGATGCCTATAACGAGCGCATGCACCTTTTGACCTTTTTGACGATGGCAGAACCCGGTCGCTTCATGAAGCTCATGATCATGGGTGCACAGGGAGTTTTCGGCAATGGATTCTTCCTCGCCTATCTTCTCTCACCAAAGACCTGCCATCGGTTCGTCGGCTATCTGGAAGAAGAAGCAACGAAGACCTACAGCTACGCCATTGAAGATTTGGAGACGGGCAAACTACCTGCTTGGGAAAATCTTGAAGCACCTGACATTGCAGTCCGATACTGGAACATGCCAGATGGCAAACGTACTATGAGGGACCTTCTCTACTATATTCGAGCCGACGAAGCAAAACACCGAGAGATTCATCACACCCTGGGCAATCTCAACCAGGCTGAAGATCCAAATCCATTCGTCTCCGAATACAAAGACTCTTCAAAGCCACATCCGGGCAGAGGAATCGATCATATGAAAGCAAAGGGCTGGGAGAGGGAAGAAGTCATTTAAAGCATGCAATTCAGTGTGGATCATCGTCGTTATGAACCCTCGACATTGAGATAAGCATTGTCTTGAGGTGCAGTTCAGCATTTTGTGATATGGTCATGCTTTGATAGCGAGTGATGCCACTTGGAAATCCAAGTAAAAGGGACAGGGATGGCGTTGTGGCGACTTTCTCAGAGACTTGAATTGACAGACGGCCACTCGGAAGACTGCATCTGCTGCAAGGTCGGCTACACGAAGTACGAAACCCCTGGCTGTAAAACATCGGTCTTGTGGCACTTAGGAATCAAGCAAACATTCTCCTTTCCATATACAACGTCAATAAATACACTTCGCGAATTGTTTATCACGTCCAGGATGTACCGCGTCGGGTTGCATAGGATTGATGTCAGTCGGCATTGAAAAGGCTGAAACTTGGAGTTTTTAGTGGCCCGTGGCGCCCTTTTAAGCTTCGAGGCGCGTGGTTCCATGTTTAGTCTGGGTGGAGGACACGCCTGTAACTCGACGTTTAATCTCATCAAACACTTCACTGCCGAGTCGACGATTCCTTGCTTGTCCATACCTCGCCTAACATAATCTGTGATGTACCGTTCCTCTGCTTATTGAATGCATCTTCATCATCTATCGCATCATTCACATTGCACTACCAAACCGACCGAGCCTCATCATCACGCGTTCCTGAGCCTGTCTCTGCCTTGTGCAAATAGACGCTTATGAACAACACCAGATACGCCGCTCTGCCCATCGAGGGTCACCAGGCCACAGAGTCTAGTCCATCGAGTAGACCGCAGGCGAACGCCGGCTCTCTGGCATGACCTCTGCTTTCCGCCGCCCGTCGATGGTGGAAACCCAGAGCGACATCGATTTCCATCAATTACTTGTTCCGGCTACTACCAACAATGGGCCTCCTTCGCACCACTCCTCCTCCGGTTCATCTGGTCCCAGCAGCGACGCAGGCTCCTTTCTCATTCGGGAAAGCCTCTCAAGGAGCAATTCTGCCTTCTCCTTTTCTAGAGCATCCTTTAGCAGTCAACTTGCCAGTCTAACCTCGATCAACCTGCCCCAAGCCGAGACCATCGCTGCGACCGTCACTTCTCTACCTACTGCCCGCAAGGCCATCAAAGCCCTTTCAAATGCTGCAGAACAGATACAAACATGGATCAAGAAGGCGCTCAGAGTCTTGGAAAGTCTAGATGCCGAAGATGATGTCGAGTGGGCGGCCGCTGCGGGAAGGCTGGGGCTGGATGAGACGCATAATACGATAACCAGGTTCGAAAACCTGATCAATGTCTATGTCTTGTCAATCGAAAAACTACAGATGCGCCCTGATATTGGAGACGCTAAGACAGAAGAACTGCAGGCTGTTGTGGAGCAGATGGAGGTGACTCTGGATGGATGGGAAAATGTTCGGAGCGACTTGAGAAGCATTCACAAGCAGGTAGAACTCGCCATGGAGTGGGAGGAACTATGGGCCAAAGTGCTCGGGGACGTGGGCGCCGAAATGGACAGCCTCAGTCAACTGGTTTTCGAGATGGAAGAGAAACGCCACACAGCGTACCAGTCGGAGACCCAAGCAGGCCCGAGTCAGCATATTGATCTCAACGAGTTGGAAAACTTCATCGATGAGCCGTCACACAAAAAGACTACGCCCAATTCCCGTTTCAGCCTCCCCCCATTCGAATCGTCTCCACTAGGGTCGCCGATCATCGAAAATCCTGAGGGCGATTCGAACCTGTTGGCTCTTTTCGCGCGCATGCAACCTCTGCGAGCATCACTTGACTTCTTACCTATGAGATTGTCACAATTTCAGTCGCGGGCAGAAAACATCTTCCCCAACGCCTGTCAAGAGCTTGAAGACAAACGAGAGCGGCTGGAGAAGAACTGGACCGACCTTTCTAGAGAAGCTGAAAACCTCCGGCGCGAGCTCAGTGAGGATCGTTGGGTTATTGTCTTTCGCAATGCCGGACGACAGGCCCAAAAGATGTGCGAATCTGTGGAACGAAGTATCCTGAAAGTCCAGGAAGCGATTCAGGAGAACTATCAGTCAACGAACCCTGCCGCCTTAGGAAAGAGGATCGAAAGTTTCGAAGCAAAGAAAATGCACTATGCACCGGCAATCAACCGAGTCCTTGCAATTATCCAGAAAGGACTCAAAGATCGCTTGACTTTCAATGGAGAGATTCTCCGCCTACATAAAGATCTTTCATCGAGGATGCGAGATCTGACTGATGCCATGGAGGATCTCGAAACCCTTTTCGAGCCCTATGCGGCTCGACAAAACTCACACTTACGCGAATCCATCTCGAGCATAGTATCGGCCGATCGTTCTTTATCGAGCACAACCTGGGCAGGTACGCCAGGCAGCTCTCCGCCGTCGTCAGTCGATCTACCACCTCAACGATTAGATGGATCAATCCCTTCTTACGGCCTCAATGGGCTCACTAAACAGCGAATGAGGTCTGGAAGCAGGCCGCCTCCTCAAACCCTGGGTAACAAACGATCTTCAGTGCTCCCACAGACAAGACGCCCCACCACTCCGATGTCTCATGCGAGCGGCAGCTCCCTGAGAAGAGGAGTATCGCCTATGCCTGGTCCTCCGTCCGTGTATCGCCAAGGGGCGTACGCTCCTCCTGTCAAGACTGCACCACCCCGGCCTGGGCCAGCACCATTGGCAAATAAGCCAAGATGGTCAGCTGTCGTGAAGCCGAGTGAGACTCTAGCCCCTACGTACCGATCCGCCTCAACGACGCCGTCAACAGCACGAAGGTACACGCCACGTTCCATCTCGTCGAATACAGCATTGCCTTTGCGGAGCCCACTTGGCCGAGAAGCCTCGTCTTCACCATCGGCACCTATGGACGGTCGAGAAAATCGGCAATTCAGATCTTTTGCAGAACGAGTTGCTGATCCTTCGCCCGCACGATCAGGCGGATTGTTGGACCCGGTACCCTATCACAGGGGAAGAAACTCCACTACTCCGATGGCGGGAACAATAAGGTCGCCGTCTTCGCTTGCCGTGCACAGTCAGAGCAGGCCGACTATTTCCAGACCGCCGTCGTCATTGAGCAGACATTACGGGCGTACTCCTGGCGTACCCATGCGATCAGTCAGTCACGATCCTAGGATGGAGACTATCGAGAGCAGAAGAGAGAGTACTGTTCCCGAGATGGATGACTTTGACAAGTCCAGCGAAGTTGGAGAGGATCCAGCGACAGAACCAAACTCGAGCCCATTGTCGAGAAGAACCATTACTCGACCTAGCAGTGTTCTAGCGATGAGTGGAAAGGGAAGACGTGTGTCGTTACTGCCTGTGCCAGTTGGAAGTGGCAGGCAAAGTTCAATGGGAATGAGAATCTCTTGAGGTCGAACTTCCGGCAGGCCTGAGAAGTACTTGTGGTCTTTCTTTGTTTCAGGCACTGGAGAGCGTTTATCCATTGCGTCTATGTGAGAGCGTATTAGCGTGTTTGTGTGGTTTCTTATGTGACCCCAGTCAGTTATTGATAGCATGATTCTCTAATTGTGAATTTGTACACCCCAAATTACAGAGACGATGTCGCTGTTGATCTCGGTCTATTATCCCCGACATGCGGCTGTAGCCTCGCCTTACATCTAGGTGGCTTGTAAGAAGCTTTGGAGGAGTCGTGCTTAAATGAAATAAGAATTGCTTGACCCTGGCTAGGTCTCAGCATTGTGGCATATGAGCCTTCCTTTCCCCCAAAGTTATCCTTGAAGGTGTTTGTGAGTCACAACAAGCAGGGGGGGGGGGAGGCCCAAGGATCACATTATTGACTTGTATCTTGGTCACTCGTCGCCAGCACCGTATATCGGCGATAATGCCGATGAAAGGCATCTATCTCGGAGTGTGGACATTATTATTGGCAGCCAGAGGATATCCACTGGACAGGTGCATACGCACCCATGCCCAATACATACAACAAGGCAAAGCTTGCGAATGAGCCGAAGCCCTCTTCATAAACACCGGAATCCCCCTTGTGTGCCAGCCTCGGGCATCCACAGCAAACAATGTGACAGCACATAGAAGGCAAATTGTCATATTCTTTTCATCGCACTTACGACGCTGCTGAGCCGGAGAAGCGAAGTGTACATTCACTGCGACAATTGGGTCCATCGAGCGCATAAATATACACACACCACAATCATGGCATCTACAGCCGCCCACAAAGATCCAACATTCCGCAACTACGACTTAGGGTCCGCAAAGAACTATGCTAAAGGTCATCGACATCATCATCAACCAACATACCTCGACTGGAGGAAACTTGGACCTCCTCGTCGACATCGGTTGTGGACCCGGGACGGCAACACGTTCAGTGGCGCCGCACTTCCAACATGCCATCGGCGCGGATCCGGGGCAGAGCATGATCGAGACGGCGAGGAGTATCCCAAGCTCAACTGCGTCCGGCGAGCCCGTGACCTACGAGATCTGCAGCGCCAATGCACTGAGCAATTTATCAGCGCTGAAACAATATCCAGAGGGTGTTGATCTGATCACGGCGGCCACGGCGGCGCACTGGTTCGAGTACCCGGACTTCTATCGCGAGGCAGCCAAGATCCTCAAACCAGGTGGGAGCATCATCATATGGTGCACGAAGGGATACTACGTGGACGAGCGGACCACGCCGAATGCGAAGAAGTTACAGACGTTGTGGCAAGATTTCGAAAACGACGCCCTCGTGCCATACGAGCTGGAGGGAAACAAGATGACCAAGGAGTTGTTGGCGAGCTTGCCATTGCCTTGGAGTAGCTACGAGGGCCAGGATGTGGATTCCGAGACGAAGGAGTTGTTGAAGAGCTTTGACGAGAAGGATTATCGCAGGCTTGTGTTCAACGATGAGGGGCAGGTCAAGCCCGGTGAGGATTTTCTTTTGGCGAGACGAGTCACGCTTGCACAGTCGAAGCTTATGCTGGGGACGGTGAGTCCGGTGACCAGGTGGAGGGAGGCAAATAAGGAGAAGCTCGAGAAGGGGGAGATTGAAGATATTGTGGACAAGGTTATGAGGAGAACGAGGGAGTTGCTGGATGAGACGGAAGAAGGGAAAGGGCGGGATTGGATGGAGGGAGGGTCGGCGTTGGTGATTATGGTGATCAAGAAGAAGTGATCTGGTCTGATGTAGAGTCATAAGGCTCAACGAACTGTCTGTTAATGGAATAGATTATTACCTAGGTAGTCCAATCGACACCGCACTATCATTCAATGACATGACCTGTTGGGCTTCGCATACCTAGGTATGCTGACAAGGCTGAGAGATCGGAGGAAACAAGACCGCCAAGGCCGGTATCTTGGCAAGGAAAAGGTGAGGTCGAGGCTGCGCTTGCAGCAAAGTCGATGCTTTTTGCGGAAATATCAATGTACAAGAGAACAACAATCCACGCACACCCTCACACCTAACACAACGTCTATCGCACTCGCCGATATATCCCGACATTTCGTCGCATAAAATCCAACAGCAGTTCTTTCTACGACTGGCCGGCGCCATTGACCGCCCACCTGCGCCAAAATGAAGCTCGTAAGGTACGTGAACGTGGCTTGCTACAATTTACAGTGATGTTCAGGACGCCATTTTGCGCTGTTTACGTCGTGCTCTTGCGGTTGAGCTTTGCTAACGCGGGATTGATTTCCAGATTTCTGATGAAATGCGCCAATGAAACGGTCACAATCGAACTGAAAAACGGCACGATCGTGCACGGCACAATTACCTCAGTCTCACCACAGATGAATACGGCGCTGAGAGCGGTAAAAATGACGCCGAAGAACCGTACGAATCCTTCTGCGCCGGGCGAGACCGTCTCTCTTGACACAATCAACATCCGTGGCTCGACTATCAGATATTTCATCCTGCCGGACTCGTTACCGCTGGACACGCTGTTGATCGATGACCAGCCGAAGCCCAAGAACAAGGCGAGAAAGGAGGGGGAGAACCGTGGAGGACCACGAGGAGGAGGAGGCAGAGGTGGACCGAGAGGAAGAGGACGAGGTGGTGATGGACGTGGACGTGGACGGGGACGCGGTAGGGGTTTCTAGGGCTGTGGAGTTCTGCCTGGAAGCCTCACATTGGGGACATGCGTGTGCATCGAGACTTACAGCGACCGGAGCAATGGACCTGTCTGGACAAGGAGACATGCATTGCTGTCGCGGAGCATATGCCGTGGGCCATTTGTCGGCATTAGTCACGAAAATGCCTCGTCGATTCCGGTCCTGTGGCGTTAGTGGTGGGCGGGAAAAGTTTCATCAGGCGATTTGCTCGTGTCTTGAAGGTCAAACATCACGGATGATAAGGACTCACAGCGTGGTAGCTTGGGGAGTGCTGCGCTTCAAGAGTCGAAAATCCGCATGGAGGTCGTTTGGAGCAGAGCCACCTGGCATTGCACAGCGGACAGACCGCGGGTTACGCTGCGTTTAAGCCGCCGGAACTTATACCAACGCGAGGTATGTAGTCAACAGTGCTTAATGCTGTTTGTTTCTAACTCTACTTCCTTCAAAGCCTCCTCTGCCCCTGCATTGTCTGCAGAATGGTTACTAGCGCTCGTACGGACGAGCTCCGACCCGATATACTCTACAACTCTCCGAGCGGTGTACGGCCGCGAGGCCAAGACCTCACTCTGCGTCTCTATCGCCGTGATTGGCTCTGCTATGTGAAGGTTGAAGCAAAGCTAAGATGGCGTGAAATTGGCTTCATGTCAAGAAAAGCAAGTCGACGTTCATACGGACATACGACCAGCAAGGCTTGGTTCAGGAAGCGTGATATGTTACAAGCCAAGGCGAGCGGAAAGCACGAGGGGAGGGGGAAGGGAACACATGCGTCCCGCTCTCCTCGAACATGATACAGGAGAGTTATGCCAACATCTACAAACATCCATGTTTCCATTATGCGTCTTGGTTACTGAGTATCCAGACATGCAGCTCTGTCCATGCAGTGTTCTCCGCTCAGCTTCTACCACCTAATACTATGCTCCACATTTGCGCTTGTACTCTTCCAAGCTTTCGCTTCCACATACTGTCAAAGAGAAGAAGTATAACGGGTATCGTTCTCCGCCTGGAAACGAACGTCCCGCCAACTTCGCCTACCTCGCCAGCCAAGCGAATATACAAAGCAAATCTTCTGTAGCGAGCGAACACCTAGAAACACTCCGTCTGTGCTACCAAGGAGAATTATTGTCTTAGTGTACGAAAGAGCCCAAGACTCTGGGTCAGTAAGCTTACGTGCATACAAGACCGACCTGTCAGATTTAGAAACTCAGGTAAGCCTTCGAGTCGAGGGCGACGAGGAGGCGACCACACTAGCGGCCGCAGCATAAAGTGTGTTACCCCCAAAGTACGGAGTATACAGCAGTAAGACGCCAAAGTATATAAGAATGAGTCGTTGGACGCCTTACAATCGGGACTTCTCACTTACAGATAGGTATAAACACATGTTTGGAATATTGTAGACAAAAGGGCAACGACAAGCGTGCAAAATGTCGACCAAGATTCAAACAATACCAGGTCATGCTCTGCCTCCGGCGCCTCGGCATGCCATTACAACGCACATTCCATCGTGGCAGGCCGTACTGCGATTTCGAGACAGAGACCCCGAACTTATGAAGACTCTCCACGACATGTACCCACGCTTCATCCCGCATCGAGATATCAAGGAGGTCAGTGACCCCCGAAAGCCTAAGGCCAAGTCAAGCATGACCAGACCATTGAGCATGCATGACCAGTGACTGACCTCGCAAAATGCCTATAGCTCATGCAGAAAGTGATCGCATACACCAGCTCAAAAGAAGCGTGCCTTCTGTTTCCAGCCGCGGAAGCGGCGAAGGCATGCAAAGCTTTCGCAACGTCTCCCGCTCGTGGCGATGGGACGCTGAGCGACGACCAGATCACCATTCGCGCGTTCAACATTGCAGACGTGTACGTGTACGGCGTCTTCGTACCTCCCGCATCGATGCCTACCATCTCCGCATTCTGGACTCATGCTGGAGTTGGCATCTCCTCACGCCTCGCCGAGCATTGCCTCGCTCACATAGACACACTGCACGAGATCCAGCTAGACCTGCCACAGCCACGGCTACAAGACGCTTCATCTCATGTGCTTGTCAAGCGACGAATTGCAGAGCTGTTGAACCGCGCTCCGGCTGACCCGCAAAGAACGGCGAAGGTGTCTCCAGATGACGTGTACTTATTCCAGACGGGTATGTCAGCAATTTACTGGGTCCACAGGTACCTTTTGAGTAAACATAACTCTTCGTCTGTATTGTTCGGATTCGCATTTCACTCAACGATACATGTGTTAGGAGATTTTGGCCCAGGGGTAGAGTTCTTCGGCCACGGTACGGATGAAGATTTGAAAAAACTCGAACAATTTCTTGCGGCGCAAGCTGAAGAGGGCAAATCTGTTCAAGCGATATGGACGGAGTTCCCTTCGAATCCATTACTCGTCACCCCCGACCTGAAGGGATTGAGGAGGGTGGCAGACCAGTACGGGGCGCTTCTTATTGTGGATGACACGATTGGCAGCTTTTGCAATGTCGATGTGATGGGTGTTGCCGATGTTGTTTTGACGTCCTTGACAAAAAGCTTCAGTGGGTATGCGGACGTTATGGCTGCCAGTGCGGTGTTGAGTCCGTTGTCAGCGCGATACTCGGAGCTGAAACAGCTGTTCGAAACATCTTACCGGAATGACTTCTTTGCTGGAGATGCGGAGGCTCTAGAGAGAAACAGCAGGAATTACCTAGAAAGATCGGCGACCATGAACAACAATGCGGCAAGATTGGTCGAGTATCTCCAGGAAGGGGCTGAGAACCCGGCGAGCCCTGTCAAGCAAGTGTACTATCCGACGGTCGACGACACTTCGGAGAAGTATCGTGCTTTCATGAGAGCGCAGACCCCAGATTTTTCGCCTGGATATGGCTGCCTTTTCAGTGTCGAGTTCGACAATCAGGAGACAACGATCGCCTTCTACGACAACCTCAACGTCCATCAAGGGCCCCATCTCGGGGCGCATCTGACGCTGGCGCTCGCGTACACCATGGGGATATATGGGAAGGACCTGGAATGGGCTGCTCGGTATAACATGCGGCCGGAACAGATTCGGATCTCTGTCGGGTTGGAGGACACGCAGACTCTGCTGGCGGATTTCAAGATTGCCTTGAAAGCTGCGAAGAAATGTGCGGAAGCTGGTCAGTCGATCAATGGTGGATATGCAGCCGATGCAGCATAGAACAGCAGAGATACATAATATGATCTAGTGCCAGTCTCTAGAGTTCGTGGGATGGTCGCATTGATTTCATACTACGTTCCTCTCAGAAGTGTCGTTGCGGCTCCTGTACTGTGTTCTTGCTCGAGTGACATACCTTTCTGCCTTACCTTGTTGCCTGATTTAGATGCAAGTGAAGCACTTCCTCTTGACTCTTGATATTCTAAAGTCCTTGACTTTCTTCTCGAAATTGCCTTGATGGCCATCAGTAAGACTCACCTCGTCGAATTGCAATATTCACACTTGTGGTTTGGTTGGCGGGCCTTCCTTGGAGAGACGCTTGATAGATTAAAAGTCAGGGAGTCTCGTCTTCTCCGTGAATCTTCAATGAGCCGCTTATCTGTAGACCCTACAGATAGCAGGCGAGGGTTCTGTTAGGAAGGTATCAGCTATAACGTGCTGGCCGAACTTTTTGTCATTTTGCTCGACCTTGATCGGTATTTTTGGTTGTTGTGATTCAGCACCGCATTGTGGACTAGTGAAGGTGTGGCAGAATGTTGCTTGGCTGTGAAGATGTAGACTCCGCGGTGCATATCCCAAGTCCTCGAGCTCATCCCCACGCCTAAGACTCCAACGTCTGGACTACCTCGCTGCTGTGGTCAAGGGAAGGAAGGAGGTAGGTTCCGGCAGAAGAGATCAGGTGATTGAGGCAGCATGATTGAGCCCCTGCTGACATGTTGCCGCTGCTTTATCCGCCGCGACTTTGACACGCGACGCATTTGAGATCCCCAGACTCCGGAAATAGTGTGTTCTGACCCAACTTCGACCTGCTAATGTGGCTCCGCGACAAGAATGCGTAGGCCGTCATGACCGTCCTTTCCTTCTTTCGAGAGTTATACTCTCTCGATACGCTAGACACTCGCTTCACCACTTCCTCCTCGACCCCCTTGAAAACCGTGGACGGAAATAGTTCCAAGACGGTGGAAAGAGATGGCAAGGCAACACCTGCAGACACATCACCTCCGCGATGGCGTACGCCGGAGTTCTACATCTACTTGCTCGTCTTTTTGTTCTGTGTCCCGCAGATGTACTGGGCTGTAGTTCAGGTTTCGCAGCGTAAGACTCGACGCAGTGCCGGCCATTGGCAAAACCTGGGGTGATGTTAACAAGAGGTAGCCGATTCTCCAAGTTATTCGAAATACGAGCCCTTGCTGTCTCCTGGCTGGTTGTTTGGTAGAAAAGTGGTACGTTGAGAAACCTACGTGTCACACTCCATGGAGACTTATATAGGATATAGGACAATTCCGATGGCCAATATGCCAGCTTTCGAGATAATATCCCCGTGTTAGCAGTTCTTGTTATCGTCCATCCACTTCTCCGCCGAGCATACGAGCGGCTGTTCCCTTCATATACTGAGGTGTCGAATGGAAGTGCAAATCCAAAGGCGGGTGTCCAGAGTGCAAACCAGCGTCTACGATATCGTCTTGCTTTTGACTTCTGGTCTGCGCTGGTATACATTGCTGCTCTCAATGGTTCTTCGTTCTTGAAGATTATCCTGATCCTTTTCATCAACTTCAAGATCGGAACGACGCTGCCACGAAATGCGATTCCTACCACGACCTGGGTTTTCAACATCGTCATTTTGTTCGCGAATGAGCTTTGTCAGGGATATCGCTATTCGGCTATTGGCAACATTTTGTCTGTGCCTGCGGCGGCAGAATGGGGCAAGACATTGGACTCTTATGGCGGGTTGAATCCGCGATGGGAGGTCCTCTTCAAGATCACTATCCTGAGAATGATATCATTCAATTTCGATCATTACTGGGCCCTGGACAGATCAAGGGCTGGCAGTCCTATTGAGGTAAGTCTACGCTTGAACAGTACCATGGCCGCTGTCATTCAATGTGTTGCTAACAGTGTTAAGAAGAAGCAGCTCGACCCCTCAGCACTATCTGAAAGAGATCGAGTCGCTATGCCGGCCCCCGAATGGACATTTACATCATTCCGTGCCTACGTAGCATACATCCTATACCCACCTCTCTACTTGGCCGGGCCTATCGTGACATTCAACGACTACATCTCCCAATGTACGTATCAATCACCATCCATCTCGACCAGACGTACAACACTCTACGGCATTCGATTCCTTCTGACATTGTTCTGCATGGAATTCCTCCAGCACACCACATATGCTGTCGCAATATCAAAAGTGACGTCCGACTGGTCTGTTTATACGCCATTCCAGCTCAGCATGCTTGCTTACTTCAATCTTCACATCATCTGGTTGAAGCTGATGATCCCATGGCGTTTCTTCCGGCTGTGGGCGCTGGTGGACGGGATCGATCCTCCCGAGAATATGATCAGATGCATGAGCGACAATTACTCACCCTTTGGCTTCTGGCGGTCATGGCACCGGAGCTTCAACAGGTGGACTATTCGTTACATCTATATCCCCATGGGAGGTGGTCCTGGTGGTGGGCAGGGACGGGTACGAGGAATTCTCAATATGCTGGCTGTCTTTACGTTTGTCGCCATGTGGCATGATATCAACTTGCGATTGTTGATGTGGGGCTGGCTTGTCACGTTCTTTTTCGTGCCCGAAATCCTAGCGACTATGGCTTTCCCCAAGTCGAAGTGGAAGACGCGGCCGAATACTTACCGGGTTCTCTGTGGCATTGGTGGCGTTGGGAATGTTCTTATGATGATGGCGGCAAATCTTGTTGGGTTTGCGGTCGGGCTGGATGGGTTGATGGGACTTGTCCGTGGCATTATTGGAAGCTGGCAAGGTGCGGTGTTCATGCTGGCTGCTTGTAGTACTTTGTTTGTTGGGGTTCAAGTCATGTTTGAGCATCGTGAGGAGGAGAAAAGAAATGGTGTTAGGTTAAAGTGCTAAGAGTTGGCTACCTGTACCAACATGCATACCATACTGTAGTGCGTTGACAGTCGCATATGCAACAAAAGTCATTTCGAATATGCTCTTCGAGCCTGCACGTGAACTATCGGTCGAGAGAATTGACTGCCTAGTGCTGATTCGCTCGTATTGGGCGAGGTACGTCGTATGGAGCGGATTGGCATAGGTCAGAATTTGGTAATCAACAATATGAGTCGGATACATATAAGAGCCTTGAGCATAGGCTACAAGTATTGCATAGACCATGTAACTGGAGGACAACATGGCAACCGCTGTAAGTATAAATCCTTCAGACACTTCCTGAGTGAAATTGAAACTCGATGAATCGTCACCATGCGAGTCTGGAATAGAAATAGGACTGATCATGGTCGATACAGGAAACTCCGAGTAATGGGTTGCGGCCCGATCTTTGGAATGAAAAAGGCGAATTCCAGCGACCAACGACTCAATTTCGGAACTTCATCTCCAAAGAGCCTGGAGCACGCTTCCCTCCAAGTCGAGATAGGTAGGGTCGTCTATCACATATAACACCATGCCACAGGCGGGCGCTAAGCCTCTAGCAGATACCATCTGTATGTTTCATATGCTTGTCCATGGGGTGAGTTGCTTTTCCATCTCTCGAGGCTGTGAATCGTTGTTGATGTGGGATGCAGCCCACAGAGCCCTCATAGTGCGCAAGCTCAAGGGCCTGGAGTCGATCATCTCGGTCACATCGGTCCATTATGTGATGTCGTTGACCGACTCCTGGCGGTTCTGCACACCGGAAGACAACCTCCCTATGGATGACTGCACGCCAGACCCGCTTCATCCCGAGTTCAAGAGGCTCAAGCAATTGTATCTGCACGCCAACCCAGATTACCAGGGCCGCTTCTCAGTTCCAGTTCTGTGGGACAAGAAACTCGAGACTATCGTCAGCAACGAAAGCAGCGAGATTATTCGCATGTTATACACCGAGTTCGATGAGTTTTTGCCCCAAGACAAACGTGCCGTCGACTTGTACCCGGAACACTTGAGGAATAAGATCGACGAGGTAAATGAGTGGACGTATGACAATGTCAACAATGGCGTCTAGTAAGAAGCCACCCTTTCCTGCTCTTACCGTGGTCTTGACTGACTCAGCACAACAGTAAATGTGGCATCGCGAAAACGCAGTCGGCATATCATGATGCAGTAACTAACCTTTTCACTCATCTCAGATACGTCGAAGCTCACCTGGAAGGCCAGAGTGGTCCCTACTACTTTGGCTCGACCATCACTGAAGCCGATATCCGACTATACGTGACGATCGTCCGATTCGACCCGGTGTATGTCTCGCTCTTCAAGACGAACAGAGGTATGATTCGTTTTGACTACCCACATATCCACGGATGGCTCCTCAATTTGTACTGGAATGTGAAAGCCTTCAGCGACACCACCAGCTTTGAGCATATCAAGAACCATTATTTCATGAGTCTGACTATGTTGAATCCGAATGGGATTGTGCCGGATGGGCCTGTGCCGGATATCTTGCCATTGGAAGATTTGTGGTAGACAATGCGTACTGGTGATGTTGAGCAGCGTTGATCAGTATGACATTTGTGATTCGAAAGTCTCAACCTTTATGTGCACTGGGAGCAACATGTATATATGTCTGGGGAATAGCTAGGAGTGGAAAAGGTTTGCGGAGATGGAAATGGAAGCCGCAGACCTCGGGGAGACTCCTAATGAACAATGACGTCAAGTGACAGTGAAATGAGATACAATGCTCGAAATGACGACTGGGTGATCATCTCGCGTGCTTCTGCATGACTCTCGAGACTTTCCCGTCTTCACGACTGGTCTTCTCTCTAAACAGACCCTGCCTAAGACAAATACAGCTCTCCTATCCCTATCGGTCTGCACACCTTTGTCGGCCTCATCTTCGAGCAAGAATTCCCTTGACAGCTCCAACCCTCAACATGTCACCTTCAACACTCCTCCGGTTCTCACGCAATGTGAACCTCACTCGCACAGTCCTCAGAACTCAAGTCAGGATTCAATCCAACGTCCGACCACTCTCGACTTCCCCTTATCGTTTTGCCTCCCGCGAAGACCCCGAAGAAAACAAACATCCGCAACGAGAAACGCAGCTGGATCGCGAGAAGATGAATCCCGAGGCAAACGAGTACGCAAAGTCAAGCTCAGATGATAGTGCGGCGAAGAACGAGGACGCTGCTTTCGATCCTGACATTACCGATCCAGAAGAGGCAAGAAAGAAGGCAGGCGAAGGCAACGACGTCAACCCGCTAGATTCTAGTCCAGCAAATCCTGATATCAGCTCAGGGACAGCAGAAGAGCAGGGAGGCTCGAAGAAGAAGGTGTCGGAAGGCGGCGGTGGCAGGTAATATAGTGGTGATCCTTGGAAGACATGGCTGAAGCGTCTCAACCATGTTACGTCATCAAGCCATTCAGCGTCGAAACACGAAGTCAGGTCATCCACGGAAGTGATGGGACTGTACATACAAGAGCCAACGGAGAGTCAAAGCAGTCTTGCAGCGAATATCAAGGGTATCAATGTTGCAGTTCGTCATCTCCACATCCATCATCCTGACTCAAGATGGCTCCTTCCATTCTTTAGCCCCAAGCTGGAGGATGTCCTTTTGACCCAAAATCCAGACCTTTTCTTTAATCTCGCCTTTTTCAACCTTGATCGCCGCTGAGATAGCAGCTTTTGCAATTGCGTCTGCGTCCTGGGCCCAGGAGTCTCTCATCGAGCTATGTACGCGGCCGAATGCGGATGCCATAAATCGTGCGAAAGCTTCCGCTGGACGGCTTTCTTGCCTGTCTCCGAGGATCAATCCCGGACGCAGGATAATTGTGTGGTCGAACCCAAGCTCTTTGACGTGCTCCTCGATCTGGCCTTTCATCTTCGGGTAGGCAAAGTACGCATTCGGGTCTGCTCCGCCGCCAGAGATCAGAACATAAGTCTTGGTCCCTGCTTCTTTAGCCGCTTTGGCGAGCTCAATGTTCAGGTCATGTTCGAGTTTGTATTGCTTGTCAAATCCACCTGCGGCAGCACGGGTGGTTGCCAGAGCGCAGAACAGGACGGAGGGAGTGGGAGAGAGCGAGGAGACCTGAGAGACCCATTTCGACGTATCTTGCTCCACGATTTCTTTGACCGGAACACGGGCGTCGGTTGCAGCTGGAGGGGAGCGTCGCGCGATAATGTCAACGTTGGAGAATTGAGATGTGCCAGCTCGCAGCGTTGATAGGATGTGGGATCCCTACGGGTCATCAGATAGTCAACGAGCATGAATACGAGGCGCTTACCACAAGCCCTGTAGAGCCAAGAATAAGTGCTGTAGCCATCCCGCGCTGAATGAGATTTTGGTAAAGTCAATCGGCCAGAGAGAACGTAGTCGACAATAATTAGTCTCTTGGTATGATACAAAATGTACCTCGAATCGCTACTGCCACAGAGTCATCACATCACAGAAACTCTTTACGGAAAACACATGTACAAGTACCTATCGATTGATGCCGCGTGCTCCCGGGGCCTGCTTGGCTGTTTTGAAACTCGCGCAGCCTCGGTGGACCGCGGAGTTCTTCAGCCTCGTTCAGCCTCGACCCGCATCCGATCTTCTCCAATTCTCAATACTGCTAGCGTCGATCACGCAATTTTTTTGGTTGACGGCAACACTCTGTCGGCGCAGAGCCGGCCCAGAACACAGCAAAATGGAGTGGCTAGCCGGCGAGATCGGCCTTCTGGGGGTCATGGACCTAAATAAATTATTTCTGGACGAGATTTCTTCGTCCTCATACCCTTCGCGTCGTCCTTACACGTCGCCACGAGAACATCCCAGCTATACGCAAATACAGCACTGGGACCTCAGACAAGAATGGCTCCTTCACAAAGCCCGCCTTTCGGCCAATTGCTGCCTCTGTCCTCAGTCGCTGGCCCTACCTACGTGACGGCTCAGACTCTCGTTCAGCAGGTAGCCTACACCCTGTCTGACAAGATCTTCTCCTACTCTCCCGAGTCCTTCGATCTCGATGTCGCTGCGAAAGCATGGGCGGAGTCACAAGAGCAAAATGCCAACGGGTACTCTACTGCGGTCCAGTCTATGCAGATCAGAAACGGTGCGGGAGCAATTGCTCTTGGTTACATGTTTTCCAAAGACTTTGACCTGAAGAAGAGGCACATTCCTCAAGGACTGCTTGCTCCGTCTTCTGCTCTGACTTTCCTCAAGCCGGTCCTGGATCAGCTGTCGCTCCTCTACTCCGTCAGCAACCCATTCGTCGCTCACATCGCGGCCTTGGACTACGAAGGCAAGAAGGATGGCGGCTTGGTGGTGGACTACGCAGCAGCATTGTCGACCGCTGAGGACCTCGGTTTGGGCCTGGTCTCGTCCCTGTCCGCACACGAGGTGCAACACATGTCCCTCTTTGCCACTCTGCTCGCCCAGGACCTCCCCGCGCTACATGTCTACGATGGTCTGAGAATAGCCAGAGATACTACACGAGTCATTGATGTACTTGACAATTCAGGTCTTGGAGCTGCATATCAATCTGTGCTCAAGTCGCTGTCTGACGAGGACCGAAAACATTTGAGCGCTGAGGGCAAGGCTCTGAAGACCCTTCGGGCCGTCAATGAAGAGCTTGGAACCGACTACAAGCCATTCGAGTACTCTGGTCATGAAGAGGCTGAAGTTGTCCTCGTGACTTTCGGTTCTGTGGAGTCTTCGTTGGCAGCTCAAGCGGCCACCGCCCTGGCTCAATCCGGTAGCAGGGTTGGAGCTATCAATGTGAGATTGTATCGACCTTTCGCGGATGAACAGTTCCTAAGACTGCTTCCACACGGTGTCAAAGTCATTGGAGTCTTGGGACAGGTCGTCGATGCTCAGGCTATGCAGGAAGCTGGTGTTCATTCTCAGCTCTACGAGGACGTTCTGGCTACAGTAGCATACGGCATCGCAGCGCACAGCACACCCGAGGTCCGCGAGCTGAAATATGCTCGTGCTGAACGATGGGTTCCTTCGTCAATCTCAGCCCTCTTCCAGTCGCTCCTTGGTAAGACTGCCGACGATCAAGGCATCACCACTTTCCTGGATGAGTCAGTGCAGCAATACACTTTCTGGAATGTCGATGACGCGCCTTCGACCTCGGCAGCGACCTACCTCGCCCAGGCTTTAGCTAAAGATTCTGCACAGAATGTCACTGTCAACACCACTCACGACAACCTCAAGCAGGGTGGTGTGCACAGAATCGATATCCGGAAGTCTCCTAAGAGCGTAGATGCACCATATCCTGTCAGCTCAGCGAACACTGCTGTTGTTACAGATGTGAAGCTTCTGGACAAGATTGACGTGCTCAAGTCTGTTCAACAAGGTGGAAACCTCATCGTCTTGCTACCCGGCGTAAAAGACGAAGACGTCGAGAAGAAACTACCGGCAGCTTTCAAGAAAGCTGTTGCCGAGAATGGAGCCGCCTTGTATTTGATCGATCCCGAGAAAACGGCAGTCGAAACCGAAGATTCCGATCTCGCGTCTTTGATTCTGCAGACCGCCTTTCTCCGTATCGCCCTTGGCAAATCCGAGGAGATCGGTCTGCAAAAGCTTGCCAATGCCAACAGTGATATTAAGACTTTGGAGCAAGTTGCAGCCGATTTGGAAAAGACGCTGCGTAAGATTGAGGTTCCGAAAGATTGGGCTGAGCTGGAAGTAGAAGAAACCAAGGTGCACCTGCCTTCGGACGTCTCTGCAAACAGCTTCGCATCCTTTGACAAGACTGAAGAAGAACCACCATCCCTCCTGCGCAGCTGGCAGAAGGCCGCCAAGGGTCTCCTGTTCAAGGAGGCTTTTAACACTGAAAGTGCTCTCCGACCCGATCTGCCGGCCAAGACCTTTACTGTTCATGTGAAGGAGAATCGCCGCCTGACGCCACTGACCTACGACCGAAACATCTTCCATATCGAATTCGACCTTGGCACGTCAGGTCTCAAATATGACATCGGCGAAGCCCTCGGCATCCACGCGGAAAATGACCATGACCAAGTCGTGGAATTTATCAAGTGGTATGGGCTCAACGCTGATGACGTGGTCGAAGTCCAAGCCAGGGACGATTCATCTGTGTTTGAGAACCGCACCATCTACCAATCATTGATTCAGAATGTCGACATTTTTGGAAGACCACCAAAGAAATTCTACGAAGCGCTGGCAGAATTCGCCGATGACGAGAAGGAGAAGCAGAACCTTCTGACTCTGGCTGGACCAGAAGGTTTCAAGGAGTTCACGAGACGTGCCGAAGTCGATACTGTCACGTACGCCGATGTCCTCCTGGAGTTCCCGTCTGCGCATCCTTCTTTCCACGATATAGTGCGCATTGTTGCCCCTATGAAGCGTCGGGAATACTCCATCGCTTCATGCCAAGCTGTCACACCGACATCGGTGGCACTTATGATCGTTGTTGTGAACTGGGTTGATCCCAAGGGACGCGACCGCTTTGGCCAGGCCACCAAGTACTTGGGCCACCTGAAAGTGGGCTCCCCAGTGACTGTCAGTGTCAAGCCGTCGGTCATGAAGCTGCCTCCTAAGTCGACGCAGCCCATCATCATGGCCGGTCTCGGTACTGGTCTTGCTCCGTTCAGAGCCTTCGTCCAACACCGAGCCATGGAGAAGGCTCAGGGCAAGGAGATTGGAGCTGTGCTTTTGTATATGGGATCTCGACACCAGCGTGAAGAGTACTGCTATGGTGAGGAATGGGAAGCATATCAGGCTGCCGGCGTCATCACCCTCCTTGGACGAGCTTTCAGTCGAGATCAACCCCAGAAGATTTATATTCAGGACAAAATGCGCCAAACGATCGACGACATTGTCAAGGCCTACATCAAGGAAGACGGTGCTTTCTACCTTTGCGGTCCTACGTGGCCTGTTCCTGATGTCACCAACGTCCTCGAAGAAGCCATTTCTCGAGAGGCAAAGGCGAGTGGTGCTAAGAAGGTGGATCCCAGCAGAGAGATTATGAAGTTGAAGGACGAAGGTCGATATGTGCTTGAAGTCTACTAGACCTTGCCCGAAAAGTTACATAACAAATGAGCTTGCATATACTAGAACATGAATGTCTTTCAACCTACTACTCTGGACGTCCTATTATCTTCTGCAGGAAGTGTCGTCTGCTAGTTGACCTTTGGAGTAGCATTCGCCCACGTGACCATACTTCCTTGTTGATGTCGCCATCGTACATGTGCGACTATATTTGCCTTTTGTTTATCTACCAGGTATCGAAGCTCTTCCTAGCTTTGCCGATCTAACTTTAAGGCCCCTCTCCACCATGGACGGCTCCGCAAATGCAACCCTGGGGGCCTTTCATGTCCTACCGCTTGATGAAGAACCGGCTGCTTGTGGAAGGTAGCTGTCATACGACCACAGCGACCAATAAACATGTCTGCGTCTCACAGATAAGTTAAGCTACACATCAAGCTCACGCAACCTCGCAGTCATCCCATCCGCAAGCTTTCCGTGCCGGCCATGGCACGCCATAGAGAGCTTGTCGTGCCTGACACTAGCTTGGATGGTTGTGTGAGTACCACTTGTGTATGTGCACAAAGGTAGGTAGCGTCCTGCAGCAAGAGGTGCTCGACAAGGTTTATAAATCAGGCGGGATTGCAACCTCAAGATATAAGCTGCTTGCTTGTCATTCTGACACCTCAGACATAGACGGCCAACTTGCACAAGTCTTCTTATTGTTACGATGAAGCGTTTCGGCGTCTTTGCAACCGCTGTAGCTGCCTTGGCTGGTTTGACTACAGCTCAAGTCGGCCCTCTGTCAACCGACGGACGTCCGACAACTTACTATCCTCAGAATTTCACTCAGCTGATTGACCACTACCCGCACAGCCCTCGCTATGCTCCCAATGATGTTAATGGCACTTTCACCCAAAGGTAAACTCATATATGTCACCTTCATGTGCAGCATGGGCACAATTATAACTGATTATTGGTGCCAGGTATTTCATCGACAACACCTATTATGAACCCGGTGGACCCATATTTCTGTACATTGGAGGCGAGACTTCCGGCGAGTCCCGCTTTTCCAATCTTCAGACAGGAATCATCCAGATCCTGATGAACGCCACCAATGGCCTTGGTATCATCCTGGAAAACAGATACTACGGAGAGAGCTGGCCATACGAGAACTCAAGCACAGACAATCTACGATATCTGACGACTGAACAGACAATTGCCGACAACGCCTACTTTGCCCAAAATGTCGTCTTGCCGGCTAATATTACCAATGGAGCTAATCTTTCTGCACCCGGGACGCCGTGGATTTTGTACGGCGGCAGTCTTGCGGGAGCACAGACGGCGTTCTCACTTGTTGAGTACTCGGGACTGCTTTGGGGTGGGATTGCCGCATCTGGTGTCATACATGCCGTTCATGGGTATCCCGAGTGGTACAACCCAATCCAGAAGAACGGCCCTTCAGATTGCATTACTAGGATCAACAATATCGTTGACAAGATGGACTCTTTGATCCGAGCAAACAATGCTCAGGCTATTCAGCAGCTGAAGGAGATTTTTGGGCTTGGTTCATTGAGCAGTCTGGCAGACTTTGCCATGACGGTATGCCATGTCTATCTAAAAATCTCTCAACACCATGCTAACGTTTCTGCCGCTACAGATCGCGTTTCCATTAGGAGGGCCGGACAACTATCCCTGGATATTTTTGCCCCTCCCTCTGCTGGTGCCTTTGCTAATGTTCCTATAGAACTAAGTACGTTATCCCGGACAGCCAGAGCGAGATGGAATGAGTTTTTGGGCTTTGACCCACCCACCTTGATGGGACGCTTTTCTGACGGATCATAGTACATGGCAAGAACTCAACTGGTATCCAGTCTACGATGCCCCAGACTTCTTCGACTTCTGCAACAACATTACAGACCTGAACGCCCCTGCGAATATTACGGCTGTGGACACCCAGTTATCGAATTACACCAACGGATCCGCTTGGACGGGTCTGGGCGCGTACGCAAACTATGTAAAGAACGGTAAATTAGGCCCCTCGTCTCTCCTCCGTCTGTAAGATTACACATTCTGACGACGTACAGTGATTGTCTCGACTTGTCCAAGTGAAGATCTGATCGACACAACTACATGTTTCTCAACTCAGAATGAGACATACTGGGCTGATGTTACGAACTCAGCGTTACGGTCGTACACCTACAGCACTTGCATCGAGCAAGGCGCCTACCAGCTTCCGCAGCCCTACGGCACCCCGTCCCTTCTATCCCGCGCAATCGATCTCAATTATACCCAGCAGTGGTGTACGTGGGCTTTTAGCCAATATGCGAGCTCGCCTCAGGCTGTTCCTTCGCCTTCTGGACCCAATTTAACATGGTACAAGTAAGTAATTCTTTCTCCAAAGGATCATGTCATTGGGATCTAACGATATCCAGCAAATACGGGGACTTCAACCTGAGCGCTCCAAGGCTAGCGCTCATCGACGGCGGCAGCGATGTCTGGAGGGACGTCTGCTATCATGGGCATAACGCCAGTACCCGGTACGGTGAGCAGCAGATGCTTATCACTGGCGGAGGCCATCATTGGGACAGGTAAGCATCCCTCTTCCAAGACACGGTGCCATTGGGCACAAGTCTTTCGACATATTCCCGGTTTCTCCAGTGCAGCTTTCTGACTATTCGAAGCTACGGAATATTGAATCTCACTCTTGAGCCCGACTTCATCAGGGCAGCCCATCAATGGGAGATCAGGCACGTCTTGACATGGATGCAAGAGTGGAACCAAACTCAAAGCAGCAAGAGGAAGAGAGATGAGCTATAGAGTCCAAATGGGGAGTCGATGTCGAAGATGGTGGTGAAGTGGTAATGGTAATGTCAAACCTTACGATGGGCAATGCAAGGGCCAGTATCAGATGTGGACTTTGAATTAATGCCTATGCACATACCTGTGGATGAACAGCGGAGACGATGCTCGAGGTCTGCAAGTGCTCATCACGTGATGATAGAGGATCAAGCACTTCATCATTCTCGGTGTGCTATCTTCAAGTGGCTTCAGGTGACTTCTGGTACACAAACAAGTCGCTGGAGACACGCAAAATCCCTGAGTGCGGGTATGAACGTGGGCTGACTGTAGGTGACTGGATACCTGTCCATGATCAACATGACATGATCTGGCATTGCTCCTTCCTTGCAGCCCTAAGAATTCATAATACACCTACTACCCACCGCAAGAGTATGTGGTTCCTCGTCTCATGTGGCATGGCGCGCTGGACTGTCTCGTACTGTTCAGGCTGGTCTAAGAGATTCCTTCCAACCCTCTTCCCAGCCTTCGTATCGTGCAATGCGGTCAGCATGTGGTTGCGCCAAAGCCCATGTCTTTATCACCTTGTTGACCTCTTTAGCTCCTTCTGGGCCTGGCGGAGCAGTGCTCCGTCCCAGTAATCTCCACCATAGCCCATGTACTCGATTAACGCCTTTTGGTTCTCCCAGTCCAGTCGTTCTCCCAAGTCGAGCGGGTGATTGTATGGAGGGTCACGGAGGCGAGGGCGCACACGTTCCAACAGCATATCCACGTTACTGTTGCCGGATTTGTAGGTCCTGGAAGATGGTTAGTCTGGCATGGTGATGTCGTGCAATGCGACTTACTTCGTCTCGCGGAATTCGGGCACCACAGGTTGTGCGATGTCCCATGCTCGAGTGTCGTTGAGTATGCTCAAGAAAGACTCGATTGATGTTTCCCATTTGGCCAGTTCCTCAGGTGAGCTCGGTTCTGGGCAGGTCTTGAACCAAGCTACGAAGTCGTAGATGTACTTCTGCAGACGGACTGCGTCTAGGGGTGTCTGGAGATTGTTGTAGCGAGATGCATCAGAGCGAGAGTGATCGAAGTCTGGTGGCGCCATGACGAACAGGTAAACGACCCATTCCTTGCAAGAAGCTGTCGTAGGAAGGCTTATGGAGTAGAAACCCGAGGTTGCAAAGCCCCCAACCTGTTTATGAAGGAGGAATCAGAGATGAAAATGCTTGAAACGCATTGTTTTTGGAAGGCAAGTTCGCATTCACTCATCATGTCACTCCTGTAAGTGTTACTGCCTCGGTATAATAGTGACACTGAGAAAGTCTTTCTTCGCCTGACTTAGCTATGAATCACTGAGATCAAACACCTTTGATGTGAAGATACGTCGAATTGGTTCGCGAGGCGGGTCCCTTCTAACTTCCCGACTCGAATACCTATTTCGCTTGCACCAACTCTCTCCGGATATCGAGCAAGGTGGCAGCCAAGCGCCAAGCTCAGCCGCTATAGTCGTGGATTGACTGACTCGGCATTACAGACTTTCGTCATGACTCGTAAGGCAATCTCTGTCGCAGAGCCTGCATGTACTAACAGCGAATGTAGCCCTAGATGAGCCCGTCGGCCTTCTTGGTGAGCAGCTGCATGTATATTTGGCCAGGATATAACTGACCTAGTTTAGATCTCATCGACTGGGACAACTGTACGTTCGTGGCCGATGCTGTCGTGGCCGATGCTGTCGTGGCCGATGCTGTCGTGGCCGATGCTGTCGTGGCCGATGCTGTCGTGGCCGATGCTGTCATGGCCCATCAACTGACAATGTCATTAGTCGTTATCAGAGACACCCTCCCAGCCCCGGCCACCGTTCGCTCCGTGGCGGACGATCCCCGTGACCTGGAATTTGACGATGGAAAAGTTAGCTGCCAGCAAGTGTGCTAGGGAAGACTCCGCCTTCGCCACCCAAGCGCAAGCGTGCACCATGTATCTGGAGTCATTGGTGTCCCATCTGCGCCATGTACGCCGAGACCCCCTTGCCGGGGAGCTCTCAATGCACTAACCCGGTCAACAGCATGTTATACCTGAACAAGAGAATTCAAACTCTTGTGGACCTTGCGTACGTGCCAATGCGCGGTCCTTAGCTGCAGTTCCGACCATGACAGGCACCATCTGACGACCAGCTTGCTCTGCCGGTATGGGCCATAAGAATTTCGATGAGGCGGAGATAAACTTTTCTGGGCGGCTCACGATACGAGAGTGGTCCTAGTCGACCACGATGCTTTGAGGTGTCTCTCTACGTCAAACGAGATGAGTGACGAGCACGTTTAGGATGATTTGGAGGGCATCAAAGTCTTCTGTGATGAGAGGGCACGAAGGGCTTTGACAGAAAAAACATGGAAGGTTTGGTGGTTTTGGTTAAAAGCGCCGAGATCGACGGCTAGAGCTTGATCCTTGTTACCACAGTAGCCAGCGATTGGTGTACGCCCTTGGCATACCTAGGTAGATAATGAGGGCTTGATAACGAATATCATGAAACTTCCTGCCGTCCTCAAAAGTACGAATAATACATCCTAAAACAGCAACAAAACCTCATCTTTACTCGCACTCGACTTGAGATAATATGTCCCAACCAGTCTTCGTCGAATCTGGTGGGATTGATCTTTCATTGACTGATTGACATCCGGAAGGAAAACGGTCAAAACGCCGAAAACTCTGGTTCACACTATCAATGCCGGCAACTTCAAGGTTTGGATCAATTTTCAGGTCGACACTCTTCATGTTCCTCACCTCCTTGGGTGCCCTTCTCGGGTACTGGATGATCCTGAAGCACACCTCTCTTGTTGCAGCGTTCGCGCCGACTCTATCAAATGCTCAATCACCATTCATCAAACCCCCCGTGGCGTTGAACCCGAACCATACAAATATCATTGCGAGCGATGTTATTACACTCTTCTACAACGGCACGGGGCCAGTGCCTGACTATGACGAGACATCGCCAATCCCGCCACCGATCACGCCGTTCACCGAGTCGCAAATCGAGGACTCACTTTCGAGCGAGCTACTGGCCATCAATAACACGTCCTTCTACCCAGACAACTGCTCCAAATGCCTGGCTGCAACTCAATTGCTGCATGTGGCAGCTATCAGCCAATCAGTGTCGGTCTTCACGAATGTACTGATCAAAGCATGCAATGTATTGCCTCTCATCAAATCCAACATCCGAGCATCTTCGTGCGAGTCCGAATTTAGCGGTGTCGCTTCCTTCGGACCATACCTTGCACAGATGTTCGCGAAGATGAGCCTTACAACTGGTGACATGTACACTGTGTGCTCAATACAGTATCCCCTTTGCGAAGCGCTGCCGCCTATGCTGATTGACGAGAGTCTTTACTTCGACCCGAAGCCAGAGACAGCCGAGATTGCACCTGAGCCTTCCGGCGAGACCTTCGATGTACTTCATCTCTCGGACTGGCATCTGGACCCTCGTTATGACATCGGATCGGAGGCAAACTGTACGGGCTATCTTTGTTGTCGCCCTTACTCCCAGAATGACAACCTGTTGACGTATCGGAGTAATGCTTCTCAACCTGCATCACGATTCGGATCTTTCTTCTGCGATTCACCAGCAGATCTGGCGCTTTCGGCGTTCAGCGATATGCCCGACTTCGTTGACATGGACGAGCTTGCCTTCACTATTTTCACCGGAGATATTGTGTCGCACGACGCTGAAGACGTGCTCTCCCAGGCTTATGTCGCCTACGAGGAAGAAATGACCTATCTAGTTTTCAAGAAGATGCTTGGAAAGACGCCCGTATATGCCGCACTCGGCAATCATGATTCACTCCCAACTGGCTACAATTTGCCGCATTCAATGGATATTGACCCAAGCAACTCTAGCAGCAACATCCATCAATGGAACTACGATCTCGTATCGTCGTTGTGGTCGAGGCACTCCTGGCTCAATGACTCGGAGGCAGAGTTCGCCAAAACTCATTATGGTGCATACGCCACGACTACTGCCCAGGGACTCCGTGTCATCTCTCTGAACTCGGACTTCTGGTATAAAGCTAACATCTTCAATTATGTCAACGTCTCGAATCCAGATCCTTCCGGGATCCTGAAATGGCTTGCCGATGAGCTCTCAGCGTGCGAGAGAAGAGGTCAGCGAGCCTGGATCATCGCGCATGTCCTCTCCGGTTATGATGGCAGTGCGCCCTTGCCAAATCCGACTGCGTTATTCTACTCAATTGTACGGCGTTTTTCGCCTGCAACGATTGCTGCCATTTTCTTTGGGTGAGCATTGCCCAAACCATATGTGCTTGCGCAATAGTGACTAATGTGCACCCAGGCACACGCATCAGGATCAGCTGCAAATCTTCTACGATTTCCTGCCTTCCTCTCTACAAACAGGCTCCGATACCGGTAAGCCTTCTACGCTGAGGGACACCACGTTAGTCGACTTCGACAGCCCTTTGCAGGTCTCGTATATCGGACCTTCGATCACTCCCTTGACAGGCCTCAATTCCGGCTACCGCGTCTACCAGGTTGATGCAAAAACCTTCTCTGTCATGGGGGCTCAGACATACATTGCCAACATTTCAAACAGTCTGGCCTGGAAGAAACCCGTCTGGGAGTTTGAGTACGACACTCGAAAAGAGTACGCCAATGAAGTTGATGGAGGCGAAGCCGGAGTAGACTCCAATGCCGTTGCAGGAAGGGGCGTGCCTTGGCCGTCGACGTCGCCCTTGAATGCAACGTTCTGGCACCGCGTGACGGAGAAGATGCTGACCCAGTCGAGCACGGCTTTTGACCAGGAATATGCTTCGCCCTCTTTGCTCGATCTGTACAATACGTACGAGTCAAAATCGAGCTCAGCCAAGACCAGGCGTGGTGCGGGAGACATTAGTCCCGTACAAAAGGTCTGTTTCATTCGTGCTGGAAGTTGGGCATTGGGTACTCAGTGTAACAAAGGACTTGGGAATGATGCGAGAGGAGAGCGTGAGAGAGCGTTCGGGATGGTATAGGCATATTGATGAGGAGAATGAGGAAGGGCATGAACAAGGACGGAGCAAGGTTAATTGAAAGCATAGTTGTGAGTAAGGTATTCTGACCTACCTAGATGTACAATAATAAACCCCGGTAAAGCCAATTTTGAGGCCTGGAGTGTGCCTAGAAACCCCTGTACTTGGCCTAGTGAGCCTAGTGAGCCTAAACCGCTTATCGTGAGTTCCGCCTCAGCGCCAAGACCGAAGCCCAAGATGAAAACGTTCATCGTCAACAACCTTCCGCCTCTTCGTCAACACATTTCCTTTTCTCGAACTGTATCGATGTCAGACCACTTCGAGCCTCGCAGTCATGTCAGGCCTAGTTCTCATGTCTTTCCCAAAAGTCCCTTCGGCGTTGTGAGTTTGGTCAGAAAGCAAATGACGCCACCGACAAGACACATGACACCAGACAGGATTGAGAGTTGAAGATACCCTCCAGATGTTCTGATCAAAATTCCATTCACTGGTGGCCCGATGAGGGCTGCGAGAGAACCGACAGCTAAGCCCTGACCTAAAAAAACTTCCCATATCGCGTGGATCTTCGGGACAGATGCTGAGAGCTGCGGAAGCTCCAGAGATGAGTGTGCCCGAGAAGAATCCAATGGCAATCGAGTACAACACCAACCCGGCGACGGACTCCGCTTTAGTCATACAGAAGATGACAACGCCAGTAATGATGCTTCCGATCGACAGCATGTTCAATTTCCCGACCTGAAATTTCGTTAGTCTCGAGAATGTGCCATTGGACACAGAGAGAATGATGAGAAGCCCGCCAACATTGAGGCAGCTTTTGAGAGCACTTACCTTGTCTGACAGTATACCGGGTATGATACGACCAAATGTTGAGGCGCCGTTGAGTATCGCGAGCAGATATGAGGCCAGCGTGCTGTTGATGCCTCTTGACACTGCATAAGAGGGTATGTAGAACAGCGGAGTGAACATGCCCAGAAACATGAAGAAAAGCGACAGGACTAAAAACGAAAAGTCCGCTTGTTTGAAAGCCGCTGGCAAGAAGAACTTGGTCTTCCTTGGTGGTAGTCGAGCTTTGATGACCACACATGAAAAACTCAAGAGAGGCATTGTGACGAACCCAATAATCCTCAATGACCAGCCAAAGCCGAGGGATGAGGCATTCAAGAGCCTTGACAGTGCTATGGGGAAGACGATTCCGCCGATAGAGGATCCAGCTACCACCAAACCCAAGGCAGCTCCCCGTTTCTTGTCGAAGTATTGCGACACTGCGCTGATCGAAGGGAAAAGCAATAAGCCGATAGAGCAGCCCATGAGGACGCCTTGAACAAGGACGAAGTGCCAATACTGATCGCAAAGGCTCGTCATCATCATGGCAAACACGTACAGGAGCGAGGCTGGGCGGATGATCTGCCATCTCGGTTAGCATGCCTATCCAGGCACCAATTGGGCATGAGGTCATACCCAAGAGCCGTAACGATCGAACAATGGGCCTGCGACGGCGCCTATGGCAAATTGGAGGAAAGCCGCCAATGAACCGATCCAAGAAATGTCGTCAGGAGGCTTGTCGCGCAGCTGATGTGTTATGTAGTATTCTTGGAAGACACCCAAAGGCGTTTGCATATCCCAAGCTGCTGAACAAGACGCAGGCTGCACCAGCAGCCACTAGCCAGGCTTCGAGACCGCCATCCGGCGCTGGCCCAATTTTGACAGGGTCGACTGGCGCCTTCTCCAAGTCAGCCCCAGCCATGGAATCTTCCACAGCTGGCGTACCGGCCGAAGACGGCAGCCGGTCTGTCCTATCTGAAGCTGGAATTGCCATGGTAGAGGAAGGTAAGTCGGCGTATGAGTCTCAAAATGGTAAGATGGCGGATGATGTTGCTACGAGCAGGTTTCATTATCAATCAAGAGCCCTGCGAAAGAGCACTGTGTATATATACATCGTTATGGCCGACGAGGCATTCGATTGCCCTTTGGCTTGTCTCGGTCTCTTGGGGGCGCTCGGGCTTCTGCAGGCTGTCGGAGACCACTTTTGATGCGGAGATAAAAGAGCTTTTCGCCAAAAGCAACAAATCACGAGCCATTCCGGTCAGGCCCCCCGCGACAGCTCGGTACATTGCGGCGCATAGAGCAAGAAATGCAGCTTGTGCAAACTCCGAGTCTCCTCAATTTCCCGTCCATCCTCCGACCTCCATCTCCCTCAAATTGAACACACTCCCATCCTCCCATTGAAGCGTGAACGGACCGACATATCCTGCCTGCTCACTGAGATAGGCAACCACAAGTGCGGAGACAGTGGAAGAAAGTGTGCTCCATGTGCCAAGACTATGACTGAGGCACAACCCAAGCGTCAGCGTCGGAGGCCAGCTGTGTATGTTGTCCCACTGGTGTGATCTTTTGGTACTGATAGAACATCCACAGGTCATGCACTCTTTGCAGAAGGCGCAAGCAAAGGTGCAATCGAGAACTGCCGTGCAACAATTGTGTGCGTGCCAACAGGGAGGATTGTGTCTATGAAGACTACCCTCCATTACGTACAAGCACCGAGCCTTGTGTTTCGGAAGACCCTCCTCTCCAACCTCAACCACAATCTTCCAAATCGAGTTTCGTGAATACCTCAACGTTCTACGAAGACGACTCCAACATAAGCATAAGATCGCCCGTCGCCTCAGGACCTTACTCTTTCACAACTCTTCCGGGCTCATCGAACTCGCGGACTCCCGGCAGCGAGCCATCTGCTGCGAGTATCGCCATCACAACTGTCCAAAATGGCAGGGCTGGACTTAGCCGTGTTCCCGGGACGCTGTCTGTGGTGAATGAAGACTACGAGACGGGTCCTGCAACGTCAGGTGCAGCTGAGCTCTGTCACAGGAAGGACCAAGACGATTTCTTTGGTCGACCCCAGATTCGGGGACGCCTCGTCATCCATAAGTCGCGTCTCTTCGGTCAAAGCCATTGGATGAACGGGTGTGACAGCGTGAGCTCATGGCCCGATGCGTGCTTCTTCCACCACTAACCAAAGATCAGTTTCGAGACATTTTTGACCTGTTCGAATCCTACTTGCGAACAAACCCGTCCAATGTGCTCATGAAAATGGAGACCTGCAAGACTCTGGGAAGATCAATCAAGTCAAACAGTGTTCCAGCATGGCCTACCACCCCCACAATGGATTTACCTCCGAAGGAGCTTGCGGACAAGCTGCTGGATTGTTATCTCAATACCTATGAAACGGTCTACCGGGTTCTGCACGTTCCTACCTTTAGAAAAGCATATGAGGCGCTCTGGATGCCTGGTGTCCGGCCGGACATGTCGTTCCTCGTGCAGGTAAAGCTGGTGCTTGCTCTTGGGGTAGAAGCCGCCGATGGTGACACCTCTTTACGGGACAGCGCTGTCAGGTGGGTCTGCGAAGGTCAGACTTGGTTCTCTGCACCTGCATTCAAGTCACACCTGACCCTTCAATCCCTGCAGACCAAAACACTTCTTTTACTTGCCCGCGAAAAATCAAGCGTCGGAGCCGATTTGGTCTGGATATCTGCCGGATCGCTCTTGAGGACCGCGGTGTACATGGGTCTGCACAGAGATCCGGAGGACCTGCCCAAGAAGTCGCTCTTCGCAACTGAGATGCGCCGTAGAGTGTGGAATACAATTTTGGAGGTTGCCTTGCAATCGAGTATGACCTCGGGGGCGCCACCACTGATTTCTCTGGACGACTTTAACACCAGGATGCCAGGCAATTTTGACGATGAACAACTGATGAGTACGGACACCGGACCAAAGCCGGACCACACCTTCACCCAAGTGTCCGTCGCCAGAGCTCTTCGCAAGACATTTCCTATACGCCTTGCTGTTGTCAAGTACTTGAACGACCTTCACACTCACTCTCGGTACGAAGCGATGCTTCCACTGGATGAAGAGCTGAGAGCGGCATATAAGGGCGTGTGTCGAGCTCTGCAGCAAGCCAGCAAACAGCCTGGTGGCCCGGGTTTCCAGTTTGCCTTTCGGATGGTCGACTTACTCATGTTACGCTACATCTCGAGTCTCCACATTCCCTGGTACGAAAATTCGATCAAAGACAAGACCTTTGAGTTCTCCCGGAGAACCCTGATCGACACCCTGCTCAAGATCTGGTATAGTCTATTTCAGCCTTCTTCAGCTCTATTAGGTCTGGCCAACAGTGGAGAAAACTCCGCGGATCCGGACTGTCTGCAGCGTCTTGTCGTGGGGAGAGGGTGTATATTCCAGGCCGCAATCATTGTTGCGGCCGAAGCTCGAGCACAGCTGCAAGAACAGGAAAGCTTGACCACCGTACGACCAGACCTCCTCGCCATTATCTTCGACACGAAGAAAATGTGCTTGGAAAGCATTAAGGACGGCGAGACAAACATCAAGGGCTATTTATTCTCATCCATGATCTGCACACTACTGAAAATGATCATGCGAGGAGTCAACGAGGAGGACCATGCAGCGTTACTTGTCAAGGCTGCGGAAGAGGCTATGGACACGGTGCTGCCTATACTTGAGGAGAAGGCAGCCCAGGCACGGAGCCAGGACGAGGCAGATCCTCTGGACCCGTTTTCGTTGATCACACCGGCCGACTTTGGGGAGGAGTGGGACTTTATGGTAAGTGAGGCGACGTTGTGATTGTTGAAAATTTTGCTGACCATGTTCGTTCAGATGCCCGATGCACAATTTGGTCTGGATGATCTCGGGCCAATGAGTGGGATGTTCAATGACGGGAGTATGCAGCAGCCATGGTAATTGTGAGAGTAACTGAACATATCGTCTCTTCCTGTCGACATAAAGTACTACAGACACCGCGCAGATACTCGGTGTGCATGGCTGGTACGCTTGCAGGCGGCCTTTCCTACGATAAGATACTCTCATCGTACCTCGGCGTGCTCCGGTACTTTCTTGCAAATCACTCCATGTGACGTCACATGGTTTACGTACTTTTCCAAGCCGATCTTGAACAGGCACCGATTTACTTTCATTGATAACCCCTCCACCTCTTGCGCCTTCTCTCGTGTGCCCTCTCCCTTCTTTCGAGCCCCAGCACCATACCTGCAGACCTTGCTATCCCATCCAACAACTTTGATAACAATCAAATACAATGTTGCAAAACATCCTCCTCCCCATCCTCTCTTTGTGCTTGACTCTCGCTTCCGCCGCTCCTGTCTCTGGTGATGCCTTAACAACTTTGGGCCACCACCACAACAACAACAATATCGGTTACGGCACTGGCGGTGGCATAGCTGGATTGATCATCTTGATCCTCGATATTATTGTCATCGGTATGTAACCACCTCCTCGTATAGCAATGTCACGAAACGGCAAACTGATTGTACTGCAACAGTCGAGGTTCTCCAATCGACTCGTCCAGCTAGCCACAAGCTCCTTTGGATCCTTGTCGTCCTTCTATTCCCACTTGTCGGAATGATTCTCTACTTTCTCTTCTCCAACCGCGCACAGCACAAGTCTGGTGGCTCTTATGAGCCTATTCCATAAATGGAGACCACCGATCGTCTCCAACAAACCTGTTCAACCATCCGAGCCAACAAACAACATCGAATGGTATTGTTGTTTCAAGAGATGACATGAACTTGTCAGCAAATAAGCTTCCTCGGGTGAGCAGCGAAGGCGAGGGAACGATGCATGTGTAGTATTGGGTGGCATACGTCTCCATGCAGTCAGAAATAAGGAAACGAGTGTACGCAGGAGAGTTTAGAAGGATAGAAGATAAGGTCCGCTTGCTCAGCGTTGCTGAGATTACGTCCTTTTGAAGCCATAATGAACATATTGTTTGAGGTAGATCAAGGTGGAGTACAGCCTCGAAATTTGAATGACATATCGTATGTTGCAAATGCTTATAATATATGAACAATGCTCAGCGCAGAAACTTCCTTTCCAGCTCACGCATCGCAGCATCTCCTTGAAGTTCAAATATGTCAGATACTGGCGCTATTTCACCCTCGACGCCTGCAATGCCGTTCTCTTCGACGATCTGAGCGAGCGTACGTTGCATAGCACTGACCGCCGCCCGAATAGCATGATTGCCACAAATGACAAGACCGACCTTATTATCGGTAAGCTTTGCTATCTCATCGAACGAGAGCTGTGGATAACTCGTCGGCACAATGACCAACGGCACAGTCCCTGGCCAAGCTTGACAAAAGGACAATATCTCATCAGGAGTCTTCTGTTTGCTGTGGATCAATATCGCATCTGCGCCGGCCTCGACGTACGTGATACCACGCCGGATCGCTTCTTCTTGTCCCAGGCCGGCGATTAGTGCTTCTGTGCGTGCGATGACCAGCATCGAGCAAGACGCTTTGGCAGCGGCTATCTTGCCTTGAAATTCCTCTGTTGAGACTAGTAATTGACGTCCTCCGGGCCGGAGACTGCTGTCTTTGGGAAAGGTCTTGTCTTCCAGGACGATTGCGGCTACACCTGCCGCCTCGTAGCGTGGGACAGTGTAGGCCACGTTGATGGCGTTACCGAAGCCAGTATCCAGATCGGCGATTATAGGTAGATCCTGAACCTCGGCCATGGCGCGCGTCATCTCAAGGTGAATGTTTGGTGAGAGGACACTGGCGTCTGGGACGGCGTACGAGGCTGAGAGCTCGAAGCCGCTAGCCCATATGGCGTCGAAGCCATAGGTTTGTGCTACAAGTTTGGCTGATAGGGGGTTGTGAGCGGCCACTGCGATTGCTGGCTTGCCTATGCGCGCCGACAACCTCGCACGGAGGGCGTTGATTTTTGCTCTTGCAGCCATCGTGTGCTATGTTGAAGTTCAGCATTTTCGGCTCGGCGACATTCCTTTCAGTATGAGATGGGCTGGAATTATAGTCGACAACATCGGTTTTCGTGCCGGGTTCTCCTGGTGACCGCAGCCTTGCCGTCGCGTTCACGTGACAAGGCTGTCTATTGGAATGACGTATCGGAATGACAAAGGCGCATTCACTTATGTATTCTGTTTATGTCGCGACGCCACCGATACTGTGATTCTCGTCACTGTATATATACTATTTTCTGCATACAGTGAAGCTTTTATTGTCGGTTGCTGTTAGTAGCGCGTCAACGCTATGGCAGAAATCGCGCAGCGGACCCAACTTGATACTCTGCATCTTTCATGACACCATCGTTCAGCCTTGACATCAACTTTGCCGCGCATTTGTACAGGGCGCTTTGTTACTGATTTTGATTATTGAACTTTCTTGGATAGCGATTGAGAGCGTCAACATGGGAGTGTCATCACAAGAACCCTTGACATTTGACTTGAAGTCTCTACCACCAGTCTTCGTCCTGCAAAGCCATCTGCAGTCCGATGACCTTCACAAGTGGGAAGACCTGATCTTCAAGCTGGGTGGCTCTTTGACATACAATGCTACGGAAGCAAGAGTGTTCATAGGCAAGGTTGGTCAAAAGAAGCGTGCAGCGTTCGATCTGAGGGCCAAGGAAGTATGGACTGAAGAGTCAGACCTGCCGGAAGTCAAATCCCCTGAAGAGTCTGAAGGCGGAGAACCTCCTCGGAAGAAAGCCAGGCTCGAAGGAAGTGAGCACGATGTGAAACCCGAACAGAGACGAGAGAGTTCAAGCTCGAGCACGACCTTATCCGTAGCAACCGTGAGCGATACTCAACAACCACATCTTTCCTGGCCGGATCTTACCAACCATGTCCTCGTTCTCAAGCTAGGCTGGCTGGAGTCATGCATCAAACAGGACCATCTAGTCCCGTACAAGCCGTTCGTTGTCTACACCGCCAAGATCACTGCCGCACCACAAGACGAAAAGCCGCCGAAGGCTCTTGCAGACACAGCCTCATACGTCAAGACCAGTCCATCGGCCGTCCCAGCCTCGTCATCAAGAGTGTCCAATGTGGCCAGTTGCACATCCATACTGGAACGCGCAAAAGCTGAAGCCGCCACCCTACCGTCAACACCCACCTCCTATCCAACCCGCCGCCGATACGGCGACCACGGCCAAACCAGCCCGCAATCCACCAAACACCCGCCCAAACTTCACCGCACCACGACATCCGAGTTCGAAGACCTAGCAGCCAACCCACTTCCCCCTTTGCCAGATTGGGCCACGGGACCCAACGCTGCATACTCGTGCTGCCGTTCGACGCCCATGCACTCTCCCAACGCAGCGTTCATCGAGCAATTGAGCAAGATCAAAGAAGCCCGTCTTCTGACACTCGACGACATCGGAGTGCGCGCATACTCGAGTTCCATCGCCAGTCTGTCCGCGTATCCACATAAGATTCGGCACCCGGAGGAGATCACCCGCTTGCCAGCTTGCGAGTCCAAGATAGCTACTCTCTGGAGCGAGTGGTTTGCCTCAGCTGAAGACGATACAGATCGACATATCCAAAATGTCATCGACCTCGACAACGATGCGGACCTTCAGCACCTGAAGCTGTTTTGGAACATATGGGGCGTTGGACCCGAAACAGCGCGCAAGTTCTACTTTGAGCGCGGCTGGAAAGATCTAGATGATGTCGTCGAGTTCGGCTGGGCTAGTCTCACTCGGGTACAGCAGATCGGCGTGAAATACTACGACGAGTTCATCGAGAAGATCCCTCGCGCGGAAGTCGAGGTTATCTCCGATGTGATCACCCGTCATGCCAGACTTGTACTCGACATCAAGCCCGAGCAGGAAGGTACAAACGAGGACGTTGACTGCGTCATTGTCGGCGGGTATAGGAGAGGCAAGGACCTCTGCGGCGATGTCGACGTGGTGCTGTCTCATCGTGACGAGAATAAGACGGCGAATCTAGTCGTTGATATCGTGAGGAGTCTCGAGGGCGAGGGCTGGATCACGCATACTTTGACGCTGAACACTACGAGTACTGATCGTGGACAAGCGACGTTGCCGTACCATGGGAGTCACCGTGGCCATGGATTCGACTCGCTTGACAAGGCGCTTTGTGTGTGGCAAGATCCGAACTTTGAGGCTACCGAGGAAGGTGCCAAGAATCCGAATATCCATCGGCGTGTTGATATCATCATCTCGAGTTGGCGGACTGTCGGGTGTGCAGTACTTGGATGGTCAGGCGGTACGACGTTTCAGCGCGATATTAGGCAATTTGTGGCTAAGACTCGGGGGTTGAAGTTCGATAGCTCGGGAGTGAGGGATCGGGGGAATGGATTGGTTTTGGATCTGGAAGCGGCGAGGCCGAAGAGAAAAGATGCTATAAATGAAATATATAAGGGCAAGATTCCTGAGGGGAAAGACGGCGATGAGTGGGATGATGGGGATACGTGGCAGGATCGGGAGAGGAGACTCATGGATGGTTTGGGGTTTGGATATCGGGATCCGAGGGAGAGATGTACTGGTTGATTCATGAAGAGCTGTTTTGGGTGGTGATGGGACAGGAGAGGTTGGACTGGCGAGACTGGCATATTGGGATTGTGCTGCAAAGTTTGGACATAGGATTTTTTGGCCGTGGAGCTTCTGGATATCACTCAACGGCGAGCGGTTTGGAATAAGTTAGCGATGGGACGAACAATGCACTACATGGATGATTCACAGAATGATAGCTGTCCGTTTTTGTCCTTTATGATAACACTTTTTCTGTCAAATCGCCAGCAAAACCCAGGTATTCTACATTGTGACCTAGCCCAACCGAGACCGGTGCTCAACTATGAAGCGCGAGCGCTACCTCTTCTTCTTGCCAATGCTAGTATCCACACTGCCGACAAACCATGCCACGGCAAAGACCGCCGAGACACTGGCAAAGATAGTCACAGGCTTCCTCAAAGCCGCAAGGAATGTATACTGGTAAGTCACCAGGACAGTGATATCTCTCGCGTCATCAACAACATTGTTGGCAGAAAGCTTCAGCTCTGTACGACCAAGTGTGTCCATGAAAGTCTTGTGCAAGCTGTGTTCGGCGTGGAGCGTTGGGACGCCAGTGCCGCCGTAGGTTTGGTATTGCACGTTCGTAGCGCCTTCAGGGAGAATGACACGCAGCACGAAACGCTCGTACTGGATTCCTTCGGGCATCTTGGGCCCTTCGAGTAGAGGCACAGACAGGACGTATGTGTCCGATGGGGTCTTGGGTTTGCGCAAGAAGGAAGAGAGTGCGTTGTTCCAACCGATACGGAAACTGTATTTCCATCCACCAAAGATAGGGTAGCGAGGCTTCAGCTCGAGGCTGGCTTCGCGGACGTTGTTCGGTCGGAACCGTGATGTCGAAACGTTGCCGATGTCGTCGGTGAAGTAAGGGTCGACGCTGCCTGGTTTTAGGGGTACCTTGAGCTCTCGTAGGGCCGAGGTGCTCAGCTGACCGGCGTTGATGTAGAAGCTTTGTGTGCTCCAGGATACGCGGGAGAACTGGTTGGCCAGTGTGGCACCATCGTGTCGGAGCCAGAATCGCTCTTCCGACGCGAGGTTACCTCCCCAGTGGGAGACTTCGACATCTCGCTCAAGTAAACTGCATACAAGGAGTGGCTTATTGAACTCGTAGCGGACGGTGACTGGGTAGACGGTGCCTACTGGGACCTTTGCCGTCTCGTATGGTCCGTAGTTAAAGAATAAGCCTTGCTTCTCTGGGTCCGCATTCGAAGTCAGTCCCTTTGTGGTTGTGTATTCTGGGACGTCTGCCGAAGGGAACTTGACTTTGGTTTTCTGTTTGATGGTCGTGTACGCCGTCGCGATGTAGGCAGAGAAATCGTACGTGAGGTATTGTTTGTCTTCTTGCTTGATGGATGCTGGCAGAGGTTTCAGCGCACCGAGGATATTGTAGGATATGGATAGAGTTGCGGTCTCTTTGGGAGGTAAGGGCTCGTCGAGATGGATGATATAGTATTGAGTAGCTCTGTGTAGATCAGTGAGCAAGTTCCTATTGCAGGCTGTTGAGGTGTTCTTACTTGGGAGAGTCAACTTGACCGTCAAGAACGTTGGCCAATGCAGCAACGGTGACTTCCAATGGTCCTCGCTCAGCATTCTTCTTGTCCCGGGCGTCGAAGCCCCCTATTCTGCCAACCAGATCATAGTCGAGGGGGACATAGTAATCTGACTGAGGTTCCTTGTCGGTGTTGGTAATCAGAACATTCGTGGTCTCTCGAACGTAGCCTCTCTCAAGGTTGATGGTCCGGACGACATTCGTATTCTCGAATACCTGAGGAGGCTCGAAGTCGCCGGAGAGGAACTTCTGTGTCCCTTGTGGTGTGGTGAGATTGGATTCGGCACTTGATGCTGTAATGCACAGTCCTAAGACTGCGCTTACCAGGGACGAGAACCTCATCCTAGCGCCTTGTTGGAAGGAAGTTTCAATGCAGCATCGTCGTAAGTTACAAGTATTTCAATCTGGCCAGCGTGGAGAAGCGCCGTGTTGACTGCGGAGGTCGACGAATCGCGCTTTGATGCCGCATGTACCACCGAAGAAAATGCTACGGAGAATCTCTTGACTTTGTAACGTACTTTTGCGATCTGACATCCCTGTGGCTTTGATTGGTGGAAGCTCTTCGTACGTCTAGCATTCGACTTCGCAATTTATCCCAGAGATCCCAATCGTGCCGTGGTCAAACAACAGCGCACCATGGCTTCCAAGCTCGTGCCTCAGTTGGTGCGCCAGGCCACGAGGGCTGTCTGCAAGGCTCCTTGCAGACAACCATTCCATCCCAGACAGTTCTCAAGCACGCCCGTATCGCGGAGCGAGGCTTTGTACGTGGTATGTTACGCCTCCTAGCGAGTTGATTGACCGTGCCTCTGACAGGAAAACAGCACCGCGATACCGACTTCAACAACCCGAACATCCCTTTCAAGTTCAATGAGACCAATCTCCGCCTCATCGATGAGATCACCAAACGATACCCTCCCCAATACAAAAAGGCAGCAGTAATGCCACTGCTAGATCTAGGCCAGCGGCAGCATGGCTGGACCTCGATCAGCGTAATGAATGAAGTCGCCCGCATACTTGAAATGCCTCCAATGCGTGTCTACGAAGTTGCGACGTTTTATACCATGTACAACCGCGAGCCGGTGGGCAAATACTTTGTGCAGGTATGCACGACGACACCCTGCATGTTGGGCGGATGTGGCAGCGACAAGATTATGAAGGCTTGCGAGGACTTCCTCGGTGTCCACTCAGGTCACACGACAGAGGACAAGATATTCACCTTACTCGAAGTCGAGTGTCTGGGAGCATGTGTGAACGCGCCAATGGTCCAGATCAATGATGATTACTTTGAGGATCTGACCCCGGAGACGATGACAACCCTGCTGCAAGCTTTGAAGGATTCGGCAACAATCAGTGGGTTTGATAAGAGTAAGCTGCCGCGACCGGGTCCGCAACCTTTAGACGGAAAGCAACGGATGACATGCGAACCAGGTGCTGGTTTGACCTCTTTGAAGGGCGAGCCCTACAAGCAGCAGGACCTCATGAGAACCGACGGAGAGTTGTAGGGGGTCTACAGCGTGGTTTTACTGTGGCATCATCAGGAATAAGCAGGGCGTGGGCAGACCAGTCACGTTTGTGGTCGGCGGTCAAATTGTGGACGTGCAGAGGACTGTACATTGGGCGCCCTCTTCCGTTAAATCGAAAACTGGCCAGATTCTTGCAACAAATTGAGCACAATGAATGGTCACAAGTTGCAAAAAAGAAATGAGGGCTCAGAAGACGATCAGGTTTTAAGTCATCCATGTATCTCCAGCATGGAAGTAGACATGTCCGCTTACGCTCATCTTTTTTTCATCATTGTCCTAAGAGATTTGAACTGGTCATCGACGGCACTATGCGCCTACACCGCAGATATGAAAGATTGGACCTAGGCTCGAAAACTGGGGTCAACTTTTAACAAGAATCGCGAGTTTTCACTACCTAAGGGCGCCCGCCGCTTCTGTTTTTTGTTATGGTCGCATGTGTGTGAGTCCTGCTTTATGTGCTTTCATGCTCACTCACGATGACTATGATACTGGGGTGGTGGAGACGAGGAGCCGCTTATGAAAATCAAACCAGCTTTTTTATTGCCCAATCCGTATCTGCTATGGTGCCTGACAATGTCCCGAGTTGGTCCCCTTACGATACGTGGAAAGAGTATGCTGAAATCCCAATCATGAATCCTTTTCACATCTCAGTTCATTCTGGTCAATCGACCGTCTCAGTTCCAACTATGTCCCTGTCGCTTTGAGCCCCATCCAGCCAGAACCCAGTGCTCCAATGTTGCTCCCATTAGTCATGTCATGCGAGTCATGCATAAAATTCCGAGAATTAGAATCAGTGTCGTATGAGATGACACGACCTATGTCGCGTTGGTCCACAAAAAGTGGTAAGTCGTGTTTGATCAGATGTAAATGGATTTGAGGGCAGATTGTTGAAGGGCTGGGGCGGGTACGATGCTCTGCAATGGCGGCGTAGGTGGTGGCGAAGGCTCTGGAGTAGATACACCTGGTGAATATGACCACCCGTTCCCACTTGAAGTGCCATATTCTGGAAGTGGCAGTCCTGGAGGCGGAGACGGATGAATGCCATTACTGATGTAGACGAACGGCGATTGCTTCGTGGCTAGGTCGCCATTAACGATTGTGAAGCCGGCGGCGGCCATCTCGTCGTCTGACATGGTGATCAAGTTGTCGCTCTCCCATACTTCATCAGAAAAAGGAATCTCGAAAGCATCCATTTCATCGATGGCTGGGATCACAGCGGATCCGGCTCCGGTCGAAGGAACTCCGAATGAAGGCACCGTCAACTGCCAGTCCATCTGATCACCAAAACGTTTCGAATACACCATCGTCCAGGTGAGGTCGCCTTCGTACTCCTCGCCGTTGCCAGGCTTCTCGACGTCACTTTGATTTGCCTTGATTGCGATATGTTCCAGAGGACATTCACAGATGCACTTGTCAACGACATACTTCTCCACCCTTGCTTTCAATCTGTTGTCACCGATACTGTCTTTAGCCACGAACCATTGTTGGCGCCCGCCATTGCTGAACCACCCGCTGAAAGATATCAAGGCAAGCTTGAGATCTGTCTTGAAGTGTTTGATCAACTTGACCCAGCACTCTCGGCGATCCTCTCCACCTAGTAAAGTGATGTTTGAAAGTTCCAATCGCCGTAACGTGGAAGAGTGAATCTTTAGAAACTGCATAAGATCTTCATCGTGGCATATGCAGGCATCAATGATCAATGTCTCCAACCGCGGCAGAAGAGATCGGGATACCCAGCCCCCTGTGGGAGTTTCCAGAAGCCCCACCAGATCAGACATGAGTTCGTCGTCAGAGTATTGGTATCGGCTGACACTGCAGTCTGTGAGGCGAATTCTGAGATGTTTGAGCTTCTTTGCTGATCGGAGGAGTGATTGAAGTGCTTGAATGTGATTTGCCGTGGTAACGAGTGTATCGTTCCGGAAAGCGAGTTCGAGAGACTGCAGGTTTTCCATCACCTCGTGATAAATGCCCAATTGCTGGAGTGCTACGGCAGGCTTCATAGGGACAACCCCAAACAAGGCTCGACCATCGACATTGCTCGTCTTGAAGGTGTGAAGTCGGTTACCTGCTGAGAATGCAGCGGTCAGGACACCCTTGGTATAGGACCTACCCGAACTCCCTGCCATTGTGCAGAAATTGACCACTTTAGGGTCAATCTTAACCAGTTGACACATCTTGTGATAGAAGAATGGGACCTTGAGCTGTGAGGAGTCGCCTCGCATTTCCAGAGTGTCCTCGTAATCCCAGACGCGAATCTCGCGTAAATTCGGCAGCATTCTGAGCGCTTTGATGAGTATGGCGACTTCCACTGACATATCTTCATACGGTTGAAAACGACCTTGAGCGGCTCTCTCTAGCAACCTTTCGCCTTGAGCTTTCTCTGCTTTGGTGTAGGACAGTGCTGGGTCCGGTGTGATGTTCTTGATACTGTGGAAGAATGAGCCAAATCGGGCATCGTAAGTGAGCTTCGTCACATGACGGGCAACCTTTGATCGTTTCATGGCCTTGACGAAGCCGAGGATGCATTGATCGTTGGGAACCAGGACGATTTTGCGCCATAGATATGGATCGGCCAATTGCGCCAGGCTTCTTGATGCCAGTCGTACATTTTTCAATGTAGCACGCGGACATTTCTGGATGATGAGTACGACGATTTCATTCGGAAGATCTGGAGTATAGCCTCGATTTGGCATAGTGGTTAGAGAGGCCATGGTGAGGTTAAGGACATGGGGTATTGAGTAGCATTGAGGATTCTATATGTGGCGAGGAGGATGTGATGTGAAATGATTGAAGTGTGTGTCAAATAACAGCCACAAGCATAGCCTTGTAGGACGCTGAGGCTGCCTTGCGCTTGAGTTGGTTAGTGCGGTTGCCTATTGAAGAGGAGTTATTCAGGAAGATTAGCGATTGATTGCTCAAAGATCTTGAGTGTGGAATATTGGACCGCTGGGCTTGTGAGTCAGTTGCTCACAGCGTTTGTCTGTGAGGCTTGTGATAATAAGGGAAATTGTAAGACAATTGAACAACTCATTCACCAATGCCACTGAGGATGATTCGTGAACCAGCAAGGGTCAGCAACAACCAACCAATCGATGATTTCACCTAGAATCTTGGCTTTCCCAGCCACTGTGCGACATAGCAGACAGATGTTATTACTTCGTAGCAAAGATACTTCCTTCCAGGCTTGAAAATGAGGCGATCATCAAAAGCAAAGTGGAAAGAGGCCTAATGTGATATGAGGGGCACAAGTTTCAAGCCTCTGGAGCCTCGGTGAAGAAATGACCGCGTCAGACAATAGATCTAAGTGGATGTCCATTGATATGTACATGTCATTCTGTGTCATATCAAAAGCATCTTTTTCGCAGCAGGAGGAAGCAATCCAACCTCACCAACGTTGATCCCAGTCGAGACGAACAGGCGTTCATGTTGGAACGACGTCAAAAAGGGAAAAAGACTTCCTGGGTCCGTCTCATCTGTATCGAGGTCTAAAAGAGACGCCGCGGGGTTTACCGAGAGGCTCATTATGGTTTCCAAAGCCACCCTGCAAAGTCAACACCCACGTTCTCAATGCGCGTGTCCCATTGGCGCGCGACCACCGCTGCCAGAGGGGAGATAAAGTAACACCCTTACGCAGAAACCTACCACCCAACAGCCAGGACCTGTGCTTTCTGGTACCTATGCAGCATGGCAGCTGCGGCGGGGTTCTGATATTCTTTTTCTGACTTTGAGCTCCAGGGTTACGAAGCTTCTGCAGCTGCTGTGCACCTTTGACGTATTCTGGTCTTGCATTTCTTTTCCTCACCTCGAATCCTTACCTCTGCTACAGTCGTGCTGCGAATTGTTGCTGCCGAGGACCACTGTCAAAGGCTCCGGCTTGCGGTTCCGCTCTAGCACACGATGAAATTCGGCCAACAGCTGCAGCAGTCCCTCATCAAGGACTACTACTGGCACTACATTGCCTACGATGAACTGAAAAACGCCCTCAAAAAGCCCTTCATTAATGGCAAGAGCGGAGAACGAGAGCCATGGACCGACGATGACGAAGCGAACTTCATTCGGATGCTCGAGGCGGAGTTGGACAAGGTCTACACATTTCAGAAACTAAAGAGCCAGGAAATCATCTCGAGGATAAAGTCAAGCGAGGGCGAGGTCAAGCACGTTCTTGACCGTCAGGAACAACAACAGGGCGCCTCCGACTCCGAGACCGATAGCGACCTCGAGAACGACTTTGACCTTCTTGAGCAAGATCTGAGTGACATTATCGCCGATGTCCACGATTTGGCCAAGTTCACCCAATTGAACTATACGGGTTTCCAGAAAATCATCAAGAAGCACGATAAGCAGACTGAACTGATCCTACGACCCTCTTTCGCTACTAGGCTTAAGGCCAAACCCTTCTTTCAAGACAATTACGATGCCTTCATCGTCAAGCTCTCTAAACTCTACGATCTCGTCCGTACCAGAGGTCATCCCGTCAAGGGCGATAGCTCTGCTGGCGGTGGCCAACAAAATTTCGTCCGTCAGACAACAAAGTACTGGGTGCATCCAGATAACATCACCGAGCTCAAACTCATCATCCTCAAGCACTTACCCGTCTTAGTCTTCAATGCCAACAAAGAATTTGAAGAGAAGGATTCATCTATATCGTCAATCTACTACGATAACCCGGAGACGTGGGAACTATACATGGGTCGTCTAAAGAAGACTGAGGGGGCCGAGGCCATTCGTCTGCGATGGTACGGCGGCATGGAGAATGAGACTATCTTCGTCGAACGGAAGACCCATCGGGAAGACTGGACTGGTGAGAAGTCCGTCAAGGCTCGATTCACACTGAAGGAGAAAAACGTCAACGCATTCCTGGCTGGAAAGATGACTGTTGAGGAGGCCTTTGCGAAGATGAGAAAGGAAGGCAAAAAGAGCATCAAAGAGATCGAAGACCTCGAACAACTCGCTCGAGAAATCCAGTACCGAGTCGTTACCCGAAAATTGGTACCTGTTTGCAGGTCCTTCTATCACCGTACCGCCTTCCAGCTTCCTGGCGATGCTCGAGTGCGTATCTCGTTGGATACCGAGCTCACCATGACCCGTGAAGACAACATGGATGGAAAGCAAAGGTCAGGCAAGAATTGGAGACGAATGGACATTGGCATTGATTGGCCATTCCCACAACTACCTCCTGGGGACGTTGAACTATTTCCTTATGCCGTCCTCGAAGTCAAGCTGCAGACTCAAGCTGGTCAAGAGCCACCTCAATGGGTTCGTGATTTGACATCGAGCCATCTCGTTGAAGCAGTACCCAAGTTCTCAAAGTTTATTCACGGATGCGCCACCATGTTTCCCTCCAGGATCGACCTCCTGCCGTTCTGGATGCCTCAAATGGACGTCGACATTCGAAAGCCCATAACTCACCGGTTTGGCATTGAACGTCCTGCAAACACGGCAAGCTACTCGACTAGTGACGTCGATGACGATGATGACGATTCCGACGTTGAGTACGGACAGGCCACTGGCAAGTCAACACCATTCACCGAAGGCTCTGTTGATGGCGACGACGAACAAACCCGCCGTCTAAAGGCAGCTAGGCTCGCTCTCGATGAACACCATCGCGCTCAAGAAGTAGATGACCGCGAGAATGGTCATGCTGCTCCTGGAAACTCCTTGGACGAGGAAGAGCGTGTCGCTGCCAGGCCAGTGGATAATGACGAGTATCTCTACGACTCCGATTACGAGGACGATGAGCACGAGAACGAACTCGAGGAAGCTCGCCGTAGCGGATCGTGGCATTACTATCCACTCCTCGCGAAACACCATGCTCTTGTTGCCAGCGATGCGATCGTCAAGCTCTTCCACAAGGTTCCCACGAGCAATCCTCTCCCACAAAATGGCAGCATTGGCGGCGTCAACCCACAGGGCGGCCAGGTGCAAGTCAAGCGCTTCAAGGCGCCACCAGGCAAACGTATCCACGTTCCCGTCAGAGTCGAGCCCAAGGTGTACTTCGCCACCGAACGTACCTTCCTGTCGTGGCTCGAGTTCAGCATCATCATCGGCTCGATTGCCGCTGCACTGCTCAATTTTGGTGACAGCGTCAGTCTCGCATCCGCGTGGGCCTTCACCTTCGTCGCGTGCGCAGCCCTGGTGTATAGTGTCGTGATATACTGGCTGCGTGTTGAGATGATTCGCAAGCGCAGAGCCACCGTTTCGCGGTATTACGACAAGTACGGCACGACTGGATTGTGTATTGGCCTTTTCACCGCCACCGCCATTACTTTCATTTTCAGGATCAAGGAAAACGGGTGGGCGGAGAAGACCACCCTTGTACATCAATAAGTGTCTGCAAGTATGTCAGTCCATTACAGCCTGCAAGGAAAGCAGAGCAATATGAGGTAATAGACAGGGGAGTCGATAGCCAAGTGGTGGTTTGTCCGAATAGCCATGATTAATACCCCAAAAATGCCATGGCCTATAGCCAGTACGTTTCGGACGTACACGCTATACAGTACCGAGGTCGTATTGTTCGCCTGTGCAAAGTGCAGAATAGTGTATAGCCACCAGATAGTTAATGTGAAGCACGTGTCAACAGGTTGGCTTTTTCTCCGGCTCTATGTGTGTCGCCCATCGCTCGTCTCGATGAAACTGAATGGACCATGAAGTCGTTACTTGGATTGTTAGGGTCGGGTACATTCCAGCTATGTGTACCAAGAGAAGCAAAGCTTCTGAATGCACTGAGGTGTTCGGCATCCGTGTCTCGACCCAACTTTCGACATTAATCATCTTCAATGTCATCATCCGAAATGTACAGTTTGTCCATGGCAGATGCGTCGACGTCCGCCGCATGATGATCGTGTCTCGCCGCCGCTAATTGACCTGTTTTAGCAGCGAGTCCTGACGGTTTGGTCCCAGAGCCTGCACCGACTATTCCATTAGTCCTACCCTCGTGAATCTCATTTGTGGCTGCAGCTTCACCATCCTCGAAGCTCTCATCGCCCGCCTCAGCAGACGACAAGAATGCAGCAGGTTTGAACTTCGTGATGCGTTCAAGGAGGGAAGTATCCTTTTTCCGACCCACGAAGATTTGAGTCATGTAAGGCAGAACCTCGAGCGTCAATGTATCCTTTGTGTGCCGAAGCGGCCGGGTGAGGCTGCTCTCATCATCCTCCTCATCGCCGTCTGTACCAGCTTCAGCGGTAGAAGCGGTGGCGGCAAATGTTCTGCTCTGCCAGCTTGCGACACCATCATCATGCGCTGCTGTGCCTTGTCCGGAGGCCAAGCCTGTGCCGGACTTTCCGATACCTTCTGCGCCATAGATAAACATATCGATAAGACTTTCGAGCTCTTCCGTCGGTTTCCACAGTCTCAAACTTGCAGGGTAGAACATCTTGTACGTGTCACCTTTCCGACCACCTGGTGGAGATGCTCTATTGACTGGGTATGGTAGATTGAATAAGAGCCCTCTCGTCGCTACCTGAAAACTGATTTCGTCTTGACGGAGAGTATCCGACGACCCAGCTTGCAGACTGGCCTGGATAATGGTCGCATTGCTAGATTTCGCACGTCGTGAAGGTCTGCTGTCAGGGTTTAAGATGTCGCTCGATGACAGAATCTCCGAACATTCATCGAAGCAGTTCTCGAACGTGTCGCCATTGCACGACAAAACATAATTCTCGTGTAGCGTAGAGATGAATGTCTGAATGTCTGTTCCCGTCTCGTTGAGCAGTGCTTCGATATCGACTTGTGACACCTTGGGTGTGTACTGGTGCATGAGATGATCCGGCGGTTTAGGCGGTGGTTCGGCTCGAGTATCTAAAACTCTTGGGTCTTCTCGTTTGTTGTACACGATTTTACCTGCGGCATGGAACATGTCGAGCGTGGTCTCGCGTTGACTGACCAGCTGTAAAGAGTTCTTCTCCATTTCTGTCAATGGCACACTGTCCTTCGACGTCTTCTTGGCCTTTACAGCGACTGTCCCAGACCATTCTGCTCCATCACCGCCCCGCAGGCAGAGGAATTCAAGCGAATTGACTGCGCTTCTCACGTCACCCATCTCGGCTAGTTTCTGGATGATGGCAGGTCCTGGCATACGACGTCGACGTGAGTCTCTTGCTTCTTTCTTCATGACGAGATCCAGAGCCTTGGTGACGAAAGTAGGTGCTACTGGGTTAAACTCCATAACCGTCACGAACGGGTGATTGAGGATCTCAGGTCCAAGAAGCCTGTGGGCCGTGAAACTATCCGACAGTGCAGTCGAAGATGAAATCAGGGTTTCGGAGATGATGATGACCACCGGGGGGGACACCTCACTCGAGCTCTCTTTACCAAGGAATCTGGCCGAGGATGTTGGTCGACTTCGTGCGAGGTATTGCAGAATGACGGATCTGAATGATTGTAGGGCGTTGGACAGTCTCGTCAACGTGGCCGGAAAGTCTTCAATGACCAGAACTCGATGGGAAGAATCTGCCAGCTGTTGATCTGCAGCCGTTGTCTCCTGGTGAAAGGCAAGCCCGCCGAATTGACCACCGCGATTGAGAAATTCGTCGAATTGCGCTGCTATCGTGGCACCGAGATCCGAGGCGTTGGGATTATGCCATGAGACCAACTGCAAGCCCATAGCCTTTGCGAGCAATGACAGCGTCATGGTCTTGCCGCTGCCCGCAGGTCCTTTCAAAACGAGTACTTTCTGGGCATTTCGTCCATCGATTCTGCCTTGTAGCCAGTTCTGCACGTCTGCGACTTTCTTCTTGTGCACAACAAGCTCCTCAAGATTGCTGGGACCATATCGATCTGCCCAAGGATGGTGACCTTCGTCTTGAGGCTGGTCGTGCAGCACATTGGTATCGAAAGGACGAGTGACTTGCGCCGGTCGAACAAACCGTTGACTCGAAGGTAGACTTGAGCCATTTGCCGCAGACTTGAGGCCGATACCGACTGGAGGGACAGGTTTCCGTCTGTCCAAGGGAGCACTGGCTGTGTCTGTCTTGACTCCAAGTTCCCGTAAGGTATCTTCGGACAATTCATCATCATCAATGTCTTCAATGGCATCACCTAGTTCCCCGTCTCCTATGTTGACCTCTGGTGTCTCCGATCTCTTCCGCCATCGTTCATCCTCTGTGGCTTTGCCAAAGAAGTTGTGCAGCGACTTGGACTTCTCAGGCTCGTTCTTGGATCTTGTACCTTTTCTTGCTTTCTCAGGCGAGGACTTCGGCGATGACTTGACGGCTGTCTTCGTCGAGGCTAGCTTCACTTTTGCTTTCTTCGCGGGCGACACAGTCTGGGACGTCTTTCCGTCAAGCGTGATCTCGCGCTGTATGCCAGACTTCGGTGCATTGGTGGTGGGCAATGCATGGGCTTCGTCGCTATCGTCGGAAAGCACAATCGTCGAGCGGCGCTGCCGTTTGGCAGGTCGTGGAGCCATTGACGAGCATTCTGAGCGGACGTCTCTCAGTACGCAGCGAAGTCGCCGTGCAAGAGGGCGCAGACTTCGTTTTGTTTGCTACAAATCAATGGGTCTGTAATTAAGTGGCTGCGTCTTGACATGGTTAATGACGCGCGTGCACGTGACCGTTATGTCGACAGATAAAGTGCAGGACGACGACCTTCGTCACCCTCTCCTCTACAGACCACTTTGTTGGTAAATAGTGTTGCATTGTTTGCTGTGGCAGTGACTCAACGTCACCCTCGATTGAACATGCTGTCTTTCAGGTTCTCCCAGAACCCCAAATCATAGACATTCTCCACCTCCTTCAACGACTCAACCTTCGCCCACCTCTCGTCCACCACCTCCCTGTGCTGTTCGATTTCATCACCTTCCTCTTCCCCCTCCTTGACCCTTGACCTGAGAATCGGCTTTCTTCCATCCTCCATCCTAACGAGCCACCACTTCGCCCTCACCCCAGCAGGCCAACTGACATCCTGATCCCTAGGTTCCACATCCTCAGGCAAAGGAGGGTAAGTCTCCCTCAACTCACTGATCCGCGCTTTATAAACCATCTCATCCTCAATATCCTCCTTCCAATCCGTCCACTTCCCACTCTCATTAGTCGTCATCCCCGCCCAAATCAAGTAGACATGATACACCAAAAAGCCCACAGCAAGTGGAAACGACATGAAAGCCAGCATCATAACCGCACCAATCCGCCACTCCACACTAATCGCCCATGCCCAGCAGTGCCAGAACTCGCCCCAACCCATCTTCGTACTCCATCTCTCCGCGGTCAAACTCCCCCTGGTCAGCGCCGCCGGCACGAACCGTTCCTGCAACCGTCCGTCAAGCAGCACATAACCCAGCTGGGCCCCATAAGCCAATAGCATGGCAATGCTGACCAACAATAAAATGAACCAAATGTAATTATTTCGCCCGACACAGTTGTTGATCCAGATACAATGGTGGTCCTGCTTTTGCACGCAAGCTTTGCATATACCGCAGTGCTTTGACCTTGCCGGCTTCGCAAAGTGACACGTACTGCAAAAGTACCCCGGGTGAAACAGCGCAAAGTCGTAAGGGTAAATGCGCATACAAGCCGCGTGATTTGCTGGCGTGATGTTCGAAGACGTTGTCGCTGAAAGGTACAAGAACCATAGAGGCGCAGCCACTAGACACGGAATCACAATCTTTTGTGATACACCAAGTCTATCCCACGACGCCGGAATGAACAAGACCTCGCCAATAATTTGTAGAAGTAGGAAAAAGACCTTGTAATAACATAAGCACACGTGTCGCTCTCACTGGTCGTCTCTGCCGGTCAAGGCAGCGACTCAAAAGACTTACCAAGACGAGAGGATGTTTCTCGTTCATCAAGTAATCGCCCGTCCGAGCCAGACTTCGCGACACACGTCGGCCCGTAAGGCGCTCGTCCAGCACGCCGAAGGCATTGGGAATGTGTTTCAGCAGCAATCGATGAAGAAAAGCCACGGGAGTACGTCTGTAGACGCCGGTCAGTCAATAATTGAACCCTTGGGTGTTGCTTTCCACCTTGACGTGGGGACGCAAATGAATTGCTTACCTGAAGGCAGGGAGGCGACCAAAGAGTGCTACAAATACCACAAACGAGATGCTGAGAATGACGACCGCTATGGTCCGAATCACACCCATTTCGGGGCACCGACTTGTCAGCAACTTGAAAGGGAAGACAAAGGACTCGCTAAATAGTAAAAAGTGAAAGGTGTTCGATGTTTGCCTTCTTATGCTGCAACTCAATTATGCGGTCGTCAGCCTGGCTCAAGCCTTGTGGACTAATTTGAGTTTATCAACAATATTAATTGGGCTGTTTCCACCGAGGTCTTGGAAATCGAGCCTTCTACTCTTGAAACTCCACGAAACAGAATTCTTTCTTTTCATATTCACAAATCCAAGCTGAAACTGCAGCTAATCTTGCACAGCAATGCTCTACTGAGCCAGCCTTTCCAAACGTCCTTTGCTGCGTGAAGTCGTACACCCTGAAGAAAACTATGATCTGGTTGCCACCAAGTCGCCGTTGTCCCTGAATCGTACACTGAATTAACGCCGATAGACCCAAAACCAACATTCCTCGAAAGAAGATCCTTGACACCTGTTTGTTATTATTCTTCACCAATTCATGCATGCATACTCTTGGTCTTCCGCTGCCGATCTGAAGTGGATTTGACAGGACTGTTGGCCTGACTGAAACCTCCTCCGGCATGATATGTTTCTGTTCGCTGATGACCTGCGGTCGGTCGAGCTGAATGTCCATTTGACGATGCCTCGACCTTGAGCTTCTTCTCCCGCTTGAGAATCATGTCCGCCCAGCCCTTGACGGGCGCCGACGAGGTGGCCACATTGGTACCAACCACCTGCGAGAGTGCCTTCATCCACTCATCCTTGTCAGCGGTTTTATCGGCATAGAAGTCAATAACTTCTCCATTGGCGAATCGGATCCGGAAGCCTTCTTCCACAAACATGTAACCTTCTTCTTCCTCTGCAAAACCACTCTTGCGTCGGCCACCACCCTTCGTCGATATTTCTCTTTGCGTCAGCGCAGACTTGTCATCGATGAGGCGAGTCGCTTTGGCAAGGTTGATGGTCGCCCGCGGTTGAAGGGTTGTCTCGTGGAAAGCCGTCAGTTTCGTGCCTACAAGTCTGAAAAAACGTCGCCGCCAGTACTGTAAACTTGTCAGTATCGCAATGGTCAAAGATGGCTTCAAATTTTGCTTACTGGACAGTCGCCACCTTGTTGACTCAGGTATCCCTCAAAATTCTTGATGTCGACATGCTGTTGCATTCGTTCATCGGCTTCACGGAGCGCACGGATAGCCCCATTCATGCTTTTCGGCATGTCTTCATCTTTGGAGCCTTTAGGCTTGGGAATATACAGCAGCTGCAATTCCAATTTACCAATCTCGTACGGCGGTCGGCGTTGAAGCTGGGTGACTCCCTTCTTGCTCCGCGAGCTGCCAATATGAACTTCTTCCATGGCCCACTCATTGAAGCAGGTGATGTCGACTGTGTATGGTCTGCCGTATGCTTGCTTTTCATGTTCGGCTAATGAAACATAGGCGCGAGCGAACGAACCGTCCTTTGCAACAAGTCCTTGGACCAGTTCGTATGCCGAAGGAGGCGTGACAGGTCTGCGGATGGCTTGAGACTCCTGGATTGCCCGTAGCTCCGATTCCTTCTTCTTCTTAGGAGAACCGAATAACCTGCCGAATGCGCCTTGCTTCTTGGGGGATGTTGGTGGCTTGCTGGGTGACTGAGGACGTTCGAATTTGGGTTCTTCCAGCTTCATCTGGAGCGTAAGCTGAAATTCAAGCTCATTCAGAACAACCAGCTCAAACTCCTGCCCAATGGGTGCGCTACGAGCAAGGTCCAGCCATGCGGTTGTGACGCAATGCAGTCCATTGTCAAGAGTAAGAGCAAAGAATGTGCGCTCATCTACCTCAAGTTAGCAGGCAAACAAAGGAGGGTGATTTTCTTCCACTCACGTTGAGGGAATGGCATTTGAAGATCTTTGACACCAACAACTTTGACGAACAATCGCCCACGTTCAGCACCATCTTCCCACTCTTCGTCCTCGGCATTCTCATCCTCAGCTACGGCGTCAAGTTCTTGGGCGTTGCTTGCTTGACCTGGTAAAGGTGGAACAGGACCGTCAAGCGCCTTCCTCTTGCTCACAGCTTTCTCACCGCCAACTCGAATACTCTTTCTCCTCATCTTACCATTCCAGGGTTCTGCAGTCCATGTTGGCTGACTGGTCTTCCTCGGAGAGGGTTGAACATGATTTGCATCTGGCGATGGTGGATTAAAAGTCTCGTCGTACGGTTTAGGGAGCTCAGGAGATTGCATCTCATCCTGGGAAATGCGTTCGCTGGCGACGACAATCTTGGTATTCTGTCGCATAAGATATCCTCTCTGCAGGGGAGCAGCTCGATTAGCAAATGAATCTCCAGAAAGAGGTCTTGCACGGGGAACAGTGACTTCTCTGGCCGGCAGAGCACGAGCTCCATGAGGCTTGGGAAGCACGGGCACTTTTTCCATGGGGTTCGCAAAGCTCGAGACCTTCGTGTCAGGAAGCTCGTTCGATGGGAACCGTCCATTGAAGGGGTAATAAAGACGCTGCAACGAGAGTTCAAACTCTACCTTTTGGGCCTCCACCACTCGGTCAAATTCCTGTTCAAGTCCCAAGCCGAGACCTTCGTCCAGTCGCTCATAGGGGATCTCCAGTTGAACCAAACTGCTGACTCGATTCTTCTGAGGTGCCTTGTGTTCGTCGTCGGTTCCGGTTTCCTGTACGTTATCGATCTTTCCATTTTCAAGCTTGTGGTCAGACATAGCGGAGACAACCGACTCGGGGGAAGCCTCCTTGCCATGGTTCAAAACGGAACCGTGGTCGGAGGGAGGAGATACTGATCTGTCACTGCCGTCCTGCGAATAAGACTTGGCATCTGACATATCAGAACCATCATTGAGTGGAATAACTGCAGCTGCTGTGCCATATCTGAGGACAGACTCTGGGCTTGCTTGGGCCGTTTCCTCCAATACAGCAGTTGCAGCTTGCTGATGCTGTCTTTGATGTACTTCTGGGGTGTACGAACGCTGAATCGACTGGCGCAATGCTGCCAGGTCTGTAAGAGCTGCTGGCGGGCTTGCTTTCTCGTCGCTGGCCGACAAATATGACGCGAGGCTCATGTCGAAACTAGCAGTGTTTCCGAAGTCAGTGAACTCGGGTAGAGACACACGACCAGATGTGACAGATGTCGGATCTGTCGCTCGGACTGGACTCTGCGCTTTTGGTGTATCTTGCCCATCTTCATTCAATGGAGTTGGTGGAGCCAAAACTGCGTGATAGAGTAGGGATGCCTGTGAATATTGGCTAGTAAGGTCATCATCCTGATTGGTGCTTGCCTCCGACCCCGAGATGTCTCGGCGAGCGTACATGTCAGGGATGGAGTACAAGTCTGGCTCTTCGAGGTCTTCCTCCTTGACTTGGGGCTGAGTTGGGTCTTCCATCGAGGGGATCGGGACGTCTGGGTCAAATGAACGAACATCTCGCGCTCGAGGTGCTTCCACAGAGTCTTCACTGCTTTCTCGGCTGTCTTGGTCTGACCTGCCGCGGAGGCCTAGGAGAACGGAAGCCCTCGAAAGCTGTGGGGTGGCATTCCGCGATTCTGACACTGCTGGTCCAGGCTCGCCATACCCATTAATGCTTCCTTCTGCACTGCCACCACGAACTGGGCTTGACTCCTTGGAACCCATTCTTCGCATACGACGTTCCCGGTCTTGTTCTTGAAGAGCCATCAATCTCAAGCGATCTTCAACAGACAGTCCTGAAGTGCTCATTCTTTGAATATCCGACTTTGAAATTGCGGCCGCTGCAGGAAGTGTTGGAAGAGATCGTGCAGAGATGCTCAGGCGTTCGAGTGCGCCAGAAGGAGGCTCAGATTTTGGCTGTGCTCGAGCCCCAGTTGGAGGCAGCGGTGGTAGAGGACGCGGGTGGCCGTTAGAGTCGACCGAGCTTGCACTCGTCTGAATTGGTCGAGAAGCTAAGCCGCCTGGCTGAGCTGTTGGAGCTGGGCTTCCGCAGTCGTCGTCGAAAACATCCTCTTCATGACGAGCCAGCTCTGTGTTTGCCTTTTCGGGGCTCATGAAACGCCAGTCATCGGGCAAAACGACAGGTGTCTTGTCTGCGTCCTCGAGTGACGCATCAAAGCTGTCATCTTGATCCATCGACGAACCTCTTTCGAAACTCTCATCCTCGTCGCCGCCATCTTCACGTGACTCATAGCTGCCCTCTCGAGAGCCAGATGCGCATGATGACGGGGCTGGTGTGGTCATTTCGTACTCATTTACTTGTGGTGGCTTCTGGTCGAATGTTACGCTCTTCTGGTGACGATGCAAACCGCGGCCAGCTGGAAGTTGTTGTTTACTCTGAACATCATCGTCATCCTCCCAAATTCCTTTGTCGGGGTCGAATCCACTTCGTCTAAATGCTGCTCCAGTCTTCTTTGAGAGCGACGATTTTGTAGGAGGGCTGTTGAATCTGCTTGGCGACAGAGGTGCGACGAGAGTCGTTGTAGTGTCGGGTTCCTCGAATGCGTTCTTCGCTGGTGAACCGTTTGCTGGAACGTTTTCCTTCCGAACTGCGTCAGAACCACGTAGAGGCGATTGTTGGCGTGGGAATTGAATGCTTTGAGGACGTCCATCAAGGATCGCAGGACGAGCAGGATCGTAGTAGTTGTTATGTTCAATGGCGAACATGCTGCTGTTCTTGACCCGGGAGGCCTTTTTCAGATTCTCAATTGACGATCGCTTCTTCGGCGATGTTGGAGGAGGACTGTCGCATGCAAAGGGAGATTCTCTGGCAGGAGAATTGGGATCCCGTCCCTGCCAGAAAAGACGTGGCGATACCGTTGACTGAGGAGAGGACTCGGCGGGAGAGCTTTCGTTGGTGTTGCCAAACAACTTGCCCTACAAAATGTGTTGGTTAGGTGTTTGTGAAATGACTGCAAGATCTAAACAACGCACCTTGGCTTGCGGAAAACTTGGAGAGTTGCGACGCAATGCCATGGGACTAAGTTCGGACAAGGGTCGATTGGTTACTCGGGGCAGCTTTGATGGCGAGATGCCATTGCTGCCTTTCTGTATCCGCAGTGGAGGGACCTGAGTGAAGGTGTCAGTTGTTCTGAGGGCGGAGCAGTCAGCGTCAACAATCGGAGAAAGCACGCACCTCGGAGGCCATGGCGGCCAGAACTTGGACAATGACTTTGTGTAGAAGGTGTTGATTGTGGTCGAGCTCAGACCATGGAGTACGAATGGAATGAACAGTGCGTAAGAGGAACGAGCGTCACTTCTGTCAAGCCGGAGGAGCAGGCAGGCCAGCTGCGACGTGTTGGCGGGGACGGTGAAGGTATGCGAGGATAAAGATTGTGTTGAATGAGAAGCCAAAGCTACATTGACGATTATGACCGCAAGAGAGGCCACTCCCATAAGATAGCTTGGATTGAGATTGGGAGACGATGAACTGAAAGTGAAAAAGGCGGCTATTCGTTAGTTAAAACTCGATTGTAAAACGCGCCCACCACAACAAATCCATGGGGTACAGATCGTTACCCGGGGCAACCATTATCGCAAAAGCTCCAGTTTTAAGCGAGACTTATCCACGCGACTCCAGCTAAAAGTGACGACTTCCAAGATCTTACGACTCATACCCTTGTCTTGCCAACATCAGATTCGATTCGATCACCTGATTCATCATTACTAATACTGAGGAGCTCAGTTGCCTACACATAGTGAAATTCGGCATGGTGAGATTCGGCATCGTGAACTAAGCATGCTCATATATTCTCCTACTTCATGATGTTGCACGGGAGATCTTCACCAACCTCCGTCTTGTTCAAACTCCAGCTCGTAATGATGAACGAACGTAGCCATGGTTGGAGTGCCTTGAAGTATCGAAGCGGATGACTGAGGACGTCCTTTCTCGAGGTTACTCGTGTGCTTGTGCGAACCTTTCTGATCTCCCTCATTTTGCTAGGCTCGGCTTCCACAACGTTGTCTATATCGTCGTCTCTGAGGTGCATCCTGGGGTGACCACGGGGTAGCATGCAGATATCTGGTCGGAGGTGCAAAGAGCTTGAACATCCTGGACTACGGACGAAATGCTTGTTGTGTCCCTGATGGACATGGATCTACTGGAAGCGATGGGTCGTCATACGGATCTCTTCATTATTCGAGTACCTTGTAACTCGGCTTGATGAAGCTGAAGCAGCCATTAATCAGGGGATTAGTTGGGAGGGAAAGAATGAATGTTCTGTTGCCAGGACCGAGGACTTCCTTTACGGAAGGGTTTGATGTGTTGGACCGCAAATGATCGGAGACATTTCCTGAGTCGATGCTGAATCGCGTCAGTAAGACACGATCGCGCCAGGAAAGAGTGATCAAGGCTGACAATTCAATGAACTGTACATTCTAACAGATTTTTGGAACGGATGAGGCCGCAACAGATCATCTCGTGGTCAGTAGATGGAGGTGAAGTTGGGCGGAAGGGAGAAGAAGAAGCAAGTGAAGGTTTGTCAAGACTGAGTCAAAGCGGCAACGCTACTTGATCCACCACCAGGTAAAGCAGCGTAAATCTTGAATAGTTTCACCCTAAGAAAAAAGTTCCGTCGCCGCAAGCCAGGCACGCAATGTTCTCAAGTCCACCACCTCGAGTCAAAGTACGCTGTCCATGTCGTCTACAGCCGCCGTATGTCCGGCATGCCAATTCAGAGCCCTCATCTTTGGTCTAAAACCTGCCGTACGGCAATGGCATGCAGAACGGGGCATGGCTTCGGCCATGCGCCAACGCAGGAAACCGTCCAGAATGACATTAACTCAGGATGTCGGACGGTCAGGGCCGGAACGGAGAGCGAAGAAAGAAGATAACGCCGGCCCGTTTGCTGGTATGAACAGGACCGTCGCAAGGTTACCGGAAAGACGAGAGCCCCGACCGCTCCCTTCGAGAACGAGAATGAATCTTCGAACAGAAATCAGGCAACGAGCCGCCGAAGCGAAGCCCACTATCGTTGGCGGACGTGAGGACGACGGAGCCGAGCCATCTGCCGCGCCGAGCAAGAAAAGCACGGCAAATAAGGATGACAGGCCTACATTCCACGCTTTGAAAATGCAACAGACCCTTACCCCTTTGTCCTACAATCAGCGAGACAAATTAAAAGAAAAGCTGGAGAAGATCAACTCCTTCGAAGAGCTGGGATTGATGCCATCGGTCACAAACGCCGTCTATACACAAGTTCTGCCTCATCTGGCGGAATACACACCTACTCCGGTTCAAAAGCTAGCCATTCCTACCCTCCTCAGCAAAAAGGGCGACTACCAGAAACAAAAGCTAGCAGATGATGCTCCCAAGTACGATCAATTCCTACTCGCTGCCGAGACAGGTTCAGGCAAGACGATGGCATATCTTCTCCCACTCGTCCACCATGTCAAAGAGCAAGAAGAACTAGACCGCATTGAACAAGACGAACGTGAAGCTCGAGAAGCCAAGGAGAAAGAAGAGCGCGAAAAGCGCATGGTCTTCGACGTCGATCCTTCAGAAGCCGACGAGAAGATCCACCCGTCAATGGGCCGACCACGAGCACTCATCCTCCTACCGTCTTCCGAACTGATTTCCCAGGTGACCAAAGTGGTCAAACTGCTCGGACACACAGTCAAGTACAAATCAGCAGGGATATCTTCCTCTAACAGCGCGACCGTCATCCGCAACCGGCTCTTCAATCCCAACGGGATCGACATCGTCATCTCCTCGCCTCACCTCATCGCCAGCATCGCCAAGAAGGAACCCAACATTCTCTCCCGGATACAATATCTAGTCATGGATGAAGCCGACTCTCTCTTCGACCGCTCATTCAGCGAAACAACCTGCGAAATCATCGACCGCGCCGCCCCATCCCTCAAACAACTCATCATGTGCTCCGCCACCATCCCCAACTCCCTCGACCGCTTCATCGACCGCCGTTTCCCACAAGCCAAACGTATCGTCACGCCCAAACTCCACACCATCCCCCGTCGCGTGCAGCTCGGCGCAGTCGACATCGACAAAGACCCCTACCGCGGCTCCCGAGATCTAGCCTGCGCCGACGTCATCTGGACCCTCGGCAAGGCTGTCCACGAAGACCTCAACCCACGCCACACAGTCAAGCACATCCTCGTGTTCGTCAACGAGCGCGAAAAGGCCGAAGACCTCGCCAAATTTTTAGCATCCAAGGGCATCGACGCCGTGGCTTTGACAAGGGACACCACCGAGCAACGACAAGCCGAGATCCTGTCGACTTTCACGGCAGTCACCGCAGTCGATGGCTCCGAGAAGCCCGCTGCAAAGCCCAGCAAGAACAAGCTCTTCAAGGACTTCGTGCCGTTCGACAGCAACCAGGTCGGAGTGACGGCCGGGGAAACCACGAAGCCCACCCGCCACTTGCCAGACACCAAAGTCCTGGTCACCACTGATCTGGGCTCGCGTGGCGTCGACACCATGGCCGTCCGGCACGTTGTTCTCTATGATGTTCCGCATACCACGATCGATTTCGTCCATCGACTGGGTCGTATGGGAAGGATGAATCGTCGTGGACGTGGAATTGTGTTGATGGGCCGAGATGATCGTAAGGATATCATTCGCGAAGTAAGGGAGGCAATGCACAAGGGACAGGCGCTGATATAAGAAGACGATGGACGCTGCACAGGCAAGTCAGCCGCTTTCTATGTAACAATACCTTTTCCTTGCACACCAAGTGCTGTATATAACAGATACCCTATGTCCTCAACTCCTGTGGACGCAAGCTCTAATAGACCACATCAACGGTTCTGACGCGCACAGTAAAACCCATTGCCCTAAGTGGAAAGCATGGTATATGATCAAGTCATTCACTCTGTATTATCACACCGTCTCCAACGACTGATGTCGTTGACTATTTTCTGCATAGATGACTGTATTCATCACCACCACTGCGTATCAACATTCCAATAAAACCAGATTCGCTCACAAAAGCCGCCCATATGCTTTTTAATATACACCCCAATCCATTTATGCACCCTGTATCTCTCCTTTCTCTTCATCTATGATTTCCTCCAACTCTTTGAAAAATTGTAGAGCAATCCAAAATCAATGTCCAAAACTGCCCACCCAACTAGGCGTCATCAGACCACTAGGCCTGACAATATTAATCGGCACACTGCCTGCAGCGAAACTGCCTGACTGCAACTCCGAGCTGTCTTTATCCTTCTCAACCTTCTCATTAAGATCCACATCTTCAAGCGTTCCAGCCTCCATCTCAGTTTCGAAGGCCTTTTCCCGGATCCCAGGACTCGCCAATTCTTCATCAAGCTCGAAGAACCCGACGCCGCTCCCGCCATCTTCAGAGGCTACCAGACCGCCGGTGAATCCAGATTCTTCAGGCGACGCAAGCACTATATTATCTCCATTGATGGTCGGCGACGGCGCTGGGCTCGGCAGTGGAGAGGGCATCGGCGAGAGAAATTTGCCATTCTTCCCACGTCTCCTCTCGCGCAAGGTTTTCCGTCGTCGTCCTTTTCCTTCCGGACTTGTGTCTTTGTCTTTATCCTCGACTTGCTGCACCTGGACTTCTGCGTCGACATCCTCGACTGTTTGCCGAAATCTCAAGTCTTTCGTCGGGCTAAAACCTGAACCTCCTGGGGACTCCTCGTAACTACTACTGGGCTCCACGACCTTGGAGTCAGATAATTGAAAGGTGACATGTTTCTTCTTATAACCGTGACCTGCACTCGATGTCCTCAGAGCGCTCGGGAGACTGGTACTGGGTATCTGAGGATCCGAGTTGGTACGTTTTGTCGCCACAACCGTCGGCGACACCGGTTGCGGCGGTAAAGACTGCGAGGACTGTAGTTTTGCTTTTTGTCTTTCCGCTTCCTTCTTGGTGTCAGCGTCGAGTTGCAGGCGTTTTTCTTCCTCCTCGTTGGGTGTGAGGGGCTGTGGACTCCGTGCAAGCACAGGGGTCTGGTCCCGGGAGTCTAGAAGTGGTAGATAAGCCGGGGTGAACACCCCAGCAAAAGCGTCCGTTCGGGTTCGATCGGTCCCAGGTGTTGGAGGTTGCTGCTTGTTTTCGGGGCGTGGGGGCGTGCTGGTAGCCGGTCCATGCGAAGGTGATCGCTTAGGCAGAAATGATGGTGTTGGTGGTGTTCCTAATGAATGTACAGAGGGTAGGTCGCCCGTGATGTTGAGTTTGTCCAGCGACAGTGTTGGTTTACTCAGCGGCATCGACTTTGTGATCTTGTCCCCAACACCATCTCCGGAAGATCTCTTCTGCTTACGCCCTGCCCAGCCGTTTGTAGAGCCATTTTGCACCGAGCCCAACAAGTTCAAAACAGCGGAGTTGGTAGTCGAGGAGCTACTAGACTTGGTGGGAGACGTTTCACAGGAGCCGCGAGACCTTCTCCGTGACCGTAAATCCTTCTCGAAGTCGCGGAATTCGCGATCCTTGGCGGCCTTGAATTTTGCGACTTCTTCGTCCAACTGCCTCCTTTTCTGCTCGAGAATGTCGACGATCTCGGATTCGGAATCGCTTGTATTTTCAGGGGACGGCAAGGCGTTCCTGTGCACACATTTGACTTGTGCTGAGTGTCTGTACATGGTGACGCTGATTTGCGGCCCGAATTTTGCACGTGGGATGCTCCTCCTAACTCAAGCCGCGGGTGGAATTCTAGGTCAGCGGCATGAGAGGGATGATCCTAATATCACAGTCATGAAGACGACCGGAACATCGACCCTGTTGCCCAGACGTTGCAAAGGAAAAATGACTATGAGGAAAATTCTGGTCGAGCGCGGGGTGGTGGTGTTGGTACCAACAGACTGGTACGCGCGCGTGTCGCAGGGAGCAGGGGTGGTACTGTAGGGGAGCGGATGACGCCACAAAGTGCTAGGCGATGGAAAAATCCGGACGGAGGAATTGCCAATTGAAGAGGACCAAGCCGTGGAAGGCGATATTGAATGTAGGGAATTGGTCGGCTTGATGTAAGGACCTCTTTGCAGCTTCGCTGTTGTAGTACCGAGAAGTCTATAATTGTAAAAGAACGTAGGTGACACGCACGACAGTGGTGACGGTCTCAGTGCCTGGACGTTGATTACTTGGAGGATGGCGTCTTCTTGTCTCACCCACCGGAGAGCGCGGCCGGCTGTTGAAGATTTGGCGGTGTCTTTTCGGGAGATTCGGGGGAGTTCAGGGCCTCGTCGAGGATTGGAGACGGGGAGTGGGATTGTGCTTAGTAGAGTTGAGTCTGTGTCATGTCGATGGAAGTCAAAATTGAAGAAAAAAGTGGGATTGATTTGGGATGATGGTGGTGGCGTTTTTTGGGTGCACGGTTCTGATGATTCTGCGATCGGGATGTAAGCCCGAAGTTGTCGTCGTAATAATGATAGCAGAGCTCCTCTTGACTGATCCGTATAGTGCAAAGGAGCCGCACAAATGTACAATGAAGCATGTGTCAAGGAGAGAAAGGGGGAAAAGGGGAAAAGGTGAAAAGGTACCAGTGTAGGAGGGCAATATGGCACAGGTACAGAGTACAGTACTTTGAAGGTACAGTACCCGAGCCGAGGATGCGAAGATCCGATCAGGCTAATATCCTAGGGGACTAAGTACTGTGATAAGTAGGGGCCGGTCGCCTGTAGTTGTCGAATAGTCGAACATGTTGTACCTGATATGCTCGATGAAGCTCGATCTAAATGATCTTTGTTACTCGTGGATGGCCAGAAACGTACATGATGTATGGCGCCAACAAAGGAAGTGATGAGCATGACCTACAGATGAATTCGATAGACGAAAAGATGGAGATGCCATTGCCGTTAATCGTCATGTGATGGAACAAAGATGCATTTCATCCATCGAGGCCTATTATGACGGCAAACAATCCGCTACTAAGTAAGTACCTATACTGTAGGTAGTTCAGCACTACTAACAAGATGAAGGAACCAATAGATGCACTGCGTACTCACTCACTCACTCCAAAATCTCAACGTTATCACCCGTACCGTCATGAAAAGCAGCACAGCATTACGTGAAGTCTTCCAACACTTTCACATGAAATGTTCTTCGACCCCAATGTTCGTAAATGATCAGCAGGGTCCTTCTGTGTTACTCTCTGACCGCCTTTTGGCCGCTGCTTCTTTGCTCTCTGTTCGGACCGCCCCAATGAGGCAATAGCCGCCATCGTCGCCGACTTTGCCCGATCATGAAAGACGCACCGAAACAGGAAATGGGACATATACTAATTAAGCGAAGCGAATGAAGTGCAACATCTCGAGTACCAGCTCGAATAGTATACATAGGCTATCCAAGCACGCACCATGTATTTCACATTCTGTCTCAGCTCTGGATTCTTTATGTCGGCCACCCAAACCTCATTCAAGTATGTCGCTGCACTCGTTCTCTTCGTACCTCTCGTCTCCGATCACGCCAGGTTTTCGAATATTCCTCCGCCGGGTCTTGGTATCGCTGTGCTTCACTGAACCTCGGCCACGCATATTCCTGATCAGCTGATTCGTTTCTCAGCACTTGTAAGAGGCGAGACCGGGCTCACTGTTGCTTGTCGGATTGGAGGCGCTCTGCTTATCTGTCCATCTCCCATTAGCTCCGCTCGTCCTTCTGTCCGACTCGAAACCCCCTGGCTACTTCGTGTATTGCTCACATACGGAATCGACGCTTGCATCTCGTGAACCACCCTGTCACGCTCCAATGGTGAGACCGGAGAGACGTAGCCACGCGGTTGAACAGCTTCTCTCTTTTCCTGCTCCAATCTGGCCAGGATGGCAGTGGCTTCTTCATCAAGGGGCTCGTGTGAAAAGTTCATTGACGGAATGCGCGGCATCTGGTGCTTCGGATGTCGTTGACTTCGTGGTGTAAGGACCGCAGCCTGGGACGGCTTATGATTGAGAAACAGTTCTTCGCGAAAGTCAACCAATGGCCAAGAATAATGCTCTCGTGATTGTTTGCCAGCAGCAGCGACCGCAGGATTGCTGGACTGTCTGGCATGACCCACTTTGAGCTGTGGTGGAACACCTCCAACATAGCCGGCTTGCAAAGCTGGGACAACATACTTCTCAGTGACAGGTTTGCGCGGTGGCACGCCAGGATATGCTTTGAATGGCTTGACATCGCTGTCCCCTGACAACTCAATAGCAGGCGTCACTGGAATTGGAGTTGAGTCGATCACGGTCGTCGCAGTTTTGACGGTAGCAGGCAATTCCACAATATTCACACGTTTGTCCTTCCGCTCTACCGAGACTGAATTAGCATGTAACTCCACAATGTTCGCCGGCTCGTTTTTCGGCTGTGCTGAGACTGGATTCGTGTCCAACTCCACCAGATTCTGCACATCGGATCGAAAACGAGCAAATCCTCTGGTGCTTCAATGTGAAATCGACTTCCGGCAGGACGGGCTACACCACACTTACCGGTCGTACTCTCTTGATGAGGAGGTTCACTCCACGCATTCACCGGGAAAGGCCCACCAAAGCTTGATGGTAGCGAAACCTGGCTGCCTGAGAAGTCACCCAGTGAATCTGCTGCAAGTTCAGAAACGTTCCCAAGACTGGTCGATGATCCGGTGTCGAAAACCAAGGCGGGCAAGTACTCCGACTGTGGACGGGGTAACGCTGTTCTTCGCTGGCCTTGTTGTGGCGGCATTGGCTTCTCTTGATTGTTATCCATCCGTGTCTTGAAGGCCAGAAAGTCCTGCACTTGGATAGACGATGTCTGACGAGGTGACTTATTGTCGACCTCGGTCTTGAGACAAGTTGAAAGTCGTTTGCGGAAGGCTGCTGTCTTCTTCTGGGCAGAACCTCGGAAGCGACGCATGAACGTAGCAGAGGGGATACTCGCCACTCCAGGCTCGTTGGTGGGAGACATGATTGAGAGCTGGTAATGTTGATGTGGTGAATATCGCCAACGAGTCTGAAAGATGAAGCAGGTAGTCAGTATCTGTCCTTCGGCTGCAGAACTCGAAGGGGGACCTGGGATGCAGTCAAGGACATCGTAGCAGCTTTAAGGGGTCGAAGCAGAAGTCCGTCGAAATCGGCTTTGTTTAGTTGTCTCGGAATGGTCAAGGAGGGCTTGCATGGCGATACAACGAAATTGACAAACTCAGACAAAGACCCATTTCCTGGGACAACGAATGCAATCAAGACAAACAAGTCTCGAGCTTCAAAGACAAAGGCCATGGGATGAGGTCCTGGCCAACAGGCAAAGCAGATAGTTCTTGGGGTGAGTAGAATCACTCGACAGAGTGAAGTGAAAGTGCTTGAAGGAGATACACTCAGTCAAGGTGCATGAGGTAGGCGCAACGTCCTTGGCACCGGGCCATGCGCGGTAGCTGAGCAGCACGATAAGCACGGCAGAGCCTACACTCGGTGAGAGCCTCTCATGAACAGGACTAAGACACGCCGATCTGTGAGACCAGTGAGGTCCGCGTCGTGATGAATGGGCACAAGGACTCTGTCCTTTCGATTTGCAGTATGTGCAAGTAAGAAATTCATCGCATCGAATTCCCAAGATAGTATACTCTTAGTGTGGCGGGTCGACTGAACGTCAAAAACGATGGATCAGAAGGAACTATTGAATGGCGTTGCGAGGTCTTCGCTGGCTCATGAATCTTCATCTAAATATTCCATGAAAGACGGACAAAAGACAATTTCGGATGGTCCATTTTGATATGTAAACTCCGTCGTCTGACAAAACTGATTTCCCGAACCGGCATGGTGTTACGTGTGCTTTCACCTACGCACCGCACTTCTCGAGGGAAGATCTCAAAGTCCCGACCTAAACCCAGGTCCATTGTTCGGGTGCTACTAGTCTGGCCTGCTTCGGGACTGCAAAGAGATGAGGCTCTTGTTTTTTTGGCGAAGGGTTCGAACTTGGACGGCATTGATCCCCATCCTGGAACGGTTCTCGATTTATCTGGACAGCAAAATTATTTCCTGATGCAAGCTATATCAAGGACGGTGAAGGAAGCATCCTGCATCAAATGTCGGCATGTCGGTGCCTATGCTGCCGCCGACTCACCTCCAGTGACTCTACTGTACATGATAGTAAAATTCCCGGCCCCTGCACCTTGACATCTGCAAGCATGAAGTGAAGGTCCGAATCCTTACACATTGTTCGAATATGTTGTTAGTGCTACGAGGTCCTGATAATTATGCTAGGTATCGTCAATGCTCCGGGCGACGATGGATGGAATAGGAAAATGCTTCATGGGCTTTCAAGTATACCTGGGATCACAGTAGTCACGTTCAATGGGCATAACGCAATCTGTTCACCCGGTCATGTTTTCTGATGCATTCTATGTCCTGGCCTATAGTCCATATAGATATCTACCCCTAGTCTTCTCGTAGAAAAAAGATAGGACACCAAAACTTTCGCTAATACCCAAAAGTCTTCAGACGGAACTTTTGCGCTCCCCCAAACAGGATGCCAGGATTCACGAATTGCCAGAAAGTTGCAAAGCACAGCAATGCGGTGCATTTAGGCGATGGTGCTTCCACCGGTAAGACGGATAGTTTGACCTAAACACCCCCAACGTTAGTCCATGGTCCGTATGGAAGATCGAAGGTAGAGGCACTCACCAGTGACCCATTCACTGTCATCATGGCACAAGAACATGACGACCTTTGCAATGTCATCTGGAACAGCGCATCGGCCGAGCGGGATGAGCTTGGCGATGCCAGCCTCAATTTCCTCGATGGGAGTCTCCTTGGTGGCTCCGGGAGAGTAATGCCACGCGTTCGCGGCGAACATCTCGGTCTTGATACCGCCCGGAGCGATGGCGTTGGCGGTGATGCGTCGGGGACCACCGTCGGCAGCGAATGATCGGGCAAAACCCTCAGCGGCAGACTTGGAGGCGCAGTACAGGGCGTGGGCGGGCACGCTCAAGCTGGCGGCGATGGAAGACATGAAGATGATACGGCCGCCGTCTGATAACAGCGCGTTAGTAGGGCAAGACCTGTCATGTTTTCCAGAAGGACTTACCGCTCAGGTACTTCAGAGCGTGAGCGCCGACGAAGAATTGGGCACGAGTGTTGAGGCCAAAGACTTGGTCGAACTCCTCCTCGGTGACGTCCTGTGTCTTTCCAAAGTGCTCCATGCCGGCGTTGTTGATGACGATGTCGAGCTTGCCGTAGGCCTTGATGGCTTCCTCGAACAGCTTGGTGACTTCGGGGGTCTTGGCAACGTTGGCCTGGATGGCAGTGGCCTTGCCGCCGGCCTTTTCGATCTCAGCGACCGTGGCGAGCGCGGGCTTGGCCGAGCTGGCGTAGTTGATGATGACGGTGGCACCGCGCTCGGCGAGGATCTTGGCCAGGCCGGCACCAAGACCACGGCCAGCACCAGTGATCAGGGCAACCTTGCCATCGAGACGGATGTTGGAAGACATTGTTTAATACGGATATGTGTTGATGAGATGTAGAGTGGGCGGTAAGCTAGACTGACGGGGTGGGTAATGATGTTTTGGAGCGACGTCAAGGTAGCAGGGGATAAAGGTGAATCAACAGTGTTCTAATGACTGACCGATCAAAGCAGCAAAGGGGGACGATAACTAATAAAAGTGTTGCTGATGATGAAAAAGGGGAAGTGGGAGAAAGGGAGATGTGGTCGATTTGTGTGTGTTTATGGTGGTTGGCCCCTTTTCCGACACTAGCTCGGACTGCGAAGTAAAGCATGAAAATACGGACTGTCAGGCACGGCGGTCACTACAACAACCTACTGCTATTTGGGTTCCGATGGACGTTGAGGCGGAAGTCTCAGGTTCATGTCTGACAGGCACCCTCAACATACAGTATGGTAGATCCATTACTTGATGTCGTGGCGGTGAAGGACTCGACCGTGGATTGTGGTTCAACCGGCGGGGCACGAGAATTGATGGAGGAGGGGCTGAGGGGTCCATTTTATATGCGGAATTCTTTTATCAGTTTTGCCCTTTGTGATGAGGATATTGATCTCGTGCAATGGTCACGCTTCACGGAGAGTGACAAGAAATGAAGAGCAAGTGACGACATATCGCGTCGTAGTTGAAGAGCGTAGTTGATATCTTCCCAGCATTCCTACGGCGGATGAAGATGAGAAGGGAATAGTCATGTCAAACCAGGACGCCGGGATGTGGTCTCCTGTTTCCGCAGTCGTCTTCGTTCATTTATCAAACTCCATGTCCATATATGATTTACCTTGTGATAGCAAGAGTTCATGGCAGCAAGCTGGATAGACCTTTTCTCAAGTCCCATCGACCTGATGATCTCTCTCACACAACGCACCTCAAAACTCCGCCACAATGCACACTCTAATAACGACTCTCTCAGATTCCGAAAAATGTGCTATCTTAGTCTTAAATCTACTCCGTACATCGAGGGCACTTTGGTGCCCATTCTTTGCCCGGGCCTTAGTCCAGTCCGTACGCTAAACAAAATGTCCGAATCGCCCATTTTTAGCACCATCTTCGGCGGCCCTGGATCGCTAAACTCACGTCTCCTATGACTGCCTGTTCCAGCCCGTTCCTGGTGCTCTTCTTACCCCAGCTTTTCGGTTGTCGTATTCCTGGGTCGTTGTCCACACCTAATGACGGCGAAGAGAGCGTATACGCTCATACTCGTAGAGCCCACACTGCTGACTATCCATCAATGAGGACCTCGACAGTCACACAAGGCTACTTCGCATTCACCCTTGAACATCACTCAGATCCAGATCTATATACACGGATTCCCCTGCCATGATCTCTCCAGCTGCATGCATCTTCGCTATTCAATTATTCCTACGCACAGTGGCCATTGGCATCCGATCTCTGACCGGAGTCCTCTACTGCTAACTTCCAGGTTAGTTGCGAAACATGAAACACCCGTCATCAACCTCCGTAGGTCACAGACCATTATTCATAGCAGCATCCACTATTGTTCTTCGGAGGCTTTTCTTGCGGGCAACTGTAGCTGTTTGCACGCTCCATCTCCTCGATCCCGTGTCCGATATGACTCTCTTTGTCTCCCACAACCCCAGGATTCCTCTCCCAAATCAAGGATGGCTCAACTTAGTATCTTTCAACGGCCTTTTCCTGACCTTTCAATGGTCTTGAGCAAGGTATTTGGGTCCAACATGGGTCCATGATCGGCACGTTGGATTTCCCCAGACATCCTAGTTCCCAGTCCCAATTTATGTCGGTAGCACCTCAGGTCCGACTGTCCGACGACCATCGACTTTTAGCATCGTGATGGTTCCTGTCTTTCAGTGATGCGCTCGAATCGGACCCGGGCCATCGAACCTTGACTGATACTTCTGCATGCACCCTACTGCTGGAGGTGCTGTGCCTTGATCCTGTTTTCCACCTGTTCTAGTAGCAGCACAGTCGATCTTAGGACGACAAACTCATAAAGAAGCTTGTCTCCGCTCCTTCGAGGTCCTACAACTCTTTGTCGTACAGGCTTGCCCCATACAACATGGCTTTCCAAAGGCTTCCAAAGCCTTGACCATCCGAAAGAGAAGTTATCGTTCACTGAGGTTGAAATTTTAGGGCAGACATGAGCGAGCTACATTTCCTGACAATATTGCAGTCAATGGAACATTGACAACACAGGACTCGAGTTTTCAGCCTCCAAGCTTGCTATTGTCAAAATGGATATGCTAGGACCAGAAGATCAACCGAAGCACAACGGCATCCGACCTCCCGGCAATATCTAATTATACCCAAGTACCATCCGTCAGAACACTTGTTCCTCCTCCCAAAACGCCCAGAAATGCCATCGTCGTCATCATAAGCGACATCATATCTGTCATATATACAAGGCGGAAACATCACGCCGGTGTTGCTGCAAAATGCTGAAAAATTAGGTAATATCGAGAAATCGAGATGCTGTACAACGATGCCCGCAACGTCAGAGGCCAAGACTGAAATGATCGTGAGTGCAGGCGCGCACAACGGCTCAATTGCCGTCCTTCCAACTGGCCATGAACATGCGAAGCTTGCGTTTAATGCCGTCAGCCAACCGCATGGACGAGTCGTCCTCTAACACTTCGATACAGTGCTCGAGGACATTGGATGGCACTGCTATTGGAGCCAGGGAACCATCCGACCGGGACAGCATCGGTGTTCCTTCCTGGTATTTGATGTATCTGCTGATTGCCTCGTTTTCTGGTGTCAGATCGTCAATCGCGAACGGTTTGTCTGGCTCTGCTTGAGTCTGCATGGGCGAAAATCGAGAGGTGCCGCTTGCCATGCTTGTTGCCCACCCTGTCAACGCAACACGATAAACTGCACCAGCCCACCAAGGCGGCCGCACTGGACGCGGCATCGACCTGATCAAGCGCAGGATCTGGCCACAGTGAAAGTATGCTTCCTGGGGATGGTCGATGCATCGCATTTGAAGCCAGGATGCGGATCGGAACGCCCCAAGAGCGACGTCACGTCGTGCGAATTGTTCAATGTCTTTAAAGCTGGTGATGGCGTTGAGGGATATGAGATGATACATGATAAGGTTGGCGCAGGTCGTCCAGCAAGTGCCCTTGTTACCGGAGAAGCTCTGCTTGCTGATCGTATACCATTGCTGCAGCAAAGAGGAGATCTCTTCCAATCGTGCCTTGGACGCAGCCCTGGATACGCCACGTGTTGCATTGTGACCGCCTCCGTCCGGCAAACAGGCAATGAACTGCCGGAGTTGACAGACTTGAGCTTGGAGCGGATGCAGGAGCAGCCGCAGCTGGGTGGGGGAAAGCTCCTTGCCGGCAAGTTCGCCATCAATGAAGCTGGTGAAAAAGTCACGAAGCGATGCAGGATTTTGGTAGGTATCACCGTGAACTTTCTCAAACAATCTGAGCCAGCCATTCGCAGAGTCAGCGTGCCACTGGTCGTCAGCGTCTGGCATAGGTGCTTGAATATCCACCAGTGATATCAATGGAGTGGTGTCCGAGAAGAGACTTATCTCTTGGTCAACGGTGACCCACGAGTGAGCAAGTCTGGTATCATGGTCAGCGGGCTGTGCTTTCACCAAGTATCAAGAAGACTCACCGGTGTCTACCTTCCTGCTCTATCCACTCTTCCCATGCCTTCTCTGGATCTTGCTTGCATTTGCTGATGTCGATAGACGAGTCAGTTCCCTTGAGCATCCCAGAATGATCAAGCATGGCAAGATACATCCCACGCTGACCCATAGCCATATCCATATGCCACTTGTCGCCAGACCAAGCAGCGAGGCACGTGAAGAGCAAACCTGATCGGAGAACCAAGACTTCTCGAGACTGGAGCACATCTTTCTCAATGGTGTCGAAAAGTGAAAGCCTGCAAGCTTCGGTGAGCCCACTAGCAACGTATCTGGCTTCAACCGTGGCAGTGGCGCTGGCCCCAGAAGCAACCATGAGGAGAATCAGTAAGCTTGCAGCTTTACTGTTATTGCCTTGCATAAGGACGTTGGGGTTCAGTCGTCCAGCAGGTATCGATGAGTAATATGGCTCATAACGAACCACATAACTTCTCAAGAAATACTGCATGACATCTGTAGGTGGCAGCATCAAGAACGCATCGCGGCTGGAATCCGGACTAGAAGGTGAGTCGTCTCGCGCAGCATGGTCGGCCTTGTGAATGTCCAACGCTTTATGAAGGAAGCCTTGGGTTATAGCAAGAAGCTTTTCCCTGGACCATCCTACTATCGGTTCAGTGGCGATTTTTCTTTCGGTGGATATGTCGAGACAGGACTCGTCCAGCTGGGCTGTCCATGCCGTCCAGGTGGATTGGTTTCGCAGAGTTTGAGCCAGTCCTTCGAGATAGATGGCGGCCGTTTTCGGCGGGGCAAAAGAATACTTCTCTACGCGGTTACACTGGAAGAACGGCCAGGCGTGATGTGCTGCCAGGACCGCATCAGGCTCCTGTAAGCCACTGGTGGTGGAAGAACTGGAGGGCGAAAGGCCAACCGCCGTTGGGGGCCGATGCGGCTGATTCTGCGGACTTTCCAAATCCAGGCGCAATGCAAATGGGGTCGATCCTTCCTGCATCTGCATGTGAAAATGCATCTGATTGGGTGTGTGCATTCCCATCTTCCCACTCATCAGAAACTGGTCGTTGGTATCATGAAGCATGCCTGGAGGGGGTGTCATGAACTCCGGAAAGAAGTTGGTGGCATCGAAGTCGATCATGCTTGCTTGAGCGCCACCCATGGCCAAAAAGTGGTTGTCCGAATCATGGTCATAAGGCGTTCCCTGCATTTGTATGAAACTCTCCATTTGGGGCATGTTGGGCATCATGGGAGTGACGGGTATCGTCATCTCAGGCGGTGTATGTGAGAAAGGGTTTCGAGGCATCTGTGAATCCATATCTGGTGTGAACATCGCTGGGGCGATAGGTACCGGGTGAGATCCATCCGAAAGGCTCAGACGATGAGGCGGTATCGTGTTCGGACTCATAACATCTTTTCAACGGTCAGACTCTATGCTCACTGAAGACTTCCTGCACACTCACGAGGAGATATTCCATTCACATGCGGATGTCCGTGCTGCGGAGGAGGAGGGGCCGAGAAATGAGTCAGTGGTGATACTTGGAACGAAGCCGAGCTGTGCAGAGCACGCTCAGAATGAGGTCGCGTGAGAGGAGGAGGAGGGTTGTTGCGCCGATTAGGATTATGGGAAGAACGCCGAGTAGCCCTCGACTGGCACACAATCTGTTTGCTCACACATCTCGAACATGGGACCTATCGACCTCGCCGTCAGACTTTGAGCACATTCAGGTGGGGGAAGAGGTGTATCTCGACTCCCTCCGACGCCTTCGACGAGTCTCCCAGGTTTGTCTCGAAACCGGAGGGAACGGAGTTGATCTCGTGCCTCGGGATGAAGTGACTGACTGACCTTCTTGTCACACTTTGCCTTTGCCTTTGCACAGTGAACGCATGCAATGGGCATGCGTTCGGTAGGCGAGTCCATGAGGCCCATTTCTAACGTATGCAGGCGTTTATTACGTTGGTATGAGGATAATCCTCTACTGTCCAAACATCCAAGATTCCTCCTCTTTCTCAATTACCATGTACAAGGGAGTATGGCACGGCGAGGCGGCCAGGATAGGTTTCGCACGACTCGGGGCGTGAGGCTGAGTGGTAGGCCAACGACGCCCAATTAGCATTATCTGGAGGGGCCAAAGCCTATTGACGGGTGGTGTGAGGTATATCGGGTTGAAGCGAACGTGGGCAACAGACAAGACAACGAGAGGCAGAAGAAAATCCGTAACGCAGTGAGAGCGAAGGAGGGCATATAGCAATCGACTATACCGAAAGGATAAGAGATGAGCCCTGAGAGAAAACGGGTCAGCTCTAAAAGATGTGAAGGAAGATCGACCGTCGATGATGGAGACAAGACTCAATGCAGGGCTGGCACGACACTGCACTTTCGAGGTAGGGCAGGACAGGATCCCAAAAATGTATGACATTACTACGAGTAACTTATTCGTACCATGTGGCCGTATCGAATACCAGCGCGAATGTCGGTATGGGTCAGTCAAGCAACAATGAATCAAGAGTGGACCAGGGTACCAGCCAAAGCAACAAAATATGTCAATTGTCACCAAGAAAGGCTATTTTTTAGAGATGATGATGGCGCAGAGACAGTCGATGTGTTAGGGGAGGCCTCCCAACCAAGATGGAGGGCATTGCCAATTGAAGACCCCGAATACGGCGGGGATGCAGCAAAGAGTCCAAAGACTCGTATTACGAATGTGGCCCCTTGCCAGTACCTGCGAATAAGCGCGGTGGAAATGAGACCACAAGCCCAAAAGAGAAGTGGAAAGGTGCCCGGGGCTGGCACTGGATCCGGGCCATTGGGTGCATTTGTTATCGGCCAGCGAAAAAACACAAGCGTTGACTCCTCCTTCGAGCCCACGCTGAAGGAGGGGCGGCTATGCAAGAATGCCTTGAATACCCCTTGTCCCTATTCAAGGGCTGCCGGATGCTCGAAATAGCATTCCCAAGACAGGCACCCTTACCTGAGGGCGTCATGCATTTTGTTAGCCATGACTCTTTGACCGCTTTCCCCAGCTAATAAGTCGCAACTGGCCTGCATGAGTAAGTCCCAAAAGATAATGATTGGGGGTTTCTTGTACAATATCCAGGCTACTAGACACGAGTCTCGCCTTGCTTCCCTTGGAACGCCATCACCACCCGCCGTTAGCACGAATGTCGTCAAGGATCTTGCATCGGCTACTCTTTGCCGTGTCTTACTCTTGCTTTTGAGATGTCTTTATTACTCTATTCAACATTTCCTTCGTCTAGCCGTGTTCTGGGTCTTAAATACTGCATCCATCAATCAAGAGCGCTTCCCTGTCTTCCGGTAAGCGAGTGACATTGACAATTTGGTGGTTGCACAAGATAGTGACAGCTCCTGGCTGCTGGCTGTTGTGCACCCACCAGAGAAAACGAGCATTCTGGGCGTTCAAGGCAACCTGCAAGCCACGTCGACTCAAATCAGGCTTGTGGCTACCTTGCCACTCTCATGCGACTACTACCATCCAAAGCAGGCTGCAATACCTCCGCAAGCAAGATAACGACAAAAGACCCATTCTCAAAGACCTTTCTTCCTCGTCGGGCATATGCCTCTCTTGTCTTGCAGACGAAGTTGCCCATCATTGCTCTTTTCAATCGTTGAGGATCCGAAAACGACCAACTACAGCCTTATGGTAACAACAGTGCATCCCTCGCCTTCCATGCTTGGGATGGATTTTCAAGTTCTCAGCTAGCCATATCAGAGCCGCATGGGCGGGGTGAACACGAGGTGACCAATATCACTCGGGTTCCCATTCCTTCTGACGTGCATGGCGCTTTGGCGCTTCGTGATTGACCTTGCGACCGGTCTGTTGAGGTCGTCTCCAAGGCAGAAATGGGAAATTGCCAGCTCATACATCTCATATAGGCAACAATCGCACAGAGGTGGGCTGCTGGAGAGGTGGCATATCTCTTTTCAGCTGATGCTCCACCAAGGCTTCAATGGACTGTTCATGCATTGGGCTATGCTGTCAGGAACTAAATGGGCCACCGACATGTCCATTACATGTGAAGATGGCAACAATCTACCATCCATTCTCATATCAATCACCATCCCACCGAGTGTCTATCCATCCTGCGGTACGTATTGTATACTTACGGGATGTGTTGTCATTTAAAAATCTGCCGACATTCTCTCCTCCCGCACCTGTACGGGAGACTAGGATACTTCAGGTCAAGGGCTTTTTCACTTTATCTTGCTCGCTCGTTTTTAGTCTTTTGCCATGCGATTGACGGCCTGGATGATTCCTTCTAACCCCATGTTTCTCTAGCCACCAGCTGCTCCTTTGCACGATTGGATGATATGGGGACGGTGGACATACGGAGAGCATATGCCTGATGCTGGTCTCGGCTTTATTTGGTGTCTGCATAATGTCGAGATGCAGATCTCCCCGCCTCTTCAACGCCCAGCGACCAACAAATCAACAAACCAAACTTCAACATGAATTCATCCCTCCATCGTTCAGTTTACAAAGTTTGTCGATGTTAACCACCTCGTCTAGAACGCCACTCGCCTCATCAAAACTCCCAACGGCATGTGAATATGCGAGAGACCACTTTGCACCTCACTGACCGAAGGTTTCTATGACATCCAGGCCGCCCATACCCGCACCTTGTATGCGCGGCATGGACGCGGAGTACATTCTGGCCCGAGGTCGGTCGATGCAATTACTAACGGCGTTGGATGTTATTGCATTATTCGATCCACTGACTTGGCCGCTTCATGAACCTGGACATCCTGCGCGACTGTGAGCATATCATGCCACTAGCACACTATTTCCGTCAAATGCATTGCGGCAAGGCGCCCCCACAGCCTTGATCGGGACAACATGTTTCAAGAGATCGTTCTCTTGAACATGCAGTCAAGGATTGTCTCCCGTGAAGCTGACGCGGTGACGACATCGGAAACCCCAGGTTGAGGTTTGCCACAACGTTCGCCGACGATGTTGGGGCGTCCAGCCACTCTCGTCCACGTCGGAGGCCGCAGGTAATATGCTTAAGCACAAAGGTGCATTTAGGCTTACAGTCGTTCTCAGGCTCGCAGCCTTGTCAGCCAGTGACATTTGTCGATCGTCATGCTTCTACGTCGTAGTTGCAGGAGAAGACACTAGGTATTAGTGATCGTCATTCCATCCCCAGCCTGACTCAGCCTGATGCTAGCTTCATTTACGGAGTACTTCCCTAGCATATGCGATGCTATACTACTGTCTCTCGTTCTACGATGATTCGAGATACGGATCCGATGGAGGAAATCACTGCTCTTTCAGAACTTGGGCGCAATGCATATAAGCTGAGCACCTGCTTGAATGAGGCACGATGATGTACGTCCCCTTGGTCGACCCGGGCCTACCCCGGTCATCATCCCGTCTACTCGTACTGTGAAGAAATGCTTATCATCCTACCTCCTTATGAGCCCATGCTTCCTTGCTGATTATGGTCGATCATCTTACAAAGCAATGCATCCCGAGGCCGCCTGCCAAGCCAAAAGAGATATCACCATTCGCGCAACATCAACAATTCCAAAACGCATATGGGAGAATCGTGCTTCGGATCCTCTGTGTAGGATGTCATTCCCGTCTAGGGGCCGTACTTCACTGCCGAACACAAAATGCCGGTCCTGCAATCATCACTTCTCGAACCGTACTACGCCCATTTGCGGGAGACGGGTTTAGAGCGATATAGCGACTTGTTTTTGAAGCGGATACAGCGCACAAACCAAATCTAGCAGCAATCGCGCGGCAAGGTCCCGAAACCCAGATATTCCTATTGGCGCCGCCTCCCACTATGGTGACGAATAGACTTCTGTGGTGGCACGCAAAGGCATCTTCTTTCGAGGCCGCGTCGACCTCAAGCCAGCCAGGTTATTTTCGGCATTCGCTTCGTATCCGTCCAGACTTTCAACAGTTATGATTCTTATGATACGCATTGTGGAAGCGGATGCACGTCGGAATTCTTGTTTGTGTGATGATTTGAGGGACAGTTTATCCCAAAGCAAAAGCTCGAACCGCTCACACGGACGTCCTTCCCAGTGTGTCTAGCCTGGTAGGTCAACATGTCTGCAGTGGTAGCGATGCAGCACCACCCAGCTTTTCACACGAAGCTCTCATTTGGCAGATTGACAGGCCGAAGATCCCGATCTGGCGCCTGTTGGATATGAGAAGGAACTATCGAAAGATCTTGCCTTTTCGTTTCTCTGTTGACATACCCCATGGAAATGTAACCCGATTGGATACCGACCTTGACGCGCATGAGCATGAAGCAATCACGTCGATTTACCTCCGCTCTTGCACAGCAGAAAATGTCAGGAAGGCTCGCATCACACAGCCGTGCGACAGAGGTGACATGTCCCTCTGCCCACACCTCTCACAAACGCTCATCATTCACGTTTTTTGGTGAGCACAGCAGAATCCTTTGAGATGGTCATGCGCGCCAAAACTCTGCACCCAGTGTCTTGGATAGAGGATTGTAATCCGTCCGGTCGTTTCCCGATCGCGTTTTCGCGATTCTGCTGTGGCAGTGCTACAAATGACGAGTGTAACATGTCAACTGGGGACGATCTGACTGGGTGACCGACACTACTGTACCATCATTGTCGCACCAAGGATAACGAGAGCGAGCCACGTTTGGTAATCACGTCGTAGGTAAGTGTTGCCCTTGGAAACGGCAGGATTGGATCTGTTTCAGATCTGCAGCAAGAATACCCGGATCGAGCGGCATTGGCAAAGCACCCCAGTCTCGCGTAAACTCAGCGTACACCTCTACTCAAAACATCATGAGAGGAGGCAAGTGGTGCACGAACGCAACAGCCCTTGAGAGACCTCAAAGTCTTTGGCACTCAATCAATGTGACAAAGTCCTGCACGAGCTTCCGCTCGTAAGTTGCCGGGCCTAGATTGCTCTCACCGTGCCGGCTCGCCAAAAATCCACCGTCTGGATGGTTTCGCAGAATGGTCCGCGTCCCGCAACAAAGTAAGGCATTTGCCGCTGTCGTTGTCCAAACCACCTGTGTTGTCTTTACACATGGCTCCTATATCCATGACGAGCACCCGGTTGTAATTACCCGTCAAACAAAACTGCCACGATGGGTCATGATTGGAAGAAAGCTCGAAACAACAAGCGAGCAGATCTTCCATGTCATCTAGACGGAGAAGGAATCCGCTGGCTGTTTCCATCGACACAGACACCCTCCGGAAATAAAGTCCCACATGTACTATGAATCTGTGAGTGGTGACGCATGGCATTTCTGTGTGGACTAGCCAACAACAATGCCGATCAGGTACAGATCTCCGTGCTCGCCTATGGCAAAGATGAAACGCACCGACCTCAATAACCTTTTCCATCCAGATACACTTGCATACTCGGCGATGAACCTTTCCAATCAGATCACTTGCATGTGCTTGCCGATCAGGGTTTCTTGTATGGCTTCATGAGTACGTCCCCACGATTCCAGACTCCAAAGATAGGGAAATGCCCACAACTCTCACATCTGGCCCGGAAATGCTGGTCTTCAAAATGTTGGGATCATATTGGGTGAGTGGGACTGTGCAGTATGGATGTGGAAACTTCGCTGGCTCGGAATCTCAGAGCATGGTACAGAGGACGAAGAGTATACTGATTCATCATAACCACGCCACGAGGCTAAACGTACCTCAAACGGATGAGCCGGCCTGTAAAGTATGCGTGTCGAAACTTCCCGGGCTCGGATTCTGGTGGAGGGCGCGAAGTGTATATCGTCTTCTCGCGCGCACGCTGCACAGCACATGTGCATGACTCTGGGTGCATGCTGAACGGGTATTGAGGCTAAGTCATCAACGGTTTTCAGGTGTCAGTTGCCCCAGGCCACCCAAATGGCCCCCAGATGTGAGCCTGATGCGTTTGCGAGGCAGATTCTGGAAAAGGTATAAGTTCGCCGTTGCTGTCGTCCTTTGGCCCGTCCAAGGCTGAGAAGGGAGCGGGCCTTGGGCAGTTCATGCGGTCCAGGCCTCATCGGTGCGTTTTGCCCCGACGCTCCAATGTTGGCTTCGCAGCATGTGGAAAGTATGATTACAATTGTTCTCTTGTCCAGATCTCAGGATGCATCTTGCTTCGCATTGACGCGTACCCGCTCGGGGTGCAGATGGGTTATTGTGCAAGATAGGCCGGAACTTTATGGATGCGAGGCCATCCATGTCTGACACCGAGGCCGTAAGGCTGCAAGCAAGGGTAAGCCTTGCACTCTACGATATCAGTATTCGCTGCTCCTCAGTCTCCTTCCTTGCATATTGCTCCTACACATCATGGATCATGGATCATGGATCATGGATCATGATTCATGAGTCCTACGAATAATGGCATTGTATCTCTTCATACCGAAATCACATCAAATGACTTTGATATTGTCAACGAGGTGAGGCCTGACAAAGTTTGCGAGGTTGAGACTTAGTTCGCCAATATTGCCCTTCTCCAGGTATATATCCCTGCAAGATTGGTCAACACGGTGCAGTACATCATCCGGCTCCGAATTGCGTCTTCGAAGAGGGTTTCCCTACGCTGGAGGTCTTGCACATGCCGTGCCAGGCTGTGATAGCAACACCTTTGTATCCTCGGAGCCGTTTGGTGAAAAACGGCAGCGCTGTTTGCTAGTACGCAGTCTCACCAACTTCCCAGCATAGGTGCCAATGACCACAAGTCCTAGGTGGTGGGAGATATCCATCACTAGTATTCCTTGACAGGTGCCCAAGGCCGTTCGCCGGCATTTGCCCAATCAAGTGCCCAGGGTTTTCCACTTCGAGAAAGCCGCTGAACAACCCCACCCAGTACGCCTATCATCGACCCCGACAATGCCTGTATCGCCCACATTCTTTCGAAAAGCTTACGTCATTTATTGTCTGCTCCATATACTAGACACAGCAAAAATAAGCTCAAATCCATGTTCGAATAGTGTAGTGGTTATCACGCGTAAGTTTTGGCCGCTTTTCTCGCCTACCATCAAAAATTCTAATTCCCTGTAAAGATCGTTCACAGCTGTGAGCACAAATCCGATGAGGTCCCAGGTTCGAAACCTGGTTCGAACATTTGTTTTTGCGTCCTAGAAAACCTGTACGAGGTTCTTGTCTCCTTTTTTTGTGCATCTGGTGCATGACAGAGTTGTGTTGAGATACATAGTGATGTGCTCGGCTGGCATGTTGCCTCTATCTGGCCGTGAAATGGGGAAAACTACCACGCAGCACCATGAACGACCTACTAGTACTCATGCCCTATGGGATGAACGACCTACTAGTACTCAGGCCCTATGGGATGAACGCTGCTAAGTATGAGTCTGGTTCCATTCCTGCAACCAGGTCTTCACAGCCTCAATTTCCCTACTCTTCGCACTCTGCACGGCAACCGGCGTCTTGAACATCGTCGTCTGGTTGGGCAGAAACCCATAAAAGTCCCATTCATGATATGCTCCTTCTATCACGATCTGAGGGGCGGCAATTGTACCGTTGCTCGCGATCCTCGGATTTGGCTTGGCCGTGGTATTCGGTAGAAACTCCGCCAACGGGCCAAAGGGCCTGTAGAAGTCGAATTGTCCCGTCGAGATTGCCAGGCGTGGGTAAGACAGGTTCACACCGCCGTACTTGTTGAATCGCTGCAGCTGTGGGCCGTAAGTGATATTGTAAGTCTTCTTGCACTGGGCGAGGAAGTACTCCGGTGTTAGGGTGCGAGAAACCAAGGGCAAGGCGGCAGGGTGGCCAGGACTACCTGGAGTATATCCCGTGGCAAATTGGCCATACTCTGTGCAGATGAGCCAGGTGAATGGGGTAGGAGTGTATAGGCTAAGACATTCCTCCACGGTTTGACCATCGCAGAAGGAGTAGGTGTTGAGCATGTAGCCGGCGAAATTGAGCAGAGGGTAGTACAAGTCGTTGGCGTCGGGTGTTGCGGTCTTGTTGGCATAGCGGAGCAACGAGCGGGCAGTAGCCTTGAGTGTGGCACTGGCGTTGGCGACGTCGGTTTGATTCGTGAGGTAGTTGCAGTATGACCCCGAACCTAATGGGTGTCAGCTCGACATGACCACTCACGTCGGTGGCAGATTCTTACCGTTGATCGGGGTGTTTTGAGAAGCCCATGACAGGTCCCATTCCTGTAGTGGCGTGTCGACATAGGATGCGAAATCGGAATATGGCGTGGATTCGGAGAGATTGAAGGCGGATATCAATTGACTAAGCGCTGTTTTATTACCGCTGCTGTATACATTGTCCATCAAGGCGACGAGCTGCTGCTGGTTGCTGATACATGCCTTCGGACCATAGCGGCGTATCACATCATAGTAAGACCAAGCGTCATCGATCGCCGTCGTGATTCCCGATGAAGATAGCCCGCCCCAGAAGAGGTCGGGATACTGAATGCGGGTGAAAGCAGAAATGACGCCGGCATAAGAGCCTCCGATGATGATCCAGGGTGTGCCAGGCGCGGTCAAGTTCTTGTGTTCGAGGCCAGCGAACACAGCCTTTTGAGCAAAGTATGCAAGATCTGCCAGCGCCTGTTCGGTGCTGTGGAATCGAAGATTGCTGGTATTGTACTGTCCGTATGGGATGATGGCGCCGCCGGAATAGTAGCTGTGCACTTTGTTCAGCCAGATCCGGATTCATGCAGAATGGACAGACCGTTGACCCCAGAGCACAGCAACTCCTCCAGTGGCATTAGCGACCTGGTGAACGAGCCCACTTTGAAGCCAATCCAGGTCGAATGTGCTATCTTCGCCCATCGCGTGAATGATGACGGGACCTCCCTCGACATAGTTACTCGTGTCCAGCCAGTAGTTCTGCACAAACGTGTCATTGGTGTGAGGAGCATAGCGAGTCTCGTTGTGGAAATGGTCTATAGGCATGGTGAAGTTTTGCATCCTGACTTCCTAGTTAGACTGGGTTCGGAGTCCAGAACGTCTTCAAGGAGCTTCCAGCCACGGCTCATGGGAGTCGTAGACCTAGGACTACTTACGGGTAGATATCATTCAATGGCTGTCCCTGGGATTGCCTCGCAAGGATGGCCTGCGACGTGCTGTTATGGTTGCGTTGTCAGTACCTGCTAGAAGGGCAGAGGTGGTGATGGAATGACTAGTTCGTACCTCAGGGACACGATACCCAAGATTTGGAGCAAGATTAGCGATGCCATGTTGGTAGTTGCATGTAAGAAGGAACGTTCTAGCGCCATGCTGAATGGTGACAAGCAGCTGCTTTTGTAAGAGTCTCGTCACTCTATCACCCCGTTGTCCAGGAAGATGCCGATACCCGTCTTGCCGTCTTCAACTTCACGATGCGCTGAGCGGCTGTGTTCGATGCAACGCTCGCTCACGGCATCACCAAGTTGCGTCGCGTCTCTGGTCAGCACATGACGCATCGTATCCTGGAAGCACTGTTCGGAGGAAGCAGTGTGTGGATGGTGGTGAAGTTTAGTGACCATGGTGCTTCGCTCTTGGGCGCAAGTATCTCCTCTTTTCATGTACAGCACATAAGCGAAGGATACCAGCGACGGGGCCGGCATAGAATTTCTCGAACATAACCAATGCCGAATATCCCATGCGTGGGTTACATCCCAGGAGGTGGTGAACGAACCGTGTCAACTGACTAAGCGAGTGCGACACGACGTAATTTCCCCTGATTTTGGGAGATCACTCTGGGGTGCCCGGGCAGACTCCGTGGACGCCTTATAAGACCGAGGGAACTGTGGACATATGGGCCAGACCTCGAGGACTTGGGACTACTTCTCTGTAATATTGCTGCCTAGCATATCGCTGCGCCTCGGCTTGACGCGTATCTGGTCTCTTGGTTCGAGATTGAGGACATTATGGATTGGTTCTGAGAACCTGTGTTACGCGTATATTCATTAGTGTAAGGCGGATTCATAGACCTACATGTGCTGCTTCCACACTTGACGGCGGAACCCTCGCTTCACTGTATGGGTGGCCATGTCACTCTTGGCCATCCTCTTACCAATCCATGAAGCCGTCTTTCTGAACAGCCTTGCCAACATCCGCATCCCTCACACCCTCAACGACATCCTTGATGAATTCTCCACCAAGACTTGCGGGTTTGGCTCCGAATTTCGCAGCTTCCACTGGGCCCAAGCCACCAAGGTTCGTAGCCAGCATGCCAGGTGCAACAGCCCAGACTTTCACCCCGTCCGCTTTCAGCTTGTGGTTATAATCGAGCATAAGCATGTTGAGAGCACATTTGGTACAGCGATACCCAATCGTCTCGAAAGATATCTCCTTCGGCCATCCTGCGGGCTGAGGTGGCGTGGGCCAGTACGCCTGACTGGCCCTGTTGATGCCGGATAAACCAGTGACGAACAACAGCCTGGGATCCGCGGACTTGAGCAGAAGCGGCACGAATGTCCAGGTCATGACATTCGTACCTGCAACGTTCACGTCGTAGGCCTTGTTGAAGCTATCACGGAGAGAAACATTCCCTTTGACGAACTCGATATCGAAGGATGCCCCTAAGAAGGTTAGCCACGATGACAACTATCCTTGTGGGAGTATGTACCTGCGTTGTTGACGAGCACATCGAGACGGCCGTGATCCGCTTGAACATGCTCATATGCTTTCTGGATCGATTCGTCGTTGGTCAGGTCGAGTTGAACAGGTTCAACAATGTTGGTAGCTTTTGGATATTCTTTCTTGAGAGTTTCAATGGCTGACTTTGCATTGTCCAACGAACGGCTGCCCATGAAAATGTGGTAGGGCTTGCTGGACTGCATCAGCGCTTTGACAGCCTCATACCCAATCCCACCATTACCTCCTACACTAAGTTAGTAAGTATGAGGAATCACAGGCACTAGGTACCAACCTGTCACGAAAGTAACAATGCGTGTTGCCATGGTTTTTAGCCGGTGTGTGCTGTGTTAGTGCCTGTGTGATTCTTGGACGACTTCAAGACTGATAGAGCTCGACATTCTTGGTGTGACCTACCCGCATCTTTATACCTTTCACTGATGGAGCCAGGAGCCATCCCTCATGCAGACAGGGGAGATAAACAGACCTCATGTCCCGTACTGACGGACGAATGAAGCTGACCAGACCGTGCACACATACATTGATTCTGTGGAAAAGGGCTTCCCATGTGTGGTTTGATGATGCTGCGGACGGCCAACAACGGGATTCACATGATGCAGACTATGCTGTTTCAGGCGAAACTGCCGATTTTCGACGGGTGGAGTAGAAGTCAATGTTCATGCTTCGCTGGACTTTGCCTCAAGTCCGCAAAATCCGATCACATTGTATCATCAATATCTAGGATGTCTCGAGCTTCAGATGACGGTCACTGGTATTCCTCGGCCGAGAAAGCAGGAAGTGAGAAGTACCAGGTAGTCTTGGATTGTGAACATGCATTAATGAGGTTTCACGGATGACTCGGGCGAGAGACAAAAAGTGCAGGTGTCCTCCACTCAAGTCGTTCACCATGTAAAAGCAGCGTGACAATGGTTCCAAAATTGCCAAGCACTGAACCAAAAGTTCTGGGACTCGAAACCGGGCAGCAGCGACTGACTGCCATCGCGAAGAAGTGCATGAGGCTTCAAGTACAGCTGCATTGAATATTTCTCAACTACACCCAAAAGCTGCTTTTACCTTCCGCCGTATAGTTTTAGCTGCGCCAATCTGCAGATTCAAGAAATCCACCTTGCGTTCGACGAGGAAATATTGACAGCCCTGTCGTGTCGCGCCGAAGAAAAGTTGCCCCAAACCATCAGGCTTCAAACGACGTGATGAACGGGGACAACTACGCCTCGAGAGGTTAGTGTATGCTTCGCAAAGGTAGATTCACGACTGACAACCACAGACTCGGGCCGCTCGAGAGAGCAGCACGTAAGCGCACCGTTCGCGACGAACAAGCAGGGAAAGACTGACACCCTTCAGGGCTCAAGATACGATCGTGATGACCGAAGAGACCGCGACCGGGATAGGAATCGAGATCGAGGTGATCGCAGACGCTCCAGATCGCCGCACCATCGGTCTTCGCGACGCGAACACGACGATTCATACTCGTCCAGCAGAGATTACCGCGCTCGAGAAAGAGAGGACAGATACGATTCTGGTAGGCGAGACGATCGCGATTGGAATCGGGACCGAGGACAGAGGCGCCGCGACGATGACAGACCTCCAAGAAGAGATCGTGACCTATTTGACGACAGAAGAGGTGGTGGTGGCGGAGGACGCGGCGGCCGTGATCGTGGTGGAGGTGGACGAGAAGATCGTGATGAGTTTGCTGCGCAAGCACGCGGCAAGAAGGACAACAGTCCTCCACCAAAAAAGCGAGAGCCTACACCCGACCTGACAGACGTTATCCCTATAACGGAGCGCAAGAGAAGAATGACACAGTGGGACATCAAGCCTCCTGGCTACGAGAATGTCACCGCAGAACAAGCAAAGATGTCCGGAATGTTCCCTCTACCTGGCGCGCCCCGCCAACAGCAAATGGATCCCAGCCGACTACAAGCCTTCATGAATCAACCTGCAGGCAGTGCAGCTAATACCGCCTTGAAGCCATCAAATGCGCGCCAATCGAAGCGACTGTTCGTTTACCATCTGCCCGCGTCCGTCACCGAAGACGGTCTGCTACAATTCTTCAACCTGCAGCTCAATGGCTTGAACGTGATCAAGGGTAGCGACCCATGCATACAAGCCAACATTGCTGAGGACCGAAGCTTCGCATTGGTGGAGTTCAAGACGCCGTCAGACGCCACGGTGGCATTGGCTATGGACGGCATCACCATGGAAGAACATCATAGCGAGATGAACGGCAACGGAGATGCCACTCCCAAGGGACTGGAAATCAAGAGACCAAAGGATTACATCGTCCCCTCCGCAGACGAGGATGCATATACCGAGGGCGAAATATCGTCAGAGGTTCCAGACACTGCGAACAAGCTGGCCATCACTAATCTGCCGCCATTCTTGACGGATGACCAAGTTTTGGAGTTATTGAAAGCTTTCGGAGAGCTGAAGGCGTTCGTTTTGGTACGAGATGCAGATGCCCCAGAGTCAAGAGTAAGAGCCAGACCACCGTGTGGAGGAAGGAGAGCGTCGCTAACTGTTACCAGGGAATTGCATTCTGTGAATATGCCGACCCGGCCGTCACGGCAGTCGCCGTTGAAGGCTTGAACGGCATGGACCTAGCAGGCAATGCTATCAAAGTTACTCACGCCAGTCTCGGCTTCACCCAGGCTTCCGGACTCGAAATGGGTGTCAATGCCATGTCCATGTTTGCCGGTACCACTTCCGACAATCTCGAGGAAGGGCGTGTTCTCCAGCTCCTCAACATGACGACTCCTGAAGAGCTGCTGGACAACGATGATTATGAAGGTGAGATGCAAGCGCCTCGTTGACTTTAAATTTTTACTAATACTTTTGCGATTAGAAATCTGCGAAGACGTCCAGGAAGAGTGCCAGAAGTATGGCAAGATATTGTCGATGAAGATCCCGCGTCCGTCGGGCGGCAGCAGACAATCTGCTGGTGTTGGCAAGATCTTCATCAAGTACGAAGACAAAGAGTCGGCGAAGAAAGCACTGCAAGCGTTGGCGGGCAGAAAGTTCGCGGACCGCACAGTCGTCACTACTTACTATGATGAGGTATGTTGACTCAAGTGACATTTGCTCGGGCCCGTATACTGACCTTGTCCGCAGGCAAGCTTCGACGTGAGCGCTTGGTGATTTGGTGGTGGAGTCTGTTGTCAGTACACACTGGAACAGAAACTCGAGGGTAGGGCGCATGCTTTTGTTCCAGCCATGTGGGCGCTCCGAGATGCGTGCGGCGGGATCCTTGCTGTGGCAGACGCCAAAGTCTCGTCTCCTCTGCCGTTTTCGACAGCAATCTTGAAGACTCAAAAGAGAGAGACCGGTCTCACTACGCTACGCCGGCTGGCTCACTGGAAAACTTTCCATCTAGCAGGACATCCTAGCAGGACATTCTAGCAGGACATCCTACCTGCCAAGGGGGATGCAGGCGGCATTCGAACAGAGCGAGGTTTGCCGGGGGATAAGGACAGAAAATCGTGTACTTTTTGGCTTGGTTAAGCTTGTATCTAATGGCGCAGATGCAGGAAAGTGATCAGAAAGTCTCGCACCCCTGGCGAGGCACGATGATACCATCTCAGTGCGAGGTTGGATGTGCACGCTGTCCACAAGGGGATGGCAACAAAAGTCTGGCAAGCTGTAAAAATAGTGATGGAATGAAGCTTTTGGCTCTGTCTTCCTTGAAGGGCCTGTCCCTGCAATAGTGTCACCGTATGCGTTACTTCGAAGCCTATATCTGGTGTGCATCTAGCTGTGTCTATCTAAGACCGTTCCACCCAGCCATGCCGTCCCATTTCAATCGTGAGGCATCATGCTTCGTACTTGGTACGAGGCAGCTGAAGTGACCCGCCTGGTATTTCTCCCCCAAGTGCTTCATTGTACACTTACTCATCATCGTTGATCAACTTGGTGATCTTGCCAACAGCGATAGTCTGACCCTGATCACGGAGCGTGAACCGTCCTAATTGCGGGTAATCCTCGAACCGCTCGACACAGATCCGCCCGGCAGCACTAGTAACCTGCAATCTGGCGATGATGTTCTGACCCCTAGCCGCGAATGGTGGAGGTTTCTTGCTCTTACGCCCAGTCTTGGGTTCTAGCTTGTGCAGCAGTGCGTCAAAGGTGACCTCTTCTGTCGCCGCATGGACGTGAATAACGCAGTTGAACCCGGCCGACAAAATCGACTTGAGATCGACGATGTTGATCTGGGCCTCGAACTCTTTGACGCAGTGGACCAATCGCTTGGGTGAGCACAAAACGAAACCGGGCAGGATATCTTCCTCCTCGATGCCTCGCAGGCGCATGCGCACCTGATCACCGCAGACCGCATGGGGAACTTCGTCTTCGGTTTCACCGTATAGAGCTGCAATGCCGACCTCTTCTCTGTTTGGCATCATGATATAGTTTGCATTCTTCTGAACGACTCCCGCTTCGACACGGCCTTCAATCATGGTACCCATGTCTCGGTACTTGGCGCCGATAGGCATCATGAAGGGGGCATTCATGTTTCGTTGGATCTTGGCCATGCCATCCAGAAATTCGAGCAGCGAGGGCCCACTGTACCAGGGGGCCTTGTCCTTGGGAATCCTGTCCTTGACGCCCAACCCGGTCTGAGCGGAGATGGGCATGAAGGTTGACTCGAGGCCGATCCTCTTCTTAAGATATGGTTTGAGCTTGCCAACAATCTCGTCGTATCGCTCTTTGGACCATTCCACGGTGATGTCGTCCATCTTGTTGACCACAACCACCAGCTCTTTAGCACCCGTCGTCTTGATCAACATTGCGTGCTCTTGAGTCTGGCCACCCTTTTCGAAACCGGTTTCAAATTCACCTTTTCTTGCGGAGATGACCAGGATTGCAACGTCCGCCTGTGCAGCACCGCTCAACATGTTGGGAACATAGGTCTTGTGACCTGGTGCATCGAGGATGGTGTACCGGCGCTTGTCGGTCTCGAAGAAACCTCGGCCGACTTCGACTGTCTTACCCTTTGCTCTTTCTTCTTTGTTCAAATCCAGCACCCAAGATATGTACCAGGTTTCTCGTCCAGCATCTTTTGCATCTCTCTTGTATTTCTCTAGCGTCCGGTCATCAACCATGCCCGTCTGAATCAGCACTTGACCACCCAGTGTTGATTTCCCGGCATCAACGTGTCCAATGAAAATGATGTTGACATGTTCTTTTCCGTACATGTCTTCTAGTACCGACGCATCGACATCGGCTGACTGTTCTGCAGCAATTTCTTCTGCCGTTCGGGCCTTCTTGGCTTCGCCAGGTGTGGGAGAGGATTTGCCTGATGAAGGCGATGGGGAGGTCTTTCCGGTCACTTTTTCACCCGTCTTCTCGACGGCCTTTGCTGCGGTAACTTTTGCTCCAGCATCCGCCTTCGAGTCGCCCTTCGCTTCTACTTTGGCAGGCGCTTCTTTTGCGGTGGGAAAGTCGGTCTTCTTGGAGGAGGTAGATGCAGTGGTAGGAACGCCGATGGATAACACTTTCGCTTTGGGAGGTGCCGCAGCGGCAGGTTTCGGTGGTGGTGCCTGAGCAGCTGGCGGAGCTGGCTCTTGCTGAGATTGAGGCGCCGGCTTCTGAGCAGCCGCCGCAGGTTGAGCGTCTGGTCTTTTGGCGATGCTTATGGGAGCGCCTTGACGTGGTTGAAAACTCCCGGGGGACTGGTTGTAAGCAGCAAACTGGCCACTGTTGGGGCCTTGGTTGTAGCCCTGTTGCTGTTGTTGGGGCGGCTGCTGCTGCTGATATTGTGAGTATTGGTTGTAGCCCTGCTGTTGGCCATATTGAGAGAACTGGTTATAGCCCTGTTGTTGGCCGTAGCCGGAATTCTGATAGCCATTCTGCTGTTGGTATTGCTGGCCTGGTTGGAAGTTGGCAACACCGGGCTGAAAGGATTGGGCTCCAGGCCTGAAAGCATTGGCGTTGGCATTAATATTCATATTTTGTGCTTGTCTTGAAAGATCTTCGTCCTGGTTCGCGGCGTCCTCCCATGATTCGTAGTTGCCCGACATTTCCGATGACTGATTTGTGTGTTTGATGATCGCTTGCGATGATGGGGAGCAAAAAGAGGAGGATGTTTAGTCGAGAAAATGTAAGTCGATCTAGACTGCGCCGAAGGGTTTGGTGTTTGCGGTGAATTCACAGTTTTGGAGGGGTCTGATGAGAGTCTGCCAGTGCTTTGCCTCGCACACCGTCACTGCCCGGCGCAGCAGGCGATATTTTGCAGCCCAAAGGCTAGTCCCAATGAGGTACACTTAAGGATTTGTTTCAAATGACGTAGTTCTGTTGACAAAAAGGAACGACGGGACTCTTTCGCACACGCGACTAATAGGACAATCGAGATGCTTTTCCATGCGCTGCTCATTTTTCATGAGAGAAACCCTTGGAACGTCTAAAGATATGTTGTGGACGTGCTTTAATGACCCATGCTTTATCTAACCCTAGTTTCCAATTGAGCACTATTCCAGGACCACCCATCGTCCACCTTTTCGCAAGGCTGAGATCGATATGGAGCCGGGCTTGTAAAGGAAGCCACATTCTCATATGAACCCGCATTCAGCTGGGATTAAGCCATCGAACACTTCATACAAGCCCTTGCTCGGCCGCGAACTCCAGCACAATGGATTACTTTGTGGGGAAAATCACCCAGCAGGCGATGAACTATGCCATCCGCTCCGGAGTTACTTTGACAGCATCATATGCGATTCGACAATCCACCAGATACCTCAATAACGTTCCAAAAAGCGATGTCAGAGATGAGCTCTCTGAAGTGCAGCAGCGGCTTCAGCGTAAGATCCACATTGTCTCACCCGCAATCGACATGATCGAACTTATTGCTGCTCGGGGCAATACCACTTTGGAATCCGCTGTGGTTTTGACCAAAGAGCTTCGCCTGGAAATCGAGTCGCTTGGCCAGCGACTTACGAGAGCGAACGCGTCAGAAGAAGCCGCCAAGAAGAAAGGCAGCACGCAGCTCAAGGCTCAGAATGAGCTGGAGTTGAAACGCGTTATTGCTGATATGAAGCAGCTGCTCGACCGGATCGAAGACGCTGTGCCTTTGATCAATCTGGCCATCACCACTTCTGGAGCAAGCCTGTCTACCTCTCTTCCTCATACAGTCTCGCCATCACGCCTGCTGCAGGCCAGCACGTTCCTAACCGCCGGCGACACGCAGTATTCCATATCTCCTCAATCCGCCGTCCAGATTGGCCCCACATTTACTCTCTCGGTCTACATGCTATTTGCTGGACATGATCGGCCTCAGAACGAAGAAGAGGTACGGGAAACAACGTGGAAGGAGGTCATACACAAGGCCAAGGTCAAGTTACGGCGTGTACCACTTGAGGTTGTCGTAGGTAGCAGGCCTGGGTCTGGGTCAGGGGCAGACGCCGTACCCTCAATGGAGATCTCGGTATCAAGCGCCATGTCTGAATTGGACAAATCTCAAGTCATACGTGCAGACATTCGCGCTGACGAATTCGCATATCAATTGATGATCGTTGAGGACTTTGATGACGACCGTGTCCATGATTTTGAAGAAGATCAACCCCACCCAGGCCCCTTTGACGATGTCCAGATGGCAGGCATACGCGAAACCATGCCCATACATGAGATCTCCAAGATCTTCTACGCCGACACGAGCAAAGTGCTCAACATCGGGGCCGACGCCGAAAGTAACCATCCAGTGCTTCTACTGAAGCGAGATATCAACGCAGTCCCGCCAAGACGGATGCTAGAGCGCGACCAAGATGACGAAGGCATGCAACGAGAAGAAGAGTCCGTCAACCACGACCATCACGCTCCCAAGGAAGATCCCTGGCGGTTCCCACCATCTCTCGACCCCGAATGGATCGCTTTCGAAGTGTACACAGAATCCGAAGCAAGCGATACAGAATCCGAAGTCGGCAATGCCGACACTGACACCTCGACTGCCGACATCGAAACCTCAAAACTCTCCCAATCAATGTCAAGCATGCACATCAACAGTCCAGGTCCGGCAGACCGACTACAACCACTCACGAATCAGACTCCTCCCTGGGCCAACGCGATCAAAACGTCGCTCTCTCTTCTAGAACTCCTCCTTCGACTGACTTCGCTGCAGCAGTTCCAGCAACAATCACACCTGTCCATCCCGGACGAATTACTCAACTTCTTTTTGGAAGAAAGCGCCACAACCGGTGCGGGAGGCGACGAAAATTACAGACAGGCTCTACGCGCTGAGGCACGGCGCCGTGTCGGCTGGGATCCGTATGATGAAAGTCCAATGAAGAGACGAGGCGAGGAGTATCAGTACCACAGCCCCGGTCCCAGTCCTCGTGCGGATGGGGATGAGGGCACATGGAGTCCGCGAGAAGGGCAGGCTAGACCAGACTTTCCAGGCTCGCCATCGCCTAGGAATAGTCCTTCACCGTTCCCAGCTGAGCGGAACAGGGGCAGTAGAGCATCGTGGCTGAAGCGAGAAGAAGGGAGGAGGAAAAGTAGTCCATTGCGCCCGAGGAGTGCGGTGACGGATGAAGGGATCGGGACAAGTCCGGCGAGTGGTGTGGATAGGGCAGACACCTGAAAGTCATTCGGCAAACGCTATGAGATTTAATGGCCAAATGCAAATGATGAAGAACAATACGAGATCAACGAGAAATCATGAGACATGGAAAATCTTCAGATATCATGTAGCCTTTGGCACTGCGATGCACCGATTGATTCAATGCTAGACTAGATGCTATTCCTGCATGTCCTGATGCAGGCTATCTATTCGACAACTCCCACTCTAGACTGTTCACCCCAGCTGTACCCTTTACGCGCAGGCTGGTCACAGTGTCTCTTGCCTCTCCTCAAGCGAAGCCGTAGCACCGGCAAGGGCTTAGCAGTAGCAGGTGTGTCCAGTCCACTGCGCCCCTTGCGACCTTTGCAACTTGCAGAGGGATGCGAAGTAAGCAGCGTCGCCGGAAAGTCTGGGAGCGATTTTGCTCGCTTATGATGCATCGATCTTCGACTGTGATCACCGAAACATGACTGACGCGCGTGTTTGTGCAACGGCGTCCAGACATCCATGCAAAATGGTGTCCGCCGCAGTATCGTAACACATCATTGTCAGTGACCGGACGTCGGTTCCGGCCGTCGGTGTTAGGCTGCCGCTGAATGCCGCGACTAAGGGCGTATATCGACTTGGAATTTGACACTTTGGCGTTGGCCACTTATCTGATTCCCATTTGCGCCCGAATCTGCATGATTTGAGCTCGCTCATTAGGCGAGAACGAATCTATCGTCCGTTGATCCATAGACAAGATCTGCTGGATCATTTCTTGCTGCGACAGTTGAGACTGGGCTTGTGGCGGCGGGGCTTGCTGTACTGGAGGTGGTTGATATTGCTGAGCTGGTCTAGGAGGCATTTGGCCCGTTAACATGGGTGTAGGAGCGACTGGATATTGCTGTGGTGTGGGCTGTGGAGGAGGAACGGGCGCTGCTTGGGGAGGTCTGCTGGCCTGCTCAACCACCTGTGCTAGGACTTTGGGATCAACCAGGTTCATCAGGATCAAGGCTTGAAATATGGCAAATGACAGTTGTGGAGCGGTCTTGAGCAGAGATGTTGCTCTTGCAGGATCTGATATTGCTAATGCTTTCATCTGTGTGAGAACATCGAGAAGTTGTGGAGGCGGCAACGTAGACAGTGTCTGCGAGATGGCATCTGTCGCTCGGAGGTTGGGGGGCAGGTCGACGCCTGCAGGGAGAGGAGGTAGGGCATTTGCGGCAGGGTTCTGAAATCCATCCGGTACTGGCGCGGCTGTCTGATCGTAATTTGTCGGAACAGAATCCTTCTCGTTATTGTGAGGCCAATCTACTCGGATCTTGCGCCCATCGATCTCGAAATCATTCAAGTTTCTCACAGCGTTAGCGGCGGAGTCTGCGTCTTGAAAGTCGGCGAAACCAAATCCCTTAGATTTGCCCGTGTCTGGGTTTGTCATGAGTCGAAATTTGACCACGGTACCGGCATAGCTGAGGATCTTGACTATGTTCTCTTCGCTGAGATCTGCTCATGGTCAGAGATGGACTCCAGCCACGGGAGAAGAGTGCTTGTGGTCGTGACTTACTGAAGGGGATGTTGCCCACGAAGACACTGCGGCTTTGGCCAGGTGCCATCTTGAGGGACCCGTGTGGGTGTGATAAAAGCGCGTCGACGGACCAAGGAGAGAGGACCGCGGAGAATCAGACAACAGCGCCAGTGACTTAAAACAGGTCGGTAAAGGGTCAAGGATGTTTTGGGGTTGCGCAGTCTGGCGCGCTGCACTTCGAGTCAAAAAGATGGAGATGGAGAACGAGATGCATGCCTGCCATGCGCCAAGCCGAAATCGACTCCGCAAAAGTTTATGCTGCAAGTCTTCTACTACTAGCTTCAGATGTGTTGATCATCAATTGCCGCCTGCCTGCTCAGACTCTTCCATCAAGCACCGATTTTGTCAAGGTCTCTACTCCAAAAGGAGCACCTTCAGCCATGTCGTACGATCCACGAGAACACTTTCAACAAATCCAGCGGACGCTACAACAGCGCAGAGGTCAAGGCTTCGGAGGCGTTCCCGGAGGCGGCGCTGCGGGCAGAGGTATCGTGGCACTAATCGGCTTGGGTGTCGCTGGAGTCGTGCTATCAAACTCGATATTCAACGGTACGCTATGCACAGATGGTGCTTATCAGAAAAGTTCTGACGCAAATTAGTTGATGGTGGTCACCGCGCAATCAAGTACAAGAGAGTAACCGGAGTTGGTAAAGAGATCTACAACGAAGGCAAGTCGACAAACTCTCGACGTGAATCAACGCCGCTGACTTCCTTACAGGCACACATATCCGGATACCGTGGTTCGAGACGCCTATCGATTACGATGTTCGAGCGAAGCCTAGAAACGTAGCCTCATTGACCGGCACGAAGGACTTGCAGATGGTCAACATTACCTGTCGTGTCCTGTCTCGGCCTCGAGTGGAGGCCTTGCCACAAATCTATCGTACACTGGGCACGGACTATGACGAGCGAGTACTTCCATCGATTGTCAACGAGGTTTTGAAGAGCGTGGTGGCTCAATTCAATGCCAGCCAGCTTATTACACAACGAGAGAACGTTGCCAGGCTGGTCAGAGACAACCTCACAAAAAGAGCTGCGAGATTCAATATCATGCTTGACGATGTGTCCTTGACGCACCTGTCATTCTCGCCAGAATTCACAGCCGCTGTCGAGGCCAAACAGGTGGCGCAGCAAGAAGCCCAGCGGGCCGCATTCGTGGTCGACAAGGCCAGACAAGAGAAGCAAGCTACCGTTGTTCGAGCGCAGGGTGAAGCCAGGTCAGCCGAGCTCATTGGTGACGCCATCAAGAAGAGCAGGAGTTACGTTGAGCTCCGACAAATTGAGAATGCACGCAACATTGCATCACTCCTGCAGGAAGCTGGCGGCAAAAACAAGCTGTATCTTGATGCTCAGGGCTTGGGACTCAATGTACACGCCGGTGATGAGCCGCAGAAGAAGTAGGCTTGGAGTAGTGATGCGCAAAGTCCGAGTCTATGCCACTGGGACAAGAGCTCACATTGCTGCCCTGCTTCATTGTTCTGTATGTCTAGTTAGCGGATGATCACCCTCACAATGTAACATTCTTCACTCGAATATGCACATGTAGAATAGTAGGACACAAGCCGGCTATTCGGCTACCCTCGGATAGCTTGCCAGACAGAGACTGTAATTGCCAGTCTACTGATAATCCTTAGCGCAGTCTCCTCGTGAGGTTTTGTCAAGCATTCCTGACTCTCTTCCTCCTCCCACAACCAGGCAACTTCCCTCGACAGAGACGTCAAAGCCGTTGAGGGAAGTTGCCTGGCTCCTCCTCTGTTTCTCTTTGTCAGGAATGGCTAAATGCAAAGCTGTGTCGTGGTTCTATGCTGTTTCATTCACTCGCGCTGTCGGAATGCGACGTCACCTACCGATCTCAACCGTTGACGTCCATGTGGTGCCGGGTCTCGAACTCCCACATACCAGTCTTTCCCTTCGAGAGAAGTTCGAAACCCTTCCTTACCACTTCCACATACACTGAACACCGACAGGCACAACATACTTGAAGCAAGGCTGAAACAAGTCGAGGTCTCGTTAAACCCCTGCCAAGGGATCCACATCGATCTGTAGGCGAGTTGACAGCCATCTCGGGAATCATATCCGAATCTTGGAGCTAACCACAGACGACAGATCATAGACAAAAACAAACAGACAACGGACCACCGATCACAGAAAAGAGACACAAGACGAAAAGGAAACGACCACAAATGACAATCGACAGACCACCGTTGGGTAGGGATCTTGATCCTCCATCGAATGGGACGAACAGCATGAGCCTCAACAGCACGCTGCAGCAGCAGGACATCATGTCTCTGCTAAATATGATATATAAATGTATCGATCCTCACCTGCGTGGCATGTACGATGGCAGCTGAGCGAAGGCCTCTGGCTCTCTGTTCGGCGCTCAGCATAAGTCCATCAAGACATTCCCTCCCAATACTCTGTTCCTCAAATTCGAGGAAACCCTCAAGAGGCCGCACTTCTGTTAACAGCACACACGATCGGCCATGTATGAGATACCTTGTAACTTACTTTGTTTGACAGCACCTGCAAGTGCAAAATTGCGGCTTGTTATGCTCAGTTCACCGACGGTGATGCTTGCACAGTGCCTGCTTGGTTGTCGACAGGTTGATGACAAGATCAACCATGGGTTCAAGATAGTCCCTTAGCCAGCCGGCTTGTTGCCTGAGAACTCTCCAACAGACAGGTTCTGAAGCCATCTTCTTTCAATCATGCAGGACGACAATGTTTGTCTGCTCCCTTGGTCGAGCAATGCAGTACCAATGTGAATGGTGGTCATGGTGCGTGCTTGCTGGTTGGAAAGAAGTTCAAAGAAAAGAAGATCCTTCTCATTCACCATGACATCGCCGAGACAGCTGGTGTCGCGCGCTTCTTGGCCGACAATTGAATCGACGGGGCGGATCGCAGACCTCATGAACCGCGAGGCTCAAAATCGTTTTCCTATTTTGCTCGCAAATTCGAGACTGTCAATTCAACAAACACAAGCAATCAACACCAGCACTTCTCCCCTCTCAAGATCTTTACGACTTGGTCACTTCTTGGATATCATTGCTTGGATAGTGTTCTCCAGAGCCTCCTGCTGTTAAAGCCTGTTGCACTTTACTAGCGCTCGCCGGCTTTTCTCAAACCTCAGAGACACTTTCACCGTCTGCCTCTTCGCCCTCCACCTTCCTTGACAAAAAGAGTCCTACGAGCCGCCCTCGAATATCGCTTGAAACATTGTCCTGATTTTGGATATCTCTTGTGCTTCAATACTTTGAGAAGCTACGAAAAATGGCCGGAAAGAAACGCAAGCGCCAGGCTTTCGGTCCCACTGAAGTAGCCAACCACAGTAACTTGGATTCTCAGGAAGATGGCGCGCCTCCACAGCCAAAAAGAAAGCGACAGACAAAGATTGAGTCTGCTTCGAACCGTACATGGGATATCGGCAAGAGAATTAGAGCTCGCATCGTGCACCAAAACCCATTGGTTTCCAAGGTCACAACGCAACGAGGCTACACCCAAAAGGAGTTGATGGCGTCCCAAGAAGAAACAAAGAAGATCGTTGAATTGCGCCCACCTGGTCTCCGTGCAACTTCAAAAATCACTGCCGTCATTGCTATGCCCGGACAAGGACTGAGATTAGGCACATCTGAGAAGAATCTCGATATACTGCTGGCGATCTTTGTCAGAACACATGATGCGTCCTACGCGAAGGCCGAGCTAGGGGCTGCGCTCTCATTCCGGGCAAAAGACACTGTACCTCTCGCGTTCGCAGTAGCCAAGAAGAAGGATACAATCTCCAAAAAGCTTGGTGACGATGGCGACGACGGACCGGATGAAGACGACGGGGAACTGACATGGAAACCTTCGCGACAACTCGACCTTACGCAGCCGCCCATTTCGGACGTCGATGAAATCTTCAAGTCGATTGTTCTGAAGGCTCAGGAGCTGGGTCTCAAACCGACTGACACGCTAGGCAAAGGTGTCGATCTCCGAATCCTGACTATGTGTTCCGGTACCGAAGCCCCTATCATCGCCATGAACATGATCATCAAGGCTCAACATTTCTTCGGCCTAGACGCCCTCAACTACCGACACTTGGGAAGCGCCGAGATTGAGCCCGAAAAACAGGCGTTCATCGAAAGAAACTTCGAGTCTGCTGTCATATACCGAGACGTCACCGAGTTCACCACTCACAGCAAGGCACCCGACGAAGACCATCTCCTGCCATACACAGCATACGGTGCACAGCAGCGACCTCCAAAAGGAGTGCACATCCTTATTGCCGGCTCTTCCTGTGTGGATTTCTCCAATTTGAACCCGAGCAAACCTGAGGTCGTTGTAACAGACGAACCCAAGGACGCCAAGCCCGATTCGAAAGCGTCTGGAGTTAATCCTGGTAATATCAACAAGCCCAAAAAGTCGACGTCCGAATCTGCGGCCACGTTTGCAGGGGTGCGGGACTACGCGAAAGTCTACAGACCCAACTTGATTCTCATGGAAAATGTGGAGTCAGCGACCTGGTCTGATTTCGCCGAGGAGTACGAAAAAATAGGCTATCGTTGCAAGGTCATTCACGCGAATTCCATCAACTACTATGTTCCGCAAACCCGCAGACGCACATATTGTCTTGCGATTGACGTGCAGCGTGCCGAACTTGTCAAATTCGACTATGAAGGTGCTCTACACGAGTGGGCAAACCTCATGGCACAATTTCAGCGACGAGCATCATCGCCGTACAGCGACTTCCTGCTCAGCGAAACTGATCAACGCTTCCTGCATGAGAAACAGAGGACATATGGCGAAACTCAGCCACGAAATCAGGGCAATTGGACACTTTGTCGCAAGCGCCACACTAACACACGTAACAGCGAGCAATTGGGTGACGCTACGCCATACACTGGCATGAAGGAGAACCGAGTCGTTGTGATGGACGATTCAGCTTGGCAGGGGTGGGTGATAGGGCAAGCCCAGCGTGTCCAAGATGCTCTCGACATAAACCTTCTTCGCCATGTCGCACAGCGAGGGTATGATATGCGTTACAAGCACAGAAACTTCAACCACAGTCAAAACGTGGATCGAGAATCTGACAGCAGAGAATGGGGAGTGGTTGGTTGTCTGACGCCCAGTGGAGGCCTATTTGAGACTCTACGGGGTGGTCCAATCACCGGAATTGAGGCTTTGCACTTGCAAGGCATGCCAATAGGCGATCTCAACTTGAACAAGGAGACCTCAAGATTCCTTCAGGACCTTGCTGGCAATGCAATGACGGTGCCTGTAATTGGTGCTTCAATCATCAGTGCCCTCATTGCTGGTCTTAAGTTCCAGAAAGCCGGCCAAGAAAGCATTTTCGAGCCCCATCCCGAGTCGAATGCGTCCGAAGCTCTAGGCTCAACGGACCATCGCAACAGAGTCCTGGAATTGAAGTCGGAAGAACAACTCACCCAGGGAGCGGACGATGCAGCTCTCAAGTCGGCATTTGAAGAGCTGAGTCTCGATAATGAGGTGTCTTTGCAAGAAATCACCCACTCTGCTCGCGAATCGCAACCATACTGCCATTGCGAAGGCCTTGACCAGCATGTCTCAACCAATCTACGTTTCTGTCGACACTGCTTCTACACCTGCTGCTCATCCTGTAATAGAAAAGACCATGATGGTCTGTTCGAATTTTCTCCTGACTCCATGGATCGAACTTTGGCCAGAGACTTCGTTCAAGCATGGACTGAAAGACTGCCCCCTGTCCTGGAATTCGACCTCTCCGAAGTGGACATGGCCTCATTACGCCAGCATTGTTCAGAGCAGGGCATGCAGCTATCAGATTACATGTCTGCAGCGTTTCAGGGCACGTTCCGATTTCAGGGCATCAGATTCGATCGCTCATGGAGAATCATCTATGTGTCGGACAATGCCAGACTCGAGCTAGATCTTGCTCCCAGACGTTCTCCCCTTTCTGAATACAGTCAGATAGGCGTTGACCTCATGAATTCAATGAAGCTTGAACCCACATGGCTACTGTTCGCAAAGCCAAAGCCTGATGAGCCGGCGGGAAGCAGTATACGGCCTCGTTTAAAGTACCCAGTGGCGAAGATGCGACCAACTGAGACTGTTTTCTACGGTCCATGGCAATTTCGGGTCGCTCCTCAACAGGGGGCAGACACCAATTTGACAATCAACGGCACAGGCAATATTATACCGGCCTGGGAGAGTACTCTTGGCCTCGACATGGAAAAGTATGACACCAAGCAGGTCTTTACAGAGCTGCAGATTGGGTTTGCTCAAGGCATGACTCAAGGATCTGGATCTCCTCTAGAGTGTATTCTTGGAAATTATGAACTACACCAAAAATGTCCCGCTGCCAGTGGATCACTGTATACAATGCAGTCTGCCGAAGTCGGCACCGTGTTCCTCTATTTGGATCCAGATCCTTTTGGAGAGTCCTTTATGGACCATATGGTCTTCTCGACTCAACCACCACAGCAAGGCATACATGATGACAGATCAGTCCTGGCCAAGTTAGATCCTGAATGGAGACCAACTCTGGTAAATGAGCCATGGACAGAAATCAAGTGCGCTCTCTTCAACGTTTGGAAGCCTATCGATGCGGTCAAACTGGTGATTCCGGAGAAAGAAACCATCGTCAAGAAATGGCATCAACCAAAGTGCCCGGCCGATCAGGACGCCACTTGCACAGAATCATCCAGCATTTTCGTTATGAAGATTCCACTCGACCCGAGAAATCAAGAGAAGTGGCCACAGGGCCATGCTGTGCTTATTGACCTTGAAGACAAGCCTGAAGCTCTCAAAGACTTTACATGGATGATGAAGTATGTCGCAGAGATCCCTCGCCGTCATTCAGCTCTTGAACCCATCGCCAGTTCAACGGCTCGGAAGTGCTCCACGTGTTCTCCGGCACCACCTTCGCTGGAATGGTTTTTCGTCAAGAATGGCGTCATGAAAGCCTCCGAGGTCAAGGAAGAAGCGACACGTTTCGAGAAGCAGCTGAAGCAGAGACCGAAACCAGCGCTGGCCATATTGCATTGCCACGGTCAATCTGGGCTTCTTGACATTCAGCTTAACATCACCACAATGGCACACCGCGCGACTTCTCTACATGTTGGGCATATTGGTAAGCTGTTGGATCTACTATGGCACATTGAGCGTTACAATCATCTTGCCACTCCCCCAAAGTTTGTCAACATCAAGATCTCCTCAAACATCTCGGGAGAGGTTATCGCTACTTTGAGGCTCGGAAACCGATTGCTGTGGAAATCTCAACGCGAGGTACTCGCTTGGATGCAGCAGTGCGAAGAAAGTCCCCAGCTTTGGAACGAGTTGGCACAGGTGGAATGTCGCCTTCCTTCATTGCAGTGTCGTGTCGAAGTTAAGTCTTTCCTTGAGAGGGAAATCCGTGGTGGTGTTGTTGCAGATGATGTCGGAGCTGGCAAGACCACAACATCACTGGCCCTCATTGGCTTGGACTATGAAACTTTGGGACGCGGCGAAGCCTTTACAGAAGAATGCCCTTCAGGACTCATCAAAACAGATGCCACCTTGATCTTCATGCCAAAGAACATCATGCAGCAATGGGTATCGGAGATCGAACAATGCCTGCCCTCCTGGAATTGTCAACTTCCCGGCGAAAAAGCAGCATCGGTGGAACAACCTTACTATATCGTGTTGAAAAATTCCAAACAGTTGGCACAATGCTCCGTCGAACGCCTGAAAGGAGCTCATCTCGTGCTGGTTCCTCTTACGATTTTCGAAGAAGAGCACTACTGGGACCGCCTGAAAATGCTCGTTTGTGCGCCAAATACACCCACCAACCCGGGTCGCGCCTTCCAAGAGTGGTTGAGTCAAGCTTTGGAAGGGCTCAAGTCGATGACACCGGAATTGGTCGACAACGAGAGTCAAGTCTGGAAGAACTGGGAGGCTCTAGGAGCCGATAAGTCGTCTTATGAACGTTTCCACCTTCAAGAGCTCACCAAAACCCGTCAGGGCAACAAATCGGGGAACGACATGGACGCAGATGCTCGAAAACAGGCCACTGACGCTGCCAATGTCGTCAAAACGTTTGAGGATGATCGGCGAAAGTTCAAGAAAGAGGGGAAGATACCTACCCTACTCCATGAGTTCCAGTTCCGGAGAATCATTATCGACGAGTTCGCCTACATGAAAGGCAAGACTTTGCTGGCAATACTCAGGCTCGCAGCCTTATCTATGTGGCTCCTCTCCGGGACACCTCCCATCCACAACTTTGACGGCCTGAACACGATGGCAAAACTTCTGGGAACGCGGATCTCGCCGTATAATGAGAATGACGGCAAATTCGGCTTTGGGAGTGACGGAGCCAAGATGGCAAGAGACAAAACTGAAGCTCAATCATTCAGATCGTTCAAGACTGTCCAATCTGCCGCTTACAAACAAGCCTTGTACGACCATGCCGCTGCATTCGCGGAACTGTTTATGCGCAAAAACAAGCCAGCTGTTCATGTTGCAGAACAGATCACCCACGAACGCAAGTTCAAACTCACTCCATGCGAACTTCTTGCGCTGTTCGATGTGGAAGGGGTCTTGGACAGTGACGACATCAAGTTCAACCAGCAGATGACCGCTAAGAAATGGGAAGAACTCGGTAGTAGCCTATATGACACAAAATTAAGGGCAGCCGTTCGAGAATTGAGCGGACCAGAAGCAGCGCGTGTTTGTGCTCCGGCCATATTGCACAAAATCATCGAAATTGTCCCGAAAGGAGCACAGGCCTATGAGAAAGACGTTCTTAAGGCACTCATTGATGACCATGAGAAAGCAATGCTTACTCACACTGGAGAGCTCTTCGAGGGTCTGCGGGATTTGTGGTACGGTGCAAAGCATCACAAACCAGCTGAGGATTTCATCAAGTTCACACAGAATATCAAGGGTGGAGTCGAAGTGACAGAAGGCATGCATGCTATTCTGGATCACTTGCTCTGGCAGGCGAAAGCCGCCTCAACAAACACGCCACCAGGTGTTCGGCTTTCCGCATATACGTCAGAGGAAAAGACAATTGCCGAAACGCTGGGGATAAAACCCGAAGAGCTTCAATACGATTTCGATAAGCTCACCAAGGGTGTGAAAGAAAAGGAGATGCTCATTCGCATGTTGAGAGTGCACAATATGGTTAAGTCATTGTCCAAGGGGTTTGGCCGCCTCCGCCTCCTCAAAGCTGTCCTTGCGCTTATTCAAAACGGCCAGTTAGAGGACTGCTCGCGTTGCAAGCGACCGCTCGATACTGCCGAGAAAGCCGAAATATCGATGGCCTGTGGTCATATCGTTGCTTGCATCCATTGTCGTGAGGAGCTACGTCCTCTCGAGGACCCAAACTGCTGCGAACTGTTCTTGGACGAGTATGTCAGGCCTGTTGCCCCGTTCCTGGTGACCCAGGACGCGAGGGCAGAGACGTTGGCAGACAAAGTAAAGGGTTCCATGATGCAGAAGGCTGCCAGTATTCTCGAGGCAGCGCCGGAGTCGGAGTCTGCAGTGGTTTTCGTCCAGTTTGCCAGAATCAAGAGCGCTTTCGTGGAGGCCTGCAAGGCCATGGACATTGTGTGTCTGGACGGATTCTCGTACACGGAGAGAGAAGTGAAGAAATTCAAGGCTGCGGCCACGGAGGGCAGGGCGGTGCTTGTCCTGAAGGTGGACAGTGAGGACGCGGCGGGGTGGAATTTGCAGGAAGCTAACCATGTCCTCTTCCTCGGGGACATGGTTGAGCTGGGGGAAGAGGATAAAGCCGCTGCTATTGAGCAGGCGGCTGGAAGATGCCGGCGCCCGGGCCAGGAGAAACCGCAGGTACATGTGTACCATTTGGCCGCATTTTAGCTGTGTGTGTAGATTACCAACGAACATGAATTTTTATGCATAATACGTCCCCGTCGCCCTCCCAGTGTAACATGGCTTGTACAACGTGGTTTTCGTAGCCTGTTTTTTCGCCTCTACATGTGTCGCAGGCGATCACCACGGGGCATCGTAGGCCTCATCATCGGTGAATATCAGTCGTCGACCGATGCAGACGCTCGCCATGATATCGATGGTAGTCCGGCGAACGCTGAACAACGCGTTAACCTCGCCATCGATGCTGATACGGTCGTCCGTCGAATACAAGTTGACTTTTTAGTAAACAGATTGATAGCCTGTTTTTGGCGACCCCTTTGAACTTCAGGAGACCATTGAGATCAAAGACATCCTCTGTCTATTTATGCCCAGGATACCGCTGGCGACAAGCCCATACAGATCTTCTTGGGATCTGGACGAGCGTAGAGGAGAAGGTTCATCTTGTTTGCGTTGACCTCCAGGGGACTGACTGTTGCCATCTTGGACTGATTGTTACCTGCATAATGAACACTGCCGGTCTAGCTGAGGCTAAGTTACACAGAACAGGAGTGGGAAGCCTGGACGAGGGAAACCAAGCGGATTAGCGACATGCGCATGCCGGGTCCTCGTGCAACCTCGAAAACCTTTGCCATCACAGCTGTATCTGGAGAAGAGATACTACAAGATTCCTCAGAAGAGGTCCTGAAACCCTACTGAACGATTCACACGCGACGAAGGATGCCTCATACGGAAAAGCTGGACTAAGGCAAACAGCAAGGGCGCCAATGACAACAAACTCACGATGCTCCTCTTTGATACCCAGGAGGTGACCGCAGTGTACTGGCTTTCTCGGACGGTTTCGTCCATGTCCATGGCTCCTTTGTTTCCCTTTCGGCCTTCGTATTCTACTCAACACGACTGTCACTTGTCAAACTCACAAAACTCTTCTTTCATAGCTAAATGCGGAGCTGAGGAGAACGGCGGCTCCGGTTTCTGTCAATTTCAGTAGAGTACTCTGAGTTCACATCGCTTTCTTTGAGATCAAGATAAGTACAAAGGTTCAGAAATCACATAACAAATGCGCACTACTGGCAATCCATGCCCGAACAGAAGACACGTAAGGTCTTACGCAAAGGCCGAGCTAGGGGCTGCGCTCTCATTCCAGGCGAAAGACACTGTACCTCTTGCGTCCACAGTGGTCAAGAAGAAGAGTACAATTTCCAAGAGGGACATCTCGAATGGTGACCATGGCGACGTTGAAGCAGAAGAAGACGAAGGAGCAAGAGACCAAGATGAAGCAAGAGACCACGGTGGCGCAAGAGACCACGATGGAGAGTTGACATGGAAAAGTCCATTCCTGCAATGAAACCCTACCGTCCTCCTCAGACCACTAAGACGAAGTTTGACCCGGAGACATAGAGGCTGCAGACTACCCCTGCATTGACCCAGAAAATGCCACCCAACGACATCGTTGTACTGATACAGCAGTACCCACTAGGTGACTGCTCCCTCTTGAAACAATGACAGTCACACAGTATACCTGCCTTTGGATAAAAGACCTTGACAAAGCTGCCGATATATGAACATAGCAACATTGGCGGAGACGCAAGTGAGAAAGTTCAAGGAGGTGGCCACGGCGCACGACTGTGCTCTTGTTGAAGGTGGACAGCGAGGACGCCAACGACAATAAGCTCACAATATTCCTCCTTGATAACAGGGCGAGCACCCAGGGAAAGGAGCATGCTTTATCGATTGAGCTTCAGCTGACCACGCTTATTGATATTACAAAACCTTTCATTGATGGAGGCCTTCATGTCTGTAATGGTCCGGGCCAAGAGGACAACTAAAAGAACATCACCCAAGAGGTCTTCGGAGTCGGTGATGACGACGACAAAGACCACGGAGTGGTGTACGTCAGCGTACAAAAGCCAGTCCATTGTGCTTACAAGTCGTATGCGTGAGACATTGGTCTTTGCAGTATCTGCCAAACGTTTCTCTTGTCAAGACTGAGTTGCTGCAGGTGAGCATTGACCGCCCCAGATGAGATGCGAAGACAGGACAAAAGTTGACAAAGGAGACCCGAATAAAAGACTCCATTGATCTGCAAGGATGAATTTGCAACTTTGTGATATGCCCTATATCAACAATGAGCATTGACGCAAAGGCTACACGGCAAGGCCGAAGAATGGCAACACGGATGGATGATTAAAGGGGCCAGGGCCTTGTTCAGCCTTGCGCCAGGGCAGCACGTGACAGTACAAGCAGCCTTGTCAGAGATCCCACCAAAAATTTCCCCAGGAATATTTTACGCCGGAAGACGAGCACCTGCTTACCTATATATCGGTACTCGTACATGGTGGAAGTTTGCTGTGGTGGACCACCGTCTTTAGTCAACATGATGATCATGAATTCCCGGTTCTGAACAACCTCAGTCCCTGGGTGACTAGAGCATTCGGAAGTTCTGTTTTTGGTTGTCTTCCAATATACGAAGCTGCGGTCCTGGTGGTAGCCAAGCAGACAAGGTCCCGAGGCTTGCGATTGCTGGGGGCCCAACACTATATTTAGTGCAGCACTGCACTTGCGACCGATGATAAGAAGGGTAAGAAATGGGGCCGGCTATCTTCGATCCCCCTGAATTGGTGCCCTTTGTCGGCCAATCAAACAAGGGATGGCGACAACGGAATACAGCCTCGGCCATTGGGGTGACACGTATGTTCACCCTTTCGCCTTCCGAGGAGCAGCATATATTATTGCTCCATTTTGTGCGACCAAGCATGTCTCAGGCAGTCAGGAAAGAAGGAACATTGATGACACTGACATCTTGTCTGTCAAGGCCAGCAGATCGGGTTCGGCCCTCGGTGCGGTGGATCAAGGCTGAATGAGAAAATGCACCGCAGCCTAAAAACGGAGTCCGAAATTGGTATGTTTGACAGGGGCGGACTCCGCTTTGAGCGCCACAATCTGAATGCTCTACTAGAGATCCAAGAGGTCCCTTCGTGAGGCTGAGAAAAGCTTTCGAGGTTGATACAGTGCTGACACCGACACGACGGCGACACATGAAGGAAGTCACTCGACCACTCACTTGTGCAACTCCCGCCTGATTACGAAGTACGCAGATCTTGGCCTGTGCTTGAGAAACACGTTGAAGTATTTTCTTCCATTCGACCGCGGGGTTGATGGGGGAAATAGAAATGCAACTAGCAAGACGAGACTGGAAAATTGGGAATGGCATGGCCTCGGGATGTTACAGAATTTGCTAATGCTTCAAAACGATAGACGTCATTTAATGTGCCGGACTCCTCAACAGATGGAGCTTGATGAACAGAAAAAAAATTATTGGAGTTTCTGGTGTTGACGCGGGAAATATGCTGAGTGACGGGGATGTCGAGGACGTGTTTGGTGGGCCTTTAACAAAGCGAATCGATCGGCGTCGGTGGCAAGCCTAAAAGCTGTGAGGGCCCCAATCAAGGCCGAAACAGCTTCCCGGTTGGCGCTGGTTCGGCGACTTTGCTCCTCATATCCCAACTAAAATTCCAAGCCCTCCACGCCCGCCCGGAACTGGCAAAATAGCGAGTGAAGCCAATGGTGATGGTGATGGTGATGCTGTTGCTCGTTCGGCCCGCTTTAGAATTGTAGCTTTACCCTGCGCGGCATCCAACAAGCAGCCAGGACACTTTTGGTTGCTGCTGCACCACCATCATCGGTGTCTTATTATTATTACACCCTGTGTCTTTCGTGTGCCCTCCTCTTGCACTCAGTCTCTGACTTCACTATTACCTCTGTTCTCCCTTACTCTTTTTGCTCAATCCTTTTTCCAAGCTGTCCGACCTGCTCACTCCTTACTTCCTCAGTGCTTCCGGTATAGATCGTTTGGTGCTGGTGTTTGGAGAGACTCGGTATTAATTGGACCTATTTCCGACCTCCTATTCCTGCCCACGATCCTCATCGTCGATACCTCAAAGACCTTCCTCAGTCTCTGCGAACGACCGACTCTCCATTGCATGTTATAGACCTTGTACCGCAACCATGGCTCCCACCGTCAACGGTGTCAATGGGGTCAACGGTACTCCCCGCAAGTCCTCGCTGAATGGATCAACCAGCGCGTGGCAGGCGAAGCACAGCCTTGCATCACATTTCATTGGAGGGAACAGACTAGAAAAAGCTCCTCCGAGCAAAGTCAAGGACTTTGTTCAAGCACACGATGGTCATTCCGTCATTACTTCGGTATGTGCTTACCCCCAGGTACTGTGCGGAGAATGCAGCTGACATTGGAGTTTCCAGGTGCTCATTGCCAACAACGGTATTGCAGCAGTCAAAGAGATTCGTTCGGTGCGGAAATGGGCCTACGAGACGTTTGGCGACGAGCGCGCCATTCAGTTTACGGTGATGGCTACCCCAGAAGATTTGCAGGCAAACGCAGACTATATCCGCATGGCCGATCAATACGTGGAGGTATGCTGAACCAACTACAGAAGAGAGGGAGCTCCGGCTGACATGCTACACAGGTACCCGGAGGCACGAATAACAACAACTATGCCAACGTCGAGCTGATTGTTGATGTGGCTGAAAGAATGAACGTACATGCCGTTTGGGCTGGTTGGGGCCACGCTTCCGAGAATCCTAAACTGCCAGAATCTTTAGCCTCCTCCTCAAAGAAAATCATTTTCATCGGACCGCCGGGATCTGCAATGCGGTCTTTGGGTGACAAGATTTCCTCTACGATCGTTGCACAGCACGCGAAAGTGCCCTGCATTCCCTGGTCCGGAGAAGGCGTGGATGATGTCGAGGTTGACAGTGACGGAATTGTGACTGTCCGCGATGAAATCTATGCAAAGGGCTGCGTAAATTCTCCCCAAGAAGGTCTGGAAGCTGCAAAAAAGATTGGTTTCCCCGTCATGGTAAAGGCTTCCGAAGGTGGAGGCGGTAAAGGTATTCGAAAAGTCGAAAACGAAGACGAGTTCGAGAGCCTATACAATGCCGCAGCTAGTGAGATCCCAGGATCTCCGATCTTCATCATGAAGCTTGCAGGCAACGCCCGACATTTGGAGGTGCAGCTGCTGGCTGATCAGTACGGAAACAACATCTCTCTCTTTGGCAGAGATTGTTCCGTGCAGCGAAGACATCAAAAAATTATCGAGGAGGCTCCAGTCACAATCGCAAAACCGGAGACATTCCACCACATGGAGGATGCTGCAGTTCGTCTGGGTGAACTCGTCGGATACGTCTCCGCTGGTACCGTGGAGTACCTGTACTCTCACTCAGACGACAAGTTCTACTTCTTGGAGCTGAACCCTCGTCTTCAAGTCGAACATCCAACCACCGAGATGGTCAGCGGTGTCAATCTGCCCGCAGCCCAGCTCCAGGTTGCCATGGGTATCCCTCTCCACCGCATCCGTGACATTCGTTTGTTGTACGGGGTGGACCCACACACAGCGGGGGAGATCGACTTTCATTTCAAGGACCCAGCTAGCTCGAAGACTCAGCGACGTCCTCGTCCGAGAGGCCACACCACTGCTTGCCGTATCACTTCCGAAGATCCTGGTGAGGGCTTCAAACCTTCGAGCGGTACTATGCACGACCTCAACTTCCGTTCGAGTTCGAATGTCTGGGGTTATTTCTCCGTCTCTTCAGCCTCGAGTATCCACAGTTTCTCTGACAGTCAATTTGGTCACATTTTCGCCTATGGTGAAAACCGTCAGGCTTCCCGAAAGCACATGGTTGTGGCATTGAAAGAGCTGAGTATTCGTGGTGACTTTAGAACCACCATCGAATACCTTATCAAGCTGTTGGAAACTCCGGCTTTCGAAGATAACACCATCACCACAGGCTGGCTTGATCAATTGATCTCCAATAAATTGACCGCTGAGCGTCCAGATCCCATGCTGGCTGTGCTGGCTGGTGCTCTCACTAAGGCCCATCTTGCGAGCGAAGCTTGCGTTGCTGAATATCGCAAGGGCTTAGAAAAAGGTCAAGTACCATCCAAAGACATACTCAGGACAGTATTCCCTGTTGAGTTCATATACGAGGGTCAGCGATACAAATTCACCGCGACGAGATCCAGTCTCGACAGCTATCACATCTTCATCAATGGATCAAAATGCTCCGTTGGTGTCCGAACTCTTGCCGACGGCGGTCTGTTGATGTTGGTCGCTGGAAGATCTCACAGCATCTACTGGAAGGAAGAGGCCACCGCGATTCGTATCAGCGTCGACAGCAAGACCTGCCTTCTTGAGCAAGAGAATGACCCTACCCAGCTCCGGACGCCTTCGCCTGGTAAGCTTGTCAAGTACACCGTCGAGAATGGCGAGCACGTCAAGGCTGGCCAAGCATTTGCTGAAGTTGAGGTTATGAAAATGTATATGCCTCTGATCGCTCAGGAGGATGGTATCATCCAATTCCTCAAACAACCAGGTGCCACGCTCGAGGCCGGAGACATTCTCGGCATACTAGCGCTGGATGACCCGTCCAGAGTCAAAACAGCTGAGACCTTTACTGGAAAGCTTCCTGATCTCGGACCGCCTCAAGTAGTCGGAAACAAGCCACCTCAAAAGTTCGCCCTCCTTCACAGCATCCTTCAAAATATCCTGCTTGGTTTCGACAACCAGGTCATCATGGCATCTACTCTAAAGGATCTGATGTCTGTCCTGAGAGATCCTGAATTGCCATATGGTGAATGGGCGGCCAGATCCTCAGCACTGCATTCTCGAACTCCACAAAAGCTGGACGCTCAGCTCACACAGATTGTGGACCGTACACACACCAGACACGCTGAATTCCCTGCCAAGCAGCTTCAGAAAGCCATCAATCGTTTCATCGAAGAGAACATGTCAAAGAACGACGGTGTGACGCTCCACACCACTTTGGCACCTCTTGAAGAGGTCCTCGCTAAGTATGGCGAGGGCCTGAAGGTACATGAATTCTCCGTTTTCACAGGCTTGCTCGATCAGTATTATCAAGTAGAGAGACTGTTCGCATCAGGGTCTCACAGAGACGAGGATGTCATTCTGAAGCTACGAGAAGAACACAAAGACGATATTCTCTCGGTGGTCTATACCGTCCTCTCTCACACCCGTGTATCGGCCAAGAACAATCTCGTTGTCGCCATCCTCGATATGTACCGACCTAACCAGCCAAATGTTGGCAATGTCAACAAATACTTCAAGGCTTCTCTACGCCGCCTGACAGAGTTGGAGTCTCGCGCAACCGCAAAAGTGACTTTGAAGGCTCGTGAATTGCTGATTCAGTGTGCCTTACCCTCTCTCGAGGAAAGAGTATCACAGATGGAGCACATCTTGAAATCTGCGGTCGTGGAATCGAAATATGGAGAGACAGGGTGGGAACATCGCGAGCCAGATCTGGAGGTCTTGAAGGAGGTGGTTGACTCCCGCTACACGGTCTTCGATGTCCTCCCACTCTTCTTCGCTCATCACGATCCTTGGGTTGGTCTTGCCGCTCTCGAAGTCTACATTCGACGCGCATACCGTGCCTATACTGTCCGCGAAGTCGAATATTACAACGACGTAGATCCACCATACTTCCTGTCTTGGGACTTCCTACTCCGAAGGGTTGGACAGTCGGAATTCGGCCTGCCTTTGGCCTCCTCCTATCCATCTGGATCAGCGACACCATCACAACAGAGCAATGCATTCAAGCGCATCTCATCAGTGAGCGATTTATCATACCTCAACCAACTGCAAGGTGAGGACGAGCCAACCCGAAAAGGTGTCATTGCACCGTGTCATTATCTGGACGAGGTGGATGATTGCCTTGGCCGCGCTCTGGAAGCCTTTCCCAAGGGCACAAAGGACAAACGCCCCAGCCAAACACACCTCATGGCCACACTCGATGGCGCTCGAAGACCGCAACAAAAGTCTGAGATCAACGGCGATGACTTGACGAACGTCTGCAACATTGCCATTCGCGATGTTGAAGACATTTCCGACGAGGAGGCTTTAGGCCGATTCCAGAGCTTCGTTGCTGACTACAAGTCAGAGCTTATTGCCCGCAATGTTCGTCGCATCACGTTCATCTGTGGTCACACCGACGGATCATATCCTGGTTATTTCACTTTCCGTGGACCCGAATTCGAGGAAGATCTTACTATTCGTAACACCGAGCCTGCTCTTGCTTTCCAACTCGAACTTGGGAGGTTGTCGAGATTCAAGATCAAGCCTGTTTTCACCCAGAATAGAAACATTCACATCTACGAGGCCATTGGAAAGGGCGAGGACAGAGACAAGGTGGTCGACAAGCGCTACTTCACTCGTGCGGTAGTTCGGCCAGGTCGCGTCAAGGATGAGATTCCCACGGCGGAATACCTGATCTCGGAGACAGATCGTCTGGTCAATGACATCTGTGACGCTCTTGAGGTCATCGGCAACAACAACTCCGACTTGAATCACATCTTCATCAATTTCACCCCTATCTTCAACCTGCAACCCCAGGATGTTGAGGAGACGATTGCTGGCTTCTTGGAGCGATCCGCTCGGAGGTTCCTCCGCCTGCGTATCACGCAAGCAGAGGTCAGAATCATGTGCACAGACCCAGATAGTGGACTGCCTTATCCGCTCCGCGTATTCATCACCAACACTTCGGGATACGTGGTTCAGGTGGAAAGCTATGTCGAGACTAAGTCGCGCTCAGGCGACTGGGTTTTCGAGAGCATGGGTACCTCGACAAAGGTCGGCGCCATGCACCTGCGACCCGTGTCTACTCCTTATCCAACCAAGGAGTGGTTGCAGCCCAAGCGTTACAAGGCTCATCTTATGGGCACGCAGTATGTCTACGACTTCCCCGAACTATTCAGACAAGCCATTGCGAATAGCTGGACCAAAGCGATTGCAAGACATCCGCCCATAGCCGAATCGAGACCCGAGGTTGGCAACTGCCTGGACTACAGCGAATTGATCCTTGACGATTCTGACAACCTTGCTGAAGTGTCACGTGAAGCTGGCACTAACAACTGTGGTATGGTCGGCTGGATCTTGACGGCCAGGACGCCCGAATATCCCCGGGGCAGAAGATTTGTGATCATTGCCAATGATATCACCTATCAAATTGGTTCTTTTGGACCTCTCGAGGACAGATTTTTCAACAAATGCACTGAGTACGCCCGCAAACATGGCATTCCTCGCATCTACCTCTCTGCAAACTCCGGCGCCCGCATCGGTATGGCCGATGAGCTCATTCCTCACTTCTCGGTGGCCTGGAACGACGAGACCAAGCCTGAATCTGGCTTCAAGTATCTCTATCTGACACCCGAGAAGAGAGAGCAGTTGAGCAAGAAGGAAGTCCTGACAGAAGAGATCCGCGAGGATGGTGAGGTAAGACACAAGATCACCACTATCGTTGGTGCCAAGGATGGCTTGGGGGTGGAGTGCTTGCGAGGCTCTGGTCTCATCGCTGGTGCCACTTCCAAGGCATACGAGGACATCTTCACCATTACTCTCGTTACTTGCCGATCGGTGGGTATCGGTGCTTACCTCGTGCGTCTCGGCCAGCGTGCCATTCAAATTGAGGGTCAACCAATTATCCTTACTGGTGCTCCTGCTCTCAACAAAGTGCTGGGCAAGGAAGTCTACACCTCAAACCTGCAACTTGGTGGTACGCAAATCATGTATAAGAACGGTGTCTCTCACATGACTGCTGGCGACGACTTCCAGGGTGTTGAGAAGATTGTGGATTGGATGTCATTCATCCCTGACAAGAAGGGTCAACCTGTCCCGGTCAGCCCCTCTGCTGACCCATGGGACCGTGATATCACCTTCTATCCGCCTCAAAGACAGCCATACGACGTCAGACATATGATTGCTGGTAAACAAGATGACGAGGGTTTCTTGTCGGGTCTCTTCGACAAGGACTCCTTCCAGGAATCTCTAGGCGGATGGGCCAGAACCGTCGTCGTTGGCCGCGCTCGCTTGGGTGGCATTCCAATGGGTGTCATTGCCGTCGAAAGCCGCACTGTTGAGAATGTCACTCCTGCAGACCCTGCCAATGCAGACTCGATGGAACAAGTGGTGCAGGAAGCCGGTGGTGTCTGGTTCCCCAACTCTGCTTACAAGACCGCACAAGCTCTCAAGGACTTCAATTATGGTGAGCAACTTCCAGTCATGATCCTCGCCAACTGGCGTGGTTTCTCTGGTGGCCAGCGAGATATGTACAACGAGGTGCTCAAATATGGCTCCTACATTGTCGACAGCCTGGTCAAGTACGAGCAACCTGTCTTTGTCTACATTCCCCCATTCGGTGAACTCCGTGGTGGTTCATGGGTAAGTTTGGCTCCACTCCACCCAGGTACAGAGTTTTGCTAACGTGTTAATAGGTCGTTGTTGATCCTACGATCAATCCTGAGCAGATGGAGATGTATGCTGATGAGGAGTCTCGTGGTGGTGTCTTGGAGCCCGAAGGTATCGTGGGCATCAAGTACCGCCGTGAAAAGCAACTCGAAACTATGGCTCGTCTCGACCCTACCTACGGCCAGCTCAAGGCACAGCTCTCTGCTAAGGATCTGGCGCCCGAGCAACTGAACGACATCAAGGTCAAGATGACTGAGCGTGAACAACTACTCGGACCGATCTACCAGCAAATTGCCCTGCAGTTCGCCGATCTTCACGACCGAGCTGGTCGCATGGAAGCCAAGGGTACGATCCGCATGGCATTGAAGTGGCAGAACGCCAGACGATTCTTCTACTGGCGCCTCAGGAGAAGGTTGTCTGAGGAGGTCCTGCTGAAGAAGATGAACTCGTCATTGGCAGTCGGTAGCGCTCCGCCAAACGGCAGTGCTCTGACCCAGAAGGAGACCAATATTGCTATGCTCAAGATCTGGTCTGGCTTGCTGGATGTTGAGTTCGACAAGGACGACCGCAAGGTTGCCGAGTGGTACGAGAGCCACCGCAAGGAGGTGTACGCCAAGATTGACGCTGTCAAAAGTGAGGCGGTGAGCAAGAAGGTTTCGGAATTGTTGATCGGCAACAAGGAAGGTGGTTTGAAGGGAGTTCGGGAGGTATTGAGCCTGATCCCGACCAGCGAGAGAGAGCAGCTGGTCAAGTACTTGACTGGTGCTTGAGGTGGTTCACAGGAATGGCTGTGGGCAATAATTCGAACATGACCGCGGGAGGTTTCCAGGCCCTTTATGAAATGTGGTTGAGAGTGCTTGGGTTCTTATTGGCGTGGGATTCTTACTACTGTTTGTTGCTTTGTGTCATAGGTTTCTCATAGCGAATAGCGTATTAAAAGCAGGATGTACATCCGTGTATCGCTTCCCACCACATGTGAACGTGAGTATACTGAAACGAGTCACCAAGCGCATCGTTTGACGGGACGATCTGCAAGCTTAAGCCACGACCAGATGAAAAGAAAGGTGCACGGAGACAGACATCTCCAGCTCATTAATTTATGTTATACGTTTGCTACATGTGGCTTTTGGCCCAGTTTTTGCGTGTCTCACGTCAATGCATTATATACCGTTTGGTGTTCATCTTTCATTTCGTCTAACCCTTGATCAAGGTGAAAGTATCGCCAATGGGACCATCACCTCGAATGAAGTCCCACTTCAGGGCTGTCGAGTTGAGCACGGTCAACCGGCTGAAACCGTAGTGCTCTTGGTCGAGAATGTTGGTGATGTTCAGCGTCTTGTTAGCGGCAAGCGTCGAGTGCGACTCGATGTTGCCGGCCATACCGTTGATGATGTGCGTCATGGATATGCCTGGGTTGGTCTTGTACGTGTTGTTGTTGACGATGGAGGCGGTGTCGATGGTGCCGTTGGTGCCGAGAGGCCAGAGACGTTCGTACCAGTGGATGTGTCTGGGCATGTTAGCATAATGAACATAACCAGGATTGGTGGTGTGGACTTACCCGGCAAGATACATGTCGACGCCGTTTTCGAGCAGTAGGCCTTCGAATGCGTTGCGTACGTATTTCTGGTAGCTGGATGTTTCGGACGAGTACATTGGGCGATGGCTCATGGCGACGATCCAGGGGGTGATGGTGCGGTTGACCTTGGCCAAGTCCTGGACTAGCCATTTGTATTGCTGGTAGGATGTGACTTTGCTGTAGCTACCGTCGACCTCGCCGAATGGACCGGAATCGGTGATGTAGGTTTGGTCTTCGGTCGGGTGGGTCTCGTTGCCGGTGAGGTCGGCCTCGAAGGGGTACTCGGGGCTGTTGGGGAAGTCGGTCTCGCCGTCGAGGGTGACGAAGTGGACCATGCCGTAGTCGAAGGAATACCAGAAGTTGCCCACGCCGCCGGTCTCAGCGCCGGGCATGTAGAAGCGGTGTTGGTAGGTGGTGAAGTTTCTTTGCGAGGGTGGGCAGCTGTAGTACGTCAGGTTGGTGGTGGGGCTGGTGGTGTTGACCTCGTCGTTGTCCAGATAGCTGGTCAGTACGTTTCCGGGGCCGTCGAACTCGGCGCAGGCGGCTTCGTGGTTACCGGGCATGACCATGTAGGGGATCTTGTTGGTGATGTTGCCCATCCATTGCTGCCAGAGATCCCAGTTGGATTCGTACAACACGCTCATGTCGCCACCAAGGGGACCACCTTGGTTGGCAGTCTCGCCTGCTGGGAGTGGGTCGTTGTATGTGGCAGGGTAGTCTCCGGGAGGAAGTTCGGAGGAAGTGCCGTTGTAGCAGACTGGCCAGTCGCTCTCGCAGGGAAGGATGCCGGAGTACCAGTCGTCGGCGTAGCTGAGATCACCACCGTGCCAGGCGAAAGCGACACCATCCTCGACGGCGGCGGTGAGCTGTCGGAAGGTGCCTTGGGCGTTGGTGTATCCCATGTCATTGAGGACAGCCACGGCGAAGGAGGTCTCGTCACCGGCAGCAAGGGCGGTGTTGAAGCTCATTACTGGGGACATCGTGGTACCATTGGCAGCGGGGATCTGATAGTAGTAAGTGGCACCAGATTTCAGTCCGGTGATCGAGATATCGTGGAAGAACTCGCTGCATTGGGTGACGGCCACAAGCGAGCATGGTGGAGTTCGATCATATCTGATAAGGGTCAGTATGGCTGTCCAGATCGATAAGAGCGGTGTACGTACGTTCGAGAGTATCCGCTGGCGGTATTGTTCAGGTTGGAAGCAGAAGTACCCCATCTGACAACGGGAGTCTCGCCAATACCAAAAGGTGTTTGGTAGTGAATGTTGATGCCGGTGGGCAGATATGACAGCTGAATGACGTTGATGTTGTTGGTTGGGTTCTTGCTGGAAGGAGTGACAGCAGGAGGTTCCATCAAACGAGGGAAGCCTTTGCCATTGCCGTTGACAGTCGGGTCAACCCAGTCGCCCACGGGGATGGCAGGGCCAGCGTACGGGTAGGTGGTGTCCACCGTTGGGAGAGCATGGGTGCCAACAGCCAACAGACCGGACAGGAGCACGGATGCAGTGTTTGCCTTCATCTTGGTACCTGACACTTGGGAGAGATTGAACCAAGCTTTGCCAAGTTAGCTTGCTTGCCTGCTGCAAGGTAGAAAGATAGTCAGGGCAAAAAGAGCAGAAATGCTTTATACATATCCTGCGTTTACCTTGGGCATCTTCTGGAGGCTTGGGAGCTGCATGATGGAGAGCTCTTCGCTAGTCATTTTTCCTTGCTTTTGCCTCCGCCTGAAGCGAGAGATAGCAAGTCGACCAATAGATAACTGCACATGCAGTTGCATCGGTGTCACTTCGTCTGCAACCTCGATAAAGAGAGGATCGAGCGAGTCCCTGCAAAACCGGGGTGGTGACCTGTGCGCCTTGCCCTAACCGGAAGCTCCCAGCAGCCGATCGACGAGGCTAAGTGGCCCCAATGCACTACTATGCAGTACTATCACTAATGTCGTCGGCCTCATTGGCGGGCGGCCAACCCCGAACCTGAGATTGTGCTAGAATGGATGGCCATGAGGAAAAGTAAGTCCACGAACAAATAGTCACGGTGCAAGGGTGGCATGTTCAATGAGCTGCAACGTTATTTCAAACTCCTCGGTTGAATCGGGCACGTGTATACTCGTATCGCCTCTGACTTGAAGTCCGCAATGTTAATATGAGTTGACAATGGGTGGGTGGCGCGGAGTTGAACCGTTGAGCTCGCCTCCAGTTGGAGAGAAAGCTAATTGCGTATGAGTCTGACACTTAGGTATACTTTGATGCTGCTGGACCCCCCCAGCCGCGTCATATTAACGCATCCCTTGCAGTAGCGACATGCCCAGAACAACGGCTCAGGAATTTGTGTCGGCTTCGAGAAGGAAACAGATAAGCACTCCGAAGCTGTCCTCCAATACTCCAAGATCGCATTCATGCCACAGCAGCACTTTTGACGGTCGTCCTATCTTGCCTGTCGTCGACGAGTCCACCTTGTCCGATCCTCAGGCCCGATACTCGTAATAGGGCTTCGACCATCATTTATTGGCGTGGTTCCAGAAGTGATGCTAGCCCTAACGAGGTCGCTTCGCCTTCTACGATAGCAGGTATTTCATCCATCAAAGATTTTTCGCGAGGCTCCCACCCAAGGAGCTTTCTAGCTCTGATGGACGTTCCACGACAATTGGCGCCAATCAAATATTTAGCACCCCGGAGCAATTTGGTAGCCTCTTCAGGAGACAATTCCTCCACCACCCTCAGCTCCATCGAGCATTGTTTCGAGATTTCTCCTGCCACGGCTTCGATAACGTCTTTCCACACAAATGACCCGCTCTCAGCAAGGTAGTACCCCAAGTCATCCCATGTCGCTGGTTCGCCATTGTTCGCCGCGGCCTGGCCGAGGAGCAAGTACAGTCTGGACAGATCCTGGACATGCACCTGATTCCAGATGTTCTTGCCCCTGCCGACCATGAAGGCCCTTCTATGCGTCAGAAATGCCTCGGTCAATCTGTACAGCTGGATACTGCGTTGATTCGCGGGACCTCTTCCTCGGCCGAAGATTACTGGTGGACAGACGATGGCAGTCTTGATCTTGTCCGGGTATGTTTTCGAAGCTTCTAGCACTAATTTATCGACATTGCGGTGCTCAGCGTGGTCGGGGAGCGAAGTCAACTCGTCCACGCCATTCCAGTCGTCGAAGACCTGGGACAATTCGGCACCCCAACAGCCTCGGTCGATCGTCTCGGTGCCTAAGATGAGTGCGCCCGACGTGTGAATCCAGTATCCAGGCGTATTACCCGTGCGACGTGCAAGGCCTCTGACAATGGCCTTGGCTGATGCTTCGTGGTCGCAGTTGGCGAAATGGAAGACGATGTCAGCCTTGGATGCTGCTTCTTCGATCACGTCGACGTCATTGAGATCAGCGTGGACAAGCTTGATCGAGGGGTATTGTTGCGCGATCTTAGTGCCTTTGTCGCTGTTGCGGACAGCACACGTTATGTACCAGTTGGGATGGGCTTTGGCAATTTCGAATAGAGCATCACCGCCAATATAACCCGTGGCCCCGGTGACGAAGACTCTTGGTCCCATATCGGACATGTTCACGTTGAAAGTAGACTAGAATGCGTGGTCGAAGATGCCATGGCCTGGTGAAGGCGTTGCTTCATTATCAAAGCATGTTCACCCGTATTTGGCGTTTATCAGCGGCAAGCAAGAGACGAAACTTAGTTCGCCATGCTGACCAGAACAATACCTTTCCATCTGTCTTTTACGGGAGCCGTTGGACGTCTTGTCAGCAAATGAAACCCAGATTGGAATCGGAACCGCTGCCATGTTATTTGATATAGGGAAATATCTCGGCCCTTGGTTCAAGTGGAACATTCGTCCGTGCGGTCAGCAGGTTCGTCCGAACGGAGCCGCAAGGCTGTAGATTCCACTCTTCGTATCGAGACTCTGAGGCAAACTAGGACACCCATCGGCGACTTTTGAAGCCTTCCCGGCATGATGATCCCCCAGAAGTCGACAAGGCTAGCTCTTTCGGGTATTCTTGTTGAAAGTGGCGACTGAAGAACTGCCAATCATTTGGTCCGAGGCTCCAATTCTTAGGGAAAAGAGGGCGAGACGGAGAGACTACCTAGGTATTCAATCAGTCAACAGCAAGGGAGTTCTAAACGGCCTCCGCCCTTCGGCTGTGAAAGTACATTCTCGATCGAACGTTGCACGAGTTGCTCTACTCGTCGCCATGAGAAAAGTGCTCCTGTTGCAAAGTTTCCCCTTTCTATCGACAATCATGCACCACGATATGGCTTATAAAACGCCTGCCCTGGCTCTGGGAAGATTCGGTCTTTCTCTTGTTCGGGTCTTTCCATACCACCAGACTATACTCTGAACGATCAAGTCGAACACCGCCACAGCACAGCATGTCACCAATCACATTATACACCTATCCAGAATCCACCTCAATCGCACCGCATATACTCTTACACGAGATCGGCGTCCAGTTCGAGACCGTCGACATCACGTCGGCCGAAGATGGGCTCGAAGAGCTGCGAAAACTCAATCCTAAAGCACGTATCCCGGTTCTGATCATCGACGACCAAGTCATCACAGAATCAACAGCCATCATGACTGCAATTGCCCAGCTCGCGCCTGAGAAACACCTGCTTGGCAAGACCAACCTCGAAGTTGTCCGCGTGTATGAATGGTTGAACTGGTTATCTGGCACACTTCATGGACACGCGTGGGGCATGGTGTTCAGGCCAGAGAGGTATATTGACGACGTTAGTATGCATGATGCGGTCAGAGCCAAAGGGATGGTAGCAGCGAAGGAGATATATGAGATGGTAGAGGATCATTTGCGAGGTGTGCATGCTGTCGGTGATGGTCTCACCGTTGTTGATGCATTCTTGTATGTCTTCTATCGTTGGGCAGTGAGTCGAGGGATAGTGAATAAGGAGACGCATCCTAAGTTCTGTCAGTTGGTGTCAAATTTGGTAGGGAAGCCAAGTGTGAAGCGAGTGATTGAAGCTGGCTATTAGTGTATGCCAGTAACTGAGACTCAAGGCCCTCATCTTGCGATGTTCCATCATGGAAAATTGAATTTCAGCAACATGATCAGAGTGCAACGGCTTTCGTACGAGTTTTGGCTCAGCCTTGCGCAGCCTTGCCAGTAGTCACACTAAACTCTATCTGATACATTCCTTATCGATAAGCCGCGAAACATTTTTTTGCTGGAGAGAGATCCGACTTGCCGACTTCAACTTTTTTCTTGAAGCGCAGGCGACGCAAAGTTCAATCCTCCAGGAATCGCTCGCCGCATGTTAAAGCGTTATCCCGTACAATTAGCAGCAGCCTCATCGTTGCCTCGCTGGTGTGACCATTTGGCGCCATGTCGTCCACCACGACCCAGACCAGCACCAAGTGGTCTGTAGAGTACAACACTGTCAAGAGGCAGAAGTTGTTCCAAAACACCCCCAAGGACCGCAGCGCCTTCCCTGCCCTCCAAGCCGCGGTCAAGCCACACATCGAGTCTTTCAATGCTCTATGGGAGGAGAGCTTGGTAGATGCAGGCCTGAAAGACATAGGCATACAGACCGTCGTCGATGGCGATCCTCGAAATCCCAGTCGTTCGATAGCACGGAACAGACTGGACCTCAGGGTGACAGAAGTTCTACTCGAGAAAGCTGTCCTACCGCCAACCAATAAATACAGCATCCAAGACCGAAATATCTATCCTGCCGAGTGTCGCGAAAGACACGCTACATACCGAGGAAAGCTGAGAGCACGATTACAATACAGAATAAACAATGGCGATTGGAAAGAGTCAGTACGAGATATCGGTCAGATGCCCATCATGCTGCGCTCAAACAGATGCCATCTCGAACGGTTCTCTCCCGCGGAGATGGTCCGTCGTAAAGAAGAGTCTGAAGAGCTAGGAGGCTACTTTATTGTCAACGGAAACGAGAAGCTCATACGAATGCTGATTGCATCGCGGCGGAACTACCCAATGGCCATATCACGACATGCGTTCACCAACAGAGGACCGACCTTTTCCAAATTCGGCATACAGATACGATCCGTCAGACCTGATCAGAGTTCTCAAACCAATGTGCTTCACTACCTGACCGATGGAAACGTTACATTCAGATTTTCCTGGCGAAAGAACGAGTACCTGATTCCAGTGGTCATGATTCTGAAGGCTTTGGTCGAGACCAACGACCGCGAAATCGCCGAAAGCATCATCGGCTCATCATCCTCAAAATCTCCCAATTCGTTTGTATCCGATCGTACCGAACTCCTCCTGAGAACATACAAAGCATACAACCTGAAAACGAGAGCACAAACACTAGCCTACCTCGGCGAAAAATTCCGACCAGTCCTGGGGTTACCCATTACCACACCGGATGAAAAGATTGGCGAGGAGTTCTTGAGGAAGATTGTGCTACCGCATCTCGGCAACGTCGATGTGACCGCAGCCCAGAACAACGATAAGTTCCAACTGATGCTGTTCATGATCAGGAAGCTGTACGCTCTAGCGGCGGGTGATTGCTCGTTGGACAATCCTGATGCTGTATCAAATCAAGAGGTTCTGCTGGGTGGTTTCCTTTATGGCATGATTCTGAAGGAGGGCATTCACGATTGGCTCGTCGGGATCGGGCTAGCTGCGCGAGAATGGCTCCGGATGAAGAACGGCGCCAAATTCACAGATCCGGGCTTTGAAGCAGACTTTCTTCCCAAAATTGTGCGCAGGACGAATGAAAACATTGGAGGTAAATTGGAATACTTCCTATCGACAGGTAATCTGGTCAGTCAGACTGGGTTGGATCAGTCGCAGACGTCAGGCTTCACCATTGTCGCCGAGAAGATCAACTTCTACCGGTTCATCAGTCATTTCCGGTGTATCCATCGAGGAACGTTCTTCGCGCAGCTCAAGACAACCACAGTCCGGAAACTGCTACCAGAAAGTTGGGGGTTCCTATGCCCTGTTCACACTCCTGATGGCTCTCCTTGCGGTCTGCTGAACCATCTCGCCCATCAATGTATGGTGCAGATCAAGAAGATCGACACATCTGGTATTGAAAAGGCTGTGATACAGCTAGGCCTGTCCCCTGTGCCGGCAATGGACATCGAAGATAGTTTGTCAGTACAGCTCGACGGACGTATCCTAGGATACTGCCACGCGAAGCGAGCTAGAGACATCTCTCAGCTCCTTCGGCATTGGAAGGTCAATGGCGAGCACAGTATCCCCACAGAGCTTGAAATCGGGTTTGTCCCAACATCGAACGGCGGCCTGTATCCCGGTCTGTACCTCTTCACCGACCCATCCCGAATGTTGCGGCCGGTCAGGTACATCGCCGCAGACAAAAATGACTTTGTTGGCCCCTTCGAACAGCAATACATGAATATCGCTTGCGTGGAAGCCGATATCATACCTAATCTCACCACCCACATCGAGCACAAACCGACCAACATTTTCTCCATTCTCGCCAACATGACCCCGTTCTCCGACTTCAACCAGTCTCCCCGAAATATGTACCAGTGCCAGATGAGCAAGCAGGCCATGGGCACGCCTTCATCGAACATGATGTGCCGAACAGATAACAAAGCTTACCTCCTGCAGACTGGACAGACACCAGTAGTCCGGCCGCCACTTTACAACGAGTACGGCCTGGACAATTTTCCTAACGGCATGAACGCGGTCGTCGCCGTGATTTCCTATACTGGCTACGACATGGACGATGCTATGATTATCAACAAGTCGGCGCATGAGCGAGGGTTTGGTGATGGCGTGATCTACAAGACAAAGGTCTACAACCTGGACGAGAAGTCCCGCGCTGCTCGGTCCAAGACTGAGATCAAGTCCCTGTTCGGCTTTGCCGAGGGGGACCCCAACATTTCGCCTGAAGCTCACAGCGCGCTCGACTCCGACGGTCTACCAGGTATTGGCACCAGAGTCAAAGAAGGTGATATTGTGTTGGCCTACCACAGCGTCATGTTCGATCCATCCGAAGGTAAATTGAGGAACCTGGACGGGAAGACATCATTTTATAAGTATAAAGAAGCCGAAGAAGCTTGGATAGACCAGGTTCGATTGATAGGATCCGAAAACGGCGACCAACCGTGCCAGGCAATCAGTATCAAGTACCGCATTCCCCGACGACCGATCATTGGAGACAAATTCTCCTCCCGCCATGGGCAGAAGGGTGTCTGCTCAATGTTGTGGCCCAGCGAGGACATGCCGTTCAGCGAAACTGGCATTCAACCCGATGTGATCATCAACCCGCACGCTTTCCCGTCTCGAATGACAATTGGCATGTTCGTTGAGTCTTTGGCCGGTAAATCCGGTGCTCTGCATGGCCTGGCGCAAGATTGCACACCGTTCTCGTTCGATGAAGACAACACCGCGGGTAACTTCTTCGGTGATCAACTTCGACAGGCCGGGTACAACTTTTACGGAAACGAGCCTATGTACAGCGGTATTACTGGCAAGGAGTTCGCTGCCGACATATACATGGGCGTCGTGTACTACCAGCGACTGAGACACATGGTCAGCGACAAGTTCCAGGTGCGGACGACCGGTCCGGTCAACGCACTCCACGGCCAGCCGATCAAAGGCAGGAGTAAGGGTGGTGGTATTCGTGTCGGAGAAATGGAGCGGGATTCGCTCATTGCTCACGGCTGCATGTCGTTGTTGCAGGATCGGCTGATGGACTGTTCCGACAAGACTAGGGCGTGGGTGTGCCGCTCTTGTGGCAGCTTCATCAGTACCATGATGGTGCCGAACCAGTTCACCCTTGGCAAGAGAGGCGGTCGTGTCCAGCCCAGTGGGATTGTGAGGTGTCGTGCTTGCGCCAGACCCGCAGCGTTCGAGGACAGCAAATTGAACGTCTGGGAGGACGGTGCTGGGCGGAAATATTTTGGCGGCGACAACACCACCGTCGTCTTTGTACCACAAGTTTTGCGGCTATTGGACATAGAGCTGAGCACAATGGGAGTTCGAACGAGGTTCGACATAGAGAATTGAAGTCTTGTGAAGGGTGGACGTCAAAAAAAGAATGACAAAGATTTTTCGTTTCACCAAGTCCTGCGCCATGAGTTCGTGTCCTCAAGTGAGCTGGAGAGTAGGGCCCCGACATGGTGAACAAATCAGTATCACATCGTCACCACTTCCTCTGCCGGTGTCTTCGCGTTCGCGTTGTCCCCGTCGTGTGTCTTCAAGTGAGGGTCATCCGGATTCATCATACCCAGTCTCACGGCGAAATCGGAGCGTCCCATCTCCTTGACCAGTTCTCTAGCCATGACTAGTCGTCGAGGATATTCCTTGACACTGCCTGGGGCACCCGACACCTTGACAACGCGTTCGTTCATGACGAGCTCTTTCGTTAACGCATTATGCACCGCAAGCACTCCGTGAGCAATGAAAGTGCACAAGACAAGCACAATCTTGCCCCGATCCGTGCCGGCCAGGGCCACCGCCGCAATGTAAACGAGTGAGCGGGCCGTCCAGTCCGCAAGATCGCAGAGCATCGGATATCGCGGCCGAGAAAGCCAGCTTCCCGAAGTCACAGCTTTGAGGTCGTCGACGGCACCTTTCATCCGTACCCACCGATCTTCGGACAGGAGAACCAGCAGGTCGCCTTTGACTCCTGGTTCTGCTTCGCCATGCCAGGATGGCGACGTCCTTGCTCGAAAACTTGCAACTGAGAGCAACCTCGAGAGTAGCAAGAGGAGTGTACTCCGCATGAAGAAGCGGTCGGAAGCGAGTGGGGCGCTGATAAGCAACGCATGGGCAGGAACCAGAAGGGGAAGATACATGATTATGTACCAGCCTGGCAAACCCCAAGGTCGGTTGGCTCCGGCAGCCACAGGCGAGACGTCCAGTGTGGTCAGATGGCCTGTCCGGCCGATGCGCTGTAGGTACATGACGGTGGCCTGGTTCTCGACGCGGAAGACGTAGCCGGTTGTCATGGCTGCAACGGCGGGATACTCGCCTTCATTGAGCGACGAGGGTGTTAGGGGTGCCTGCATGCCCAGGCAGAACATCAGGCTGTCTAGCCATGTTGGGCGGCCAGATAGCGCGGTGTAGGTGTGCAGGGGAGTGATGGTTGAGGGTGTTGCAAGCAGCAGGATAGGCAACAGAGCGAGAGACATGGTGCAAGAGGGTTCATGAGGTGGTGATGTGCATGGTGATTGAGACAGTTGGAGAGATACCTCCGTATATGTATTCAAGATGCGATGCAGATCTTGTAGATCAGGCTCAGGCTGTAGTTGCGGCCAAGGCTGAGGCCACCAAGGCCAAGAATTCTCTAGAACCGATTTGGGGATACCCCATACGGAGTACCTCTCTAGGTAAAATATCCATTGAAGTTAGTGATTCATTTATACTTCAGGCACCCAGATTAATCGGCGGCAGAATAAATTCATGATCCGCTCGGCAGGCTACCATCCGATGCGCCTATCACGGATCTGGACGAGGTCGTTGTTGTTGCAACCTATCGAAGCACAGGCTGCAGACTGACTACGACTCCCTCAACATCGGTGAACATGAGATGCATAAAGAGTCGGACAGCCAGCGTCAAGGCTGCAACTTCCGACCTTCCTCATGCCCATCCTCAAGTGAGGCTTTGATTCTCATTCATTGAACCAAGTCATCGCTCGTTCACTGCCTTCTCCGCCTAAGATACAATTGGCACATTCAGTATGGCACAAATACCTCGCACCATGAAATCGCTCGTCGCGCCACGATATTGCACACCAGCCGACTACGAAATTGTCGAGGTCCCTGTGCCCGAGATCACAAAGTCCGATGAGGTATTGATCCGGATGCACGCAGCGGGCGTAAATCCTGGCGATACCCAGGTGGCAAGAGGGGATATGAGGTTCTTTATATCACTCAGGTCGTCATGTCTTGTTCCTTCGCCAAATAGGGCAAATCGATGGGTACATGAATAGCTGATTATTTCTTCCAGCTTTCCGATCAGACTAGGAGTCGAAGGCGCGGGCGTCGTGGTCCAAGTCGGATCAGATGTCAAGACTTTCAAAGCTGGAGATGAGGTCTATATGCTAGAGGCGGACCCCAGCAATTGTAATACGCACTATTATGAGGCTTTTCCGAGGCCATGCTATACGACATGCTGAACAAAAACGACAGTCTTCGAACACAGCGGTTTCATCTCCGAGTACGCCATTGCGGCTGAGCGGTTCCTGCTGCATAAGCCAGCGAATTTAACGTTCGAGGAGGCTGCGTCCTTCATCGGATCCACGCTGACAGGCCTCGACGCCTTCGACACGGCCTTGAAGCACATGCCAGAGGGTGAGACCATCGAGGGTAAGACGGTGCTCGTGTCTGCCGGACTCGGCGCTCTAGGCTCGATCGGTACCCAGCTGGCCAAGAATGTCTACGGGGCCGGCAAGGTCATTACGACGGTCTCGACGCCCAAGGTCCCGCTCGTCGAGAAGTACACGCCCGGCATCGTTGACGAAGTCGTCGACTATAAGACACAAAGTGTGCTACAGATTGTGCCGCGCGGCTCGGTCGACGTGGTTTACAATGCGCCGTGGGACTTCACGGGCCTCTTCCCGCTCGCGAATCCCAAGTCCGGAATCTTCATGACGGCCTCTGGGATTCCTACTAGCCGATTGATACGTCCACTATTTCCTAAGTTACCGCGTGTTGTGTTCTGGCTTCTGGATATTCTTCAATGGTGGTATTTGTGGAGGCTTGTGGGCACTTCGGTCTATTACCAAATGATCCAAGGTCAGCCTTGGGATAGGCAGAAGTTGGAGAGAGCCGGTGAGGTCATCAAAGCCGGATATGTCAAGGCGGTCATCGTCGTGGCAGCCTTTGATGATCTCGAAGCGGTTCGTCGAGGATGTCAGCAAGTCTGCGACGGTCGCGGTGGACTTGGCAAGTTCGTGATCAAGATCATTTAGATCGCACTTGAAGAACGCTGAAATCCTGTGCCATCGAGCCTGCCGGGAGAAAGTGGCATTGTTTGACACAAAAGCACACCGAGGATACAACTCCGATTGACCCTGAGTTTGAAGCAGCTGATGCCTGAGCCGATGACGTTGAAACTATACCGATAGAGCTAATAGCCCACCCCACGTCAATGATGGTCGCTATATCGTTGCAACGTTGTGTGTGGTGTGGCTGGGATAGTTAATGGAGAGCTCTCTTGTTGCACTTCGGCGGTCTGGACGATAAGGCGGATTGGATGATGTTTGGTTTGTGTTCCTAGAGGGTTTACTCGCGTGTTTGACTCTCCTACATCTTGCTAGCTAGACTTTCGTGTAAAAAGTTCAGTCAAAAATGTGGACTTCAAGCGGCGGCTCTGAGCGTCTATTCATTCCACTTCTCTTTCTTTAAGTCCACTCTATCAAGCGAAGCCGAGCTTCCGAGCGAGGAGACCGAGTTTACTTTCGCACTCATCGTCGATATCTGCACAAGCGGATCTCCAAGGCCAGCATTTACTGTTAGACCCAATTGTAGGTTGGCCATAGCCCGATAGCACGCTTTAAATCATGGTTAAACCGCGTCCATATATGGTAACCTGGACTCTGACTTCGTCACTTCGGTCCTGACCCGAAATATGACACGGAACGCAACGGCTTTACTTATAGCAGGCAAAGCCTCGCCGATGTTTTGATTTTGCCAGATGAACAAGCAAAGTATCTTGACTTGCTCTAAAGTGAACCCATTTGAGACGCCGTCAATCGTCCTGTTCATTCCTGGAAATGGCGGCCACAACGCCATCGAACCCTACCCCAAAATCAGGCGATAGACCGACCACCATGCCTCCTGACAGTTCATCATTCGGTGTATGTCACATCCCCTGTCTTCCCTTGCCCTCTCCGTAGACCGTACCAGCTGACAGGCCCCCCAAGTTCAACGATGGCCGCGACAGCGACTCCACTCGTACATCTTCTCCCGTCCCGACCTCGAGGCAAATTTACGCAATAACCCCAACGCCATCCTCTCAGCTATCGACGATTATACCGCGGCTCAACGAATGATCACTTTCGGCTTACTCAAGATCACCAAGTGCCGTGAGCTCCTGTCCCAAATGGATCCTCCACCCAAAGTCCTCGTCGAATTGGGCACATATATCGGAAACTCAGCCATTGGATGGGGCGAAATGTTGCGGTCACTGAACCCCACAAAGGCTGGATGCAGAGTCTTCACATGCGAACTCGATCCGACCTTCGCCAGCATAGCTCGCGACCTGATCGATCTCGCCGGCCTCAGCGATATCGTGACTGTGCTTGAAGGTGCCGCCGCCGCCGACAGTCTCCGATCGCTCAAGACCGAGGGCGTCGTCGACAAAGCTGATGTATTGTTCTTCGACCACTGGCAAGAGGCGTACTTGCCGGACCTGAAACTTTGCGAGGAACTCCAACTCCTCCGTAAAGGCAGTTTGGTTCTTGCGGACAACACGGCTATACCTGGAACGCCGGATTATAACGCATATCTCGCTTCTGGCGAAGGACCTGTCAAGTATCATAATGTACCACACGAGACGTCTGCGAAGAATGCTGTAAGTCCGACCGCGCGCGATCTCCCATGATTGAAATCTGGTTGACATGGAGAACAGAAAATCGTGCTAGCTTCCACGGTTGTCGATATCTGATGGCCAGTTCGGAGCACGAGACGAATGATCTGGTGGAATGAGATTGAACCACTCTATCCCTTTGCCAACGGCGTATGGTAGACATGTTAATAGAATATCTCATCCCTCATCACCATGATTGTCCTTCACCGTTTCATCGACATCGCTCTCACCATCATTATCCACATTAACCAGCTCTCTTGCCTTATCGCCGCTTCCGCCCGAGATAGGAGTCTTTGTAGCCTCAATACCACCCGAAGTGACGAACAAGAATGTCTCGTTGGGAAAACTGTCAACATGGTTGAAGAAGTTGCCAAAGATATTCTCCTTCTCCTCGTCGCGGTACATCCGCTCATAGATCTGAGTCTGCTTGAACGCGTCCATTTCCGTCTTGAACTTGTCAAAGTCAATGCCGTCTTTCGCCAACTCGCCCTTTGCGCGTTTGTTGTACGAATCGAACACGGGTCGTTCAAGCAACAAACCCAAACTCGGAGCTTTAGGGATGGAAATGTTGTCCGGGCCCATGGCTTCATACATTCTCTTTGGGTCGCAGCCGCAACGCACAACTAGCGCCACCATGCCGACCATCTTGCGGATCTGGTGCATCATGAAACTCTGCCCATGAACCTTTAGGCTCAGCCATTCGGTGCCATTGATCAGAATGGGCTCCGTGTTCAGCTTGAACGATTTGATTACTCGCTTTGCGGATGGGTCCTTAAACGTCTTCTGGACCGTGAAGTTGTGGTAGTTGCGTGTTCCCACGTAGTAGTCGAGGCACTCCTGGATTCGATCGAGGCGAGTTTTCGGGATCCTGTAAGATCGCTTCGCGGTGACGTACACTTGGCGAAGTCGTTTCATTGCTTCGTGGAGGATGACTGATCGTGACGGCTTGGCCTCTGAAGAGTCTTTCTCCGTTGATTCTGCTGTGCCGTTCTCGACATCTGCTCTTGTCTCGGACGTCGGCTCGGGTTGGGCCTCCTCATTCGTGATGGCCGGAGACTCTTCGCCCATGTTGTTCTCTGCCTGACCATGCACCGGGATTTGCTGCTCACTCTCCACTGCATCAGGACCGTCACCTTTCAGCCACAATGCTTTCTCCAAAATACTTCGGACGTCCTCATCATATTCCGCAAGTATAGGTTTGATCTTCTCTTCATCAACCTTCTCCCAGTATCCGGCGACTTCCTCCCGTCTTTTCTGGTAAGCCTCTGTTTCGCCCTTCTTTTCAGCCCACTCAACGCATGCCCTGCCCAGAAAACTGCTTGGATGAGGCGGCAAGAAACTGTGGGTAGGAATCAGGTATTCGTATATCCTCGAGTCCACCATCTGATATGCGCTGAAACTGTTGTTGGTCCTCTCAAATCCCCAGACCCGTATTTGAGGAGTCAGAGCGTCGTTGATCTTCTTGACAATATCCTCGTCTTCAACTATCAACTTTAGAGAGATGATATTGCCAGCGGCATGGACACCCTTGTCTGTTCTTGCGCAGCGCACGAAAGAGGACTTTTTGGGATCATCGGCATTCGCTTTCGATATGGCTCCAGCAGCGACAAAAGCCTGAAACAAGTCGCCTTCGATGGTCTTGTGGTCATGTGTGAATTGCATTCCCCTGTATCCTGTCCCAGCATATCCAATAAGCACCGCAACCTTTTTCTTGGGTCTTCTTTCTTCAGCCGCCAACACATCCTCGCTGAACTTGGTAGCATAGATGGGTAATTCGGGTTTGCCCTCATCAAGACGTTGTCGTTTCGCAACCTGCTCGTCATCGTTGCGTTGCCGTTTGTCTACTTTGGTTTTACTTAGCCAGTCAGTCCTGCGAGCGAGCATGTACGACGGAAGAAGTGTGACGGAGCAGGGCCTGGAGTGCATTAATGAGAGAAAACTTACGCCCATTCAGTCCTACCCATATCCCTCTTCTTGCCTTGACGACCTCCTCGACCACCTCGGCCGGATCCGCGGGAAAAGTTCTTCGAACCATTGCGACCTGAATTCGAGCCAAATCCTCTCGAGTCAGGATTTCGGCGGCCTCCCGTTGGGGCACCGTCCGCGCCCGATGATCTTTGAGACGATTCCTGCGCGTCACGTCCGCCGCGAGCCGTCGAGGGATTTGGTACAGGTTCCATGTTGACGACCTGCGAAACATCAAGTGTTGACAGCAATGGCTAGTTACAAGCAGCCGGAAAGTCGAATATTTCTTGCAACCGCGGGGGATATTTGTTCTAGACAAAGGTGAATTGGAGAAGTCTCAACATTGTGGCTAATGATAATATACTGCACCGTACGAACGCACATACGGCAGAACACATAGTCTCGATGCGCACCGGTTCTGTCCGGTTGTCGTAGAACGGGCTTGGACCTTGCAGACAACAACAATCTCAACACACCTTATTGATATGATACATTGTGACCACAGCTTATTCTTACATACATCATCGTCCGGGCGTAATTCGAATAGTGCATCGCTCATATCGGTTCTTGTGACAGCGTCCACTCTCCAAAGTCTGGAGCACACCAACCTGCTCAGGTGTTCTGTAACACGCGACCAACGTAGTTCGCCATGAGACATTCAAACCTGACCCTCGATTCTTTGTCGATAATGGTAAAGCACTCGGAACCACCCCTCTGCTAGCAGCAAAGACAGGTTAGGAAGCACTGCCGCGTTGTCGCCGGCACTGTCACCACCACCCTCTTCCCTGGTGGCAGCTCTCACTCTAACATCATCAATCATATTGAGCAAGCAGTCTGCCCAATGTGACATTCTATACTCATCTGTCGCGCCCCCCGCGGGAGCCCAGAACGTGGAGTAGCCATAGCTTTGGTGGAAAGCTTCCAATCTTTTCTGGAGCGCAGTCCTTAGCCGACCCAAATTCTCCACTGCCGGCTTAGTGTACGTCTCCTCACGAGCATGCATCGCGAATTCGCAGCATGTGATCGTTGCCAGCGACCAGGCGTGCATGTCCACGGGATTGTAATACATGGAAGACCGCGGATCGCCAACCAAAAAGTCCGTCAATTGTGACGCCTTCATCAGGACAGTCATGGCGCTATACTCGTTGTCTGGGTGGCGAGACATCAGGAGATCCAAGAAAAGCTTCGTTTGTTGCACGATCGGTGATTGCAAATCCAGCGGTGGGTACTTTTTCAAGGTATCCTCGAAAAGAGTGAAAGTGAGTATCCTTTTGACTTGAGCCCCAACTGGGCTACAAGGGTCAATGTGAAGCAGACAGGAGGCCATAGCGATGGTGTTGGACGCATGTGTCAGAAATCCTGCTCCTGAAGGCACATTCGCAATATCAGCATACCCAACCATAGCTCCACTGTTCGGGTCATCGCTGGTTGAAAACTCTCGGCTGCTCGTGCCCAAACTGAGAGCATGCAGTTTGGATAAGAGACAAGCACAGTTGAAAGCTTGTCGGCAGATGTGATCGAACTGAGATTTGTCCAGGTCTGGTGAGTAATTGGCTGCATCCTCCTCGCGCTTGGACTCAAGTATCCGCAAGCTGGAATTGATCAGATCAGTTTTGGTGATGTCCAAGCCTTGAATATGCATCACATCGTTCTCATAGAGTACTGCCAGCAACAAAAGTATCCAAACGCGGACAAGACTTCCACGGTCCCAGCCCGTGCTTGTGAATGCCTCCGCTCGCTTCACGATGTAGCTTGTCAACTCTTCCGAATTCTCGAATGTTTTAGAAGGCAAATCAGACTTCGGAAGTTGAGTCATCGCGTCGTTCCTGGCAGCAGAATTGTCTGCATGATTGCCGTTGAGAACAGCGGGGCTAGTGGACCCAGGAAGCAATGCGATGACATCTGCGAAAGCGTGTTGAAGACCTGCAGGTGAGCCATGGGCCACTCGAGTGACCACCTCGGCCTCTGGGAGGAGCGCAAACAAAGAATGCACATGCTTGAAGTAATTGCTCAGGTGTAAACGATCCACTACAAGCGGCTCGAGATTTGCATAAGGATCGTCCGATCGTGGACGGCTGGGCGGTGGTGAAGGTTCAAGCTCCGTCCAGAAAGGTTTGACGGTCTCGGAATGCTTGAGAGCGTCACGACCTGAAGCCGAGGCGGGTATAAATTGATCGGGCGCAATTGCCAGACTGCCGTTGTCGCGCGGTCGCACCCCAGACGGCCCCCAGGCGCCGGTACTTGGTATCCTGTCACGTTGAAAATCGATCGGGGCAAAAGGGTTGCGAGGATCTGGAAAGGAGAAATGGCGTCTGCTAGCTGAGGCAGAATCATCGGGAGAAAAGGTCTCAGCGTATCCGGCCAAGGAACCTGCATCTAATGATTGTCGAAGCGCTTGCTTTTGCACATGTTCGACTTGTTGAACACGTTCCGCCAGTTCTTTGATATAACTAGGTTGAGGGTCAACCACCTGAATTCCGTGATTATATGCTTCGTTAGACTCACCCTTTCGACGGTCCCCGTTTCATCGGTTTGCGCTCGAAGTCGCACGCCACGCCCGCCTTCTGGCAGTTGGTGCATGTTTTAGGTGTCCCATCCATCTCTGTTGGAGCGTCGCATCGCACCTGTAGTGTTATCAGCAACCGGTTAACGTTCTCGGCATCGAGATGTGCAATATACCTTCTTCCGTCGACATTCATCACAGGCTCTTGACGTCTTAGATCTTTTCCTCTTGTCTCCTGTCTGGGGCGTGTGCGCAGGGTCCGAAGAGTCGTCCACGCTTCTGCGTGTCGGAGTAGGCATGAAGGACACTTGACCCGAAGTCTGCGGCGGCGCCATGGCGGGATCAGTAGTGGTACCGGAGGCTCCGCCATTTGATGCGGCGGGAAGGTTGGTCAATTGAGCCGCTGCATGCTCGACAGAAGATGCAGCTTCTCCAAGTTGACGCGCAAAAGGCTGCAATGCATAGTTCGACTCCATGGTGAGCTGAGTATCGATGGGGAACGAGTATGAAGATGGATCGAAATGTGATGGTCCGGGAGCGGCGAAAGTGGAATTCGGATCGTCGCCAGATTGGTCGCGACTGCTCACACTCCTTTCCATGGCTTTTTGAAGTCGGGAAACCCGCGTTGAGAAGGAGGCCGTGGTCCCGAAAGATGAGAGGTGTGAGGGTGAGTCGCGTTGAGCAACTGCGACTTGAGTGGAGGTGATGTCGCTTATCGCACTAGGCGTTAGCGTTCATCTAAGGACACTTAGCGATACCTCTTAGGGGCTCATTTCACCTCTAATGTCTCTAGTAGCCTGGCGGACTGTGGGCATGCGATTGGGCGCAAAAGCCTGGGGAAACGAGCGCATCGAGGTCAAGAACCGGCACTGCGAAAGAACGAGGGAGGAATGCGGGGTGGTGTTGACTGAGTACTTGAATCAGTCGAGGGTCAAACCGCTCGCCGCAGTCTACAAGACCTGTTCGCCATACAGACATCCCTCTTCCATTTCCGCATGCCCCTCCACAATGAGTGCTTCGACAAAGTAGGTCGCTTGCTTGTCGGTGTCTCTCCTGTGATAAGCAGCGAGTACATCGTTCGAACACTTTCAAGCATCCGAATTGGCATCCACACAGAGTCCTATTCAGGATTTCCGGAGGGTATTATGTGTAGACCTGTTACTACGAGTGCGTGCCATGGGGGGACATTATCTGTTGGTATGCCCTTTCATTCGCAGAAGAACACTTCTCTTAGCATTTTAAATGGTATGAACAATGGTCTTCCAGTGATACATACTTCAATCTCGAACCCGAGAACTCCCATATAACTTCTGCGCATCTACCATCTCCGCGGCTTGGCCATTAGGTAATGCTGGTCCCGTGCGATATGAGTGAGGGCATATCTTGGACACGCTTTGGTCCAAACCCTGGGTATCCCACGCCCCTCCCGCATGAGGGCAGTTGATAACAATGCATGCATCCCATGTGTGGTAGGGAAGAATCTTCCGGTGATTGCGTGCGAGACAAGACAACGAGGTCAGAAAGGCCAAGTTGATAATCACCGATAAAGAAGTGATGGCTGAGTCAGTCAGTCCGAGGCAGGTCAGTAGTATACTCCTACCAATCATGCTCCATTGTCCGCCTGCATGCATCTTGTTCGGGGCAGGGGTTCCTCGGCCTGGGATGCCCTGCAATTTGCTTTTGCTGCTACCAGACACGTTTATCTTGGTCAGCGGCTGAATGTTCCGCAGGTAACTTAATCCAAAGGCCAAGAGCGAAGTGACCTCAAGCGAATACGCAACTCCTCCCACGGCCCTCATCTCTAGCGACTGTTCCTCGGTCCCCGACTCTTGATCGGCGTCGCGTTCGCTTCTCATGAGGTCAGGAAGGTGGATTGTGGCGCTTTAGTGGAGGCCACCATGCGTGGTTTCCAGGCTTTTTTGCCAAACCTTTCTCCCCCCGCCGCACGGAGGACTGTCGGTAGGTTTTGGCGGACTGAGACTGGCAGAAACACAGAGGTCCATGACTTTCCTGTCCAATCTTCGGTCATCCCGCACTTTTCTTCACGTTGCGCAAGAAGAAGCGTGCCTACGCGATTGGCCACAATCCATATCCTTCCCAGCAGGGCCAGACACGCCCACGTCTACACCCTCGTCCTTCGTCCTCTGATGATAATGCCAACAGGCGACTAACTAAGTGCGACTTCCTTTTCTACGAGTGCTTGCATATCCGGCACAGGAAGTCGTCGCTTATTATTTCTACCCCGTTCGTCCACAGCCTTCAACTCATTGAGGACTTTCTCAATTGCCCCTGTTTGAAGGATCATTGTGAGATAATTCTCTTGCCGGCACGCTCCGCGTGCATGGGCGTGGTTTTCTCTTTGGTCCGGTTGGCTCGGCGCTGGGCGGAGTGCGCGGTAATTTTACGGCTGACAGGAGAATAATAATGTCTCAGTCAGGTCTCCAGGCTCGGTTCGAAAGTCCTGAGCACGCCTGTCAGGGTAAAGTTATGTATGGGCATGGAACAAAGCCGCCCCTGTTTTCCACTTCCACCCTGGAAGATATACTCTAGGAAGCTAGCGTGATGCTCTTACTTGATCGTTAGTGAGCCGACTTATCGAAAGTCGAGCTGAAATCGTTTCCATTTCCCGCCCATGACTCCGCAGCGGGGGCAACCGCGGCGCATCGGGGCGAATCCTGGTTGGACGGTGACGACGGGACTGCTGATGATCTGTCCAACGCAGTCGCTGCAGACGCCACAGATACACTCTGTGCAGGCGAATGCATTTTTGAGTAGCCACGGCCGACCGCACGATGCACAGTAGATCTCCAGGACTTCCGATTTGCTGCCAAAGGAAGACGATTGCGAATGCTGGTATGGGTGTGAATGGTGCTGCAGCGGACTAGTGTTTTCGTTGGATGACGCGGAAGTAGGTAGGCCGGATCTAGATATGTGGAAATTCTGTCCAGATCCCGCGCTCTCCACCGACTCGACTGAAGGGAAAGGTTCGGGATCGTTGGGTCCCAGGATATCTGGCGGTGGTGGCGTCAATGTTCGCTGCAGCGGAGAGGCATTGTACTTCCCGGCCTGGTGTTGAAGGTGGTGACCAAGCGGTCGGAAGCCTGGCGGTAAGGATGATCGCTTGGTCACACCTCCACTCCCAGTAGTACTGTCCGCCGCGGACAGCCTACGGGCCATAGTGGTGGTGGCCGCCATAGGACTCGTGGTAGCGGGCGGAAAGTTTGGCGACTGCGGCATCTGTGACCCAACGCCAAGGGCGTGTTAGCAAGGTTGATTATCGAGGATCTAACGCAAAACAGAACGAAAATTGAGGAGGTTGGTGTACACATTAATTAACTGGGTGCATAAACTTTTTTTTCGTGACAGACCCCTGGCCCTACCGCCCCAGATTGGATTTCCGACCGTGAGTGGCCTGATCCAGAGGAAGAGGAAAATAGATAAAATGGCTCGTGTTTAGAAGAGTTCGCATTCGGACCAAAGGAGTCGTCTCCCAGTTGTATACCGTTCCAGTTCGATATTGCTGCCCTGAGAAAAGCACGTTTCAATCGTGCTTTTGAGCAGGACCACAAATATCATCCAGGATCCGGTGGACCGACCAGAAATGATGATTCCTCTTGGATCCGAAAGCAAAGAGTGCTCGCTCGGCCATGGCCCTTTCGTATGTGGGACATCAGGACATAGAAATCGTCGGTCGTTGTTGTGTTGTTTTGGTAGAAACCATAGTAGTGACAGTAATGTGATACAAGAAATTTCCTCTTCCCTCCTGGGGCGGGCCTTTTCCATCTGGGGGGGCAAACAACTACAAAATCTCGATCTCTTGGCAGCAGCAAGTAAACAGAGGACAATCGAAAAATGTCGTCTGACTTACGGGAGTGAGATCACGATCATCATCCGCTTCGGTGGCAGTCGTCGCTGCCTCGATCAGATCTTCCCATCTCTTGCCCTGAACCCAAGCCGCCGTAGGCGGTTCGGCGGACATGGCCTTTCGACCTTCGACGCTTAGTCGCCGTGTGAAGTCCTTCGCTGAGAACTCCCTCGACTTTCCGCGTTCGTGTTTGCCCTTGCGCGCATTTTGACCCATGGAGGGTTTCCGTGGGCGTGAGAGTTTGTCCCGCCGTTGAATGGGTGGTAAGGAAGAATATCGGCTGCCAGGAGATTGGAGAATAGAAGGTAATAATTCGCGATTGCGAGAAGGTTGGAAGGGTGGCAGGGTATCTTCGCTGAACTGAGCACGTAGGGAGGGTAATTCAAGACCGGTCGAGAGATCGCGCTTGTAATCCGAGTCGGGAAACACGTCCTGGATGCGTAATGAGCACAACCCTGGGGAAGAGGGAGGGTAGGCATGACGCGTCAAATACTTACAAAATCGGAATCCCAGTTGTGAAGCTGTGCCAGAGCAACTGCGGCATTGGCAGTGGGCTGGGGTGGTCCAGTCACCGCACCAACTTGTTCGAGTAAGGGGCCTTGTTCACTTGCATCCGCTGTAATGTCTTAGTATTATCAAGCCTCATTACTATCAATGAGCCAAACATACGAGCACCTTTTCGAATGGAAGCGCCTGCCACTGCTGGTGGTTGTGATGGTTTGGCCGAGGGCGGTGTCGTGATCATCAACTGGAAACTCTCTTCGGTAGCAGGCAATTTCGGGATGTAGTAGTCAGGATGTGCGCGTCGAATGTGTTCCTGCATGGATCTATAGCGTTTCTCCTGTTGTTACGACAGTCAGTCGGTGTCCTAGAAAGCGCAGGGGTTGTTTGGGGAAACGCACTCCAATGCATCTCTTCCTACACTGCGAGCCATCTTGGTTCGTGAGAGGACAAACAACCTCATTTTCCGCGTCGGTCGACAGTGGAAACGAACTCGTAAGGGCAGTCTTGGGTGGCATGGCCTACTGCGCTGGCCGGAGCGCAGGAGGATGTTCAGGAGAGAGTGACGAGGGTCGACGGCATCGATCGGACAGTTGGCACACAGGCTTGGCCGAAAAGAAAGGAAAATCCCGGGTGCGACGTGATGGGCCCCTTCACATGATTTGGCGGATGGTAACGGATGAGGGATATTATACTATAATAATGGTCTGCAAGACCACAAGTTCGTGGTTTGTATGGGTTGATGGAAGGAGAGGAGGGGAGAGTGTATACAGATGGTCGGGGTGAAGGGTTGAGAAGAGAAGTCTGGAGTGTTGTGCGTCAAAGAGAACGGGAAAACAGTGGAAAGAGCTTTGGCTGCCCTTAACTTGGGGACCGTGAGGGGCTCGGGCAAGCATCATAGCACTCAAGTCTCAAGCACCTGAGGTAAAGAACATTGGCTTACCTGTTAAGCTTAGCCTAACTAACTCTGGGTGCTCCATAACAAATCCTTACCTGTTACCCGCTGCTGCTGCCCCCCGGTTGAGATAATCCTCTTTGACGCGGCTGCAGCTGTTTCAATTGTCCACGCCGAAGAACTCCATCCAATCCATCATATTCCATCACAGCTTCGATCATTGTAAATCTATCCACCGGCTAACGTCTACCTTTGTCCTCAGATACCTGTACTTAGTCAGGTACTCACCAATCGAAGGTGTTGCAGGATAGCTATCTGCCGTCTAATGCAGCTTATCGAGCAAGCTACGTTCTGTGCCGCATCATCCCATCGACCACTAGGAAGCTTCGATTACAGCTACTCGGAAAAGGCAAATGAGGTCCCCAATCCCAAGCGATTGACATGTGGCAGATCCAGGAGCTTCCTCAAGGTCTAGCTTGCTGATTCCTATCTTTCTACTCGCTTGATTGCTGTTATGAGAGCTCGAGGTCGTCCCACACCAGCTGTCAGAACGACTTGCAGGCAGAGAAGCTTGCTGGTTTGTGCTCATCATACCACCCAAAACAGCTTCTGGGGGCATGCTGTCACTACGGAGCTCTCGGTTACCCACTAATCGTCCTCAACTGTCAGCTAACAGCGCACTCTGATGTAAGGCCCGCAGAATGAAGGCTTGGTCGGCAAAATGGAGCTCCAGTCAACGATGAGTATTGCATCACAATCTTCACGTTTCGGTATGGTATAACAATGTTGGTCGGAATGAAGCTCCAACAGAGGGAAAAAAAGTTGTTGCATTTACTCCTTGCCGTCTGTGCTCGTCCAAGCTCCTTGCAGCTGTTGAAGCTCTGACTATCACCACCTCCAGCTCCAGCTCCTGATTCGGAGTTGCTTGAGCCAGACTTAGCCAAGACTCCAACCCTTCGAAATCATAACAAGCTTGAGGTGCAGATCTCGATTGTCTCGAGAAATATTGTCCAACCGAAGTCATATATCGGATAAACCTACCACCACAGTGCCACTTGTGCGCAGCTTACATCACGGAATGAATTATTCGGATCCTACATGTGCTTCGGGTATCTGTCGCTCATTGCTTATTGCTCATTTCATTGCGAATGAAGCTAAGACACTCCGAACTCTGTGCACGCAAGAGGAAGCCACAACCAACGACAGACACGATCGCATTCGCTAAATCGGCATCAAAAACCCTTGATGTATATATGATCCTGTGTCTCATCCATTACTTCGAATCGCATCCCGATCTCAACATGGCCCTCATTTCTAGGACAACAAAGCATGCCAAAACACGGCTTGAATTTGATGCCTTCGTCAACCCGGCGATAACTGACAAGCAGGTCCCAAGGTTGGTGTGCGTTCTTCTCGGCTGTATCAGGATTGACATTGGGTACTGTGCAGCGAGCACATCTTGCGACAACATCAATGTCTATGGCACCTCGATTACCGCCGGTAAGTGTGGTGAATAAGGATGAATCTCCATTAATGCGAACTGTTTTCCACGAATCCTCCGACCATGGCTCGCCTCCTTTGATGATGATATTTGGCCGAAAGCGTTCGATGGTGATTGGAGATTCTCCTTTTTCCTTGAGCCTCGAGTTCAACTCTGCCAGCGAAGATTCAGACGCGATCTGGATAGGCAGTACATCGGGGAAATTGACAGTTTCCTGACGTCCCAGTACTTTGGGGTCGCCATTTCCACTGCATATTCGTGGTTCAGGACCTTTCATGACAAAGCCCACTTCCTCCCCAAAAAAGTCAGAGAAGAGAGACTTGATCTTCGGATCGTTGTATGCATAACCATCTGTAATGTACTCCCAGATGTCAACGGTGACTTCTTTGGTGTTTGCGTCAAGCCATGCCTGGTCAGGGTGGATAGGCACTCTTACTTGCTTGTCGGGATCGTGGCCAATGGTGACGACAAGGCTATCCGATTCATAGTCGATGGCTGTGTTGATCAAGGTCATTTGAGGCTTCGACCGAATGGTGACGAATTTATGCTTGCTGTCGATGAACTGTTTGGTGAGGAGCACATCGTCAGCCTCATTCCACCCCGATGCAAGCCCAAGGGAACATCTGTCCGAGACTTACCATCCATCTTCTGTCTAGTTCCAAACCTTGCCTTGTCAATTGGGCTGATTTGACGCTGATTCCCCGGCAAGACTTGATGGGATAGACCCGCAAATCCGTAATCTCTGATACTGTATGGGTCATATTGCTTGATGCAGACCACCAGTGCGGCTTGCAACACTGTAAGGATCGACTTTCAGTGGCGATTTTCTACGATTACGTCCTGGAGTGCAAGATTGGAAGAAGCGACAACGAGATGTGGAAAATCGAGTCTTTCAGTATATCTGCACAGACGGCTGTGGTAGCGGTTGATGTTGAACGACGGGATGATGCCCAATCTCAGGGGATGGCAGTCGTTCTTATCATCCTTTAACAGTTTCACACGTATCTCCCCCACTGTGAATGGATGATGCGAAGAGGGGATCAGTGCCGTGCCGAATCCCATGAAAACCAGTAATTCACCACGAGATCACCATGATCTTTGGGGTTAAAGGCAGCGACTGACAGTGACACCCGCCCGAGCTTTGCCCAAACTCAAGTCTGACGGAAGCCTTTTTGAGGTCCCAACGCAGGCTATCGGTAAAGGATTCAGGACAATTCTCTCGTCAGACTACACAAAATTTGCGCCGCTTCAACTTATTCCGCCGTTCACCCAAAGAACAGCGGGAGTTGAGAATTTTCTTGGGCATCCATTATCTAATCTCTCATTCCTTTTTGGGTGCATCAACAGCGATGCTACCACAATCATCAGCAAAGTATATTAGGAAGTCGACACCTCCTTCATCTGGGCATCATCAGCGAGAATCTCATTCGATACCATTGAAAGTGTGCCAGACGTCAACAATGATCCTTAGCAGCACTGAAGGCAGAGTCTGTCCACAACCAAGTACAGAACTATTTGTCTCCTTGCATATCTGAACGAGAAATTCGAAAGCATTGACATTTCTATTCTTGAGCAGTCACAATAATGAAGCTCATTATGCACATACATCCAGCAACGTTCAACCCTTGAGATCGCTGAGGACTTCTGTGGCAACGGTCTTCTCCTCGATCTGGCCGTTGCTCGAGCCATCGACATCGGCCGCCTCACCTTCGAGAACCTGAGCTTCTCCCTCAGGACGAACATAGTTCTTCGGCTCCTTCCATCCCTCGGTGTACATGATGGCCGGCGGGAAGATTTTGCACAAGACCCAGTAAGTCGCTCCTGCAACGAACAGCCCCACCCAATAAGCGAAGTAATAAAACTTGGTCACTCCCTCGGGCGCCGACACACCCATGTTGTTCAAGAACCCATAGAAGTTCGGGATCACCCCAACAACATATGCAATATATGCATTGATATGCCAACCTTTGGTGTAGTGATAAGCCCCAGTCTTGGAAGAGGTGTACAGGTCGGGGATTTTCATGTATCCTCTTGTGATAAGGTAGTAGTTGCATAAGAGAACGCCTGTGATCGAAGACAGGAATATTTGATATGATGCCAGGAAGGACACGAAAATTGACGCGCTTCCCAACAAGTACCAAGGGTTGATCGCAAAGCTAAGCACAGCGCAGATAAAGAATCCTTTTCTGATAGTGATGTACTTCGGAAACAGCGCGGCCAGGTCGTTCCCGGCAGGCAACGAGTTTTCGAATATCGAGGAGAAGATTGCGCAGTACACAAACATCAGCGCAATGAAAAAGCACCCTGCCCGGTTAGCTGCAGTGTAGTCGGATGTCTGGAGCATATCGAGGAAGTCGATTGGGTTCCAAACCAGCTCGCCGAAGATGACTTGGCTCGATGCACCGACGATATTGCCCACAATCGAGACGAGAAGATTTGCAACTGGAAATCCGACCAAGTTACCTAGGATCGGGTCGCTCGGCTTTGGTGCATATCGCTGAAAGTCACTGGCGTTGCTGGCGAACGTCGCGCAATTCGCAGCTCCGAGCATCAAGAATCGGACAATCTGAGAGGACATCGTCAGCACACGTCATATGCGTCAAGGAGAATGAGATACACTTACCAGCCAGCTCTTCTCACCACCGTGGACTGTTGACCCCTGGCTGGCCACCGGTCCCAGTCCCCCAGCCTTGCTGACCGTCCAGCCCAGCATCGCCATCGCCGAAATGACGAACATGATCAATTTCGCATAGACCAAGGACTTCATCTTCGGGACTGGAATGACCAGAAAGCAGCATGTGACTATCCAGAACTGCAAATCGTCAGTAAGCTGCGTCGGTAACAACAGGGACAATGCAAAAGGCTCGTGCCTCAACGACACAGCCTTTCAAGAAGAAGAATACTTACAACGCCAAAGCCGATCATACCAGCCGCGGTCAATGCAGATCCTGGGCCCATAGTGTTCTTGATATGTGCGATACTGGGGAAGATGGCGTGCAGCATGACATAGACACATTGTCCACCCTGCACGGCATTGACGCCGTTCCACACCTGTCATACACCGTCAGCACTGGATACCAGCATATGGATAAATTTGAGTCTAATACTCACAATTGCCATAACCGCGCGATTGAACGTTGGCCACCATGCGCCATAAACTCCAAATGCGGCACGATTGAGGATAGGGAAACCGACGTGGTAGACAGCGCCGGCTCGTCCATTCAGTGTGATGACTATGGCAATCAAGCATTGGCCACCCAATGAGCAAGCCAGAGATTCCCACATCGACAGGCCGAGGGCTTGAGCTGCCGAGGCGCCATACCTAGGTCACAATCAGTCTCTCACACACTGAGAAAAGCGGAGGCCAAAGGTCTTTTCCGTACCAATTGCTAACTGTTGCTGTGGCACTGAACCAGAAGACGAAGTAAGTCGTGGCAGTCCAAGTGCGGTCTTTCAGCTTCAGCGGACGGAGGTCGTCATTGTCAAGCCAGATGTCCTTCCCCTTGATCTCTTCTGCCCCTCTGGCTACAAGGTGCGGTCGTGGGATACTCACCATAGTGGTTCGGTCTGCGCAAGGTGGTATGTGAAGATAGAGAATGCTTTCCTGCAAGGCTTCTCACCTTCAGGCGCACCGACCTATATCAATGAACCCTGTCCGCCACTGTGTCCGCTTATCGAAGCATGCATGATCGACATGTTCCAGCCCATCTCGCCAGAATAATTTAGGCGGCCAAGCACTGATAAGGCGACGCTGACCATTCAGGGATTGTTCCGCGAAAGGATCATATCTGTATCGAATACTACCTTGTCGACACATTTTGGGGGTGCATGAGTCGCGTGGACAATATACCCCCCAACGCGGACTTGAGCGTAAGATATAGTGTTTACATGCAGGAGCGACCTTCCATATGCAAGCATGGACCAGAATTGTTCGGGAAACGCTGATATGTTGCCCGCATCTGATTTGTTTGATCTCCCGTCTCGTTTCCGCAGTTCCACTTTGATAGAGGCGTCTTTGTCAACTTCAACCCCAAAATACCCCCGAATACCCCCAAATTACCAGATAAGCTGAACTCCTTATATTAACTTCCTACATCTAGCAATTGAGACGAACATCTGGGCATCATTAGTATATACACCTGCAGTAGGAATATTTCGGACGTCGCCGATTGCCCGCCACACGATAGAAAGTGCTTCCAGATCAGCAGTGGGGGAGAAGTCACGCAGCCGAGGCTTGATCAAGAAGCACAAACCAGACGCCCAATATCAAAGACGAGAACTCTGGTGAAACATCAGCAACTACTTCCTCCAGGTGATTCCAACAGCGTCGACCGACAACATGGCGACTATCACCGAGGTAGAGCCCGCTTCGTTTGTCAAGCTTCAACTTCGTACCGCTTATGGCCCAGTATATCGCGATGTCTCTACCAACCCACCGCGAGAAAGTCGAGGAGATGAAATCCCATTGATCGACATCAGCGCCATATACGGCGATTTTGAGGCTCGTAAGAAACTCGCCAAAGAGATCAAACACGCGGCCGAGAACACCGGCTTCTTCTACATCAAGAACCACGGCATTCCTGAGTCCGCCATCGAAGGCGCCCTGGACGCATCCAAGACTTTCTTCGCCCAACCCGAAGACAAAAAGCTGCTGGCCCACAAGTCCAAGGGCGAATGGTACAATGGCTTCTCCGGGAAGTACACAGCCATGGCCAGTCCTACCGAAGGACGTGAGTAGCAGACACTGCTCAATGATCATTCCACTAACAAGAATAGTGGACTACCGCGAGTCATTTAGCTGGCGTTACGAGCCCCAATATGATCCAGACCCAAAGGACCCCAATGCCGTCCCCGAGGAAGTCAAGCCCTACATCAGAGGCGAGCAATACGTCTGGGACGGCACTCAACACCTCCCAACCTTCAAGCAAGGCTGCATCATATACTGGCAAGAGTGTGTCAAGTTGGCCCGCCGCCTCGTCCGAATCTTCGCGCTTGCTCTCGACCTACCAGAAACCTACTTCGACTCCTTAACAACATACCCAGGAAGCGACGGTGTTTTCAACTTCTACCCAGCCATGACCCCCGAGGAAGCCTCGGCCAGCACAGACGTCGGTCTAGGCTCGCACACCGACCTGCAATGCTTCACGCTGCTCTGGCAAGACATGAGCGGCGGCCTTCAAGTGCTCAACAAGGACGGCCAATGGATCAAAGCGTCCCCAATCAAAGATACTTTCGTCGTCAATATCGGCGATTATCTGATGCGCCTGACCAATGACCGGATGAAGTCGACTGTGCATAGAGTGTATAACCGCTCCACTGTTGATAGGTATGTCTCCCCAGTTCCCGGGTGCCATGCACGTTGAAATCCAGTATCTAATGAGGTGACAGGTATTCAATGCCCTTCTTCTTCGGCTTCAACTTCAACGAAAAATGCGGCGTTCTGGACGTCTGCACCGACGAGACCAACCCCGCCAAATACGAACCCATCAGCTGCGGCGACTGGTGTCAACTACGATTCGCCCAAACAGACCAAGAGGGCAAAGACTCAAAAGTTGACGCATATTGACCAACTCACTGACTGTCCGAAACCTGCCAGTACCGCACCTCCTGTCTACGTATCTTCGGTCCCCTCCTGTGGTTTCACCGCCATTGCCCAAGGAGCCAGACACACGACTAACAGTATCGTCTTGACTCTTGCCAGGGACAGCCCTCAAATAAAACAGCTCCCTTCTATCTACCGCCCACAGTCTGCAACTCCAAGAAATTGCCACCTTGACATATCAAACTCCCACAACTCTCACCACAAGCGTCCGTCTAAAGAAAGGCGCTCTTACTAGCTATATGGACCGCAAGACGAGAATCGTGCCTAATGCCGAAACCGCAAACGTAACCCAGGGCCGACAGTAGAATTGAGGGCGAGTGATGCTGGCGCGACGGGGAGTGCCCAGCCCAACATACAGGAAGTTGCCGCTACGAGTAGAGCTACCTTCTTAGTTCTTCGGGGTTGGACAACGGGGAGCTGTGTTTCTTTTTGGCCGTGGTGAATCGGTCTCGCGACAGTCGCTGTCCTTTGACTGATCAATTTTGGGGGTTTGTACGAGGTTCGGTTTTGACTCTGTATGCTCTGGCGAAGGCGGGATGCCCTAGCGGAAATAAAAACGAGTTGAAACACTGAAAGGTCTAGCAAAAAAATCATGGATTCATGGATGATCAATACTGCAGCTTTCAGCAAGCTCACGATTTGGATTGTAGACAATACACTAATCTAGCATGTTTTCCCATGCCTCTTCCGCTTTGATATGGAGTTTGCAAGCCTTGACATGTAGATGTCACAAGCTAATCCCGCAGCACCTCCTTCGCCGTCGCCATGCAAATCACTTGTTGTAAAGCTCCTTTTCACCGCAGTCCATGAATACAACAAACGAAAACCTAGGATGTGGCTTCACCACGTATTCTCTTTCCTTGACCAGCATCGTCACTGGCGCCGCCGTCCTCACGTGCTCTCTTGTTGCCTCCACCGGGCGTAAATTGTGCCGCTGAAGGATTCAAGTTCCCTCGACCCGTACTTCCGACATTATCTCCACCGCGTGCAGCCTGCTGATGGTTTCCAGTGTTTCCGTGCGGTGCTCCTCCTCCTCGACCTTTTGGAGCGCCTCGGCCTCTAGGAATGCCACTACCACGAGCACCGCGTGCAGGACCACCTTTCGGTATACCTGACTGTGGTTGTTGCACCGAGGCAGCGCCTCCCGTCTGGGATTGCTTGGCAGCATCTGTCGATAATGCTTGATTGCCTGCCGGTGCCGCAGGTTTCTGATCCGGTTGCTCTGATGAAGCCTGAGTGCTTGCAGGTGGGTTGGCTGTTGCAGGTTGAGCCGGTGCGGGTTGGGCTGGGGTAGCACCGTTGACCTTGCCGACAGGAGTTGCTGGAAGCTGCGAAGCCGCGGCAGCCGGCGCAGCGGTAGGCGCAGCGGCAGGCACAGCCGGCTTTGGAGCTGCTGGCGGAGGTTTGGCGTCTTTGGCAACTTCCCAAACTTCACCGACAGGCTTCTCTGGAGTCTCTTCCACTGCTTTCTTGACCACATCAAGTTTGGCATTGGCCATATTAGCCTTGTTGGTCGCCATATTCACTTTCAATGCAGATTTCTTCTCCGCCATGAGTTCCGCATTCTTGACTTGCTCCTGTATTTTCCTCTCCGCTTCTTGATCGAATTCCAGCTTCTGTGTATTCCGCTCTTCTTGGTGCTGGATGATCAGGGCTTGCTTTTCGCGTGCCAGGTTGTCCTCATATTCTTTGATGAGAGTCGCCTTTTCCGCGTTGAACTCTGACTCTTTCTGCTTGATGATCGCCTCTTTCTCGGCCTCGAATTTTCGTTCTAATTCCTGAACGTCTTCAGAAGCAGGTCCATTGCTCTGAGTGCCTGGTTCCGATGTGATCTCTTTGCGTAGACTCTCACGCAGGGTCTCTTTTTCAGCATCAACTCGTTTGCGGATGTTGGCAGTCATCAGTCGGCGGAGAACTTGGTGCTTGTCCACCAGAAACTTGGCCTTCTCTTCCGAGAGGGCCAAAAGGACTTCATCAGGAATCTGATCAGGTTGGATGATTGGAGCATTGTCTCCAGATCCTTCAGTGGGCTTTTGTAGCTCGGCAGCGACAGGAACCGAACTCGCTCGAAGTGCTTCAATTTCCTGTTGATGTTCGGCATCAAGTTTCAGTCTCAATTCCTCCAGTGCTGCAGCCTTGGCATTCTGGGCTTCTCTCTTTATCTCCTGTAGCCTTCCATTGAGAACCTTCTCATTAGCTGCCACTCTGGACTTGAATTTCTCCTCCTGAGTATCCTTGAGCTCTTGGATTTCTTTGCTCTTCTCAGCCAGTGCAGTCTCCAACTCGGTCACTCTGGCTTCCAAGTGAGCATTTCCGGCATCGTTGGAGGGAGGTACATTGGAGGTATCCCCTGCTGGAGTCCCAGGCTCGCCGTTGACCTGAGCGGCTGCAGCAGGAGGAGATTGTGCTTGTGCGGATGCAAGCTGTTCTTTGGTGGCGTCAAGCTCGCTCTGCAAAGCAGTCTTCTCTGCAAGCGCAGCGTCAAGCTCAGCCTTTCTCTCGCTTAGGACGGTTCGATTCTTCCTCAGCACTTCCTTGAATTGAGTCTCGAGTTGGGTTTTCTGCGCGACCTTGGCACTATTGATCGCAGTCTGTTGCTCATCAATTTGGGCCTGCAGAGCTGTTTGGGCTTCGTCACGTTCTGCTGTAGCTTTCTCCAGTTCAGCTCGAGCGTCGTCGCGTTCTTGCTCAAGGGTTGTGATCTTCACCTTTAGCGCCTCCATCTCTGCGGGGTCGACTCTATCATACTTCGACAGAATGTTTTGAGTACGTTGTTGCCAATGATCGCGATCTTCCTGGCTCAGCTTGAGTTCTCCTTCACGGAGCTCAACCAAATTTTCCAACTCGGCAACACGAGCATGCAAAGACTGCATCTGGTTCTCGAGTTCTTCGATACGTTGAGACTTCTCCGCAAGAGCCTGAGTCGCTTGTTTGGTTTCTGCGCGTAGTGTAACACTGCTTTCCCGGTAAAGGTTCAACTCGTTCAGGGTTTCCATCATCTTCTTATGCTCGAGCGCATTACGTTCGACATCAGCCTCCGCACGACGTTGCTGATCAAGTTTTAGGCGAGTATCATCCAACTGGGATTGCGCGAGCTCCAATTGCTGGCGAAGTCTCTTTGCCTCTTGTAGCGACAGCTGGTACTGCACATCGACGATGTCCTTTTCTCGCCGCAGATAAGTGATGACTTCTTGAAGCTTGTCAAGCTCCGTGGATGATTGCCCAGAGCCTTCGGCAGTCTCACCTTCTGCCAAAGCAGCACGGTCACGTTGAAGAGCAGTAATCTTTTGGGTGACATTTTCAAGCTGACCGTGAAGGAGGTTGTTCTGTTGCGCGACTTCTTCACGACGTTTCTTGAGATCAGATATCTCTCTCTCGTATCGATCTTTCAATTCATCCCAGCTGACCTGCTTCTGTTCAAGGTCGGATTTAGCGGTTTCGGCCTGAGTACGCAAATCGACTAGCTCGAGCTTGATCTGATTTGCTTCCTCGCGGACTGCATGTAAAGACTTGGCGGCATCGGCATGTCTTACAAGCTCGTTCTCGTAATTCTGCTGCGCTTCGGTGGCAATCTGTGCTTGAATCTTTGAAGCTTCGAGATTGAACTGAGCTTGTTCAGCGCTCTTTTCAGCCTCCTCTCTGAGACGTTCGATCTCGGTCTCGAAGGCAGCCTTTTGCTCATCAAGTTTCCGACTCCCTTCAGCCTGTTCATCTCGCAACTTGGACAGTTCCGTGTTTGTCGTGTTAAGCTCGGATGATATGTCTTCGATGCGTTGCTCAAGCTCCTTGATTTGTGCATCCTTCTCAGCGAGGGTCGCTTCGGTCTCTTCCCGATATTGGTCGTTGGTCTCGCTGAGCTCTTGCAGACGTTCCTCACTCGACTGACTAATGTTCTTGTAGACTTCAATCTGCTCGTTTGCTCTCTCAAGTTCGGAGACCTTGAGCTCAAGATCCCGCTTGAGCTCAGATACCTCCACGGCCAACTCCTGCTCTCTGGTCAAAGAGGATTCAGCATCGCCGGAGGCATCCGTCGTGGGCTCTGGAGGTTTGGTCAAAACTTCTAGGCGCTCCTCGGCTGATCGAAGTTCGACGGTGAGCTCATCGACCCTAGCTTGGAGATGATCTCTGGCAGTCTTGGCCGATGCCAACTCCTCCTTAGTCGCACCCAAGCTGGTTACCAAGTCGTCAATTCTCTTTTGACTCTGCTCATGCTCATACTCTCTTCTTAACGAAGCCTTCTTGTTTTCTTCGATCTCTTCGTTGAGCTTCCTCTTGACGGATTGGAGCTCAGACTCAAGTGCTTCCGCTTGTGCCTGGACACGACGTCGGCTTTCAGCATCGGTTTGCTCTCGTTCATTGATCATTGACTGCAGGCTTGCATTCAGCTGGTCCAGTCGACTTCGTTCATTACGAAGCGACTCGTTGTCTTCAATCAATCTCCTCTCCACAGTCTTCCACAGATCTTTCTCGGCCTTGAGATTTGCAGAATCGCGACGCAAACTGTCAACAAGACCCCGGGCCTCAACAAGTTCTTCAGCCACCTGCTGAGTCTTCAGCTCTTGCTTCGTGGCATTTTCCATGGCAGCCCAAGATCTCTTCTGGATTTCACCATTTTCGGTCTTGAGGGAGTTGTAGTTCGCCTGCAGCATCTCGTAACGTTGATTAGCCGCCGTCAGTTGGCCTACTGTCCGACTGATCTCAGTCTGCAATTGCGAGTTCTTTTTGCTGAGTTCATCCACCTGAATCTTCAAGGCAGAGTGATCTGTGGATGCTTCTCGTCGATACGTGTCGAAGTGTTGCTGGAGGTCCTTGAGCAATTTTGCGTAATCAGACTCGCCACCAGCCGCAGATCCTGCCGGCGACTCTCCACTAGGCATAGGTAAAGATCTCGAAAAGTCCGTGGGCTGTATTTGACCACCTGACAGATGTCCTCGTCGCGTCAACATGTTCCTAAACATATCTCTTTCTTTCACGAAGCTTTTGGTTTGGGCGACCATAGTCCGAAGCTCGTCTTGATACGATGCGATTTGAGCCCGAGCCTGTTCCAACTCTTGAGTAAGAGCGAGATTCTGCTGCTCTTTCTCCTTGGCCACATTGCTCTCTAGTTCGCTCACCAGGTTGCGGATTGTCTTGAGTTGGTCTTCATTTTGTTGCTGGAGCTCGTTAATGTTCTTGAAGACAATCAAGCGCTGGTTGACTAGTTGCTGGGTTTCGGACAGATTCGCCATATCTTGGGACATGGCTTCCTGTGCTTGTCTCTCAAGATCATCGAATTCTTCTCGCGTCATAGCACCTCCTTGCTCACGAACATGCTGTTCGATGAGAAGGAAGCGGATCTGGGAACCAGTATCGCGCAGTTGTTGTGTGAGAACTTCGACCTCTCTCGACTTGCTCTCAAGGTCTCCTTGACATTGCCTCAATTCTTTGACAGCCGAGTCTCGCTCAGCATTGGATTTGTCCACAATGGTCGACATTTCGACAACTTCACTTTGCAGACGGTCATGATCGGTACGTAGCTCTTCAATCTCAGGCTTGTTGTTCTCGAGTTCCTCGACCATAGCGTCCAAATTTTCACGAAGTTGCTCGTTGGCACGTCGTTCCGTGGCCAATTCTCCCTCGAGCTTTTTGTATTCCGAAAATAGCTGAGTCATGGTCATCTGAGCCTTGGGTCTTGATATCGAGGAAGGCGAGAAGAAGCCACTAGGAGTGCCTGGTCGCATGGGAGTGGTGATGGCCGAGCCATTGGTAGCACGTTGCGGAGTGCTTGGTCTCGCGCGAGCCTGCTCGAGCTCATTGGACAGTTGCTCCAACGATCTCTCCAGCTCGATGATTCGTTCTTCTGCTGCGACACGGTCATTGTGCTCAGTTTCGATTTCAGCACGAATAGTCCCGATTTCCTCAGCAGCCTCCTCGCGAGCCTCCTCTAGAGCGACGGAAAGTTCCTGAACACGCTGTTTGGCTGTTTCCGCAGATGCAGCCTGTAGGTCAGCAAGCCGAGTGACACTCTCAACCTCGACTCGGTGTGATTCGTCTGCTGAAATTTTTTCTTCCCGCAATTTCTGCATCTCTTCTAAAGTCTCCTCAAACTTGGTGGTTTGCTCCTCGAGACGATGCTTGAGTGCAGATTCCGACCGCCGCAAACCCTCTGCTTCCGAGATGTATTGTTCATTGGATCTTGACAACTCCGAGATACGTGCATTTTTCTCCTTTCGAAAGTTGGTATGCTCATCGGCCTTGATCTTACGTTCATTTTCCAGCCACTCGTTGTTCTTCTTTAGCATATCCACCTCTTGTAGAAGGCTCTGCTCCTTGAACTTTGAGCTGGCAACCGTGGCATTGGCTGACTGTACAGACTGTTCGAGACCCGCAATCTGTTTACGAAGTTCTGCAGCCTTCTGGTGCTGTGCCGCTAGATCTTGTGACAAATTCTCATACGCTGTAGTCTTGGACTCGAGCAGGCCCAGAGTGTCGCGGTTCGAGGCCTCAAGCGAGGTGACTCTCGACTTCAGGGTATTGATCTCCGAGTTTTCGTTCGCTGTTGCAGAACGCAGCTGTTCCACCTCGGATTCCAATCTAGATTTTGCATTCTCTGTTCGGATGTCAGTCACAAATAACACGTACTTTCCTAACACAAGTTCTTACCAGTCGTCTGCAGCTCGACGCGAAGTTTGCTAGACTCCGCTAGGGCTTTGTCTCGGGAGTTTTGTAGGACTTTCGTCTTGGATTCATTTGTTCTGACAACAGTCTCCAGCTCAACCTCGATTTTGACTTGCTTGGACTTGGTTTGCTCGCATTCCTTGATCTTTGGTAGAATAGCGCGCAGGAAGTTCTCTACGGATTCGGTTGTAGGTGTTTCCCGTAAAGATGTCACGGCGCCCTCTGGCAAGGAAGAAAAGGCCGAAACGGCACGAACGTCGACCTCGGCCGCCATGGTGGAAGGAGAATGAGAGAGGTATAAGGGTGATCAGTGAACCGAAGGAATGCGATCGAGAACTGCGCGTCCCAAAAAGCCGATCGCAACGGAGGTCAAAGAGAAGTGAAAGAAAACTCAACGCCCGTAACCATGGTGCGCGCTGAGCACCATGTGAATAAGAGGGACGCAGAGGTGAGAGGGGTGGTGGGTAACGAGACTGAAAGAATGCTCGACTTTCAACACTTTGAATAAACAGACACAAGTGACGGCGCGGGTACCCAAGCGAAAGATGGAAAACGTGACTGGGGTCAATCATCAATGGTGACTGGTCCAGGCAGCCACAGGCCAATTAGTCCCGCTAAGTTTAAGCTTAAATTAGGTGAGTCGCTACACCTGCCCTGCCCAAGTCTTTTACTCAGCGGTCCTTCAAACGCATGTTCAACTCGACATCTGCCTCCTCGACAATACTCCGTTATTTCACATTCTACGGTTCAACCCTTCATAAAGGCGACGCTCTCCCAGAGCCGCGGTTGAGCACTGTTGTTCTCACTCTAGTCAACAGGTCTTGGTGTCCGCCGATCTTCTCGTTTTCCACACAATGAGATAAAACCTCGACTGCAACCGGAAGAGATCCTTTGACTAGGCCACCTCTTCCACCGACCTCTTTTGCGATTCTCCTCCTGCCATGTCTTCTTTGTACGGGAGCTCCATATCTCTCGCCGGAAGCGATGCTCGCACGAATGTCATCTACGCCCTCGACAGACTGAGGGACAAATTTCCGGAAAGCATCACCTGGGAAGAGCTGGTATCCTTCGTGCTGCCTGTCCACAAACGCACCGACGACCAGGTTAAGTATTTTCGCAAATTCTTATCAGTCAACCCGAAAGTCGTACATGAGAAAGACACAGACAGTTACAAGTTCAAACCGCTGCATAGTATCGCCTCAGCCGATGATCTGCTCAAGTTCCTGCAGAACCAAGATTCGGCTTTGGGCATCAATGTGCGAGACCTGAAAGATGGATGGAACGATGTAGAAGGAGCGATTGACAGACTTGAAGCCGAACACAAGCTCCTTGTGGTTCGCAACAAAAAAGACAACCATCCGCGCATGGTGTGGGCAGACGATCCTAGCCTTGACGCTCCACTAGATCAAGAGTTCAAAGATTTATGGTCGCAAATCGCTTTGCCGTCTGTGGAAGATACCATCAAAGAGCTGAGACGCATGAACCACAAAACTACTGGTGAACCAGCGCATGCGGACACAGGACTGAAGCCGAAAGAGAAGAAGAAGAAAGTCCGACGTGGTAACAAAGTCACAAACACTCATATGCAGGGTCTGTTTCGAGACTATTCAGACAAGAGGCCCCAAGGAGGGCGTTAGGCGAAGCCTTCCGAATGGGCCAAGGACAAAAGCGAGGACACGGAGAACAGGGATCCTCATAATTTTCTGGCATAACGAGGTCACGCATCAAGGTTGTGTCTCCTTGTGCAGGGCCCCTGGAGGCTGCAACATCCCCAAGCATTTGAATGGACTTTAAGGCGTCAGATGCTGACCGAAGAACGATGGAAACAGGATGGATCTATGAAAATGATACCCAGAAACCGGAAGGCGTTCAGGCCGAGACTCGAGGCTCGAGTTATATCACTATCAAAACGTGGTGAGAATTAGATACTTATTACCCTTCGCAAAGTGCGATGTCCAACAATCCGATACCAATCCAGACTCTGCCCGTCTTATGGTCTAATAGGAGAGTTCAACCCCAAATCCACCATTCCTTCCTCCCTGAACCTGGACATACTCCTTGCACGGTTTCCCCTTGCATCAACACTCAATCGCCGCTCTCTCGACACTGACCGTCCCCTCTCTCCTATATCCTGCTCTTCCCGACCGCCATCATCATAATATTTCGCAGCCTCGCCTTGCGCAAGCAACAACGGCCTCAATCCCGAATCGGACTGATGTCTTCCGTGGGTGAGACTCGGGCGTGCCGTGGCCTCTTCATACCGGGGTGGAGGCACACCGACACTTGCAGCACTCGCCGGCCTCTGAATGCCCATACCCATGCCATATTGGAATCCGTTCTGTATGCTACCTGCTTGTACGTGCTCGGCGTCCCATGCCACGATGGCCGGCGGCGCAGGTGAGTTCTTGCCCAAGAGACCCATAGTATCTTCCTTCGAGGGCATCTGCGAGGGTGGTTCGACGTTGAATCCGCCCTGTGCGTTGGCGGGCTTGTATGAGTTCGCGTTGCGGCGTCGGCGGAAGCGTAGCAGGAAAAATGTTGCGATGGCCAACAGGATGATGCCCACTGTTACAGCGCCGCCGATGATCGCCGCCGATGATCGCCGCCTTTGTGGGATGATGGTTAGGGCCATTGGAATGGTTGTGATGCAGTGCTCCGTCGAATTGTTGGCGGTAGAACATGTTGCGAGGGTTGGGAGCCATGGTGGCTGACCGTGACGGGCAAGCAGCCTGCTGCTCTTGTGCCTAATGTACAGAACGCAGATTCCTTGTCAAGGACTCTTGGTAGGTCACAGAGATGACTGCAGCCAGGCTCTTGAAGGAAACAACTGTCGTCGATGGATCAAAGAAACGATATGCCAGCGAAAGTGGTTCGAAAAGGAGAGTTGTAAGCAGAATGGGAGTATGGAGGTACACTAAAGGAGAAGGAGCGGAACAGTATAAGCCACAAAAAGAGACTTCAAGACTCTCATCGGACTCCAGGACGCTCGCCGGTGGCCTCAATGACTGTCACTTGGTGATAGTATGAACAGAACAATGGTTCAAAGCCACAGAAATCCGAACAAAGAAGTAAACGAAAGTGACTTCGGTAGCAAAGTCATGGTCATATCAGGCGTCGTGCCTAAGAGGGGTGAGGCTGAGTGAGGCTTGCAGTGTCGGGAACCTTACTGGCAATCTTTCGGATCCTGTAATAGAAAAAGCCCGTCGAATCCTAGAGCGCGTCGTTTGGGATTGCGGTGAAGGGGGCCAAAAGTGAAAACGTGGAGGCCTAAACACAATCCTTTGCTTGACCTTGAATGGGTAGATTCGAATCATCGCGGCAGTCGGATCCTCACGTCTGGAAGATAGGACAATCGTGGATATTGACTGATGTTCGAGCATATGGATTGCATGGCTGGATTTTTATGAAGAACATTGGGAAGTGCTTCAATCAAGTCCAATCAGCGAGGCTGAGCCTAGGACTCCCTAAAGCGAAAAGCAGATCCCATACGAAGCTAGCGCTGATGTGAGGAACACCTGGCCCACCAGGCTGTGCAGGGTATGCACGAGCATACGATCACGGTCACTGGATGAGAGGCTGTTCAAGGAACTTGAATATGAATGTCAGAATGCGATAGTAACTGGTATGTGTCTTATGTAATCCCATTGATATATCGGCTCGTTGTCGCCACGGGATAACAGATTGATCTTACCGAGCCTGCTCTCCAGAGCATGATATATTCATTCTTTATGCCCATTGACACCATTCGCAAGCGCAGAATCTCCAACGCCCTTCTCCTTCTCGACGTAACCAACCAGATCCTCAATCGTGCAGACTTTAAGTCCCCATTTCCGCCCAAACTCCAAACAAGCATCCCGTCTCATCATACCAGGCTCGCGCATAATCGACTGCCCAGGAACCGACTCTCCATCATCCACCATCTCACAAATGATACCCACAGGCGTCTTGCCAGCCAATCGACAAAACTCCACCGCGGCCTCTGTATGTCCCGTCCTTTCCAAAACACCGCCATCCCGTGCTCTCAAAGGAAACACATGTCCCGGCCGTCTGAAGCTGCCGGCGCTGACCTTGGCACTCGCCAACGTTCTGCACGTTAGGGCGCGATCGTGTGCCGAAATTCCAGTCGTGACACTCTCGTCCTGGCTATCGATAGAAATCGTGTACGCTGTACGGTTCGGGTCCTCATTGTCCACGACCATTTGTGGCAGTGCTAGTTTCGTGGCAAGCTGCGAGCTAAGTGGCGCACAGATGAGTCCGCTCGTATATCGGACCATAAACGCCATCTTCTCGGTGGTGATGTCCTCGGCGGCAATGATCAGGTCTCCTTCGTTCTCGCGGTCTTCGTTGTCAAGTACCACGATGAACTCGCCATTGCGGAACGCCTCAATGGTGGACTCGATCGAGTCAAATCCCTTGGTTAAAGTGCTGTTGGACGACATTTTCGGGAGAGAACTCAAGTGTCTTCGTGGATTGGCTTATGTTCCAGACCTCGTAGTCGTAGATTCAATGCCAGACCACGAAATAGTCCCTAGAGTTTGCTCGCTTTGGCGAGACTTGTTTTCGACCGATGGGCTGATAGTCGAATGTACTTCACAATCCCAGCTGATTATCCCAATCACGCCGTGAACGATCGTATAATACGAATTCCTTGACTTTCACTGAATACGCAGACCCCGCAGAATGCCGAGAACACCAAATCGGCGATTCCGAAAGACTTCAATTCTAATGCAAGCCTTTGTAACTTTTGTATCGGATTGGCAGGCCGATGTCCTGTAGATAGTTAGAAAAGCAACAGTGTAGAGAAGTATGGTTTGATCGAGTTTATGGAAGCGATGTTAATGACATGAAGAAAGTGTGAGAGTCATGCGGATTGTCCCGGCCGATATAAGATTCTAGCGCAATCTTTTCCAGTCCGACATTGAATAGCCGCGGCCCATTTGTCATGTGGGTGCGAAAATTGGTCAGAGCACCAAAGAGTCTGGACCTGCGGAATTCATACGCCGCGACCGGGGACATTACCTGTACCCTCGGTCACCAACAACAGTCTTACACCTTGACTGTTGGACGATAGACACATCGTCAAAGGTAAAAAGTGATCTTCATCATATCAGTCTCCTACAGTCGAACACGAGGAATAGCCCACATCATCCATAAACGGTTCGCGATCAATGTTTGCACCTCCTCGAGGCAGTCGCGAAGAATGCATGTATACAGTACAGCGCAAACCCAGTGACCATTTTCCCAAAATATCCCCAAAACCTGCATCAATTGTACAATCGTGGTCGCGTTAATCAAAATTCTTACACATCCATTCGTACGAAAGCTCACCCGCTTGCCAGAACATTGATCTTTCGGCCTCGGGGCCCTTTTGATGGAGTCTCGACGTCAATCACATCACCGTCCTCCTCATCATGTGCCAATTCCTCCATCTCATCCATCTGCTTCGAATAGGGAAGTACTCTCTTCCCGGGTAGTCGTTGCCATACTTTGGCCACAAAGTTGGAGACTGGCGGTGTGTATGCTGTCCAATGCTTCTTGTCTTGCGTACCAGTCTCCGATGGAACTGGGGAGGACTCGGCCTCGAGGTCCGACTCTTCAATCACAGCCTCAAGTGCATTCCTGTTCTCCTCTTCCTCATCGTGGAACACTTCGATCCTCAATTTGCTGCCAGATAGAACTCCAGGGGTAAAGGGTGAGAATGCTGGCCTCTTAGGGGTCCCTCGTCCGACAGGAGTCAATTGTTCTCGGTAATCATCTCCTCGAACCGGACTCGACAATGGTGAGACTGGCGGGCGTCTAGCTTGTGCTAAAGGTGAAAGAATAGATCGGCCGGGGTAGTTGGGCGGTAGCTTGTACCTCTGCTGGCTCATTTTCTTGCCGGAAGGTGTGCTCGGTACAATCTTCGGTTTGGACGATGCGGCATTGGGTATTTCCACGGTGACTTTCGTCTTCTTTGTAGGTTTTGTTTCGGCGTCGCTCTCGTCATCCATCGATTTCCTCTTCCGCTTTGGTTGCGACGACTTTGTGACTTTCAAGTCAAGGTCGCCTTGTCGCAGCCAGATATCAGGACGCCGCCTCCTCACATCCTCCACCCACTCGTCGCAATCCATGGCCACAAAATCGTCAATGACACCGTCCCAAGTTGTTTCTGCAGGTCGCGTCCGATTCACGAAGATCACCCGCCCCTTTCCGTTCTTCTGAGCATGGATGGCTTTTGCGAACTCTCGGACAATCTTTTGCAGCCCAAACACTTTCAGGGATGTTCCCATGATGACCATTACCTCGGGTTGACAGTTGGCGTCGAAAGGTATCAAAGGAGTAAGTAAAGTGTTGGAAGGATGGTCTTCACCATACAAGACGATGTTTGGTCTGAGAGATCCCACTGCCAGTCCTCTCTTTCCGCTTGCTTGTCTTTCTTCACTCTTCATTCTGCAGCTCTGACAGCTAGGCGCTGCACCGTCAAGATAGATTTCAGTCTCTTCGTCTGTCCAATCCATTTGCTTCGCGCACATGGTGCAGCGCAGCTTTTCGAGGTCGCCATGAAGCTGCACCACTTCGCAACCTCCATCAAAATCTGTGCCTGCGGTATGTGCAGGGCGAGGTACCTCGTAGTGTTTCTTCATGAACCGTCGCTTGTTGCCCTTCCCACGGCTGAGATCAGTCACCAAACCCTCTCTTGCTTCTAGTCCATCAATATTCTGGGTATAACAGCGCATCAAGCGACCGCCGTCGCGTAGAACGCGGACAAACTTGTGAGTGGAACTCGTGGACCGCACTTCGTCGCGTATCCTCTGCCGCAGAGAAGCAATGAACTGGTAGAACATGGTTGTAGATGCTGCATTTTGAAACACCCGAGAATCGAACAGGTCCTGTCCTCTCAGCTTAGATGAAGGACTCGCAGACGATCGTTGACTTGAACGAGAGGAGTGTGAGGATTGCGAGGACAGGAAGCTATCGTCGTCGGCAATAGCGCACCTCGATGGTGTGGAAGGTCGCGACGGCGGTGGTGTTAGCAAAGCTTGTTCCGGGATAATGTTGTAAAGGCCATCCTTTGACCGGAAGTCCTATTCATGGTTAGCATTGAGACACAACTGTTGACGGTTTTGTTTACCGGGATGCCGCAGCTTGTGCTTATACCAGCACCCGTGACGAGCAGAACCTTGTGTGATCCTGCTAGGATATCTGCAATCTCTTGAAGCGGTCGCTCATCCCTGATCGTCAACTCTCGTAGTCCCATGCTGATAGCTCGTATTGTCCGCTTTCGGTCGTTGGTAGCCGTGGACGCGCTCACAGTTGTCGCTATGAATTGAAGCAAGTATGATGGAAAAAGCACCACCATATGAGGTTTTGGAGTCCACTGGCAGACCACCAGCGCGTCGAAGTCGCGTTAGAACGTTATGTGAAGCCGTAGTGGGTTTCTACGCGTCGGAGGATTGTGAGGATAGACGCGTAGAAATGCCAGCATCGCCAGCCCCCTCAGGACATTTCTTTATAAGGTGTATGTGAAGTATAGCAATAGCAATGAGATAACGTGAAGAGACATGGAGCTTGACCGCGACAGGCGAGGTCTTTGTGAACTGACGAACATCTCTGGGGTTGTTTATGCTTCGAGTCTGCGCTCCTCCAATCAAAAGTCGGGAGGGGATCGATCGACGGTTAAGGTCTTTAGCGGACGGTCCAACCCGAGCCAATAATTTATGGGCATGGCTTCCCCTAAGAGTCAGGATTGCAGAGAGATAGGGGTTGTTCACAGCGACTTCCATGGGTACAGACTGTTCAAACATCCTCAAGACTTTCGTGACCTAGCTTCCTTCTCTTCCTGCGTGAGCCAACCTCTGCAAATGCTTCTGCAGGCACAGTCCCATCACCGCCTTCCCATTGAGCCTGATACACGCCTGACCATCCCATACACTCCTCCACACTCTTCCTCAGCACTTTTGGGCGACGGCCTAATTCGAAGTCTTCTTCTTTCAAATCCTTCTCTTCAGGAAGACCAAGGGACTGCATCAGCCGTGCTTCCTCTTGTCTCCCAGCTTCTCGATCCAGTCGTTCCATGTATTCATCTTGTTCTTGTTCCAGCAGTTCGACCCTTTGCTGCTTTGACATTGGTATGGATGGCCTCTTTTCCGTCGGGAGGTCATGTTCATGTCCATCTCTGGAATCTGTGTCGCTTTCATCACTGTCGTCGTCATCTGACCGAGGAGCCTCCGAAGACTTCTCTTCATCCTCTTCGCTGGCCTCGTCATCGCTATAGCTGTCTTTCTCTTCGTCGTCCGAAGCCAGGGAATCTGCCGAGGAAACCTGACTCTGCAGCGACCTTGATCTTCCTCTCCTTGGGTTCAACAGTATTTCTTCGACGTCGTCATATGGCATCAGGGCTGTAGTACTGGCTCCCTTCCTATGACCGCCGTCCACGACCGACAGACCATTTCTCCTTGCCACTTTGGCCCAAAACTCTGTCGAGCTACTCGTGATCCCAAGAACAGCCAGAGCAGCTGACACATCTTCCGGCTTGACAAGACCACCAGGTCTGTAATGAGCCGACGCTGAGGACCGTATCCGGGACTTACCCAGAAAAATGCATGTTTGAACTAGCCTCCTGGTAAAACTCGTCACCAAATTGTAGAAATCCGACACGACTTCTATGGTCATCGCAGGCCCTTGATCATCCTCAACCTGTTCGGTTTCGCCAGTAGCTTGACTGGCGCTTTGGTTCATGAAGAATCGCTCGCTCAGGGTCAGGAAAGCTGAGAGGTGAAAGAACTGACAAGCCTCCACGGACAGTGTAACATCGGGTCCGCCCGCTTCCTCTGAGGTATTGCTTGCAAGTTCCTGCCCGTCGGTAGTCTGATCTACCCCAGAAGCTGTTGCAGCATCAATCAGCCACAAAGGGTTCATACGCTGACCAACAGCAAAGTCGAACTGCTCCTGGAACGCTGCCAGTGCTTCTGCGGCCTGATCAATTACAGCTTCGCATTCACGACTAATCTCAAACGTAGCGGGGATCTCAACATGCGAGACGTTTTTCGTCTGAGGTTTGAAGAGCTGCCTGTCGGTCTCCTGTTCGCGCAGCTGATCGATATAAGCCTTGACTTCGATTTCGGATTTTGACTGCACCGCCCCAGAGATAGCTCGCAAGTCATGTCGACCTTTTCTAGAAATCACGTCGAAGAACCGTGACTTTTCAGCTGGGTCCCAAACTACAGCTCCGAGCTGAGATTGATCAAAGTCGTCGACTGAGTATTCCTCCTCATTGCCCTCGAAAGTCTTCTTGAACAAGTCAAGATACTGGTCGCTATAATGCTTTCGAAGTCGGCTCCATTTCCGTTCATGAGATTGCATAGGTGTAGATGGTTTCCCGCGTACGTGGTTGAGTACGTCGTTGTTGCCCTCCATCAGGGTTGCCTGACCATGGGCGTCAGCCTGGTTGACATTGTCGTGAACGTCCATTGTTTATTTTTCTTCTTCGTGACATGGCCTGATGCTGTCGACCACACGATAACGACGTGATCCTGTTCCTTGCGGTACGATGAAAGTTGCTTCTGTGGCAGTATCGCGCGCCAAAAAAAAAACCGCCGAAAACAGAATGCAAATGCAGTGTTTCAAGGTGGAGGATACCTATAGGGGTAGAAGTCTCAAACATTTGAACCGGACTCGGCCCAGAAAATCCGACGCCAAGACATGAGAACAGACATCCAATCTTTGCAGCTCGGCAATGCAGGGCAACTGCGACCAGGTGGCCGCAGGAGGGCGCCTAAACAGCAATGTTTTTTCTAAACCAGCAAAACTTCATCTCTTGATAGATCTGAGATTTATTCATCCCAAAAAACAAAAACAATCAACATTACGGATTCGCTGGTGGTCACCCACCCAACTACTAACGTAACGGCATGTGGCTTAAGTACGGCTGAGCGAACGGGAAGCCCTGTTGTCCACATCCTATGGTCGATTGCGAAAGAAAATTTTCTGCTATATCAAATATACCCGTTAAAAGCGCATTCACCTTGCACCAGAAAACTTTCTTGGGAGTTTACAATCACAATGGCCTTCTCCCACATCTTAGACATTGCGTATCCACTGGTGATCATTGCTGTATTCGACTTCGTTCATGCTATACCACCAAGCTCAAGTGGAAAGCTCGACTGGGTTCGAGAGCCATTCGCCTCGTTCTCTCGTCTTCGAGTCTTGGCTGAGGACCAGCAAGAGGTCTTGATGACCCGAAGCCAAAGCTGTGTCGTAAGGCGTCTTGCCTTCTGCATCTGCTCGGAAAGGGTCCGCACCCCGTCTGCAGAGGAATGAAGCCACGCTGCTGCGCAGACACAAATCCCAAGTGTATGAACCGGTCCAAAAAGTGACAGCTTGATGAAGCACAGTTGCGCCCGAAGTCTCGAACGGCACATTCAAATCCCAACCGTGCTTGAGTAGAATTTCCAAGATCGCAATCATACGATTAGGGACAAGATCTTTCTCAGCCTCCGACATGGTTTTCCTCAACCATGAGCGGTTCATCAACTGTCCAGCCAAGGTCGACCATGAATCAGGTTCAGACGGCCTGGCGCCGTTTGCAACCAAAAACTCGACCATACCCACTTGCCGAGCGCCAATAGCAAATTTCAAGGGCGTGAGGCTTGCTGTGTATCCATGTGGGACTTCATTTATGTTGAAATTCGAGTCCAGGAGGCGCTGAGCCATATCGATCTTGCCAAAGAGGGCCGCGAAATGCAGCGCAGTTACGCGTTCTGGACGGACGCGTTTGCGAAACTTTGACCGCCAAAAATCCTTCTTGTTGTTAAGAAGATTCGCGAAAGCTGCATGATCACCATTGCAGACAGCATCTTCGATCCCATCTTTGGGATGACATCCGATCCTGTCCAAGATCTCTTTTCGAGACAGGGTTTTGCCCTGAGAAGTCCCATCAACCTTTGGCGCCTGGCCCGGGCTCACTGTCACAGGACTAAGTGCTCGCGGGTGTGCGTAAGTGATTCTCAGCTGCTCCCTCTCTCTCCGTGGCTCCAGACTCGCTTCTATCCTCTGCCGACGAAAGGATGTCACTGTTACGGACTGCGCATTCTCCCAACCCCCCTTGGTACTTGTGTTTTGATGGTCTGGGTGCCGAAGATCGGCAGCTGGCGATCTTGGGACTACCGCAAATACAGAGGGGCGGTTCCAAATGTCCAGGGGCTGCGTGGCAGAAGTTGCGGAAAGTCTGTTCTGAATGTGCTTTACTGCCGGATCTGAGTCTTCCGAAGTCGACTGAGTCACCAGCGACGACATATCATGATGTTCCTCCTTTGTGCCCAGGGACTCTTTCACAATTCTGAGAATGGCGTCTCTGCGTGCTTCTGGTACCATGGCAAGACATGACTTTGCACGGGCACGATTATTGAGCAAGACATATATGTGCGCCATCAGTGCTGTGGACTCCAACGAGGCGTCGTTTTGCTTGCCCAGTAATCGTCTCCGGGCCTGTAAAGCTTTCTCACATTCGACTCTTGCACGATCGATCCTGCCGATGCGGATCTACAAAAGGGACAGCAGGTGTGCCGCGTTGTGAATCAACATGCGTTGCTCATCGGAGATCGCTGGCTGTTGGGCCAGGGCTATCAGAGCTTCGCATCTGCGGGGTCTTGCGTATGATATGCACAGACAGCAAGCTTATAATGCAGGCCGAAGAAGTCACAGAATGCTCGTTGTCGCCTCGAAAGCTGCTGCAGTACTCGGAGCGCTTCTTGGAGCAGAGACTCGGCCTCCTCCCACTCTTGCGAATGAAAAGCTTAAAGAGCTATATAACTCTAGGTAAGTTAAGCTTATAGTTATTCTCGTCTATAAGTAAAGCAGACCTTTAGGTCTCGGCCTAGGCCTCTTTAATACTTATAACGGCGTTAAGGAAGTCGAGAACTAGTCTTATACCGTTTATCTTAGGGATTCTTACGTTTAAGGCGTTAGCGTAAGTGACCTCCTATAAGGGATGCGGTTCCGGGCTTATAACTATTAAACAGTGTTCATGATACGATACATTGATTACTCTATCTTTCTACCTAATGTTACGTACTTAACGCTTCTATATAGACGTCCTACGTACAACTAGGACCTCGCCGTCGTCACAGTAACTCGTCGTCGTTGGCGACGCTCGAATAGCTGGAGTCAGTGCGTAAATTGGCTCCCAACCCGTGGAATGACATGTCTGACCAAGATGCTGTTTGACAGAAAGTCTGTATTCCGAAACAACGGGATACCTGTATCCGGGGTATTGCCATATTCGCGGCCATGGCAGAGTCCTACAAACCTCGGCTTGCAGCAACGAGCCAAAAAAATGTCGCGGATCGTAACGACCTCAATTCAGCCGTGAATAGACCACCAACTCATCTGTGAAGCCAGCCTTTCTTGTTGGGAACAAACGCCCGTCCTTCCAGGCTGGCGATCTCATCTTTGCTGTCGAGGATGGTCTTCAGGCGCGGTTCGTAGCTTTCCAGCTCTTCGAGGCCTTCCCAAGTGCCATAACGTTGGAATACTCGCACTTCGTGGTCGTTGTCAAGGCTTTTGAGTACCATGAACGTCCACGTATCTTCAAGATGTAACTCAATTGATCGTGCCAATGCTGAGAGTCTTTGTACAACCACTTCCCGTCTGCCAGGATGACATTTGATACGGGAGTCGTAAATAACAGCCGCTTCTGTGCTATCCCGGGGCTTGTCCAGGAAGCTCCCGTCCACATCCTCATAGTGAGTCAAGTCGAGACCTGTGGTCATGGTCGGTGGGATTTTCTTCAAGAAGTTTCCCATAGCTTCGGAATGGAAGTGGGTCTTGTAAAGATCCTCCCGTTTCCCGTACATCTCAAAGGCGAGCATTTGATTCGAAGCCGACATGTTGCCTGCACACTCTGGGGGTACACCAAAGTAGTAGGTCAAAGTAGATGTAGATTCATTCTTCCACACATAGTCTCCTAGGGGCTCAAATGCAGCCTGCCACTTTTGCGCCGGTCATCAGCCACAGACTTTGATAAGAAATACCAAACCCACGTCGTCATATTTGCCAGGAGCAAAATTTAGGTTGCCGAAGATTACGAATACCATGATTGCGACGGTAGAGCCCACGCGCAGGTTCGTGGCTGATGAGAAGGAAAATCAAAGACTCCCCATATCAGAAGGTCAATGTGACAACTTGTACAACTCGAATTCCTGTATAACCCTGCCCTCTATCTACTATTATGCAACTACCACGAATTTATAGGTGAGGGCGAGATCGTTTACCCTTTTCCTACAGCGTGATTTACCCACTAATCGACGATCTCGTCGTCGCCCCTAAACGGGGCTAAAACAGGCCGTCGTCAGACGAGTAAGATAATGCCGGAAGCCATCGGGTATTCTTGCCGTTTGTCACAATGGCAGTTTTATGCTCTGATATCCTGATGCAAGAGCCCATGTCGGGCATTTCATGTGAGGCTTTTCCCTTGAGCGAATAACTCCACTCTATTCAACAACACAGTTGCAAAAGGACGCCCGCCCCTGGCGGAGGTCTCGTCTATAGCCAAAAGTTGCATTCCGGGGGATCCCCAAGACCTGGAGACATCAGCGGAGAACATTTTCCGGGCCTACCTACCAAGGGCGTATGCTCACCTCTAATGGCGTCTGAGATGCTGCGGGTCAATTCGGCAAGAAGCCGAGGATATCTGTGCATCAATTTGACCTCTGGTCTATGATTACAGTCTTGAGATATAGGATGAGTTAAATGTCCAGCAGCTCTCCCTGATATCCAATGTCCAAGGCTTTGGTCCAAGCTACTGTGTCGACGTCCGATATCATTTGACAGGGCAGAAAAGGGACTCCAACGTGAATAACACAAGATGAGCAAGACTTCAGCCAAGGTTGCCATTTTGACCGGCGCTGCGGTACGTCTTTCATGATTGACGATTTGAGCATGTTCCGTGGTGTTGTTCTGGTCATGGATCAGAGGCTGACTTGGACGACACAGTCAGGGATGGGCGAGGCCCTTGCCCGCGACTTAGTGAGCAAGGATTGGCACGTCGCATGTCTGGACGTCCAAAAGCAAGCCGGCGAGGCACTTGTAGCCGAATTGGGCAACAATTGCATCTTTATTCAATGTGATATCGCCGATTATGACCAACAAGCCAAGGCGTGTACAGAGGTATGGGATAAATATGGCCGCCTGGACGCGCTGCTCGCCAATGCGGGTATTGTCGACAAGAGCTCGATCTACATCCTGGATTGGCGAGGCAAGGATGAGTACGCTTGGTTATTGAATCCACGATATATGCAGTCTGACCGCCTCTTTCCAGGATACCGCCGAAGCCCAACACCGCGTGTACGGATATTGACTATAAGGCTATTTTGTATGGCGTCCAACTCGCCATTCACTTCATGCGAAAGAATCCTACACCAGGAGGACAGATCATCGCCACGTCCAGCATTGCTGCAGTTCATCCGCATCCGTCATACCCAGAGTATTGTGGTGCGAAGGCAGCTTTAATGGCCACCAACCCCAGGAATATGCAGACGCAGAAGCTGATATACCCTAGGTCGTGAACCTTGCACTTTGCATAGAGCCTATCCTTCGCATGGTAAGCTAGCCTGGCAGCTAGATTCTTTCCACAGGACTGAATACTGACCCGAGACCTTCTTCATCACATGTAGAAGGAGAACATTTCTATAAACGTGGTCCTTCCAGGAATCGTTCCTACCAAGATCATTCCCCAGTCGATGATCGATGCGGTCAGCTCAGAATGGTGAGGCACCTTTCGACAGGCTTTTTCATGTCTAACCAAGCTAACTCCCGGCGGCCAGCCTGACCCCGGCGTCGACAATTGTATCTGCTTACAATCACTTCTTAGACAACCCAACGGTTAGTGGACAGGTGGTGGAGTGTTCGACGGACAAGCACTTCTTCCTTCCTCGGCCAGAGCTGGCGAATGGCCGCTTTACGAAGAGAGCGATAACCGTGTGGGATCCTTTGTTCAAGATGTTGCACCACGAAGGTTCGGGACTTCCAGATGCCATTCCTTAGTTTCCACGAAGTCCGCAAAGCTGCTGGACGAGTAGATCATGGGAGCGGCGGGCAGTGTTAATCATCCCGAGTCCGTTACTCTGCATCTAAATACTAAGTTGGTAAAGCGAAAAAGGGTGTCTAGTGTTTTACTGGATGTCCTGAGATTTCCAGTACGGCTCCAGGTCACGGAAGAATGCCCATTTGAGCTTCTTTCCCCACCCTTTCTCCTTCCACTGGTTTAAAGTCTTTGGAAAGTGTTCAACACCGTCTCTGACGGTGGAATCGTGTGCAATGATGACAAAGACGTTCTCATCGCAATCCAGCTGCTGCAGGTGGCCTTTGGTTTTGTTCGCCAGAGGGATGTCACCGCCAAAGGTCATATCAAACAGGGAATCGGTGGATTTTCTCCCTCTGGACTTCTGCAACTCGTCGAAAGCGGTGCCTGGACATAGAGGCGTGCTGCTTTCAGGCCGGAAAGGGTGTGGAGAGATTGATGAGGGCACCGGGAGATGAGGTGAGGGCCGGAAAATGCCTGCATAGTGACATATGTCGCCTCCCATGAGAACAAAGGTGTCAGGATTTGTCGTTGTTCGCGCAAGTCCACAAAGATGCCCGATGGCATGTCCAGGGCTGTCTAGAAGGTAGAAAGATCCATCTCCGAAGTAGTCAAAGGCGCTGAACTCTCCAATACGCAGTTGTTCGGGACTGTCAAACTCGATTTCACGTAGTGTCCGACCCCTGAAAGAGGTAGAAGTCCAAGGGTCAGCATGATCATCGACAAAGAAATGTTCCCGAGCCACTGTCGTTGCGGACAACACTTACTCATAGTCGCTTTCACGAATTGGCGAGCTTGGGTTTGCTGGGTAGCCAGGCAACATGGCTTTCTTGAAGCCTGGCCCAACTATCAAGTCTGTAGAGGAGGGGAAACTAGATGGATCCCCAATATGATCCCAATGCCAGTGGCTGTTGCGTTGTAAGCACGGGGTCAGATCTCGCTGCTTCTGTTTGCACAAGACCTGCCTACCTCCATATGACGGCCTCAATATCAGATCCCGCGATCCCGTGTTCCTGGAGAACATCGATCACGTTCTTCGTCACCTGGATGTCGTATTTTGTGGTTGGAAGATAGTCGGTAATCGGCTTGGAATAATTGCCATAATCCTTCCGAATACCAAGATCAAAGACCAGCTTCCTGCCAGAGGGATGCTCCAAGAAGAATGTCAGAGAAGGTGAAGTCTTAAAAGTTTCCAGCCCGGGGACAGGCGGTGCCATGAAACGATTCAATATAGCCGGCCCAAAATTGACTGGATTAATCAACTTCACCGTCAACGTCGTGTTGCCCGGAGGCAATTGGACCCCAGGTGTTGTAGCAGTCATCTTTCCAGACGTCGAGCAATTTCCATGCCGGTAGACACCGCCGTGAGGGAGTAGATGAATCGCATTGGGAGACATTCAATTCCACGAAAGTCTGAATCTGGTGCAGCCGAAAGAAGCGGCCGAAGTGCCGGCTGTTCGGCCCACGCCTAAATGCTGCAACCGCTACACGCCTAGAATGGGGGGGAGCTTCACTGATGCATGTTATTGGCCTCGGCTACAGGCAATCTCCCAGGGTGCCTAAGGTGCCTTATCCGAAGGCGCTCGTCCCGCACTTTGACGACGCTCATTAACTTTTACGGACAACGTCTTGACCAGTCTTGAAATCGCCATTGGACGAAAGAGGGTACACAAGTCAATCGCCCCGAGTGAATACTAGTATTACCTTACCAAAGCCTCACCAACAAGCCCGTGTGTTGATAAGAAATAGTCATTGACGACAGCTACCTGTTGAGATGTCAACGGAAATCAGCAGCATCCCACCGTCAAGGTCACTGGCTGGCAAGGTGGCCATTGTGACCGGTGCCGGATGTGCAGGTAAAGGTATTGGAAACGGACGGGCGATTTCGATCCTCCTTGCGAGCGATGGCTGCAACGTAATATGTGTTGACCGCAATGAAGAATGGGCAACAAAGACTGTGGAGGTTGTGAATTCCAAACCAGGTCGAGGGAAAGCGGTAGTTGCCCAAGCAGATGTTACCAGTGCGACGGATTGTGAGCGTGTGGTCGATCTCGCCATCCAGGAGTTCGGTCACCTGGACATCTTAGTCAACAACGTCGGCATTGGAGGTGCTGCCGGCACAGTGGTGGAAGTCGACATGGAGCAGTGGGCGAAGGGTCTAGAGATCAACGTCTCGAGTATGGTACTGATGGCCAAATACGCTGTGCCAGCTATGAGAAAGAACGATGGCGAGATCAAGGGGTCAATAGTCAACATGGGTAGTGTGGCTGGACTTAAAGGTGGCACGCCTCATTTGTTGTATCCGACGTCCAAGGGCGCGGTCGTTAATATGACACGAGCAATGGCAGCACATCATGCCGAGGACGGGATCAGGGTCAACTGTGTCTGTCCAGGGGTAAGTCCTCATCACAGCATTCAAGCACGAGTCATTTGATGCTGACAGTTTTTACTAGATGCTTTACACACCGATGATGTATGCAGGTGGAATGAGCGAAGAGGCACGAGAAGCAAGGAAGAAGCGAAGCTTATTAGGTACAGAAGGCACAGGCTGGGATTGTGCTTGTGCAGTTGTATTCTTAGCTGGGCCTCATGCTCGATGGATGACTGGAGTCATTCTTCCAGTCGATGCCGGTGCCACTGCAGCTGTGGGCATAGGTCTACCAAAGAGCGCCAGTGTGAACGGCTCGAATTAGCACCCCCAAATTTTGTGTCTTGGGCATGTCTTTTGAGCGACAACAAGACCTGATGTCATCAGTCTTGCAGCAGAGCCACACGAGCCTTGATTTTCCCTTCACACAGTTCTTTAAGCACCCGCGGGAAATCCTCCAAGCGGCCCGTCTCGACCTGTGGGCGGAGGGCATCTTTAGAGATTAGGTCGAGCACTTCCTCAAGATCCCGTAGTTGTCCACCATATGAGAAGATAAAAGTCAATCTCTTCCTGATGCCCATCTTCATATGCACCGTATTTTCTAGATTCAGGGTGCCAATGCATACAATCTTGCCAGCGAGGCGCACTGTCGAGAATGTCAGAGACAGGACGTCCGGCGCATCAATTCGTGGGCTCCTGAACTTACCTATGTTTTGTGCGTCCTGGAATGTCTGGTTCGTACCAACGAAATCCAAGACCGTATCAATTTTGCCCTCTAGGCCCTTCTCCTTGACAAAGTCCTGTACCGACGACCCAGCAGGCACAAGGTCCTCCCTGGGAATTCCGAGCTTCGCTGCCGCATCGAGTCTTTCCTGTCGAATATCCGATACAATCACCCTGGCACCTATATGCTTGATGACTTGTAATGCGTTGAACCCAAGTCCTCCAAGCCCGAAGAGAAAGACAGTCTCAGTGGCTTTTACTTCTCCACGCCGCGTGATGGCATGGTATGCCGTCATCACAGCATCAGTGGCTACTGCACCTTCAGCAGCAGAGACGCCTGTGCGATATCAGTATCGATATGCATAATGCACGCGTCTGCCTATACCTGTGGGCAATTTTACTGCTCCTCTGGCGTCTATCACGGCATACGGGGCGAAGAAGCCATCCTGACCGATACCAGAATGGTGGCCAGACACACAAAGCTGTGCCAGGTCGCGCGAACATTCAGTGCATGTGTCCAAACCACAGCCTGGCACGGCCAATAGTGCAATCCGGTCACCCTGTGGACAGAGTTAGGACCTCTCCGACACTGCCAATGCCATATAATCCGACTCACCACTTTGAACCTCGAGTCTTTCACCTCACTGCCAATTTTGACAATTTCTCCGCATCCTTCGTGACCCTGAATTTCGGAAGTGTCAGGAACACACAAGCACGATCAAAGATCCATATTGTGCTGTGTGGTCTCAAGTACGTACCAGTGTATACTTCTCCTGGAACCACGGTCGTTGCTTCTCGTTCGTGAGCAAGCTGTCGTCACTATGGCATACTATTTAGATTGGCATGCGTCAGCAAGGCCTTATTTGTCATTGTCGAAGACCATAAAGTGCGGCCTGAGCATGATCCTCACCTCCTGAAGCAAGTAACTTGCAGAGAAACCCCGTCGGAGGTGTCTCAGGAACGGGTACCTCCTCCCAGACCTGAGTTGCATCGTCATGTCAGTATCCTTCCGCTGATATGGAAAAGCCGGCGTATGCCTTATGAACCGGCATCAATACGTACAGGCTCGGGGTTGCCCTTATGTTTTCGCCATGCGTGCATGGTCGCAGGAATACTCGTACTTGCTGCCATTCTTGAGTCTTGAGATCGTCGCCGGCTCTCTACTGAATCGCGGAGGAGAATAATCACAGAATCAAAGATAATACTAACAACACTACTGGAAAGAGTAAGTCACTCCGCTTTGAGCCTCGGGAGTCGGGATCATAGGGACCCTATGCTTAGTCGGGTCCGGGGCCGTCCCCTGCTACGACCAATCGGTCCACAGCCGGGCAATGTACCAACCACACTCAATGGTCAGACTATCTTCATCGATATTGGACCCTACGTATGGACACCCATTATGCTACTAGTAGGCGCTCCTGGATAGCGGCCTTAGCACATGATATATCGAAGTTTGTCATGACTCTGCGCGGTCCAGTGCTATGAGGGAGAGCATGGTTCGTGAGCTAGGCTTTTCGATTTCTCCCTTGGGGCTGTCACAGAGTGAGCCGCTGATACAACTCAGTCTTTGTACACTCTTACTTTGTAGTCATCCAGCCATTTGTCTTCGATAATGACCAACTGTGTCTCCTGGGTTTTCTTGAAATACCCTTGTTCTTTATAGTCGTCCATGTCTGCATCCTTGAATCCTTCTTTGGCCAATGAGCGTGGACAGATCATGAGAGAATGACCTATAGGGAAAGTCAGTCGACCGCGACGTGTTTCTTCCGTGTGAAGATCCGAACGTACCATTGATGGACTTGTCGCACGCTATTCTTATCATACACCCAGCACAGTCTTCGGTTTCTCCAAACTCGATACCATGATCGATGAGCCACTTTTCGTACTCAGCAGTCCGGATGGCACTCTTGATCCAGCATGGAGCAACATAGTTGATTCTGATGCCTTGCTCCCAGCTCGATCTGCGTGCCGTTCTCATGAAGCCTCGCAAAGCATATTTCGTGGCTGTGTATTCCCAGTTACCCTGAACACGTTACTATCAGCACGTTTCTCTAGATGTGGCAAGTCAAACTTACAGGCGAGTCAATCCATGTGACCATGCTTCCTGTGAAAATAAAACATCGATCCCGGTCTTCGGTGTCAGGTTGCTGTCGGAAGTAGTGCACAGCAAGCTTCCAGGTGTACAATGATCCGTCCAGATTGACCTTGACAATGTTGAGGTCAGGCTTGGTGGGTGGCCCTTTGGGATCTGGTAATCGTGGCAGAGTCAGTCACACAATCACAACCTCCAAGTGCTTTGTGTTATTACTTACCGTCCAGGTTCCAGAGACTATCGCCAGAGCTTCTGCTGATTCCAGCATTCGCAATCACCACATCGACACTACGACTTGGGCTCTTGGTCTTGGCCGTCTCGAATAGCTTGATCTGGTCCTCCCAGCTTCGAATGTCGCATTTAACAAAAGCCACTTTCTCCCCATCGGCGTTAAGCTCCTTCTCAAGTTCTGTACCGCGAGGGTGCATGTCTCCAATCGTCACGAAGGCCCCAGCAGCAGTGAACTGCCGCACCATGGCTTCGCCCATGCCATTGGCTCCGCCGGTGATGATGACCGATTTACCCTTGACCTGGGATTTGTCTGGCACCACAGTGTGGTCCACTGGACATGTGTATGTGTAGCGTGGTAGAGGCATTTTTTCTGATGCGCACAATCAAAGATTGATCCTGGAGTAAGGTTGAGTGTGGTAGAGCAAAACAGCCCAGGAAAGCGCGATCGAGGTCAACAAAGCGATCACGAGGCACTCATGCTACAGTCGATCATCAAACGCACCTCCTTCGCTCCACCATGTGCTGAGAGACCTGTCACTTGACCTGTTAGTTGCCAGGACTCTTCACAGAAGCCGGGGAGAAACTCAATGTGTGGTTGACTTGCTTTCGGCTTCATGAGCGGCATACCAAATCTGGACTACCGACATCAACCCCATGGCAGCCCCTACGCTCCGCATTTTCGGTAAAGCATCCGCATATCCGATGGATAAGCCGATGCGGGAGGTCTTTGTGCCTGGACCCTCGGCCACATCTCGAATGGGTCACTAACAGTTTCTACAAAGACCGACATCAACGACGAGTACTCTTTGCCCGATATTACAGTCGTGTCAAGCCAGTCATTCTGCCAGTAATAACTCCGATCATTCTTCCAAAAAAAATCTACAGCGCACAATCATGGGCAGCATTGGTACGCCGTCCTTTACGGACGAGAACGCGCATCTCGACCACGATGTCATCATAATTGGAGCTGGCCTCAGTGGAATATACTCACTATACCGCATGCGACAACTTGGCCTACGTGCCAAAGTCCTCGAAGCTGGCTCCGGAGAAGGTGGCACTTGGTTCTGGTAAGTGATCAGTGATTGTCCACTCATATCCATCATCAGTACTGACAACAGCCCTTTTGGGCACACAGGAACCGATATCCTGGAGCCAGATTTGATTCAGAGAGTTACTCATACAATTTTTCATTTTCACAAGAGGTTTTGGACGAATGGAACTGGACAGAGGTAAGCAACCACCCTCGTCTTCTTCGCCTCAAATATCCGCATTCTCTGACTTTTGGGCATCTAGCATTTCGCTCCCCAGTCGGAGACACTAAAGTACTGTCAATTTCTTACCGAGAAGTTTGATCTACGGCGAGATATGCAATTCAACACCAGAGTCAAGTCTGCACATTATCAAGAATCTGATCGATCATGGCTCTTCGTCGACTCGAATGGCCGCAAATATACCTCCAGGTTCCTGGTGACTTGCATGGGTATTCTGAACGAGCCAACATATCCTGACATCCCCGGCGTGTATGACTTCAAAGGCGAATCGTTCCACACTGCCCGATGGCCCGACAATGTCTCACTAGAAGGCAAGCGAGTAGGAATTATCGGCACTGGTGCGACTGGTATTCAGACCATTCAGGAGATCGTCAAGACAGTCGGTCATCTCACGGTGTTCCAGCGGACAGCAAACTGGTCAGCACCTCTTCACAACGCCAAGATTTCCCCAGAGGAAATGAATGAGATCCGTGCGCGATATCCTGAGATCTTTAAACTTTGCAACGAATCATATTCATGTTTCATTCACGGCGCCGACACACGAAAGACTCTCGACGTTCCTGAACCCGAGCGACTAGCTTTCTGGGAGCTCCTTTACTCCCGACCCGGTTTCGCCAAATGGCTCAGCAACTTCGGCGACATCAACACCGACAAGGACGCCAACAAGGCGTTCAGCGACTTTATCGCCAACAAGATCCGCCAGCGCGTCAAAGACCCCGCCACAGCGGAGAAGCTCATCCCAAAGAACCACGGGTTTGGGACAAGACGTGTACCTCTGGAGACATTCTACTTCGAAGTCTTTAATCAGCCAAACGTCCGACTAGTCGACATCACCGAAAATCCAATCCAGCAGATAAACGAGCACGGCATCAAAACCCGAGATGAGCAAGTCGATCTTGACGTCCTGATCTACGCCACTGGCTTCGATGCCGTCACTGGTGCGTTTACCGCAGTTGATTTCCAGGGAGTTGGCGGCCAAAAACTATCCGACACATGGGGCGAAGGACCGAAAACACAGTTGGGCTTGCTTGTGCACAATTTCCCCAACATGATGATGGTTATGGGTCCGCATCAGATGTTCGGCAATATCCCACGGAGTATCGAGTACGCTGTGGGCTGGATCTCCGAGTGCATTGGATACTGTGCGGATCACAACATCACGCGTATCGAAGCTACGGAAAATGGTGTCGAGCAGTGGACGGACCATGTACACCAATGTGGACAGGGTCTGCTGGCCAACGAGGTTGACTCGTGGATGACGGGTATCAACAAGAACCTCAAGCATAAGCAAAAGCGCATCATTGCGAGATATTGGGGTTCGGCACCAGGGTATCGGAAGATCTGCTCGGAGGTTGCTGCGGGCGGATATACAGAATTTAAGTTGAATTGATTGTGCCATGGCGTCTGGTAAATGGTATCTAGCATGGTCTTTGTGGTCGGCGGTGACAGGTCAATGTACTTGAATCTTATACTCCATCGAACGTGGCGGTCGCTTCAATGCTTGCCTTATTCCATCCTCCATCACATCATCCCACACGGCACATGCCGATAATTTCTCTCCGAATCGTCGAAAGCCATGCGGTAAGCCTTGAAATACGTGTATCGTGGTTGGCACACTACGAACGCAGACATCAGTATGCGTTCCGTTCTCGATCATGTCACACTTACCCATTCTCTGCAAGCAACTTGCCATAAAGTAACCCCTCGTCTCGCAAAGGGTCACTGCCAGCTATTCCCAGCGTCGTCGCAGGTAGACCACTGACGTCCACGGCCGTAGCGAGTCCAGGATTCAACCTTCTATCTTCAGGGTCCGGCTTTTCGACCTTCAACAGACTGTTGAACAACTGCATACGGCTGACTGGTAATATGGGAGCATGCTCGTTCTGCACGTACGATGACACAGCAGGATCTTTCAGCTGTGCAAGTTGAGTCTGGTAACACTCCTGATACACCAAGCAGGGTATCATGAGAACCTGGCCTAATATGTTGAATCTCTCGGCGGCAGGGGCTCTGTGATTCGTTTGCGTTAGGGCAGCAGAAAGCCAGGCTCCTGCAGATACGCCGCCGACAACTATTTTCCCGGCGTCGCCGCCAATTTCGGAGGCGTGCTTGGCCACCCATTGCAGCGCATCTTCCGAGTCATTCCATGCCACGGGATACCCATGCTCAGGAGTGTGGCGGTAATTGATGTTGACGACCAGAACTCCAGTGTTGATCGCAATGCGAGAACATATCGCGTCTTCGGAGGACAAGGTGCCGAACAGGAACCCACCGCCGTGGAAGTGCATGTATATTGGGAGGCTTTCACCAGGAGACGTTGAGGATGGACGGTATGTTCGTGCCTCTAACGCATACCCATCGCGAGTCGCGATTGTGTGGTCTTTGATCGAGACCTTGTCCGAAAGTGGTCCCATCTCTCGCCTTGCGACGTCTTCTCTCCCTTTATTCGTGGCGAGCTTCAAGTCTTCCACTGACTGGTCTCCTGCAACTGCCTTGGGCAGTCCGGCCCCAAGCGTTTTCCATTCTTCGCTTGGAATTCCATGCTCGGAGAAATCAGACATTATTTTGCAATTGGCCGGCCTTGTCCTCAGGTTGGCCCGTCTGGAAATTGTCACCTCAAAAAGCAGGTAAGTAGATGCTGGAGTGCCATATGGCGAAGCATATCAGTATCACAAGTACCACATCTCCAAATGGGCTCGCATCCCCACAAGGTTGAGCCTCGGCCTAGTGAGCCTCTCCCTCACGATGTTTGGGGGCAAGCAGGCTAGCAACAGCAACATGTGCAGCGGTTAATTGTCCTCCAGTGTTAGGCAGCCGCAGGACAAATCGCGTGGGGAGCTAGCCTGCAGCATTGCCGAACCGCCCGGCCTCGGGCATTGCGGCGACCTGCCGGAGCTCGTGCCCAGCCTTGTCCGTTATCCTGACCAGCCTTGCATCCCACTCCTTTTTGAGTGTTCCTATTCACTCATCGCCTACCAGCTACGGAAGTGGGATCTCGATGGCCGGGCTCTTGCCGACGGCAAGACTCATCGTGTTAGCACAGGCCGATAGCGCCACAGCTTAGATACCCCATATCAACATTTCTTCACTGGTTATACTCAGCCTTGGCCCGTTTGCAAAAGGGATTCTTGCTCGTCCTTGAAGTGCTCAATCCTTCCAACGAACAGTCTGTCCATGCATGATCGTTGAAAACCTAATTTCTGCGCAAACATGATCTTCAACGCACCAGACTTCCTGCCACCGCTGCCCGAAGTCCCTGACAATGTTCCGCTATGTGATTTCATGTTCGACGAGCAGTACGGCAGACGACCAATATCTCAGTCATTGGATGCGTATACCTGCGGCATCACCGGCAGAAGCATATCTGCGGAGGACCAGAAATCACGAGTCTCTTTCCTAGCGAGATCACTGGCCAACGAACTAGGATGGAAGGTGAACGTGGGCAGCGAGTATGACAAAGTCGTCGGTGTCTTTGCGCACAACACCATCGATATCATGACGGTCAACTGGGCGATCCATCGGGTCAACGGCATTTCGTCACCAGCAAACGCCGTGTACTCTGTCGACGAGCTCAAGTACCAGCTTAGCTACTCAAATTGCAAAGCCTTATTCACTGTCATGTCCCTGTTGCCGGTGGCTCTCGAAGCAGCTGCCAAGTCAGGGTTGCCTAAAAATCGCATCTATATCTGTGAGATGCCAGGAGATGGTTCAGTCCCGGCAGATTACAAAACCATCTCCCAATTGATAAAGGACGGTCAACGACTACCGGACCTGGAACAGATACGGTGGTCCGCGGGACAGGGTGCTCGCCAGACTGCATTTCTGTGCTATTCGAGTGGAACGTCAGGTCTTCCCGTAAGGTTACCCATGGACGATGGCAGGTAAAACACGAAGCTGACCGGAATGCTTAGAAAGCCGTGATGATTTCTCACCACAATGTCATAGCCAACACCATCCAAAGCTGTCTCTTTGAGAAAGGCAGCCGTGATAAGATATCGCCAGATTATCGGGATGTGGCTCTGGGCCTGTTACCACAATCTCATATTTATGGACTGGTCCTCATTGGTCACGCATCAACGTACCGAGGTGACCAAGTGATTGTCCTTCCCAAGTTCGAAACGCAGACCTATCTGAAAGCCATTGCGAAGTACAGGATCAACACATTGTACCTCGTTCCACCGATTATCCTTATGATGGCGAAAAACGAGGAGTTGCTGAACAAGTTTGATCTCGCCTCCGTGCGAGAGATCTATTCCGGAGCAGCACCACTGGCTAGAGAGATCCTTCAGGAGTTGACGAGACGTTATCCCGCGTGGAAGATCCGGCAAGCATATGGCCTCACAGAGTGCTCGCCCCTAGTCACAGCCACGATCTCGGAAGACGTATGGCCGGGTTCCTCAGGGTCTCTCATTCCAGGATGTGCCATCAAGCTTGTCGACGACGATGGGAATGAAGTAACAGGCTATGACGAGGCAGGTGAAGTTCTCGTCAGGTCGCCTGCGGTAGTCTTGGGGTATCTCAAAAACGAAAAGGCGACCAATGAGACCTTCATCGATCTTCCTGACGGTCGATTTTTGCGAACAGGAGACAAAGGGGAAATTCGGATATCCCCAGAGTCCGGTGTTGAGCATTTGTGGATCGTCGATCGCATCAAGGAGCTGATCAAGGTAAAGGTACGTGTCTTGAAGTCGTCCCCCTCCCTTCGAAACACATGCTGATTCTGCTTCATTATCGGTAGGGACACCAAGTTGCTCCTGCTGAATTGGAGGCTTATCTGCTTGACCATCCTGCAGTTGCAGACTGCGCTGTTATCTCTGTGCCGGACGAGGCGGCAGGAGAAGTCCCTAAGGCATTTGTTGTCCTGTCTCCCTCTGCTTCGCTTGGGTCCGACTCGAAAGAGACCATCGCAAGGAGCATCCAGCAATACGTGGAGAAGGGGAAAGCGCGCTACAAATGGATTTCTGGAGGAATCCAATTCGTCGACGTAATCCCGAAATCTGCGTCCGGCAAGATCTTGAGACGATTGCTCCGCGACTCTGAACGTGAGAATAGGAGGGCGGCTGGCGCCAAAATATGAGTTGGAGCTGTCAGGCGCCAAGATCAGTGCTCGTTGAAGATTCCTCCAACGGTCAAGACGCAATGTATGGAATTTCAGAACAAGTTCTTGTCATTCCAACTGTCGAACCCTTCGAAGACATCCTGGAAATTCAGCAGCGAGGTGTCGAAAAAGTTGTCGAATGGAAAGACCTGCATACTTTGCTGCGCAAGAAGCTTGTCGGCTACTGGGCTGGTCTGCGCTGAGACGAACGGAAAGTAATCCAGCCAATCGACCCCGTTGTGCATATTAGTGTCCACCGAATTCAAATTCTGACCAGCGGCATCATTGTTGGTCAGACTGGCCAGGAAGTCGTCCGACTGCGAGGATTTGGCGTTGGCACGAAGACGTTCAAAGCCTTGGTCGAAGACGTTTGCGGTGCCCCACATCGTCTTGAGTTGCTTGATCGCGAGCGTCAAGATGTCGAGATCGGCATCAGCACCTGGCTTCAACTCCTCGTTGGCCGAAGCTTGCAGAAGAGCGATGAATGCCATTCCCGAATACCAACAAGAGATCGCCATCAGGTACCTTGTTCCACCCCGTACCAAGATGTCCTTCATGATCCGTGCAAGACAAGTGGCAGCCAAGATGGACGGAGGTAAAGCATGTGGCAGCGACGATTGCGGAGACCTCTTCAGATACAAAACAATGATGATCGTGAGGTAAGGAAGGTGCAGTTGATGTGCGTCGCGGTTGAAGTTTGCAGTATAGCTCGCGCCTATAGGCAGCTGCAGATGAGGCGGAAGAGATCGAACCCACTCAATAAGCTCTTTGCCCAGGTGAGCGGGAAACGAGTTAGAAGAAGAATCGGAAGAGGTTTTGGACAAGTACTTGGCGACTCGCCCTATGATGGCGCAGAGACGGACCCAGTAGATGAAAACTTCGGCCTTGCTTTTGTCTGCAAGGTCTGGAGGAAAGTCGTCCAGGCTCGGCTCAGGGATATTGCAATCTTCTGGATCAATGATGCAAGGCTTGCCCTGGCAGATTGATGTAAGACGTTCTCGAGCGAAAGCAGTCCACCAAATTCGGCGTCGTATGCCCAGGTTTCGCTGTGGATCTGTGGTGTCGGACTCGGACTCATGGGAAAATCCTGCTTGCTGGCAGTGTCGGATGACCACTGAAGTCCACCACCAGGAGGAATGTCTGTGAACCATAGACGGAGGTCGCGGGGCCCACCAGTAGAACAACAAGACTGCCTTGAGATTTGTGATGAGATCCGCTTCCTCATCATCGTAGAACCTCCTTCTAGCTCGGTCATAATACGATTCAGGACCTGCATGAGGAATCATCGGCGGCTGGACGTGACTGCCGACAAGTGCCAGAGCATTATCAAGCAGCGGCGACTGTGCCAGGTCGCTTGCCAGAGACGACTTATCAAGGACGGGACACCAGGGATAGCAGTACTCAAAGTATGTCTCGGTGAAACTTTGCTGCAAGTCTGGCTGAGATACGTCCAGGAAGTTTGGCTGCTTTTTACTCGAAATGACTTGATTTCTGGCATCACTCTCGTTTTCAGGGCCGTAAACGTGCAAAAAGCCTGGGTCAACAGGATAGCGATCGGAACGCGTGCTTGGTGAAATGTCGTTGACAGATATCAATGCTGCTTGTGAGGGCATTCGATGCGGATTCTGCAACATAGATCCGCCGTTGGTAGAAGGGCGAGGAAGAAGGGCTTCCTGCTGTGGCGCCATCACTCCGGCGTTCGTGGTCAGGGCCGATGAGTCTATGTCGAGAAGCTCTGGGCTCCCAGCTGGAAGCACTGGGTCCAAAATATTGCTGCTGGTAGCCGACCTATCGCCGGGAGGTGTCAGGGGATGAGTCCTGCCGCCATCGGTCCCCTGTCGAATTTTGTCGCGTTTTGGTTGACGAACGCTGACGAGGTTCAAACATGAAGTGCGCAAATGAAGGACACCACTCACTGACAGTCTTTGGCCGACAAAGCGCAGTTCGTGCAGGTGTTATGACCCTGGGTGCTTCGTGTTTGGAGGTCACATCTTATCTGAGCGGATTGCGGTCAGTCTCAGCTTCTTCGATATTGGCTCATGTCACACCTTTTTCGAATGGCACACTTCACAGGCAAGAGCAGCTCGTTTTCGTTTTTGGCGCTGAGCGGAATAGTCGAACCACGCCGGGTTGGACATGATGACAATCACACGTAGCACATAGAACGGCAAATACGTGTGAAGTTGAGATAGAATACGAAGATTCAATGAAAGGCGTCATGGACTACGAATTGCTTGTCCGGAGTAATCCGTGCGATTTCTCTAAACATCAAGGTGAGAGTCGTAGAGGTGCGGGGTGGTTTACGTGGGGATCAAGCGCCTAACTAGGTGACCTAGAACATTTCGTAGAACCCCTAAATGGAGCACCTGGGGGTGACGCCTCCTAAGCCTCCCCTCAGGGCTCAATACCTACCCAACTAAGGAGCAGAATATCACTGCTGATCACATGAACAATCACTACGTAGGAGTTCCACAATCGTGGCCGGACTCTCTCCCTTTTTCACATTGCTGCGATCCGATTTCATGGCTTCGCACTTTTAAGTTGAGTGCAGATACCATCTCTTCAATTTTCTATGGAGACAGTGAGAAGAGTTCAACTTGGCCCAAGAGCTAAGAGAGACCCCAACATTGCCGGCACTGCTTCTTGCCGGACCCAAAGCACTACGAAACGGCACAGACGGCACATACAGACACGATGCCGGTCAGGATTACAGCCGGTAAGTTGAAATCAATACATCTCGGTTCGGCTGCGGCACCACGGCATTTCAAAAGTGGTAATCCGAAGCACATTAACCTTCTTCCGAGGTATGTTCTGCATTGGAGCTGGCCAGACATGGCCACCGGCAACCTCTGACCTGGGATGCCCACGAACCTCGCTCGAACCAACCTGACATGGCTGCGTTGGCCCCTCGGGAAGCTTTCGTGAGCTGTCGCGATCGTCCCTGGACTGACACTCCACACTCGGAGAATGGCCCGCTAAGACGATTCCAATATTGCCATTCATAAACTGGACTCTGTCTGAAAACCTAGAAGAGACCTTGATGGACACTTTGATCACTGATTCTTGATCACATTGGAAGACTTCTCCTGAATTGGGTTGTGGTAGCAGGGTCAACGGACATTGATATTCTTCCCTTTCCAACCTCGTCTTCGACATCCTCAACACCGTCAAAATGGCTCCCTACCTCGGAAACACCGGTGAGTTGGCACCGCCGGTCGTTGACGGAGAGGTCCCAGATGTTCCAAAAGAGCAGACTATCCCACTGCCCAAAACTGTGCCCCAGACGACCACTACAAATGGTCATTCGAGCATCGAAGGCGGCGCAAAGACGTCAGCACACGACTTCTCGCACCATGCGATCCCCATGAATCCTCAGTATGCATATACGCCACGAAAAATCCGGGTTTGCACCATTGGTGCTGGATTCTCTGGTCTACTCATGGCGCATAAATTTCAACACCGCTTTTCGGAACTTCAGGAGATTATCGACCATAAAATCTTTGAAGCCCGAGCAGATATTGGCGGAACTTGGTTCGTCAACACGTATCCAGGAGTCCAATGCGACGTACCAGCTCACATATACGTAAGTCCACGCCCAACTTTGTCAAAAAAATGACCTAACTCTCTCAGGCTTTCCCATTTGACCCCAATCCAGATTGGACAAGGTTTTTCTCAAGTGGTGCTGAGATCCAGGATTATATCAAACGCACTGCGAAGAAATGGGACCTCGAACGTGATGTGTACCTCAACACAAGAGTCGTTGCTGCCACATGGCAGGAGGACTCGGGTGTGTGGAAGGTCACTGTTGAGCATGAAGGCCAACAACGAGACGAATACTGCGAGATCTTGATCTCCGGTCAGGGTGTTCTGGTGAACCCATCGTGGCCCAAGGTCCCAGGCCTTTCCAATTTCAAAGGACATGTCACTCACTCCGCCAACTGGGACCATGACTACGACTATTCAAACAAGAGGATTGCTGTCATTGGCAATGGCTCATCCGGCATTCAAATTGTTCCTCAAATGGCCAAGCTACCAGGCAACACTGTGAAAAATTTCGCCAGAGGCCCCGCCTGGGTCTACTACCGAGTTCCCCCTTCAAAGCATTTGGGGAGAGAGGTCGACGACGTTAATCCCACTTACTTCGAAGAGGAGAAGCAGAGATTCCGGAACCCAGAGCAGCACAAAGATTACCGCAAAAGCATCATTTCGCGAACAAACAAAGCGTTCCGTCTTTTCATCAAAGGAGAACAAAACACCGAGGTCATGCGGCTTGCATCAGAGCAGATGGCCGAGAAGCTCAATCACGATCCTGTCTTATGCGAACAATTGATCCCCAAGTGGGAGCTAGGCTGTCGTCGCGTCACACCAGGTCCTGGATACCTTGAATCCTTTACGCAGCCCAATTGCAGCCTCACGACGAGCCCTATCACCAAGGTCACTGAGAAGGGCGTTCTCACTGCCGATGGCCAGGAATTTGAATGCGATGTCGTTATTTGTGCAACAGGATTTGACGTCTCCCATCGTCCTCAATATCCCCTGATCGGACTAAACGGCGCAAATCTCAGAGAGCGGTGGGCTGACGAGCCGGAATCGTACCTTTCGATCGCCACCAACGACTTTCCCAACTACTTCATGATGATGGGACCCAACTGCTTAGGTGGTCACGGATCATTGGTCGAGTCTCTCAACTGGACCGGCGACTACTTCGTCAAGATGATTAAGAAGATAGCCACCGAGGACATCAAGTATGTCGTCCCCAAGGTCTCAGCTGTTGATGCTTTCGTCAAGTATGGTGATGAGATCCACAAGACGCTGGTCTGGACTGGTTCGTGCAGTAGCTGGTACAAACGTGGCCGGGTCAATGGACGAGTCACTGCCTTGTTCGCTGGTGGTGCCGTTTTGTTCAACCGACTCATCAGCGAGATCCGTGGCGAAGATTACGACATTGTCTACAACAGCGGCAACCCCTTCAAATTCATGGGCAATGGCTTCACTGAATGGGAGATGCAGGAAGGCGTCGATCTGGCATGGTACGTTGAGGCGGCTGAGCCGGACCCGATTACCAAGAAAACGCGGCGCATGATGGATGATTGTGCTTTGGGTGGATGTTAAGACAATTTTACGGGCAGGGAGCATTGCTTAGGTGTTAGGACTCAGCAGAGAATCTGGTAGCCCACTGACTCGGTCAGGGGTGCTACCCAAGTTCAGTATGGATATTATGTGTACAAAGATTTCAAGGCGGTAGTGAGCAACCTTCACACTTGCCACATTCTAACATGCGCAAAATCCTCAGGGTTTAATGGAGTGCTTCACGACGTGCAGTGTTCCAGACTGGCCGGCTCGGGATTTCTGACAGTGCGAGTGTCTCTGTCTCTCTCAGCAAAGCATGCTCTCCATAAGGTAGGAGAAGCACGATCCTTAGCCGGCGAATGCTGGAGAGCCCACCCCGTGCCAGATTCCCGCCCAGATTATACCGGCCGCGCGTCTCGGTAGGTATGAAGATTCCTCACAGAGAAGAGCAACCGACCCCGGTATCGTCTCCTTCAAAAGGGAGGCTCGCGTAGGGGTAGCGGCTGGGGTTGAGGAGAAGACTGGCTCCAGAATCGGGCCCAAGGTATATACTTGATTGGCCGAACAGACAGGAGCCATTGATTTCATTTGGTTTCTCCAGAGTCGGGACCACCGGTGTACCAATCGGCAGCCTAAAACGTGGTCGGGTAGTCACTTTCTATCGGCTGACCAAACTCGGCCTAGTGAATTCATCTCCACGGGGAATACCTGTACTCCGTAGTAAGTGTGGAAAATCCTTCATAAGACCATCATGGTCCCCTCCCTGGGAGCATGGATATATCAGGCCACAAGAGCTGAGAGAACATCAGATCTTTTGCCAGAAATATCATTACCCCAGACACAAGTGGGCTCGCAGCTTAACAAGTCAAGATGCATCTCCCATCTGCTTATAATATATTGGTATGCAAGGCTCCCAGAGTCGTCTCTCATGCATATGCTGGCCACATGAGACTAATGGTGCTACGCAGATCTCGCTCACCGCTGCCCTGGGCAGTTTGACCTACGGATATGCGGCAGCAGTACTTGGGAATGTAAGTGCACCTGCTTACCTTGCAAGAACGCATCGCGTCGATAAGACCAGCGAAGGCTGATATGCTTTGGTGCAACCAGACGCTTGAAAAGGCTCCTTTCTATGCCTACATGAAGCTCGACCCCGAGGGTGCAGGATTGGCCCATGCGGACACCATCATCGCCGTGTGGAACACAATTCTCTACGCTGGCGGCATCGTTGCCTGCATGGCCTGCCCCATAATTGGAGACCGTTATGGTCGTAAAAAGGTCATCGGCCTAGGTGCCGTGACGTCCGTCATTGGTGCGGCGTTGCAGGCTGGGAGTGTCAATCCCGCCATGATGATCGTTGCGAGACTCGTGGTCGGAGCTGGCATGGGTATTCTCCTGGCAACAGTCCCTCTCTACCAGGCTGAGATCGCGCCTCCCTCCAACCGCGGTTTCATCGTCGGAATCCATGGTATGTTTTGATGAAGACAACCTTGTTGACCATGAGCTGTCACTGACCGTCAACAGCTTCACTGATCGGGTTCGGTTCAATGATATCCAACTGGATTGGTGTCGCTTTCTACTATGTTCCTGGCTCGGTAAGTGAGGCGGCAGCCATGTGTCGTTGTCTTACTCGAGCCCTGGTCGCTGACTTGAACAGGCCGGCTGGCGTGTCCCGTTGGCTCTCCAAGTGATTTTCCCTCTTGTTTTGTCCTGTGTGATCTTCTTCATCCCCGAGAGCCCGCGATGGCTTTACATGCACGATCGTGCAGATGAGGCTGAGAAGGTCCTGATCGCCCTCCACAAGCGCGCGGATGACCCAACCCACGCTTTCGCTCGAACAGAGATCCAGATCATCAGGAGCCAGATCGACTATGAGAGGGCAAACCGTTTGCCCGTGCTCGAGGCGTTCAAGAAGCGATCCCTTCAAAAGAGGTTCGCGCTCGGCTTCCTGGCCATGTGGGACACTCAGTGCAGTGGTTTGATCGTCGTGCTGGGTGAGTACTTATAGCATCACCCTCTGCGTCTGGTAGCTCACATCTTCTAGCATACCAAGCCACCATCTATGAATCTCTCGGCTATACTCCATTCATGGCCGGTATCCTAGGATCTGTCTGGTGCGTTTTGAATGGAACTGGCAACTTCCTTGGTGGTGTCATTGGCGACTATGTCGGCCGGAAGAGGCAAATCGGTAAGCTCGACACCACGATAATGACATTGATGAGGCTAATTTGCTCCAGCAACCGGCCTTGCAATGCTCCTGGTCCTGTTAGTCTTGCTTTGCGTTACCACGAAGCTGTACGCCGGCACGGATAACAAAGCTGGAAAGACTGCCGCCGCCGTCTTCACTTTCCTTATGATCGCAGTGTACGTTTTCTGTCCACGAACCGATCCATCTCATGCTGATATATCGAAATAGCTACGCCACTGGCGTTGACTGCCCGTCGTTGGTGTACAGCTCTGAGCTCTACCCAGGAGAATGGCGCGCCGTGGGAGTTGCCACTTCTCTCTCAGCTGTCCTGTGGGGTTGCCTTATCTTCACCGCCGCGGCTCCGGCAGCATTGACCAACATCGGTGCGCTGTACTATGTTGTCTTCATCGTCCTTACCTTTTTCCAACTTCTGCTCGTCATTTTCTTCTTCCCAGATGTAAGTGGCCCTGTCAACCATTCCGGCGCACTCGTGAACGATGCTGACTATTACCTAGACCAAGGGCTTCACCCTCGAGCAAATGTCTGCAGTCTTTGGCGATGCAGTCGTGGACATGCATGGCAACGTCGAGAAGGCCGAGGACTTCATGAAGGAAGATCACGACGTCGATCACATGGAAATGAGCGAAGACATCAGGATAGAGCAGGAATCACAGCAGAAGGTGTGAGACAGTGTCAAGCTTGCAAGGTCCGAAGCGACGATCAAAAACAAACCACTCCCACTGGGTAGAAGCATGGTCTTGCGGTCAATGTGTGAATAGACCAGACTCATCAACAACGTGTCATGCTGAACGTTATGATAATTCAATCTTCTTCTTCCAGAACCGTATTCTGTCTCAAATAGTCGAACGTCGAACCGCATGTAGTCGTAGGATATGCAATCGTCCCTATGTAGTTAAAGCGTGGTGATGATGTAATCCTCGGCGCAGCCTCGTCGGTCGCCGCCAGCCTTGCGCTGCATGGCCATTTCAGTATTGAGCATGCGCCTCCTAAACAAACCACTGTTCATACGCGATGCACGATAGGATAGCATGCTTCCATCGTTGTCATGGCTGACCAGAATCACGCGATCAGCACAATGTCTCCTACGACCTCAAGTTCGTCGGCGGACACTGGCAAGTGTTGTCAACTCCCCTTCGCCAGTGGTTCGTGAAGAGGCTATACGCCTCCGGGAGTACCAAGAAGAATGCATACAATCTGTGCTATCATACCTGCGCAAGGGACATAAGCGCCTGGGTATCTCCCTTGCCACAGGAAGTGGGAAGACGGTATGCGCCATACCTCAACATCATCCTCCAAGCCTCTGACTGTGACCAGGTCATATTCACCCAACTAATTGATCGCATCGAGCCGCCCACCCCGTTTGCGCAGCAGACCCTCATCCTCGCCCACCGGCGAGAACTGGTCGAGCAGGCGGCCCGCCACTGCGAAAGAGCGTACCCGGGAAAGAGCATAGAAATTGAGATGGGCGAAACACACGCTACAGGAGCCGCGGACATCACGATCGCATCAGTCCGCAGCATGGTCTCCGGGGACCGCCTGAGCAAATATCGCCCAGACAGATTCAAGCTCGTCCTCGTTGACGAAGCCCACCACATCGTCGCGCCAGGGTACTTGCAGGTGCTAGCGCACTTCGGTCTGGAAGAGAAGAAGGACACCAGTCCCGCACTGGTCGGCGTCTCTGCGACATTCTCGCGATTCGACGGTTTGCGGCTGGGCGCCGCGATCGACCACATCGTCTACCACAGGGATTACGTCGACATGATTGGCGAAAAGTGGTTGTCCGACGTGATGTTCACAACGGTCAAGTCCAAGGCCGACCTCTCCCGCGTCAAATCCGGCAGGGACGGCGACTTCCAGACAGGCCAGCTCTCAGACGCAGTCAACACAGAAATTACCAACGACATCACGGTCAAGGCATGGCTCTCTGAAGCCGCCGACAGGAAATCAACACTGGTATTCTGCGTAGATATCGCGCATGTCACAAGCCTGACGTCTACATTTCGCAAACACGGCATCGACGCACACTACATCACTGGCGCGACGAAGAAGAATGTACGCGCCGAGCGTCTCGAGGCGTTCAAGAACCGCGAGTACCCCGTACTGCTCAATTGCGGTGTTTTCACAGAGGGTACCGATATGCCTAGTATCGACTGCGTGCTGCTGGCACGACCGACGAAATCCCGCAACCTGCTCGTCCAGATGATCGGTCGGGGCATGCGTCTCTACCCAGGCAAGACAGACTGCCATGTCATCGACATGGTCGCGTCGCTTGAGACAGGGATAGTCACAGTGCCGACCCTCTTCGGCCTCGATCCATCTGAGATGGTTCAATCCGCTAAAATGAACGACATGAAGGACCTGAAAGAGAAACGGGAACGTGAGCCAGACACTGCTCCAGCATCTCAAGTCACAGGAGCGGTGAATGCAGCGGCCCTAGGTGACCACCGTCTCGACTTCACTCACTACGAAACAGTTCAAGATCTGATCGAAGACACTTCAGGCGAGCGGCACGTGCGCGCCATGTCGCCTAACGCCTGGGTCCAAGTCGATTCGCACAAGTACATCCTTGCAGCGAGGGGCGGGATTCTTACGCTCGAGCGCCGCTCACCCACTGCCTCCAGCTCATCAGAGAAGTCCAGTCCAAGTCATGTAGTCATATGGAAACATAGCATCCCCATGACCGAAGCGAGTAAATCCCCCTGGTCACGTCCGCGGACCGTTGTAACTGCGTCGACACTCTCCGACGCCCTCCACGCCGCAGATACATTCGCCAGCACCAAATTCGAGCGCATTTTCATCGCGACCAGCTCACCCTGGCGAAGGGGTCCCGCGTCAGAAGGACAGTTACAATTCCTCAATCGTCTGCGCGGGGTGACTGACGATGATGCACCGCCACTGACGGGAGAGGATATCACGAAGGGTCAGGCTGGAGATATGATCACGAAGATCAAGTTTGGGGCGAGAGGACGCTTTGAGAAGCTGCAGATGAAGAGGAGGAAAAGTGACAAGGAAGTCGAGAAGGGACGGAGACTCAAAGAGATGAGGGATCGCGAGACAGTTCAGGTCGGGCCCTTAGAGGCATGACCTCGGATTCAGATTCACTTCTCTATGCACGAGATTTGAACAATTTAGCGTATCTGCAATCAAGGACTCGCTGTGAGATGTTAGATAGTACATCAATAAAACTGCTCTCCTCCCTACTCGACTAACAATATGTTTGGCGCCCGCCTCATTCCAGCTTGCTTTGCTATCAGAAACAACCTAATTCAGTCCAAGATATCTACATCTGCCACATGCGATCATTTATAGGTGGTCAATGATAGCCTGTGCGTATTCGTGTGTCTTGGCCTTGCCGCCCAAATCACCCGTCAAAGCCTTGCCCTCGGCGAGCGCGGAAAAGATGGCGTTCTCGATCTTGTTCGCGTGGTCATTCAAGCTCATGTGACGCAACATCATGATACTGCTGAGAAGCAGGGCCGTAGGGTTGGCGAGACCCTTGCCTGCAATATCGGGAGCTGAACCGTGAACGGCCTCGAAAATGGAGCACTCGTCACCAATGTTGCCGGAAGGTGTAAGACCCAGACCACCGATCAATCCAGCGCACATATCGGAAAGAATGTCACCGTACAAGTTGGGCATGACCAGGACTTTGTCGGAGTATGGGCCTGGGTCGGTGGTGATCTTCAAGCAAGCGTTGTCCAGCAGCTCAACATCGAACTCGATATCAGGGAAGTCCTTTGCAACATCTCTTGCTGTACTAAGGAAGAGACCGTCGGACATTTTCATGATGGTTGCTTTGTGGACAACTCGGACCTTCTTCTTGTTGATATCACGAGCGTATTGGAACGCATATCTCAAAACTCGTTCCGAAGCAACACGGGTGATAAGCTTGATGGACTGCACCACACCGTCCACGACGACGTGCTCGATACCACTGTATTCTCCTTCGGTGTTTTCTCGAATCAGAACCGTGTCCACATTGTCGTAGGCGGTCTTGTAGCCCTCGATACTTCGGCAGGGACGGACGTTGGCGAAGAGGTTGAATGTTCGACGGAGGGTAAGGTTGAGGGAGACATGGCCCTTGCCGATTGGAGTTGCGAGAGGTCCCTTCAATGCGACATAGTTCTTTTCCACCGATTTAATAGCTTCATCTGGAATGGTGGTCTTGCCGTCCACCAAGCGAGGTGTGACGTCTACGGGCTCCCAAACAATAGGGACGCCGGCAGCTTTGTAGATATCCTTGACGGACTGTGAGATCTCGGGACCGATACCGTCTCCTTCTATTAATGTGACTGTGAAGTTGCCATCTGAACCTTTTGTACCCTTGAATTTGGCGACTTTATCCTCCTCCTTTGTGACTATAGATCGTCTAGGTTGGAACTGGGTCGGATATCAGTATACAGATCTGCAGGAAGCTTCACCAGGTTGCGGGCAGCGTACCTGGAAAGTCGCAGCAGCCCATGGCTTTTGTTGGCAAGCCCTTCGCAAGGACTGACGAGCTGGAGCCGCGAACAGTCTGGATGCAATCATGTTGGGCGGGTTTTACTGTAACGGCTGCGTGGGGGAGCAGACAATGTTCACTGCAGACTCCTGGTCACAGTACCCAGCATTGAACGAGTGGCTGGTACAAAGTGAAGCTGTGGGGGTTGAGGGCGCAGGTGGTGAAGCTGTTCAAGCAGCAATGCTTTTTTATCTGCGGAATTGCATCACATCCATCAAGCTTCAGATTCACGGCACCTGCAGCATGCGCTCATCGGCGAATGATCGGCTAAATTGAGCGACCATGCACGTGACTGCCGGAAATGTCTTGGCGTCTGAGACCTCCAGGTTCGGATGCCCCTGTAAACATCGGCTGACATACATATATCTAGGTACCCTCTGTCATATACAGCAGACGAACCAACGGAGATATGGAATGAGACCCTGTTGCATCGTCGTTTCTCCGCGGCAAATCAATCGACACAATGGGTGATCAAGAAAGGACCATCATCACTCATTACAACCTACCAACCGCGTTTCCAAAGGAATGGCCCAAGGAGCTAGATGAGAGTGACGACGACGATCTGCCGGATGCAGTCGGTGTCAGGCGCTCTAGATCGCGCTACTCAGCCTTGGAAAGGAGTGCGAGCGAACGAAAGAGTCTGCTTCCTGGTTCCCAACAGACTAGAGATGGCCGAGCGAACCTCGTCCAAAAAGACGAACCTGACCCCTTGGGAGCATATCCCAGTGTGGTCACTGTGTTGAGAAACTACAACATCCCTGCCGAGGATGCTCGTGCCCGGAACAGATTCATGCTGTCCTCCACCACCTTTTCTCCAGGCATGTTTTTGTCCTTGACTCATCGTGAAGCATCAACAGAAGATCTACTCCGTGGACTAGAATACCTGTCCAGATCCATCGATCAAAAGTCGGCTTCTTTGAAATCATTGGTTGAAACCAACTTCGAACGCTTTGTCCGAGCTAAGGCCACAATCGACAATGTATACACCGAGATGCGGAATCAAGGCGTGAACGAACCTGCTGCCGCGCCTGCAGCTGCATCGCCTCGACATTCACGCCGCACCAGCGGCATGCATTTCCGCAATGTCAGTAGCGGGAGTGCTGCTGGGTTGACGACACCAGCGCCGCCACCTCCAAGCAAAAATGCCCTTCGAAAGGAGACGGATTATGGCGTGCAAGGGATCAAAGCACCACTCTTGGAGGTCTCGCAAAAGGCTGAGGACGTCTGGGGTCCGGCTCTTGGTGGCAAAGAGCGTGAGGCCAACTTGAAAGCCATCGCCGAAGCCATTGCGAAGAATCGCGCATTATACGAGCTGGGCTCGAATCTGAGTTATGCGATTCGACAGAAAGACTATGATAGGGTTTTGGAGCTCTATGATGCTGCTCGACAATATGTGTCCGAAGCCAAGGAACTCAGCGAGAGTGTAGCACAGTACGGTCGCACGCTCTCGGACGATCAGGTCCACAGAATCCTGGCGATTGGGCGGATGTGGCACGATGCAGAAGAGCAAGCCAAGAGTCTGAAAAGGGATCTTTGGCGCCGATTGTCCAACGTTTCAGCCGCAATGCCACTTCCAGGAGCGTCCCAAGCAGAGGAACACATCGAACTCATTCGTGTGCTATTACATCTTGGTGTTGAGGAGAGCCCAATCTGGATCTTCCTTCTGGAACGGTACGACTATCTGAAAAATAAAATCGCGGCGGTGGTCGAAAGATCGAAAATTGAGATTGAGATCCTGCGTCGTCGACTTGCAGCCGGAGAGGCATCATCGTCTGAGACGGTCGCTGCATTCCTCCGACAAGCGTCCAAAGACCGCCCAGATGCTCTTGATAGCGAGGACGTCGTTGACTTCTGGAACTGCATTGTGACCTATTTGACAAAATTGCTTTCTCTCTCAAATGGACTGCTGGGCGAAGTCGTTGATTTCTGGGAGTCCGCCCAGTCCTTCATTGATGGTAGCAAACAGAAAACACTGCCATTGGGCTGGGAAGGCGAGAGCAGCAAACACCATCAGCTGGGCGAGTCTGAGGCCAATGACCTGCGTAAGGGGCTGGGCGAATTAGTCGCCCGTCTCAGAGATGCTGTGTTCTCTCTCTTCGCCGATCCTCCAACCGATGATATCTCCTCACTCTTCTCGCCACTCCCTGATTCTGCCGGTACTCCTGCAACTCCTCTCACAGCCGCTGCTTTCTCCCCGACAGACGGCCGCATCGGCAGATTGGATCCACAACAGTTGCCTGCAGCAGCCGCGAAAAAGGGTGAAGCCTGGGAAGACTTCGCTTTCTGGCCGCCACGATCCAACGCCCTCAGTGCTGTGCATTACCTCGAAAAGATCCTTGCCCTTGTCGGAGCAGCTGCCAGTGAGATGGTAGCTCTGGGTCCGGTGAGCAACAACAATGCGGTCTATGACAAGATCAAAGTCATGGTCAGTGGAGCTCGCGAAAGGTGCATGCGTGCGGTCTGTGAATCATGGAATAAGGATGCTGAAAGTTGCAAATCCCTCGAAGACTGGATCAGAACTCCGGAGAAAAGAGACCAGACACGTATGCCCATGTACTTTGAAGCATACGAGCGAAAAGTCTTGTTGGGAATGCAGCAAGTCTTGTACTTCTCGAACACGAACACCAAACCAGGAAGCCGAGAAATCATCACTCCACCGTCTTCCAAGCTTCTGCAGATGGTCCGCACACAGTTTGTCAGCAGTGTGTACAAAGCCGTCAGCGGCATGCTTGAAAATGCAGAAACATCGACACAAGGTGAGAACAATGATTGGGTCATCGTCACAAGTCTTGATTCCGTGGCCGAGGGTGCCGCACCAAGTGAGATGATAATGCAAGACGCAATCAATCCATCAAGCCGGAATACCAAGATGCTCTTGACGATGTCGAATCTCAAAGCACTGCGCAACGAGCATGTGCCGTCTCTCATCCAGCTTTTCGAGTCGTCCTTTTCCGTGAAGCTAGCGGAAGAGTCCAAGACGATCAGAGATGTCTTCGGCCAGATCGACGCGAAGCTTTTCCAATCATACACGCGGCCAATGGTTGCAACATTAGCCAAGATCATCAAAGACGGCATCAATGCGCCTGACTGGGCCCCGACTACAAGCCGACCAGATCAAGTCAGACCATATGTCTACGCTGCGTTGATGACTCTGGTCATGGTTCATACGGAAGTCTCTACAACCGTATCGAGTGCAGGTGGGAGCAGTCCTCTCCTGAGCGAGGTCCTGTCGTACCTACTAGAGAACATGTCCCAGGCTCTTCTGGATGGCTTTAAAGAGCGCAAGCCAAACACATACACCTTGCCAGCCCTGATGCAAGCCACCCTTGACACAGAGTTCATTGCGCAGACGATGACACACTATGCGACGGCCAAGGCTGGGGAGATTCAAGGACAGATTTACACCGAATTGGACAAGCGCACCACCAACGAAGCTAGGACAAGGCTGCAACAGGAACTGGGTGACATGAGAATCGTGTTGAAGAAACTTCGCGAAGGCAGCAGGAATAGCTTTTCTTGTTTTAAGCGACAGCGGACATCTGAGAAGGATAGAAGTGGTCGGCCAGAGCGGAAAGCCACTGGCACATGAATCGTCCATGAACACGAAGGGCCTAGATGAGCAATACCAATTTATTTCCGGCGTCCTCTTCTTCCTCTGCCCCTCCGTCCTCCCCGACCACCCCTCGCGGATGGTGTCTTCTTTTCTTCCTCTTCCTCTTCCTCGGGCTGCTCATCACTCTCTTCTTCCTCTTCCGTCTCCCGGTTTTCGTGCTCATCTGCTGCGTCATCGTGGTCTTCCTCGCCCGCATCTTCCATGACTTGATCCTCGTCCACCTCCGCCACACTATTCGCCTTACTTGTCCTCCTACTGCCTTTAGACTCCGTCTCGACCTCGTTCTGAAGTTGCGAAACTCGGCCGCTGCGCCTAGAGACTCTGCCTGGTCTGCTCGATTTGACCGATCCTGGGACAGGCGACGACCGGGGCTCATCCGTGTCTGCCACCGTGCTTTCTCTCCTAGACCAGTCTGGACTTTGCGTGCCATCTGGTGCCAGGCGTTTCTGCCACATCAGTTCCTCAAAGTCTTCGCGCGGAAGCTCAAAGTCTCGGAAAGTGTCGTCCCCGGCGTCAATGATTGAATCTTCTCGCTCGTCTAGCTTGGCTAGGTCGTATAGTGATTCGAGTTTCTTCCATATCTCTGTGGATGTCGTGCGAGGATCATCCGGCCCGATGATACCTTGAGCAAGTAGATGTTCTCTGATTGCGATCATGCGGAAGTGTTTGTGGAGGCCCACTGGTTTCCAGCGGACGATAGCTTGGAGTAGTGCTGATTCTTGGTCGTCGGTCCATTGCGAAAGGTCCGTTTTGGATTCGTCCACCTCTGTGGTGGTAGCCATGGCTTGATGATCCCTCGGTTGCTGACCAGATCTCGTCAAGCGTGGTGTCCAGGTCCGATAATCGTATGTGGTCCTATCTCAGATCGCCGTGTTCTGAACCGAACCAAATCCAGCACCTGCCGTGTGCAATGGCGTTGACCGACAACAGTGTCAACCCAGATTTCGTTGTTCCTGTTATACACTGACAACTCTTCTGCCTCATATCACAAAATGCTTCTCGGATGTCGATTGCTCGTCTCGAATCCTGAGGCCATCAAAAAGTCGCGGTTAAGTTGCCTGTTTCGGGTGGCTGTTAGGTATTGAACTCAACGCGCGATGCGATCATCGGCGCGTCGAAAAAATAAACACCAGCGTTGACATTTGCGTACCTTCCACGTCCGTAGCGGACTGACTATTAGAAACCGAGGCCGCGCAAAATGACACGCTGCGAGCGATCATCATGCTCCAGAAATCTACGCAATGTCATATTCCATCTTTGACGACCCCTTTCTAAGCGATGCGATCACGAACTTCCCATCACTCAGACTTGAACCCAGCATAACATGGGACGGCTTCCGCTTCAATAGCAGCCTCGAAAGCGGACTCTTCCGGCTGGATCAAACCGAGCAAAAGACATTGTCCGGTCTTGACACAGAAATTCTACATCTCAATCTCGAGGATGTCCCTCTGCCAGATCTCTCGGCCTCGGCCTCGATCACCGATTCTGATGTCGAGAACGAACCTCAGGATGGTTCAAAAGAGGAGAGTGGCCAGGACGAGGCTGCCAACATCTGGAAGTTGCCTGAGGTATTCCAGAAGAAACCTCAAACCGAATTGATAACCTGGGACACATTCTTGGACGAACGCCATTCGGAGCCGGTGTCAGGCTATGTCAGCGAAGCAGGCGCGAGAACATATCATGCTATCTTCCAGGTTGCAGGGGAGAATGTATCGACACGGTCAGTAAAGACTGATGCGCTCCTCAGCGCGCTTTTCGAGATGGCCATGGGAAGAAGCTCTGCAGTCTTTGTCTGGACTGAAAAAGAGAAAAGGTTCACAAAACACTTAACACAAATGGTGGCGGAAGATTATAGCGCGAGTATTCTTGAGGCCTTATTCGAGACCATCGCAAGAGTTGGCATAACTACCAAACTCCTGACTGAGCGAATCGAAATCTCAATCGACCACTTCTCCCCATCGAGGGTAGCCTTCTTCGGCGCCGCGAAGGCAGCCCTGTACACAATCCACAAGTACCTTGAGTCTTATAGACAACAGGTACTGTCATTGCTGCAATTAAAGGTCTTGATGGGAAAGATTGGAAAATTGGTTACCACAATGGGAGAATGTACTGAGACTGTCCGGTCTTGCAACACTGACAAGGCTATTATCTCTGTTTTGATGGCCAAGGCTGCAGATGTATCTATCAGACATCCTGGTGTCGGCAAAGTCATGCAAGCTATCTTCGGAAGGGTGTGTCGACCTCTGCTCGAACAGCTGAGTGAGGATATCGGTCTCAGTCCCTTACGAGATAGCGACTTATCTTCCGATATTGCTTCGGAAGCTCAGCCGTTTGTGGATGGACTTTTGAACCGAGACCATTCAGCAACAATCCTAGAAACGCAGCAGAGCTTGACATTACTGAGGTCACAAGCTTCTCAATGCCCTCTCCTGTTACCTTTGGTAGGCGACCGGACAAATACAACAACTCTCGAGCTTGGGTACACCTTTCATACCATCTCAGAACTTCAAAATCGAGCCAGTTCATACGAGACCGCGAGGGAATCACTGCTTGTCGCGGGAGCAAGGTCGGGTCCCGCCGTCCCAGGCACTATGCCGACCGTTCGAAATTTCAATGCGGACGACCCTGATGTTGAAGAAGCAAGGTATGGAGATCCGTTTCATCTTGATCTGGAGCTTTTTAAGTTCGACGTCGCCTCAGTGCCTGCCCTCGAACAAGACGACTTGCACGAACAGATTCTCTACTGCCTCGACAGTCCCAACGTCGACAATTCGCCATTCGATTTGGACATTGAGCAGGCGTTGCCATTGTCCATCACGCCCCTCATTTCGGCGCAACACCGGCTCCTATCCTACGCTGTCCTCGAGTTGTTGTTCCAACAGCACCACCTTCTCGAGCATATTAATCTCCAAAGGCATTTCCACTTCCTCGGCCACGCCTCCTTCAGCTCGAGATTAGGCATAGCTCTATTTGACCCTGACCAGACCAGTGGAGAAGGTCACAGACGGTCAGGTGCTTCGACAGGTCTTCGTCTTCAGGCCCGAGATACCTGGCCGCCCGCAAGCTCCGAGCTAAGGCTAGCGCTCATGGGAATATTGTCAGACAGCCTCGCGACAACAGCAAACCGCGCTCTGGAAGGTTCGATGTCCTTTGCCATCCGGGATATGACAACGGATGAGCTGGAGAAGTGTCGAGACGTCGACTCGATCTATGCCCTGGATTTCCTGCGCCTTCAATACAAGCCGCCAAATGACGTTCTGGGAAGTGTCTTTCCACCAGACATCCTAGATAAATATGATCGAGTATTTCAGCTGCTGCTGAGGATCCTGAGATTGCATAAGTTGACGCAAACTATGCTCAGAGAAGGTGACGGCGATCACAAAATCATGTTCGAAATGCACCACTTCGTCACAACTCTGGCAGGTTATTGCCATAACGTCGTGATAGATCTGCACTGGCGCAAGTTCGTAGACATCTTGCACAATGTCAAATTGCATATTGACAGGAAAGATTATGAGCGTACTCTGCGCACGGTCAAGAGTCAAGATTATCTGCGAGCGTTGCATGACAGAACCCTTGACAATATCCTTCATGGCATGTTTTTGAAGAAGAAGCAGTCCTCTCTTCGACGTTTGCTTCAAGACATTTTCTCTACAGTACTTCGGTTCGCTGCGGCAAGACGGAAAGAATCGCTCACATCCGAAGAAAGAGAACTGCCAGCTCAATTCAGAAATCAAGTCAGGCAATTTCTGAAGGGATTGCGAGTTGCAAGTCAGACAGACTCCGCGTCGTTTCAGGATGGTGTTAATGACGACGAGATGAATGAGCACGCGAATCTGTCCGAATACCTACATCTCAGGCTGGACATGTCTGGATACTGGAGTGGGAAGGTAACTGGTGCATTCGTCGCCGATGTGTTTGTATGAACATGTGTAAGACCAACGAGCCGCCGGGGCATCTTGTACGATAACGATTTGCTGCATAATTCATTATTAGCGTGTATGAGATACCCTGCAACAGAGCAATTGATGAATACAAATACTATTGTCTGAGGCAGGCAATCTACTACCTACCTAGGTAGAGGCTAAGTTAGCGCCAAACAAGCAAAAACAAGCACAAGACCAATGCTTATTTCTTGCCCCATCACTCGATCATAGGGTGAATTGGCCGGTAAGACGGGACACTCCCTGGTGACTGGGCAGAAGCCTGGAAAGCCGGTTGAGTCCAGACTCGGACCCTGCATTGCTACGCGCAAAGCATTCGTCATACTCCGACCCATGGCAAGCCTGAGGTCGTGTGAGGATGATAAGGACGAAGCTGAGGTAACGCGGGGTAAAGACTTCGTTGATAAGGTGTTGATGAATGGACTATTGCATCTTAGTAACTCCTCAGGTGTATTCATACCTCTGCTGGGGATAAGAACGAAATAACGTTACAATCAGCGTTGGATTGTGGCTAGGCGTGACTTACGGGTGAAGCAAGTGGACAGCGCATACGTGTGGACCTGAGATACTCGAGAGATTTTTGGTCGAGGCTTGATCAAGGCCTATAGCCAGCCATTTGTCAAGACGAAGTGAGGGGAGAAAGACGATTTGAATACCAAACACCAGGCGTCTACCAGCCGCGAAGCAACATACTCGACTCTACGGTACCTACCTAGGTATACATCGCTACCAACGATCTAGGAACAACCCCAGAGATACGATCCAGTCTGTGCTAATCGAGACACCACACCACAAACATTACATCCAAACATCCCTGACCACCGAGCGCCCACCAGTCTCAGATATCAAGCACAATGTGCCGCTCCTTCAGCTTAACATTCACATGCACACCATCCCACCCCTCGCATAAACGATCCTTCGACCAACCATGCCGCAAGTCCAAGAAGTCGCCACCACCGGAAGGGCGCTCATCAGGTCTCGGACTATCCTTATCGCGCTCGATCTCACGCGCACTGGAATCGAAGCCCGATCCTGCGGCACTACGCGGATACAGGTTCACTGCGAACCGGGCTTGTGAAGAATGTGATCCCGATCACACACCGGTGGGGAATCCGCCGACACTCGACGAGCTTGAAGGCGGGCTGGGCGAGAGGCATACTCTGAGCGTGGATGAGGGGCGGAAGGAATGTGAAAGTTTGGGAGTGTGGGTTCAGAAGTTGTAACCTCCTGATCACCGTGTTCATGGAAGCGGGTATATGCTTCGTGTGAATGTTTGATTACTTCGAAAATGGGTATTTCAGGCGTCGATGACGGTAGCGGTCGGAATGCGCGGTGATGTTGCTGACAAGAGTGTGGCACCTTTCTGTCGATACTGGGTGTTTAACTTGTATCTTCATTCTTATCTTTCACCTCCACACGATCCTCGAGACCAGCGCAGACGTAACCTTCACGCCCACATACCCGATGGCAACGAGGCAGCCCGACGCAATGAGCAATGTATTCAAATTCCGTCGCTCGATGCCGACTTCCTTCTTTGCAGCTTGTTCATCGCCACCTCTTGCCGTGGCCACATTAAAGTCGGGAATGTACTTGAAGTCAAAGACCGTCTCTTCTCCCAAGCCGAACTTGCCCTCAACGATGACTTGCCAAAACACCTGCCGTAGTGCCGCGACTTTCCGCTTGTCGAGCGCGGGAATTGACCGGTAAAGGTAGCAAATTGACATGAAGAATATGCACTGCCCCGCCATAAGAGCCCAATACCATGCTGACGGACGCCCAAGACCAAGAGCATCAGCCAATTCATTGCCGTTCAGCCAGCGGGCATTGACCTCGAGGAACGACCGAGAGGCGTACGTTGGTGGCTGAGCCTCGAGACACCGGATAATATTGGCCGCCAGGATCTTCGAAGTTTCAGTCGGATTAATCTCGTTCATGAGTAGTGACTCCATCATGGCTTTCGCCTTCTCGGGCGTTTCGAACCATTCTGTCGGTGTACCCACATAGTGTGCAATAAGTCGCCACAAGGCAATGTAGTCCAAGATCTCTTGCTCTCGTAACCATATGCCCTGCCGTGGGAGGGAGAGCCAGATGATGGTAGCAGAAAAAGTGCCGATCGTGGCGATGCAATCGAGGTCGTTGATGGGAATGCCGTATTTCTCCACGCTGTAGTACTCTGGTCGTGTCTTGGTCAGTTTCATGAGCCGCTGACGGACTGCGGCGTGTAATAATCTGACTCGGAGGCTGGATGCAAAGCCCGCACCTCCAGGCTTGATTGACTCGACCGAGCGTGTGCATTCGAGGATGTGCTGCGTCGTCTCGAAGAGTCGGTGTCTGGCGACTTTGACTGAGAACCCGCCTGTACGGGCAAGAACCTCGACGACTCGGTTTGCGCCCATGCCTCCGAGGAGTGATTGGTACGCCAGACCAGTCAGTGTCGCGCCTCCATAGCGGTAGAACACGTCTTGACCACGAGCGATCTGTTCCCAGTCCACCCAGTCAGGGACTGTGGTGACTTCGTCCCACAATTGCTTGAGCTTTTCGTGTTTGTCTTTGTTGTCTCTTAGGAGGATGTAAAGATCTCTCTTTGCTTTTAATTGAATTGGTCTTCCATTGTCGTCCAGACCTTGCAACGGGTCTTTTGCAGTCTCCACCGGCGGACTGATCTGGTTCAAAATCTCATAACACTCTTCTCCCAAGACATCATAAGTGTATTTCATGGGATGAGCCTGCTCGGGCGTGAGATGCTCTGGGGTCAATTGGAAGGTGTAACCCCAGCACGTCCGAGTATTCTCGTCTCGTCGCCGAAAAGGATTTGGCCATGCCATCTCCGTCTGAAACGAAAACTACGACCCCCGAAGTCGAAATCTGAATATAAGTAGGAAGGAGACATGTTTGGATGGCAAAAGTCATCAAGGCCATGGCCGGAGTCTTAGCGGCTGATGTTGATGTCAATGACATGACGAGTCAAGATTTGCCTGAGGTTGTCATTCGGCTAGTCATGAAGTTCTCCAAATTTTGTCTCTGCATCCGGAAGCCCGTTTATCTCTCATCTAACAACATACGCAGTTCTGCAGCCTGTGCACCGAAAAGCCGGGTTGAGTCTTCGTCATGTCTGTCCACGGGCGCTCATGTAGACTTGTCTGGGACGTGATCTGCAGGTCTCGACCATCATGCAACCCATCTCGTCTTGTGCAATCCTCCGCAAGAACGCCCCTGTCCAGTTCCTTTGCCTCGTTGAGCCTGGCATCTCGACCGACCCGAACAGCCATCTCTGCAGCCTCCAGTGAAAATCAAGACATACATCTTCGAAAACGTCGCAAATACACTTCGGCTTCCGGAACGGAGGCTGTCAACGACCGATTCGATGGATTCGAGAGGAGGCCTGCCCGACGCGGTACAGGCGAAGAAGTTCAGTCGTCTGACTCAACATTCGGGTCGACAAGCAGAAGGAGGGAAGGCAAAGCACGTTGGAACCCAAGAGATGCTATGTCGGTGAAGGATGATTCGAGGAACACCGAAGGAGAGAAAAGTCCGTCTCAGAGATGGAAAAAACGTGTAGAGTTGCAGGATTTGGCTGAACCCGTCAAGCACAAAAAGTCTGCACCATGGCAGATACAGAAGCAAGCGCTGGAACAGAAATTCGGCGACGATGGGTGGCAGCCTCGCAAGAAGTTATCTCCAGATACTATGGAGGGCATTCGCGCACTCCATGCGGAAGATCCGGACAGATATTCCACTCCACTGCTTGCGGAACACTTCAAAGTCTCACCAGAGGCTATACGGCGTATTCTGAAGAGTAAATGGAAGCCATCAGAAAATGAAATGGAACGAAGAAGGGAACGATGGGCAAAGCGTCACGATCGGATCTGGGATCAACAAGCAGAACTAGGGTTGAGGCCAAAGAGGGCGGAGGATAAATCGGTAGAAGATCCTGATCAGTTTGAAGAGGATCTGAGAGCGAAGGAGATATTGGACAATGCTCGGAATGCTTAATTCAGCAGTACATCCGGCTGTGTCATTGATGAGGAGCACAAATGCTAAAGACTGCAATGTCTAATGTCTGCTGTGAGTACAAGTACATTCATTTGAGCTCTTCTGCTCATTGTCAAGCCCTTCTTTCTGTTGACTTCGTAAGCCTTGTGTTTGTTAAGCATGCTGTGTTGTAAAGCACTCTGCACAGTCATTGCAATCACCACTGCAACAACATTGTCTTCCTTTCATTGTGATTCCTTGTTGTCAGCACCCTTGCTGATGGTTGATGTCGTCTCTTTTAAGACCGATATACTGATAGAAGTAAGCGGTGTTAGGGCGAAGCGTTGAAAAATGTGCCGTTGTTCTTGCCGAGAGGTTTTCTTCACTCAACCCCTGGAATATCGGTTCATCTCCTTGTCAATCGTCTTTCAAACCGCGCCAGCGCGAGTCGAAAGCCACAAGGTAGCAACTGTCATCAACAACCACATACGTCCGAGAGAGTGTGGGATCTCCAACCACCAACTGGCTCTGGTCCACTTGATTCCCTTGAATTCTGGTGCCGCACGCCAAAGTCTGGCTGGTTGCTCAAAGACCATGCAGCGACGTCTGGTTGGCATTGTTGGTGGATACATCATGTACTCCATGGGAGTAATGTGAAGAGGAAGATAAGCAATCAGAAAGTGACCAGTGAAACCGACACCAGCCATGATCCGAAGCCAGTAAGGGGTACCAGACACGAAACTGTAGTCGGTCCAGACGCACAAGATGATGGCGCAGAGAAAGACAAAGACAAGAGCACCGTGGTACATGATTCCTTCACGATGGTGAACAAGGGCGAGGCGGTCCCACATTCCTTCAGGACGATGCTTGAGGTATCTTTCCTTGATGGCTTTCTTTGGCACGGAGTCTGTACCGCTAACCTCGAAGCCAAGGCGAAGGCCACCCCAGGTCTTGGGCATCATACTGCCGATGACGTCTCTGGTGAAATGAATTCCAAGCCAGGCATTGGTTGCTTGACGACGTCGCAGGTTCCAAAACATGCCGCTCCAGATGGATTTGCAGTCTGCGTACATGCTGAAGACTTGTTGAACAGCGACAAACAAGACAATCTTCCAGAGGCCGTTGACGTCCGCAACAGGAACGACAGATCCCGGGATGATCAGAGCCAGGAGGATCAACATGAGAGCCATCAGCTTCCACACGGTGTACAGGTATGGGCGGCAACAGTGATGAAACATGGCGACTCGCTGGACGAGGGTTGCTCCCCAAAGACGTTTGTCAAAGGAGAAGTCCAGTGTGAAGCCATCACGAACGTGACCAGCCCACTAGCAGGTGTTAGTCGGCAGCATGACATTCATGAGGTACATGACTTACCCATCTGCGGCGTTGCTTCAAGTGTGACAAGAGACAATCTGGTTGAAGTCCCCATTGGAGATACTCATGGACGAGCACGATCTTCCAGCCTTTGCCATGTAACATCCAGCTGGTGATCAGGTCTTCTGTGATGGAGAAGGTAGGGAATTCACCGATCTCTTTCCAGGCAGTCTTTCTGATGATGAAGCCACTTCCTGGGCACCATGAGGCGTTAACCGAGTCTCGTATTCCATCATCGGCACCAGTGCCGGTGATGTTCGACTGGTACAAAGGATCGTTGTCTGGGATGTTGTAATGGTGCTACCACTGTTAGCACACGTCAAAGGGCGATGGTTTCTTACGACATACCTGTGCGCAGGTGACCATGCCAACCTTGTCATCAATCAACGCATGAGGAAGAAGTGCACGAAGGAAGCCAGGCTCTGGGATCATGTCTGCGTCAAAGCAAGCAAGGAACTCTGCTGATGTGCCGAGGGCCTTCCAGGTGACATTCAGGTTTCCTGCTTTGTATCCATGGTTGCCGTCGTCAGGCTTCTGGCGAGAGTAGTACACGAGGTTGGTGTACTTGTTGACGAGTTCTCCACACGCCTTCTTCAATCTGGGATTCTTGCCATCGTCGGCACAGATGACTCGGAACTTGCTGATTGGATAGTCCATTGCACACGCCGCCTTGAGAGTGTCGATGACTATGTCATTTTGTTCGCCACAGCAAGTCACAAAGACATCGACAATTGGGACTTTATGACCAAGGACACGGAGTGTTGGTCGTGGGGTTGTGCTCCGGATAGAATTGACAATAAGACGCCACACCCCATCACTGATGGTTGCACCTGCGACGATGTCAGTGAAGGTCTGTGATCACGATGAAAGGGCTTACTTACCATTTTCGAACACTTGAGATGCTGCAAACAACCAAGCTGGCACAAGGTAATCTTGTCCACGCTTCTTGGCTTCGATGGCATTGTCAAAAAGAGACTTGACGAAGCAGACTGTGGTAGCAAGGCTAGCGAAGGAGAGGCCGTTGGAGAGGTGGCTGACTGGGTTCTCAGACTTGTTGCCGAGCTGCACAATCTCATACAGAGGATGATTGAGTCTCTTGGTGATAGCCATCTTAAGGTTGTCACCTGAACTGACGTCAAAGTGACGGTCACCAGGAAGAGGTTTGACCATTGTGCTGATGTACTGTATAGGTATACAGACGCGTCGACAAGCTTGAATGAGTCTTTGAGAAGTTCTTTGAGGATGAAGAGATGATGGTTTGTGATCAGGTTGATGAGGAAGAGAGTGAAAGTGAAAAGGTTGTTCACCAACGCAGTCGATCTTGCAGTCGTTCATAGCGACACGCGAAGACGTTCAACGAAGATGTTCAACCGAAGAGTGTTCTTGAGGGATTGATCTTTGATGATTGTATACGAGATGAATGATGGTGTTGTGGGAGAGAGAAAGAAAGAGAAAGTTGGTTGTGAAGAAGGAAAAGAGAGTGAGAAGGTATTCACCTGCAGGACCAGCTCTGAACATCTACCTGCGGCCCACCAACGAGGAAGGACAGCCGGCCTTGCCTGCGTTCTCTGTTTGCATCAACATGGCAAAGCAATGCAACAACCAGGTCCTACTGGTGTGGTCTTTCCTTCTTGTCCTTCTTCGTTCATTCAGGATGTCTCTACCCAGCAAATCGACCCTGGCACCTTGTCCTGTCGCCCTTGTCATGGTGCACACCCCTACTCCATCCACCCCTGTCAGACCCCGGCCATCTCCACTTTGGCCACATTACAGACACTATCTTGCTGCAAGGCTGTGCCTTGTCAGCCATCATTTACCAGTGTGGGCTCTTCTCAAGACCGTTGAAGTTTGCTAGTGACTTTGAGATCGGTTGCTGTACGAGTAACCGGCTAGACAATCAACGACGGATGCATGAGCAGCACAGACAGCAACTTCCATGCCTGCAATGGTGTCGTTTCGTTCCTCATGTATTACTCTGCGTGGTTGCTAACATGATTCTGCTGCAGTATGCCCTTTGTTGGCCATCCCAGTCCAAGGCCCCAAGGTCATCACCTCGTTGCACTCCACCCTCAACCATCTTGACCCAACGTCAATGCCTAGGAGTAATACACAGACCACCACAGTCTTCATCGACGTGCGACCATGAGGTTTCTCCACCTCTAACGGTTGTTTGAGAAGTGCACAACTATCCGTCTCCTCTCTGGAACCAATAATGGCTCACGAATCCTGGCCATCCTCCTTCAGAGTTTGTGTCTGATTACTTCAAGAGCGGGTAAGTACAAGCGATAACAGGGTTCTAATGGTGATAAACAAGGGACAGCATTGATCTGCCCATCGGCCTCCAAGAACGAATCGGTTCGATGAGCGAGAGATGGTCAGGCTGTGTGACTAAGAGCAACAGGATATCTCCGTGGATTTTACAAGAGTACACATATCATACCATCTCCGATTGAAACACAAGAAGACAAGAGCATACTTTGTTGTAATGGCAGTTCGCAGGGGACAAGATGACAACGATCAAAGCCACCCGCTGATGGGATATCTGTGCCGAAAGTGCCGGGATTGGACTCCTTGACGCCCATAGTCTTTCGGTATTACCTCTTTGTTGACTTCAGGCTGTCCGCCATGGCTTGGAGCAATACGCAAATCCCAAGCAGATTGCACAATCATAGCAATATTGTCTGGGCAGCATAGAGCAGGGGCATCAGTATGACGTACTGTTGGTGAATGCAGGAAATACACCCGTTCTCCTCGGAACATGTCCGTCCCATGGACTTGTGTCGACACAATGAAGTCAGGCTACTTGTCAGCTCTTCTCTACTTCTTTGTGACCTGCAGACGGTGTTGTCGTCTTCATGGCCCAACTTACCCCTATTCGACGCGGCCTTGCCGAGACTGACGCTCCGCGTGGCTCCGCTCTTGTACAGCAAACACGCCGAGCCCACTAGCCCTCAGCCTTGTCTCGGCATGTTTGTTCCCAGAAATCCTGGGAGACCGGCGCAACCTTTGGACTGTCAGGACAATTGAGCCCAAGGCCGTGAATCCCATCCTTGTACGACTACATCCAACCCTCAGCCCTTGCGTTTGGTGCTGTCGGAGCGTGACCACCATTGAACTTGCATATACAATCCAAGCAATATGGTCAACCTAGCGAAGCGCATGCGGAATTTCCAGCCTGTAAGTTGCTATCCGTCCCCTAGCTACACTGCACTCATGCTAACAAGAAGCAGAAGGTGAGCAGTAGATGATCAAGGCTGTGGTGCTCCAATCTCACGTTTTCAGCTACTAGCAATTCAATATGGCAAGGGCGCAGCCACTCTCCCTCCGCCTCCATCACCACAGCTGACCCGACTGGTCATGCGGTATCCACGAACGAAATGGTCCCTCAGCAATCAAGCCCCGAGAACCTTCGCTAAAGACGCTCTACCACGATTAAAATTCCATAACCCCTCCCTACCGATTCGGGTGGAAGATGCAGAGCCAGCGCAGCTAGAGCTGACATTTGAGGCCAATGACAAAGGCTCACTACAAGCACTACAAAAGCCGCCACACGAGGGAGAAGACTTTGTCGAGCAATGGACCGAGATCGAGTCGAAACCACAACCTGCCGCTAGTGAAAGCGATCCTTCATCTACATCACCTCCTTCACCCATCTTCTCGAGAAATGCAAAGCTCAGCCTGGACCGAACACACGCCAGAGAAATTTGGAGATGGTTCCAGAGGACGACGAATGCCCAAAATGTGCCCGTTGCACCGCAGGACGAGGAACTTCGCCAGAAACTCGCTACATTCTTCCAACAATCCGAGGAAGACCGGAAGCTGGTCAAGATTGGTGTTGACGCTGTGAAGAAACAACAAGCAGACTTGAAGAGAGCGAGAGAGGCTGCGGAAAGATTGACGGCCGAGTCATAACGTCCTTCTTGACGTGTCTTTTCTGCCAAAATACGGTCCGGCATACGGTTGGACCTTGACTTTCGTGTACAATAATGCCACCCAAGCTTTTCGACACGCCAAACCTACAGCACGGTATCGCGACTCAGGCAGATGGGTGGAAGATTGACGGAAACTACCGTCCTTCAACGAGATGAGGCCGACCTCTCAAAGAAGATGGTCCCTTAAATAGTACTGGGTGCTGTACGTTATGGAGAGCAGCGCACCCCTCTTTGCGCCCTCGTCTGGTGTCCCCTGCTTCGAACGTGCAGATATCCTGATGGAGGATCCTTTCGACTATGAGATGGACAGACAACAATGAACAAAAATTGCTCGCCAGATATGGGCCCAGTTATTGCAGACACAGACGAAGAATTCCGCTTCGTGGTGTTATAATCGAGCCATTGCTCGAGAACCACATTTACGGGTGTCATACACTTGTGAACGATGCAGTTGTGCTCATTTTGCTATTGAGCAATGTCACTGTGCCGGTAGCAAGCATGAAGTTATCGTGCATTTGTCACGAATTCTCTGTAATGTATCAACATTTTCTTGAGATCATCCTCAATTTCATATTCAATGAAGACATTGTTCTCCCTATCATAGATTTACGGCTTTTAATCAGGTCAACGACTGAGTATTGTTTCTACTGTAATTTTTGACGGAGCCAGCCTCAGCGATGCTTTTACTACCAGATCATGAAAACAAGAATATAGGAAAAAGAGAATGTTCAGAAATATTAGATTACTATAATTATTCTCTGGAACCATGGTGCCGCACGTATGTAGGCTGGCTCATCCTTCGAGACATTTTCCTTCCCAACGCCTCGCTATGCAAACACACCAGAACCAAAATGAAAATCTTAACTTGCGCCCAAGATCTTAGCATAGGCGTCCTCGACCTCTCTCGCGATCTCCAGCAAGGAAATTATGGCAATCGAGTGCGTCGCCTCGGGCAATTTATCCCTGTGCAGACCAATCCACTCCAGCGGCGGCGTCGCCTCACCCATGTCACGCAACTGAGGCGTATCAATGATTGGGGGCTCCAGCGGAACATAGGTGAACTTTGACTGCGGAACATTGACCACAGCCGTGATTTTCTCCTGTCCACCCGTCTCCCCGTCGTGTGGTTCGGCCGTGACCTTGATCGCCGACGGTGGCAACGGCTTTCCGAGCCGTTGAGCTAGCGCTCGGGAATGTGTCTGCCACATGCCTCGGATGTAGCTAATGCGTGCGTAATTCCAACCGACGTCCACTTTGCCCTCGAATGTACTGCGGAAGACGTATTCGATGACATTCGTATCCGGCACTTGCCACGTCTCCATGGAGGAAACGAGTCGAGGCACCCTCACAATGGTACCGCCGCGTGATGACACTGCCCGGTCAATGACGTCTGGCACCGACACCTCGCTCAGTGCCTTCGTCGTCGTGCGATTAACGTTCGACAGGGCCACTCTTAATTGACCAAGGGTCATGCCTAACCCGCTATGAGTCTTGCCGTTGGTGGTTGCGACAGCAAATCTGGCCTGTACTTCGGTGGCATCCACCTTTAAAAGTTGGTTGTCAAAAAAGGTGTTGGGGAACGCGCCGATATCAACCTCCTCCAAGGTCACCACGACATCTGTATGCAGTTCAAATGTCCTTCTTGTCAGACTTTTATCCTTGACCTTCGGTGCTGGCGTTGGGGTAACCCAGTTGTTAGACGGGAAGACGGACTTGCGCCGCAGGAACTTGTCCAGGTCGAGTAAGGACGTTTGGTAAGCTTCTTGTTTCTCTTGTATCAACCTCTCGAATGCTTGAACAAGAGCAAAGCCTTGAGCTGCGGTCCCTGTAGTGCAGAAGACTTGCACCTTCCCACCATTCAGAATCCCCACAAGTCGATCACTATCGAATTCCTGGCCTTGACGCACATTGTACATCAAGAACTCAAAGAAGGAGATATCGGCAACTGCGAATGGCTGGTAGTCGAATGCGGCTTTGACTCGAAAATGCTCAAAACGGATCGACGCCTGTACGAGCGGAGCACGTTTCTCTGCAGAAGCATCTTCTGGCCATGTGATTGATGTACGAGCTCGCATGTTTTCCAGCTCAATGAATCCGCTCATTCTCCCGGTGCTGTCAATACCAATCCTGTCCAATCCAATGCAGAGATTTTGCTCCGAATCATTGTTCTTCTTTGAAGAAGCCCAAAGTCCTGAGATTGTGAACACCGACTTGCCTAGCCCTTGGCCTAGATCGACCGCAAGTTTCAGTTCCTGCATGGATATTATCGCATGCCAGGGCAAGGTACCTTTGGCAGAAAGTTCTTGATATCGTTGCATTGCATATGCCTGCTGATCTTGTGTGGTAGTAGCAGGAGCAGGCTTTGATCGAGCTCGAAGCTCCGCAGGGTACCATATCTCACGGAAGAGCAGGAAGTCTTGCAGCTGCTTAGCATTGATATCTGTGTTCATCGGACTGACGTTGAGAACGGCCGAGACGCCGGTAGTGGTACTGACATGCTTGCTGTTCATTAACGATAGGACAATCGAGTCTACTTCGAAGCTGGCGGTTGATTCTCGAGAATAAACATGTTGAACAGACGCCTCCAGTTTGTTGAACGTCGTCAATATGGCGAAGAAGCGCTCTTGGTCTGGTGCCGACACCGTACTGATCGTGACAAAGATGTCGGCAAACCTAGCAGTAGCTGCAACCCTCGCAATGGGCTGACAACTGAGAGTAAACTGTTGCCGTTGGATGTAGAGACAGGCATTGAGTTTGCAGCGCCCCAAAATGGCGGTCGGATTAGCATTGCTGATGCTTGCGTCCGAAAGATACGTCGTGGATCCTTGTTCTGCTTTGGCTTCTGTCTCCTCGGTCTCATCTTCACCTAAGATCTCCTTGATGCTGGATGAGATTTCCAAGATCAACGGCACCACCGTGGGATACAATGTGTTAGAGGACGCGGCCACTCTGACTTCAGTGCTGAGAGACGGATCTTCAGAGCCATTGTCTTTGTACTCAACTTTGAGAGCCACACCAGGAGCCTGTAGCTTCGCAGTAGAGACATTATCACCTTGTACAGCTTGCCCATATCGACCTGCCTTGGATCGTTTACTTCCTTTCAGGAAGCGGAAGGCCGAAGTTGGATGTTGCGTTTCGGCGCGAGGAGTGATGTGAACTACAGCGCCTGCGAAATCGGCATCGACCAATAAGGATGCCAATCGTTTCCCACCCAACAGGTCGATCTTGGCCGCTTGCGGCGTTTGAGGACTAGTCTCGTAAATGTTCTTCACATTGCGTAGCTCCTCGCTAGCATGTGCAACGGAGTCTTGCAGTGCGTGGGCAGGGATGACAAAATCGGTCGACAGGCGAAGATCCAGAGCTTTGCCCTTCGCCTGGAATGCAAAGCGACGATCATGTTTGGTTGCAAGGTAAGCTGTCCCAAACACAACTTCGGGAAGAAGAGCAGAATTGGGTGTCCGCTGCGTTGGATTATCATATTGAGCCCGAGGAACGATTTGCAGCTGTGTGTCCAGGATAGTAAGTCGAGCAGTTCCTTCTTGTCGTGTTTGCAGGTCGACTTTGCGGATCGAAAAGACCAGATCATGCAACTCCCGAGGTGCGGTAAGTACGGCACCCCTTGTCAAATTCCATCGAAGGCGAATGTTGTCCAGGTTTAGTGCAAAAATGGAACCGTAAAGATGCGATGAGGCGGATTCGACAGTCGAGGCGGTTTCTACGCTTGCCTCCAATTGTTCTTTTGGCTTTAAGCGGTCGGTGATACCAGCAGTTGTCAATCTTCGAAGTCGTTGAATGCTCTCAGGATTTTCAGCAAGTTTGATCGACTTGATGCGTTCCTGCAGGAATGCTGCGATATCAACTGCCATAGTCGCTGTTTCTTCGAAGAGCTCGATTGCTATACCGTCACTCCATGCCCTGTAGACGTGGACTCTCCCGCCTCTCCCGTCATCGTCAGTCTTTCCTGACGCTTTGAGGCCTATCATGCACTTGCCGACGTTGGTCTTCCCGTAGTCGGTCGCTCGATAGATGCCAAGCCCGACACCTTGAGAATTGAGGATGAATTGTGGTTGCTCATATATTGTGTCTGGGTTGGTGGTCTCGTTGTGGACAAATACAGAGGTTCGCTCTAGCTTCAATTCCATTTCCGCTCGATAATTCTGATCTTCACGGACAGCCGGGGCACTCGTATGAATTTTGATGCCGGCAAGTGCGCCATGGACAGCGAAACGTAGCAACAAGGTTGTATCAGCTGATTGTACCTTGCGGGGTTCCGGTTTTCTCCTTCTTTCCAGCTGATTCACCGATGCTTGGATGTCTTGAACCGCCCGTTTGGCATCAAGTATCAGCTGGACCACACCTGGCTGATTCAGGGCATCAAAGCAAGCTCTAATGCCGGCTGCTTCAAGGTTAATCTGCTCGGCAGTCACACGAGCTTGCACCGAGACGACACGCTCGGTCTGACTGACCGAGAGGCGACCATTAACGGGAGGCATCTTCAAGATACACAGTTTCCCCTGCCTTGCATCGTGGGGTGTTTCAAACAAGTGCTCGTGCTCTTTGATGTCGAAATTGATGTCAAGCCCGCCGTTCATCTGTGGCAAGATCGAAGCCCTGGCCACCTTTCCGGCGATTGCATAGTGTAGGGATGGTACAACAGCGAAACTCAATCTGTAGTCGTCCAGAAACATGGCCACATGCAGATCAACCTCGGCATCTATCTGGCTCGAAATTTGCTTCGAGTCGCTCTTTGTCTCGGTGGGGATTTGATCAATCAATCGAATGATAGCACTCACTTCGTCTTCGATGATTGAGTCTACCACTGCGAGCACGCGCACCACATCTTCTTTCATCTGGAACCGGAAACGGTGGGATGCCGCACAGAGCTGGACAACTTGTCTCGGACTTCGGGAATCTTCAAGCGATTGTGGCCAGACTGAACCGTGCATTTTCGGTGAGGTCAATCGCCACATAGAAAGAGTCCGAGAATGACTCTTAATCTTTGCTAAGCCCGTGTTTGCGGCAATTGTGAAAGAGGATATAGCTGGTTTTGAACCACCAACGTCGAAGGAAACGGCGCTTCGAAAACTCTCGGATGCCCACTTGAGCTTGAGATTCACCGTCGTAAGATATATGGACGCTGCATCAGATCCCACCACGACAGTGAATTGTCTTCTTGGTTGGGTATCCTCAAGCTTGATTTCAACAGGAGAACTCGTCTTTGAAGGCAACACTGCAAGAGGATTGCCGAGTTCAATGATCTGACGTGCCAGCTCCACCAGCGCCCAGTGAAGATGCAAGGATGTGTCTGCGAGGTAGGCCTGAAGGACAATCTTCTCATTGCTCTTTTCGACGCCCGGCGATGCACTTGGAGGACGGATAACGATGTTGAAGTCCAAGCCCAGGAGTGTAAAATCGCTCTGCCTCGGACCTGGGTCCAAGATAATATCTATCTTTCCAATGATGATCTCGGCTTGCATCGCACGCCTGCTTGTTGGTGTCTCTGATGGTTGACTGTCGTGGCCTGCAAACAGGGTACTCATAATAGGAACTGTGTCACGCCGATAGTCCCAGCCACGCCACTGTTCGAATGCCTGTAAGACTTGCTTCGTGGCCGGCCCTTTCAGCTCCAAGTCTTCGCAACCACAGTTGTCGACGAAATTGCAGGCGCTTTCCTTCTCTAAGGTAAAGTAGATAAACCTCAGTCGAGATATGATTTTCCAGGAGTCGGTTAAGCGTACGTGCTTATCAGCACTCCTCAAGACATAGGAGGGCTTGGTCAAAAAGACAGGATCGGATATCGAAGACCCTGCTTGTGTCAAGTGGTATATCAGATGCCTGGACTTGTAACTTTCGTCCATATTTGCAAAGGTATCCACAATACGATCGACCATCGAGACTGTTCTCTGTATCAAACCAGCCATACTGATCAAGTGTTCGGCCCCTAAATTGATTCCGATGTTGCTCAACTGGAATTTGGAGCTTATTTCTTGTTTCAAGCATAGCCAGAAACCGAAATTTGACAGGGATATTTCGGCCTGTGCGGCCGGCTTTGCAGTATTGAAAGCGTCGTCTCTCACAGATACAGAAAATTGTTCGATAGACCCGTATGTGAGTTGACTCGAGTTCGGGAGCCCGTTGTGCTTGGCCTCAACATGCGGATGCGCGAACCGGAACATAACCTGAGTGCCCAGAATCTTTACGTCGTATTGATCGACCGAAGGTGACCGCGGTTCTTCGCCACCTCGCTGGCTGTTTATCAAGCGTACATGAGCAAATGGGATCTGGATCGCGAAATCCAGGATATGTCCTCGATCATCGTGTCGCTGATTCTCTAGAATCTTTTTCATCAGCGTGATCTGTACTTTGTCTAGTTGGTCTATTGGTTGATCCTGTTGGAGCTCTTGCATCAGGCTGCCAATGCTAAGGAACAGGGCAGGAGTGCAAAAGCCGGTAAAGCCCTGTTCGACCATACAAAGAACGCCGTTGTGAGCTGTATCTTCAAACTCATCGGTCTGGTCAGCCGCATCGCTGCTGTCATGTAACAGAAGCTTCGTTGCTTGACCAAGCTCCGAATGAGATATCTGCGGCATATTGCTCGTATCTGGGTGAGCGTCATGTAACGTAAAGTGGGGAGGCGCCCAGGGACTGGCGAAAGTGACTAGTGCCGGATGAGAGTCCACATCATGCGATTTGTAGCTGTTATTCTGATCGTCAAACCTACCTTGGGCGTGCTCTGTGGGAGCCTTCACAGAAGATTCTGGCCGACTCGTGTGAGGGTGCTCCGGAACAGGAGCACTCATCGGCACGTGGAGCAAATCAGTCCGTGGAAGGGAGGATTGCCTCGACTGGGAGGACACCGAGGACAGGAACGAGCTCTTGTGGCCCGGAGCTCGTCTGCGGCCAAATCGATCACGCGTCCCAGTGAGATTTGCGCTCACGACTCCGCCAGAAGGTTCGGGCATCGCCGGCAATGGCATTGCAGCAGGCTCACGGGCCCATTCTGGTGTTTTGTGGTTGGGTGAATATTGCTTCTGAGCCACGAGCAGAAACTGGGAACGACGGGTTCGCTGATCGTGATATCGAACATGCTGTTGCTGTAAGGCTCGAGTACGTGAAAGATTGTCGCTTTTGTCCAAGGACCCAACCCGAACTGATGTTTCGAAGCATGCAAACGTCTCAATGTTATGCGAGGCCTTGCCATGGCCGCGGAGAGCACTTGTATGATCAACGGCCGCCAGCAGGATCCGCGGAACGTGAGCTTGAACAGTCTTTGCAAAGCTTGTATTGGCCAAGTCTCCAAAGGATACATCAGATTCGCAAAGCTCGAGCAAAAATCCAGTACCGCCAGTAAGTAGCCACAGTCGCACTCCAGCAACAGTCGCTCGCACAAACGTCACGTCGTGAACTACAGTGTTGTTGAGTGCCGGAAGCGCATTTTCGTCATCGTCCAAGGTGTAGACAAACGCCATGATAGCATTGATAAGCGTCCGGACAAATTTTGAGTTCACTTCTCCCGTCGCTTGTCCGACTTTGAAGTCCCAGTTGCAGACGTACGTAGGCTCTGAAGGCGGGGCTCCGAATAGGCGGTGGCCATACACTTCAATACCGTCGATAAAGAGTTGACAATTAGTAATGTCTTCAGATATCCCAGTTTCGGTCTTGGTTATCCCCTCGATCGATGTTTCGAGAGGACTTGAACTAACCTGCAGGTCCATATAGTAATTGGTGAAACGCATATCTGCTTCGATGAGAAGAATGTCTACGCGGACATTCTCTCTTTGAGAGTATATGTTGGCAGGCAAAAGCACGGATGAATTGTCCGCACGTACAGTCAGGATAACGTCAAGGTCGTTCTCTTTCTTCAGCGTGGGACGTGGAGTGTGGACATCATTCCCTGCCAGCATATCCTGGTACTCTTCTAGTGTCCTGAAGTGCAAGTGCTCGCCAAAGTAGTTTTCCTTGACATTCATGAAATACCGAATCAGGTACCCATGTAGGTAGAATTTTGGAGCATAGCCGGTGATGGTCATAAAGAGCGAGTCAGTCAACCTGGGTGAGACAGTAGGATAGTAGTTATAAGAGCCTTCAAGGTCCAGTCGTTTCAGCGTAGCCATCGTCGTGTCCTCAGCGAGCGTGTCCAGTGTGTTCCATGTAGGGGTTCTGAGTTCCAGAAAAGCATTGTGGCCTTCAGCCAGAAATTTGACACTGCTTTCGCGTGGTGAGAAATACTTCATGGGTATGTCGACGTTTCCATCAAGCTGCTGGAAGCCAAGAGTCAAGAACGTATTCTCCTCGGGATCACAGGGGCTGTCGATGATATTATAGTCATTTGCATTGAGGTAGAGCTTCAAGTTTGGAAACGTCAGGTGCATTTGATAGAGGAAAGGCACGAAGGTCATGTAGTCGGCTTTCTGGCCCTCGGTGAAATCACTGATCAGATCAGTTAGGAGGAACATGTGGTCCCTTAACAGAAACATCTCCATGGCATCGTTTTCGATGTCGAAAGCCCATGTATGAAGGCTGTTCCAAATCAGCGGATTTGACAGGTCGCATGACACCTTTTGCGACCGACAGCGCCACAGAAGAGCATGATTTACACTCGATAGTGCTTTGGTGTTCTTCAGATCAAGTCTGAGGGAGTTTCGATAACCTCCTTCTCGTGCGACCATATCCATGTCGTAGCGTACAGTGGAATCTTTCCCGGCGCATACTGTCAACCAGCCGAAAGGTCGTGTGTCAGGTCCGAGCTTGCTCTTGTGAGATCTTCGGAAACGAAAGTGCCTTCGTTCACGTTGCTTCCGGATTGCAGCAGCTTCCCTGACGGCATGCGCTCGACCCCTCCATTGCCAATCCTTTGAGCGTTCTCTCGTCGGCACTCGAAGGCTGACCTCATCCTCAAGGTCCACGCGGATCGTCATCACAGTATTCTGTCGTGCATCCCCAGGTTTGAGAGCCATTGCTGGGGACGTTGAGTGGTATGGGTTCGGAAAGAAGGCTGACTGAACTTCGATACGCAGCCGATCGGCCCACGGTCCGTAATTGACAGAACCACCCCTTACGGTCAAATCCAGACCATACGCTGGAGGCGTCGAGAGGTTGATATCTTCGATACCCGAATTTAATGATAAAGTGGCTTGTCCTTCTGTAATCTGGCCTGGCATATCCCAGTAGAATGTCAAGTGCACTGCAGGCGAATCCAAAATTTGTGAGAATCTTGCGTAGTCCACATGCGACCAACCCTCGTGGTCATCGCGTTCATCATCATCCATGTAGCGACCAAGGCCGTGCCACGATCGATCGTCCTCGTGGAACCCTTCGTACAAATAGTGCGGTCTCTTCTCATCATCTAAAGATGCAGTAGTACGCAAAGACCCTCTCGAGCTGCGAAAACCCGGGAGTAACCGTCTCAAACGGCGAATTGCTTTGGATATGCGACGTCCCAAGCCTAGGTTCAGTTGCCACCAGCGCCGGGGTGGTCTTGTCGATTCTGCAGCAGAGATAATCCTCTCGGCTGCTGCAAGCTGAGATCCTCGAAAGTCGGGGTTTGGTTTCATTTCCACTTTCGGCTGCCCGATCTCGAAATCAAAGACTTGCCGATATATATCTGAAGGGCGCGCAGCAGCACCGGCATCAATATGTCCTGTTGCTGTCGCGAACGTAGAGACGGCTATAGCCCTTGTTGTTTCATTGCCCAGACTGATAGCCCCTTTGGAGACTTCGACGGAGATCGGCAAGAATCTCAGGATGAAGGAATAGAAGGAGGGAACATCAGCTGCATCTGTAGATTGAATCGATGTGAGACTGGTGTCTGTTCTCATTCTCGAGATAGGCACAGGTTCGCCGTCACGGCTAAACGTCTGGGAGACCTTTCTTGCGGAGAGCCCGGCCGAACTGTCACTAGCACCTTCCTCGTCACCTGGCTGTCTTCTCGCATCCTTGCGATGATGGAGTTTCCCGGGCAGTGTTGCTGTAGTTCTGAAGCTGGCTCCATCGATTACAGAGTCCGTATCTTTGCTCGTGGCATCACCAATAATGGCGTCGTAGACTGGAGTCCGATTATAGACAAACCACTCCAATCCGGAGACATTGATTGCAATTCGAGCCTCTGCCGTGTCCGTTTTCTTTGCCCGTCCGAGTTCCTGATCTGAGGCGGGAGACGCGGCGCTCTCTGAGTCGCCTAGACTTGGTTCTTGCTTCTCTTTGGGATGGCCTCCATCAGCGTCGTCCGGCGCAGTAAGATCGATCTGACGAGAAGTTCGTTGCCAGTACCTCCAGGTAATATACCCACTGTGGATCAAGACGGTCTCGTTCTCCCCATGGTAGCGTATGTTCTTGAAGAATATCCGCCCGGCAAGGAAAGATAGTTGCAGGGCTTGAATATCAATCCATACTCGATATTTGTGCCAGGTCCATGCTCTCAGACCATAGGAGACAAGGGTCGCGAACAGGCGATTGAAGTAGAAGAGGAAGAACACTGCCAGGCAGGCACTGGTCGCGATTTCGATAAGCCATGTCCTTCCAACAGTCAGTACATTTCCCCCATGACAGCGAAGACTGCATTACCAATTGAAGGAAGTGTCCTTCGAGATAGATTGTCCGGTGAGTTCATCCAGACTTGACATTGTCAATGCCGCAGCTTCCCTGCGAAGACTCGTTCATGGCGCCTGCGACATGCCACGGGTACTTGTCGAGAACAGCATCCTCAGCATGTACAGCGGGCAGGATGGGTTCACGACGACCAAACTTGTGTTGATCGGATATCACGATGTGAAGTGTCGCTCGGAGTGCATCTCATCTCACATCAAAAGTACGAGATTCGGAGACGAGACTACTTACGCGGTGCTCGCCATGCAGCGTGACGCTCCAAATCGCATTGCAGCGCTGATTTACCCCACAGAAATCCGCAGGCTGCTCCCACGCATGTCATTGATCGTCGTCGTCACTTTTTCAACCATTACTGGATACATCGCCGCGTGTATCGCAACCTTTCTTTGGAATTTCTGCCACCAATTCGACCCCTCGACGATAGCTGCGTACCCTGCCCTGGTGTCTTGGTCAACCATCCTCGCGATATGTGCTTCTTGAACGACAGGCATGCTCATTAGTATTGGTGTACCTGATCCTCCTCGCCACGGTGCTTGAACTGGACACGACAATGATAACAACGCTCGCCGCTGGTGGCACGGGCGACAGGCTCACAAGGATAACCATTATCCTGGCCGGTGTTGCCGCGCTTGTCTCATCACTAATATCCTTCTTGTACGTTAAGTATGAGCTCCAGCAGGGACCCATTCTGACAGTGTCAATAGATCAATATGGCTACAAACGAAGAACTATCGGAAACCAATGCTGCAGCGATATGTGATTCGTATCCTACTCATGGTACCTATCTACGCAGCCTCGTCATGGGCGTCAATCATGTCCTTGACAGCCGCTTTCTACCTCGATCCTCTCCGAGACATATATGAAGCATTCACGATCTATACCTTCCTCCAACTCCTCATAAACTTTCTCGGAGGCGAACGTTCTCTCATTATCATGATGCATGGAAGACCACCTGTCTCGCATCCATGGCCCATCAACCTCTGTTGCTCCAAGGTCGACATTTCCGACCCGCATACATTCCTTGCGATCAAAAGAGGTATCCTACAATACGCATGGTTGAAGCCTATACTCGGCATTCTCACCATCGTGCTCAAGTCTACCGGGACATACCACGAAGGTTACATTGGCCTTAATTCGGGCTATCTGTGGTTGGGTATCCTGTACAACGCCAGCGTGACGTTGAGCTTGTACTCACTGGCCATGTTCTGGGTTTGCATGAACGACGACTTGAAGCCCTTTCGGCCCATGCCCAAGTTTCTCTGCATCAAGCTCATTATCTTTGCCTCCTACTGGCAAGGATTTTTCCTGTCCATTCTACAATTTCTGGGAGCTATCCCGAATAACGTCCCAGGTTACACTTCAGATAACCTGGCTGCTGCTATTCAAGACGCCTTGATCTGCTTCGAAATGCCGCTGTTTGCTATGTCACATTGGTACGCCTTCTCGTGGCATGATTACGCAGATATCACTATTTCTGCCGCTCGCATGCCGGTCAGATTTGCCCTGAGGGACGCATTCGGGCCTCGAGATCTGATTGAAGACACGAAAGAGACTTTTCGAGGCAATCACTATGATTATAGGCATTTTGACTCTAGTGACAACGCAATAGCTCATGAGGAGTCTCACTCCCGCGTAGCTAGGATGATGGACGGCATGCGATATGAAAGAGGAGGCAAAGGCAAATACTGGATACCCAAGCCACAACAAGTCAATGCTCGAACGCCTTTACTCCCTGAAAGAGGTTCTTCACGTGCTCCCGCTCCTGAAACAAGAGGGAAAGCGCACGAGTACCGGGCAGCCGACCCAGACTGGGAGATAGGTATAGATGCCGAAGATGAGCGACTCTTTACGAACGCGAGAGCTCTCGAATTTGGCGACTGGAATGTAAGTCACCAACTCATATATTCACCATCTCAAGCTAACATACCTTGCCTCCGTAGTATCCCGTCATAACAGCACATGAAGCTCGGCGGGAAGACTGGATGAACCACAATCCAAACATTCTCTCTACCTCCACCAATCGCAACCTCTTCCAACCCACCAAAGACCGCAAAGACCGCCGACGCAGCGAGATCCAGAAGAGCATCCAGAAAGGCAAGAATCGGAGCGGCTCGTCCTCCCAAGGCTCTTCCGACGACCCAGCCAATCGAGGCGCCATCGAATCCAAGCTGAAACGTGATCGGTCGCAGTCCGCCTCGGGCCAATCCGACCGTAGCCAGCTCGTCGACCTCATTGTGGAAGACACGGAGGCTGAAGAAGCTGAACGCGTCCGCGCCAGGAAGGAAGGTGGCGATGCCTGGAACCGTAACCAGGCCAAGCACTTTGTCAGAACGTATAGCATCGACGACGAAGCACGTGAGGGTCAGGAGATCCGTGAAGGATTCGATCCTAGTACAATACCGGCGAAAGCACCTCCTGAACACGCCGTTGAAGAAGAAGAGACAGAGGACGAGGAAGGAGAGGGCGGAGATGGCGACGGTCATGGTCAGGACTCTGGTCAGAAAGGGAGGTATGGCAGCCTTGTAGGAGAAGACAACGTATGGGGTCAGAGATGATGTTGGGTTGTTTTCGCTATCGTTCAATCGTTGGGCCTTGCCCGCGGGCTTCAATAGTACGCCTGGTGTCGTTTGGAGCACACGGATGTGGCTGGTATCGCGCTGAGTGCACCGTGCCTGGCTGGATAAGCTTTGGTTGTGTTCCCTCTCTAATCGAAGCGTTCAAGCGAGCAATACAATGCATTTGATTTTGGCGTTTGGCATCTGCAAGCTTGATCACATCTTCCGAAAGACAGCCCTGATTGCTTTCTACATGTTCACAGATTTAAAGGTCAAGCTTGATATGTGATCTTATTGTCTCATCATTCCCTAGAATTTTGATGGCGCATTATGCTTATTGGCTAGCAGCTATATGCTGAATCTTCAAACGCTCCGTGCTCGAGCGACGCTCAGAGCAATGCTTTACAACACCAGTTCAAATCTCACCAATAACTCCTAATCTCGCTCAAACATGTTCAGCTAATCCAAAAGGCTGTCTGGAAATCGCGAGGCACCCAAACCCTTCTTCAGATCTCGTCAAGTCTCACACCTTCTCAGCAGGCAGTGTGTCCGTCTCGTCATCCGCAAAAGCAAACTTCGAATGCTTTCTGATCGTCGCGCCTTTGAAGTAGAACACATACGGGATCAAACAGCACAGAAGCGCAATGAAGGCAAGCAAGGTACTGGCCCATCTGCTGTTCATCCTTGCATACATCTGTTCGGTAAAGAGCACCACAGAGGCACCCCAAAAGCTTCGAATGCAGGTCTTCGCGGCCAAAGCGCTGGCAGCTTGGTGTTGGTATGTGTCGACGAGGTAATTGTTGGCCGAATTGTAAAGGAAGATAAAGCCGAAACCGACTGGGAATCCTCCCATCATAGGTCCCCAGTAGGACATCTGTGGGTATGAGGTCCATGCAAAGATGAACAAACCGATTGGAATGAACCAGCAGGAGAACATCATGGGGATAAGTCGAGCCTCGGCAGGCGGTTTGCCATTGGGGTATTTGGCGCAAATGCTGAGGTAGTGCATGTTGACGAATGGTGCGCAGCAAGCCGATAAGATCACGCCGACGGCCAACGGGATGAACATCAACCCAGTGCTGCCTTCGGACCAGCCTTTGCCCTCGACGTAGACGATCGGGTAGGCGACGAAGAACATGTACAGAAGCCCATAGAGGACAGACATGTACAGACTGATCAGAAACACAATCGGCTCGAGGAACAAGAGTTGGAGAGGGCGGATAAGGAAGATGCGGGCTTGTTCGCCGAATGGTCGGCTGTCGATGTCTTTCTCGGTGACGTATCTGGCGTCTCCGGTTTCTTTGCGAAGCTTTTTCGCGCGCTTATCGAGGATGGCTGGTGCATAGGTCTCGGGAACGGTGAATGTAAGAACGCACCAGCAAAGTCCCGAGAGAATCAGCTGGATGTAATAGAGCCAGCGCCATCCCGCAGCGTCTCCGAGAAAGCCGCCTACCAGAGGACCGATGGCAGGGCCGATGAATGGAGCCGCGCTGAAGACCGCCATAGGAACACCTCGCTCTTCGTTTTTCCACAGATCGGCCAATGTGCCGCCGACGAGCGTCATAGGCGCGGAAAAGGCGATACCGTCGATAAGCCGGCAGACGAGGAGTGTGCCAATGTTCTGTGCGACAGCGCAAGGGATCTCGAAAATGACGGCCACGGCGATGGTGATGATGTAGACTGGTTTTCTGCCGAACAACTCTGAACCAGGCGCAAAGACGAGAGGGCCAACACCGAAACCGATGACAAACATGGTGATGGTAAGGAGTGCGACTTCGTTAGAGACATTGAAGGTCTCCGAGACGCCTTCAAGATCGGCTGTGATGACAGCACTGTTGAACGCGACGGTGAAGCAGGTGAATGCGACAACCATCGTGCACCACCATTTGTACGGTTTGGACCAGTTCTTTGGATTTTCAGGGTCGTTGATTTTGAAGGTAACGAGTTCGTGTTCTTCGAACTTGCCGCTGACACGCGAGAATGTCCTCTTGGGGATAACACCTTCGGCTGTCTCTTCGGTATATTCAGCCATATCAGCATCGTCGCTGAGGACATCGTACGGCAAGTCCAACACGTCGGCGGCATCTTGGGTCGGTCGCGTCTCGTATCGCTCGAGTGTCCGTCGGGTAGACATTCGCGTTAAATGAGTATCTTGTCTTTCGAGGCCAGGTTGAGCAGCCTCGTGCTCGGCCCTCGTATCACCTGGACGGGACGACATGGTGGTCTAGAGTAAAAGTAGTGATTTTGAGGAATGGGATAGGGGGTGACGATTTAATGTAAACGAAAGATCAAACAGTGGTTTCTCCGTTGATAGACACGAGGTCGTTGAGGTGGTGTATGGAGTCGAAGGGGCAGCAGTGAGTATGGGGCATGTACTTCCTTTATAGCATGATGTAAATATGAGGTCCAAGTTTTCCGGACTTATCTTGGACATTTGAGACGCCCACTGACACCCTTTTCTGGATCCCAAGCACGCGGTGACTGGGGACTATCTTATCTGTGGCATGTGAATCATAGTTCGGAAGCAACATAAAAGTTTTGAATTTGCCTCATTCGATCTGATAGTCGTTGAGCTCGGCCTAATCGCATAGCGAGATAATAGCGAGACTGGTGCCATGCGGTGGAAAGACCAGGAGCAAGAGCCCCATTGAGCAATTCGAGCCAATAAAGAGTTGTTGATGTACTTTAAGCATAAAAGCGCAATGGAAAAGTCGGCAGAGGCTGCGATCAAAGAGACAGGAAAAGTGGAGGATATGTAACTACATCACGATGCCGGATTGTATTCCGAAGGTGTGGAAGATACCGACACAGTGCCAGAAACTTCTCAATCAGCGGAAAGAAGTCAAAGCCGAGCAATTCCCGCTCTCTGCCAAGCCTCTTAGTCTCAATACAGACATACCTCAGCCTCATGAGACTTGACACGTGAGTCGGACTTTTGTCGGTCAGCCTTGCTGCCATCACAGACTTGTTTTGTTGAAATTTAACTTAGCGCGAACTCCATATGTGGTTGTCTTCGATCATATCTCTTTATCTGCTCGACCACTTCGACTGAACGAAAGCGACTCTTCTCGAAATGAGATACATATCACCACTCTTTGACTCCCCTTTACGGACACAGCCGCAACATGCGGGCCAGCCGATGGACTCTATGCCCTTTTACTGACCGGTATTTCCGCAGATGATATCGTCGGATGACGTTGGCTTCGCAGAAGCCATGCTTGTCAGTATTGCAGGTCAAATGAAGCCCATGCGTCGTGTCATCAAGGATGCCGTCAGGCCTTTACGCGAGCCTTCCCGCGCTGCCCGAAACGCCCGCCCCCGCGAGGTTGCGCAATATGACTAAGCCATGTAGCCGCATGTGGTAACAGCAGGTTATATTGATTGGGACATATTTCCATGCGCCTGTTTCTTTGCATTCTATCCTGTATATCATCAAGTCTTGCTTGTATGTTTTGCAATCGTGATCGCACGACAGTCTAAATGGCAGAATACTACAATCCTGGCGGTTATCCGCCTCCTCCGGCCCACACACAGAATACTTATCCACTTCCTCCTCGCCCGCAGCAGTATGAGGGGCAGCCTCAAGGTAATTCGGGCTACAGCTCGCCGGCTCCCCAGGTCAGTGTCGTTAGCGATGGTGTCGCGCGTGCTGTTAACTCGATCCAGAGCACATATGGGTATCAACCAGCCCGAGAAGACCAATATCAACACTCGCCGCGCTCTTCCGGTATGCAGGTCGGACAATATGGCGCACCAGACTATGAGTACGGACGAGAACGTCGCAACTCGGGCCCATATGCGGCCAGTCAATATCGCGGTAGCGAAGCCTCATACTATGCCCCTCCTCCACACGAGCATAGCGATCGTCCCAGTTCCAGAGGGTCGCGGAGAGGAAGAGAGAAGTCCCGGGACAGAGGCGAGAAACATGGACATCATGAAGCCGAGAAGGCTGTAGGTGCGACAGTGCTTGGTGGCGCTCTTGCTGGATGTAAGTTGCCTGCGATCGGTGTGGTTTGATCGACCCGACTGCTAATAGGAGCTAGGGGCCGGCCATGAGCTGGGTCATAGCAACAGTCTCGTCACTGTCGCTTCCACCTTGGTAGGAGCGTACGCCGGTCACAAGCTCGAATCCAAACATGAGAAAGATAAGGTGAAGAAACGTGAACACGAGCACAAGGAAGGCGAAAGCGTGGATTACAGCGAGTACCGTGCGGGCGGCGGTAGGCGCAGTCTGTCCCGCAGAAGGTCACGTAGCCGGAGAAGGGACGATAGGGAGGAGGACGCTGACAACTATGAGAGTGATGACAGCCGGCGCAGACGGCATCATCACCACCATTGAGCGGCACAGTCGAGCTCGATGACGATTTCATGACCCGATTTGCACTCTTTATTGATGCAGAGGACCCTGGGAGGTTTTGACAACACGTATAAGCGACTGAAGCATGTTGCTATTTGACTTGATCTTACTTGCCTCTGATATTTTCTCATGCTCGATGCTGACCTACCTCATGCAATCAATGTCATCCAAGCCTATTCATTTTCCGAACTCCCGGTAAACAAAATCCAGCATGGTTCAACGCCAAAAGTCCTTCCTTCATACGAGGCAGAGAGGCTAATGCAGTAATGATTTTTGCGAAGGACTCCTGATTGACAATGAGAAAACCTATCTATTTTGACATGAGGGACATCAGCGGTCGAAAACTGCCACCTTTTCTGAAGACCAGCCCATTACTTCTCACCCAGCAACAGATGCCGATGCACACCCCGACAGATAACAAGCAGGTATTCCTGCGCCGTGAAGTCGGCAAACTGGTCATTCTCACCTAGGTTACCACGATCAGCAACAAAGACAAACGTGCTGCTCCCAAAATAAGGAAAGCCCTCGTCGACTTTCTGCAAGGCACGCTTCATGGCTCGCACTTTTCGAAGCATGACTTTATCTCTCTTGACGTGTTGGAAATATAAGGCTGCAAAGGTCAAGGGGAGGACATGTTTGGTAAGGTTGTGGAAGTGAAATCTCCAGGTGTGGCGGGGCCCAAGGTAGGACCACGATGGTTTTTTCATTGTTTTTGTCTTGGGGGCGGTGGGGGTAGTGGTACTGGTGATTGGAATCTTTTCATTGATGATTGTGGTATTGGTGTTTCGAAGATCTGAGCATGAGGAGGAAGCTGAGCAGCTTTGTGGTTGGAGTTGCTGCGTGAAGTAGTCGAGACATGTTTGAATGATTGCTGTGCCACTGCAGAGTTCGGTGCATGTGGAGTGTACTATTCGCAAAGGGACGCTGGGGGTGTCTGGACTGAGATGTATCATCGGAGCAGTGTCTTCGTCTTCGGTTTCCTCGCCTTCATTTTCGTGAGGAAGAGAAGTGGCTGTCACTGTGATTGGTGACTTTGTCTTTGAGTCAAATGCTTCTCGGTGCAGGTTTGCCTGGTCATGTTGACGATGATAGGATGAAAGACGGACTTCTCGAATCAAGTCATTGGCGACCTGGTCGACGGGGACGATGTCAAGTCTTGTGTCCTTTCTCCCGTCCGAGACATGCAGGTATCCTGCTCCCAAAAGACCCACGAATCCGCCAACGGCTGCGCGACTATCGAGCCAGCCTGTGAAGGGATATCTCCATGCCGCGGAGATGATGCTCGGTCGAACGATCGTTACGGGCAAGGAGCCCGCCTTTCGAGATGAGATCAAATTCTCGGCTATGCATTTGGTCAGAGTGTATGTATTGGGTTGGCGACATGACTCCAACAGCTTCTTTTCGTCGACGGTATTGCTCTGGATCGCTCTGTATAGTGACTCCGCTGACTCGGGCAATGGAGTCAGTTCTGGTTTGATTGGAGAGGCGGTATGTGGTGTGACATACGCCGTGGACGTGGTAACCATCTGCTGAAGATGGGGACAGTTCTGGGCCAGGTTGAGTATGTTGAGACAGCTGTCGATATTGGCGCTTGCTGCTTTGGCAAGAGGCATGTCGAAATCTACTGAGGCCGCGCAGTGAATGATGTGCGTGACTTGACTGCAGATTGCTAGATAGCTGTCCAGTGGCAAGCCACAACGTGGAGCCTGGAGATCCCCCTCGACCAAGTGTATGTTTCCAGTCCATCTCTCATCCAGTAGAGAGAAGCAGAGAGATTGAGTCATATGATCAAATCGCTGCTGTATAGTCGTGCCAGCCTTGCTGCGAATCAACAGTAGGATCTTGTGGGTAGGAAGAGTGCCTTGGTTCTTTTGGCGACACAGTTCTTCGAGAACCACTTTTCCTAAGAAGCCTGTAGCACCAGTAAGCAGCACGCATGGTTGACACTCTGTTGCCATGTTCGCTTGCGTAATGAGTTGCCCGGGTGAAAGTAGCGCTGTGTGAAGATGTAGGATCTAATTAGTCGTCCAAGGGTTGAGGCTTCCACAAGATCTTATATCCTGTGGAAGGCTCAACGAAGCGCGCTAATACCATACAAAAATGACAGGCGGCACCTCGATGGCGCTTGTTCTTCCTGTTTAGGATATAGGAAGTTGAGAAGAGATCCTGCGCACTAGATTCGTGGGCCCAGGGATGCTGAGAGTCAACAGACCCTCTCATCCTCTCGCTTTTAAGTGTCTGCTGTGCAGTCATGGGTGTTCGAGACTATTGGAAATGATCCATGATCAGACTGGGCGATCAGGGGTACGACGGCACATACTCTGGATTCCTGCGCCATTGCTGCAAATGTGTTGCTTGCATGCTGCACTAAGAATACATCACACATATCCGAGCCACCGACTAATGGCTTAGTACAAATTGCCGTGACACTGCTGTGGGTTGAGGCCCGAGTGAAAGATAAGATCCAAAAGATCGAGATCTCAGCGAAAGACAGAATCCAGCAGGCTACACATAGAGTGGGGCGATGTAGAAACACACTTAATTGGGTAATTTGGCTATTCAGCCTCGGCCAGCCCTACCTATCAGCCCCCTTTGCTACCCGTGTTTGGAGGACATATCCGGCCCCTAGCCTGGACCCTACTACTGGTCGATCTCCACGTCTTAATTTAGCGAAAAGTACAAGCGACATTTGGCACAGCTTTTGCACATGCTTGCATGCTACAAACAACAGTAAAAGGCGACTTTTGGTGATTCACGCGCTTGATAAGGAGTGGCATGACGCGCGAGACGCCAATGGAGCTGGCCAGTGCAGGGACCCCAGAACGGCTTCTGTCCTCTTAACCGACCTGACAACAGAACCATTATTTTGGCTTGACCAATTCTCGTGTCAAAAGGACTGACCTGCAGAAGGTCATCACTCAGGTGAGCCATGTGGGAACGTGTAGGCCGCCAAATGATTCCACTGGACAATGCCGAATGAAAAAATTGCAAGCCCATTACGACAGTACGCACAGTGGTTGTTTCCGCTTCACCGATAGTGGGTCTAACGGTCAGTCTAGCCTCAGGACGAGGCGAGGTAGTCATTATGGCGAACCCTAGGGCTTCGTGACGGCCTCAGCGCTCCCGATCTGGAGCCTTTTGTGTCTAAAGATAACATCCCTCTCTGGCAAAAGGGTGTCGAAGGGGCGAACTGATAACATATGTGCCGAGGTTTGTGAAGTCGGATCTGAGCAAAGTCTTCAATATGTACGAGCCCCCATTTTCAGTTCATGTTTTCCGTATTGATTTGTTGGCCTCGAGCACATCTAGTGACCCATGTCTACAATATTGGGAACTTTTCACGATTCACCAGTCACAAGGCTCTTCAACTGGATAGGTCCTGGTGACGGCAGTACCTACCCGAATCATGAAGTGCCATCCCCTCCAAGCATCTATAGTGAGCAGGGAGGTGAAGAGCGGCATTCTCTCCAAGATCTGGGAGAGTCCCATGTATCCAGAACCGGGCCGGATTCACAAGGATCTGCAATACATTCTCCAGCTTTTAACTGGGTTCATGAACAACGACAGGAACATCACGACATCTACGAAGATCAAGACCAGTATCAGTGCACATAAGACTAACAACAATAACGACAATACAATCGTTGTTCAGTAGGGCCACGATCAGGATCCCGAGCACCCCAGGAATTGGACAGCGAAGAAAAAGTGCTTTATCGTCTTCGTCATCTGGTAAGTGTGCTTTTCATTAATGGCAGGACCTTTGCAATCGATGCCATGACTCGGATGATGCTAGTTTACTTCTACACAGTCTGTATACCTTCGTCGTCTACTGCGCATCAGCAATCTGTGTTCCCAGCATTCCGTAAGTACTCCTCTGTTTCGCCGCAAAAGGAGGACACCATCTGCAGCTGGAATGCTGACATCGTCGCGAATAGCTACCTGGTCGTCAAATACGATGTCTCCGAGATCACCGCCTCACTCGTGCTGGCCACTTACGTCCTTGGCTGTACGTACAGCACACCACTTCTCTTTACTATTGTACGTGACAAACACTGACCATGCGCCAGATGGCATCGGACCAATGTTCTTCTCGCCATTGAGTGAGATCGCCCTTGTTGACCGCGGTGCGCCTTACATCATCACATTCATCCTCTTCCTTATCATTTCGATCTGTACATCAGTCGTCGATGACTTCGCGGCCTCATAGTGCTACGTTTCTTGCAAGGCTTTTTCGCAGCCCGGCATTGGCTACTGGGGCTGCAACTCTCGAGGACATCTACGACGTCTCCCAGATCCCTTATGCCTTCATCTTCTGGGTTGCCGCAATGTATGGAGGTCCAGCTCTAGGACCCGCAATCTCAGGATACGCTGTTGCAAGCAACTGGCGATGGCCGATGTATGCAATCACAATCATGGCAGGTATTGTGCTGCCATTGCTAGCACTGTTACTCGAGACATCAGAACAGAATATCTTGCTTCGTCGAGCAGCTCGTCTGCGGCGATCGCAGGATGACCACAGATACAGAGCAGCCAGTGAGGTTGGACAACAGGTGGGCTTGAAAGCATTGTTCGCCAACTCGATGATCAAGCCCCTGGAAATCACGGTCAAGGATCCAGCCATTACATTCACGGCAGTCTACTCGGCCATCGTCTACAGCATCTACTACAGCTTTTTTGAAGCCTTCCCGATTGTGTACGAAGGACTCTACCAATTTTCTGTTGGAGCAGCAGGGCTGGTCTTTCTGGTCATCATAATCGCACTGGTCATCATCATTCCCGTGTACACGTGTTACCTCAGGTACGTATTTGCGCCCAAGGACAAAGCCGGACGGACGACCTTCGAGGACCGACTCTATCTGGCTCTTTATGCGACCTGGTTACCTCCGGCAGGACTGTTTTTGTTTGCCTGGACGGCTCGACAATCGGTGCACTGGATCTGGTCCACTGTTGGGATCGGCATCTACGCCGGTTCCAGCTTCGTCGTCTTCCAGTGTCTGATCTGCTACATTCCCTTGTCTTACCCTCGATATGTCGCCAGTTTACTCGCAGCCAACGACTTTTGCCGAAGCACAGTGGCAGCTGCTTTGGTCATGACATCGAGACAAATGTACCTCAAGATGGGCATTGCGCACGCCGTCAGCTTACTCGGTGGATTGAGTTTCACTGGTGTCATCGGCATGTTCATTCTGTACCATTACGGTCATGCGATGAGGGCTCGCAGTAAATTTGCTGAAAGCTAGGTTGGATGTCAAGCAAGATCAAACATGTTTCCGTAGATCAGGTTTACCTAAGCATAGAGGTTTATGGTGAAGCACCAACCAATGGCATCGTTCTGGAAATTCTAGGCCGCGAAAGGAGCACGACGTGGACCAGTCAGGATGTTTTCATAAGGCACAAGCCCACCTATCGGCCATCGGATGGCCACACCGGCAAAGGGACTCCGTCACTAAATAAAAGTCATCATCGTCCTTATCAGTGGTTTCTTCCCTATCGATAGTGGCGCGAAAATATTTTTTCCCTTCGTTTGGCTTCCCGGGCGACAACATTGCCCCTCCTTTTGCCACAACCCCGGACAATTTCGAAGGGGGCGCAGATGTGTTTAGACATCGACCGTGACGGTCTGTGAGGTAGACGGTGGGCTCAGCTCGACAGCGACGGCGACAGGGGCAATATTGTGGCTGCTTACACATTGCCGCCCCTTGCCCCTTAGACTCTTTGAGTGCGTGCCCGACGTCTCGATCTGACGTGGTAGGCGCATTGATGTAGCCCGTAGAATCGAGAGTCCTTCCAAGCATCCCGCATGATGATTGTCACAGAAAGCACTAGGGTCTGGGGGAAGAGGGCTCTTGTGGTTGCCCGTCTGAGGCTGACAGAAATAGATCTCCTTCGAGAAGCCCAAGAGTGACACTGCAGGTCAGGGGCAGCCACGGCAGAACATGTAACAGCGCCATACTCGTAGGACTATGGTGCGCTGTAGTCCGCCATGTCGTATGTCCAGCATGATAGTATTTTGGGTCCTTTTGGGCTCTTCGAGACACTTCGCCGAGGAAGAGAGATCGACGGCAAATTATTAATATTGAGATAGACTCGTTTGATTGGCAGGAAAGAGTATTCGTGGGTGATGGGAATTCTGAGTTCTGGTGCGTAGTTTGCTCTGGGATTCGGGACTGCGGCGGCGAGAGCGAGTGAGAGCGGTCAGGGCCTGGGAAACGATGGGGCGCTAGGGAAAAATTTTTGGGGGGTCCCTCGATCCAAATAAAATCTGCCACCGTTGCTGCCTCGACACTGACCTCTTTTTCTCCCTTCACATCCATCCATCTCTCCCTTCACCACCCTCTCCTCTTGCATTTACTCTTATCATAGAGTTCTTGCAACCGTTTTTTCTCTGTTCTAATAGACCGCCGGTTAGAGCAAGAATTGCCTACGAGCGCAGTCCGTGGGCACCAATTCACCCACAGACCGCTGTTTCTCAGCGCCCTCATTGAAAAATCCGATCTTGAAAAAGGTCGACCCTTAATCCTTTCCTTACCACCCTTCGAACCTCGAATCGAAAGTTTGCTGCGAAATGCCAGCAGTCGACAACATGACTTCCACACCAGTATCCTCCGCAAAGGAGACCAAGCAGTCCCTCGCCACCCTTGAGCAGATGTTGCAAAAATTGTCCGTGAGCAAGACTCAAGATGAGGCAAATGAATCCGCCAACAACCTCGCCACTCTCCTGAACGGCCCCATTGAGGAGCACGCTGTGCCCCAGAAGGCATTGGAAACCTTCAAGAAGCAACTTGCCAACAAGAAGGATGCTCTCGTCAGAGAGCGTGCCGTTGAGGGCATCAAGGCCATTGCCGCGCACTCCACCATTTCACCTGCGGTCGAGCCATATCTGATTTCCTTCCTCCCGCTCACCCTTGCCGCCGTCGGTGACAAGATGGTCTCTGTCAAGAACGCTGCGCAGGCCGCATCCCAAGCCATCGTCCGAGCCATCAACCCCAATGCCGTCCGGGCCGCCCTTCCTCACATCCGAAGTTCCATCATCACTGCCCAGAAATGGCCAGAAAAGATGAACGGCCTCGACTGCATCGAGACATTGGTCGAAACCGCGCCTACCCAACTTGCTTTCCTCGTTCCTACGCTGCTTCCGATCGTTTCCGAGTCGATGTGGGATACTAAGCCCGAAGTCAAGAAGAAGGCATACGGCACTATGGAAAAGATCTGCAAGTTGATTGAAAACAAGGATATCGAAAGATTCATCCCCGAGCTGATCAAGTGTATCGCTAAGCCTGAGAACGTTCCTGAAACCGTTCACTTGCTTGGTGCTACCACCTTTGTCACCGATGTCCATGAGCCTACACTGGCAATTATGGTTCCCCTGCTTGAGCGTGGTCTGGCTGAGCGTGAGACCGCCGTTCGAAGAAAGGCTGCTGTCATTGTCGACAACATGTGTAAACTTGTCGAGGATCCCCAGATTGTTGCCGCTTTCTTGCCCAAACTGATGCCTGCTCTTACCAAGAACTTCGAGACCATGGCCGACCCTGAGGCACGTGAGAAGACCAAACAAGGTCTTGACACTCTTTCACGTGTTGGTGCTGTTAAGGAAGATGGCAGCTTCCCTGAGGTTTCTAAGGCCGGTGAGATTTCCACCGTGTCCGAGATCCTCAAGTCCATCCTTGAGCAGAAGCACAAGGACGCAATTGCCAAGTCTGAGCAAGTTATTGAGTACGTCTCCGCCATTGCCGGTCAGTTAATCGACGAAAAGGCCACAGAAGCCATCGAGTGGGTTACCAACACCCAGGAGTTCCTCAAGACTATTGTTGGCGAGACTGATGCAGCGGCTGTTGCCGACTCACTCCGCAAGCGTGCCTCTCCAGGTATCGAGGAAGAGGCCGAGGCTGAACCTGATGACGAAGAGGGCGAGGATCTCTGCAATTGCACATTCAACTTGGCCTACGGTGCTAAGATTCTCCTCAACCAAACTCACCTCCGTCTAAAGCGTGGTCAGCGATATGGTCTTCTGGGACCCAACGGTTCCGGCAAATCCACTCTCATGCGTGCCATCAACAACGAACAGGTCGAAGGTTTCCCCAAGAAGAGCGAGGTCAAGACCGTCTTCGTCGAGCACGACCTTGACGCCGCCGATACCGAGCTTACCGTCATCGGCTGGACCATGATGAAATTGAAGCAAGTCGGTATTGAGACGTCAAAAGATGACATCGAGAAGCAGCTCCTTGAGTTTGGTTTCCTTCAATCACAATTCGAAGGTCTGATCACCTCACTCTCTGGCGGTTGGAAGATGAAGCTTGCCCTTGCCCGTGCCGTGTTCGAGAATCCGGATATCCTGCTGCTTGACGAGCCTACCAACCATCTGGACGTCAAGAACGTGGCTTGGCTCGAGGACTACCTCAAGAACTCTCCGTGCACTTCTATCATTGTCTCTCACGACTCCAAGTTCTTGAACAACGTCATCCAGCACGTTATTCACTACGAGCGTTTCAAGCTCCGCCGATACCGTGGTAACCTGACCGAGTTCGCCAAGAGAGTGCCATCTGCTCGGTCCTACTTTGAGCTTGGTGCTTCTGAGATGGAATTCAAATTCCCCGAGCCTGGTTTCCTCGAGGGTGTCAAGACCAAGGCCAAGGCCATCGTCCGTGTCAGCAAAATGACCTTCCAATATCCAGGTACCGACAAACCTCAGATTCAGGATATTACCTTCCAGGTCTCTCTTGGTTCTCGTATTGCCGTCATTGGCCCCAATGGTGCCGGCAAATCTACCCTGGTCAACGTTCTCACTGGTGAATTGATCCCCACGCAGGGTGAGGTCTACCAGCATGAGAACATCCGTATTGCTTACATCAAGCAACACGCTTTCGCTCACATCGATAACCATTTGGACAAGACTCCATCCGAGTACATCCAATGGCGTTTCCAGACTGGTGAAGATCGTGAGACCATGGATCGTGCCAACAAGATCGTCACTGAGGATGATGAAAAGGCCATGGACAAGATCTTCAGGGTTGAAGGAACCCAACGTCGTGTCATTGGTATCTCCTCCCGAAGAAAGTTCAAGAACTCCTATGAGTACGAGTGCTCGTTCGCCCTTGGTGAAAACGTCGGCATGAAGAACGAGAAGTGGACGCCTATGATGACTGCGGACAATGCCTGGCTTCCTCGAAACGAGCTTCTGGCTTCTCATCAAAAGATGGTCGCAGATGTTGATCAGAAGGAGGCTCTCGCCAGCGGTCAATTCCGACCCCTGGTCCGTCGCGAAATCGAGCAACACGGTGCCAACTTCGGTCTCGATACCGAACTCATCTCCCACTCCCGGATGCGTGGTCTCTCTGGTGGTCAACGTGTCAAGGTCGTGCTTGCTGCTTGCACGTGGCAACGTCCTCATTTGATTGTCCTGGACGAGCCTACCAACTACCTCGACCGTGACTCCCTCGGTGCTCTGTCCAAGGCTCTCAAGACCTTCGAGGGTGGTGTCGTCATCATCTCTCACAACGCTGAGTTCACTGAGAGCTTGACCAACGAAGTTTGGTCTGTCGTGAGCGGCCGAATGACGCCATCTGGACATAACTGGGTTACCGGACAAGGTGCTGGTCCTCGTCTAACCGACAAGGGAGACGATGAGGAAGACAAGTTTGATGCCATGGGTAACAAGATTGAAGGCAACAAGAAGGCCAAGAAGTTGACATCGTCTGAGCTCAGAAAGAAGAAGAAGGTTGGTGACAATTCTTCATATGCTCACAATGATATGTGCTAACATGATATCAATAGGACCGTATGGCTCGCCGCAAGAGAGGTGAAGAAGTGTTCTCCGATGAGGACGACTGAGCGACAGACATCCAGACCTTTTCACGCAATCACGGCTTCGAAGATGCATTCACCGGCGTTTATTACGACATGATATTCCTGGGCAAGTGTATTCGGCAATGTTTTTTTGAAATGCTTTGAGTTGTCTTTCGACTATTCAGGTCCAAAGAACAAAAGAAAAGAATGGCGATAGAGAGTCGTTGCATGATATCCTTGACGATAGACTAAGAGAGTCGATTGAGACGATCAGCCATCCATAGATAGTGGCATGTTGCCGAATGCAAAAATGTTGAACAAAGATTGAACAGTATTGTTTTCTTACATGGAATCTTGCACCTCATCTACACTGCCTCCTAACCTGATCATGCTGAACGTATCATCCTGTCGTGGATTTCACGTAACATTGGAAAGCGAATGCTACATTACAGGAATGGCCTTAGCGAACTTTCCGGTCCACCAGTCTTATTTAGTTTACAGCGCCATAGAAACTGGTTGCTGGTCTTCACGGAGAAATATGACTTCAGATTTTTGAGTACATAAAATGCATGCCTCTTCTCGAGAGTAAATGACGGGTATCATATCAAACAGCCTGATCCCCCTAGATTTTGAACGACATCAAACACAGCCACTTGGCTCAACGGTCAGATTTTGAACCGGGACAAATCGCCCTACGCCTCGCTAAAACCAAGAGAAAGAAAAGGACAAAATAAAGCTTATACTGGGCGACTCTTGCAGAGAATCACATGTTTTCCACGAATCGTCCACCACTGCGAGCACTGCTTCTGCTCACATGGCTGCCGTCGTGACTTGACAAGCTTCGGCCAACTCCATCTCTTTGACCAGGGACCAAGAGCCCAGTCGGTAGTGGTGGCGCGTCGTCGTCCAAAGCAGGTGCCTGCTGAATGGGCAATCTGATAAAACTGGCGGCGGGACTGAGAGTGACCGGAGTTCGAGCAGGACTTGGCCGCATCACAGCATATCCATCGGGCCGGCTAGGTGTGGTCAATGACACTTGACTGCTGTTCTGTTGTGCATCGGCAAAGTCTCTGGCACTTGATCCGGGCATTATTCCACGCGTTGCTGTTGTCGGTGAAGAGGGGAAAGTGGGCGAGTGACTACCCGCGCCGCCATAGAAGCCTGCGCTATCACGATAGAAGGTAGACCCAGCAAGGCCTCTGTCCGCGTTGCGCAGTGGATCCGAGGGACCAGCATGAGTGTCTTTCTCGAAGGCGCCATAGTTCCCCCCGTAAGGATCACCATTATTACCCAGCACCGGAGCGATCTTCCTCCCAGCTATCCGCCGAAATCCACGTTCCGACTCTCTCATGCTGGGGTCTGTGCCACCAGTGGCCGTGGTTTCGGTTGTTTGAATGCTGTTTGGTCGAAGTCGCTTCAAGCTGTTCGCAAAAACAGCAGCAAAGGGTACATTGGAGGATCGTTGGGACATGGCGTAGGAAGGGTTCGAGCCGGTGGTGAGCTCCCTTGCAGAAATCTGCTCGGGCAATTGACCGCGTGCTTTCAGTCGACGGCGATACCATCGAAGGATGACAAGCACAATAAGCAGCAAGATTGCGATCCCAGCAACGCCTCCAACCACTCCTCCCACCACTTGTTGTTGCGTAGGAGTCAAGCCCGTGCTGCTTCCACCTCCAGAGCCTGAAGTACCGGAGGCCGAACTCGACGTAGCCGCTGCACCAGATGATGCTGTTGTGGAGCCAGCAGCCCCCAGATCCGCAGAGCCTGATGAAGACTCGCTTGTAGAGGTCGCGGAAACACCAGATGTCTGGGAGGTCCCCGAGTAGACTGAGGGAGTACTTGTGAGCTCGCCAAATGTGAATGTAGCAGAGGTACTCGTCGTACCCCCATCGCTTGTCGTCTCGGTGATTGTGAGGCCATTTGAATTTGTGGTGGTAAAGACACTGTTGGTGGTAGACTCTGCCACAAAGAGAGTGCCATTTTGCAAGGATACTTCGTAAGTCGACGTGGCTGTGACCGTGACAGTGTTTTGTGCTGAAGTACTGCTCGATTCTCGAAATGATGTGGTGCTGTTGCTGAACGATTCGCTGATGATGGGCCCGGCAGAACTCGACGCAGTGTTTGTTGTGATGGCTGAGCCGTCAGTAGTCTGGCTTCCGGTTGCAGAAGTTGAAGCGGTCTGCGAACCGGAGGTGATTGTTTGTTGGGATGATTCGGCTGTACTGCCACTGGCTGCCGGGCTTGTGCCTGAAACCCCAGCTAACGTCACCGATACGGATGCGGAGGCTCCAGCAGACACTGCAACAACCGTAGCAGACGTCCCAGCAGTCACTTCTGTAAGTTTTGAGGTGGAGGTCCCATCATTGACATTGATCTCAACCACACTGGCGGTGACCGTGGCATCGGGTGCTCTTGGTCGGAGATAGATTCCAGCTTTGCCCCGCGGATGAATATGTCGAGGAACTCTTTCGTATTGACCGTAGATGTTTCTTCTTTGGAAATCCGACAGGCTGAGAGTGCGACTTGCGATAATAGGCGTGTCAGGGTCGCCTCCTCGGATACCCATTTCTGAAGTAAATAGACCTTCCGTCATTCTGGACCCAGTATCGCGTGGGTTTCGTATTTCTGGGTTTAATATTTTCACCCTTTTCGCAGGTCTTTCCATTTTCCCGGAGTGATCAATGTGTACATCAAGTAATGTGGTGGACTGGACTAGTTTTCAATTCGCTTTGGTCGGTTCGTATGGTTCGCAGAGACGATTTTTTTGGGTAGAGTGTTTCTCGACAGTGGTAATGGTGTGCGTTATCGGCGAACGACGGCGCGGTGAGCAAATGTAGGGCTTCGAGCGGATAAAATGAGTGACTGATTCAAAACGAACGGCAGCTGGCGAAAAGCTCAGCGAGGGCGAAGTTGGTAAAGGGAATGTCTGCGCCCGGCACGAAATACAGTGTTAGTGGTTGCATCTAAGACATTCTGACCGGGGTGGCTTTGGAGTGGGTATGCACCTCGAGAATAGCTATCGCATGTCGCAATATTGAGAGTCTCTCTCTACCAGCTTGCGTTCAGGTGTTGGCGACGGAGGTGGATAAGTGGTGAAGAAAATGTCTATGATCGTCGATTCATAGCAAATGGTTGTTGTCTTTCGAGCTCCGTCCTTCTCTTAAAATGCTCCCAGCCCCAGACAAAACACTGGGTGGAGTATCAAAGTCGTACTATTGGAGACAAATTGCTTAGGACGGGCAATGGCGATTAATGAAGGTAGCAGGTGTAACAATCGACACGCGACATTGTTGTGAAGACGACGAGGACGACGAAACCGAAAAGGGTCCTCCAGAGAAGACAAGGGGGGCTCGTATAGTTAATGGTGTGGAAGTGGCCGATTGAAGGGGATACGAACTTTCGAAGGAGAATAACTGATGAAAGGCGCAGCGCAGGCAGATGAGTGGCAGGGCAGAAAGACAGAGAGACAGAGACAGTCGACAGACAAGACAGACGCCTGTGGATAAACCCTAAGCCTAGTGCTCTAAGGCTCCCCAACCTAAAGGGCGGGCGCCATTTGGCAAAGTCCTAGTTCAAGGGGCGCAATGTCTTCTATTGGGTTGAACGAGTCCTAGCGACTGTTAGCGGCCATTAGCGCTCCGTAGCCCGCGTTTAGCCCGCACTGTCCACGACTGTTCCTGCAGCTGGCGCATCTGGTCGGAAATGAAGCCACCGACACTTGGTGGCATTGGGTCCATCAACTGTCGAATGAATCTCTTTTCTTCTTTTCATCCTCCTCCACTCTAGAAATTTGTTCATCAAAAACCTTTCCATCAAATTTCCTAGTCTCCTCAGCTCTACCTGTGCCATGGGAAGCTGCCCCCCACCGAGAGGAAAAGCCAACCAGCGCCTTGCATCTCGATGAGTTTGGGTGTAACGGTCTGAGGTCTCTTCGCGTGCAGCATCTCGGCGACGAGGGCCATCCCTGCCCATCTCCGTCTTTCAGAAGAAAAACCCCTGCTCGGACATGCATCCGGATGTTGTGCATTTCCTCTCACACGGCGCTTGGTCAGAGCCTTGTCCCTTTGAACCTCGCGTTTGCGGTGCTCTTCGCAGGCTTTACGTTTGCTTGGGCGGCTTCGAAAGATTATCCGCAAGCGCAGAACATCCAGTGCCTTCCACAATCGACCTCTCTTCAGCTTCATAACGTTGCACACACCTCTTTGAGAGCAGACAACCTAGGTGGTGTAAAGCGATTGCACAAGGTTGACCATGGTGATGTTGAAACTGTAGTGTTGATTGGCTCAAACATGGAGCATTCTCGCCATGCTACCAGGTCTGAGGTAAGCGGATCAGTCGCGTGCTTCTCGTTCACATCTTTTTCTTGAAACATGAACTCAATTTCTGGAGACAAGGCTGCCCTTGCTTGTTGACTCCGGCAAGGATGGTATGCCTTGACGAGCTGCTAGGTCAGCGGCTCCGTGGCTTGGATTTCCGCACTGCACACCTCAGCTCGATGCTACATTGCTCGAGGCCGAGTGATTGGCTTGAGAGATGGTAAGTTGCTCAGGCTCAGACTCATTTTTACAGCGGTTTCAGGAGATCGGTGGCGTCTACTCGTTTTCCATGAGTCGTCAATGGCAATCTCAACCCTTGGAGCCACTCGTCAACAGATTTCCTGACTCACGACTGAGGGAAAGGACCAACGGTGCTGAAGCTGCCCAGATCTTTCTGAGACTTGCTCTTCCGTAATAAACTGACAATCACCAACACATACACAGGACCAAGCGGGGTGAGTTCTCCAACTCTAAGTTGCCTACCGAGCAAGCCGAGCTACTTACTAGTTACCAAGGTACAGATCATTGCGGGTTTGAATGCTCACACATCAAATGCGGGGTGACAGCCAAGGTAGGCTGGAGAGCATGCGCTTTCATAACCCATGTTTGCCAGCCATTTCTTCTCATAGAGTTGATGTTCTGATCGGAACACCATGTCAGGAACATCAACCCCGTTTTCCTCCTTGACGGAGTCCGCCGTCTCGGACATCGAGACCACGATCAGTGACGATGCCCAATATCGAGCATGCTCGGTCGGCATCAGCCTATGCTTCCGGATCAGCTCTCACGACCAGGACGACCAGATAGTGTACGATATCAAGGAAGATGCCATCAAAGTCTACCTGCGATGTCCGCAGACCCTTGAACCTCGATTCACGCTACATGCAAAGTCTGAGCACTGGGACCTGTTCTTTGCTGCACAGCCCAAGCGTCCCTTTCAATCCTATTGGGGAATGCTAAGAATTCTGGGACAAGAATCGGGCGTCGAGGTGACTGGCGATTTCGCGTCGTTCCTTACTTACGCTTTGTTGTGGCGGACAATCCTCGACCGCACTCGTGATCAGATCCAGTCACATATAGCCAGTGCCTCTGACCAAAGCTATGCGTCCGACGACGAACTGGACGATGATTCGATCATCGGACATTATACCTGGATCAAGTTGTCCCGCTTGGGCAAATGCAAGATATTCTATGAGACTTCTGGAAGAGGAGATCAACAAATACTCTTCCTCCATACTGCTGGGGCAGATTCGCGCCAATTCCATTCTATGATGATGAACAGGAAGCTTCAGGAAATGTGTACCATGTATGCGTTTGACCTCCCAGGCCATGGTCGCTCGTTTCCCGGGAGCACTCAATATCCTTGGTCTTATGCAAATTCGGAGGAACTCTATGTCTCGGCAATAGCACAGATTATCGCAAAGCTTGACCTAAAACGTGTCATCGTGTCAGGTGCCAGTATGGGTGGCCAGGTATGCCTCGCTGTTGCACTACGAGCAGAAGAATTGAACGTCAGTGGTGTCATACCTTGCGAAGCCTGTGACTATCTCCCCAAACAGCGAGCTCAAACGATATATGGCCTGGCCGGCGATGAGTCTGTTCTCAATCCTGAGCGTGTATGCGGGATGATATCTCCCACCTCTCCGGAGATATACAAGAGATTGAATTGGTGGATTTACTCGGCTCAAGCGACCAGCATGTTTCCAAGTGACTTGTTGTTCTACTTTGAAGGCTGGGATGGTCGCGATCGAATGGCTCAAATTGATACCGAGGTGTGCCCAGTCTACATGCTGACAGGAGAATATGACTATAGTTGCACTCCTGACGCCAGCCGAGCCACCGCCGCAAAGATTAAAGGCGCGGTTTTCGAAGAGATGAAACGAATGGGCCACTTTCCATTCAGTGAGAATCCATCGGCGTTCTTACCATATTTCCTTCGAGCTTTAGAGCACGTTGTTAGTCGGCAAAGGTTGGACACGAAGCCGCACTGATTGTTGCACAGAGATGTATACGTATATACCAATGTTTCAAAGAATCACTTGTCCTCCATCTGCCCGGTAGATATCTCCGCCACTACTCGTATATATGATACACAAGCACGACAAGCAATCTGAGAGATCGATCAGGCCACCGGGCGTCGATCGGCGCCGCCTCATCGTCAGATCTCATGCAGGAACCCACACTCGTGCCTAGGAACTGTCCTAGCATGATCCGGCTTGGTACAAGGTGCATGTGCGTACTACCTCGTACATTATGGCTGCTTATTGCTCCTTATTTCTCTCTTCCTCCAGCCTTTGTTCTCAATCGCCTCGTTCGTGCTCAAAGTGAGAACTCTCACTACCGCAGTCTGGATCAATTGTCCAGAATTGCGACATCGAAATGACCCTGGCACTTTCGTTGGTCCACTCTCTCGAGAAGTCCTCGCTGGACTGCTAGCTAGGGCTAATTCAATGCCTGTGAACTCTGTTTTGAGTTTCCCAGTGAGGACTTTGGCTCCATAGCAGGATTATCTTCTTAGACCCAGAACAAGAATACCATCATCTCGACGAAGGATGAATGCTGCTCGAGAACCTAGCCAAGGCCGCAGAGCAACAGTGGGAACTACTTCGAGCAGGAAATACTCCCCTCCGAGCTTTCTTACACATTCTACTTGGCCGGTTACAAAGACTCCATCAGGGAAAGGACTATTTCCAAATGGGTGTCGAGTGCCGCAGTGCCCGAATAAGAACTGCAAGCTCACCAGTCATCGCCTCTACGACCACACAGCGCTGCGGCGCGTGGCGAACAGATTGGTGGTGAAGCGCGTCGAGTCGCCAGAGGCTCCGATCGGCCGAGAAGGAGTTGATGGGATAGGCCAGCTGCCTATCGACGGTGAATTGGACTCTCAGTTTCGGGCGTTGTTCCATCATTTCTTCGATTCGGTGTTTGACAGACTGGCCGACATATTTCGAGGGCCTCTGCTTGTACCGGGTTACAAGACACGCATGTTAGGTGTCGCGATGTCAAATCAGGCCTATTGCATGGGACTTATTACCCAGGCTCATACCGATATGGCGCTTTCGAGAGGCGCTTTTCATGAGACACGAGATTCCCTCGGATTGTACACGAAACTCATCGGAATATTCCGCACACAGCTCGCCGCAAGCACCGGTCAAAGTCGGCCTGACCCACTGCACATCGAGCTCGCTCTGCTCGTCCTGTGCATTCTGCTTTCATACAACGTGACACGAGGGCGAATCAGTGAGCTACGCATGAACTGGGCCGCTCTGCAACACCTCGTCAGTCTAAGAGGTGGTGTCCATTATCTCACCGTGTCACTCGCATATGTTGTACACGTTGACCGGTTGTGTGCTACTACGTCTGGCGTTTTACCGACTTATATGAGTTCGGGAGGCCGTCTACGACTCTTCAATCGTCCTCCGTGGTCGAAATATAGCCCGGGATTTTCCAAGCTTGAGACGTCGCCCACGCTGGCTGTGGATATTCCGGTACGGGAACAATGCCTAAGTACATGCGAATTGCTCGCCTTGTATGACGCTTTTCACTCTCCAAAAGGGAAAAATCGACACACCGTTTTATCACCTCCACCTAGTCCGGAGTATCTGTACTATCTCCGCGACCAAGTGGATGAGCAGTTTGCCATCCTCTATGCAAGTACTCTGAGGCAAGACACGCCTTCGAGGTGTATCTTGCTGGCAACCAGGATTGTCGAATATCCCGTGACGTGGGCCAATTATGTGCCCACAATGACCATGGACTTGTGCGGCGAGCTACGTGGTATGTTACGCCGGCAGGACCTGTTTGAGTGCTGGTCGGATTCGTTGGACGTCCTAAGCTGGATTCTCTTCGTTATGCTGGCAAGCCCATGGCCTTTTCAGGGGAGAGCATGGGCTGTCGTTCATCTACGCGGTATTATAGGGGCAAGATATGGGGCTGCGGCCTGGCCAGAAGAATGGAGGGCCGAGGAGCTCGGGAACTTGACGGCTTATGCCTGGAATGAGAGACATTATTCCTCAAGGCTTGAACAAGTCTTCACAGAGCTAGAGATGGGCGGCTTAGCCAGTGCGTCAAGAAGAGAAGCGATCATGGCGCATGATACGATTACTACTTCGATCAAGGCCGAACCTTGATAGTTATATTCATAGATCTATCCAGAGATTTGAACATATCTCCAAGGGCGAGGCCATCATCACGAGATGAAAAGACTGACATAGAACTCCACAGTGTTATGATGCCGAGACATTCCCATTGACATTCCCGCCGCATCCGTGCCTTTTTTTACGTTCCCCCACATTTTTCATCTTGCGGCAATTAAAGTCCCCATTGACTAAAGGAATGACACGCGTCACTAAAGGTGTATGCATTGGGTCTTGATCTTCGCGACCATCTCGATCCTTCTTCCCTCGAGGTGCAGACCCTGCTCTGTGTCTACAACGTGGACAGGAAAATGTCCGACACTACGTTGCTGTTTGGAAGAGCATCGTTCAGTCGTTGATATCGGCGATTTCTGCCTCAGTCGGCACTGAAGGTGGTGGACCATTGTTTGTGTCAGGGGTCTAGCGATGCAGCACGACTCCGGGGACAGGACCTCGCCCAGTTTGGGCAATCATGGCCACTCCAGCCGACATGGTCATCAGCAATACCAACATGAGATGACTGCGTATGGGCGTGCCGACAGGCGCACAAGGACGCCCAGTCCATTACCGCCTCCTGAAGACGTAATCAGGAAATCTCAAAATGAATCGACCTTCACAGGTCAAGGTCTCCAGGCGCCACCTCGCCTTCACTTTCCGGCAGAGTTGGCTCTACTGGAAGACGAGATTGAGCAACCTCACGAGAAAACGTTACCGAGGCCTGGCCAGGACAACGCCAATGATATCCAGGAATATCAACATCACGGCTTTTGGAAACACCTGCGAGAATTCTGGACCGACCTCAAAAGCGACTTTGGTGCTCCCGATTCTCATCATGAGCGGATCGACTCCATGGGCGACACTGGTATTGATGTTCAAGAACTGAAAAGGCTTCAGAAGCATGCCAGAGTCTCTAGCCTCGTCGGTTCTTCCTTGTTGCTCTCAGCACCAGGCTTTGGCCATGGAGTTTCAACTCCACATTCTCGATCCGGATCCGGCAGTGGTTCCAATACTCCATCGACGCCAATGAGACTGCATGACTTTGGTGTCGACGCTCACGACGTCACAAAAGCTTTGCACAAATTGAAAGACAAGATCGGCCATCCGAGCGGTGCAAAAGAGGCCAGGTATGTGCAAACCAAGAGCGAGATCGCCTCCCGCAGGTCTGTCGTGCTCCTCCTCACCTATGCATTCATGCTGTACGGAGCACCCTCGCATCGCATCGAAGAGTACGTCATGTACCTATTCAAAGTCTGTGGTCTCGATGGTAGAGTCAATTACATGGTCGGCTGTACGGAGATCTGCTTCATCAATGAACCAAACTCAGCAGACCCAACTAGCCGATACTCTTACACCACACTTGTCAAAGCTCAAGGTCTTGATGTCGGTAAATTGCATGGTGCCTTTCGCGCTTACAAGGACGTGATACACGGTGAGATTTCGATCGAGGAGGCCGAGAAAAGGCTCGTCCAGTTGATTGGGGCCCCGCCATACTACAAGCCGTGGATCCTGGTGCTGCTGTACGGCGTCGCGAGCGCCCTGGTCTGCGTGTGGGCCTTCAAGGGCTTCTGGACAGATATGGCTCCCGCATTTGTCCTCGGATCGGCTGTCGGCGTGCTGCAGATCATCGTCGTATCTCGAAATCCATTGTACACGAATGTCTTGGAAGTCACGGCCGCGGTGATTACTTCTTTCGGCGCACGAGCCTTTGCCTCGATCGGCGGATCCAGCCAGAAGTACTTTTGCTTTGGGGCCATTGCGGAAGGTTCAATCGCCATGCTTCTGCCCGGATATATCGTCTTGTGTGGAGCTCTGGAGTTGCAATCCAAGTCGGTGACGGCCGGGTCGACGAGACTGTTCTACGCCGTCATTTACTCGTTGTTCCTGGGTTATGGAATTGATGTCGGTTCACAGTTGTGGGCGCTCATTTACCCGAATGCGCCCACATCAACAACTTGCCCCCGCGCAGTGGATCCACATTGGAAGATCCTGCTGGTCCCTTGCTACCTGACTTTCCAGGCCATGATTCTCAGGAGTCGACCGATCCAAATTCCCTTGCAGGTGCTCTTCGGCTCCGCGGCGTACACGGTCAGCTACTTCGTCAGTCAACATGCGACGGCGCAGATTGCAGATACTGCATCTGCTTTCGTCCTGGGAGTCTTGGGACATTTGTATTCTCGGTCGCGGCACGGATTTGCGTTTGCCTCCATCATTGCCGGCATCATGGTGTTGGTGCCTGGTGGTATCTCCGCGCAGGGTGGTCTCGTCTCGGGCATTGCGGTTCCGCTGTTCAGCAACAGTACGGTCGATGCGCAGGAAAAGTACTCGCAGAATCTCTATCAGTCTTTTAGCGTGGGCGCTCAGATGATTCAGGTGGCTGTTGGACTGTCCGTCGGGCTGCTGCTCAGTGCCCTTTTTATTTATCCTCTTGGCCGGAAGAACAACGCCTTGTTTTCATTCTGAGCCACTACGAGGCTGTCTGGGATGATCCGGACTGTCGCCAGGCTAACGTCACCGCGCCACTATCACAACAATTGACCCCCAATCTAACGTGTTTCCAGATTGCAAGGGCACTCAAACACGAGTTCCAGACTGCCACGGACGAACAGAAAGAAGAGATCTGTCGGATCCTCCTGCGCTTTATCGAGTTCATGTCGGGCCAATACGGCGTCAGCAATACGGCGTCAGCTTCGATCCAGTCCAAATCCTCAACCTCAAGGTCGAGGACCTCAACCTCCAGGGGAGCGAGCAGCAAGAAGAGGGGGAGCAGGATAAAGAGGAGGAGGATGAAGAGGAGCAAGAGGAGGACGACGGCGACAAATACTATGATCCCAACGCCAATGATCTCAGCATCACGCTGACAGACCACACGCAAACCACCAAAACAAAGAAGGAGAAAGGTGCCGAAGGCACGTACGAATTGAACACCCTCCGACTAGCACTATCTCCTAATGTCGATGTTGCTCGGTTGGTCGGCCTCCGTGACCAGCTGATCGTTACTCTGTCGACGACGACTCGGAAGCGGCCTATTCTCGACCCCGAGGAGGGTAAACTCATTGCTCAGCCACCCGAGCCTCCGGTTCTCGACGACAAGAAGAAAGTCTACGCGGTAGCGAATTATCTCTTTCACAATGTCATCGGTCAGCCAGCCTATGGACGCCTGGTCACTCTTGTGAACTGGTAGAATTCTCTCACCGAAGGCGAGCCGAGTGTTGCACAGCGTGCTCTCCTTGCCAGCAAGGACCTCAGTTATCCCGAAATCGCACGAAATCTGTTCCAAGCATGGGCACTTACCGAGTCCTCTTCGGTCAAGACCAATACATTCCACCGTGTAATCATGGGTAATGTCGGCCGTGTCTAGGTCTACACCTACTATAGTCGCATAATCCTCGCGGCAATCAAAGACGAACGAGGTGTACGCCTGGCACTTAACCGTGCCGGCCTCTACACAAGACAAGGTTACCCATGGGGGTCGTGTGTCAAAGGGTCACCGAGCTCGTGCTGGGTATCACGAACCCCAACACTATTCCCAACCGCCTCTAAGAGGCCCAACATGTTGTTTCGTTTACCAAATTCTATGGCGACGGCTTCCTCCTGCTCATGCCTACAAGCTTCGTCGGAACGTAAGTGTCCCATAGTTCCCCTGCTTGCCGTCGTGTTTTGGACCTCGCTGACCAATCTTCCAGCTTCAAGCCATTCGGCATCAACAAGGTCGAGGCCATCGCCACCCGCTTTCACCAGATCCTGGGAGACAGTCCCTTGGTCGAGATGTGCACTGTGCTCAACGCCGTGATCCTCACCAAGCTTCGCGCCGGGGTCCACCTGAATGTCAAGCTCGCCGCCGGCCGCCATGAATCTTTCCAAACCCGACACTCAGCTTGCAAGAGATCGAAGTCCATCACCGCCTTCCTTGGCGATCGAGGCTCACTTTCTGCCAGTACCTTTTTATTCAAGGTTAATATACCAAAGTCCCTCAATTTTGGTCACCAATTCCTCACTGGCTCTGGGTCTCATCGAGGCTATCAAACTAGCACCGGGCTAGAAGGCGTGTCAGTGACGAATTTGGTCGCCAGTTCGATCCCCCCTCCGACCCGCACAAAAGTCGACTTTTCGATCAAAACTTCTCGACGACAAATTTCTAGATCTTATCTGGTCAAACTAGCACCGGGCTAGAAGGCGTTAAGAACTCGACTCGAAATCCCCTGATCCTGCGAACCAGGATCTCGACGACAACCGAATCGGAAAAAGCCTGCGAACCCGGCTTTCACTTACCATGACCCCTACTCAACAGGGTTCATGGCAAAGTTTTTGCTTCTTTTCATTGTGCTCTAGCTACAACTTTCCTCACAGTGTGTCTCGCAGAGACACAGTACGTCCCAGAATAACCGGGTGCTGGAACATGTGACCGCTCAAGCGAAAACACTTTGTCATCATCATGGTCGTCGCCATCGGATTCATGCCCATTTCAACGAAGACAGGATCCCCACTTTCAGGCGTTCTAGAACCCACAACTATACTCGTTTGAGCCACCAAGCCTATGCTTGGGCTGTTCGGCTTCCTCCTGAATGAACTGCTCGGTGTCCAAAAGGATCTGTCAATGAGAGTCCCTCTTCCTTACGCTGAACACCTCCGCCCTGTAATTTCGACTGTTTTGCTCGCAACCAACCCATATGGAAAAGAGGTATCGCCGAACAGTGTGGGCCCGTTGCGTTTTGGAACTCGAGAGGAAGTCGAGACAGAAAGCTATGAGACTGAGGCCACCTAGCTGCGCAGTGAATGACCAACTATATTATTCCCAGAACGACCCTTTCTTTGCAGTGCCATGCGTGAACATCTTTGATTTCCTTGCATTCTCCGGTCACATTTACCGTTTACAATGCTTCGATACAAAGGAATTTGCTCTGGTATTCCTCGTCCGCTTCGCCTTTGCCATTCAATCAGGTCTCGACGGCCAATCTACATGGGCAGTCGGTCAACCATTAAACACCTCGAGCGGCATCATGTTTGGCCACGCCGTCCCAAATGCAACGAATGTCTCACAGTGTCTGGATCCCTTATGCTCAATCACCAACACAGAACCTTCAATCTGCTCCTCCGGTTGCCTACAATAGCACCGCCATGTTCTACGTGACAAAGTTTGTACGTGCACCACAGAACACGAAGGTCACTACTGATCCTGGGCATCTAGAGTCATGCTTGTCCAGTGGTGCAACAAACGCCGCTTCCAGCTGGCAGTGCGAGGAAAACGTCGAATGTGAACTTGACCGCACCTGGACAATACGTGGCCGCAGCAAACGGCGAAATCGGCATTACCGTTGGCGAAGACTGCTTGTCTGTCAATGGCTGGACGAAGCCTCAGAACAGTTCATCACTCAAACCCGTGATGGTCTGGGTGTATGGAGCTGCTTTCACATCTGGCAACTCGAACAATCCCCTGTACAATGGTCAGTATCTGGCCGATCGAGAAGATGTGGTCGTGGTCAACTTCAAGTATTTTGGTAACAGTCATGGGATAAGGAGTGCCCCAGCTAAATCCAAACGCAGCTATCGGACCAATATATTCGGATTTCCTGGTATACCAGCCGGAACCGAGAGTCAAAACGTCGGTCTCCTCCACCAGCGACTTGCTACCGAATGAGTTCGTGACAAATTAAGTGCTGTGCACAATGAGTAAGATCCTGGTCGACACGCCTGCACCGTCCGCACCATGGTGAACGAAGCACTCCCCTCATGACATTTTTCTTAAGACCGAGTTCCGAAGACGATGGCTTGATGTCGGACTCCCACAGCATTCAGTTGGGACGGCTGTCGCTATCGATATTCCTACTCTTTGCAGGTAGGCGCTCCAAATCGGGTAAGGACCCTAGAACCCCACAGAGCCAAGTCTCACTACAATGGTGGGTGCACTTTAGGCGTCCAGTACCTGAACGACATTCAGCCATGGGTAGTTGGAATTGCCCATTCATAGACCAGGCGATTTCAACCTCCGGCAATCCTCAAAAAGAGGCTCCTGCGACGGCAATAACGAGGAAGTACTCTCATCAGGAGATCACCCGGAGCTCGTTGCAAGCCCAGCGTCACTGACATAAGGTTGTGTTGGTCAAAGGTCCTGTATGTCGATATGCCTGACAGTCACAGGGCCGTCGTCTAGGGTACAAGAAGTCCAAGAGAGGTTGCAATTCTTGTCGCAACAGAAGAGTCAAGGTGAGTGCCCCGCTGAGGATATGACTACACTCAAACTCGCACACACTTCGAAATGAAATGTGTTCTCTGTGGTCCAGGGCTGATGACAGTATCTCCAGTGTGATGAGAAACAGCCAAAGTGCTCCGCGTGTCAGCGTTTTGGCCTTGGGTGCCAATATAGCAGGGAATTCCGACATTTTGTTGTGGCGCAGTCCGGAGAAGGTACTTGTACTTCGCCAGCCGATGAGCGTGGGATCGTGCCTGTGATTCCTCTGCCCCTGATCTTGACACCGAAGAACGTGGGAATAACGCGTCCCCGGACCGAGGGTCCCTCCTTCTTGTTTGAGAAACACTTTGAGATGCGCCTGCTGCACCACTTTGTGTCACACACCTACAAATCCATGCCTGGAGGTGAAACACCAGTGATCAGCGAATGCTGGACATCACATATACCAACAATAGCCTTTGGACACGACACTCTCTTGTACGCGATCCTGGCAGCCGCATCAGCACATTTGAGTCTGCTGAGTCCAGCCCAGACCATGTATCATGTGGCTGCGAAGTATTACTTCGCGATCGTGCTCCAAGAACAAAACAAAGCTGTATCCAACATCACGACCGCAAATGCTGATTCAATTTGTCTCACTTCCCTCTTGGTAAACATCCTCGCGCTCCATTTCCAGAACGTGAGCGACAGTCATCCTCGGAATACACTGTCGGCGGCGGCGTTCAGAGGCATGGCCATCGGCCACAGCAGTGCTGATGTCATCAAGACAGCGTGGCCTTCGATCAACCATGATCCAACCTCGGAGGCAGCCAAGATCCTCAAAGCGACACCAACGTTTCGAGAGGTCCATTCAGGTGTTGCCGAATATCACAGCGCTCATGGCTTTGTCGTCAATCCACCAGGAAAGTCATATACCCATTAGATCAATCGATCACCTGTGCCCTGCGGGAGATTGAGGAACAACCTCCGGAACTCGAACGCGACAACGAAACCACCACCAAAGCAATTCGTGCGGGTATTGGTTATGTCCAAAGCATGAGAAAGGCAATTGAGAATGACGAGCCAAACACCACCTTTTGCCAGCGGGTTATAGGCTTCACCGGCACTATCCCCAAGCACTTTCTACAATTGGTGCTTACCAACCATCCGCGAGCGCTTTTGACGCTGGCATATTTCTTCGCCCTAGTCCATCATGCGAAAAGCATTTGGTGGTTGAGTGGGCTTGCCGAGCGAAGTGTCCGGGTGGATTCTGGAGACACTGCCAAAAGAGTGGAAACCTCTAATGCAGCGACCATTTGCCATGATATTGGCCAGGACACATACTAAACAGCAATAGCATAGCGGAAGACTGCTAGAATCCAAACTTGACAGCAGAATCCTCGACTATGCTCACGTGCTGCCCAAAGAGTCAAGATCACCGCGATGATGCAGTGCCGTGCGACATAGATCGAAGTCTACAACCTCTCAAAGTCAAGCACATATTGGGGTCGATAAGAAAAGGTGAAGGACAAAAGGACACTCGGCCCGAATCTGCCAACGAACGGGACAATGCAGCTTAACGGCGATTGGCACGCTTAAGGACTGCTGTGTATGGCCAGCCGTTATCTGATCGGGCTCGAATGTTTTCCCAAATTAGGCAGGAGGTTATGACTTTGCTAGGCTTCACACATCCCATGACGGTAGGTGGCCCCAAAGCTGGATGATTGTTGACGTCGTTGCCTTTTTTTGTCGACCTGCAGAAAAAATGTACAACTATTCTCTCGCTTCATGTTTACCGGGACCCTGCATCAGTCGTATCTGCAACCTCGAACCTCTATCACCAACGTCGCGCGCAACTAATCTATGGGGTCTTCCTCCTTTCACATCAACAGAGGGCAACACCACCTCAAATGGTCAAAATCAATACCTCCTGTCCTGACAGTCGACTCAGGGACCACTGTGACTTTTGATACAATCGATGGTGGCGGTGGACAAGTCACAAAGACTTCAGACTCCAGCGCCGTATCGAAATTCTCAGTCGAACTCGCTGACCCAGTTTTCGGCCCCGTCTATGTCAATGGCGCAGAGCCTGGAGACGCTTTGGAAATTGAGGTTTTGGACCTAGAGACTGCAGACTGGGGCTGGACGGCCATCGTGCCCGGATTTGGTTTGCTTGCTGCTGAGTTTCCCAACCCAGAGCTCAAGATATGGCAGTTATCAAGGTTCGAAGACAGGCCTTATGCTGTTTTCAAAGAGGGCGTTCATATACCCACACGACCTTTCCTGGGTGAGATGGGCGTCGCGCCAGAATCAGACGGCGAGTTTTCCACCATACCGCCATACAACACTGGCGGGAACATTGACTGCCGGCATATCACGGTAGGATCGAAGCTCTTTTTACCTGTCAAGACTCCTGGGGCTCTGTTCAGCTGCGGTGATGGACACGCTGCTCAAGGCGATGGTGAAGTGTGTGGCTCTGCGATCGAGACGCCTATGCATGCCACGCTCCGCTTGACAGTGCGAAAGAATCACGACTGGGTGGCATCTCCTCACTATTTCTCACCAGCGCCAAAGCAGATCCCTGAGTTCGAGGATAAGGGGTGCTATGCCGCACTGGGTATCGATCCGGATCTTCATGAGGCCACGCGCAAAGCTGTCAGGGGCATCATCAATTATCTGACAGCTAATAAGGGTTTGTCAAAGGTAGAAGCATATATGCTTGCCAGTGTGGCTGTGGACCTGAAGCTGGCCGAGGTGGTCGACATGCCGAACTTCGCGGTGGCAGCAAGCCTGCCATTGAATATATTTCAGAGCGCATAGTTGATGCGCATTATATCATGTTGTGGAATGGCAGCAGGGTCAGATCAGCAAAGCCGTACAATGGGCGTGTTCAGCAGGACTATGCATAAGCATGCCAGCTGTCGGGAGATATTGTCCGAGGCTTAGTGCTTGTCGGCGTCCATTTGTTATATAGAAATTCACCCAAAGCCGCTTATTGCAATCAAACTGCCCTCAAGGAGCTCCACAACTACGTAGCAAGTCTTGGGCGAGCCAAGCCGTATACACGCCTACACTGGCGCCTGATCTGCAGAGTGTGTCCAAACTGTAGAATGCTACAGGTGGGCAGCGACACCTTAACCTTTCTTTGCCAAATGATGCCTTGAATGGCAGGTGAGGACGCTGTGAAAAGGCCTGAGTGTGTCGTCCTAATGGTCTCCATTAGCACATCCTCGCCGACGAAGGCTGTTCATTCTTGGAGCTTGATCCTGTCAGGCTTGCAGCTCAGAAGCAGGAAAGTACCTTCAGTCAGAGGGCACTGGCAAAAATTACCACGTGCGGTGCTGAATCGACTGAATTTGTCAAAGGACGAGTACGAGTACCGTGGCATTGAAGGATTTCAAAACGCAAAGACGAGTCTGCCCGAGCTCCGTGACCGTGTCTAACGACCAACCGATGTTTCGCTTTAGCTAACCACGATCTTTTCAAGTATGGAAGCGCCGGGACAAAGCGCGATCTGAAGGCCGATCTCTGGACGATTCGACCTGCACTGTACATATATTGCGCGCGGTATGATCCGGCCATGGAAAAAGGACGTGAGTCGATAGTGTGACGTCTACTATCGACGATGAAGAGGTGTTGACTCGGAGCATTGATCCTCCACGGCACCGAGTGTCGAGCACGACTCGGGATTCAGGCCAATCAGGGCTGCGCGTCCAGCCTCCTCCACGGTCTATTCTTAATTCCGGGCGGTCCAGGCTCTAGGAATCCCTTATGCCCGCAGCAATATCCAGGCAGCCCGGGGTTTAAATTCCGATCCAGCCGGGCCTTGCGCCATAAGAGCGAGGCGGGCATTAGACGACACCGAGCAGCAGTCCAATATATGTATCACCCCAAGCCCCAGCTTTAACTCATCTTCAAGCTCGACCTACAATCAGACCGGAATCCCAGTTCAGGAACAAGAAAACTTATTCAATTGAGGACATACTATACAACCACTACGACTACCAGAATCTACACAGTCGCAGTCAGCAATGTCTTCCCGCACCTCCGTCTCCAGCACATACACCGACCTATCAGAAACAGCACGCACCATTTTGACAACACTATGCAATACGCGCGACTTCTCAGAGGTTGACCGCTACGTCTCTGAAGATGTGAGTGTGCAACACGAGGACGAACCCGCCGTGGCCTCGAGAGATGCGTTTGTACGCCGCTTCAGCCAGGCTCTGGAGCATATGCCCGAATTTCAAATCGATGTCAAGGAGGCGTGTGTCGACGAGTCGCAGCTCAAAGTCTGGGTGCGGAGCGAGATCACGGGGCTTCCGAACGGTGTTAAGAAGGAATCGATCGATATGATGACGTTTAATGAGGAGGGGATGTTGGTCAAGAGCGTCGACTGTCAGCGAGTGTTGGGTCGGAGAAGTGATGACGATTGAAAATAGAGATGGTCCACTGCAAAGGCCACGCACTGAGGTGGATCATAGCCTTTAGAGGTGATGACTCAGGAACTCGTGCAGGTGCAATGCAGACATTGATGCACAAAGCAGAAATCCCAGATGACAGGGTTGTCGACGAGAACAGGAGGAGGTTCACGACAGAGGACCCGCCACAATGGCGCCCAGTCAAGGCGGCAACGTGATAATGGAGCTGGTGGATGTTCAGGAGGGTGTCTTTGTCCTGAAAGGGCGGCCTTGGACTGGACCGTTGCATGGAGTGTCTACACTCGATAATCGTGTCGGTGTTGACCCATGGCTTGCTGTGGTGGCTCAGAGGGAGCTGGAAAGTTGGAAGTTTTGTCGGGACCTTCGAATTGGCCTGGAAGGAGAACACTACTCGTTGGAGCAACTTTGCACTCAGGCTGGAGGTATATCTCCTACGAATGTTCGACACAGGTACAAATTTGACTGCCAACATAGCATGGATGAAACTGTCCATCGAAATATGACTTGTATAATCTCTTAATAAGCTCCATCAAGTAATCACGAGGCTACCACAACTATGCGGCATCTTCAATGCTCCAGACTGTAGCGTCCTCACCGTAAGGAAATGTCTCTCGCTCATAGGTCCGGTGTTTGGCCGTAGGTGCATTACATTTGTAATAAGCAATATATCGTTACGTGCCTGGAAGAAATCTTGGGCGCGGGCTCTTTGTGTGCACGTTCGTGTGGCCGGCTGTACAGAACGAGCATTGCAATCAATGGCCAGAGATATCCATCAACATCAACAAGTTAGCCGGTCTTGGTCCCGCAGAATCGGTAACATTGACAATGAGTATTCGATTTGCGCAGTACTGAAGGAAGATGAATGACGATAGGGGAAGTGTTTTCGAGGACTTGGAGTAAAATCACCGGCGGCATCTCTTGGCGGGGAGGGTTCGGGTGCCCGTGGGTGCCTCATTCAATTGAACGTCAGCCTCGATGTGTTCCATCACATTGACACTTCAGCTGCAGACATCGTACTATGCGTTACGTCAAGGTCCAGATTACAAATTATGGCGATGCGGTCGAACGAGAGCTCAATCGCCTATGACCATGTCAGGCATTTTCGCGAATCTGAGACGAAGGTTGGCCCTTCGCGGTCCTTGCCAACGACGGTCACTGCCAGTGAACGGACAGATGACGAATGCTGTTGACTAAACATGAAGATGTCTCGCTTTCTCAACGCCAGAGGTATCTTGCCTGGCGAGCATGACTTGTCGGTTGATGCCCCGGACCAAGATCTTTGGATGCCTCCACCTCCCAGACCGTACGAGACGTTCGGGAGATTCCTGCCTCGTCGAGTAATGCTCCGGACGAAGTTTCGGAGATTCTCCGTTGGGATGACTGCACCGGGATGGACACGCAGAATGCAGTTGACGACAAGGCTCAGTTGTCTGCTCACAGTGTCCGCTTGTTGTCGAATGCACATGGCTCGGCATACCTCCACACTCGACAATGGCTAGCTGCATTACACGGCCAGCAAGACGTATGTGACATGGACGTGCTTGCGCTGAGTGAGAGGCATACACGGTAAGCTATATAAAGGCTTGAGATTCGTCGTCCACGATGCTCTTCTCAAGCCTCAATTAGGTTTCTTTCTTTACTGAATCTCAGGAACATCCAACCATTTTCATTTCATCGCCATGGCGGCATCCACCATCCTCCTAACCGGAGCAACAGGCCTGGTCGGCGCCACAACACTCTTCCAACTCATGACCCAAACCAACCACACCGTCATAGCAGTCCTCCACTCCCGCGCCAAATCCGAAGCATCCCTCGCAACTAAATACACCTCCCAGATCTCCGCACGCCGCCTGTCCTTCCTCGAGATTCCCGACATGACACGTCCAGGCGTCTTCGACGATGCAGCCGCCCAATCCGACGCCATAATTCACATCGCCACACCCCTAGCCTACGACGATGTGATTGAAAAGATGGTTAAACCTTCCTGGACGATCGTGCATAATGTCCTCCTTGCCGCTGAAAAGTCCTCCCGTACCAAACGAGTCATCGTAACCGGGAGCATGGTCGCCACATTTCGATTGCCAAATGACTTGTTCTCAGGTAAGACCATTACCGCCAAGAGCTGGAACGACATCCCTTTCGAGGACGCTGGGCTCACTCCCGCGAATGCGTACCAGTACTCCAAGGTCCATTCCGAGCAGGAGGCGTGGAAGTTTATGGCCGAGAAGAATAGAAGCTTCGACCTGATCTACCTGCTCGCGCCTGCGATCACGGGCAAGAGTATTCATCCGGGCCTCGTGCCGTCGAAGGAGGCGTTGGGCGGACAGGCTGGGATTTATAGGGATTTGTTCGATAAGGAGACACCAGGGTTTGTGTTTCCTTATTTCATGTGAGTTTCTCACAACCTTCCTCCACACAAATGATTCTTATTGACGAATGTATGGTCTAGGGATATCGAGGATGTTGCCAAAGTGCATATCAGGTCTCTTTCGCCGTCAGTGCCAGGCAATGAGCGGTATCTGTTCCATGCGCGCGAGTTGATGACGGGCAACGATATGGCGAGAGCCATGCGCGAGGACTTTCCAGAATTGAGAAGCCGTGTTCCTGCTCCGGATGAGGCGGCGGGCGATACCTTGCCGCGGAACCTGGTGAAGACGGCCATTTCAAAGGCAGAGAAGGTCTTTGGGACCGAATGGAACTCGGCGAGGCAGACCACCCACGAGACAGTTGCAGATATCATTGCCTTTTGAGAACCGGAAGTAAGCTTGGGAATTGATTATGAAGAACATGGCACCCTCAGTGGAATATCCCTGGTAAGTGTAGGTAGAAACACGTCAGGCAAGTGTTGAGCAAACAATGTATCTGCTGTGATGTACAAAATAGGTATACAAAAAGGCCACTGGACACACAAGTGTGCATGGTCCTCTGGCGAATATACACGCACCCTCCCAATGCATCTCCGGCCCTTCGTGAAGAAAAACGTAGAACCAATGCTCTGACGCCGTCGCTATATGAGAACACAAAAACATAGACAGTTTCATTTTGTCTTCACGAAAGAGAACTCCTCCACTTTCTTTACAGCTTTCACACACCGACCCTCAACTTCTCTCGACCACACATCAGCCACACAGATGGCAACGGCAAGACTTATAGCCCAACCGACGAAAAGTACAGCCGTCCACGTATAATTATCCGTTTCTCTGCCCTGAACACCCATTGACCACCACATCCGCTGAGGGAGCATATACCCGAACGCATGCAGCACAGGTCCCTGGACCAAATACAACCCAAAACTGATCTTGCCCAAATACTGCGCCAGATCGCTATTGCACATCTGCCGCCACTTGGACGTGTCAGGGTCTGCACGTGCAAGGAGCAACAAAAGTATTGCGGTGCCGATGTTCGGGTAGAATTTGTCCTTTCGGTCCATCCACTCTGGAATGAGCTTGTTAAGCCAGATGTATCCCGGGGCATAGTCCCTAGAACCATCGATCGGGTATGAAAGAAAGTAAAAAGCGACACAGAACCCAAACACACGCAGCCAAGACCAGGCTGCCGTCCGGGCTGTTGGGCGATATTGCGTCCACCCGTATTCCTTTCGTTTGTGGTCGGCTTCAGCTGCTAGGGAGCGAGGCGGCGATGGTGGAAGGCCACTGGGTAAAATATGCTTGTTTCGTTCTTCGCGTTCGGTCAAGAGCAGGTCGACCTGTGCCACGATGGCGCCGAGTATGTATACCCATACCTCCCAGTGATTCCAGAGAAAGTACATGTAAGTCATGAGGCACATGACTGCCAGACGCACGTAGACCCGACACTGAGCCGTGGCGATGAGTATCATGTACAGAAACAAAGAACCCTTCATTTCCGCCAAAATGGACCATAAATGCTGATCGTGCCACGGGTAGACGGCGCCTCGTGAGCCCTGGTTGAAGATATTGCTCAGGTCAAACATCTCCCTCGCCCAAAAGGACATTTGTTCGTAATATGTCGCAAACATGGCTGGTTTAGGCTCCCTCCATTCTCCTGGGAAGAGCATTTCGTGATCCAACAGAAACGGTCGATTGCTTTCGTAGTATCCGAAGTAGATGTAATGAGCGGTGATAAGGGTGATGATAAGTGTTGGGAGGTACAGTCTCAAAGCGCGACGGAATAATGCGCCGGAGATATTGACGAGGACTTTCGCCTGGGAGGGCTGGTCGTGCTTGTCCATGAGTTTGAAGAGCCGAAGCGTGGTCAGGTAGCCGGCAATACCAAAGAATACATGAGCCGTGAATCCTGAGTAAAAGTATCGAATGATGGGTAATTCGAGGATGTACATATGATGTTCGTCGGTGCCCCAGGGCTGAAATCCGAAATCGCTGAAGGCCATGGTATAATGAAAGGTGAATACTTTGATTGCGGTAATGCCTCGTAAGCCATTGAGGTAGCTGGTGGGAAACTGCTTCGGTGCGGGTGCCATGTCGTCCCAAACGTGCGATCTGACGAATTGCGGCACGAAACAATAAGCGAATCGCTTGCTCAGTCTGTAGAGATGCGACGGTCGGGAAGCCATGACGGCTTTTGAGAGGAGGTCCGCCGATGTCCCACGAAGTGGTCGAAGTTGGTGATCATCGTCCAGCGATGCATTGGCAAGGGGTGCCTTCTCCTCGACGAAGGGTTGCCTCAGTACATCTGCATCGACACTTGTTCGCTTCATGGCGACAACCGCATCATGAAACGAGAGACAGGCTATGGGGAAGAGTCAAAATGCGACCGCGACAGAGGTGCCCAATATATCAAAACTCTCAGATCCAGTTTGAGTTTGAGGACACTGGGCGCCGCGCCTTGACAAGAAGTATAGCTCCCATTAAATAAGGATTCCAATGTGATTGACAGATCTTCCTGACTAAACTGTCTGTGCGATGCAGCATACGCTCAGAGACCCCGGATGCAGCGAGCGACAGGAGACACTTTCCAAAGAACGGCACGCAATCTGTCGGGATGTCAACGATAAAAAAGGAGAGGAGTTGGGACAAATATACAGACCATAAGTTATTAGCTCAAACACCAAAATGTCTGTGAGATCAGTAGCAGGATAGCAAGCGAAGAGAACAGGGATCAGTACCACCCTCACCCCCTGGGCATTTGATGGTGATTTGCTGCTCGCGTGCTCACTTTTGACACTGGTGATACATTCTTCCTATTTGTGGATAGGCTCCTTGCGTTAGCCATGATTAGCTTCTCGGGCGTTACCCTGGGTGGGCACTTGGTGGGGTGCATTGGTCTTCTGTCAGAGAGTCTTAGGCGATTTCCCAGGCAGAGGCCTCAATTCTCGGCGCCACTGAAACCCTGTCTTCCGGGGCAAGTGGAGGTTCCAATGGAACTTCTTTTCCAGCGGCCAAGAAGCCTGAAAGGAGTGTTGCAAGTATCCGTTGATCTTCGCCTATAGAAACAGAGCAAGGGTGATGTCGTGATTGTAGCCAAGTACGTTGACTGATATCAACGCGACTCCCAGGAAATGGCGTGCTCCCTGAAGACTCTCCTAAAGAAACAGGTTGGGTGAGAAAGCGCGTTGCAACGGCCTGGCCTGCAACTGGGCAAAGTCCTCCCGCCACTTTCCGCCGGACGCTCGTATTCCGGCTCCTTATCTGATAACCTGAAACCCATTTTCTGGTTAGGGTTTCGTGTTCTGAGAGCGTCAATAATCGTGGAAGTACAGCACTGCTATTATTGCTGATTCTGCTGCTCCTCGATCTCGCGCCTAAGCATTGTGAGGCTCGCTGCATACTCAGCGGGCACGATAAGCCTGCACCAGTAGGAAATTGGCCCCTACAGTTCGATTCTTGGGACATTTACCGGGTCTTCCAGGGTTAATGTTGCAGCAATTCACTACACATGACTAGCCAAATGTCGGCTTCCTGACTCGTCTTGAGTCAATTGCCGCAAGACATTCACGAAGCCATGTTCTTCCTCTAGCAGTCGCGACCGGGCGAAGAGATAGAAAAGGTGCATACCACAGCAAATCAGTGATGGCTCCTCCCCTCGCAAGTCCAGCTTGTCCTTTCCAGGGTATGGTGAACCACCATAATGTGAGTACAGTTCTGTGACCGAGGTGTACATTCATCTGATGAGCTTGCTTGAATTGTTTGCCAACCACATGTCCATGATTACAACCCAGATGTTGATGAGGGCGGGTTCCAGCGAATACACGACGAGTGCGACCACTCAGACAACATGGAAATCCATGTCAAGATCAGATCGAGACTGCTCTCGCCAGTCACAGCCAGGTGTTTAGCCATGCATTGAGATCGTTATCGATAAAGCCCGCCTGCAAAAAAATCTGTGTCAACCCCCACCTGGCTTGCACTATTTTTCTCTATCCATCCACTCACAGGCGATCGCCGACGCCGAGGGACGATGATAAAATGCAACATTCACCTTCCATCCAACATGGATTTCTTTCTTTTCCCTCTCTGCAATTTCAATCAAGGTTCTCACCTCTACCACAGTGAGCGACTTCAGGAGTTTTGCGCTCACTAATCCTCAGAAAGCTCCAATTCACACATCCCACCGATCAACATCGGTGGAATTGATCAATATCGTCTTTTTCTCTCTGCGCGCGAAACTACGTCATTATGGGTAACACCAAAGACGTTAACACAGCCGTTCGAGCTACGAGTGTCGACCTTGGGCGCGATGTTTACGGCACCGCGGGCTCGAGCTCGAAATCGCCTATCGACGAGCACGGAAACCCCCAAATCGTCGAAGCCAGCCCCGAACGTCCTGCCGCCGTCGAGAAACAGACATGGCGCCAGAAGCTTGCATTCTTCAAGACAAGAGATTTTTGGTTCATCTTGGCCTTAGGTCAGGTACTGGCTATCTGCATCACGGGTACAAACACTTTGACCACTCTCTTGGCCGAGGAGGGAAACAGCATCCCCGCCTTCCAGACCCTCTTCAACTACATATTGCTTAATATCATCTACACGAGCTATACGATTTACAAATATGGGTTCAAGAAGTGGTTGCACCTCTGCATTCATGATGGCTGGAAATGTGCGTTGACAAGGCCCTTCCCCTTAGGCATCCTTGATCGCTAATGCTGCACAGATATCATCCTCGCTTTCATGGATGTCGAAGGCAACTATTTCACGGTCTTGGCGTATCGGTACACCACGATCTTGTCAGCCCAACTGATCAACTTTTGGGCCATCGTCATTGTCGTAGTTGTCTCCTTCATCTTCCTCCGCGTCCGCTACCACTGGGCTCAGGTACTCGGCATCTTCGTTTGCGTTGCCGGTATGGGTCTCCTGCTTGCATCCGACCACATCACAGGCTCCAACGGCGGTGATGTGTCTTCTGGCAACCAGCTGAAGGGAGATCTGTTCGCTCTCTTGGGTGCAACTTTCTACGGATTCGACAATGTCTATGAGGAATGGTTCGTGTCTGGTCGTCCACTCTACGAGGTCATTGGACAATTGGGATTCTGGGCCACACTTATCAACGGTGCCCAGGCCGGCATTTTCGATCGCCATAGTTTCCGGACCGCAACCTGGAACGGTGCTGTCGGAGGCTATCTGGTCGGATACACCTTGATTCTGACCATTTTCTACACATTGGTTCCGATTCTGTATCGTTTCGCCAGCGCCGCCTTCCAGAACATTTCGCTCTTGACGGGCAATTTCTGGGGTGTCATCATTGGACTTCACGTGTTCCATCTGCATGTACACTGGATGTACCCTATCGCTTTCACACTCATTATGGTCGGTCATTTTGTTTACTACTTTGGAAAGGGTGTGATGGGAGAAGCCCAAAAGGCGTGGTTGGGAGAAGATCAGGAGCGAGGTATCGATGGATTCGGTTCCGCCAAGAGAAGGATGAAATTGGCACAGCAGGGTTCTGCTGGTGTCAGGAGAGGCGATGAAGGAACAGAGAGCATGGGAGTGGTGTAATCGAAGAGACGTCAAAAGCGTGCATATTCCGACGACCACCATACTACGATTCAGCATCTCGAATGCAGAGGAGGCACCTCTGGGAGATATCGTTACGGTGTCGCCATGCGGCTTTTGAATAATGGACTGAGGAGATCACGACGTTACGGCCACTTTACGATCCGATCATGAAGGCCGGCAGATGTTTTTTGAGACGGACGTCGCAACTTTGCGCGCCATTTTGTGCATACTACCTATACGATCGTTACCATAATTGCAACATACATACAAAGGCAAACGAGATAATTCGGATCATGATGTTGAAATACCTTATCTACGAAATTCCACCTGAGTGTTTTGGGTACATGAGGCATCTGGAAGGAGAGTTGACGAAGCGACGAGTAGAAGTCCCCAAAAGACGGGATGCACGGTGAGACCTGCGCCGTCGTAGAGCTAAAGGGAGGGTGAAAATGATGTCTTGATTTGTTTGAATTTTTTTCCGCAAGCCTTCATGGGGACATTGCCCGAATCCCTCCATATGCAAGCAACACAGATCATTGATAGACGATCTGGCCATGCATCAACATCAATCACCCACCCCGTGTCCACCACCATCGATTCAACGCAGATTTACCGCTGCTGAAGAGCATGACAATGAACCTCCTTCTACACTCCTTCTTCGAGTCGACCCCTTGTCGCCCCATCCACGATGATGGAATCCCTTTTTCGATGTTTTTTTCCTTGCCCGATGCCCATGCTATGCCTTTCAAGTTGTCGTGGATCGGTCGAAGTAGTGCGAAACACCTCCATGACACCGAGCCCAGAAATCTAGTGTAGACCAGAAATCTAATGCTCAGTCTGGAAGTAGTTGAGCAGAACACTGCGCTCCTGGCTCTCCTCACCCCAATCCCGCACAACCACGCAAGAGCAGTTAACAACCTTCCTGGCATTTCCTTCGCGGTCCAACACGCACAAACCAGCCCACTCGCCCAACATCTTTCCGTCGGGGACCTTGATCAGCGGGATCTTGTGTTCCGAGCACAGCGCGATCACGAGCTTCTTGTAGGCTTCTTCCTCGCAGGCCTCGTTGAGCACGCACATGTGCGCCTGGCGACGATCGAGAGCCTTGGAGGCTTCGCGCAGACCTCGGGCCAGACCGTCGTGGATGAGTGCGATGCGGAGGACACCTGCAACACAATCCAAGTCAGCACCCACGCACCTCAAATATACGAGGACCAGAATGCTCCGCAAGCTCCGATGCTCTGCATCAAACATACCTTTCAGCGCATCAAGGACAGACATGCTGCCAGAAGAGGCGGCGGCATCGCCAGAGACTTCGACCTCATCGGCCGCAGGAACGGGGGAAGTGGGCTCTTCTCCGTCCGACTATCACACACACACACAAAGGTCAGTGAAATGCTCTTTCTCATTTTCCCATTCAAATGCTTTCACGACGTAGCGAGTACACCTCGGCCACCCGCTACCGCTAATTGAGTCGGAGTTGGTGGTCAAAACGTACCATATTGGCGATTCGCTACTTGTGTTGCAAGTACAAGATATCAGCAATGTCGGATGATCCTCAAAGAGTCTTTTGTAGAGAACGTATATTGATTTGAGAATGAAACCCGAAGTCGAATTCGAAATCGTCAAAAGTCAAGGTGGAAATTGCGCAGTTCGCGGCTTGGCATTGTGCGGGTTTGGATGGGCGGGTCGAGTCACGTGCATTGTCACTTCAACTGCCAGCCTCGCCTATGAGGTGCCCAGTCTAGTTGCAAACCATACCTACCTCTAGTCAAAAGTGCAAAAAATGAGTCAGAGGTGGTTGTTCATCTCTGTTGACTGTCATGACAGACATTTAAACCATGCGACGACTGCATTTACAGTAGCCTCTCACAGGCAAGTAACCATACTCAACCAAGCCTGTTAAGGTTGTCCTATCACGAATGTTCTAGCCCACAATTGATCCTCAGTCATAAGTCATCATGTTATCTTCTTGACAAACAGATCCAGGGCCTTAGAAAGCCCATCAACGAGAGTATCCATTGCTATAGCCCACAGGGGAATGATGAGGGCTCACACCATTAGTGAGTTTGTGTAGAGGTTGAAAAAGTCCATTAGGCTGAGGCGCTGGTTCTGTTGGAGAGTGAAGGCCAATAAGACGCAGAGATATTGGCTGTTTCTTTAGTGGCTGGAGATTGGCCAGATGAGGATGTCGAAAGATTTGGTCTTCGAAATCGGAGAGCTGTTTCTGTTAGTGACTTGATCAAATGATTTCCAGCGTCGACGTACCTTGACCCAAGAGAGTTCCTCCATGGCAAAGAACTTTGGTCTCTCTTCCTCTTCTCTTTCTCTAGCCTTCTGAATCGAGGTGTTGATCGCATTTGCCTCGTATTCAAAGGATAGCATGTTTCGAGACACTTTCCACAGACATTGGCGCTGCGCAGGCGTCACCAGCCGTTTCTCAAAAGAGGTATAGTTGCGAAGGTTCAGATCCTTGGTCAAAAGGAGGGAGGCGACTTGGAAGTTGGGCACCCACAACTCATCCTGGCCCAATGTGGCAACAGTTGGATCCAGCTGGGCGGTCTTGACGGTGAATAGAGGGAAGAATTTTGACAGCCACGCTTGACCTCTGACCATGGGATCATTGTTGTCAATCATCAGTGCTGTACAGCTGAGGACAATGGGCAACGCCTCCCTACGACGTCGTTCATATTCGAGGCGTTGTTGACGAAGCTGTTCCTTGTGTCTCCGTTGCCTCTCCTCAAGCTCACGTTTGATGCGTTCCTGACGTTCTTCTTCCTCTTTCTTGCGCTGCGCTGCTTCTTCCTCTGCTTTTCTGCGACGTTCTTCTTCTTCGGCAGCCTTGCGTTCTTCCTCGGCTTTGACAGCAGCTAATCTTTCCTCCTCCAGTCGTTTTGCCTCTTCTGCTTTTCGTTCCTCCTCCTTTCTCTGAAGCTCTGCCTCCTCTTTTCTCTGCTGCTCAAGTTCAGCTTCACTTGGTCCGACTTCAACTGGCTCTGTTTTTATCGGCTCAGCTTGTTCGGTGTGTTGAACGGGGAATTGCTCGCTGGATTCAGGCACTTCGTCTATTTCTGCCTCCGCATCATTGTCAAGGTCCATCTTTTCCGCAGCTTCACCCTCAAGGGGTTTGTCAGGCATCAGGATCGTTTGAGGTTTCGCTTCCTGGTTCTCGGACGAAGGTTTCTCGACATTGTCTTGGCGTACCGGAGTTGGTGAGTGATCGCTTCTTCTCTTGGGACCAGATCTTGGTTCCTCGGGACTGCTATCGATCACCGTCCTGCGCTTCTTCGCAAAGGCACGGGTATTCCCTTCCTCATGCGAGACAGGCACCGGAGAGCGGCTTTCTCTTGTCCTCTTAAGGGCAACATTAGAGCGGCTTTCTGTCTGTACAGCAACCATGGAGTCTTCCACATCCGAGGACTCTTCGGCCACCACCATGCTCTTGCGTTGTCGATGCTCTTTCCCAGACACTAACCTTCTGCGACGGTGTGCAGCTTCGGAGTCTAGGTGTGGCGGCTGTGGAAGGTCGCTCTGGCTCCTTCGCTTAACGTGACCTTGCCTGGGAGCGGAAACAGTCTGATCTTGGTCTGAGGAGACCGCAACGGACGAATCAGCGCCCTCCGTTCGTGCTTTCCGCCGCTCGCTCCCTTCGACTGGCATCAGATCTCGATCAACATCTTTATGCGATGTTTGAGGTGATTTGTTTGGAAGTGACTTGTGTGTCATGGTAGGACTTGATGAATTGCGCAATTTCGTAGACAGTGGTGACTGTGAACGGCGCAATGTTCGTACCTTCAGCTTGTCGGAGTCTCGTGTCGCTCGTGGCGATGTGGTTTTCCTCGTTTTCCCACTAGCATACTTGTCATACGCATTCTTCAAGATCTCGTACTCTTTCTGCCAATGCTCACCACGTCGCTCAGTCGCAATCTCGAAGTAAGTCCTTCCTTTAAAAAGCTTCCTTGTCGGATTGAACCCAGACTGCTCCACCAAGAGCTTGACTACCTCAGGATGGCCCCTACCAATCGCTGCTAGCATTGGGGTATTGAATCCAGGCTTGTATTGTCGAACGGGTTCGGGATCGGAATCTGGCTGGCCCATACCCAGCAGATACTGCAAGACCTCCTCATGTCCAGCTTTTGCCGCGGCTATCAAAGATTCTGTATCCGCCTTTGTCAACACGTTAAGTATGTTGACCACGCCTTGAACATCGCCCTTTGCAGCCAAGCGCGTCAGGTTTTCTTGAGTGTTAGCCTGCCAAAGTAGATCGTTCCTGGTTGACTCGCTGCGACCCGTCCTACGCCTGGACCCAACTGCAGAACCAAAGGCTGGCGGACTCTTCGGGCCTATTATTGGGGGCGAATCCCGAGGACTTGCAGCAGAAGCAGCCCTGGAAGAATGGTTGTCGCGCGGTGCATCGGTCTGGTCAACTGAGATCCGGCGGCTGACAGGCTTGTCTTTGGCTTCGGCTATCAATCTGCGAATCACGGCGTAGTTTTCATCGGATTCCTTGACAAGTTCATATGGCTCCTCACCCTTCGCATTACCCAGTCGTGGATTTGCTCCATGTTCCAGTAAAAGCCGGATAACTTCCAGGTGCCCATTTTCCACAGAGTCAATAAGAGGTGTTTCCTTATCAATATTCAGTGTATCGATTTCGCAACCCTTTTGCAACAGAAATTGAACAATCTCTATGTGGCCTTCCAGCGCCGCTATCTGGAGCGGTGTATTTCCCGCGTTGTCAGCCACATTCAGATCCTCCGGTCGTTCGTCGAACTTCAATTTGGCCAGCTCCAAGTCGTTGTTGTTACAAGCTCTTGCAAGGAATGTCCGGCCATTCCTATCCCGGAATTTGCGAGGGCCCGGAGCTGCTCCCACTGTCTTTGCTGGTGACATGGTATCATGGTCGGCGGATGAATATTTGGTCAATGAGGGTCTTAGTCGCCGTGGTGAATCTGAATCGTCCGATGAGACTGAATCTCTTCTTTGATCGGCCGAACCGCTTCTTCTGGTATGGATAGCCGGAGGTCGCCCACGCTTCTTCCTTTCTACGTCGCCAAGAGTCAACTGCGTTGATGCGCCACGCCTGTGCTCCTTGCGCAGGGGCGGACGAGGTGAAGGGGAACGTTCGTGAGAAGAATGGCGAGGATAAGTTGCGGATCGTGTTTCGCGCCGTTCGGGAGCTGCAGGATCTATACCGCCAGAATTATTCTTTGTGCGTTGTTTGCTTATCGACGGGAGTAGATCGCTCGGGCGACGTCTGCGAGTTTCATTCTCGACTGGTTGCTCCTCCGCATCGTCCGAATCTCCTGTGTGGTCCACACGCTTCCGCCGCGTAGGTTGGCTTCGAAGAGATGCAATATTGCTGGATACGTCTGAATCACTATCTGCGGAATGGGTGTCTAATCTGGGAGATGATAAAGGTGAACTGTGCCGACTCGAGGTGGAAAAGGTGGTTTCGTCTGGGACATCTTCGATACTACGCTTGCGCTTTCTGCCGTTACTGTCGACAGTGATCGCAGCTGCACCATTGATTGATCCAGCTGCTGTGACTGTTGCGATTGTCACAGATCCTGCCGCAGACGCGTTATTGTTGGTGGCTCTTCGCTTCTCGGGCGACTGGATCAACGTTTCCGCCTCGGAATCGCCCTCTGCATCAGCGTCTGCATCTGCGTCAGTACCATCGTCCATGACATGGTCGACGACGCTGGCAATTGGCGGCGCAGGCTCGGAAACCATCTCTTCTGGTCGTGGTGTTACAACAGTTTCGGTCGGCCCATTGGTGGTTGCCTTATCGACATCCTTTCCAGCGTCGACACGTTCGACATCCGCTGGACCGACCGATTCGCTCATTACTGTCTCCGCCTTCTCTTCATTGTTCTTTTGTTCGATTATGTCTGCCGTTTTGGAGGGAAATGGACGTGATCGTAGTGGAGGAAACGGGAGGCTGGGTACCAAGTGCAGTTGGCTTGTATGACAGTGAGGCGGCCGTCGTCACGAAGAAGGGCGGTAGGCACCCAAGTAAGGTTGTCTGTTGAAGATGACGGACTCCTCAACCAGATAGACAGGTTTGCAGCGATGCGCTCGATTGTCGATGGTGCTGATTTGATGATTGTTTCGATGAATTCAGTTGTTTCACTCACATCATCGAAGAAGCCTCGAATCGATACGACCTTGGATCACGTGCACGGACCCTCGTTCCCTTCATTTTCCCTCCCAACAGCCAACTTCAAACATGATCTCCAACCCCTGAATCTAATCTTGATCTACATCTGATCAATTTCAATTTCACATGGACCATCACCCGATCTCAGACCTATAGGGAACACCTGTTCTCGATAATTAGGTGGTGCTGAGTCTCAGCTGTTCAGAGGAATTTTCCACCTCCCGTTCATCACCACGTCCGAGCTTTACACGAACAAAAGCCAAAGCACCTAAATATATTGATGTGATCCAGCAAATGAAAGCTAGCAGCCAGATCTTCACGCCTTCCGAGCCGCAAATCTTGTGAAGATGACAATGCTCGATTTCGCTACCTGGACAATCCGAGCATTCTACACCTTTAGCAGCATTACGATCATCGTTGTTCGATTTACTCCGGCGCTCAGAGACCGTTTCCTGCCATATGGCGCGCGAGACGTGACTGCTCACAGGGCAGGTCAATTCGCAAAGCAGCCGGCGTGGTCGGTCCAGGTACTTGACTATGCCGCGACTTGGAAAGTCCCACATTCATGGTTCATCCATTTCTACATTGTCTCTGTCACCGCCTCGACGATGGGATTGTGCTTCTTCTATCCTAGCAACTCGATCGATCGGCCCGACACCACCACAATATGCGGCACCTTGATGCTTGTCCAAGGCATTCGAAGACTCCTGGAGTGCTTCTTCCTGACCAAACCAAGTCAGTCACGCATGTGGATAGGTCACTACGCCATTGGGGTAGCGTTCTATATCGCAACCAATATCGCCATATGGACTGCAAGACCGGACGAAAGAGAACTGGACTTCAATCGTGTGTCTGGACGCAAAGTCCTTGCTGGAGGCTTATGGACGTTCAACGTCTTAGCTTACGTCTTTTTGTTCTTCTACGCTTCGTGGATGCAGAATCTATTCCATCGACACCTTGCCGGACTGCGAAAGTACACGTTGCCAGACATTGGGATGTTTCGGACTATAATAGCACCTCATTATACGGCAGAATGTGCCATCTATCTGTCCCTCGCATTCTGTCGAGACGCACACCAAGGCGGATTGGTCGACTTGACGCTTTTCTGCGCCCTGATATTCGTTGTGGTAAATCTGGGTGTCACAGCAGACGGGACCAGAGAGTGGATGTTAGCAAAGTTTCCCGAAAAGAACAGCGAGATCGAGCGACGATGGACAATGCTTCCACCAGTCTGGTAACGGGCGTCGATTTTTGCTCTACTGGACCACTGCAGTCTATTCATATTGACCTGGGACCCTCCTGCAGCTCGCTAGGTGTGTTCATGGCACGGGCTGCAGAGTCTTCGGCTGCCCTTTCTAGACACCAGTTGTGGTGCAACCGACTATGTCCGTTTTCATCTGGATCGGCAACATTGGTCTCACCTCGCATTGCAGCCCGCATCGGGAAGACAGGGCGCTTGGCTGACACCATCTTGGGATGTCCACAATGACAGACGCTCAGGACGGTGGCTTTCGTTCAAGGTGCGTCCTTTTTCGTGGCATGCTCGCTCTTTGTGTTGCCGGCTTTTCCCTTATCTGCTTGGCCATCGTCCTCCGTCTCTTTTACTGCGGCCTTGATCTCCTCCCTCAGTTTTCTCCTCTCCTCGAGCTTGGCTTCTTTCTTCAACTCCCGTTCGACCTCTTTCTCCTCTTCCTTTCGCTGTCTCTCTTCATGCGCCTCTTCCATCCACTTTGGCAGTTCATCTATGGCCTTCTCAGCATTCTTCTTGTGAATGAGCAAATAATCCTGCAAGTCCGCGGGCGAGAAATCGAAGTCCGGAATCAAGGACCCAAATTGCTTTGCCAGATCGCGAAGACGCTCCTCGGTCGAGCTTTCTGCTTGGCTCTTTTTCTCCATCTCGTCCTGTACGCCTGCTGTCGTAGTCGTACTCGGCAAATCTACATACATCCTCAAGAAGATCTCCTCGGCCTGCTTTTTGGATGCGTTCTTGAAGCCAACACGGACGCTGATTCTCCCAGCCCGGACCAAGGCGTCGTCCAGCTCGTCTGGCTTGTTGGTCGTCATGATCAAAACATGTCCCTCGGGCGCAGCCACGCCGTCGATTGCGTTAAGCAGGCCGCTGAGAGTAACGCGGCTGGTCGTCGCCGAATCAGCTTCATCATCACTTAGTTCAACAGCATCCGCGTCGTCCTTCTTGGTGCTTGCCACGGCGCCCATTGGGCCTCCAGGACCTCGCATACGTCGATTCCTGCGCCGAGACGTGGTTGACTTGCCTTTGCGGTTCAAGCCTGCCGTGTCTATGTCCTCAAGAAGCAACAAGGATCGGCCCGGTAGCTGATTCAGAAGTGAGATGAGGTCTGAGTCCGTGAGATTATGGTCGAGCAGTGTCAGGTTGTACACATCCAGGTTGAACTTTGATGCCAGAGCCAATGCGAAGGAGGTCTTGCCGACTCCTGGAGGACCATGGAACAGGTACCCTCTTCTGTATGGTATGCCATGGCTGGCGTAGAAGTTCATAGTCGTTTCGTCCATGTACTCTTCCACGTCGGCAAGCACCTGCTCTTTCTTGCCGGCGTCGAGAATCACCGTGTCCAAACCGCGGCGGGGTTTCGACGTGAGACGTGACCAGGTTGATTTCCCTCCGTATCCGCCATCATACGGCCGACGAATGATTGTCAGCGAGCGCTCTTTCTCTTTGTTCATGCGGTAAACGTGCTCAACGAATTCTTTTATGGGGATGGTCGAGCGGCCGAGGCACGACAGACTCAGGGTTTCGATTCGCTTGTACCGGTTCCCAGCGTACGTATGGCCCTCACCAAATTTCCTGGAGATGAAGAACAGGCGCTTCTGGTAGATGAAAAGCTGCACCCCCTGTCCTTGCTCGTACTTGATTTTGGGGTTTTCATTCAGACGACGAGCGGATTCTTCGACTTCCGGGTCGTGCCGACCGCGACGTCGAGGTTGAAAATCATGAGGTGTGTTGAGTGTGGCGTTGAGTAGTTGATCCGCTCTAAGGGTCTTGACTTCAGCGATGTGTGTCGTGAGGTAACTGAAGAGGTCTTCATCCGAAGAGACGTTGACGGTTGCCACGATCAGTGAGGAAAAGCGACTCCATAGTGATTGCAGCCGTGCTACTGGGTTCAAGTAGAATAGTGCGAGTACGACGCCGAAGAAGCGGAATAGTGCTGGATGTTTGTCGATGAGAGGTCGTGCTGCTGGGAAGAAGGTCGTGATGATGTATTCGGGCAATTCGATGAGGCTGCTGGTACCGGTGGCGGCGGTGCGGCGAAGTCTTTGTAGATCCATTCTGAGTATTTGAATGTAGTCTCTGCAAAAGAGGAGGAATTTAGAGATGGTACAGCCCGTTCAGTCCCTCAAATCTGTTCTGTTGCAGTGTTCCACAGAGACGTTGCAATGAGAGTCGGGCAAAGGGTGGCAGCACAAGACGACGGCACAGCATATGTCTGCGCAAACTTGAAAAAGCAGTGTTAGGTTCTCTCGTTGTCGGTGTCTATGAATGGGGATAATATAAATGTTCGAGAACCGATAAAGCAGACGAGTCTGATGTTCTCAGTTCTGCCTGGCTGATTCGCCTCGTCATGATCCTTCTCAGACCTATTATATAAGTTTTCCCCAATCAGCGACCCATGACCATCCACTGACAGCGGTTGACTGCAGGTGCGACTACTAAGTTATTCTTACTACTGTATGTACAGAAACCCTGCATCCATTGCCAGGCAGACACTGGGTCAACATGCACGATTGGGCGTTGTCCTTGTCATCAGTGGAACCTGCTAATAGGAATCAGGCCCACGAGGCGGAATTTGCAGGCTGTGCTCTGCAAGGACGAATAGTCAATCTCAGATGTCAAGGGCATTTTGCCGTGGTCGCCCAATGTACAGATGTGCAATCGGATACATGGGAGCCGCATCTATGGTACCCTCGTCGCGGGCTGGAGAGACATATGGGCGGGGCAACGGGTGAAGGTGCAGCCCTAGATAGATCACAGTCCGACATGCACAAGAGATCATCATACTCTGCTTCTATGCCCTGCTTATCACACTGCGCATGGCTATACCTCTTCATTGGTGCATGCAAATTAACCAAGGTCGAAGTTGTCCTTTCTTGCCCCGAGAGGCTTCGCTGCCTACTCTTTCCTGATCAGTCCACCTCTTGAAACATCGCTGCAAGACTTCCGCAGCTGGCGGCCGTAGCACTACTGATGAGGTCTGGATGGGCACGGCATGGGCTGCACCACAGAAAGCAAAAGTAAGTAAACAATCTGAAGCGAAAACCGAGGGGAGATTGCAGATAGCACGATGAGGGTATTGAAGCGTCGTGGCAAGATCAGCAGTTTGTGGTTCGATCCATAAGCATAAAGTAAGATGTCTTCCTCGTTCAAGGCGTTGTAGCAAGATAGAATGGTGAGCTAGGATCAGATATCTAAAGTAGTGTATGAGTACAAGCCAAATGACAACGAGAGATGATTGTTTCTTCTTGGGCGAGGCGGTGACGAACATTAATACGTCATTTGCTTGTAACAGCGAAAACCGCATGCGTCCAAATCTGGCTGCATGATTCTCTTTCTCGTTGCTTCTTTTTTTGCCTCTACAATACGAACACCTCTCATCTTTCCGTTTACATAGAAACCCGGGAGCATGCCGAGCTGCAGCTGACGGGGCCTCACCTTTCCAATCAACTTGCCATTTTTGACTCGCAAACATGCCTGCGGTTCTGCGCAACGGGCGCACCGTTGGTCAACAGGACGAGAAGCCCGAGTCGTCCAAGACCGAGACCAGGTTCACGACGCCGACCACCATGTCAAGACCTTCCACATATCTCCTCCTCATCTACCCTGTCATACTTGCGATTGGCTCCCTCTATTCTGTCCTTTCACCGATCGCGGCACCACCTGTTGCTCCGCTGGCACCTGGAGTTACTTCTGAGGCCAATACTCCCTCAACAGCCCCCGTCAACTATTTCTCGACCAAAAGGAACATCTTCAACGTGTATTTTGTCAAGCGTGGCTGGTTCTGGATGACACTAGCTTTCGTTCTGCTCCAGATAACAACTCGACCACCTCCAGCCATCAAACAAAAGCACTACCTCCAAGCCGCATTACGCTACACGCTAGCAACCTTCTCCTGGTTCTTGACAACACAATGGTGCTTCGGTCCCGCTCTCATCGACCGCAGCTTTACCATCACAGGCGGTCGCTGCGAACCTCACATCCTGAACACCAATGGCATTGGAGAAGTCATTGGTATGACCCAAATTAACTCCGGACCTGTCTGCAAGGCTGTTGGCGGGCGCTGGAAGGGTGGTCACGATATCTCTGGTCACGTCTTCATCCTTACGTTAGCCTCGGCTTTCCTCATCTACGAACTGTATATTTCCGATCGGGATTCCTCCCATCCGCACGTTTCTCCCAGGGCTGCAGCGGCAGTTGCGCATGACATGACGGAAGAAGAACGCAAAGCAGTGGGAGGATGGGAAAGCGAGACCGTCGCCAAGGTCCGAATGTGGTCGCGATACATATTGTATGGGGTTGTTGTGTTGGATTTCTGGATGCTGATGATGACGGCGATTTGGTTCCATACATGGCAAGAAAAGCTCAGTGGATTGCTGATCGCTGGATCGACCTTGTACGGCATTTACTTTTTGGGACACCATGTGCCCGAGTGGAGGTCAATCGCTGGAGGGTTATAAGCACACGCAGAAGAGGATGATAAGGGCGAATGGACAACAGGGCTCGATCAGCATCCAGGATTACGACACAGCATAGCGCATGGCAATGGCGACGAATTAGTGTTTCTAAGTAATGCATCACAGTGTAAAATACTTCTCTCTGAGCTCATTTTGGACTTTTGCTTCCACCAAGTATGAATTTACAGTCATAACACCGTCCCTATTTATCAGCAAGAAGAATCGTCCACTACAACTATATCACACAACTCCACACAGCAAACATAGCTGTATCTACCAGGTACCCGAAAGACCGTCCTGTGCACAGAGCACATATAATACCCTCCATTGACCACATGGAATCTGATATACAACACCAACAAGCAGGTCAGCATCAGACTTTATCCAACTTGGCCAACCGTTTAGCCTGCTCCTCACGTTCCGCGTTTTTGTTTACACGCTCTCCATCCCCAGCGGCACCCTCAGCATCACTATCCGAAAACTCATCATCATCATCGCCTGCCAGCTGGAAATACTCTTCCGCTTCATCCGCGCCAATCGGCACAGCCTTTTGCGTGGCAGCAGGCCTTCTTGTCCTCGCACGCCCAACGACCAACGTAAGAACAATCAATTCGACCGCCGCCAACGCCACAGTCAAACTAACGGTCAACCATCCGTATTGGCGCAAAAGGAGTCCAGACGCAACATTCAGCATGGCCATCGGCAACACCACCCTTCCAAGCCATACATGCACGGCTCCCATCCAGGTTCGTCGACCGCCGTGGGGAGAAATGTAGATGACATGGTGGCGCCAGCCGAGAACCGTTTGAACGGCCAGAGCACAAATGATCAGGATGCCGAGGTACTGATGCCAGATGGAGATGGAGCGGCTGTTGACGAAGCCGATTAGAGCGCCGACGGACACGGATACGCTGGAGAGTGAGTTGATGGTCCAGTGGAGGTTGAAGGCTGTAGCCCGGGGAGACCTCAAGAAGTAGACGCCCAATGGGTACAGCACCAAGAAGGAGAGGGTCATAAGGAAGCCGTGGATGTGCCTGTGACCATATCAGTCAGTCAACTGTGTCAAGGGGTTACGCAGGGAGGGGGAGTGGGTATGAGGACATACCACATCAATGAACGGATGTTGAATTGCTTGACTGTCTTGACCGGCTCTTCAACCTTGGAGCCGTTGTCGGCACCAGACTTGTCGGTACCGTCCGAGACTTCCTTGTCAGAATCCGATGTTGATTTGTCGCTATCGCTGGTACTTCCACCACCGAGGGCATCCTTGTGCTGCGAAATGAGGTTCTCTCCAGCGTCCAATTCCTCTGTCGTCGGTACGAGCGGGTCTCCAATCTCATTGACACCCTTGTGGCTTTCCATATCGTTAATAGGACCGAAGAATGCCACAGGAGACAATGCGTTTTTAAGATCAGCCCAGAGAAATCCAAACCCTAGTCCGAATTGATGCATGTCGATGCCACGCTCGGCCGAAAAGTCGCTGCCGAAATCTTGTTTGAAGTTACTGCTCCAGATCATGGACTGTTTCGTCGTGTCGTTGTGCACGCCCAACTCGCAGGCCGTCCACTTGTCGTAGCCTCTGACGATGAACTCGGCGACACCAAGGTGTGAGGGCTTCGCCTGGAGTTTCTCTTGGTAGAATTGCCCGGTGTACTCCTCGAAGCGGGTCGAGACGACGTCGACAGTCGGCACTTCGCCGGAGTAGAAATCCTTCATTTCTGGGATGGGTCGTGGTGGATGGTGGCCATCGACAGTGCGTACGGTCAGGGTAAGCGTGTTGCTTGCTGGGTCGCCGTACGTGATGAACATCAACGCGCCTTTCATTTGGGGGCCTAACGCTAGAGACGCCCATCCTTTGGCGCTGGACGCATAGCGGAATGCCCACATGCGGACGTACAGATCTGATTGCTGTGTGGTTTCATTGTAGTAATTTACCAAGCTGAATGCCTGGTCCGCGCGGCCGGATTCGCCGGTGTGCTTGACGAATTGGACTGGTCGGTAAGCTGAGACGATGCTGAGGAGCGCGAGCAGCAGCGCTGACAGCGAAGATATGTTGTACATGATTGAATGTTGTAGTGATCAATTAGTGTATCGCGTTCAGAAGGGAAGCGAAGCAGAAGCGCGTTCGTGAGAAGGCGTCAAGTCAAGTCGTGTAGCCTTTTCGACACTAAATTGGAAATCCCCTGATATCGATTTGTCGGAATAGGGGGATTGCGCGTACCCCGCCAAATCTCGAAATTGTCCGCTTCACTACCCGAGCAGAACAACAGTATTTCTCTTGATCGATCCAAGAGATATAAGAAGTGTCGAACAAGATAAGAATACAATTAAAATGATACTGAATCCCAGAAAACGGGTGAAAACGTGTCTGGTGGAGAGAAGCTCGCAATTGGGAAAAGGACAATTCGTTGAAAAAAGAAGGGCCGCCAATATTAGACGGCACTAAGCCCGATGGGGACATGGCCTTGATTGACCACGTTTCTCCAGGGGTAAAGAGAGTAGAGAGTAAGCATTGCTATCAGTACTCGTAGACAGGTAGACTGATCAGTGGTCTGATTCCAATATCTATTTCATTGCAAGACGTCCACAGTATCGCCTCCTTGCTGATTCTATACCATACATTCTCGATCTGGGTATCTATCCCTTGACAAGAACTCTCTTTTCAAGAGGCTCAAACGTCTTCTCAGCCGGTCCTCCAGTAGGCTTGCCAAAAACAAGTTGAGCCTTGAGCTTCCACGACTCGGGCAGCCCATAAGTCGAAAGGACATCAGCTGTAATACCAGGATGGAAGTTGAAATGTTGAAGGTTGGCACCTGAAATGAGTTAGACATCATCATTGCGTTGACCACAATTTCCGATCAATACATACCGAGCCCTACTGCTTCAAGAGCAGTCCAGGCTAACAAGTCACTGTCAGCTACTCTCCTTGCAACAGCCCCGAGTGGAAACTTACCGATGAATTGATGGATCCCAGAAGAGTGGTCCGACCCTGAGACTCCGTCAGCATCACTTCACAAATTGAAAGAACACTGGAGGCCTACATTCGGTCAATAGGGGCTTGGTCATAGGATGCTTCTCGCCCAGACCGTGCAGTGCGTCCTGGTCTTCAAACCACATGACAGTGCCGTAACTCTCGTTGAATCCCTTGATGCGGCCGGCCATGTAGGTCTTCATGCCCTCGTCCAAGGGAACCTGGTCCATGTGTTTTTTGACAATGGCCCAGAGTTTGTCGTGCTCACCTTTGAGCAAGACGACAGCACGGGCGGATTGGACGTTGTACGTCGATGGCGACCATTTGATGGCCTCCTTGACGATTTCTTCCACGCGTGAGTCGGGAATGGTCGACTCTTTGGACAAGGTGTAGATGGAGCGACGGTTCTGGACCAGCTCGAAGAAGGTGTCTACTGGAGCCATGGTTGCGTCTGAAACTGGTCGGTGGGTTGTGTGCGTCTAGTGAAGCGCTGGTCAGGACAATCTGTAAGTCACCGAGAAAATGTTAGCGTAGAGGAGAAGCAGGCCGACCATTGCGTACGTCCGTTTCTTTATATTCTGAACGGCAGCCCTCCCCTCCATCAGGCCCCCATTCTGCCGTCTTAACAATCAACTTGGTCTCACAACCCTCATTCCACGCCATGTCAACAAGATCATTCAGCCTCACCGCTGTTCAAATTTCATGCCTGTGCCATCCAATAGCATAGGGTCCAGGGAGGGTCTCGCCATTTTGGAGTACTGCCTGAGGACCAATGGTTGTAATTCTGAAGGTCCATATCGTCTCTCGGGCGAGAAGTTGACTTTGGGATCACAAATCATGTGACAGCGAGCGAGCCTTATTGCAATTGAGAAACAGACTTCCACTGAAAGCGCGTTGTTGGTAAGCAGGTGGAGTATATGCGGAATGAAGCCTTGCTTGCATAACATATGTGATGTCTGATTCCACAAGCAGCTGAAATTACCACATTCGCTCACTATCTGAACCTGGGATTGCACGGTTTAGCACCAACGACCAAAACATTGTCTCACTAGGCGAAAAGGTGGTCAGTATGTCAACGACGAGGAATCAGAGGAAATAAGAAGAAACATTGAGCAACAATTAAAGACGTTCATTCTGGAAAAAGCAACGGTGCTGACCCGGTCAGGAAGCATATGTTACACGATTCCAAGCTTGCATCTTGTCTTGCCTGCTTGAGATTGTAGAACAGATTCCCTCCTTATTCCTGGCCGTTGCCTCAATAATGCTTTTGAATTGCACAGCATTTTGCAAAGACTTTCACTGTAACCGATCTTTCCCATGCAAATGCCTGCTCGTGCCTCAAGATCGCCAGGTATGACCTTCCGAAACAATGAGTGTGCCCTTCACTAGTACAAAGTCGATGATGGATTTGATTCTGATGGTGGTGTCGAATTGCATGTGTGTAGATTCGGTAGGTAGATTGATCATGGGTCAATCTACTTTCCGCCGAGGCTGGGGAAGGCGCTTTCGTCGTTAACAGCAACACCTGGGCCATCGCTGCTGCCGCCACGTCCACGTCCACGGCCACGGAACTCGCCGCGATCTCCTCCACGATCTCCACGGCCACGACCGCGACCACGACCACGGAACTCACCACGATCGCCACCGAAGTCGCCACGGTCACCTCGGTCACCACGGTCGGGACGCTCTCGGCGCTCACCACCGAAGTCACCACGCTCACCGCGACCACGACCGCCACGGCCACGGCCACGGCCACCGGCCTCGCGTGGCTGCTCCTTGAACGAGTAGTCGATGTCGAGGAAGTTCTTCTTCGTAGCACGCTCGCGCTCACGTCTGGCCTTTTCTTCTCCCTTGAAGTAGTCGGCGCGCTCTTCCTTGGTCAGCTCTTTGGCCGACTTCCACTTCTTGTCCTCCTTTGCGCCCTCGTTTGGTGCACGAGCTTCCTTGAGACCAAGTTCCTCAAGCTTCTTAGCGGCCTTCTCAGCCAAGTAGTCGGCATAAGACTTGCTGTTGTCCTCGGGCTCCTCTTCGCCTGCTGGAGCGGTCTCACCACCCTCGGCTGTTGTTACTGGCTCAGCATTCTCGTTCCAAACTTGATTCGCACCAGCGTCCCAACCACCTTCCTTTTCCTCCTTTTTGGCAATGGCCTCGCCAGCTTTCTCGTCAGCGAATTCGCCATCGGCGGTGGCTTCACCCCAACCGTGTCCCTCTTGCTTGGGATGTTCACTACGAGGATTAGCAAAGAACAATCACCGTATAGTCTTGAAGACTCACGCAATGCCGGTACGGTTGACATGTCGATCACCACCTCGACGGGGTCGGTCACCACCACGGCCACCTCGTCGAGTACCAGCAGCGCCTTCTGTGCGACCTGGTTTGTTTCCGAAACCATCAGCGCCTTCACCTTCGGTAGGCTTGTCGCGGTTGTAGGTTCGGCCAGTAGCTCGGTCACGGAATGCTGTCGCGCTCGTCAGAGATATGGTTGTTTTGAATATCATGTTCCAAATCCGTACCTGCTTCGCTTCCACTGAACCCACCTCCTCTTCGACCTCCACGGCCGCGAGTCGCTACGTTGCCGAGGGGATCAGCAGCTGGTGCCTCCTTTGGAGCATCGCGTTTGCCAGCTCGAGCAACTGGCTTTTCGATGGCCTTGGTAGGTGGTTCAGGTTCGCGATCGGAATCCTGGTCAGAGGTGTTGCCTGAAGTGCCAAGTTAGCACATTTCCAGGGTCAGTATTTGGCGGGTAACATACCCAACAGCTCGTAGAGGTTCTAAATATGTCAGCTAATGTTCGCGACAACAAATCGACATCCATTTGATTGTATAGTGTCCAATGGTGTTGATGCTCACCTTGCTCTTGACGTCCGCCATGACGTTTTCCTCTCGAGCGCCTTCCGTGAAGGCCTACTTTTATTGAAACTCCAACTCGATCGGTAGAAGGAGAGACGCCCGACCAAGACAAGTTCCCAAAGATAAGGACCTTGTCAGTGCCGAGAGGAGAATGATGTCTGGTTGGAGGCAAGTCGTGAGGTTACAGCCGCATTCGTGTGCTCAATGATGAAATTCACCCAGCTATTGAAAATCGATCGTGTGGTGGCTTGGCGGTCGATAGCACGTGCCTCGGTCTTGCCCTTGTGCACGTGATGCATCACCAATAAGTCCCCCAGTAGACTCCTCATCAAGAGCAGAGTAAATATACAATTGATTGTGAATTAAGTATGTTCAACCTAAGGCTGAGAGGGCCCAGGGGCCGTAGAACTGGGTATCAACTACGAAACTTCCCTTCTGCTGACAGAGTGTCCTATCATCCGTCAAAGAATAACAAAACACGGACGCCATCGCTAGCATGCAACTTTTGAATACCTCAAGGTTGATTCAAAATTCAAACTCCAGCCGCCCAATGCAAACGTGTCGGTATCCTCATAAGTCTTATCTCCGTTGTTGCGTCGGAGGATACGTGAACGGGTTCGGAAAGTGCATAGACGCCGTGAGTCCGAAAGGATCTGCATCCAACATTGGGTCATAAGGATCGATCATGAGATTGCCACTTCCATCGCTGGCAGCACTCGTGGTCATGGGTGGTGATGCTTGCATTCCCATTCGCATGCCAGAATCTACAGTGGTCGGGGGAAGACGGAAGTTCGGAATGAAGCTGTCCGTGTCGACGTCTTCTGCGTCGAAATCGTCCATGATGTCTTGTTGTGCATCGTACTCCTGTTCTGTAACACGCAATCAGTCTAGGACGAACAGAGCTCCACATGCAGAGGGGGCGGGTCAGCTTGCCGAGTTGAGAATAATGCTTCTGGAATGAAGCCGGATAATAATTATCCTGCATAGTAGGATTGGCTTGAGCTCGTGGGGGAAACGCTTGGGCGGTGGCCTGGTTCGGAAAGGTTCTTGCTGCTGGGACTCTACGCTGCGGCGCAAATACATGGTGCTGTAAAGGTGGCAACGGCCGTCCCTGCTGCTGCTGTTGAGGTTGCTGAGTTGCTATATCAGTTGCAGGTGAGGTCATCCCACCTTGCAAGGCAAAGCCAGGTGATCTTGCCGTCGAAGGGGACGAGTTCTGCGACGGGGGAGTGGGCTGTACTGTGGGTGAGTCTGCGAAACTGCGTTGTCCACCACTCTGGGAAGATGAATTTACTGTCTGAATAGGGGGAGCCATGGCAGGTCGATGCCTGGCTTGCTGTTGTCGACTGAGCATTGCCTTCTGCATTGGCGATGCCTGACCAGTGACCGGAGGCACGCGGTGTGGCCGTAGATTTGGACTGCCTTTGAGGGCTAGTTCAGCTTGAACATCGATACCTAGAGTCGTGAGCTTTGAGATAAGTGGATGAAGCAGCGGCATTACCTTTCTCTAGTAAGACTCGTTCCAGCAATGAATTCTTGTATCGTAGCATTAGGCATTCGTCGGCAGCGGCACGGTGGCTCTGTTGAAGGTTTTGGAGAGTCTCTTCATGTTGCTGAATAGTCGTTTCGAGCTGCTTGATGTATTCGGTCCTACGCTCACGAAAGGCAGCTTGAGCTTGACGGTTTCTTTGCTTTCGTTCTTCTGAGGTGGCATATATCTGGATATCTGTTAAACGTGTGCCATGATAGTCAGCAGAGTCCAGAACATACCGGCTTCCGCCCTCCTTTGCGTTTCGGCGCTGGGGCTGGATCTTGAGTTTGTTTCTCGGAGCCAACCCCAGTGCTGTCATCAGGCTCTGGCGACTCGCCGTCTAGAGAGGAACCATATTCGTCGATACTAGGCTCGCGCTTTGGCACCACAGATTCCGGTAGGATAACGTCGGGATTCGCGACTGAGCCCATGCCTTCTCCACGCAACCGAGTCTAATGCAATGTCCCTGGCATAAGCGCCCGCTGATAGGTTCAGGTTGACCTTAGAATAGCCGCGAATAGACGCGAGCGCCCCTGAATGATCTGATACCCAAAACGTAAACACTCAGATGGGTGACAATTGGAAACAGAGATAAGAAATGGTAGAGCAATAAGCATGCCCACAAAAGAAATGTGGTGAGGTAATAGAATAAGACAACAGAATTTTATCAAAGAGGGGTTAAAGGTCGGCTCGTGCGGCTTCGGAGGAAGGAACAGGGCTTATTGAGAGCCCAGTCTGCAGTTTCTGCAATGGCGCGTGGCTTTCAACCTGAGCTTTTGTTGGTTGGAGTCTCGAAGCTGAAAGAGTGCAGTATTCCCTGTCGGATGTATGGGAAGGAGCAGGCAAGCAACAAGCTAAACATTCAAGTGTGGTTTGATGAGGATCAAGAGGAAAGTTACGAAGCCGATCATGGCGCCTTCTCACGCAACAGATTTTTTCCTCCTTTGTAAATGAGGCGGTCAAAGCGTAGAGTGTGCCTGGAAGTGGATGGTATGAAAAGCTCTTCCCTCCAGGTTCATTCCGCACTCGGCTTTCACATTGGAAAATCATGACTGGAGGCCTCTCTCTTTCCAGAACCGTGAAAATTTCTTCATTGGCAGGTCGGAAAAAGGACGTGAAAAAATACAAGCCACGTGGGGGAAAAAATTTTCAGCGTCGGGCTGCAAGCTACAAATGTGCGGGAACCAATAAGGTCGATGTTGACCGCGTCCAATGCCTCGATTCGCTCTAGAAGGTCACAATAGATCAACACTGATCCAACGTCAGGCGAACGCCGGCTGCGTCAGATGAAACGCACCAAGACGCTTGACGCCAACTTGGACCCTTTGAAGTAGGCCATCCATGCCATCCCCGCTTCATCGTGTCGCCTTTCTCCGTGGAACCATCTCGCCGCCAGCCTTCCCCCTGACTTCTCCCTGCCATCGCGGCCCATAATCTGGTCGGCTTCTTTTGATAGACGGAACATGCCCGTAGATCACTTCCAGCCCGTTTCTACCCCAGTTTCGACCCCAGACCACTGACATCTGTTGGTCCGAAGTTGTAGGAGATCACGGATCGGGTACAGAATATGGCATCTGTACAGGTGGGGAAGACCGCGTTGCATCGAGTGGTGCACTCCGATACGCCAGAAGTGACATGATCTGTAGTCCGGCACATCCACTGATCGCTGACGACAACCTTCGCCAGACCTGTCCTAGATTGCTCTTGCTTAGAGCCAATGGAGTCTGCACACAAGACATTCACATGACCCTGATCATCCGATTTGGAAGGTGAACGTCAGGATTAAGACCTTCAACTCCTAGCAGTCACCCTTGAGATTGGTGTCAGAATGAAGCAGTAGCGGCGCTGGCAAAGGATGTTGCGCAGTTGTTATGCTCGTCGTCGAATGACCTGGGGAGATGGCACCTGTAACCCTGCTGTTGAGGGTGTTTGCATATTCGGTTCCATGGTCAAAAGTTGAATATTTGCAACATGTCTCCTTGTGAGGCGCTTTGGACAACATGGACCAGGCAGGTTGAGTGAGGCTTGATTCCGGTTTGAACCCAGTTGCGACAAGTATCCGACGCTCCTGACGCAACGAGAAATAATAAGAGTGCACAGCTTGAAGCTTCTGAGCTTCTAAGGGAAAGAGCCTGTTCGTTGAGTATGTGATCGCTCTTTCTTCCGGTAAGGAAGTCTATGTGGTCAGGCACAATTGATGGCTGGCATGTCCTTGCACAAGTCGAGTTGCGGTTTTCACCCGATTTGCTTCGCCATTGACCCTCGTTTCGTTGACACTTGCTGTGGATAAGACTTCATGATCATACGTGTGCAAATTGTACTGTACATCACCGCTTGAGCAGCCCTAGGAAATTGAGCCGTACGCAGTTGCGATGCGTGCGGCTGTCAACGTTCAATGGAGCAGTGGGCACTAAGAGGTGAGATTCTTTCGAAATGTGAGGTTTCAAACACTGACCCAGATCAGACCCTCCAAAGAAATATCAATTAGGAAAGCGAGCATCACCTGAGGATGGAAATCATATCCGAAGACCCTTTTCCTCACGCCTTGAGACCTTTACAAGACCTATTTCAGCTCTAGCCAGACACCGCGTACACCAATTATCGGAAATACGTGAAGCATCAACGTCCTCGAAAACAGGTACTATCACGAAGGCAACCTCAGGATGGACCGATGGTGGTGATAACAGACCAAAGACACCAGTACCTCCAGGAGACGCCCTCTCTCATTCCACTTCTTCAGAGTGCCCAACTCCAAATGCACTACGCCCGGTGCCACGAAATGGTTCTGCAGCCTTAGGCAATAAAACAGCAAGTGCTATCAGTCTCCCTCACGGACGCATCCCCGAACGGAGGTCCTCGGCCAGCATCTTCTCCCGCAGTCTGGCAGGTTCGGCTCCAGGTTCATTGCAAGAGCTGCACACATGGAAAGTACCAGGGTTGGACGATACAAGAAAAATAATCCCAGACAGGGGACGCGCAGATTCACCTGTCCGTCGTGCTATGGCGTCCAGCGCTCAATCCTCGGAGGTCTTTCGACCGTCTCTTGCACGAACCTTCATTCGAACCACTCCTCCTCATGAAGTCTTGGACAATGGCAGTGCTCGACATTCCCGAGTCGAATTATCCGTCCGCTTGCCTGCCCCACTCTTCGTCGGAGGTGGTACCGTCGAAGGCCAAATGACAATCGAGGTCGACGGTGGAGCATCAAGAAGACCCAAATTGCAGCCAATATACATCTCCAGGGCTTCTGTGGACGTTATTGGGGTCGAAGAGATCAGTGATGGGCGGCGATGGGTGTTTCTCTCGCTAGCAACGGAATTGTTTGACCACGAAAATCCACCTCCTCCAGCCCTGGTCAAGTCTCAGCTGCCTCAACCGAGTCCAGATCTTTGGTGGGAGATGAAGACTGCGACAGCTAGCATCCCCTTCTGCATCAATCTACCTCTGAAACTTGGCCCTCCTCCTTACGCCTCGAAACAGGCGTCCATACGCTATTTGCTGTGCCCTTCACTTTCTATCAAAGTAGGAGGCAAGAGAAGTATTGTCAGGCAAACATGGAACATTCAGATGCTCACTGTGCACGATCCAGAAAAGGCTTTGGCCAGTCTTCCCAGCCCACTGCTCGCAGCAGACACATTGTACCTCGCACGAGAACCAGAGATGCAGACGGTGAAGCTTACTGCGGGGCTTCACCGACAGACATGGGTGAATGGTGCCAAGATCTTCATCGATGTCCATATCGCAAACAACACGCCAAAGACGGTCAAGAAAATCGAGGTCCAGCTCGAGAAGACAACGTTGTGGTATACGCACGCTGCGGCAGGGACTTTTGACAAAAGCGCAAACCACCTGCGACTCCCCAAACGTACTGACTCCGGCATCATTAGCAGTACCACGCTGAAAAAGTCTGATACATGGCAAGGTGTCACTTCTCACTCATCGGAGGTCAAGACAATCGAATTGGAAGCTCCTCGTGGCCATGTCACCATCAGCACAGGCAGGTACTTTGAGGTCAGATACTTTGTCAATGTGGTGGTTACCGTGAAGTTGTTCAAAACCGTTGCAGTCCAGCTTCCGGTTACCATCATACCAATCAACTCTCTGGACATACTACCAAATTCGCTTGCACAAGTGGCTGCCTCTATTGAAGCCAAACGGGCGAAGACAGTACCAGTCCCATCGAGTGGCCCAAGCCGGGCATCGTATCATCAAGGCCAAGTCTTCACCATCCCACTACGACCCTCGTTGGAGAATGCGAGCCGGGAAGAAGGCCCGATGCCACTTGCAGATCTAGACAACCTAAAGCAAGACCTGGACAAGTCTCCAAGAAAGGTTCACGGTCAGGCAGGCGTTGCCAATGATGGGACAAACGAGAACAAGCCTCCTGAACGTGCGAGCATGGCATCATCGTCGCATCACCATATGGAGCGGCATCCAAGTTGTTATCATTGTCATGTTGCCGAGAATCAGGATACACCCATGGGCAAAGGTCCACGACTGCCTAGACTTCAAGTCTCTACTTCAGGACTTGGCTTTTCCGAAACAGAATTCGAAGTGTCTGCGGACTCACCTCCTCGAAAGGTGATGTTGAGTGAGCGGGAGCGAAACATGATCAATCAAGACAGAGAACTGCGCAAGCGGCAAGAGCGGAAAGACATGAACCAAAACAGACCCAGTGGGGACATAAAACGCGGACATGAACTACGGCAATCCAGAGACCAGCCAAGCTACAGAAATGTGGTAGCAAACCCCAACGCGGCACCCAGGCCGCCGGCCCTGGGAAGCCTCAGCCCGAGTGGTGTGAGATGGCGAAGCAACAGTGGCAATCTGCATGCGCCACCAAAAGCTGCAAGATCTAGGTCTAAGACGAATCCTGAAAGATTATCTAGAGCAGTGTCAACGCACAAGCCACGAAGAAAGTCCAGTAGCGCTCGACTTCCTGTCGACGGACCAGCATATGCCGGAGCGCATCGAAGACTGAGCAAGGACGTCGGTTACAAAGGTAGTCTGGACCGGCTCTTTTGAAGAACGAAAAGAGGTTGATTATGTCGAACGGGTTATCGAGTAAGATCCATCTGCAGAGTAAGATCCATCTGCATAGCGTATGCACACGCTCAGAATACGCGAAATCAGATGGTTCAGTCCTGAATATGATAGCAGACATAGCGCTGAGCTGTAAGATAGCTGTCTATAGTTTCTTGAAGAACAATATATGCCAGCGAAGCAAGGGGGACGTTCGGGACCTTAGTATCATTGGTCAACGGATTCCGTGACGAGAACCAGACTTGCACCAATTCCCTCACTGTCTAGAGGTCGTTCATCTACCTCACTCTCACCCTTGGCGGGAACAAATATTCTGACCTCTCTGATCCCGACACCACGTTCCTTCAACCAAGTTTCGTCTTCGGCATCCCTCGGGGCGTGGATATCAATACCCACTCTACCCTCAAGGCCTTTCATAGCTTCCGGGTTAGGCGCGCTGAGCAAGAAACTCACGCTCGTGCTCGGCTTATACCGAAATCCACCGTGCGTTTTGGGTTCCGCACCAGTCACAGCGCTGTACAGTTTCACGTAATGTTCGATATGCGACTCCGGCACAACGACTTCGACGGATAAAATGCCCTTGGCGCCACAAGGGTGTGTTGTTAGCGTTTTGTCGTTGGACGGCACACGTAGTTCTCGAGGTGTCTCGTCGTGGCAGAAGAACGGGGTGTCGAGACGTGTCGTGGGGAAGAATGTCTCTGTTGATTTAGGCACGTTCGGGCCGTCGGAGTATGATGGTTTTGTGACGAACCATTTGCAGTGTTGGCCGTCTTTGCGTTGTCGGCCGCCGCCGGAGGGTTGGCTGAAGGTTACGCCTAGACCGTCGTCTGAGCCCTCGAGGCGTTGAGTGACGGCGGCATAAGTGTCGTGTGCGGATTGAGGGGATGTTAAGGCAAAGTCGATTAGGCCTGCGGGTTTGCTGGCCCAATCGAGGAATTCGACTGGAGGTGCGATCCAGTTTAGGAGTTCGATGAGGGTGCCGTCGGAGAAGATGATGAGTTTGTTGCGGGAGGAACCACCCTTGTGAGTGCCGCCCTCGATGATGTGGAAGTTATCGCTTAGCCAGGCTGGGAGGTTCTCAAAGTCGGGGGTGTCGAGGAGTAGGACGATGTGGTCGTGCGAGATGTCGGATACAGATGCTAGTGATGGGGCCATAGTTGGGACGTCGAGGTCGAGCTTGCTAGATCTCGAGGACGGAGTCCACTTTCGCAGTAGGTGTTTCTAGTAAGAGAAGGGTTTCAGATCAGGCTGGCAGATAGACGGGGCTTCTGGTTGACGCTGATTTGTTTTCGACGTTCGTAGAGGTTGCTTGTTGAGGCCGAAACTCCTGCTGCTGATATCCTTTACTTGCCTTGGAGGGCGGTAGATATCAGAAGAAAGAGTGGGGGAGCAAGGTACAAGGATGGTGCATTGCGGAGGATACCGCAGAATTGCGGACAGTAGGAGGGAGTCAATGATGAACCCGTCCGGTAACTCGATGGCGCAACGTGTGGGTAAGGGAGTGCAGCTGACTCATCTACAGGTAATCGAAGAAGGCCAGACCATGTAATACCTAGGTACCTGGGTAAATATATCTTGGTACATTGTCTTCTGTTCGTGAATCAAGTCCTATGTAGCAAGTATGGGCACATAATTGTAGGTATGATGGCACGGTTCATGCACATTTTCTCATTGAATTTATCTTCATAAGACATTTTTGCCCAGGGCAGCAGCACGTATGCTGGCATGGCAGACAGCAGCCCATCAAATTGAGAGCTCTGCCTCCGTCGAACTACAGAGTCTTCGTCTCTGTCCCATTGAGCAAAGGAAGCCGTCCTCGCCAATTGGCAGAGTCTGCTCAAAGCAGCGTGCACTCCCAAAGGATGACATAAGAGTTTCATGTCTCTTGGTAAAACATCTCCCAAAATGCGCATTCGAGTCATGCTCCAGTCACCATGGCATACTCATTGAGTCGAGGACTCATCTAAACGCCATCATGCCTGGTGCAGGTCAAAGATATCAAGTCTTGGATGCTCCAAGTATCCCCATCCCCTTGATTTGTATGGTACAGAATTCGACTCCACAACACCAACGCAATAACGAGCATATGTCGGAAGCTCCAATGCCTCTAATTCTGTTCTTTGGTCGCATTGGCCTTTTTGCCCTGCGACTTTGCGTTCGTTGGCGAATCATCAGGTTTATTCGTAACGTTGGAAAGGCTGATAGCAATCTTGCGCGGCTTCCGCCCTTCGACATGGTTCTCTCTGTCCACACTGCTCGACAATGTAGGTTGGTCACTAGCCTGCTTTGACCGTAGGAACCCTTTTTTGCGTCTCAGGGAGCCTGATGATGCAAGACTTGATGCACTGGAAGTCGAATTCCTTCGTTTGGGACCACCAGATAGTTTGCCCAACTCATCCTCATCGTCGTCATCTTGTCTCCGTCGCTTTTCCGTCAGACGCTCTGGAGGATTTTGCAGCTCTGACTCTGCGGACGACTTGATCTCGGGCGATGGTTGTAATCTCTTCTCAGGGGTGGCCCGGTTGTCGGGTGTTGATGCCTCTTTTCCACTTTCAGGAGTCAGAGGAGTTTGCGGCGTGGACAATGCCTTGGAATCCATATTTTCGTCCTCGTCATCGTCAGGGTAGTCGACTAGTGGTTTAGTGATCGGAGAAGCACTTCCATTCAACATTTCTGACTTCATCCTTCTGCGATGCCATTGCATACGCTCGGATACGTCTTTGACATCCTCACGCTCTGCATCCTCATCGTGCTCTTCTTCATCGTCGTCAGAGGTGTTGAAATAGTCTTCTTCGTTCGCGTCCATTTCCTGAAGCCCTTGCCATCTGCCATTGATGTGAACGCGGTTCATTGGAGGTGTTGCATCGTCCTGGCTGTACAGCGTGTGTTCGGGTTCAGGATGAGTGGTGGTCATGTGTTCATATTTGACAGTGAGGTCTTCGAAAGTGTCCACGTAGGTAATGTCTTGCAGCTTCTCACGATAATTCTCACCCAGATGCAGAATGATCGGCTTGATCTCTTCCCTTCGGATAAACTCGAAGAGTTCCAGACACGCCGAATTCAGGAGATTATCCCTCGGCATTGTGTCAATAACGATTCCCAATAGAGCTCCAAATGCACCACTCTTGATGACCTGAGCAGCATAGAATTGATCTTGCAACGATATGCATGTGCGGAAGAATTTGAGTGCTGTCAATTTGAGTGGTTTCTGGGGCACTTTTATCAGCATAGCCACTCGAGGTGCTGGATTTTCAGCAAGGATGAAAGACCGGCTTCCCATGGAATGCTGGCGGATAAAGAAGGTCAGGATCTCCACCAAATATGAAAACAACGAGACTTCCTGGTAGCTGAAGTTGCGCAATGACTCTCTTGAATCAAGATCTCTCAATGGCTTGAACAGCTTCCGGCAAGATCGATCGAAGTTCTCTTGGGCAAAATCCTCTCTTTTCTGTTGCGCATCCGTCATCTGCGGTGGGCGAGAGAGTTTCGTCATATACTCGGAGTTCTGTCGATTTTGCATGGGATCATTCGAAGGAGGCTGAGGATCCAAAAGAATCTTAATAGCGTCTGCCAATTGGTTCTTGACTCCCAAATCCGTCTCCGCGTGCAAGAGGTCGATAAGTGTGTCGGTTAGAGGAGTCTTCTTCTCGTGCACAGCTTTGAGCATGTAACCTCGCATCATATTAGGATCGTGATCCAGCAAAGCCACAAGGATGTCGATGCCAGTTGTTCTCATCGTTGGTTCGGGGTGCTTTACAGCAAAGGTGATGACCGAGAAGAGGCCATGAGCGATGAAATTGTTGAGCAAATTTGCGCGCGCTTGCATTTGCAGGGTCTTCGCGATGGCAGCGCATTGCTGCAAGAAATGCACCGCTTGCTCCTTACGCTTGACGTCGGTGTTGTCGGGATTGAATATCGCAAAAAGCTCTTTCAAGAAAGTGGTGTTGTTCTGAAGATGTTGTACAATGTCGACCTGGTTAAAGAAGATAAGGGAATTCAATACGCCAAAGGTGGGATCATCCAGTATTCGGGCCAAAACGACATCCTTCAAATACTGTAGTCGCCAGGTTTGCCGGATCTTCCTTTTGATGTTTGGATCCTTAATCTCAACCACCTCTTTATATCTCGATTCGTCCGATAGATATTGTCGGTGATTGGCCTTGTGGGTAGGGAAATCAGGATCATACTCCAGGGCGCCCACAACACCGATGATTATGTCGTCCGTGACAAGGTGTTCGATGACAGCGTTATCGTTCATCAAAATCAGCGCTTTCATGATATTGCATAACCTGTGCAAATCCGATAGACTCTCAAGGTCTTCTGCGATCTCCACCAAGGGTATTAGTTTGGAAACATAGTCCTCTTTCAGTAGAAATTTTGCCAGCGCTTCGCGACCTCCTTGGGTGATGCTTGCTTGTCGAATGTTCTGCTCGATTTCGTCTAGGTTGCTCAGTTCGGGAGGGTTAAGGGTGAATGATGTCGAAATGTTGTCGAGCGCGTCATCCGAGAGGCCATCGTCTTCCAACTTGTCAGTATCTTATCTCATTTTAGATTCGCGCAGCCTTTACCTGGAAGTGCCAACAGTTGTTGCTGGACTTGGTGGACAAATTCCCTGCCCCATGGTTAGACTCCACGCTTCGGCGAAAGGCGCGCTGGACTTACCATATAACTGCGCAACCGTCCGCCTCTTGGAAACTGAGCGCCATATCGACGCCATTGGTTTCAGTCCACACGATCAACGTGTCTGTCACGCGTCAGTTGTTTTTCATCCAGCACTTGGGTGTTGTAAGATTCCGACCTTGTTGTTTCTGATACCCATCATCCTTGACGATTTTCGTCTCGAGCAGCATACGATCGGGTTGGTCCTCGGACTCGACGTAGATACGTGGTTCATCCTACAAGACGGTAGTTAGGGCATGCTCTCCACATTGCAGGCGCGCGACATGCGATCGCGCCCAGTCGGCGTGTAGAACGTACATTGATGACCTGCCCGGTGCAAAACCCGGTACCTCGATCAAACCAATCATTGTCGCGCAACTCGTACACCTTCACTCTTTTCTTGTCGTTGGCAAGCGGCACCTGCGGCGCCTGCATTGCCATGACGAAGAAAATGGGATGGACGAATGGACATCAGCAGGCTGGAGATTGATAACCGTGACCGTGTGCCAACTTTGTTTTGCAGGTGTGGCAAGGTGCGCAAGTGACGCTGGCTATCGATATTCCCACCGAATGAGGTTTAGTCGTCCCCGCCGCAGTTAGAAAGTCTTAGGCTCCGGAGCCGGATAATCAAGCCCCCGAATGAGATAATCTTTCTGCCTCAGGCACCTAAACGCACCTAGAGGCAGGGTTACAGGGTACCTACCTAGGTATTGGTCTATGGCCCACGGAAAGCTTCGATCATTTCTCGTATTAACAAGCCTTCAATTGAGGGGATTTTCTTCGGCTGCAGCATGTGCCTAATAAGTCAAGCGTGGTTAATTTAGAGGGACCCTGCCCTTTGTAACTCCGTACAGAGTTAGACCAGGGTGTTAATTTGCAAGCCCCAACAGCCTAACAAGAACTGGTGGTCCATTCGTCAATAGACGATGCACTATGGGTTGTCACAGGCTTACTTAGGCTTAGGCTTAGCCTTTTGGTGCCCGGCACGAAGCTAAATTGTCCTATGAATACGCAGCCTTTCGTGGGCGTGCATTGTCCCACCAAGATCGGAATTTGGCCGCCCCAGTCACAGGCCCAACAATGGGCATCAAGATGCACTACAACTCTGCTTTTCAATGGTGCTCTCTCATACTCCCAAATGCAGAACACGGTGCTCAAAGTCCACAATAACTGCATGTAGTTTCCACCTGGCGTACTGTCAAACTCCAATGACGGAATACTTGTATCCAACATTCAAGGGCCCAAGGATGATCTTCCAACATTGTCCTCGATTGACTCAATAAACGGCCTTAGGAAGTAAGGGACATTTGGAGCGCGACATCGGTGGCTCTTATCCTATTCCTGTCTTCGTTATTGGCCTAAATCCATCGTACGCTTGCTTCGTACCACCAACTCTTTCCAATAATGCATACATCATTTTCTACCCCCAGCGAGAACTGCTGTAACGTTCGTCCAGTCCATTAATTCACTATCTGAATCCTTCCTTATTCATTCCTTTCTTATTATTTCCAAGAATCTGCCAGCTTGAACTGCGGGGTTACTTTTCCGCCGCGACGCCATCAACACCTGGCACACATTCCGAGGACAGTCCCTTTGGCCCTTAGTTACGTGTTGTATGCGTCACCGAATTCGGACCATTTCAAAGCGAATCTCGGACCTGGGAACTAATGACCGCACTGACGCCCTTTGACGCCTTTCATATTTTGTCTCTTTGTTATTGACGTTAACAACCCTTGATGGGTGACGCCGTCATGGCGACGCCCAAATCCATGGACAATCCGTCTGATGAGGCTTTGCGGCAAGAGCCATTGACTCCCACAGCCGGAATTTCAGGCGGGTCACGACCAGAATCACCATCAGATGAGACACCCATAGACGAAAACGGCGATAGAGGGCCAGCACCAATTCAGAAAAGGCGAAGAGTAACCAGAGCGTGCGATGAGTGTCGTCGGAAGAAGATCAAATGCGACGGCAAACAGCCCTGTACGCACTGTACTGTGTACAGTTATGGTGTGTGACTGCCTTCCATTATTAAATTGCTTATCTTCCCTTGCAGTTGTACTTACCTTGAGTTGCAGAATGTACTTATGATCAACCCTCGAATCGGCGGCGGAACCCCGCGCCGCAGTATATCGAAGCACTTGAACAGAGGCTGCAAAAAGCAGAAGCGATCCTGCGCTCTGTGCTCCCAGGTCTTGACCTCGACGATCCCAAATTCGACGCGCGAAGTGTAGAACAAATAATCGAAAGCTCGCGAGTAAGTGCTCCCACTAATATCGTCGATGGCCCTGTCGTACCACAAACGGATCCGCCGAAACCAGACGATGATGCACAGCTTCAGTCAATGGTTGATCGTACAGGCGCTTTGGATTTGGACGACTCTGGGCATTGGGACTTTCATGGTCATTCGTCTGGATACGTTTTCATGCGTAAGTTCCGCGCTCAGTTTGGAGACCAGTATTTGGCCGAGTACCGTCATCCGAACAAGAATCGAATCATATCTCAGTTCCTTGAATCCCCGAGATCTGCCAATTCGTCACCATTCGAATTCAATCTACCTGCTGCCGGCGTGGATCTACCACTCAAAGAAAAGGCAATCGAACTTTCACTAAACACACTCGATGATTGCTGTGCTATGATGCGGCCTATACACAAGCCGACCTTTTTCCAACGTCTACATGCTGTCTACGATACGGATCCTGAGCAGTGGAACAACGGTCATGTTCAATTCCTGCCCTTGCTGTACGTGGTGATGGCAGTAGGCTGCTTGTTTTCAAAGTCTGGGGCCGACACCACACTGGATATCAAAGGCTACAAAGAGGCCATGGAGCAAGGGTAGGTCGATGCGTGCCATGAACGTATCTATATTGACATCTGCAGGTACCAGTACTTCAACACAGCCAAGCAGATGTTGGACATCACCGACTGCAGGGACTTGGTCACGATCCAAGCCATCGCCTTCATGATCATGTTCCTTCAGTCTTCCGCTAGACTACCCGTATGCTACGCGTACATTGGCATTGCTCTGAGGGCATGCTGCCGGCTAGGTCTGCATCGAAACATCCCCAAAACATTTACTCCTTTGGAGTCGGAAGAACGAAAGCGAATATTCTGGGTGATCCGGAAGATGGATTCGTATGTTGGAGCGGTGCTGGGCCTTCCCCAAATGCTGAGTGACGACGATATCGACCAAGAACTACCGACTGAGGTCGATGACGATTACATAACAACGGAGGGCATTCGGCCCATGCCTGCGGGCAGCTTCCCTCTCCAAAAGGCATCCAATGCGCACGGCAAATTGACAAACATTCTCAGGAAAGTCGTTCGATATATTTACCCGGTGAGGGGCGCGATGTATAATGGACAAGCAGACTCCAGGTACTCTATCAGTCACAAGCGGATTCGTGAGCTTGAAAGAGATCTTCAAACTTGGATGGACCAGCTACCAACGGAGTTGAGACCTTCGGACAACGCTGAAAACGAGCTGTCCAGGTGAGAAAGATACCAAATTTTAGTTGGCGAAATTCTGCTGACACGGTGTAGGGTTCAACAGCTTCTTCGAATGTCATACGCACATGTACAGATGATGGTGTATCGACCATTTATTCACTATGTGTCACAGGCCTGCCAGGCCAGGAACATAGACAAGAGGAGCTTTGCCTGTGCAGCGGCATGTATTAGCGTGGCTCGAAACATTGTTCATATCACAACCGAGATGAAGAAACGTGGGTTGCTGGTAGGATCGTACTGGTTCGTCATGTATACGACATATTTCGCAATCTTGTCTTTGGTGTTCTTTGTCATTGAGAATCCAAACAGCCCTACGAGTCAGGACATTCTCAAAGACGCGGTAGAAGGAAGAGACACATTGGCCGCCCTTGCGAAAAGAAGCTTGGCAGCGGACCGGTGTACTGGGAGTTTGACCGTAGGTAATCCCAAACAGGGCGTGTTTGTGATGCTGATCGCTACGATTATAGGGTTTATTCGATGTTCTGCCCGAGAAATTGAAGGAAAGGCGCAGTTCTCTCGGTACCGCCCCAGCAACATCTCGCAAACGACCGCCACCTGTTTTCACTGAGACGGGGTCAGCGAATGAGAGGCAGACTGCTCCAACCGTGACCACGCCCACCAGCTTGAGGGAAGCCTCAGGCACGCCCAGCCGAGCGAGGACCCTGCCATCAGATTTTCTTGCTAAGCTGGCGAAGCGAAACTCGATGCCAGATCCGCATGCACTTTCAAACCTCTCGGAGGGATCTTTGCAAATGTCAAATCCTCCTCCAACTATGGCATATCAAAGTCCAGCCACGGAATCTCCTATATCCAGCCACTTTGACTTTACTACACCTCACATGGCCAATGCCCAGATCCCTGACTTGAAGAACGTCATGTTCCCTAGCGACAATCCGTTCGCGTATCCAAACCAGCCCATCAGCACCCTGGAATCGACGGATGGGCCATACTCGTTTTCGGACCACAATTTTGGCTCAACCGATGAAAGCATATTTGGCACGCCGACTGGCGGTAGCACGAGCACGCAGATGCCGCTGCCAACCCCACACTATGGCACCTACGACTTTTCTTTCCAGCAGGCGCTCAACGAGAATTCTTGGCTTGGTGGACAAAATCTGGCTGGAGGCCATGGACCACCATATAGTGCACCGATAACGGATATTCTGATGCAGAATGCAATAGGAGGGGATCATGTTGATCTCAGTGGAATGCCTATGCCGATGGGCAGTAACAATGCGTCTGCTGACTCGACAGGAACAAATCGTGGCTCAGCACACGGGTTTCAGTCGAGTATGGACGATTATTTCAACTCGGAAGGTTGGAACCCGAACCCGAGTTCGACCTGGGGAGATCAACACTACAGCAGTAACCCGCAGTGAGCAGTCGAGAATGACGGGGTCACGAGATGAGTGTAACGTTCGGTCTGGGAGTCATCATCAATGAAGAGCGTGCATGGTGTTTTTCTGGGCTTCACATTGGGACGATACCATGGGAATGAAGATTATTGCATTAAACTACGATTTGCTGGCGTTTTCTGAGGGCCCCATCCGCATGGTTCGCAATTACTCGTGCATGAGCTGGAACAGACGTTCAGAGATTGCATGCAAGGGTTTAGGGAATGCTCAATAACACGGTCGTTGAGAGAATACAGAAGATTATTCCGTTCGGCCAGAAGAAAGGGAGACTGTTCGAATATATGCATCGAGTTGACGGATATGATCGCAAATACCTTCTCTGTACACTGTTTTGCATGTGGTTCATATTCATCGTTCCGCTGCCCAGACTTGGATTTCCGCTTTGCCTTCCAAGAAATTATTTGCATCTTGGTACTTGGCAAGGAGGGATGTCGTGGCAAGGCTGGGCATGGAGAGGAATCGACTTGGTGCCAAGGCAATCCCGCAAGCGAGATACTTGAGTCAGGACACCCAATGCTGGACCGTCACGGTCACCTTAAGCAGAATATGGAGACCTGCAGATGAGTGTTACACCCTCGGCAGATGCAACAGCCAAGATGGCAGAGTAGCTTCTGAGGATGTTGAAACGATATGGCTGTGACTCGTGAAAAGTACTCATGAAAATGATACCGGACACCGCCTCGGCTGCCGACTCAACGGAGTTAAAATGACAACCTGGATGAGTAACACAACCGTGTGCCCGAATACATCGATGCGATTGTACAAGATTCATGGACCGTGACAAGACAATGGTGGGCCAGGCTATGTCAAGTTGTCACCAGAGATTTGCCACGCCGGCCTTTCCATATACGGCGCTCAGAAAATGAGAGGCCAGACATTCTTTGGCCCCTCCGGGTCTTGTCCCGCTCCCAAGAAACTTCCAAGACATTCCAAGAAAACCAAGACTTCGGAAAGTAGAGGAGACCAAGTCGGCTACTAGACAGAATGAGCAATCGCAACAAGCCCTACGTTTCGCAAGAATGATATTTGAAGCATTGCGAGATCTAGTCTGCCACCATTTCTTTGTCCACCTCGTCAACTCATCGTTTCAAGCGACGGCCCTTCGTATCAGGCTGACGTTTAGTAACGAAGGGGAAGAAGCAGCGGTGGGGCGGTTGCATTTCCTCGCGGAATTAGTGGCTTGGCAGAGCGTATCAGGTGCCAGTGCCAAGGCCGCTGACGAAAAAAGAGCTGAAAGTGCAGCCAAAGAGGCAGATTCGTTGTTTGGCTGCTGCTGGTTAATCGATGTCGCTGCTTCTGGCTTCTGCCACCACTACTGACCAGTCCATCACCTCGTACTGCGCCGGGTCCCCCCCTAACGAGAGCGAACCCTTCCCTGCGCTCCTTCCGCCAGTAACGCCTAAAATGACCAGGACTTGATCGTTAACCTGACCACGATCCCCCCCTCCAATCGTCCTCCCCGTAATAAGAGTGGTTCCCCGTCTCCTCCCTTTTCTTCTTCTGCCTCACAAACCTCCTTGTAATCATACTGACCAGAGGACGTTATTGACCTTTGCATCACTGATTGTGTATCTCGAGAGTCAACTGTTGCGACAAGTTCCGGAGGCTTCCCATAGTATTGTCCTCACTGCACCCTCGTTGCCTGTGGTCGGTTACTCAGGGCGAAATCTTCTTCACTACCCGATTTTCACCATTACTTTTCGCTGACTCTCACCTTTCTTTTCTTCCGCCTTCCATCACCACCAACTTTTGTCATCGATTGTTGTCGATTTCCTTCGCGTCGGTTGCCAGAATACATCGGCAGCCTCGTTTGGTCGTCTCATTACTTTGCCAAGGTCGACCTCGATATCTCTTGGCTCGAAACCGCGACTCAAGCTTGGCAAAAATCGCAGCGACGAAACCACCATGTCTGAACTTGGCGAGACCAACAACACCTCGAATCCTCCTGCGGTTCCTGATGTCCTCCAACAACAAGGCCAACTCCAAGGACAACTTCAGCAGCCCTTGATTCAGAATCAACCTGCTCCCAGCATCAACGCCGCAGGTGAAAACCTGCAGTGTCAGTGGCAGGGATGCGGCGAGCGATGCACGTCTGCAGAAGCCCTCTATGTGAGTTCACTCATCACAAACCCGATCTACCTGTCGAGTTTTGACTGATATAATCGTGTAGGAACATGTCTGCGAACGCCATGTCGGTCGCAAGTCGACTAACAATCTCAACCTGACCTGTGCATGGGGCCAGTGTCGTACTACCACCGTCAAACGCGACCACATCACCTCCCACATCCGAGTCCACGTACCTTTAAAGCCTCACAAGTGCGAATTCTGTGGAAAGGCGTTCAAGCGTCCTCAAGATCTGAAGAAACATGTCAAGACTCACGCAGATGACAGCGTCATCATGCGCTCTCCAAACATGGACGCAAATGGAGGCCAGCGCGGACAAAACGGCATGCCTTCAGGTGACTACAACGCCTCGTACTACGGTCAGGCTCTGACAGGTCAAGTCGGTCAAAGTTACTATGCTCCTGCGCTGCAAGGCATCCAAGATTATGGTGGCCAACATCATCCTAACCAATACTACCAACCACAACCACCTCAGGTGAGCATGTTGTTGACCGCATCCATTTATCACTGCTGACAGATTTAACAGCAAGGACAGCATCCTGGCTATGGTCCGGTCACGTACTACAGCACTGCACCTCAGACATCCTACGACTATGAGACTCGCAAGCGGGGTTATGATGCTCTTGACGCCTTCTTCGGCCAGGTCAAGCGCAGAGAGCTTGACCCTGCCAACTTCCAAAACATCAGTCATCGTCTCTTCGAACTTCAAGGTCTTCAGCTTCCTCAAATCATACCGTCCAATGTCTCTGTTCCTGCGTACCAGCCTGTTTCGGTTGGTGGAGGCTACGAGTCTGAAGATCCTATTCAGGCTTACAGCCTGCCCCCGATGGGCAACGCAAAGACTCGTGGTGATTTGACCTCGATCGACCAGATCCTTGAACAAATGCAAGCCACAATCTACGAGAACGATACACATCTTGCCTCCACCGCCGTCGGACAGGCAGGTTCTGGTTATGTTGCATACCGCACGAGCGACAGCCCACCTAACGCCACCCAGCTTCCATCTACCCGCGCCCACTCTAACCCCGTTGCTCTGCTTCAGCATCAACCTCAATCAAACATCGCCACTGGTACCGAAGCCAGCACTCCAGGTCTTACTCCGCCATCGTCTGCTCACAGTTACACTTCTGGTCAGAGCCCGTCTCAAGGTCAATCAGCCCCAACGAGCAGTGCCTTGTATCCCAGCCTGCCTTCCAATGCCACCGATATCGCGTTTGCTGCTGCCAACGCCGCCACCCTCAGCGGTCTCTTTGATGAAGACGAGCGTCGCCGCTATGGTGGTGGTATGCTTCAGCGGGCAGCTCCGGCAAAAGACAAGGTTGATTTGGACATCGGCAGCGATGGTTCAGTCACGCCACCTGCATCAGCGATCAACAAGCAAGCCAAGGGCAAGAAGAAGGCCGACTCTCCTCAAGATAGTGTCATTGACCCTGCCCTATCTGCTGCAGAGCTTGAAGCTCCCAAAGACGAGGCTAAGGACCCCGAGCCTGGTGAGGTCTGGGTGCAGAACATGCGTTTGATCGAATGGATGCGCGATCTGATCAAGAAGAAACTTCAAAATGCCGAATATGACGAAGAGAACAGGGTTTCGACGCCAAAGGCAGAGGGTGGCATGGACACCGACATGACTGGCACTGATGACAAGGACAAGACTGAAGAGGAACAACTCTATCCTGTTCTCCGACATGTTGAGGAAGCCGCATGAATGTTTTCAAGCATGATGATATGACCAAATCGGGTGTTTGCGAGACTGGTTGTCCGCTGGACTGGAGTATGGGTGGGCATGATAGCTGCAGCATGTGCTGAACTGGGCTGAATGGGGTTGGGGTTGTCGTTTACTAGAAAATATCCTCTACTACGATGTTTTGAGGTGGAAGCTCCTGCAGTAGTTAATATCAAGCACAGCATGGCATCCTCTATGATACCAAATCCAGTATTGCTCGAAGATTTTCCATTCATGCATGTGCGTGACACACAACATGTTCACAGCATGGAAGGGTCGTTGCATTTCGTCTTGCACACTTCTCCAAAGCTCGTCAGTGTCATAAAAAATGCACAGTTGACTGGGGGTATGCGAGGATGCTTGAGAGAACTCTGATGCAGGCCCACAAATTTACAAATAGAATCCAGACCCCGAGATTAATTTGACTACCTTATTTTGTTGCTTCACCAGGTCGCCTCCGTGCTTTTCACCAAATTTGAATGTTGTTGATAGCAGGTCTGAAGGTGCTTCTTCGGCATACACAAGTGCCGTCCACATGAAAACTGCCATTGACGGGATGACGGTGTTGTGGCTGACTTCTATCCAAGAAAAGGCGGTCGCCTTAACTTGACACAGCCGCAGACATGGTGCCCCTGCTTGACCAGACCTTTTGTTGTGGCTGTCCGCACCTGGGGTCGAATATGTGGTGAGTATCATCAAGGTGATGCGCTTGATAGAACTTACATGGATGCCCTGCACCAAAAGTCTGCGAGGCAGTGTAAGACTATCGACCAAAGTCTAGCAGTAGCGAGGCCGACACTAGCCATTTCATTGGTAGGCATGCAAGACGGCTATTGCCTGTCCTTCACCACAGCCTCATCTCAATCTATCTTCTTTCGACCTTTACGACCAAGCATGCAACAAGAAATACAAGGTTTGGATACGCAGACGCATCACAGACATAGCTTCATTATTGATCAGCCAGCACTCGTGGCTGCATTCAATCGCTGGCAGTCGCGCCAAATGTGCTTGATGACTTGCAAAGCGCCTTAGTCCTTGCGATTCATCTGAGTCTTGTTCTTTCACTACCACGCGACGAGCTTGAAGCTTCTTCCATGCGCAGCGATTTCGCTCTCCATTCAGTCTCCCTGTGGATCTGGGCCAGCTCGTCCAACGGCTGACACAGAGGCCGAGCATTTTGGGGGGGGCATTCTGAGTTCTTTCACGACAGGTGCAACAGGAATTAAAACCAGCAATGAGACTCCTTCATACAACAGATTTGGTTCTAAAAGAGTTCTTTGACAATGCAATCCCTAGATATGCGATACTCTCGCATCGATGGGAGGAAGAAGAGGTCAACCTGCAGGACTTTGTCGCGATCAGAAACATGACGAAACCTGAGTACCAGCCTTTTGCAGACCTTTTCAAGCTTTCTATGAGTGCATCTGAGAATAGCGCCGGATATCGCAAGATCTTGAGATGCTGCAAATATGCAGCGTCATGTGGCTGCGACTGGGCATGGATCGATACTTGCTGTATCGACAAAACCAGCAGTGCGGAGCTCTCCGAAGCAATCAATTCCATGTATCGCTGGTACAGGCGCGCCACCGTGTGCTTCGTCTACCTGTCAGATGTCAGGCTGACTTGCGAAGTCCCAAAAGGCGGCCTCAAAGAAAGTGAGCTTTCGTGGACGGAGCGAGATCAACTCAAAGCAAGCCGGTGGTTTTCTCGCGGGTGGACATTACAGGAGCTCTTAGCTCCAACGGGCCCCGTCCTGTTGCTCGACCGCGACTGGCGTGGAATCTCCACGAAGCGAAGAATGAGTGACCTGCTAGCGGACATCACCCAGGTTCCAGCGTCACTTCTCAAGGGTACGACAGACCTGGCAGAGTTCAGCGTGGCTCAGAAGATGTCATGGGCAGCTCGCAGAAGGACCAGTCGTATTGAAGATGCTGCCTACTGTTTGCTGGGAATCTTCGGTGTCAATATGCCGCTGTTGTACGGGGAAGGTTGGAAGGCATTTGCGAGACTCCAAGAAGAGATCTTGAGAGTTTCCGAAGACCGATCGATTATCCTCTGGCATGAAGAGACTGAATTGGCTGACCGGTACGGGCTTTGTACTGGGCTCCTTGCACCTTCACCGGCTTGTTTCGAACGCTGTGGTCTCCAAGGCATTGAGGACGATTTCACAGGAACGCGGCCCTATAGACTCACCAACCAAGGGCTGGAGTGGGACGTTTCCCTGCTCAAAATCCCACCAGGCGGCTTAACACGCTGGCCAAGTCCACATGGATCCCCGCAGCAAACTAATGGAGGTCTATACCTACTGCCAAACCTTTCAACTCCCGGTCTCGTGCTGGTTGTCGAGCGCTTAGTCTACGGGGATCCTCATCCTGGGTCAGTCGTTGACTACCAATCTTTCCGCAGACACTCCCTGAGGGACTCTGACGATGCAGTGTTTCGGCACTTCAATTCCAGTACAATCCCACGAAAACGGACGGTATTGTTTCGTCTGCATGACCCGGGCCCATTATGTTGACCATGTTGTTTCACTTGGAGGATATAGTTGAACCTCCCAGTACTAGCTTAGCAGTCTAGTATCTCAGGTCATAAGCATTGCAAGCAATCAGGTCAACATATACGCATCATCACCAAGCAGCAAATTTACGTCTTGCAAGATGCATGCTTGGCTCTGGTCTGAGATATCCAGTACCTCATACTGCCTAAATTGTTCATCATCGATCAAAGCCATGTCGTATCGTGCGTAATACACACTCGCCAGCCTCGTGCATATGCATACGCAACTTTCATTGACACTACCTATGAGCATCCCTCATCCATGCTCATGTTGAGATAGTGGCAATGCCTCGACCTCGATTCTCCCACGCCCTCACCATACCCCGTTCCCTAATCTGCTTCTCCTGAGCCTCGCACCGTGCCAGCCCTCGGCGCACCAAATCCTGCTCGAACCTCAACTCGGCAAGCTGATTCTTAGCCCAATTGCGATGTCGCGAGCACCGGTTCTTGATGCAAACCCCACCCTTCTTGGGCATGGTGCCATCTTCCACCTCATCTTCATCAGCAATACCATTCACAACAGAACCATCATGCTCGTCAGGCGGTCCGACCTTGGCCTTGACTCCAACATCCAAGATCTCCTTCCCACCCTTGGTGTTGTACCATACCACAAATTCCTCGTCGGACCATGCCATGCGTGGATCGAACCCGCACAGGTCTTTCATCTTGGGATGCGTCTTACGGACCTCATCCGTGATACTGGTCGATCTTGCCTTGACCAGGTCCAACAATAGCTCGCGCGCATTGTACATGTCGTTGCGCTCTTCAAGTTTACGCTTCTCTTCCTGAATATTTGCCATCTTCGCTGTCTCCAGCTCGTCAAACTCCGGAGGCGTTGCAGGCTTGGATTCGGCTTCGGTCCCAGCTTCGATTTTGGTGTCGGGCATGTCCACTTCACGTGGAGGAGTGTCTGGTTTGCGTCCTAGAGATCGCCATTTTTCGATATCCGCGCACTTCTCTAGCAGGGCCTTGACTTCACCTGCTCTCAGGGCGGCCCCACGATTCGGAAGCATGTCATCGTCTAAACTGCTGTCGGTTTCGTATTCGGTCTTATCTTCCTCACTGTAGGCGGGTGTCGCAAGTCGGCTTTCACCATCCACAAGGTCTGCCACGTCACCATTGACGGCACCATTCGTAAGTGGCTTTGAAGTTTTTGGATGACCATCTGCCCGCTTCTGTTTTCTGCGATGTTTCTTGCGCTGGCCTGGCTCAACGACATACTGACCGTCTTTGCTGGTCTGCGCGGCGGGATCGCCTCGTTGCACCAACTCCACGAAGAACATCCGCCCACATGCATCGGAACAATATTTGCTGGGAGGGTTCTGGGTCACTCTCGCCGGCTTTCTACAATCCCTTCGTCTGCACATTCGTTTCCAGGTGGTGATCAACCCCGGCTTCGTACACGTTGGACATATGTATTTGTCAATGAGGTCGCCATCTCGTTCTCGAATATTCACGCAATTGCCGTGAAACCACTCATCGCAGCCGCCGTCACACGCGATCATCCAAGTATGATTGTCACCTTTTCTACAGATGCAAAATACTTCTCCATCGTCGTTGGAGCTGGTTGGCGTGGCAGCCACCGAGCTTGAGCCGGAGTCGACTTCGTGTGATCCGGCGCGCGAGGAAGCCGGTGTAGGGGAGGATCTGACACTTGCGGTGGATGTTTGTTTCTTGAGCTTTGAAGGTATGGGTTTCAGCTGGGTTGAGGATGGAGCGGCACTAGGCGATCGGTAGGCCGATCGTGCAGAAGGACTAGGTTCGGCTGCGCTCAGCTTGGATCGCTTGTTCGGCCCGGTAGAGCTCTTGACTTTGGCTGTGCCCTTCTTCTTTGCAGCTGTGGAGGACTTTGCGGAGTCTTCTGGAGCAGGTCGCTTCTTACCCGCAACAGGTGCAGGTGTCGCGAACGGCTCGGTGGAGGACGCTCGAGATCCTGCGACTGATGGTTCTTTCTTCAAGGTCGCAACTGTGCTCGGAGGCGGAGGAGTTGATGCTTGTGCGCGCTGTGGCTCAGGAAGAGGAGTGCGTACCGCTTCGTATGCTGTAGCGATCTCTTCCACGGTAGGCTGCTCTCCTGGCGCCTCTTGAACATCCTGAGCCTCTTGTCGTTCCTCGCTGTCTTCCTGCTTAGTGCTTTTCTCGGCTTTTGGTGCTTTGGGCGCTTTGGGAGGCGGCGGCGGTGGCCCTCTTGCAATGATCTCTTCCAACGGCTCGATAGGCTCTCCGGAAATGGGATCTACAATGACTTCCAAACTGCGAACTGGCTCCCATGTTTTGGTATTGTGTATTTTTGAGATGTGGTCTCTGACCGACCGTCGTCTTGTAAACAGCTTGTTACATAGGTAACAGAGGTATCTTCGATCTGTGTGTTGCCCTTCGTTCTTGGACGAGTGTATCGATGACTTGGGCAGCCCATCTGAATCGGACTTTCTTGACTTGCCAGGATGTTTGGGTCGCGGCTTTGTACTATCTTCGGGCGAGTCTCGAATGGACGAATTGTCGGCAAGCAGACTCCCATCCACCATATCCATGATGGATGAATCGCCAACATGTAAATTTTCGTCCTCGAATGGCGGGTATACGTTGTCGATGACCTCCTGTTTGACCGGGTCCACGTCGGCCATCTCGTTTTCGATTAATGTTTGGTGCATGTTGTGGACATCGTCCTCCATAGTCATCTCGACATCATGCGACAATGAAATAAGGCCGTCTTGAGCGAGAGGCGCGTCGCTTTGGGGTTGGAAGAGTTCAGGCGCGAAGAAGGAGGAAGCGGAGGGATCCATCGCGTCGGTACTGAATTAAAGAGTCAGCAACAAGATTCGTCGCAGCCTCTAGAAGAGTGAAGTGATAGGCTTTACTTGTCGACATTTGCTGATTCTTGGATGGACGCGGGTTGAGGGTTCAGTAATTCGGAAAGTCCAAAGGCCATAATGTTGTAATCTGCGGTGAGAGCCGTGGCCGGGGTAAGATTTGCCTTCACTACTCCGTAGGGTGTGGAGACTTCACACCATCAACGTCTGTCTGCAGGAACAGGAGGGACGATCATCTAGAAGTGAGCCTGAAAGAAGGATGTATTGTATGTTTGGCCTGCATGCGAACAGTCGCAGAGAATGTCTTGTAGGAAGATAAGTGTGGTTGTTTCTACGCGCCTGCGCCTGCGCCTGCGCCAGGGATACGCATCGAGTGGGAATTTCGGGCTGCAGGTTGGCTTGTCGAGTCACTTTACTGGCTCTGAACTGGGCAACGAAGAATCACCAACGAGCCACATCATGTTCCGTTTCAGAGGTACTCAATTATTGCAAGCTCGAAACCCTTGTCTACGATTCATCCCATCCTGCGCGCATCTGCAGTCAAGTCACGTTACTGCGGTGTATGCCCGCGCAGTAAACCCTCTCTTCAAGCACCATTCTCTGCACTCGCAAACACCTGGAGGACAACGCGACAATCGCTATATACTCGTAGAAGGGCATGGGACGGGCATTGTGACTTCCGAGGCCACTCGATTTCTCCGTGTTCGTAGTCTGCGGGTAGTATCGAGGAGAGTAGATGTGAGAAAGACGGCTCGGGATGGCATCTCTGTGAAGAAGATGATTGACGAGGGACAAATCGACGTCATTTGATCGTGCGACCCTTGACGACGTAACAACTGAACTATCGACTCTCCCGCTACATCTGTGCCGCTTCGGATTGCATGTCGTTATTTCCTGAGCATGGTGATGATATTTCGTGATTTTGCAGTTGTGGGAGTGCCTAACGCCTCTTGAATGGACAAGTCCTTTAACGAAGACCCAACCTGAGAACTCTCCAGCCGAGCCATTTCCCTCATTTCGCCCATCTTGGGGCTAATTCCATGCCGCCTGCAAACTCACCCTCGGTAAGAGAACTCTCTATCTTTCTCAAAAGGACAGCACCGTCTTGCGAAGTAAACAAATCATGACTGTCAGGCGAGATCAACTGGGACAAAGGAGATCTCTTCCAGTGGCCGCATTCACCCTCACCAAATACCTGCGCTTGTTCCAAATACTGTCTTACCAATCTGTCGCCGACCATTGACTGACCTTGTCACTTTGTAGCACACGCGCCCTTCAACACCTCCTACGAACAATCTTGACGCAGAAACCTACCTCCGCCAGCTCGAAGAAGCCATCTCCACACCTGTCCCAGACCTTGCCTCTACTCTCAATCTTAGCGATATCGAGCCGGCCTCACGAGGAGAGCAAGACCATCACCCGGGCGCCACTTCTGGTCCTGCCACCACACGAAGAGCAAATTCATGGGAAAGGCAGCCACCTACTAATCGAGGGGCTGTGGAGACCAATCAGAGCCTTGCTCTACCAGTCCCCGTGGAGATCTTCGCACCAGCACGGCATCCTGCCGACGCCGCAATCCCCACCTGGGCCAGAGCAAACAGACCTCAAGAGGGCATGCAAAGTCATAGATCATCCCGGATGGTACAAGGCCAGACATACGCGACGACTGGTGGTGGGCCGGTCAGGGAAAGCCTCTACGACTGGGCAGTGTCAGCAGCGCCTGGCCGTGACGAGCAAGCCTCGTACTCAGGTGATGAGAGCGACGAAGATATGGAACACATGAGCACCGCCGCTCCTAACGATGACATCAACGCTCGACGAGACTTACAACGCCTGGAAAGAGCCCTACAGAGTTACCGTTCTGCAAGGAATGCTCTCAGGACTGGAAGGACAGCCGATCTCTTAGGAAGTGTGCCTACTGCCAGCGCCCTGCGAGCGTACTGGAACGAGGATTCCAACGACAGCTCGGCCACGACGTCTGGATTTCAAAGTCAGTACAGGTTCGAGAGGCAACGACGACATGCAGAATACGCCCGCATAAATGCCGAGGCCAACGCTATCTACACGGATGCTCGTTCCCGAGTGCGAAAGGAACCAAAACGGTCCGAAGCTTTTGATCGAGTACGAAACTCCATTCGATACCTTTCTCAGCTCAGACATACCGGCGTGGAAGGGGGTCTGAAATTAGCCAGAGACCTTGACCTCGACTATCTCTACGAGGATGAAAAAGCCAACACTCCCAGCGATCTGCCGATGCATGTCAACAGCCTGCCGCTGCCACAATACAGCTCTTGGCTAGCACCAGGCATGGTGTGGCACGGCCTGCAATCAACTGATCGGGAGCCCGTCCGTGCCAACTTGAATTGGGGCTCTCAAGCTCGTCGCGAACGACATCGAGAATTGTTCCGCCGGACTCTTGCACGACGACGGGAAATGGTGCTCGGGAATGACGTGGCGGAAGAGTTTTCTGGCTCGCTCTTGGACGCTGAGCGCTATCTGTCCGATTTACTACAGGATGGCAATGGTCGATGGGGCTTTGCTCGTTCTTCGACTCCTCCGTTTTCCCACTCCAACACATCTTCGATTCCACCCACCGAGACTGATCACTGGCCAGTCAAGGTAGCCATCCATTCGGTCGACTACAATACCATGACCATGACTGGCACAATGTCGGCAAGCCATATGCCTGAGAAGGTGTCTCCTGCGCAACAACCTACCTCCCAGTCAAATACCGCAAGCACGAGTATGTCCTCGTATTTTACAGGAGAGATCATCGACTTCCGGCAACACCCCTTAGAAACCGAGGCAGAAGACCGCGATTACAGGGTGGGCGGGGTAGATATCGATGCAAGCTATTGGGCTCGTCTTGGGCCTTTTAGGAAGGAGATCGAAAAGGCCAGGAGTTTGAGGGGAAAGAGGAGGAGCGAATACCAACGAGACAGCCCTCTATGGGAAGCCTTTCGAAAAGCAGCCAGTGGCGAGGGCGATAATAAGGAAGTCAACAACACCGCTGGCAATGAGCAAGCCGATGGAGACGTGAACATGTCAGGAGGCAACGAGAATTCGACTGATGACCCGACCAGTAATGCCGCTATTGAGGCCGAAGAGAGTCAGGAGATTGAAGATGACAAGGTCATGGCCCGATGTCTTGGAAGTGCTAAATGGCTCGACGAAAAGATAGGCAAGGAATGGATATTGATGCGATGGAAAGAGCGGTGCTTTGTCGATTCCCCTTCGAATTCGAATCAGACAAGAACGATTGTCACCGCACCTTACACATACTCAACGTCGCCTACAAGTCTGAGTCGCCCGTCCGAACCTGGTACCAACGGCACTTCATGGGGTCTCACCATATCGGGTTTCTACTACATTGCGCTGAATAGGCTGACTGGAGAGGTCGATGGACTGTACTATGATCCTGGCTCACAGCCATACCAGGCTCTCAAGATGGCACCAGAGGGTATGTCAGTGCAGGGAGTCGAAGCAAGTGCGAGAAGCCAGCAGGACATTAGTCCTTCCATTGCAGGATGCACTTGTGGATGCGGCGAGGAAAGCTGTAAAGACAGGGTCGGGCTCAAGAGATGGTTTCCTTCTATGGAACTGCGGTGAAAAGGGCAGTTGAACTACAGGTATGGACGGTGTCGGTCCTGTATCTTTCCTATCCTCTATCACTACTTGATGTTTGGTGCATTGTATAGCGAGCTTGGGTCCATCGAGGACGGGGCAAAATTGGGTATAGGGGTCAGGTATTGAACCTCAGCCATCACGTCACATTCGTCCTGAGTGCACTTCCTATCCTACCACCCTTTTGTCCTAAAATAAGGTAGATAATTCATATTCTTCCCCAACTATCCAACCGCAGCTGGCGGAGTTCAGTCCACTTTGGTTACGAGACAGTGACATCCACACTGTGGCCTCACTGGTGGGGAGAAGTGCATGAGGATCACCCATAGGTACGCAGTTGCGGCTCGAATTACTCCGCCTATCGCGACTTGCGTCGACGGAGATTGTACTGCATGTTCTGTACAACATTGTTCCCCCACCCCACGCACCAGGTTGTTGACGACTGCCAGACAGAAAAGATTGATCGACGAATTGTGGCATGTCCCTGTGTTGCTGCTCTACGGGACTTTGGATCCAGAGAACGACATCGTGTTCCCCACGCGGGACCTCGTCAAGGAATGGCAGACGATTGCATCTGTGGCACAGAGACTGACGGTGCAGGAGGTAAAGGGTCACACCCATGTGCAGGCGCTGGGGACGGGAATACCTGCTGAAGAAAAATGGGGGAGGCAGGTGGTCGAATCTGTGGCGACGAGCTCCGAAGGAGCTGATGTCCGGCCCTCACTTTGATGAGGCACGCGAGAAAGGATGTAAGGAAGAGTGAGAGGATAATCGTCTTTTAAAAAGTACAATTGGAGGACCAGCCCGCGAAATCCTGATGCGAACTTCTCAGACTTGCGCTATGCTAAAAACGCTGGTATGAACTGTCGTTGTCATCACTTCGTTAGCTCGTCAATGAGTACTTCATGCCCTCTCAGCCTGTCCTCTTCCAGAGCAGTCGGCTGTATCCGATGATCTGTGAGAAGACCAAATCACGCTCAACCAAGTGCGCGACGTCATGCGTTGTTCCATTTAGCTTCGTAAAGATGAGGCCAGCTTCTTCGCCGCTCTTGACCTGTACGGTGATCTGGCATACATCAGCATACAGATACCTCTGTTGTACACGGTCATAAATACCTTTTGTATTCCTATCAACTCCCGGAAGGGCAGGTCCCAGCCTGAGTTGGCTGATTTCTTCGGAGAAAAGGAAATTGATGCGGTCGTTACTACAAGCTCGCCGTATGCATCTCCGTCTCTGCATTTGTAACGGCCGATCATCTGAGGGCCTTCTGGCGTATCTCGGATGCCGGTTTTCGATGGCATGTCCGTGTTGCGTGCGTCGTCATTGTCAATATCGCCGAGCTTGCCATGCTGTTCTAAGTATTTCTCAGCTTCTGCCTGGAGTCGTGCGATAGCCCAGTCCGCTATTGATGCTCATGTTAGCCATTATTTCGACGAATCAAGCGCCAAACCTACCGTGTGTGGGAATCTCCCATAACAACCATGTCCAGGGCGAAACAAGCAGCCGATATTGCGGATAGCGAACGCCGAGAGGCGTCAAAACGAAGAAGTCGAACCCTACAAAGATGAAGGTCACTTGCACAAGCAGCCAGGTCGGTGTCAGTGTTATTAACGACCACCAGGCGAACAACAAGCCGAGTGTGAAGCCGGTGCGCCGTGGGACTCGCCACTCATAGAAACTAAGACGACATCAGTGAATGCGCGCAAAAGGGGCAGAACAGTACCGACTTCCGTAGCGTTTCCAGAATGTCCGCCGCACGTTCAAGCGAGTCGAATAATACAGGACCTGCAAGCTCAATAGCACGATCCACCCAACCTCGTGTGCCGTATTGCGTCACCAGTTCTATCAGGTCTTGTGCGATTGCGTCTCGATTCTCAGCATGTTCGATAGTATCTCGCCTCTCTTTCATGGTAGGAGGGTGCCATCGTCGATACAGCGTTCCCAGCAGAACGGAAAGAATCTATGAGAAGGTCAGCGAAAGACGTAGCTTGTACGTTAAAGACAACCGTACGATCATCCGCGTAATTTGGCTAAACATCAGTAGCGAGAAGTATAGCACCATATAACCGGCACTCTCCCGAGGATTGACCCAATGAGAAATGTTCCGTAGTCTCATGAAGGTGTTCTGCACAGGTACTGACGCGATGATGACTCTTTCGAGTGCCGAGGCCAACAACTTCCTGTCTACCTCTGGAAGATCCGAGCCATTGTCGATATAAAACTCTGCACGCTTGTGCAGCTCGTATTTTGCCCTCTAGAGATTTTGTTAGTTGCTACACTGCAGATTCCAGATTGCCATACTGACCGCTTTGCTGTACTCGGCCCACGACTGCAACGGATCTTTCTTGGACAGTGGCGGTGGCTGCGGAGGCCTGTCTGGCACATGTGTCCGTGCGACTTTCCTCACATGTCGGTCGATAGACCAGCGAACCATTTCATCTTGCCTGGCCTGCTTCAATTGCATGAGAGTCTTGAGTTCATCCTCTTTTTCCGACGGGGTCACAGCGTTGTCGACCTTCTCGGCTTGGCGTACAAGCTGGACTTCTGCTCCGTGTGCAACTTCTGACGTCGCCATATTCTCAGCCCAGTCGCTGCCTCGTTGATCCTGGACGGTTGACTGTAACGAATTCATGGGATGTTTGATGAACTCCTTGACTGGTGGAAATTTCGGTTTGTCGTCCAGGTTGTGCACGAGCCTTTCATGCACGAGAGAACCTGTTGGCGGAGCAGGGGCGAGAGTAGGTGCATGATCAGGATCCTTTTGATGTACACGATTTTCATTGGCGATGGCTTCATGTTTCTCACTGATTGCGGCCTTGATCTTATTGACGCCATATCGAGGATGGACCACCACTGAAAGTAGGTTGTCCTTAACAGCACGGCGTATGGAGGGTTTACGATAGTTCAGTGCGTCCGGAGGTGGTCGTGGATCAGTGTGTGCGTCGACTGGTGGGGCAACATCAAGTTGCGCCCGATCGAGGCCGTCGGAGGCTGCACCGAAGTTATTGATAACTGATGCCATGTCGAAGGAGATCAGCGGTTTCGGCTCATTTGAAGAAAGTCATGCTGAATAGGATGATACCGATGGCATATCAATAGTGAGGTTCGGTCACTTCGTATAATTGCACAGTATGGGTAGTTGTTCGCTATGACGTCCACAAGGGAGGAGTAATAGTAAAGTGAAAGAGGCAGGTCATACAGCCTCGTGGTGACGCTATCAATGGACGGAAGTAGCTTCCGACGGTGTGTCTTGTGATAGACTTAATGCGTCTTTGCCCGAAAGTTAATCGAATATCGCAACAGTAGTCTTTTGCAGTAATACAACAACAGGAAGAGAAAAAGCAAAGACAAACGCAATATCATATTCAGCGTCAGTGACGATTGAGGGTGCTACTTAGTGGGAGCGACCATTCTGTGGTCTGTGACGTAGGGATGAGCGGGCAAACCATGCGTCCACCAGCGCCTGCCATCTGGGTTAGGGAGGGACTGTCGGAGCGTGTCTTCATCGAGCATGTTCATGAGGCTCGTGTATGGACTCCTCGGCCATGGGAACTTCCTCGTATATGTATGTCGTCCATTACTGTTACGTTCACAGGTTTCAGGGACATATACGGAGTATCTCGCCAGAAAAGCCAAGCGTCTAGATCTGTCTCGGATTCATTCTCCAGCGACAAGGCTACTAGTCACGTGGATACGAGGCTGAGCCTTTCCTGATCCAGAATCGGTTTGTTTGTTAGTCAGTTCTCGCTTCGACCTTCTTCTCATCTCAACTATCACCTTACTTGCTCCGCAATTCACGCATTATCTATTTTCACAGCCTCTTCATCAGCCAATGCAGAATGGAGGGGCAGAGCACATTGTGAAGTATCTCGAACTTCTACCCCACCAGCTCGCCCGGTTGCTGTGCATCATTATGCAGCTGCGGAGAAATTTTCATTCCGGCTGGCCTGTGGCAAAAGCCCTCAATTATCCGGCCATGGAACCTCAATTCCACCCATTGGCGGCTAAATTACTGTGCCCTGAACAACCCAACCGGCTGCTGGATCGGTAGCAGATCTTTGACGTCGTGCTCGATGATGATATATATTTGAAAGAATTTCCTCTCCAGTCTTGCCTCGAATGTCTGAAATATCTTCACGAGCATCTCAACTTTTCCACCATCTCAAAACCGTCAATACAAACAACATGACTGTCGATACCGTTACTCTGGCCTCGGGCCACAAGATGCCATTGGTCGGTTTCGGTCTGTGGAAAGTCCCGGCCGACAAGGCTTCTGATATCGTCTACAACGCCATTAAGGTCGGCTACCGTCTTTTCGACGGTGCGTATGACTACCAAAACGAAAAGGAGGCCGGTCAGGGCATCAAGCGTGCCATTGACGATGGTCTCGTCAAGCGAGAGGACATATTCGTCACCACCAAGCTATGGAACAACTACCACAAGAAAGAGGACGCCCTTAAGATGGCCAAGGCCCAAAATGAAGCCTGGGGTCTCGACTACATCGATCTCTACTTGATTCACTTCCCCATCGCTCTTCCTTTCATTGAGCCTGACAAGCTCCGGTACCCTGTAAGTCATTCCGCTCGTATACGCCTGGTCGCTTTTGCTAACGCCGTTTCAGGGTTGGTGGATGGACGCTGATATGAAGACCATCGAGACCGCAAAAGTCCCCATGTCAGAAACCTGGAAAGCACTAGAGGAGGTCGTTGACTCAGGCATTGCCAAGTCCATCGGCATCTCCAACTCCCAAGGCCAAACCATCTACGACATCTTGACCTACAACAAGCACCCCATCTCGGTCCTCCAAGTCGAGCACCACCCATACCTCGTCCAGCCAGGTCTCATCGATCTTGCCCAGGAACAAAAGATCGCCGTCACGGCATACTCGTCCTTCGGCCCACAGAGCTTCTTGGAGTTGCCACCCGCGTTCCGTGAGCGACCGCAACAAGTCCCACTGCTCTTCGAGGTCGACCCAGTCAAGAAGGCCGCCCAGCGAGTCGGCAAGACCCCTGCACAAGTCCTCCTCCGATGGTCAACCCAGAGGAAGATCGCCGTCATTCCCAAGTCAAACAACGTCGACCGTCTCAAGCAGAACCTTGAGGTGACAGATTTCGACTTGACCGATGATGAGATTAAGGCCATCAGCGCGCTTGACAAGGATTTGCGCTTCAACGACCCTGGATTCTACCTGCACAAGCCTCTTCGCATTTTCGCATAGAGATGCTGAGAAAGTGGTTTGAGCGTTTGAGATAGTAAAATAAAATTTGAAACTTCCTCAACCTTCCATATTCATAATTACGCATCCAATTATCCTCGCTTTTTCATGTACATGTCTTTAGTACCAAACCTGTCCTCGCCGTCTTCTACTGAGTGATTGTTATCTAGCTACCCGAACACAACCCCGGAATTTTCGCCCCCTTAACCCCAGCCAATCCATCAATATAACTCAAAAACGTTTGGACTGGAATCATGTCCACCAGTCCCAAACTCGGATTCGAGCTGCGCAGGACCTGTCCACCCCACAGGATCCTGAGGTAGTAGCATCCGCCTTTACTATACAATTCAAACACGACTTCGGACCCCATGCCCGGCCAGACCATCACGTCGACCTGCAGGATCGACAAGAGCCTCGACACCGACCCGTCATGAGCGACATTGTGTCTGTAAATCGTGCTGTTGGTCCCATTGATCGCCGCCCTCAAATTGCTGGCCAGTTCGGCGGTCCAGATACCGAAACTGCCTGTCGACATTGGCAGCGAAGACGGAGAGTCGCGATATATGAACGAATACTCGTACTGGCCGCGGCGGAACACAGCATCCGCATCAGCCTGCGTGATACAGTTGCTGGAATTCCCAATCTGACAAGGCAGTGGCTTCTGATGACACAGTCTCGCTGACAGATTGTCGAAATAGTGGTCAAACCAATTATGCCAGCCTGAGTCACTTGTGTTCACGCCTGACACAGAATCGAGCTTCGCGTACAGTGCCACCGAGTCGTTCAGATGCAATGTCCAATTCGCAGCGGAACTGCCCACGCTATAACTCGCGTACAGGTTCGTAGAGGCGGTGCAGGTATACGCCGGTTCCAAGGAGTCGATGCTGTCGGGCTGTATGGCCACGCCGACATTTTGGTCCGTGAGTGTCGGGTACTGCGCCTCGATGACCTGTCCGACAACTTGGGAGGTGATGACATTGTTGGTTACCCTGTAAGTGATCTTTGAGGCGTCGTACGAGGACGGTAAAAAGCCCAGGAGGTCATGGTACACTCCATACAAGTCCTTGCCGTGCTGGCGGGAATCGTTGAGGCCGGCGCCGCTGATCTGGGGGAATTGGCATGTACCGTTGAAGCCTTGCGGGGCTAGGGGGTTGGAGTCCGTCGTGTAGACTTGCCATGCGACTTGAGCGGATGTGCCGTCTGGTCTGGGGGCGCCGTAGAAGAACAACGCCTCGTTGTCGCAGTACCATGCGTATGTCTCGTGCGGGAATGTGTTGGATGCGTAGGGGGTGCGCTTGTGATGGCGGTGGATCAGTTCAACGTATACCAAGTCATAGCCTGACGGAGCTGTGGGATACTCTTGGCGACGGACATGAGGCATGTTGCACCAGTTGTATGTGCTATATGCTGTAGTTGCCGGCGTGATGGAAGTATTGTACACGCCTTCTGAACCTGTGCCGTTGACGACAAAGCTCAGATTGTTGATATTGGTCTGGTTGGGAGCATGCCAGGTTAGGTCGACATTGGAGGCTTGAGAGCATTGTGCCGCGGCTTGATGGGCCACAGCCCCCAAGAAGAGGGCGTTTCGGATTCTGATGACCATGTTGTTCTGCCACAGTTGTCCCAGGAAGATGTCGAAGGATGTTAGGAAGTCGGTAATGAAGCCGGCAAGGGCAGTATTTGAGGTCCGCATGTCGGAGGCATCTTCGGATGACTCCCCCTATGACTAGCCACTTGGAGGGTAGAATCTGCAAGCACGTTGTTGATGAGACTTGTGAGAATAGGAAGGTCTACAAGACGATGTCTTGGTGTTGATGCAGGAGGACTTAGGCGAAGCATATGATTGGTTGGCTGAAAACGTGGTCGAGAGAATGCCATTGAGAGGCGCCGAGTGTGGAAAGTAGGGATTCCACCCGTCAGCAATGATGCCACTAACAATGAGCCTCGCTTAATCTCAAGCAAGGTACCAAGCGAGCTAGGGAGGTAGATATCTCATCTAATTCCCAAAGGAGACCAAGTCTTAGAACATTACTAGGAGCCGATAAAGGTCCCATTCAGTAGTAAACATAGCGAGATCCCACCTGCCTAACCTCCCCCGTACTATCACTGTTACAGTGCCGCTGATGTTTTCTAATGTACTCTTTGCGATGAAAGCACTTACCACAATCATGACACTGGTGCGGTTTGATTTGCAGGTGAACTTGCCTCCAGTGTCGGTTGAAGGTAGCCCTGTCCGCATAGAAGCGATTGCAGGGTTTGCAAAGATTGGGGTGCCGACGAGAGCGCGGCCGTTGTGGTCGATCTAGGTAGGCTGAAACATCTGGCTCATGGTCCCCCGACACTGGGTGCCGACGAGAGCGCGGCCGTTGTGGTCGATCTAGGTAGGCTGAAATATCTGCCTCATGTTCCTCCGACACTGCGTGTGAACTAGAGACATTGTTTTCGAGGGGTTCTGGAGTCGCAACAGCGGAAACCATTCCTTCAACATTCAAGTCAATTATACCAGGGCCTTCTGGCGTGGCGATCATGGACATTGTGCCTCCAACATCCGAGGCATCTTCTCATAGGGTTCCGGTATGACGAGCGTGGACTCGGTCCGTTCGGTAATCGGGCCACAGACTCGGAGGTGGCTTTCCAACCTACTGCGACGATCAAATTGCAACCCACAAGTGGTACACAAACCATGTCGCCGGGGATGGGCTTTTTTGTAGTGCCGCAGCATGGAGCATCTGTGGGCGAAACTCTGGTGACAAACGATGCACACAGTAGGTCCTGCAGGATCAAAGGGAAAAAAAGCTGGTCGTCCTGGGCCCCGACGACCCGAACTCGGGTAAAGAGCCATGAGAGATGCATCCGGGTAGGACGTGTCCGACGCGAGCGGCTGGTGGTCGAGATCGGCTTCTATATTGGACTGTGTCGGTTCTTCTTTGACCGCAACATCGTCCTCATCGTCTGATATTTCAATCCATTCGGGCGGGTTATCTCTTCTCCGTTCTTGTTTGTGCTTCCCACCTCCAGCATATTCACTCAATCCTTCTAGTAACATGCCATTGAGTGACGTAGGGTCACTTGTCACCGATGATTTGTAGGAGGACGTAGGTAGGCCCGAGAGTTCATTTGCGCTGGCTGTAGTGGAAGACCGGTCTCCGCCTGCGGCAATTGGTTCCTCTGGCATTGGAGCTGGAGTTCTCTCATGCCGAGATTTCTCTTCTATTTTGCGTTTCTTCCTGACGGACTCGTCAACATCCGACCACTCATCTGCATATTCTGGCCACTCGTCCGCAAAGTCTCGGTAGTGAGGCATCGAATCTTCGTCCGGCAGTGGGCATGCCGTCCGTATGCTCGGCGCGAATGCGGGCGACCCAGGACGCTCATGCCGATATTCTTGCCAATGGACAAATTGAAGAGGTCAGGCCCTGGGGACACCAAGGGGTCACAACTGGATAGATCAAATTGGGCTGGCGGAGCCATGTGATCAGCCGAACTCGAGATCTTGTTAAAAAGCTCTGTCAATGACAACTCACCTATGTCTGTCTAACGTATACTTTTTCCTCGGACTTGGAGGAGACATTGCGTGCAGCCTCGCATACGGATCAATGGCAGAATGTTTAGGGCTACTCTGTACTGGACTTTCCAATCTACTGGTAGCTGCCGAGGTGGGACAGCCTCGTAGATTGCGCTATTCCCGATTGAGACCCCACCATTCCGCGACGGATCTTTCCTAACACTGACTTGGATTAACTAGCCTGATACCACAAGACAAATGTCAATGAATGCCATCAATATCCATCATCTGGAGTTTCTACACCGTTGCTTCTCGACGGGAAAAGCAAGAAAGAAAGTTCTTCTCACCGATCGTAGCCCACAGCGTGCCCGCTTTGACCATTTTACGGCCGTCTCAGCGTCCCCGTCGATGGAATAAATATGTTGTTTGCCGCATCAGGCTTAGGAGACTTCGATCTTGAGACAGGGCAGTGCTCGCGCAAAGGATTCTGCATTGTAATGCACCAAGATCCGCTTCGCCAAACCTGAGTGCTGCGCTATAAATTTACCGTGCCAGGCCAAGTCTGTCGTTGATGGCACGGACTGACTAGGCCCAGATACACCAACTTCTAGGTGCTTAATCCATTTCCCTCACATATTGCTAGAGATTGGACCGCGATCATTTTCGCTCCTTGTGTCAATAACCTTTCCCCTGCACTTCTGGCTCTACCATGTCTACCACGTCCAAGTTCGTCGACCGGAATGGATCGGCGTATACTTTGCGGAATTTGCGAGCACTGACCTTCTGCTCGAACAGAACGTCAATTTCTGCGGGAGCAAGACCCTTTGGCTCAGGCAGTCTGAAGAAGCACCAGATCGTGGAGACCGCGCAGAATCCTGCCCACACAAAGCCACCCTTTCCTCTCAGGTTCCAGGCTGTTGGATTGAGGATAGGAGGGTTGAGGAAATTGGCCACGATGCTGGCAACATTGTATGCATTCCGTGCCAACACAACTGTCTTGACCCGAAGCCGGGTGGAGGGAATCTCGGAGACCAGACAGTAGCAGACTGGGCCAACGGTGAGATCGTATGTGAAGACGAAAAGCATGAGGAAGGTCCCAGAAGCGTAGGGCAGATCGTCACTGATGTGAGGGATGCCCATAAAGCCGACGGTCAACAAAATGGTGAACATGGTGGCGAGCCCATAGAGGTATAGAGTGCGTCGCCCAAGTCGAGGCATTAGCCACCACGAAGCGACGGTGCCACAAAATGCGAGGGCGTTGGTGCCCAGACTGAAATCGAACGCTTTGGAAGGATCGAACCCAGCTTGCTCTAGGAAATAGGTGACATTGCCGCCGAACCAGATACCAGTCCACACCTGGATGACCCACGTTGCGCATGCGATCTCGGTTCGGCGAAGGTTGGTCCCTTTGAAGCAGTCGAGGTATGTCGTGCCTTGGGTGACCTGGCGTTCGTGTTCATTTGTCAGGACCATCATACTAAGTGTATTGTCGAGCTGGTCGTCGGTGACGATGGAGGAAGTCAGCCGTCTCAGTGACCTTCTAGCCTGCTCGAGGCGACCTTTTCGTACAAGCCACCTGCATGGAGAGTATTAGATACATAGTCATCACCCTTACGAAAGTCGACCTCACCATGGAGACTCAGGTGCAAATATCATGCCAATGATAATGGGTACAGGCCACACCCATTGAACTGCGTATGGTCTGCGCCATGCCCATTGGTCTGGACGGTTAAGAATACCCCGTAGGACACCTGTTTAGTAGGATATTAGCAAGGCCTCGATGCGGAGATGGAAGAAAGTCTGCCTACCAGCGGAAATAAATTGCCCTATTACCCAGCAAAGGTTGACGTAAGTTGTCAAGATTGGGCGCAGCTTGATTGGAGTGACGTCGGCGGCGTAGGTCGTCGTGAGGGTCTGAAAAGCACCCCAAGGTAAGCCACATAGGACTTCGCCTGCGAAGAGCATACCGATGCTCTGTGCAAAGAAGAGAAGAAAGATGCAGGCAATAACCATGATGAGGGCACCAAGGATGACGGGCTTGTATCCGAAACGATCGGCCAGCTGGCCAGCGGCCAACAAACCTGCGACATTAACGGTGTTCGAAATGGTCAAGGAAGGAATCTTACCCATGATCTCGCGTACTGCGGCGCCATTCTGAAGTCCCGACTGGCACGGGGATGACACCTGGTAGGAACCGTCTGGCAATTGATGGCCAAAACGCTGGTTGAATTGGGGAAGGCCGTAACACGACCCGAGTAGGGCTGTGTCCTACCCCTCCATAACAATGGCAAGGGACATGATCAGCGAGAAGCAGATCGCCTTGGGATAGGATCTGACTGCTTCCCAATGTGTCATGTTGTGCTCCCGATCGGTAGCTTCTTTGGCAAGTCCAGTAACTTGGTTCAAGTTGGGAATTGCCATCGACATCTTACGGAAGACTTCATCATCCAGTGCGGCCATGTTATCTGAAATATGGGCGACTCCAACGACGGAGCTCCGCCTGCGGCCGTTGAGCTCATCGGCGTGCTCCCGATGGTCAGCAGTATCAGGTGCCATTGCAGTCAGGATGGCGTGGGTCGGGGCTTCTTTCAGGATCTTTTTGGTCGAAGGGAAGAAGGGAGTGGTGGAGGTTGTGGAACAGAGCTAACAAGTGCATGTAGGACTCTTGCTGAATTATAGACGAACAAGTGAGGTTGTAAAGGCCTCTTATATATTCAATTGTAACAATCACAGCGCCCATGAGTCTGCTCAGACCACGACGTAGCGTGACAAGATACCACTCAGCGGCAATGAAGCACTTTGATAGGCTCAAGACCGCCTTACCCCGTGTCTGCGGAAGTGGGTCGAAAGGAGAAGTATGCGGAGGGCCTTTGGTGGGTGCGGAAAACAGAACTTGAACCCTGGTGCGCATGACTGTTTCTCGAGATGATTTTACGTCCACGAAATTAGAATTGCGGACCCAGTTGCATCCATTCTGCCACCGAAAATCGAACGATCCAGAGTGGTAGAAGACGAGCTGAAAGGATTAATTGGGGAAGAGTCACACTGTATGTCTGTAAATCACAAGACCAGCTAATGTGTTCCAGTCCTGGTCGATCCAATCCTCGACTAGGTTTGCCGTATCGCTACGAGTGGGTTGCGGAGGTATGCTGTCAAGCGCATCACCTAAGAAGAGCTGGCATGATTCAATTGTCGAAGCTTTGCCATTTTATCAGTGAAAAAGAGGACGACTTGTCGCGGCGCCGTGGTCGGTCGAATCAAGCACAATTCTTTCGTGGTATATGTACTTCTGGTGATTACTGACTTAGGCCTATTGCATGTATGGACATATACTATGTAACCCATATGCTTCAGCAACGGGTGGCTAGCCTTCATTCAGAGCGTGGGACAGTGGTTGGCTTAGGAAAGTCGCTCCCCAATGTACACTCTCGCCTCCCATGGCCCCAGACGTTCCCCAGGGTCAGTCTCGTTGCTAACCAGAGAACCCAGTTTCAAGCCTTCGACGGTGTCAGGAATAACAATATCCTGCTCCTCAGTGCTAAAGTTCAACATCACATAAGCCTGATAGTCCCTAGCCTTCTTGGTAAAAGTGAATGTCAATGGATTGTCAAAATCATGAATCTCAAAATGACCGTGGATGAAGACGTCTGCATATTCCTTTCGGATCTTCAGCATGCGCTTCCACATCGCGAGGATGCCGTTGGAGTCGTCCTGCTCGTGAACCATGTTTATTTTGGTGTAATTCTCGTTGACAGGCATCCACGGAGTTGCATCTTCAGCTGTGAAGTCTGCATTGGGACGTTCAGTCCACTGCATTGGAGTTCGTGCATTGTCGCGACCAACTCGACAAAGAGCATCCTGGGCTTTCTGCAACATGCTCTCATCGGATGGATACCGTTGCTGGATATCTTTGAGGTAATTTAACGAGCAGACGTCCTGGAAGTACTTCGATCCTTCACCCCGAGGCACATTCATCATGCCGATTTCCTGGCCTTGATAGACGAACAGAGTGCCTGATAGAGTGGCGAAGAGGATTGCAAGTAGTTGCGTGGACTTGATACGATATTTAGGACCCTCCGTGCCGAGCGTGGACAGATTCCGTGGCTGATCGTGATTCTCGGCGAAAACTGTCGCCCACGTATGGGGAAAGTCTAGCAAGCTTTGAGTCTTTTGGATTGCTGCCTTGAGCTCAGGCAAGCTATGCTGCCACGTCTCATGAGGCGGCCTTCCGTAACGGCCACCAAGTTCACAGATGCCAAAGTCAAAGACGCAGTCAAGCTCCCGCTGCGTGGCTGAGATATACTTGATGACCTCGTCACTTTTAGTGCTTGGAAGTTCTCCAACGAGAAATATATCTCCGTACTTGTCGAGGATGTCGCGCCGCTGCTCTCTGAGCCACTCGTGCATCCTGGGTCCGTCGATATAGAGCAGTTCTGCATTCTGGTATACTTCTGCAGGATCTGTGATCGATGCATCAGGAAAGTTGACATTATTGGAGTAGAGATTGACTGTGTCCACACGAAAGCCGTCGATACCTCGTTTGAGCCAGAACTCGATGGCGCTTGCATATATCGCTTGTCGTGTTGCAGCATTTTCCCAATTCAGGTCCGGCTGCTGGGGGGCGAATAGGTGTAAAAAATACTGGTCTCTCTCGGGCACGTATTGCCAGGCACTCCCACCAAATGCTGCCCTCCAGTTAGTTGGGGGTCGTCGTATGCCGTTCGCATACTTTGGATCACGCCAAATATACCAATCACTATATTTGTTGTCCCTGCTTTTTCTGCTTTCTCGAAACCATTCATGTTCATCGCTTGTGTGGTTTACCACCAGGTCTAGGATCAACCGCAATCCACGCGCATGCGCTTGTTGGATGAGGCAATCCATGTCGGCAAGTGTACCATATTTTGACCATACGTCCTCGTAGTTTGATATGTCGTAGCCCATATCATGTTGAGGAGAATCATACATAGGACAGAGCCAAATGGCATCAGCTCCAAGACCCTTGATGTAATCCAATGTCGAGATCACACCCTGGAGATCGCCCATACCGTCCTCATTGGAGTCTTTGTACGATGCTGGCCAGATCTGATAGAAGGTGGCATTTTTCCACCAAACGGCCTTGATATCACGCATAGCTGGTCGGATGGCGACAGCGTCGAAGTTGTGCAAATTGGGTCGGGGTTTTTTGTCGACGAGTATGCCTTGAAAAAGCGGCACGACAAGAAGTTTCGATGCGGCTGCGAGGAGTATGCCTAGTATAAGGAAGAAGTTCAGGCATGTCAAAAACCGCGCGCTCGTGGCGGTACTGGCGTGTCATACATGCAAACCGCCATCAGGACTAGGCCTATGAGAGAGTGAAAATGTGAATTCGCTCCGTCAACTTCCAGGAAACGCTGACTTGATCCACACCATCATCTGAGCGGAGAATGGTGGGTCTTTGGGTCAGACCTCTCTTCTTCTGCAGAAGAGATATCATGCATCGTATATTTGCATTCTGATCGAGCTCTACCGTGGTTTGTACAGCAATAACAAGAAGCGGAGCCCCAAGGTCGAGGAGGTAACGCTAGTGCTGGCTGTGTCCTCGATTAGTTTAGACCGACGACTTGCGGCGGCGGCATTGATTGGCTTCAAAGCCACCGTCTCCGCCGGCGGCATCCACTGGCAGTTGAGGTGACCATTTCCGCCGACGGCATTGACTGGCAGTTGAGGTGGCCATTTCCGATGGCGGCATTGATTAGCAGAGCGTTGAATATGCTCTGTATGGCGCGGCGACTTGACCTTCCCGTCACCTGTCCTGCTCCGCACATATTGACATGCCAGCAAGCGATCTCATCCTGGACCCACGCTCGGCGGGGTAAAGGAAATGAACAACCCTGCAGGCATGAAAGCTACTGAGGCAAGAATTGTCTACCGGCCTGAAAACTTAAGGTAACCCGCTTGTTTGATATGAATGAGTGAGACAGATAACCGTTCGCTAAAAGAAATCCCGGAGAATGTTGCGAGCCCCAATCTCCGTGCTCCTGCCCGGTTCCAATTCTCGGGATGGATGAGCCGCACAAGTTGCACCACCAGGTGAGAGGGCAGTAATAGTGATGATATCCTCACCACTTTCACTATCTTTTCCAAGGCCCATGAAACGGTCCCCAGCTGGCGAGGCGTATTGTTGGAGGAAATGTAGCATCCACTGATCCATATCGAAGCTTTGATCCATGCTTTCTTCGCAGGCACGATGAAACGCCTTCAGTCGGGACATCGACAAGTAAAGGCAAGGCCAGTATCTTTGCAGCTGCAACAGCATCTTGAAATTCTGTTCCAGCAGCTCCTTCGCTTCTCGCCGAGAGGCTTCATTTCCCTCAAATAGAAGGGTGTGTAGATGGGTGGACGACGCAATGACAAGCAAATGCCCGTTGATCGCCCATAGGCATTCAAGTCCGGCAGTAGTATTCGTTTTCCACATCAACTTACTAAGTTCCAATGCGTGGTACTTGCATCGACTCGCATAGTTTTGAGCCACATGCTCATACAAGAAAGCTGTCGAGAAGGGTTGTTGGTGACTGTTCTCCCCAGCGTGGCGTAGAAATCGATAACACAGGACTTGGGAGTGATGGTGATACCCAAAATGTAGCGCAGCAAATACCCTTCCAAGTCCTCGATCCGCATAAGCCTGCAAGTTTGCTGGGGTACTCTCAAGGTGGTCCGGAAGACGGGATCGCCAAAGGTCGAGCTGGAAAGAGAGCTGTTCTACTTCCTCCAATATCTGTGCCCCACTAGCCACATCTTTCATAGCTTTAGTGTTCAGCGTATGAATCTTAGCCATGATCTGGGTCAAGGGTATCATTTGAGTCCACAGGCCCGATTCTCGTTCATGCGCGGTGCTAGCAGGGGCATCAGGGCTCCTGTCAGACCTCAAATTTGTGAATGCAGCCTCCTCCATTGGCGGCGGATAAGCAGGCTCGACAATCAATTGCGGCGGGATGGCAAGGCTCGTTGAAGTCCAGGCATCCGTCATCCATACCGTCCACCAGACTATAGCACGTGAGCATATTTTGTGCACCATATCAACACGGCACATACTTCGAATCTCCGTCTCTTGTTGAACTGAATCGGCACTTAGGCGCCGCGGAAGGTCCAGTAATTGGACCATCCGGATTGCCTGAGCAGCGTAAAGTGACTCCATCATTGCATCGCCCTCGATAAAAGCCAGATTGGCCAACAAGGCGCAACCTTGGATAGCCGTGACAGAAACGGCCTCAGTCCGAGAATCAAAACATCGCTTGCTCTGAGTAGCCCAATCTCGGCCGCGATCACATGGCTCGATGTGGTTGATCGATGTGGTTGAAGCAGACATTCGTTGAAAACCTGCAACCGCGGTCAACAGCTTGTTCCGGCTGGTAAAGGTCACCACAGACCTTGCCGCCAGAGCCATCATCGCTAGCACCAGGAACTCTGGCGCTTTTCCATCTCTATGCATGGAAACAAACGAAGGCTGATGGAAGAGCGCATGCTGTTTGTCGTGCATGAAGTCGAAGTACAGGTCGACGAGCTCATTCCGGAGCTCATTGTCCCTCAATGATTTCGATTTGGATCTAGGGATGGCCTTCGGCGCCATCGGATCTCTTCGTTTGTGTAGCCTGTAGGTCGCAGTCAGCTTCTGTACCACCTAACCTGGAGGGCGGTAGTTATGGACCCGTGTTTGACGTTACGTTGACGCCTTGGATTGATTCGGCTTCAGAATTATTACCCGAGACTTTAATTTCGTTATACCATGGCAACCTTTGACGAGCAGATACTATGAAGATAAAGGAATAATGGTAATCAATGAGAAGAGACAACATATAAGGCTGCTATCATTATCAGTCACGTCGTAAAGCTACTCCTTCCTACGTGTTGTACCTCCCTATGGCTATTCTTGTGGCTAACGGTATCGAAATTAGGTATACCTTGGCGAGTCGATTTTGGCAGATAATTAGTGCTTTGCGATGACGGAGAATATACGTAAAGCCTTGGCTTGTCTCGCGACCCGTCTACATCTAGGTCCCGAAACCCGGAAAAATAGTATATAACGTAGGACGGGTAATACGATACCGAGAGTAGCAGGCTTAGCAGAAAGGCAAAGGCGTCAAACGATCGGCTATGAGTGGGATAGATTCTGGCAGTTCTGATCGCCCCGTCCCTAGCAAAGAGACAAAGAAAAGACACGACTCCACACGGCCAAGGGTGCCCTTAGATCCTACGAGACCACAATATTCCGCCTTCTAAGTACTCTCCTCGTGCGCTTAAGCGCTTACTGGCCCCAGACCCAGAAACCGAAAAGCTTAGGGAGAGCCCTCTATCGGCCAAGACTAGACTACCATAGGTTAGGCATTTGGTCATGATACCGAAACGAATTAATAGGGACGCGTTAAATTACCGCGAAGTGAGACAGGAGACGCGGTTACTTAAAGGATCGACGATGGTAATCTCCACGCCGGAATAGGTTAAATAGGCGAAGAGAACGAGATGAGAAAAGGAGGGGGAAGAAAGAGGAGCAAGCCTGGTTCTAAAGCAAGTAGCAGTATTTAGCGGCAAGAGCTTAACGGCTTTATATGGCCTCCCTTTAAAGACATATTAATATAGGTCCGTACTTAACTGTCAGTATACGGACCAAGCCTCTCCCGATCAGGGTCGAAAGCGACTATCTTACACTAGATACTTTAGATAGTCTTCGAATAGTTTAGGGCTATATTTTAGTTGTAGCCTAGGCCAGACTTTCCATATCGACTTGTTAGCTCCTATACTACTATCTATAAACTTTCGTCTTGCCGCTCGATAACGACGCCTAAAATAACGGCGCTACCTATCGTCTAATATACGTCCGGTAAAGAAAAACCTTCTTAGCTAGTTTTAATCTCGTGCGGGGCGATAAACTTTATGGAGGCTCGGGTCGTAACGAGGGACGAACCTTTCGGATACTAAGTGAGTTAAGGTATAGGTTCTTTCTTAGTTGAAGGCTACGGAGCTATCTAATCTCCGAAGGTCGCCTTAACCAGCTTGTATTAATATTATTTATTAATTAATATACGACGAGATAATGTATAGTATCGCGGAACTCGAATGAAGTCGTAAGTTTACACAAGAGGGAAGAGATTACCATGAACGTCCTGATATCGGTTATGCTTAGGATTAGGATCTAGTAAAAAGGGTTATCCTATACTATGAAGCCTAACGCATTTACCTCGAAGATATAAATATATTTAGCTTATAGTAGAAATACTTCTTCGTGGTGATATAGTCCTCGCGGCAGGTGGTTAAGATAGCCAGCTAAACAGGCTTCCACTGATAGTTAGGTATCTGTTAGGAATCCCACCTAACAGAGTACAGAGCAGGTCACGTGCGAGTCACGTGCGGAGACCGGTGCATTGGGTAGGCGCCAAGGCGCCATTGACAGAGCTTTCCATAGCTGCGAGCTCCGTTGGGATTCAGGAGTCTTTCCTTCTCCAACGCTCGACTCGCTGTCCTTCCGATACCTAGATAGATAGCTAGGCATACATTCCACTGTGCATTGTCCTTCCTCGCATTCCTGACAGTATCTCTTTTAGATACTATTAAATATCGAAATGTAGGAGCGAGATAGTAGTCTATATTGAATAATATAGTTAATTAATATTATGTAATCTCTCTCGAGATAATATAGGTAGTATATCAGGTAGAGAAGGGTAGTCAAGAAGTATTGAAAGGGATTAGGCATAGAATTTCAGTGGGTCGTCGAAGCTAGTATCTTGCGAGCGGTATATACATATTTTAGCTTAATCCTCGGTTCTTATATCTCGTGGCTAGGACGAAATGTATCTCCCGTATTGTATACTTCGATGTGCGCTTGGATGTGGTGGACGTAGGTGTGTGACGATGTGACACGAATAGACTACTTACCAGGCTCAGACGTGCACACAGATCCAAGTCGCAGGTAAAGACCTTGGTAGCGCTACTTGCATGGCTGGTATCCATTAATGACCAATAAGGACAGCCTTCAAGGGCTCTAAAGGAGTGTAAGGACGGGCTACATTCCCTATGTACTTAGTGTGCGTGCTAGAATCCTTGGTACACTACTAATGCACTTGAAGCGCTCTTGGTACACCACCAAAGCCCACATTGGCAGACCTGTTGAGGTCTGAATCCTGTTTCTGAGACCACGCCCCTTGGCAGGATGAAGCCGCCTGGCATCTGGGCACCGCTCTAACTCACCACACATCGTCCCACGGTACTCGATGAACTGCTATTCTAATATTGGTCTTCTCGCTAGCGTTCCCCGACTCACTTGACCTCGATATGGCTAGCGGGCTCCTCTTGAGCCTCTGTTCGCTTCACCAAAATGATGCTTCCCCTCGATCCAGGCACAATTTCCGGGTGAAGAATCATGCTTTCCCGTCGGCCATATGTCTTGCGAGCTTGAACCATATTCAGAGACTTCTTGACGGCACTGTCTCCACCATCCAGGAAGACCAGGTCGACCTCTTCGAGAGTCAGTTGTGCAGTTTCAGGATAGAAGAAATAGACCACTGGGATAAAGGCCAGGTTGGTGACGGTGAAGATTAGATAGGCTTTCCATTGTAAGTGTTCGATGATGGTCGGGGTGATTTCCACGACCACAAAGTTCCATAGCCAGTTGCTCGAGATGCCGATGGCTCCTCCCTTGGCACGAGCGTGGAGTGGCAGGATTTCAGGCCCGTAGCACCATGGAATGCAGTTGAGAGACATACCAAATGCCAGCATATAGGAGAAAAAAAACGCCACGGCGGCGGAAGAAGTCGCATGCTCGTTCGCATGGCCATTGAAGCTGAGAAGCACAGCAATCAACAGCATAGATATACCGAGCCCGCCGAAACCCCACATCAAAGGTCTTCGGCGACCGTATCGGTCGATAAAAAAGGTCGGAAACAAGGAGCCGATCATGAATGTGAGGTTGATGCATCCACCCAGCACTAGAGATAGCTGGCGACTCAATCCAACATTGACCTGAAGGACAGTGCTGATGAAGTACACAACGATGTTGATCCCAGTCCACTGCTGCATGAATTGAATTCCGTACGCAAGAAGCACTCGTCGTCCAGTCTTCACCTTGTCGGCTTTGAAAATGTTTCTCCACTTGTATTGGCCGTGTTCAGTTTCCATGGCGATGACTTCCAAGACATCTTGCTGTGCCTGGACAATCATTGGGTCATCAGGTGACTTTTCATATACTTCGCATAGGATCCGAAGGGCCTCTTCGTTTCGACCGAGTTTGTAGCAGTACCGAGGACTTTCTGGAAGGCCAAACACGAGCACTACAACCACCTATATGAACGTTTTGGGAGATGATCCGGGCCACAAGGTTATACGTACTTACGAGCGCGAACGTAATCTGAAATCCCACGGGCAGTTGCCAGGGTTTTCTTTACCGACATATGCCATTCCGTAATTGAAGAAATAGGCGACGACGATTCCAAAGGCCACGAAAAAGACCTCGGAGCAGAGTAGGCGACCTCTTTTGCTGGCTTCACAGAGCTCTGCTTGGTACATTGGGACTGTCGAGGTTTCGATGCCTGTAAATCTATGCTTTAGCAAGGGGCCAGTCAAAAAGAAATCCGTCCACGACATACCAGTTCCAATTCCCGTGATGTATCTTCCAATCATCATGTGGGGTGTACTCTTCGCGCTGGTCTGTAGCGCAGCACCTACCTTCACCGAGATTCAGAACAATATTAGCTGAGTTGTAGCCAGGATACTCACAATGATCCAAGCCATTGCAAAAGTGTTCATTGCTGACGACGCCGCCAAACACACCTTGGTCGTAGCCTGGAGGACGGACGGTGAGTATTCGCCTTGACTTGCAACAAGTCCATCAGAACTCACCGAAAAGGATAAAAGCCATGTCGCAAGCCACGGAGATGGCCAGCCGAAGACTGTGTCCAGTCCCAAACATCTTGTAAGACGGCATGTTTGTGATTGCTGCAGAGTCGAGTGCTGTTATAGACTACAGGATTGATTCGCTGAGCTGCAAGTCATGGTCTTATATATCAAGTGTGAGAACGTGGGTGCCCCGTAATCTCCAGAGAAACCGTTGATCGGAAAACGTTTTACATACATCACCCACAGCTACTTGAGAAGGAAGCGGTGGGTAAGCGAATGGGCTGGGGAAGTATACCTGGACTACTCCGTACAATTGAACAGAGCGGGTTAACTGGGGATCCCGCAGATCAACCGCAGTCGACCTCCTTGAAGGCGCTCTGAGTCCCCCAGTAGTGCTCGGAAAATAGCTTCCGTACGTTGTACCTCCTAATTAGGCTGGTCAGCTGCGCGGATACGTAAAGTTATGACGACCGTCACCCCTGAAGGTAGAGCCGTGAAGAAATGGCCCATGGCTGGCGATATCTCGGGCTGGTTGAGAGATGCAGTCGCGGCCGACACAGCTTCTTGTCAAAGATTAGGAGGCCTGATAAGTATGAAAAGATCTCTATCACGCTACCTAGGTTGCTGGGGATCGTACGCTGCACCTTATACCTAGATATAAGGGTGTTGGTGTCACCCTTCACTTCAGAAGCGATACGTATACGGGTTCGGCAGATTAACCGAGGCTGCGCACCACAACTACGCGCCTGGGGCTGCACTCTTTTCCATATAATCTCATACAGTAATTCTATCAATGATACGCACCTTGAGGTCGTGATAGTTGGAAATGCCAAGGTGTACTACCTCTGAGTCAATTATGACTAAAGAGATATTAGCGAATTGACGGACCAATCTTTGAATTTTTTAATGTTGCTAATGCTCAATTACATGTCGTGTTTTGCGCCTGTAGTCCTAAAATGGCAAAGAGCTTCCATCCCAGGCCAGGAATTGTCCAGAGCTGGTCTGCCTTGAAGCTTCGTCTATTCGAGCTAATAGCCCACTGACACTATCGTCGATGGGAACTGCAGCTGCGTTGACTCCGCCTTGTATCTCCGCATATTTACCCATATCAGTCTTGACATAGCCAGGGTGCAGCGATAAGCAAGTAATCCCGGGATGTTCGAAATGAAGCCGGCGCACAGCATAGTTGAGGGCTGCCTTCGACATCCCGTACGCGATTGCCTTCTCGGCGTAATGCTCCATGCCGCCGATTTTCAATGTTTGAAATGTACTAGAAACGCGGATATATCCTGCTCGTGCTTAAACGAGAATAATGCTCTTGTTCTCCCACTCAACGAAATCATCATCCACGACTTCCAGCCAGCCTATTCTGCGGTAGATTTCTCCCTTATTGTCAACCTGAGATAGAATTAGAGCACCACTCACCTTGGAATAACGTGTTTCGTTTCCAACGGTCGAATGTCGGAGATGATCTTCCCATTTCATCCATTGGAGGCACCTAATAGTTCCGCCCTCTTCAGGAAGTGCGTCCGCAAGCGTATCCAGCACTGCAACATCTGTGGTCGTCTTATGCAAGTCCTGGTCTTGTTGGGCTTTGAGTGGCTGGAATGTGCACCGAGTAGGATGATACACCAGCTCATATGACAATGGAATCTTGGTTCTGATCTTCCTAACACGTAATTCTCCTAGACGGCCGCGAACTTGAAGTAATTGTGTATCGACCGAAACGCTTGGAACGGACACTAAGTCGATTTTGACCAGTTCTTCGCACTCCCAACCATGGCGTCCAGGCTTGAAGTGCACCTTCTGGTTTATTGATGCCCATGACCATGATGGCGTGTTGGGTAACCGATCTGCTTGCGGGTCGACAGCAATATCATTTCCCAATAAAGAAAAATCCGCAACCCAAGCGAGTTCTTGCACCAAATTGTGCCTCCAGACACCCATCATAAACTCCTGCCTGGTAAGTATTGAGAGTTCAACCCCTAATCCCGTGACAGCTGGCAGTTTGTCCGTCACCACCGTAAGCGCTTTCTGAGAAAACTCCTCCAAAACGTTGGTCCAGACCTTCTGTTCATACCTGCTGTTGCGCTTATATCCCGCAACGCTCTCGGCTAGTTCATGCAGTATTGGAAACGTCCTGTTGGAGTACAGCACCCTTGCCTCATATTCGGAGGCCTTTGACTCGCTGCATTCCCAAAAGAGACCATCTTCGGTCCAGAACAGCGTCCGTGATGCGAGCATACGTTCTTGCAAGACCCATCCACGCTTAGCAAGTTCCGAGTGCTCCACTGCGATGTTCCAGTTTGGTAGGGTAGCTTCCAGCATCACAGGATTGTCTGGCCCACGTGCTCTATTCTCGTCGAAGAGGGAGTAATTTTGGACTGGCCAACGGGATTTTTGACTCCGGTGAAAACATCCCACACTGCTATCCTTCGCACCACTTGCTGCGATTGTGAATAGCGAGTGCCTATATACCTTTCCCATAGTGGGAAATTCGCGTTGCCAGTCTTCATTCACCCCTTCCTTGACCTGTATAATGCAAAGTGCATCAATCCACAAATACCTTATACGCAAGGCACGAGTGATTTCAATAGCATCTTGTAGCGTTTGGGGCAATGATGCCGTGGAGAATCCATTCTGAAGTCTAGCTGCCAGGTTCTTTTCTGTGGTACAAGCTGCGTTCTTTGCTTCACCCCAACAGTAGCTGAGGGTGGCATACTCAATCTTTCTGCTCTTTGGGAGATCTTCGGAAAGGACTAGCTGTATTGCCTGCTCCCCAGGCTGGCCAACATCCAAGAGTCTTGTTGGAAGGAAAACAGGAACATCTTTAGCTTGAGGACCACAATTCTTGTGATCGGTGGTACAAGTCGTAAGCCACTTACGGGACAAGAACAGCTGCCGATCGACGCCAAGATTTTCTCCTAGGATCCGCTGCTGACTTAACGACCTGTCCTTCACGTGATTGTTATGGGCCTGGAAATGGGAAGGCCCTGGCCGTCGTCCAAGAAAAAACTGCCACAACCTGTTTTCTATCTTCGTGCGATCTTCAAGTACTTTCCGATCAAATAGGAAGAGGTTGACGTTTATATCGTTGTGGATATCCTGAAGATCCTCGCTATTGAAACTATAAGTTTCATAGTCACTTGAGTAGTAGCTGAATTCGCGGCGGATATACTTGCACAAATCACAAGAGGTGTCTGCACAATTTGACAACTCCGCAAAGTTCTTGTGAATGACAATATGGCCTTCTTGTAAGGGCTTCGGGTCGAAAAGGCGATTCCTGAAGCCTTGACATCCTTTACAGATGGTCATCGCTGGATCTTTATGATAGCCTAAGCAATTCTGTGTATCGTCCACGGAGTGTGAACGACTAATATTGGCCTCAAAGCAGTACTAAACTGTGGTCGTGAATCTTGTGTCATCAATAAGTTGTTTGAAATGGGAATGTCAATTATCATTGAGGGAAAAGGTGTGGTTGGCTTTGGCGAGTAATTTTGAATCCTCCATGCTTGGTGCTTCGCCCACAGCGTCTAGCGCCAGCGCGTCAATAGGACCATCAAGTCAGCCTGAAGGCAAGAGTCAGCCCCGAATTCAGCCCCAAAGTCAGCCTTGAAGTCAGGGAGCGCCCCAACACCACCACCAACCTCAGATCCCGTCCCGACGCCTGTACTAGCGCCCAAACCTGCCCTGGAGTACCATCCCAAAAACCGGTAGCGAATGCGGGTTACGAATGTTTGATCTCGAAGGCTATTCTGCGCAGTGCGGGGCATAGGCGCTTTCTAGCTGCGGGTCTCTGGCGAATAGCAGGATTTGGTCTTACGAAGCACCTTCACAGTGTCAAAGCCACGAGCTTTGCCATTAAACAACATTGCTGCTGTTGCCGTAGACTTCGCTGGGTAGTGGCCTGAGTCCGATCTGCCTTACACATGATGGTTGCTGATCAACCATATCACTTTCACATACTGCCGGCAATGCCTCGCACAGATCGTATGCTCAGCCGCAGCTGAGAATTCTCGATGCCTTCCAGGTGATGCAACTTGGCATTAGAGTTTCCCAATGAATCCGGCACACATTCCGGTTCCTCCCAGCGACTGAATGAAAGATGGTCGATAGAGCTGTGCGGCTGACCATACGAATGCCGCAGAAGAATGTCCAGGGAATCCTGACCGCGACATGCGGCTTGAAAGTCTGTCTAACCCAGTTCAGCCCATGGATAAATTCCTAGCCACGAAATGCCCTGTAACTCGCAATGGTTGTCACCTCGTCACGCGTTACATACTTAGTCAGCCAAATATACTCAGAACCAATGGAATTACGGAAACCGTCTTTGAGCTCCGGGACCTAACCATTCGTATGGTTGATGTTGGAGGACCAAGATCAGCGCATAAGAAGTGGGATCCTAGCGCTAACCAAATGGGAGAGGCTTTGGTGCTTTTTGACTCACTGGTAAATGGGACGTGGTTCAAGGACAAGCCTATCATCCTGTTCCTTAACAAGATTGGTCTCTTCCGGAAGAAGTTGTGTAGGAGTGATTGTAGGCTATGGGCTGGAGCCTCCAGCCCGACTATTTGTCCGAGGTGGCTTCGAGGCGACCGGTCTAGGCCCTTCCCATGAGTGGAACGCCACCAATGAAGGTCCGGTCGAGCTGGGTGCCCAGTAGGAACAAGAAATTCGTATTGCAACTCGTATAAGTGGGGTCCGGAGTCCGGACTCTATTAAACTAACAAGCTGTTCAGCCTCACGCTACCCACTATTTCGGGGTTGATGGTTACACTAGTCTCAATACGTGCGAGAGGCTTAATATTCACTCGGCCTACTCGTATTAATTATTGTGTTCTAGCCGAATCTAGATCCGATAGACCTTGGTGTCCGATAGTGCGAGTTTCTGGGATCGAGCTGCAACTTAGTAGTTTCGCTGCCATGCAAGAAATCGTAGCGCTTCCCGCGCGTAGTTCGTGTGAAAGGACATTATAGGTAGCCCATATAGCATCGCTACAACCCTTCTTAGTTCCTTTAAATTCTCTTTTGGCTGCACAAGGCCGCATTTTGTACTAAACAGATAGTAATTAAAAGCTACCCAGATCAAGAATGAGTGTTATGAATCTGTCGTTCCTTTGCTTGCTGGTCTTTCCTCTACTGTCTTCGTCGTAAACAGTGGTTTTCACGACTGAAAGCGATGGGTCTGAATCTAGCTCCACTATCTACGACGCTACGGCAACGATCTCGTCTGGACCCTTAAGCTCATCATACCTAGGCAGCACACTCTATAGGTCATAAGCGCGTGTACGAGGTTGGATAGTATGATGATGTAGAAGATTGGCCGTTGGTGATATAGGACTGCTGTTCTAGCTGAAGGAACGGTGTGAGGGATGACGTCGGAGGTGTCACTGCTGAGGTAATCCTTTCTGCCGCATGACTGACGGAAGGGGCAGGGGTTGGACTTTGAGCGACGACGTTACCATGCGCATCGATTGCCACGGTTTTCCGTTCTCGTAGAAGCCAGATGGAAAGACCGGGAATTGTGAACATAATGCCGGCGAATATGAGGAGGCTAACCTTTAAGCCATACTCTTATAGAAAGGCTTGGGCAAGAAAAGTTAAGGCAAATCCGAACAGGTCAGTTGCGCCGAACATAAGGCCGTAGGCCAATCCTCGCCCCCCCAGGAACCATGTATTCACGATCAAAAGAACGGGAATATCGATAATGAATAGGCCGACGTCATATGAAAATCCTTGTGTCGCGGCTAAGGAGGCGAACGATGTGCAAAACGCGGCTGCCACGAAGCCGCCGATGCTTAGCATTCAACCAAAGACTGCATAATACCACGGCCTGACAGTTTCATACCTCTGGCAGAGGTATGACGGCGGACGTGTGGCACCTTACCATAGAGCGTAGGTACAAATAGAATGCTGTCGGATGGTATAATGTCAGCGTTAATGATATGGTTCGCATTTAGCACAACACTTCTCTAGATACACATTTTTACGTCGGGAGACTGTGCGTCTGAGGACAAATGTTGCTTGACAGGTGTCGCAATAACCTGGATGTTGCACATCCGCTATTGCCTGCTCATAGCGCCTTTGATCTTCGCACACCGTTTCCTTCAAGAGATCAACACAGAAGGAACTAGTTCCAGCCAGAGCCCCATGAAACTCTATTTGTCGTAGCCAGTACTAAATTTCTGAGTAGACTTTGGAGAGAACGATATCTCGTAGGCCCCGATCACTGTCCGGTGTGGAAAAATAGATCTCCTCCACGACTGGAAATAGACGTGTTTAACATCGACCTTCTCGAGAGCCCTTTGAAACTTTTCCCGGGCTAGAATCATGAGTGCCTTCATTGCATACTTTTCTGCTAGTGCGTACACCTGACAGTGCAGTCTTAATTCGTCGAAGACTCGATTTTCAACTTCAGCGGTCTGGTTAGCGCCTGCTAGATGACTAACTATATCACTCGCCTACGTATCTCCTGTCTCTGAGTCGAGAGGAAGCGCAATCTCTTCAATAAGAGTTCGATGATCCCTAACCTCGGGGTCGGTATTGGCTTGTTGATTAGTTCTTCCGCTATGCTTTGTCCATCGAGTCTAAATATTACCTCCGGCTCGTAGACCAGAGTATATAAGTAGCGGATCATACAGTCCACAGCGTCTAGATAGTCACTCAACAATTCAATCATCTAAGACTATCCTTCCTATATTAACAACTATCAAGATCTTTCCTCCGGTTGGAAGTATGGCCTCGGCTTACCTTGAAAGGTGACAAACACATGCGGGACAAAACATCTGATTGGCAACAGATAATAGCGCGGTGAACTTCATAGTGTTTCGCTTGCGTGCGTATAGTGAGGTCCGTGAAATCTCCCGACTCGAAGATTCTGCACTCATTAATGACTAGCTATCTACTATTATATGTCACTTCCCTCGAAAGACCCTTCAAAAGCTCGTGCGTACACTACGTTTCGGCGTTCATCTTGATTATAAGATCAACCAGATATCGAAATGTAATCACAAATCTCGGTGTAGCCCTAATTAATACCCTTGTATCGTCGAAAGTCTCTAGGCACAGCGGTAAGCAACGATGGGCATTCAGCGACAAACATAAGCCATATGTTTGCACGAGCTGCTAAGGCATCTAGAAAACTATTGGCAGCCTCACTTGAGTCTGGTGGTCATCACTCGATCCACTTTGCCCAATAGCGATCGTCCACGATTTCTGACTGATGGGATAACAGGGGATACACATGAAAAGACAGAGACGAGAGAGATTAAGCGATGACAAGTCGAGCTAGAGCAGCATTTAGCCCCTAAGAAGAAAGAGGCAAAGCGAAAGCAAGTCAAAGTGTAGTGGCGGGAGGTGCAGGACAAAAAGCAAGTGAGGGGGGATCCTGTCAGTGTTTCCACGATCATCAATACTGTATGGAAGCAGAGACATGTGTGAAAACAATAAGAGCACGTGAAGCTTTATGGGATACCAGATTGAGTAAAGTTGAGTTAGCTCGATGGACTAATCACCTCTGGTGTGACCTCTATAACCTTGCAGCTCATCCAGACCACAAGATACGGTGGTGCCGGGTCAGGTCTACTTTCCTGGCTGGTACCAAGTGGAATCACCAGGACCCCTGCAGGTCGAACAATCAAACTTGGACGCCGGTGTCCCACGCCGATACCTACCAGGTTCCGGGCCAAGGTGACGCGGTGCACCGGGTAGACTCTGGTCAGGTCCAGAAATGAAAAGCGTTGCCTCCATGCGGCAACACCGAATCCGGCAAATTCTTAGTAGCCGTGCATGATGCACAGATACGGAAGATCCGGCCGACGTTCTTGACTTGGGTCCTCGATCCACTTGCTTGAGGCAGAAGTTTGGGGACGCCTGTAAGCGCAAACTTTCTTGTCAATACGATGTTTCTTTAGACGTACTGCGGTACAAAGGCTTCTCTAAACCTTATTGCGACATTATCCTAACGATGGATTAACGACCCTTCGCCGGAACATGACGTGATCCACGATTTGTCTATGGTAGTGTCCTGGCAAGCGAAACACGGCGTGATAAGGCAGATCCTATCGTGGAGGACTTCTAGCATAACAACGCCAACATCAACTTTCTTGGCTACTTTGGACATGGAGTCGTGTGTACGTCACGTTTCTTGCCGCAACATCCAATTTTTCAGCCCGTATTGATCATGATCGATCAGCGCATAAGCTTCCCAAAATTGACAGTCCGCCTCTGCCCTTTGCGACCACCAGCTTTTGAAGTTTGGGCAAACAAGGCGACAGCGACTGTCTGCCAAAGCTTTGCGCCTCAGTCGATCGGTCTTGATATGGGGATACATCCAGGGATACACTCTGTTTGACCAGGTACCATCTCGATACAGCTGGTTGAAGGCCCGTCGTCCTTTGCGCAGGGCAATCTCATGAGCCGCACGATCGAACTCCTCGAGAGAGCCCGCGCAACGGGTACTAAGGAGCTTGTCGATAGAGTCGAACTCGCGCGTAACGCGATAGCCTATTTTGGAGCCCAGAAGGAACATATATATTTGTCTGGTGGTCAGGCAGGATGGAGACATTCCGAGTTTGGTCAGAGATGTCGCCAGCTTTTGAGTTGGGAAATCGTCGAATGGACTGAAACATCTCCCGCGAATACTATCTACCGAGCTATACCTGCCGTCTTTGTGCAAAAAAGGCAAGCAACGGAAGATACCGCTTCTTTCGAGGGATGGCCATGTCCATTCAGCAATGACAGCCGCACTTGGAATTTGTTCCCAAATTAATACCTCCGTCTCATATTTCGGGTCGTAGTCAAGGCCACATGCTTCCCGCAGATCGTTGCATTTTACAAAGCTGCCCTCGATAAGCCGCCAAGAGTCGATTACCAGGATGCTCACACCTCTGTTTGCAGCGCAGACTTTACGGCCGGCTAGAGCGAATGCTCGCAAGAGGTCGGGTGTGGTGGATATGAACGGAGTGGCAACAGTATTGTGCAACTTTGAGTGGTCGTCCAAGAACACAGTCATCTTTTGTCGCCCGATATTGGTAAGTGAGGTGCTGGGAAAGATTCTCGCAACCGATGCCCGATCACCTTCAGGGTGTGGACTTTGTGAGTCAATGACTCGAAAGAACATCCTTCTCTCGAAAACATTTATGGGATACTCCCGATGCCACTTGTAGTTCTGGCACCCCTGATCAGTCTACGGTTCACAAACTCCCATAATGAGAAGCGGCGTACAGATTCAGTGAAAGTTTCAAGGCCATCACTGTCTTCGCTTGACGTCTCATCTTTGACTTCGTGACAGGCGTCATCCACGATCGCGTCAGTTCGAAAGCCTTCGTCAGATTCGAGAGTAAAGGCTTCGAAAAGTCGACCCAGCTCGTCGGTCACGTCGGAGAACATCACTGAGAAGGTACCGGGATGATCGCACACTTGTGAAGGGTCAGCGCCTCTATCATAGATAAAGCTCCAGAAGCGCACTTTCGAGATTATTGCTGAGATATCGAGGTTGAAGAACTCTACGGATGCATGAGCCGCAATTACGACGAAAAAGAACAGCTGTAGCATCAAAGTTCCGATTAAGTGCCACGTAGTACTCTGGCGCTTAGGGGACGGCCGGCAGACCTTTTGAAAATGACAGTCGGCTCAGGCAGACTCAAAGTCTTGGCATATGGTGAACCGCATTCCCTCCGTCTATCTTATTTCTTCGTTCGAATCTCGATAGCCGCTGCAATGATTCACCTAAACCACTATTGATGCATCGCAAGATAGGTCCGACAATCATGAAAGGAAGCAATTACGACCTTGCTGCTTCATCCTTCGGACCACGACCACGTCGCCTCGCACCATCAGCCCGGGTCTCGCAGGTTCTTGCAGAACAGAATATCAAAGCCAAAGCGATAAGCGAAGGTGCGCTGCAAAGTGCGATGCCAACTCTGGAGCGGAGTCGAGAGAGTGCCGCGAAACGATTAATATACGACTAATCCCTAAAGCCGAGAGGGGTTTTAGAACTCCTTAAAATACTAGTAGCGTATAAGATAGACTAGTTCTAAGTATGATTAGAGAGTTATTATCTTTTCGATAAGCCTATATAATTAATAATAAACTAACTTTCTTAATACTATACGAATACTACCCTTACTATATATACTATCCTTATTATCGTCCCTATAGCTAAGTTACTAACTATCGCAAAATACGTCGCCTAGTACCCGGCTAATTATTACTATACTTATTACCTATATAGATACTCGTGTTTAGATCGGTTAATCGACGTATTAGAGGTATTCTATTTTCATTAGCTATTGCTATATCTATATATTATACTAATATATAGTTCAGTAGCGAAGTTAAAAGGGCTATTTCGAAGGAATTCTATATTATACTTTTCTTTTTCGTAACTACCTTAAATCGTCCTAGCGTAGATATTTATATTCCTAACCTAGTTTCCATGATAACGTCCTCTATACTAAACATAGAGTATAATAAACGATAAAGGGACGACGTAATCGACCGCTTCCAAAAGTCAAAGAGTACCAGCCATAGAAGCCAGGCTAAAAGAAAGCGATGAAGAAAGGACCGGCGTAGACGACCTATTGTCGCTAGTGTAGCGATAAGAGTACGGTATTTATCCTTATTCTTCTTACGCTAGGGCTTTTCCTCGATAATAATAACATATATAGCTCGCGCCAGGTTAATAAGTCCAATCCCCATTGGGATCAGTTGACCGGGACCGGTGAGACCCCTTATCCCTACAACATCGTCGATGTGATTCAAATTGAGGGTGAACTCGATTTGTACCATGGAGAATAGGAGTCAAAATACGGGGAATCAGGGGAATGCATGCCAAACGCCCACTATTCCCCAGAATTCGATTTCGCACCTTGGGCGCTTCAGTATCGCAGGTCCCAGGTCCCGACATAGCCCCGCAGTCGTCTAGCCATCCCCATGAAATACCCGGCCAAGAGTAGCCTCGGTATAAAATTGCTTGGAGGCCCCGTGGGACATCCCCGGCGCCACTTTGCAGGCACCAATCAAATGGGTACCGAGAAAGACGATACGAGTCGGTCAAACTCTTCTCTCTGAGCATCTCGGGCCACGATTTTTGGGCCATTGCTTGGAATCTCGGTGCAGGACGGCCATACTGTCCAACAAAGCAATTAATACTATCATCAGCCTACAATTCCATCGCATGTAGCTGGCACAGCAGGCATGTCGTCTCCCCGATGACTTGGAATTCCTCGGTTTGTCAGTAGGGACAGCTCACAAAGGTAGGTGACTTGTCACCAACTCAGTACTAGCAACGATATCAAACGCTACTGCACATTCGAGTCTGCAGAACCACTGGCTAAAGCAGTCGGACGGTTTGCAACCTGGTCAAGCTTGGCTAGATGTCCCAGATGTCCCACAAGTCACAGCATACCATGACCGAAGCGTCCCATCACTTCCCCGGAGTCACGCTAGACTCCAGGACCCCGCACACCATGTAGCGCCTGTGCACTCATGGCTTGCTATAGCCGACCTATCAACACCCAGTAGCATGGCAACGCGGTAACGTCGGACGGGGTCTCGATCTTCTACAAATCCCAGACACCACCCGCATTATCAGGAGATCTCAAAAGAGCCTTGCGTTACACACGTCGCCAGTGTCCCCCAACCGAAATCATGGCCTCCAATACCAATCCAGATGCAGTGACCGCAGACACTGCTCGATCCTACGAACTGGAAAAAGTGCACACAGCCGACGGAAAGACCGACTCAATGGTCGATGAACAGCACATGGAGAAAGTCGATACCAACGAGGGAAATCTGGTCTACAACGATGTCGATGAAGAACCCGAACTTCACGCCCGTACCTACATAGCCCTTCTTTCCATGTTCGCCCTCAACCTCGTCCAAGTATTTGCGCTACAATCACCACCCGCAGTCGTAAGTGACCAGCTTCCCCGCGACGTCGTCTCCTACTAAGAACTTCCAGCTATCGTACATTGGAAAGAGCCTCAACAATACAGAGGCAGATACATGGGTCCCCAATTCGTTGTCCCTTGTCCAAGCAGTGCTCGGCCCAGTCATCTCCGGCGCCTCAGATACCTTTCAAGCCAGAAAGACCATTCTCGTCGGGTCATCCCTCATCTCCCTCATTGGAGCTGCCATCGCCCCAGGCTCCGGCAATATCTACAGATTGATTGCCGCCCAGACACTTATCGGTGTCGGATTTGCTGCCGTCCCTCTCGCCTACGCCGTGCCGAGTGAGATCTTGCCCAGAAAATGGAGACCGAGTACGTCTTTTCCGTCGACTGAGTCAAGTCTCCAGTGCTGACCTGTAGACAGTGGCTCAAGCCTGCATGAACATCGCAGCAGCTATAGGCGCGATCAGCGGTCCCTTGGTCATCGGCGCACTCGTCAAAGGCAACGAGAAAGATGGCTGGCGCAAGTTCTACGTAAGCATCATCCCACGGGCTCATCAGCACACTGACCGACTCGCGCACAGTGGATTCAAATGGGTCTCTGGGGCCTCACAGCACTAGGAATCTTCGTCGGCTACCGTCCGCCCAAACGCCACACCCGTCTCGACCATCTCTCCTTCTGGCAGAAGCTCACACACCTCGACCTACCAGGCTGCGGCTTATTGACGGTCGGTCTAACACTCTTCCTGACCGGGCTCAACCTGGGCGGCGGCCTATTTAGCTGGGTCAACGTACGCACGCTAGTAACCCTAATCCTGGGCATCGTAATCCTCATCGCTTTCGGTGTATACGAATGGAAAGGCACACGAACAGGCATTCTCCACCACGATCTGTTCAAAGGAGGCGCCGCCCAAGGCCGCACATTCGCCATTTGCGTCGGCCTCATCTTCATCGAAGGCATCATGCTTTTCTCCTATATCGTCTTTTTCCCCGTCATGTAAGAGAACCCCACCCCTAGCCCAACCCAAACATCCCTCGAACCATACTAACGAGCCCAAAAAGGACGAACGCGCTCTTCACCAGCGACCCATTCAAGACCGTCGCACGCTCCCAGCCGTATTGGATCGCCGGCCTCATATCAACGGTGATTTGGGGCTACTCGGCAACACGCTTCCGCACGATCCGCGAGCCCCTGTTCCTAGGCTACCTGTTCTTCACAGCCGGTATCATAGGATGGTGCACGATCCAACCAGGCGACGACTTCAGCCAGCTTGCATTCGCCGCCGTCGCCGGTTTCGGTTTCGGAGCACCCCTGATCCTCATCATAAGTGGCGTCCAGCTCTCCACGCCGCATCGCTTGATCGCAACAGCGACCGCAGTCACGACGTCTTCCCGCGCTGTCGCCGCGACGGTATTCACGGCGATCTTCTCTGCTGCTTTGAATACGAAGCTCGACACGAACCTGCCTAATGACATTGGCAAGGCTGCGCTCAAAGCAGGACTACCAACGACCTCGCTCAAAGCGTTCATCACGGCTTTGGCTGGTGGAGATACCGCTGCTCTGCCTACAATTCCCGGCGTGACTCCCGCGATCATCGGCGCCGGGGTGGTGGCGTTGAAGCAGGCTTTTGCCGATTCTATCCGGGTAGTGTACATTATTGCTGCGCCATTTGGAGCATTGGCGTGCATTATGTGCTTGTTCCTGGGTGATTTGCGGAAGACGATGAATTACCAGGTCGATGCTCCTGTTGAAGACCTTCATGCTAAGCACCATCATGAGCAGACTGCTGAGAGGGTAGCATGATATGTCATTAACGCCGAGAAGAATTTGAAATGTTTGATAGCTGCGTTGTTGAATGATGTAGTCATATATCTCGCAACATTATCACTGTTCTTGAAATATGAGATATGGTGCCACTGTGGGAACAGGCCTTGCTACGCGCCGTGAACTAATGTTGATGCGAATGCTAAACAGGAGCTGGGGCACTTTGCCTTCCTTCGAGATGTTTTCCACCGAAACCCAATATCCTGATCCGGTTTGACCATGCGTGAGCCTTGTGACCGTAGTTGGGCTCTCGGAATTGCAAGCTCGATCCCCACCTCGAACTCCGAGTCTTGATGAAAGACGTCGATGTTGACCGACTAGCACAGCCCGTGATGAAATCATGACACTCGGTCCAGCTGGTGGTCGTGTATATGATGAAATTACCAAAGCCATGCAAGGGTATACATGCCGCCGACGCAAGATATAGGCCGTATATTTGGTGATTTGGGTTGATAAAGCTGTTGTACACACGGTTGACACTGATCGGGATCTGGGAGGGGGTCAGAGAATAGCCACGGACGTTGTCATGGTCATAGATGTGGATATGACCTACCCAAGTGATGAACAATACAACAGTGCAAAGAAACGCAAATTTGGCGTATTTCCAATGGATCTTGTCGAATCTGGAAGCAGTCCTGTTGCGCGTCCGACTCTGTTTGGAGGTCTCTCGATTCAATATTGGAGACTGTGGTGCCGTCTGGGGCTCGACGGTGGAAGTATCGAGCTTCTCATGTGAGTGGATTGGTCCAAGTGGTTCGAGACCTTTCAGATCTGGCTGCGCCTTTGTCGTGCTTTGACCAATATTGGGCGAAGGACCCGAGTCACTAGTCGTCGTACGTGACATGAATGATCGTGCGAAGGTGGAGAAGTGGCGTTCGCGAGTCGGGCTGGTCGGACGGTCCTCATCCGCTGAATTGAGTTGGGACGACTGTGCGCTCTTGAGCTTCTTGCGAACCCGGAGAACCCGTTTGCCGCTCAGGGCGAACAGAAAGATTGAGATGAATATCATGGTCCATATAGGCACATAGAACTCGACCAGTCGAAGGATGTTTGATTCCTTCGCTATCCAACACCATAAAGTTGCATCTCCGTACACTGTCCGTCCATCCGGTCTCCAGCACAGAAACACCAAGGCTGGAATGAATGGAGCCACAAATGCAAACCCGATGCCATAAAAGTCGATCTTTTTCAGCTCATGAGCGTTGCGTTTGGTTCGGACTGTGAGCAGAACGTTGAACGCTAAAACCATGACCTGGAGTACAGATGAGCCATGTGCAGATGTTATCAACGGGGGGGTGCATACCAGTATTGGATCAGTCATGACAAACCAGGTAATGAACATGCCTTGCGTCTGGCACCATGCTGAATTCCGTCCGGCATTGATGGGGTGCCTTCCCCAGCTGTACGCCAGACACCCGAATATATTCGATATCGCTATCGAGAATGCTAGTCGATTGACGGGTTTTCGAAGTGGTGGATAGCTAACGAAGCTGATGATGGTGAACGAAGCACCTGTGAGGGACAGACATGCTGACGTTCTGGCTACAACGTCCAGAGATCGAAGCTGTGAAGGGGTGAATGATTTGTGATATTCGGTCATTGTAACTCAGCATTGTCAATGAGGTGCTTGTGGCAGGGCATCCGAGGCCGTCAATGGTGTGGGTTGTCGCGAGTAAAGGGCGTTTGAGTAGGCATTTGCTCGCCTATGCGCACGAGGCGCTACTGCCGTGCGAAATAGCCTCAGCACAGGGTTGCTGATGTCGCTTTGAAGGGAAGTTAAGCCTTGAATGAATGAAAACGCCGAAGGGAAGGGAGGGGAAAGTGCTTCCAGATGATGCTCATGATTTCAACTTGGCATGGGCAGGAATGGAAAATGTCGGACAACGTCTAGCCAATTGACAATGAAGGAGTCATTGCCCAGGTCTTCAGGGTCTGATGCTAGCGATGCTAACAGCTCCTCCCGTTCCCGCCATGATTGGGCGCTCTGCTTGTGTAAGATCGGGTTCTCGTAATCGCGTAGTCAGTGGCTGCATGCAGGATTGGTCGTTGTACAAGGGATAGTTTTCGAAGGGAGGCAGATGCAGCAAGGGGTCAATGTCACCATTTTGAGCCTCGAGAAGTCGTAAGCAGGTTTCTTCGCCCTATCGGAAGCACATACGGAGTGTGCTTCAAGACTGTGGGAGGACGTCCATACAGTAAGCTACCTCTGCGGCTAGGGAAGAAAGACAATTCTGGGTTCGCAAATCATAGCCTGGGTTTAAGCAGGGGTGTGTATAGGGGCATCCAGGACAGGGAATAATTCATAGGCGCTCGGGGAGGGCCTTACGCGCCAAAGAGTTCAGACAAAATTTGCTACTCCATGCGGTACGTGGTGTTTATACATAAATAGTCCTTGGCATCATTATCTCATGGCGGCATTCGCTTCTGGTTGAGTGTCGCTTTGCCTTCCTTCAGACGATTTCAGATGTGGGCATGTTTATCACGGGTACGAGTATCTGACCTCACGGCAAAGATGCGGTCTCGCAACGGTGCGAAGGAGCATGCGCTTACAGTGCCTCGATTGCTGTGTTTGTTGCGTCCTCCGCCGAGCCAGCGGTAGTAGAAGCATCAACCAAAAGCAGTCCATGCATACCGTTGGACACAAGCAGCGGCCGCTTGATGATGGACGAATCGAGAGCCCTTCAAGTCTCATAGACCTGTAAGTTGCCCGGACGGCTGAAATCATCTTGGGGTTGCTTCCTCTCTGCTCATAGCGTCAGGTGGTAAGACGTTGGCGCTCGGTCGTAATCATTGAGATCTTGCAATCAAGTGTACGAGCTCGTATAGCGTGGTGTTGAGACATTCATGGTCGCTATGCACATGTCCCAGATAGAGCAGGTGTTATGACCTTTTTGCCATGAATTTCAGAGCACCACCAAGCTTCGCAACCTTCGTGACATCCCGAAGGGTCAAACTGATTCTTGTTGAGCGCTCGACGGTGCCGGACGCATAGTCGTCTTTGTGCTCGACAAGATCCCAGTTCGCAATGGTCTCAGAGTTGAGGTTCTCATCAGTCTGTGTCTCGGAAATCCCATGCAAAGTTTCGACATACATCTCCCCAGTTGTGACAAGTAAACTTCGAGGTTCTTGAAAGATCCGCCAGCTAGGATTAGCTTGCCTTTCCCCGTTTTCATTCTTCTTGTATATCTCCAGGACCGTGTGGCTGCCCAAGCTCACAGTAGCCGTGATTGGGTTGTACGCCGGCCCATCTTCATGTGGCATGATGCCCTCTCCAGATTTGTATTCATTGATCAAAACATGGTTCGGACTTTGATGTGTAGAAGTCTTAAAGTATCCGCCCTGTTTCAGTCGGGCGACGATTGAGTCGAGGAAGGGTGGCAGTGGTGCGTCAATCAACTTGTCACGCGCAGGTCCAGTCAAGACTGACGGTAGAGACAGTAGTCGTCGGTGGCTCAGAACAGTCCATCTTGCTTCTGGCAGCTTCTGAATCTCGTATGTGATATGGACTTCTTCGGCGGCAGTAATGAAACTGGGAATGTAGTAGCATGAGGGTGGGAGACCACCTACCGGTGGGACGTTCATCAAGGTAGGGAATGAACGGCAGGGCGATGACTGAAGATGATAGACGTTGTGCCGTACGGTCAAGACTCTTTCCTTCGCAGTCAGGGCAGCTTCTCATCTAGCTGTTCGTCAAGTGTGGCTTCCTTGACTACGGCCTGTTTGGAGCCGAGATGCGTTAATGGCGAGCAAGATTCACGACAGAACAAAATGAATCTGGGGAAGTGCGCTTGCAGTCTCCGAGGTCCGCCGGTACTCAAAGAACGGTGAACCATTAGGCTCTACATGCGTACAACGCTTTGAGTTACAACCGTCACCAACCGTTAATGTCTTCTTGCAAGGAGTCTGGACTTATAAACCGACCAGATCTTGTGGAATGTATTGTACGATGATAATGCTTGAGCAAGAATTTCGATGCTTTCTCATTTTGTGCAATACATTGCTTGATATAAAGGCCTCAGGTTGCTGACCGACCACGTCATGACTTCGAGTGTCCACTTCAGTCTCGCCTTCTTTCCTATTACTCTCCTGTTTGAACTGCGGCGTCTCAAACATACAGACATACACCAATGATGGCGCGAGAGTATGTGTCTCTGTACCGGCAGACACTGGCCGAGCGTCAGCGACTATACGATGCAGCCATTGCAGCACAAGAATACACTCCTTTCCTCTATCCATGGGACATGCTGCCCGCCACATACCTCTTGCTCGCCATCATGATCACACCACGTCTTCCGCCGAGGCTGGCGAGACCGATCAGATTTGCCATATTCGCTCTCATACTATGCCACAGTCTCTATCTCAATGTTCGTCGGCGGACGCTATGGTTCGCAGGCGGCTACGGCATTGGTCTGGCAACGGACTGGGGAATCATCATGTCTGCGGCTTTGCTTGTCTTCAACGATCCAGCACGCGACTTTCAGAGGTTGGAAACCAGGCCAGCGAAACTAAAGGCTGACACCGATATTGTGGCGAACGGCCATGCGCGAATGTTGAAACCAGCGAAGGTGAAGCTTGACACTGATGTCGTGGCAAATGGCTCTGCACGAATGCTGGAGACTCCAAATGCAGATGCATCTGCAAGCATTGACTTGACCCGTCGCCAGGTACCGGGAGTCTACACCTCGACCGATACAAAGCAACCATCCTTCCCTGGGTCTGAGCAGGCAGCATCTCAGCCATACAACTTGGTATGGCAAGGATTTCCATACGGCCAAGGCCTGCTGCATCTCGTTGACTGGACCGTGGATTTGACCACGAGTTTTCGAGGACCCAACTGGAACCACCGCATCTCGACGCTCGGCGCCATCGATGCGCCTATTCCTCCGGAGCCTTCTGCGGATGGTCCCCAAAACAGTCCAAGCAAACCAACTGCAGTGCCCAAGCAATCTTTACGAGCTCTGCAACTCCGCGCCCTGCAAGACTTTGCCGTAAGCTACCTCTTGCTTGACCTTCTGAAGACGACAATGATCACAGATGCCTACTTCCTAGGTCTGTCCGCGCTCGACTCGCCAACACCCTGGTCCTGGCTTGCCCGACTCAATGAGGTGCTACCTTTTGCAACGCGCCTTATTCGGCTTTTAATATCCATGACAGGCGTGATCACAGCTTTGACATTCATCTTCAGCCTGAGTCCACTGTTCTTCACTTTGATACTCCCTCGGCTTGTGGATGTTACTATACTCACAAAGTCACCTCTACTCGAGCCGTGGATGTACGCACCGTTCTGGTACCCTGTTACTACATCAATACTGCAATCCGGTCTGGCTGGATTTTGGGGTAAATTCTGGCATCAAATGTTTCGATTCGGCATTTCAGAACCTTCGAGGGTCTTGACCGAATGGCTCAAGATTGACAAACGAGGACATGTAGCACGTATGATTCAACTTTGCCTTGCGTTCGGTCTCTCGGGTTCGATCCATGCAGCTGGTAGTTACACGACTTTCTCCCTTACACCGTCACACCCATTCTCGGGGGCCTTGAGTTTCTTTTTCACTCAAGGCGCCGGTGTTCTCCTACAGTCGACCGTGGCCAAACTCTTACAAAAGTACGTCCCACAGACAAAGTCGCTGCCTCGATTTGTCAAGCAGTCGACGAATCTTGCGTTTGTCTTGGTTTATCTTTATTTCACGGGTCCACTGCTTGCAGACGATTTTGCACGCTGTGGGATCTGGTTGTTTGAGCCTGTACCCTTCAGCATTCTTCGTGGAATTGGTCTTGGTCCAGGTGGTAAAGATGAGGGTTGGTGGACATGGTATCAGGAAGGATCGAAGTGGGTGGGATGGTACCGAGGCGATCGGTGGTGGGAATCCGGCTTCGCAATTTATTAGAGCTATTGAAAGAGCCCGCAGCTAAGCCCTGGAGAAAGGATGGTTTATTGTTGTTGTTGATATGAAGTTGGTCCACAACGCCTATGTCAGACACGGACGCTGTACTGTAGTTTGCGAAGGGCTCTGGATTGACAATCAGGATCAATATATCTGGACCTATGGAGCAAAAGAAGTCAAACAGGTGCCACTCTTCCTGGAAATCAGCTTGACGGCAAGGCTACACCAGGCGGAAGCCACAACTACAAGTACCGTGGCGCCGGCGAAATCATATTTGCGGATATCGAAGTTAAGACGATGGAGAACCCTGTCGTCGCCCGGGTAGGCTCAACGAGACGATGACCCCTACGCACAGATGAAGACGCTGTGATAGAGTCAGTCAATAAGGAACACCTTGTTTAGTGGCTGAAGGTATTGACTACGCTTTAGTGCTGTTTTCGTCCACGGGCTCTGTTGGCATCCGTACGATACGTAGACTTGCAAAGTCACGTCTCAGAATCCTCCCGGTGGACAATTCTTGGCGGAACACAAGTCGACAGGATGGAAGAGAATAAGAAGACGGATCCTCCTGCACCAATCAGCAAAGGCCTCTTCCCATACTACGGCGGTGCCGCAAGAGGACAACGGCCAATAGGGCACAGATATGCACTCTGGTGGTGCTGATGCCCGCTCCATACCAGGTACAGTACTGCGATGTGGCAAGCGATGCCCGCTTCTGGTTGTTGAAACGTGTTCTGCTGCGCGGCTACCAGAACTGCAATTACGCGGCACCATAATGCTGAGGGCCACTCGTACAGCTTCAAGTACTTTCTTTTGGATGAGGCAGTATGACATGGCTTCGAGGCGACCGGTAATGGGAGTTGTATCTTGCAATCTCCTGGAGCTATGAAAAATGTTTTATCGTTGATGCCTACCTTGCTTGAAGCATCTAATAGATGTCGTAACCTCTCAATCCTGATGCCGAAGCGTTGAAGGCGTAGAACTCCGAGGTGTTACTGTTGTAGAAGGGAAGAGAAGGGTAGGGATACAGCGGTCGCATGAAGTTCACCACGCCGTCGTCAAGGTGGGATGCCATGATGGTCCCGGGAGCCTCACCACGTTTCACCCAGGCTGCTATGAGGCCAATCTCGTCCCACGTATCCGCGCCAGGACCTCCACTGACGTGGTTGACGCCTGTTTTTCTCGTTGTTAGCACGTGCCGCAACTTCATATCAAGGGGCGGATGGGGTGGATCAGACATACCGGGCATTTCGTAGTATTTGAAGAAGTCGACCGTACTCTCATACCCACCCATCGTGGTTATGACTCTCTGGTAGTAATCCCTCGCGAACCACGGTGGCACAGCGTAATCTCTCAACCCCTGCGACATGATCAGTCGACCGCCAAGCTCCTTGAACTTGAACAAATCAGAAATTCCTCCGTATTCGAAGTTTTCGGTGTAGGCCGTCTCTGAATCGGCGTGTCCATGCTGAAATCATAGGCTTCGATACCCCCCACGGCGTCCGGGTTGAAGACATAGTACGAGAAATACTGGGTGGCAAAGGTATAAAACCCGGCAGTTTCCTCCTCAGTTGGGCACAATGGACCACTCCAGGCGCCTTCAGAACCGGGAAGAAGACCTTCCAGGGTAAGATAGGTGCCGTTGGAGTTTTGCGGCCCAACGTAGATGCTGCGCGCCGCGGCTACGGCGGCTGCACTGAGACATTGAGATGAATTCGAAATTAATCCCGACGAGCAAGCCAGGGCAGTGAGATTGAAGGAGCAAGCACGGGGATTGGATAAGATCCCGTCCACAAAGCTGTCTTCCCCATCGCAAGCATCTAGAACGGCGTCGGTGATAAAAGTCAGCTGGTCGGCCGTCAGTATCGGGTCGGTGGTGTCTGTGTCATTCGATATACAAGCGGCCGTGTTCCAGGACATTTGGTACGTTGTGATACCAGTCTCATTATACGCTGGCGCGACTGAGACAATGCCATCAAAATCCCCTGGAAATCTTTGTGCTTCGACAAGGCCTTGGCGACCGCCGGTTGAGCTCCCGATAAAGTAAGCATATGATGGAGCACTGCCATAGTATGCTTTGACGAGGAGTTTGGAGAAGACGGCCGTGGCATGCGTGGCTTGGTAACCCCAATCGATCTTGCACTGCAGGTTGTTGAAGAATGGGAAGAAGGAACCGTCGCCGGAGTTGCCCATGTCGGTTGTCGTAAGGGCGTAACCTTCAACAAGAGCCGTGGTTTGATTGTCCTGATCACTGTCGAAAGGGTTGATCCCACAGGCACCGCCACAGCCCCATTGAACAAATCTGCCATTATAGTCGGAGGTAGCAGGCAGCTTGGCCCAGGCATTGATCCGGCCGCCGATCACAGCTTGGATATAGCAATACTCTGGAAGTTGAGCAGTCTCATTGGCGGGTATCGTGGTGGCATTGACAACGTAAAATGATTCCTTCGTACAGAGTCACATTCTCGCACGTGTAGCTTGAGTCGGCTAGCACGAGGCTGGCAAGAGCAGGGAGACCTGCAGCAAGATAAGAACGCACCCGCATTGTTCGGTGTCAGAGGATGTGATGCAATAGTAGCCTGAATCTCGGTCTTCGGTCTGACCATGGTCGGCACATCTTCTTGAATTTGTACTTGCCGCCGAAGGATCCAACAGGGCATGAGAAACGTCGTCAGAGAGACTCACCATCGCCGAGAATGGGGGGTTATATCGCCAAGCGACCTTGAGGTATATTTTCTCATTATCTTGAGATGGTAAGCTAGTGTAGTAGAGAGTTTGCCCATATCGTCCCCATCTAGAGACAATCAGAGGAACGCCTGGAATCAGATAAATTAGGTCTCGAAAAAGTGGACTATACCAAGACCGGGCTTTCAGGTACGAGGAGCAGTTCTTCGCCAGAGTTGTGACGACTAGCACAGTACCTACACACAACCCATTGCTGATGAGGTAACAGCAAGAGCTCTGGGCTTCTGTACCTCGTAGCCTCGTAGAGGTACTCATTCCGCCCAAAGTTAGTCGATGGGAAGTGGGTGAGGCAGACTGATATCCAATCTTCTGGCATGTGCGGTGTCGGTGGATACTGTCAGTATAATGTCACGTTGAGTGTCTCCAGTACGATAGACGATCAGCGGTATCCCAAAATGGAGTGCTGTTGGGCCAGTGGATCCGCAAAAAGACAATCCAACGCGTGGCGTGTTGTCGAAGTGCGATAAGCGAGAGAGACAGAGAGACAGAAAGGGAAACGGGGATTGGGATTGATATGTCGTCCCTCTTGAGATAGCGCCGCCGAAGTATTACCGACATCAGTCCCCAATACCAGTACCCGACTGTGCCGAGATATGAGATATCGTTCCTGGGTCATGTCCCAGAATAAATCTCGGCGGCGCCGAGTTCGGTGCCATGTTCGCTGCCTAGCCAAACGTGACCTTCACTGCCTGCACGACATTAGGATGATTCGTAAAGGTAACGACCAGCGTCCGTCCCGACTCATCGAAATAAGGATGCGGCACCGCAGCGTAGATCGAGCTTCCCTCGGTAAGAGGCGTGGCCTGATACAATGTCGTAGGGTCTGACCAAGGTCCTTCGGGTCGTTGCGCTGTCTTCATCAGAACTTTCGAGTTCATCCAGTTATCTAGTCACCACGTTAGCATCCATCCAACTGATCCGATCGGACATTGCGGGCGAGTGGAATACATACCACAATAAACGAAGATAAAGCATCCGAAGTAACTTGACCAAACGACCTGACCCTGATTGATCTGCCAGAAGATACTCTCCTTCTCGCCAAGCGACTTTGTTTGCAAGCTCTCAGTCTGCCAACCTTCACCGTTCCAGTACTCGTAGCCAGAGAGATCCGTGGCGTTCTCGACAGCCACTCTCACAAGGTACACATATGGATTGCCCTCGCCGCCGTGACCGTACGCGTAGACATAAGCCCCAGAACGCAGAGCGCAGATATCGCCGTACCATGGCTCACATGTGGCGTCCCACCAGTACTTCGCCAGGCGCTGGATACTCGGTGTGGGTGGATAGACCGAAGTGTCAAGACTCACAGTCGCAACACCTGCGCCAACAAGATTGTTCGTGCCGTTGGGGCGGTGATTGAGCAGGAAGAACATAACCCATTATCGTTGGTGGTCTCGACGGCGTTGGTGATGCCCAGAGCGCAGTCCGCTGGATCTTCGTCAAAGGACGACACTATAGGGCAGAATTGTGGTGGATATCCGTCGTTGTTGAGAACTGGGTCGACGACGACCAACGGGTCGTGAGTGGCTAGGGCGAGAGAGTCGCTTGTCATTCCGCGCCAGGTGTCGCTGTTGTTGGCGTCCGAGTACATTGTGTCGCCGTAGCTGAGCAGGACGTACTCGCCTATCTGGCCTTGAAAGCCTAGATCGCGTTTGACGCATGTTGTCGCGCTTTGGACGTCGCCTAGGAAATCGACGCAGGTGATTGTGATGTTTGGAGGGTAGGGCTTTGATGACGCTGTCTTGTGGCTTGCTCCGGGTATGCCAGTGTTGTGGGGTAGGGGCGATGCCTGGAGAAGGATGGTCAGATGAGAACAAATGAAAAGAGTAGGTAGCAGGTGGAAATGCATTTTTTTGAGCTGGGGTTGGAAGATTGTGGCATTGCGGTGATACTGCAGCCATGAGATGTCTCTTGCAGCGTGGGAAGAGAGCAAGGGCTGCAAGAGGGTCTCTCTTGGGAACTCCATCGTCGATGAATCGCACCCGCGACAATCAGAGATATGGGGTGAGTAATTGACCTGATTGACAATTGCTGTGACAATGGGCAGAACAAAGGGGTGAGGTAGAAATTGTGTTTCTGGGTGACAGGGTGGTCGTTTGAACTTGTATCTTCAGGCGGGCAGTCAACGCTCAAAGTGTGAAGGTAACGTACCTTGAATCGCATTTGAACATGATCATGCGATGGCTGTGGAATGGCAAATTGACCGTGTCCGCTTCCGTGGTGACGAACGACGGTCTCGGTTGAGGGTGTCGTCAAAATGCCTGCATGATGAGTCGACGTGGCGGATGGCTTGGTGCCGTTGTCACTTTCTAGCAGCTGTTTGACCTTTCGTCCTGCCCAAAACGCGAAGCGTTTGCGCAAGCCGCGAGGCTGTCGAGGGCCCTCGTCGCCTGGCTCCATTGCATCGACTCTTCAATAGCTGAGAAAGAGTGTCGTAACTGTATTGAGTTGCACAACTGTTTGGATAATGTACCACTGTGGCGGCGCCAAGAGGACGTGAGTTGAGTCGGTTGCAATGTGGAAGTGAAGTGAAGAATGCTGGTGGGCAACCCGTGAGCATCATATGTATCTCCATCTGTACTGTCACTGAAGCGTGTCGTTCCCATCGCACTTGTTGCAAGTGAAAATATCCTCAAACGCATGGAAGCCTCGATTACGCTGCAAACGGAGTACATGCTGTTCGTAGATTGAACATGTCTCCTGGCGCAAACGAGGTGGCCAGCACAACAAACATATGACTCTGCTTCCTAGCACCAAAACAATTCAAGGCGAGGTGCTCATTCTGCCCTCTTCCCAACTCGAGGTAGTAATGCCCAACCCACTGTCATAAGAGCGAAAGAGATCAAGACAATCGGATGAAGCACGACCGTACTCAAGCTCTGGGACATCAGCCCTGTGATCAAGGGCACGATAGCGCCTCCCGATGAGCCCATTGATGCGGCGAATGACAGACTAACGATCTGGATACTTCTGGGTAGTAGTTTTGAGAAGATTGCCATGGCGCAGGGATAGACGGGACCTAGGAAGACTCCGACAATCGCCTCGGCGACAGCGTTGCCGATGATGTTTGGAACGAGCCAGACTAGAAGTTGAAAGGCAGCAGCTCCAGCTATCAGGATGAAGACCGCCAACCTTTCTCCCATCTTGTGAGCGAAATGCGTAAGCACAAATCTTCCTACGGTGATGCCACCCCAAAATCCCGAAGTGACATTACCGACCTGAGAAGGATCGCCCTTTCGATAGTAGATGAGATACGAGATGACCCAACCTGATATGGCCACCTCGGCTCCTTGATAGAAACTGCATGAGACTCAGCCACCGTTGCAATACTATCAATGCGAATAGAGTGGACTCACAATATGAAAGTAGCTCCAAGCAGGGTGGTCCGGCTCTTGAGCGCTCTCTTGAACAATTGGAATTTTGTCGGCTCGCCAGCTTGACGTGAAGCTGTACGCTCGAGGTTTGTGAGAAGCTGTACAGCGGCATCATCCTCATAGCCTCGGTAGGACCATCCTAAGAAAAAGATCGACATGATCGATATCACAAGTGGAATGAAGTAGTAATACGACCAACGAACACCTCTGGAGACTATTGCCGTGGCCACGAGAGGTGAAATCACTCCTCCAACCTCAAACGAGTCAGTGTCTCTGCTGATATAAAACTAGGGGCGGCTTACTCCATATATGCCGTGACAGAATCCCAAAATGACTGTGCCGTTCATCAGATTGACAAGAAATGCGTTGGTCATCCCAAGAAACAACGCCATCCCCAGTCCGAGGACAAAAAAGCTGAGCACAACGACCGGGAACGGTGGTGCGCAGACCAACGCAATATAACCAATGCTCATAAGAGTGGTTGCGACAATGTATGATCGCGCTCGGCCAACACGGTGCTCAATCATTTGAGATATTGGTGCCATCAGGATCCAACCAACGGCATTGGTAACGAATATCAGAGATACCACGGCATATCCAATGTCGTAGTGTCGTTCCAGGTAAGGGATCAAAGCACCAGTAGCAGCATCATTCAGACCCATCAAAAAGAAAAACACAGTGGCAGAAGCGACTCTCCAGCGATTTTTGGGCGGGTTCGAGAACGACTGAAGAAGCGCATCGACAGTTGGAGCCCTGTAAGGCGTGGGAGGTTGACTTTGCTCCAGCTCTCCCGGGGTTGGCGGGATTGATGAATCAAGAGGTTCAGAGATAACTTGCGACTGTTCTTTCGTCGGTCCGTTCAGACGTTGACCCCATTGCAACTCGCGTAGCTCGTATTCCGTAGGAGCGGGTGCATATATCCGGTCTCGGTGTAGGACAGGAGCAGGCCCAGAGAGTGATGGGGATGAATCACTCTCATGGGTGATGAATGCTCCAAACGCCGCAGACATTTTCTAGGTTAGCAGAAGTGATAGGGACAGTGTACATGGATGCGAAAAAAAGTCAGATGCATGGTTGATATATCTTTGGCGACAGAGTCATGGCATGAGAGTCTCCACCTAACTTGACGACATCTGCTGATAAGCGCACGTTCATGGGATATGGTAAAGGTTGAGATGCTGTCTCTAAGGCAATGTGGACACATTGGTGGGTCTGACAAAGCGTTGATGACCAGATCTTGATGTCGCAAGGATTTCGAGAATAGGTACATTAGCCACATTCCTGCCCACAAATTCATGCTGATGGAAGCACGAGATAGGACGATGCCAAAAGACTGATAGAGCAACCAAGGGTTGAAGTTTTGCGGCAAGGCGGCAATTGGCGGTAACATTTCCTCATCTGAAAGACTTCCGTTATTTAGCCGCAAAGTGACATGGAAAGTTCCCCGCTGCCAAATATTTTTCAATCCTTATGCTTTGATACGTTCATCATCACTTTCTGCAACGGTGTCGTGCTGCGCCATGTCTCGCCGCAAGATCCGCAATACTGCGGAAGAGACCCTGAGCCCTCCTGATGCATTGTCTCCAGGTCAGACGATCGCTCGCGTCATCAAAGCCCAGGGCAAGGACCTGTATTCTGTCCAGACCCCGGACGGAACCGATCTCCTGGTCGAACTCGAGGCGAGGTTTCGGGGCACCATCTTTGTCAAAAGAGGCGGATATGTCCTTATTGATACCAACCCCACGACCGACCGAGCGAACAAGATCCAGGGAGAAATCATAAATATTGTCCGGGACGAAAAGACATGGAGGAAAGAGTCGTATTGGCCTGCGCAGTTTGTAAAAAAGACAGTCCCCGTGGACAGTGACGAAGAGGAGTCGCTGGTCGGAAAGATGCCTCCCTCGGACGATGAAGACGATTGAACAATATGTCTTAGGCACTGTCTGCAGCACTCTCCATGCTCATGTAGTCCTTGCTTGCACTTTTGCAGGCGGACTGATGTGATCCACGGGCGGAGCAACAAGTGCACACATGACCTGCAATGCCATCTCAGCAACCACCACTGCAGAGCTCAGGTCAGTGCTCGGGAAGACAAGCCAACAGTACTCCTGAACAGCCCAGTTGACCAGGACCCAGATGGGTCCTCCTCCTGCCCTCCACAACAGATATGGGGTGGCCCATCCAAGATACGCGAAGAATTGGTAGTGCAAGCTTCGAGCACACAGCATCCCGATCACCATGCTTCCCAGCATCGTGTCCATCACGAATGTCGGGGTGATTTTCTTCGAGATACTCGCATGCTCACTTGCCGGCGTCCCTTCAACGCATTTCTTCGCAAAGTCGAGCAGATTCGAAGCACTAGGCTTGATCCATTTGGCTTGGAAGAAGAGCAGGAGTAAGGTGACATGAATGATGAGGAGGCTGATGGCAAATTGGCGAGAGAGAAAGACTTCTTCGCCCACGAATCTCCAGTTGACTGTCCATTTGAACAAAAACTGTCGAGTCAACTCGAATGCTCGATGGAGATATTGGAACCCTGCTCCGGAAGTGGTGAATGGTACAGCCAGAAGAATGTGCAGAGCAACGACGGTAACACCACAGAAGATACCGTCTTTAGTCCCTGCTCCTTGCAAGATGATGACTCCTATAGCCGGGGCAGCTAGTAGAATTGTCATCTTCACACCGAGTCCGATTCCCCACAGAACTGCAGCAGGTTCCCATTTCCTTCTTTGTAGCAGATATATTGATGTCCATAATGCGAGGCTGGCCCAACAGTCATTGAACAGCCTTAGGAGAAATATAGAGTGCATTCTCTTGCTCAATGCCAGCGGGACCAACAGCCACGGAGGAGCACCGACTCGTCTGTAGCATGCGAGCACCATAGCCAAGGTGACCAGATATAGTCCTGCGAAGATGACTTGTGCTCGGAGGATGTTCGTGCCTTCGTCGGTGAGGTAGTACAGCGCCGTGTATATGTAGACATGGAGGGCTGGGTAGACCAGAGGACCTGTTGGCCCTGTGATCTTGTCGTAATTTCGTTCACCGTCTAAGAACATGCGGACTTGGACCATGTAGGTCGCCCAGTCGATCTCAGTGTCTGTAAGCGTCCTTGTCAGTTGGATCGTCAGAGATACCGATTGGCATCGACGTACATGGGATCCTCCAAATGATCAGCCCACACAGCACCGCTTCTCCGAGCAGCATCAGAGGTGCAATCCATCTTGTATGCTTTTGATTTGTGAGGAGATCTTTCAGAGTCGAGATGGACAAGCTCATGGTGTCTAACAGCTGTGGTGTCCGTCAACGTCTGTTGCTCACCGAAGCAGGATTACAAGACTCAAGCACCTCAGAAAAGCTGCATCATGGAGGGCATCCTCCTGCGCACAACCGCCGCGTCGTTGGACGATCTGTCAACTACTCTATAATGTTTCTCCAACTGCAAACACTTTGTCGCGTACAGGAATTGCGCCTGCTCCCGCTTCCCCACACCAATTACTACTTAAGTAGTACCATCTCCTCGGCGCGGACGTCATCAATGATCATCCTAATGCAGTAGGTGTTGATCATCAATTGATACATCAAAGACCTTCGTCCGAGTTCGGAGCGTCATGGATATGAGGAGACCTCCATCAGCATCCTTTCGTGCGGCCTTCGAAACCACAAGGCAAGTCTAGGTCAAGTACACCGTTGCTCCCTCTCCCGGTGCTGCTCCCACCTGCGGCGCATGACCTTGAGTTGCACGTCCCATAACCCATCACCACTACAGTCCAAGAAACCTCTCACGCGAGCAATCACGACCCAGTCCTCAGACCAACTCACGCGAGCAACCACAGCAACTATGCCTGCCTCCGCTCCGTCCTCCGAAGGGCCCAGTCCCCACGACCTCAACTGTCTGACCATCAAAGAGCTTGAAGCCCTCGCATACGAACGCATGGACAAGCAAACTCGCGACTATTACAACGAGGGCGCCGACTCAGGCAGCACCCTCGCCGCAAACCTATCCGCATACCAGAAATACCGCATCCGCCCTCGCGTCCTCCGCGACATATCCAAGATCGACACCACAACCTCTGTCTTCGGACAGACCAACGCCGCACCCATCGGCGTCGCTCCCACAGCAATGCAACGCCTCGCCCACTCGGACGGCGAGATAGCCACAGCCAGAGCATGCCGCGCTAGCGGCATAGTAATGGGCCTCAGCTCCTTCTCGACGTCTACCCTCGAGGACGTCGCCGAAGCCAACGGACCCAATCCCCACGCTTTACAACTATACCTGTTCGAAGAGCGCGAGCACTCCCGCAAACTCATCAACCGCGCCAAAAAGGCAGGGTACAAAGCGGTCCTCCTGACAGTGGATACACCAATGTTGGGAAGGCGTAACCTCGAGATCCGCAACCAATTCAAATTACCTTCCCACCTGTCCATTCCCAATTTCGCAGAACAAGGCGAGGACACCGATTCAGCCGTGTCCAATACCGACGCCAACACCGCTTCCGTGGAGCGCAAGCCGACGTCCAAACCTTCAGCCAAGACAAAGGCAAACACAAAAGAACGTCGAGCCAGCACAGCGGGCCGACTTGACGCAGACAGTAAGAAGCGCGTCTTGCCTTCGGGACCCATCACATTCCACACCCACGCCGCCAATCCGACACTGAGCTGGGAAGAGTCGATACCTTGGCTCAAGAAAGTCTGCGCGCCGATGGAAGTATGGGTCAAAGGTATTGCGACCTCTGAAGACGCGCTACTGGCTGTTCACCATGGCGTCGACGGGATCATCGTATCGAATCACGGCGGAAGGCAACTCAATGGTGCGCTTGCCACCCTTGACGCACTGCCCGAAGTCGTCGCTGCTGTTCAGAAAAAGGTTCCCCTACACGTCGACGGCGGGATCCGCCATGGTACAGATATATTCAAGGCGCTGGCTCTTGGCGCTGACTTCTGCTGGGTCGGACGGCCTGTACTGTGGGGTCTCGCATATAAAGGTGAGCAGGGCGTGGAGTTGTGCTTGAAGTTACTGCTGGACGAGTTTAGGCTGTGTATGGGTCTAGCGGGCGTGACGTGCGTCAAGGATATCACGAAGGAATTTCTGTGTAGGATCGATCGAGATGGGTTTGCGAGTCGGCTGTAGTATCGTCGAGCGCTAGGTCATAATTACTCGGATGTGCTTGGTCTAATCATGGTCATAAAAATCGTCTATCATAGCTCATATGGAATTGTACATTTTTCCCTTTTTGGAGGATAGCAGCCCCGTCATTGCACCTCCATTGCTGTAATCTTGTAGTGTCAGCAGCCTTGGAAATATGCCTGCCCAGCTCGCATCACTCAACTCCTTCCGCTGGCCATGTCATATCGTTGCACACCAGTACACCGTTTCCAGGTTTCATCGCTTTACCACTCCTGAATCTTAGGTGCGACATACTGCACGCTCCCATCATCCATGAACCCCCGCGTCCCCAACACACCTCCCGTAATCTCACGTATCACATTGTTGAAGTCACTGCTATTCCGGATATCGCACTTCTTACTCGCAGATTCGCAATGCGCCACCCACGCCGTCGTCGTCGCGAACCGCTTCAGACACGAAGGACAAACGACCTGTCCGCCGACATGTGCAGACGAGAGTAAGTGCTTCTGGAAATCCAATCTGCTTTTGAAAGTGCGACGACATTTCTCGCCTGGACAGATGTACTCTTGACGAATGGCGTCCCAGAACCGCTCCATGTCCAACGACGAGGTGGTGGTGATGATACTGTGTGCTGGCATGCTGATGACGTGCTTGTGTCCGGCCGCTGGATCGGGGTCGGCGGGGCGGAGGACGCTGGGTGGCGGAACGTTCTCGGACATGATTGACTCGGACGTCTTGCGGTTGTAGATCGACGCGACTTCGCTGTGATTGTCGGATGGTGGATTGGTGGCAGTGGACTTGACTGACGCGAGCCAGCCATTGACGTCGGGGTTGTCACGTTTGGGACTGGCGTTAACAAGACCGCCGTCTAGAAGACCTGTACTGCGTTCTGTGCCGAGATTTGTACGGTTTTCCCAGCCACGAGCGGATGGGTTGATGTTGAATGGATCTGTTTCAGCTACCCAGGCATCTTTCTGGATCTGCTTCTCAGCTCTTTGCATTTGGAAGTCTTGCAGTCTGATGATTGAGCATTCGTCGTTTTCGATGTGGCTCATCAGGCTTGCTGCGGAGCGGAATTTCATGTTGCATCCTGCACACTCCAGGGATTGGGCTGCTCGATGGTCCTGATACGATTGTGAGCTAGGTCCTGTACAGGTATAATTCGAAAGGGCTTACCTGTTCGACGTGTCGATCTCTGCCGGAAGTACTTTTGAACTAATCTTGTCAGGTTTCATGCTTGTCGTCTCGGTGATGATTCTCTTACCTCTTGAGCACAGACTGGACAGCAAACTAGAAAACTGTTAGCACTCATGCCGATCTGAATGACGACCAGGACTTACTGTGAGCGGGAGTTCCGAGTTGATGGATGAAGAGATGCATGTCATCTTCGCAGTCGACATCGCACAGCTTGCAGTAGCTGTGTACTGGGTCTTTGGTTTTGTGTGCGATCATAGCATCTTGGGAGTTGAAGTGCTTGAAGCAATCTTTGTAAGTACACTTGATCTTCATCTTGAGAGCGATGAAGGGACGCAAGGAAAGCGAGGAAGAGTGTTGAGGAAATGGCAAAGAGAAAGCGAAGGTGAGATGAGAAGGAGGAAGAGAAGAGAAGTAAAGTGAGGAAAGAGTTAATTAACTTGAATGGTAGTGAGGACCGAGAAGGAGGTCAAGCTTTGGGACGTGATGGACGCTGAGGGCGAAGACTGGTTCGACCACCGATCGGATCTGGGTCACCCTCGGACACATTTAGTTGGCTTTCATTGTCTGGTCGTGGGCATCAACTGGATATAAAATTAAGGAGAGAAGCGTTGAGGTCGGAGCACTTCAGAGGATACAAGGCGAAAATGGGTGGTCTTTACACGCTACCGTAACTGATGTACGGGCAAGCATTACTGCACACTTTGGCAGCCCCTTTTTCTCTGTCTGTCCAGTCTGCCGCCCGCCAGGTCCATATATGGCTGGTAGTCAACCTTATGAAATCTACAATGCAATCTAGTTCATTCATCATCCAGTCATCACTACATCATCCAAGCACCTTCTAGCCATTATACGATGTCATCGCTTCTATCTGCTCAAGTATAGATCTCTTCCGTCAAGGGATTCAAGGTCAATCCTTCTTTAGCAATATCCTCGTCTGTAGTCCAGGTCAGTATGGGCATATAGGCACATTTCTTTGTCACTTACGCTGCAAGAAACACAAGGGCATTTCCACCAGTGTCCCTTTGACTTGGCTTAATAGCTCTTTCAACTCGTGAACTCCACCAGGGAATTCGTCTCTAACCACATGGCCATACTCAACCCTCGGCGGCAAAGTGTGGCCAGGTTTTCCTTGAGCTTGCGCGTCACTGTTGTGAAAGTAATATTCGTAAAACTCCTTATAGTCCTCCCAGGTGGTCACGTTGTCGTCGGGCACTGCTCGGAACGCCTGGCGGAACACATCGGTATTCGTTCGTGCTCGACTATTCCACAAGCTCTGGAAAGTATCGCTCAAAGGATCGGAGACGATGTTGTCCTCCGGCGTGTCCCAGACATATGCATTAGGCACACCCACTCGTTCGAAATTGGCATCAGGTCTCTGCATGTTTTGCGGACGAATCAATCCGAGGTGTTTGCGGAACAATTGTCGTCTTAGAGAGGCTGCAAAGCGGTTCGCTGTGTACGGTTGCCCGCCCATGTATGTCTGTACAGGAGTAGAGTCGTGTATGAATAGTGCGATTTCGCTATCATGCGAGCCGAGTTGACTGCGATCGTTCAAGTTTGCGGAGCCACAAATGACGAAACGGTCATCCGCAATAAGACACTGTTCCAGGTCAGCGAAACTCGAGTTTATTAAATGAACAACTTACCTTTGTATGGATGTACAGTTCTTCGCTGACGAAGGCATCAAGCTCTGCTTCGGGCGGGCCGTCCCAAGGGACAGTCCGAATGTCGTGACCGCCGAGCATGTAACACTCCGACACAGTATCCCAGCGACTGCCTGCAGATTGCGTAACATTCTGAGCGGCTGCTTGATATTGTTGGTATTGTGGCGCCTGCGAAGGTTGATATGCACCAGTCCCTCCGTAAGTCCCATAGCCAGCACCCACCATGTCACCATGTTGCTTTCGTGCATCTTCATAGCTTACACCGCTTGCCTGTTCGGCTTGTCTCATAGCGTTGCCGCTGTTGATACGATCATAGTTTCTCAGATTGTAGAACCGGATGTAGTCCATGGGATTGTACCCGGCCTGAGCAATCTTCTCCATGATTGAATGACCGCCACGATTGATGCTGTTGTATTGGAATTCCATAATAGCCCGGGTACCCAACGAGGAATCAGCCCGTAAGTCTCCCGCAAATGCTGGCACGGCCGGGATGACAACCATGACCTTATACTTCTGTCCGCTTCTGGCAGCTCGTAAAATTCGCTCGACGATAGCCTGACCAATCAGGTTTTGAACTGGTTTCTGCTGCTCACCCGTAGCTGTGATAAAGAATTGATTCTCGATGTAGACGAAGTGTTGGCTATTCCGAATGACGTCGATGTAAGCGTTCTGGATGGAGTGTTCGAGGGGACTGCCATTGCTCCATTTGGTGCAACTCCTCAGCATTTGACAGATCATGGGGCCTTGAGGTTGATTGTATGGGCGTCCATACTTGTCCGTGCCTCCCATGTATTTGCCTTGCAGTTGATTGAACCTGGCGCCAACTCCGCCCGATACCATGTTGCCGACGGATGAGAGTTCCTGGCCCAATCTCCGTCCATCGTTCTTGTATTGGTCGATTCTGCCACCAAGACCTCGTTCACTACCGTATCCTCCGTCGTTTTCGTTGCCATAACCGTAGCTCTCACTGCCTCGAGTTTGCTCGCCTTCATAGCCTTCAAGGCCTCGACTTTGCTCCGTCCCGGATTGTTGATATGCCGGTGGCTGGTAAGGCTGGCTGGGTGGTGACTGGTAGGGTTGACTGACTGGTTGATGAGAGGAGAGCTCAGTTGGTGCTTGACTATACGATGAGTATGTTTGAGTAGGATTCGGGCTTGGGCTGGGAGCTGGGTGATATCCTGTGGAGCCTTGGGCTGGACCGGGAGATGGCTGTGGAGCGGGTATTGGAGGTGGAGGTGGGTAGTTCTGCTGATAACCTTGACTCGGCGCAGAACTATATCCACCAGTGGTGTCAACGGGCTGAGCTTGTGTCCCCTGGTATGAAGGGCTTGGACCTTGACCGTATCCGCTGGTGATCCCCGCGGCTGCAGTTTGTGATGGTGGTGGAGGGCTCGCGACCTGATCATAGCCAGTATACGAGCCTGTTGTGCTTTGTGGTTGATTCTGTACTGGCTGCGTGTACGGACTTGCTGTGGCTGCGTAAGGTGGAGGATTTGCGGCTGCTTGACCGTGGTAGGGATCTGTGTTCGGTGTATGTGGTCTGCTGGTGCTCTGCCAGGCTGGTTGACTGTATGGTTGACTTCCGGGTGGCGGCAGGAAAGCGGTGCCTGTTGCGGGAGCTTGAAGATAGTTCTGGGTTTGCTGTTGTGGACGTGGTTGGGCTTGAGGTCGCTGTGCGAGGCCGGTAGATGCGTGAGGATAGTCATCTATGATTCTGTAGTAGCGTGGGTCTTTTTGGTCATTGTATTTCTCATCGAAGATGAAATTCCATCTGTCAATAAAATGGTGACCAAGATCTGGTACTGTCGGCCCTTGGATACATAAACTGATATCGGACCAACCCATTCTAGAGCTCTTTGTCCTGTCGAGTTTGTTCTGGAACGGATTGGCAACATCACTAAAGTCCGCGACCCTAGCGTTGTTGTAGTCTTGACCCGGAAAGACAGTCTCATTGATGTTAAGAGGATGGGCGTCGGCAATTGCATGTTGATTGGTGTCCCATCTACCAAAGCATAAATCTAGACCACCCAAGAAAGCAATATTGCTGTCGATGATGCACAGCTTTTCATGGTGCGCCCAGTACAAAATGACGTCGTCAGTGATGCCATAGATGCCTTTCAGAGCTTCAGCTCCAAGTCTCGAGGCACCAGCAGCATCAAGCTTGAGACCTTCGAAGGAGGATATCAGGGACGACTGTCCTGTCTGAAAATCAGGGAGATGGTCCGGGTGGCGAAATACGGAGATGTTAGGTGACAACTTCTCGAGTTCGTGTTTGGTGTGCGCGGAAGACAAAGTCAAAGCCTGTGTCACTTCTTTGTACACGATGATGTGCACTCTGACACCGCGTTGTGCAGCTCGTTGGAGTGTACGATCGAGTCTCCATTGTTCGTTTTGAGATGGGGGTCGACGCAGGTACAGCTCTGGAGACAACCACCAATCCAAGATCCAGATAGAATGCTTCGCTGCCTCAAGTGCTTGACTAACGGCCCAAAAGTATCCGCAGCCATCAACATACCACTTGACATCGTTTCCGGGCTTCTCAGATGCGAAGCTGTCAAAACGGTTCTGCACAGGCGGTTGAGCAGGTTGACCAGGCGTACTGGCATAGGAAGGGTAGCCCGTCTGCCCGGGAGGTTGAGACCCATACTGCGATGAAGGCCTATAGTTGGGGTCTACCAAGCTGGCTACATCGGTACCGATGTTATGGACAGTACTTTGCAGAGTGCCGAAAAGCTTTCCGACCATGTCTGGCTTTCCATGATAGTTTGGATTTTCTCCATAAGGGGACTGTCCAGTCTGGGAGTAGTTTCCGGTATTCTGATTCTGGGCTGGTTGATTATAGTATGATTGTTGCGTCGTATTTGTACTGGGATTCTGAGGTTGTTGGCTATAAAAGGGCTGCTGAGAAGGTGTTGAACTTGTGCCTATGATTTGTGGTTGTTGACCAGAGTATGTCGATTGGGATCCGAACGTGCTGCTGGTATTGGGACCCTGAGTACCGTAGTAGGCTTGATTGGATGCATACGGCTGGGAGGAGGAGGACGACGAAGAAGTCTTAAACCTGTCTAGATCGGACTTGATCTTTTGAAAGGTACCTCCCAGAAGTGATCGATTGGAAGCACCTTGTCCACCGCTTCCTCGAGACTGAGAATAGTCGTTGCCATAGGCGAGGCCGTCGTCTTCCGGCGGTGGTTGGTGAGACATGATGAATTCTACTCGAGAGACGAAGCTATTGCAGACGCTTGAAGGAAAGAACGATCTTCCTGCATCAAGAAGATACAATTGAGGGGTGCCTGGCGATGCGTAAGTGAAGGAGTGATTTTGCTCATCGAGTGATGTTTCAGCTGAGCTGGTTCATCAAACACCTGCATTTAGGCCTCGTAATACCATTTCATTGGAGTGAAGCTGCTAAGCCTTATGCAGGCAGGCCCCAATCGGAACATTCATTAGGCAGCTGCGCCTCATTATCACCCCCGCCAAATGCCCCCGAGAACCCACCTTGAGGTCAAAGGGCAGCTTCCAATATTTTGGACTGCTTGAGGACGGCTATAACAGTCGTCAACTAAAGAGACAATGCTACCATTCACATCGACATCTACTCATTCCGATCTCGGTGTCTTGACGATTTCCCTTATCCGCGATCAGTCAGCGTATCTCGCTCCGGGGCAAGCCGAGACCCAGTCGATCAATATGATCTCCGGGTTATCTGCGATCATGATGATGCATGGCGGCTAAGGGTTTATCACTTCCACTGCCGGAGCTCAATGATGCAGTCATGCGGGGCCAATGTTCAATGACGCCCCTCCGCAAGAGCGAACAAAATACAAATACTACAGGTAAAAAGTATACATCTCCACGGTACCTGAGGTTTGGTCGTTAGCCTATATATACTATCCTCTAGTGCCGCCAAAATGTCTTCTCGTCTGCGACCTTTACAACGTCTTACTACTACACCTCTCAGTCCAAGACAAGTTGCGCTTCGATCCTCACGAATCACTCCATTGCAATTGAACAGAATGGCGTCCAACAGTACCTCTCTAGCAACCCTCGATGTACGTATGGCTCTGCTAGGATCTTGCGACTGGCATCTGACATGGACAGATTCAACAACACCCCGGCCTCCGCTCCTCTTCCGCGACCCTGTTCGAGGCAAAGGCAAAGAAGCAGGTTACATTTGAAGAGATTAGCAAGAAGTTGGGCAGAGATGAAGTTGCAGTAGCAGCTCTGTTCTATGGACAGGCAAAGGCCTCGCCCGAGGACATCAAGAACTTGTCGGAGTACTTTGATATTGATCACGCGACACTGGAGCAGCAGATGAGCGGGTTCCCAGACCGCGGAAAGAGCGTTGAGATGCCTCCCAAGGAGCCATTGATCTACCGTTTGTACGAGATTGTGCAAAACTACGGCTATGCATACAAGGCGGTCTTGAACGAGAAGTTTGGTGATGGTATTATGAGTGCCATCTCATTCTCCACGCATGTTGAGAAAGAGGTGGACAAGGATGGCAACACATGGGTAAGTGACATAGGCGCCACAAAGGGATTCCGACGGCTAACATGCTACAGGTCAACATCAACCTCCGAGGAAAGTGGTTGCCATTTACCCGATTTTAGATACAGCTTGTACAGAATTCAGGAGCGAATAATGAGACTATGCCTGCTTCATTCAATCGACCTGCGCTCAGTGACCGAACCCATGGCAAGCCACATGCTCTGTCGGCTCTTCTTTGCTCGTTTTGTTGCCATCTTGGGATCTTCTTCAACATCTCTTTCATCCTTTGAGGCGATGATCTTATGGCACGTTTCTTCAATGACATACATGGTTAATATTGGTGCGCCTGAAAGCTTTAAGCTGAATGCTTTGTGGAGGGAAGAACAATATTAAGCAAGAACAATACTAAGTCGAACCCCCTTTCCCTCAGCCTCGTCCACCCGCTTGTCTTTTTCTTTGTTCTCGGAATGTCCTGCACAACATCAATGCCGCCATCTGAGTACACTGATGGCTCTACTCCATGTGCTCATTGTCGAATGCCGAACATAAAGCTGGCTTATCCTGGTGTCGACAGTTGAATACTGCTCATACAGAACATATTATTTCTAGACCAATTCTTACACGCTCCTTTCCAACCACCCCAACCTCACCACAATACTCGCTATAATGGCACGATCTTCTCAACAAGCACCACGCAACTTCAAGGACGGCATCGTCTTTGCCTGTGTCATCCAGAAGCAGACTCGTGGAGCCAGGAAAGACGGCATCGTTTTCGCATGCAATGTCATGCGCAGATAGGGCATCCACCGACTAAAGCATGCAGGACGTGCTTTTTACATCACCCGCCTTTTCATCGTCAAATTCGCTGATTGTCGATGCCATGCTGGACAATGGCTTCTGGCATCAAAAAGCAGGGATCCTTGAATATATACCAGCACCTCGAAACTATGTGAGAACAACACCCAACTTGTTACTTTCTAGCCTGAAAAGCCCTGCCGTGTCTTTCATGGCTGAACAGCGACCAATATTTCTAGTCAGTGTTGAAACTCGAGGAACGTTTTGTATCTATAATGCATATAATATATCACTCATTCCTATCACCACCAGTTGACAGGCCATCGCCCCCACTCTTTGCGCCTCCCGCCGATCGCTGAATCTCTGGTCCCTCATCCCATTTTATCAATGGAGCAAAAAAGAAAGGACAAAAAGAAACACGACAGCTACAGGATTTGAACCTGTGCGCTAATGATAGAGTCAGTATACAATTCTTTTACTATAAGAATAGATGGTACCCACGGCGAACCCAGCAGATTACGACAACGCCTAGGAATAGACCATTCGAGTCTGCCGCCTTAACCACTCGGCCAACGATAGGGAAGTTAGTTAAATAAATCCAGTTGAAAAGATAAGTGGCAACATACACTGTCATCTCTGTGCATTTTCTCACATAATTTGCGTGGCTCCAAGATCTATAGCACAAATTTGATGGCTGTCAGACGTGTCCTCTTTTGTGGGCATCGGGCGGCATCTCCCGCAGTGGTGCAACCTCGGCATCTCGAATCATTTGTTCTTCCTGATCATCGCGTACCCAGCAATGTGCACGCCTATCCTCCCTCGCAATCCCAAAACGCGAGCAGCGATCTTGTCAAGACGAGAAAGTATGCGGCACAGAGTCTCATCGCCAATGACACGATAACGTGAACCGTATACGATGGAGTACCTCAATGCGCTCCAGTCCCCCGTGGACGACCACAAGCCATCTCTCTTTGAACTGCTCTCCGAACAGCAACTTGCAGCACTTCTCCCTCCGACTTTACGATATCTCCTCGCCGTCGCAACTCACAGATACCCCCGTTATCTTTTGCGGATACTCAATAACTACAATGAAGTATACGCCCTCCTCAATTTGACGGTGGAGAGATACTACCTGCGGACATTCGGCGGCAGTTTCACCGAGAACTTCTACGGCTTGAAGAGGGAGAAAGTCTTAAGCATAAATGGCGGCGAGATCAAGCGCACACAGCTGGCTGTCCCAGACGAGGTCCGCGAAAGACTAAAATTGGGCGGCGCGGATATCTGGAGGAATCTGGCTGTCCTTGTTGGCATACCCTATTTGAAGAGGAAGTTGGACGAAAGCTATGACATCCACATTGCGCCGACCGCAAGCCTGCTCATGAGCAGCAGTATAGGAGGGCCACGGTATCTGAACAGAGACGAACTCCCCCCGAATCCAACGATCAAGCAAAGAATAATGTATTACTATAAGTGGTTCTTACGGAACGTCTACCCGAGTCTAAACGCGGCGTACTATTTCAGCATACTGGCATTCAGCCTAGGCTACCTCTTCGACGGGACGAAATATTCAAGTCCTTTCCTTTGGATGATCGGAACGAGGATGAGGAGAATGGGAGCCGCCGACTATCGAGCACTCGATGCTGCGAGCGAAGTAGCAGCAAAGGCTTCGACGATACCGGGGAGACCAGGTCAAGGCCTGAGTGGTATGCTGCATCCTCGAACAATGTATCCTAGACTCTTGTCCAGTCTAAAAATTCTCCTGCCGACCAGCATATTTGCGTTGAAATTCCTGGAGTGGTGGCACGCCAGTGATTTCTCTCGACAGCTTAGCAGGAAAGCAGCGGAAGGCTTGGAATTGCCGCCACCAATCGTATCGGGCATGGAGCTTGCAAAGAAATTCAAAGCAGGACCGAACGCTTCCACGCAGAGTGATGCGAAGCGCGACCCGCCGATCTCCAGTATCACATATCTACCTATTTTCACAGTCCCGCCGCCACCATCAAGCGACCTTTGCCCAATTTGTCTTCATCCTATTTCAACAGCCGCAGCTTGTCAGACAGGCTATGTTTATGATTATAAATGTATATTCCAATGGATTGAAGGCACCCACGAAAGACAAGAAGCATTCATGAAGGCAGAGAAGATGAGCGAATGGGAGGATGACGAACGAGAAGATGATACTGGCGACGAGAAACAAGACCAGTCACAATCGAAAGCGCCGAAGAGCAGAGAAAGGAGCTGGGAAAGCGGAAAAGATCGATGTGCGGTCACAGGTCGACGAGTCCTTGGTGGCACAAGTGGGCTACGCAGGATCATGGTGTGATAATGGGATGAAATTCTCTTTTCATATCTACGATTGTCTACACAAGATACAGTAATGACCAATGCTGTCGTCAAGAGCAGTGCCACTGAAGGCAGTTCAACATCGAAGTTCCGATGCATATTGGTTTCGCCCATCTCCTTGAATACTTCTTTCATGCCAAACTTCTGCAAGAGCTGCCAACAAAGCTTTCAGGCAGCACTCTAAGAGATGCAAGTGGTAGATTGCGCCGCACGATAACCTCGCATTTCAACTCGCCCATAACGAGTTCTTCTTCCTGGTTCCAGGATATACAGGCGAGTTCACGCTGATGACCTTCCCGCGCCTGGTCTTCAGGCGTGTCCTCCACATCCCTGAAAGTCCTCATGATCATAGGCACCTCGAACATTCTTATCGTGCGAACATGAAAATTCGCATTCTCCACAGAGCCACACCACTTTCTCTGAGGACCGGTATAGTGGCCTTAGACAGCTCCAAGCCTACTAAGTAGTCCCCATCGGCAGAAGTCAAGTCCGTCCTCATGTGACCGTTGCTGAGGTTCCCCGACGCAACGATGAGAAGTACACGTTGCAGTTCCTCAGTTCTTTCGGCATCTTGAGACCCTCCCGGTAAGACTCTTAGTATCCCGTTACCTTCCAGTACCACGCAAAGACGAGCTCTCTTGCTACAGTCGTTGCATGATCGACCATTTCTATCGCTGAATGTGGTTCATTTGCGACTTAGTGCCTGCGACGAGACGCATCCTTCGCCACCTGGGTGGACGGCGTGCCACGATTCCTGCAGACGAGATCAATGTGGAAGCCGTTTCATGGTGTCTGCAACCGTCTTCTGACAACGGCACCACCGAAGCTCGCGCTTGTCCTTCGAGCCACCGCTTTGGAACCACTCATCGAAGTTGGCTATGAGGTGCAAGAGATCATTGTTGAGATTGTGGTCCGTCCCAAGATTGTATCAAAGAACTCATCGTCACTGGGATGACGGATGGCAATATTGCGATCTGCTTCTGGCTTGGAGTCAAAGCAGACTCAATCAGAGTGGTATCTTCTGACTGACTGGACTTAATGTTCGATGATGGCGGCTCTTCAGCCAAGGGTCTGGGTCCCGACCATCGGCCCAAGTTCGAGTTCTTTGTTTGATCCATCTGTATCAGGTCCACTCTGGGTTCGTCGTTCCGCTGGTGTGTTGCTCCCACCCAGGTGTCTTCGAGAACAGGAGGTACTCAATAGGCAGCGTTTCTCTGATGTGGCGACGCTACATGCAGGGCGTGATCTGCCTCTTGCTCTTGAGCACTGGCTGGATCACTGGCCTTGTTGGTGGGCCGGCTTGGGCGCCCGAGAGACATACTATCGCACACGTCGCCAGAGGCTTGATGACGAGATGTCTCTCACCAAAACGCTTGCTAGCGCAGTGTGCTTCATCGTGTACAACTCGTTTCCATGGGCGTCGTATGACCCGCCACAAAGGGGAGAATAGCGCTGAAGTAGGGCTCTTCGGAAATCGAGGGCCGCGGTCGCCATTGTTAAATCCAAACGCTGGTGTCAAATGAACACTCGGGCGCGCGATAATCAACGTCGAAGATCAGACCAAATTTGACCCAAACAAAATCAAACGCGGGGATGTACTCTAGGATGGAACTCCCGAATCTCTTCTCCAGAAAAGACCCGCCGGGTCCTCTGATAGATGCTTCGGCAAGGCTGTGCTCTGTACACTCTACCGGTCCCTTCTCAGCGTACGGGCCACCAAGTGGGCCGATCAGCGTTCCGTTCTCGTCTGGAATGACACGAACAAACGTGTCATTATGGACTTTTCGCGATCCAATCTCCCTTGGCCCTCTTTCTCGACTGAGTATCAGAGTATATATAGTTCAGATATCGAACGACACTTGTCTCGAGAAGTCGATAAGAAAACCCATGAGAAGTAGTGTCAGACACGTCCTTCAGCTGTGATTAATCAAACGCTGCTCGGTCATCGCGGCAGTGGACGATTGCTGCACCTCCTCTGGGAGTTCTTTTTTCGGCGTTCGCAGCCGAATTCTGTCTCTTCCGGCCTCCCCTCCCACTTCCTTTGCCAGCCTTGGTATTGCCATTTGCAGGCCATGCTTCCTGATTGAGCTGACAGAGAACGTGCCTGTCTTTGCGCAGGCCTTGCTAAGCGGACCGCTTGGACCCCATAAGCCTGGTTCCACATCTTCGCTGTCGCCTTTTGAAGCTGATTCAACGTGAGTGACCAACCGCTTTATGGTCAGAGACGACCGGCGGCTGATAGGGTGTTCCAGCGGCAGATGTCCGCTCTGGCTGCAGTGCGAGTTTCCTCTAATCAGGAGGGACATGAGAGTTGATCGACGAGGCCGAAAACGTGCCGTTTGTGGCAAATCGTATGATGGCATCCAACACATCTGGATCCGTCGATTGGCTGGCTTCCTCAACCAGACTTTTGGTCTATGGCCGGAATTCAAGCTCTCTGCCACATTTTCGTTTGGTGTGCATGTTGCCCATATGCATTGCAGGCTGGTCGCATTGTACAAAGTCGGATTGACGAACTTGGGACAAGTAAAGAATTTGTCACATCGTTCACCGCACCACGAGAAAAGTCGATATGCATTGTGGTTGATGTTGTGGGCACATGTTGACAAAAGAGCCGTTCCGTAATCACTGGAGATATTTGGCGCCTGACTTCTCAAAAGGCTCGGGTCGTCCTGCAGGTATCATCTGTTTGAGGAGGGTCGCGAGCGCCGAGCCATATGCCTCGGAAAGTAGTTGGTGCGCGGCTGCCAGGGTCATCGTCACCAAACGTGGCAATTCTCGACACAAGAGGTTTTCTTCATTGACAAGTTTGGTGACCGCGTCATTATGTTCCCCAAGCTCTTCGGCAATGAGTGGCGAGTCATGCTCATCTAGAACCTTTCTAGCTGTTTCCAGTCCACTTCTGATAGCAACACAAAGTTCCAGTTTGTTATGACAATGCACTCGCACTGCTCGATGGTCTTCGTCTCGGGTTGTTTCTCTTACGCCGAGCAGCTGGTTGTCCGTGAATTGGACTGGAGCGAACTTGCGTCCCAGACTCGACGATACCATCGTTGACGTCAGTATGGTGGGGAGTGTCTCTTGGTTGCCGTTGGCTCTCTCCTTATGCCGGGGTGCTGTCGGGCTCGAGCCGTCTTGGAAAGGGAACCGCTGCCGCATTGTATCCGGATCTGGTAGGGATCCTGGGACGAACCACTCGAAAACTTGGTACAGAGCTTCGTGGTTGTTACTCATGGGCGTGCCGGTGAGCGACATGCGACGTTGGATCAGCCGAAGCTTGTGTTCGAACCACACGATGGCGCGCTGGGCAGCGGCCGAAGCAGATACTCGGAGTGCATTATGATGCCATCCCAAGTCCACTGAGGCCGGTTAAGCCAGATGCTCGGAGCCTGCGGTAAGCGGCACATACCAAAATGCTTGAGCATGTCCTTCGGGTCGCCCTCCTGTCCCATCAGGTCTCGTGGCTTGAGACTAGGGGAACAAAGTTCCTAGGCTTTGAAGACCTCCATCAGACATGGTACATGGCAGCCGCCATTGGCTTTTGCAGCCAGCAGAATGCTCAGGGCATGCAGGTTGAACAGCTGCTTTCGGTGGCTGGCATGTGAAGATCGAACTGCCGTGCCCATCCAGCAGCCAGTGATTGAGTATGTAGGTCAGTACTGCAAGACAAGGTGGAGGGACATCTCGATTGTGTCATCTGCCATCATGTTGATGGAGCGAGCCATTGTTGTCCAACATGCTCCAATATGCGGGATCTCTCTGGGTTGTGACCACCGTTGTTCCAGATGAAGGGTGAAAGAGATCATTTTGGTCCATGCACCAGTTTCAACACTGGGCTGACCGAGCAACCACACCCGATCCAGGAAGGCACATCCTTTATTCTTCTGTTTCAGCAAACCTCAAGGACACCGATATTGAGTAAAAGGTGTGCAATCCTCCGTAGTCTGGCGCGCCCTTCCAGTCCGCCTCGTGCATTGACCCGACGAGCAATTTGGAAATCGTCGTCGCCTGTTGGACCCTTGTCCAGCAACATGCATTGCATGTACCGGGATGTACTGCACGAAGTCCGGCAGCAGAGTGTATACCACCACCTCCGCTGTTCATCAAATGTGCTGCCTCAGGATTGAAATGGATCGGACGATCGTTGGTAAGTAAGATTGGGGATCTTTCCAGTCATCAAGTAGCGTTTCTCACTCGGACTCCCGGAATATAGAGGCTGTAGCCGTAAAGCCGTGCACCCGCACATCGCTCAATGCTGCTCTTGAGCTAGATTCAGGTCGCCTTTGACGCACCACAAGGCAACTACCCTGAGATGCTATTGTTCACTTCTTGGCTGACGGCCGCTCTCCGGTTCGGACGCTAGAGGAAGTCCTCCTTAGGCATCGTTCTATGCGGACCGTTGTCCACCGACGCATCCACAACTCCATCTCGCGCCGTAGATTCCGCACCATATCTTCAGTGGATGCTTCGGTGTCTTGGCATACCTTCAGCACAGCCTCCATTTTGGCATCCTGAATGCGCCTGCCAGCGACGTACTTCTTGACACTTGCTTCCAGGGCACTTCTTGTCACATCGGTACGCTCTCCAGTCTTCCTGTCTGCCGTGTCCAGCGCGATTGGAACCGCCTCACGCTTTCCTATCTCGTTTAGGGCGCACATAAACCTCGCCGGTTGAACTTTTCAGTCCATTCTTCTAGGTCGCTTTGTGCTTCTTGTGTCACATTGAGATGCCACATTTGCACCACCTTCATGGAGTTCAATGTTCCGGGAGTATAGAACGATCACCAGGTGGAGTGGGAGAGTAGCAGCTACTGGAATAGCGTGCGCCTTTCAAGTGGCGCAGGCCGGACACCCGAGCTTGACGTTCTTTCCCTGAAAAGTCTTTTTGAAAAGCGCATTCTGGTCAACTGTCGGGAACAACAAGTGAACCCGAACATCTCAACCTCACGTATCATCACGTCTTCCAGGAGCTTCGTTGGCCCTACAAGTACCAGTCAGCATAGGATCGGCGCCATATGGAGCGATCACTCACGATGGCCAAGGGTTCTGAGTTCCGACAGGTTGTGTCCACTTGAAACCCTCCTGTTGTGTGATCTCACCACTCTCCGCGCACCACCTTTGATATCGACCGATTCCGTGACACCTTCAGCCTTCATGACCAGGAGCCGATCGGCCGGTAGTGGTATGTTTGCATGAATCAGCGGCCAACGGCTCTGTCCACAAAACATGAGGAAACTCTTGGGCAATTCTACTGAGCAATTCTTCTGGCTCGTCCGAAATCTTCGACCATGTCGCCAATTTTGCAACTTCCTCAGAAGACTGACGCAGCCAATGCAACGGAAGAGACATCCTGGGCTGTCTTGTGGGTGGCAACATCCATCGGAATCTCCTCCCAAATGACCAAGCCATTAGACATGATCTGGACCCAAGGCCGCGGCCGTATGACTTCATGCAGGCTTCCGAATAAGCTTGTGAGGAACTTTCCCGATGAACCTTGATCTCGACTGACTGCAGTGATTCAGGACGTCTTTCTGGAGCAGTTGAAAGAGCAGAAGCCTTGAAGAAGAATCCTGCATGGTTTTTGGCGCTTGGTGGTACGTTTGATCGGAGTGAAAGCGGACTCGCGGTCCTCTTTTCTTGTCCTGACATAGACATGCAAGGGATTTAAGCTCTTCCCCTGATGACCGACCGGTTGTCACGCAAGCTTCTTGATGCTGCATGCTGCAACATGTCATCGAACGACGAGATTGTGGGACCTCCCAACCTCGAAGCTGTGCTCCTGTCTTCAGCATGGTAATCGCAAAGCCATGAAGCATTGACGGCCGCTGTAAGGGCATGTAAGAGGTCGTGTCCTTGCACAATGAAATCGTGATACCTGGGGAAGCTCACACAAGCCAAACACATAGATCTGGAAAGCAAGGCTGATGCACAACTGGCATGATCAATATATATATTTGAAAGTCGAAGGCATGAAGGATGGGATCAAGGACAACAGAGCAGAGAGAAGTGGGTATATATACCTTGATGCAGACTGGCAAATTGAAGACAAACCCGTCCCTCATGGGACATATACCATCATGTTTCATGCATTCAACCATTGAAACCGAGTTGACTCAATGACCGAGTCATACCTTCGAGACATCTGTAGCTCCGATCATGCACGCAACAAAATTCATACGCACCATTCCATGCACATTCAACCATCATTCATTCAACTCAATTGCACGGCCTCCCCATTCTTCAACGGGCCGAAACATTTCTTCCACAAATCATTCTCTTCTCCGACAAAGTACATCAAATCCACACCATCCATTCCCGCCTCCTCGTCACCTTTCACACACTCCAACTGCGAAATGATATTCCCCAGACCAAACGCCTTCCCGACACTCTGCGTCGTGCCAGCTTCCAGCATGACATGCACCGCGTGAATATGGAAATGGTAATACGTTGGCTGGTAGTGGACGTAGCACTTGACTTCATCGGCATCGATTTCACGGGGAAACACCTTTGTCGCTGCACTCACGACTTGATCGCGCACGGCCTTGAGCCAGGGGATATGTTTCTTCCGGAGATCTCGCAAAGACCATATATCGCGCCGCTGGACCAAAGCTAGTAAGTGCATGCCCTGCACGGTCTTACGGTCCCAGTTGAGATCGGGGAGGAGGAGGAAGCCTGAATTTGAGGGAGAGTCCCAATCGTGTCGAGCAATGACATCTTCTTGCTCGGTCCGGCCTTCGAGGATGTTGAAGACCCAATCAAGGCGTCCGGCCGCTCTTTGGCGGGCGATGTACGGCTTGATATGCGTTTCGTAGATTTCTGGCGTTTCGGTGACCATCCGGACTCGCTGCGCCGAGTATTTCCGTATATGTTGAGCGGTGCATGGGTAGATGAGGTTGATTTTCAGGTCGGGAATCTGTGTGTTTTGCGATATTGATGTCGCGTTCAAGGGGTCTGCTGTAGATGTCGACGATGATTCGATGGAACGGTTTGCCATGTACCATCTGTAGATGTCGTTGGCGCCGAGATTGGTGGTATTGGTCAGTGAACTTAGTAGCTGCGATACCAGTGCTGGATCAGATGGGAATGCGGCTCGCTCCAATGTGATCAGTGCTTGCTCCGAAGAGATTGTCCCGAGTAGGGATATGCGACGGCCATTCTGATCTGTCCACATTGCTACCTGTCAAATAAGCTGTTGACAGCAAGATGGTAGAGTCCTACCTTGATTAAGCACTTTTTCAAGGCGAAATTGAGGGATCAAAGACTCGGCCTGAGCCTTAGTCTCTGGTGCGGTAGACATCGGACTTGCGAGGGATGGTTGGCGGGAGATTTTCAGGGGTTCAGGCAAGGCTGAGAAGCTCGTTCAGATATTGTTGTGCTTGTGTAATGGACTCACATCTGCAACGCAGACTTGGAGCAGGGCGAAGTGCTTTCAATCTTGCGGAGTTGCGGCTAGTTCCATCATGACGCATACGGAGCCAGGTATCATGTGTATCATCATTCGACAAGGGTGAAGCTGGCACTCGGGGGCAGATTTGATGCATCTCAATTCCCCAGAAACAAAGACCCCAATTTTCCCGCGACACGTGACGTCATCTGATATACATTAATGTGGGTGTCATTCTGTTATCCCTTATCGCGTTGACCTTGTCTTCGACATACCTTTATGAAGCACTCGATCTGAACTAAGACACTGAAGGGTCTCTCAAGCATAGCGGACATGTGAGTACGCCATGGCTGAATGCCACCAGGAGACCGGCTACTTCCCCATCGACAGTCTGCCTCTCGAAGTGATAGAGCTGATCCGGGCCCAATGCGACCCCGCTACGCTGCTATCATGGAGTTCAACGTGCCACTTTTACAGAGGCCTTCTGAGGCTGCACGTCTTCGAACAGATCACAATCGGCCCCAAAATCCCGCCAACACGCGTAGTCGAGGCTCTGTCTGGAAATTTCCACGTTCTATCACTGGAATTTACCTGTGAGGCGGATCGACACTCGCATCAAGCAAAAGAGGACTCAAAAGCTGGAGGGAACGTTGGCGGCCAACGTTCGCCCAAAGATCTGATCAGCTCTGAGATGCTAGGCCAGGTGTTGAGACAGTTTCCCGAGGACCTGGCAAACCTCACATTACGGTTCCCAGAGAAATGGATCGCAAAGGACAACCTCTGCTGGCCACGGGAATTTGCATTCGAAGAGGAGCAGCCGTTAACAGACATAGAACGAAACAACTTGCACAATGACCTTCTTTGGACCACATTGGATTCCATGGCCAAGAACAACATTAGCAGCCAGCGAGTCTTCCGGCTGCAACTCCTCAACATAAGCCCCCATGTGTCTGGGGTATATCATCAGCCGTGTTTCCGCAACTTTCTACGTAAAATCACCTCTTTCGTTCTCGAATTATGTCGCTTTGAAAGGCACTGGCGTCATCGACCCCTAGAGAGGACCTGGTACCGATACCTTCTCAGCGGGTGGTTTTACGATCAATTGCAGAGGGTGGAGGACTTCTCGTTCTTCGCAACGCCAATCTGGTCGGACACTCTGCTGTCTGATTCAAGACACGTGTACTCGAGTAAGTACGCGGTAAAGAGTTTGCCTAGTCCATGGCTGATACCTACCTGAAGCACTCTCGCCCAAAGCGGAACAGTTGCCCAACCTCAAACATCTCACCCTCTCGACTGTAATGATTGATCCTGACTTGATCGCTTTCCTGACCTCAAAGTGTCATGCCCAAAATATCGAGAGCATTTCTTTGCACGATTGCTTCTGTCACGCCACCATACACGATTATGGAACTCCGCTGGGGGACGCTGAATATGATGCCTCGGAATGTCCGACTTGGGCCACCTTGTTCGACAGGTTGGTCGCCCAGAGACCACCGAACTTGACATCTTTCACAATCTCATACGGGCCCTGGCAACTTGAGGAAAAGATGGCGTGCTATTATCAGGAGGGACATGAAACGAAACACTGTAGTCTGGCGTCGACGATGAACCCCCAAATGTGTAAGACACTCATGGCTGCGGCTGTTCTCGACGCCGACTGTCAAGAGCGTTCACGCCTCACAAGGGTTCCATGCGACCAGCACTTTCATCGGTCACTCATGCTCTTGTATAGCAGACTTTGTCCCATGGTCTCGCGACTTTCAACCGCATGTTTCGGCGGGGGGGCGACGGAAACCTGCACGAGGTTCCTTGAGGGATCCGATCTGCAGGCCTGGAAGAGCCTAGCAGAATTGATGGTTACCAATGGTGGCCGAAACGTCCAGATGCATTGACGCTGATAACAGATTACGTCATCCCGCTGCATTTCACTGATGACCGCGTCATTTTGGCGTTGGACATATTGTCTGCTTCAATGAACCTCACCAATGCTGGCCTATGGAGACAGCGCGCTCTCTTCTCGAGGATGGTAGGGCGCAAGGCAACAGAGAAAGTTCTGGTGCCTCCGGATTCACCACTAGCTGCTCCAGCATTGAAAGACCATTCGCTATGCTTCTCATATGAAGTTGCGCGAGGGGAGATGGGTGTGCTCTCATTCGAGCCATATAAAGGTCTCATCTTGCCATACTGGGGCTTTCGGACAGTTCCAGTTGCCGAAAAATCAGCTGAAATATTATGGACAATCTTCGAATCTTATGTCGAGCGTGGTGATCTGGTCGGAGCAGACATGACGCGAAAATTCATCCAGATGGGCATGACACGTGCGCGACGGTATGCCAACCACAAAGGAGGTCGCAAGTATGGCGAAGACGGCAAGCAACTTGAGAAGTGGACGGAAGATGATGTTGACGGGAAGAGGAAGGAGAAAGAAGAAGCCAGCGAAGTTTTCAAGGCGTATTGGAGAAGGTGCATTGCTTCAGAGGCGTATGTCCAGTTGAAGAAGGACTGGTCAAAAGCCAAGAAGGAGTATCTCGAAGCTAGAGGTTGATGTGGCGATGGAACTTCGTCTTGCTCGTCCTGTATCTTATCATGGCGTCGTGGTGGTGGTCGAATTCCGAATTCGAAGTTGGCTTGGCGATTCCAGCCGGCTGCATAGGGCATGGAGTTTGAAGAGGTCGTTCAGCATGCTCGTTCGGACACTGTTTCTTTAAGATGTCGACCCATCTTGAGTCTGCTGTAGTGGGATATTCTGCGCTGGCTTTCCGTGAATGGCTTCAGCAAAGGATATCCATTCTTCAATGCCCTTCACAAAGGGGTCATCTGAGCTGGGGAGTTGATCATGACCCCAGACAAGCACTTCATCAAATGCTGAGACCTGCTCAAGTATTCTGACTGGTTCCGGAGGCTCCTCCTCTTCTTCCTCAATCTCAATATCTTCATCGACGGCGGTAAACGTGGGGCCTGACTGGGACTTGGTTGATTGTGGTAGGTACCGATCCGTCGACTTTGCTACTACGCCTAGGTAGCTGTCAGCAATTCCATAGACTCTACAACTTTAGCGGTGCAGTGTATACCCTGGTAGTCGGCGGGCAATTTAATGACTCTACCACGTAGTCTTCGTCCTCGAAAATGGGATGTTTTTGTCCCATCTACGTGAAGTCAGTCAATCGTATCGAGCGCTCCTCGACGGTGCTGATACCTTTGTCGTCCGCGGGTGACCAGTATCTTTTTGTCACCTTGGTTGGTCCATCATGGTGTATGCGGCATGGTAGGATATTGGCTGTGCTTTTGTGTGCTGACGACTGTTGGAGAGCAAGCATGGTGACCTGGGGTAAAGCACGAGGATCGAGTAGGACAAGCTGCACTGATATTTTGTATGCTTGTAAACGATGGGCAGACTTCGAGTGAACTCGTACGAACAACGAATCGAGAAAGATGTGACGCGAGGGAGACGCGAGCTGCCGTAGACGCGCCGAAAATCTGGAGGAGTTCAACGCGGTTTGCAATTATCTTATCAGCTGCAGCCCTTTCACCACAGTAAAGTCCTCTATGTATTTGCCTTTTGACCGCACTTGCGATTGTGAATAGTAGGTTGGCTGATGGATGAGCTGTTGACGATGCTTTGTATGTTCTATCGTTGATGCTTACTTGCCATCGGAGCACATCGCTGCAAGCAGTATGCATTTTATATTGACTACGACGAAAGGCATCAAGCTGGTGCACTTACGCCTACATTACCGGAACTGCAGGTCAATCAGCATGGCGATCATCAACTGCTCCTGCCTCTCCAAAGGAAATGAGAGATGAGCGGTATCCTTTTCGCCAATGTGACCTTGAATTGCTCCGGCTCAAGTATCATTTCACCTACTGCGAGGCTGGACTCAATAAGAGGGCGTAGGGTGATGTGATCATCGCCGTAATAAGAGATAGAAGACGGAGATGATGGATTACGTACCCCTGCAGCCATGCAGCCATTGCAGATGACTTGCGACTATCTCAATTCGTGGATGGACTCTTGTGTCTTACCAGTCACTTTTTCTTCTTTGGTTTCTTTTTCTTGGTTGGCTTTCGGTCTTGCCCTTCGGCGTTTCTGTCTTCGCGCGGTGCGGTGGTTACTTGTTTCGCCCATCTTTTCGAGTGCTCCCTCTCGAATGCCGTCTTATCCTTCCGAAAGAGCAACATACAGGCACGAGCATCCTCGATGCTGGAATGTTCTCCTTCCTGGATCTCGAATCCCAGCAATTCCGAGGCCAATATTTTCAATCGAGGATACCCGCCCCCGGTTGTCTTGCGGTAGGGATGGTGACGGGCTGTATCGCGGATATCACGCTGAGGATGGCTGATCATCAGAGCATCGAGATCGTGTCGTATATGATGGCCAATGAGTATTCTGTCCTTGATAATGTTTGACACATCCGCTTGCACCTCTTGAAAAGACCTGGCATATTTCATATGTTTTGGTTCCACGCCGCTGACATGTGTCCTCCAGTCCGTGACATCTTCTTGAGGTAGAACGTAGGAGTCGTAGATTTGGTCGCCGTTGTAATTGACAATACTGACTCGAGCAAGGGCGGATTCACGGTCGGGATGTGGTCCGACACCCACCATCTCACAATCTACGGCGACATATCTGCCCACCTCAACTCTGGAACACTGTTTAGTTGCAACTTAATTCCATTGAGCAAGGGCACTGACGAAGTACAGAGTCCTGCGTTAACCTGGTCTGAAACTGCACGATCAGCTGGCCGAGGACGCACTCCTGCGTCGGATGCCTCCAGGTCCCGTATTGAGCCTGTCTTGGTTGATACTGTGCTATTCTGAGACATGCCCTTGCGCACCCTCTTTCTCGGTAGCGAGCCCTGGGAGGGTCTATTCGAGGTACCTAAAGACTGGCCGCGTTTGCGCTTCAAGCCATTTTGTGCTGCAGTCTTTGCGGATGACGGATTAGGCTTGGGTTTTGGAAGGGTCGACTGTAACTTCTTCCAATTTGAGGACAGATTGAGCAAGTCCATCGCCTATGGAGCGATCAATCGTGTGCAGAAAACATTCGTCACTGGAAACCGACGAGTGAGCGTTGGTAAAGAATGATAGTGGCAGCGAGATCCGAAGTTTAGCCACCAACCATGGGGCAATGTTTCTGCTGTTCAACCTTCGATTAACAACATCACTTCTGGAGGTGTGGACTTTGGATCCTAGCTTGGACATTGTATATCACCTTCACGTTTTTACATTGCATGTTATCGGCGTTGATCTTTCTCTTATCTCAGCAGGTTAGTCTTGATTATCACTGCAAAATTGTCAAGGACTTGGGATATCTCTCTCTTGCTGTTTATGCTCCTGGATACAAGCGCACATTTCATGATCCTGGAATGATCTTGACGGAGGCCAAGCTCTTCGCATGAAAACAAAGTCTGCAGCATGTCAGGAGCGGTAGATTTTGTGAAGCTGTCAGCCATGGCATCACCCTCACAAGGAAGTGTGACCTCAGAGGTTCAGGATGCACATTACTCTCCGCCATGGGCTGACATGAGCATCATTGGGGTGGCCGGTTCTTCAGGATCTGGAAAGACAAGCTTAGCAGTGGAGATCGTCGAGTCTTTGAATCTGCCTTGGGTCATCATTCTCTCCATCGACTCGTTCTACAAATCCTTGACACCGGAGGAAAATGCACTGGCACATCAGAACAACTATGATCTTGACTCACCGAGCTCCATCGACTTCGACCTTTTGGTGGAAAAACTGCATGACTTGAAACAAGGGAAGAGGACTGACATTCCGATTTATTCTTTCCAGCAACATCAGAGGCTCGATAAGACTCTTTCGATATATTCTCCACATGTGATCATACTGGAGGGTATCCTGGCATTGAACGATCCTAGGGTCCTGGATTTACTCGACATGAAAATCTACGTCGAAGCGGATGCAGATTTATGTCTGTCACGCCGGATTGTCCGCGATGTCAGAGAGCGAGGTCGAACTATCGAGGGGGTCATCAAGCAATGGTTCAAATATGTCAAGCCGGTCTTCCAACGTTACGTCGAACCTCAAAGGGAGGTTGCCGATCTTATTGTTCCTAGAGGGATGCAGAATAAGATGGCCATACAGATGATTGTCAATCAACTACGGCAGACTCTCAAGGAGAAGTCCTTCAAGCACAACGCGGCATTGGAAAGGCTAGGCCAGCAAGTTGACGATTACACTCTTTCGGAAAATGCTATCATTCTGGAGGGAAAGCCACAGATAACGGGAGTTTCCACGATACTACGAAATCCCGTAACATCCCAGGTTGATTTCATTTTCTACTTCGATCGACTGACAGCTTTGCTGATCGAAAAAGCACTTGATTGCCACAACTATGTTTCTTCCGAAGTAACCACCACTCAAGGTTACAAATATACGGGCCTGAAGTCGGCTGGAAAGGTGTCTGCGGTTGTCATACTCCGAGGAGGAAGCTGTATGGAGACTGGCCTCAAGCGGACGATTCCTGATTGCTTGACGGGTCGACTGCTGATCCAGTCCAACTATCGAAGTGGTGAACCGGAGCTACACTATCTAAAGCTATTCCCAGACATTGCCGAGCATGAAACCGTGATGCTCTTGGATCCGCAAATGTCGAGTGGTGGTGCTGCTCTGATGGCCGTCAAAATCCTCGTGGATCATGGTGTCGCCGAGAAGAAAATTGTCTTCGTCACCTGCCTGGCAGGTCGACGAGGTCTAAAGAGACTGATGACTGTGTTCCCGAAGATTAAAGTGGTTGCTGCAAATATGACCGAAGATGGTGCCAAGAGATGGGTCGAGGAGCGGTATCTGGGCTGTTGATTGCACAAAGACTGCCACATTAAGCCATACTTGGCTCAACTTGACATGCAATGAGCACGCGAAGTGCAGACCGACATCGAATTGTCCACCTTCAAGAGCGCAGTCAGAGTCCCGGTCGCCGAACGAGCTGGGCGGGTGCCTGTTGCGACCAAGAATCTTCACAAGCCTTGCGAAGCCCCGAGTTTTCTCAGATCCTCGGCTTTGGGCCAGGCCCCGATATTCTCAGGCCTCTTGAAGCCCTGAATCAACTCAGACCTAGCGAACCCTTGGTTTCGGATCGTCGAATGCGATGCAAGAGTACTCATGGCCAACAGTGAACCCTCTCACAGACCCTCTGAATGATCACGTCAAGAGCCTCCATGGTGCTGCAACAAGCAAGTCCTCTGGAAACACAGCGCGGGCAGGTCGGGCAGAAGACTCTCAAAAGGACTCTCGCTTCAGAGCCTGATGCTACCGAGACGTGCGCCGGACAGACATCGCGTCCTTGACCCTCCAAATAGGACGGACATATGCAGAAAATTGTGGTGGCAGTGGGAGGCGACAAAGACAGATAGCAAGGCCTCATCATATTCCAGCCATCGGAGTGAAGAAGTGAGAAATCTTGAAAAGGCACTAGGGTTGATACAGTGAGGATTGTAGATATGAAGCTGGGTCAATTGCAGGTGGAAATCATTGTTATCGTCACTATTCATTTCACCTTGATACCACCATTGTACCACGAAGTGATACAGCACTTTGGGGATAACCGCTCCGCCGTACTACATGGGTCTGTGGAGCGGAGTATTGAGCCAATTGTGCACGTGCAGACGCGACAGCCTTCATTGCCTGCCGAACCTCCATTTCTAATATACTTCACTTCCATCTACAACGTAGTCCAAACACCATCCCTCACGATCCATTCAACACTCTCTGTCCCTCGACCTTACTTTGGAATCGTTGTCTCGGAAAACCAAGCAGTCCACTTCAGCTCAGTGCAGGCGAATCGTCGTCAGCTCCCGCATACCCTACAATCTTCGTACTCTCTCATCATGGTACTATAGACACCCATCCCAAGCTCATCTGTGTTCGTCCTACTAACAGTCATCAGTCATTACGAGTTGCACCCCCGTCCTCCCACCCGACCAGCACAACCAACACAGCTACCCACAAACTCTCCTCCCAGAAAACACAATCCATCGAGCGCGGCGCTCCTTCAGCACCAGGCCTCCACGACACCCTTCGCTCTTCGCTCAACCCTTCAATTGACTCTCAAAGCTCTGCGCACCCACTGGAATCCCGGCTGGCGAACTGGGCGGCAACACAAGAATCCACACGCATGAATCTGCTCCGGCGCAACTTTGGCATCGCCGAGCCACTCCGCCGCAGCATGGAGCTTAAGATGGTTCGCGAGGCGGACTCTTTCCGACCCAGCGTACTCGGCACCCCCTCAGGCTTACACGAGGATATTCTTACAGGCAGAGATGACAGCATGACATGGGAAGACGTGTACCAGGGTCAGGACGGGCTCAAGTTGGGCTTGAACGCTGGTGGTGATGGACATGACGTGAAATGGACGGAAGAGATGGAGAAGAAGGTGGGAATGGGCAAGTGGTGAGATGGCTGTTAAATATCTAGGGCATTACGCACACGGGCATTCAAGGTGTTCTAACCGGATGGCGATAGGGTTGGCGCTGGAACACTTCGACTGTCTGCTGTCGAGAGGTCAGTAGGGGACATCTGGACTGGCACAGGGAGCGTTTCCGGAAGGCGGGATCCAAGCGTATCACCCTTTCGACTTGGTTTGCGGATCACGCAGAATACGGTTTCATCGGACGGGTACGATGGAGTCAGACCATTCCAAGCACTTCGGTCTGTCTGCTTTGGTATCGACATGCTACGAATGACCTGCAAGAGGATGGGAACGTCCTCGAGCAACTTTATATGCAGGTGATGTATATATTAAACTATCCATGGCAGTCATTGGCAGTCAAACTGCAAATGCTGAACCATTCTCAACCTAACGGTGGCTAGTGCGACCGAATCAAATGAGCAGAACTTGATGGCGGTAACATAAGGCATGATTGTATTAGCACCATGATTCCGTGCTCACCGCCTTTCTTCCGGCGCTGTGCAGAGCTAGGCAGACCATTTCAATCTCTGAAGCGCGTATAGAGTCTACTTGAAGCGCGTATAGGTCTTACTTGATTACTAACAACCAAAACAGGCGTATAAGGTAGGAAGTTATACTGAGGCCGGATGTCCTACCAAATGTCTCTCCATAGACGAGTCTTCTGGTCTACTAACCTCAAGGCTCGATCTTTCACATAGAAACTACTTCACATGTACCCTTTGATTCCGATTTTGACGTAAAAGACAAACCACTTACGATAGACTTACATTGCTTACAGCCGTCTCTGGATTCCAGGACATCAAGTCAGGGGATATGCCGTCGAGCGTGGAGAACCTCTTCACAACTGACCCAAACTGGGCAGCCTTCGCCAAAGAGCATGGCCATCTCAGGCCATTACCACCCCCCAGTGACCCGGTAGCCCTCGACCTCGCAACCGAGCGAGCAAACCAAACCATCAGCGAAGCAGCATGGGCCGAAACTCACCCGCTCTCATCAGTGGGATATACCTCGTGCCTGACCACCATCAAAGTCCGCGACGGGACCGACATCAGCGTCAAGCTATCCCATCCCACCCATCAGCAGAGTCAGACCAAACTTCCCGTCCTATTCGTCACCCATGGCGGCGGCTGGGTCCAAGGAACGCATATCACCGAAGAAGTCTGGCATCTGTGGCCACTGTACTCTCACTTCGACCTGGCAATCATCAGCGTCGAGTATCGTCTTGCTCCTGAACACAAATTCCCCACATGGATGAATGATAGTTGGGACGTCCTCGAGCAATTGCTGTCCGACCCAGAGGCACTCGTCGCCAGCTTTGGCCCGCAAGCGAATATCTCGATCGACACCCAGAAGGTCATCCTGTCGGGCTCTTCCGCTGGGGCCGGCACAGCGGCATATCTCTCGCAGACATGCCGGGACAAGAACATTTCTATCTTCGGCCTCGCACTCAACGTTCCCCTCCTATGCGACTATCGCCACTTACCGCCAGACTGCACGACGTCTTACGAGCAATGTACCGACTCACTCCTCTCGTCTGGCGAAATGCGCGCAGTCTGGGATCTCATCATCCCGTCGCCCACGGTCGGTGCTGATCCCAAGGCGTCGCCTCTTTTCGGGGCCGTGGCACGCCTACCCAAACATTTAATCTTTGTGGCGGGACAAGATCCTCTGCGTGATGAGGGGCTCGCGTACGCGAGGAAATTACAGAGCGCGGGCGTCAATGTCAAGTTGCATGTTTATCCGGGCGTTCCGCATAACTTCGCCGAGTTCTGGGAGTTGGATGCGACGCAAAAGTTCTGGAATGATATTCGGACGGGATTGAAAGAGTGGCTGACGTGAATGACGAATGAGACGTATATAAGCTACGCCGCACCAACATGAAGAACAACAAAGTAGAGCTAGAGTGCCCTTCAACAGGCAAACATTAAACACCCGTGGGATGTATCTACCAGGACCTTACAAATAATCACATCTTTCATTGTTTTGCCGTTAGCAGAGCCCTCTTCCATACATCGTGCAACTGACGCCAACTGCGCCTACGCCTACTTTAACCCTATATCAGCGCCTTTCCCTATCTTCCAAACCCAGCTAACTTGCCAGCGCCAGAGAGCATATTCCCGCCCTTTTGCACGGCACCTTTCCCAGCATCACTCACCGTCCCAGCAGCTTGCGATGCCGTGGAACTCGCAACCTGAGCCGCGCCTTTCCCAGCATTAACCGCCTGGCCGGCACCCTGAGCAGCCGTCTCGCCCACACCTTGCGCCACTCCCTTTCCAGCATCAGCGGCCTTCCCAGCACCCTGAGACGCCGTAGAAGTCACAGCCTGCGCCGCGCCCTTCCCGGCATCAGTCGCCATCTGAGCACCTCCAGAAGCCGTGGCGGTCACAGCCTCCGCAGCGCCTCCACCAGTCTCAACTGCAGCATCAACTCCTGCATCTTGAGACTTCTGATCTCCCTTTTCTTCAGCCTTCTTCCCTTCCTCCGCTATAGGACTCTTCACGCCAGACACAGCACTCTTCCCCTTCTCGCCGACACCTTTCGCCGCGCCCGTAGCATCTGACGGAATACTCGCTAATCTCTCACCAATCGATGCCGCAGACGGCACGCCCACACCAGCACTAGCCTGCTGACTAGACGTTCTCCTCGGCCCAAGTTTCGGTGGCGGGGATTTGACTCCTGAGGGCACTCTGTCCAGCTTGGTGGGAAGGGCGGGAGACTTGACTCCTGAGGGCACTCTGTCCAGCTTGGTGGGAAGGGCGGGAGACTTGACCCCCGACGGCACTCTGTCCAATTTCGTGGGAAGAGCGGGCGACTTCACTCCCGATGGCGCTCTGTCAAGCTTCGGTGGTTTTGCCTTCTCCACAGTCCCAGACGGCACCTTGTCGATTGATGGCCGCTGCACATTCTTCGCCGAGGACTTGCGTTTCTCCAGTTTCGGCGGCGCAGGTTTCTTTTCGCCCTTTGCACCGCCGAACCCGAATCTCGGCACACTCGGCAGATACGACGCAGCGCGCGAAGAATAAGTCTGCCCGGCTTTCGTTGCGTCTTGAGCAGACTGTGTGGCAATCTTACCCGCATCACCAGCCTTCTCTGTGACCGCCGCGCCAGCGCCTTGGGCGACCTGAGTACCAGCCTTGCCCGCATCTTGGGCAGACTGTATGCCGGCCTTTCCTGCTCCGCCAGCCTTCTCAGTGGCGGCGTTACCCACCTCTTGAGCCGCTTGTGTGCCAGCTTTGCCAGCATCTTGAGCCGACTGCACGCCGGCCTTACCTGCATCACCAGCCTTCTCAGTCGTAGTATCAAGCCCCTTCTGAACAGTCTGCCCGGTATTTTGGACCGTAGTCTCCACCGCACCCTCGACCTCGCCTGCCCTCTCCTTGACAGGAGCTGGAGTTCTGTCCTTGGCTTGATGTATAATGGGCGCATTGTCAGCCACCTTTTTCGTTGACTTCACGGCAGGATTGTCCTCTGGGTTTAGTGTGTTCTTCACAGTCACGCCGACTGTATCTTGAGCAATGCCGGCGGCTCCCTTGGCCGCCGATGCCCCAGTATTGGCTGCCTTGGACGCTGATTCTGTCGCTTTTTCCGTTGGTGGCAACTTCGGCGGCTTTTTTGTCTGGTTCTGATCACTTCCCCTGAGCGAAGATATATACGAAGAGGCCTGTGAGATGTAACCTTCCTTCTGATCTGCGGCCCCCTTTGCCGGCCCTCCAACTTGATTTGTGAGCCCCATTGCCGTCTTACCAGCCTCATCCGTGACCCCTTTCGTCGTCTTACCAGCTTGATCCGTCGCAGCCCCGGCAGGTGTCGACCTATTGACATACGGCATGCTTGGCAGACTCTTGTACAGTCTCGTCCCAAGGCTGTCGATCGACGCCGATGCCTGTGCATCTTGCGCAACGTCACCAACCTTTGTGGGATCCTTGGCCACATTCTGCACATTTCCGGCCATCTTGTCCACATCCTTGGTCCCTGGAAGATTAGGCATGTAGAAATACTCAATCGCCCTGGTGACGAGGGTCTTCTTCGTCTGTTCCTGCACCATCTTCTCCAAGTCGTTCGCCTCGGCCTCAGCTTCAGCCTCTTCGTCTTCCTTTCCACCCGCCGACTCCCGTCTCATCAACCACTTCTGCTGCGAGGCCAGACTCTGTTTCTGCTCCTCCTTCTCTATCTCCACCAGCGCTTCGCGTTCCCGCTCAACAGCGTCCATATCGATATCCTCAAACCCAATCGTCTTAAGGATCGCGCCAATCAAATAGCGGTAGCGCTGATGACTGCTGACATCCTCGGACACATCGAAGTTCTCGACACCCTTCAGGCCCTCGACCTTCTGCAGCCCAGCAACGCCAAATTGTATGGCACTCGTGCGATACATGAACCCCAAAACATAATCGTTCACCGAGTACACATTGACCAGTCGTCCCGCGACCACACTCCTCAAGATTCGCCAATCGCTCGTATCGCTTGGTGTCGGACTTCCAATCAGCACCGCATGCTCCACGATCCCAAACTGTTTGCGTCGTGCAAGGCTCATCAGACAAGTATATATGACCCTCGCTCCAAGCGAGTACCCGATCAACGTGACCGGTCTCTCCCCCTGCGCGCGATTTATCAACGCATCAGCAAGGACCTCACCCGCTTTCTCAGCACGACTCTTCGCCACACTGAACGGGTTATCGATAACTCTGGCCACCTTCATCAGCGCCATAGGCCACAGCGCACTCGCCAACTCGGCAAAGATCGTGCGCTGTATGATCTCCTTTTGCGCGTACCCCCAGGCAGCAGATTGCGCCACCCCATTCATAGCATTGCCCAAGTTTAACAACGCCTCGAGTTCGTACTTCAGCGCGAACACTTCAGCACCCACGCCAAGAACCCGCCAGGGCTTCACGACTTCCTCCTTCTCCGTCAACCAACCGCTCAGTCCGATCGTGACACGTAACTTGTGATCATGCTCAGTCGCCTCAATCGCACCCTTGCCTTCCTCTTCCGAGGTCTTCTTATCGTGACTCCCATGAACAGGAAGGAACTGAAAATCTTCGACTTCCCGTGCATACCGATCCATCATCTGGCCCGTCATTCGGCCACCATACGCTCCGAACAGTCCGCCCACAACAACCGTACTGCCAGCCACACTTCCCAGATACGCAGCGGCAGTGGTCGCGCCGAGTCCCAAACCACCCATAACAGATCCCACACCAGCAGCGACAAGAGGCGCCGCGAGACCACCACTTACGCCAAGTATAGCAGCGCCCGCGGCCGCAGCGATTCGGACTTTACGTTTGCGCAACTCTTTATTCTCCTCGACGCGTTTCCTAGTCTCTTCGTCCGCGCTCATTTCGTTCTCTTTCGCTGCTTCCAAGAGGCCCTTGCCGGTAGTATACTCATCCTGCTCGAACGTTTTGAGCGGCAATTTCAAGCTGGCCGTGACATTGAGCAACAGAATGCGCGAATACGCGCTGTAATGCTCCAGACTCAAGAACAGCAATAGCAATGAATGCAAGATAAGCGTTCTTTGAGTCATAGGGATTCTCGTGAGCGGAGTCTTTTGCGCTGGGAAGAGGTCCTTGAATTTGACATTCACCGCTGTATTGCCTGCCTCGATCACTTTCCCTGCGCTGCTGGAAATATCGGCGGCAGCATTCGGTTTCGCTTTGGCATTGCTGTCGGCTTTCTCGCGTTTAGTATTGACAACTTCCCCAACGCGTCCGATGACTTGCTCGCGCCACTCGTCGTACGCCTTCAATGCGTCCTTCTTGAGGGTTTTCATTTTAGGAGAAGCCAAGTCTTTGTCGTATTGTTCTTTGAGTTTTCGCTCGCGCTCGAACTCGCTGACGTCGGCGTTTGGGTCGGCGGCCAGCATCTTTTCATCGGAGGACATGCCTTCGCGCAAGAGGCTTTTGTTGAGGCCGGCTGATGAGTCGAAGTTGTCGATGATCAACTTGCGCATGGATTCGGTGAGGTTGGCGATTAGCAGGGTGAGCTCCACTCTTTGCTCTTCGTTGAGGACGCTTGTTAGGTCGACTTGATCTTCTGGCTTGTCATCGGCCTTGCCGGATGGCTTTGAGGATTCTTGTTCTGGCGTTTGCTCCGCTAGGTTCTCGTCGTCCTTCGTGCCGGGCTTTGAAGGTTGCTGTTCCGATGACTGGTCTGTTTTCTTCTCATCGCTCTTGGGGCCGAGCTTCGGTGGCTTCTTCTTTGATGGCTCTTGCGGCTCCTTCTCATCGCTCTTCTCGGTTGGCTTTGAAGGGTTCTGTTCTGTCACTTGGTCGGCATTCTTCTCGGCATCCTTACCACCGCCCTTCTCGGTTGGCTCTGAAGGTTTGTATTCTGTCAATTGGTCGACATCATTGTCATCGCCCTTTGCGGCTAGCTCTGATGGTTTTTGTTGTGCCACACCATCGGCATCCTGATCATCGCCCTTGTCAGTCGGCTCTGGAGGCTTCTGTTCTGCCACTGGCTCTGTTTTCTTGTCATCGCCCTTGTCAGTAAGGTCTGACGGTTTCTGCTCGGCCACCTGTTCGGTGTCCTGATTATCGCCCTTGCCAGCGAGTTCTGGAGGTTGCTGTGCCGATGTCTGCTCTGTTCCTTTCACATCGCGCCTGGGGCCGAGCTTTGGGGGCTTCTTTGCTGCCACTTTTTCTGTTCCGGCCACATCAGCCTTGCCAGCAGGCTCTGAAGGTTTGGGGACTGCTGTTTGTCCTGTTTGATTTCGAGTTTTCCGAGGACCAAGCTTTGGTGGCTTCCGTTTCTGATCTGCCATCTCGCAACAGCCACAGGCTAGGCGATGATTCCTGCAAGGCTGACGATTCACTACTGGCAGATTATACCACAACAAGAACTGTGCTGCACATTAGTCGACGTGAGTGATCCGTTGCAACAATCAGGCGCTTCAATGCCAAAACAATTGTTCAGCCTGAGCAAAAAGGAATCAATAGGTTAGGCATGAAGGAAAATCGAAAGGGTGGATGAGGAGGTGTGGCGGTGCTCCGAATGCTGGAACGTGGAACTGGAGCATTTGCAATGACGTTATTTTTCCTGTACCTGAGCCCCTGATCCCTGTAAAGCAAAACCCATGCCACGAGTTCGATCAAGGAAACCCTGAAACAAAAAACAGATGATGACAGAGGCATTCGCGTTCATCGGTACCATAGTAGTAGTACTCATAGTATTTTGGACATTTTTCATTTCATTCGTCTCTGCGTGAGCACGTCTTTTGATTTCGACTCAAGAAAATACCTAGAAGTGGGACGACATGAGATATGCAACCCGGGCCATTTTTTGATCGACTCCTATTGATGCATTGCATAAACTTGATGCCATCTAGAGAAACGTTCCAAAGCTGCGCGTTTCGGTTAGCACAGGATCGACAGGGGAATTGGACCGAGAAAACGCACCCAAAGGTCTGCTTGATACTGCGCACATAATAACCCTCCCAATTCCGTTGTACAACTTCTTCTTGTCCGACAGGTACTCCGGTCCAAGTCACTCTCATGTTGGTCACTCGGTCCACGTCGTTTTGGTCAAAGAAGATTTCCTGGGTACTCGTATGTCCTTCAGGCCACTGCGCTAATCTCCATTTCTGAATGAGCTTCTTCGGAGGTTCCAATGTAACAAACTCTCCTGTCACGTTCCCATCGAAGATTGCAAATTTGGCGCCTGGCTTGGCTCCTTCAAAGACTCTAGGTGGTGCGCGCGTAAATGCGGCAAGGCGTTGAGGATCTGTAAATGTCTGGTACATTTCATCTGCCGTTGTTCGGAATTCATCATTCGCTGTTACTGTGGTTGTGTTGACTGATGATTTGCCGGTGGTGGTTGTGGTTGTTTTGTTGGTCTGGATCGGTGTGCGCTCGCTACCTGGATGCCATGTAGGTGTCGCAAATCCGCTTGAAGGGTTTGAACCAGGTTCGTGTTGTAGGTCCTTTCCGTGCTCATTAATCAAGGCAGGACTGAGACCTGCAAAGACCTTTCGAAGCTCAGGCGTCAGTTTCGATCGCACGAGATCTTTGACGGGCTGTTTTTCCTTCGTTTCAGAGTAGATGTCTATCTCAAACTGCCTGGCGTCAGTAAAGCGTGGCTCGTATTGCATCGGGTGAGTCAGCACTCGAAACATACAACGTACTCGTCTAGTTCGGTGTCATATGCGCATTCTGGAACACGAATGCTGCCACTGACATCCGTCCCGTCTTCTGTCTTGCCTACACACAAATCGTGAGTCTTCTGAAGGCGCACGTCGGAGTCGAGTCTGCTCATACCTTCGTACTCCAGTTGTAGCACCACATCGTATATGGTTATAACCTTGCCCTTTCTCTGGCTCACCTCCACATCACCGTCCATGGAAATCAGTTTTGAGATTTTTGCAGACACTCCATTCTCCTCAGCAGCGACCTTCTTGCTTTCGGCGTCTAGGTAGTCTTTGGCCCACTGTCCCGCATCTTTCATCACCCAGTGCCAGTTGTTGGGGTTATGGAGGACCATGTTTGTGGAGTTTTAGAAAGAGGTGATTTGGAGGTAGAGCCAGGAATCCTTTGCGGCATGAGTCAGCAAACGTGTCTGATACCATCGTATGTGCAATAGATCCGAGGGAAGAAGTATTCAGATTGTAGGCAAAGTGCCATTAGGAAAGCTGATCCGCATTTAAAGAGTACAAGTCTTCTCAGACTGGTGCCAGCTGTAATCTCATCACAAAAACCAAAGAAGGAAATGGCATTGACGACATACCTTTCGAGCTGTTCAACGTGTACCGGTGTCGACCCGAATGAGCATCCTTTCGGAGTCGTGAGTTGATTTTCGAGAAATGAAGCGCGGGCCTTTTGAACCGCCAGAAACATCTAGAAATTTGAGCCCAAGCGAGAAATTCCCCGCCAAGAATCGTTAATAATATTGTATCGGTAAGCTGCGCTCCGGCGAGGCTGTGAGACCGTGAACTCCGTAACTTTAGCTGCAAGGCTGCTGGAGGAGACTGACGCAGGTCCTCACAATAAGGCTGGCACTGAAACGACAGTGGGATGTGCTATGGTTGAGAATCAAGCTCGTTTATCCTGATTGATGAGCTCCAATAAGCTCTCTAGTTCGTGAGAGGAGCGCGGGCTGTATGACCTTTCTTGAATATCTGACTCGGGAACATATCTTTCAACTGCTTCCAATAGCAATTGAGGGCGCACCAAAGCGCGGAGCTCTGCCTGCCTTCCAACCGGCTCCAATACTCCTGACATGAGACAAGAGTGATGCTAATAATCATTCGAGTAATGAGCTCGCTCTCAGCCCGTGCATGAAACACGTCCTTTCAATGCTCCTCCAGCTTTTGGGTATTTGTGATGCACTTCGTTGGTCAAACCTCATTGAATGACTCTTCCTGATTCATATCGTCGAGAGACCCAACCCTTGGTCCCTTAACGAGCATTCTCGAGATACTCGGCACTCGGCTTCTCGTATTTGGCGCAGAAAAAGCGCTTGCTATTGATCGATAACCACACGCCGAACTTGCCCACCTCAGTCTTCAACCTCGCAACCTGCTTGTCATCCATGTTGGTCTGCGCAGTGAGTTCTCCCATATTCGCTGTGAGCAGTTAGCGTAAAGGTCATCGTCCAGAAGGAAAAGCGGACTTACTGAGCATCCGAGCAACGAACTCAGCTCCATAGCAATCGCCTGGGCCACAACCTTCCCACTCCTTGTACTTTCCAGATTCCCAGAGCTTGCGAACCTGTAAAGTCGTCATGTCAGTAAAATCCAATGCGTCTTCGCGTGTTTCTGAACTTACGTCTTGCCATTGAGGACGCTCGAAGCGATACAATAGGAGTTTGCCGACGGTAGCCTCAAAATACTGCTTCATACCCACGACGAATTCCTCTAGTACCTCGTATTCGGCAGATCCAGGGATTCTGTTGACCTTCTCTTGTTGAAAGTATTCGTCGAAGATGAAGTTCGCGGGAGCCTTGCTCGGGAGAGGGACAAGCGTCATCGACTTTGTAACGTTCTCCCAGTCATCAACGAGCAGGTTCTTGAGGTTGTCTGGCATCGGCATGCGAATGGTTGAGCGAGCATTGAACGAATCTTCCTGTTCAGATCTCGATTTAGTAGGGTCCTCATGATCATGTAAAGGACGGGCAATAAACAAGTCAAAGTCATTCTCCTCGTTATCCTCCTGGTCGGTTTCCCACTCATCCTCGTCCTGGTGTCCAGCATGGGTCTCTGGGTGTGCTCCTGGTGATTTTGGTTCCTTTCCATCATAATCCGGTTCCGTGTCTGTATCCAGCTTGGGCGACTTCCATACGGGAGTCTCCCAATCAAAAGGATGCTTCAAGGTTTCTCGCAATGTAGACTCTGGAAAAGTGCGGTCGTCCGGAGTATCAGTATTGGTTTCGAATTTAGCGAGGTCTTTTCCGCTGGGCCCTCCACTGGTTTTGCCACGTTCGCGAAAACTGACATAGGTTGGATGATACTTCCGGCCGGCTTCAGCAGCAGCTTCCATCTCATTCTCGATCATGTTTCGCTCGGCTAACGTCGTTCCGCCGATGAGAGGAGCATTGATGGTCGGTGGTCGCTGTCTCGCTGTAGCGTTGCTGATTTGTTCGGGCTCATCAAGAGGTACCGGTAAGGCAAGGATTTGGTCCGTGGACAGGTTCATGTCGGCTATGAGCGCGTCCAGCTCGGTCGGAGTGAATCTTCGACCAGACTGCAGTAGTCTGTCGAATGCCGCATCATTGCCACCGCTGGAGCGGGTACGACGAGAGGACGAGGTAGACTGTCGAGACATTCTTGAGCTGCGAGTCAATGGTCTTCCAATGCGCGTCGATGTGTTTGGTGTGTCGAGAGACGGAGAAATGGATTCTTCTTGAATTGAGGATCGTTTTGGAATGCGGATCGTGGGTGTGGCACTTCCTCGCGCGGTTTTGCCCTTTGCGCTCCTCTGTAACGACGTGACGATTTCTTCATCGCTGTCTGGCACCTCTGCGTCTTCATCATAGTTCGTGACCTGTCTCGGTCGCAAGCCAAGAGAAATGCGACGAGTCTTTGGCGTGATCTTTAGACGAATTATGGGCGTGGTCTTCAGACCACTACCAGCTCCGACATTTTCAGACCCAGACTCCGTATCAGACGAGACAGGCTTTCTCACTTTTGTTGGCTTTGACTGTTTTGCCGTAGTCTTCTGCTTTTTCTGCATAGGCTTTGCCTTTGTCTTCTTGACTGGTTTGTCGACATCACTGTCTGTGAGTGGTCTTCTCTTTGATGAAGTACCCGACATGAGGTTTGTTGCCTTCACAGCGGCGCGCCGCGGAACATATGGTCTGAGATCCAAATCCAGATCCAGCTCTCGATCCAGACCTAAGAGTGTCTTGCTGCCTTTGCGTCCTTTTGGCCGTGGAGCATGGTCGTCGCCAGCTTCCGTGTCCGACTCCAGGTTGTTATCCGGCAAATTCATGGATTGGTTTCCGATTCGAGTTCCCGAATTGCCTTTGGTGGCTGGTGTGAAAGAGTCGACATCCATTTCCTGACCAGAAAGGGGTCCAAGAGCATCCGGGGTATCCAAGACGGTAGGTGCAGTATCCAAAAAAGGGCTCATCATTGGGGAAAAGGGAGAAATATCACGGGTAGGTGTACGGGGTATGGGACCACGAACCTTTTCAATATCGTTATCTCTTGCGCGCTTCGAACCTCTACCACCGGCGGCAGGGACGGATGATGTACGTTCTTCGCTGCCACGGCCAGAACCGAATTCTGAGCCTTGACCACGTCGGGTTTTGCCTGTGAATTTTGGGGCGACTTTGGGGGCGTTTGCTGCGGCCAGCTCTTTCTTCAAATTGGCTGCGAGTTCTCGATTCTCATCTGTGAGCTTGCGCAGTCGATCTTGGGGCACCCAATCATCCCAACTAGACGAGGTTTGGTCAGCCATGGTGTCTTTCAAGGTCTCCAGGGAAGATATCGGTGGTTACGATCATTGCAGTCGGGTTGTGTTGGCAGCTAGCCTTTGTTGAAGACGCGACAGTGAGAATGATCACTTTTAGAGCCTCGTTTATTCATTGCAACGTCCGACCACCGACACCGGCCTATATGATCGGTCGCTCATTGGATCACTTCAGAGGTGCGGCGAGCTGAGCACCGCAGTCCACAAACAACAGGTTTCCCGGACTCAAAAGCATCAAGAAGCCGGAGAAGTGAATGAGACGGGGGATTGAGGAGACTCACGTATTCTTCCACCCTTTGTAGTGGACTCGATATTCGTGAGCGCTGGTCTTGTCTTTTGGATCGGTCCTCCGGACTTCGAGCACCTTGGCTTCGTACAGCAACTCGCCGTGGAAGCACAGTGCTCTCTCGTCCTTCTGGTACATCGGCTTGCTCTCCGTCGCCTGAGGCGCCATGGCGAGTCGTCGATGTGGTTTCGGTCGCGCGACTCAAAATGTTAAAGTTCCTCACGCGTGATGTGGTAGAGATCAAGGAAGACAAGAAATGGCTGTGAACCAACCAGCGTGAGTGCGTCTGGTCCTCCAATGTCGCAAGCCGGTCATGAACAAAGAGACTCTAGGAAAGATGAAGTGAGAAAAGGAGGCTTGGTGTGCAAAGTGAAGAAGACGGTCGAAGGCAGTTGTCGCATTTGCACGTGATCTTGTATCACCCCTGTGCATCGCCCGCTGATTGGCGGGCGGCAACGCGTCCAAAAGACCAAGGGCATAACAGGCCTTCCACTCCTCCATCCTCTGTCGATGATCAGCCCGCGTTGGAGAGAAGCAGTGGAGGGCCAAGTGCCAAGGACCTCGCCGGCAGATTCGACACAGATCCTGACCAGCCAGATAACCGCGAGGCGTTGTACGAGAGACTCTCTTGATATCTTTCCGAATGGGAGGCCGCTTGTATGGGATTCCATCATCGATAGCGACCGAATTGCAGAACGCCGGTGCCAGACGACCCAAGGCCAGTGGACTGAGGAGTCTCCTCAAACGTGAGCGGCGAGATCCAGCCAGCGGGCCGACCTAGGACAGCACCTACTTGAGCCAATCGAGGGATCCTCGTTGTTCTTGACACACTCCCTCGCAGATCTGCCCCAACCGGAGGGTGGACCTTGTTGACGCAGCAGGAGTTGAGTTGTTGACGAAGGCGTTCGCCCTGAAAGGAACCAGTCCAAAGGACGTACTTTTCCAACCGACCTCCCTACACATCCGTCACGCCACTGGCGTTCAACGAGACTACAATATAGAGCTTGTTACCCACGACCCCCTCTTTACGGCATTCCTACTACGCGCGACTGGTTACACAGGATCATCCCTCGACAATCTAGGAGAGCAAAGTCCCTGCAGGAGAAGGACCAGCAACCGGCTCGCGAGCATATCGAGCAGTAACCTTGTGACTTACAAGACCAGCTCATCTCCTTTCCGATTTGATACCAGACTCCGGCCATCACATAGAGTCCTCCAAGTCATCAATTGTACCAGACCGGAAAGCATCTGCTCATATCTCGATCGCGCCTTCCATCAATCTCGACCACACTAACACCTTCCTCATCAACGCTCGACAGCTCTACTCACCAATACTACCTTCTTCCACATCCCAAACATGGCACCCTCACCACCAACCGAAGCCGAGATCCTACGATCATACCTCCTTCACCCTTCTCCTCTATCAACCATTCTGCCATACTCCGCCTTCCAAGCCCTTATCCCAGCCTCATCCCGCCAAAATCTCTCCCTCAAACGTCTATACCGCGATCTCCAATTCCAGCGGAACATCACCATCGACGACATCCGCCGGCGTATCGAAGACGAATGCCGACGCAGCACAACGCTAACAGCCCGTCTCGCACGCCAAATCCGCCGAGAAGAAGATGAACGGGAACGGCTACGCTCATCACGCGCCCAACAACGCAACACCAATACACTTAAGGGGAAACGAACTGCCACCGCCACAGGATCCACCACGGACATACACACGAACGAGGGAATTCCCAGTGGAGTTTCGACACGTAACGCATACCACGACGATAATCAGAACGCCAACAACGATGATAGTCACGACAACGACCACCACGATCACGACGACGACTCCGGACCAGACGCATACGAACACAACGATGGGTCATCATTTACCGACGCAGGCATAGATATTCACATCGACGGAACCCTGCACGGCCCGCTGGGAAGTACGTTGCCGAACAAGAGTCAAAACAGTCATACGACGGAGTCGCTTCTCAAAGGCATGAAGACGGCAAAAGAAGACTTACAGTCTGAAATCGAAGCGTTGGAAGCACAGATTGCCAGCGTCTACAAAGACTGTGAGGAGCGTGTAGGCGGTTTGAGTGATTTGCGGTATGGACGGTTTGCGCAGAATAGAACTAGCACCGAAAGTGCAAACGGGGAAACGAGTATTGAGGACGAGGTTGTTGGCGCGCTTGAGGAATTGAGGGCACGTCTACAGCCTGCTAACAGCTGAGAGGGCAAAGGAGAGACGAAATGTCAGGTTGTATGTCTTATATCGATGGATGGTCCACGAGCAACATGATAAACGACATTGTGGCCAGAGTCGCAAGCAGGGTATGGATCGCGACTGTAGGACTAACATAGACTCGTTCTGATATGCAACATTTTGCAGCCTCATATGTCATCAGAGTAAAACTTGTCAAACAGTGAAACCCCTCAACTCGTGTTTATATATCATCCCACATGAACAATATCACACTCACGCTTCCCGCCTTGATATACTCATATACTCGGCTGCTCAACTGGTGCAACTCCACGGCCATTCCTTACTTGTGCGCCTCCAGGACCTTATCCATCTCCTCAGCACTGCCCATAAAAATACCCGACCGATCGTGAATAGTCGTAGGCTTGACCTCCAGCATCCGGTTCATATTACTGTCCACAGCCTTTCCGCCTGCATTCTCCATGACCATAGCCATAGGCGCACACTCGTACAAAATTCTCAGCTTGCCTTTGGGCGACTTCTTGTCGGCTGGGTATGCGAAGATGCCGCCATACAACAACGTGCGGTACGCGTCTGCGACCATTGATCCGATGTATCGACTCGAGTAGGGTTTGCCGCCTTCTTGCTTGGGGTACTTGAGCGACTCGAAGTATGCTTTTGTCTTGTCGGTCCAGTACATCGAGTTACCTTCGTTGACGGAGTAGATGCCGCGTTTCTTGGGAATTCGCATGTCTGGGTGGGTTAAGATGAACTCGCCCAGGGCGTTGTCCTGTTACAAAAACAATCAGTCATCATGCATACCCCTGGGAGACTTGGAGGTTGGAGGCTCGGCGGGTCATTCTTACCAATGTGAAACCATTGACTGAGCCACCCTTCATGGTAATGACTAGTTGGGCGGAGGCGCCGTACATGGTGAATCTGTAGAGTCAGTCAGTCATTTTGGCGGGGAAATAGTGGTCTTGATATGCATACCCAGAGGCAAGCAGTTCGGAACCGGGCATCAGCAGATCCTCGGCCGTAGGCTTACGGCCAACGACACTGTCTGGGAGCTTGAAAACGCCAAAGATTGTGCCAACGCTAACTCCCGCGTCCAAGTTGCTCGAGCCGTCAATCGGGTCGCATGCAACTACGTATCTGGCATCCGGGCTATCGTCAAAGTATATGATCTCGTCTTCCTCTTCCGAGACGACTGCTCGACACTTCCCGGATCCTCGCATGGCCGCAACAAATAGGTCATTTCCAATCACATCGAGCTTCTTCTGGTCGTCGCCAGTAATATTGGACGAACCGGCCAGACCGGTCAGGTTGATCAGCGTGGCTCGTCGAATGTAGTAGGCGATAGATTTGAAGGAGAATTGCAGGGCGTGGCATAGGAGTCTGTGATCTGTGTCAGTGTGTTGCCTCTGAATCGTCGGATAGAATATACTGACGTGAAATCACCGGTGGCTTCCGTGTGCTTTGCTTGTTCTTCAGTCAGGAACCGGGTGAGGGTGACGATGTCGGTGTTGATCTTCTCCGTGCCAGTGCCACTTGAGTAGCCATTGGAACCTCCATTGGTGGCCATCTTGGACGATATTCAGCCCGAAAAAGTGTCTACGCAGACAGAGGATAGAGGCAGGAGGTGGGCACGCGATGGACAGAGTCGGACTGGCCTCGGTGGAATGGAGGAGGACGACGTCAGATGCAGCGAACCGAGCTTCGTTGGAGTAGGTCGTCCAATTGAGGAATCTGGGGTAAGAATGCAGCAAACACAAACACAGAGAGAATAAAGTGCTTGGAAGTAAAGGTATGGTTCTCAATCAGGGGAGCAAGATAGAAAGATCAACTGTTCAAATAGAAGGTGTTTGAAATCCCGAAAGCCCCATCCTCGGGTGGTCGAGGCATTTGGCTTCATCACAGCCCAGCCCATGGACAGGCCTTCGGGAGATGTTGCAGGCCAAATTGTGGGATGGATACTCCGCATGCCACCAGGAGACGACGATCCGAAAGAAGATGCAGAGGACTGGATTCGATTCGTTCCGCGTTCTGGTTGATTTGGAGAGAGACATGGGAAGAGAAAGTGGATGGAGGGGCAAACATGCCACTTGCTACTCGTAGAGAAAAGTCGATCCGAATTCTTCCGGCGGGCTTCCTCGGCAAAGATACACCGAGCAATTCCAGGCGCCGGGTAGATGCGGAATCTTTCCTACCCACGCAAGACGGCTTTCTTCACAATGTTCGAGTGTGTAGGTAAGCAGAACTTATCCGATCACTGTGCGATCAGAAATCTGAATCACGGTACATGGGATTGGTAACTTGTTATCTGATATTGGTCAGGTTCTCCCGATATGTTGCGCCTCATCTTCCCCAAGCATTACATGACAGGGGGCACGATCGTTGTCCTGACATTGTCCAACATATCTGCCTCACTCACGCCTCGTTGAGTTTTTCCGCCCGTCGATAGAACGGAGGCAGTGGTTCAAGCTTCTGTCTCAAAACGCAGACGCGGAAATGCCAAATAGCATTCTTCATCTGGTAGCTCATGTGCTTCCGAGTACTCACTCCAAAGACTTGGTCAAGCTCTTCGAGGGTAAGGGCCTATTGAGCCATCAGCAAACAAGGAACAAGAAAGCAATGCGTGAGGCAACGTACCTTGGTCTCAGGAACGAAAAGTAGAATGAGTACCCAAAGGATAAGGCACCATGCACCATACCAAGCAAATGCACCTTGCGCCTTGAAGGCACTCAGGAGATGCGGCCAGCTGAAGCTCAAGATGAAGTTGAAACACCATGTTGTCGCTGTTGCAAAGCTCATGCCCACATCACGGTGCGTCACAGGGAACGCTTCGGCCGAGTATGTAAACGGCACAGGACCTTCGCCAGGACTGTAGAAGCACTCAAAGAGATACATGCCGGTAGTGACCATTCCGACCTTGGCTTTGTTGTTCTTGATCCAGAAACTGAATCCCGTCCACAAAAGAGTGATGCAAAGGAATGGAAACGTGAACAGTAGGAGGACACGACGACCCCAGCGATCGATGGTGAAAACGGCGGGCAGCGCAAAGACCCAGTTCAAGATACCGGTACCCATCGATGCCAGCAATGCGTCTGTTGTAGAGTATCCAGAGTCGATGAAGATGGTGGTACTATAGTACGCAATCACATTTACACCACAGAACTATTGTCCCCTTGTCACACGATGTCTTGATAGCAGACAACTAGGGGCCAGGGGTTGATATACTCACTTGTTGACCAAACATGACAATCCAACTAGCCAAGGCGGCACGACGATTGCGAGGGATAGTGAAGAGCTCGACGAATTGAGTGAACAGATTCTTCCCCTTCAGAGCATGGCGCTCCAATTCCACTCCGACGTAGGTATAGTATGTATCTCTTGCCGCCTGTAGATCGCAGTGTCGGAGACGTTGGAATGACCGGAAAGCCTTTTCAGGGTGGTTGTGCTGGATATACCATCTACGCCTTGTCAGCAAGATCCTCGTTGCACATACTGACAGACAAGTGACATGCCTTGGACTTTCTGGACATAAGTAGACCTGTGCACAAACGATGATGGGAAGGACCACAGTGCTTCCCAGCATGAGTCTCCAGCCGAGATCTTCGCTCAATCCGCCAAAGGCGACGCCCATGATGTTTCCTAACATGATGCCTGGGAATGTTGTTAGAAAACATGTGGTGTACTACTGGAATAAGCTTACCAAAAGCCGTCCACATCTGCCACATCATGACGAGAGCGCCGCGGATAGGAGCTGGGGCGCATTCGGCAGAGTAGACAGGGACAGTCGAAGACTTGGGACCGATACCCAGGCCTGATGGACTCGATTAGCTGTTGATTTTAGGTTGAAAGGTGCAGTCATTAGCTTACCAAGTACGAACCGAGCCAAGAACAGGTTGACCCAGGAGTTTGCGACTCCTTCCCAGATTGAAGCAACGGCGGCAATGAAGCAGGAGATGAAGATCGTGCCTCGTCGAGCAAAGAGTTTGTTCATAGGCTCGGTCAACCAGCAACCAAGTATGGCGCAACAAAGGTATGGTGCGCCGACAACCAACCCAGTGAGATTGTCTTGCATCTAACGCACAGTTGTCAGCACCGTTCTCACTTCAGAACAATTTCGACAGCGCACAAAGTGCACGCATCATTTCCTCCATGCAATGCGTGAAGTAGATATAGACATGGGAGATACTCACGTTTGTCGAGAAGCGGTTTGTGTCTGTTAAACCAAGCTGTTTGAGATAGAGAGCCTGAGCGCCATTGTTGACAGTCTCATCCATACCTTGCACCGCGGCCGCGAGACTGCACATCACTACGAGATAATAGAGAGTCCAAGGCTGATGCCATCGATGGGTATGCTCACGGGTCAGTATATCGCGATCCTCCTGCGTCAATTCAGGGATAGAGTTGGCTTCGTGAGGACGCTGCGCAATCAAGGCGCCCTTTTTGAAGGAGTCGAGGTAGTCCATGAGGTTGTGCTTGGAGCAGAAGGTCTCGACATCCTGCAGCAGCTGTTCCCTGGGAATATCGCTCAACGGATTCTCGAAGGCCGCGCTCAGGTTGTTGAAGTCAGCGTCGACGACTGAACTTCTTTGGCGTTTTCCAGCGTGCTCGACATTGGCTGCACTGGCACCAATGGCGGTTCTGTCGCTGGACTGCGATCTCTTCTCATGTGGTTTCTCACTCTCAGCCATGGTGGCGGTGTATAAAACAGGTGTCAGGGGTGAGGATTTCCTGGTATGAGTTCACCTTGCAAGGCAATAGAACCAGGACAGAAAGAATCCGAGGAAAGGAACAGGATCGGTGAGGGTTTCATCCCGCCTTTTGTATATCCTTTTACTCTCCATCTGGGCATGCTAGACATGCCCCAGCGTGGGCCTTGGGGTCTCCGCATGTCAAGGTGCAACTGCACAGACAACGAGGACGACGTCATCGTATAGACTTCAACGACTACGATTGGTATCAATAGTGCCCTAAGAGTATAGTAGTGGTACCCGTATAGGATATACTGTGTACTCATCGAGCTCGATCCTAATACAGGGATAGGCTGTGGTCCGAGGCCAGTGAGAATATTCTGTCACTAGATGGCTAAGACTTGCCTATACCAGCCCGAGTTTAGCACAGTATTCAGGCCAAACACTGCGGAGAAAATACCCATCGTTTGAACATCTTGGCCATCCAAATCGTCCGATGAGGGTTTTGCTTGCGCGGTCAGGTGAGACGTCGGTGGAGGTTTGGATCGACGGTGACATTGCAACGTGGGGATAGAACTGTTGATCGTGATCGACGTCCAGTCATCTGAACAATTGGCATTCTGCCCAGAACGCCTCACCCGTCTGCCGAGAAGATCAGAAGGCATGAAACTTCCGGACAGTTCACGTAAAGACGAATAGAAAGCCATGGAAAGGGCTTCCGGTCGCCCGTGTTGCAAGAGTACTCGTAACATAAAATGTTAATACTGCGATAGTGCAAAGTTATACACGCGAGACCTGTATGTGTCTTTAACAGCCGGGCTTATGACGTATCACAATGGGACCTTGACAAGGCTTGCACCGGCGCATCAGTCGTTCTTTCGGTAAGGTGAAGAGAAAGGCTGGAAGTCTCTGTTCGGCAAGTCGGCACTCTGCCACGCATTGCACGTTCCGGGTACACCAGAACGCATGCACGAGGGAGATCAGCGAATGCAAAAGGTTGTATTCGTTCATTCAGTCGTTAATCGTCCGATTCATTCACATCCTTGTATGGATTCGTCCCATCCTCCCATGATCTCCAAGAAGGATTTGACTTGTCTCTTCTTGCTCTGCAGTGCGCCGCCCAGGGCTTCCAACCATTGTTCCTCAATCATGCTCACTTGCTGCTTCAACTCAGCCGTAGCCGACTCAGCTCGCTTCACCTGCATTTCTCTGGGATCAGTACCTGATACTCGACCATCAAGTTCAGCGCGTGCCCGGCTCGCTTCCGCAGCTCTACATTCGGCTCCAAGTAGACCACTCTTGACCTCGTGAAGCAGGCATTGTAGGTTGATTTGTGATTCAATGAACTGATAGGTCGACTTCTCGGTGTGGTCGAGCAGTGAGTACAGATATTGTTGTGGGTATTCATGATATACTGGATTTTCCAAGTACTCTGCCTCAGGAATGGCAATTGGACCCAAATGATCGACTTCTCCGGGAATCCTTTGGACCAAGTCCAGCAAGCCCGGAGCAATGTCCCAAAATGCTGATGATTGGAGCTCGACTTCCTGTCCGACGTTTTCCGCAACAAGGTTGACGAAAGCTCGATACCGTCCTGATGCCTCTTTTTCGAACTCGTTGCGCCGCTGGAAGCTGTCTCGTGCGAAGAAGTCCTCAGTGTCTCGGATCTTGTCTACATTGTTGACTTGATGATATGGCAACAAGACAATGGCTTTGTATTTGTCGTTGCGTTCGCGGAGAAGATGGAAGATTTCTTTGTGAATGTTCTCTCGACTCTCAAAGAGCCACTTGAGCTGCGTGAGATATTCGAGCGTCTCTGGCATAGCGTCACCTTCTTGTTGTGGTCGATCCAGGTCCAAAGTATGCATGTCATCAACCAGCTTCTCGCTCAACTCGTTGATATGGGTACTCAACTGCGAGGCACGGTCGTTGAGCATATCGTGCATAGGGTTTATCACTGTGTCTTGAAGGACGTCAAATTCGGCTTGCAAGCATGCCTTCTCGGCCGCATTTTCTTCCATTCGTAGGGCTTGCTCAGCTTCGGCGGCCTCTGCGTAAGTGATGCTACCCTCGGCAACTTGCACCTGAATATTAGCCTTGAAAGCTTTCTGGCCCTCGGTCACTCTTTGCTTGTGCTCTTGTCTCAATTCATCTACGCTGAGTCGATGCTGGGATCTTCGTTGTTCGATTTCACTCAGGTCACTCAACTTCCTGACCGCGTGTCGATACGAAGACAGGGTGGGATGACTGTTGTTGACAGCAGGATAGTGTCTCGGATACGGTGGAGGGAGCGTGATGAATCTGGAAATGTCCAGTCCAGGTGGCTCATGCCTTTGCCGAGGGGTGTTGTTGGCGAGTTGATTGTCCCCGTCTTCGTCGTAAATACCGAATGTTGCTGGATCAGCCTTTTCTTCAGGATAGGTCTCCTCGGCATCAAAAACCTCATCAATATGCGTAGGTGTTGCAGTCTCAGAGAGTACTTCTTCAAGAGAGAGTGAGGGCAAGCCCATGTACTTAGATTCCCGCTTTGTGCGTTTCATCATTTTCACTGCTCCATCCTTCTCTGATCCGCTCTGGGACTGCCACCATCGACTGGCAGTACGTCCACGAGAACTCAATCCGTCGTTACTCATGCTGGCAATTGGGGATAGAGCCGGCCGGTAGTCTTTCCACCATCCAGCCTCAGTAGTCTGGGGTGACTCTCCACTCCTCCTTGCATGTGTGCTTCGATCCCTGCTAAGCCGCGTGGGCAGCGTTGTGCCATCTGCCATCTGCGAAAACAAGCGATCCTTGATCTGGGCGGTGTCGAAGCTGCCATCCTCAAAGGGCTTGGGGTACCGCGTCCTGCGGATCTGGAACTCCGCCGTCACGAACTCCATGAAGAATTCCAAACGCTCCAGGTCTGTGTCTGCCCGACTCTCGCGGTCGAGAAACTCGCGATGCCGGCGTGCAGCTTCCTCGATGAAGCGATCAGGCTCTCCCATAGCCATCTCGAATACCGAAGGTGCATTGGAGGGGAGGGCGCTGTGGGCAGAGGCTGGGTTGCGATGGCTCGAGGGAGGTGTTGGTGAAGCTTTGACAGGGAACATGGGTGTTAGAGGCCTCTTGTTCGCACCACGGAAGCCCCTTCTGTCGGTCGTGGGACTGGAGGGTCCCGTCAAGAGCGACTCGAGAGTTGGTGAGCGGTCAAAGCTCATGCTCGACGGACTCCTGGTCTCCGACCATGGCTCAGTCTCGATGGTCAAAGCACTCAATTCCGCTGCAGACTGGTCTTCCTGAGAGCTTCGCCTATTCTTTCTTCGCTCGAGCAGACCTTTTGCCGAAGATACCCGCATTGCAGCACTACGACTCAATCCAGCTGTCGCGCGACCTTGTCGATCGAGATTGCTTGTATCTATGTGAAGCGCTATTGGCGTCCTATGATTGGCACGAGAGCTGGATTCCTCTCGCCAGTTGGCAGGAGTAGGTGGTAGAGGGCTAAGAATTGGTGCGCGATACGAAGTGCGATGTTGTTGAGGTCGACCGGACGGTCCTGGCACTTGTGTCACAGGAAGTATGCGGTCGCCTGTTGCACTCTGAGATCTGGTTGAGGATGGCGGAGGTCCTGGAGGCGGACCAGGCAATGGCATTCCAGGTTGCCAACTAGGTTGTCTTGAAGATGACCGAGACGACGACCCACCTTGGTTCGTACTGAAAGCCGCCTGGGAGGAAACTGCTCCCGTCGAAGCAGCTCTTTTCGCTGCAGGAGGACCTGGTATTGACCTGGTGTCGTACTGGTCCTGCCGCGAGATAGACGACGCGAAACTTTGTTGAGCTGCTGCTGTGTTTATAGAAAGAGATATGACAGAGGCAGGTCTGGTTGCACTAATGGACGACGCCGGTCTCGACCGAGCATGATTCCCACGGGGAGCGGAGTGTCCACTGCTGAATCGCAGAGCATTGTCGTCAACACTTTGGGAAGCGGGATTCAATGGCGATAACACGCTTGTAGGTGTATCTGATCGTGACGGGCCACCCGCAGTAAATGTCGAATCAGCTGGAGATATCGTTGATCCTGCGCTGGGGAGTGCAGCAGCTTCGGACGGAGGGGCGGAGTATGGAGGAGGAGGGCTCGCAACGCCATCTAGAGAAGCAACGACTTAGATGTACCATTCACATTACAGGATCCGACCCACACATACCCTCAGGCCTTGAACCGACATCTCGACTTTCTAGCAATGTCGAGGATTGTCGGCTTCCCCCAGCCCATTGTCTGGGGTCATAAGGCAAACTGTATTGTCCTGATGACCTGCCGGCCATAGGTAGCCGAGTATGTGGGCTCAAACCCGGCGAAGGGACATAAGATGGAGAGTACTGGCCACGCAATGAAGTTGCAGAAATGGGAGTTTCGGTCAATATTCCATGAGGGCTGGACGTGTCGACGCTGAAGGATGACAGGCCCAGGACACTCGCAGGTCGCGCTGGAGAGACCGCAGGTCGGCCATCCCTTCGTGGTGGTGGAGGAGGGAGAAAGGTTATGGGGGAGTTTGGGGAATATTGTGCCCTTTCAATTGCGGACCATGGTCGGCTTTCGAAACATTAGTCCAACAAAAGGACACAAAATGGTCGTAGAACAACGTACTTGGACATGTTAGAACTCGTGCCTCTAGGCACATTTCTTCACCAACCAGGGTCATAACATTGGTGGATTAAGCGCCCAAGCGACTCATGTCACGTTCGAATGGGAGCACCACAGGGCACCATATCGCTTGGGCAATGGTGGCCATGGTATTCACACTTTGTGGGGTGTGATATAGTGACTCGGAAAAAAGCGTAGGGTCCAAGGATTGAGGGAAAATAAGGCTGATGATAACGCAAGTCGTGTACTTAGCATGAGGATTGTCAACACAGAGTTCACAGTGGTGTTTCTATTCTTTGCCACGGATGCTGCAGCTAGACCGAGAAATGGCTAGCCGAGCTCGCGACGTGAACAAGCTGCATGCGGGGCCGGAAAATATTGACATCCTAGCCCTCCTTTGAAGAGAGGAAGAGAATTGGATTGGATGCATGAGTGTGCTGACGAGACGAGAGGTGCATAAAAGTCTAGATGCATGTGGGATGGTGTTGGAAAGAGAGGCATTCCAAGGCGGCTATTTACGAGGCGAGGAACCAATGGATGAAGCGGTGAGAATGTGCCTGAACACTTTCTAAGTTTCTATCCCGTTGCTTTTGATAGAAATGAGCGCTAGCTCACAAGAAGATTAGCGTTGAGCATAATTGCCAAGACTACACTTGTCCTTTTTCATTCTTGCAACTTCGGTTCATCTGCGGCGCCTGGAGAAAAACATCGAGTTTTGTTTTTGTGCTGCCACTTCACACTTGTAAAATTTCAGACCAAATGCTCGCACAATGAGGCCAAATTCTCTCAAGTGCTTGATGTGCCGCTCATGCCTCTGAGATGACCACTGAAAGCTACGGCGTCTTTGTTATATCACGGCACTGTGCAGAGCTGATGATGCCGGGACAAACAATGCACAGACTAAACTGACATGCACAAGGACTTCGCCCACGCGATATGCTGACCAGACAGGAACCGGGTTGCCTATACAGCAAACGAGACAGACTCGACAGCTTCACACACCGACACAAATGGATCAATGGTACGGAAAGAGAAAGCCGGCGAGAAAAGCAAGTCGGTCGCATGCTGCTCAAGTGAAAAACACATTCATGGTTAGTTCGCGCCATTCCACCTCTCCCACCACAAGGATGAATCTGCATACCGTATACAAACTAGAGTCTTTGACCTTCTTGGGAATGAAACTCAAATCGCATTGCACGTCAGTCTGATTTCTCGGATTGTTATGACAAAGCACTTTTACGAACGTATGAGATCCTGGGCTAACTCAGACACAGCGTATCTTCCCATGACAGACCTCAACCGATCATCCTCTTGTACAGACTTTGGTATGTCGATCTCCTTTCCTACAGCACCAACACTTCAATATGATGATTTTTTTCTCAAATATATACGCTGGAAATTACCGGCTGAGACTTTCGAGTCGTGGAAGATATCAAATGGCTATATCTGATTGCACATGCTCCCTGCCACATCCAAACAACCAAAAGTCGTGCAAGACAATTGCTGACTGCCTGAACGACAACAGATAGATGCAGGTATGGCTCTCCGCATGCCACTATTTCCAGCCCGCAGTTTCCTTGATGAATGGCACTGGGCTCCGACAGTCACAAAACTGGCTGGTCTTGATGGATATGCCCTATTGTGGCAGGCCTAGAAAACCTCGCCCACTGATCGAAATTCATACTTGCTATATCCTCGACGTTCTTGCTGGAGGAGGCTAAAGTTTTCAACACAGGGGATCTAGCTCGATAGAACTAAACATGCGGCAGGTAGGGATCCAATTTTCTTTCTGTCCTTTGCTTTCTATGATGAACCTTTTAGATGACGAGTCTGATCCAGTTTGACTGATGCAGACAAACACTATTTTACCATTCATGCATTTCCTGACCACTCCTGTTATCACCAGAATCCTGCAGTGCGTGTAACGTCCCAATGCTAATGGTCGACCAGGTCTTGTGCAAGCTCTTTCAGGGTATGTCACTTCTCTCAAGTCTTTCTGCACCTCAACATGATGAATCGACATTTCAAAGACAAGCATATGTCCAAGCTGGCCTTGGTCAGCTAAGACGAGACTGTCATTCCTGATCTTCACGCCATCAACCTGTTCATTACACACATTGGAGTTGTTTCGATAGGCACTGACATTGTGCTTCCAGGGTCATACAATAATGATCTCTTTCTCTGTAAGTGATCCCGGTGCTGCCCCGTACTTGTTCAATGATGATTTACTCTATTATCACGACGGTCAACGTAGCCTAGGCTTTGACGACCACAGCCTGTGACAGGGCTTAGATCTGATTGGATATATTCCCTCAGTTTTCTCGCGCGCACTATGTTAGTACATCGCTGACCTATTGTGAACAGATATCTTTCATAGCCAGCATATATGCCTGCACATCAAAAAGTAATCAGTGGAACAATCTTCGATTTCTTGTTTGGGTTGTGCACATGTCTCTAGTTGTCACCCGCGTTGTTCAACTTTCACCCTTCTTTTTCACCGCTTCATGCATTCCACCTCACCCTTCTCTTTCTTTTATAAACATCCCAATCACGCTGCTTTAACGATTCTTTGCATCATTGCTTCGCTCCATCACGGCGTGATTCCAGATGGCATACACCAGAGACAAGCTCGAACATATCCTCAATGTCTACCGGGAGGCTGAGCTTGGGCAACCAAAGCCACAAAGCCAACGTCATCTCCGCGAAGATTACAATCTTCGTCAGCTGAAGACCACCAATCTCAATCATGCCGCTGCTTACCAGGACGACGCCAACTCCTCCGCCGATGAATACGACCCGAACACTCCCATCAAGCGTCGCAGCATTGGCAACGGCGCCAAACAAACTCCCAAACGACTTGAGCCTGATCAGCCCTCCTTTACCACAAGAGGTCGGACCTACGTTGCAGTCAAAGATAAGGATGATGTTGCTGGGTTCGTCACCCTCAGATACAACGGCGAAGGATCGAAGGCCAAGCTTGAAGAGCTAGCAGAAGAATATGGTGATGGTGGCGACAGCGACCCCGAACCATACGGTGGATTGTTCATGGCGGCTGGCGGATTTGGCCCTGCTGCCGAACTGCCGCCTCACGAACAGGAGAGGTGGCATCTCAAGTATCTGGAGAGGCTTGATCTGGAGTCTGCGCAGATCGATAACACAAATGGGCGAGCGCTTCGCAACCGCAAAATCCCGGACCGAGATCCCAAGATCGACAAATGCACCGCTTGCAAGAAGGCCCGTGCAAGATGCTCACTGAAGAATAATGGGCAATTCCCATGCACACGATGTCAAAAGAGAGAGATTGAATGTGTCAGAGCGAATATCGATCGGGAACTGGCTACGGAAGCGACACCTGCTCATCCCCATCAACAGGAAGCGGGCAAGAGGAATAGCTTACAGACCGATCTCGAGCCACTTATTGCGGCCAACACTACCAAGCCTCCTTCATCTGTCCCAACTTCTACTCCAGGTGAACGTTCATTAGGCGAGAACAGCCCCTGTGCGTCCAAGACACCTCCATCTTCAGCTGACACGAAGCAATGGCACACGAAAGTCCAGCCATCACCAGCACCAGGACAGAGCCAGATTATTGATTGGTCGGATACGAAGAGAGCAAGTCAGATCATCAGATCGCACGTACTCGCCCAACAGTGTCCCTTCACGACACCAGTCGGCGGTTCCAAAATAAATCCCATCGTCATTGGATCACCGCCAGCCTCCCCACCCCCACCTCAGTCATCAGGAGATGCTAAGCTACTAAGGATCAAAACATTCTGGGCACATCCCATCGACTTCAAATTTCAACCTAGCCCGACCGAGCTGTGCCACTTCTGTTCCGACTTTAGGTACGGAATCTATGGATACGGCGAACTTGATGTTGAGGTAATCCGATATCCGGGTGCCATCGGCGTCGAAGAGACTGGAGATGGACATCGTGCAAGAGGCAGAGAAGCCACACGTATGTGTGTCTTGTGTGCTTTGGCTCGACTTTACATCCTCAAATGCGCAGTGCACCGTTTCCGAAAGCTGGATGTCTTGTTGTCGCAGAAAATCTTTGACTTGTACACGACGCAAGTGCTCGCTGAGACGTGGGATCCACCTCTCAAGAAGGGAGCGTATTCGACATGCTCACTGTGCCCGCATCCTGCATCCTGGAACTGCTGTGCTGATCAAACACACGATCCGTTTCGCCGAAAGCTAACACCGATCGCTGGCGAGGACAGAGGTTGTGGATTGCTCATTTGTGATGACTGTCACGTCAAAGTGGTCACGGATGGCGGCCGCTTGAAGGCCAAAACTGTTGTACCGGCTGAAAAAGGCAGTGTCCGAGCAGATATCGAATTTCTTTTTCCTGGAAGTGGACTTCACCAAGCATATCGTAAGTTGAGCATGTAACCCATCGCATCGCTGTCAAAGGATTCACTGACCTTACCGTAGGGTAGAACCAGGGTCAGTCAGCATTGTGCATGCGGTGGAGACTAGACGCAGTGGGCATGGACAGGGAGGAGCTTTTCATGAGAGCCTCAAGCTGATTTTGGAGCATTGGATCGATGCATGCGCAAATCATTGCGAGTTGTCGAGCACAAAAGGCCCAACATGTGGCTGGATTATTAAAGCATGCTCAGAAAAGAGGATGCTAGTTGGCTTCAGTGAAGAATCCTAAAAGGGAAGAATGCCTCGAGCATAGCAAAAGTTGGTCTCTAGACTCGATATGATGTTTCCATGCTTTACCTAAATCACAAGATTCGTGGAGTTGTGAATTGATAAGAAATCAGTATCTCCGCGATAAGGGAAAGCACGGAAGCTTTTAATTTAATCATTTCACCATGACCAACAGAAGACACTCTGTTTTATACCTATATAGAAATTGGTCGCAAGTCCCCATCTCCAAGAGCTCTTTGTTGACTCTGTGGTTCCAGTCGACTTCAGCGCCTGGACCCAGAGCAAAAGCACGTCCTTTAGAGCCGATCGGTTTCTGGATCACAATACTTCGGTGCTGAATGACGGACGACAATCTCCAGCCGCAAAATCTGACAACACGTTGTACCGTCTTCATTCTGCTCGATACGAAAACAGTGCCTTGATGCGTATTCCAGGCTTCGAACGCACAACTCATTTCAACAGACACTCAATCTGCGACGTATTGACTTACTCCCTACTGCCATACCACATCAGCGAGTCAGGTTCGCCACATCACCGAGCAACAAGCCACAGCATAAAGCCCCACAACGATCTCTGCAAAGTTGAAGACGAGCACCAACAGAGCGAATCGTGGGTGAGAAACAGGCATAAGAAGTCACGATCATGAGTTTCGTGCAATCCAGCCCTCTCGCTCTTATGAGCAGGAGTTCCTTCAACAGAATACAACAGTCGCCTGATGTGAGTGGAACGAATTTCTATTATGCTTGTCATTCCTTGTATTTGTCCTTTTTATGCACTTGTCATCGAGCCTCAAATTGGAGATTGCAAGACCAGTCCCACAAAGGATAATTGGACTCTTTGGATCACATGAGACACTTGATCAACGTCTTCGAGTGGTGTTCGTCGTTCGGCATCGCCCACGAGGTGCGGTGATTCAAACGTCTTTTTCAGCCGAGGCAATGCGGGCATCACGCGGAGAACGGTCCGTTTCGTCAAAGGGATACCTTTTTTGGGCCGCCACACAGAAGACAATCATGAATGAGGCTGAAAGGGGCTCTCGGGCGGTCGACAGGTCATGACATCTTTGCTCCGGTCAACCGACATATTCTTTTTCTGGAAAACTTAGCCCTGGAAAACCAAGTCAACCACTTTCGGCGGAGAAAAGAAAAATAGGAGATCGGCGGGTGGGCACAGGCCAGGTTCCTCATTTTTCCGAAAGGGCAAAATCCCAGTGTCAGGACGCCGAAAACTCGTGTCGACAAATCGAAGCAGATTACGCACTTCGCATATCCACGGTCCAGGGCCGCATCGTTGCACAAGCAAACCATCCGCACAAAACCACAGCGATATACCGAGGAGATGTGGTGTGATTAAAGTCGATATTTTAAGCCAGGGTTGCATGTGACGTGCGCGCTCTTTGTTTCCGATTTCTGGCGAGCACTGTGCGGGCTGCTGTCTCTCAATTGTCTTCGACCTCGCATACTCGAAAATCTCGACGCTAGTGGTCGACAAGTGTATTGCACCCTGACAAACTTACGCCACTCTTGTGTTCTTGGGAGACCGATTGATAACTCACTGGTCGGACGTGGCTCCTGTACACTCTCTACAACCGCTCACAATGTCCAGAAACGTGAGCATCCCCGACCTTTCCTATTGAGACTCCGCATTTCGGCAAAGTCATTGGAACCGAGACTGGGGGTGAAGTCCTTTAGCAAGACCTCCACACTACATCTAGGTCCCGCGACCAATCACTCGACACATATTTGAGATTCCACTGGACGGCGGCCATACATGCGACTCGGCCAACCATGGGGTTCTGCCTTCCTAACAGTGATCGTGTATGCTTTCTGTTGTTGCTGGCTTTCATTGCTTTTTGGAGTTGTGAATGGGAACGCTACTAACTGTTGGTGTATAGTCCGATGTCACGCAGATCGTCGTGGTCATGGTCGGCTTGCCGGCACGTGGCAAAAGTCTGATAGCCGGCAAGGGTAGGAGATATCCCTTGCCCACGGCCTGCACAGTCTGACAGTGTACAGTCAAGCGATATCTACGGTGGACGTCAGTCAAAGCCGAAGTCTTCAACGTTGGCAAATATCGACGGACAGACAATCCCCATCCAGATGCCAATTTTTTCGATGTCAACAACACCGAAGGTGAGAAGGCTCGGAAAGCGGCGGCTGAAGCTGCTGTAGCCGACATGCTCAAGTGGTTCCAAGACAAAGACAATAAGGTCGCCATCCTAGATGCCACGAACTCAACGAAGTCGCGACGGAAATGGATTTACGATAAGATCGTAGAAGCTAATCTCCTCCACCTATTCGTCGAAAGCAAATGTGACGATGAGGACCTGATCATGTCGAATATTCTTGAAGTCAAAACGACGTCCCCGGACTACGTTGGGCAAGATCCCGAAGAAGCAGCCAAGGACTTCCGCGACAGAATTCGCAACTACGAGAAGGTCTATCAGACCATCGACGAATCCGAGAAGAACTTGACCTACGTCAAGATCATCAACATTGGTGCTCGCGTGGTCATCAACCTGATCCAGGACTACCTGCAGTCGAGGCTCGTATACTACCTCACCAATTTACACATCAAACCCCGCAGCATCTGGCTATCACGGGTAAGTTTTCCTAGTCCCGCTGCTCCTACGGACGCGCCTCTTTGGGGGTCAAATTGCTGACATGTTGCGACAAAGCACGGCGAATCCGAATTCAATCTCTCCGGCCAAATCGGTGGCGATGCCAATCTGTCTGAACGCGGCCAGCGATACGCGAAAATGCTACCAGACCTCGTCAAGCGCTCTGGTTTGCCCAAGGACGCGCCCTTGACGATCTGGACGTCGACACTGAAACGCACGAGCCAGACGGCACAACATCTGCAAAAGGAACTGGGCTGGGAGAAACTGCAATGGAAGGCGCTCGACGAGCTTGACAGCGGCATGTGTGATGGCATGACGGTACCACGTACTGATACCCTTTCCCCTGACCGCATACTGACGGTAATGTTCTGATTGTAGTATCAAGAAATTGCCGAAAAGTTCCCCGAGGATTTCCAGGCCCGCGACGACGACAAGTATAATTATCGGTATCGAGGCGGCGAGTCGTACCGTGACGTTGTTATTCGATTGGAGCCTATCATCATGGAGCTCGAACGGAGTGAGAACATTATTATCATTACGTATGTGTCACCCTCCCCATTGCTTCTGGGCTTCGGACTTCGGGCGTTGCAGCTAACGGGGATGCAGACATCAAGCGATTGTTCGCTGTATATTTGCGTATTTCATGGAGATCCCGCAAGAAAAGTCGCCGTGGATGGAAGTGCCGTTGCATACGCTGATGAAACTTACGCCCAAGGCGTACGGGACTGAAGTCGAGCGGTTCAAGGCTGATATACCGGCCGTGAGCACGTGGAGGCCGAAAGGGTCGACGGCGAAACACCATGACAGTATTAGTGAGGGGACGCCGGAGGATGTGGTCGGTGAGGTGAAGAAGGTGGGTGCTGCGGCAAATGCACAAGCGAGTGAGAAATAGAAAGTGCCGGGGCATTAAAACGCCTGGGCTGCCGTTGCGTGGAAGGAAAGTGATTAATATAACGAAGTGAGGCCTTGGAAGGCATGCGAGGAGAAGCTATGGACGATGAAATGCTGTCATGAGCTGTCATGAAATGCAGGTGGTAGATAAACCCGTCTAAATTTAGGCGAGATAAAACGCTGGTGCTATATAACTCCGTATCATCAATTGAAGGAGTGGCTCATCTTGAAGCGGACATAAGATCGTCTAAACATAATTGCGTACAGGATCGTGCATCTCTCAGCACGCGAACGGTGCACCGACACTGCCACTGTTATATGCATCGATGATGAGCTTGATGGAAACATATGTTCCTATAGAATCAGTCAGCTCGACGACTCCGCAGCAGCAGAACACATGATGTGACCGAAAGTCGCAGGAGGATAGGGTCACAGGAAAGTGATATGATACGTACCTGCCACACAGATGAACGCCCCAGCAAAAAAAGTCGCGATGTTCGCCACCGCCTTGATTGGAGACTTCTTCCAAGCCGCAAAGCCATATACGCCGCGGAGTGGACCTTTATCGAAACCGTGGTAGGCATCGTAAAGCCAGAACGCGCCGGCAATGCCGTAGGTGTACCAGCTTGCGAAGAGACTCGCAGCGATAGACACTAGGTACGCAAAAATGGGAACCCCAACGGCGAGGACAAAGGCGGCGCCATTGGCTAGGATGATTAGAATGGTCCATGTTCCCCAGCCAAGAAAGGTGTGTTGGTGCAGATGGCGGGTCCGTCGGAACATGCGGATGAAGAATAATTTCGCGGCGGTGTGTGAGTACAGGCTCCCGGCTATGAGGAAGTTGGGTAGTGCAATCCCGTATGTGGCTTTGGCCCATTTCGTGGGCAGGGAGGAGAACGCTGGTGATTGCACTGACGGCCCAAGATAAATGTACATTACGATCGTGAAGACGATGTAGAAAGATGTGGCGAACGTTTGTAGGACCCAGGCAGCCTTCTTCGCGTCTTTGGGAGAATGCATTTCCGAGATGAGAATGAAGAACATGAAATGTCCGGCGTACGCGAACACTGGATTCGTGATGGCCACGAATGCGTCGTAGAAGCTCGCTGACTGAGCGATGACGATATGTCGGTCAGGAGCCGGATATGCGCCAGCAGCTGCCATGCCAACGATGCCTGCGACCAAAATGCAGAGACATGAGGGGATGCACAGCCATGAGAGCTGGTCCAGCGTTCGTGGGAAGGAGAGCAGGAGTGTGGGGATGGCGAAGATGCCCGTATACCACATCAAGCAGAGTTTGCCGTCGGAGAGGACGTTCAGGGTGATTTGACCGGCCAGCAATTGTGAACCGGTTGCAAACACTGCGAAGATTACGGTACCTCCTGCAAGGATTTCTCGCAAGATCGGGCCGCCCATAATTAGTCCCGCATCGCCCATGTTGTGGACCTCGCCATGATTCATCTTGAAGTCGATCAGGATGAGAGACGTATACAATGCAAATACGCCTGGTAAAATCTGTGGTAAGCAAGGTAGAGTGGGGCCGATCAATGCATTGCAGCCTTACCGAGAAAGGCGATCAGGATCACACCAGGGACGATGCCAACCACAGCCGTGGCTGCCGGAAGGGATAGCATGCCGTTAGACACAATCTCGGCGATCATGAGCAAGGCTACCATTGGCCATGATAGCGTTTTGTAGCGGATTGCGGCATTTGCTTCGTCGCCGAAGACATCGTGGTCTCAATGAGATGTCAATTGCGTTTTCCAACACCAAATGCAGAGGCTCTCAGCAGCAGTAGACTCACCTTGGTAGCCTGCACCGTCAGTTGGTGAATCATCGCCAACGCGAGTCGATGAGAGACCGTCAGGCCCGGCACCATCAGCCTCGCCGGGGCCTCTGTATCGGTATTTCTCGTAATCTGTCGACATTGTCAGAGTCTTTGCACAAAGACACTTTCTCAAAGGGGTTGAGGAAGAAGGAGAGAAGTCAGTCTGGAGGGAGGAAAGAGCTTGACCTGTAGGTCATATTGATTTGTCTGTTCATGGTTCGCCTATCTATGCACGCCTGTCCTCAAAGAGGAAGGTCGTTGTTGGTTCGAGGACGGTGGCTGAAGTTGGAGTAATGGAAAAGAAGTATCACGTGACAATCTACACGTGACTAGGTGGTAGACTCACATGCACCTTCGTCATAGTCCGTGCTGTTGCACTAGTAGCATCGTCCCAAAACCTGCAGGTGGTGGACTCACTTGGCTATCCTTTCCAGCTTGCTTTCTCCGTACCTTCTTCATCCATTCACACCGTCGCCCGTCGCAAGTTCATCGCTGCCCTGCCCAACCGCCGACCTCTTCATCTCCCCCTCCTCCACGTCTTCTCAAACGGTCATTCAAGATGAGTTACGCAGACATTGCTGCCAAGGGCCCCAAGCAGTCTCCAGAAGAGGTTGGTTGCTGCATCTCTCCACTGATCATGTGCCAATGGCTAACATTCGCTAGGCGTACGTGGAATACATCGCCGACTCGATAGAATAACAACTGCTAACAAGATCGTATAGTCGCGCTGCTCCCGTCCCCTCCATCGAGCACTCGGAAGAATCTTCCAGCCTGGTCGACGTCGATTCCCCACATGTCAGCTCTGTCAACTCCGACTACAAGGAACAGGAAATCAAGACCGACACTCAGGCCGAGAGAATCGAGCATGAGGCAGAGGACAAAGCCCGTGCTGCGGAGCAAAAGACGGAAGCTGCCGCTGCTGAGACCAAGAAGAAGGCCGCAACCAAGGGCAAACAAGTCAAGGATTCCTTGAAGAAGGATGGCCAGAAATTGAGCGAGAACAGAGACAACCCGGTTGTCATTGGCAATGCCCTGATATGGGGTCTTGCTACCGTCACTATCGGATACGGCGCCTACAAGAAGCAGAGCGAAGGTAAATTGGACTGGCAACTCGCAGGAACAGTGGCTGGATGTGTTGGTGCCTTTGCTGTGGCCGACTATTTCGGCAGCAAGTAAGTTTGAACTCCCATGGCTGTCAAACCATTGACTGACGATCCTCCCAGGTGGCTGCTTGAGAACAAGTATCCTCCCAAATAGACGGTGATCAGACCAGGCTGATACCCTTTAACGGTTGGAGAACGCACTCTGTATTTTTTTCCTTGACCTCTCTCTACTCGGTTGGCAGGGCGGCTTAGGCGCGAGTCTTGCAGGTTCATACATGTCCTTGCTCAGAAATATGATATCCCCTTGAACTTTCGCAACTTGACATCAGGGTTGTTTGTACGATGCTGATACCTCTTCCGTGGGTCCTACTTCCTGGACAAGGCCTGTGAGAGGTGCGCATCCTTGTCTGCATTGTTTCGAGCATCTTCTGTCCCTCGATAGTATATCGCTAACTGCAGGGCGACCACAATGACAGTGAAGGCTCTGCAGAATTTGTCGTCGGCATGGACGTCGAAATGCGCCATGATCCAGGTGTCAAAGATGGAGACGCTCATGTTGCTGGGATTCAGGAAGCTAAGAAGGCAATTCGTGGCGTGCAAAATCAGCACTGGGTTGCTCAACAATGCTGAGTAGGAGAGGAAGGGACAATCATCCTTGACGGCCTGCCAGTTCTTCTGCATGCCAGGGAACATGCTTGACGCTGTTAACTTGAATCGCTGCTGTAAATTGGTTTTCTGCTTGGAGAGTCGGTTATGGAGCGACCCTAAGTCGTTGGAGGGTGGTTTACTGAGGTGTCAGGGTCGATCTTTCTGTTGGTTCTGTTATTGAGAAGAGTTCAAGGTTACGGGTGGTAGGTATTAACGATGGCGTGTATGTTTTGGGAGTCGACGAGCAGAGAAGTACAAAGACAATCTGAGACAGCAGCGACTTCCTTGGTCACAATGCGGTAGAAATCAGACTTTCATAGCTTGAAAGTGACAATCGTCTACGCCTGGACCAGGCCTTTTGGACGCACATATGAATGTAGAATGCCACCTGTATCACGGTACCTGTGAGAATTGAACTCGATTTATGTATGCCCTCACCTCAACAACGACCTCCGAAGAACCTTTCAATGTGCGATCTACTGGGCCGCATACTGCCATAGTCCGTTTGTAACCAGTTTCATTGCGTGACACAGCACTGATGCTGGGTCTCATGAAGACGCGGCCATAGAGTGCGGAGTTGATGGTGGTTGAAAGGCAAAGAAGTTGATTGGTACGAGATAGATTTACAAACCGTGTTCTTGGAGTAAACTACGTATGTTGACACCTTGCGGCTGCATTTCTTTGGATGCGAGCCACTGCTGCAATCCATGACCTCGCGACACATTTACTCTGCTGAAATTCCCGCGGTCAAAGGGCTTGGAGCGCAGTTTTCGCAGGTCGGTCGTATACTTATCCTGCTGAGCACGAGCAGGATGGTAATTATGGCCCGCGTCTTTTCACATGCTCCGTTGCTGATCCGGGGTAGAACGCCCTTTTCAACTCAGCACTGAAGCAGTCGACCGCCGTACGCCGCGATCTCGAAACCTTTGCAGATGCCCCGGCTGCTGCGTCACCCGCTCTACAAGGTCAAATCTCGACCACCCTGACGAGTTTCTCGAGAACACTAGAAGACTACCAAAACCTGTCACGGAACGAGCCAAATGAAGAGAAGAAAGAGAAGGCTGTCGAGAGACTGAAGAACTTCCGAGCAGATCTGGCTTCCTACCGCACACAGTTTGATCAATTGAAAAGGGAGCGGGAGGCTTCAGTCTCGGCAAACAATAGAAGCGAGCTTTTGGGACGCCGGCCTCACCACGCTGCAACCCCTGAGAACCCGTATGCACACGCGTCGAGCCAAAGCGCATTCGCGCCAGCACATCGCAATGCACAAGAGGGTCTATCCTTCGGTGGCGGTCCGGAAACCTTCACGCGCGAGGACCACGCACTCCGGGAGCAGAACTTCTTCAGCACTGCCAATGCCCAATTGGACGAATTCCTCGACCGAGGCCGAGCCGTTTTGGGAGATTTGGGCCAACAACGCGAAATCCTGAAGGGCACGCAAAAGAGGCTGTACAGCGTTGCAAACACTCTTGGTGTGAGCGGCGACACCATCCGAATGGTCGAAAGGAGAGCCAAGCAAGACAAATGGATCTTCTGGGCCGGTGTCGTGGTCTTTTTCCTCTTCTGCTGGTTGGTGATACACTTCCTCAGATGAGAAATTTACCAATCTACGCGGCACAACCGCTGCGGTTTGCTCAGATGATCGTCTGTTGCCCGTCGACTTCAGTTGGCATGATCCGCTCAGTCTGTGTCAGAGGCTTCAGTGAGGTGCTGAAGAACTTCCGCGTGAACGTTGTGTCGCATCCCAAAGTATTCACGGAGTACCATATCGGATCAGACGGAATTTGATATGACTAGCTTAACCGACGAAGAGCGTTTGTGCCAAAGTGCGCCTCTCGGAACCTCAGGAGCTAGTAAGGCTGTTTCAGCGTGTGAAACATGGCACTGTTCATGGATCTACGAATCCATGGACTTTATGAGAGGTGGGGGCGATACCGTCCCAAAGCGGCTTTGAGGGAATGATCCTGCCACTGTGTCGCTGCACCAATAATGGCGCCCCAGATGTGGCGTGTCATGTGTGTTGACACAGTTTCCAATGGTCATGGCAATGGTGGTCTGGCGAAGTCAGGGAATGCGAGTCAAGAATCCCATTTGGAGCTTGATCCCCGGCGGAATTTGTGGTGAAATGGAGATGCTCTGGATGATTTCCCCGCATTTCGGCAATCATCTTCCAACCTCATTGGTACGTCGTCATGGCAAACATCCACTCTCCCTCGACATGGGGCATCTTCTCATCGGCGATGGGCGCGGGCGGCAGATGAAGGACTGCGACGACCTCGGACAAACAATCGCGTCGAGAAAGTCTACATGACTGGCGACGCACCATATATAATCCCGGGCCCGGTCCACCGTGTTCTCGCTAAGTATAGAGTATCCTGCCACTCCATACCAAACGTTAGAACTGCTTCGTTTCTAAAGTACCGCTTCTCACATCGTCGCGAAATAAGATGGGGGGTGACGCGGGTGATATGCCCTGGCCACAGGTGGTCGTGGGCAACAAAAATCATACAGAGGCAGCCGTCGTCATAATAGGGGGTGGCATTAGTGGCATGTGCACGGCCATTGACCTGATTAAGAGAAACAATTGCCGGAACTTCATTATCCTCGAGAAGAGTGGCGGGCTGGGTGGTACATGGCGAGACAACAAGTACCCTGGGTGCTGTTGTGACGGTAAGGAGTTCCAATCCAAGAACCGTTCACAATCGTCTCTTACCCCTGAACAGTCTTCTCGCACTTATACAGCTTGTCTTTTGAGCAGAACTCGGATTGGACGAGGGAGTATCCCGGCCAGGAGGAAATCTTGCAGTATCTTATGGAAGTCGCAAGGAAGTATGACCTATACCGCTACGTCCGCTTCAATACCGCTGTTGATTCTGCGAAGTGGGATGATGCGGACAAGAAATGGAAGACCACAGTGTCGGTCCAAGGGGCAAAGGACGCCGAGTTTGGCAGCACATACACCATCGCGTCCGATTTCTTGGTTTCTGCAGTTGGCCAGCTAAATGTGCCTCAACTGCCAGACATTCCCGGCCTGAATCAGTTCAAAGGCAAAATCATGCACAGTGCTCGCTGGGATTGGAGCTACGATATCCGTGGGAAGAAAGTCGCCATCATAGGGAATGGAGCCACAGCTGCGCAGATTATCCCCGAGATCGCGAAAGAAGTCGGGCATCTGACCATCCATCAACGGACGCCGAACTGGATCGTCCCTCGGCTTGATGCCCCCATTGCTCCATGGAGAAGAAACATGTATAAATACGTCCCCATGATTAGATGGCGGAAAAGGGCGGAGATGATGGATTTCCGTGAAAGCGTCTATGATGCCGTTTTCGACAACGCATCGTCTGTCGCACAGGATTTTGAAACATTGAGCAAGGGTCATATGCATACCCAGCTTCCCGACAGACCAGATCTGTGGGAGAAGCTGCAGCCTAACTACTCAATCGGCTGCAAACGGATCATCATTTCCGACGACTATTTCCCGGTCTTCCAACGCGACAATGTCAAATTAGAGACGGGCAGGATAGACAACATTACCGCCAATGGCATTGTCACGGAGGGCAAGGAAGAAGATTACGATCTGATTGTCCTTGCAACCGGCTTCCGTACGCTCGAATTTATGCACCCCATTGACGTTACAGGGAGCGCAGGGCGTCCGCTTTCCAGTATTTGGAAAGATGGCGGGCAAGCTCTTTACGGTGTTACAGTCGAGAGCCTGCCCAATTTTGCTATGCTTTATGGGCCCAACACCAATCTGGGGCACAATTCGATCATTCTGATGATAGAGGCTCAAAGCAGATACATTAATGCGTTGATCAGAGAAGTCCTCACAGCGCGAGGTCGTGGTCACAGTTTAGTCATCCAACCGAAAGCAGCCCGAATCGAAGAATTCAACGATGGGATCCAAGGTCAACTGCGAAAAAGCAGTTTTGCGGATCCCAACTGCAACAGCTGGTACAAGAAAGGGGACGGCAAAATCACGAACAACTGGAGTGGGACCGTGATCGAGTATCAGAAGGTAGGCCACTGTAGCATGATGCAGCAGACCGCGGCCATTTGCTGACCTTTCGATAGCTCCTTAGCGATGTTAATTGGTCCGACTTTGACCTCTCTGGTAATGAGGCGGATGAAGTGGCAGGTCGACAAAAGACTCACATTGGACGAGTTGTGGAAGAGTCCGTGGTCAGTTATCAAACGATGGCCTTGACAGCACTGAGCTTGGCCGCGGTTGGCGCTGGTATCGCTCTTCGCAATGCAGGTAGACTGCGGCTGCGATGAAGTCTTCCCTGCAGAGGAGGATAGCTGTGGCGTTGTCTGGCAGAATTTCAATTTGGTGAAGGTTCGGACGACTTACGGTAAACCATTCGTGGACTATTCTGATATAACCCTAGGATACCCAAGAAAAGAGATAATATAGAGTACTGCACCCTGTGAGAGACGTCGTTCGTAGGTTGCGGGCCACGAAGGGCCTTTTCGTCTCCGAAGGAGCAGGGGATAATAAATGCGTTGATCGACGTGGAATGGAGATGGCGTGGCATATTCAGGAGAAGTTGATAAACAGGGGCTCCATCACGTAAGTTTATAGTCCACAGGACACTTTTAGTTGTGAATTTGCACTTCGGGGTGCCTATACTCCTTCACAGCCTGTGTTTTTTAAGCTGTCGTAGCTGTCTCCAGTTAAGCGACTGCGGGCCCTGGTGCTTCTTTCGCCTCTGACTGGCTGCTTTGCACTTGGGTCTCTGCATCTCTTCGGGGCTCGACTTCTTCTTCTTCCTCGCACGCATACATTTTTATTGCTCTATCGAAACAAGACAACTTACAGTCGCATATCCCGTTATTGTAGACACGACCGTTTTCCGCCATTTAACCAATTCTTCGCTACTCGGCCCAGTCCGCCACTCGAACAGAAAAGTCGTTAACCCACAACCCACGCACGCGCTCAAATACCTTTTTTTCGTTCTCAATTCCTCCACAGCTATTCCCGTCTCCGCGCTACAAGAAGCCGCAATCCTCTTGTACATTGATACGCGATGGCTCCTCCGTTTTCTTCGACCTTTGCTTCGGCTGCTGCAAGCATGAATGGTGAAAATGCGGGAAACAGGAGGGACAATGCCACAAATGAATGGTATGGACACTCGACCCCAAAATCCACTGCCCACGACGACTTGGCCTCAGACATGCACGAAAGGATGTGTCTGTGACTTGCTTCGAATGCTTCCAGCCATGTCATAGCATTGCTAACGCTCGCTCTACTTGCAGGTCTAGGAATCGCGTTAATGGCGCTGCTCAAACCTTCCGCAGAACTTCAACCACGACACCTTCACAAACACAGCAACGCGAAAGCGCCGCCACGTCCAACACTGGCAATGAAGGCGTTTATATCCCTCCGCACCTGAACCCCAGCAACTCTTCACGGAACCTCCCTCTCGGTGACACGCGGTACGGCAAAGAACAAATGCTTAGCATATACCAGACGCTGAAGGAGACGTCGGCACTTGATCGACACCTAGACGAGATATTTCTGGGCGGGTGGGAACCTTTGGACGGCAAGAATGGAGCACCAAGTCAAGGTGGTCGTGGCGATGGAAAAGATGCGGTACCTGGACCAGAAGTTTGTTGGAACTACAATACCGATTCAGCGCCATTGGGTTTGACGAGCACGAGTGAGGAGGAGAAGCAGGTGAGAAAGACACTTCCGGTTTGTGCGACAATCTGCATCGCTGACCTTTCGTGACAGCTCTTTTCTACCTCGGTCAACTCGCCAATCAAGTTGCAGCAAAATCCTAAGGAGACTTCAGGTCCCGGTGTAATAGGTGGTCGCAAGGCTTCTTTGTCCACTTACAACAATACTGCGAGTGGCTCCAGACCAGGCACTCGGCGTAGAGACACCAGCGACTCTTTCATGGCCAATGGCCCTTTATCTCCCACCGAGAACAAGACTTTTCCACGAACAGAAACGAACACGGCAACCCCTCCGCCTGCACTGCTACGACGACGAACAGACTACAAGGAGGACGATCCGGCCCCCAGTGCTAAAGAGTATCTTGACGCGGACGATGGTGCGGAGTCGCAGCCTACCTTCCCTGGCTTACGGAGAGCGGGCACTGGCCCTTTGAGTGCTGGATTGAACCCCCCTTCAGCTTCGCCTTGGTCGGCAGGTCCGCAATCTTCTGCATTTGGGTCAATGGGAAGTTTCGGCAGTTTTGCAATCGGCTCTGCGACTACCCCTATCGAATCCAGCGACAAGAGACCTGGTTTTGGCAGCGCGCGTGGTGGCAGCCGTTTCAAGGATCTCCTGTCTAAGACAAGCTCGGAAGACATTTCTCAGAGTATCAGAGACAAGACTTCCTTTGGCGCATTGGAGAAGCTGCCTGAGGAGGACGCCGACAACATTCAATCAAGGCTACGCGACGAGCTCAGAACGCGCCCAGGTCGGAGTGAGACCAATCCATATGAGGAAGCTTCTATGCGATCTGGCAGCGCCGCTTTGAGCAGTGCCCAAGAAAATTTGCCACCACCTGGAGGCATTGAGCAGATGGGGATGTCCGCCTTTGGTCCTCCTGGCAATATAGGAGCTCGGGACTTCGGCCATGATGATCCTTATCAGCAGGCATCTCAAGGAAGGTTCAATCCACCTGATCCGATGAGCCCAACCAACACCAATCCCTATCATAGTCCCCATGGCCGCCCTGAGGATGATGAACGAGACAACAACCCCATCTCGCAAGCTCCAGGTCTCCCACCGTTTGGCGCAAACCGTCGCAACATGTTTGGAAGTTCCGAAGATAGAGGTCCACCAGCCAGCAACACGCGCACCGCAACCGGTTTCGGCGGTCTTTCTGGCTTTGGTGGATTGGGTGGCGGTTCTGGCTGGCCTTCCAACCCCCTGGGATCGAACAAACCTCCCATGGGTCCTGGTTTAGGATCTGCGTTTGCCGATCCCATCTTCAGTCCCCTGACGGATTTGCAATCACCCAGTGCCAGCGGCTTCGGAGGTGGCTTCTTTGGTTCCGGCGGGTTTGGTAGCGCTGGACGTGCGAGTCGTCTAGGTGCAATGTTCCCACCAGCCATGCAAGAGCAGATGCGAGGGGACAGTCGAAACGAAATGCGGCACACTCTCGACTCGCGTCCGGAGAGCGCACAGCAACAGTCTATCCGCGATGCTTTTGACAACACCAACCGTCGAAGTGAGGGATTCGGTCGTGGCTCTAGCCTCTTTGACGAGTCTCCATCCATGAGAAGTGTGGAAGAAGCGACTAATGCCAGTCAAGCCGGTCAATTTGGAGCTCCACCTTCTGGACCACCTCCCTCCTCTCTTACCGCCCCCCAACCTGAAGGCCAACGACCTGAAAGCTACCAGTCTGGTCATGGCTTGAGCCAGTCCAGTGGCAGCAACTCCGACAATCAACTTCCAGCAACCCAACAGCGCCAGATGGTGATGCCAGATCGGATGCGTTGGATTTATCGCGATCCTCAAGGCAATACGCAGGGACCATTTTCGGGCCTTGAGATGCATGATTGGTTCAAGGCTGGGTTCTTTACTGCAGAGTTACAGGTCAAGAAACTTGAAGATGTTGAATACGAACCATTGGCCCAGCTTGTTCGGCGCATAGGCAACTCCAGGGAGCCTTTCCTGGTACCACAAATTGGAGTACCGCATGGACCACCTTCAGCAGCACAAGGCAATCACTGGGCGAATGCCCCAGTCAGTGGAGTTGGCGGTTCAGTTCAGCCACCTTTCGCAAGTAGTTTCCCAAGCTTTGGTACGACCTTGACCGCGGAGCAGCAGAATGCATTGGAGAGACGAAAGCAAGAAGAACAATTTCTCATGGCTCGGCAGAAGGAGCACCTTGCTCAACAGCAGATGGCAATGAAGCACATGCAGATGCAGAACGGCATGCAGCCCTTGCAGCATCAACCCAGTGCGCAGTCACTTCACAGTCAGCCCAGTTTCAGCAGCATGACTTCCCCAACGGGATATCAGCCCGCAGCACCAGGACCTATCCAACCTCCACAGCTCGGGATGCCTTTCGGCCAGCAAGGTGGACCTACAAGCGCGGGGCCTGCTTTCGGCGCAGGCCGCGAGGAAGATCTTCCTAACATGATGGACCGCATGAGCTTCGGGCAACGAGCTGGTCCCTTCGCGGGCGGCCCTTCAGGTCCTCCGCCAGAGGGTCCCTCTCCACAACAACTCAACTCGATGCTGCAAGATAGAGCTCGGGTACAACAGCAACAGCAACAGGCCGATATGCGAGGACATCAGGACGCTTTTTTAGGGCCACAGGGCCGCAACGACCGACTGGACGAGTTCCACGAACTTCGTGGACAAGCGGACCTGCCGGCTGGTCGTCTCGGCCCTGAGGAAACTCGACCACAGCCTATTGGAACTCAACGCCATGCTGATGAACAATTGCCACAGAAGGTCCATGCGCCAATCGGACATCCAGCAGTCGTCTCCAAGCTAGACCACGAACCACTTTCTTTGGCCCAACAGGTGCAAATTGCGGCAGCAAGTCAAATGGCAGCGGCCGAAGAGCATGCGCGCGGGAAACAGGATACTTTTATCGAACCACCGCCTGTCTCGATCTCTCCACTGCCGGCACCTGCAGCTCAACGCAATCGACAACATGTCGCTGACGCTCTTGCAGCAGAGTCAAGGTCGGCAACGCAGACACCTATTGAAACTCCTTCGGTCTCAATCGCACCGTGGGCGGAACGGACGGCAGAGCATCCCAAAGGGCCTTCGTTGAGAGAAATCCAAGAGGCAGAAGCGAAGCGTGCGGCGGAGCAGGAGGAACTTGCTGCTGCTGCACGTCGTGCGCAGCAAGCGGAACAAGAGAAGCTGAGTCAAGTCCTTGGCTCGGCTCCAGCTCCAGCTCCGGGTCTTCCATCAACCTCGACTTGGGGAAGTCCTGCTTCACCAGTCACTCCTGGATCTCAGTCTTCATCGGTTTGGGCCAAGCCGACAGTTGCCAAAGCTGGTAGTGCTGCAACTGTGACTAGCAAGAAGACGCTTGCTCAGATCCAGAAGGAGGAAGAATCTCGCAAACAGCGTGCAGCTGCTGTGGCTGTGGCTGCCAGTGCCCAGAATGCGGCGGCATCCCCAGTGTCAGCTGCTGCCGTCGGGAAGCGGTACGCCGAATTAGCCAGCAAAGTTGCACCAACCACACCAACCACGTCCAGTGCATGGACGACAGTCGGATCTGGCGGTAAAACCAAAGCTCCTCCTGCTGTTGTAGCTTCACCACAGCCAGCCACACGTACCGTCAGCAGCTCTACAGTCACCACTGCCAAACCACGCCCTACGCTTCAGACTTCTCGAAGCACCATCTCGAGCCAAAGCAAGGCCAACGAAGAGTTTACGAAATGGATCAAAGGTTCTCTCGGGAAAGGGCTGAACAGTAACATCAATGGTGAGTTTCACTGAGTCGAAGTTCCAGTCAAAGCTAACCTTTTTGCAGTCGATAGTTTCGTGCAAGATTTACTGCAGCTCCCACCCGAGATCGAAATCATTTCTGACAGTGTGTATGCCAGTTCGCAAACTCTAGACGGTCGCCGCTTTGCTGAAGAATTTGTTCGACGCCGCAAACTCGCAGACAAGGGCATTGTCGAGCCGGCAACGAATGGAGCCGGCGGTGTTGATGGCAAGAGCGCTGGTGGTTGGAGTGAAGTAGCGAAGAAGGGTCCTGCTGCCGCTCCCAAAGAGGAGAATAATGCATCCTTCAAGGTTGTGGCGACCAAAAAGAAGGGCAAGCGGTGAATGTGAGAGGCTGGACCAACGTATGACTGGACTGATGTAACGAGCCAGAGAGATTAGTGTATGGATCATGCGACGCAAAGTTGGGTACGACTCTCAGCAAGTGCTGACCTGTGATGAGTTTGGACTCGACGATCTTATCTAGCTCGTGAGGCAGACCATGTGAAGTAGCGTTATGCATGATGAATAACATGTATGGTGCCTAACTTGACCGTTTGCTGTGATCCTCAGTAGAGTCTCTCGGAGAGATGTTCACTCGTGCACTAAGGCTGGTAAAGTTCGAGATGTAAGCACTTGGATTGTTGACTTTCCACCGGATATGATGCTATAGGACACGCACTTAGGATATGTAACCGCGGCTGTTGGTTTGGCAGTAGTCGTTTCCCCGCATGCACTGTAAGAGGTAGGGTGGTTGGATAATCGAATAAGCGTGCTGACCTGCGGACTTTCTCCGTAGAAATACCAAGGTATGTATATATGTGAACGGGGAGTTCTTGCGATTAGGAGGTTTAAGCAGTAGATAAAGTTCGATTGAGTGTCAGACCAGGCAAAGGCAGACACGGGCAGGGTACGGTACCTTGGTGCAAGAACAGACCATACCGAAGAATCTAAAACATGCCCCTTCCACCATATGAGAACCATGGACCGGTCGATTGTTCTGTCGAGCCTGATACGAGTATAGTGAAGGGAAAGAGTGTTTTGATTACAGGTGGTGAGTACAATCCAAAGTCGGTGTTTTCATCCTGCAAGGAGAAGAAAGGAGAGGGGAGGTCGAGGTCGAGGTCGAGGTCGAGGTCGAGGTCGATTTACTGAGACAGGCGCTGACGAGATACGATGTATAGGTGCGAACGGCTTCGGCGAAGCTCATGTGCGGGCTTTCGCTGCTGCCGGGTGAGTTTGACTTGGTCTGACTCAATTTGGGATCTATGTTGGCTGATATGAACGCAATGCAGGGCATTCGTGACATTTGGTGATGTTGATGAGAAGAAGGGGAGGAGTCTTGCTCAGGAACTCGGGAGTAACGTCCAATTCGTCAAGTGCGATGCTACGGTCTGGGAGGACCAATTGAACATGTTCAAGCGGGCGGTGGCCGAATCTCCTGCTAAGAGTTGCGATATTGTCGTTGCGAATGCTGGGATCACTGGGCCAGATGAGGTCTTTGCTCTGGAAGGTATGGAAAGGCTGACTTCATCCTGACCCTGGGAAAACACTTGCTGTGACTGACTCCTGGACGATAGATGTCGCTGGAGAACCCACCAAGCCGACACTCCCAATCCTCCAGGTGAACTTGATTGGCGCAATCTACACGTTTAAGCTGGGTCAGCATTATATGCGTGTCCAACCTGAAAGTGCGGACCGAGATCGGTGCTTCATATTCAAGGGCAGCGTTGCAGGGTTACTTGATCAGCCTGGCTCGTTCCAGTACTCGGTGTCCAAGTTCGGGTTGAGAGGGTTGATGAGAAGTGCTCGGCGTACGTCGTGGCAGGAGGGCATTCGTGTCAACTATATTGGTCCCTGGTAAGTCAAATTACTCCATTGCATATACGCTCAGCTGTGAGCTTGGGACACTCTTGCCTGATGTCGACTATGAATAGGTATACGAAGACGACGATATTGAAACCTCAGGTCATTGAGAGGTTGGTATCCAAGGGTGTTGAGTTCGCTGAGGTGGCTGATTGCACGACTGCTGTCGTGCGGATTGCTTGCGATAAGACGATCAATGGTATGTTGACTTGTATTGAAAGCACTGACAAGATACTGATTTGGGTTCAGGACGATCCTTTGCGATTCTTCCTCGCTCCGTGACGCCTCAGGGGTATCGTGATGCGGAGCTTGATGACTTGGAGAGTGAGCCGTGGAAGAGTCTTCAGACGGTGGTCCTGGCTGCTGCAATCAGGACCATGTCTGCTGCCGTTCAGACGGCCAAGTAGATACTGATTTTGATTCCTGTATCTTGGTGTAGTGTTTGAGGACGAAAGAGAAAATTGCTTCGATTCAATTGACGCGGGAATGCTCCTCAAATCCGTTCTCTGTCTGGTGAAACCTAAAGACTGCCCCGAGACCTACCTGAAGATACATCTTCTCATGCTGCCAGGGCACAAGCAAAGAGGACGTTCATCAGACTGTTCTTATCGAACATTGATGTTTGATGCGTAAGACGAGTGAGATATGGATTTGTCGAAAATAGAAGTTTTTCTCGTACTAGTAGTTCATGACGTGCAAGGCTGGCGGGTTAAGCTCCTGCTGCAAGAGCTACCGGCTAACGTGTGAGGTGCATAACTGTACAGTAAGCTACACTTCAGGCGTGCCATAATGATACACTGTAACCTCTCCATCCGGCCCAAGTAATTTCCCATGCATGATCTCAGAATGGCGGTCTCCAGAAGCTACATAGCTTCCCCTTACCTGCCAACAATGGGATATATCATGCCCAGCCGGTTCACGCGTCATTATGAGCTTGGAGAAATCCCGCCCTTACATGGAGTCTCTCTCAAGACTGAGGGATCGGTTTCCCTATCTTTATTTTCTGGAGAAAGCTCGGCGGGAATGGAAAGATAACGCTGAAAGTTGCAAAGCCACAGTCCTCGAGCTTCACGGGGACCATTTCTTGCGGAGAGATGTCGGAAATGCCAGAGAACTGAAAGATCATTTGGAAGCTCGATCGAGGCCGGATCAGCCACAAGAGAAGAAAACCGGTCAAGGAGCATCTTCCTGCAGGCACCGCATCTACATCGTCCAAGATCTATCCAACGCATTTCTCGAAACACTGGGATCTCATTTTCAGGTCGACCCATACGTCTTTGCTTCCCAGGCCTGGGTCTCTCATTGGTCAAGCCATAGAAGCGACTTTGGAATGCCACAGAGGCTTCCTTCTCTTCACTCGAGAACAACTCACTCCACCCTCCGCTATTACGAGCTGAATAACCTTCATGACGAAACTGAGACAGGTCGTAGCCACTCCACAGATTCGAAGTACAAATTGATGTCTAATCTTCTACGTCGCGTCGAAAAACAGTCCGGAGTCGACCGATCCGAACCGCCTGTCTTCTTCGTCAGACGCAATGTGTCATCGTGGGTGAGACGAGACGGAAATGATTGGGATGGTATGTCAATGACTCCTACCTCTCACACAGGGAAAGGAATCCCGCGAGCTGATGTCGGTTAGTGGTCATTTTGACAGAACCACCCATCCGCTTCGAAAATGAACACCACAAAAGCGAACCTTACCGGCATGGGTATCCAGACTTTGTACCATGGTCTGCTGCTGCTGCCGTGGCCCAATCTCCTCCCATGACGGCGATGTCCATGTTAGAGGCGATTGCCACATATTGGACGAATGTTGCCAGCCCAGATGAGATTGAGGCCCTACGAGCAGATCCCTCAAAGGCTAGAGACTTACTTGAAACAATATGCTCATCCCACTGGATGGTAATGTTCGACTACATGTGGACGAAGCTGAATGACTCCGAAATGGGCTTGAAGGAAATCACAGACCACCACGGGTGGCCCGAAGACAAAAGCAAACTGATCAAGAATGTCAAGAAGACGTTAATGCAAGGTATTGCATGGAAAAGACGGCTCAACTGGATTTGTGGAGAGATGGACGCCAGCCTGAAAAACCTTGGTGTACACCCAGGAGCTTCAGCCTCGCCGCTTACAGGCACTGACGAACATGTCGACTTCCGATATATGCGCTCCCAGTTCGAGATGCTGAAGTCAGAGTATCGACAGTTCAGCGAGTACTTGGCCAGCATTTTGGAAGTTTTCCAGGGAGAGACAGCGTTGGAAGAAGCCAAAATGTCCACCAAGATTGGCTCGGCCTCAGAAGCACTCACACGTCTGTCCGTCCAGCTTGCAGAAAAGTCATATGAGGAAGGTCGACGATCCGCAGAGTTCGCCCAGATATCCGTCATACTCACAGCGGTTGGTATCGTGTTCATCCCGCTTACGTACACAGCAAGCATATTTAGTATGGCGAATGACTATGGACCTAATGGTGGTCGATTCTGGGTTTATTGGGCTGTTGCGGCTCCGTTGGCCACGGTCAGTATACTTCTGTTTGCCCTGGTGTCCAGGACTCAAAGTCTGTACAATTCACTGGCTTGGGCACTGTTTGGGCCTCATGCAAAGAAGGAAACTGGAGTAAATGAGGCAATCCCTCATGAAAACATCTCACCGAGCCATGGTGCATCCGCGGTACAGGTACGCAATGACCAGGAGCACAAATAGTTCGTATTACTGCAACCAGACCACCGAGCTGTCAAGGGTTCAAAAACCAATGCTCGTATACTTATCCCACATGAAAGTCATAGACCATACTCTTGTCGCCAACCTGGCACAGCAAGAAGACTCGTGAGCCTTGTGGCAAGTCAGTCTGCCCTGTTCAAGACCAACCTCCAAGCTCGCGGCGCCACCGTGGTTACTGTGTCGTTCGCATGCTCGGTAAACACAAAGTAGTCCAATGCCTGTAGACCATATGTCGTCAGATCCATTTCGGACCAACTCTGACAACTCCCCTGCGGAAAGAAAAGCTGGGCGTCAACGTCTGCCAACTCCTCAGCCGAATTGGGGTTATAAACCGCACGCCACGCGGACTCATTTCCTGACGACAAACCCGTCGGATACAAACGAATCGAAGTGTTGCCCGTATCCGCTCCCTCCATCGCAGCATACCCGACAAGAACATCCGCGCCATTAGCCGTGAAAGCAGACACGAAAAGCCCGCCGTCGTCAACGGCGAACGTGATGCTTGACATGCCTGCCGCCACATAAGTACCAGAGTACTTCTGAGCAGCTGTCGCTTTAGCGACGTCGTCGACAGCCGGCACAAGAGCTGTGGCCACAGACGAAAGCAGTATTTGTATCGCCGTGAGCGAATTATCCGGGCCCGCCATATTGATGGCAAAGACCAAGTCGTAGTCCGGGACCAGGGCGATGAACCCCGGTGTAGTCTCCTATACTACCTCCCTTTGTGTGAAAGTCAATGGCCCGACCATCGGACGTGAGGTTCGTGCCGCGTGCGATCTCCCATACTTCGCATACTGAGACTCCGGAAGAGGGTGTGAATGTCTTCGGCTTCATCCATGTTCGTGTTGCGGCGGGGGTGAGAAGTTGTGATGAGAGTAGTGCTGTGCCGAAGGACGAAAGGTCGTTGTTGCTGGCGTAGATACCGCCGGAACTGTGCTGCTGTTTAGAACTCGTGTCCAAGGGGGAAATGGAGGAAGTATGAAAGGGGGTCGCTTTACCTGTTTTCGAAGCCGAAGGGCGTACCCCACCAATTTGTTTCCGCTGGGATGAAACCGATGCTGGAGTTCAGAGGGGCACCAACAGAGGTGCAGTTCATGTTTGATGGGTGCAGGATGTTCTCTTGGAGGTAATCAGCGTATGTCTTGCCGCTAACGTTCTCAATGACAAGGCCTAGGAGTGCGTAGCCGACGTTCGAATAAACCGGTGTCGTCCATGGTGCATACACTGGAGGTCGTATGCCGATGTTGACGAAGGAAATCTAGGTGAGGTCAACTTCAAGGTCACAAGACCTGAGGCTGTGAGGCTCACCATCCCATGAGCAGCCTGTGCTTCCGGCAAAGCCACCGCATGTAAGAGACGCCTGGGCTGCGCTCAATTGAGAGGGGGCAAGCTCTTGTCCCAGCTCCGCCAAGTAGAAGAGTGCACTGTTCGTTACTTGTCTCCAAGTCAGCGTTGTTGTTTCCAGAAGTAGGTCATCTCACGTACGGTCTGCCGGTATGCCACCCAGATGAGCCGGCAGTGCTTCTATGGTGACGGCACCCAAGTCAACTGTCGTGAGATTGTTGTTGTTTTGTGGTAGATTGTTCAGCCTCCGAATGTATTTCCGTGACTGGGTCGGAAAGGTTGAGATCTCCTGCGCCATGTAGTTGAAGAATGGCCAGCGCGGTGTACAACTTTGTGGCACTGCCGATCATGTATACGGTATCTCCGGTGACGTTGTGGGTTCCGCTTGTGTTCAAGGAGTCTGGAGTGTAGTAGTAGCTCAAGAGTGGTTGGGCCTCGTGGATGCTGCGTACCCCAACTGAGACGGCGGATTCGTTGAGCTGGGAACTGGCGTTCTGGAGGCCGAGATTGATTTGTGCGATTACCTGCTGGAAAGTTGTACCCGCTCAGGCTGGTCGGTGCTGGAAAAATTGGACCCAATGGTGGACACAAGAATTGAGCCTGGATATGGACATAATTCAGGGACATGATGAGAAAAAGGGTGCGCCATGGGACGGCCATGGTGAGACGTAGTATCCGAAAGATCTTGCAGCATGTGACAAACGAAGCGTCTTCGAGATTAGGTACTTTGCTGTATGGTGAAGGAAAAGCAATTTCAGCGCTTGAAAGTCACAAATCGGGCGCAACAGGTCTGCTTTATACCAGTCACATCATCTATACATCGTAGTGATGTAGCAGAAGCACTCCCATGGGGGTCAGGCTGCAGCATTCGCAGAGAGGTTCAGCATGCATGATGCCTTCCAGACGAATATAATGTCATCATATCCCCTGAAACCTTTTGTCCTAGCTTGCCCGCAACTGGAGGGGAATCCGAGGACGAGAAGAGAAGCAATCTTGCGAGGCGTACATGAGACATCGTCAAGACTTAGCTTCTTTCGACTGACTTCCGTCACTCAAAACACCGCTCCGAGCGTGCGGGATGCGGAGAGTGAGCCAACGCCTGAAAGTACAACAGTTCAGGTTCAGGTGGATATATCAGGAAGTGGTCGGTCATATCGTTCTGTGAGTCGGAAAGTTGACCTGATGGGGTAAAGCTAAGGGATGCCTGACGAGGCTGCGGACACGTAGGCACCGTCTGATTCGTCATTGAGGGGCCACAAAACTGCCTCTCTTTGGGAGCTGCACTGCGCATTACGGAGCGTCATGGACCTTTCCACAGCAAGCAAGAGCACGAATGCATCAATACCCAGCAAAATGCCGCAAAAAGAATGCGGACCATTCGACGTGAACTGGACATGCCCCCAGCAGAGTCAGCACTCAGTGGAGGAGTTATTTGCACCGAGTCCTGCAAGCCAGATATTGTAAAGTACTTTGCAAGCAACGGTATTTCGTAGCACAATAGTCAAGGCGCATGCTAGTCGAGCATGCATATTCGAGCATCAAGTACTTTGTCCCCGTACGTAGAAGTGCCTCTCACTCATTGACTACCAGTGTCTCTTTCATATACCGCCACGAACGTCCCTCGCAAGGACGGTATAGAACATAAGTAACGTCGACCATGGTCTTTCCCTCGCTCCGGTAGTTCAGTTCAGCCATCACATCATGGAAGTGAATGAACGCGCCCGAGGACCTGAAGTCGTCATCTGCGGAGATAAATTCTGAGCGGCCTTGTTCCAATTCCATCACTCGTGTAGCAACTCGAATGCATTCTGACCGATGCCAGAGACCTTCTTTCGCCTTTGTAAAGTGCATATAATGCAGCATCAGATTACGTAAGATCGGCTCTCGACATTTTAGCGCACCAAGATAAAGTGGTGTCAGGAAGCATGCTTCGAACGAGAAGCTAGCAGTCTTTGTTTCCTCAAGCATTTGAGGGAGACCATTTTTCGCAGCCTCCACAATTTCTTCAAATGTCTCGTGGTGATCAGCATAACACTCTTGCGAGAGGCCAAGGCTTGTCTCAGTATAGACTTTTGCTATCGAAAAGTGTGCCCATAGGACCGATGCAGGGAAACAAGAACACCATAGCTGAGGACCGAGTGACCCTTGAATCCTTCTGAATGCTATCTTCCAAGCTTCAAGTTTGAGCACTATCTGGTCCCTGTCATGTCGGAGCGATTCCAATGACGTTACGGCCGTATTCGCGGGCGACGACCCGACCAGAGCGCGAAAAGCACACACTCGTAAAGCTCGCGTGGCTGCCATGATTTGGTGCAACGAGTCTCGAGCTATCTCGAGCCGGTCGAAGATTTGACGTCGTAGATATTCAGCATGCACACTTTGACTCATTGTGGGCTCAGACAAAGGGAAGCCGAATGCTGCTGAAGAGACGTGCAGTCGTTGAAACAAGGTCAGAATTCTCGGGTCTATGCCTCGTTGCTCCGTATCAGAGGCCCTTTAGAGGTATTCCAAAAGTAGATTTGATCATTTGTCGATCAAAGCGATACCACTACCGTCGTGCATTCGGTAGACTTCGAACATGATGAACAGAGCACACGATGCCAGGGCAACATTGACCGAGGCTGGACCATCCTGGGCTCGGTGCTTCGAGAATGATGATATTGATTTATTGTATGATCGGAGTGCTTGAAGACAATGCGTACATGAACATGCGGAGATATGAGGGTTGTTGGAATCGTTCCAGGAATGCTTGAAGAGATTGCCCAGGGCAAAAATGGCGTTCCGGACCGTGGCATCGGTATGCGCCATTTGGATGATGAGTTTCTTCCAGATGTCGGCATTGAAAGCGCCGGCATTCAGAGGTTCGGCCTTTTGGATGTAAACACCGTATGCTTGCCAGTCATGTTCGGTTGCACGAAAAGCTGATAATAACGTGTCGGAGCTGCTCAAGGTCAAAGGATTGGTTTTTTGGTTGAATACTGAGCATGTTCCATCAACCACAAGAAGTTGGTATCCCTCGCAGGGTCTGCCTGCCTTGATGCATCTTTGACAGTGTGGTCGCTCTTCGCCGCATTTGACTCGCCTGTTTTTGCAGGTGATGCAGGCGGTCCGAGTTTTGGAACGGCGTCGGCCCTGATTTTGACCTTCCATGGCTATTGACAATAGAGGGTTTTAAAACAGTTCCATGAATGGAAGAAATGAGTAAAGGGGTGCAGGCAACAGGATGACCTTGGCAGGACGCCTAATCATGAGGTTCGAAGATGCACGAAAGTGCATTGATCGCAGTATTCTGACCATGGCCACAATGTCAAGATCACTGCAACACCATGATCGATTGATCATCTTCATAGCCACAGCAGTGCTATAAGTGAGTTGCTCACAGACCAACAGCTTTTGTTCTCATCAAGAGGTCGACTCAATCAAGTTTCAGGCACGCCGTAAACTCGACAATCCTATTGGCGGAGTCAATATCGCAGGCACAAGCAAAAACAATCACCAGGGAGCGATGAATGCTGCTGACACGGCTGCGAAGACGAGCGCCTCTTGTCTTGATCGGATGTCTACTTTGACTTCCAACACCTCAGGCACAACTAAGACGGCAGAGGGGAGGTGGATGGTAATCTCTGACAGGTATGTTCATTGGCTGAGCAGCGGATATACAGCCGAATGGCTCCCCTGAATCAACGTTAAGAAGTGGGGCGGGGTATTCATAGTACTGCGCCTCGATCCACGAGACCTCCTAGAACCCATCACGGGCGCTGCGCTCAAGCTCGCATATGAGTCAAAGTAGACAGGTCCACATCTTGCAGGCGTTCACATGATCTACATTTTCTATGCTGAATACATGATCGTGTTATCAATGTAGCAAGCAAACACTGCAGGCCACACAGAGAAAGTCACCATCTCATACACCATGTACGTGGCCTACGCTATCGGCATTATCATCGGTTGTCAGGCGTTTATCGCATCAGGCTCCGAAGTATACTGATGGCATTGTCGCCATGCTTCTGTTCTACTGCGTTTGCATTTGTCTGGCCCTGTTGCTTGTAGCTTCTTACTTCACAAACGATATACGACGAGCACCGGACATGATTGGCGCCGAACACTCTGAATCAGAGGCTCTAGACCCTACCAACAAAGAGAACAAGTCGTCCAAATACACTAGCTGAGCATATCACAAGTGGACAATGTTGTAAGCGTGATTAGAGAGACAAAGGATGAATTGTGTGGTGGACTTTGATATCGTCAAGGAGCCTTGTGAATCCCACGAAGAGTCACTCAATCACACTTCAGTGAGACTAGTCAATGAGCGGCTAGCAAAGTCAACAGGCGTTCCGGTGTGGCCGTTAAATCGAAAACCGCACAGATTTTTGCTAAAATTCGATCACAAAGGTGTAGTGACAGCTTGAGTAGAAATGTCACACTATCAATTCACAAGAAATGACAAAAAGATCATGAGGGCTCAGGGGACAGTCAAGATTTATGGTCATCCATATCTCTCCGTTGCTGGAGTAGACATATCGGTTTAGCGAAACCCTTTTTTTGTTCATCATCATTGTCCTCTACATAGATTTGAACTATGCTTCATTGTATGTACGGCACGCAGCTACATGCCTAAGCCGCACAGGGAGTGCTTTCTTGACGAAATTACGACTTTTCACTTCTTATTGCGGCGCTTCTGCTGGGGATTGTACCTCCCCTCCGCCTTGTTCCGGTGTAGTGAAGTGAGAGCCCCTGGGACTTTGTATGGACGTCGCTTCAGTCTCATACATACGGGGAATATTCATTCATAAGAGAAACTCCTCCCCCCTTTGTCGTCTACCATACGTCCCCACCCATCAAACTAAACCCGATGGCCAATCTTTTGGCGATAGACCCAGGACTGGCCATGGCCAGTTGTCTTTTTGTACGTCTGGCCCTGAGCCTGACAAGGTGTCTCGCAGAACCCGGTTCTTCCAAGCCTTCATGAGCTTGAGTCGATCACTGGCATGATATGGTTCATGCTTACTCCGAAAGAGCCCCTGTCTTCCAAGTTCCTCAACATAGCCAGGTATTGTTAGTCTGTCATGTTCAGTTGAGAACAGGTCTGCCACAGAGGCTAAAGCAATGGGGTCATGCCCCAACGTGGAAGACCGTCTAATCAAGCGGACTCTATATCTTCCTTGTCATATCCGTTGTCTTCAGTCCAGTTGTCACGAGGCTGGGTACACCTGACGTCGATCCGCCTGAATACCTGGTTGTATCCTTCCGCATCATACTTCTCTATACCTGATCTCGTCTTCACACTCAATGGGCGGGACTCGGGAAAAGGGTACACGTGGGCTGGCATTGCAGTCATCCTGATTCTGAAGACTTTCGCGGCAGCATTCACCTTCACGGGACCGCGCCAATCTTGATTCAAAATGCACAAAAGGACAAGTCGGACCTCGGACTAGTGAATGGCATTGCACAGGTGCGTCCCTTGATGGCAAAGCTCCCCTGAACGTGAAGCTAATACTTGCAAAAGACAGCTGCTGCTGGCGCTCAGGCTGTGGGACCACTTCTGATGGGATTGATGGGGATAGTGGGGGAGAAGTATGGCATTGGAGGTATGGAATTTTGGTCTCTGACCTTGGTAGCTGCCGTAGGTGTAGGACAGGGCCACCTTCTGAGTGAGCCGTAAGGCGACGTGGTATAGCCTCATCAAGGAGATTTTCTTCCATCTCAAGGACTGCAGCAAACATTGCAAGGAGATATATATTTCGATCACCCTATCGTAGATATCCGAAAAGTGGACAAGGCTCCCCAGGAGTCGGAAATGTCCGTTGGGAATTAGTGATGCTTTCCTCGACCACAAAACCATTCTTCATTCACAAGCGACAGCCTTCTCTTGAGAATAGTGAGGTGATCAGTACTGGAGCAAAGAGTCGAACTTGCAACTCCAGCATAATACAGCGGTAATGGCAGCTCAATTGTCTGCAGAAGAACGCCTCAAGGCGAGAAAGCCGCTCCCTACTCCGCAACCAGGGTATTTGGCAACAGCAGGGTCGCCGTTGACAGTCGATCAAGACTTGTACTCATCTATTCAGCAAGGATCAAGAGAGCTCATCGAATCTTTCACACTTTCCATCCGTTCCGGAAAAGCATGGAAGGCCCCAGCCGGAACTATCGTCAGAATCAGCACCCCTGAAGGACCGCAAGTTGGTATGAAATCTATCGTTCCTATGCCCATGTCCAGTACGCCATGCTAATCAGCTATAGGTGACTTGAACATCTGGAATGCACACAACCCCCGTGAGCGCTTCTGGGCGTCTCGAACGAAGCAACTCCACTGCTCTCACGTCACGACCTACGACCGTCTATGGTCCTGCCTTCCGTATATGCGACCCTTATGCACTATCGTCGCCGACACCCTGTCCTGGTACGGTCAAGACAACACCGGCGGCCGAGTCCACGACCTCCTCGGCACCAGATGCGATCCATATATCAACACTCTGCTCTCCGGGCCCGAAGCATCCTACGATTTCCACTGTCACTCCAACCTCACCCGTGCTGTGGTGCCTTTTGGTCTCAATGAGTCTGATGTCCACGACGTGATCAACTTGTTCCAGGTGACCGGTCTGGACCACGAGGGCAGGTACTTCATGAATCCTTGTCCGGCACAGGCGGGTGATTATATCGAGTTCTTCGCGGAGCAGGATCTGCTGATGGCGTTGTCGACGTGTCCGGGAGGTGATCTCTCCTTGTGGGGTTTTGGTAGTGACAGTGAGAAGGAGATGATCAAGTGCTGTCGCCCTCTCAAGGTGGAAGTCTTCAAATTGAAGGATGAAGAGAGCATCCTGGCGGGAAAATGGACGCCGGCTCAACGTCCGGACTATCGTGGCACCCATGGTATGACAGTGCCGCTTGGTGAAAAGCGGTCGTAGTTTGGTCGAGTTCGTCCTGCCTTCGAATATATTGAGCAAGCTCAAGCCGTGCTAGTGTCCAGCCATTTCCTGTTGGCCTTTCGTGTCCTTGACGTCTTCAGGCTTGTTGAAAACAACGTCCATTGCTTGCTCCAATATCGCCAGTCCTTGATTGATCTCTTCGTACGAAATGGTAAGAGGAGGCACAATCCTGACGACACCGTCGCCAGCGGTGATAACGAGTAGTCCTCTTTCTCGAGCCGCCGTGATGATTTCTGTAGCTTTGCCTTTGGCCTCGTCACTCAATTGGTAGCCAACAATCAAGCCTCGGCCCCTGACCTCTGAGATGATACCAGGAAATTTCTCCTTCAGGGTTTCATATGCACTAAAGAACAGTGTCGACTTGAGTCTGACCTCTTCTTGCAACTGGGGCTTTGCCAGACGGCCAAAGACGTGATGAGCTACTCGGCATGCAAGTGGGTTTCCTCCGAATGTGGTTCCGTGATCCCCCGTCTTGATGAAGGGTGCGACGGTCTCGCCCGATACAAGTGTGGCTCCGATGGGAATGCCATTGCCAAGCGCCTTCGCGGTGGTCAGGATGTCGGGGTGGACCCCAGAAGCAGTATAGGCCCAAAGGTCACCAGTACGAGACAGGCCGCACTGAATCTCATCAAAGATCAGTACTGCACCAACCTCGTCGCATCTTTGGCGAAGAGCCTTGAGAAACTCCGGGGTAGCCACATTGATGCCTCCCTCACCCTGAATTGGCTCAACGATCACACCTGCAGTATTCTCATTGACCAGCTCTTTGACCCCCTCCACATCGTTGTATGTGCCGTAGCGGAACCCAGGTAGCATGGGCCCAAATGGAGTCTGGTACTTCGGATTCGGCGTCGCTGAAAGTGATCCGTAGGTACGACCATGGAACGAGCCGTGAAATGACACAATCTCCCTCTGTTTCGTGTCGGGATCTTTCGCATAGGTCACCTTTCTGGCAAACTTAATTGCTGCTTCATTGGCTTCTGAACCAGAGTTCGCAATAAAGACTTGGTCGAGGGGCGAGCCGGGTGACTGCTTCTTAGTTTCCTCGATAAGAAGCTTGGATAATGTCGGTGTCCAGGGATTGTGGTAAAGGTTTGAAGCATGAATTAGTGTTTGTGCTTGGTTGGCAATGATTCTTGTGATTTCGGGGTCTGCGTGACCTAGAGAGTTGACTGCTATGCCTGCAGTAAAGTCGAGATATCGTCTGTTCTCGTTGTCGTACAGGACCGAACCTTCACCCTGAACCATCATAGGAGGTGGGCGGACGTAGGTAGGAATCATAAAGGGTGCGGACTGGTCGAGGAATGTCGTCGTTGGAGAGTCTGCGGAGGGATCTGGGTTTGGCAAGGAGGCATCTCGTCTGATCTGTGTCTGATCCTTTGCTGGTATGGTCGACGAAGTCGGGACTGCAGCAGCACTTGCATAACATCGCTGGCTTATTCGGCTCGGTGTGCTTGCAACTCTTACCAGCTGTCTGAAACCAGCCTTTCGGCTCAGGGAAGACGCCATGAGGTTGAAGTCAACAAAATGAGCAACGAGTCGCAGTCCGGGACGTATTTTATCTTTATAGACGACGGCTAATGGAAAAATCTCTGTTGCTGCATGGCGCATGTGGAAGTGATGCACGAGCGACATTGGAGAAGTTGATTGAGTCACTCCTCCGCTAGAAAATTTGTTTGCGGAGAAATGCGATAACGATGATAAACTCGCAGATTAGATTAGATCGGATGCTCGCCATCCGACGAGGCCCTCATCCGAGGAATTTCCCTTCGATGAGGTCGTAGAACACCCTTCTCACTCTATCTTTCCGCCCCATCGTCGATCGTTACGTCTCCGACCACTTTCTGTGTTGCCTTGAGAGATTTTCGTTTATCATTCAGGAAGTACACGGCCTCTATTCGTCCTAATACACCATGAAGCCCGCCACCGTTTCTCTTCGAGCAATCGCCTCCGCGCCTCGAGCGCACCTCTTCACATACTCTGCCTCCGCCATCCGGCGTCTGAGTACTTCTGTTGCCGTCCGAAGCAAGGGAGACCCGTCCTCGTCCAGTCCCTTCGCTTTTGGTGGTCCTGCGCCACCTCGGCTCCCAAAGGAAGATCAAGAGATCTTCGAATCGTTGCAGCGAGCATCAACCGGTGCATTTTCCACACCAAGAACGCCGCCATCGATAAACCAGTCCCCAGATTCTACTTCCTCTGAGGTCTCAGATGCGCAAGCCGCGATACGGGCAAGACTCGAGAAGATACAGTCCGAAGCCACGCCTTCGAGCTCAGAAGAACCGTCAAAGTTCAAACAGCAGTACGACCGGGTAATCGAGGCACGGGGTAAGGGTGAGGAGCTACATCCCAATCTCCGCAGAGGAGCCCAGCCCGAATTTGATGGCGATGTCAACCCCAAGACGGGAGAAGTGGGAGGACCGAAGAACGAGCCGTTGAGGTGGGGAGCAGCAGGAGAATGGAGTTACAATGGGAGGACGACAGATTTTTGAGGTCATCACGGAGTTTATATGTTCAATCATTGGAAGTTAGAACTTTCGAATGCTCAAGGTTGCGGTCTAACGGCTCTTTAATCGTGCTCTTGATGAGTCTGCGTGCTTAGCCTCAACAAATCGTGTCCAGAGGCCCCAAGCGCCCTGCGCAATGCTTGCGTCGTCAAATCCCTGATTGTTCCCTGTAAGTGGTCATTCCCTCACGATGATGAAAGCTCAACATCAAGCTCTAGGGTGGATCGGTCGTTGCAAGATCATGATAACGTGTCCCATATGCCTAGTTTGTCTCTACTGTGTCTTGACTTCGCCATCCTGTTCGACATGGATATGCTCGTTGGTCTGAAGGACACCGACTTTGTCTTCTGGGAACTCGACGCTATGATCTCGAAGTCAGTACTGGAGCCTTTGTAGAGGAGCAACGGTGGTGACTTACGTGAAACCCTTAATCAAGGTGAACTCATGCTTGATTGAGCCGCCGTCTGACTTGGCCTTGTCCTTTGCTTTGGTGAGTTCCTCAGGCGAGGCATTCTCCTTCAGGGTGACCTGCCAATGTTAAGCATGATTACCACATGGAGTTGAGGAGCGGGTCGTACGTTGTAAAGAGGCATCTTGTTCGAGGTGGATGAACTGAAGGACTGGTGCCTAGATAGATTGGATAGGACAGAAGGGCGGTGAAATCTGGCTGACAATCGAAGTCTAGGAGGAGTCGGAATCGTGAAATGCAAGACAACTGTGAAAGACTTGGGGTTTATAAGACGATAAGAACAATTGAAGAGCAGGTTGGTTCATGTGCCAGTGTTGCGTCTCCCATCTGCAGGGCTGGTCACAAGGAGTCAAGTGCCCATCTGTGCCCATCCCGCGCCGAATGACGCAATCACGCCTATCTGATGGCTTCAATTGTCTTCAACTTGTCCTCCATCGGTCATCGCCGTCTCGCCTTTTCCAACCTCTCCAATCTCGGATCCAAATGGCTGGGAATACTGTCGCTACTGTACGTGGATCTCAACTGCCTTGGTGCCTTGGACCCATCGCACCTAGCTGCGAGGATATCATGGGTGCCATTGACACGAATTGATGAGCAAGTGCCGCTGTCAACGACTTGCCTCTCCACCCTCTATCGGAAACTCTCAGAGGTGCAAAGGAGATTACCCTATCCTCGGCCAGAGCCCATGTGTCCCATGCATGTATTTTCTCATGGTATAGCTCTGGTCAAGCATCCGGAGATCTGTCATCCAAGGTCAAATAAGAGCGCCTGACCAGATCTGACATTATATCTGAGCTCGCCTTCTGGTTATCGTCCTTTGGAACCCGCCCCGTGGGGGTTCTGTGCGTTGGAAACGAGAGCACACCGCTCGAGACCTTCCGTCTCATTTCGTGGTCTATGTGAACAAGCAAAAGCCCGTCGCATTTGATTTTATGTTCTACTACTCCGTGCCCGCCATGAACATTGTTGATAATGGCAGACACAAGGCTGTGCGCGCCTGCTAACGACCTACCTGATTCACCATTGCTATGGAGTTCGGCAGTGTACCTTCGTGAGGGGTACATGATGAGCGCTAAGCATGACCTACGGAATAGTGTTTGGGGTCTTTTACTTAGTTTGCATCTTCAGATATCTTGTCTTGCTACCTACCTGGTAGCATACCTAGGTACCTAGTAGTCAGTGAACACCACACACTCTCTCTGCCTTACATTATGTCCTGAACTCTTACTGTGCAGCATGCTCGCTGCTACCCAACCCACATCGACACAGCCTCAATGTCCCTAAGGGTTCCCACCCATTCCCAAATCAACGATGACCTCGACCTGACCATCCGCTTCTCCGCGTCGCTCCCTGACCTGCTACTCACGATCCCTGGATCTCGCAATGCCAACACAGCCACGTTGAAGCAATTGATTCGCACGCAGCTTCCCAAACAATATGCCAAACACCGCATTCGGCTCATCTACGCCGGCAAAGCGCTCGTCGACAATGTCCCGCTCACTGTGTCGCTGAAACGCAACGTCTCCCGCCCTCCAAGTAGAATTGGCACGCCTGGGCCATACGACACCGAAGCGCATGTTGGGGCGGGCAAGAATGGAAAAGACACTGTCAAGGGAAAAGCACCTGTTCGCGACCAGACGCAGCGCATCTACATCCACTGCTCAATAGGCGATATCGTCCTGACGCCGACAGAACTCGCGGAAGAAGCGGCGACAGCTGCAGCCCAGAGTGACACGGTAAAAGATGGCGACGACAATGATGAGCATGGTGATAAACCGCAGTCGCAGACTACTACTACAACGCCCGCGCCACGAGGATTTGACCGATTGTTGAACGCGGGCTTCACGTCCGCAGAAGTCCAATCCCTACGCCTCCAATTCCTGTCTATCCAAGCACACACGCACACGCCAGATACTATGCCCAGCCCTAATTCGTTACGAAACATGGAGGACCAATGGCTTGACAACTCCAACAGTGGCTCGGATCCAGATGGCCTTGCTGGAGCTGCCGGTGCTGGCGCGGGATTCGGTGGGAGCGATGACGAACAATCAGGTGCGCTGGACGACATGATTTTCGGGACGGCCATGGGCTTCTTCTGGCCCATTGGCTGTTTGCTGTGGGGTGTACGGGAGGAAGGAATCTGGAGTCAAAGGCGCAAGGTGGCTGTTGTGGTTGGGTTCATGTTGAATGTTGGGTTGGGGCTTATTAGGTACACAGGGTGAATTCCGAGGGGATCATCCTGGAGAGACGAGACGCCATACGATCAGGGACAATGAAAAATCACGAACAGTGCGCAGCTGGATATTTCCTCAAGGGATATCTTTGCATTTTAAACTGAGACCGCTCGCTATTTTGTTAACACAACCTGTCCCAACCAGCCCCTCGGGCCTGGATACCCAACAACGCCGTATGCTTATTGAGTCCTATCCTCAGGCTCTGCTGTACAATACATCAAAAGATCAATTGCTGCTGCATCAACGCGTCACTTGAATTTGCTGTAAATGACTCCGACGATGAGCAGAACTAACACGGTGATGATAGCGATGGTGATTATCCGATTGGTAGCCATCCTAGAATGATGTCTCGTCAGTCTCTTGCTCTGAAAAAGGTAAAGATTCGTGCCTTAATTCAGTGCAGCGATGAGAAGTAGCAAGGAATGAGTCTCACCTACGTGCCATCCCCCTCAGCGTCTTGACACTCCTGTCCACGTAGCCCTCACTCTGCAGTAGATTGCGGTGCGTGTTCTCAATGACATTCCTCTGCCCATGCAGATCAGCCAGCGTCGACGCGCCTATCTGTTCTGTCTCGAGGGCAATGCGCTGCGACTCCTGCAGTCTTTGGCTACTGCGGCCTAACCGCTCCGTGCCCGAGAGAAGTTGCTGGCGCTGTTCGAGTTGGGGGTCGTGCGGACCAGACTCTGGATCGTCCGTGTATCGATCGCCGAATAGTTGTTTTCTGTCATCACTAAGCGACTTCAGTTTGCGTGCTAGGCCGTCGATGTCGGATTGGTGGTTGCGGAAGCGCGAGTTGACTTTGGAGCGGGCGGAGGTTGGGATGTTGGATTTCTCGAGATTCATTTGGTCCAGCTGTTCCTGGATGTTAGCATTGTGTATTGTACCTTTGCGCATCTACATGCGCATGCGCAGATATACCATACCAATTCTTTCGCCTCATCCAGGGCTCTTTCTGCGCCCCGGATGGCGGCTTTGCGCTGTTCGCCTGCAAATTCGGGAATCTGATCCAGTTTTTGGTTTACGTCTGCTTCGACAAGTTTGAGCTCAGCTTCATAAGTGCTGAACAGCTCGGAGCCGGCGTCTGTGTCGAGAGGGTTGGCCATCGTTGTTGAACTTGCTGGCCGGTAGTAGTTCGATTCAGTGGCGCCTGATTGCGCGGTCGGTCACTGTCTTGAGGGAATAAGTCTAGTCAAGACAGAGGACTCGCTGGTGGTGTGTTGGTTGACAGTGTGTCCTTCTCTGAGAAGTGGTTGTGCAGGATACAGGTGACAATGGGGGATGCAATTCATGAAACGATGTCATGCAAGGTCCAAGTTGTTCGTTGGAGGCTGGAACAATGGAGCCAGGAAAGCCTACGTAGTCCGCCCACTGCAGTCTCCGACGCCAGTTCACGCCGTTTTGAGAACGTCGAGAAGAGTAGGCTGCGCCGCTTTAACCCTGATTAGGGGGCGAGAGACTCGAACGGCCACCGAAGTAATTTTGACTTCCTTGGACCTCAAGGTAGCCGAAAGAATGCTCCTCAACTGTCAACACATATATATTCTATGCCTCGGACATACTGACATACTGCACTGCTAACGTGGTCACAACAGGTCTACGGCCATGATATTGCTTAGCTTGATCGCAGGTAAAACTGCCCCTATTATTCTCCAAATCCCTCCCGGCCATGGGTAAACGGGTTGCAATCGTGGGCAGTGGAAGTTCGGGCATGGGTGCATTATGGGCACTCAACACCAGCACAGATCATGAAGTCCATCTATTTGAGGTATCATCACGCCTTGGTGGCGACACCAATTCCGTCACATTCGAAGGACCAAACGGTGATGAGATCGAGGTCGATGTCGGGCTCACTATGATGAACACCGCTACGTATCCCAACTTTCTCGCATTTCTCGGGCACTTGGGTTTATCGATCCAGAAAGGAGACCTGACATTCAGCGTCTCTCGCGATCAGGGAACACTCGAGTGGGCCACGACATCCCTCAAATCCATTTTCTCGCAATGGGGAAATCTCATCGATCTTGGGATTTGGAGAATGCTCTTCGACATTGTCCGCTTCAATGAGTTTGCACCAGATCTGCTGCGGAGCGAAAGTGAGAGCAAGGCCGATCCTCAAACCCAACCCAACAACAAGGGTATCCCCAATGAACCTGCCCAGGGCAGCATCGGTGAATATCTTGACAAGAAAAACTACTCCCAAGAGTTCCAAGACAACTACCTTCTCCCAATGACTGCCGCACTCTGGAGGACAAATCCCAATATCTGTCTGCAGTTTCCAGCCATCACACTAGTACGCTTCATGTACCAATACCACCTATTGAATACCACCGCCGAGAGGTCCAGTTTGTTAAGCATTCCAGGAGGTTCGAAAGGGTACATAGACGCTGTGCTGAGAGCTTTTCCTCAATCTCGAATGCATGTCAAGTCGAGAGTGACCGCACTAGAGCCCACGGAAACGGGGTCAATCGTGCTGACAGCCAACGGCAAAGACCAAGAGTTTGACCATGTGATACTCGCAATTCCTGCAGATCAAGCACTAAAAATCTTGCAGCCTACAGCCAAGAAGGAGGAAGTCGAGATCCTCGGCGGTTTCCAGACGACGAGAAACGTTGTAGTCCTGCATTCAGACCTCACACTGATGCCGAAAAGGCGAGTGCTATGGTCTGCCTTGAACTATATCATGGAAACTCCGTTCCCACCGACCAAGAGTCAAAACATCTCACAGATGTGTCTGACTTATTGCATGAACATGATTCAAGGTGTACCGGAGGATAAGTTCGGTCCGATCCTTGTCACCCTGAATCCATTGAACATTCCGGATCCTCGTTTGGCACAGGGAATCTGGGAGTATGCTCATCCATTGTACAACGCTGCCGCTATCAGATTTCAAGGACTGTTGCCGAGGATTCAGGCCACCAGGAACATCAGTTACTGTGGATCCTGGACCAGGTTTGGATTCCTCGAAGATGGTTTCAGCAGCGGTTTGTCGGTAGCTGTCGACCATTTGGGAGCTCATTTGCCATTTGGGATCGTGGATCCAGCGTACTCTCGAGAGAAACGGCCAACACCAACCATCAAGAATCATCTGCTCAGAGTGATCATTCTGATGGTACAGATAATGATACTTCTCATGGAAAGAGCATGGTTCTTTTTGGAATCGACTCTGGCGGGAAATTCGACAAGGCAAAGGAAGATTGCCTGATGACTAGACTTCATCCGGCACTGATGGCAAGGTCGGCCACCTGCCTCATCAAGGTGGTGGATCCCTCCTCGTCTTCTATGCTGACTTCGATACTGTTTCGAGGTCGGCTCTTGTTGAGACCCTCGAGAAGAGAGCAAGCTTTACAAATCTTTTGACTTGATAGATAACCACATCTCTCGCATTGACCCATCACCTGCTTGACAATCTTTCGACGCCCTCTTGGCTTCTTGTCGTGGATCTTTGGTGCAGACATCTTTGTGCTTGAGCCTGTTTGGGCTCCATGGGTCAACTCAATTTCAGTCTCTCGGTCGGCGGCTGCCTCGTTTGCGGCCAAGGTTCTTTCCATCTGAGTCATGGAGCCACCGTCGGCGTTTCGCGTGCCGCAGCCGTTGACTTCTTCGTCGCCATTTACACCACAGGAGACAGAGCTGCTCAGTTCTGGTGGCACCAGAGCAGCCATGTCTTCTCCACTCTTGACAATATCCAAGATACTGCTCGGCCGGATCTTTTCCAAGTCTTTGATCAATGTCCGGGCACTGCCTCGAAAGGCCTCTGGCGAGTATATGCATTCCGTGCTGAAGTAGTCCAGTTTCTTGTGGTGCGCATAAAGCACAATTTCCTTTTCGTAGGCATACTTGAGCGGCTTACTGCGTTTAGTCTCGCTAGCTGCACTTGAGGTCATAATGGAGGTTGCCCTAGCCAGTCGAGGAAGATCGCCCCGTAATAGATTCATCATGACGGTCTCTGCAACGTCGTCCGCATTATGTCCCGTGACAACGTGCTTGATGCCCAACTTTGAGGCTCCTCTGTCCAACGCTTGCCTCCGAAACACTCCACAGTACGTGCAATTACCCTTCTTGCCCACCTGCGCCACAACCTGGTCCATGGTCCAGCCGTATAGTTGATCGTAACCCACAATTTCGAGGGGCATTCCATACTGCGTTGCATTTCTCTTCACCGTTTCAAGGCTGTCGTCTCGGTACCCTTTGATACCCTCATCGATGGACAACAGGACCAGGTCCAATCCGTAATCATGACGCTCATTCAATGTCTTGAGGACAGAAGCAAGAACGGTAGAGTCTTTCCCGCCCGAAGCACCGATTGCAACTCGTTCGCCCCGTTGAAATAGCTGATTACTCACGATTGTCTCGTGGATTTCGATTTCAAAGACTGACAAGAAACACTGCTTGCAGATTTTTTGCGAGTTCTTCGGTCGGATGACCGCTGCTCGTGCTTCCTTGCACACCTCACATACCACTGGCGGCATTCTTTAGAATGTTGTGCAAAGTATTTAGTTTTCAGAGTCAGAACAAAAAATGCGGCGAAAGTGATATATACGGTACGGCGGAGTACGAAATGAAATTTCTCCTCGATGCTGTGGAGTGTTAGAGCCTCGCATGCAGCCCTCTTGCGCATCCCATCAATGTTTATTAATTTTTGGTGGCCGCTCGACTGCTCAGCGCTCGTTGCAGAGTAGTAGAGCGACACTGGCCCTCACGCTCCGATGCGCTCGGCATTGCAAGCGGAACTTAGGTTCTCGCAGATCCTCACGTCCACCTGCCGACACTGCGCTCGAAGACAAGCCAGCAAACCACGCTCCTTTCATACCACCCCACGATTTCGTGCTCCTCAAGAGCCTCCGAATAATTCCAGCTCCGGAGTAGACCATGGTGTGGGTATTGATAAAAGCAGCCACAGTGTTCGGACAGGGATAGCGCCTGAAAGTGCTTCAGAGGAAAAGAGCGCTCTATCAAGTCAGTCAACCTCGAAACAGGATGAGCCTGCCCCGTCGGACGATGGTGCGTCAGCAGAGTCCCGGGACTTGTATCGCTCAGCAGGCAGAGGGCGAATGCGACGTCGCATGAGCAAAGCATCAGGCGATGTGCAAACTCTGTCAAATTGGTTCCTCGACAACAACATTACCCTATATGGCGAAGAACCTCTTGTCCCAAGTTGGGACGGCCCGAGGGTACAAAAGGTTCCGGCAGATTTGGTGACGGGTGAACCGCTCGAAGTCAAGGAATCCGACGATCTACGGCCCCCGCCACAGTGCCCGCAGTTCGAGCGTCCAGGGCCGCCGACAGACAATCGTGACAGCACCAACGCAGGCCATCAGCCTGATAGTCGCAATGAGGAAGATTCACAATCGATGAGACTGGCGGAAAATGCGTTTTCCCTTCTTTGCTCCTCTCAGACGATAAGTGATCCGAGATATCACATAATAGCCGAGCAGTTCGAGGAGGCTGAACGGACGGCCAGAGGACTCTTGCTAATGCCGGAGGTAAAGGGAAGTCTTGTCCACGACTCGGAGTCCATCAAAGAACATCTGCTCCTACAGTTCGCGGGCAAAGATGGCGATTTGTTGCTGGATCGTGTTGTCGAGGATTTGGCTCGTCACCTAGCCTGCGATCTATTAGTGTTGGATGCGCATGATATTGCAAACCTCATCACTCGACCAGGGCTCGAAGGTCGCATTATGAAAGAAGGTCGTAACCTAAGTTATGATGTGTACAACGCCGCATTCTCCGATTCATCCAAAACCCCACAGATCGAAGCAACCGAGAACGAGGACGACGAGGAAGAAGATGTCCTAGACGATTTGTTCGGCGGTTCATCCGAAGGTCCTCCCCGTAAGGGCATGCCTGTAATGATCGGTAAGTTGGACCTCAAGACGATGTTCGGTGTCCCAGGCGAGCGGAGACGCTTGCGGTCTGGCTCTTCGCGATCACGGCCTATGGGGGATATGGTTTCGTACAGGACCGAAGGGGACTTCAAAACTGCTGTTCAGAGTCTGTTCACCAGTTTGGCAGAGCGACAGAATATCACGAAGCGAAAACCTCGAGCAGCAAATGAGATGGTGCCAGAATTAGGGCGATTCCGTGAATCTGCGGCGAAGATGGTTGGAGTACCCAAAGGCGCAGCAATCATCCATGTCAAGGATCTTGAGTCCATTCAAGAGACCAGCATTGGCCTAGCTTTTTTGCAGGATCTCTATCAAGGAGTCTCAAAGCGGAGAAAACTTGGTGAGCCATTGCTACTCATCGGCACTGACAGTGTCCGTGAAGGCGAGGAACCCTTCACGAAAGAACGAATTGAGGAACTTCAGAAGGGCTACAGAGACGAAATATCGCAGAACATTGTCATCACTCCAGTGTTGCCAAACACGACATCGAAGCTTGCACTTCTCGATGATCGAAAACAACGTATTGCTACAATCAATATGAGACACCTCTGGGAGATGATGGAGCAGCGGAAACCATCTGTTTTCGCACATCTCGAACCCGGGTTTTGGCACCGGGATTTCCTCCAACAAGTTGATTTCCCTGACCGATTCTCACTTGAAGCCAAAATTTGGAGTTACTCGTACGTCCAGCGACTTGCAAACTACTTGGCAGGTTCCGCCTTTCCTCTCCATGAGAACACAATTCCAGGTATCACAGATAAGAAAGAACTTCAAGAGTCTTTGCGTGCGGTTCATGGTGATTCGGACCACGTTATCGCTGCAGCCACAGCCAGTCTCCGACACAGTGACAAGACCAAGGCGAGATGGGCCGAGAAAGAGAAGGTGTCGAAAGAAGCCATGGCCGATGTTTCAGAGAAGCCCAAATCGCCAGGACAGCGGCGGATAGCATCAATCCACGCATCTGCATCAAGATACGAGAAGCGGTTGATGGGTGGCATCGTTGAAGCAAACAACATCAACACCACGTTCAACGACGTGCATATGCCTGCCGAGACCATTGACACTTTGCAGACTTTGACGACGTTGTCTCTTATTCGACCAGATGCTTTCAAATATGGTGTTCTTGCGTCGGACAAGATTCCTGGTCTTTTGCTCTATGGTCCGCCGGGCACTGGCAAAACACTTGCGGCCAAAGCAGTGGCCAAGGAGTCCGGCGCAACCATGCTTGAAGTCAGTGCGGCCGATATCAATAATATGTATGTGGGAGAAGGCGAGAAGAATGTCAAGGCTCTCTTCAGTCTAGCCAAGAAACTATCGCCATGCGTAGTTTTCCTGGACGAGGCCGATGCCATGTTCAGCGCACGCAGTACCCAAGGCCGACGGGCGAGTCATCGTGAATTGCTGAATCAGTTTTTGCGGGAGTGGGATGGGATGAGTAACGATTCAGGCAGCGCGTTCATCATGGTAGCCACCAACCGACCCATGGACCTTGATGATGCTGTTCTTCGTCGGCTTCCGCGCCGACTTCTCGTCGATTTGCCAACTGAGTCGGACAGATTGGAGATTTTGAAGATTCATCTTCGACAGGAACAGCTAGCAAACGACGTTGATGTCCCGGAACTTGCCAAACGGACGCCATTCTATTCTGGCTCGGACTTGAAGAACGTTGCCGTCGCTGCTGCACTCAATTGTGTGCGTGAGGAGAATGACCTCGCCAAAAAGCATCAGGGCGAGGAACCATATCAGCATGCTGAACGCCGGACTCTGCACAAACGACATTTCGATCAGGCTTTGGAGGACATTTCTGCCAGTATTTCGGAGGATATGAGTTCGTTGAAAGATATCAAGAAGTTTGACGAGCAATTTGGTGACAAGCGTGGGAAGTCGAAAAAGACGCCTAGATTGGGGTTCCCAACACAACATGATGACCGGAAGCGCGATACGAAAAGGGTTAGGGCTTGATCTCTCGAACTCATGAGTTTGATTGCGTCTGGGAGAGGATCCAGGAAAAAAGCGTGATGCTACATGAGCTTTGCCGCCGTCGAGCGAGCTACATCAATAGGGAATAGACTGTAACAATACGGAGTACCATCCGACGATGTCAGTGCCATATGCGGCGGAATAAGACTGTCGTCCGCTCCATGAAATTTATGTCCTCAAGGCCACTCTGAGTACTCTATACAATTACTTCCCGTGCAATCAGTCCATCAACATGGTCGAGCACCATTTACTCATTCCGTGAGCCTGAAAGCCGTTTCTCAACAGCCATCTTGACCTCATTCACTCCCCAGGTAAGACACTCCTTCATGGGTAACGTGCCCTGTCCAGGACACACAACGACCCCCTCGCGTTCCTGGCAAATCTTCTCATCAAAGACTCCCCCATCAGCGTTATTGTCAGTGTACATCCAGCTATGTGTCCGCTCGTAGTTCGGCCAGACCACATCCTCGACATACCCTGGCGGATCAACCCAGAAGCCCTCGAGCGTCACGTACCCACTTCTCGCGAGCCGGCGGTTCACCATCTGCTCGCGACTGCATGGCAGGAACAGTCTTGGCGACAACAAAGCGTGCGAAAGATCGTATAAATGTTTTAATTCCGCGGCCTCGGTCTCAGATCGTGCATTGGGGACTGATGGAGCCGGCGGGTATAAGAGGAAGCCATCTAGGATGCATATCCTCATCTCTTTCGGCAACTCACTTCTGGTGGTGCCGGTGGTGGAGAGGAGGTGGTCATGTAGGAGTTGTTGAAACCACGATTTGACTTCGCCTTGAAAGTCCTGAACTTCGGCATCGCTGACATGTACGTCCCCCACGGAATTCTGGTCCTCTTTGCTCACTGTGTCTGGAGGCAGAGCGCCGTGGTCTTTGACGTACTGGAGCGTGTGCTCGAAGAGGTCCAAGTCCAAGGACTCGACGCAGTCCCAGTCCTGGAGAGAGCGGGTGCCGTGTTGGGAGGATGAGAATGTTACTATCGGCACGCTGTACACGGTATCAGAACCTGGGAATCCGCATGGCAAGCAGGAAGAAGAAGAATAGCATGCAGAACCAACGCATGAGGCAACGCTCACATGTTGATTCTTGAGTAGTATCTGAGAGTGAACCAACACGCAAAAAGGGACAATGAGAAATCGGAAATGATGGGCTGCAGAAGGGGGTTGAAGGAGGGAAACCGGTTAGAAACGTACTCTTTATCAACCTTGTAAAAATCATCTTCATGTAAAACGAACAAGCTCAACTTATACTCCTTCCCGCCCTCCACGACCGATAGATTGACCACGCTTCTCAACAGTCTAGCAAGAGTGGTCTTGCCGCTACTCGAAGGTCCAGATAGGCCTATCAGGATGGTGGTCGGAGCTGATGACGGTGTAGAGGACATTTTCGATTTCACCAGTAAGGTGCTGCTCTCTGATGCATCCACAAACGTTCAGGGTTCAGGACCAGTGTACTCAATCATTCTCATGAAAAACATATGCTGAGACTCGTACTCATCATGAATCGAAGGAAAGAATCTGCAGCACTCAAGCCAAAGAGGGATCTCTGGGTAATGTCATACGATGTCGAGAAAGAATATTGATGTCCGGAAGACTAAGCTTCGGAAATATATTCCTCCGATAACACCTGGTACACCGTATAATATGCTTATGATCCCTACCTAGTTACAGCCTTGTACTATATATGTTTGATAGATGGATCATGAGCTTTCCGGAGCCTCACAAGGTATTCATGCGTGCATGGGGGAGTATTACAAGGACGTTTCGGCAACGGTTCAAGCGTGTAGGAGGATCGAAATCTACCGCTCTGGGATAGCGCAAATACTGAAACAAAAGCCATCGATTCCATCTGCGTGCGATCAGGCTGAATATTGACGAGACATGTCCACACCCCATCACGATTCTACCCGGGCAAGTGCTGGTACTTCCATCCAGGCCGTAACCGTGCAGAACGCGATTCAATTACTTGAACTCATGCCTGCCTGCTATTAACGTTACTCTGCATCACCTCCACACCTCGCCACATTATTTCCAAAAGACAAACACAAACATATGCTGCAAAAAAAGGCTCTAGTATTAGACCCTCTTGGGTCCCCAGAGATCATGAAATGTCGTATGATACAAGTACCCGCAGTAGACAAGAATGTGTCTGCCACCCAAATTGCGCAGTCCACCCTTCTCTATTCCTCTCACCGAAACTGTTCGAACCAGACACCTTGTGATTCTCCTTGGAACATCAAGGATGTGGCAAGGCATTCGAGGAAGGGTCCTTCTTTCGCCGTTGTCGTTGATCACCGGCCCCAAGTCTTTCGGAAGGCATCCGAAGGACCATATGCAAAACACCCAAAACATCACACAATTCTAACGCCACGCTCGAGATGTCGTGTCCCGGTCCCAAGTAATCCCAGCAGAACGCACACAGGCCTTCGCATGGCAACAGCCAGGCCCTTTTGAGACACCCTAACATAAATCACCAACTCCTCGTTGACTGCAGTCATTCCCCGACAGAACTCTGCCCCTATGCACCTTTTTGCCTTTTGCCGCCGATCTTGGGGCTTGGTTTGACTTTGTTGGCGCCGCTTGTCTCCACAGCATTGTCGTCCTCCATCTTCACGGCACTGGCACGCCTCCTTTTGTTGGAAACGTTGGGGCTGGTATTGGTACTGGGACCTTGACTACCGCTGAGATTCGAGCCTTGCGCGCTCATCTGGTGCATCATTGCAACACCGCCCGCGGCCGGGTTCTGTGCAGGGCTCGGTGTATGGACGGGACCGCCCATCATCGGCGAACCTTGAGCTTGTGGAACTGCAAGATGTCCCATGGCCGGGGAGTTCATCATTGTAGGACCATTCATGCCAGGATTCATCTGATTGGGAAATGGCACTTGCCCGTTGGCGGCTCTTGCCATCTGGTTTTGTAATCGGGCATTGTTCACTTGAGCCATATTCTGTGCGTTTTCCTGGGTGACCCGTATCAATGATTCTTTCGGACCGACACCAGGATGCATGTGAAAGTATTCCATCAGTGGTCCCATAGCTGTCATAACTTCTGCAATCTATTCTCAAATATTAGTCACCGTACTCAATACACATCCGAAGCGAAGCTTACCTCCAGAAACTGGAAAATATGGTTCGGGACCCCCCATTCGCCCACGCCTGAACTAGGGATGATGGGTTGCGTTACTCCGGCAGCTTTGCCTTGGGCACGCTTGACGTTCTTGTTGATCTTCGGGCTCTGCTTCTCTTCGAGGGACGGAGATTGCAGTAAGGCATTTCGTGGTATGTATTCTTGCCACCCAGACGTACTAATGTTTAGATGGTCAATTTTCTGATATTCATCAAATATCACACGAAGTTGCCCTGTCGTGGTCACTCGAATATCATTCGCAAAGACGTAGGTCAAGCTTGCGTTGGTGCTCCAAATGTGGACGCCGCCATTTGGTAGTTTGTTTTGATTGTGGTCGTATGACTGTAGCAGGATCTGTCTCACTCCGCTTGCAAAATGCGTGTGATAGTAACGCGCTAGAGAGGGAAATTGCAACTGGAATGATTTGTCGACACCGTTCTTGTTGCTAAACAGTTGTTGCCTCATGGATCCAAACTGCGAAAAGTATCTCGCAATGGTCTGCTCCCAATATTCTAACTCGTAAGGCCGTTCGGGATTTGCAAGATTGTCCTGATACATGATCAATTGCAGAATACACTGACCCCCGAGGAAATCCTGTTTTGGTGCGTCGGCCATCATCATGGTGGCAGGCAAATCCGGCTGTTGTTTGATTTGCGGCTCCTCTTCAGGTTCACTAGTTTTCACCGGCTGACTGCTTGGTTGACTTTGCTGTTGATTGTTTTGAGGTGGCGCTTGCGGTGGTTGAGGTTTAGGCTGGGGAGCCTGTTGCTGAGGCTGTGATGTCGGAGGAGCTTGTACCGGCGCTGGAGGTTGAGGGGCTGGGGTGGGTTGAGATTGAGGCGGTTGAGTTGTTTGCTCCTGTGACCTCGACATCTGCATCTGCTGGGCGGCGGCGCGGTGGCTCTGCGCGGCAGCCATTTGAGCGGCATGTTGAGCTGCCTGAGCTTGTTGAGCCTGCATCAAGCGTTGTTGATGCTGTTGTTGTTGGTAATTTTGCATATGGGGATTGTTCGGGTTCATCTGCATTTGCATCTGAGGGTGCATGTTCATTTTCATTTGTGCCAACTGCGCTTGATTAAAGCCTGCTGGCCCATTTGGCATGGCCATTGGCATACCCTGTTGTTGCTGAGCTTGCATCTGCATCATTCGTTGCCGAGCGAGTATCTGCTGGGTTTGTGGCGTCATCTGCATCTGTCCGAAATTCATCTGAGGATTATGTTGCTGAAACATGGCTTGTTGCGGTCCCAAATGCGCCATGGCCATGGTGCCATTATGCATGGGTCCTGGCGCCGGTGTTCCTGCACCTGGGGGCATACCAGTCACCATTGGGCCTTGGGTAACCTGAGGACCTGATACACCTGGATGCATCCCTTGCATCATGCCGGGCGCTGGTTGACCTCCCATATGACCGCCAGGGTGCTGCATACCTGCCATGGGATGACCATGTGGCATACCCGGGTGCCCAGGAGCCATTCCCGCATGGGCGGGAAAAGGCTGGGCCATCATCTTTCGCAGCGCTCACCAGTACTTTGTAGATATTCCGGCGACGAAACTTCTTGTCATGCAAAGACTGTGCGCTGATTATGGTAGCAGCTTGTTGATTACACGACAAGTCCACCTCTTCTTGAAACCTCCGAATCCACGAACCCCACTATTGCCGGAATCGTTGTCTGTGATCGCAATACCGTGAACGGAGTCACATCTGAGAGACAGAAAAGTCTGAGCCTCGAGATAAGTGGTGGATCGAGGTTTGGCTGCGAACCCGACTGGTGGTGCCGCAGAACTGCTCTAGAGCTGTGGTTGGAACTCTCGAGGCGTAACGTTGGGTCGGGTCAGCGTCGCGACCGGATGCGATGCAGATTCATTTATGGAGTGTATCATAGACAAATGTCGCGCAGAGGCCTCATATTCGAAAAACTCGATGACAGGCAGGAATCAGGTGAGGGAGTAGGTCGAGTGTCGTGGTGCGGCGGCGTTATCGGGCTGTCCCTGTTGCGTGGGTGCCCCGGGGGTCAGAGGACGGCAGCAGGGGCCGGCTGTTGGTTTCGCGTGAATGATCTGACCAGATAATGAGGGTAACAGCAGTGGGAGAGAAAGAGAGAAGACGATGCCCACGGGTTGACGATGAGGTCGAGGTTGGGTATGCGATGCGATTAACAGATGTACCTCGTGGTGCAGTGATGCGATGATGGGTCGAGGGACACAGTTCAGGGCAAAAGGTGAAGTTGCAGCAAGATCGGCGAAAAGAGTGCTTGGGGTGGGAAAGCGCGAGGTGCAGGTTTCGGAAGGCCAGCGGTGCGGCGAGAGGGAGAAGCCTCAGACCCCAGAGTTGATCCGGCACCATCAGCCTCTCACCTCACAGGCATCATCAGGGCCACTGCACTTGCATCTCGTGATCGTCGATTCCGATGCCAAGCCCGAACGCCGCAGTCTTTCTGCTTTTGGCGCTAGTGGTTTCTCTCTTGATGTTTTTATTTTGCTTCTGGTTCTGCGCTTTGCATTCATTTATTCTTGTTCAACTACAAAGTTTTCGTTGCTTGTACGCGTGCTCACACAGTTGAGTGTTGGAAGACCATGATGCCGATCCTGATGCTAATGGTCTCGTTGTCACTGACGTTGAAAGCCCCCAGGCCGTTGCAAAGGGTGAGTTCTCCAGTCCTGCCTTCAGTCTACACATCTGCCAGCTTAAAAGATGACACCAAACATCAACTTCTTTCTTTTTTCTCTGAGTCGCCCTTGAAGAAACCTCCGGATCGTCATCGCTGGACGGTCTGTTACTAGCCAGTATTACATGTCTGATTATGAATACCACAATATCGTCCATGGGATTGCAGTTGGAACTGAACATTGCTAATTCTCAAACAGAAGGTACACTGCACGACCCTATACCTCATGCTCCGATGATGCCTCTGGGCTCGCAACACTCCGCTGTTTTCAGCATATGAAAAAGTACGTACAGCTCCTCTACATTCTCCGCAGCACATTTCTCTTCCTATGATCGAAAATCTTTTCCACATTCGCAGTTTCCACGCAAGCCCTGGCATGAACCTATTTAAGTCCAGGTGTCGGTGAGCGGCCAATCTTCCTTGGATGTCTGATGGAACCTGTTATTTCAGCTTAACTCTACATTGTCACACTAGCAAGTTCTTATGCTGACATGGTGGCTGTCCAGGTTAGGTCCCGTGTGCCCGGAAGACGTCCCCCGTCGATACGTTGGAAGGAACTATCTGAAGCAAGCGTAAGCTTCTGAGTACAAGACACAAACTGCACATGGATTCACACATCAAGGTTAGAGACAAAATTTTATTGCCGCCGTTTGCCTTTGGGCCTGGTACACATAGTATCGTATTACACAAAATAACCTCTCGGACACCCGAAGCTCTCGCATCTGTCCTAGTGGTCGTCGTACTCTGTCTGCCATCCCGTCATTGTAGATGCTTCCAATCGCCTTTGTCGCCTCTCAACGTCCGAAGAGCGAACGACACCGGTGGTCACAGCGGCGGCGTAGCCTTGATAGTGTGACAACATCAATCTGGTGTGGTGGTCGTCCATCCGAGCACAGTAACAGCGACGACCTTGTCGACCTCCATCCAGACTGAATGCAGCAGGCCAACGCTCGGTGTCTCCTATTCCTGGTGCAGGTGCTATTTCTCAGACACCATCTTCGTGTCATTTCAGCTGATGAATGCCCCACCTCCAGCTTCCACAACCTTCGCACTCCGCCTGGCATCGATGAACAAATCTTCACACTCCGCCACATCCTCAGGAGCGATTTCTTGTCTCCCATTGACCTTGGCCAATATGCTGCTGGGCGTCAACAACTGCAAGGCGTAGCGTAATGAGACATTCGTGCCATGCTGGGAAACTTTCTGCAGAGCAGCGTCCGAAATTGAGAGTCCTTCGGTCTTTGCGCGGAGACGAATGATCGTCTGGACTTCAGACGCATTGTACGGATGCGTGGGAATGATGAGCAAGCGGGCCAATAGATCCGGCGGCACTCCGTGAGCGCCCGTAATGTCCTGGGTGCCGCGAATGACGGTGTTTCCTCTGTTCGAAGCCAGAATGACGATTGGAGAGATGGGAGATTCGAGAGCGCGGTTGAGGTAGGTGAAGCATTCAATGTCGAGCATGTGGACCTATTTCTAGAAGTCAGTCTCAAGTTCGCGACCGTTGTGCGTCGGTGACCTACCTCGTCGATGAAGAGTACACCAGGGACGAGCTCCGCGACGCCCTGGTCAATATATTTGCTGACCACCTTGTTGATCTCGGCCCTCAGTTTGTCTGTGATTTCCGTCTTCTTCGGCTTCATCAGCTGGCCCATCATACTCATAACATCCTGACCACCCTGAGGCCGCGCGTTGGCGATATCGAGATCATGTAACGTCACGTCTTGCACGACTTCTTTCTTCTTGTGTACCTCTCCTTTGGGGACTGGCACGTATTCTTCAGCCTCTAGGTCGAACTCGGTCGCATACGCATCGGATCGACCGACTCGTTTGCATGCGCCGGTGTTTGCTTCGATGTAGACTACGTCCCCCACAGTAACTCTCTCTTTCTGAATGGCCTCGTATATGCTGGGATCTAACCGCAATTTCTTCGTTCCTTTGGCGGATTTGAGTGTGATTATGAGGTGGGAAATAGTGCGGCCGTAGCCTCCTAGTGGATTCTCTGCTTCTTCGGGAATGAGTTCTGTGACTTCGCCTTCGTAGACTTCTTTCATTTCGCGAACGCGCAGGCCTTCGGATTCGTTAGCACTTCAAGAGGCGCGTCTTTGTGTCTCAGTACATACCGATTGCTCTTCTGAAATTTTCCATCAACGCTTCTGTCTTCTTAACCTCGGTGGAATATACTTCGCTGCCAACAATCGGACAGAATGGCACTTTCGTCCCAAGTTCTTGCGATACTGCCAGTGCCAATGCTGTCTTTCCAGTGCCTGGGCCGCCCGCTAACAGTACTGCTCGTCCCGACATCTTTTTGGCCTTGATGAGGTCGACGACAACACCACAAGCCTACATCGCCATTAGCATTTACCTTCAGAGCGAGCACGCAATCACGTACCTCACGCGCGGCCATTTGGCCAACGAAGCCATGTCCAGAGGTCTCAGCAGTGCCATCAGACCGTAATCCCAGACCCTTGATATGTGTATGCGCCGCGGTCCTGTTGTCGCGCGTGTTTCCTTTCACCTCGCTAAGATTGACCATCGTCGCTCCAACGTGCAAGCACGACTGGAACAGTAGAACTTGAGATTGTTTAAGTGCTGCTGTGGTCACTTGGGAATTGCAGGGTACATCAGTTGCATGGGATAAAATGGGCGTATTGTAAAATATATGGAGACTCCGCGACTTGTCCACAAATTTCGCGCTAAAAATGTTCAAGAAGCTCGAATTGGCACATACACTCTCCCCATTCAATACTATTCAAGCACTTCGCCCTGCGCCACAAGGGTTGTGTTTCCTTTCGCCTTTCAGACTCGTACTCCGCGCTCCTCTCCCATACATGCGACAGATATGTCGACGACGGCTATCACCAGATTGCCAATTGTACGGCGCAGTCCGGCCACCCTCCAATATGTAGACTACCGGCACAAGGACCCCCATCCCGAAAAGCCCTACTTCAAGCCTCGATTCACGTTCAAGAGCGAGGATCGCAAGCAAACATTTGGTCGCCTTGACTTCCGATTTACCGATCCATTGATGCCCTCGTATCCTTACGGCAAGAACCATGCATTCCAGGAAGCAAACTTTGGTTTATATGGAGGTACCGTGCTGCAATCTGGGAACAAAATTTCAAAAGGCCGAAATAAGGGCAAAACACTACGCAAATGGTTTCCCAACGTTAGAGTTGAGACATTCAAGAGCGAAACGCTGGACGCAGACTTCAAACTACCAGTCACAGCTCGCGTGCTACGGACGATCCGAAAGTGCGGAGGACTTGACAATTATGTTCTGGGCACGAAGCCCGCACGGATAAAGGAGCTTGGTTTGCTGGGATGGAAGCTTCGATGGCTGGTCATGACCTCTCCCAAGATGTTGGCTAAGCATGAGCAAGAAAGGCGAGAACTCGGTCTGCCGGAGTCTAACTCGCTAAGGGCGGCTTTCGAAGACTCTTGGAACGACGAGGAGAAACGAGCGCAATTAGTTGCGCAACAAGAGTCCGCTTGGGAGGACTTGCGCGACGCGGCGTCGAGGTTTGAGAACCACGTGCTCAAGAATTGGGTGGAGAATGGAGAGAAAGAACCATACAACATCCCTAAGTTGGAGACCCTCCAAAGAACCGGCCCTAGTTTGCTGGGTCTTCCTGAACACTTGGAGCGTGTCCAGCTAGGGGCTGGACGTGAGACCGCCAAGGGAGGTTCTGAAGAGTCTGAAGTTGCCCGCCGACAGACCAGAGTCGGAGACCAGACTATCAGAATAGCACAAGCCCGGTTGAGGAAGCTCCAAGGAAAGGGAGCAACGGGGTCGGAACCGAAGCGACAGAAGGTGCGCACCTTGAGGCGGAAAGACGCGACTATAGCGTGAGTAACGATTGGTGGCCGATGCCACTACGAGGTCAACGTCAGCTGCACAAAGAACTCGTCGACGTCAACGTCAGAATCCAGCACGACGTGATTGCATCAGAACTTTCATGCCATTGCACTGCAGGAGCAGGAACCTTGTACAATATGAGGAGTGCCTCAACTATTTATAAGATGGGCGTTGGACATCAAGGACATTTTCCCTCCACCTCCCTACCAGCAAATGGCGAAAAGTCATTACGCATCCCATATCAAACTCGTGCCCAAATCTGTCCAGAAGTTCGCTCCGGAGCACGCATGGTGGATTTTCTCGTTCAATGCCTATCGTAGGTACTGATACTGCTCACAAACATCCATTGCCCTTGACAGACTGTGCAGCAGGACTGGAGACCTGCCCTTTAGCCTCCAAGTCCTTCCATCTCACGAACAATTTCCTGAAAGCGAGAGGATCTTGCGCACCAGAAACCTCCCAATGATCATTGATCTCGTAATGAGGGACGCCGCTGATACCCTTGAGCCTCGCCTCCTCCGCAATCCTATCGACTTCCTCCCCATCTTTTCCGCTCTCCAGGTACGCTTTGATTTCATCTTTGGTGCCGAGGCCAGCCTCGAGACCAATCTCAATGAGCGTGTCGAGCGTGGTGATGTCGACTTCCTGCTCGAAATAGCGCCGCCACAGCCCCAGCATGACTTCGTTCTGCGATTCTTCGCCGCCGTGGTTCTGCGCCCAATGCACTAATCGGTGACCGTTGCGGCTGATGCCAGTTTTCCCGCCGAAACTGAAATTCAAGCCTTCGCCAGCGGCAGTCTGGATCATCATGGCTTCAATCTGTTTGGCGCGTTCGGGTCCGAATTTGGCGGCATAATAATCTCGTCGGTTTCGAGATTCGACGGGGAAAGGGGGGGGGATTGGGCCATTGGTGGTTGTAAGTTGAGGTGGTGGGTTCAGGTAGAATGGCATATATTTGAGATGGAACTTGTCGTTTGGATATGTCTTTCTGTGTTCGGCAATGGCTTTGGACAGTCTCGAATGCCCAACGTAGCACCATGGACATACAATGTCGCTAGTGCACGTGATGTTGTAGTTCGTCATCGATGCGAAGAGGCGGCTGCTGGGCTTGAAGAGCATATATTTGGAAGAGATATGAAGAAGAATTGTTTCTTGATTCTTGTATGCCTCAATTCGGTCGCTTGTGGTAACGTTATGCCGAGGAGTAGAATAGCCATCAAGAAATGGCGAGACGGTCGAGATGGATTGATTAAGCCGTATTTGTCAGCCGGCGAAGACTCCAGGAAATTCCGGCATTGGCGGCAACGTATACACGTTCGTGAACATCTGCCTGTATTGACATGGAATAAAGATACACACTCCAGGTCCATGACTGGTTGGGACATTCATTGAAATCGACAGCTTCCATGCCGTTGTCAATGTCTGTGTGCAATACAAGGGTGAAGTGTGCAGAAACGTAGCCACAAGGCTGGCTCAATGGCAGTCTCAAAGTCGCATGCGGTCATTGAAGTACATATTATTGTTAGTCGGCGCATCTTCAAGTCATTATGTTACTTGAGTATCCCAGGTAGGTAAGTGAGTAAATAGACCAATCTTGTAATAGGTCATGACTTCTATATCTTGACAGGGCTGCCTAGACAAAAGTGGTTCAGTCTGACCAGCAGACTGATAGTGAAACGACCCATATTCACAGTCAGACGGCATCAAACATGTGATATCGAGACCTGTCTTCCGCTTCACACATACTTGTCTGTCTACCTTGTACTTATGCCTCAACATTCATCGGGATTTCAGACATTCACTTCCCTCGGATCAATGCCTGTCCCGAACCTGGGGGTCAGTCAGCCCGTAGATGATGGCGAGCGTTTCGATGTCGACGATTTCTACGTCGGACCTGCAAGCATTGACAGTGACTCCTCAATCGAAGACGATGTGCCTGAGACTTCAGACTCGGAGAAGCATTCAAGAGTACTATTCCCTCGACCACTATAAAGTTACCTACTGACACTGATTGCATCTAGGAACCCCAGCCAAGATTGACACACTTCTGGACAAACTCCAAAGGCTTACAAATGGATGATCGATACGAGATGAAAGATCATCAACGATCAGACGCGAATATCACCGACTATGTAGCCCTTGGCGCTATCAGATTGATTCGGCTCGTCCAACATGTTGACAACAGCGGATGGGTCATGCTCGGTCCTCGACGTGAGACGATGTACCCAAATCCGCTGATCTCACTTGGTGAGAAGCGGCACTGGCTGAGAATCCAGCTATACTGTCACACTAATGACACACGGCGCGCTTGTCTAAGAGTCTACGCCCTTCCAGAAGATGTTAAGCGAGGCAGTCGCGGATCAATAAAGGACCTTAGAAAGGTGCTGAAATTGGTTACCGAGTTCGTCGATACTTCCACCGAAGCCTGGGAGGGCACTTACGATCCAGATACTCCGATTCGCACCTACGCAGAACCACCTACATCTCAAGAAGAATCTCTCTTCTATATTTTCAACACTCTCTCATCGCCACAACCATCGATGGATGGTGCCGGAACATGTCATTTCAGCCACCAGTCCATGGTAGCGATCTTCGAAGACGCCATTGATGGTCTCAAGACACCTCTGTACCCATATCAGAAACGTTCGGTGGCGACGATGCTGCAGAAAGAGGCCAATCCTGCCAAGCTGCTCGATCCCAGGAAACTTCGGTTCCACGACATCCACGGCAAAGATTTCTACTTTGATGCCCTTGAAGGCAGTCTTTGCCTCAGGCCGCATCTGTACAGCGAATCTTGTGGCGGGATCCTGGCAGAAACTATGGGATACGGGAAGACACTGATATGTATCGCACTCATCTTGGCAACTCGAGGGCACTACCCCAAACTTCCTGAGGGCCGGATCGATACTCTGGCCAAAACGACAAGCCAGCGAACCCCAAGTCTGCTTGAGTTGACCGCGAAGAAACTCAAACATGCAGGTGTACCCTGGAAATCACACTTTGCTTCACTTCAACGTGAAGGCTATCATGTTCCCCATTTGACTGAGGCGATCGAGAGATTTGACGCTGAGTTTGCGGAGCCAATCTTCCATCCCATAACGCCGAGTCGGAAACTCAAAACACGAGAAGATTTCAGAGTCCTCCGCTTGTGCTATGCTACCCTGCTTATTGTGCCTCCCAACCTCCTGGTGCAATGGCAACATGAGATTGAGAAGCATACCGAGGAACGTTGTCTCGATATCCTTGTGCTGGATTCGACTACAAAGGACATACCAAGCTACAAAACTCTTATGAAATATGACGTTGTCTTGATCACCAAGGCTCGATTCGATCAGGAATATCGGGACGATGATCTCCATCAAGGCAAACGCATGCGCGGCCAAGAAAAGTTCCGTTCCCCTTTAACGGAGGTTCGATGGCTGCGAGTAATCTGCGATGAAGGTCACGGGTTTGCGGGTTCCAGTTACAAAACTCACGCAATGGCAATGCTGGACAAGATGTCAGTTGAAAGACGATGGGTCGTCTCCGGTACACCTTCACAATCGCTTCATGGTGTTGAGGTGAATCTTGCCCTTGATGAACATATCCCTGATGGAGGATGGTCACGAAGAGAATCGATACAGACGGCCTTGAAACAGAGAAAGACGAAAGACCCGGATTTGGAAGAGATCAAAGACCTGGAGCGACTTCGTGTCATGGTGGTCAAATTTCTCAAACTGCAACCATGGGCCAACCAGAAAGGTGACGACTACGCCGACTGGAAGAAATATCTCTCACCCTTGGACGGTGCTGGCACAAGACGCTTTGCACCCGCCTTGCGAGGAGTGCTTCAATCTCTCATCATACGCCATCGCATCGAAGATATCGATATGGACCTGTGTCTCCCACCCCTACATAATCGTACTGTATTCTTGGATCCAAGTTATTACGATAAGATAAGCATGAATCTGTTTCGAATGTCGCTGAGCGCGAACGCGGTGACCTCGGAACGCGTAGACGAAGATTACATGTTTCATCCCAGGAATCGGAAATCCCTTGACGACTTGGTCAGCAATCTACGCCATGCAAGTTTCCACTGGGTGGGATGGACTCATCATGAAGTTACGGAGACTCTGCGAGTCAGCAACACCTATCTAGACAACAACATCGATAACATTTCTGATGACGATGGCCGCCTATTGACTGAGGCTATCATGAATGGTGACCGTGCTCTGAAAGACCCAGGCTGGTGCGCATTGTCCTTCTTCCATGAGATGGGAGTGTATGTCAAAGGGTTTCCAGACCATGCAGCACCGGCCTGGGCTCTGTCTGGCAAAACAACCACGCCTCTTCTTCTTGGGACAGTGCAAGCACGCGAAGCACAACAATACGTCTTGAAGAACCTTGAGTCACCAGATCCTGCGGACGGCTTGACAGGCGCCGGTTTACGAGCGATGCTCGCTTCGCGTGACCGTGCCACCCAGGAAGAGCAAGCAAGGCAGAAGGCTGCAGCTACTTCCAACGGCAAATCACTCACAGCTGGTGCAAATGAGCAACCAAAGGTCAAGAATCAATCAACCTTCTCGTCAACTTCACCAATGGCTCCACTCCGTTCCTCCAGCAAAGGCGCTGCGCCCGAATTCTTGACTTCCGCCAACAAACGACCCCGATCAACGTCGTTCACTGCAATCCCAGCGCATCTCACAGAAGCCACAATCATTGGCTTCATTTCTGCGAAGCTGAACTATCTCTGCTCGAGGATATTGTCATTGCAAGAAACCGAGAAGATCATCATCTTTTACGACTCGAACAACATTGCCTTCTGGATTGCTGAAGCGCTGGAGCTGCTTTCAGTCAAATTCCTCATCTACGCCAACACTCTCTCCGTCGGTAGACGGGCGGCCTATCTTGCCACATTCAACCAGTCCGAAGCCTTCCGTGTTTTGCTGATGGATCTGAAACAGGCTTCGCATGGTCTCCACGTGGCATCAGCGAGTCGCGTCTTCATTGTGTCGCCAATCTGGCAACCAAGCATTGAGTCGCAAGCCATCAAGCGAGCTCATCGTATTGGTCAAACCAAGCCTGTCTATGTCGAGACGCTGGTTTTGAAAGGGACCTTGGAACAGAAGATCCTTAAGCGAAGGCGGCAGATGAGTAATGCCGAATTAGTCAAGGCAGAGAAAAGTCTTCTAGACGATGGTACAATGAACGGCATCATACGTGCAGAAGGATTCTTGAATATCGCAGATGGAGAGGACAAGCAGCTCATCGGCGGCAAGCTGGATTCGCCCATACCCTTGTTTGTTAGGAGCCATCTCCGAGATGCGCAAACTCAAGCTGACGACGATTTGATCCTCGCATTGGAGCCCGAGCAATTTGCCAAGAAGGTAAAGAAGGGGAAGCAAAAGGCCATGACGGTGGCTCTCAGTGCCCGCGAGAACGTTGCAACCTTACGTGCTGCCTCACCAACGACTCCAACAGTTGGTGGGCATCAGTCCATATTCGGTGGTGGCAGCGATAATCCAAACGATAGACCGCAGAAGAGCGTCAGGATTTCGGTTGAGATTCCGGGAAGCGCTTGAGGTATTCTCATACACTGGCCCCGGATGCAATGGTGGCACTGGGTTGGCAGCTTGTGACTGGGACAGCCCTGACCTGTGTCATTTGTGCGATGGTCGAGAACAATGCAGCCGAAGATGCGGCTCAAGCTAAAGTCTCAGATCATGGGAGTGCGTCCGCATTCCGCATCCTCTATGCATGGACATTGCTAGAAGTCTCAAGCAAGGGTGCAACGATCTGATAGATACATAAGCAATCTTACTTGTATTTACCTGACATTATCATTGACCCTATCCGAATTCAAATTAACATACAAACTCCCAACTCCATTCATAGTTACACTGGGGTGCATAAGTAACTGTAGCATGGCTGCGAACAAACTAGATGGACACAAAGAAGCTCTTCTCCCCCTCCCTCGGCTCGACGAGACACCGCTTCAGGATCGGATCCGCACACGAAATCCTGATCCGTTCAGGTGTCGCCGGCGACCTCAAATTCAGAACACTCTCCTCCCCATATTCTTTCCGCGCCGCCTTCAACGCATCACGAATCGCAAAGAACACCGCACTCCCCATGAACAAAGGCGGCTCGCCGACACCTCTGCTCCGCTGAATCGTCCTCAGATTCTTCCACTCGACATCCTTGAGCAACTGCACATTGAACACCTGCGGAATATCGCGGAAGCCCGGGATTTTATACGCGCCCGGTCCCCTGGTGAAAATCTGGCCACTTGCCCGGTGCCACAGACTCTCCTCCGTAGTAAACAACCCCTGGCCCTGAACATACGCGCCCTCGATCTGCCCATAGTCAATGGCCGGGTTGATACTCCTCCCAACATCCATCTCGATATCCGTCCTCAAACAAGTCCAGTCTCCCGTCAATGTATCGATGAGCACCTCGCTCGCAGTCACACCCTGGGTGAAATAGAAGAACATCTTCCCCGTGTTCTCGAGACTCGGGTCCGGCGGATTCGGACCCCATGTATATCCTATCTCGGGCGTCTTGTAGAACCCGTTTGCACTGAGATTCACACGGTCAAAGTACGCGGCATGCGCCAGTTGTTTCATCGTGGCATCTTTCCCAAGTTTCTCCCGGTACGGCGCGAGGCGCTCATTGATCTGTGCGCACGCGTTGTACGCTGCGTAACCGTTGAGATCCGAAGAAGCGGACGCCGCGGTACTTGATGTGTTGGCGACAGTGTTGGTAGCGGTTTCTGAGATGTGCACGTCCGACAGGGGCACTTCCAGCGCTTCGGCGACGATCATGCAGATCTTGGTGTGGAGACCTTGGCCCATTTCTGTGCCGCCGTGGGCGACGAGCACGGAACCGTCGTGGTAGATGTGCACGAGAGCGCCTGCTTGGTTGAGGAACAGCGCTGTGAAGGAGATGCCGAATTTGGTCGGAATCAATGCTAGACCTTTTTTCTGCCATTTGTGGGTGGCGTTAAATTCGTCGACCGCTTTGCGTCGTGCGTCGTAGTCTGACGACTGTTTGATCTGCTTCCACATGAGTGGTACGTGCCAGTCGTCGAGCGCTTGGTGGAAATGTGTCGTCTCATTGTCTTTGTAGAAGTTGATCTCGCGGAGTTTCTCCACCGGCATGTTGAGGTGGTCTGCAACTTCTGACATGTAGGTTTCTGCGATGAACATGCCTTGAGGCCCACCAAAGCCACGGAACGCGCTGTTGGACACGGTGTTGGTCTTGCAAATACGACCGTCAACATCCACATTTGGAATGTTGTAACAACCGTCGATATGGGAAAGGGCGCGATCTACCACCGCGGCAGAAAGATCTTGTGACCATCCGCCGTTGTTGAAGACGTTGGCTTTGAGTGCTTTGATCTTGCCGTCTTTGTTGACACCCACCTTCCAGATCCCCAGGAAAGGATGCCTCTGGCCTGATGTCATGATATCTTCGTCCCTGTTCAGCATGCATCTTACTGGACGCTTTGTTTTGCGTGCAGCCACAGCGCATATTGTGGAAAGCTGAATCGACCGAGTTTCTTTGCCACCAAATCCACCTCCCAGGCGCTTGACCTTGGACACGATTTTGTTGTTCTGTACTCCGATGGCTTTGGCGACGTATGCTTGTGTCTCCGTTGGGTTCTGTGTACTCGACCAGACTTCCATCTCGCCATCTTCTGGCTTTGGAATTGCAAGACAGGCCATAGTCTCCAGATAGAAATGCTCTTGGCCGCCCATTCTTGCAGTGCCTTCCAAGACATAATCACATTCCTCGAAGGCCTTGTCGACATCACCCTTGTGGATGTATCTGTAGTGCTCAAAGAAACTCTGCTTCTCAATAGCCTCTTCAATTGTGAATATTGCTGGCAATTCCTCGTATTGCACCAGAACAGCACGGGCACCGGCAGAAGCTTGCTGTGCCGTTTTCGCCAGGACCATACCAATGGGCTGACCTGCCGTGAATACTTCATCTTCTGCAAAGAAGACTTCGTCACAAACAGGGGCGCCCCATGCATTCTCGTCAATGTCGTTCCTATCGACCCAAGATACAACCCCGGGCATGTCCAAAGCAGGCGTTGCATCAACCTTGATTTTGGCGTGGGCTTTCGTCGACAATACGAGGCAGCCGATCAGTTCATGTTGCTGCACGGGAATATCGTCCGTATACTGAGCTTCACCAGTACATTGCTTCAGTGCAGCGAGATGTGGATTTCCTTTACCAAGGACCTTTTGAGCATAGGCAACGGATGCGTCAAGGTCTTTGTGGCCACGGGATATCTCTCGTTCTATCTCCAAAGAAGCTTCCTTGTCAGCTTGTTTGCTAGCCGCCTCGATGTTCGTGAGCACATCTTGATAATATCGATAGAAAAAACCGAGAGCAAGGGACTTTCTGTATGTTGCCATTCCACCAGGGACACCGAATGGCAGGCTGAAGTCCTTCTCCAAGGCATTCATGACACCTTCCAAAGTATTTGGATCGGCGAAAGCTTTGCCCACGATATACTCTGAAGCATTCTTGGCGAGTGTAGTGATCGGAGCCATGCCTCCGTAGACCAAGGAAGCACTTTTGACCCTGTAAGAGTCATCGAGCGCAACACGCAGACACGCGTTGACAATAGCAATGTCGTCGTCTTTTCTCTTTGATTGTTTATATGTTCTGATGTATTCTCCCTCTTCAGCCGCAACAGGGACTCTCATTGCTGCAATAACAGCATCTTCTGGTAGCGCGGTCACTCTGTAGCGTTTGAAAAAGGTTGACATGGGAATCTCGGTAGTCTTCGTCAGAGATTTAGCGATCATTGTCGAGTTTGTTGCAACAAAGACGGGATTGAGATCGGAGATGGGCGAAGCAGTTGCAAGGTTACCAGCGGGAGTACCAACATTCCTGATTTGTCGGCCCGCGAAATACCGGATAGCTTTCTTGATGGCTATGAAAGGTTGTGACTTGACGGGTCCGTAATGGTTGACCGCCTCATCACAGATGTTTTCGAGATCCGTCAAAGCCACATTACCGCCAATTTCCAGATAGTCTTCGTGAAAAGAATACTGGCGAAGTTCTGCAATGTCACCCACGTAGACTGACGCCGAGTACTGCATGGCTTTGAATTTGATTTCGATCTGAGTTTCAGTGCTGCCGCCGATGAGTTTAACTCCAGGAAAAGCATTCTTGATGTCCAGCAATTGCTCGAGCGTGACTGGTCTGTACCACTTCTTCCTCTTGTTGCCAAATGCGAGGGGCTTGAATTGATGCTTCCTGAGGGCAGGAGGATATATCAGTTCTGTCGATTTGTCGTAGTGGATGAATGACGGCGTGGTAAACTTCTTTTCTGGCTCGCCGTCGGCGACACCATTCGTAGCGACACCATTCGTAGAGCCGTTACATGAACCGCCATTGTCCATGCAGCAGCCAGAACCGCCATTAGCGATTGATTTGCCACATTTCTTGGTGAAGCTTTGGGCCGCGTCAAGAATGGGTCTGTAACCGGTGCAACGGCACAAGTTGCCATCAAAGGCCTCCTCAACCTCCTCTTCCGATGGCTCTTCGCTGTTGTTTCTCAAGAGAGCGTATAGACTCATGACTATGCCAGGTGTACAGAACCCGCACTGGCTGCCACTGGCCATGGCAATTCGTTGCTGCGCGGGGTGTGGAGTTTTGCTGGATCCGATACCCTCGATCGTGACCACATGCTTGCCATCGACGCTGACTAGAGGAGCCAGACATGCATTGACAGAAGCATGATAGATCTTGCCAGTAGTCGGGTTCCGCTGCGAAACCACGACCGTGCAGGCGCCGCATCCTCCTTCTGCGCAACCCAATTTGGTACCAGTCAATCCAATCCCCCTCAAGTATTCTAGCAATGTTATCTCTGGGTCAACAGCATCCAGCTCGACTTTGGTGCCGTTGAGATAGAAGCGGATCGTATCATCATAACTTTCGGTCAAGGAGGATAGCAATACGACCTTTTCGGCCGTCGCCACTGGCTCAAGAAGTCCCGGTGCCATTGCGAGAGAGGATGCCTGATTGATGCGCTCTTCAGAAACACGGAGAAAGGAAAGGGATCTATAAAATCAGCATCGCAGGTTCACTTCTGTGGCGACCGCCGAATCTGAAAACACTGGTGGGGATCAAAGCAGCACAAAGTCGTACATCTGGGGAACAATGCCCTTATCGATCGTTTACCTGGATTTCAGCTCATCATTGACAGAAGAAATTGTCCTCGATACTTATCAGCGTGGAATGCACGAATCAGAAGCAGGTCATCGCGGCAAGGCCATAGAGATAATGATTGATCTTGTGGATGGAGGCACCATGAGGGGGTAACGAAGGCGAGCCATTCGAATTGGATGCACGGTCAGCTCCACTCACATCGCTCACTTCCAGCGTATCAAGTCGATGCCTATCACGTGCACATCGGAGACTACCGATAGACATGCCATGCGAACACGGAGCACGACGAAAGCATTCTACGTAGCAATGTTGTACGAGGTCAATTATGTATCATTGGCCCTCTCTCGGCCATCGTATCGATTCTTGATTCAAGACCTTATCCCCCCCAGGCGCCTTCGTGCCCTAATCCAACAGCACCACTACTCCGACATCACCAACGAACCACCCACCAACAACCCCCTCATCACAACGGTGGTGGGATTCGGTGCGCATGCCAGAGGACGTTCACGTCATTGACGTTGTAGAACGCCTCTGGAACACGGAAACCGCCCCACTCACCGGCCAACTGCAGGCAAAGGCAGTCCAGGACCTCCTCGGTCCAATTGGTCCCCAATACCAGTGACTCCCGCAGCAGACTCAACGCTGCCACACAGCTTGCGTAGCACAGGGGAGTGCCGAACATCAAACACAGTTCGACGTGGTGGTCGAACTGCAGGCGCCTGGAAGCCATACTCCCGTCGTCTGGGAAGACGACCGAGAGAACGCACTTGCCAGTGCCACGTTTGATGCTCCACTCCTCCTGGCTGGGCTCGGAGCCACCCTCGAACAAGCCAGCGTCGTCGAAGAGGAAGAAGTCGGCGTCCTCCAGCGCCCGGTAGACGGCTTGTCGATGGCGCTCGACAAGGTTGTGGCCGAAGCCCAGGATGTATGGACGCTTGAGGTGCTGACCAGGTCTAACCGTGTTGCGATCAACAGGTCCCTTGATCACGTGCTCGCCGCAGTCTTCTAGCCAGTGGCGTTGAATATCCTCGTAGAGGTGCTCTTTCGAGCAATATCGCACGTAGCTATTGGTTCCGCAGGCAGGGCAGATGACAACCTGATTGTCCCAGCAGCTGGTCATTTTGCGGCAATCTGGCTTGTTGCAGCGGAGCTGGGGGTCCAGACTGTCGAATTTGGAGGCATTGATTGTAGTATGGACTGGTGGTTTGATAGTCTTGTCAGAGTCTTGAGAAGCTTCTGAAGCCAGATCACCTGTGGTAGTCTCTGATGCCAGAGGGCCAGCAAGAGCTTGTGTGTCCTGAATTATGGTAGACGAGGGGGCGGGAGGTGTGCCTTCAGGTATGGTTACTTCAGAGAGATCATCTGTAGGAACAGAGACGTTTCGCTCGTGAGCAGGTTCGGGCTCAACATTCTGAGCAGCGTGATCTGTGGCAGTCGACGAGGAGGCAGTGGTTCCTTGAGAATGCGTGAGTTTCGAGGGGTCGTCTGTGTAAGAAGAGACATTTTCCGTCTGAGATTCTCTATCTCCTGCTCTCTCAGGGCTCTGAATGCCTTTGTTCTTCTTGTTCTTCTTCTTCTTCTTCTTTGATCTGTTCTTCTTGTTCGACATACTTGGTTGCTCAGGGTGGCTGTCAGTAGTGGTTGTGTCTGCATTCGTTTCATTCAGGGTTGAGGGAAGTGTCGAAGAGATTGAGTCGTCTGTAAGTGAGAATTCGCGCTGTGAAGGTGCGTCGAAATTCTCTGCATCCGCCATGGACTGTGTCGCCGAGCCTTGCTCATCGCCTTCCTCATTGCCTTGCTCATCATTACTTGCGGGATCCGTGATTGGTTGAGTACTGGCCATTGTGTCGCTCTTGACGACCGAATTTCTGTAAAAGTCCGCACGTCTGATCTCTTCCCTGAGTAGCACCTCTTCCGGCTGGTCAGAGCGAGTCTTGACGTGTTCTCGAGCTTCTGCAAAGATTCTGCACACTAATGGTGCTATATGAGCCACCACTTCCTGGAAATCGTCAGCAAGGAGTCTTCGACCAGTGGCCCACAGAATCACTCACAACTTCTCCTTCGTCGAGCTGAATGAACATCTGGAACGAGAAATTCTTTGTGGGCAGTCCAACATCGAAACTATGCACGCGGTATTTCCACTGGAGCTCGTTGAGTCTGTCCATCACAACAATGAATTCGTCCCTGTCACCCATGCACAGATATTGCTGTTTACTGGTAGGATCAAAGTGAGCAATGGGTTCTGGTGCCAGAGTCCAAATTTGTCGGCGGCGGCGAAAGTCATCTCGGAGTGGGCCAAGCTCTGTATTCCCTTGTTCCCAATTCCGTTCCTGCACCCCCAACATACCCTGGCTCAAGAGTTCTCGTGGGAATATGTTCCTTCCGTCATATGCTCGAAACAGAGGCCGTGCCAGGACATATGCTGTCACTAGGTGCGATCCTGTTGCTGTATAATCCAGAGCGACTCTCTGACAAAAGCCACCAAGCACGTCCTGAGTGTCTGACTCCTGAAGATGACCTGTAAGTACTCGGGTTTCTTTCGCAATCCTGTCATCTCGCACTACCAGAACGATGATCTCTTTCGAGTGGTCGTGCGACGGGAACATCAGGAGGCACTCTTTGAGCGTGGCTGACTGGTGCGCTATGTAAGCTTCACGGTAATTTGGCAAAACCATGTCCCAGCGGGGCGGCCGAGCCTCTGCAGAATCTTCAGTCTCTGCTCTGCGTGTTGATGTTAGTGGACGAATGTCGCTATGCAGATAAACCAAGGCTGCTTACCCCTGAGACATCGTGGTATGATCGTCGCGACTGTAGGAGAGTCGATGGTGTGACGACGCTTTGATGATTTTGGCAGAGTCTCAGACATCGAGACAAGCTTCTGCCGCGAAATCATGTTTGTGTACAAGCAATGGCGGGTTGTTCACTGAGCGGTACAAAGCACAGCACAGTCTATTCACTCACCTCACCAAAGAATCTCCGGTGGCGCAGATGCTGATCAGCGTCATGCTATACAGACGTTCTCCAGAAGCATATGGGCATCGACACAACGGCGAGCCTCTTGTTCAGTGTACAACATCTGGCTGGGAAGGGGGTTCGTCGCGCTGACGACCACCAGTCACGACAAGACCTGCTCATGTTGACATGGACGATAGGGCAGACTTTGTCCCAAGGAACCTTTGACATGTTGAAGCCTATGTTTCATGTTGTATACCATGATAGGGATATTTGTTTGCACGCCCTTGACAACACCCCTCATATATTGACCACCATAGTCCCCATCCTTCAAATAAAGACCGGTGCGAATGGACCCAAGATGATGCTTTGAGGCTTAGCGACATACGGGGCTGAATCCGGAGCGTTTTCTAGATACAAGCACCGTTGTACTCACATCAACATATTCCCACACTGTTCCTGAAGGTAACTGTGGAAGGCCGAAACCTGGTGGACTGGCCGACATCTTCCATCGAAGTCGACTGATTCAGGCTATCGATGTTGCTTTGTGGTGTCATATGGCGGCAAGACAGAGGCTCTGCCAGCATAGGAAAGAGGATTCACGCCTTGACGACGGAAGTGTGGCATTGTCAAAAGCAAAGGAGACTAGGCCGGACGCGGTTAAACAGTCGGTCACGTGCTCTCCGCAGCTGTCAGATTTTCCAGCGCAGGGTCTACTCAGACCTGCGACTTGCACTTGCGCCATGTTTGAAAAGCCCAACACCAGCTTGTCCCTCAGATTTGATTCGGTGTCTCTCGACCTTTGTCAATCGCATTTCACCGTCAACTTACCCTTCTCTTGCTTGGATAAACTGTCTCTTGATGGCGGACTTGAGCAACATCCTTGCTGCGCTGGCCGCTCAGCGTCAAGGAGGCACGCCTTCACAAGGTCCTCCACCACCCGTTCCAGGCGCTCCCTTCCCTCCTCCGCAGTATGCAGCTCCTCCAGGCAATGCATTACCCTACGGTCTTCCTCAACCCATTAGCTCCGGTAGTGTTGATCTGGCCAACATCCAGCCCGTTAGCTCTGGCTCTGTGAGCATTGCAGACGCTATTGCCAAAGCCCGTGGCATCGCTGCGGAAAAGGGTATTTCTTACGATCCTAGCAGACGTATGTGCGCCCGGTTTTCTACATCTTGAATGTGTTTGCTGACTATAGGTACAGTGCCCATGAACCCAGACCCACGTAGCGGCGGTCGAGGCTACAGACGCTCAAGATCACCCTCCCATTCGCCCCCACGTACGAGGCAAGATGGTTACCAGGACGCCTACAACCCTTACCGAGACGAGCGACGCGGCAATGATCGTGGATACGGCCGGGAGCGTTCCCTCTCACCAAGACGTGGTCATTTTTCGCCACCCAGATTTCGCGATGACAGATCACCTGGCCAAGACCGAGGTGGCAGTGTTGAAGGTGAATCTGAGGTAGTTCCTCTCGACAAAGGTGTCGTAGGGTTGGTCATTGGCAGATCCGGAGAAAATCTTCGGAGGATCGAAAGTACCACTGGTGCTCGTGTACAGTTTCTCGATGGTCCAGAAGTCGCTGGCACACAGAGACATTGCAGAATCTCGGGCAATCGCTCCTCACGGTCGGCAGCGAAAGCGGAGATCTTCAAAGTCATTGACGACAACGAAACGACCAAAAGAGGTGCCGAAAAGCCGCGCAGCCAGATCAAAACCACGACTATCTCAACAAAAGATGGAGACAGCCTCCAGATGATGGTTCCCGATCGGACAGTTGGATTGATTATTGGAAGAGGTGGTGAAACCATTCGTGATCTACAAGACAAGAGCGGTTGTCATGTCAACATTCTGGGAGAGAACAAAAGTGTCAATGGGTTGCGCCCCGTCAATCTCATTGGTAGCGCATCCGCTCAGCAGTATGCGCGCGATCTGATTCTAGAAATCGTGGAGAGTGATCAGAAGGGTATCAGCATCAAAGACCTTCACCGTGAGCGAGAAGAGACTCAAGGCAAAATCAACGATCACATTGTGGTACCGGGCGAGGCAGTCGGCATGATAATTGGTAAAGGTATGCTTGTGCAGAGATCCGCCGCTGGATGCAGCTATTCTAACTGAATCTGTAGGGGGTGAGTCGATTCGTGACATGCAAAACCAGACAGGGTGCAAGATCAACGTCTCGCCTGCTAGCGGACGAGACGTCGAACGCGAAATTGGATTGATAGGCACAAGGCACGCCATTGACGCTGCCAAACGTGCCATCATGGACAAGGTCGAAACAGTGGTGAGTTGCAGTATGTGGAAGTAGTTTGATCAAGTGTACTGACTTTACTTAGCGTGCTCGATCTCAGGGGCGTGACAATCGAGACGACTACACCGAGCGATACGCATCACAACCGTCCAGCTATGCACCGCCGAGTGGAGCACCTGCGCCTCAAGCGGCTGCACCGCCTTCTGAGGGAGCGGCGGATCCTTATGCTGCTTATGGTGGCTACCAGAACTACTTGCAGATGTGGTACGCCGCCATGGCAGCACAGCAACAACAAAGTGGCCCAGGTCAAGGTGAGCAACGATAAGACGCGTTGAAGGTGACCGTGACCTGGCTCGTGTGGCTTGATACTTTTGCTGGATGATCCGAGACTGCGCGCCGACTTGACCTGCCTACGTTCAACGCTTTCGATGCATCGCTGAACCACCGCTCGCCAGTGTGAATGCTGTGACCTGCCGAAATTGACTCGAGGCTGAGATGTCGAATCATTGCTCGTTGCTGGCGTACGATACGCACGACTACCGACGTGACACGGATCGCGTTTTGTCGCCTTTTCCGTCGTGCTGCTCTGAGAACATGGATTCGTCAACATGAACGTTTATCACCACGAGCCTGCAGACAGAAAGCTTGAAGTATGATGCAGTGGGACTCGGTGCTCGCTCTGAAATGGTCAAAGTACCTCTAAAAGTTGTCGTGTGTGCATTGAATTACTTGTACGTGCGTGGTTCAAGGATTGGGACATTGGAGATTGGGCAACCGCATTCGCTGCTTGCAGAGTGACATGCTATGACTTCTTTCACAAATGCCAACTCGTAATCTACTCTCTTTTCTTGCAATGGTCAGATGGAGGTGGCTTCGCCTGGGGGACTGTGGTGCTCCGCACTGTGGTAACTACACTGTGGCAACTACACTGTGGTAACTACACTGTGGTAACTACACTGTGGTAACTACACTGTGGTAACTACACTGTGGTACTCATAGTCTGCTAGAAAGGCAACGATGCATGAAATGCCATTAGTGCTAGACTAGTCCCAAAACAGGGCGCTAAATAAAATTAATACTGGGCTTTTCTTGCATGGATTAAATCAAGGAATGACGAAACTGCTTGCAGCTTATTTCCAAGTCCTTTTCTCCTCTATTTCGACGCCACACGGTGGAGTCGTCGGTGGCTAACAAACTCTTCTTAAAAGTCCTGCCTCGTCACCTGCCACCTCGTCGTCGTTTCTGTTTACTTGTAGGCACAATCGAGGAGACATCGTGTTACTTCACTGTGTCTGCCTTCTCAGCTTCTCCATGTCTTGTTTCCGGCCCCTGCCCTCGCTCGGTGAATACCATTTCTACGTGCTTGGTTCGTTGTTCTTGACGGGCGCCGGGTTGCGTCACCTGCCGACGGGTTCTTGCAGTGGGCGGACAAACTTGGGGAAGCTGAGAGGATGGAAGCAACCTGAAGAGTGGCCACTATGCTGTCTCGACCCGTTTCAATCTGATCTGATCGTTCCACGTGAGAGCGCGTGTCTCACGTGCGAATACTTGGGAAGAGATGGCTGGTGGGCGCTTCTTCAGCCTGGTGGCGCCTATTTCTGGATTACGCGCCAGAAGGTCTGGAAACATCACCACCAGCCGATGTCTTCGCTCCCCAACTTTGTACAGCTCCCCTGAAACATTTCAATCTTGTTTCGATCTCAAAAAGGGCCTCATACAATGTTGTGGGAGCATCTGCGGCGTGGGACAGAGGTCGGTCGGAAAGGCGGTACGTACAGCACAATTTTTTTCTTATTGTCGATTTTCATTGCTCTTATTGTCGCGGCCTTGCTCACACTACTTTGTTCACTGCCTTGTTCACTCCATCGCTGTTGTCGACTTTTTGTCCATTGTTGTCGAGTGACAATTCTCCTTTGTTTGCTGCAGAAATAGCCTTTTCCTTGACAAAGTCTTGATGACTTGACGACTTACTTTCTTTGTCACCTACCTGCCTGTACCACCAGCACCTGATAACTCCTGCAACTGTTTACACTGTACCGAGAGACACCCTGATCTTGCTATACTATTGATCTACGGAAAACTAATGCGACTCTAATTCAGACAATTTCCTGCCGACTTCTCCACCATGTCCGCCCCGTCAGCCTTCGCGGCTGGCCTTCCTCCATCCATGCCTGCCGGCAGCCATGAGGTACAAGACTACTACTCCAATCAAGGCCCACCTCGGTCGTTGCCACACACTGCACCATCCATCACACCCTACCTTGGCCTCCGGGCTCGTCTTTCACAAATATGGCTCAATCGATGGACCATCCTCCTCCTACTTGTTCTTGCTCGCACCCTTATCGCCGTTTCCGGGCTCAACAATGATCTGGCTTCAGCACGACGTGAAGCTCTCTCCGCATGTTCAGACGTTGAATCGATGGGTTCCACCATGGCATCCATGCCACATTACATGTCTCAAGGCTTGAATGAGCTGGCTGCTACTGGCGTTGAGAAATCGGTCAACGGTTTGATGGATATGACGACTCTGAGTGTCACAGCGGTCGAAGAAATTGTGGTGTTTGTGATCGGGATGATGACAAACACCTATCTCTGCCTCATCACTTTTGCCGTCAGCGGAAGTCTGCACACAGTCATCGGTACCCTCGAATCTGCGCAAACTGCACTCAATACCTTGACCAAAGGTGTTGGCAATGACATGTCTGGGGCGGTAAGCGATTTTCAGTCCGCGTACAACACATTTTTGGACGCTCTGAGCGGCTTTACGGCATTCGGGAAATCAATCCCAACACCACCTCCGTTGAATCTTTCCACGGAAGTGACCACACTCGAAGGCCTAAAGTTGCCAGCCAACCTTACTGCCGATCTGCAAACCCTCAACAATTCAATCCCCACATTTGCCCAAGTCAAGAATTTTACAGAAGGCGTCATCCGACTTCCCTTTGAAGAAGTCAAGCAGCTGATCAATGGATCTTTGGGAAACTACACATTCAACCGGTCGTTGTTTCCTGTGCCGCAGAAAGAGCAACTCACCTTCTGCAGCGACAATGACGGGATCAATGACTTTTTCGACGACCTGGTCCACCTGGCTGACATCGCACGGAAAGCCTTCATTGGAGTCCTCCTAATTTTGGCCATCCTGGCCACGATTCCGATGGCATGGCGCGAGATCAGACGATATCGAAAAATGCAAGAACGCAGTCAGCTTGTCAATTCTGATGCGCGCGATCCCATGGATGTGGTTTACATTGTCAGCCGACCGTACACCGCCTCTGCTGGACTCAGATTGTCTCATCGGTATGAGTCGCAGCGCAAAAAGAGCCTGATCCGTTGGGTCGTTGCGTATGCCACAACTGATGCTGCATTATTCGTCCTTGCTCTAGCTTTGACCGGTCTGTTCTCCTGCGCTTGTCAGGCTATCCTCCTCCGATCCATCGAAAAGGAAGTCCCCAACCTAACCAATGAAGTCAGCTCGTTCTCCGACAAGGTCGTGGCGTCACTCAACAATGCTTCGGAGCAATGGGCCGTCGGTACAAATGCGGCCATTGCCTCCGTCAGCCACGACATCAATCAGAATATGCTGGGTTGGGTCAATACCACCACGACTGCAGTCAATGATACACTCAATGCATTCGTGGACCAGACTACAGATGTGCTCAACACTACTTTCGGTGGCACGCCTCTGTACGAGCCAATCATGGAAGTTCTGAACTGTCTGCTATTATTGAAGATTGCAGGCATTGAGAATGGCTTGACCTGGGTTCAAGACAATGCGCACGTCGACTTCCCCAGTCTGCCGAACGATACTTTCACCTTAGGTGCCGCCTCTAGTCTCGCCTCAAGTAATCCCGATGACTCGTTCCTTGCGAGTCCCGGAGATGCTGCGAGCGATCAGATCTCAAGCGCCGTGGCCAGAGTGGTCAATGAGCTGGAGGAGACCATCCGCACCGAAGCACTTGTCTCAACTGTCCTTTTGCTCATCTGGATCCTCGTCGTGTTGATCGGCGTTATCCGCGCATTGACACACTGGGCGAGACGAGAAAAGGTCAGAGGTGACGGTGGTGTTGCTCCAGCGTTCGCTTCCTCGACTATGCCAAACATGGACTTTCGCTCGGACGACCAGGATCGGTATATGGTGAATGTGCCATTGGACAATGTCAACACTAGCAGGCCAATGTCGCCTGCACCACGGTATACGCCTGCTAAAGAGGTCGAAGTTCTGGTCGAAGAGCAACCAGACTCCAAGCTAGGGCACGTTGATCGTCGAGTGTACCAAGAGACACCATCAGCAGTTGACAGCAAGCGGGGAAGTACTTGGAAAGGGGATTGAAGATACATCTCATCATTGCGGATTTGAAAAATCATTGAACACGATATGCAACCAGATTTACGCCAAGCACATGCGCAAACAACGTGCTGGGAGCTGGGCTTACACAAAAAGGTGCCCGGGAATTGCCATAGAGCGGAAAGGCAATGAAAACATTTGTGGAGGAGATAATGGAATTCCGATTGGAATAGACAAGAGTGATGGACGATGTCAACGGGTGGCGTCGTGTATTGTGTGTGTGCATGTTGTATGATGACATGCTTTGTGGAGGGTTTTCGTTTGTCGTGTGGAATCAAAGGTCAATCGGTTTGGACTGCGCGTTAATCCCCGGTCTTTTCGACGTCCTCTTTGATGACCCGCGGCACAACAGAAATTCCTCAAGGAAAACGACTGAGGGACTAGAGTTCCTTCCCTGCCCCTTCTCTGGTGGCGCAGACAGTTTCTCGTGAGAGAGACTAATTGCTATTTTTCCGCCATTCTTTCGACGGCCCTCGATCCCAACAGTGGCTATCGCGCTCTTTCTTTACAAAGAGTGTCAAGCGAGAACTGGTGTTGAGATGTGGCACTGCGCCAACTATCGCAACCGGAGATGCGTGATGGAGTGGAATCATAAATCCTATCGATCTATATACCCACTGGTTGGGTATCTCGGGGATGAAGCAGGTCTTGTCTTTTTATCGTTTGGAATCAGTTGGTTTGAGCCCCCTTCATCTCTGTTCGGGATGTTGCTGTGTAGGCTCTCCAACCCAAACATTTGTTTGTTGTTGAGTGGTGGTCTTGAGGGATATCTCATGGCAGCTGTTGATGTGTGCTTGGGTGTTGAGGCCCTCGTTCGTTTGCTGCTGTGTCCCTTGGAGTCACATCTTCTGGGACTCAAGTCTCAGCCGGCATTCGCTGTCTCTTCACTGATCTTCGGAGAGGATGAAAGTGGTAGGTGCCGGTGAATTGTTGCTCCCGGGGTAGCCGGTTTCAACACGCACGAGTTAACCTTCGAAGAGGACCTGGTGTTGGTGCTTCGGACGACTCCGGCTCGATTGTCAACTTGTTGGTTTGCGGCCAATGCATGTTCATCACAGAAACAAATCACAAGTCGGAGGAGATCTGGTGACATGAATGCTGCGGTCCTCTTCGGAGAAGCGTCCTTTTTCCACACGCCTCTGGTGACTTGGTGCTAAGCATGCAGGTACCAAGGAACCGGTATGCAGAGGCAGCGTGGATTAGTGGGCGGACTTGTGTAGCTTTGCTCCGAGTCAAAACCTCTTATACCTAAAAAGCCATGGGCTGGGTCTGTTTCGTTGCCGGTACGCGAGTGCGTTTTGTCTACGTTTTGCCCGTCTTTCCTTGGGTTCTAGAGGGAGAGGGGCAGAGGTAAAGTCTATAGCTAGATGATTCTACTCGACGTAGATATGGAATGAAGATCTGGCCTGACAACTTGACGTTTTGTTCGAGATTCACTCTGCCTCAGGCATCTGCTGCTGTACATGCCCAGTTGGGTGCAATGCTTCAAAGAACTCCTGCTTTGTCTCAGGTTGAGACCCCGTCCAGATCCTCGAGATACTCTGCAGAAGGCCTGAGTGCTGAACCGTGTGGTGGCCGCTGATTCCCTGTCATGTCCTTTGTTCCTCTCAGTCCAGAGCACCAAGTAAGGCCTCAGACACTTTCACAGAGATCATTCTTGCGTTTGTGTGGGAGGTCTGAATAAAGAGACAACTTGTGCCCAGTGCAGACTGAAGTGCCATACCTGACGTAAGTGGCCTGACCTCGTAAAGCACACATGCTTGGGGAAGGGCGGAGAGCCCGAAGAGAGACTCTGATATGACTAAGATAATAGATTAGGGCCGGCCACCAGACTTCTTCTTATTTCAATTTCTTTGGATCCGTTTGTATGGATACGTTCTCTTTCCTCCGCGGTGCTCGTCCGAACCTCACATCAGGATGACATTTGCATTACATTGATGCATCCACGCCCCATTAATGTTCGGACCCATTCGGCTATGCAAAAGTCAAGCCAGACGCGATACCGTAGCGATGCAATCATAAGGTCATGCTTTCAGTACCTCGCCCAAGCTCCATTCCTAGGGAGAGGACGATGCCTATCATAAGTGCCGCCCTCAGCCCGCCCGCACATCATCCTCGGGCTAAGCTGACACACCCATGGCATGTCAATACTCCGTACCATGCCACGGTCCTGGCGGGACGGGGCAGCTTCGCAGGGCAACAAGGTTTCAGAGACGATCGCGCAGTTGAAGACAACTCATAGCAGAGCACCAGTCTCGTTCGCTCAGCCGAAAACGAGCCACCTCAGGCTCCAAAGTCTGCGCGATATAACAAACACAATTCCGCACTGATGCTACCACGAAGTCACCCTCCAGTGCACTATCGAAATATTTCTCAACCAGCAAGGCGTCACCAATCCCAGGCACCTCTCTGCTTCCGCCCATACTGTGCTTGGTCATGACTCAGGCTCATATTCGTCTGGGTTGTCACAACGTGAATCTCAGCCATATGCCTATCTCTCGCTATGAATGACATTACCACGGTTGATGTGTTCTGATGCACCTTCTCAAACCACACAAATATTGCAGATGTCCATACCGTTCAAAACCATAACACACCTGCTGGCTTTGAGGTTTCTCTTTTCCGTTGCACTTGGAAAGCAAAACTTTTCGTTTTGCGGTCTGGGCCAGCACGAACCTTGACTCTTCATGGAAAGAACGACTACATTACTATCAAGATTGCAAGATGGTCGAAAGGCGCGTTTCAGTGGGGCGTTGACCTGTCTGTTGATTGAGGCAGCCTTGTTAATTGCTATGCTCAAACTCGATGAAGGTCAAGATGTGATCTTTCGCGGTGATTGTCAGAGGACTAAACCAATCAACATAGCAACGATAACTTCAATGAAGATCATTGGCACTACTTTTCTCGGAACGAGCACGTATTTTATGAAATGCCTGAATCCACCTAATCGTTGGGAGCGATAGGGCACAAGCTAATGGTCGATACCTAAACATTGTAACCTCATCAGTCAACAGCTTTCGGTACCTCAGTCTTACAAAGCTGTGTATGTGGTCGGTCTTACGGTTTTCATCGATTTCCATACACTTGCTGACGAACTCCTCGATTTTCGCTATTTCTACCAGTCATAAATTTATGGGGTGACGCGAGTGAGCTTGGACTTCCATGATGATTCGTCATGGGATTTGTGCTCTTCTCACACTCTGCGCATCGCCGCACAGTTTACCTGCAACATGTAGCGTGCCGCGACAGAGGGCTACCCGAGTCCAAGCCAGAAGCAAGCACCCAAGCAATACATACAACAATACTCCGGTGTTATTGATAACGTCGGCCCCAATGTGCTGTTGGTGGCAAAGAATACTACACAACAGAAGTGCTGGGCCCTGTTCACAACTCCAGCGATAGACTCAAACTCGTTCACCATGTGAAATGGCAGCTGTCTTCACGATATTTCAAATGCTTACTCGCTGCAAGATAGCCTTCTCCTGGAAACCACTGATCCGTTGTGGATTGTGAGCACCGTCTTCGGAGTGTGGAACTCTTTGGACTATCAGTACTTCATCTCGGTACAATTACGCGCACTTCAACACTTTGGATCCCAGGGTAGAGGCCACAAACCGATGGGAGCCACGGACCTGGCTTTGTGACCCTGGTCAATATGGTCCGTTCGGAGATTGCAATGTTACCACTCCTGTTAGGGATAGCCTTGGTTGAATAGGCAGAGTATAGCGATAGGTTTAACTAATAGGTATTCCTTTGATCTATGTCGATACAAGACTCAAAGCATGAGGGAACACAAGTCCCTCAGGGGCAGAGCAAGCTACTTGAAGGGGAGGCGCATACTACCAGCATGCGAGCGACATCGCTGCTTGGATGCAGCGTGGCTCTCCGTTATCTTCCGTTATCCGGTGCAACACTCCCGTGAGTTGTGTAGTGCTCGTGCTGTGCCGTAGCTGTCTCGGGATTCGTGACAACTCCTTTCCAAAGTGCGAACCAATGGAGGATGAGGCCACGTTCAGTCAAAATCGGTTACTGCCTGTTCCAACCCGGACATGCCCAAGACTGCACAGTCCACTACAATATCGCTCTCCTCTCTATCGTGATAGGCTGGGATTTTGTTGAAGTTGCTGTGCTTCGCATTGAGGTCCAAGGGTAGTGAACGACTCCCATTACAAAGATAGACGTGGCCAGCTGGTGAGCACATGGAGTGCCGTCGGAATTTATCTTGTTGGGAAGAGACTTTCGGTCCCTCTTTACTGTTCCACTTCGTTGGCCTAAGGTGTATAGGCTGTGGTAAAGAAACTCGCATGGACATCTTGTAGTATAGGTAGTGATAATAGTGATAAAAGAAGAGGAAAAGGCAAGTACGTACCTTCGGTCCTCATAGGTCGGAAGAAGATTCCTGGTATATTGGACATGCTGCTGTTCACTTGCATGGACCTCAAGAGGAAGCATGTAACACGGGAGACCAGCAGGCTCTTCCATAAACGGGGAATGCCTCATATCGACTTACGTACACGGGCTACTCACACGCCTGATGTGTGCCTTCGAGTTCAGCAGATTCTACAAGTAGCCGAGGACATTGTGCGTCAGTATCCCGTCTGGAGAACAGCGGTCGACTTACTGGCTCTCTCTGCCCTGAAGATTCATTTTCCTTTCTCTTACTCTCTGTGACATTGCACTGGCTGACGTCTCGGAATTTGTTCCAGGTGGAAATATGGATTCTCGACTGGGATAGTACGGCTCAAACTGATAAGAATAAGCCGACCTCAGTACCTTGGCAATTCTAGTGCTGGCTGTCGTCCTTTTAGCCATGATTCTGGTGCTTGTTGAACTTAGATATACACCGGTCCCGCTTGAAATGCCAATCATTGGGACTAATTCAGAGATCAGTTACGAGAATCGCAGCGAGATTAGGCACTGTTCGGTCTCGAGTCAGATAGTTACGACGTCTACGCTAGATCGTACTAGTATATATATTTGAGATAGATAACGTAAAATAG